CACTAAAATTAATGAAATTTCGGAAATTTCAGCTTTTTTCGGCTGAAACTCAAAATTTTGAATTTTTTTTCAATTTTATTGTCTCTCCAAAGGAGAGACGGTTTCAAAATTTACATTGACACCAGATGTTTTGGGTCAGTTTCAATGGGTTACCTCAAACTTGGGTAATTAAACCGACTTTCTCGGTCGCTGTCCGCTTATACGTTAGGTGTGTTGCAAATCGCGTTAAACCTTTGGCCAATTGCTATGCCTGTGTGTTCTACTCTCGAGCGACGCCGCTTTTTTTTCGACTTTTTCACTCGTTCTTTCGCTTACGACCATATCACGTTGAATACACGCCATCCCGTCCGATCTGGCAAGTTAAGCAACGTTGAGTCCGGTTAGTACTTGGATCGGAGACGGCTTGGGAATCCCGGATGTTGTAAGCTTTTGCAAAATTTAACAAAAATTCTAAAAATTGCTCCTTTTTTTTGGGGGATCACTAAGCCTAAGCCTTTTTTTGCATGAAATTTTTTAGGCTTAGGCTTACGAAGTTCACTATTTCGCCTTTGGGAACCTTTCCATAGGCTTAGGCTTACGAAACCAAAGGTTTCGCCTTCAGCAATCTTTCTGTAGGCTTAGGCTTACGAAACTAGAGGTTTCGCCTTCAGCAATCTTTCTGTAGGCTTAGGCTTCTGTAAACGCAAGTTTCGCTGCTAGGACCTTCCTCTCAGGCTTAGGCTTAGGCAAACCACCCAGAACCAACCCTTAGGCTTAGGCTTAGGTAAGTTTTCCTTTTTTAACACTGTTAAAAACCAAGAATTTGTGTTGTCGGATGACGTCATCCCGCCCGTAAAAAGTCACAGATTTGGATCAATCCAAAAATGTAAAAATGAAGTCGATGAGTTGGGACCTAAATGACACTTCCTCTCAGGCTTAGGCTTAGTAAGCCACCCAGAAGAAAATTTTGAAAAATCTCGGGCCGATTTTTTTTTTTGAAAAATCTCGGGCCGATTTTTTTTTGAAAAAAAAACAGAAAAACTCACAGAAAAAAATTTACAGAAAATTTTTAACACTGTTAAAAAAGGCTTAGGCTTAGTAACCACCCAGAAGTAACTGTGAAGGCGAAAATCCCCTTTTTCCTTGTTTTTTTTTTTCTTCAAAGTAATTTCTAGGTGGTTCACTAAGCCTTAGCCTAAGGCTGAGCAAGGTTTTCAACTTTTTCATAAACTTTTGAGCTTCTGAAATGTCAAAAATTTCGCTTCAAATATTTTTGAACAAAAAATTATAATTTTCACCTATCAAAAAATGATATAGAACCTCTGAATTTCATCATTTTTCTTCATCTATTTTTTTTCTAAATAATCCCAAATAATTTTCGAAATGATTTTCTAATTTTTCACCTCACGTTTATCAATCAATTTCATTTTACGTGACCCATATGCCAATTTTTCATTCCAGATTTTTATTAAAAATTTAAAAAAAATGAAGGGAAGGGGTGGGATGGGGGTAAAGCCTTAGCTTTTGTGCTCATTTCGATGCTACGATGAAATTTTTGTTGCATTTCAACAAAAAATTCGTGATCAGCGACCTCGATTTGACTTGTATACCAAATTTTAGCTGTCTACACTAAAATTAATGAAATTTCGGAAATTTCAGCTTTTTTCGGCTGAAACTCAAAATTTTGAATTTTTTTTCAATTTTATTGTCTCTCCAAAGGAGAGACGGTTTCAAAATTTACATTGACACCAGATGTTTTGGGTCAGTTTCAATGGGTTACCTCAAACTTGGGTAATTAAACCGACTTTCTCGGTCGCTGTCCGCTTATACGTTAGGTGTGTTGCAAATCGCGTTAAACCTTTGGCCAATTGCTATGCCTGTGTGTTCTACTCTCGAGCGACGCCGCTTTTTTTCGACTTTTTCACTCGTTCTTTCGCTTACGACCATATCACGTTGAATACACGCCATCCCGTCCGATCTGGCAAGTTAAGCAACGTTGAGTCCGGTTAGTACTTGGATCGGAGACGGCTTGGGAATCCCGGATGTTGTAAGCTTTTGCAAAATTTAACAAAAATTCTAAAAATTGCTCCTTTTTTTGGGGGATCACTAAGCCTAAGCCTTTTTTTGCATGAAATTTTTTAGGCTTAGGCTTACGAAGTTCACTATTTCGCCTTTGGGAACCTTTCCATAGGCTTAGGCTTACGAAACCAAAGGTTTCGCCTTCAGCAATCTTTCTGTAGGCTTAGGCTTACGAAACTAGAGGTTTCGCCTTCAGCAATCTTTCTGTAGGCTTAGGCTTCTGTAAACGCAAGTTTCGCTGCTAGGACCTTCCTCTCAGGCTTAGGCTTAGGCAAACCACCCAGAACCAACCCTTAGGCTTAGGCTTAGGTAAGTTTTCCTTTTTTAACACTGTTAAAAACCAAGAATTTGTGTTGTCGGATGACGTCATCCCGCCCGTAAAAAGTCACAGATTTGGATCAATCCAAAAATGTAAAAATGAAGTCGATGAGTTGGGACCTAAATGACACTTCCTCTCAGGCTTAGGCTTAGTAAGCCACCCAGAAGAAAATTTTGAAAAATCTCGGGCCGATTTTTTTTTTTTTGAAAAATCTCGGGCCGATTTTTTTTTGAAAAAAAAACAGAAAAACTCACAGAAAAAAATTTACAGAAAATTTTTAACACTGTTAAAAAAGGCTTAGGCTTAGTAACCACCCAGAAGTAACTGTGAAGGCGAAAATCCCCTTTTTCCTTGTTTTTTTTTTTCTTCAAAGTAATTTCTAGGTGGTTCACTAAGCCTTAGCCTAAGGCTGAGCAAGGTTTTCAACTTTTTCATAAACTTTTGAGCTTCTGAAATGTCAAAAATTTCGCTTCAAATATTTTTGAACAAAAAATTATAATTTTCACCTATCAAAAAATGATATAGAACCTCTGAATTTCATCATTTTTCTTCATCTATTTTTTTCTAAATAATCCCAAATAATTTTCGAAATGATTTTCTAATTTTTCACCTCACGTTTATCAATCAATTTCATTTTACGTGACCCATATGCCAATTTTTCATTCCAGATTTTTATTAAAAATTTAAAAAAAATGAAGGGAAGGGGGTGGGATGGGGGTAAAGCCTTAGCTTTTGTGCTCATTTCGATGCTACGATGAAATTTTTGTTGCATTTCAACAAAAAATTCGTGATCAGCGACCTCGATTTGACTTGTATACCAAATTTTAGCTGTCTACACTAAAATTAATGAAATTTCGGAAATTTCAGCTTTTTTCGGCTGAAACTCAAAATTTTGAATTTTTTTTTTCAATTTTATTGTCTCTCCAAAGGAGAGACGGTTTCAAAATTTACATTGACACCAGATGTTTTGGGTCAGTTTCAATGGGTTACCTCAAACTTGGGTAATTAAACCGACTTTCTCGGTCGCTGTCCGCTTATACGTTAGGTGTGTTGCAAATCGCGTTAAACCTTTGGCCAATTGCTATGCCTGTGTGTTCTACTCTCGAGCGACGCCGCTTTTTTTTCGACTTTTTCACTCGTTCTTTCGCTTACGACCATATCACGTTGAATACACGCCATCCCGTCCGATCTGGCAAGTTAAGCAACGTTGAGTCCGGTTAGTACTTGGATCGGAGACGGCTTGGGAATCCCGGATGTTGTAAGCTTTTGCAAAATTTAACAAAAATTCTAAAAATTGCTCCTTTTTTTTGGGGGATCACTAAGCCTAAGCCTTTTTTTGCATGAAATTTTTTAGGCTTAGGCTTACGAAGTTCACTATTTCGCCTTTGGGAACCTTTCCATAGGCTTAGGCTTACGAAACCAAAGGTTTCGCCTTCAGCAATCTTTCTGTAGGCTTAGGCTTACGAAACTAGAGGTTTCGCCTTCAGCAATCTTTCTGTAGGCTTAGGCTTCTGTAAACGCAAGTTTCGCTGCTAGGACCTTCCTCTCAGGCTTAGGCTTAGGCAAACCACCCAGAACCAACCCTTAGGCTTAGGCTTAGGTAAGTTTTCCTTTTTTAACACTGTTAAAAACCAAGAATTTGTGTTGTCGGATGACGTCATCCCGCCCGTAAAAAGTCACAGATTTGGATCAATCCAAAAATGTAAAAATGAAGTCGATGAGTTGGGACCTAAATGACACTTCCTCTCAGGCTTAGGCTTAGTAAGCCACCCAGAAGAAAATTTTGAAAAATCTCGGGCCGATTTTTTTTTTTTTGAAAAATCTCGGGCCGATTTTTTTTTGAAAAAAAAAACAGAAAAACTCACAGAAAAAAATTTACAGAAAATTTTTAACACTGTTAAAAAAGGCTTAGGCTTAGTAACCACCCAGAAGTAACTGTGAAGGCGAAAATCCCCTTTTTCCTTGTTTTTTTTCTTCAAAGTAATTTCTAGGTGGTTCACTAAGCCTTAGCCTAAGGCTGAGCAAGGTTTTCAACTTTTTCATAAACTTTTGAGCTTCTGAAATGTCAAAAATTTCGCTTCAAATATTTTTGAACAAAAAATTATAATTTTCACCTATCAAAAAATGATATAGAACCTCTGAATTTCATCATTTTTCTTCATCTATTTTTTCTAAATAATCCCAAATAATTTTCGAAATGATTTTCTAATTTTTCACCTCACGTTTATCAATCAATTTCATTTTACGTGACCCATATGCCAATTTTTCATTCCAGATTTTTATTAAAAATTTAAAAAAAATGAAGGGAAGGGGGTGGGATGGGGGTAAAGCCTTAGCTTTTGTGCTCATTTCGATGCTACGATGAAATTTTTGTTGCATTTCAACAAAAAATTCGTGATCAGCGACCTCGATTTGACTTGTATACCAAATTTTAGCTGTCTACACTAAAATTAATGAAATTTCGGAAATTTCAGCTTTTTTCGGCTGAAACTCAAAATTTTGAATTTTTTTTTCAATTTTATTGTCTCTCCAAAGGAGAGACGGTTTCAAAATTTACATTGACACCAGATGTTTTGGGTCAGTTTCAATGGGTGAGCCTGGGAAACAGTAGTCACCAATATTGCTATTGGGCTACCGTTTTTGGATTTGGGAATGGTAAGGGTGTATCCGAAGATACGGGGTCATGATCATCAGCTGCTCGGAAGAGCGAGAGTCCACTGAATGAGTCATGTACTATCCATACAAGTCTATTATGCTTCCTGCCCGCAGAATCATCGGCTGAAGATGATTGCAAGACAGCAGGTAATAGATATGCTGGGTCTAGTATAAGCTCCCTTTTCCCGTTTAGGCTAAACCAGGATTCCTCCTTAATGGTGCACCCGTCGTACCCAAGGGTAACTAAGTGCACCGGAGTTGCCCACCCGAACCTCACGGTATCTTTGGCTGATCTTAGGTCTGTTGTACACGTATCATCTTGTGATGGTTAGATTCACTTCAGATACTTTCCAGGTTTGTGCCTGAACTAAGGCGTGCAGTCTTAGGCTGTTTAGTTCAGCTCAAGAAGAGCTGGCTTGGTCTGTTTCTTTTGGGCTTTGTTAGGCTGGGCTGGTGTATAGGGGTTTTTATTCCCTATGTATTTATCTCCAAATATGTGCTGCCAGTATATGTTCTTGCTATATTCTAATACTGAGGCTAGCAGATCTGGTTTCAGGTTTCGAATTGTTCCTCTTCCGAGGCCCATTTCTAGGAGCGAATCTGTGCTGGGCTTATACCATGTTCCGAGTGATCCTACTATTATTGGCAGAACCACTGCTTTCTTGCCGAGTCTGGTATAGTACTCGACAAGATGCTGATATTTGTCTATCTTATCTTTCCAGGCTGTTTCTAATGGGGCTATGCCGTTTTCGTAAGTTATTCTTACGTCGGCTAGGATTATCTGTCTTCCATCCAGAGACTCCATCTGGATGTCTGGTCTATCTTCGCCAGGCCCAGCTCGCCTGTCGATCTTAAGCTTCCAGTTCTTTTTAGAACCTTTTTCTATGGCTTCCTTTACAGAGTAAAGGACATGGTTGTGTCTGTCTGTTATACCCTTTCCAAGCGCATAGTGGCACGACTGGAGGATATGGATCTGGGTTTCTTTTTCTGCTGGGCATCTTCTACATCCTTTCGGATTGGTCTTATCATAAGTGTTGTTGTTACATGAGAGCAGGTTTAGGCGTGCTCTATGAACAAATTTATGGGCTGAGATGCTGACTTTACCTCCGGTTCTAACGAAGGCGTTTGATCTGGGTTCTTGTTGGATGACTTGCACCACTTTGCTTTTGAATTCTTTTTCTGTTGTGAATCTGTGAAGCAAAGCTTCCAACACTTGGGCTTTTAGAGTCTGTTGCAATTTCTTAAGATTCTTTTCTGTGACGATAACGGGTTCGCTATCTGCTGTGGCTTGAATCTTAATGGCTAGTTTTTGGTCTACGGCTGTGAACTCCAACAAGTGGAGTGGTGAGTCTTTGAGCTTGGATAGAGATTTACAGATGTCGCGTACTCTGGTGAATACGCTAAATCCGAAGGCTTTTTTGTTTATCTGGGTTTTATTGCTGAGATAATCAGCAATTTGGTCTATATTCATATTTTCTGTGCCGGTTTCTTTTTCTGCGACTTCTTGGAGGAAGTCTGAATAGATTTTCTGGATATACGGGTCTTTAGCCCAAATTTTCTTCATAGTCGAGACTAAGAATCCAATCAAGGCTGTTATTCTGGGGCATTGGACACCGAGTCCACCCTTCGAGATAGGGATTTGGATATATTCTAGGGGCGAACCTCGGATTGGGATGCTATGCATTGTCTTAACGGCTTTCATAACCATGTTACTGAATTCACGCAGCTCACTAAGCTTAGGGGTTGCGTTAGCATACATGTATGTCAGTTTAGGCAGTATAAAGCATTTGATACAGTCTAGTTTTTGCCATGGGGCGAGCTGACTTGTAAGAACAAGTTCTATGTCTTTTAGAGCACTGGAGAGTAGCTCCATTTCTGAGATGCGGTTTTGGCTTCCGGTCTCGATACCTAAGTATTTATAGGTACCGGTCTCGTTTAATGTTCTAATTGGCTGTCCCTTCAGATGAAGGGGTCTTTGTTTCAATTTCCCTTCAGAAATTGTGAGGCTGGCGCACTTTGAGGGCTTGAAGATTAGATTTAGGCTAGTACAATCTTTGTCCAAGTCCTCAAGTTCTTTCTGGAGCTGGTTTGGGCTATTGGCTAAAATAGCCATATCATCTGCGAAGGCTAGAGTCTTAATGTTGGTCTTGAGGCATTTATGTCCTCGGGCTTTTTTCAAGTGTCTACGAATGACAAGTTCTAGGCACATGTTGAAGAGCGTTGGGGAGATTGGATCTCCCTGTTTGACACCTGATTTAATCAGGATTGGGCTGGTTGTTTCGGTCTTGGTTCGTACTCGGATGCAGGCACCGTCGTACATGTCTGATACGATTTCTACAAGCTCTTCGGGAAATCCAAAGGCTTTTAGGGCTTGTCTGATTAGTTCGTGAGGAACTGAGCCAAATGCGTTGGTTAGATCTAACCAGGCAATGCTCACATTTCCTCCGGTTCCTTTGGCTGAGTCTATGGCTGTTCTGAGGATTCCTATGCTTTCGTTGCTTCCGTCTCTTTCTTGGAAGCCCCGTTGGCATTTGCTCATGATCCCGCCTACGGATCTAATTCGGCGGTTCCACAAGCTGCTATACAGTTTGTAGATAGTTGGCATTAGGCTAATGGGTCGCCAATTATCTGGTTTAGCTGGGTCTGAATTCGCACCTTTATAGATGAGAATTGTTTCTGCTTCTTTCCAGTTTCCTGGGATCTTTTTCTGTTCTTTACAAGCATTGTATAACTTGCAGAGAAGGGTGTGATCTGGGTCAAACCATTGTAGATGATGATAATGAACACCATCTACTCCGGGCTTTGTGTCTTTGGTGGCTTTTAGGGCGTTTTTGATTTCTGAAGGTCTAAATTCTTCAACTATGCTTGGATTTATGTTGGTTTTAGGGACTTCAGAGCTCATTTCTGTTAATATTTCTTGCGAAACATTAGTTTCTTGGGTTGTCTTGTTGAAATGGCTTTCAACGGTCGCGATTGAAATTTCGCATTGCTTGGATTCTTTTCTGGTTATTTTGCAATAAGTTTTAGATCTATTTTTAGCATATTGCGCCATAATGTGGTCTTCTTCCACTGGGGAAGTCTGGTGGCTTGGTTTTGGTGGTCTAATGTGTTTGGGCTTTTCTGTTTGGGTGCACATGTCACCAGCTGATCTTTCTGGTGGTGGGCATCGCTTAACAATCTTACCGATTGCTTCTGTGTCGCCTACCGAAGCTTGGTGAATAGAAGCTGCCAAGGCATCTGCTATCCATTCCAATCTTTGGAAGGACTTTCCATCTTTTTCATAGTCATCCATTTGTTTGGTAAACCAAACTCTGACTTGATCTATGAGTTCTTCGGGTTTCCCCTTGAGCTTTTTCTGGATCTTAATTGGCTGGGTTCGAGCTTTCCGGGCTTGTCTTCTGGATTGTGGCTGCTCGAGAAAAGCTGGCTTTTCAAGAATTGTATCCATAAGACCCGGAATCTCTGGTTTTGGGCTATCTAAAGTAGCATCAGCTACTTCTTCAGAGGCTGTTTCATTTAGTAATTCATCTTCTCTGGAGGGAGATTCAGAGTCACTGTCTAAGAGAGTTAGATCCTGGGTTATATCCAATTCTGGATATTCAGGTTCTTGGCTGATTTCTGGTTCTGGTTCTGGTTCTGGAAGTTCAACTTCCATGATCTGGTTATCTATCTTTTCTTCAAACAAGGAATATTTGTTTGAATTTCTGAGCTTTGTGAGCATATTGAGTCTGAACATACAAATGTCAGCTTCCGTATACCACACGTCTTCTGTCATTATGCATTTTGCCATAAGGCACACGTGAACTCCGCAGTTGTATGTGTCTTTTTGTTTGGGTGGGCTAGTTTTATAATAAAGTCTGTCGCCTTTCAAGAATTTCGAGAATTCGAGAATCTTTCGGGGCATTGTTCTGTCTGATCCCAATGGATCTAAAAAGTACCAACCCCGAGAGGAAGACACAATTAGGACCCAATGAGAGTGCTCACATATTGGGAAAATATGTGTTCTTTCATTGCTCATGATTCCAGTGATGAATCGGGCTCCCTCTTCAACACTATCTTTACAATAATGCCAAAGCAGGGGATCCAGCACTGAAAATCTAGGATGTTCTTTGGCTTGGTCTTCAATAAATCTGGTTAAAATATCTGAATCCAACCACGCTTCGTTTCCGAATTCGTGCGTTAAACTCCAGATATTTAGTCTATTTTTGGCTGGTTCTTTGTCTTCCTCAAGAGTTACAATTTCAGGTTCAATTTTGCTAGTTTTCTTGATTCCTTCGTTGTTTTTCTCTTTTGGTCTTTGATCTTTGATTTTCTCTCCCCTTTCTTCTTTCTTGGCTGGCTGCCAAGAAAGGGAAAGGGACGCTCTCTTTGTTTGTTTAACCTGGCGGCACCTTTCATCTTCCTCTTTTGTTTGTTTAGCAGAGGCCGAGGAGGAAGAAAGGCGTTTGTAGTCTGGTTTATCGATCGAAGATCTGCTAGCCGGAATAACTCCCTGATTACGGATAGGAATTGAAGGGGCAAGAGAACTTCGAACGATGGGCTTGGCTGATGAAAAGATAGGAGCAAGGCTCCTTCTTGGGCTTTTGGTTTCTATCGCAGAAGAGGCTTCTTCTTTGATAGATTTTAGGCTTTTTGGTTTAGATATGCTGAGACGGGGATTTAGATCTGGTTTTGGTTCCTTTGAGGCACTAAGCTGCTTGGATACAGATCTGGTTTGAGGTCTGATCAGCTGGGCCTTTTCAGGGGTTTTCTTGGTCTTTCTGGTTAGCGCTAGAGAAGGGGCAGCTTCTCTAAACGACTTTTCTATGTTATCTCTTGTTGACAAGGTTTTAGGCTTGTCAACGTCTGCTGAATGGCTGGATCTGAGATGGTCTGTGATCCACCTAGTTGGATAGGTGTATCTTTCTGGGCAAATGGCTTCACACATATCACATTGATATGTGAATTCTATTTTGAGATTATGATCTTTAACATGTTTTACCATGTATCTGTTTGGCTCTGCGCCAATTCCAACAACTGACTGCATGAAACAGCCTGAAATTGGACATTTATAGGCGGCTTTATTTGGTACGCGAAGTCTGACTATAATTGTTTTCTGGTTTTTCTCAATTATTTCAAACTCCTTGGTTTCGGCTGTTCTGGTTGTTCTTGCTCCTCCGAGAAGGATTTCTGGTCTTTTTGGGCTTTTCGAGTATTGTTCTTTCACCGGCTCTCTCAGGTCACTCATTTGTGATCTCACGATGGAGGATTCTTCAACAAGAGCGGTGAACGCCGATCTTTTACTCTGATTTTGCTGTTTTTCTCTTTGATTATCAGCTTTGGAAGGCTGATAATCGCAGAAAGTCTGGTTTTTTGCTTCAATTCTATTGACAAAGTCAACAAAACATGATGCAAATTTGGCTTTTTTATTGATTTTTTCCGAAGAAAAGGACGCCAGAATTTCTTCTGGACTTGGCTTGGTTTTGCCAGTAAAACTGGACTTGTCTGGTTTGCCAGTAAAACTGGACTTGGCTGGTTTGCCAGTAAAACTGGACTTGGCTGTTTTGCCAGTAAAACTGGACTTTTTGGATGGGAGATGTGGGAAGCAAACAGGGTCTTGGGGCGAAGGATAAGGCATGATTAATTGCCAACTTCTAGCTACCCTGTTTACTTAAAAAGCGAAAAAAGAGGTGGCGAGCCTCTAAACCAAGCGAAAGGAAAGAGAAAAATGCAAACGCACCTTCCCCCTTACCTCAAACTTGGGTAATTGGTTACCTCAAACTTGGGTAATTAAACCGACTTTCTCGGTCGCTGTCCGCTTATACGTTAGGTGTGTTGCAAATCGCGTTAAACCTTTGGCCAATTGCTATGCCTGTGTGTTCTACTCTCGAGCGACGCCGCTTTTTTTTCGACTTTTTCACTCGTTCTTTCGCTTACGACCATATCACGTTGAATACACGCCATCCCGTCCGATCTGGCAAGTTAAGCAACGTTGAGTCCGGTTAGTACTTGGATCGGAGACGGCTTGGGAATCCCGGATGTTGTAAGCTTTTGCAAAATTTAACAAAAATTCTAAAAATTGCTCCTTTTTTTTGGGGGATCACTAAGCCTAAGCCTTTTTTTGCATGAAATTTTTTAGGCTTAGGCTTACGAAGTTCACTATTTCGCCTTTGGGAACCTTTCCATAGGCTTAGGCTTACGAAACCAAAGGTTTCGCCTTCAGCAATCTTTCTGTAGGCTTAGGCTTACGAAACTAGAGGTTTCGCCTTCAGCAATCTTTCTGTAGGCTTAGGCTTCTGTAAACGCAAGTTTCGCTGCTAGGACCTTCCTCTCAGGCTTAGGCTTAGGCAAACCACCCAGAACCAACCCTTAGGCTTAGGCTTAGGTAAGTTTTCCTTTTTTAACACTGTTAAAAACCAAGAATTTGTGTTGTCGGATGACGTCATCCCGCCCGTAAAAAGTCACAGATTTGGATCAATCCAAAAATGTAAAAATGAAGTCGATGAGTTGGGACCTAAATGACACTTCCTCTCAGGCTTAGGCTTAGTAAGCCACCCAGAAGAAAATTTTGAAAAATCTCGGGCCGATTTTTTTTTTTTTTGAAAAATCTCGGGCCGATTTTTTTGAAAAAAAAAACAGAAAAACTCACAGAAAAAAATTTACAGAAAATTTTTAACACTGTTAAAAAAGGCTTAGGCTTAGTAACCACCCAGAAGTAACTGTGAAGGCGAAAATCCCCTTTTTCCTTGTTTTTTTTTCTTCAAAGTAATTTCTAGGTGGTTCACTAAGCCTTAGCCTAAGGCTGAGCAAGGTTTTCAACTTTTTCATAAACTTTTGAGCTTCTGAAATGTCAAAAATTTCGCTTCAAATATTTTTGAACAAAAAATTATAATTTTCACCTATCAAAAAATGATATAGAACCTCTGAATTTCATCATTTTTCTTCATCTATTTTTTTCTAAATAATCCCAAATAATTTTCGAAATGATTTTCTAATTTTTCACCTCACGTTTATCAATCAATTTCATTTTACGTGACCCATATGCCAATTTTTCATTCCAGATTTTTATTAAAAATTTAAAAAAAATGAAGGGAAGGGGTGGGATGGGGGTAAAGCCTTAGCTTTTGTGCTCATTTCGATGCTACGATGAAATTTTTGTTGCATTTCAACAAAAAATTCGTGATCAGCGACCTCGATTTGACTTGTATACCAAATTTTAGCTGTCTACACTAAAATTAATGAAATTTCGGAAATTTCAGCTTTTTTCGGCTGAAACTCAAAATTTTGAATTTTTTTTTTCAATTTTATTGTCTCTCCAAAGGAGAGACGGTTTCAAAATTTACATTGACACCAGATGTTTTGGGTCAGTTTCAATGGGTTACCTCAAACTTGGGTAATTAAACCGACTTTCTCGGTCGCTGTCCGCTTATACGTTAGGTGTGTTGCAAATCGCGTTAAACCTTTGGCCAATTGCTATGCCTGTGTGTTCTACTCTCGAGCGACGCCGCTTTTTTTCGACTTTTTCACTCGTTCTTTCGCTTACGACCATATCACGTTGAATACACGCCATCCCGTCCGATCTGGCAAGTTAAGCAACGTTGAGTCCGGTTAGTACTTGGATCGGAGACGGCTTGGGAATCCCGGATGTTGTAAGCTTTTGCAAAATTTAACAAAAATTCTAAAAATTGCTCCTTTTTTTGGGGGATCACTAAGCCTAAGCCTTTTTTTGCATGAAATTTTTTAGGCTTAGGCTTACGAAGTTCACTATTTCGCCTTTGGGAACCTTTCCATAGGCTTAGGCTTACGAAACCAAAGGTTTCGCCTTCAGCAATCTTTCTGTAGGCTTAGGCTTACGAAACTAGAGGTTTCGCCTTCAGCAATCTTTCTGTAGGCTTAGGCTTCTGTAAACGCAAGTTTCGCTGCTAGGACCTTCCTCTCAGGCTTAGGCTTAGGCAAACCACCCAGAACCAACCCTTAGGCTTAGGCTTAGGTAAGTTTTCCTTTTTTAACACTGTTAAAAACCAAGAATTTGTGTTGTCGGATGACGTCATCCCGCCCGTAAAAAGTCACAGATTTGGATCAATCCAAAAATGTAAAAATGAAGTCGATGAGTTGGGACCTAAATGACACTTCCTCTCAGGCTTAGGCTTAGTAAGCCACCCAGAAGAAAATTTTGAAAAATCTCGGGCCGATTTTTTTTTTGAAAAATCTCGGGCCGATTTTTTTGAAAAAAAAACAGAAAAACTCACAGAAAAAAATTTACAGAAAATTTTTAACACTGTTAAAAAGGCTTAGGCTTAGTAACCACCCAGAAGTAACTGTGAAGGCGAAAATTCCCTTTTTCCTTGTTTTTTTTTTCTTCAAAGTAATTTCTAGGTGGTTCACTAAGCCTTAGCCTAAGGCTGAGCAAGGTTTTCAACTTTTTCATAAACTTTTGAGCTTCTGAAATGTCAAAAATTTCGCTTCAAATATTTTTGAACAAAAAATTATAATTTTCACCTATCAAAAAATGATATAGAACCTCTGAATTTCATCATTTTTCTTCATCTATTTTTTCTAAATAATCCCAAATAATTTTCGAAATGATTTTCTAATTTTTCACCTCACGTTTATCAATCAATTTCATTTTACGTGACCCATATGCCAATTTTTCATTCCAGATTTTTATTAAAAATTTAAAAAAAATGCCTAAGTTTTGAAATCGAAATTCTGAGTATTGTACGTTGCTCAGAATCACCAGACGAACAACTTTCAAAAAAATTTTATAATTGGACAAATTTTTTTTTCATTGATTTTCGGATTTTTGAAAAATCGATTTTTTTTGTGTTCAACCGCCCAAAACTCGGTTCATTGAAAAGATGGACCTAAACAATTTTTTAAATTGTAGCTCTAAGCGAGCTCTACAAGCCTGATTAGAGCCAGAAAGATAAAAATGAAAATTTTCATGAGTTATGAAGGTGGCAACATTTTGGTACATCACATATCATGGTATGACCATGAAACCTATGAATGGGATATTGAGAAATTCTTCTGAAACCTTGCAAATACCCTCATAATGAAACTCCCGAAAGGAATTTTTCAAATATTGATTATTGGTCTTGTAAATATTTGTTTCCCAGAACGCATTTTTGAAATTTTGCCTTTTCTACATTAAAAAGCCTTCAAAATCAATTATAAATGATTTTTTCGGTCTCAAAATCGAAAAATACCCCTAGGTGAACATTTTCAGAAAGTTTCAGTCACTGGGAACCAGAATTGGTACTTTTTCATTTTTGGTCCAAAACTCACGAACCGTTCGTTTTCACGAGAAATAGATGCTTCCAGCGTGTTCAGCACACTCATTTACCCCTAGGGAGATATTTTTTACATCATTTAGACCTTTGGGACCATTTTCGAAAAAAAATTCCACAAAAGATTACTGTAGTTGATCCATTTTTTCGGAAAAAGGAAAACAAGGACAGAAAAATAGGATAAACTATTTTTTTTTTCTCTCAAAAATTGAGAGAAAAGGAGAGAAATTTAGGTAAAACTATTAATAGTTTATCCTAAATTTCACGATTTTTTTTCGATTTTTGAAAAATTGATCAAAACTTCTGAAATTTGTGGGTGGGGGGTTTTCGGCCCCGTGGAGCATCGTGGTGATAATGATTTTACACGAAAATGAGCATATCGCCTCTTATCAGTGATTATCAAAAATATCAAAATTGTCAGATTGAGCTGGGAGTTGGAGGAAATGATGGCTGGGGGTAGTAGAGACTTTTTTTGATAAGTTTAGAGCTCCAGCTTCATCCCAGAAGCTCTTATCACTTGTTATCACAAAATTATCAATATGCTCAGATTGAGCTCAAACTTGGAGAAAATGATGTTTGGGGCTAGTAGAGACTTATTTTTATAAGTTTAGAGCTCCAGCTTCATCTGAAAAGCTCCTATCAGTCCTTATCACTAAATTATCAATATGCTCGGATTGAAATGAAACTCGGGGAAAATGATATTTGACATTAGGAGAACACATTTATGATAGCTCCAATACCCCATTTTTGCTCAGGAATTTGTTGAATTTGAAGAATACTATGTTGAAAAGGTAAAATCGCAGCCACAAGCAATCAAAATGAGACTAGGCAGCCAACATAATTCAACAGTTACTCGTGCAGCATCTTCGGCATTAGCATTCTTAGTGTTTTGCGAAAGATTCGAGGATCTTCAAAAATTCCTGAGCAAAAATGGGGTATTTGTGGAGGTGGAGCTGCAATTTCCAATGGATATTCCAAGTTTTAACGGCGCTCTTGTTGTGAAGTTGACACATCCATTCGACGAAATTTTCACGTGATGAGACTGAATGTGGTGATTTGATGAGATCTTTTCGTAGATCTTTCGCACAGAAATCGCAAGGGTATAGCTGGAAAATAAGGATTTCTGTCTAGAGACTTGGAAATTGCATCATTTTCAGTTTTTTTCAACTTTCCACCCAAAAACCCTCACCTGTCCCAACAAATTCATGAAACGCTTCGCTTTATTTTTCTGCTCCTCACTCGGCTTCTCCGGATAATAGACCGACATCGTGTGCAACAAATTCCACGTGGATCTTCCCAATTCATCCTTATCCACCGGATATTTGTGTTTTTTCGTCGGAGTTTCGCTGGAAGTGCTGGGCGCTTGGTTTTTTTTTAGCTTTTCTGCCATCTCCTCACCTTTTTTCATCATATCTTCAACGCTGATACATGCTTTACACGGTTTTCCATCGGGTCCAATAGAATTATCCATTTTTTTGTGTTGCTGCTGAAAAAATGATGCAATTTTTCATCAATTTTGTTTTGATTATGTAGTTTGAGGTTTTCAAGTCTTCTAAATTGTTTAAAAATACCTAGACACCCGGGAAATCCCGGGAAACCATTAAAACTTTGAAAACAAAAAAAATTAAATAAAAAAAGAAAATAAAAAATATTATGGCCTAGAAAACCAAAGTCCTTGTCAATTGCCAACAGTGCCAACAGTGCCAACATTCATTTTCAATTTTTACCGCACTTTGCATTTATTCGTTTGTTTGTCAAATAATAAGACGGCTCCAAATAATATGTAAAAATGAGCGAAAATCAAGTGATTGTGTTGAGAATTGCGTTGGAAACGTATGTGGGCGGTGAAAAGCTGAAAGTCGCTGATAAAGATGTAGGTTTTCTCAAAAGTTTCCTTGAAAATCGAGTTTTTTGCAGAAAAAACGTGGCAATCATCCAGGAGACTCATCGAACTACAGTTTGCAAGATCAAAAATGAGATGTTTGATGAGATTTTGGATCTGGGAACGCTTTCCAAGTACATTTTCAAGGCTGCTCATCAGGAGATTTGCGAAAATGTGCTGAAATTTGAGGAAAAAGCGGTTGAAGGATCAAAAAGCGATACGAAGATCAAATATACACTGTGTCCATTGAACATTTGAAAATATGCAGTGAAAAAGGTTAGAAATACAAAAAATAGATGTCGCCCAACGCGACGCGGTTCAGCGTCGCGTTTTTTTGTAGAAATGAGAAATTTTCTTTTGAAAAAAAAAGAGAGATGTGCGCATGATCTAATTTTTTTCAAATTTTTCACGTTTCTCAAACAAAAAAATCATTTTGCAGAAATCGACAATAATCAAGTGCCGTGGGTGGCGTATATTTCGAAACTTCTGAAAAAACCGTACTTTTTATCAAATGTTCATATGGAGAACGAGATAAGCTGTTGTTTGTATAGTTGTGCGGCAAATTCGCAACTACATTGGGTTCGGCACGAGCTTTTGAAAAGTGAGGAAGGTTTTTGGAGTCGTCGCCGAGGTTTTTGGGGTTTCTAGGTCATGTCCGAGTTCTGAGAGTTTCTAGACGATAGCAGAGAGATACGTAGTTTCAGGCTACGATCGGATTTCTAGTCCACGATTGAGGAATCGGTTTTCTAGGCCACGACCCGATTTCCAGGCTATTTTCCATCAAAAACCCTAATTCCTTCAGATTCATGGTTTACTACTTGGCAGCGGATCCAAGTTCCTGAATTGGACCCTACAGTACTCGAAAACTACACAAAAACCATTATCGAATTGTTGAAAAGTGTGAAATTGGATGTTTTTGAGCTCACCGGATACGGATATGCCGAATTGGCAATTTCGTCGCTGAAAAAATCGATTAATGGAAGGATGGAGAGGAATTTGTGGGTTTTTGGATATAAACATTGAAATTTGGGAGAAGGGTACGGTATGCGCCTTTAAAATCTGAAAAAAGTGATATTTTAGTGCAACATGTAAAAATATGAATTTTCAAAGGAACATACAGTATTTTTAGCCGGAATTTAATGAATTTTGGGATGTAGTAAAGTTATTCCTGTATGTACCTTTAAATTCGTGAAAATGTATTTGAACTGTACGGTGTGCAAGGTAGGAAAAACCACCATGGAAGATGCTTTTACCCATTATTATGCATACTGTATATTAGCAACATAGGTACTCTAGTTTAGCAACCCGACTACTGTAGTTTAGCAACCCAGGTATTGTAAATTAGCAACCCAGGTACTGTAGATTAGAAACCGAGTTACTGTAGATCAGCGACCCGAATACTTTGAATTTGCAACCAAGGTAATGTAAATTAGCAACCCGAATACTGCAGATTAGCGACCCGGATAACTTAAGTAAGTGGGGTGCTGATCTACAGTACCTGGGTTGCTAATTTAAAGTATTCGGGTCGCTGATCTACACTACCTGAGTTAAAGACACAAGAACCACTGGAAAAAACAGATTTCCCGCATTTATTTTCAAATGACAAAAACAGCATGTGCGCTCTATTGCGTCGTTGTGTGCAAGCTCTTTCGAAAATCCCGTCGGCTGAGCGATTTCAAATACAATTATTTTGTTTTTTTCACTTTCGCCAGACTCAAAATTTTTTCTTGATTTTCATTATGAAAGAATAACAAACTCATTTTCTGTTCATTTCTAGGTGCTCTTGTGTCTTTAATGTTTTTCAAATCCAATTTTTTGGGCTTGACCTAAAAAAAAATAAAAATCGTGACATTTAATAATTTGTTGGCACGTTTACGTGAAAAATCCAACAAAAATGAACCATTTCAAATTTTATCAATTCGAAAAATGGTTGGTTTCGAGTGATGTGAGTTTAAATTTACCTGAAAATCTTTTTTTGGTGGACTATGACGTGGAAAGTGGATTTTTTTTCAAAATTTTCAAATTACGGCGGGAAAAATCTTGGATTAAAATTTGAAACTCATTTTAAGGTTATTCTGAAAATGATCTGACTAGGGGCTGTGCCCCTAGTTGAGCGTGTCTCCCAGGCAAAACATAGTTCCATTTTTAATGAAATTTCTGCTCATCTCGGTCAATTGAAATTTTTATTAACAAATATCTGATTTCCAATGAGACAGCCCTTCTCCTTTTGTGGGCTTGATTCCCGCTCGAAAAATGTTTCCCTATCGGGTAAGAAAGATTTTTGGAAATGTGGTTATTACTATAGAATTACGATATTTTGAGTAAAAATCCTGGATGACGTTATCGATAAATTGTTCGAAAAAAAAACTTTTTTAATTATTTTTTTCGTTCTGTAACTTTTTTTTTGAAAAAACTCGGTCCGATTTTTTTTTTGAAAAATCTCGGGCCGATTTTTTTTTGAAAAAACTCGGGCCGATTTTTCTTGAAAAACTCGGGCCGATTTTTCTTGAAAAACTCGGGCCGATTTTTTTTGAAAAAACTCGGGCCGATTTTTCTTGAAAATCTCGGGCCGATTTTTTTTTACATTTTTGGATTATTCCAAATCTGTAACTTTTTTTTTTGAAAAATCTCGGACCGATTTTTTTTTTGAAAAAACTCGGGCCGATTTTTCTTGAAAAACTCGGGCCGATTTTTCTTGAAAATCTCGGGCCGATTTTTTTTTACATTTTTGGATTATTCCAAATCTGTAACTTTTTTTTGAAAAATCTCGGACCGATTTTTTTTTTGAAAAAACTCGGGCCGATTTTTCTTGAAAAACTCGGGCCGATTTTTCTTGAAAAACTCGGGCCGATTTTTTTTGAAAAAACTCGGGCCGATTTTTTTTTGAAAAACTCGGGCCGATTTTTTTTTGAAAAAACTCGGGCCGATTTTTCTTGAAAAACTCGGGCCGATTTTTTGAAAAACTCGGGCCGATTTTTTTGAAAAAACTCGGGCCGATTTTTTTTGAAAAATCTCGGGCCGATTTTTTTTGAAAAAACTCGGGCCGATTTTTCTTGAAAATCTCGGGCCGATTTTTTTTTACATTTTTGGATTATTCCAAATCTGTAACTTTTTTTTGAAAAATCTCGGACCGATTTTTTTTTGAAAAAACTCGGGCCGATTTTTCTTGAAAAATCTCGGACCGATTTTTTTTTTGAAAAAACTCGGGCCGATTTTTTTTTGAAAAAACTCGGGCCGATTTTTCTTGATAAACTCGGGCCGATTTTTCTTGAAAAACTCGGGCCGATTTTTTGAAAAAACTCGGGCCGATTTTTTTGAAAAACTCGGGCCGATTTTTTTTTGAAAAAACTCGGGCCGATTTTTTCTTGAAAAACTCGGGCCGATTTTTTTGAAAAAACTCGGGCCGATTTTTTGAAAAAACTCGGGCCGATTTTTTTTTGAAAAATCTCGGGCCGATTTTTTTGAAAAACTCGGGCCGATTTTTTTTTGAAAAAACTCGGGCCGATTTTTCTTGAAAAACTCGGGCCGATTTTTTTTTGAAAAAACTCGGGCCGATTTTTCTTGAAAAACTCGGGCCGATTTTTCTTGAAAAACTCGGGCCGATTTTTCTTGAAAAACTCGGGCCGATTTTTTTTTACATTTTTGGATTATTCCAAATCTGTAACTTTTTTTTGAAAAAACTCGGGCCGATTTTTTTTTACATTTTTGGATTATTCCAAATCTGTAACTTTTTTTTGAAAAAACTCGGGCCGATTTTTTTTTACATTTTTGGATTATTCCAAATCTGTAACTTTTTTTTGAAAAAACTCGGGCCGATTTTTTTTTACATTTTTGGATTATTCCAAATCTGTAACTTTTTTTGAAAAAACTCGGGCCGATTTTTTTTTTGAAAAAACTCGGGCCGATTTTTTTTACATTTTTGGATTATTCCAAATCTGTAACTTTTTTTTGAAAAAACTCGGGCCGATTTTTTTTTTACATTTTTGGATTATTCCAAATCTGTAACTTTTTTTGAAAAAACTCGGGCCGATTTTTTTTTGAAAAAACTCGGGCCGATTTTTTTACATTTTTGGATTATTCCAAATTTTTTTGAAAAACTCGGGCCGATTTTTTTTTTGAAAAACTCGAGCCGATTTTTTTTTGAAAAATCTCGGGCCGATTTTTTTTTGAAAAACTCGGGCCGATTTTTTTGAAAAAACTCGGGCCGATTTTTTTACATTTTTGGATTATTCCAAATCTGTAACTTTTTTTTTACATTTTTGGATTATTCCAAATCTGTAACTTTTTTTTTGAAAAAACTTTCGAAAAAAAACTTACTTAATTTTTTTTTTGAATTTAATGGGCCTATGCAGAATAATATTTTGTAATAAAAAAACATTAAAAAACATTTTTTTCCTATGCAGAAAAACGTCGAAAAAATAAAATAAAGACAACGTGAAATTGAGAGAGCGCAGACATGAAATGGGTTTTTTGTCTGCACTCTCTCAATTTCACGTTGTCTCTACTCAAAATAATAAACTGTATATTTTGTTTTTTCGACGTTTTTCTGCATAGGAAAAAATGTTTTTTTATTACAAAATATTATTCTGCATAGGCCCATTATGTACTCGTAAGATGTTAAGAATAAGAATTACAATTGAATTCATGAAAAAGTTCAAGTTTTTTTATCGAAAAATGACTCGTGGCAAAATCAGGAAGGCTTCCTAATTTTGCCATGGATGACGCCATCGATAAATTTTTCGAAAAAAAACTTCTTCAATCTTTTTTTCGTATTGAGGACTTGAATAACATTCTTGGCCCGTTAGGAATTAGGAATTCTTGAACAATGCCAATAGCATCTGAAGAATCAGCCTTTCTCATTCATAGGTCACGCATGATATTTTCTCGATTTTCTCTTTTTATTAAGCTTTTTCTTCTCCATCTTCTTTTTTCTTTTTTGCCGCGTTGGATTGTCAAATTTTCGCAATTTTGGGGAGAAAGGAACAAAATTTCCGAAAATCTGCATTACTCGATATAGGGAAAAATTTTTCCGAGTGGGGCTCGAACCCACAAAAGAAGGAGGGTTGCCTGATTGGAAGGCATCACTCTCCCCGCCTACACCACACGTGTAGGTAAGAAATGAAGCATTTTTGATAAATATATATTTATCAGAATTTCACGTGACCGGGAGAAATGAACATTTCTAAATAAATTTCACCTTACGGGATTTTAATGAGAGGGCGAAACATGAAAAAAATTAAGGGAAATCTAAATCGTTCGACCAAAAATATGAAAATTTGGCTGAAAAGCACTAAAAATCGTAAAAGTTAGCTTAAAGAGTTTGTGTTCTTCTGATAAAAATGTGTCAATCCTGTTTTTTTTTTTGCAGAACAAAATCAAACATTTGGAGGAAGAACTAATGGAGGCCCACCGAAAAATTGATATTCTTGAAAATTGCTTAAAAGAAAAAACGGCGGAAGCAATTCAAAACAAGGATATTGCTTACGGGTTCAAATATGAATATGATTTTATGGTGGAGCAGAATCGAATTAAAGAAGAAATCATCGAGCAAATGGAAAGACAAAAGGAAAGGTTCGTTTTTCTGGGAATTTTGGAGGGAGAGTAGAGGGTAAATAACAAATTTTTTGTTGTCGAAAATTTCGGAATTCTGAACACCGTATCTTCAGAATTGGATAGAAAATTTTTATTTGGAATCTGTAATCTAGATGAAAACTTCTTTCGATTAAAAATCCCAGATACAAAATCACTTCAAATAGACAATTTTTGAAAAAAAGTCATTTTTCATATATTTATTCAAATAAATCAATCTCATTTACTTTTTCAGTTTGCATGATGGAAGTGACGAAGAAAGAGGGGCGACTTTTGTTGCCGACGAAACATCGGAAGAAGAAGAAGAAGAACCAGCACTTCAACAACCACCACCACCACGGCAATCGGTATGGGTTTTTTGGGGAGGGGTGGGGGAGGGATTTTAGAATTTTTTGCGGAGGGCTGGAGAATGGATTTTTCTGGTGAAATTTTGAAGTATTTCGTGAGAAATTTCAGAATTTCGAAGACTTTTGATTCTAGGATCATGAAAAATCAAATTTTTCATGAAGTTTTACACCGGAAATCAATGAAAATTCAAGAATTGTTGAATTTTGAATTTATTGAGTTCATACCACGCCCAGCTTCGTGCAAATTAACTTTGAAAATTGGCGGAGTGGGTTTTGAAATTTTTTGGCGAGGTGAAAACAACCTTTTCGACTGAAAAATACTACTTTTTAACGGAAAAACAAGCAAAAAGCAAAAATTTTTATCAACAGACATTCAAATTCCAACAGACATTCAAATTTTTATCACAAAAAATTTGACCAAAAAAACAATGATTTTCTATAATTCTTGCCGCAGAAATATGCAAAGTTTCTAATTTTTATTGAAAAAACCCGGTTTGATATCGGAATTCATCGAATTGCTCATATTAAAATTTTTTTAGAAATTTAAACCTGACTTTTCCTCTGAAAAAAAAGTATATTAAATTTAATTTTGAAAAATTATTCTAAAGAATTCTAGAGTTTTGAGCTGACTATTCAAAACGGTAAATTTTTTCTTAATTTGAAACGAATTCAATTTTAGACTTGAAATTATTTTTAAAAAATTTTCCACCTCCTCCAAAATCGTATTCTTTCCAGAAATCAATCGAACAGTCATTATTGACAAAAACACATTTATCGCCAATCGAGACCAATTTGATTGATCTTATGAATGGTGATTATGAATTTGTGTCTGTAGCTGACAGAGTGAGTGAATTTTGTGGTGTCTCAAATGAAAAAACGAGAAAATACAAAATGTGAATGAATCTGGAAACAACAATCACTTTTTTCCAGTATCGTTTGTGTGAAACTGTTGCAACTTCTGCGAAAATTTCAACAATAATTTCTCAAGCAAAATGTGAAGCGAAAATTGGGAGAAATTTGATCAAAGTAAGATTTATCCATCTTTTGATTTGCGAAGAAAAAACTTTCGAGAAAATTCATTCTTATTTTTCAGAAGCTCAATTACTATTTCTTCTACAATTCTATCGACAATGAAATGCGAATTGAGTTGGAAAGATTGGATTATTCAAAAATTGCACTACAATCGGCATGTTTCGCTGCAAAAAGAAGAAATCGCGGCGAAACTCTTGCGATTCTCCGGAAACCTATAAATGAGAATATGATGATTGAAGTAAGTTTAATTATCTTTTCAGCTACAAATTTAATATAAACATTTATTTCAGCTGCTCAAAAGAGTCAAAGAAGATGAAGGAAATTAAGATTTCAGAATTTCTCTTTTTCGTTTTTTTATTAATTTCTCTCATTCGCATCTTTCGCTTTTTAATTGTAATTTTTTGTCTCTCTTTTTGGAATAAAAATTTTATTTTTTGAGCATTTTTGGAATTTTTTTGCCACGTGGATTTTCGTGAAGTACTGTATATGATTTTTTTTTTGCTTAGTTTCTTCTCAGGAAATTTTAGGAACAGCATTTTCGCACTCGTGGAATTATGTCTTGGAGAGAAAAATTGATAGAAAGAAGGTTTTTTGTTCTAGAACCCCTATTTTTAGCTAAAAATTTCAATTCCCAGCTAAAAATTTGGGCATAGCTTCCGCATCCCAGCCATATTCGCTTTAAAATTCCAATTTTTTTCCAAATTCGAATATGGGAGCTGGAAATAGATGTTTCTAGATTGAAAAATCACGAGCTGAGATGTACTTCTCTGACATTTTTTGAAGACTGAAAATCGGAGTCTGATTTTTGGAGCTACTCCAACTTTCCGATTTATTCATCCATAATGTTTTGATGGCTAAGAATGAGAATATGATTTTTTTGGTCACTTTCCACATGGCATTTTCGGAGTACTGTAAATGATTTTTGATGATTTTTCGCGCCAAAAAGTTCCAAATTAAATAAACTATTGTTTTTCAGATTTCATCGATTGCTTTTCTCAAGTTCTTCGATCACAACTTCAATTATTAACAAAAAACAGTCAAATATTTGGTTGTTTGAAGAAATTTACTCATTATATATCACAAATTATAATTTCTTGTTTTTTATTTATTTTTACCACCCAAAAAACAGGTGAGGTTTTGCCAATTTATTTTTTACAAAAAAACATTCAAATTTTCAGAATACTATTGATTGATGCATTTTGGTCAATTCCAATATCATGAATTCATAACTGAAACCACTAGAAATTATGAAAAATTGAAGAAATTGAGATTCTTTGAAAAATTGCTCCAGAAATACCTTATTTTCTCCAAATATTTAATTCTTCTCTCTCATGTTCTATTTTGCCGATCAATCTATCATTGTAGCAACCAAGAATAATATATTGTCGCGATGTGATTAACCATGATAACGAAATTTGAGAAAAATGTTTTTGAAAAAAAATTCACTTGTGTAAAATACGCTACTCACAAACAAATCTTTATTTTTTCGGTTTCATAAAACTTTTTCCCCTCAACATTGCATCCAATCTCGACAAGTCTCCTGTAGAATTCTAGAATCAGGTCTCCCTCCACACAGACCACATATTTCGCAACATATGGTTTATGTCTCGCTAGAAAATCACGCAATTGTTGACCAACTATTTGTTCATCTTTTTATTTCCATCGCAACAAAAATACAAATCAAAAATTTGTTCGACTCAGAGAATGTGATGAAATGAGAGAGCGCAGATAGCAAAATTTGTGACTATTTCTTGCCAACCGACCTATAAAACAGCGAGGAATTCGTTCTTTTATTTATCTGTGAGTGTTTTTACTACTGTTTTGTAGATTGCAAAAAATGGCTTTTCTATTAATTTTCACAGCTCTAATTGTTATTGGTTTGAGTTATTATTTGGCTGTATGGACATACTGGAAAAGACGTGGAATTCCTGGTCCTATTGGATTTCCAATACTTGGAAATGTTCTCGAAATGATTGATCATGATGCACCACCATTTTTACAATTCCAAAAATGGAGCCAGGTTAGTTTTTATTACTTGTTTGATTATATTTTTTGAAAATGCTGAACCATTTTTTCATTTCAGAAATATGGAAGTTATTTCGGAATAACAGAAGGATTATCAAAAACACTTGTTATAAGTGATCCAGAAATGGTCAACGAAGTGTTTGTCAAACAATTTGATAACTTTTATGGAAGAAAACTTAATGGAATCCAAGGAGATCCAAACAAAGACAAACGAGTTCATCTATTTGCCTCCGAAGGTCATCGATGGAAAAGACTTCGAAATTTATCAAGTCCCTCTTTTTCAAACAACAGTTTGAAGAAACTGAAGAGAACTGTGGAAGATAGTGCTGTTGAATTATTGAAACACATTGAGAACAATACAGCTAATGGAGATTCAATTGATATGCTATTATATTACCAAGAATTCACGATGGATGTGATTGGTAGAATTGCAATGGGACAAAACGAATCTAAAATGTTCAACGATAATATACTTCTAGAACCAGTTAAATCGATTTTCGGAAGTGGAAGACGATGGCTCATGATTCTTGGACAAGTTCTACCAAAACCTGCTGCCTATATAATGCGAAAAATTATTTTCTCACTTCCTAAAAGTATTCCTGCTGTTCAACTTCATAGAATAATCGAAGAAGCATTGGAGAAAAGAATTGCTCAACGAAAAAATGATCAAGAAAATGGTGTAGAACCTGGTGAACCTGAAGATTTTATTGATCTTTTCCTAAATGCCGAATCAGAAATCGATATTGTTTCTGAGAATGGCAAAGATGACTTTTTGACAAAAAACAGTGGAAAAGTGAGCAAAAATCTGACTATCGATGAAATTGTTGGACAATGTTTTGTGTTTTTGTTAGCTGGCTTTGACACAACAGCTCTGTCCCTTTCATATTCAAGTTATTTATTGGCAAGACATCCAGAAGTTATGCGAAAAGTTCAAAAAGAAATTGAAGAAGTATGTCCTGATCCAGAAATTACATTTGATCAATTAAGTAAGCTCAAATATTTGGATTCTGTTATCAAAGAAACTTTGAGAATTTATCCATTAGGAGCAGTGTAAGTGTCATTATTATTTCGAAATTATGTACACAAAACGTTTCATTTCAGAGCAAATATGCGTCGTTGCATGAAAACATCCAAAGTCGGTGATTTGATAATCGAAAAAGGAACAAATGTTTATGCAGATACTTGGTCTCTTCATTACAACAAAACACTTTGGGGAGAAGATGCTGCTGAATTCCGCCCAGAAAGATGGGAGGAAGAAGGAATCACAGATTTCAAATTGGGATATATGCCTTTCGGTTCAGGACCACGACAGTGTATTGGAATGAGATTGGCCTACATGGAAGAGAAACTTTTGCTCTCACAAATCTTACGGAAATATGATTTCGTGACTTGTGAGAAAACTGCGATTCCTTTGAAATTGGTTGGTAGGGCGACTACTGGACCCGAAGAAGTTTATTTGAATTTAAAGCCGAGATATACATAGAATTTGTTGGATTTGATCTTTGTACATAAACATATTTATTTTTTCGTATTATTTGAATTAGTATCGATTGTGAAACGAGAAAAGTTACCACTCGAAAAGATTCAGAATCAGAGAATCATTAGTAATTAGCTTGGCTCCTTTGAAAAAAAAAGAATAAAAATGAATACAAATAATATTATTCACGTGACCTTGAAAATCCACGTCACCAAAAACCACTTCAATTTTTGTGCCAACGTGTTTTCCCTCATTTGTGAAAAATGCTGTCAAAGAAAATGTGAGTCAAAATTAAATCTCTCCAAGAATCCAAAAACAATGAACATTTCAGAAAACTCGTAATATTCTGTTGTTCACTTTTCGCCGCTTCAATAAACACAAAAGAAATTCTCAAATTGAATGATGATAATTATCAACATGTTTTGGAGAATAGCAAGGTTCGAGTCGTTTTCCAACAAAAAAAATGAGATAACTTTTTTTGCAGATAACATTTCTCGCTTTCACTGCCGATTGGTGTCCATTTTCCCAACAACTTTTGGGTGTTTTCAAGGAATTTTCAATAAAATATGGTGATTTGTATAGTGCTGCAAATACACAAATTGCATTTGTTGATTGTATGGCACAGAAGGAGATTTGCTTGAAAAATGGAGTCAATAAATATCCGACCATGAAGGTTTTCTATTTTGGAACATTGTTGCAGGAATATCGGTGAGGAATTGTTCAAGATATTTTTTAAAAATTCCAATTCAGAATTTTTACACTGAAAATAATTGCAGCTCTGCTCGAAACGTCGAAGCTCTTCATGATTATCTCGATGGTGTTATCAAATCAAAACAAACCTTCAATTATCAAGAAATAACATCGGCTGAAAACTTCGACACAATTTCCCACATCAAAATTTGGCATCCACGAAATTTCGCGGGATTTGAATCATTATTGGTAATCTATTTTCCAAAAAATCTAGAAAATTAAAAATTTTCCAGAGAGCTGCTTCGGTGGCCGTTGGTAATGTCAAAATCCTGGTTCCATTTGATAACGAAAATTTTGAGAATGGACAGGAGAGTTTCATCGAATTTTGGGATGGGGAATTGATCAGAAAGCGATATTCCGGTTCGCTTGAAAACTATTCCGAATTCTCGCAATGGGTTCGAAAAGTCTCATCAGGACATGTTATTGAATTAACCTTCGAAAATGCTGAAGAACTCGTTGAAGAAGGAAAACCATTTTTGATGCTTTTCCGAACCACTGATGAATATGATCGCAAATTCAAAGAAGCGATTCTTCGTGAAATTGGAGATGATTATATCGACAAAGTCAAACCATTATTGGTCAACGCTTCAGTTATGCATTTTCCAATGATTCAAGCTGGAAAAACTCTAAAAGATATTCCATTTCTTCTTATCGATCAATTTATGCATTTGTATAGTGCTCCATTTTCAAAGCAAGACATTTTTGAGGCGGGAAGAATTCGAAAATTCGTTGAAGATTTGTTGAGCGATAAATTGCATAAACGTGCGCATGGAATTGAAGTGAAAGAAGAAATTGGAACTCAACAAGAAACATCAACAACTTCAAATGCCGAGATGGAGAAGATCGAGAAAACTGAAAGTGCTTTCAAGAAATTGGAACCAGCTAAGAATCGCTATTCATTTGCAAAACAAGAATTGTAATAAACTAGTAAAAACAATAAAGATTTTAAACATTTTTTACGTGAACTTTTTTTGGAAACGTGCCCTAAAAACAGTTCTGTTTTTGTTTTCGAATCATTCCTTTTGTTACTTATAATTAAAAACAATTTCAATTTTTTTGAAATATATTTCTGAATGTCAACAACTTCTACTGTACAAAATGAATAGAAAAGCCGAACGAAAAATGAGAAAACGACAAATGAAACAATTGATTCCACCATATTTATCCGAATTCAAATTAATGGGATCATTCGCCGAACTTCGTGTTTCTTATGATGCTCCAACTGATCAATCAATTTATACGTATACTTTGAAATGGGATGATGAAGGTTCAGAGCGGAAAAACTATGCAACTACATCGGAAACTGATACTAGTAGTAAAATCCCGAAAAAATCAGCAGCTGAAAATACTGATTATCCAGTTATGACAAATTGTGATGGACCATGTTCAAATGTTTATCCATCAAATAAATTGAATATTCTGGGAAGATGTGGGCATTATTTATGCGATAATTGTTATGGAATTGTGAAAAATGATGATGGAACAAAAGGATGCAGTTCATTTTCGTGTAATTGGAAAGAAGAATCGACTAAAAATGATATTGCTGATTATGAAAAAGAGGTCAAAATGGTTCATTTTTTCGATCTATCAATCAATCAATAATTACAGATCTGTCAAAATCAACGAAAACGAGCCGAAAAAATGCAAAGTGAAGGACATTCGGTGAAAGTTGCGAGTTCTTACACTCACACATCTTTGCTCTCAACAAGAACATCGTCTACAACTCTGATTGATCCATTCGATGTAACATCAGTCACAAGTTTGACAAAAAGTGGCTCGACATCGAAAAGTGGATCGAGTGCTCGAACTTTGAGAGCTCGCGAAAAAGCCGAGCATAAAAATGTGAGCAGAATCTAGAAAATTGAAAACAAAAGGTGCTGTTTTTCAGAAATATCCGAGTGCTCATGAGTTGATCACCACAAAAGTTATGATTATCGAAGAACCTCCGAAAAATAATGTTTTACAGTAAGGAATAGATAAAGTTTCGAAAAAAAAACAAGATTTTTGCAGTTCTTCAAGCTTCCACAGTCAATTAGAAACCTCAACTTCTAACAATCTTCGAAGTGTTATCGAAAGAATAATGCGAGAAAATGAGAAACATCTGGAAGAATACATGAAAACCGGCAAACTTTATTATATTCATGGATTAAGTGATGGCACCAAACAATTCAAACACATAAATCAAGATCAATTGAAGACGAAAAAATTGTACGAATTCCCATTGTTCGGTAACTATCTATTTTTCATATTGGATATGACAGAAACTTTGAGAAAGAATTCAGTTAAAATTGTACATGGCTATGATGAATAAATCGATTCATTTTCTTGTTTTTCTAACAAATAACAATACCTTAAATATCACAATGGCGAGTGAATCGAGAGTTTTGAATAATTTTCAGAGATATATGCAATATTCTCATCTCCTTTTCGTTCCACAACTTTTCCAATTATCCAAGCTGGTCGATTATCCAATTCGAAAATATCTTCGATATATTTTTCAGCATCTTCGGGTGACAGTGCAATCAAAAGTCCTCCACTTGTCTCCGCCGATCTTCCTTGATATAATCGAAATCCTTCACCTCCAGCTTCAATCATTTTATCAACAATCTCATCCATGTATTCAATGATGGGCAAGGTTTCAATAACAAAATCAACTTTGGATTTTTGCACACGCGCAAGATTTTCAGCATGTCCCAAGAGACCAAAACCAGTGACATCTGTGGAACTATGCGCATGGTTTGTGTGAAGAAGTTTAGCGGCATTTCTGCAAAGATCCATATTTATTTTCATTAATGGATCAATTCATCTGAAGAAAAAATGAATTTCGCGACATTTTTTGTCGCGAAATTGCAATTCGCGAAACGACACGAAATTAATAAAATAAAAGAGGAAATTCTTTTTTCGTGTGTTGGGTCTCGCACCGATTACGCGTCCCTTTAATGTTTCTCCTTTATTTTTGTGTTTATTTCGTGTCGTTTCACGAATTGCAATTTCGCGACAAAAAATGTCGCGAAATTCATTTTTTAGTCAAATGAATTGATCCATAAAAAACCAGAACTAACCTATTCAATCTACTCATTTGCTCGCATGCTTGTTTGAAAGCTCTCCTAATTTTTGCTACATCTAACCCAAGTTCTTCAATCTTCCCATTCTCCTTTTTCAACCACTCATAAGAATTGACCGCAACTTGTCCACCAATCGGTTTCGTCAAAACCAACAAATCCCCCGGAACTGCTTGATCAACCTTGATAATCTCATCGTCATGGACAACAGATGTTCCAACACCACCAAGAAGCAACCAAGGACATCGAACAGTTTGTCCTCCTCGAATCTTCGTATCAGCTTCATCAGCCGCATCTTTGAATCCTTGAATAAATTGACGGACAATTATATCTCTTTCGATTTCATTGAGATCGACTGCAACACCAAGAAGCATCAACATGTTATCGCAATCAACGACACCCATTGCATAAAGATCCGAAAGAACATTGGCACAAGTGATGCGACCCTGGAATAACCTTGATTTTAAATACATAGAAGTGGGAAAATGTCTCACCATAATATAGGGATCATCAACAAGTGGATAGAAGAAATCAGTAGTTTGAACCAATCGCAATCCTTTGTGACGAAGTGGAATTACACAACTATCCAATCCAATGTCTGAAAAATATTTAATTTTTGGGATTTTTTCACTTCTTCGCCGTACTTTAGATCAAAATATTATTTGGAAAAATATATAGCTCTTTTTTTAGTTTCAAAAATTACGGGAATCTACACTGCTCCACAAAACCTAACCCTCAAAATTTTCAAAAATAGAAAAAATCAAAGCTTTCAGAAAATGTTTGTTTTTGAAATATGGGCAAATGGGACACCAATTCATCCCTGAAATCAAATCTTGAGTTGATGAGTCGCGAAAAGAATTTTTTGAATTTTTCAAAAACATCGAAAACTTTCAATCCAGAAAAGTATCGCCTCACTTCAGAAAATCACTCTGGATTCCAGGGGTCTGGAAATCGATTTTTGGTTATTGATGAAAATTAGGAAAAAAACATTTCTCAAGCTTTGGTCAGTGAAATCGATTAGAAATTGTTAGAATCAACTCAAAATGAGTTATTCTCTTTATTTTTCATCAATAACGAAAGTTATCAAACCAAAATACCGATTTCCAGAGCGATTTTTGTGGATTGAAAATTTTCGATATTTGAGAAATTCAAAAATTCTTTTCGTGGCTTATCAACCCAAAATTCGATTTTTGGGATAAATTAGTGTTCTATTAGCCCATATTTCAAAAACAAACATTTTCTGAAAACTTTGATTTTTTCGATTTTTCGAAAATTTTGAGGGTGAGGCTATACTTTTGTGGAGCAGTGTATTATAGAATATTCAAAATAAAAACCAACCAACTTCATCATTATTAATAACCAAATCAGTTTTAAAAGTTTCCAAAAGTTGCAACAAAACATCTCTCGGAACTTTACAACCACATCCTTTCATTGCTGTCAGTTTTGTCAACACGAATTTTTCATCTAACCCATATTTTGTCGGCTCAAAACCTTCTTGAATTCTCGCTATACGATCCATTTTGTTTTTCAATTCAAATTGGCTGCTAACCGACTGGAAAAAAAAACAATACATTTTCAATTATTTTATCCAGCAGAAGTAAAAATGATGAATTTAATTATTATGTAATTATAAAAAATAGATAGATATTTATATGAAAAGGGGTGGAAGTTAATAGAGGTATAAATATGACGAGTTGATGAGCAAAAAACCTCATTTTATAAATATTTTCATTCCATTTGGTTGGGAAAGAAAAGGCAACAAAGAAAATGCAACTTTGCGCACTTCTTTTTGTTTTCGTTATTCTTGTCAGCTCAATTTCTGCATCAATTTATGACACCGCTGATGAGTAAGTTCGAATGAAGACTATAGTACTCTAGAAATTTAGTAATTTCAGCACTTTCAGAGCTCCACAACAACTAGTCTATCCAAAACGTGGAAGTTTGTCAAATATGATGCGAATCGGAAAACGAAACTATGTGCAAAGCGAATATCCGTGCGATAATTGCAATTTGGGAGCACTCATTAGACTTGGAAAATAGTCAATTCTTGTTAATTATTTTTTCAAAATAAGATTTTCTAATTTTTGGGTGTATGTGAGTGCGTTGAATAAAGAGTTTTGATCGTTTTTTGTTGAAAACTGAAGATAAAAACATAATATCTACTTATATTGCAGCCTAATTAGTCTTATTCATCTAATGCAACTAAAAGCTCAAAATTTTGATGACGTGAACTATAAAAATCAATTTTCAAAAAGAAAAAATAGAAATTTTCACGTCCTATGCAATTTTCGACGAAATTGCATCATTTCTAGAAATTCCTTCGAAGTGAATCATACGAATTAGTTCTTGGAAGTGATGTGAAATGTGATGGAGTATAAATTAAATTAATTAGTGTAAGTCAAGATTTCGCAAAATAAAGTAGGATTTTTCAATATAGTCTAGAGTCAGGGAGAAAGGAAACATAATGAAAAGTATTATAAAATACGAGAAACCAAATAAAATCAATAAAAAATGGCAAAAGACGTTGATTTCCTTCTTTTTGTGCAAAGAAACAAAAAAATCACGGGTTCCCAACGAAAAAAAAGAAAATTCAAATTCAAACCGTTGTCAATGGGGCGCGCTTGCACGTCCACGATTTATTTTTTTTATTTTTCTCACTTTGCTTCTTTTCTCCCGTTCGTTCGTTAACCGCGTGTATCTAGAAAGTTTACTCATTATTATTGTTATAGAAAAAAACCGGAAAAAGAATTCTATTGTTTGTTGATTCTCCGTTATCGATTTTTGGTTCTATTCAGCTTGTTCGCTTCATAAATAAACGAATCAATGTTTATGTTTTATTTTTGTATTTAAAATCGATTTTCAGAAATCAAAAATGGTGTGGGTGAAACCCGAACATTTATTAATGGCTCAATCATTTTGGAGCGTCGAAAAATCGCTAAAATATTTCAAACTTCAACGAAGAAAAGGTCACGGAACTCGAGGTTTCTCATCAATTCTTGTCGCTACAATCGATTCAGTTTTTGATACAAGACCACCGCCATATCGAATTATTTATGATTTTGATAATGAAGATGTTCATATATCAATTGTTCTTGCCGTTGCTGTGGAATTGAAAGAAATTCAAGAACATTGGGATTATGTTGAAAAAACGCTTATTGTTGCAACTGAACCACTTCAACTTGAAAAAGATGTGAGAAGATATGTTATAACAAAAGTTGAATCTTTGGTGAATGATTCTGAAGAAGTTATAAATCCGTATACCGAAGAATTGGATTCAGTTTCAACGAGAAGTTGTTTAGAAAGATTTCATAAAATTTTCTCAATTCCTCCAGACGAAAAACTTGTAAATTGTAAGTGTTTTTTTTCGTTCTATCAAGAAGCCCCATAATTTCCAATCTTCAGATTATAAATGCTGTTATTGGAAAGGTCGTGTTCCAAATCAAGGCGACATTTTCTTCTCTGTAAATTTCCTCTGTTTTTACTCATTCATAATGGGAAACGAGACAAAAATCAAGCTAAAATGGACGGATATCATAAAATTGGAGCGAGTTTCATCGATTTTATTGCCTCAAAGTATACAAGTTGTGACAAGAGAAGGAAATAAGTATAGTTTCTCGATGTTTTTGAATTTTGAAGAGACTTATCAATTGGCAACACAATTGGCGAATTTGGCGATGAAACAATTGATTGAAGAAGAAGGATTTTGTGAGGATAGTGCGTTGAGAAGGAAAATGTTGATGGAAAGTGAGCAAAGAAGAACATCAAAGACAAAAGCATCGTTTTTGAAAAGGGATTTGGATGCGAGATATCGAAGTGATGCTTATAGGTTGGTCAAGTTGGGAGAGGGGTTTTTGGTTTTAAAAAAATTAAATCGTAAATTTTTTATTCTCTTTATGTCATGTTCTACTCTCAAAATATACAAAAAATACCAAAAATCGATATCACATTCGCTTATTTCTCATCCACAGAACTCGATTCTCTATTCTCACTAATTGTTCCAACCGAATTGAATTCTTTACTATTTGTCGACCAATCATACGCAATATATTCCACTGAATAATCGCCAGTAAAAAATAGTTTTTGCAAATTGTGCTTCTTATCACTTTCATCATCGCTAATAATGTCCAAAATCCATTGCAGGATTTTTTCGGTAGTTCCTCCGAAATCTTCCGAATACCATTTGAATGTTTTTCCAAGATGAATTATATTTTTCTTGGTATCAATTCGAAGATATTTATCGCCACGTAATAGAGTTTGTTTAGCATTTAGTCGAAGTTCTTGGTAAATTGTTTTGGTATTGTATAATCTGAGCAATGGTGTTGTTCTTGACCCAGTGCATAATCCAAAATGAATAAGCGGATCACAATTCGCAAGTGATAAATTCAATCTCCCATCCTGTTTTCCAAACGCTTTCCATAACATTCCCGGTCCTTTTCGATTTGCTCGCAAAATTCCATTAATAATTGAGTGAAGAGCGTATCGATGTCCACCCAACAAATAATATGTTCCGTTTACTAATTTTCTTCGCTGCCAAATACTTTGAGGTTGACCGAATTTATATATTATATGGATTAGAATAATATTGTAAATATTGATGAAAAATGTGAGACGATCATCTGCCGAAGAATTGTTGAGATCAAGATTATTCAATTCTTTGGAGAATTGAAGATATCGATTGAATTCGTCGTTGTTTGTTAGTTTTTGATAGATTATTGACTAAAATTTGAAAGATTTTGAGGTAAATCATTTTTAAAATCAAATAAGCGCTCACCGTATTATCATCTGATAAAATTTTCTCATAAATTGGTTTCAATAACTTGATCAAAGTGTTGTTACATTCTTCAACACTCATTTTTTCCGGATTTTCATCATCTGAAGATTTTGCGTTCAATGGTTTATTTTCATCATCTTCCACAAGTTGATAATATCTAAAAATCTCAGTTTTTCTCTACATCTCACTAACTCGCCTACCTATCAGGACTGAAAGTCATTCCAGATTCTTTGGATGTTTGTTGACCAACGTGTCGATCAATCAATTCTTGTCCGATTTCCAATGCCTCACTTCTCTCTGCAAAAAAACAAAAATAAATACTACATTTTGCTGTCTCTTTTCCCTTTTCCCTCTCGATTTTTTTCAATTTCAAAAGAAACAAAACAATATTTGTTTTTTGTTTGTTGGAATGTGTATTTTTGAATACATAATACCATAATTATAATGTAGTGGACTTGCAATTGAATCATCAAATCTTGGAGTATCCCATTCATGTGGCGAATCCGACCAATCATCATCATCATATAATCGATCCTGATGTGTTAAATTGAATCGGTCGAGATTTAGTGCCGACAATTTTCGTAGACCCAACTTATCCATTTTATCCATTTTAGATATAAGGAAATGGAGAAAATACTGGTATTTATAGAGATAGAAAAAATTATGGGTGGAGATTTTTAAGAGAAAAAATATAGAAAAAAGTTAGGAGAATTGATAAGGTCAATGATTGAAGACGGAGACACAACAATGGCGGTTATATTTTGTGGGTTGGCAGAAAAATACGAACACTTTGTTAGAAATGACGTTGATTAGGGAGTCTGATTTTCTATTGAAGAAAGTTCAATTTTTGACTTATTAGAAAAATAGGACAGAAAAAATATTCTTGAGGCAATGAAAAAGACCTCCGGTACAGAAAAGTGTACAAGTTTTCCTTTCCGAATTTTTTTTATTTTTGAAAAATGGACAAGGACGCCACGAAAAACTTTGAATCACATCAATGATCTACTCTTATCAAATGATCTAGTTTTTATCTGTTGTCTTACGAACCCCAAAATAAATTCTGCAAAAAAACATACTAATTGATTTTTCCTTCATCAACCATTCGATAAGTTGTTCCCCTTTGAATGAATTCTTATAAGTTGTTCGAAAAGATACTCGATTATTTTTTATCAATTGAGCCGCTTTCATATCTCGAACCAATTTTGCATATTCATCCGGTACCCAAATCGTCATCTCCTCTTTTTTGTTGTTATTCTCAACATCTTCATTCTCATCATAGCCAATTGCATTCATTGGATTCGGAACTATTGGACCGTGTCGACATTTTTCGCGACGAACCATTTCAATAATCGCTTCCCATTTCATTTTTTCATTGATCTAGAAAAGGAATTGGAATAATTCTACATAGATCTAGAAACTGACCAATTGATCTAAATCGGTATCGTGACCGATGTAAATGTTATTGAAGAAGATTTGAGGAAGAACGTCGGTTCCTGTGCGATCGAAGATTTCTTGAGCGTGCTGGGAAAAATTGAGAATTTTGAAAGGGAAATGTTGGATGATGTTGGCTGCTGTTCAGTTGACTCATTCTTCTATTGTTCTATTTCGGACAAAAGTTTGGGAAAAAAAAAACTTTTGGTTTGGAATTCATAGATAAAAATGAATCCGAAAGGCTGGAATTGTTCTTTAAAAAGTTCACGAATTTTCGAATTTTCCAAAAAAAAATCGGATCGTACTTCTCAAAAAAAAAAATGACCAGCGCCAAGCCAACCACACAGAAAAAAACAAAAACTCCCACGAGCCCCATAAAATCAATACAATTTTTGAATATAATTATGAGTCTCCCTTAAAGTATTGGCTTACCTGTGGAAATGAATCCAAAGAAACATCGGTGTATGGAATTCTCTCCTGACTCAATAATTCTCGCCCTTTTGCACATTTCGAATTTCCGACTTCGGTATAAATGACAACCTGACCGGCAAAACCGTCAGATGACATTTTCTAATGAAGTGAAAATACTATAAAAATGTAACAAATAATAAATATAAATAACAAATATTTTGATGATGAAAAGGGAAGATAATAAATGATTTGACCTTCGATTTTGATGGATTTGCGGGAAAAAGATGAGTAGGTGGAAATAATGTTCCGAGATCTATCTTATACACTTTTTTATGACACTTTTTAATGAGGTCCAGAGAGTCACATGTAAGCAAAAAAAACAGAAGAAGAAGAACAGATAACAATCTGAGAATTTTCGGCAAAACAAAACTAAAATCAATTATTTCTTCAAGTTGTTGCTATTTAAGTTATGCAAGAAAAAAGTGAAAAAAATACAAGGACATTTGGGTATAATAACTCCCGACGGGAGATCTTCCATATATATTCATTCCACGCCTTTTGTGAAAGAAAAAAATGAAATGAAATGAGGCGAAAGAGAGAATTGTTGACAAAAACGATTAAAAAACAAGGTTTTTTGTTGAACAAGACAAAACAAATCTAGGAAATGAGAAGGAATTTCATTGGGATCTGAAACGAATTGAAACATTGCCAAGGATTTTTGTGGGCATGTGATTCCGTAGGAGAATTATTGTTGGATCGTTTTTTGTTGATCTTTGTAGGAGATGGTGCAATTCAGGATTTCCGCAGTATCTGAAATGGTTTCTGTGTGAACTGCTGCAATCCGAACCCCATATTTACTCACAGAGGGTTTACTGCCCGTCGATCTTCCAAATATTTGATCTCAACATTCGAATATGAACAGCCCAATTCTTTCTGAACCAATTTGTCCACACTCTCTGGTGATATGTTAATTTCCAGAGTTTTCCCTTTAACTGGTTTTAACACAACTGTTGTTCCGAACGGAACCGCGATCTCGGTCCAATTCATTGTCGATTGAATTGGTTTGCTGACCAATGTTTCACATAGTTTTCCTTCGAAACCATCTGGACATATGCATTTGTCACAACTACTTGGATTTGTGTATCCATCGTTTTGACATGTTAAGTTTCTTGGACCGGGAAAATCGAATTTCAGAATAGATTTTGGTGAAAATTAACTTACAGTTACATCCATAATATTTATTCAATGTGACTGTGTTATAAAATGACAGATAACGCGATCCCATTGTATAGAAGTAATCGTAATAATCTTTTCTCGGTCTGAAAAATTCGGCTGGTATCGGACGATAAAGCATTACACTTCCGAAATCAAACGGAGCGAAATTGATCGAATTTGTTCTGTTCAGTTTGCATGTTTGATTCTGAGACAAAACTCTTTGATACCATTTTAAAGGGGGGGTAAGACGACAAAATTTTTTTGTCGCAAAGTTAAAGGCTCCCCAAAATTAGTAAAACCTCCAAGGGATTTTTTCTGGAAACGCTCAGAAAAAATGTTCCATAAACTAGGTACCACGTATAGGTATACGTTGAAATTATTCCATAAACTTTCGGACAACGTATAGCTATACGTTGAAAAAAGTTCATGGAATATTTTTTTCGGACCTTTTTAGGCCTTTCGAGAAAAAATCCCCTGGGGCTTTTACTATTCAAAGGGAGCCCGATTCATTGAGCAAATAAAATTTTGTCGTCTTACCCCCCCTTTAATCAATAATAAACTAACATCTATTCCATAATCACTAACAAATAAGTATTTATCCCGATCATATCGAGAATGTTCGTGAGCCAAACCAGTTGTATGCAAAAGCTCGTGAAGTATGAAAGAATCACAATGATCACCAAGATTCATAAATCGTCCCGTAGATCTTGGATGCCATCCGCATTTTGTTGCACATTCATTTTTGAATTCATTCTTCACTTCGACTGACAAGTTACTGCTTGACTCTTGGAATTTAATACAACTTATTGATGAGACGTGTGATATTGCGTGAAGAACAAGTTTTCGTCGGCGATCCGGAAAATCCGCACGAAATCTATAAAGAATCGTCGAGTTCGGCCAAGTCATTCCGGCCATTGCGTGACTAAACGTCAAACCAATAAGGCAGAATAAAAGCAAAAGCTTGAAAATCATTTCTAGATTATTTTGGAAAGTCTTGGGATTTTATAACGAATTTTGTTTCACACGGCATGGGAAAATAGCTGAAATTCCAACGGTTTTTTTGCAGATGTCAATTCAATTTGCCGCTAACTGAAAAATTGGATGGCGATACAGATTGTCGACTTTTCACACCATTCGATCGACGACATGTTCCAGGAAAATTATTCGTTTCTGCCAATTTTATTTGTTTTGCAAGCAGAGTAAGTTGTCCTTGAAGTTTCCAGAAAAAAAACAATTTCATTTTTATTTTTTCAGACCGAAAGACTTGTCTCAATTGTAATTCCGATGGTCGAAGTTTCAACAATTGAAGAATGCTCTCCAGTTTCATCAAGTCAAACAACTCAAGGAGTCCTATTGTGCCTCAAAAATGGATCAACTGTGATATTTTCAGCGATTCCGGATCGCGATCGGGTTTTATCGAAACTAACCGTATTTTTGGAACGGGGAAAAATTGAGCGAAGTATGGTTAAAGGTAGAAGTGGTTCAACTTCATCATCTTCAACTTCCTCATTCGATAATCTTGTCTGGGATTTTCCACTAATTGAAAAATATCCATTTGGAGCCGATGCTTCTGAGAAATGTAAAGAAAAATGGGAGAAATATTTGCAAGAATATGGAAATAATGTATGTATGTATAGAACTGTTGAACTACATCGATTATTATTAGAAGGTGTACCTCTACAATTACGCGGACAAATTTGGATGATTTGCTCTGGAGCTTCTGCTGAAATGGCTATGAATCCTGGATATTACAAAGAATTATTGCATAAAAATCAAGGGGTTTATAGTGTTGCTCTGGATGAAATTGAACGAGATTTGCATCGAAGTTTGCCCGAACATCCGGCATTTCAAAAAGGACCCGGAATTGATGCGTTGCGAAGGATTTTGACGGCCTATGCATTTAGGAATCCAAATATTGGTTAGTGTTTTTGGTTTTTTTTTGTTTGAAAAGGTGGAGCCTGAGGAAAATATCGCAGGATTTTTTCTTTCAAAAAATTTCAAATTTCGAAAAAACAGTGAAAATCCGTGTAAAATGGCTTGAAAGTCCAGTAAATTCCGATTTTTATAAAAAATTTGCCAATTCTTAACCAGGAGACGAATTTCTGATTTGATTCCACTTTAAAAAATTGTATTTTGAACTGAAAATTAGAGAATAGAGAATTTTTTGCAGGATATTGTCAAGCGATGAATATTGTTGGAAGTGTTCTTCTACTTTTTGCCAAAGAAGAAGAAGCCTTCTGGCTTTTGGTTGCAATTTGCGAACGCCTTCTTCCCGATTATTACAACACCAAAGTTGTTGGCGCATTAGTTGATCAAGGTGTATTTTCGGAACTTGTTGAGAAGCTTCTCCCATCGGTTGGCTCGAAATTGATTGGTTTGGGCTTGGATGATATGGTTGCATTGTCATGGTTCCTCACTGTATTTTTATCGGCCATCAAATTCGATGCGGCTGTTCGAATCTTGGATTTGTTCTTTTTCGAAGGAGCTAAGGTTGGTGGGAAAGTGCTTTTCACCAGGAAATCGTAATTTTTTTCCTGTTTTTCAGCTGATGTTTCAAGTTGCGCTGGAAATGTTGAAGGAGAATGAAAGTCTGATATGTCAATCACAAGATGATGGAGAGATCTTGATGAATCTTGCAAAATACACGGATAGTATTTATGAGGGAAATTTGGATGAGAAAGAGGCGGAGTGAGTTGGAATTTTCTGAAAATATAGTTTACCTAGAACTTTTGGAAAAAAATAATTTTTTTCAGGAACCTAACAAGTACAAGTATTTTGGCTGATCTGGAAGAGGCCACAACATCAATCATGAATTTCATGACAATTTCCGACGAAAAACCGCTGCCAAAAATCGCGATTGGAGAACTTTTGAAGAAATCCTATCAAAATTTTGGATATTGTTTCAACAATGAGACAATCGATAATTTGAGGTTGAAGAATCGATTAAAAGTTGTGCAGAATTTGGAGGATAATCAAATGAGAAGTATTATTAAAAGTATCGGGAAAGATTGTCGATTTACCAATGAGGAATTGGAAAAATTGTATAATGTTGTGAAGGTAAGCGAGTTTTGGGGGAGGAAAATAGAAAAATTAGTTTCATAAAGCTTTTATTTAGTTGTAACAGCACAAATAACACTTTGTAATGGAAAACCATGCATTGACCAATGTGTTCCATTACATTTATATATAAATGTATTTGGAACCGATTTTTCAATAGTACCATTAGTATTATTCGGATTTGGATCAATATCCGATCCAGCTGTTGGTGCATGAACATCACAAATTTCGGAATCTTTCCATTTGACAAGCATATGTGCTTGTGAACAAGTCACTATTCTTGTGCACTCCATATGAGAACTGGAGTCCTCCACTTTTTTCGCCGAATGTTTATCGAGACTCATTGAGAAGAATGTTGAAACGGCATCGTAGTTTGAGCAAATGTTTTGCATTTCAGCAGTGTTGTTTAGCCAAAGATTTGGGCATGTTGCGCAAATGTCTGGAATATAAGAAGTGCTTTTGAATTCATTGAAATTCTGGAGCAGAAAAACTAAACTTCAGAATTTTGATTTTGAATATCTTCAACTGTAAACTCAAATTTTCCAAAAAATTGCTGAATTGAATTACTTTCAATTTTCAGATGGATCTGATTAGATTTCAAAATTAAAATTTTTGAAATTTGCTCAAGGCGAATAGAAACTTCTAAAAACATCTCAAATAGAAACTGATTTGACTTCAAAACTATTCTAAGTTTACCCGAAAATTCTCACCTGGTTTTGGAATATTCAATTGCTCAAAAATTGAATTTCCCTCAATCTTGCTGTCTTCTTTTTGAATAACACTCTCATTTCTATTAACATTTTCGCGAGAAACTTCTGGAATCGCCAAAGTCGAACTTCCAAATGTTTTCGCTCGACTTTTTCGTTCCTCTTTCGATGTTTCTGATAATTCGCGAGTTCTCGATGTTCCATTATTCGAAATTGGTTGTTGATCAACTTTATAAGTTCTAGCCATTGATCGGAATAACTTCATATGCGATTGATAATCCATATTCCGTTGGGGACTCATTTTAGCACATAAAATCAATGAGGAAATCAATAATATAGTTTTTAGTAACATGTTATTGTTTTTGGATGAATGCAGATGATAAATTCTGACTTTTTCGGGATATCGGTCAGCGGGAGAAAAAATGATAAAAAGAGAAAGTTCGGGGTGTACTTTATTATCATTTATTTTGTATATATGTGTGGAGAAGATAAATGGGCTGAACAGATATTTTTTGTGGAACATTTGATGAATTGAACTTAGTTTAGAAAAATAAAAAGATCTCTGAACTCTGTAGATAAAAAAATTTTCTTTAAAAAATCTCCAGAATCTTATTGCAGGAAGAACACCTTCTATCTTGGCGTCATCGTCTTGGTGTCAATGCACGTGGCAAACTCACAACTCTCACCGAAAGACCTCGTCCCGACCCATGTGCACAATCACAATATCGCCTAGACTACGATCTTTTCGCCGAAGTCTTCCCCCGACTTCTTCCATGGCCAGTCACCGATATTTTTGTGATTCGAGTATTCCGATTGCTGGATATTTCCGACAATGGTTTATTGACGTTTCGAGACCTGGCAATCACTTTATCGATTTTGTTGAGAGGAGAAGCCACTGATAAATTGGCATTGTTTTATAAATGTCATCTTCCACCCGCGTTTAATATGAGCGATTTGGATGGATTGGAAGCGAGTGAAGAAGATGGAGGAGGAGCAAATAGAGGAGATACACCTGAAGTTGCTAGAGAGGCTACTGATCTTTTGGGAACACCTCTGAAAAGACCAAGAGCATCTACAACTTCGGTTATATCGCCCGAACCACAGGTGGAGACAAGAAGTCGAGCGAGTAGTGCGGCGATTTTGATACAAATGGAAGAAAGAGCTTCGGATGCTGAATCATTGATTGATCTAATTGCTTCGAAATCAATTGGAAGTTGTCCGTCAGAAAATGAACAGGGAAGGATTCAAATGGCTGATGTGGCTAGTGAAGGTGAGCATTTCTCAGATTTAAAAAAATCTGAAATTTTTCTATTCAGAATCTTATTCCGTTGTCGATGAATCGATTGAAAAAATGAAACAACTTCGAGCGAAAACCCTCAATTCACCTGACTCAACCTCAACACGAATGGAAATAAAAATGCTGCCAGTCATGAATCAAATTCAATTTATTCAACTTTGGAAAACATTTTACGATTTGCTAAGCTCGAAGGAAACTGATCAATGTGTTTTTCATTCGTTGGCTGTCACAGCCACACTTCTTTTGCAATTAGGAGAAACGCATCGAGAATTGCAAGCGAAATTGGAGGCTGAAATTGCGATGGCTATGAAAGAGGATTTTGATGAGGTGGGGGTTTGGGGATTGAGAAATGAAATTTCAAAATTTTTATTCTGAAAAATATGACTTCAAATTGCCACGTTTTTCAAATTTTATTGAAAATTATTGAATAAATCATATTTTTTATTCAGATTTTAAAAAATTTTGCCCCCTTCAAATTTCACAACATCTCAATTTGCAGACGCTGAAAAATCCCGAAAGCACCGAAGACGAAGAATTTGAAGAAGACAAAAAAGTGGATCCAATCGAAGTTCAACGAAAAAGAATCGGAGATATGCAAACTTGTATAGCCGACGATGAATGGAGAGTGAATTTGGAGCAAATATTAGCATCAATATTGGCTGAAACTCCACTTTCAGACTTTTTCGAGAAAAAATATTCGCTTGATTCTCTTATAAAGAGATACTACAAAACGCGATTTTCCTCCAATGAGAAAGCATAATTAAACAAAAATTCTAATTTTGTAAATAACTTTATTCCTAATCACTTTTTTTGCCAATTTGTACACTACTACTGGTTTTTTCGTGTTTCTTCTGTAATAAATATAGAAAATATCTTTTTTTCAAAAATTCAAGTTAAAATCCCAAAAATTCAGAAATATGCAAAATGAAACTTTATTCTTCTTAAGAAACTCAAACTTCACAAACAACGGGCTTCAGGAACCAAACAATATCCTCGACAACAATATTTTGGAGAAGGACAAATTTCTGGTGTACACACAGAAGCGGCCATTGAGAAGACGGCGAAGAGGAGAACAATCAAGAATTTCATGATTAGCTATGATTTTTTGAGGAATTCAATGAACACTTTTATACGGAAAACACTTTGATTCGTTGAAAATTGAAAAAATGATAGGAAGATTCGATCAATCTATGATTCGATTTTCAACGAACCAGGAAGTTTTGGGCTGCAAAATCGAACAGAAAACTCGAATCAAAGTGTTTTCTGTATAAAAAAGCTAATTTTTACAGCATTTTGAAAAATTCCATTGATAAACACACCTGAAAGCTAAGAAATTTCCTTATTTCACGGAAAAAAAACAAATTGAAAAAAAAATAAACGAGAGAGTGTTGTGTGTAGAAGAGACGAGGAGAGAGGAGAGAAAATGAGAGATAGAAACGCGTAAGAGAGACGCCAGACAACACGACGGTTTGTGTATTTTTTTGCAAACCTCAAAACCATTTTTCGTTTTTTCACAAAAAATGCTAAAATTGCTCATACTTAACCAAATTTCACAATCTTTGCAGCAAAACATAGCAAATTTACGAGAATAGAGATTGCAAGAAGAAAAACCTAGAAAACTTTTCCGCGAACACTGAAAATATTATTATAGGTTTTTCGGCCATCAAAATTAATTAGATCAAGGTCTCACACTCATTTTTTTTCCCGTACAAAAAACTTCAAATAACTATAAAAATATGCGAACAAAAAAAGCTTCAAACTGGTTTTTTCCTTTCGATTCTTTTCTCGCAGTTTTCCTTCATTGTTTTTTGTTTTATGTAGTTTTGAGAAATGATTATTATTCTATTATTCTCCTTGATTTTTTCAATAAATTGCCAGGTTTGCGCTTATTAACCTTTTACATATACAACCTTTCACAGATGTTTTGTGCTCAAGATTTCTGTGCTTTGAGCAAAAACAAATTTTTTCTGACAAAAAAAATGAGTTCAAAGAATTTCGGCAAAATATATGATTAAAAAAGTAAAGCTAGATTGAGGAAAAATTGTCTAGTTTGGAAAATATGAAAGGTGATCTTACGGAAAAAATGAAATTTTGAAAATTAGGGAAAAAAATTGAATTTTAAAATATTTTTGAGAAAGAAAATTCAAAAAAAAATCAATTTTTTTTCAGAATCAAACCACAAATTGCAACATTTACGATGAAGCTCATTACTGTAAAATGCTCACAATCGATGTGCATTTGAGCACACTTGCAATATCTCACCGATGCATTTGTCCTGACAATTTCAAATGCCCAAAAGACACAGATGACACAAAATTGAGTGTTCGGTAAGCTTCTTTTTTCCTGATTTTTAGATGAGTTCTCAAATTTTCAGATGTCATTTTGATCCAGAAAAACAATGGAATCGTTGTTATCTTCCATGCACTCCTTCTGATCTTTAATCAATTTTTTTTTGAAAAAATATGATAATTAAATAAAATAAAATAATAATTTTTGCTCGAGGACACCAATTATTTTGTGTTTCAAACAAAATTTGTAAAGCTTTTTGATATTTGGAAAACGAATCTGGAAATGGCGTGTTAATTATATGGCTGCCAAAATGGAAGAAGATGAAAAAATATTGTGTTTTTGGGGAAGTACGGTAATTTTTGGGTTACTGTATTTAAAAGCCTTTAAATCGAGGCTGCATATTTTTATCGACAGACTGCATGTTTCAATAAAAATTTTGAAAATCTTGAAATGTCTGTCTCAGACATATTACAAATTGACAAAGATCTAGAGCAATTTCGGAAATTTCTCGACAGTAATTTCAGACTACTGCAAAGAGTCTAAAACTTTATGGACTAAAAAATAGCTGAAATTGAATCTGTACCAAATCTTGAGTGTTTTCTTAATCTGATCTTTCGAGCTTCCCAAAAACAACCTCTTCTCCTTTTTTCTATGTAGTCTCCTTCATATTTTTCTAATTACACCTTTTGACCAGGTGTGATCAAACTACACACACCTTTCGTCCAAAGTACCACACCAAATTTGCACCACACCAAAACATTATCAAAGAAAACAACCAAAATGTTATGCGAACAAAAAAAAAGTTATTGAAACCTTAAAGAATAATTATAGACTATTGGATACATGACATTTGAAGATTATACCAATTTTTTGCCACTAAAATGTAATTAAAACACATTTTTTCATCAGAATTAATGGACGCTCAAAAATAACTTTTTTCCATCATCATCCAACAAAAATTCAATTTTTTTCTTCTTCTTCTTCTTCATCTTTTAATAACCCAAAAGTTTCAGAAACCTCTCCTTTTTGGGAAAAACATAACAATTAAGTGCCCTTTTTGACTCCATTTTGAGCTACAGTATACCTGCGACTCCGCCCATTTCTCGATTGCCTAAAAAGCTTCCTTGTCTCGCTTTTTCCACCCTCGCATTATTGTTGTTTCGTCCCGCCTTCTATTCCAAAAATTGGCTCACTTTTATTCAACCATGCAATATTCTTCTTCTATTATTTTCGAAATTTTGTTTTTGGTGAGTAAAAGAGAACTTTTCAAAAATATTGGAAAATCGGTGTGAAAATCAAAATTACATGACGAAATGGAACTGTACTTTTCCGTAACTCAATTTTCCTTGTTTACCAGAGGTTTGAAGTTAGAACACTACACATTTCATAGTTCAACCTGATGTTATAAAACAAAAAAGATCTGAATAGTCACGGTATTTCAAAGGGGGAATCGAGAAAAACGTAAACTTTGAATAGAAAAAAAAATAAATTTGGGACTGCTTATTTTTGTGTCTGCTTACTTTTTGGGACTGCTTAACTTTTTGGGACTGCTTAACTTTTTGGGACTGCTTAACTTTTTGGGACTGCTTAACTTTTTGTGTCTGCTTAACTTTTTGGGACTGCTTAACTTTTTGGGACTGCTTAACTTTTTGGGACTGCTTAACTTTTTGGGATTGCTTAACTTTTTGGGACTGCTTATTTTTGTGTCTGCTTACTTTTTGGGACTGCTTAACTTTTTGGGACTGCTTAACTTTTTGGGACTGCTTAACTTTTTGGGACTGCTTAACTTTTTGTGTCTGCTTAACTTTTTGGGACTGCTTAACTTTTTGGGACTGCTTATTTTTGTGTCTGCTAATTTCTAGATCTACCAGAAAAAGTAATTGTTGACCTGTTGAAAATCTTGCTTTCCTAAAAAAAAAAAGTATGTTTCGATTTTTAATCCGCAAAGCCGCCTTCCAAGAATCGGTACCATTCAGTATTTTTATTTCTCAAACAACAAAAAAAATGTTTTTTCAAAAGTGCACGAAGCCCAATTCGAATTTCTAAGAATCAAATAGTAAAACAAATAATAATTGCAAGGTGCAAATAACATATTTCGAAGAATTAAGAATATGTCTGATTTGAGAGGTTGAACATTAAAAAGTGGAAGTGTGTTTCTTGATCTTTTTCTCAACGATAAAAATGTTTTCAGACAATCAATGTTGTTCAAATCGATAGTCGATCGAACCGTAAACATCATAAAAGACATGTAGATGATATTGAGATGAATAGTTGTGTGAATAAGGCTTCGAGTGAGGCACATGAACGATTTTCGAAAATGTTTAATCGGCGGGATCAGGAGATGTATACGTTTTTGAAGCCAACTGGACAGGTGAGCTTCTTGAAGACTCTCAAAGAATTTATATTTAATTTTCACCACATTTATCAAGAGAGCGCATTTAGTGTAAACGCGCTCTACTGATAATAACTATAGAAAAAAGTTCCTTTTCACCAACATTTTCCTACTCTCCAAAAAGCCGCGCATAGCCTAGTGGTAGAGTGTTTTGCTGGCATCCACTAAACCCTGGTTCGAATCCACCTGCCCGCAATTTTTTTTTTCAAAAAAAAAAAACCCATTTTTTCCAGCTATTCAATGTGTTCTCCCCTGTAAACGGTCATGAACTCACTGTGAAACCTCGAAGTTGCATTGAAACCGCGTCGGCCGAAGAAAACAATGATCTGAATCTCTATCGAGAACATCCAATTAATCGACGAGCAACTTGTGTTTATCAACACGTTATGAATTATAACCCATTGGTAAGTATTATGAACCTTTAAAAAATTTCAAATAAAAAACTTTTTCAGCGAGTTCCGGCGTCGATAGTTGAAGTGAAATGCTCTTGTGAACGTGTTCATTTGGGAGGTAAATTTATATTTTTTTTAAATTCAAAATCCCAAAAAAAATTTTCCAGGAGAAACTTATTTCTGCGAGCCAGTATTATATGACATGAAAGTGATGATGTTCGATGAAAAATGTGGGGACCTAGTTGAAAAAATCGAGCAAATCTCAATGGCTTGTGTCACAGTTCATCAATTACAATCATCGGGAAGCGATTCGATAATTGTTCATAAACCAACAGATCCAGGAGCGCCGGTTTAAAAAAAAAATTTCAAAATTTTTAAAAGTCATATATTTTGCTTCTATTCATTTCAAAATGTTACCGGTTTAAAGTGTCGCGTTATTTGGTTTTGTTTTTCCAAGCTTTTTAAATTTTTTAAAAATAATATTATATTTTGTTTTGTTTTGTTGGATAAAAGAGTTTTTAGTGTTCAAAAATTTATTCATTACAAAAAAATCTTACAAAAAAAGTTCTTAAACTTGTCTCGATGTGCAGCAGACGCATTGAACAGCACGATCTGGCTCATTCAAATCGGCATCCTTGTTGTCCTTGTGGTGTTTGCGGTCAACGCTCAATTGTGGGTCGAAGGCGAGGAGAATTCCGACGGTTGGCTGGAAAAAAATGGGATTTTTTTGGGACGCAGAAAAATTCAAATCAGGCCTGTGCCCGAAAATTAAAACCCGGAAAACGGAAAGTGGAAAATTTCCGGATTTTTTGAACCGGAAAATTCGGAATATTTTTCAAGGTCTGAAATTTCGATTTCCAGCCTTAAGTTGGCACAAAAACTTGTTTTTATTCACAATTCTTCTATTCACAGGTAATTTAGTAACTACTTAAGACGTTTTATGTTCAAAAAATAGTAAAATTTGAAATATAGAAAAAACATCCAAAAATGTCTTTTTTTTTTAATCATAAACTAAGAAAATTTCCCAAAATTTAGGCAATTTTGAAAATATTACTACTAAAGATCATTTTCCGGATTTTCCGAGCACATTTTCCGGAAAACCGGAAAATTCGGAAAATTTCGGGCACAGGCCTGATTCAAATGTTTTCCCAAGTTTCAAAAAAAAAGTCTATAATAATTTTAGGCTTTCCAAAATTTGTAACACTTATTTCTTGAGACAACCCCCTAATTTGCAAAGCTTCAAATATCAGTAGACGATCAAAAAAAAGAAGCTCACATTATTATTTCCAGCGGCTCTCGAAGCAACCGAGCAACAAGCATGACAGGCTTTTTGCGAGAAGATCGCAGTGTTTGAGCAACCTTGTCTCTCGAATGGCCGTGGTCTTTGGAAGGCTCCTGGAGCAAGGTATTGTGGTTGTGGTTGTTGAACGTACACAACGTTTTGGGTGTTGGTTTGGGTTTGATCTTGAGCTGTGGTTGATGGAACACCGTATGTTTGACGCTTGACACGTGGACCTCCTGGACCGCCTGAAACAGATTTTTTTTGAGAATCAGAATTTTGAGAATGCGAAACTCACGTCTTCTACGATGATTGTTCAATCCAACCAATGGGAATGAGGCATGAACTGAGCAATAATTGACATCGAAGTTTGGAAAATTGAAGACTGGGAATTGTTGTGGAACATATTGCACGTATTGTGGTTGGGTTTGTTGGACTGGAACTCCGTAAGCTGCACCAGCTTCTGGTTTCACTTCTGGGGTTTTCTGCAAAGAATTTTTGCTTTAGGGGATTTTGAAGATTCACAGGAGCTAAAAAACAGATATTCTCTATAAGTTAAAATTCCCAAAAGGATTCCTAAAAAATGGGTCAAGCTACAGTAACCTTCAGATATATTTTGCTGCTGAGAAATCTAGTTTTATCTGCTCAAATCAGCTACAGTACCCCAGCTACAGTACTTTTTTTAAATTTCCAGAAAGATTCCAGAAAAAATGGATTTAAAAAAATCTACAGTAACCTTGAAAGTTACAGTAGCCTTGATCTACAAAAATATTGCGAAATCTAGCAATTTTCAATTTAACCTATCCGTCTACAGTACCCCAGCTACAGTACTCTAGCGGGTACAGTAAGAAAACATTTTTCAATTTTCTTGGTCCCAAAGATTTCTAAAAATGGATAAAAAAAGCTACAGTAACTTACATTCAATCTAGATTCCACTAACCATCTACAGTATACCAGATTTCTGAGTACAGTACCCCTAAAAACCAACCTTCTGAACAGCCGCAGCCGAGATTACGGTAGCCAAACAACAGGCAACAATGACAAACGATTGCATTTTGTTGATCGAATGATGAAGATCAAGAATTTTTGGGCCAAGTTTTATAGAGATATCTGAAAATGGGCGGAGCTTTGAGGGGAAGAGAGATATGAGATGAGATTTTTGCTGGATTGGGAACTTTGATCTTTTCGAACTAGGAATAATGTACTTTGGTGGGGGAGATCAGGAGATTTTGAATTTTTGAAAAGGCTCAATTTTAAGCAAGATTCTGAATTTAGATTTGAATTTTCAAGAATTTTCCAAAAAAAAAGCTGAAATTTTCTGTAAAAATCTGTATTTGAATTTCAATTTTTTTTTGAAAAGAAAATCTTTTCAGCAAAATCTTGAATTCAAATTTCTGAAATTCTAAATTATCTATTTCATAACCCTTTCAGAAATCCTGAATTGAATCTGAATTCCAATTTTTGAAAAACAAGCTTCCGAAAACTTTTGATGATTTTCCCGAAATTTTAAATTTTCAAAAACATTCCTCAGAAGATTTCTAAGTTAGCCTAACTTTTTCTCTCGAATTTTTTTTGCATCATCCAAGTTTCTCTCGATTTTTTTCCAGACACACATTTCAAACAACTGTGCCTATTTCCAATTTCCAGAAATAACCCGACTCATAAATCTTCCCATTTTTTTGGTGCTCACAAGAATTTCCAGAAGAATTCACAGAAAAAACTTGGTTTTGATTTGATTGATCTTCTCTGGAGATTCCAGAAAAAATTGTGTGGGTTGAAGGAAAAAAAACGAAAACTTTATGGTTCGATTTTTATCAACCAAGCAAGATGTAACAATTTTCAAATGGACGATTTTTTATTGGAAAATTTTTTGAGCACGAAAAATGTGACCGGAAATGAAAATGAGGAGCTGGATGGTGTACGGTAGATCAAACTACAAATCATTTAGTAATTAATAACTTTTTGATCTACTTAATAATATTCTACTCAAAAAAGTTTGGAAAAAAAAAGTTTTTTTTGAATTTTTTCGGAATAATTTTCAACATTCAAATTTTGAACTGGGGATCTCAAATTGAAAAATCTAAATCCTAAAATTTTGAAAATTCAAAATTCATATAAAAAGCCACGTGGCAACTTCAAAATTTTAAAATTCCCAATTTTCGAAAAAATCCACGTGGCTTTTGCTTTGGAAAACCGGATTTATATATTAGAAATTTAATTTTTCTTAAAAATCCACGTGGCTCTAATCAACTTCAAAAGACTTTTAAAATAAATTGTGTGACTTGTGTTATCTCAGTTTTTCCCCAAAAAATTTAACTGTCTAAAATTTTTCAGCGTGTGTTCCAGATAATCCAAAATTTCGGGCCGGCCCATAAATGGGCCCAAATGAGCCCTCCTCAAACATACATCGAACAAAGTTCATCTCATGATTTCTCTGGAAAAAACCAATATCTTCTTCTCTTTTTCCCCCAGTCTCCGCCCCCAATTTTCAGCGGCTATAAAACTTGGCTGAAAATCAATCGCCCCATCATTCGGGATCATCATGAAATCGGTCATCGTTTTAACCGTCGCCACGTTGGCTACTGTTTTGGCGGCCACAACAACAACACCAAAGGTGAGTTCTAGTAACTTGAGTATTCTGGGAGCAAAAAAATGTTTCAGCCAGCACCAGAAGTGAAATCAGATGCCGCAGAAGGTCGTCGTCATCACCATCCATACGGTGGATACAACGGATATCCATACTACGGTGGTCCACAATTCCTTCCACCACTTCTTCAAGATCGTAAGATCCTTCAGTAGTAGAAGATCTACAATAGATTTTTCCAGGTTTCGTGTGCGATCTTGACGCTTCAGTCCTTCTCATCACCCAAAATCAACACAATCATCACTTCGGTGCTCCATCCCGCGCAGTTCGTGTAAAATGCTCGGAAGTTGCTTCGTATGATGAGGATTCGTGCAATTTGTGCTGCCAACAAACCGCTAGACGTGATACCACTTTGGCTAATGTGAGTTTTGAATGGGGGCCGGGCCTAGAAGTGGACCTATTGGTAAGGAGTGAGGCCTAGGGAACTTGAGAAGTTCGGCTGCCAAGAGTTCGGGCCTTGAGACAACTTGCTTTCAAGTAGTGACGCCTATAGACTTAGGCTTAGGTGAGAAGGGGTGGCGCTCTTGAGATCTAGTAGTGCCTCAAGCAGATGCGCCTAGACAAGTCAGTAACTCGGAAAATTAAATCAAATTTGAAAATTCGAAAAAAAATAATTTTGCAGGACAAACTCTTCGGATTCCTCGCCATCACCTCCCAAGAAGACACACCATCCGAAACCTTCAAAACTCGTGCCAAGAGAGATGTTGAAGAAGAAATCGAAGAGGAAGAAGAAGAAATCGAAGATGATGATGAAGAACATCGCGGTCGTCGTCGCTTCCACAACGTCAAGCCAACCTACTTGAAAAACGCCGATTGGAATCCAGACCCATATTTCACCAACGTCAAATGCGTTTGCTGTGCACCAAAACCAGCTCCAGTTGTCTTTGCTGCTCCAGCCACCTATGGAAATGTTGCTGCCGCTCAACCAGCCGCCTCCACATCATACGGAGCTGCAGCTGCACCAGCTTCTCAACCAGCCACTACATATGGAGCTGCTGCCGCTCCAGCTCAACCAATTTATGGAGCATGGGGAGCTGCTGCTGACACAACATCAACTGGAACCATCAATAATTCTTATTGAGTTGCTTAATCGTGTATTCATATTATTTTCCACATATTTTTCATTGAAACAGTAAATTCTTTCTATTTTAAACGGTTTTTGAGCATTTTCGCTCTATCGCACACTCAACTGCGTGTACTTCTCTCGGAATTCCTCTTTTCTTCTAGTTTCCTTCCGTTTTTTGATAGAAACATTATACTTTTTCTAACTTTTCATGAGCAATTAGCAAGGAAAAATGATGTGATTTGACATTTTCTTGGTTGTGACCAACCAACTAATTGGCGCAAAACAAACAATGAATCAAAATATAGGAAATGTGTGTAACATTATAGATTTCTTGAGAGAGAGAGTTACAGTAACTCATTGGATAGAATTGGATAAGAAAAAAATGCCTGAGATCTGAGCTTACATACATCTCAGCCAAGCCGTGGCTGACCAGAGTACAATTTTTGGAAAAATCTGAATTTTAGTTTTTAGAGGTCAAAAATTGAAAAATCACAATTTTTAGAGGACAAAAACTGAAAAATTCACAATTTTTGTAAGGTAAAAAGTTAGCGTACAACTTGTTTTTGTGGGAACCACGATTTTGGCTGAGTTGTGTCTAGTTCGATGAAAAAATTCAGAAAATTACCATAAAAATTCGCAAAAATATGAAAGCCCGTGAAAAAACACAACGCGCGTTACCGTCAACGCGGAGTCTCGTTGTTTTTTTTCTCATTTTTTTGTGGAAAACGATAATTTGCATGAAAAATGCAATTTTCTGAGGATTTCTGAGGAAAACCTCAATTTTTCTATACTTGAACTATGATGTGGCAGAAAATTCACATTTTTTGGACATAGTATGAATTTGGTGGAAAAATGAAGGATTTTTGGACTGGAAAATTAATTTTTGTCTGATTTTTGATGTCGCTAACGAAAATTCAAACATTTCTCAAGATTACTGTATGTCCCTTGAACTCCTCATCCTTCTTTACCAATATTTTTCCCTTTTCGAAAATCCAATCAAAAAATTGTTTCACTTTACAATATCAATTTCTGTCGATTTCTGTACGATTACACTGTTTTTGCTCCTTTTTTCCGCCCCCAAAAGCTCCGCCCACTTTTTCACCATATAAAAAGCCACCAATTTCCTTCTCTCTATCATATCATTCTTCTAATATTCTGGTCTCAAAAAATATCTAGGGTACCCCTTTCGGTTGTCTTGAAAACAAGAGAAAATAGACACCGAATTGCGTTCTCTGAATATTTGGCGAGAAATTTTTATGAAAAGAAAGAAAAAAAAACAGGAAAGAAGATTCAAAAATTAATGAGATTCTGATTTGTTTCATTTTTAAAATTTAATTTAATAATAACCAGCTCCATTTCCAAAAGATGGTGGTGCTGGGGGCATCATTCCATAACCGTATCCCTACAAAAATCGAAATTTGAATGAAAATTTTGAGAAAAAAGGGAAAAAACTTACGGGAACTGCTGGATTCATAGGCGGTGCTGGAATTGCAGCAGCATTTGCGCGAGATTGTAAAACCAATCTAGAATGAACGGCATCGGGGAAAAGCTCGTGATAAGAATTGACTGGCACATAGTTGGCTGTGATCACCTGAAATATTGATTTTTGAGAAGAAGATGACAAATTGTGTAAAAACGACATTTTGGTTTCGAAAAATAGGATTTTTCGGGAAAACTGATAAAATAATGAAGATTTTCTAAAATTTATTTCGAAAAACTGGAAAAAAAACAAACTCTCATGAACTTCGAGTTTCAGAATTAAAAAAAAACAATTTAAGATTTGATAGGATTTTTAAAGAAAATTGAATTTTTGATAAAAAACTAGCTTGGACGAAAATGTGAAATTTGAGTTCAAATTTTGAAAGAAAAATTCGGAGCATCAGAATTTAAAAAAAAAACAATTTTAGATTCGATAGGATTTTTTTTAAAGGAAAATAGAACTTTTAATAAAAACTCTGGATGTGCAAAAACTTTGAAAAATTTAAACAAATTGTAAGTTTCCCAACATTCCCTAAATATTCCCAAAACCTCACCTTTCCAGAAAACCATCTTCCATGCAACGCTGAAACCGCTTGATGTGCAATCGCAATCGACGGACATTTCACATAAACATTTCCCTGCTCACTTCCACGATCAACAAAAACATGCAAAGCTCCACCATGTTGTGCACATTGTTCAATAACATCATCTCGAATATCAACATCCCAATTTGGATCAGTTTCACTTGCTGGATCAAACATATTCGACAATAGGAAACATTGTGTTGCAATCGCTGGAATTGCAGTTGTTGTCGCTTGATTCGCAGCCATTTGTGCTTCTGATGATAATTCCATTCCACCACCAGTTCCTTGCGCTAATTTCGCCATTAATTGTTGTCGACCACCGGCGCCTAATGAGAAACCTTGTCGATTATCGCAATCATCCAAACTTCTTTGATAGATTGAGGCTTCTTCTTTTTTGGCTGTCTCGGTTGGATCAGTTAGCGAAAGTCGGATGCATTTTCCAGCAAGTTCGAAGTTGTTGAGTTGTTCGAAAGCCTTGGTGGCATCTTCAGCACTACGGAACTGCAAAATTAAAAATTAATTTCTAAAGTTTTCACTGCACAAATCCCTGTAGAGCACAAAAATGAGCACAAAATCGCGAAAATCGCGTTTTTGAGAGCCCATAACTCATGCTCAGGAGGTTCAGAAACCAAAAATCGTGAATTTGGTAAATCGACCCTCCTGAACATCGCCCTGTACTCAGTTTTTGATAAAATCATCTCTAACATGAGTCACGGACTTTCAAAATCGCGATTTTCAGAAAATTCTCCATTTTTGTGCTCTTCAAAAATAAATTTTTCTGATGTTTTCAGCTCAAAAAAGAGTTCTGGAGCTGAAATTTCCCAATTTTTTGAGAATTTTGCTCAAAAATTGGACCTGAGGTTAGAAAATTGTAGTAGCAAGGGCTAATTCAGGAGTTTTTGAGAAAATCATCTCTAACATGAGTCACGGACTTGGGATTTTCTCGATTTTTGGTTCATTTTATGCTCTACAGAGAGTCTCCAGAAAAAACTCACCAAAACCACAGCATTTCCAGTCCCATCACCAGCTGAATCTGTCGGCAAATCAACACTTTCAATTCGACCAAACGATGTGAAAACCTCTTGCAACATTTTATCGCTGATTTTCGGATGCAAATTCTCGACAAACAATTTTGTTGGTCCCTTATTATTCGCCACTCCAAAACCAAGCGCATTCGCAACCGACGAATTAATTTGTCGATTTCTTTCCGAACATGTTCTTTGAATAATCAACGGTGCGCCCATCAATCTTTGCCCATTCAATGCCAATCCAAGTGGAACCGAATCTTCATCCCAAAATTCCACATAACATATTCCTTTCGATCTTCCAGTTCGACTATCAGTAATAATTCGAACATCACGAACAGCACCAACTGCTGAAAAGAATTCTTCCAAATCTCTTGGACGAGTATCTCTTGCGATTTGCATTATGAATAATGTTCGTTGATCTCTTTCATCAGCTGATAATTCGAGTTTCGCATTTTTCGGTGGTGAATGTCGAGGATTAAATGGCATCACATCACGGCGTTCTGGTCCAGGAAGTCGACTACGCGGTGGAGATCTGCGAGGTGAACGACGATCTCGATGATCAATAACTCGAGGACGACGACCAGGAGATCTACTGCGACGACGTGGAGATCTGTAAGAACAAAATTGGGTCTAGATTTTAGGCTACTTTTAGGCTACACAAAACTTGGGTTCCCTTTTCTCTCACATCATACCTATCTTCATCATCATCAGTAAACCATTCAGATTCTGATGATCCTGAAGTATTTTCATAATCTGTGAAGCATTCATAGTCCGGTGACTCATTTCCACGTTGAATTCTCTTCAAAGCATCTTTGACAACAATCGAGGCGGTGATTTTTTGCTCTTCAGTTTGAATCATCGGCGGGAAAGGTGCGGGTTTCGCGCTTTTCGGTCTTTTTGTGATTTTTCGACGAATACCACCACGTCCTCGTAAACCACGACCTCTGATTGCTCCACGTGTCATTCCTCTTCCTCTTGGAGCACCTCTTCCACGTGTCATTCCTCGCGGAGCACCTCTTCCACGTAAAATTCCTCGCGGAGCCCCACGTCCACCTCGAAGAGCACCTCTTCCACGTGGAGCACCTCTTGGCGCACCACGTCCACGCATTGCACCTCTATCCGATCCACGTGGAGCTCCTCTTCCACGAGTAGATCCTCGACCTCTTCCACGTTCCGATCTTCCAAGTTCAGCACTATTTCTAGATGATCTTTCATCACCTCTTCCAGATTCTCGAGCTGCACCTCTTCCAACACCTCGTGGAGCCCCCCGTCCTCGCAGAGCACCTCTTCCAGAAAACGAACCCCGCCCAGCGGGAGCATCTCTTCCAGATTCTCGAGCAGCACTTCTTCCAGCACCTCGCGGAGCTCCCCGTCCAGTTGGAGCATCTCTTGGTGGAACCGTACGATTTTCTTGAACTTCAGGAGCTCGACGACTCGATCGCTTTTCTGACGAGGAATTTGGAGCGGGTAGGAATCCGGTGAGGATTTTTTTGATAAATTCGGAGTTTCTTGATGGAACACTAGGAGAATTTCGTGGAACTTTTGCCGGTTGTTTTTTAGGAGAAGAGTTACGCTTCGATTTCTTCTTTTTCTTCGGTATAACAGATTTACTTGTTGATGGTTCATTCGATTTTCTTTTTGGGCCTTCTTTTTTCGTACTTGTTGATGGCTCATTCGATTCTTTCGGCTCTCTTACTTTCTTCGATTTCTTTTTCTTTTTTGATTTCGCTCCCATATTTTCAGATCCATCATGCCATTCGGGTTTGTCTTTAAGACGCGCAAACAATTCACCAGGTTTCATCGAAGAAATGATTTGCTTATTTTATTTTTTGAAAAAAAAACAGGAAACACGTATTTGAAACGTGGCAACGTGAAGGTCACGTTTATTTATTATTTTTCTCTCTCTTTTTTTATTAAAGAACCCAAGTTTTGTGATTTTTTCCTAAAATTACCTTGATCTTCTTCTTCGATCTCTGCTTCGACTTCTTGATCTTCTTCGATTGTCCCGACTTCTCGATCGTCTTCTTCTTTCACGACTTCGGCTTCGACTTCTCGATCTTCTTCTTCGATCGCGACTTCGTGATCGTGAACGTCTTCTTTTCCTGTCACGACTACTTGATCTGCAAAAATAATTTTAAATTGAGTTGCTTTCGGGTTTTTTTGAAAGATGGAGATTCCGCTAGCGAAGATTTTGAATCTGAAAACATTTTAAGCCGATCGTCAACACAACCAACCATTTCTATCTCATTTTTACACACAGATTCGACGTGGAACTTCAGAATTGTCTCGTGGAAGCGTAACGGACGTTGTCTACAACAGCATAGACATGAATTTTTGTTAAAATTTTACGGAAAAAGAAATAGATTCCAAATTTTCTCAAACAAAAAATGTGTTTACCTCGATCGAACCGAACCATTTTCCTTTGAATCGCCAGCCTGCAAAAAAACAATTTTCATCTCATTTTTATATTAATTTAATAGTTTTATGATGATCCCAAGGTTATTTAACTTTTTCCCAAAAAACAGTCCGCAATTAAATATTACGGAAGTTTTTTAAGTGTTTGTTGAAATTGTGTCAATCCTTTTTATGGTTGTTTACTTTCTGAATAGGTGAAACTTTTTTTGAATTTTGTTTTTTTCGAGTGCTTGAACTCTTGTAAATTTTGATCGTTTTCACTGGTTGAACTTTCTGTTTTGAAATTTTAAATTTATTTTCAAAATGTGGAGAATTTCATCGTCAAATTGAAAAACTAGTTATTTGCTCATCTCATCAAGAAAGTTTGAAAATTTCAAAATTTTCCGAAATCTAGACAGTTTTGCAAAATGCTATGAAATCCTATCACAAGTTATATTTTGATACAAGTCAGGCAAAAGCTCGCAAAAAGAGAAGCCATCCAATTTTCAATCAATCCTGAAAAAAACAAACAAACCGATTGTTTTTGTTGTTGTGATTGCATCAGCGCACCATCCAACATCGCATCCACATCGAAACCATCGTCGCTTGCCATATTTTCTATCGTCCAAAAATCTGTTGAAAATCACAATCTCCTTCTTCTTATTCACACGCGTCGAAGCCTTTTTTCGAATCGAAATGAAAATTTTGCGACCGCGTTGCACACAACCGCGACGCGTCGCTGCGAGACCCAAGAGAGAGATTCTCTGCATGTTTCTTTGGAAAGGGAGGGAATTTGAAAATTAATTGTTTGTTTTTTCTTTACAAAAGGAGGGAAAAAACGGATAGGAGAAGAACAAAACAGAGAATTGATCAAAAACTTGTATTGTATCGTAATAAGCTCAATCTTGAATTGAATAATAGAATATGTAATTATAATTCTTCCATAAACGCTTCATTTTTCTCTTCAACCGGTCATTTTCCTCGAAAAAACTGACCCACAACTGTCAGAAAAGTACACATAATTAAGTATGATGCGTGCCGATGCCAAGAAAAAACTTCTTTTTTCCATTCATTTCGCAAAAAGGTTATATAATTGTTCATCCACCTTTTTTGTATTCACTTTCAAAGTTTTATTAAATTCATCTTGTAAAATAAACATCTCATAAAAACCAGTCTTTGACCATTTTTGTAACAAAGTTTGTTTATTTTTAAACGCTTTTCCGGATGTCTCATAATTTTTCACGCGAGATTTTTACAGTAACCTAATCTAATTTTTTTCCAGCAAAATGTACATTCTCCCATTCATTTCTGTATTTTTCATCACAATTTTTCCCTCGAAAATCTTCTCAAAAACCTATGAATATCCAATTCAAGAAGAATCAAAAACAATTCGAACATCTGACATAAATCTTCCAAGTATTCAAGAAAAATATACATCAAGACGAATTCATGGAGTGAATAATGTCGATTTTTCGAGACCTCTGATTTTGAGTAGTGGAAGTGGAAGAACAAAGGCAAATCTCAAGAAGAAATCGAGGAAATCGAGAAAAAAGAAAGAGGAAAGTGTTTTGAGACGACGAGAAGTTCCACGAAGTATGAAAGCTGTTGTAAGTAAATAATTTGAATCTAGAAAATAGCTTTTTTCCTGGAAAAAAAGAGAAAAAAACAACGAGACTCCGCGTTGACGCGACAGGTTCGCGCGTGGTTTGAATTTTTTTTTTCAATGGGCGTCCATATTTCGACCAATTTTTATCAAACAATAGTAAAACTAAGCAAAATCTAAGATCTTTTCAATTACAGTCAAACTTCGAGCAAAAACTGGCCGAACAAATCGAAGAAGATCAAATGAAATTCGTCGCCGATGAAAAAAATCCAATGAAATATGTAGTTGAAAAAGGTCTTTTATATAAACAAAGTCGATTTTCGCCAATTGCAAGGGTCGAGATTCCAAAAATTCCACCAATGAAAACCAGTGTTTTTCACGGAAACATCAATCGACAAATGAAAGCAATCCCAGTTTCAATGAACACAATGAGTACGGTAGGTGAAAATTTTTTAAGCTAAGATCTTCTAACAAGATATATTTGCAGAATCCTATCAAAAAATCCTATCCAATTTCAAGAGATAAAAAATGCCAAATCAATCGATTCGGATTCGAATGCTGTGATCAACTTTTGGAAAATTTGATGTTGAAAAGTTACGAGAAATTGAAGAGGAAAAATGAGCAACCTGATTTGATGACAGTTTCGATGATTATGAAACAGGACACGAAAAATTTGTGAGTTTAGGAATTTCAGTAATTGAAAAAAATCCAATTTTCCAGCTTCAACAAAAATTTCGATGTAATAGTTGGGCCTGCTGATTTCGCCACATCAATCGCCTCCAACTTCCACTGCAAAGTAGAACTTGGCCAGAATCTCAATCTAATCGCATTCGCCTTTGTGCCCCCTTCAGATGCCAATATTCGTCGAAGGAACATACCGTATCACGAATTGGCGCGAGATGATTTTCAAGAAACTGCTGATCTTGTTGTGTCTAGAAATGGAATTGTTATTGCTCATTGAATCAGGAAACAGATTATTTATTTATTTTCGTTTTCCGTATGGATAATAAAAATAATCGGCATAATTTCTTCCCGGGTAATAGAAATTCGTTTTTCCTTTGGTGTTTACTGGTTGATTTAGAGGAAGTCCCAAATCATCGTCAACTGTTCTTGGGCGGGAATATGCCAGATTTGTGTTAACATAGGCTGCATTTGGATAACTTTCTCCAACAACTGTGTTGTTTTCGAAGAACACATTTTTGAGAGGAGGAAATTCCTGGAATCAAATTCACAGTTTTTTTAAATTTTTCAGAAAACTTACAGTAATTGCTTCCGGAATCGATTGATAAATTCGATATTTTCGTTTTTGAGCAGCAATATCTCTCAAGTAGAAATTATATGCAGTTGTTTGTAATTGGATGAATTGAAGTTTCTCTTTATAGCTAAGACTTTCCAAAATCTCAATAAATGTTAGCAAAAATATCAGCGAAAACCGCATGATTTTGTTAACGAATGATATTTTGTTGTAATAAACAACACCTTTTATAGGGATATTGTGTAATAATGTCATGTTGTTTTGGAAATTTACCCAAAGTTTTGCACATCATTTTGTAGAGCTTGCAATTTCCAGCAACTCTATATATTTTATTTTTCAAATCACTTTGAGTTTTCCGAAAATATATGCGATTCTAAATTTCGAAAAATAAATTCCTGTTTAAAGGGACAGCTATTTAATGTGTGTGTGCGTCTCGACGCGCTCTCCCCCTTTCCACATTTTTTTCTTTTTTTTCCCTCAAGTCCTAAAATTTGTAGTGTTTTTCTTGGTTTTTGAACCTTTCCGTGGGGGATTTTTCGAATTTTTTCGTCATAATTTGAAAATTAGAAGTATTCATAGAGAACTTTAGCACTTCGGTGAAAAACCACCGTTAAATTATCGACTTTTTCCCGTAAAATTCAAAAATTTATTTTTTTGCGAGTTTTCCTCCAAATCCTTTTCAATTCTTCATATAAATTTGAATATCGTCAATTCCTTTGATTTTCTCGATTCTCCGGATTTTCCATTCCTAATTTTGCAGCTTGAGGTACACATCACAATGGCTGATCGAGGAGGATTCCAAGGAGGATTCGGTGGAGACCGCGGAGGTCGTGGAGGAGCTGCTGGAGGTCGTGGAGAACGCGGAGGTCGCGGTGGACGTGGAGGTCGCGGAGGACGTGGTGGTCGCGGAGGAAGGTGAGTTGAACAAATTTAGTTTCGAAACATTTCGAAAATCGATATTTTTCTTCAGAGCCGGACGTGGAGGTGAGAAGGAATCCGAATGGACTCCAGTCACCAAGCTCGGAAGACTCGTCAAGGACAAGAAAATCACCACTTTGGAAGAGATCTACCTTAACTCCCTTCCAATCAAGGAGTTCGAAATAATCGATACCCTCTGCTCCAACCTCAAGGACGAAGTTTTGAAAATCTCTCCAGTCCAAAAGCAAACCACGTAAGTTTAAATTTTGATTTCACTAGGATTCCTATCTAATTTCTAAACTTTCAGCGCCGGTCAACGTACTCGCTTCAAGGCTTTCGTCGCCATCGGAGATCACGCTGGACACGTCGGACTCGGAGTCAAGTGCTCAAAAGAAGTCGCCACCGCCATCCGTGGAGCCATCGTCTCTGCCAAGCTCGCCGTCATTCCAGTCCGTAGAGGATACTGGGGTAACAAAATCGGACAACCACACACCGTCCCATGTAAAGTCACCGGAAAGTGCGCTTCAGTCATGGTCCGTCTCATCCCAGCCCCACGTGGTACCGGAATCGTTTCTGCACCTGTTCCAAAGAAACTCCTCCAAATGGCCGGAATCCAAGATTGCTACACCGCCGCTAAAGGACAAACCGCCACTCTTGGTAACTTCGCCAAGGCCACCTATGCTGCTCTCCAAAGAACCTATTCCTACCTCACCCCAGACTTGTGGAAGGAGGAAACCTTGGAGAAATCACCATACCAACGTCACCACGAGTTCCTCGGACGCAACTAAGTTATCAAATAATGTTGCAACCATTGTGAGGTTCTCCTCTGTTTTGTTATTATCATAAATAAACATTGTTTATACAAATTTTGACTTTTTTTCATTGAAAATTCATTTTTCAAAAACAGGTAACAACAACAAATTGAGTAAAATTAATATCATACAACAATAATGAAAGTGACAATTTATCGGAAATTCTTCGCGGTCTTTCCCTTTTTGGCGGATTTTGCCTTCTTCGCTGCTTTCTTCTTTTTCCTGAAAATGAAAACGTGTTTGTTCATATTCAAATTAATATTTTTATGTGACATTTTATGCGAAACATTCTTGTTTCATTTTTCAAAAAAAAAGTAAAGAAACTTACGTTCCGGATAACCAGGTTGGATACGATCCATCTGGTTTTTTGAGTGTTTTCACATTAATTTTCGACTCCGAAGTTGCTGTTTCCATTTTCTCGACTTCCCCAGATTGAGCGGCTTTTTCTGAAAAAAATAATTGATTTTAAAAACTGACTACAATTTGGTAAGTTTTCCTAACAGTTAGCATTGACTTCAAAAGAAAAGATTTTTCTGTAAAATTTCGAAACCTTGTTGAAAAAATTCCTGTTCTTTTTTCTCTAACTTTATAACCAAAAAACCCCCGAAAAATCCCAAAAACACTCACCAGCCTCCAATTTTTCGTATTCTTCTCGTTTTTCAACAGCTTTTTGCAATAAAGCAGCCGCCTTTGGCTCTTTTTTAGTTCTGGCGATGGCACGAACCTTTCTCTTGAATTTTGAACGAAGACTTTTTGCCATTTTGTCTGAAAATGCGAGTTTTAGACTTGAAAACGGAAAGAAAACAAGCGAAAAAACAAAAATACGTTTTAAAGGGACATTGAATTATTCGTGTGTTCGTGACAAGACCCATAGTTGGACGAGTGCCAACTGAGTGGAATTTTTCTTTTCTTTTCCAACTTTTTTTTGTTCCGGTTTTTGCAGAATTAAAAATGAATGATTCAGCGATTTCGATACATTGAATTATTCGTTATTTTATCCTCTTTTTATTGATTGTGATTGATATATAATTTTGAAATTGTTTCAAGCAGTTTTTTTTTGCAGAAAAGTGTTACTTATGAAATAGCTAGAAATGAACCTAAACGATCCAACAAAACAGGCGGAGATTTATCGATATTTGGAGAATTTGAAAAAAGACGAAGATGGTTGGAAAAAATCAGTGCAAACAATCGTCGCAAATCAGGCAAATAATCCAGAAGAGGCATTTCTTCTCCTACAAGTTTTGGAGGATTTTTTGGGTAAACGATATTTGCATGCAAATCCAGCCGATCATCAAATTATTCGTAATTTTTTCCTGCATTATATCAAGGTATTGATTTCAAAAATGTTCTTAAAATTCAAAAATCTGTTATTTTTAGCAATACCAATCAAATGCACAAGAACCCCCAGTGTATTTGGTGAATAAAATGGCGCATTTGTTTTCGATGGCTTTTGCGGTGGATTTTCCGGATAAATGGTCGACATTTTTCAACGATTTGTTCTTCTCGCAAAATTTGATGGATCGAAAAATTGTGTTTTTTTATTTGAAAGTTTTGTTGGCTATTGATGCTGAAGTTGTTGATCGAGATATTCAGAGAAGTAAAATTGAGAGCGATCGAAATGTTAAAATCAAAGATGCGATGAGGGACATTTGTATTAATCAAATTGCACAAAGTTGGCCAACTATTATGGTGAGAGGTTTTGTAATTGAAAAAGCATGAAAAAAATATTTAATTCATTTTCATTTTCAAAATTTACGCTAGTTGACGAAATTTTCTAACAGAATTATAGCATTCTGAACGAATTTAAATTACATATTCATATTTTTCGAGCAAGGTTTTATTTTGGGTCTTAATTCTTCTTCATACGATAGACAATGATATCAATTTTTATGACTTTACCTTAGCCATAAGTGGTTTAGTGATGTATTTATTTCTCTAAATCACTTAAGGGTAAGGTAAAGTCATAAAAATGTATACCATTCGAAGTGTCTTATTCATACGTCGCAAAGCCTCGTTTCAAATCCACCAGTGCACACCCTTATTTTTGAAAATTTCTGGCAAAAGGGATACCCCCTACCCCTTTTTCTTTTTCATTTTCAACATAGAAACTTGACAATCTACATTTTTCGATAAACTTTGAGCTTCATTTCGGCAAATATTCTCATTTTCACCGCTTTTGAGTCAAATTTTGATTCAAAAACTTTAATTTTTCTAAAACAAAAAAATACGTTTCAAAATTTTGATATAATTTATTTTCAATTTTTTTCAATGTTTTGTATATGAAATAGTAATTTCGAAAATAGATCAAAATCAAAATTCTCAAGATTTGGATGAACATTTTGAAATTATCGATTTTTGAATCAAAATTCGTGGAAATTTTAATCACTCCCAATAAGTGTTAGAGTACAAAACTCAGAAAAATTCTTCAAAATGTTTTCTCAAGTGACATTCCCTTCCAAAAACTGGGGTGAGTGTTAACCCCTCCTCGGGTCGATTACCCCACGCATGCGACGTATGGTCTTATTTTTAGCCATAAGTGGCTTATTGTAGAAATTTCGCTAAATCACTTAAGGGTAAGGTAAAGTCATAAAATTGATATCATTCGAATTGTCTTAGCCGAAAACCAAAAATATCGATTCACTTCATACGTCGCATGCGTGGGGTAATCGACCCGAGGAGGGGTTATCACTCACCCCAGTTTTTGGAAGGGAATGTCACTTGAGAAAACATTTTGAAGAATTTTTCTGAGTTTTGTACTCTAACACTTATTGGGAGTGATTAAAATTTCCACGAATTTTGATTCAAAAAATCGATAATTTCAAAATGTTCATCCAAATTTTGAGAATTTTGGTTTTGAATCAAAACTTTTGATCTATTCTCGAAATTACTATTTCCTATTCAAAACATTCAAAAAAATTGAAAATAAATTATATCAAAATTTTGAAACGTATTTTTTTGTTTTAGAAAAATTAGAGTTTTTGAATCAAAATTTGACTCAAAAGCGGTGAAAATGAGAATATTTGCCGAAATGAAGCTCAAAGTTTATCAAAAAATGTAGATTGTCAAGTTTATATGCTGAAAATGAAAAAGGAAAAGGGGGAGGGGTTATCCCTTTTGCCAGAAATTTTCAAAAATAAAGGTGTGCACTGGTGGATTTGAAACGAGGCTTTGCGACGTATGATTCACTTGCACAAAAACTATACTGAACCATAAAACCTCCCTCTAAAATCATAATTTTTAGCAATCAATCGAAGACGACGTGATCCAATGTCTTGTCCTCGACAATATAGCATCCTACATCGATTGGATAGAATTGGACCTAATCGCAAACGACACAGTAATGGGTCTCGTCATCCATCGATTATCAAAACCAACAACTTCCGAATCAGCAACCAATGCGGTTTGTGGTCTATTGCAAAAAGGAATGCATGCGGATAAAAAAGTCGGGTTGGCATTGACACTTGTGCGTGTTTTTCGAGCCAATAATTTGTTGACAATTACGGATGAGAGTGATGAGGATGATATTACACGGGTTGGTTCACTTGTTAATACGTTGGGATTGGTGTTGTTGGATGTTCATCAGAAGTGAGTTTTTTTGGGGGAGGAGGGTTGCAAAAATTATGAAAATTGAAATCCTGAAATCGTTCTTATAAAACAGGGCTTTTCCCAAAAAATCTGTTTTTCGAAGTGAATCCGAAACCGCGATTCATTATTTTTATCCATAAAATTGAGCTAGAAATAAAAATCGAGAATTCGTAGTGACTTCGAAACGACGATTTTATATTTTTATCCATAAAATTGAGCTAGAAATAAAAATCGAGAATTCGTAGTGACTTCGAAACGACGATTTTATATTTTTATCCATAAAATTGAGCTAGAAATAAAAATCGAGAATTCGTAGTGACTTCGAAACGACGATTTATTAGTTTTATCCATAAAAATGAGCTAGAAATAAAAATCGAGAATTCGTAGTGACTTCGAAACGACGATTTATTATTTTTATCCATAAAATTGAGCTAGAAATAAAAATCGAGAATTCGTAGTGACTTCGAAACGACGATTTATTAGTTTTATCCATAAAAATGAGCTAGAAATAAAAATCGAGAATTCGTAGTGACTTCGAAACGACGATTTATTAGTTTTATCCATAAAAATGAGCTAGAAATAAAAATCGAGAATTCGTAGTGACTTCGAAACGACGATTTATTAGTTTTATCCATAAAAATGAGCTAGAAATAAAAATCGAGAATTCGTAGTGACTTCGAAACGACGATTTATTAGTTTTATCCATAAAAATGAGCTAGAAATAAAAATCGAGAATTCGTAGTGACTTCGAAACGACGATTTATTAGTTTTATCCATAAAAATGAGCTAGAAATAAAAATCGAGAATTCGTAGTGACTTCGAAACGACGATTTATTAGTTTTATCCATAAAAATGAGCTAGAAATAAAAATCGAGAATTCGTAGTGACTTCGAAACGACGATTTATTAGTTTTATCCATAAAAATGAGCTAGAAATAAAAATCGAGAATTCGTAGTGACTTCGAAACGACGATTTATTAGTTTTATCCATAAAAATGAGCTAGAAATAAAAATCGAGAATTCGTAGTGACTTCGAAACGACGATTTATTAGTTTTATCCATAAAAATGAGCTAGAAATAAAAATCGAGAATTCGTAGTGACTTCGAAACGACGATTTATTAGTTTTATCCATAAAAATGAGCTAGAAATAAAAATCGAGAATTCGTAGTGACTTCGAAACGACGATTTATTAGTTTTATCCATAAAAATGAGCTAGAAATAAAAATCGAGAATTCGTAGTGACTTCGAAACGACGATTTATTAGTTTTATCCATAAAAATGAGCTAGAAATAAAAATCGAGAATTCGTAGTGACTTCGAAACGACGATTTATTAGTTTTATCCATAAAAATGAGCTAGAAATAAAAATCGAGAATTCGTAGTGACTTCGAAACGACGATTTATTAGTTTTATCCATAAAAATGAGCTAGAAATAAAAATCGAGAATTCGTAGTGACTTCGAAACGACGATTTATTAGTTTTATCCATAAAAATGAGCTAGAAATAAAAATCGAGAATTCGTAGTGACTTCGAAACGACGATTTATTAGTTTTATCTATAAAAATGAGCTAGAAATAAAAATCGAGAATTCGTAGTGACTTCGAAACGACGATTTATTAGTTTTATCCATAAAAATGAGCTAGAAATAAAAATCGAGAATTCGTAGTGACTTCGAAACGACGATTTATTAGTTTTATCCATAAAAATGAGCTAGAAATAAAAATCGAGAATTCGTAGTGACTTCGAAACGACGATTTATTAGTTTTATCTATAAAAATGAGCTAGAAATAAAAATCGAGAATTCGTAGTGACTTCGAAACGACGATTTATTAGTTTTATCCATAAAAATGAGCTAGAAATAAAAATCGAGAATTCGTAGTGACTTCGAAACGACGATTTATTAGTTTTATCCATAAAAATGAGCTAGAAATAAAAATCGAGAATTCGTAGTGACTTCGAAACGACGATTTATTATTTTTATCCATAAAATTGAGCTAGAAATAAAAATCGAGAATTCGTAGTGACTTCGAAACGACGATTTATTAGTTTTATCCATAAAAATGAGCTAGAAATAAAAATCGAGAATTCGTAGTGACTTCGAAACGACGATTTATTAGTTTTATCCATAAAAATGAGCTAGAAATAAAAATCGAGAATTCGTAGTGACTTCGAAACGACGATTTATTAGTTTTATCCATAAAAATGAGCTAGAAATAAAAATCGAGAATTCGTAGTGACTTCGAAACGACGATTTATTAGTTTTATCCATAAAATTGAGCTAGAAATAAAAATCGAGAATTCGTAGTGACTTCGAAACGACGATTTATTAGTTTTATCCATAAAATTGAGCTAGAAATAAAAATCGAGAATTCGTAGTGACTTCGAAACGACGATTTATTATTTTTATCCATAAAATTGAGCTAGAAATAAAAATCGAGAATTCGTAGTGACTTCGAAACGACGATTTATTATTTTTATCCATAAAAATGAGCTAGAAATAAAAATCGAGAATTCGTAGTGACTTCGAAACGACGATTTATTATTTTTATCCATAAAATTGAGCTAGAAATAAAAATCGAGAATTCGTAGTGACTTCGAAACGACGATTTATTATTTTTATCCATAAAATTGAGCTAGAAATAAAAATCGAGAATTCGTAGTGACTTCGAAACGACGATTTATTATTTTTATCCATAAAAATGAGCTAGAAATAAAAATCGAGAATTCGTAGTGACTTCGAAACGACGATTTATTATTTTTATCCATAAAATTGAGCTAGAAATAAAAATCGAGAATTCGTAGTGACTTCGAAACGACGATTTTATATTTTTATCCATAAAATTGAGCTAGAAATAAAAATCGAGAATTCGTAGTGACTTCGAAACGACGATTTATTAGTTTTATCCATAAAAATGAGCTAGAAATAAAAATCGAGAATTCGTAGTGACTTCGAAACGACGATTTATTATTTTTATCCATAAAATTGAGCTAGAAATAAAAATCGAGAATTCGTAGTGACTTCGAAACGACGATTTATTAGTTTTATCCATAAAATTGAGCTAGAAATAAAAATCGAGAATTCGTAGTGACTTCGAAACGACGATTTATTAGTTTTATCCATAAAATTGAGCTAGAAATAAAAATCGAGAATTCGTAGTGACTTCGAAACGACGATTTATTAGTTTTATCCATAAAATTGAGCTAGAAATAAAAATCGAGAATTCGTAGTGACTTCGAAACGACGATTTATTAGTTTTATCCATAAAATTGAGCTAGAAATAAAAATCGAGAATTCGTAGTGACTTCGAAACGACGATTTATTAGTTTTATCCATAAAATTGAGCTAGAAATAAAAATCGAGAATTCGTAGTGACTTCGAAACGACGATTTATTAGTTTTATCCATAAAATTGAGCTAGAAATAAAAATCGAGAATTCGTAGTGACTTCGAAACGACGATTTATTAGTTTTATCCATAAAATTGAGCTAGAAATAAAAATCGAGAATTCGTAGTGACTTCGAAACGACGATTTATTAGTTTTATCCATAAAATTGAGCTAGAAATAAAAATCGAGAATTCGTAGTGACTTCGAAACGACGATTTTATATTTTTATCCATAAAATTGAGCTAGAAATAAAAATCGAGAATTCGTAGTGACTTCGAAACGACGATTTTATATTTTTATCCATAAAATTGAGCTAGAAATAAAAATCGAGAATTCGTAGTGACTTCGAAACGACGATTTATTAGTTTTATCCATAAAATTGAGCTAGAAATAAAAATCGAGAATTCGTAGTGACTTCGAAACGACGATTTATTAGTTTTATCCATAAAATTGAGCTAGAAATAAAAATCGAGAATTCGTAGTGACTTCGAAACGACGATTTTATATTTTTATCCATAAAATTGAGCTAGAAATAAAAATCGAGAATTCGTAGTGACTTCGAAACGACGATTTTATATTTTTATCCATAAAATTGAGCTAGAAATAAAAATCGAGAATTCGTAGTGACTTCGAAACGACGATTTATTAGTTTTATCCATAAAATTGAGCTAGAAATAAAAATCGAGAATTCGTAGTGACTTCGAAACGACGATTTTATATTTTTATCCATAAAATTGAGCTAGAAATAAAAATCGAGAATTCGTAGTGACTTCGAAACGACGATTTTATATTTTTATCCATAAAATTGAGCTAGAAATAAAAATCGAGAATTCGTAGTGACTTCGAAACGACGATTTTATATTTTTATCCATAAAATTGAGCTAGAAATAAAAATCGAGAATTCGTAGTGACTTCGAAACGACGATTTTATATTTTTATCCATAAAATTGAGCTAGAAATAAAAATCGAGAATTCGTAGTGACTTCGAAACGACGATTTATTAGTTTTATCCATAAAATTGAGCTAGAAATAAAAATCGAGAATTCGTAGTGACTTCGAAACGACGATTTTATATTTTTATCCATAAAATTGAGCTAGAAATAAAAATCGAGAATTCGTAGTGACTTCGAAACGACGATTTATTAGTTTTATCCATAAAATTGAGCTAGAAATAAAAATCGAGAATTCGTAGTGACTTCGAAACGACGATTTATCAGTTTTATCCATAAAATTGAGATAGAAATAAAAATCGAGAATTCGTAGTGACTTCGAAACGACGATTTTATATTTTTATCCATAAAATTGAGCTAGAAATAAAAATCGAGAATTCGTAGTGACTTCGAAACGACGATTTTATATTTTTATCCATAAAATTGAGCTAGAAATAAAAATCGAGAATTCGTAGTGACTTCGAAACGACGATTTTATATTTTTATCCATAAAATTGAGCTAGAAATAAAAATCGAGAATTCGTAGTGACTTCGAAACGACGATTTTATATTTTTATCCATAAAATTGAGCTAGAAATAAAAATCGAGAATTCGTAGTGACTTCGAAACGACGATTTTATATTTTTATCCATAAAATTGAGCTAGAAATAAAAATCGAGAATTCGTAGTGACTTCGAAACGACGATTTTATATTTTTATCCATAAAATTGAGCTAGAAATAAAAATCGAGAATTCGTAGTGACTTCGAAACGACGATTTATTAGTTTTATCCATAAAATTGAGCTAGAAATAAAAATCGAGAATTCGTAGTGACTTCGAAACGACGATTTATCAGTTTTATCCATAAAATTGAGATAGAAATAAAAATCGAGAATTCGTAGTGACTTCGAAACGACGATTTTATATTTTTATCCATAAAATTGAGCTAGAAATAAAAATCGAGAATTCGTAGTGACTTCGAAACGACGATTTTATATTTTTATCCATAAAATTGAGCTAGAAATAAAAATCGAGAATTCGTAGTGACTTCGAAACGACGATTTATTAGTTTTATCCATAAAATTGAGCTAGAAATAAAAATCGAGAATTCGTAGTGACTTCGAAACGACGATTTTATATTTTTATCCATAAAATTGAGCTAGAAATAAAAATCGAGAATTCGTAGTGACTTCGAAACGACGATTTTATATTTTTATCCATAAAATTGAGCTAGAAATAAAAATCGAGAATTCGTAGTGACTTCGAAACGACGATTTATTAGTTTTATCCATAAAATTGAGCTAGAAATAAAAATCGAGAATTCGTAGTGACTTCGAAACGACGATTTATCAGTTTTATCCATAAAATTGAGATAGAAATAAAAATCGAGAATTCGTAGTGACTTCGAAACGACGATTTTATATTTTTATCCATAAAATTGAGCTAGAAATAAAAATCGAGAATTCGTAGTGACTTCGAAACGACGATTTTATATTTTTATCCATAAAATTGAGCTAGAAATAAAAATCGAGAATTCGTAGTGACTTCGAAACGACGATTTATCAGTTTTATCCATAAAATTGAGATAGAAATAAAAATCGAGAATTCGTAGTGACTTCGAAACGACGATTTTATATTTTTATCCATAAAATTGAGCTAGAAATAAAAATCGAGAATTCGTAGTGACTTCGAAACGACGATTTTATATTTTTATCCATAAAATTGAGCTAGAAATAAAAATCGAGAATTCGTAGTGACTTCGAAACGACGATTTATTAGTTTTATCCATAAAAATGAGCTAGAAATAAAAATCGAGAATTCGTAGTGACTTCGAAACGACGATTTATTAGTTTTATCCATAAAATTGAGCTAGAAATAAAAATCGAGAATTCGTAGTGACTTCGAAACGACGATTTATTAGTTTTATCCATAAAATTGAGCTAGAAATAAAAATCGAGAATTCGTAGTGACTTCGAAACGACGATTTATTAGTTTTATCCATAAAATTGAGCTAGAAATAAAAATCGAGAATTCGTAGTGACTTCGAAACGACGATTTATTAGTTTTATCCATAAAAATGAGCTAGAAATAAAAATCGAGAATTCGTAGTGACTTCGAAACGACGATTTATTAGTTTTATCCATAAAATTGAGCTAGAAATAAAAATCGAGAATTCGTAGTGACTTCGAAACGACGATTTATTAGTTTTATCCATAAAAATGAGCTAGAAATAAAAATCGAGAATTCGTAGTGACTTCGAAACGACGATTTATTAGTTTTATCCATAAAAATGAGCTAGAAATAAAAATCGAGAATTCGTAGTGACTTCGAAACGACGATTTATTAGTTTTATCCATAAAATTGAGCTAGAAATAAAAATCGAGAATTCGTAGTGACTTCGAAACGACGATTTTATATTTTTATCCATAAAATTGAGCTAGAAATAAAAATCGAGAATTCGTAGTGACTTCGAAACGACGATTTATTAGTTTTATCCATAAAAATGAGCTAGAAATAAAAATCGAGAATTCGTAGTGACTTCGAAACGACGATTTATTAGTTTTATCCATAAAAATGAGCTAGAAATAAAAATCGAGAATTCGTAGTGACTTCGAAACGACGATTTATTAGTTTTATCCATAAAATTGAGCTAGAAATAAAAATCGAGAATTCGTAGTGACTTCGAAACGACGATTTTATATTTTTATCCATAAAATTGAGCTAGAAATAAAAATCGAGAATTCGTAGTGACTTCGAAACGACGATTTATTAGTTTTATCCATAAAAATGAGCTAGAAATAAAAATCGAGAATTCGTAGTGACTTCGAAACGACGATTTATTAGTTTTATCCATAAAAATGAGCTAGAATTGATAATCTGTTTTTCGAAGTAACTACGAAACCGCGATTTATTATTTTTATCTATAATTTTTATGATTACGAACACACATTTCTAGTTTTCTACGTGTCTTTAAAATACAGTTCTGAAGTCACAAAGTAATACAATAATTTATTGATTATGTCTCGGTTCAACAATATTTACAAGAACCATTTTTCTATTATGGACTTCTTCGAAATAGTGAAGTTTGTGAGCAAGTTTGTTCGCATTGCATTTTACTAGAAAATCGATTCTCATTCCCACATCCACTCCAACTGAATCTCTCGCATCTCCGAGTTTCCGTGTCATAATACCTGAAGGAAGAAGCTGGGATTCTGAAGCTCGGAATTTTCTGTCTTACCACATAATTCTTGCTCGTCCACACGATCCAGTAACCGGTGGAAGTGTGCAAATATCAACGGGCTCCTGAGTCGTTGTTGGAGCTGCAGTTGGTAGGGTGAATGGTGGAAGTGTTGGTAGAGTTGGAGCTGCACCGCCTGGAGGTGGATTGAAGAAATTGAGGAATGGTGCGAATGGTGAGGGTGTTGTTGTAGTTGTTGGGGGTGGAATTGTGATGGCTGGAGTTGGAGCCAAGCTATCAGGAATCAATGTTGGAAGTTGGGTAGTAGTTGCGCCGGAGAGGAAATTAGGGAATAATGGTTGACCACCATTTATTGTGCCGAAAGGCGTTGGGGTTTGAGGACTTGTTGAAGTGTCAAGAAGGCATTGTGCTACCTGTAAAAATGTTTGATGCTTCTTGAATTTTCCGTGTTCAGGAAATTCCTTAGTTATCTGAATAAATCGCTGTTTCTATAGAATCAAAGTTCTATTAGTCAATTTCGGTTTCAAATTAGTTTTTGGTTTTCGGACGATCGGATGTTTATAAATTAGAAGAAGTGCTGTTGGAATCGGAGATGTTATAAATAAAACATTCATAAATATTGAAATATAATGTCCATTAAATGATGGATTCATAAAAAATGAGATGATAAAATTGAGAAACCATGGCAATATAAATAGTCCATTGATTAGACATTGTAATGTTAAATCGAGAAGTGCTTTTTTATGATGAATTTTATTTATTCTACTCATCACACTTATTTGTTTTTTCAATTCATATAAAATTATAAAAGTGAATGTGGCTTGTATCTGAAAATATTCATAAATATCTATCGATCTCAAAATTTTTCACAAACTATGACTGCTGCAAAAGTTCCGACAAAAATGACTATAAACGTTGCACATAAAAACGAGTAGTCGAAAATTAAAAGATTTTGAATTTTATCAAAAACAAGTTGACAATTCGAATAGTTTTCTGATATATAAATTATCATTTGAGATTTTGGCATGAAAATTAATTTCCAAAATAGAACGGCTATAATATAACTGATAATAATAGCTAATGGCAATAGTCGTAGAAGAAAATGAAAAGGAACATAAAATATACTATTTTTTCTTAAAACCAGGTAAATTCTCATGAACATTTGAGAGAACATTACTATCATAAATGTCAAAAATCCCAGGATCCAAATAATCTGGAAATTTGAAATAATTTCACATGAATTAATATTTGTGCGAAAATTACCACTTTTAGATCAATATTTTCTATGAAAAATGGTAGTCCTGTAATATAGACAGCTGGAAATGGAAATAGAAATATAAGATTTAAAAAACAAGCCCAAAAAGTTTGAGAAAAATGTAACAAAAATTTTGAAATTGCTGATAATAATCGATAAAATCGATTCTCTTTTGGCGAATGAAATATAATTATAAAAATTGCGAAATAGTTTAGAATGGTTGAAATCAAGACAATTGAATTCAGAAGTAATTGAATATTGATTTGTTGAAAATCATTTATAATTGCATATTCGCATGACATTTTTTGTTATTCTGAAAATTTAGTGAGCCAAGAAAAAAGTTTAAATTGAAATCACCTGCTTTGTTTTTTGGCTGTTTCGAAGCTTTTTGTGAGATATAAAATTTATGAGATACAAGTTTTTTTTCAGTTTTGACTTATCTAGACTTATCCGATAATTATGTTGAACGCAATTTTTTCGTTCAGCTTTTATGAATTCTATTTTTGAGAGAATTTAAAATTGGACTAAATTTTGAGAATTTTACGATTTTTTGAGCATTTTTCCAAAAAAAAATTGGACTTTGGGGCCGAATTCATGAGAATGTACCAAAAATTACATAGAAAAATTTTGGTACGCCCAAATTTTAATTATTTAATTTTTGGTGTACAATTTTTTTTTAAATGATTACGTCCCATATTTTTCGGGCCTAATTTGAACAAAATCTATCCGATTTAATTTGTGTTTCAGCTCCTAAAATCCCTAGAACTTTGCCACTTACAAAAATATCTCATATTAGGAATTGAGTCCTGAATTTTCGTCTTCTCGAACCTATCCTTCCTCTATCCCCATATTTCTCACCTCATCAACAATCAAACATTTTTTCGGCGCATCACATATCAATGATTCACACAACCAATCGGTTCCTTGCGAATGAACACCACTTTTTTGTAGTAAACTTATTAATAATAATATGGGGAAAAAGTACAATATATTCATCATTATATTGTTTAAAATAAAATTTTTCGCCGCGCGCGAAAAAGGTGGCGAAAAGGAAAAGATGCAAATGAAACTGGTATTTTTGTGATTGAGAAGATGAAAAAGAAGAAGAAGAAAGGGAGGGAGGAGAATTGGGAGAAGAAGAAGCTTTTGGCATGCCTCGTTGAGTCATCCGGTGAAAAGTGAAGATTTTTATGGAAATTAGGCAGCGTGTACCGGATTTTGGGATTTTTTCGAACTTTTAAAATGATATCTGTAAAAATCCACGTGATTTTTGTGAACTAGGAAAAATATTGATTCAAGTACCATAAGTACCATAAAATACGGGATTTTCTGGGATTGCTCATGTTAAATTCATGGAAAATGTTCCTTTTTTCCAGGAATTTTAAATGCCACGTGTTTTTTTTGCACAAAAATTTGAAAATTGAAAATATGTGTATTTCGAAATCCACGTGGAAATTTCTAGAATTGCTCATGTTAACCATAGTTGTGAGCTTTATGAGCAATTTTAAAACAAAACAATCCACGTGGTTTTTCAGCACAAAAATTTGAATTTTGAAAATGGGGGATTTCTGAGACCTCGAAATCCACGTGGTTTTTTAGCGCTAAAATTTTCTGGGATTGCTCATGTTAACCATAGTTTTGAGCAATTTTCAAAAAAAAAAAAAAGAAATCCACGTGGTTTTTTAGCACAAAAATTTGAAAATATGTGTATTTCGAAATCCACGTGGAAATATCTAGAATTGCTCATGTTAGACAGAGTTTTGAACTTCATGAGCAATTTCATACGTCGCAAAGCCTCGTTTCAAATCCACCAGTGCACACCCCTATTTTTGAAAATTTCTGGCAAAAGGGATACTCCCCCTCCCCCTTTTTCTTTTTCATTTTCAGCATATAAACTTGACAATCTACATTTTTTGATAAACTTTGAGCTTTATTTCGGCAAATATTCTCATTTTCACCGCTTTTGAGTCAAATTTTGATTAAAAAACTCTAATTTTTCTAAAACAAAAAAATACGTTTCAAAATTTTGATATAATTTATTTTCAATTTTTTTCAATGTTTTGTATAAGAAATAGTAATTTCGAGAATAGATCAAAAGTTTTGATTCAAAACCAAAATTCTCAAAATTTGGATGAACATTTTGAAATCAAAATTCGTGGAAATTTTAATCACTCCCAATAAGTGTTAGAGTACAAAACTCAGAAAAATTCTTCAAAATGTTTTCTCAAGTGACATTCCCTTCCAAAAACTGGGGTGAGTGATAACCCCTCCTCGGGTCGATTACCCCACGCATGCGACGTATGAGCAATTTTCAAACAAAAAAAATCCACGTGGATTTTAAAAATTACAAATTTTTGGGATTGCTCATGTTAGGTTTAAGAAACTTTAAAAGTTGAAAAAATTGAATTTTCACATAAAATATCTTCAAAATTAAACAAAAAATTTGAAAATGTCAAAAAACTCCTGAAAATCCTCATTTTTGCAGATTATGTGCCTCCTCAATTTTGGAGCGAGAACAAGAAGAAATCGTAGTGGAATTAGCGTCGTTGGCTCAACCAGCAGTCGAAGTTTTGAACAATTCCGACCCGGATCTCTCTGAATTATCAATCGATATTCTCAAAAGCTACATCACTTTTCTTCTCAAATTCTATCCAGAAAACACGGGCCTTATCGAAAAAGTCATACAAGTCGCGCTAAAACGATATGTCATGGGAGAAGATTTGAATATTGATGGAGACGGAGAGGATGAGACTGAATTTCAAGAATATCGTCGAGAACTTCGCGGACTTTTGAATTCGGTTGGCCTCAAACGGCCTGAAATGATAATTGTTGCGTTGGAACCATGGACACTTGAAATTACAGCAAATGGAGGAACTCAAGTGCAAATTCATCGAATTGAAGCACTTCTTCATATCATTTTTCATTTACATGAAATTATTCCAAGTAACATGCTACAATCACCAAGAGAAGGAATATCACAAAGAGCCGCTCGATTACCATTGCTCATTTTAGAGGGACTTTTACTTGATGGCAGATCGACTACAGTACATGTGACATATTTCGAATTGGCGTGTCGATACGAACGATTGTTAACATTGCAACAACCACAACAACCGGCGGTGATTCCGCAAATTGCCGGCGCGTTTTTGGATCAACGTGGAATTGCGATTCCGGCGGTTAATGTGAGAACGAGGATTGTTTATTTGTTCACGAGATTTGTGAAAGCTCATAAAACTGTTCTTAGTGGATTGGTTTCAGAGGTAAGGAATTTTTGGGGGAAAAATACGTTTCAAAATATTTCCATTTTTATTTGAAATCCCTAGATTGACTGAAAAAACTTGGATTTCTTCTTTAATATTGAATTTTTACCTGAAAAATCAAAAAATCTAGAAATTTCAGTTTTTTCGAGATTTTTATTGAAATTTCAAGATTTTTGTGTGAAAATAGATGAAAATCTGATTTTAACATGAAAATTATAGTTTTTTAAATTTTTCATTCGAAAATCTTCAATTTCAGGTTGAAAATTAGATTTTCAAATTTAAATTCCAGTTTTTTTTCAGCCTAAAAAATTATCAAATGTTATATAGCTTTTAAATATAGAAAAATCCCATTTTCAGCTTGAAATTTATAGTTTTTTAAATTTTTCATTCGAAGACATACGTCGCATAGCCTCATTCCAAATCTACCAGTGCATACTCCTATTATTGAAAATTTCTGGCAAAAAGGATACCCCCTACCATTTTTCCTTTTTCTTGTTTATTTGCAGTTGTAAAAACTTGATAATCAAAAGTTTTCTTAAAATTTGAGCTCAAAATTGCTTCACTTCGACAAAAATCTCTTTCTCATCACTTTTGAGTCAAATTTCGATTAAAAATTCCTATTTGTCAAAAAACAAAAAAAATACGTTTCAAAATTTTGATATAATTTATTATCAAATATTTTTTTCAATATGTTCATCATTCATTAAATCTCAAATTTTGATTAAAAATTTCTATTTGTCAAAAAACAAAAAAAAATACGTTTCAAAATTTTGATATAATTTATTATCAAATATTTTTTTCAATATGTTCATCATTCATTAAATCTCAAATTTTGATTAAAAATTCCTATTTGTCAAAAAACAAAAAAAATACGTTTCAAAATTTTGATATAATTTATTATCAAATATTTTTTTCAATATGTTCATCATTCATTAAATCTCAAATTTCGATTAAAAATTCCTATTTGTCAAAAAACAAAAAAAATACGTTTCAAAATTTTGATATAATTTATTATCAAATATTTTTTTCAATATGTTCATCATTCATTAAATCTCAAATTTTGATTAAAAATTTCTATTTGTCAAAAAACAAAAAAAATACGTTTCAAAATTTTGATATAATTTATTATCAAATATTTTTTTCAATGTCACTTTCATTATGTATACCTGCAATCATCATCATTTATTATGTATACCTGCAAAAAGCGAAGTTTGAAAGACTTTCGAGATTCTCAATGTTTATACCTTTAACGTGTCCATTTCAAAACCCGGGGTTTTTTCTTGATCTTTTGGGATTTCGTATTGAGAATAAATTAAAACCAAAATTCTCAAAATTTGGATGAAAACTCTGAAATTATCGATAGATAGAGTACAAAGATGAGAAAATTTCTTCAAAAAGTTTTCTGAAGTGACAACCCCTCCTCGGGTCGATTACCACACGCATGCGACGTATGATTTCATGGAAAATCTGGTAATTTAGAATTTTTTCAAATTTAAAAAATTGCATAATTTTGAAACGTATTTTTTGTTTCATTTTTTTCACCAGAAAAAGTGATTTTTTGCTGAAATTCTAAGATTTTTGAGTGAAAATGAAAACCCTGAAATCTTGAATTTTCAGCCAAAAATCAGCAATAATCTCAGACCTCAACCTCTATTTTGCAGGTAATCACTCGACTCGCTCCTCTCCTAGCAGTTTCTCCACAATCAGATTCAAATCAAACCCTTTCATCCGATGATCAAGCCTATGTTTTCGAAGCCACCGCAACTTTGATTGTTTATGGAAATCTTACCACAGAAATGAAGGCTCAATATTTTGGAGAACTTTCGACAACATTAGCAATGAGATTTGAGAATGGGTTGGTTGAATTGAATGCGGCAAGAGCGAGAAATGCGGATGAGGAAACTATTCAAACGATTTTGACATTTATGTCAAATGTTATTATTTATTGCAGGTTTGTGGGTTTTTTTTTTGTTAAAAAAATAACTTTTTGGAATTTTTGTTGGGAAACAAAGTATGAAACCCACTAAAAAAATTTAAAAAAAACCTGTGAGTTTTTTTTTTGACCAAATCAAACACGGTTTTATTTAGTAGAAAATCATGAAAAAAACCAAAATTTTGAAAATTGATCTGACGTTTTGTGCAAAACTGATTTTTCTGAACTTTTTTATTTTTTTAGCGAACACGGTTTCAGTGAACATCATGAAAAATTCAAAATTCTGAAATTTTGTACAAAAAACTATTTTTTTTTCTGAAAATTTTTATTTCTGTTATAAAACATGGTCTTTTATTTATCAGAAAATCATGAAAAATTGAAAATCCGGAAATTTTTGAAAAGAAAATTTAGAACTCATTTTGAGTGAATTTCATATCTTCAAAAGAATTATCTATTTTTCAACCCATCTCCTTGTTCTAATTTTCAAATTTCCGAAATTTCCAGCCGAATGTCAAAAGCTTTCAACAATGTTCAATCAATGAAATCGTGTAGCTGCGTAGATATTTATTTGAAACTCCTCAAATTATTCATCGACACCTTGTCACCAGAAAACGCATTCCTCCTCGAATCAACTCGCCAATTTGCACATCGTCTTGTTGTCTCATTGGAAGACGAACTATTGCCGTATTTGAGAGGAGTTTTCGAGAAATTGGCATTGGTTTCAGTGGATTTGGATGCGATGAATCATTTATTGATCTTCTGTCATCAAGCGGTTGCGAAATTCAAAAAGGCAATGTTGACGAGTGGAGTTGATTTGGGAAATGTGTTGGCGATTTCGGCGAGAGCTGCTATGCAGGAACAGGAGAATATTACTGCGGCTAAAGGTATTTTTTGAGTTTTGGACTCTCTAGGCGTGGATTCTTGGCTTAAAAGCGCTCAAGGCTCGGCTACTTGAAAACTAGGTCCTCTAGGCGCTGATCCTTGACAATTTGATTCTCTAGGCGCGGCTACTCGAGACCTGGGTTCTCTAGCTGCGCCTGCTTGAGAATTAGACTAGGTAGGCTCGACTACTTGACAATTTGATTCTCTAGGCGCGGCTACTTGAAAACTAGGCTCTATAGGCGCTGATCCTTGACAACTAGGTTCTCTAGGCGCTGATCCTTGAGAATTGGGTGGTCTAGGCGCAGCTGCTTGACAACTAGACTCGCTAGGCTACTTGAGAACCCGGTTCTCTAGGATTGGCTGCTTGAGAATTAGAGTTTCTAGGCTTGGCTACTTGAGAACTATACTCTCTAGGCGCCGATCCTTGAGAACTATATACTCTAGGCGCGGCTACTTGCAAACTAGGATCACTAGGCGATGATCCTTGACAACTAGGCTCTATAGTCGCCGATCCTTGAGAACTAGGATCTCTAGGCCCAGCTACTTTAGAACTAGATTCTCTAGGCGCTGCTCCTTGAAAACTAGGTACTCTAGGGTTGGCTGCTTGACAAAGAAGCTCTCAAAGGACATTTTGTAGGCTAACTTTTTTTTTTAGAAATACAGAATCTATTGTTTTTCAAAGCTAGACCATTCAAAAAATTGGGGGAAAATATGAAAATTTCAATAATTTGCTTTCTTCACCCAAATTTTTTTTTCAGATGACAGTCAACGAGCCCTGATTTATGTTCAACGTGCATTCCTTCAATTATTATACACCGTAATTTGCAATGATTGTATCGAAGCATTATCAAATGCCGGATTACTTGATCATATTTTGGAAGCTGCCGCTCGACTTGCTCTATCTTCTGATCAAACATCACAAAAAGTTGCGTTAGGATGTTTGTCCAAAATATCACAATTATCACCAACTTGGTCAGCAAGAACATTGAGAATTGCTTTAGAAGTTCCAACACTTCCACATATTACACCAAGCGATGCCGGAAGTAGTATTGTAAGTTGAATATCGAATTTAAATGTGCCTAAAGCTCAAATTTCCAGGTTGTCCACGAAGTTTGCACAACTCTCACCACACTTCTTCAATCCGATCCAAATGGTTTCTCGCAAGCGCTTCGAGAACTTTTGCCAAACAACAATTTCTCCAATCAACTACTCACTGCCCTAACCACGTTGAAGGGGAAAAGTTTGGATAGAGAGGTTGGTCAAAATGCGGGTTTTCTGGGATTTTTCAATGATGAAACATCAAGATTTTTGAAGCTTCTGGAGTGCTTTTTGATGATTTTTCGAAAAATTCGAAATTTTCAAAACTTGTTCTCATCAGAAATTACCTCAAAAGCCACAATTTTTCATCATGTTTGACTGAAAAACTCAAAAAACTGAAATTTGAAAAAAATCAATAATCCCTAAATTTCAGGTCATGTCCCTTTATACTTCACTTCGCCAATCGATTTGTTAGCTAGGTTTTTAAATTTTCAAATTTCTGTTTTTTCTTCTTCTCCCGCTCTTTCAAATCAGTTCATTTTCCCCCCGATAAAATTCAAAAAAAAATCCGGTTTTTGGTAATAGTCTTGTTTAGTGTCTTATTCTTCTTCTCTTCTTTCGACCCCCCGCATCAAAATTTGCTCATTTTGTATATGTTTATTGTTATTCTCGTTTTCTTGTTGATTGAAAATTATATATTATTTATTTTATACAAGTACCCATCCCCCATCTACCCGAAATTGCACCTGAAAGTGACAAAAATTCAAAAAAATATCGGGTTCCTCCCACACCACTTTTTCATGGTTTTTTCTTTGTTGGTTATTTTTTTTGCCCAAGTAAATTTTATTGATTCTTAATTAGGCAATTAATTAAGTAGTCGAATTAGCACAATATTATCGCCTTTTACAAAACATGCACGTTGTTTTCGAGATTCGACATTTTGATTGGGAATTGGCCAAAGTTTCGGATCTGCCTGAGTCCAGCGAAGAAATTCGGGAAGATTTTGAGAATTTGAAGAGGCGATTCGAAGTTGGATAACATTTCGAAGAACACAATTTACGAAGCAATCGAAAGATGTTGGGATTCCGCGAATTATTCGATCGATATTTGAATGATTGTGCGTTCGAATCTGGAAAATTTTGGATTTCAGCTGGAAATTGGGCTGGAAAATTCTGAACACAAAAAATACGTTTCAAATTTTTTTGATATAAAATCTGTTTAAAATTTTTTTCGATTTTTTCTTGTCTTCTCATTTTGGTTCTAAAAATGCTGTTTTATGTGTTCGAATCTGGAAAATTTTGGATTTCAGCTGGAAAATTCGGGAACACAAAAAAATACGTTTCAAATTTATTAAATCTAAATTTTCTTCAAAATCTTTTTCGATTTTTTCGTCTCTTCAAAATTTCGAAAAATGGGAATTTTAACAGTTTTAAATCTAGTAAATTCTCATGCCCAAAAATCTCTATGTACTTTTTGAATTTAATCAATAATAATACAAATATCTAAAAAAAATCTCACCTCAACCCTTCTCTCTTCTCTCACAGCTTTCGCCAAAATTCCAAGTGGTGTATCTTCGCCAAATTCTTTCATTCTTTCCAATACATTTTTCCATTTTCTATTCGAAATTGTCGCCTTTTCACCTTTTTCCATCAAAGTTCTGCCGGGAAGAACCATTTCTTCTAGACGACTTATTCGATCTCGCTTTTGTTGCCTGCAAAAAACAAATTTCGCAATTTTTTTGATCCTAAAATATTACTTTTGCTTAAAAAAAGGATACGTTTCGATTTTTGATAAGTAAGAAAGTTTAAAATTCAAATTTCCACTATTTTGAGTTTAAATTTGCTAATTTTCACTAATTTTGAGCCAAAAATTCTAATTTTCACTATTTTTGAGTTTAAAATTCAAATTTTCACTATTTTTGAGTTTAAAATTCTAATTTTCATTAGTTTTGAGCCAAAAATGCTCATTTCCACGATTTTAGAGGTAAATTTGCAAATTTTTCATAAATTTCAACCCAATTTTCAGAAATGCATCATTTTTCCCCCAAAACTCCCCCCAAAATCCACTCACTTTTTACTAACCGTCGTATTTTTCAAATGCTCTTCGGCAATTTTATCAATAAAACAAATATAATCCGCAAGTTCCGGCAAATCTTGACAAAATTCCAGCTCCCAACGGTCCATTGAGAACTCTTCTTCATGTTTCTGGGTAGAAGTTGAAGGTAGATCCATCTGAAGGTGAAACTTCTAAGGAATCTGAGATCTGGGGAGAAATGGAAAATATATATGGAAACTATACACTTAACACGGAAAAATGTGGATTTTTTGCGTTCAAAATTTATTTTTAAATATCTTAATTATAGAGAGAGAAGGGGGGATAGAAAAAAGAAAAATTAAAAAGAAAATCGAGTATTTTCGGCGCATCGAATCGCTGAAAAATAACCGGAAAAGGGCGAAATTTAAAAAAAGAAAAGGAATGACCAGGACACCAAAAAAAACTAATTGAAAAAACACAAAAAAACATGGGAGAATCGCGTAAAAGTTGTTCGACAATACAATCTGTTCACTGTATTCTCGTTGCGATTTCGAATCCCAGAAAATTTCGGGGAACCAGCCTCAAAATACATAGAAATCTAGAAGGGAGGAAGGGAAAAACCAGAAAAAAAAACCTATGCGCCATATTACACTGTTCTGTAATAGACATTCAAGGTGATTTTTTGGGTGGGGGGAGGAAAAAATAAAAAATAATATAAATGACCGGGAAACAGAGATTATGAGCATTTTTTGAAAAAATTCAAATTTTGATGGAAATCTTTTGCTCTTAATTTTGAGCTCTGGAATTTTAAGCTTTAAATTTTGAGATCTAGAATTTTAAGCTCTTGAATTTCGAGCTCCAAATTTCAAGCTCGAAATCTTTTGCTCTTAATTTTAAGCTCTGGAATTTCTAGCTCCAAATTTCAAGCTGAAAATTCTGAACTCTGAATTTCGAGCTCCAAATTTCAAGCTGAAAATTTCGAGCTCCAAATTTCAAGCTGAAAATTTTGAACTCTGAATTTTGAGCTCTAAATTTTTGGCAGTTTTTGAATCGGACCATAGAAATCGGACCAGGTCCGATTTTTTGAGAAAAATTCTGAATCGGACCACTTTTTCAAAATTTGCCTGATTTTTGCACCAAAAAATTGACTGTTTCGAAAAAGTGGTCCGATTCAAAATTTGCCGAAAAATTCTCATCAAAATTTGAAAACCTTCAAAAATGCTCACAATTTCCATAGCCGGCTCATTTAAAAAAGCAGAAAAAAGGGGAAAAATCACAGGATGGACGAGTTTTCTTCGTTTTTGAACACATTTATCGATTGTTGAGCGAAACCGACGAAAATCCTGGTGGTGGAGCCAACGCCGATGAAGAAGATCTCAGACTGTTCTCATGCGACCATCTCGACATTGACGAATCATCCATAAATCGAACATTCACATTGGGCAACATTGATTTGAATTGCTCTTGAAGTGATTGTTGTGGAGCGGCACTTTGCGAATTATTTCCATTGGATCGTGGGGCCAATCCAGGTGGCGGAGCTACACCATAATTATTCTCTTGTTGCTGATGTTGCTGCATTTGTGAGAATAACGATGAACTTGCTGCTTGTGCGGCTGCGTGTCGAGCTGCTGCGATTTCTTGATAATATGAAGAATGTTGCTGTTGTTGTGCCTGTTGCTGCTGTTGATGTTGCTGTTGAGCAGCGGCGGCGGCTTGAGCCTGCAAAAAATTGGAAAATAAAAATATTCCTAATTTTTTTGAAGCTTCAAAATTATTTTGAAAAAATTCAAATTTCATTCAAAAATTTTTTATTAGATTCCAATTTTCAAAATCGAATTTTGTCACGATTCTCCAAAGAGCACAAAACTCGAGAATTTCCTGAAAATCGCGGGGTTTTGAGAGCCCATAACTCATGTTCATACGTCGCATGTGTGGGGTAATCGACCCAAGGAGGGGTTGTCACTTCAGAACACTTTTTGAAGAAATTTTCTCATTTTTGTACTCTATCTATCGATAATTTCAGAATTTTCATCCAAATTTTGAGAATTTTGGTTTTAATTTATTCTCAATACGAAATCCCAAAGATCAAGAAAAAACCCCCGGGTTTTGAAATGGACACGTTAAAGCTATAAACATTGAGAATCTCGAAAGTCTTTCAAACTTCGCTTTTTGATTTTTTTTTGATATTCTTGAAAATTGCATTGAAAAAATATTTGATAATAAATTATATCAAAATTTTGAAACGTATTTTTTTTTGTTTTTGACAAATAGGAATTTTTAATCAAAATTTGACTCAAAAGTGATAAGAATGAGATTTTGTCGAAGTGAAGCAATTTTGAGCTCAAATTTTAACAAAAATTTTGATTATAAAGTTTTTACAGCTGCAAATAAAAAAGGAAAAGGAAGAATGGTAGGGGGTATCCCTTTTGCCAGAAATTTTCAATAATAGGGGTATGCACTGGTAGATTTGGAATGAGGCTATGCGACGTCATGTTAGAGAAGATTTTATAAAAAATTTGACCTTTAAATTTTACTTTGGTAAATCAACCGTCCTGAACATCGCCTTGTAATCAATTTTTGATAAAATCTTCTCTAACACAAGTTATGGGCTCTAAAAACACGATTTTCCGAAAATTCTCGATTTTTGTGCTCTTCGAGGGTCGATATTATTTCGAAAAATTGAAAACTATTCGAACCATCTTTTTTAAAAATGAAATTTGAATTTTTCAAAGAAATGAAATTAAAGATTTTGAAAATCAACTTTTTTTTTAATTTTCTAAATTTTTCAAAATTGAAAATAAAGATTTTAAAAATCAACATTTTTTCAATTTTCTAAATTAAGGATAAAGATTCTTCCAAATATTTTTTCTTTCTCAAGATTCTCTCCCAGAAATAAAACCATACCTGTGCAATTTGTTGTTGTCTCAAGAAATACGAGCTCATCGCAAATTGATCATGTTGCAATTGTTGTTGTTGCTGCTGCTGTTGTTGTTGCAATATCGACAACTGTGATTGCATCGACAAACCATTCGAAAACAACGAATGTGCTGGAGATGATGACCAAAGTGACGAAGATGCAGCCAATTGTTGTTGCTGCTGCTGCTGTTGTGCTTGTTGATGTGCTTGTGCTTGTTGTGCAGCTGCAGCGGCCGCAGCTACAGCTTGTTGTTGTTGCTGATGAATTTGGTGCAATAGGGATTGATGTTGCTGCTGTTGTTGATGTTGCTGGAGCAATCTAGAAAAATTAAACATAAGTTTTAGATTTTGCAGGTTTCCTTAAAAGTTCAGAAAGTTTTTTCTGTCAGATTCATACGTCGCAAAGCCTCGTTTCAAATCCACCAGTGCACACCCCTATTTTTGAAAATTTCTGGCAAAGGGATAACCCCTCCCCCTTTTCCTTTTTCATTTTCAGCATATAAACTTGACAATCTACATTTTTTGATAAACTTTGAGCTTCATTTCGGCAAATATTCTCATTTTCACCGCTTTTGAGTCAAATTTTGATTCAAAAACTCTAATTTTTCTAAAACAAAAAAATACGTTTCAAAATTTTGATATAATTTATTTTCAATTTTTTTCAATGTTTTGTAGAAGTAATAGTAATTTCGAGAATAGATCAAAAGTTTTGATTCAAAACCAAAATTCTCAAAATTTGGATGAACATTTTGAAATCAAAATTCGTGGAAATTTTAATCACTCCCAATAAGTGTTAGAGTACAAAACTCAGAAAAATTCTTCAAAATGTTTTCTCAAGTGACATTCCCTTCCAAAAACTGGGGTGAGTGATAACCCCTCCTCGGGTCGATTACCCCACGCATGCGACGTATGGTAGTTACAGACAATTTCGAGACAGAAATTTTTTTCAGACTTCACAAGAAAAAATTATAAACTTCTAGAACATTTTTTGTCTAGGTCATTTTTCATTTTCCCCGTTAAATATCAAAATTTTCAATATTATTAAAAAGTTCTGTTATATTTTGAAAACATACATTATTATTCATCACGATGAGTCAGAAAAACATAAATTTCAAATGTTTGTGATCAAATGAGAGATTAGTTTTCAAATTTTGGCAAATATTGTAATTTTTTGAAAAAAAAAACCTAGAGAGTGAATTTCTGAAAATTGGCTCCGTAATTTCAGTTCTAGAATTTTGGGAATTTAAAAAATTGACATAAATTAGGGCCATTGAATCGATTTTCTGAGTTTCTCAACGAAATTTTTCCCAGATTTCTACCTATTTATTCAAAAATTGGAATTGGCTGTATTTTCAGTTCTAGAATTTTGAAGATTCAAAAAACTTGAAAATCAATATCCCTAATATTAGAAATGCTCTTTTAAAAAGAAAGAGTCTTTTTCTTGCTCAAGAGCTAAGAAAATGCATTTTCCAAGGAACTTTGATATTGGGGTTATATTTCTAGTTTTTTTTCCCAATTTTTCATCAAAAATTTGGTCTTGAAAACTCACTGTGACAAAGAATTGTGTTGCTGCTGCTGCTGCTGTTGTTGCTGTTGATAATTCAACCCACTCGACGCGCCAAACAATCCTCCACCAAATGCCGGATAATCCTCGCTTTCCTCTCGCAATAAATCCGACAATCCTTTCGCTGACTCAACAAACGGATCGAAACCCAACTCATCATCCGAACCATATCTGGCAAGTCCCGGTGGTGGACTTTTCGGTTTTTGTTGTTGTGTCGGTGGCTGTGGTTTGAAGGCCGATGTGAATGAGGAGAATAGCGAATCGGTATTCACAATCGGTGCCACCATTGGTTGTTGCGGTGATAAACCAAGAAGCGTTTGCCAATTGACAAGCGGTGCGGGTGCTTCGTTTTGTTGTGCAAGTGGAGCCGGTATTCCAAAACAACTATACGCATCATCTTCCCTTTCATCATCATTTTCTTGATTTGTATGCAATTGTGACATCAAATCATCTAATCGATCAATATCAGCTTCCGGATCAGTTGGCGGTGAATGACTTTGTGTCTCATCTCTTTCACTCCACTGCCTTTCCCGTTGAGCATGTCGATGTGTCTCAACTTCTTGTGGATTTGATGGCGCTGGATCTTCGACAGAAGACGATGATGAATCTTCATTCGCAAGATTATCTGCAGATGGTGAGCCTGTTCGCTCCTCATCCATTTCATCGCCTCCATCGTTGTCTGTTTGATCCCAATGTGATATGAGTTTGACGGTTTGTGGCGGTTTTGGTTTGACGGGACTGAAAATTATTTTTTTTGTTGAAAAGTTTACTTTTTTCAGCAAGATCCGGTGAAATTCCCCAACTTTCTTCTAAAATTTTGATGACACATATCGAAATATACCAAATCGACCATGCTGATCACAAATACAAAGTCGAAAATTTCCACAAATGCCTGTGAGCACTTTTCTGGAGCTCGAGCCCATTTTCACCATTTTCCCGGGTGGAAAATCAACTTTTATAGGCTGAAAGAGGTTGTTCACCACATTCGAAAACCTATTAGTTTTCCAGCTGAAAACTGTAATTTTTGATAAATTCATGAAATTTTTTTTGGGAATTTATTAAAAATCACAGTTTTCAGCACACCTCGGCCAAGCCGTGGCTGGCCAGAGTACCGTTTTTGGAAAAATCTGAATTTCAGTTTTAGAGGTCAAAAATTGAAAAATCACAAATTTTAGAGGACAAAAACTGAAAAATTCACAATTTTTGTACTGTAAAAAGTTAGCGTACAATTTTTTATTGTGGAAACCACGATTTTGGCCGAGGTGTGGTTTTCAGCTGATATTTCATATTTTTTGATAAACAAAAAAGACCTCATTCAGCCTATAAAAGTTGATTTTCCACCCGGGAACATGGTGAAAATGGGCTCGAGCTTCAGAAAAGTGTTCACAGGCACTTGTGGCAATTTTTGACTTCGGATTCGTGATCAGCATGGTCGATTTGGTTTATTCCGGGACCTTTCCCTTGTATTCGAAATTGCTCACCTTAAAGATATACTCTTCTCAATAATATTAGCAACCGTTGGATTTGACGGCGGTGGCCGACTGAGTACCGTTTCAATCAGCCGTTTCTCGTAATCCGTATGCTTTCCAGCATGCATATCATCTTTTGTGAAACTTATTTCAGCGTCCGCATTTTCGTGTAAATACATACATTCCTGCAATAAACATGGAGATGATATGGAAGAGAGAATTGAAGAAAAAACTAACCGGTTTGAAACACTTTCGCGATTGAAGGAATGAGGAACAGTACTTGGTTGTACCTAGCGATGCTTTCACTAACCGACCATCCAAGTACGCGTTATTAACTCCCTGCAAAAAAATTGAATTTAGAAATGCAAATTCTAAATTTCCACGTCATATAGTTCACGTGAAAATCCTATTTTTTATCAGCTCAAAAGTTTTTTTTTCTGTTTTCTAGTACTTTCCGACCCTCTGATCACTATTCCATTATCTAAAATTGCAAAAGCAAACTTCTAACATGAGTTATGACGTGGCAAAAAGACTTCAGGAGCTGAAATCTAGCTTCAAAAATGATTTTCATTCAAATCTGACAGCATTGGGTTGTTCAGGAGTCTCGATTACATAAGATCGGAAGGTTCATTCTAAAATCCCAAAGCTTTCACAGAACAAAAATAATTTTTCAAAACTGAGATCTTTTCATTGTTAGATCAATTTTGAAAAAAAAATTTGTTCTGTGAAATCTTTGATCTTAAATAATCGAGGCTCCTGAACAACCCAATGCTATCAGATTTGAATGAAAATCATTTTTGAATTTAGTTTTGAGCTCCTGAAGTCCCAATTTTTCAAAAGTTTTCCACTTTTAGACAAAAATTTACTAGAAAACAAAAACTTCCCCAATCCTCACCTGAATCGCTCTCAGCGCCTCCTCAACCTTTTTATACGTCACATACGCCGTATGACTCGGCGGTAAATGTTGATGCGGATAAACACTCGGCGCCACACTCGTCACCACTTTCAATATTTTACCATATCTCCCAAAATACTCGGGTTTCTTCAGTATTTCCACATCAGCCACACGCGACGACAACCCGACAACATACACCAAATTCTTTTGCAACACTCGATAATTGGCTAAATGTTGACGTGTTTCAGAAATTCGCATTTTCTCCGCTTGCTTCTTCATTCGTTTTTCGTCTTTGTGCCGTTGAACATCGGAACTTGACATTGGTTTGAAATTCACCGGATCTTCTGGATACGGTTGCCGACAGGCGGGACATAATCCATTTTCGTCGGTGCGCAAGCGATGCCAGCAAAACCGGCAAATCTGCAAAATTTCCCAAGGGTTTACTATAGATTTTCAATAAAATATATGTTTTCCATTAGTTTTCGTCCCGCTGATCATTATTCCGTTGTCTAAAATTGGTAAACCCAACCTAATATTAGTTATGACGTTGCAAAGTTGGAAAATTTCGAAAAATCTGGACTTTAGGAGCTGAACACATTTTAGAAGCTAGTATTCAGCTCCTAAAGTCCCGATTTTTTGAAATTTTCCAACTTTGCAACGTCATAACTCATATTAGAAGGTGAGTTTAGCAATTTCAGACAACGGAATAGTGATCAGCGGGTCGGAAACTAATGGAAAACATATATTTTATTGAAAATCTAAGTTCCCTCGTTAGTTCCCTTTTCTGAAAACCGTAAAGAAAACATTTTCCAAGGCCGAAACTCTTGTAGATTTTATCTTGATTACCTTATTTCGATAAATTTCGGCGACAATAAAAACAATTTTTTTTGAAAAATAACTCACTTGGTATTCACATTTGCATGGATAGAAGTTGATATCATCCAACTCTAAAACTTCCATACACAAAGGACACTGAAAAATCGCAAATTTTTACAAAATTTCAGAAAACTTCTGGAAAATTCTTACCTCCTTATCAGATTGATCGTCACTACTTGTAGACATCTTTTTAGCGCGAATAAAAAGAGATTTGTAGAATTTACTGGAAAAATGAAAAAAGGCAATTAAAAGTCATGTGAACGGGAGAGAGAAAAAGGCCAAACAAAGTTCAATTTCAGTTTTTCCGTTTCGTAACAGAAATACAAAAAAAAAACGGAAGAAAAACACTATGCTATTCATGAGTCATACTCATTGTTTTCCTTCTATTCTAGTTTTTGTGTCTGGTTAGAAAAAAATAGGAAAAAAAGAAAGGAAAATCGATAGACTAACAGATGGACGCTTTACAATGTAATATCGATTATGTTGTTGTTTATGTTAGATTAATTTGATTTACTTGGAAAATATAATTGAAGTGAAATGAAATGAATAAAATAAGTGAAGCGAAACATTTGATACCTTATTGTTTGTTTGTGGAGAAAAAAGAACAATAGATTATTATTGATTTTTTGCCGCGCGGATGGGAAAAAGGAAAAAACACAGCGGGATTCCTTGAAAACCTTCAAAAACGGGTTATCACCAAAACGATAGCAATAGTTATAATATTTTTGCGATAGTTTCAGAGATTCCAGTGGTTAATTGAAGAAAAAATCGGAAAAGATTTTGCACTGCGTTTTTCTCGATAAATAATCATATATTCCACAACATATTTAGAATCAAATGATAGATCTTGGTCTCCTCTACATTTTGACATACAAATCGATAATGATAGTTGAAATTGAGTCTGCAACGGAGCCGACAAACAATTATTGATGGGCTGCGCGATGTGAAATGAAAACACACAATGAGAGAGAAGAGAAGAGCGTGACAAGACCCAAGTGGAGAAATAAATGAATGCGCCTTGAATGTGGCAATACAATACGGTATCTCGTCGCTCTTTCCTTTTCTCAGCTGTTTTGCCATTGATTTTTGCGCAAATTTTAGGTAATAGAATGGATTTGGAAACGGCAAAAGGACGACATTCAGTGCTCAAACGAAAGGCTAACGAATCCCTACAAAATTTGATGGATATTACGCAAGCATCAGCAGCAAAACGGTAGAAAATCTTTTTTTTCACGAGAAAACCCGGGTAAACCAGCGTTTCTTTTATTTCAGAAAAAGTCAGATACAGAAATTACGCGATAATGAATTGTATAAAAAAATCATCCGCACTTATAAATCGCCAATTTGGTCGGGATGCGCTGTTTCGCCTCGTGATTTGGCCGATTTCGGATGGACTTGTATCAAGAAGAATACGACGAAATGCGTGGAATGTGAACAGATTTTGTCGACGGTTTTACCAAGTATTTCGTCAGTTAGCATAAACGTTTATAATACGTGTTTAAAGTAAGTTTTTGCGATGAGTTTCGAAACTGATTTCGCAAGATTTGCTGACCGAAATAACGTTTTTTTAATGGTAAATTCCAGATTTATCGAGAAAATCCTGGATTTTCAGCTTTTTAAAGCACTGCAAGGCAAATCTCAAAGCGAAATAGTTTCCTAGTGTCAAATATCGGATTTTCGACTAGATTTGCAGTGTAAAATCTAAGAATTGAAGTTCCCCCTGGTTTTTTCAAGTAAAATATATCTATATTTACCTGGAGCTCCTGAATTTTATCCAATGTTTTCTGAGAAGCGAAAATATTCTGCCTACCTATTTGAAAAATGAAATGATTTCAAATGCAAAATTCACACGCTATTTTAAATAGTTCACGCGCAAACAAATCATGTGATTTTTATAAAGTTTTTCATAATAAATTGTCACATGCAGAATTCTATTGATTTTTCCAGGTGAATGAGAAGAATGTATTGATTTCTGGCTTGAATTCTTTCAGGTTATCCAGGAATCAATACTTTCTTCTCATTTACCTGGAAAATTCAATAGAATTCTGCATGTGACAATTTATTACCTATAAAAATGAAAAACTTTATAAACATCACATGATTTTAGCGCGTATATTTTACTTGAGAAAACCAGGGGGAACTTCAAATTCCCCAGTCAATTCTTATATTTAGATTTTAGACTGCAAATCCAGTCGAAAATCTGATATTTGACACTAGGTAACTATATTTCGCTTTGAAAGAGCTGTTCAGAGCTGAAAACTAGCTGATTTTCATGCAAATCTGATAGAATAGGGGTTTTCAGGAAGCTCAATAACATAACTTTTCAAAACTTTTGAACCCATGTTATTGAGCTTCCTGAAACCCCCTTTGTTATCAGATTTGCGTGAAAATTAGCTAGTTTTCAGCTCCGAACTTTTCCACTTACAAGAATATCTCATAATAGGAGTTGAGTTCTGCAATTTCAGACATCGGAAAAGTTGCCAGCGCGTCAAAAACTATCTTCGATTTTTCAATTATCTGAGATTTTCAGCCAAATTATGAAGCGAAATATAGTTTCCTAATGAGAATTCTGATCGATTATACTGTCAAAAACCCTTCTTAAAATCACAATTACAGAAATGTGCATGCAAAAATGGTGTCAGCACATCGTCCAACATGCCGCCAAAGAGCCGGTGCTCCACCATTTCGAATCATCGAACCAACATCAAAAGAGATTCTCGACGAAATCCAACAACGTCTTTCAGCAGCCACTTCATTCAGCGAAGAGGATATCGTTGTAGAAAACCAGTTATCCGATGTAACAGTTCCGAAAATTGAGAAATTTTCCGAGAATTTTGTATATGTTGCTGCGATTGGTTGGAAAATTGCCAAATTCAAGCGTGGTTATATTTCATTTAATTGTGATCATTGTGCAAGAGAATTGATTATTAAAACTGGCGGAAATTTCGATCCGGTTAGAAATCATGAACGTTGGTGTCCGAGAATTGATAATAATGATAATGGTGAACCGATTTGGAAAACTGATCTCAATATTGTTTTGAACACTAAGAATAAGGTGAGAATTTCTATTAAAATTGATGTAGGGAACGATTTTTCATTAAAATTTCAATTTTTGACGTCTTGGAACAAAAAAATTGCCAGAGAACTCATTTTTTCATGGAAATTTGGAATTTTTGAGGTTCTGGACTTCAAAAATCGATCCAGGACTCATTTTTTCATGAAAATTTCAAATTTCAACGTCCTGAGCCCAAAAATCGCTCCGAAACCCGTTTTTCTCATGAAAATTTCAATTTTTGAAGTCTTGGGACCAAAATTTGCCACAGAATTATTTTTTTCATAAAAATTTCAAATTTTAAAGGTTTCGGAGCCAAAAAATTGCTCCATGCGTCATTTTTCATGAAAATTTTAATTTTTGAGGTTTTGAAACCAAAAATTGCTTCACGACTCAAATTTTGAGGTTCTGGATTCCAAAAATCGCCTCGGAACCAGTTTTTTATCGGAAAATTGAATGTTTGAAGTCCTGTACTTAAAAATTGCTCCAGAACTCAAATTTCAAGCTCCGGGACCTGTTTTTCATCAAAATTTCGAATTTTAAGGTTTTGGCACTAAAAAATTGCTCAAATACTAAATTTTTACCAGAAAATTTCAATTCTAAAGGATTCGAAGCCAAAATTGCTCCACGACTCATTTTTTCATGAAAGTTTCAATTTTCGAGCTCCTGAACCCTAAAAATCGCTATAAAGTTCGATTTCCCATTTAAAATCCAAATTTCAACGTCCTGAGCCCAAAAATCGCCCCATAGCCGGAGATTTTTTGGAAAATTTCAATTTTTTGAGCTCCTGAATCCGTAAAAATCGCTATAAAACTCGATTTTTCATGAAAATTTCCAAAAATTTTTATTTTGAAATGAAAAAGATGAGAAACTTCAAAGTTCGAATAATTAGAAAATTTCCCAACACTTCAAAAATTTCTAGATTTTTCACTTCAAACTTTCTAAATTTCCCAAATTCCAGACAACCTCATGCAGCTCCTCCTCCTCATCCTCCTCCGCAACAACTCCCCAACATTTCGCCTCAATCATCAAAGAAGTGTATTCATCTCGTCGTTTATTGAACAATTCCGTCTCATCAGTTCTTCCGCCGCCATCTCTCATTTGATAATAAGAAAGAAGCAGCCATTTTGCGGGGTTTCATAGGTTTTTTGCCTTTTTTTATAGATTCATCATCATCAATTTAAAACTAGAATTTTCTAATACCTTAAAAAAATACACACAAATTTCGTCGTTTTTTATGATGACGGGTCAATTCGTCTTTTTTTCCCTACTTCTTTTTTTTCTCCTTTTTTTTGGTCCTATTTTTCTCGCTTAATGAAATTTCATTCTTTTTTATTCCTCTCTATGAGCAAAAATACCCGAAAATACTATGTACAAGGGTTATCAAAATTATGCAAAAATTTCGCGTGTTTTATTTTGCTCCACTTCCTCCGAATGCTTTTGCGAGAATTCCGTTGTTTCGTTTGACGGTTCCAGACAATTTTCGCTCACTTGCCAAATTGTTTGATGGTCCGGCTGGAAAATGGGATTTTTTGTATGGGGCGAAGAAATTAGCGCTGAATTTTTCATTGGAAAAAATAAGCCCCGCCCATTTTCTGCAAGCCTGGCACAGTTTTTTTTTGAATTCAACATGAAATTTGGGGAATTTTTCGACACTTATTTTGATTTGGGGATTTGACAGCCAATTTTGAAAAATTTTAAATTTTTATGGAAAATTTAAGCCCCGCCCATTTTCTGCAACTCTGGCACAGTTTTTTGAATTCAGCGGGAGATTTGGGGAATTTTTGACATCCATTTTGATTTGGGGATTTTTTGACACCCAATTTTTAAAAATTTTGAATTTTGATGGAAAAGCCCCACCCATTTTCTGCAAGTCTCGCACAGTTTTTTCTCAAGATTTATAAACTTCACAATTAAAATCCCCTGAAATTCAAGCCCCGCCCATTTTCTGCAACCCTGGCACAGTTTTTTCCCAATCACATCACTACAAAAACCTACCAATTCTCGTTGTCGAAATCATTGAATTCGTCGAATTGTTCATATTTGTTGTTTTTTGTTGTTGTTGTGTCATTGTTTGAGCTGGCAAACTTCTTCTCGGATTATTATTCTGCTCTCGTGGTAGGCTCGAACTTCGTTTTGTGATTGTTGACGTCGAAAATGATGATGTTGTGCGGGGTGAGGTTTTTGACAAAACTAAAAATCACAATACTTCACAACATCAATAATATATAGATTTTGGGGTTTTTTCTCCCGATTTTTATGAAAATTACAAATTTTTGTAGTCCTGCACTCTAATAGTTGCTCCAGAACTCATTTTTCCATGAAAAATTCAATTTCAGAGGTCCTGAACCCCAAAAACCACTATAAGTCTCATTTTTATAAAAATTTCCAGATTTTGAGGTTTTGGATCAGCAAAATAATTTTTTAATGAAAAATTCAATGATTGTTTGTGCTCCAGAACTCAATATTTCATGAAAAATTCAATTTTTGAAGTCCCGAACCCTTAAAAATCGCTATAAGATCCGATTTTCATGAGAATTTCGAATATTGAGCAAAATTTATTTCAGACATTTTTCAAGTTTCAATTTAGAAGTCATTCATTGAAATTTTCGCGTCCTATAGCGATTTTTAGGGTTCCTGATCTCATAAATTCAATTTTTCATGAAAAATTCAGTCTTGTAGCGATTTTTAAAGTCCGAGACCTCAAAAATTCAATTTTTCATGAAAAATTGAGTGTTGTAGCGATTTTTGGGGTTCAGGATCTCAAAATGTGAATTTTTCAAGAAAAAAAGATCCCAGAGCGAATTTTTGAGAACATACGTCGCATGCGTGGGGTAATCGACCCGAGGAGGGGTTATCACTCACCCCAGTTTTTGGAAGGGAATGTCACTTGAGAAAACATTTTGAAGAATTTTTCTGAGTTTTGTACTCTAACACTTATTGGGAGTGATTAAAATTTCCACGAATTTTGATTTCAAAATGTTCATCCAAATTTTGAGAATTTTGGTTTTGAATCAAAACTTTTGATCTATTCTCGAAATTACTATTTCTTATACAAAACATTGAAAAAAATTGAAAATAAATTATATCAAAATTTTGAAACGTATTTTTTTGTTTTAGAAAAATTAGAGTTTTTGAATCAAAATTTGACTCAAAAGCGGTGAAAATGAGAATATTTGCCGAAATGAAGCTCAAAGTTTATCAAAAAATGTAGATTGTCAAGTTTATATGCTGAAAATGAAAAAGGAAAAGGGGGAGGGGTTATCCCTTTTGCCAGAAATTTTCAAAAATAAAGGTGTGCACTGGTGGATTTGAAACGAGGCTTTGCGACGTATGTTTGAGAATATTTCAATATTTTTTTTGCCCAAAGCCTTCCCCGCAAAAAACTCACCGTTCATACTTTGAATTGCAGCTTCAAGTTGTTCTAATTCCGGTGTGATTTGCATATTTCCAGATGTTTGTGGTCGTCGAACTGTTGTTGATGAAACTCCCATTGCTGGCGTCTTTTTGACGGGCGAACTCATTGTTCGAGAATTTCTGAAAGACACGTTGAATTCTTGACTGATTTTTGAAAAATTGCAGCAAACTAATTGAAATTGATTTTTTGGATTCACAGAAGGCTTATAATTTTTTTTTTTGAAACAGTGAAAATTTGCAATTTTTTTTGGAAATTTTTTAGCTCCAAATTTTGCTGCGTAGTTTTTCTGGTTGGAAATGTGCTACGTGAATTTTCGAGTTCAAAATTTTGCTACGTGTATTTTCTGGGTGAAATTGTAAATCGTAGTTTTTCCAGCTCGAAAATTTGCCACGTAGATTTTCAGTTCAAAAATTTTGCCACGTGGATTTTCTGGCTGAAATTATGAATCGAGGATTTTCAGCTCATCTAAATTTCGCCACGTGGATTTTCGAGCTAAAAATTATGCCACGTGGATTTTCAGCTCAAAAATTAACAATGTGGATTTTTAAGCTCAAAATTTAGCAACGTGGATTTCCAAGTTCAAAATCTTGCCACGTGGATTTTCAGCTCAAAATTTAGCAACGTGGATTTCCAAGTTCAAAATTTTGCCACGTGGATTTTCAGCTCAAAATGTTGCCACGTGGATTATCTTGTTGAAATTTGCCCCGTGGATTTTCAGCTTTAAGGATTTTTGAGAAAAAACCCCGGGTTTTGAAATGGATACGTTAAAGGTATAAACATTGAGAATCTCGAAAGTCTTTCAAACTTCGCTTTTTGCAGGTATACATAATAAATGATGATGATTGCAGGTATGCATAATGAAAGTGACATTGAAAAAAATATTTGATAATAAATTATATCAAAATTTTGAAACGTATTTTTTTTTGTTTTTTGACAAATAGGAATTTTTAATCAAAATTTGACCCAAAAGTGATGAGAATGAGATTTTTGTCGAAGTGAAGCAATTTTGAGCTCAAATTTTAAGAAAAATTATGATTATCAAGTTTTTACAACTGCAAATAAAAAAGAAAAAGGAAAAAGCGTAGGGGGTATCCCTTTTGCCAGAAATTTTCAATAATAGGGGTATGAAAAAATTTTTCCACGTGGATTTTCAGCTCAAAATTTTGCCACGTGGATTATCTGGTTGAAATTTGCCCCGTGGATTTTCAGCTCTAAGGATTTTTGAGTTCAAAAAGTAATATTTTTTTGAAAAAAATATAGATTTAAAATGTTTTTTATTGGATCAAAAATTCGTCACAAACTCGAAAAAACATTAGCCATAAATTTTTTCGCAATTTTTAAAATTGATCTGGAACTCAAAAATTTGGTCAATAAATAAAAAAATCCACTGTTTCAAACAAAACTCATATTTTTTCAGAGAAATTATAGAAAATAATCAAACTCTCAAAAAGATTAGATTTTTAAAACAGCTCATATTATTTATCAAACAAAATCAATTTCCAAATCTCTTGAATTATCAGAATATTTTTGACCTCTGAAATCCACGTGGCACAATTTTAACCACATATATGTTCAAATTCCCATCTCCCAAAACAAAACAAACCCCGGAATAGCAGCAACAGCTCCAAGTGATGTTCGTGGTGCATTTATATTATTATTCGTCATCATTGGTGAGGGCGGCGCTTTTGGTAAACGCGATTTTTCGATTGGAAACGAACTCGATGATGATAATCTTGTTGACGGGTTCAATGAATTTGCTGTTGATGGTGAGGTTGTTGTATTTGATTTGATTGTAGATCCAGCTGATGTTGCACCTCGATTTGCAACGATTAGAGATCCAATGTCTTGATTGAGATGGGGGAGCTGGAAAAAAAATATCTTCAGATTTGAGAATTAGTCTATGCAGATGAATATGTTGTAAAAAAAACATAATTTTTCCAATCAAAAACAAAATTTTAGGTTTTCTAACAAAAAATATTGCAAATTTTGTGAAAATTTTCATCAAAATCCACTGAAAATCAATTAAAACTTCTTTCAAATTGTAAAATGCTTAACTTTGTCTAAATCCAGGTTTGAAATCAGGATTTTCAAATATTCAGTTCAGAATTTCGATTAGTTACAGAAAAATTGAAATATTTTCAATTAGAACTGGATTTTGATACCTAGAACCTGTTAATGTGAAAAAATAAATAATTTACGTGTTAAAAATTTGAAAAGTTAAAATATTCCAATTTAAATTTAACAAATAAAAATTCTGGATGACATAGTTAAAATTTTGACTCTCTAGAGTTAGGCCAAGTTAAGGAATATTGAAAAAACAAACAGACACCTTACAAAAATTTTCAGAAGCCAAGCTGTTAATTTTTCGAGAAAAAAACAAAGTTTTTATTGATTTTCAGTGAAATTTTGTTAAAAATTCCACAAAGCCAAAAATCTATGCTGTAAATACAAAATATTTTCAAATTTCTATTAACATTTACAAGTTTCCGGCGATATTCGCTAGTTTTATTTTTTTTTTTGGAATAAAATTTCTATATTATTTCATTTCAAAAATGAAATAATTTTCATAAATTTTTGAAACGTATTTTATTATTTTTTTTTCAATAATTTTTCAAAAACTCTATGAATTCTCTCAAAAGATATGAGTTAGTGACCAAATTTTTGAGTTTCAGATCAATTTTAAAATGTCTTCTGAAATTATAAGATTTTAAAACTTGCAAAAAATTCCTGGATATGCTTTTTTTCAATTTCGAGTTTGTAAAACAGTGAATTTTCGATACAATTTGAAATTTTTTAAAGTTACTTTTTTCCAAAAATCCATGTGACAACATTTTTTGTTGAAAATCCACGTGGCAAATTTTTGAGCTGAAAATTCACGTAGCTCAATTTCAACCAGAAAATCCACGTAGCACAATTTCAACCAGAAAATTCACTGTTTCACAAACTCGAAATCGAAAAAAAGCATATCCAGGAATTTTTTGCAAGTTTTAAAAAAAGTCAAAAATCCATGCTGTAAATACAAAATATTTTCGAATTTCTATTAACATTTACAAGTTTCCGGCGATATTCGCTAGTTTTATTTTTTTTTTTTGGAATAAAATTTCTATATTATTTCATTTCAAAAATGAAATAATTTTCATAAATTTTTGAAACGTATTTTATTTTTATTTTTTTTTCAATAATTTTTCAAAAAATCTTCCCAACCCACCGTCATTTTTTCCACAATTTTACTTCCACTCGACAAATTCTTCCTCAACAATTGCAAATCCGCCTCTTGCCCTCTAACAGTCTCCTTCAGGCTCAAATTCTCAACCTTCATAATTTTCTGCGTCTTTGTCAATGATTCTCTCTCAGATCTCAGGAATGTTACTTCCTTCTTCAATTCTTCAATCAATTCTCGATCATTTAAATTCGTCGAAGAAGTACTGGGTTTTTGTTGTGATAATAATTGTTCGGCATTCATTTTCAATTCGTGCATTTTCAGCAACATTTGTTTTCTTTCTTGTATCAAATATAATACAATTGCTTCATGTTTCTTCTTCTCATTTACCATTTTCATTTCTAGTTGATCTTTTTCAATTTGAACTTTTCGTGTTTCTTCGGTATGATATTCAATCTGCAAAAAATTGGGGTTTGAAAAATGTGCGTGGAATTTTCACTCTACATATAGAATTTAAAAAAATAAAATAAGTTTTCTAGTAGTTTTCAACCCGCTGATCATACGTCGCATGCGTGGGGTAATCGACCCGAGGAGGGGTTGTCACTTCAGAAAACTTCAGAAATTTTCTCATTTTTGTACTCTATCTATCGATAATTTCAGAATTTTCATCCAAATTTTGAGAATTTTGGTTTTAATTTATTCTCAATACGAAATCCCAAAGATCAAGAAAAAACCCGCCTGGTTTTGAAATGAACACGTTAAAGGTATAAACATTGAGAATCTCGAAAGTCTTTCAAACATCGCTTTTTGCAGGTATACATAATGAAAGTGACATTGAAAAAAATATTTGATAATAAATTATTGTTTTTTGACAAATAGAAATTTTTAATCAAAATTTGAGATTTATTGAATAGGAGTCATATTGAAAAAAATATTTGATAATAAATTATATCAAAATTTTGAAACGTATTTTTTGTTTTTTGACAAATAGGAATTTTTAATCAAAATTTGAGATTTATTGAATAGGAGTCATATTGAAAAAAATATTTGATAATAAATTATATCAAAATTTTGAAACGTATTTTTTTTGTTTTTTGACAAATAGAAATTTTTAATCAAAATTTGACTCAAAAGTGATGAGAATGAGATTTTTGCCGAAGTGAAGCAATTTTGAGCTCAAATTTTAAGAAAAATTATGATTATCAAGTTTTTACAACTGCAAATAAAAAAGAAAAAGGGAAAAGGGTAGGGGGTATCCCTTTTCCCAGAAATTTTCAATAATAGGGGTATGCACTGGTAGATTTAGAACGAGGCTATGCGACGTATGCCGCTGATCATTATTCCGATGTCTAAAATTCCAAAACTCGAATCCTAATATGAGTTATGACGTGGCAAAGTCAAAAATTTGAGATTTTTGGAGCTGAAAACTAGCTAATTTTCAGTCAGATTTGAATGAAAATCAGCAAGTTTTCAGCTCCTAAAATCCCCTGCCACTTACAAAAATAACTCATATTAGGAGTTGAGTTCTGCAGATTTAGGCAACGGAATAGTGATAAGTTGGTCGAAAACTACTAGAAAACATAATTTTTTTTTTTAATTCTGGAGTGAAACTTGAAACATTTTCTTTGTGAAGCGAAAATTTCCAATTATTTTTTTGCAAAATTGAAAATTGAATCTTTCTGTGTTTCAGAAACCTCTGAAAACAATCAATTAAAAAAATGAAATTAAAACAACGACACTCCGCTTTCACAGACAGTTGGAACGAGCGGAGTGTCGTTGTTTTTTGAGCTTTTTTTGAGCCCAAATTTGGTCAGAAATTTACCAAAAAGTTGGGAAATTTTGGTCAATTTATGACCAAAAAGATCAAATTTCTGACCAAAAAAGAATTGATGCCTTTTTAATAAAAAAAATGAACTTTTCTAGTCAAAATTCCTCTACCTGTTGCTGTAAATTCCCCCTCTCTTTCTCCAAAACCGCCACCAAATCATCGCCCTGTTTTGCATATTTTATTTTCGCATTTCGATCCGCCTCCAATTTTCGAATCAATTTATAATGCTTCTTATCAAGTGCACCGAGCAGCTGCAAAAAAACTTTTTCAGGTGATTTTTTCCAGCTGTAAACTTACAAATGCCGCATTTTTCTGCGTCTTTTTCTGCGCAGCAATCAATTTTTCCAGTTGCTCAACTTGTGATTCGTACATTTGTGCAATTTTCTCCTCGTCGATTATCTCATTGGTTACTGTAGAATCGCGGCGGAGAGCGGCGAATGGATCATTTACGCTGAGTTTTCCGTATTTCGCTTCGGCCAACAGGATTTTTGTTCGTTCACGCTGGAAAAACAGGTTTTAAAGGTGCATACAGTACCAAAAGGAGCATACAGTACCACCTGCATATCTAACTCTTTATTTTCAAAAAATCGACATTTTCCTAGATCTTTGATATTTTCAAACCCTGAAATTAGCTGAAATTTTGAAAATAATAACCTGCAGCGATGTTTGATGAATAAAAATTTTGAAAAAGTAAATATTCGTGGGAAAAATTTTGCTTGCAAAAAATGTGAACTTTTTGCTTGGGCGGAAAAATCAACCTTTCAAATTCAAGGCGCATGCTAAAGTACGGTAGAACCTGCACATCTAACTCGAGATGAGTTAGATACGCAGGTACGGTATGTTCCTTTAAAAAACCATTTTTTCCTGACCAGATCAATTTTCCAGAGTAATTTTTAAAGCAAAATTGATTTTTGCAAGCCTGAAATTTTAAAAATAATAATGTTTGATGAAGAAAAATTTCTGCTTGCAAAAAATGTGATTTGTTTCCTATTATTAAAGGCGCATGCTACGGTAGAACCTGCACATCTAACTCGCATCGAGTACGGTATGTACCTTTAAAAAACCATTTTTCCTGACAAGATCAATTTTTCAGCTTTTCCTCAGAAAAATCCTGTTTTTCCTCAAATCCACTTAAATATTAATAACTCTGTTACTTTTCCCCAAAAACTACTTACCTTTAAATGTTCAATAACATCCTCTCTGGCTTCCAATTCTCCCTCCATAAACGCCAATAATCGAACCAATTCATCAGTGGAAAATTCATCATGATTATCATAGAATTCGTATTCGGGTGGAGCTTTTGGGAGAATCAGCTTCTACAAAAACACTTCTTTATTAATTTTCTAGAACAAAAAAAAAGAAAATACCTTTGAAGTTGATTGGAAAGTTGTGTCGAAATTATTATCGGCCATGCTGGAAAAATTGAATTGAATAGAGAATTTTTGCAGAGGGAAAAGAGAAAAATGAGCGAGAGAGGGGGGAAATTCAAGTGTGTAACTTTGTCTCGTGCCTTTCTCCTCTCTCCAGAAGACTCTTTTTCTTTGGTGCAAAGAAAAAAAGCGAAAGGAGCGTGTGAAAAGATGCATAAATCCAATTATTTTAGTGTTTTTCTTATCTTGGAACAGGAACAGGAACAGCACAAAAAAAAACAAAAGATAAGGTGAAAACTGATAGCAGGAAAGCATATGTTTTCTGGTTCATCAACAAAAACAAAATGCAACATACATAGATTATTATTTTTGTTAAACACAACTCCCCCCGTTAACGGGGGGATTATTCTCTGATCTTTCTATCTTTTCGGAGAGCGCGAGAATGATAAAACATGTAAATAAACAGCGTGAGTCAATAATACATCTATTGATTGTCTCGGAGATGCACGTCATAGCGAGCCGGCGTGTGTTTTTGAGGGGGGAAAAAAGAAAATAAATGCGCGTCGTTTAAAATGTTTGGTGTGACGGTGTTTGCAGACTATTTTTTTACTTTTATTTTTTTCGCAATTTTTCCCTTTTTTAGAAGTTTCACAATAAATACGACTATTTTCAGAGCTGGCGACTGCACAAGAAAAACTTGAAAGCCTTCGGGCAGCTCGGCGAAGCTCATCAGGCGTCTCAGCAGCCTCAATTCTTTCTGTTTCATCATCCACGCTTTCACAAGCGATTTCTTCAATCGACAATGGAAAAAGTGCAGTTATTATTGAGCTAGGCACGAAGTTCACAAAATTGGGAAGTGCTGGAGAAACAACTCCTCGCGCAATACTCCGCACCGAATATATCAATGAAAACGGTGTGAAAATTGATGCAAATGAGATTTTCGCGCTAAATGATAGGAAGAAGGCTGCAGAAAAACCTGTGGAATATCACGAGAACATAATCTCTCAATTTTTCAAGTTTCTATTCCTCAAAGCTCTCGCTCCAACCGACAGACCATTTATAATTGTTGAAAGTGTATTTATGTCAATCGATATGCGAAATGCGATCACAAAAACGGTTCTCGAAAAACTTCGCGCAAAATCAATCATGTTTATGCCAACTCATATATGCTCTACATTCGCCTTCAACTCTTCCAAAGCTCTAGTAATTGATATTGGACATTCGGAATGTGTTGCAATGCCAGTTATCGAAGGTGTAACAATGTTGAGTGAATTTGAAAGTGCACATTTGATAAGTGGAAAAATAATTGAGCAAAGATGTCGAGAATTATTAAAGGAACATGGGCAAATTGATGAAATTAATGGGGAAAGACGCGGATTGAATGACACGGATTTCGAGGAAATTGACAGCAATAATCTAATTGAAACCATTGCTATAAACTCGATTTGTATTGGAAAAGAAAGAGCGCAGATTTGGAAAAGTGGGAAAATTCCGGAGAAGGAATTGTTAAAGGAACATGTTTTTGCAATGAATGGGAAGAATCTTATTATTCCTCCAATTGTACTGTAAGTGAAGAAAAAATAAAGAAATGAAAAGAAAAAGTTCACGTGAAAATTACACGTTTATTTTTCACGTCTAAAAATAAAAACTATATTTTTTCCCCTATTTTTTGACATTATTTTTTCATTGAAAAATTTTCACTTCGAGATATTTTTGATTTTAGACTTAGGCTTAGGCTTAGTCAGTACCTTAGGCTTAACAAAGATTTTATTTTGCTCTAGGCTTAGGCTTAGCCAAGATCTTAGGCGATGATGCAGATTAGTTTCTCCCCCGAGCTGATTGAGGAGAAAGAGGAGAAACGTGTTGCAGGTGGAGGCGAAACAATGTATTTTTCGAATTTCGCCCCATTTCTCCTCATTTCTCCTCGGAGGAGAAACTCATCTGCAACATCGCCTTAGGCTTAATAAAGATTCTAGGCCTAGGCTTAGGCTTAGTCAGCACCTTAGGCTTAACAAAGATTTTATTCTAGGCTTAGGCTTAGGCTGAACTAATAACCTAACTTTTAGGCTTAGGCTTAGCCAAGATCTTGGGCTTAATAAAGATTCTAGGCCTAAGCTTAGGCTTAGACAAGATCTGACTAAGTGATTCAGGTCGAAAAAAAAATAATTTAAAAAAAAATTTTGACAAAAAATTTTTCAGCCAAATTTCAAACCCAAATTCTTTCAGAGAAACTCCACTCGAAATCTTCTTTGATGCCTCACTCAACACCCAATCTTTCGACAAAACTCTTCCCCAAATGCTCTTCTCAATCGTCGAAAAATGTCCAATCGATCTTCGCAAATCTCTTCTATCCAACATCATTCTAATCGGCGGAGTTTCAACAATTTGCGGCTTGAAATCACGAATCAAAGAGGAACTCATCGAAATATGCCAAAATGCGCAGAAAAAATACGCAGAAGATGTGAGATTCTATCAATTTTCGAAACTCAAAAATTATCCATTATTTGGGGCGTGGCTTGGCGCAAGTCTTTTGGGTTCACTTCGAGAAACTGTGGAGAGGAAAAGTATCAGTTTGCAAGATTGGAAAAGTGGAAAATTGGCTGAAGATTGGACTGATATTATTGATAAAAATGTATAAATTTTGCACGGGTTTGTGAATTAATTATTTGCTTTTATATGCTTCTTTCTAATAAATTACCCATTTATTCACATTTTTAAATTTCAAGCATCAAACACAAACAAAACAATCAGCGAGCAATTCGGTGCATTCAGTTTCAGCCTCCCCGTTTTGGATTTTTTCGGTGGTTGACTGGAATTTTTTGCGCTTTCGATCTGACAAATATTTTCCGAGTCCCTTGTAGAGTTTCATTGTGCCCACAACATTCGCCATTCGACCGCCCATTGTTATGAAAACCTGGAAGATTGGGGATTTTTTGAAGATTTCTTGGCCAAAAAGTGCAGATTTCTTAAAAGTCTAGAAAACTTTGCGGTGAGATCAGGATTTTCAAAATCTTAAAAGCCTAATAGCTTAAGAGCTTCTTCAACCTGAACTTTTGAAATAAATTTTTTTTCGAATTGATCTTAAAACCTATGAACTTCCTAAATTACGAATTAAAAAAATCATCTGGCTGAAGATTTTTGTGATCCATAAGGATTTGGGGTATTATTTCAAAATCTTGGCCAAAAAGTGGAAAAATCCTATCAAAATAGTACAGATTTCCTAAAAGTCTAGAAAACTTTGCGGTGAGATTAGATTTTAAGCTTCTTCCGCGTTCAACCTGAACTTTTGACGTGGCAAAAATCAAAAATTCTACATTAATATTCGAATTCAAATTTATATCTCCAAAATGTCCGGTTTTCACCAGAAAATTGTTTTTTTTTTTCTCAAAAAAAATGTGCCACGTCATAAAATTGTTTTTTTTTTCAAAAAAAAATTTGCCACGTCATAAAATTGTAATATTTTGAATCTGACAGCTTCAAAACTTGGACTAAAAAATATTTTTTAATTTAAAAATGTTCTCTGGGCTGGAAATTCCAGCCTGAAAGCTTTCACATTTTCTGAAAATCCAGATTTCAAGAAAAAAAATCATAAAATCTTAAAATCTTAAGAGCTTCTTCAACCTGAACTTTTGAATTATGACGTGGCAAAAGTTGAAATTCTACATTAATTTTTGAATTCAAACTTATATCTCCAAAATTTCCTGATTTAAATGTTCTCTGGTCCAGATTTCGCGAAAAAAAATCCTAAAATCCAAAAATCACCCCTCTCTTACCATCAAAACCGCACTTGGTTCACTTTCAATCTGATCTTCTCCATCTTCTCCAACAATCGTCGAATTCGGTCGAATTCCGGCTTCTCGAAACTTTTGATCTACCGCCGCCTTTATCACATCTTTGTCTAATTGTGCTTTCATTAGTAACAAAACTGCGCCAACGATATTTAGAAGTACACCATAAGCCACCAATTCATGCCAGCCTGGAATTAATACTATTTTTGTCCAATTTATGGCTTCCCGAATTAAATTCAAAAATATCTGGTGACTACGTCACAACTCAGAAACTATAGTCTAGTCCAAATACTCACTAGCTTTCCTTCGATTATGCTTGAAAATTGTCCACTTCTCTTTCCACGTCATAGCATTATTGCCACGTCGATTATTCACACGCCGACCGTTTCGAGCCATCTGAAAAGATTTCAGATTTCGAATATTCAGAAGTTTTGTGACGTGTGTTCTAGAAATCGGATTTTTGGGGATTACAAGGTCTAAAAATCTTGTTTTTTATAATTTTTAGGATTCAGAAAAAATCCCGGAAATTCTAAGTTTCAAAATTTGTGTAAATTTCGGGTTTTGGAATTTGATATTGATTTTTTAAATAATCTTATTTTGTAAAATTTTTGTCCTAAATTCAAAATTTCCTACACAAAACTTCAGAAGACCAAAAATGTTTGAAGAAACCTTTTTTCTAAAATTCTGGGCTGAATCTTCGAAACTTCCTAGACAAAAAACCTTTCCAGAAAAATCTGAAAATCAGAATTCAGCAAAAATGTTCGCAAAAAAATCCCCGAAATTTTACGTTTCAAAATTTGTGTAAATTTCGGTTTTGGAATTTGATATTGATTTTTTAAATAATCTTATTTTGTAAAATTTTTGTCCTAAATTCAAAATTTCCTACACAAAACTTCAGAAGACCAAAAATGTTTGAAGAAAACTTTTTTCTAAAATTCTGGGCTGAATCTTCGACCTCTCCAGAAAAATCTGAAAATCAGGATTCAAAAAAAATGTTTGAAGAAAAATTTTTCTAAAAATTCTAGACAAAAAACCTCTAGAAAAATCTGAAAATCAATCTGGTTCTTCATAAAAAAGGCGGATTTAGTGGAAGAAAGGATTAGATGAGGTATTATTATTATTAATATTATCAAAAAGCTTTTCCTTCTTTTTTTCTCCAGGCATTTTTTTATTGGAAAGAATTTATAACTGAAAATTGAATAGAATAAATTAATTAAGTTCCTAATTAAAATCAAATTAAATACAAGTTTTTCGATTGAATAATCGTGTCGAATTTGAGCAATTGAAATGAATTGAGAACATTCGAGATGTTTGAACAACTGAGTTTATCCTGAAAATTATAAGGTTTTTAAGAAAACTGGAAAAAATGGTCTTACATAGCTTCGTAGTCACTTCCAGCTTCTGAACCTTCGCCATTGCAGAAAAGCTGGAAATTTTTTGAATTTAGAGATTTTTATTGGGTAATTTTCTAGAAAATCTAAAAAATTTCGGAGCTTTTTGAAAATTCGGAAAAAAATTCGGGAAAGTTTTTGGATTTTTTTCTGAATTTTTGAATTCTCAGAAAAAATTGGTCTAAAATTTCTAGAAAATCTTGAATTTCGAGTATAAATTTGAAAAATTCCGGAGTTTTTTGAATATAACTGCAACATTTTTTTTCCGAAAACCCAAGTCAAGTACGGTAGAACCTGCACATCTAACTCCAGAAAAAATTGGACGAGTTAGATACGCAGGAGATACGGTATGTTCCTTTAATTTTTGAATTTTCAGAAAGAAATGGTCCAAAAATTCTAGAAAATCTTGAATTTCCAGTATCAAATTTGAAAATCCCTCTGAAACTCAAATTCAAAAGTCTTGTAGGTAACCTAAAAAATTCCAGAACCTCAAAATTTTAACAAAAGCAAGTACGGTAGAACCTGCACATCTAACTAATACGGTATGTTCCTTTAATTTTTGAAATTTCAGAAAAATTGGTCCAAAATTTCTAGAAAATCTTGAATTTCGAGTATAAATTTGAAAAATTCCGGAGTTTTTTGAATATAACTGCAACATTTTTTTTCCGAAAACCCAAGTCAAGTACGGTAGAACCTGCACATCTAACTCCAGAAAAAATTGGACGAGTTAGATACGCAGGAGATACGGTATGTTCCTTTAATTTTTGAATTTTCAGAAAGAAATGGTCCAAAAATTCTAGAAAATCTTGAATTTCCAGTATCAAATTTGAAAATCCCTCTGAAACTCAAATTCAAAAGTCTTGTAGGTAACCTAAAAAATTCCAGAACCTCAAAATTTTAACAAAAGCAAGTACGGTAGAACCTGCACATCTAACTAATACGGTATGTTCCTTTAATTTTTGAAATTTCAGAAAAATTGGTCCAAAATTTCTAGAAAATCTTGAATTTCCAGTATCAAATCTGAAAATCGCCCTGAAACTCAGATTCAAAAGTCTAGACCCTAAAAAAAACTTCCAGAACCTCAAAATTTTACGGTATTACCTGCACATCTAACTCGAGAAGAAATTTGACAAGTTAGATACGCAGGTGGTATACGGTATGATCCTTCAATTTTTGCCTCACCGTCGAAAAAGAAATCATAAGTGTCCTCATACTATCATGATTATCAAAAGACGGCAATGATTTCTCATTATGAATATTATTATCCGATTGCCATTTTGTATAAGCATACAACGTGGTTTTGAATGCGTCAGCTAAATCGATGGTTGCGAGAAGTTGAGGTTCAATGTTGGCTGCGCGTTGGCGGGAGGAATTGAGGAGACCGCGGAAGACATTGTCGAAGCATTGAAGTTGGGCTGATTTGTCGAGACCTTGCCAGAATATCTGGAAAAAATTCTCCCTGATTATTGAAATTTTAGAAAATATCTGAAGACTAGAAAATTTTTGAGAAATTTTCGAAGAAGTTAGATTTTTTTTTAAATTAATTTTTGAATCTTAAAATTACCTGCTATTCAAAGATGAGCTATGACGTGGCAAAATTTGAAAATTTTTGATGAAAAAATTTTGAAAACTCTAATTCACCATCATTGCTCAGATAATATTGGTTCAAAAAATCTATTTTTCCACCATTGCTCAGATTAGTTATGACGTGGCAAAATTTTCCAATCGTGAAAATTTTTCACAAAAATATTTGGAAGCTCAAAAAAAATTTTTTTAATAAAAAAATGCTCAAATTTTGCCACGTCATAACTAAACTTCAGATAGCAGTTAACTTTAAATTTAGAAAATTTAATTTTAAAAAATAATCTGAGCAATGATAAATATTTTCATCAAAAAAATCTTCAAATGTTGCCACGTCATAACTAAACTTCAGCTAAATTCAAGATTAAAAAATTAATTTAAAGAAGTAATCTGAGCTTGAAAATTAGCCTTACTTGTTTTGGTAAAATTTAGAATTGAATCGAAATTTTTTTTTCAAATCCCGAATTCTGAATTCAAATGTACTTAGAGCCCGGAATCAGTGCAAAATTATTCTGAAGATATCTAGAATTTCTAGAAAAAATATATTCATCAAAAATTTTCCTCACCCTCGAAATCATTTGCAAAACAGTAATACCAATACTCGAATACATTCCATACATTGGCACATCATCTCCTGGTATATAAATCGGTGCTTCCAAAAACGCCAAAGGTATAATAATTCCCCCAATATGTGGATTATATAACATATCAGGTTTTGTAATTGGATATTGTGTTGTATCATCATTATCCAAATATGTTCCAATTTGTTGCATTTTAAAATCTCTCTCCGCTTTCGACACTTTTATAATCGAATCAAAATAATCGGAATTATTGATTGATATTTGTGAGACAGGTTTCCAAATGAGTTCTTCACTCAATAATCGATCAGGATATCCCACATAAAATGCTAATCGATTGATTTCGGAAAGATATTGAAGGGGAGTACTTCGATGTGTTGAGATGAAATTCGTCTTCAGGTTTTGCAAAAAATCCTGGGTTTTTTCGCGATTAATGTTCTTTGATGAAATATACATTTTTTGCACCAATTCTAAATTTGATAATTGCTCAACACATTCTCGCCAACCAAATTGTTCTCGTGGAGAATAGGAATATTGATCGAGGTTTAGAGCAGTTATGATAACTAGATAGTTTGCCACGGTTTTCCGGGAGGTTCTGGAAAAAAAAGTTGTGCACCGGGTGGGGGTCGAACCCTGGCTTTGTGAACAAAAGGCGCGCGTGCTAACCACTCGGCCACGGGGATGTTTTTTTCAGCTGTCGAAAATGTCGCATATAAAAGGCAAATACCGAATGGGTTCGCGAAATGCCTCCGGAGGCATTTTCGAATGCCTCCGCAAAATGACTTCGCGCTGCCGAATCAAAAAGCCTCCGCGAATTCCAAATGACTCCGCGTTCGATATTTTAAAAATATCTAAATGCCTCCGGGGCTTCAAAATGACTCCGCGCTATCAAATCAAAATGCCTCCGCGAATTCTAAATGACTCCGCGGTAAAAATTTCAAGAATGTCAAAATGACTTCGCGAACAAGGTGTACTTTTCAACACATTTTTGACTAAAAAGTTGATTTTCAATGAGAATTATCATTTTCAAGGCGTTCACTAAGCCTAAGCCTAGAAACCTAGACGATAGTTTGGTTATACAAGTTCGGATATTAGGCTTAGGCTTAGTTAAACGCCCAGAAAGGTGCAGGAAACATTCAAAACCACATTTAAATACGTTAACTAAGCCAAGGCCTAAAGTTGGAACTTGAACAATCAAAATATTGAAAAAATTTCTCCTTTTTTAAGGCTTAGTAAAAATCTGGAAAATAACATTTTAAATTTGTAGCTCAAAAAGTGTGAAAGGCCTTGTTTCAGTGTTGAAAGGCCTTGTTTCGCGGACCCATTTTGACAGTCTCAAAATATTCACCGCGAAGTCATTTAGAATTTGCGGAGGCATTTTGATTCGGTGGCGCGAAGTCATTTTGAAACCCCCGGAGGCATTTCGACATTTTTGGAATATGTACCGCGGAGTCATTTTGAATTCACGGAGGCTTTTTGATTTGGTACCGCGAAGGCATTTTGCGGAGGCATTCGAAAATGCCTTCGGAGGCATTTTGCGAACCCATTCGGTATTTGCCATATAAAATGGGGGCTTTCACAGATTCCACCAAAACTTACTTAGCCATAATATCAACAAGTCTTGCAAAATAATCAAAATCCTGAATCGATAACATATCCTCCTCTTTCCATTTATAAACCGAACTCAATTGAGCATCCAAAAACTCTTTCAAATACAATTGTGGCATTGATTTGAACATCTCTCCAAACGTCATATACGTTGTATTCGGTGTGATATTTGAAGATTGCCACGTGGCACGATACAAATCGACAAAAAGAGCAGCGATTTCATCAAGTTCTTTTTGCAAGTGTCGAGGATCTTGAAGAAATTCATCGCGAATCAGTGGAGTTAGAATATTTTGACGAATTGAAAGTGAAAGAAGTGGATCGAATTCTGAACTTGATTGTTGTGTCAGAGTTAGAAGATTGCGAATAACTGGGTTGAGAAGGGGTAGAAGATTTGGAGGTGTGATTTGGAGGATGATTTTTGATCTGTCTTGTGGATGAACATCGCGAGAATATAGGATGAGATTGTTGTCTCCCGCGTACCAATCAAGCATTCCGGAATGACGTTCCCAGCTGGAAAAATAACAGAAAAAATTTTTCAGACCAGGTTTTCGTGCTGAAAATGATGGAAATGCGGTATTTGAAGCGTTTTCAGCATGAAAAATAGGTCTGAAACAGGTTTCCTGGAAAAATGTGACCCCCCCCCCCCGCCTAAAAAAAGGGGTGGGGTCCCTTTTATTCAAAATTCTATTGCAATTTATTGCTAGAAAAGTTTCTAGACCAGATTTTTGTGCTGAAAACAATGAAATGGCTGAAAATGAAGAATTTTGGCGTTTTCAGCATGAAAAATTGGTCTAGAACCGGTTTCCGGGGGAAAAGTGACCCCCTGGCTTTTAGGAAGGGGGGGGGGCACTTTTTTTCAAAATTCTATTGAAAATTATTGATAAAAACATTTCTAGACCAGATTTTCGTGCTGAAAACGATGAGCTAGCTGAAAACGAGGTATTTCAGCGTTTTCAGCATGAAAAATTAATCTAGAACCGGTTACCGGAGGAAAAGTGACCCCCCTGGCTTAAAAGGGGGGGGGCACTTTTTTTATTGCAAACTATAAAGTTTCTAGACCAGATTTTCGTGCTGAAAACGATGAGTTGGCTAAAAATTTGGAACTGGAGCGTTTTCAGCATGAAAAATAGGTCTAGAACCTGTTTCCGGAGAAAAATGGGACCCCCCCCCCTGTTACAAAAAGGGGGGCTTACTTATTTTCAAAATTCTATTCCAAATTATTGCTTAAAAGTTTCTAGACCAGATTTTCATGCTGAAAACGATAAGCTTGCTGAACATCTACAATTCGGGCGTTTTCAGCATGAAAAATTGGTCTGAAACATGTATTTTTTTGTTTTTCTCATCTCCACCCCATAAAAATTCCATATCAACTCCCTTCGCCCCAAAAAGTATAAATATTGATGTTTGTTTAATAATTAGTGCGAGATAATCTGCGCTACTCAACGGTGACACGTGCTTATTTTCTATTTTCCCCTCCCTTCGCTTTATTTATTCAAAAAAGAGATTACTGTAGTGGTCTGATTGTGATTGAAAACGCTCAAATACCACATTTTCAGCAAGCTCGTTGTTTTCAGCACGAAAATCTGGTCTAGAAATGTTTTAGAAATAATGTGCAGTAGGATTTTGCAAAAATAGTAACCCCCCCCCCCCCCCTTTTTTTGTACCAGGGGGGGTCACATTTATGTTTCAGAGCTAAGTTTTCCAGGAAAAATACATACCTGTAGGTGTCGGCGTGAAAACTTGTGCATTCCTTGAGAATCGGGCCACATGGGAAGTTTTTGATGAAATTCAGAAGGTCGTTGGGAGAATTTGTCGAGCGTTGAATTGCATTCATACATTGCGAAAATAGGGATCGAGCCAGGTTTTCGGAATTTGGAAGGGTTTTTGAATCTTGGGATGATGAGAGAAGGGCTGAAAGAAAAAATTTAAAAAAAATTAAATTAGGCGGCGGTGGGGGTCGAACCCTGGTCTTGTGAACGGTAATATTTTTGGGGGCACAAAAAAAATTTATAGCCGAAATTTGACCATTTTCTGACCAAAAAGTTCAATATTCGTTTTCACATGTACAGTACCCAAATCTACAGTAGCCGGGTTACTGTACTTGAAAATTCCTTTTTTGCGCGGGATCGAACCCTGGTCTTGTAATCCGAAAAATGTACGTTTCAAAATTTTCATATAGAAAAATTGAATTGCAAATTTTTCCAATTCAGAATTTGTTTCCGCGTTAAAAATCAACAGCAAGGCATTTTTCAAAAAAAAAGTGCACTCACCATTTATCGATTTATCCGAACTCTCTCTCAACTGACTAATAAAACTCTCCGGTGAATTTCCATTGGCATTGAATTTTTTGCAAGAATATTGATAGAAATTATCGCACGGTTCGATGTTTTCATCAACACTCGACGACATTCGAAAAGCCATATCGATACATTGCCGGGTTTCGCAAATATTTAATTTGTTTCCGATTAATTTGAACTGATTTGCTGTGACTATCCAGGCGATTAGGAAGCCAAGGAAAAGCAGGAAGAAAATTGAGCAGAGAATTCCCAGCCAAATTGAGCATTTGCAGAATTTTGAGCTGGAAAAAAATTTGTGCTCCGGGTGGGGCTCGAACCCTGGTTGCACAAAAGCTAGGCACACGTGTTAACCACTCGGCCACGGGGATGCTTTTTTGTGCTGTCGAAAATGTCGCATATAAAATGGGGGCTTTCAGAGTTTTCTCACATGAAACTACACTCTAGTTACAGTCCCAAACCAACCCTTTTCTCCTATAAAATGGAGTTATTGGAAATACAATCGGTCGTTCTTGCGGTGCCTCTTCTAAAGACTGTGTAGATACAGCAGCCGCAACAGTTTGTAAATTTTCGACTTGAAGAATTTGACTTGAATTTTCCACGTCATCAATCGCAGTTTCAGCAACTTCTTCATCAAAATGATCATCGATTACTGTAGTCGTCTGCTCTTCTGAAGAAGATTTTTGGGATTTGGATTTTGTGAGAGAATTCTCCAGAAGATGTTCGAAGATTAGAAATAGAAAATTGATTCGAGCACAAAATTTCTCTTTCGAAAATCCCATTTTATCTTTTTTTTCATTTTGAATTGAAAATGAAACTCTTTTTTGACATGTTTACCTACTTTTTGGGAAAACTTCGGGTGATTCGGTTCGAAGACTTGATGTTGATTCGGGTTCGGCGATTGGGGCGACGATGGTTTGAGATGTGAGAGGTTGATGGGCTGGGCGAGAGGTGTGGATCATGTACTGCAAAAATCAGAAGTTTTTGTGGAATTTGAAAATTTTATAGCTAAAAATCTATTTAGAAATGAGAAAAAAAAAACTAAAAACGAGGAAGTTCAACGCAAAAATTGAAATTGAGAGATTTAGAGAAAAATATTTTTTTGATCTACCAGAAAATTTCATGAAAATTTTGAAGGCTAGAGATTTTTCTGATTGGACAAAATTAGGCACTTTCTGATATTTTAGATTAAGTTTAGTTTAACTATAGTCTAGTTTGATGCAAAAATTCAGAACATTTCGAAAAGTATTGGTCGAAATATGGAAGCCCATTAAAAAAATCAATAAATTCAAACAGCGCGCGCAATTTTCTAAAAGTAACTTGAAATTTTCTAAAATTTTCGGAATTTTCAGAAGCTTGAGATATTCATCTACTGGAATTTTTGATCTATTAAAATTACTAAAATTTTGAAAAAAAAATGTAAAATCCAGAAAGTAATCCTGTTTCAAATGACCAAAAAACTTGATATTTTCTAGAATTTTTCAGAAGCTTCAAAAATTAATTTGAAAAAAGCATATTAAATTTTTGAAAAAAAACTATAAAATCTCAAATTCAAACCTCTAAAGTTTCCTCGTCGATTTCTAAAATCTCAAAATCCTTCCCCAAAAATTCCCCTACCTCTCTAGTCTCTCTCAAAATCGTCTCGTGCACATTTCCTCTGCTTCTCGCCGGTGATAATGCACCATGTGGTGGTGGAGGTGGAGGTGGAGAAGATGTTGGATAATCACACGGTGATAATGGCGGCGATGTATGAATTGCAATCTAAGTAAGTGCTATTTACTTTTACTCCAACTTCTAACATAGCCACGCCCCTTTTTACCTCAAATGATGGTGTTCGATTGACCGGTGATGCTATTCGTTCCGGTCGTTGCATAGAATTTGTTTACTGTAGTTTTGGGCTGGAAAAATGAGGATTTTCAAAAAAAAAAAATTAAAAAATTGTGCACCCACTGGGGGTCGAACCCGGGTTCTGTAAAACCATCGCGTGCGCTCGGCACGGGTGCTAACCACTCGGCCACACGCGTGTTTATTAAAGCAGTTGAAATTGTCATATTTAAAAGGCGCGCTTTTTGGCAAACTCTTTTTTTTTCAAAAAAAGAAAAAAAAGAAAAATTCAAAGCTTTTTCAAAAAGTACATACACAAAGCCTAAAAAGCTAAGGAAATTTTCTTTGATTTTTCTTCGGGCGGAGTTTTCGTGTCGTGTTTTTTTTCGTGCTCATTTTCCGCGCGCTCGCGCGCTCTTCTTCATCATATATAAATTAATTTCGGGAATCAGAAATAATACGGTATTATTTATCGATTGATTGATCAAATAAACATTTTAGATGTTCATCGGAAGTGTTTGTTTTCAATTTTAGGATAGGACACAGCAAAAAATTGGGGCGATGATGTATTTTTAATTGGACAAGTGCAGAGAATGGGTAAACATTTGTGGTCAGAGCTGGTTTTTGATAGGATCTGGATCTTGAGAGCATTTTGATTTATAAGGGTTTGGAAATTGAAATTTGAGAATCTTTTTGAAACGTATTTTTTTCTGGAAAATTTTTGAGAAAATTTTTTTTTCAGATATCACTTGGTACTGTAGATTACTGTAGATGGGTTTTTAATCTACAGTACCTAGGTATTCGAATACTGTAGATCAGTATTGGGTCATCTACAGTACCCGTCAACCGCTTATCATTCATTCTTTTTTTTGGAAAAAAATCATATGAAAATTTTGAAACGTATTTTGTTCTGGAAAATTTTTGAATGAAAAAAATACAGTACCTGAGTAGTGGGATACTGTAAATCAGCCTAGTACTGTAGATTACTGTAGATGACCCTAGAGTCATCTACAGTACTCTACAGTAATGTTGAGATATATTTTTTCTCTTATTAGTTTTTTTATCATTCATTCTTTTTTTGAAAAAAATCATATGAAAATTTTGAAACGTATTTTGTTCTGGAAAATTTTTGAATGAAAAAAATACAGTACCTGAGTAGTCGGATACTTTAGATCAGCCTAGTACTCTAGGATCAACTACAGTACTCTACAGTAATGTTGAGATATATTTTTCTATAAAACTCAAATTTTTTTTTTCGAAAAAAAACATACGAAACGTGTTTTGCTTTGGAAAATTTTTGAAAAAATCCTACTGTAGATCAGCAATCCAAATACTGAGTTCGAATCTACAGTACCTGAGTTTTGTTCTGGAAAATTTTCAAATCCAAATTTTTGAAAAACATTTTTTTAACAAAAAATGCATTCATTTTTCAAATATCACTCACAAAAATTAAAATTAAAATTAAAAATTACAAAAAAATAGCCGCCCATTTGTTCTTCTTCTTTATGAATATCTCATGATCTAAGAAATCTATGCAAAACTTGCTCTCGCAAATCTCGCAAACTCCTTCGCAGCTCGTCTCTTCGCAAATGCAAATCTCATATCTTTCGGTGTTCCACTTCGAGCTTCAATCAAAACTTCATCAGGAACTTGTGATCCCGAGCCAGAACTTCGTTTGGCAAAAGCGAATGCGAATTTTTTGCGGAGCTCCAAATCGCGAGCAAATCTTTCACTTGGTGTCAAATCTGCAAGGAACTATTTTAAAGTGGTAAGGGAGTACGGTATCTGGGGTTACTGTACCTGAATCATCTTCCGAAAAATTGGCGAAGATTGAGAGGGGGATCAAGAGAAGGAGAAAAGCAATAATTGAAAATTGCATGATTTTTTCTTTTGAAATGAAGATTTACCTGGAAAAATGGAAGTTTGGATAAGATTCAGAAAAAAAGAGAAAATTTTAAGCTCTAAAATTTTAAGCTCTAAATCTTAAGCTCCAAATCTTAAGCTCTAAATTTTTGAGCTCTAAATTTTTGCCTCTGAACCTTATGCTCCAAATCTTGAGCTCTGAATCTTATGTTCTAAGTTTGAAGCTGAAAAATTTTGAACTCTAAAAATCCACGTGGCTAAATTCATTTTGATCTTTAATTTTTCTAGAAAAAAAAATTCAGAAATTGTCAAAATCCCTAGATTGTTGTAGCTTGGACAAGTTAAGCTACAGTACCTCTCAGGCTACTGTAGCCCACGCTTTTCTACAGTAGTTCTTGCAGTTCCGGTCATTCCTCATATATCTAAGGCTACAGTAATCATTGCAGTTCTTGTTTCAAAAATCTAAATTATCAAAGATTTTCAGAGTTCTAGATCTACAGTAATCCAAACCTACTGTAAAAATTTTGATCTAGAAAATCCTTCAAAAAATATCTATGAGCTCTACAAGAAAGATCACAACAAACTTTCAAAAGTCAAAAAAAAATCTTCCCAAAAAAAAGCCGAAAAATCAGAGCTCGACACACAAAGCTACAACTCTTCCTCTCATTTATATACGCTTTGAAAAAAGTTTTCCTCGCCCCCAAAAAAATGACGAAGCTTCTTCAGGCAGGAAACGTTTCGTGATTCGAGAAATCCCCAGGAAATCGCTCAGAATTTGCGATTTTTCGCGAACTTTGGGATACTGTAGGGTTATTTTTAGATGTAAAAACAAAAGAAACCTATAATTTCATAAAAAATCATAAAAATTTATTGAAATCTATGTTTTCCTTTTCATTTCTTCGCCAAAATGAGAATCTTTTTCGTTTTTCTTTTCATTTTTTTCATCGAAAATTCTCAACAAGTATATCGCGGTGAGTTAGGCAAAAATTAGGGGGCTATTCAAGAAAAAAGTGCGCGAAAAATTGGATAAAGAAAAAAAATAAAAAACTTTGCGGTGGGTGGGGGTCGAACCCTGGTTTCCCAAACCACACGCACGCATGTTAGCCCCTCAGCCACGGGGGACGTTTTTCAAGCTAGAGAAAATGTCGCATATAAATTGCGTTTTTTCCAGCAACTTCCTACAAAATGACACGTCATCCGGATTGTCGTAACATCAAATGTTACGGCTTGAATAGTTGTCGAAAAATTCTCAACATGAAATTATGTCCGAATAACTTGAAGACATGCACATCTTTGGCTTGTGTCTACGAATTTCGTGGAAGTCGGAATGAGAATCGCCAGAAGAATCTGTCGGACAGTGCCTGTCTGAATTATGAATTCATTGCAGAAGAATCCGTGAATAGTTACAAGGCTGAATTCGATTAATTTTAAGGTTTTATTGCAAAAAATAATAAAGCAAAATACTTGTATTCAAAAATGATAGGTGAGGTAATGTTCAAAATTAAAGAACACTTTTCAAATTTATTTCTTCTCTTTTTGAGTCTCTTTCCATTGTGCCAATTTCGAATGATATTCTTCGTTGAGAGTTTTCGCGTGTTTTTGATATTTCTCTTTTTGGCCATCAGTCATTTTATTCCAGTTTTGGGCGCCAGTCTTGACGAGTTCGACGACCGAAGTTCCAGAGGACTGCAAAAATTTGTAATTTTAGGGGTGATTTTGTTGAAAATTTGAATTTCTATGGAATTTCACAAAGATTTTTTCAGAAAACCATTTTTTTCCCGGAAAAAATTGTTCATATTGACTTCATTTCTGAAATTGTTCATCAAAATCCGCTCTAGATTTCGAATAAAATATTTATTCTCTAGTAGGTTTCACTATCCCGTTGTCTACAATTGCAAAACTCAACTCCTAATATGAGTTATGACGTGGAAAAGTTCGAAAGTTTCGAAAAATCGGGATTTTAGGAGTTGAAAACTATGGTTTTGTATGAAAATATGTGTTTTTAACGTAGTTTAAAAACTCCTAAAATCCCAAATTTTTGACTTTGCCACGTCATAACTCATTTTAAGAGTTGAGTTCTGCAATTTTAGATGTTGAAAACTACTAGAAAACATATATTTTATGTAAAATCTAGTTGAAAAAGTTAATTTGTGTAAATTTTGAAAAATCTTTTATGTGTCGAAGTTCAAAATATGGCTAGTGTAAAAATTGAAAAACCAGTGCAGAATTGATTTCATCTTCAGTCGCGTGCGGCTGTGCGTCGCGGTTCGCTTCCCGACCGCGACGCAAAGCCGCACGCAAGTGGAAACAATTTTTGCTTGAAAAACGTGTTTATCTGATTTTTTCTAAACTTTTTCATCAAAATCTGCCAAAAATCAATGAAAACAACACGGATTCAAGGAGCATAACGTATAACCTGCGTATCTAACTTGTCCAATTTATTTTCGAGTTAGATGCGCAGGTTCTACGGTACTTTAACATAAATCTAGTCTTTGGACAGTGAAATTTTGGTTTTTGGACACCGCATTTCAAATTTTCTATCCCTCCCTCAAAACACGCACCTTTTTAGCCTCAACAAATTCCTTGATATAAATCGCATAAGCATTCGGTGGAAGTTGTGGATGTCCATTCGCCTTCCATTCCTCTCGCTTCTCTTTTCTCTCTCTTCGTTTCGCCTTCTCCACCTTCTTCTCCTTCGCCTCTTCAATCTTCAATTGTTGCGTCTTCGCATCGAGTTGCAAGAACTCCGAAATCTTCTCCTCTCGATATTCCTTCGATTTCTTTTGATACTCGTTCTTCTGCTCTGCACTCAATTTCTTCCAATCCGCTGATAATTTCTTGACAATTTCCACATTTGATCCTCCTTGGCTTGAGTTTTGCGCAAAATGCTCTTTGACAAAAATCGCATATGGATTGATGGACATTCCAGTTGATGGGATTTTTGGGGCAGTTGCATAAGCTCGCAAGAATGTTCGCAACATCTGAAAATCGAAATTGTAAAGTGGTTTTCATTCGAAAACAGCAAAGGTTTTGTTTTGTTTACAGAGGAAAACAAACAAACAAACAAACATTCGAAACCGGCGCCAATTAAAGGCGCATCTAATTATTATCAATCTTGGTCTCGCCACGAAAACCTTTATATCCCCTCAAACCCCATTAAAATCTACATCATTGTATAGGAAATTAAAAGACGAATCGAATGACATCGAAAACATCGTCAATTAAAAAGTTTAGAAAGTTTTTTGTTAGAAAAAATTTGTAATTCAATTCAATTCACAAAATCCATTATTATCACTTGTTCGTCTTCTTTTTCGATTTGATGAGAAAATAGAAGAAGAAGGAGAAAAAGATAATTAACTATCGAAGGAACAAATGAGAAGAAAGAAAACAGTGTGAAAATGATAAGACGTAGACAGGAAAGAAAAAACGATTGACCATCTGACAGAATGTAAAATAGCTGTTTTAGTGCGCGAAGGCGAAGAGTGAAGAAGAAGTGAGGATGAATACACCGCCGCCGACGAAAAAGTTGAGTCGAGCAACGAGTTTGGATTGTCCACCGGAAAAGATTTGTGAGTTTTTCGGTGGGAAATTCAAAAATATCGGGGGTTGTAGTCAAAAAAGTGGTGAAAATAGCGAAAAATACTTCTCGATTTTTTGAAAAAAAAGTTTTGAAGATTTTTTTGGATTTCCGATTCATACAGAGAAGATCAGAACTTCGGAAAATTCAAAAAAATGTTCAAAAACCGGTTGGGATTTTTAGTTTTGAACACTAATTAATGATTAGTGTTCTAATTACTAATTAGTGTTCAAAACTTCAAAATTTGAATTTTTTATTCACTGAATTTTCAGAAAATCAAAAAAGTAGTTTAAAAAATTGAGAAAAATTTTTTTTGGTGAGAAATTTCATGATCTTTGAATCGGAAACCAGGAAAATAAGGAAAAAGTTGTGATTTTCAGTTTTGAAATCTTTCAAAAAATGAACAAAGACATTTTTTGGTGACAAATTTTAGAATCAAAACTTTTTTTGTATGAATAGGAAATCCAGAAAATACGAAAAAATGTTCAAAAACCAGTTAGGATTCTTATTTTTTCTGAAAAATTCAAAAATTAATTTTTTGGAGAGAAATTTTAACATCTTTGAATCGGAAATCCGGAAAATTCAAAAACCATTTGGGATTTTTAGTTTGATTGTGAATTTTCAGCAAATCAAAAAAGTAGTTTGAAAGATTGAGAAAAAAATTTTTTGGATAGAAACTTTGAATCGGAAATTCGGAAAAAGTTGTGATTTTCAGTTTTGAAATCTTTCAAAAAATAATTATTTCGTTATGGAATACAACAAAAACCTTATGTAATTTGTTCAAAGTTTCCTCAACGACTTTGAAAATTTCCATTTTTCATCCCTTTTTTCACAGAAGTTAGACAAATTCCGGATAAAATTGTTCATACTTCCGATTTTTTCGCTGACATTTTGAAGATGATAAATTAGTACCAAAAATGCAATTTTAGATACTGTCGATCTTCATCAATCAAATCCAAACATTTTGCACGATGTTCAACTTGAAACAGGTATTTCATCCCGAACTTCACTTCTAAATTCAAAAATTCAAAATCTTGCAGAACACACAGCTCCCTCTGTATTTTTCCCATCAATGCGTCTTATGGTCGCAGCAATGCTCTCATGTTGTTTCATAACTCTCTCAATTTCCTCTTCAAATCTAGCGGTGGCTTTAATTTGCATGACAAATTGTCCAACAAATGCCTATGGCGGGAATCTTGAGTGGGATAAAACTGAGCAGGGTTTAGTGTTAGCTGCACAAAATGCTGGAAGTCTTATCACAATTCTAACTGGGATGTGGGCTGATCGATTAAATGGAAAATGGATGGTATTTGTTGGATTGTTCTTATGTTGTATTGGTAATTTGATGTTACCACTTCTTGCGAATCAATCGATTATCTTCGCAATTGTGGCTAGAATCTGTATCGGCGCAGCGGATGCCTGTCTCATGCCAGCTATAAATTCTCTCATAACTCGCTGGTTCCCACAAGCTGAAAGACCCGCAGCGATTGGACTGATTTCCGGTGGTCGACAAATTGGAACCCTCTTCATTCTTCCGACCGCCGGTTATCTTTGCACACGAAAAGATGTTCTTGATGGATGGCCAGCAATCTATTATCTATCAGCAACTATTTCTATAATGGTCACGATTTTCTGGATTCCCTTTGGCGCTGATAAACCAGCAAAACAAATTTGTATTTCGAGTCGAGAAAAGGAATTTATAGAAAGTCGAATTGCTTGTGAATCAATTGGAAAACGGACAGATCGAACCAGAAGAATTCCGTAAGTTTTCCGATAAATCAATTTTTTTTTCCTCAAAAAAAAAAATTCATCAAGATACGGTGCAATGTTGCGATCAAAACCAGTCTGGGCTTCAGTATTCGCTCTAGTTTGCCACGAATATCCACTCGTTATCATGCTTCAATTCTTGCCGAATTATATGAATGATGTTCTCGAGTTTGCTCCGACAAAGAATGGATTTTTCGCCGCCCTACCAATTTTATGCCTATTTTTGTCGAAAACCTTCTCTTCTTCGCTATCCTCTTATTTTACAACCAAATTGCATTATGACAAAACTTTTGTCTGCAAGGTAAGACAAGGCAGGAAAATGTGTAGCTTATATGTCAAGTAGCCGAGCCTACAAATCCTAGTTATCAAGCAACCGCGCTTGAAAAATTCAATTGTCAAGGACCAGCACCTTAAGAACCTAGTTTTCTAGAAGGAGCCGCATCTAAACATCATCTCTGCAAAGAAGCCGAATCTTTATAGCTCAATACCAAGTAGCCTAGTCTATAAAATGCTAGTTGTCAAGTAGCCGCTCCTAACAAACCTAGTTTTCTAGTAGCCGAATCTAGAAATCATCTCTGGCAAGGAGCGGCATCTTGAGATGTGCTATTCCAAATAGCCGAGCCTAGAAATCCTGGTTTTCAAGTAACCGCGCCTATAGAGTTCAATTGTCAAGGATCAGCGCCCAGGGAGCTCTAGAGCAAAAATTTCCCAATTTTTCAGCTATTCAACGGTGTTGCCTCGGCTGGTCTAGCTGTTTGTATATTCCTCGTACCATTCTTCAACAAAGATTCCGCATCTTTCGCAATAATCTGCCTCTGTGGTGCGATGATCTTCGCCGGTCTTCACACTCCCGGCGTCATCACCGCAATGGTTCAATTAGCCCCCGCATTTTCAGGAGTAATTACCGGGTGGTCGTTTTTCGCCGTCGGCTGGTTCGCGATCGGAAACAAACTTCTAACAAAACAAATTGTTCTACATGGAACAGTGACTGAATGGGGAATGGTATTCCGAGTATCTGCATTAGTTGCCGCGTTACCAGTGATTGTTTTCACAGTCTGGGGTTCAGCAGAAAGACAATGGTGGGCTGCGCCGTCATCAAAAACTTCAGTTGCCTCATTTCACAAAACAAGTATTCGTGATCGTAGTCGTGAAATGTCACGTGCCACGTCATCAACATCACTCGGTGGATTATCGATGAAATCTAGCAAATCTACTACTAAATGATCTCTACTATTTAATAAATGTGTTCACTATTATGCAAATACATACAATTCCAAGTGTCACTTGTGTTTAGTTTAGCTAGAGAGAAGGAAGGCCGAGCTATTTATGTGTACTTAAGAGTAGTACGAGTTTGGAATTGTAAACATTGAGGATTTGAGAAATCCGAAATTGATAAGATGAATAACGAAGATGGAAGTATAGCAGAAAAATTGTTTGGCCTTGTTTCAAATTATTAAAAATCAATTTGGGATGTGGGTTATCGAGTTAGAAAAAAGTTACGCTAATTTAACGCTGAAAACCAAGTGCTATACCAAAAATTAGTGAAAAAAATTTGGGCGTACCAAAAAATATGTTCAGCGATTTTTGGTACACACCTCGGCCAATCTGTAGCTGGCCAGAGTAAAATTTTGTAAAAATCTGAATTCCAGCTTTTAGAGGTCAAAAACTGACGAATTCAGAGTTTTCAGAGGTCAAAAACTGAAAAATTCCAATTTTTTTATATTGGAAACCACGATTTTGGCCGAAGTGTGTTTTGGTATACCCTTTTTTTGAATTCAAGCAATATGAAGTACGAAAGACTACAGAAAATATGTTTTTTACCTAGCCAAACTCTTTCCCCATCATCCCTGACCAAAAAAAGACAAACTCAATCCCCCCCCCCCCTCGCATCAAAAAGTCCATTCGGTCATTACCAGTTTATTTACTAAACTGTCGTGTGCTACTTCCATATATCCGAAAAATAAATGGGCGGAGTTTTGCGCACTACCAAATACACAGTAGTTGTTGTTTGGTGGTAGGGGGGAAAGAAAGCTGTCTCAACTGTCACTTTATTATTTTATTTCACATAAATATTGTCTCATTTTCTCTCGTCTTATTGTAAGTAATACTTCCGCGTTTAGCACATGAAGTACTCGATATTATTTCTACTATTATTGCTATTCTCTGAAAATCGCGCGGAAAATGCTGAAAATAATATTTGCGAGGTTCGCCCGGCGTCTTGTAATTTGTTGTGTCCTTTTGGATATTTGCGCGATGTTTTAAGACAGTGCACTTGTACTTGTGCGATTGATCCTTGTCAGGTAATTAATTAATTTAATCTAATTAATTTTTGATTCGGAAATATTTCAGACAACGTTATGTGCACCGTCTGATAGTTGTATTGCTGTTGGTCACAAAGCAAGATGTATCCCAAAATTTGGTGAGTAAAAACTTCAAAGATTTTCCAAAAAAAATCAATAAAGCTATGTAATTACCACTTTCAACACCTCTCAAAAAATTGTATAATAATTGCCTGCCTGTCCGGATGGACAAGAGTGGACATGTATAATTGTCCCCCCCCCCCCCTCGTTCTACAGGGGAGGACTACAGGGGAAAACTACAGGGGAGACGGCATAAAATGTAAAAAAAAAGTTGTTTCAGGGTCTCATCGTGATGAATGTCCTCGTTTAACTGGAGGAGTTTGTGCTTTGAGATGCGAAAAAGATTCGGATTGTAATGGCAGACTAATTTGCTGTTCAAACGGGTGTGGTAGAGAATGTGTGGCACCAATTGGTGCAGTTTCCTTTCCAATCAAGGCTGAAATAGTTCCAAAAGATAGTCTCCCTGGATCATTTCATAGATTAATCAAAGCAGTGTCTAACATAGCTTTGAATAGCACACCATTTCCACCAACTATTAGAAATATTGCGAATCTTTTTGTCCCCTCAACTCTACCGATTCGACCCGAAATTGTTCAAACAATCAAAGTTGGACAATGTCCAGCACCGGATAATGGAAAACAACAATGTGAAGCGCAACAAAAATGTGCAAACGATTTGGATTGTCCAAATGTTGATAAATGTTGCCCGAATTCTTGTGGTGCAACTTGTATGGAACCTCTCAAAGCCACTGCGTGTATTCATATGGTTCTAGCGATTTCGAAGCTTCCAGAAAAACGGCTGCCCAATGAATATGTTCCATATTGTGAGAGAAATGGACGATTTTCAAATATTCAATGTGATTTGAAATTTTGTTGGTGTGTTGATGTTCATTATGGAACTGAGATTGAGGGAACTCGAATCAACAAAGATCAACGAAGAATTGAGATGTGCCAGAATCCTCGTCTCTGCGCTCACAAATGCTACAATCAATGTGCACACGGTTATCAAATGGATTCATTCGGCTGCCCCGTTGCCACGTGTAAATGTCAAGATATTTGCGAGAATGTGAAATGTGATAATACATGGGAGCATTGTCAATTAGTCGAACCAGATTGTGCAAATCCACCATGCCTCCCAGTTCCCCGATGTCTTCTAAACCCTTGTAAATCAGGAGTTCCAAATAAATTGAGCAATGGGATAACTGCTCTCTGCTCTTCTAATAAAGATTGCTCGGCTACAACATCAACGTGTTTCCGAATCGGATATAATGGCCTCGGATTTTGCTGTTCTGGCGTAGATGCATCAACTAAAGAAGGCCGCTGTCCTTCAAAACCAGCCTCAGCAAACTGTGTATCCGGTCCAAAATGTAATTCAGATGTTGAATGTCCGAACGATGAAAAATGCTGTTTCAATGGCTGCACATTATCATGCACTATTCCTGAAGGATATTCCTCTTCAACCAGAAATGCGAATCGAATCTCTATGATGTTCCAACCTGGGGAAATCGAGAAGTACAACAAGGGACATCTAACTTCTTTAGTAGCAGATTGTACTGATCAAGTGGTTTCGAATAACACATGTTTAGCTGAATGTCATTCTGATATGCAGTGTAGTGGAATGAAAAGATGTTGTCGACAAGGTTGTTCTACAACTTGTATGTATCCAGTTAGAAGTACACGTAAGTAAAACTATTATTCTAGAACTAGATCGAAAATGAATAAATTTCAGCGTGTTTTCACCTCGCACTAACTGCCGAACTCTACTCTCTACGAACTGCCATGAAATGTGACAGAGCTGGAAACTTCGAACAATTTCAATGCGACGATGAAGGTTGCTTCTGCGCTGATATTGTAACAGGAGATCCAATCCCTGGCACAAAAATTATCGGAAGAAAGCCGAATTGTGAGGCGAAGAATCCATGCGATCCAATAGTTTGCAAATCAGAATGTCCCTATGGTTTCGAAAAAGGTCCGAATTTTTGTCCAACTTGCAAGTGTAAAAATCCTTGTGAAACAGTAAAATGTCCCCAGGGAAGTGTTTGTGTGATGAGTTCAGTGCAATGTTATCAAAATACAAATTGTCACCCGCAACCAAGATGTGTCATTAATTTCTGTCCAACTGGAGATCCCTATGTTTCACAAGTTGGAAATATCGAAAGTTGTTCGAAAGACGAAGAATGCCCCTTTCAAACTCACTGGTGTCATTCAATGGGTTTATCGTCTGGTGGTCTCTGTTGCCCAATTCCAACTCGAACTAGAAATCCGGGAAGCTGCCCAACAGTTCCGATAAGTCTAGACGCAAGAATGTGCAAAATCATGTGTCGAGTGGATGATGATTGCAAATCATATCAGAAATGCTGTTTCGATGGATGCGGAGCCACGTGTAAAGGTAAGCGTGACCTTATTTTTTTAATTTAAAAATTAACTAGAAGGGCTTCGCTGGCTAACGCCATCTACAGTAGTTTGACTTACTTTTTCTCATTAATTTTCCGGTTAGGGAAAGAGAAACATTGAGAAATGCCCAAAAATTGTTTACTTTTTCAGAGAATGGAACGATCAGATAAGAAACGTGTCCTAACATTTTTTTCGAATAAAAACGTGATCATTCTTTTTTACATGAAAAAAGTTTTGATTTTTCACGTGAAAACTCGCGCACTTTTTGAAAAAATGAATATTAGCGCATCGATGGGAAAGAATTTGGGATCGAATGGTGAAGGTCCCATCAAAAATGGTCTTCTGGAAATTGAGAAAAGTCGAGCGACACATTTTAAAATCGAAAAATACATTGGAGTTTTCAAACTTTTCACTCTCCGCGCACTCACATACATTTTGAGGGAGAATTTTTGAAACGCGCATCATTGTGCCACCATTTAGAAACTTTCTCTTTTTTTGATAATCAATTTTTATGCGCACAGTTTTGAGAACGGACCGCGGACAGACTCTTGCCAAAAAAATTTTCCCAATTAGTATATAGTAGATATCTCATTTCTAGACATCACTACACCGCTTGTAGAACTGACAAAGGAAAATTTCGAGAAACCCGGAACTTGTATTCTGGAACAACAACAGCGAGTTCTATGCAATCGACTGGAGAAAAATACATGTGAATTCGATTCGGATTGTGCTGGAGTTGCAAAATGCTGTGATGATGGATGTGTTAAATCGTGTCAATATCCACTTCAAACAAGTAAATGTTTGGTTAGAAAAACGAATCTTCAGAAAATGGGACAAATGGATTTGATAAAATGTCGACCGGATGGATCTTTCGAGCAAATTCAATGTGATCAAGATTTTTGCTGGTGTGTAGATGAAGATGGAAATCTAGTTGATGGAACGAGGACCGGTGAAGATATCACACCTAATTGCCCTACTACTCCAACCTGTGACCATATTGAATGTGACGGTCCAATTTGTCTCTACGGAAGAAAGAAAGATTCAAAAGGTTGTGCGTATTGCGAATGCATTGATCCATGTGAAGGAGTTTCATGTCCAGAAGAAGCAGTGTGCATTCCAACGAGCACACCGTGTGTTACCAAACCATGCCCAACAGTTCCAAAATGTATCATCAACCCATGCCCAAATTCCGAAATTGTGAGAAATTCAACTTCACTGGGACCGAAACGATGCTCAAAATCGTATGATTGTTATGATAGATTGATGACAACACATTGTTCAATGATAACAGAATCGGAAGGATTTTGTTGTACAGCTGAACGTAAGTCTAGGGATTTTTTTAATTACAAAAAGTTATTTTCAGAACCTGAGAAAACCCATAGTGGAACATGCCCAAAGATCACATCAATAACAACATCAATCCTCGAATCTTGTATTCAGGGATGTAAATCGGATGAAGATTGTGATACTGATTCAAAATGTTGTTGGAATGGGTGTGGTCTAACATGTGTTACGACCACCATCCCGAAAATAGAACCTCAACATCATAATATGAAAGATATTCATATTGGAGAATGTTTGAAGGTAGCACCATTGGGAGCATTTTGTATGCAAAGAACATCGATGGCGGATTGTAAAACCGATCAAGATTGTCCATCGTTGTATAAATGCTGTTCGGATGGATGTGTTATGCGATGTTCGCAACCACATAAAGCGCCGTTATGTGTGCATCAGAGAATTACTGCACTAGCAATGCAAGAGATCAGGTAACTTTTGTTAACCACTTCCAGTAACCTCGAAAACTATTTTCAGCCACGATGAAGATCTATTTATACCCGAATGTGATGCGACTACTGGACATTTCGATGAGATTCAATCACACTTTGGTTTGATGTGGTGTGTAAACGAAGTTGGTCGAGAAATCGTTGGAACTAAATCAACAACAGTTCCAAATTGTGATCAACCTCGAAAATGCGCTCAAAAACCATGTGACAAAAATTGCCCCTATGGCTACAATACCGATAACGATGGTTGTCCAGTCTGTGATTGCATTTCACCTTGTGACTTCGTTGATTGTCCAGCAGGAAATGTTTGTAGATTAGTCCCAGTGAAATGCTCATCTGATACACCAAAAGAAGAATGTCTACCAATAGCGAAATGCATTCCAAACATGTGTGCAACCGGGGAGCCCTTCGCCTTGGAATTCAAAAGATTGGCCGGTTGTTCACCATGTCCCGCTGGCTTCTATTGCAAAAACAGTGGCTATGGTGATATTTCGATATGCTGTCCTGCTCCAGAACCCCCACAAAACTCTCTAAAATGTCCAAATCTCCAAACAATGCTTGCCTCCGTCGATGGTTCATCGTGTGTCGTTGGTTGTCGACACCATTCCGATTGTCCGAATTCATCCTGCTGTTTCAATGGGTGTGGAACAAGTTGTCAATTCGAAACCTCTCCAATCACCCCAACAAACTTCCATAAGATTTCTGTCACCAAGAAGCCATTGTTAAGCAAACTGAAGATTGAAAGAAAAGCTAGTCAGATAACAAATGTGATTCAATCAGTGATAACAACAACAACAATGCTAATCCCCACAAAACTTGGAACATGCCCGAATATCTTGCTGAATCCCGGATGTTCAGAACAATGTAATCAAGACAATGATTGCCATGGCTTCTACAAATGCTGTACTGCATCTTGTGGAACACTGTGTAGTGCACCAAGAATCGCAACAGCCTGTATTCATCGATTGATCGCTTTTGAAACCCGGGAAACTATTCATCCGCCAGCAGTGCAGTGCTCAACAGATGGACTTTTCCGAAAATATCAATGTGATGTGCAAATCAAGTAAGTTTTTTTTCGATAAAACTATTTTCATGCTCAAAATTCCAGCCAATGTTGGTGTGTTGATGTGAACACAGGAGTTGAAGAAATTGGAACCCGAATGTTCAATTTAGGAGGTCTTGGACCAATCGATTGCACAATTCCAAAACTCTGCGCAGTTCGATGTGAACAATCAACTTGTATTTACGGAGTTAGGCTAGATCACAACGGATGTCCTTCGAATGGTGCTTGTGAATGTAATAATATTTGTCAGGTATAGTTCGGGATAAGTTAATCTTCAAAAACATCCTATTCAGACATTCCAATGCCCGCCTCTCATGGAATGTGCTCTCAAAAAAGTCGAATGCACTTCACATCCCTGTCCCGATATTCCGATCTGCGTGGGAGTTCAACAATGCCCGATTCCACAACGAGACATCTATCGAAATCCGATCATTTGCGAGAATGATGGAAGCTGCGGGAACAATGCAAAGTGTCAGAATGGAATCTGTTGTCATCAAAAAGTCCAAACTCAATCATCGGTTAACTTAATGGTCCCAGTTATCGTAGCAACACCTTCAGTTCCAGAAACTTCGTTAGCAACAAGTGAGTTATTCCAGGGGGATTCTTGAGAGGAAAACCAAGACAAATTTCAGATTGTTCAACGATGGTAACTGCTTTCGATAAACTAGTTAAATTTGGAGCCGTGATTCGCGGAGCTTTCCCAAAATGTTCAATAACCGGAAACTATGAGAAAACCCAATGTGACAGTAAACGATGTTGGTGTGTCGATGACATTTCAGGACAAGAAATTCACGGAACTCGAAAGAAGAAGCTGAAAAACGCGTGCAAATCTCAATCACTCTGCTTTTCAAAATGCTCAACAAGTCTTTGTCCCTACGGACTTCTTCTAGATTCAATCGGTTGCCCAAGACCAGAATGTATTTGTAAATCAGCCTGTGAGAATGTAGACTGTCCAAGTGGTCAAGTCTGCATCCTTAGGCAAGTTGATTGTGGAGGAAAGTTCTGCCTCCCAGTTCCAACTTGTGAGCCCTCGCCTTGCAATAGTGGGATGAAACCTCTAGTCGAAGCTCGAACTCGTCAACAATATTCTTGCGCTCAAAAAAACTTGGTTTGTCCCACTGGATATTATTGCACCGCCTATGATAATAATATGCAAGGAGTATGTTGCCCGGGAACTGATTCGATTCTAAGTATCGGTCATAATGATGGATTAACCTGTCCGCACGGTGATCCATTTTCCTTGATCTCTGATGGAACTCCAACAAGTTGCACTGTCAAATCGAATGGCTGCCCTTCAACGCATTATTGCTCCACACAAGCTTCCCAAAAATCGGGGATTTGCTGTGTTTCAAAAAGTGAGTGTCACTCACTCACTGAGTGAAAAAACCCTCAATTTTTTCTTTCAAAAATTAATTCTAGGACACGTTTGCAACCTGCTCAGTGATTCTGGCCCCTGCAAGGCAAAAGTTTCCCGCTTCTTCTACTCATCAAAAAGTCATTCTTGTGAACTTTTTGAATACGGAGGATGCGCGGGAAACTTGAACAACTTCGCAACTCGACAAGACTGTGAGAACTTCTGCGCAGGTATCGGGTTGGATTTATCTTCTCCTTATGATTTTGCGACCGCTCAATTACCCATTGAATCTTATCAAATCGCATTTTCATTAACCGGACAGAAGATCCATGCTGCAAAGAAATTGCAAGCCGAAAAAGAGTTAACCGACACACTTGTTGAAAAATTCCGAATTCCACGTGGATCTATTGATGACGTCACAATTCGAGATGATAATACGGTGAAATTCACGATAACTGACATTGAATCTAGACAATTTGCAAGATCCATATCGGAACAAGTGTCAAATGGACAATTGACGATGGTGTTGTCTGGGAACACACTAAAAGCTGAACCGCACACTCTAATTGCTCATCATTTGGCTGATGAGAATATGGCGAAAGGAACTGCACGAGTTGTGTTTTATGGTAAGTTCAAAGAACATTTCAGAAAAAAATTAATATGTATGTTATTTTCAGCAATGCTTCTGGCTTCATCAATTTTTCTCATGTGTGTGATTTGTGTTTTCTGTTTTTCATGTGTGAGTTTGGGGACAATTTTTAATTTCACAAGGTTGAAAAATCAAACAATTTTGAATAGCAAACAACAATTTCAAATCGGGAAAAATAACTTATTTCATGAGTTACGATAACTTTTCGATAAAAAAAAACGTCATTTTCAAAAAATCGATATTTATCTCAAAATTGACGAAAATACTTGATTTTGTAGCTAAAAACTTTAATTTTTCAATAAAATTCGAATTTTTTAGCTTGACAAAAATTTCGAAACGGAAAAAGTGGAAAATTTTGTCGAGCTGAATTGAATCGACAAGATTTTTCACTTTTTCCGTTTGTCAAGCTAAATACATTCGAATTTCATTGAAAAATTGAAGTTTTTATTTACAAAATCAAGTATTTTCGTCAATTTTGAGATGAAAACCGATTTTTTGAAAATTACGTTTTTTAAATTAAAAAGTTTCGTACTTCAATTTTTCACATCAAAAAGTTACAGTTCTGCTACTACCGAAATGACACATCAAAAAAACAATCAACAACACCAACAACAATCACTGAGAATCGATCGCATCTCGAAGAAATGCATCGAGTCTTCTCACGCGATGATGTTTCGGTTTGTTCGGATTTGGGAGCTCGACCCGAAATGATGATGAGAAGATCGGATCGATCACAAAGTTGGATCGGATGAGTGAGACAAGGGTTCTACGTGTCTATTTTTTCTAGTCTTGCCATTTTATAGCTTTCAGAATACATAATATTTTAAAGTATTTTGCGCTGCAAACGCAATTTCAAATAAAAAAAATCAAAAAAAATTTAAATGACAAGCATTATATTACACAAATCGAGAAAAAATGTACAAAAAAAAGGAAAAAAATTCGATACCTATGAGTTATTATTTACAATTTACAGGTTTTCTAGAGTTAGCACAAGTTTTCTAAGCGGGTTTATAGAATCCGCGAAGATCCAGCGCACTTTTGATGTATCTTTGGGCTTTTTGATTGATTGTTGGTGGTTGGATGAGGATTTTGGAGGCGTCTTCGATTTTTTCCGAATTTCGGCGCACGTAGAGTTTTGCGTCGTTTTGCATTTGTTCGAGTCTGGAAAATTATTGAAAAATATATTTTTCTAGTTGTTTCACTATTTTGATGTTAAAAATCAGAGAACTCAACTTTTTGATGATCAAAATTTGAATTTTAGGAACTTTCCGCAAATATCTTAGGCTTGAAATTGAGGTTAGTTCATGATTTTTCAAAATTTCTGATTTTGCCACGCCATAACTCATTTTAGCTACACAAAATTCATTTTTATGGGGTGATTCAAGTCGAAAAAAAATAATTGAAAAAAAAAATTCGATTCAGAAAATGTCTAACAAAACTATTATTTTCCCATTTTTTGATATTTTTTTCATTTTGCTGAGAGATATTTTTGTGTGGAAAAATAGGAAAAAAAAATATAGATTTTCGACATTTTCTGAATCGAAATTTATTGTCTCATTTTTGTACTCTATCTATCGATAATTTCAGAATTTTCATCCCAATTTTGAGAATTTTGGTTTTAATTTATTCTCAATACGAAATCCCAAAGATCAAGAAAAAACCCCCGGGTTTTGAAATGAACACGTTAAAGGTATAAACATTGAGAATCTCGAAAGTCTTTCAAACTTCGCTTTTTGCAGGTATACATAATGAAAGTGACATTGAAAAAAATATTTGATAATAAATTATATCAAAATTTTGAAACGTATTATTTTTGTTTTTCGACAAATCGGAATTTTTAATCAAAATTTTGAGACTTAATGAATAATGAGCTTATTGATAAAAATATTGTCATTCCGAAAAAAATAAGAACTTGAAAGAGAACCGAAATGGCCTAGGAAACCAAGACCACAGTAGACTTCGCAAAATTTTGGAGTCTATTTGAAAAATAAAATGCGAAATTTACACGTTGGCTATTTGCCAACCAGTTTGATGTGCATGTGTCACGTCATCTTTAGTCTACTGTACGTGACCGCCAATTCAAATGGGGGTTCTTTTATTTTCGGAATGACAATATATCAATGCGACTACTAAAAACTCTTCCACTTGAATTTATCCTATGAATAGTGATTATATTGAAAAAAATATTTGATAATAAATTATATCAAAATTTTGAAACGTATTTTTTTTGTTTTTGACAAATAGGAATTTTTAATCAAAATTTGACCCAAAAGTGATGAGAATGAGATTTTTGTCGAAGTGAAGCAATTTTGAGCTCAAATTTTAACAAAAATTATGATTATCAAGTTTTTACAACTCCAAATAAAAAAGAAAAAGGAAAAAATGGTAGGGGTATCCCTTTTCCCAGAAATTTTCAATAATAGGGGTATGCACTGGTAGATTTAGAACGAGGCTATGCGACGTATGTGCTGAATCGAAATTTTTTGTAAAAAATTTTTTTTTAATTATTTTTTTTCGACTTGAATTTTTATTCCAAAACAAAAAATCCACTCACTTATCCGCATCAATTTCATCCAATCCATAAGTATAAGTCATATACGGATTAAATCGATAATAAACCTTATCCGGCAACATATCATGAACATTTATATGAACTCCTTCCGTATCCGTCGCCGAATCAATAATCTTCAGAAGTTTGTCTTGAAAAGAAGTCGACGATAATGTTGGAACATGTTCAATGTTCGCAACAGTTCTACCATTTCCAACCGATACAACACAATTGAATTTCTCATTTGGCCAGAGAAGTTTGGCTTCATGATAGGCGATTGCGGTTGGATTATTGGCATAAACTCCACCGTCTTGAAGAAGTAAATTATCTAATTTGACTTCGGAGAAATATAGAGGAGCAGCAGCTGATGCTTGAATCGCAGTCCATAATGGATGTTCAGTACCACCTCGATAATGCGAATCTCTTCCAGCTGGATGATCATAATTGCGGAAGATATATGGTTGAATTGTGGGCAAATTCACAATTGACGCGATAACCGCCAATCTTGGCGTATTTAATTTCCTCGAAGTGCTTATCAATGTCACATCTTCGCCAATAATCTCTTTCAGAATATTGATCCAAAGAGTTGTATTATAATACGAGTGTTTCCAAATCAGACCCAATCCTCCTTGGAATTTTCCCTGTGAGAATAGTTTTCTCGAAATATCCATGTAGATTTCGCGGCATTCTTTCACGGAATATCTTTTGACTGTCAACAATGCGGCGATGATTCCTCCAGTGCTAACACCACAAATCATATCGAAATTGTCGCAGATCTGCAAACAACAGGTGTTTTTTGCGGAATTTTGAGTGTTCTATGAACACTTTTCGAGTTCAAACAACTAACTAAATATATTTTCTAGTAGTTTTTGAGATTCTGATCATTTCTCCAAAATTGCAGAATTTTCATGTTTTTTCAGCAATTGTGTTAAAATATTGGATTTTAATCGTATTCATAGGATAGAAAGGTCTAGAATGATATGAATTTCGATGAATTTACGTTATCCCTTAGTGATTTAGCGAGGTTTAGTCGAAATTTTAGTCGAAAAATCGCTAAATCACTTAGGAATAAGGTAAATTCATCAAAATTTATCATTCTAGAGCTTTCTATCCCATGAATACGATTAAAATCCAATATTTCAACACAATTGCTGGAAAAAACATGAAAATTCCATTTTTCTGCAATTTTAAACATCGGAATAATGATCAGAATCTCAAAAACCACTAGAAAATATATTTATTATCGAAAATCTCATCGGTACCACGCGCTCCACCGAAATAAACACATAACGCAGACCGCGTCGCACCACAACACACACGAACGATTCAAATTCCCTCCCTTTTTCGTGTGGCGCGGCGCGGTCTGCGTTGCGTGTTTATTTCGGTGGAGCGCGAGACATCGGAATAGTCTCAAAAACTACTAGAAAACAATTCTATTGTGAATTTCACCAAAGTTTACCAACCTTTTTCCCCGAAAGTGATTCAATTTGCTCAAGAACCTCTAAACCCATCATTCCTCTCGTTCCCCCGCCGTCAATCGATAATAAATTAACACCTCTCCCCTTTGGCGCAGGATGCACACCAATCAATGTCAAACATTGTCGAGATTCTTCTCGAAGATTCGTATCCGAATCATTCAAAACCATATCAAGTAACTCGGCAATAAGCTTCGCATTTTGTGCGGCAACAATTCGAGTCGGCGGAAAATCCATTATATGCTCGCTGAGTTGGCGAACTCTGACAAGCCGACTTTGCGCGCTTTCAGCCAGTAGGATTTTCTTGATAAGTCCACGAGTTTTGGAAGCGACTTCGGAGCGTGAAACGCGGTTTTCGTTCAGTTTTTGGATCACTCTGCAGAATTTTTATACATAAATTCAAAATTTTTCAAGTAACTCACTGTGCTTTTGTCTCAACAACCGGTTCTTTACTCGTACTCGATCCAACATTCAAATAATTCAGCGGATTCTCAACCTTGGATACAAAAGACTTGAAAACATCGGCGAAATATCCATAACTTGTTGCGACTGTGGCGCCCGTTGGTTGTTGAGTTCCAGAAGGTGTTGGAACACCGCCATTCGATGTCGAACTGCTGAATAGTGTGCGAGTAAAAGGTTCTGTTTGGCGAATGAGGCACGATCTGTGCATCTGAAAATTTTTATTGAATTTGGAATTTTCGCACGTTTTTGAAAAAAAAAGTTGTTTTTTAACATCGAAAGATCAATTCACGAAAAATTTCTCTCTCATTTTTTTTCCAAAAACGTGCGAAAAAAGGTCTTTTTCAAATTTTCGTCTTCTAAATCCAATAGGGCTGATTCACGAACAAAAAAAATTTTAAAAATGTTTTTTTAACATCGAAAGATTAATTCACGAAAAGTCAAAAAATGTCGAAAAAACATTGTAGGTCAAAATTAGTTTCTGATGAAAATTGACCTTGGAATTTACTTTCCAGAAGGTTTTTGCTGATTTTTAAGTAAAATAGGGTTCTCAAAGCTTATTTTCATCAGAAATTACTCCAGAAGCTTGAAAAACATCGATTTTTCATCATTTTTGGCTGAAAAATTCGAAAAACTAATGTTTTATCGTTTCTGAATCAGCCCTATTGGATTTGAAAGACGAAAATTTGAGAAAGACCTTTTTTCGCACGTTTTTGAAAAAAAAATGATAAAATGAGAGAGAAATGTTTCAACGACAAACACAGATAAGTACATTTTTTTGGTATTTAACAAAGAAAATCGCTGAAAATCACCGAAAATCTTTGAAAACCCAACCCAGAAAACGACAAAAAATCGTATTGTTATGGATCACGCCACCCAGCTGGACGTTCCTTGGCTATTCTCTCTTTTATATACAACACAAACAAATGCGATGAGACACACTCTCTCAATTTCTCCGCCTCTCTGTGTCTCCGCATCTCTCATCCACCACGTGCGCTTTTATGAAACACAACGGCACGAAATGGAATGAGTGAATGACAAGGAAAGCACCCCACGTGACTTGAACTTTATGTTCTTGTGTCAGACAAAAATATTTGTGATGACTGTTTGAACTTTTTGTTTATAGAAATTGAGAATTAGATGAACTTTTTCATGACGCCACAAGTGGAAAACAATGATTTCTAGTTTCTAGAACATTGAAAACCACATAAAACACCAAAAACCACCCAGAACACGCCAAAAACGGGCTCTCCGCAAAAAAAATCGAAAATATTTCAAAACTTGTCCTTTTGAAATACACAAATTTTCCATCTCAAAATTCTCAATGGAGCGCACTTGCCCACTTTCTTTCATTTGCCACGGTGTCTTTTTTATTTTTCACTTTCACCGATTTTCAGCACCCAATGGGCACTCAAAATGGGACAAATCATCATCCAATGTTCCATTCATCGAACACATTTTCAATCGATGAATCGAAATTATGCTTCAATAAGACGCATTTCAATAGAACTGATTTCAATGTGGAGAGATTTATGAATTTGGCAAGGCAGTGAGTTTTTAAGGGAGAAAATGAAGATAAATTCAATTTTAAAAAAATATTTTGTATTTAGGAAAGCTGATTTGAAAACAATTCAAAAAGATTTGCAATTATATTTGAAATGCGTGCAAAATTCAATGATTGAGCTGATTAATGACGATTATGCTGATTTTGTGCATCTTTCTTCGAATCTTGTCAGTTTACAAGAATCATTGAATAAAATTACAATGGATATAGATGTAAGGTTTTTTCTACCTTTTTAATAAAAAAAACAACGAGAAATTTTTTTTAGAACATTTGGGAAGAATTCGAGGACGCTACAAGAAGTTCAGTTGGAACCGGCGAGAGAATCGAGAAAAAATGCGAAGAACTTTCAATAAATCGCGAAAAGCAGGCAGAACTTCGAGATCGAATCGCATTTTTAACTGCTCTTGAAAAACTCGGCCAAATGCTTAGACCCCCTCCAAAACAATGTTCAGCCCTATGGCTTCAAAAAGTCTCGACTTTTGTTGTTGAATTGAACACTTCCAACATCTCCTTATATTCTGAAGAGGAAAAAGATGCGCATAATTTGGTATTATCGAAATTGGAAAAAGTATTATGTGATGAAGGTGTTCGAAGTGCTTCAAGTGATTGTTTGACATTGCCATTGGTTTTATCGATTTTATCGATTAGTGATAGTTCACATGCTTTGATTGCGAATTTAGTTGCTGATTATTTATATCCACAAATTGTTGAGAAAGATGAGATTAAGAGGGATCAATTTGAAAAGTTACAACATGTTTTTGAGAGTGTTTTGGAGGTGAATCAAGAGTTCTAAGAAAATTTATGTGGTTTTCGAACCGCTGATCATTATTCCGTTGTCTAAAATTACAAAACTCAACTCCTAATTTGAGTTATGCTGATTTTCATGCAAATCTGATAGGTTCCGGATGATTTTTAAGGGGCTGATTTATGAACGAAAAAAATGTTGAAAAACATTGTAGGAATTAGTGTTTCGAGTTTTTCAATAAAAAATGAGGAAAAATCGAGATTTTTGAAGCTTCTGGAGTGATTTCTGATGAAAATTGACCTCGAAATTCACTTTTCAGAAGTTTTTGCTGAATTTTTCGTAAAATAAAAAGGTTTTCATCAGAAATCATTCCAGAACCTTCAAAAATCTCAATTTGTTATCATTTTTGATTGAAAAACCAATGTTTTTTGACTTTTCATTGATCTTTCAATGTTAAAAAATACTTTTTCGTTCATAAATCAGCCCTATAGGATTCAGAAGGTTCATTCAATAATTCGGATGATTTTTCAAAACAAAAATAATTTTTCAACATTTGATCACAACATAGATTTGGTGATCAATTTTGAACAATTATTTTTGATCAGAACTTTTCTGAAAAAAATCATGAACGCTATGAGATTTCCGTGAAAATCAGCTAGTTTTCAGCTCCAAAAATCCCCAATTTTAGACATCAGAATAATGATCAGGGCCCAAAACTACAGTACTAGAAATCAAACTATTTTCCAGACCCGCACAACCTGGACTCAAAAAATCGGCGCCACCCATTTCACCCCAAAACTTCGCTCATTTCTCGATGAAACCCTCCTCACATTCGTTCTAACTTTCATCGATAAACACATGTCAACAGTTGCAGTACCAAGTGATACTCGTTTATTCCACAAATGCTTTTTGGCGACTCAAGATTTCATTGAGAAATATCCGAGTGCGAAATTTTGTCGAGAAATGTTGAAGACTATTCGAGACAAATTCAATCTTCTGGTTTATTTCAAATTGGAAACTCATAAATTCACAAGGGAAATCGAGAATTCTACAAATGAAGTGGAAGTTGAAGCTGGAACAAGTTCAGATTTCAATTGTAAACCAACACATATAATTTTCCAAGCTATAGAACATATTTGGAGTGATGATGTATATATTTCAACAATTGTTGATAAATTGTGGGATTTCACTTTGCGACAAATTTTGAAGCATTTCTCGTGGGCTAAAAATTCAGCAAACGAAAAAAACTATAAAATCCTCTTGAAAATCCGCCTTGATGTCGAAAAATTGCAAAGTGAAGTATTCGATTTCGCTTTGGAGAATATCTGGACAAAGTTAGCCGATATTGGAGTTGACACAAGTCTTTTTGGACAATGTTTGACGAAACATGGGAAAAGTGTTGATTTGTTGTGTAAAGAAATTGATGGGAAAATAGTTGAAGTGTTTGCGGAGAATTTGAATAAGGAGATGGCACAAGTTTCGGATGTTCCGAAACAATATCGATGGACGAAGAAGGTTGCACCAACTAGTTGTTCGAATTATGTGAAAGGAGCGGTTGAGATGATTGAAGGGTTTAGAGAGGAGTTAGAGTGAGTTTGGGGGTTTTTCTAGTGGTTTTGGACGAGCTGATCACTATTTTGATGTCTAAAATTTGGAAAACCTATGAGTTATGACGTGGCAAAGCTTCAAAGTTGATTTTCACACAAATCTGATAGCCTGGGGCATACGTCGCATAGCCTCGTTCCAAATCTACCAGTGCATACCCCTATTATTGAAAATTTCTGGCAAAAGGGATACCCCCTACCCTTTTTCCTTTTTCTTTTTTATGTGAAGTTGTAAAAACTTGATAATCAAAATTTTTGTTAAAATTTGAGCTCAAAATTGCTTCACTTCGACAAAAATCTCATTCTCATCACTTTTGGGTCAAATTTTGATTAAAAATTCCTATTTGTCAAAAACAAAAAAAATACGTTTCAAAATTTTGATATAATTTATTATCAAATATTTTTTTCAATATAATCACTATTCATAAGATAAATCCAAGTGGAAGAGTTTTTAGTAGTCGCATTGATATAATTGATTTTAATTTTTTTTTTAAAGCTTAGGATTGCTCAGATGAGACTATGATTCTCGGCAGAATTTCTGTATTTTCAGATTTTTTTCTTGAAAATTAATTCAGAATTTCTCAGATTAGGCTAAGAATTTCTAGAAGAATTTTTGGATTTTCAGATTTTTTTCTTGAAAATGAAACCTGAATTCTTGAAAATGAAACCTGAATCGCAATGTTTTTCCACATATTTCAAATCAATTTTCAGCTACATTTTCAGCGTTTTTTTTGAACGCTAAATTTCGCCAAGTTTGAGTTCGAAATTTTCCCAGGAATTCGGGAAACAAATTTTTATTCGCTTATGGGGCTATTCATGTTATTTTCTCAACGCTAAGAAAACAGGAGAAAAGCGAAGAAAACCTATTCAGGTAGGCTGAGAAAATACAAAAAGGAGGGAGAAAATGTGTTTTCTCCGCATTTCTCCTGTTTTCTTAACATGTTAAGAAAATACATGAATAACCCCATTAGTTTTGATATTGAATATGTTATCCAACGATTTTGAAAATTCACAGGGCTACTTCCTGAAAACTAGCTTCAAAAATGAATTTCATGCAAATCTGATAGCATAGCGTTGTTCAGAAGGCGAGTTAACCTAAGTTGACCATTTTGAAGAACCCTAGACTATCAGATTTGCATGAAAAACATTTTTAAAGCTTCTGAAACCCGGATTTTTCGAAATTCCACGTCATAACTCATATTAAGAGGGGAGTTTTGCAAATTTTCACATCGGAATAATGATCAGCGAGTCGGAAAGTAGTAGAAATTAATTTTTTTAATTAAATATCTCGATCACAAACAGTACCCTAATCAAAACCCTTTTTTCCAGATCCTCAAATCATTCCAACATCGATTCAATGATAAAATCAATAAGTTCAACATCCATCCAATTCTTCGCCCAAAAAGCCAAAGAAGTTCAAGATTCTGTTGAAGCGACTGGTTCAAGTTTGTCAAGATTCAAGAAAAAACCCGCGTCAGATTCCGGAGTCACAGATGATGATAAAATCAAAATTCAAATCTTCCACGATGCCCAATTTCTAATTGAAAAATGCCAGGAATTCGAGATTACTGTAGATGGTCTTGAAGCGATTGTTGAACGATTCAAAGAAACTGTTATTAAAACACCAGTAGATGCATAATTTTTTTGTAGATTTTTTTTGGGATTTTTTTGTGATTTTTTTCCTAACCTAAAATAACTGGTATTTTTAAAATTCTCTTTAAATTATTTATTTATTGCCTTAAGAAAATTTAATTTTTTAAATTTTTATTTTTTTCCCTGAAAGAAGTTATACTAACTTCTGAAATATCTGATTTCTCTAGAAAAATTCTAATTTTTTTTGTCCAGATGACAAGCTGGGCGGATATTCAAAAATTAGCCGGAGATCTGCAAAGAGTTCAGCTATCTCAAAGTTCGAAAAAGTTATCCGAAGCGAATTGTGTGGAAGTTATTAGTCGATTGATTCAGAATTCATTGATTGATGTTGTTTATACCAGGGATGGACAAAGTTATGTGACGAAGAGGCATTTGGAGACGGAGGTGAGGGGAATTTTCATGGTGTAATCGCGGAGCATCGTTTTAACCGATTTTTGAAGCCAAAACTTCTAGAAAAATCGAAAATGCTGGATTTTCTGAATAAAAATCTCAAGAAAATATTTTCCATTTGAAAGTTGGTTGAATTTCAGTAAAAAGTTGAATTTTACAGGATTTTTGAAGGTGTAACCGCGGAGCATCGTTTAAATTGATTTTCTGCCTCAAAACTTTAGAAAAATCGGAAATTTTGTTTTCGACGTATTTTATTACAAAATATCAATCGGCATAGGTCCGTTTTGGCGCCAAAAATCTGTTTAAACGATGCTCCGCGATTACATCTTAAAAAACATGAAAATTTATAGTTTTACTGAAATTCAATCAATTTGGAGTTTGTAAATAATTTAATCCTTAAAATATTTTTTTTGAGCTTTTTATTCAATTTTTTCCCAAACTTCAAATTTTTCTGGAAATATGAGTTCAGAAAGCGACAAAAATCAGTTCAAACGATGCTCCGCAATTACACAAGCATAAGTAAAACATTTTTGAATTTCTAATAGAATTTTAAATTTTCATAAATTTTTTTGAAGTTTCCTGGGCATTAAATATTTTATTTGAATTTTTCCTAAAATTCAACCAATTTTTATTTAGCTCTCTCTAATGTGGTTGTATTTCAGGGAAAAATTAAATTCAGTAAAAATCTCAATTGAACCAATTTTTATTTAGCTCTAATTTATTTCCCCTTCATTTTCCAGGTCAAAAATGAGTGCATTGCTGCCGGCGGTCGTGCTCCTCTCACCGAAATCGCAACTTCTCTCAACATCGATTTCGATCACATCGAAAGAACTGCCAGAATCATCATCCAAGATCCTGATTTCACATTATCCAATGCTGAACTCTTCTCAACGTAAGTTCAAATATTCAAAAAAAAATAAATAAAAAAAATGAATTAAAAAAAAACATGATTTTTACAGTGAATACGTCCACCGTCTGCGCAATGAGTTACGCGAACTTCTTGACGAAAACGGTTTTCAAACAACCGCCTCACTCTGTAAACATTGGGATTTATCACCGGAATTATTGCAATCCCTCCTTCTCGATCAAATCCGCCAAGATTTTCAAGGAGTTTTGGATGGCGATACGATTTACACGAATTCCTATTTGGAATCAAGGAAATTGATTTTGAGAGCGGTTATTGTAGCTATAACAAAGTATGGATTTCTGTAGAGAAAACCAGTATTTTTTAACCATTTTTTTTGCAGAGTAACCCCAATTTCCAACATTCAAAAACGAGTTGGGCTAACTCACAAAAGATTCTGGGTGGCTTTTGATGAATTACTGACTGCTGGAGAGATTCCGGGACATTTGGTTGGTTCGAGAACTTCACCAGCTTGTGTTTATACACCGGGAATGTATGAGGTTTTGGTGAAATCGTGTGTTTTGGGGCAAATGAGACAAGATGAATATTTGCGTGAGTTTTTTGGTTTTGAAAAATTTGGCTGAAAGGGATTTTTTGAGCTGAAAATGGTGGAAATTGACTTAAAACTACGATTTCTGGTTCAAAAAACTCGAATTTTCATGTCTAGAACCCTAAAAAAAGACCTAAAAATACCCTAAAATCATCTAGAACCCAAAAAAACACAAAAATTGTTCATTTGAGCGAATTTTCTTGTTTTGTTTTGTGGAGCCTGTGTTTTTAAGCTGAAAAATAAAACTGGAAACTAAATTTCATGATTTTTTTCCAAATTTTGGGTTTTTTTTAACCTTAAATTACGATTTCTGGTTCAAAAAACTCGAATTTTTCAAATTTTCAACCCCAAAATCATCTAGAACTCAAAAACATACGTCGCATAGCCTCATTCCAAATCTACCAGTGCATACCCCTAATTTTGAAAATTTCTGGCAAAAGGGATACCCCCTACCATTTTTCCTTTTTTTTTATTTGCAGTTGTTAAAATTTGATAATCATAATTTTTGTTAAAATTTGAGCTCAAAATTGCTTCACTTCGACAAAAATCTCATTCTCATCACTTTTGGGTCAAATTTTGATTAAAAATTCCTATTTGTCAAAAACAAAAAAAATACGTTTCAAAATTTTGATATAATTTATTATCAAATATTTTTTTCAATATAATCACTATTCATAAGATAAATCCAAGTGGAAGAGTTTTTAGTAGTCGCATTGATATATTTTATTTTAATTTTTTGATGTTATTTGTTTTGGTTTGTTTGCCCAAGTTTGAGGTGTCAAAAAACAAAAAAAATACGTTTCAAAATTTTGATATAATTTATTATCAAATATTTTTTTCAATACCACTTTCTTTATTAATAAGATAAATTCAAGTGGAAGAGTTTTTAGTAGTCGCATTGATATATTTTATTTTAATTTTTTGATGTTATTTGTTTTGGTTTGTTTGCCCAAGTTTGAGGTGTCAAAAAACAAAAAAAAAATACGTTTCAAAATTTTGATATAATTTATTATCAAATATTTTTTTCAATATGTTCCTCATTCAATAAATCTCAAATTTTGATTAAAAATTTCTATTTGTCAAAAAACAAAAAAAATACGTTTCAAAATTTTGATCATACGTCGCATGCGTGGGGTAATCGACCCGAGGAGGGGTTATCACTCACCCCAGTTTTTGGAAGGGAATGTCACTTGAGAAAACATTTTGAAGAATTTTTCTGAGTTTTGTACTCTAACACTTATTGGGAGTGATTAAAATTTCCACGAATTTTGATTTCAAAATGTTCATCCAAATTTTGAGAATTTTGGTTTTGAATCAAAACTTTTGATCTATTCTCGAAATTACTATTTCCTATACAAAACATTGAAAAAAATTGAAAATAAATTATATCAAAATTTTGAAACGTATTTTTTTGTTTTAGAAAAATTAGAGTTTTTGAATCAAAATTTGACTCAAAAGCGGTGAAAATGAGAATATTTGCCGAAATGAAGCTCAAAGTTTATCAAAAAATGTAGATTGTCAAGTTTATATGCTGAAAATGAAAAAGGAAAAGGGGGAGGGGTTATCCCTTTTGCCAGAAATTTTCAAAAATAGGGGTGTGCACTGGTGGATTTGAAACGAGGCTTTGCGACGTATGATTTTGATATAATTTATTATCAAATATTTTTTTCAATATGACTCCTATTCAATAAATCTCAAATTTTGATTAAAAATTTCTATTTGTCAAAAAACAAAAAAAATACGTTTCAAAATTTTGATATAATTTATTATCAAATATTTTTTTCAATACCACTTTCTTTATTAATAAGATAAATTCAAGTGGAAGAGTTTTTAGTAGTCGCATTGATATATTTTATTTTAATTTTTTGATGTTATTTGTTTTGGTTTGTTTGCCCAAGTTTGAGGTGTCAAAAAACAAAAAAAAAATACGTTTCAAAATTTTGATATAATTTATTATCAAATATTTTTTTCAATATGTTCCTCATTCAATAAATCTCAAATTTTGATTAAAAATTTCTATTTGTCAAAAAACAAAAAAAATACGTTTCAAAATTTTGATATAATTTATTATCAAATATTTTTTTCAATATGTTCCTCATTCAATAAATCTCAAATTTTGATTAAAAATTTCTATTTGTCAAAAAACAAAAAAAAATACGTTTCAAAATTTTGATATAATTTATTATCAAATATTTTTTTCAATATGTTCCTCATTCAATAAATCTCAAATTTTGATTAAAAATTTCTATTTGTCAAAAAACAAAAAAAATACGTTTCAAAATTTTGATATAATTTATTATCAAATATTTTTTTCAATATGTTCCTCATTCAATAAATCTCAAATTTTGATTAAAAATTTCTATTTGTCAAAAAACAAAAAAAATACGTTTCAAAATTTTGATATAATTTATTATCAAATATTTTTTTCAATATGACTCCTATTCAATAAATCTCAAATTTTGATTAAAAATTTCTATTTGTCAAAAAACAAAAAAAATACGTTTCAAAATTTTGATATAATTTATTATCAAATATTTTTTTCAATATGACTCCTATTCAATAAATCTCAAATTTTGATTAAAAATTTCTATTTGTCAAAAAACAAAAAAAATACGTTTCAAAATTTTGATATAATTTATTATCAAATATTTTTTTCAATATGACTCCTATTCAATAAATCTCAAATTTTGATTAAAAATTTCTATTTGTCAAAAAACAAAAAAAATACGTTTCAAAATTTTGATATAATTTATTATCAAATATTTTTTTCAATATGACTCCTATTCAATAAATCTCAAATTTTGATTAAAAATTTCTATTTGTCAAAAAACAAAAAAAAAATACGTTTCAAAATTTTGATATCATTTATTATCAAATATTTTTTTCAATGTCACTTTCATTATGCATACCTGCAATCATCATCATTTATTATGTATACCTGCAAAAAGCGAAGTTTGAAAGACTTTCGAGATTCTCAATGTTTATACATTTAACGTGTCCATTTCAAAATCCGAGGGTTTTTTCTTGATCTTTGGGATTTCGTATTGAGAATAAATTAAAACCAAAATTCTCAGAATTTTGGATGAAAATTCTGAAATTATCGATAGATAGAGTACAAAAATGAGAAAATTTCTTCAAAAAGTTTTCTGAATTGACAACCCCTCCTCGGGTCGATTACCCCATACATGCAACGTATGGGAGCCCGTGTTTTTGATGTAAAAAAAATGAAACTGGAAGTTAAATTTCACCTTTTTTTCCAAATTTTGGGTATTTTTCACATGAAAATACGATTTCTGGTTCAAAAAAACTCGATTTTTTTCATATTTTCTATCCTAAAATCATCTAGAAATCAAAAATTTCGATTTCAAAAAGGTTTGGGGTTTTTTTTCACTAAAACAATGTTTCGAAATATTCTTGGCACTAAAATTGTTTGATTTTTGGTTCAGAAAATTTTTTTTTGGATTTTTTTACTGAAACATCCACGTGGCATTGTAAAGTTTGAATTTTGAGGCTAAAAATAAAACTGGAAGTTGAATTTCACTGTTTTTCCAGATTTTGGGTATTTTTGACCTGAAAATAGTGAAAAATACCCTAAAATCATCTAAAACTCAAAATTTTGCAGAAATCTCAACTCTCAAAAAATTGGGAATCGATGGAAAACCTGCCCTAGAACAACTTATTGGAAAATCCGAAGTCTCAAAACTCATATCACTTCCAACAATTTATCTAAGCTCATCTCTCCTCGAAACCTGCAAAACTGCAATTCTAGAAGAGGTTGAGAAAACTGGAATCGCTGAAATTCGCCAAGCACTTCAATCGCTCGGAATTCCATTGGATAATTCGGATGAGGATGCGATTGGAGAGCAAATTTCAGGAAAAAATCTGAATTTTTCCGAAGGTTTTGTATTTGAAAATCAGATTTTGCAAGAGGCAATTAAAGCGATTTCGGGAGAAATTGAAAAAAAAGCGCATGAAGAAGTTGATCGATTGGAAAAGGAGAAAAAAGGAGGCAAAAAAGAGATAAAAGGAGAGGATGATTGGGGAGAAAAAAAAGGAGGAAAAAAAGGAAAAGCTGGAGGAAAAGCTGCGAAAGGAACACCTCCACCTTCAAGTTCCGCTACAATTTCTGAAGAAGAACTCGAAAAATGGTTGCAAAATGCGAAAATTGTGCCCGAAGAAATATTGAGCGTTGTTGTTGAGAAAATTAGCCAGGAAGCGAATCTTGAGCTGAAAAAGAAGATAAACGAAGTTATTGCAAGTCAATTGACATTAAATGCGGCGACAGCGAAGAAGAGTTTGACAGCGATGGCTGAGAAGGTTAAACAACTTTATGAGACATTTTGCACTTTTGAGACGGCTACTACTTCTTTTGCTGGTGAGCGTTTTGGGGTTTTTTTGCATATAAATTTGTTAGACTAGGGTATAGTTTAGTCATTGGACAATTTTTTGGGTTTTGGAGCTAAAAAATTGAATTTTCGAGGTTCTAGAGCGAAACAATCAGGTTTTCTCGCTCTCAAAACGAAAAAATTGAATTTTCCAATTTCTAGACTGAAAAAAACGACTTTTTCATCAAAAACTGGGTCTTGGGGCAATTTTCCAAATTCTAGACTGAAAACATCAGATTTTTCAAGTTCTAGACTGAAAAAATCGGATTTTCCTGGTTCTAGAAGTAAAAAATCGGATTTTTCATCAAAAACTGGGTTTTGGGGCAAAAAATCGAAAAAAAAATCAGGGTTTTTCGGTCTTGTAACGAAAAAAGCAGGTTTCATACGTCGCAAAGCCTCGTTTCAAGTCCACCAGTGCACACCCCTATTTTTGAAAATTTCTGGCAAAAGGGATACTCCCCCTCCCCCTTTTTCTTTTTCATTTTCAGCATATAAACTTGACAATCTACATTTTTTGATAAACTTTGAGCTTCATTTCGGCAAATATTCTCATTTTCACCGCTTTTGAGTCAAATTTTGATTCAAAAACTCTAATTTTTCTAAAACAAAAAAATACGTTTCAAAATTTTGATATAATTTATTTTCAATTTTTTTCAATGTTTTGTATAAGAAATAGTAATTTCGAGAATAGATCAAAAGTTTTGATTCAAAACCAAAATTCTCAAAATTTGGATGAACATTTTGAAATCAAAATTCGTGGAAATTTTAATCACTCCCAATAAGTGTTAGAGTACAAAACTCAGAAAAATTCTTCAAAATGTTTTCTCAAGTGACATTCCCTTCCAAAAACTGGGGTGAGTGATAACCCCTCCTCGGGTCGATTACCCCACGCATGCGACGTATGGCAGGTTTCCTGGTTCTTGACTGAAAATATCGGATTTTCCTGGTTCTAGACTGAAAAAATCGGATTTTTCATCAAAAACTGGGTTTTGGGGTAATCATACATAAAATAGGTCCCCCGAGTCAGTTTTCAAAGTTAGGGTCCCTCCTTGAAAATTTTCCAAAGTGAAACACCTTCCTCACATTTTTGAGGGGATTTTGGTAAATTATCAGCAGAAAATTGGCCAATTTAGGCACCCTTCCCTTCAAATTTTTGAAAAAAGTTAAGCCCCTCACCCCGATTCTGGGGACCCAATGGGTCCGACCCATTTTATGTATGGGGGTAATTTTTCTTGTCCTGGAGCGAAAAAAGCAGGTTTTCCAGAATCTAGACTGAAAAAATCGAATTTTTCTGGTTCTGGACTGAAAAAATCAGGTTTTCTAGGTCTCGAAACGAAAAAATCAGATTTTCTAGGTCTCGGAACGAAAAAATCTGATTTTTCTAGTTCTACACTGAAAAAATATAATTTTTCAATTTCTGGACCAAAAAAATCGGATTTTCCTACTCCAAATTGTTTAAAAAAAATTTTGTGAAAGTTTTCAAACTGGAAATTTACAAGAAGAAAAGAATTTGAATTTTTCAAAATTACGATTTTTTCCCCAAAAAATTTTTTTTTCGAAGTTTACAGCAAAAAAAAATATTTTCCAGACCCACTTGCCACCGAACTTCGTCAATATCTTCTCAAAACCCTCGGCCTCGAAATCTCAAATGCAATTCTCTCATATTCAACCGGAATCGATAATGCTCATCAATTAAAAGAAAAACAACGAGATGAAACCATCGATTCGCTTCCAAAAATGCTCAAAGAGCCAATCGCGGCTCTTTTTGCGTCCCTGAAATCTGATTCACTTGAAACATTCCACGATTCGATTTATGATGCAACTTCTCCATCAGCAACTTCGATTTCATTGAAAAAAGCGGATAAGAAGAGTCGAATTGAAAATGGCGCGAAAATTTGTGCGGATTTGAGAGAGCAACTTGAGGCACAAAATGAGCCGGCAACTGCACTTTTGCTATCTGTTTTGTATTTGTTGGCGAAATCGGGAAGACCAACAAGTGCCAGTGGAAAATTTGTGTCACAATTGATTAGGGAACTGGGTGAAAGTTGTTCGCAGGTAGACTTTTTTTGGTTAATTGAATTAGACCACGACCATTTACTCCAATAGAAAATTGCCCCTCGGGTCAGACGAGAGACGACGGGAGTCTGATGACGTCATCTAAGACAGAGAAAGACATCGCTTCGAGATATTTTTGAGAAAATATGTGTCCCTTTGAAAAAATACCGTATTTTGTTTCAAGGAACACATGTTTTATTGAAAATATCTCGAAGCGAAATTCATTTTCGAGATATTTTTGCAAAATACTCTCGTCGTCTCGCGTCTGACTCAACGGGCGCCTTGTATGGTCGTGAGACAATATAGTTAGATAGGGAAAACAACTAGATCATGTGATTTTGAAATGATTTTTGATTTGAAAACTGGAATTTGAAGATCTAAATCATGATTTTCAGCACAAAATTTTGATCGAAAAACTTTTTTTTTTCCCAGAGCAAATTATTATTGGAAAAATTATAGAAAGGCTGTAATTTCAAGGAAATTCAGGATTTTTTGAATTTTCTGAATTAGATCCTGATTTTCAGCACAAAACTTTGATAGGAAAATATTTTTCCAGAGAAAATGATTTTTTGATTTTAAAAATTGAAATTTGAATCGGAAAAATATAGAAAATCTCTAATTTCAAGGAAATTCACAATTTTTCGAATTTTCAGATGATTTTCAGCACAAAATTTTGATTCAAAACTGATTTTTTCAGAGCTACCAAAATGTTGTGCTGAAAATCGAATAAAAACATCAAAGAAAATGTTTTTTTCATAAAATTTTCCCCGAAAAAAAATTGTCAGAAATTTCAAATTCTTGAATTTGACATGTTTCATATTTCCAGAATTTCATTACAAAATTTCAATCGAAAACAGTTTTTCATAGCTTCATGGGAAAATTTTGTGCTGAAAATCATTTTCAAAAAAGTTTCTGGGCTGAAAATTCTGGTTTTTCGAAACTAAAATTGGTTTTTGAAAGAAAATTCTGAAAATCGCTTCATTGTAAATTTTCAAATTTACTAGAGTCTAGTTTAGTCACTACTCGAAATTTTTTACGTGAATTTAAAAAAAAATCTGCCTTCCCCGTATATTTTTCAATTTACAAAAAAAAAACAACTCGAAAATAAGTTTTTTTTTTCATATTTCATAATTTTTGTGGGAACCTATTTTTCATCAAAATTTGAATTTTTCGTTGATTTGTGTGGGATTTCTACAAGATTTCTACTCTCTCAAATTATTTTCCGCCAAATCGTTTCGTTTCTAATTATACCATATCAATTCCACTTTGTTTTGACCACCCAGGGAACAAAAAACGCCGTTCTTAATATGATAAAGAGAAAATTCGCATTTTTTAAATACAAAAATTGGTTTTGCAGGAAATCGTTGATCTTCTTCAAAGTTGTCAAAAAGGCGTCGTAACTTGCATCAAAAATAAGGACGATGATGTTTCCAAAGAAATGTTGGCTGAAGATTTGCAAAAATTGAAGAATCTTATTTTGGCTTAAGAAAATCATCGAGGAGAGGATAAAATGATAATTTATTGCATGTTTTTTTTACTTCTTTTCGAAAATACATGATTTTAATTTAAAAATATACTTTAAAATATGCAAGAGAGGCTCAGAGATTCGCTGGCCAGCTCGCCACCAGATCGCTGCGGCCACCTGGAAGCCGCATGGCCGCCAGGTCGCCTCGAGTTTTCCGGCCATGTGGCCTGTGTGTTTGAAATTCTGGAAAGCTGGCAAGACGGTGGTTTGTACTCAAAACACTGCATTTTCTACTGTTTTTTCACTTCCTAAGGTTTTGAGTGCTGCGAAAAAACAGAAAATGAGCCAATTTTTTTTCGAAAATGCCTCAATTCACAAGTTTTTCAGACATTTTCATGAAAATTCATTTTGATGTGGCGAAGTGGCCACCACATGGTAGCCATGTGGGCTTGACCTAGCCAGAGCTTGGCCACCTTGCCAGCAAAAAAAAACCGGGCGACATGGTTTCCATGTGGTTCCCAGGTCAGCCAGCCTCCCCACCTGGTGGCGAGCTGGCCAGCGAATCTCTGAGGGTATTTAAAGCTGTTAAGAGATATTAGAGGATTTAGACTCTAAAAATTTTAGAGTTAGCAATCAAACTTTTGAAAATTCTCGGCAAACGCTGTCAAAGTTTCCGCCGAATTCACAAATTTTGGAAGTTCGCATTTTTTATCGGCGAGATAGTACATGTTTGGGGGGAGAGGGCAGAGAGCGGCTTGCACGATGTTTGAGCCAGCAGATTCCTGGAAATTTTGAATTTTTGATGGTGTAATCGCGGAGCATCGTTTAAACTATCAATTTTCTTGCAAAAAAATGTGATTCTTCGGGAATTCCTTGAAATTTTTAGCGAAGCCAGCATTTTTCCTTCAAAGCGGCCAAACTACATTTTGATAACTTTTTTCCTTATCAAAATCGGTTCTGGAACAGGAAAACGTGACCTTTTCTAACACATCAATGATTATTTTCATTTTTTCCCTAAAAATGAAAAATTGCGCGCGTGCGGTCGCGTCGCGGTCAAACAAAAATCAATATTTTCTCATTTTTTGCTAAATTTATTGAAATTTCAGCAAAAATGATGAAAAAACTCACATTTTCGGGTTTTCAGACTGAAATGTGTGAAAAACAACATTTTCCAGAGAAAAATATTGATTTTTGCTGCTCGACCGCAACGCGACCGCACGCGCACACAGGCATTTATCAATTTTTGAACAAAAATCAATATTTTTCTCATTTTTTCGCTGGAAAATGTTGTTTTTCACAAAAACCATCATTTTTCGGGCTAAATTAGTTGAAATTTCAGCAAAAAATGATGAAAATACTCTAATTTTCGGTTTTTCAGACTGAAATTTGTCAAAAATCTGAGTATTTTCACAATTTTTGCTGAAAAAACATTGAAAATGAATAATTTCAATTAATTTAGCCAAAAAATGACCGAAACAACATTTTCCAGAGCAAAATATTGATTTTTGCTCGACCGCAACGCGACCGCACGCACACACAGACATTCATCAATTTTTGAACAAAAATCAATATTTTCTCATTTTTTCCGCTGGAAAATGTTGTTTCGGTCATTTTTTGGCTAAATTAATTGAAATTTCAGCAAAAATGATGAAAACACTCTAATTTTCGGTTTTTCAGACTGAAATTTGTCAAAAATGTGAGTATTTTCACAATTTTTTGCTGAAAAAACATTGAAAATGAATAATTTCAATCAATTTAGCCAAAAAAATGACCAAAACAACATTTTCCAGGGAAAAATGGGCAAAAAATATTGATTTTTGCTCGACCGCAACGCGACCGCACGCCAACCTTTTTGGTGATAAACGGTCTACACATTTTGATATACATTTGATGTCTGGCTGGCAATCCATTCATAATATTTGTCACAACAGTTCCTGGATGCACAGAAGTTGCGCTAACTCCCTCCAAATTCAATTCATTCACCCACAACGCCATTGCGGCTTGTCCAATCTTTGAAATCGCGTATTTCATCGCTCCACTTGCGTCTTCTGGTTGCATCGCAACTCTCCACGATTCCACGTTTTTCGGGTCAAACATCAGTGTTCCAATCGGAGTTGCGGAGAAGAATTTGAGAAGAATTGAGGTGACAAACACAAAATGAATTGGTCGATCTTGGTGTTTTTTCAAAACTTCTTGAAAAATGATGTATGGAGCGATGAGATTTGTCATAATTGTCATATCGATTCCATCTTTTGTCTCGCTTTTTTCCGGATGCATTATTCCAGCATTCATTATGTAGATGTCGCTGAAAACTTGAATTTTTCAAAAAAAAAATGAAAAAAAAGAGAACGCGCGTTACCGTCAACGCGGAGTCTCGTTGTTTTCTTTTTATTTTTTTGCATTTTTTTGGGAAAAATGTCATTTTTCATGGAGAAAACGATTTTCTGGAGATAAAAAAATAAATTGAGGAAGTATAAACACAGAGATTCAATATTTTCAGCAGAAAATTGATGAAAATTGCGTTTTTTTTGAGTTTTACCCTAAAAATCCAACATAAAACGAAAAAAACCACTTCCAAAGAACTTAAATTTAATTTAGTTAAACTATAGTCTAGTTTGGTTAAACTATAGTCTAGTTTAGTTTAACTATAGTCTAGTTCGATGCAAAAATTCATGAAATTTCGATAAGTATTCGGCGAAATATGAACGCCCATTTAAAAACTAGTTGATTTTTGGGACTGCTTATTTTTTGGGACTGCTTATTTTTTGGGACTGCTTAACTTTTTGGGACTGCTTATTTTTGTGTCTGCTTAACTTTTTGGGACTGCTTAACTTTTGGGACTGCTTATATTTGTGTGTCTGCGTATATGCAACGTCAACGCGGAGCCTCGTTGTTGTTTTTTTATTTTTTCGTATTTTGCATGAAAAATGCCATAAAAAACTCACAATTTCTCACCGGCAACAATATCAGCGAATTCGCGAGTTTTCTGCAAGTCCGACAAATCCGAATGAATATATTTTATAGTGTTTTCAACACTCTCCATAATCTCCTTGGCCTTCATCGAATTTCTTCCCGAAATAGTCACGGCATGTCCAAGTTTTGCCAATTGTTCAGCAGCTTCTCGACCAATTCCATCAGTTCCGCCAGTTATTAGAATTTTTTTCGTGGACATCTGGAAGAAATTCAATTTTTTTAAATAAATATTATCAAATCATAAAAACAACCACGAACATAGTTATTTTGTTTTGTTTTATCAACAACAAAAAATGGGCGTGGCTTTGGAGGCGGAGCTTCTTCTTTTTTTGGAAAATTGAACTCACCCATCGACAGGCTCGAAACATCGTGGATTTTTCGATTTGCCAAAAATCGATAATGAAATTTTTCCCAGAAAAAATTAACATTTGGAATTCTGTGGTTTTTTGGCGCGTGTAGATCAAATTTTTTTTTTGGAAAAAAATTTGGAAAATTTCTTTTTTTCCTGAATTTTTTCCTGAAATTCAAAAATTCTGAGAAATTCCACATGGATTTCGTTTCTCAAGAATTCGCCCCCTTCAGAAAAACACGTGGGTTTTGCAAAGAAAAAAATTTGTTATTGTGTTTTTTCATTAAAATTAATTCGAAGATCAATTTGTTGAGACCAAAACAAAGATAAAAAGTACAGAAAAACTTTCAGTTTTTGTGTAAAAACAGCAAAAAATACAAAATTTCCAGGAAACCATGAAAATAATGACGCAAACCAGTTATTAGTCATGAAAACACACCACATTTTCAATGAATCACATTTCATTTATCGACAATTTCATGCGCGCTTCTTCGCACCCGTCGATAGCTCAGTTGGTAGAGCGGAGGACTGTAGAGTCAGTGGGTATCCTTAGGTCGCTGGTTCGAATCCGGCTCGACGGAATGTTTTTTGTTTTGGGACTGCTTAACTTTTTGGGACTGCTTATTTTTTGGGACTGCTTAACTTTTTGGGACTGCTTAATTTTTGGGACTGCTTAACTTTTTGGGACTGCTTATATGTTTGGGACTGCTTAACTTTTTGGGACTGCTTAACTTTTTGTGTCTGCTTATTTTTTGGGACTGCTTATTTTTGTGTCTGCGTCTCTCAGAAAATAAATTTTTGTATTATAAAGTTTTCCTTTCTCAAAAAGTACAACAAAAGGGCAAACCAATCAGTTTCTTAACCAGTTTAATTACCAAAACTAGAAAAAAGTTTATTTTCCTAAAGAATGCGATAGATGTAATACAAAGAGGAGGACGAGTCAAAAATCGCCTCGGAAGTTTATCCCTTTTGGCGCATCGCTTTCGGTGTCGGCTTATACATAACAAAATTGCAAACCATATTTTCGTCAACTCTCATCGTGGCCGCAAAATTGTCAAATTGTCCACAATAGTGGGGAGCCGAGAAGATTGTCACCATCTTTTTCGACGCAAAGAATTCATAACCGTCTTGGACAACCTGGAAAATTTGAGCTTAGAAAATCAGAAAAGGGGAAAATCCAAAAAAAAAAATTTTCTGAGCAAATTTGGGCTCATTTTGCTCCAAATTTTGAGCCCCCAAAAAATAGGTACCTGGTGAGCACGAGCCACCAAATCCAAATCCAATCTTTGGCACAATTCCGCCACAATATCCTGCCCAAAAACATACGAAACACCACGTGTATTCGCCTGCCAGCCCTTGACCCATTGATCCGGATCAGCCCACAACAAATCAATGCCAATCGATGGATTTGGTGGATCTTGTGGCCGTGCCAAATTTCTCAATTGATCCAAACTTTGCAAATGCGGCGACAAACCGCCGTGCATGCAAAGAATTCGTGCTCCAATCAAACCGCACAGCGGCATCCAATTAAAAGTGTCCTGGAAGGTTGACCAGAGACGTGTCGATTTGTAGCGACGATTGCATTCCTCGTAGAAACCGTAGACACGATTAATTGCGGGGCATTCGTGATTTCCACGCAACATGAAAAAGTTTTCCGGATACTTGATTTTGAAGGAGAACATTAGGCAGATTGTCTCAATGTTTTGACGTCCACGATCGACATAATCACCCAAAAACAAGTAATTCACATCTGGCGGAAAACCATTCTTGTCAAAAATACGCAACAAATCCGAATATTGTCCGTGAATGTCACCGCAAACCACCAATGGTGGCTCAACTTCGAGCAATGATGCTTGAGAGGCAAATGTTGATTTGGCCACAGCGCAACATGCTTGCAATTCTTGCTCGTTTACCTGAAAATTTGAAATTTTAATTATTTTGTGCTCGACAAAAAACGGGAAAGGCCAAGCGCTATGTTTTGTGTGTGGGACTGCTTATTTATCTCTCTGCATGCTAATCAACGAGAGACGCAGAGATGCAGAGAAATTTGGGACTGCTTATTTTTGGGACTGCTTATTTATCTCTCTGCATGCTAATCAACGAGAGACGCAGAGAAGCAGAGAAATTTGTGTCTGCTTACTTTTTGGGACTGCTTATTTATCTCTCTGCATGCTAATCAACGAGAGACGCAGAGAAGCAGAGGAATTTGGGACTGCTTATTTTTTGGGACTGCTTATTTATCTCTCTCCATGCTAATCAACGAGAGACGCAGAGAAGCAGAGAAATTTGGGACTGCTTATTTTTTGGGACTGCTTATTTTTGGGACTGCATAGCTCAGCTGGTAGAGCGCATGCCTCAAGAGCACTAGGTCGCTGGTTCGAATCCCGCTCGCCGCGAAATTTTTTGTTGAAGCTCTAGGCTCCTCCCCACTTGAAGTTAGCCCAACTCACCGAGGTTGTCAATCTTCCTCCCGCCATTCCGACGTTCAAAAGACGGCTCATCAGGTTGTCGACATCGATATTCGCTGTCATCTTTATTCTTCAGTTCTGCAAAAACTACAGTAACTTTTTCCGATCTGTGTTGAGGTATACTGTACCTGGAAGGCGCGTCTTCAAATTTGAATAATAGCACTGGCCGTCCGGTTGGGTTGGAACAACAAAATGAAGACATTGGTGTTTGCGTCGAGCTTAAATGCCGGATTTTTCGAGATCTTATCGCTGATTTTCCACGTGGCAAGGCTGGGTCACGCGGATAATTTTTTTTTTTTTGAAAAAAATTTTTTTTTTTCACGTGACAAAAAAATCTTGGAAAATAGCAGCGCGCGTAGCTAAGTGGCAGCGCTTTTGCCTACCAATCTAAACACCCTGGTTCGAGCCCACCTTAGAACTTTTATTATTTTTTATTTTTATCGATGTTTTTTCCATATCATTTTTTTTCTTATCTAGAGTCCCCCATCAAAAAAGTTCGGTCCGTCCTTTTTGTTTTGAAACTAACCCTACACTTTTTTTATTTTTATTTTCATTCAAAAAATTTTTTGTTTTTTATTTTCTATTGTTTGTTTCTAACTAGTTTTTCTATTGCCTTTGAAATTTAAAATTTAAAATTCAAATTAGAAATTTTTTGAATGTTCATAGTTCATCAAACAGTGCACAACGACCTTTTTTCGTACAAAAAGTTCCATTTTCCTTAGAGCTCCGCCCATTTTTGCTCTTGTTTGACTACGTTTTCTGACCTCACTTCAAAGTTTTGTTATTTTCTAGTGTTTGAATGAAAATGCGCTTCGATTTCGACACTTTTGGAGTTTTGTACATTTTTGCGATTCCGTTTGTTTTACAACCGTTTTTGTCGTGTTGGATGACGCCAAATGTGAATGATGATACTGTAAATGGATTTGTTGATGAGAAATTTGCAAAAGTTTTGGAGGCTTTTAGGTGAGTTTTGATGACAAATATTTCGGGTTTTTGTGGAAAAATTGGGAAAAGTTTCTTTGAAACTGATTTTTAAATTTAAAATTTTAAAATCTAGTTTTCCTAACTCAGAGTAGTGTTTAAAAATTTTCAATTCATTTTTTCATCCCTAGAAAATACTATTTTTCATGCGAAAATAACATTTCCCCCAAAAAAAAAAATGCAAAAAATAAAAAGAAAACAACGAGACTCCACGTTGACGACTCCCAAAAAGTTAAGCAGTCACAAAAATAAGCAGTCCCAAAAAATAAGCAGTCCCAAAAATAAGCAGTCCCAAAAAGTTAAGCAGTCCCAAAAAATAAGCAGTCCCAAAAAAATAAGCAGTCCCAAAAATAAGCAGTCCCAAAAATAAGCAGTCCCAAAAATAAGCAGTCCCAAAAATAAGCAGTCCCAAAAAATAAGCAGTCCCAAAAAATAAGCAGTCCCAAAAAGTTAAGCAGTCCCAAATTTCTCTGCTTCTCTGCGTCTCTCGTTGATTAGCATGCAGAGAGATAAATAAGGAGTCCCAAAATTTTTTTTTTTGATTTTCTCAAAAAAAAAATTATCAACTCGTGATTTTCCAAATATACAAATCACAAAAAGAAAATTCTCTTCCGATAAGGAATCGCCAAAAGTTCAAAAATTCCAGAAGAAACTTTGGTCAAGGCGAAGAACGTGAAGGCGCAGCCTTCGCAGTTTATCACAAAGGCGAGCTCGTTGTGAATCTATACGGTGGCTATGCCGACAAAGAATCCAATCGAAAATGGGCCCCGAATCAGAAAAGTGTGATGTTTTCCTCAACAAAAGCTTTAACATCAATCGTAATTGCGATGCTGGTAGATCGAAAATTCATCAAATATTCTGACAGAATCATCGATCATTGGCCAGAATATGGACAATTTGGGAAGAATTCCACAACTATTGAAGATGTTATGAGTCATAAAGCTGGAGTTCCATATTTATCCCAAGATGTTTCCATCGAAGATGTTCGAAACAATTGGAAATCTGTGATGGAAAAAGTGGAGAAAACAATTCCAGCTTGGAAACCTGGAACAGCTTCTGGCTATCACGCGGTCACTTTTGGCTTCATTTTAGATGGTTTAGTTAGAAAAGTCGACCCGTTATCTAGAGGAATTCAAGAATTTTTCGATCAAGAAATCGCTGAACCCTATGATTTAGACATCTCAATTGGAATCAGGGATAAATCTGAAGTTCCATATCTCACAAGATTGACGACTCCGAGTATTTGGGAATTTGCGAGGGATATTATAAAAGATCCGAAGATTTTGATTATGTTGTGTTTGATGTATGTGAGATTGGATGAAATTGTGGATAAAATGAGGAGTAATCCGGATTGGTTATTGGTTAATTATGTGAGTTTTTAGACTAATCTGAGCAATGGCTCAGTTTTTTCAAGAAAAATCCAGAAATTCTGCTATAAATCATGGTCTACCCTGAGCAATCCCTATATTAACTTGAAGAAAAAAATCTGAATCCAGAAATTCTGCTAGAAATTTAAGCCTAACCTGAGCAATGCCTAATTTTCTTCAAAATACAAAAAAATGCCTAATCTGAGCAATCCTGAATTCATTTTCAGGTTTAAAAATCAAAAATCCGGAAATTTTAGTCTAATCTGAGCAATGCCTAATTTTCTTCAAAACCCACCCAATTTCTCAGCCTAACCTGAGCAATCCCTAAATCATTTTCAGTTTGAAAAATCTGAAAATCCGGAAATTCTGCTAGAAATCATAGTCTAACCTGAGCAATGCCTAATTTTCTTTGAAACCCACCAAATTTTTCAGCCTAACCTGAGCAATCTCTATATTATTCGCAAGGAAAAATAAAAAAAATCCAGAAATTTTGCTAGAAATTTAAGCCTAACCTGAGCAATCCCCATTTCATTTTCAAAAAAAACAACAATTTTACAGCCTAATCTGAGCAATCCCTGAATTCATTTTCCAAGAAAAAAACTGAAAATCTCGAAATTCTTCTAGAAATTTTAGCCTAACCTGAGCAATGCCTAAATTTCTTCAGAATACATCAAAACACCTAATTTTTCAGCTTAACCTGAGCAATCCCTAGATCATTTTCAGGTTAAAAACTCTGAAAATCTATAATTATTTTCTAGAATTTTTAGCCTAACCTGAGCAATGCCTAATTTTCTTCAAAATTCACCAAATTTTTTTCAGCCTAACCTGAGCAATCCCTAATTCATTTTCAGGATTAAAAATCTGAAAATCCAGAAAGTTGAGCCCAATCTGAGCAATGCCTAATTTTCTTCAAAACTCTCCTAAATTTACAGATTAATCTGAGCAATCCCTAATTCATTTTGAAAAATTTCCATTTTTAGGGAAATCTGAGCAATGCCTAAATTCATTTTCCAGAAAAAAGCTGAAAATCTAGAAAATTTTCCATAAATTTGAGCCTAACCTGAGCAATGTCTCATTCTCTTCAAAACTCTCCTAAACTTTCAGTTAAACCTGAGCAATCTTAAATTAATTTTCAAGAAAAATTCATTTTTAGTCTAACCTGAGCAATCCCTCATTTTTTTTCAAGAAAAATTTTGAAAATCTAGAAATTTGAGCCTAATCTGAGCAATGCCTAATTTTCTTCAAAACCCACCCAATTTCTCAGCCTAACCTGAGCAATCTCTATATCATTTTCAAGAAAAAATCTGAAGATCCAGAAATTCTTCTAGAAACTTGAGCCTAACCTGAGCAATCCATAATTCATTTTCAAGGAAAATCCATTTTCAGCTTAATCTGAGGAGCAATCCCTATATGATTCTCAAGATTAATCCAGAAATTCTTCTAGAAATTTGAGCCTAACCTGAGCAATGCCTATAAAATCTCCAATGTTTCCAGGACACAATGGTTCTAAATGATCCCGAAATCGTATCTCTTCCACTTCCAGCTGTAACTGGAATCGGAAGTGCCCCAGATATTGCAAAATTGATGTCTCTAGTTGTGGAAAATCAGATTATCTCAAATTCCACTCTCAAAATCCTATCGCAACCAACTTTGAATAGTTGGCATTTGGAAAAAGTGACAATTTGGCCAGTTATCAAAGGACATGGATTCTTCTATGAGAAACATCCGCTAGTTCCGGTAAGTCACAGACTACACTGTAGTCTAGAAATCTAGGCTAGAAATACTATTTACTTTCGTGATTTGACCATTTCGTTCAGACAACATCAAAAATAAAATAAATAAATATTGTTTTTTGGAGTTTTTGTGGTCTGAACTTGTGGATTTTTGAATTTTGGAGCGAGTCGGGAAATTATTTTAGTTAAGTTCTAAAAATAAGGGATTAAAATGAACTTAAGGTGAAGTTAGCGGAAATTAAGGATGAAAATTGAGGCTGAAACTTATGTTAACTTAAGGTTTAGGCTTAGCTGAATTAAAAGCTGAAAATGAGCCGAAACTTTGCTTAAATTAAGGTTTTTCTAAATTTAAGGCTTTAAGGTTGAACCTAAGGCTTAGGCTTACTAAATTTCAGGCTGAAATTATAGCTGAAACTTAGCTTAACTTAAAGGTGAAGTCAACGCTGAAATTAAGGCTTAGGTTTAGCTGAATTTGAGGCTGCAAGTAGGCCTGAAATTAAGGCTTAACTTAAGGCTGACCATAAGGCTTAGCCTTAACTCAATTTAAGGCTGAATTTAAGGAAGGCTGAATTTAAGGCTGAAACCTGTAACTTAGCTTAACTTGAAGCCTAAAACTCCCAAAAAAAATTGCAACATTTTCATACCTTCTCATAAAATTTATGTGGTCATAAAGTTTATGGAAAAAAATATTTAACAAATTTTATTTTTAATATTTTTGAAGAACAATTTTGGGATTTTTTAAAAACAATTTTTAAAAACTCACTTTTCGTCCAGTTTTCGTCATGATTCAAAATCATTCGACCAAAATTCGCTTCAATATTTCCATGACGTGGTTTTCTGTAAAATAGAAATTCGTGAAATTCAAATAAGAAAGAAAAAACTGAAGAAAACTTCAAGAAAGCACATTTTTCAAAAAAAAATTACTTGTTGAGCACCAATTCTAGTATAAAACTATCAAAAATCAATTGAACTTGTGTTACTTGTAATAGGAAAATAGATAAATATGAATTTTACAACAAGTTTCTTCGAAAAACAGCAAAAAATACGTTTTCGAAATAAAAAACAAAAAAACACGAAAATAAAAGTAAAAATGGAAGTGCGCTCCATTGATAAAAATTGCGCGCTCGTTCAAAAATTTGTGTGTTTTATTTTTTTTTGTTTTTTTATAGGGAAAAATTATCAGATAAAAGGCATATCACGCTTAGTTTCATGCAAATTTAGTTAAAAATTTTCCGGCGAGGTGAAAACAACCTTTTTGACTGAAAATACGACGTTTTTACTGAAAAACAAGCAAAAATTTGATGTTTTTCAAGAAAATCTCAATTTGGCGAGTAAAAGACTGTGATTTCCAGGATGCTTACACATTTGGTCACCCTGGCTATGGTGGACAATTTGTTCATATGGACCCAGTTTCCGAATTGGCAATAGTCTATTTGGCAAATGGTTTGAAAACTGGAACTGGAGAATTGTGTGCAACTTATATGCGACTTTTGAAGGAAACTTATAATTCGATAAGGATTTGAGAATTTAATTTTTTAAATTTTAAAAATTAAAATTTGAAATTTGAAATATTTTTTCTGTTTTTCGGGTACTTTTTGATCTCATGCATTGATAAATTTGTCATCATTTTTATTCATTTTTCGTTGAGCAACAAGGGAATGAATTATCCCAAAAATAAGCAGTCCCAAAAAATAAGCAGTCCCAAAAGTTAAGCAGTCCCAAAAGTTAAGCAGTCCCAAAAAATAAGCAGACACAAAAAATAAGCAGACACAAAAAGTTAAGCAGTCCCAAAAAATAAGCAGTCCCAAAAAAATAAGCAGTCCCAAAAAAGTTAAGCAGTCCCAAAAAATAAGCAGTCCCAAAAAATAAGCAGTCCCAAAAAAATAAGCAGTCCCAAAAAAATAAGCAGTCCCAAAAAAATAAGCAGTCCCAAAAAATAAGCAGTCCCAAAAAATAAGCAGTCCCAAAAAAATAAGCAGTCCCAAAAAATTAAACAGTCCCAAAAGTTAAGCAGTCCCAAAAAGTTAAGCAGTCCCAAAAAATAAGCAGTCCCAAAAAATAAGCAGACACAAAAAAATAAGCAGTCCCAAAAAATAAGCAGTCCCAAAAAATAAGCAGTCCCAAAAAAATAAGCAGTCCCAAAAAGTTAAGCAGTCCCAAAAGTTAAGCAGTCCCAAAAAGTTAAGCAGTCCCAAAAAATAAGCAGTCCCAAAAAATGCGCGGGCGGTTTGAATTTATTTTGTTTTCTAGAAAATTCATTTTCATTCATTTTTCGTTGAGCAAAAAAAAAGGGAATACAAATAATTATGTCTCGTAGAGTTATTACAAATTTTCAGTCAAAAAACAACATTTATGCTGTAATTCCAGCGAGTCTTGTCAATTTTTCAGCCACCGATTCATTGAAGCGAGTTGTATGATCGGGTGAGATGAATTTCAGCAATTCTCGCGCATTTTTGTAGTATTTTGTGTGGAGAGATATCTGGAATTAGGGTAATTTAGGGTGAACCTTAAATTTAAGGCTCTAAATTTAGGGTTTGGAATAAATTTAGGTCTTTAAATAAAAATTTCTAAAAAAAAACAATTTTTTTAATCTCTAAAATTTGAGCTCTAAATTTCGGCCTCTAAATTTAAATCTCTAAATTTAAGGCCTTAAAAATTAAGGTTACCTTAGTGTAGTCTCCATTCATACAATCTGTGTGAGATGAGGCGATTCGCCAGCCTTTCATTGTCAGTTCCAAAGTGTAGGGGCAGCCTGGAAAATTTGAAATTGAAAATCTTGAATTTCAGACCTGAAATTTGCCACGTGGATTTTCAGACTGTTTTTTGAACTTCAAAATTTTCCAAAGTAAATAAAAATCCAGAAATCCAAAAAAAAATACAAATTTCAATTTTCCAATTCAAAATTTGGAGAAAAAAACTCTGAAAATCTTTCAGGTTTGATTTGGAAATTTTACCTGTCAAAAAATTTTCCAAGAAAAATCTACTTTGAAAATCTGAATTTTAAAATTTAAATATTTAAAGTTTTAAAAATTTTATTTAAATTCAGAATATGAAAACTTGGCTTCAGTGAAAAAATTTTTGAATTCAAGATTTTTCAAACTTTAATTTTGTTCCCATGACAAATTCTGAAAATATTCTTTAAAAATTGGATTAAAATATGCCACGTGGATTTTTAGATTTTCAAAAAAAATTTATGAAACCAAATTTCAGAAATTCCGAAAAGAAAATTAAATTTGAAAACTGTTTTTCAACATTTTTCAAATTGAAATTCAAGCTTCAGGGAAACAATTTCAGAATTTTTTATATTTTTAAATCTAAAAATTTCAGAAATCCTACAAAATACTTCAGAGTGTCCAAAAAACCAACCTTCCTGTGTTTTAACATTAACAAAAATCAAATCACTGGTCCTCGGCAACATTTCCGAAACACTAATATCCTGAACTTCTTGCGCCAATTCATGAACAGCTGCGATTGCTTCAAGTTCGAGTGGTCCGACACCAGGACATGGTGGAAGAACACCACCTTCGATGTCATGACGACGACGATTCATATCAGCAATATCTTCCAATGATATTGGAGTTCTGTGGGGAAAAAATAATATTATGAAGAGAAAAATGAAAAACTGGGGAAGAGCACAGGAAAAAAATAATAATGATTTGGTTTTTGACCTCGAAAGCGCTCATATTTGTTTACAATTTCCCAGCTCTTCGAAACTTTTCATTCAAAAAAAAATCGAAAAAAAAAATTTCTGCGGGCAGGTGGATTCGAACCTGCATCTCATCGATGCCGGCAGAACACTCTACCACTTCGCCACGCGCACATTTCTAGCGGGAAAGCGATGCGCTATGTTTTGTGTGTGTGTCTGCTTATTTTTGGGACTGCTTATCTTTTTGGGACTGCTTAACTTTTTGGGACTGCTTAACTTTTTGGGACTGCTTATTTTTGGGACTGCTTATTTTTGGGACTGCTTATTTTTGGGACTGCTTATATTTTTGGGACTGCTTAACTTTTTTAGGACTGCTTAACTTTTTGGGACTGCTTATTTTTGGGACTGCTTATTTTTGGGACTGCTTATTTTTGGGACTGCTTATATTTTTGGGACTGCTTAACTTTTTGGGACTGCTTATCTTTTTGGGACTGCTTAACTTTTTGGGACTGCTTATATTTTTGTGTCTGCTTATTTTTGGGACTGCTTATATTTTTGGGACTGCTTATATTTTTGGGACTGCTTAACTTTTCGGGACTGCTTATATTTTTTGGACTGCTTACCTTTTTGGGACTGCTTATTTTTGGGACTGCTTATTTTTGTCTCTGCGTCTCCCAAAAAATTAAAACTCACTTTGTTGTTGACAATTTCGGACTTGTCAATTGATTGATTGTCGATGGAGCAATATCAAAAGTGAATTTTTCGTCTTGAGTTGGGCTAACTGCACGCGATGAACGGTAGACTTGAGCAGCCGCATTCCAACGAGCAGAACTGGAATTTGATTTTTTTTTGAAGGAAAATCTAGATATCTGAAAAAAACTCACTCTTGTTGTTTATAAAGTGGAGAGACTTTCAAGGTGTCAGCAAGTGTGTTGGCAGAAAGAGCTGCAAAAATTCTTTATTTTTTGTTAAAACTAGAGTCTAGTTTGATTTTTTTAAAGAATTTCCAGAAAAACTTCACAAATTCATCAGAAATTGAATTAGCAACGAAAAACGGGCAAAAAACAAAAAAAAACAACGACACTCCGCTTGCCAGTTGTTTAATATTCACAGACTGTTTGAACGAGCGGAGTGTCGTTGTTTTTTTCTAATTAAATGCGCTTCTCTAGCTTCTCTGCGTCTCTGTAAACTATATTGTCTCTAGATTTCCCAGCTTCTCTAGCCTCTCTAGCCTCTCTAGCCTCTCTAGCTTCTCTAGCCTCTCTAGCCTCTCTAGCCTCTCTAGCCTCTCTATCTCCTCTGCGTCTCTATCTACCCTAGATTCCCTAGCTTCTCTAGCCTCTCTAGCTTCTCTAGCTCCTCTGCGTCTCTAACTTCCCTAGCTTCTCTAGCCCCTCTGCGTCTCTTACCAATTGGCACAGATCCACAATAGCAATTAGCCTGTGTTGATTTTGTTGGTGTATTTGGTGGCGAATCCGGATGAACCTGTTGAAGATCCGAAGATGACATGCTGAAAAATCTGAAATTGAAATATTTTCAGAATTTTATTTTAACAAGTGTAAACAGAAAGAAAAAAGGAAAAGTAGAGGAAAAGTTCGGGTAACAAAATAAAAATTTTCTTCTTCTCTTTTTTTTTGGGGGGACAACAAACAACTGAGAGAGAGAGAGAGAGAGAATGAGAGAGCACGAGAGAAAAACAGAGAAAAAAAAGAGCAGTGTGTGTGTTTTTTTATTTTATTTTTGTGAGGAAAGGGTCAGAGATTGCGGGGAAAAAAAGATAACATGAAGGAATTTTTGGGGGATTTTTTTGGTAGATCAAAAAAGTTTTTAGAGAATTTTTCAAGTTATGAATTCTTAATTCTGAAAAATTTGAGCCAATTATTGCCACGTGGAAACTTTTTTCGGACATTTTCATAATTTTTCTGAAATTTCTGAAATCTGGGGATTTTTTGGTAGATCAAAAATGTTTTTTTCAGGGAATTTTTCATAATTTTTTTCTGAAATTTTTGAAATTTCTGAAATCTTGCCACGTGGAACCTCAAATTTTTAATTTTCAAAAAAAAAAAAGATTTTTCTGGCTTAAAATTCTTCTAGAAAATTCTGAAAATATGGATTTTGGCACCGAAAACTACCGTATTTTCATCTCAAAAAAGTTTTTAGTGAATTTTTAAGAATTTTTTTAGTTGGTGAAAGTTCTGAATTGAAATTCTAAACAAATTTGAGCCAATTATTTCCACGTGGAAACTTTTTTTTTTGAATTTTTCATAGTTTTTTTCTGAATTTTTAGATTTTCAAAAAAACAAGATTTTTCTGGCTTAAAATGTTTCTAAAAAATTCTGAAAATACAGTAATTTTTCAGAAACATTTTCATCTGAAAAAAATCAAAAATTACAGAATTTTTTCTCAAAAAAGGAGAAGAAACTACAAAGTTCTAAATTTTTCTGAAAAAAAAATCATAAATCACAAAAATAAATGAAAAACAACAAAAAATTAATCATGCATGAAAAAAAATTGTTTTTTGTCTGAAAATCTGAAAATTCTTCTAAACAAACACAAAACTTTTGTTTCCCAAAAAAAATGAAAAATTTTTGATCTCAAAAAAGAGAAGAAACTGATGAAATTGATATCAAAAATCAATAAAATCAACCAAAAAAAAATGTTTTTTTTGGGAAATGAAAAAATAAATGAACGTGACATTCAAAAACCAAAAAAAAATCGCAAAAAAATCTGGAAAAAAAAAATTCATTTTGTTTTTAGGAGAAATTAGGAAATTGGATAACTACCAAAAATTTACAGTAGGTTTTTTTGGGGAAAAAAATGAGAGTTAGAGACGCAGAGAAATTAGACAGCTAAAGAGTTAGAGATGCAGAGAAATCAGATAGCTAGAGAGTTAGAGACGCAGGGAAGTTAGAAAGTTAGAGACGCAGAGAAACCAGGTATTTTGAAGGTTAGAGATGCAGAGAAATTAGACAGCTAGAAGGTTAGAGACGCAGAGAAACTAGAAAACTACAAGAGGTTAGAGACGCAGAGAAATCATACAAAAATATACATATTTCTGAGAAAATCATAAAATTTTGATGTAAACCAGACATTTTTTGCATTGTACGATTTTTTCTTTGTTTCTGTACAATTTTACCGTAACCTACAGTAACCCGAGACCAAGTTTTGTACAAATTTTTGAACTTCCAATCCAATTTGATGACAAAAACCAGTTTGTTTCACAAAAAAACAAGTTAGACGAACTTTGAATCACCTTTTTCCCAAAAAAAATGAAAATAAATAGTTTTGGCAGCAAGTTTGCTCCATTGATAATCTCTGCAAGACGCTGAGAAATTCGAAAAATTTGTGCGTTTTTTTTTACTTTTTTTCCAAAAAATAAATAAATTCGTCACAGTTTTTTGTTTTGAAAAGAAATGAAATGAAAATAAAAATAATTAATTTCGATTCCTATTGTTTTCATTTTCTTTTCACTTTTTTCATATTTAATATTATATCATTTCGATGATTTTTTCATTTTTCCATCAAAAATTGTGTTTTTTTTCGCCGCGCGGCATTTATTTACCTGATATTTGATATTTCTGTTCCGGTTGACCGGAAATTTCAAAACACTGTGTTTCTTTTCACTTTTTTATTTTTTATTGTGCATAGTTTGGTGCAAAATTTGAAAAATCCAAGCGCGCCATTTAAATATGATATTTTGGACTGCTTAAAAAAACGCGCGAGTGGCCGAGTGGTTAGCATTCGCGTCTGTTGTTCGCTAGGCGAGGGTTCGACCCCCACCCGGCGCACATGTTTTTTTTATTTTTTCCTGAATTGTTGCATCATTAATTGAAACTCATTCATAGGAACAATTTTTTTCATTTCTCATTGTTCCCACAAAAAAAAATGTATAAAAGTTCAGTTCAAAATATTTTTTTCAGAATAAAAAATGATTAATTGGCAAGCATATTTGTATGGAACAATAAGTGTGACAATTGTTTCGTTATTATCATTGGGAGGAGCTGTGATTGCACCATTGCTCAGATCAGAGACGAAATATAGATGGCTTCATTTCTTCATCGCAATGGCTGTGGCAACATTGAGCAGCGATGCGATTCTTCACATAATTCCCGAAATTCTTGGAATTCATTCACATTCACATGGAAATGAACTTGGGCATGGACATGAAGAACATGAAGATCACGATCACGATCACGATCATAATCATAATCATGGATCCCTGGCTTGGTATGAAATCAGCAAAGATCGGCTTATTCTACTTCGTCTCTCTTTGGTTTGCCTGTCAATTTATGTGCTGTACTTTTTCGAATTCATCATTTTCTATCGAAATCCACAGGTAACTACTTTATTGGGAGCCGCACAGTCTTTTAACACAGGCGATACAAAAATAAGCAGTCCCAAAAATAAGCAGTCCCAAATTTCTCTGCTTCTCTGCGTCTCTTGTTGGTTAGCATACAGAGAGATAAATAAGCAGACACAAAAAATAAGCAGTCCCAAAAAATAAGCAGTCCCAAAAATAAGCAGTCCCAAATTTCTCTGCTTCTCTGTGTCTCTTGTTGGTTAGCATACAGAGAGATAAATAAGCAGACACAAAAAATAAGCAGTCCCAAAAAATAAGCAGTCCCAAAAATAAGCAGTCCCAAATTTCTCTGCTTCTCTGCGTCTCTTGTTGGTTAGCATACAGAGAGATAAATAAGCAGACACAAAAAATAAGCAGTCCCAAAAAATAAGCAGTCCCAAAAAATAAGCAGTCCCAAATTTCTCTGCTTCTCTGCGCCTCTCATTGATTAGCATGCAGAGAGACAAATAAGCAGACCCACACACAAAACATAGCGCTTGGCCTTCCCGTTTTTTGTCGAGCACCCTTCTAACCGAAAATTTGAATTTTTTGCAGAACCAAAGTGAATATGAAAATGCGAAATCCAGTGATAGTCACGAATCGAATAATAATGAGATCAAAATTGTGAGTTTTCCGGGGGATTTAAAGGTGGAGTCCGAGCAAAAAATAAGTTGTGCTGATTTTAAAGAGCATGTTCTAATTAGTACAATCCTCGAAGGATTTTTTCTGGAAGCTTCTCAAACATTAATTAAAAAATTACAAAGTTCGAAAAAACAGTGAGAAAAAATTTTTGTTACAAAAATGTTCAATTTCAGAGCAAAGACGAGATCAGCACAACAAAAAGTGTGAGTGAAGAATCGAATAACAATGATTATTCGGAAAATCGATTGAAAGGTGGACATGAATTGGTTACGATTAGTGAAACAAATAATGAAGGTGGAACTATTTGTGGATTAAAGGTAAGAAGTTCTAGATCTTAAAGATCAGGGGATAAGAGAATCAGATTTTCTAGCTTGATGCAAAAATTCAGAAAATTTCGATAAGTAAATATGAAATCCCATTTAAAAATTAGTTTTTGGGACTGCTTAACTTTTTGGGACTGCTTAACTTTTGGGACTGCTTATTTTTTTGGGACTGCTTAACTTTTTGGGACTGCTTAACTTTTTGGGACTGCTTAAGTTTTTGGGACTGCTTAACTTTTTGGGACTGCTTAACTTTTTGGGACTGCTTATTTTTTTGTGTCTGCTTATTTTTGGGACTGCTTATTTTTAGGACTGCTTAACTTTCGGAACTGCTTATTTTTGGGACTGCTTAACTTTTTTCAAACCTGTCGTCAACGCGGAGTCTCGTTGTTTTTTCTCCGGTTTTTTGGAGGGAAAATGGGAATTTTCATACAAAAACTGGAATTTTTCTGGTGATGGAAAAATAAAAAAATAATTCGACAATTTTGCAGCCTCGCGCAGTCATCATTCTTTTCGGCGATGGTGTTCACAACTTCGTAGATGGTGTGGCAATCGGCGCATCATTCCTCCATTCCTACAATCTCGGCTTCATCACATCAATCGCTGTTATCTGCCACGAACTTCCGCATGAAATTGGCGATCTTGCAGTTTTAGTCGATTCTGGTTTATCCATGTGCAAAGCGCTGATTCTCAACCTAATATCGGCTCTCACTGCATATGCTGGATTATATTTTGCTCTTTTGATTGGTGAAAACAACGAGGTCAAGATTATTTTGCTCGCAATCACTGGTGGAATGTTTTTATATGTTGCATGGGTTGATATGTTGTCGCATTTGAAACATGAAAGATCTTCGAATGATCATTGGTTTCTGACGTGTTCTATTCAATTTCTTGGGTTTATTTTCGGGTTTTTATTGATTTTTTCACTTGGATGGTTTGAAGGAGTAATTAAAGAGACGTGGCTTTGAATATTTGGTTTTTTTTGCCTAAAAAATAAATATTTTCCACGAAAAACTTTTATTTTTCTGTTTTTTTTCTATTTTTCAGCCTTAAAATTTGAAAAAAAAATATTTCAAAAAAGTAATTTTTCATTGAAAAAACCGGAAAATCCGGAATTTTGAAAAATAATTTTTATTTTTCTAGTTTTATTCATTGTTAACTTTTTGGGACTGCTTATTTTTGGGACTGCTTAACTTTTTGGGACTGCTTAACTTTTTGGGACTGCTTAACTTTGAAAAATAATTTTTATTTTTCTAGTTTTATTCATTGTTATTTTTCTGAAAATATTCTGTAAAAAATTCATTCATTCTAAACAAAAACTTGCAAATTCCCATCAACAAAACTCCAAAAATCGCCAAAATTTCGCATTTTTTGCTCACAAAACCATACCGTACTTCGACAAACTTGCAGATCCCTAAAAAAATCACATTTTTTTCAGTTCAGAAATTTTTTTTTTCAAATTTGATGTAACTTACACCAAATCCTGCACACATTTTTTGACTTCTCGTATGATTTTCGGGTTGAAAATTGGTGGATTTTTGGGGAACACGTGGCGTATAATTTGGTGTAATTTATCGATTTTTTGGGGCGATTTGAAGATTGAAAAGTTTAGGGAGATTTCGGGCGAATTTGGTTCGGTGTAGGCGTTTTGGCGAAAATGAAGAAGAGCCGCAGAGTTCTGGAAAATTTTTAGGCTTAGCTAAGGTTATTTTTTTTAGGCTTAGGCTTAGCTAAAAATTAGGCTTAGCTAAGGTTTTAGGCTTAGGCTTAGCTAAGGTTATTTTTTTAGGCTTAGGCTTACCACATTTTTGGTCACAATTTTCCTTCCACCAACAAATTTCTGAATCGAATGTGTGCACAAAACATCCACCTCCGCCACTTTGAAAATCAATTTGGGTGGTCCCTTTTTCCGCATAAACACCGGCCTCAAAACACCGTGAAAATCCAAAGTCTCGATTTTCGGGTAGAATTTGACGAAGAAATGGGGAAAACTGAGGGCTCCGATGAAATTTGAAGGAGCACTGAACTCATTTTCAATAAATTCCAGAGTTGTTTGATTTTTGCTCCGCGGAGCCACGAGAATTTCATCGAAATCCGAAATTGCGCCGAATTTCGTGTCGATTTCCAAAACACACAAATTTTGCGATAAAGTATGACCGCTTCGATAGGATGAAGAATCGGGGCTTGGAAATCGGTGGCGATTTTTTGGCGAGGAAAGTTCGCCGAATTTTGGCCATGGGATGATTCGGAGGATTTGAAGGTTCTCGTAGAATTTCAGCAATTTTCGAACGGGTTTCGTTGCCGAGTGATAGTAGATAATGAATTTTGAAGCACCTTGGGCTCGCCAAGCCTGAAAATTTAGAATTTAAAAACAAAAAAAAATTGCGGCGGGTGAGGGTCGAACCCTGGGTCTGCCAGAAAAACTAATTTTCTATGCAGACACAAAACACAAAATAAGCAGTCCCAAAAAAATAAGCAGACACAAAAATAAGCAGTCCCAAAAAGTTAAGCAGTCCCAAAAAGTTAAGCAGTCCCAAAAAAAAGGCAGACACAAAAAATAAGCAGTCCCGAATTACTCTGCTTCTCTGCGTCTCTCGTTGATTAGCATGCAGAGAGACAAATAAGCAGTCCCAAAAAATAAGCAGTCCCAAAAAATATAAGCAGTCCCAAAAAATAAGCAGACCCAAAAATAAGCAGTCCCAAAAAATAAGCAGTCCCAAAAAATAAGCAGTCCCAAAAAATAAGCAGTCCCAAAAAATAAGCAGTCCCAAAAAGTTAAGCAGTCCCAAAAAGTTAAGCAGTCCCAAAAAAAGGCAGACACAAAAAATAAGCAGTCCCGAATTACTCTGCTTCTCTGCGTCTCTCGTTGATTAGCATGCAGAGAGACAAATAAGCAGTCCCAAAAAATATAAGCAGTCCCAAAAAATAAGCAGACCCAAAAATAAGCAGTCCCAAAAAATAAGCAGTACCAAAAAATAAGCAGTCCCAAAAAATAAGCAGTCCCAAAAAATAAGCAGTCCCAAAAAGTTAAGCAGTCCCAAAAAGTTAAGCAGTCCCAAAAAAAGGCAGACACAAAAAATAAGCAGTCCCGAATTACTCTGCTTCTCTGCGTCTCTCGTTGATTAGCATGCAGAGAGACAAATAAGCAGTCCCAAAAAATATAAGCAGTCCCAAAAAATAAGCAGACCCAAAAATAAGCAGTCCCAAAAAATAAGCAGTACCAAAAAATAAGCAGTCCCAAAAAATAAGCAGTCCCAAAAAATAAGCAGTCCCAAAAAGTTAAGCAGTCCCAAAAAGTAAAGCAGTCCCAAAAAAAAGGCAGACACAAAAAATAAGCAGTCCCGAATTACTCTGCTTCTCTGCGTCTCTCGTTGATTAGCATGCAGAGAGACAAATAAGCAGTCCCAAAAAATATAAGCAGTCCCAAAAAATAAGCAGTCCCAAAAAATATAAGCAGACACAAAAAATAAGCAGACACAAAAAGTTAAGCAGTCCCAAAAAAATAAGCAGTCCCAAAAAATAAGCAGTCCCAAATTTCTCTGCTTCTCTGCGTCTCTCGTTGATTAGCATGCAGAGAGATAAATAAGCAGTCCCAAAATAAGCAGTCCCAAATTTCTCTGCTTCTCTGCGTCTCTCGTTGATTAGCAGGCAGAGAGATAAATAAGCAGTCCCAAAAATAAGTTAGCGCGCTTGAAATTCCGAAACTCACCTCAATAAAAAGCAACACATTGTGCAATTCCGAATAAAAATAAACCGGTTGTACACAAATCGTCAACCCATCTTTCTTCTCAATTTCAACAATTCTAATATTCTCTGCTGAAAATCTCAAAATCCTTCCAGGTTCTTCCAAAAACAGCTCCAATTTCTCTGGAATCTCCCGAATTTCATTGATAATATCCGCCTCAAAAATATACGAATTATAAAAACAATTTTTGGCCCAATGCCAAGGGCATTCTCCTTCAGTCGGTCTTCCAAAAAACTTCAAATCCTCCACAAAACTCCCATTTTTCCTGGTTAATTTTGCATTGAAATGAAACGATTTGTGAACACATGGATTCATTGAGAATAGTCGAATCTTCCCGATTTTCTGGTCGATGTAGCAAGTTTTATAGAATTTGATAGGGATTTTTTCGATTTTTCGAGTTATCGCAACTTTTTTGGGGTAATTTTGATTGAAAAATCCACCGAAATAGAATAGAGATCCAAAAATAAATAGAGAAAATATAAGTTTTCGCATTGTAAAAAATAAAAATATGAAGAAATGTTTTGCACAGCGTTCTAAAAGCCAATTATGAAAAACTCTGTCAGATTGCAGCCATTTTTTGTAATAAAAATGGGCCGCGAAAAATGTTTAGTTTTGATAAATTGGGCAGCTGTCCGAAAGAATAATAATATAATACAACTTTTTTTTTTGACACATCTGGTTGGTTAGACAAAGTTTGGGGCACACTTACTACTCATAAACAATGGGAAAATTAGGAATTGAAGCAATTATTTTAATGAGAAATGACTAATTCTAATGTTTTGAATTTTTTCGAAGAGCGAAAACACTGCGAAAAAAAATTTCAATATTTTTGTGTCTGCTTATTTTTTGTGTCTGCTTATATTTTTGGGACTGCTTATTTTTGGGACTGCTTATTATTTTGGGACTGCTTATTATTTTGGGACTGCTTATTTTTTGGGACTGCTTAACTTTTTGGGTCTGCTTATTTTTGGGACTGCTTATTTTTGGGACTGCTTATTTTTTGTGACTGCTTATTTTTCAACATCTTTCAAAATTTCCAAATGACAAACCTTATTAGCGATTCCAGCCAAACCTAATCCAAAACATCCTTTTTCTCCATTTGTTCCTGAAGGTGCTTGTCCTTCTTCTTCAGCCAAATCTTTCAAGAAATCCGGAAATTTCAGCCTTTTTTGTTTATAAATATAGTTGGCAATCCGTTTCTTCATAATTTTCATAATATCTTCTAGCATATCGAAATTAATAACATGTTGAATTCCTTGAAAATCGAGAACAAAAACATCTTTTTCATCATTTTTTTCCGATTATCAACATCGATTTTCTGAAAAATGAACAATTATATGATGAAAACGTGAACTTTGACGTGGCAATTTGAAAAACAATTTTAATTTTCTATAGAAAATGTTACTTAAAAATTCAATAAGTTCACGCAAAAATAATCACAAAACATTGAAAATGGAAGAAGATCCCCTATTGCGTCAGCACTCTCCACACTCCACACACTCTCTCTTCTTCTCTCTCTCTCTCATCCGTCTCTTCAGCAAACCGCACTCTCTCATCTTTTTTTGCGCTTGTTTTTTGCTGAAAAATGCTGGAAATTTGAATTTTTGTAAGTAAATCGAATATGGAGAAGACAGAGGAAGGAAAATTGAAGGCTATTCCAAGTTGTTTGATGAAATATGGTTGAGAATGAAAGGAGCTGGAGCTCTTTTTAAAAAAATTGAGCAAAAATATCATTTTTGACCCAGGAAAGCTGATAAAATGCACTTTTAAGCTTTTAAAACATTGAAATAGGACTTCTCAAGTATGTGGAATCAATAATTCACGAAATTAAAAAAAAACACTTTTTTATTTCGTGAAATACTGCTTAACCGCCTTCAAACGAATAAAAATCAAAAAATAATAAATAATTTATTTGAAAATTCAACAAAAATAGAAATATTACTTATTTAATAACATATCTGTTCATCATTAACCGTACGAATTTCAATTTCATGAATTGTAAAATGGGCGGCACCAAATTCAATCGATTTATCGTGTAACATAACCAGTGAAAAAGATCTTGCACCAATATCCAATGGAAACATCACTTTTTTCGGGGACGTGTCCAAAACTCGCGGTCCAGATAATTCATGACAAAATGTGGGATCAGTTGTGGCTTCTGGGCAAAGGAGAACACGTGAGCCGAACGTTGATTGGGATATTGTGATCATGAGGATTGATGGGTAGGCAAGATCGAATAGGGGGCTGTGAATGACTGAGCGAATTCCACCACCAGAAAGTGTTACGGTTGCACCATTTGGTGTGATTTGAACTGGAAGATCGCCCGCTTTTTCGATTGCTGATTCGTATTGACAAAGTGAGTCTTTGAAATTACAGGCTAATTGATCGCAGACTGTTTGTTCCGCGGTTTTGAGGGGACAGAATTCGCCGGATGTTTTGATGGATTTTACGATGACCACTGCGTTTGCACGAGAAGACGCTTCGATGGTGACGTGGAATGGGACGGTTGAACTGACGCCGATTGAAACTATACCATCTGATGTTGCACCATCGACACATTGATCAAGAGCGCAGATGCGGATTTGAGCATCTTCAGATCTGAAAAAAACAATTTTAAAACAAGTTGGGGTGGGGTCGAACCCTGGTTCTGCCAGCCCAACACAGAAACACGCAGACACAAAAATAAGCAGTCCAAAAAATAAGCAGACACAAAAAGTTAAGCAGTCCCAAATGTCTCTGTTTCTCTGCGTCTCTCGTTGATTAGCATGCAGAGAGATAAATAAGCAGTCCAAAAAATAAGCAGACACAAAAAGTTAAGCAGTCCCAAATTTCTCTGCTTCTCTGCGTCTCTCGTTTATTGGCATGCAGAGAGATAAATAAGCAGTCCCAAAAATAAGCAGACACAAAAATAAGCAGTCCCAAAAAATAAGCAGACACAAAGTTAAGCAGTCCCAAAAAGTTAAGCAGTCCCAAATTTCTCTGATTCTCTGCCTCTCTCGTTGATTAGCATGCAGAGAGATAAATAAGCAGACACACACACACACAAAACATAGCAAAAAAACCAAACTCACTTCATATAAGTCACATCAATTTGTCCATTATAAGAACACGTAACTTGTCGACTTTTCAAAACACTCATTGTAACATTTTGCAATAAAAAAAGAGCAACATTTCCCTTTGCTGGAAAATTGCGAGGAATCGGGAACAAATTCGAATCTCTTGGCATAACTCCATATTTAACAATTCCATCATAATTCACCCATTGACTACAATAATCCTTACTGAAATCACAATCCAATGATAAATCATATGGAACATATCGGCCAGCACCGGGTTGAAGGCCGAATATTTGATGAATTGTTGGTGGATTGATGGTGGTGAGAATTGGTGGAGCTGGTTCGGAACATAACAATCCGCTGACTTTTAATTCGGAAATTGCGATTAGACCGATCGAATTTTCATCGAAGGCAATGATGGCGATTGTGAAGCGGAAAGGTTTTGAATATGAATCGAGATCGATTGAAATTGGACCAGGTTGATCATTTGGTTCCAAATATGCGCAACTTAGAGCAATTCCATCTTCATCGATTGCACAAATTTCTGCTTGAGTTCCGGTTTTCATCCAATATCTGCAAAAATATTTAGATTTTTTGGGACTGCTTAACTTTTTGGGGCTGCTTATTTTTGGGACTGCTTAACTTTTTGGGACTGCTTAACATTTTGGGACTGCTTATTTACTTCTCTGGGACTGCTTATTTATCTCTCTGCATGCTAATCAACGAGAGACGCAGAGAAGCGGAGAAATTTGGGACTGCTTATTTTTGTGTCTGCTTATTTTTGTGTCTGCTTATTTTTCGGGACTGCTTATTTTTTGGGACTGCTTATTTTGGCTCTGTTCGGAAATAAAGGGTTTTCCGAAAATAAAGAGTTTTAGAGAAAATAAAGGGTTTTTCAGAAAATAAAGGGTTTTTCCGAAAATAAAGGGTTTTACAGAAAATAAAGGGTTTTTCAAGAAAAAATGGTTTTAAGAGCCCGAAAAAGTAAAAAGAACTTCCCAATAAAACCCTTTATTTTCTGAAAAACCCTTTATTTTCTCTAAAACCATTTATTTCCGAACAGAGCCCTTATTTTTTGGGACTGCTTATTTTTGTGTCTACTCATTTTCTAAATAAATAACCCTACCTCATCGAAATAGTCGTCGTCCTTTGTGAACATGGAATAACCTGACTAGAAAGTGTTGAATAAGGCCGAGGTGAGAAAACATCAACCGCCAAAAACAGAAAAGACGAATTGGGATGCGATTGATTAGCCGAAGTCTCAAAAATATCGGCCCATCTGTCGACAGTTCGACCAACTCGCCATTCGGAAAGTCGCGATTTTCCCTGATTTTCCCAGCGACAACTTCGAAGTGGACGTTCGCAACTCAAATCCGACATTTTTTCGAGCGCTGTTTCTTCGAATGGCGGAACGATTAGTGAGGAAAAATATGAGGGAAAGGCTGGAAATTTCAATTTTTTGGTGAATTTTCTATTTCTCTCCGAAAAACTTACGACTTTGCTGACAAATATTTCCAAAATATCGAATATGATCAATCATTGCAAAACTTCCAACAGTATTATCTTTCAAATCAAAAGCTCGAATCGCAATTCGAAAAGGCTCCTTTAATCGGTGGAATTTCCACTCGACATTCCTCAGCAGCTTTCGAACCGCCCAAAAAATCACATTTCATTTTTGGTCTCATCAAAACTTGTAAATGTCTTCTTCGATTCATTGCTCGCAAAATGATCACTTCAATTTGTGCATGATTATAAAGCCAATAATTGAAAGTGAAGTTTGAAAATCCTTTTTGACACGCAATTGGAGCACTGGTTATCACAGCACCTTGAGCAGTTTGCGTGGTATTTCCAGCAATTAGAAAATGTTCGCCTTTTGGGATTTTCGGGTTTCCTGGTTGGATTTGAACTGGCAATGATTTATCGTCGGTTTTCTGTGGGAAAAATTTAAAATATTAGAAAAAAATACTTTTTTGACAACTAAAAAATACCTGAAAATACCACCAATCACTTGTATCCAATAAATCATCAGTTGGTGCATTTCTCCACGAGCACTGCTCCGATTCAAAATCGCAATTCAGCTCATCCGGCGATTCGATATACGTGGCAAAATTCACCGGTTCTGCAAGAACTCAGGGAAACGAATGCTCCGGAGCGAGCCCCAAATGCCAGGGGCATGAATCGAATCCGCCCCATTTCGGCCCCAATTATACAATAATCCGGGCAAAAATAGGGGCGAATTAGGGCAAACTGAAAATATCGTCCCCAAGAAAAAACTGCACCGGAGCGGGCTCCAATTTCAGGTTCAAAAATCGAAAATGCCCCATTTTTAAACTCCAATCCTTTAAAACTCTTTGGGAAAATGAAGGAGAAATGCAATTTACCGTTGGTACAGTAACCTCTTCTGACTGAAGTTCATCGAATCTGACTGAAGTTCAATGAAGTTCATCGAATGACTGAAGTTCATCGAAAAGAAAAAAAAGTAATCAGAACTACTTTAACCGCGAAACAATATAAAAAACCCTATTTTTTCAAGCTGATTCCTGATATTTCGGAAACTATTCGAACATTTTGGAAAGAAATAGTGCAGGAATTCAACCAAATGGCGATTTCCGATTCTGAGTTTCACAAAGTAAAATTCACTTTTTCTTGTAAATTAAAAACTCTGTGGAAGGTTAAAAGTGTATATTTAGTATTAGTAACTATCCCCTCAAAATACTGCATGAAAAACTTCTGAAAGAATTGAGTTCCTATCGCACACTCGCGCATTTTTCACATGCGAATTTATCTATGCAATTTGAGACATCGCCCAGGGTATGCAGGTTAGCGCAGTGGTAAAATTATTCAGGTTCAATTCAATGGGAAGCACAAAGTGAAAGAAGTTCGAGGAATAGTGAGAGCAACTGGGGCAAAACATCAGCGCTCCAAATGTTGCCCCGATTTCGTTTTCGAAAAAAACTCAGTTTTGCCCCAATTCGCCCAAAATTTGACCCCAATTTGCGCCCCAAATAATTTGGATTTGCTCCGGAGCGCGCTCCGGGGGCCGAAATCAGGGCGCGCTCCGGAGCATTCGTTTCCCTGAGAATGATGTGAATTTTTCAAAAAAAGACGCACGCAAACGTGGTGTCAGCGCGGAGTATCGTTGTTTTCTTTTTATTTTTTTTGGGGGGAGAAATGCCAATTTTCATTTGAAAAATGCAATTTTTGTGCCTGCTTATTTTTGGGACTGCTTATTTTTTGGGACTGCTTAACTTTTTGGGACTGCTTAACTTTTTGGGGCTGCTTATTTTTTGGGACTGCTCATCTTTTTGGGACTGCTTATTTATCTCTCTGCATGCTAACCAACGAGAGACGCAGAGAAGCAGAAAAATTTGGGACTGCTTAACTTTTTGGGGCTGCTTATTTTTTGGGACTGCTTAACTTTTTGGGACTGCTTAACTTTTTGGGACTGCTTAACTTTTTGGGACTGCTTATTTTTGGGACTGCTTAACTTTTTGGGACTGCATGCTAACCAACGAGAGACGCAGAGAAGCAGAAAAATTTGGGACTGCTTATTTTTTGGGACTGCTTATTTTTTGGGACTGCTTATTTTTGGGACTGCTTATCTTTTTGGGACTGCTTATTTATCTCTCTGCATGCTAACCAACGAGAGACGCAGAGAAGCAGAAAAATTTGGGACTGCTTAACTTTTTGGGACTGCTTATTTTTGGGACTGCTTATTTTTTTGGGACTGCTTAACTTTTTGGGACTGCTTATTTTTTGGGACTGCTTATTTTTTGGGACTGCTTATCTTTTTGGGACTGCTTATTTATCTCTCTGCATGCTAACCAACGAGAGACGCAGAGAAGCAGAAAAATTTGGGACTGCTTATTTTTGGGACTGCTTATTTTTTGGGACTGCTTAACTTTTTGGGACTGCTTATTTATCTCTCTGCGTGCTAACCAACGAGACGCAGAGAAGCAGAGAAATTTGGGACTGCTTATCTTTTTGGGACTGCTTATTTTTTGGGACTGCTTATTTTTTGGGACTGCTTATTTTTTTGGAAAACTGAAATTTTTCAAAGAGAAACTGCATTTTTCTATGAAAATTGCCGAAATTTTCAGTGAATTATCAAATTTTCTAAAAACTTACCAGCTTCAATTAATTCTCCCCGATTATCGGGTCGAATTCCCAAATACGCATCCAAATATCGCAATTCTTTTTCGAATTGTGGATGACAAGTTTCGCCGAATTTCAGCAAAAATACTAAAAATACCAGAAAATTCCTCATTTTTTATGGGTGGATAAGGATAATAAGAGGGGAAAAGCGATAAAGTGAAATCAATCCGAGTGAAAAACTGGATTTTTTTTCGCTTCGTTCCGATTTGGGCAAAAAGATATTTATTTTTCCGTAAAAATCAATCGTTTATTAATGACGCAAAGAATAATATTACTACAGAGATAAATAAAATAAATATGTACTTTTCGAAAAAATTCCCTATCACAGTAAGGCAATAAATAAATATTTTTACAACAAAAACAAAAAAATCCCTAAATTGGGTTGTGTTAAAGAGATTTTAGTTAGAAAACCTCCCAGGAAAAAAATAGGTACCCATAAAAATATCTGAAAATCGCTGAAAATCTCAAAAATTGTCTATTCATCCTTCATCATCCGTCACATTTTGTCCCAACAATTTCAAATTCTTCCGATAACTCGACATTTTATTGTGTTGATCCGCCAATAACATGAGCAATTCTTCTTGTTCTTGTTTGAGTCGCGATAATTCTTCGATTTCAGTTGGATTTTCAGCAGGCTGCAAAATATTTTGAAAATTATTTTGGGGCGAAAAATCAATAATTTGTTTACTTTTCCATTTGCGATGACACCATTTGAAAGTTGGTTTTTGTGATTGTTCTTCCAATTTTCGATTTGCTTCAGCGAGAAGATTTTCGGTTTTTTGGAGAGATTCTTTGAGTTGCGCATTTTCAGTCGTGTAATAGAGAATCTGTAGAGGAAAACTATTTTTTTAATGAATAAAAAACATAATTTTTCCAATGTTTAGGTTAGAGACAACGTGAAAATGAGAGAATGTAGACAGAAAATACAATTTCTCTCAATCTTACATTATCTCTAACCATTTTTGGACGTTTTTCGAGAATTTCGGGATTTTTATTTGTGAAAAATCCAGATTCAACTCAAAATTCATCCATTTTTCAATCAAATCACAATTTTGGTCAGATTTTGTTCAAAATTTGGCCAAAAAAACTTGAATTGAGGAAATTTCGGTTAATTTTCGAATAAAAAACAAGATTCTGCATTTTTGAAGTCAAAATTCCGCCATTTTTTTCATCAAATCACTGTTTTGGCCAGATTTTGTTCGAAATTTGATTCTAAAAAACTCGGATTGAGGAAATTCTGGTCAATTTTTGACTGAAAATAAAATTTTTGCATTTTTCAACTCAAAATTCGGGCAATTTTTGATAAAACCACAGTTTTGGCCAGTTTTTGTTCAAAATTTGGCCAAAAAAAAACCTCCGATTGAGGAAATTCTGGTCAATTTTTGCCTGAAAAACGAATTCAAGTCAAAAATCGGTCAGAATTTGGCCAAAAAACCTCGGATTCTGGTCATTTTTCTGCATTTTTTTCAAAAATTCGAATTTCCCCCACAAAAATGCCCACCGTTTGCGATTGTTGTTCAAAAGCCTGATATCCAAATCCCAACTGCTGCTCAAGTTCCCCAATTTGCTGCTGCAATTGCCCAATTCCAACCTCCGCACCATTCGGCAATTGTCCCAGTTGATAATTCTGCCATTGTGCCGCCCATTGTTTATACCTTTCCGCTTCCGCAAACCATTGTTGCGTCAATCTTTGCGCTTCCGCGAGTTGACTATTCAATGTCTCAACTTGCACATGAATTCCACAATTTTTCTCTAATTTCTCTCTCAAATCCTCAACTTCTTTCTCATATTTCTCATTATTTTTCAATTTTTCCACCTCCAAATTCGTTCTTTTCGCATCCGCCTTCAAAATTGCAATCTCTTCATCTTGCCTTTTAATCAATTCCTTAAACGATTGTATAATACTATCATTATTTGTTGTTCCATTAAAATCTCCATTCGGTCGAAGTTGTTTGATCAAAGTTCCCTCCAGTGATTTAAAAAGCTTCACAAAATAAAAATCGAGAAACAATTCTTGACCGAGTTTCGCAATTGGTTGTGGTTTTTGTGCGGCTTTTACAAATTGCTCAGTTCGAGATAAACCTTCTAATGCACTTAGCACAACTTCTTTTCCAACTCTTCTTTCAATCAATGCTTCCATTGATGTTCGAGCATCTTTATCTTCCAGATTTTTAAGGCAAGCGAGGAGAACAAATGCGAGAAGACCTCGAAGTGCTTGTTGTTCACTTTCACTTCCTTCGCCACATTCATCAACTGCAAAAAATCGATAATTTTTGGTTTTAAAAAATATTTTGGGATTTTTTGGCTTATCAAAAAATGATTCGATTCTAATCTTGAAAAAATTCCAATAGTTATCAAATCTTAGATTTAGCTTAGTTCAACTATTGTCTAGTTTGATGAAAAAAATTAACTTTTGGGTCTGCTTATTTTTTGGGACTGCTTATTTTTTGGGACTGCTTAACTTTTTGGGACTGCTTAACTTTTTGGGACTGCTTAACTTTTTGGGACTGCTTAACTTTTTGGGACTGCTTAACTTTTTGGGACTGCTTATCTTTTTGGGACTGCTTAACTTTGTGTTAACTTTGTCTGCCTATTTTTAGGAATTTTTCATAATTTTCTCAAAACCCTCACCAATATTCGTCGTCAAATATTGCAAATTCTCCTCCTTTCTCCATAAAAATCGCCACCGCTTTCGGGCAATTCACAAGCCACGTGCCAAGCAACATCAACAATCCCGCCCTCATTTGTGGTCGTCGATTGCCCATTGAGACGACTAATTGAGACACGTGGGAGATAAGAGATAGTGCCGGTTCACCATTTGCAACAGTTAGCTGAACTCGAAGAAGTTGTTCGCTGAAACAAAAAAAAATGTGGGGATTTGGGGAAAAATATCGAGAAGACGAAGCAGACAACAATTTTCGGTTTGAAATTCGCTGCGAGACCTCAAATGGCGATAGATTTTTTGGGACTGCTTATTTTAGTGTCTGTTTATTTTTTGGGACTGCTTAACTTTTTGGGACTGCTTATTTTTTGGGTCTGCTTATTTTTTTGGGACTGCTTAACTTTTGGGACTGCTTAACTTTTTGTGTCTGCTTATTTTTGGGACTGCTTATTTATCTCTCTGCATGCTAATCAACGAGAGACGCAGAGAAACAGAGAAATTTGGGACTGCTTATTTTGGGACTGCTTAACTTTTTGGGACTGCTTATTTATCTCTCTGCATGCTAATCAACGAGAGACTGCAGAGAAACAGAGAAATTTGGGACTGCTTAACTTTTTGTGACTGCTTATTTTTTGGGACTGCTTATTTTTGGGACTGCTTATTTTTGTATCTGCGTCTCCTACAAAAAATACAAACCTCAAATGATCAACTTGATACAAGCAATGTAAAAGCACAGTACTACCAAACCATACTTGCAGTGCTTCCGAAGACGAAACCGCCTGACAAATCAATCCGCCAGTCGTAAAACTCTCCTCCTTCTGTCCAGATTGTGGTAAAAGTGTTTCAATAATCTTCGTTTTACCAAACTCATTATCGAACAAGTACGATAAAAAGCAATAGAAAACCGCGCAACGAAGTTTGAACGGTTGTTTTTCGGTTGTCATTGAGATGAGCAATACGAGAAGTGAGGAGCGGGGTTGTTGAGAATTGTTTTCCGGTGCGGCGAGCGCGGTGTTGGCAAAATATTCTTGATTCGTGTAATTCCCACGAATCGCTTCAGCTACAACGATAACAGATTCAGTGAGGATTTCAACAGAAGATCCAACTTCGGAGAGAAGAATTCGACATAATTCAGCAAGAATTTCTGGAAAAAAACAATTTTTATATTTAAATTCACAACTTTCTTCAAAAACTCACTTGATTGATAGAGAACTTTTTGCGCGGCATGCACATTTTGCGAAGTATTCTCAGTGCTCACAAGTGCTCGAATAATTTGCAGCAAAAATATGACATTTGCTGTTCTTTGTTTTGCCCATTCAGCCGTATCCATTTCTTCCTCTTGATCTTCATGTCCATAGAGGAATGTGTGCAAAATCAAACCAAGTCGTGAAATTAGGCTGAAAGATACAAACTTTTGTATAGATATATATTTTAGAAATAAGCAGTCCCAAGGAGATAAGCAGTCCCAAAAATAAGCAGTCCCAAATTTCTCTGCTTCTCCGCGTCTCTCGTTGTTTAGCATGCAGAGAGATAAATAAGCAGTCCCAAAAAGTTAAGCAGTCCCAAGGAGATAAGCAGTCCCAAAAGTTAAGCAGTCCCAAGGAGAAGCAGATACAAAATTGCTCTGCTTCTCTGCGTCTCTCGTAGATTAGCATGCAGAGAGATAAATAAGCAGTCCCAAAAAGTTAAGCAGTCCCAAAATCTCACTTATTCTCTCTGAATAATTGTTGATTCATGGCATTTTTGCGCAACAAATTCAAAATCACAAAAAGACAATCCTCAATAACAATACTATCCAATGGCTCAGTTTCAATAACATCAAGAAGAACCGCAAATAAATTGTCATAAGCTAAAAGTTGTTGAATTTGCGAATTCGAGCGGCTCAATTCGCAAAGCATCAAAATCGCTTCATTTCTTATAATCTCTCGATTATCATGAACAATATCAACCAATTTCGAAACTCCCATTGGTTGATTCATAACAGCGGTTTGAACTTCAGGTCCACGATGTCTTAGAAGACTTGTTAAAAGTTGAACACCAGTTCGACGAACACCAAAATCAAATTGATCGATTGCAGCGAGAACACTTGCAATGAATCCAGCTCTTTTCAACATAATTTCAGCCAATCTTTCGCCCAATTCATCTTCTTCCGAACTTTCATCTTCAGTTGATAAAACAGCAGACATTGTGTCCAAAACAAGAGTCATAGCTTCGGTATTCATTCGATCTTTCTCCAAAATATCAAGATAGGCATTTAAACCCATTGTTCCAACAGCAAGACGATATTTCTGCGAAAAACACATGAAAATATAGAAAACAAACCTTGTAGAACACAAAAACAATAAAAAATTCATGCTCACTCACCTTTGCCAAACTTCTAAGAGCTCTCAAAGCGTCTCGTCGATCTTCCGGAGCACTACAAGTTTCCACGCGTTCCACAAACGTTTCCACCAATTCGGCGCCATTTTCCTCTTCCCGATCATTACTCGGACCTCCGAAAAACGTCCGGAATAATGCCATCTGCAAAATTATTCACTATTTTCAATGTTTTTGAGGCGAAAAGCGAAAAAAAAGCAAAAAGAAAAAAAAGAAAAACGAACCGTTGGATGTGTTTGCAGTGGAGCGCGCTTGCTGCCTTTCACATATTTGCCATGTCTTTTCGGGGTTATTGAGTGACGTGGGGATTTGCTGGGGGTTTTCTGCAAAAGTGCATGTTACAAAAGGGATTTGGAGCTTGCCAGCTACAAAAACATGTATAAATCATGATTTTCCAGGCTCTTTCAAATGAAAAATGAGGGTTTTTTGAAGGAACATTAGACATTTCAAATTTGGGTCACGTAGCGTACCTGTCTGAATGCATTATGAATAGTAGTATCACTGGAAAATGATTTGACTGAAAAACTCGAACTGCTGCTATACATCTTCCCGCTTCTAAGAGGAAAAGAAAAAAGAGGTGTAAAAGTTTATTTTTTGCTCAGATCACTTGGTGTAAATCATAAAAGATTGGGAAATCAGAAGAGACGCAGACAATGGGAAGAAAAAGAAGAGGGAAAAAGAGGGAAACTACATATATGATACTATTTATTTATGCAAATATACTTAAAGGAATAAACATACTTGTAAAAAGTACAATCTTAGATTTAACTTAGTTTAACTATAGTCTAGTTTGATGAAAAAAATTAGAAGATTTCGATAATTATATGAAACCCCCTTTAAAAACAAAACAAGTTTATTTTTTGGGACTGCTTAACGTTTTGGGACTGCTTAACTTTTTGGGACTGTTTAACTTTTTGTGTCTGCTTATTTTGTGCCTGCTTATTTTTTTGGGACTGCTTAACTTTTTGGGACTGCTTAACTTTTTGGGACTGCTTAACTTTTTGGGACTGCTTATTTTTTTGGAAAACTTGTTGTAGAAACACAAATTTTCAATATTTTCAGAAAAAAAACTGTTTTCACCAATGGAAACTGAGTCTCTAATCCTCATCTCCCTTCAATACGCGAGGATTACTGTAGAAGGGGCGCGAAAAATGGGCGGTGCCCGCCTGCATTTTCCTCAACCATTTTCTCATTTGAAATTTTTCCAAAATGCTAAAATTCTCCATCGATTTTCTACTTCGTCAAAATCACTACAGCAATTCGGAAACCTCTTCTGAAGCAGGTGAGTACTGTAAAGATTACTGTAGATCCCAATTTTTTGAAAAATTATGTAGATGACGATGGAAATAATAAGAAAAAATATGCTTGCGAGATTTGCGAGAAGACTTTTAATGCACATTATAATTTGACAAGACATATGCCAGTTCATACGGGAGAAAGACCATTTGTTTGTAAGGTACGGTAATTGATTACAGTAACCCTTTTGGATTACGGTAGCTTTGAATTTTCAGGTTTGTGGGAAAGCTTTCAGACAAGCTTCAACACTTTGTCGACACAAAATCATACACACTGATAGCAAACCACATCAGGTAAGTAAATCCTTTTTGAAAATTGTTTTTTTTTTGAAAATCAAGGTCGAGAGTTCCCCAAACCTCCCTCTTGACGCCAAAAAGTCTACAGTAACCCACAAATTCTAATCGGATAAAAGTTGGCGCGAATTTATAATCCGTTTCGTCTTTATTCGTCCCATTTTTACTATTTTCTTTCTTTTTTCACGAGATTTTTGCAGTGTAAAACTTGTGGGAAATGTTTCAATCGATCTTCGACGCTTAACACTCATATCAGGATTCATCAAGGTTTTCTGAAACTGAAATAAAATGTTGAAATACGATTTTTTTCAAATTTCAGGATTCAAACCATATGTCTGTGATATTTGTGGGAAGGGATTTCATCAAAATGGAAATTTCAAAAATCATCGATTGACGCATGAAGATGTTAAGAAGTTTTCGTGTGAAATTTGTAATAAGGTTGGTTTTGGAAAAATAATGTGCAGACACAAAAATAAGCAGTCCCAAAAAATAAGCAGACACAAAAAGTTAAGCAGACACAAAAATAAGCAGTCCCAAAAAGTTAAGCAGTCCCAAAAAGTTAAGCAGTCCCGAAAAGTTAAGCAGTCCCAAAAAGTTAAGCAGTCCCAAAAATAAGCAGTCCCAAAAAGTTAAGCAGTCCCAAAAAAGTTAAGCAGACACAAAAATAAGCAGTCCCAAAAATAAGCAATTTCACTTGAAACATGACTTTTTGAGAAGCTTCGAACTCTAATTTTTGAAATCTTTATTTCCAGGCCTTCCACCAACCCTACAATTTGGCATTTCACATGTTCACTCACGAAATATCCAAACCTTTCAAATGCAATTCATGCGACAAAGGATTTTGCCGAAATTTCGACTTGAAAAAACATTTGCGAAAAGTCCATTCGACCTTATGAAAAAAACCTAAAACTTCTTGGCGCATTTTCTTTTCTACAGTACTTTCTACATCAAATAAAACGTTTTTTTGTTGCTGTGAAGAAAAAAAGAACACCCATTAGACACGGCTAATAAGTTATTTGTAAAAAGAACTTATTGATATTTTTTTTTCATATTTATTACTTTCTGTATAAAATATAAAACGCAAAAAACCAGTGAAAATTTGCAAAAAAAAAACACACCGTGATTAGCAGACACAAAAATAAGCAGTCCCAAAAAGTTAAGCAGTCCCAAAAAGTTAAGCAGTCCCAAAAAGTTAAGCAGTCCCAAACAATAAGCAGACACAAAAATAAGCAGTCTCAAAAAATTAAGCAGTCCCAAAAAGTTAAACAGTCCCAAAAATAAGCAGTCCCAAATTTCTCTGCTTCTCTGCGTCTCTCGTTGATTAGCATGCAGAGAGATAAATAAGCAGTCCTAAAACTTTCTCTGAAAACTTTATTCCTCAATAAATATATCCTCGATTAGTCAAAGAATATTGCAAAAAAGTGATGGCAAAAAATATAAAATGACTGGTAAAAAGCAAGATCCACGTGGTTATTGAAACATCAAAAGCGTCTTCATAATCCACGTGGTGCGCTTCGTGATTTTCAAGTTCTTGCGCTTTTTGGTTCTGAAAAAATATGATTTTTTTCGTGTTTTTTCCCAAAAATCAAAAACCAACCATTCTCTGAATTGCACTTGTCCACTCATTTTCAGATCCCGAAAAAAACGCGAGCCAAATATCATTATTTGTCAGCGCGTAAAATGTATCAACTCGACAAATTGTTGCACGATATTCTGTTTCTTGACCCTCTTTATTTTTGAAATATTCATCAACACATTTTCCAGGAATCAATTGCTCATATTTGGAATTTGTTGAGTTTCTGACAATACATTCAACTTTTAGGAGAAATTCTGTTCCAGGATTTTCACGAAATGTTGAAACAACACAATATTCACAATTTGATTCCATTTTTAATTTGGCATTTCCATCGATTTTTAGATGATCGATGTTTGGACAGGAGACTGTGGAATTTGATTGATCTTCGAATGGATCTTGGGGAATTGGGGTGTTCTGGAACAATTTCTAGACTACTGTAGATCTTGAAACCTACTACTCACTTTCGAATTCACAAGTTCTGCGATAATGATGAGGAATATCACTACGATGATATTTTTGATAATTTTCATTTGGAAACAAATTTAGAAATGGCAGAATTTTTTTTTTGAAAAATATTTATAATTTATCAAAAAAAAAATTGGGTCACGTTGAAATATTCATCTCAAAAATCAAAAGAAGCTTCAATTAGTTAGGAGAATTTTGTAATTTTCAAAAAAATGATGGAAATTAGGCCAAAAATTAACACAAAACACTATTTTCATAGAAAAATCAGTTTTTCTTTGAAAATATTAAATGTTAGATAAGCAGTCCCAAAAATAAGCAGTCCCAAATTTCTCTGCTTCTCTGCGTCTCTCGTTGATTAGCGTGCAGAGAGATAAATAAGCAGTCCCAAAAAAGTTGAGCAGTCCCAAAAGTTAAGCAGTCCCAAAAATAAGCAGTCCCAAAAATAAGCAGTCCCAAAAATAAGCAGTCCCAAAAAATAAGCAGTCCCAAAAAGTTAAGCAGTCCCAAAAATAAGCAGTCCCAAAAATAAGCAGACACAAAAATAAGCAGACACAAAAATAAGCAGTCCCAAAAATAAGCAGACACAAAAATAAGCAGACACAAAAAGTTAAGCAGTCCCAAAAATAAGCAGTCCCAAAAATAAGCAGACACAAAAATAAGCAGACACAAAAATAAGCAGTCCCAAAAATATGCAGTCCCAAATTTCTCTGTTTCTCTGCGTCTCTCGTTGATTAGCGTGCATAGAGATAAATAAGCAGTCCCAAAATAATAAAAAAAACTTGTGTTTTTTTTGGTTCATAAAATGCAGAATTCTTTGATCTTTGTCGAAATATTTTCCCAGACTGATTTTTTGACCGCGAAAAAAACCATGATTATGCCCGAAAATGTCTGGGAACATCGTGTATTTTTCGCTTCCCGCTAAACAAATTCGCCAAATTTTATTGCTATTTATTCAGAAATCAGTGTGTATAAAAAGACAGTTTGAAAACGAGGAAACATGAAAATATACAATCATGATGTCTTCCTCTTCTGTGATTTTTGTTTTGGCGTTGGCCTCTACAGTATCCGCAAACTATCTGATCAACAGTACTTATTGGAGTTGTGGAGCTGGAACTTTGCCAACAATGGTTTCTAATCAGGTTTTGCATGCCTGTGATGAATACTGTAAGTAAGTGAATCCTGATTTTGATCTACAAACCTTCCTTTTCAGATGATTACAATCTTTGCTGCGCAATTCATGACGATTGTTACGATCAACAATTAGGAAAAGCTAATTGTGACGCAAACTTCTGTGCGTGTGTAGCTGTAAGTCTGACACAAAAATAAGCAGTCCCAAAAAAGTTAAGCAGTCCCAAAAATATAAGCAGTCCCAAATTTCTCTGCTTCTCTGCGTCTCTCGTTGATTAGCATACAGAGAGATAAATAAGCAGTCCCAAAAAGTTAAGCAGTCCCAAAAATAAGCAGTCCCAAATTTCTCTGCTTCTCTGCGTCTCTCATAAAATTGCATGCAGAGAGACAAATAAGCAGACACAAAAATAAGCAGTCCCAAAAAAGTTAAGCAGTCCTAAAAAGTTAAGCAGTCCCAAAAATAAGCAGTCCCAAATTTCTCTGCTTCTCTGCGTCTCTCGTTAATTAGCAGGCCGAGAGATAAATAAGCAGTCCCAAATTTCAGAAAGCCGGTGAAAACACAACATCATCCGATGGTGTTTGTAACACTGCCGGTCCAGCCGCGTGCCTTCTTGTCAACGTAACCGACGCGGCAGCGGAAGCTTACGCAAACGCCGGAGAGAGTAGCACATTGGTCTATACGATTTCGACCAATAACAAAATCAAGAATGCGTATCCCGTGCTTTTCCAGAAATGCTTGTATCAATATTGTAAGTTTTTTCTTGAGATCTTAAAATTGATATATTTTTCCAGTAACAATCGATATCTGTGGATTGAACTTTGACTTCTGCATCAATGAAAGCAGCAATAAATCGGATAAGAAAAACTGTGCAATTGGGGTAAGTTCCGCTAATTCCCAGTGAATCCAGCAATACTTTTTTTTTGATTTTTCAGCTTCGTAGATGCCTCAATCAAACAAAATACAATCGTGTTGCGAATACTCAATGCGATAATGCAGTGGCTCAAGTGGTTACTGTAATCAATGAGGTAATCACTAATTTGTCATAAGTTTGAAAGTTGAATTTTTTGAAAATACATAAAATCATTGCATTTACAAGGATCACAAAAAAACTATCAAATTATTTAATTTTTCTTTTTGTCCAAAATTCCATTTTATTCGTCTGAAACTCGAAATTCGAATCGAATTTAACAAAAAAACATTCATCAACATTAGAATATTTCAGATTTTACAGTATGCTATTTCAGAAAGTATTTTTTATTTTTGCGTTTTTTCTGCCAAGAAATCACTGTTGCTAAATAGATTTATCAGATTGATTTCGAGAATTCAGAAAAAAATTGATGAATTCTGTCGCTGACCAAACGATCTTCCGCCAAAATTCTCACTTTCCTCTCTCATCAAATCCAACAATCCTTTAGCCGATTCAACAAATGGATCAAAACCCAATACATCTTCTAAACCACAACTAACAACAAATTGTGCCGATGTTTCGTTTTGTTGTCCAAATGGATCTGATATTATTCCAATACAAATATCTTCTTTTTCATCATCAATTTCTTGTGAGATCCGATAAATATCAACTTCTGGATTTGTTGATTGAAAATCACTTTGTTCCTGCAAAAATATCCAAATAAGTATGATTATTTTTAGAAATTAAAATTTCACGGCTTACGTCAAAATCATATTTAAAAAAAATCAAACTATAAACATTTGAAATTATAATTTTCATGTTTGCTCCGGAAAATCATCTTTAGTAGTAATACCTTAAATATTACCTAAATTTTAGGAAATTTTCTCAGTTTATGATAAAAATGTTTTTTTTTTCAATTTTTCAAATTTTTTTTTTGATTTTCCGGCTCAGGCCTGGCTAATACCGTAAAATTCGGTTCAATATTCTCTCTACTAATAGTTCTTTGTTCCTCGATTCCTCCACTAAGAAAAGTCTGGTTTTCAATAGGCTTCAGATTTTCTTCACGCCGTCCATCACAAAAAAACCAGATCGCGAAATTTAATTTGTAGTGCAGTATGTTCGCTCTGTTGCACAGAGCGGCGACACATTTGTGTCAACTTTATGGATACGGAGTTTCATTTTTTTGCATTCTGAATACTAATTTTTCTCGGCGGAGTCTGCAAAGTCAACTAAGAAAATCTCACCGTTTTTGTTCGAAAACACTCACCTTAGTCGGTCCCTTTGCAGTGCATCAGCTTGCCTTTCAAGTTCACTTATGCATTTTTTGAGATGCGCATATTCCAACATTGATATTTGCTCATTTTCCATGATCAGATGAATTTTGAGAAATTATTTTCCCAAAAAACGCTTGGACGCCACATAATAAAAGGTATCAAAACTTGGGAAATAGTGTATAGAAGGAAGAGAGAAAGAGAACGAGAAGGACCATGATGATCAAAAGGTGGAATGCGAGATAAAAACAGCGTCTACTCATCATTTTTTGACTTTTAGGCTTAGGTTTAGCCAGTACCTTAGGCTTAACCAATAATTTTATTTCTAGGCTTAGGCTTAGTCACGATCTTAGGCTTAATGAAGATTATAGGCCTAGGCCTAGGCTTAGACAAGATCTTATGGGACGAAAAAAAATATTTTTCGACAAAAAATTTCGATGTCAAAAAAGTATTTTCTCATTTTTGTGTGGAAAAAAATCGAAATTCTTTGTCAAAAAATGTTTTTTTCATTATTGTTTATTTCTTTTTTGTTCAATTTTTACAACATTTCTGGCCAATTTTCCCCTGAAAACACATTTTTATGGAACTTTTTTTAAAAACGAAATTTACGAAAATCATCATTTTGCGGTAGTTTCCACGTTTTTTTGCAAAAAGTTAGGTAGAGTTCGGAAATTTTGAAAAATCAATATTTCGGAAGCTCTCTGGGCGTTTATATCTGTATTTACAAAATTAATATTGTTTGGCTGGAAATACATTTTAGGCGCAAAATTTGCGAATTTCAGATTTCAGGGCTCAAAAATCAGCCAAAAGTTTGGAGTTTTCAAGTTCCAACGGTCAAAAACCTCATTTTTCCCAATTTTTTCCCAATAAATGAATTTTTTGCAGATATCATGGAAAATCAAATAGAATTTATTACGCGAGAACATTCTGCGAGATTGAAAAAACAGCTAAATGCAAATATAACACGAATGAATGAAGTGAAAGAGAAACATAAAAAGTGAGTGTTTTCCTGATTTTATTTTTAGTTAACTAAAAAAATCAATGATTTTGCAGACTTGAAGATGAAATATTTCGATTGAGGTTAGAAAATTTAAAACACGAAGAAGGACAGAATGAAATTATACAATCGGAAGGGATTTTTGGATCTGGCAAAGTATCTTTGGCCTGTGGTGAACATGATCGGATTCAAAACCAAACTAGAATTAGTGGAGAAATCGAGAATGCACAAAAATGTGCAAGCACTTCTATTGATGTGAGTTTTGTTGGTATTAGCCAGGCCTGAGCCGGAAAATCAAAAAGAAATTTGAAAAATTGAAAAAAAAAACATTTTAAAAATTTTTTTAAAAACTATAAACTGAGAAAAACAAAAATTTCCTAAAATTTAGGAAATATTTAAGCTATTCCTACTAAAGATCATTTTCCGGAGCAAAAATGAAAATTATAAGAAAAATTTTGAAAAAAATGATTTTGACGTGAGCCGTGAAATTTTAATTTCTGAAAAAAAAAATCATACTTATTTGGATATTTTTGCAGGAACAAAGTGATTCTCAATCAACAAATCCAGAAGTTGATATTGATCGATCACAAGAAATTGATGATGAAAAAGAAGATATTTGTATTGGAATAATATCAGATCCATTTGGACAACAAAACGAAACACCGCCACAATTTGTTGTTAGTTGTGGTTTAGAAGATGTATTGGGTTTTGATCCATTTGTTGAATCGGCTAAAGGATTGTTGGATTTGATGAGAGAGGAAAGTGAGAATTTGCCGAGTTTCACCGCGTTTGGCGGAGCATTGTTTGAGTTGCAGCTACAATTGGTTGCAGCCTCATCATTTCCAGCATATTCTCTGTTTTCAAATGAATATTTCTACGGAAATCACGAAAAAAATTATGAAAACTGAGACTTCTGTGTAATTTTTTGTACGATTTATTTATTTTTAATTTTTCAAAATAAAATTCATTTAGCCCTGAAATTGAAAACGAGAAAATCAGCGTTAAAAAAATTAACTCTGAAAATTCCAAGTGGATTTTTGGCCGCAAATTTTAGAAATCTTGAAATTTTTAAATTTCAAAAAAATCCACGTAAATTTTTGGCGCCAAAATGTTGAAATTTTAAATAAAAAAAAATCCCACGTGGATTTTAGGTTTCAAAATGTTAAAAAATTTCAAATTCAAAAATTCCACGTGGATTTTTTAGATGAAAAAAATAACATTTTGAAATTCCACGTAAATTTTCGGCCGCCAAAATCTTGAAATTTTTGAATTTTTAAAAAAATTCCACGTGGAAATCTTATTCTAAATCTCCCCCTCTTCCAAATAGGAGTTAGCCCAACTCTTTCCCCCCTGGAATATTATTATTCTTATTATTCTTATTAAATCCATCCACACTTCGGTGAATTTTGAAAGCCCGTGCTCGAATAATCGAGTTGTTCCCCTTTTCTGTCCTCCTGTAATTGATCCCCCCTTTCATTTTCTTTTTTCCCACGCGACACCGGAAATCGAAGAAAAAAATGTAATAATTTTTTTTTTTTGACTCATCGACCGACCTCGGTGCATATTTGTTTAATCGAATTGAATTGAATCAAAGTTTTTTCGCCCCCAAAAATGTGAAAATGTTGCCAAGCTGTCAATTAGCAATACCAATAACATATCCTATAATTACAGTAATCCTCCCCACAAAATTCGACCTTGATTATTGTTTTATTAGCGGGCGCGCGAATATTTCTGCTATTGTTTACAGGTGTTTTGGGAAAGGCGGTGTGTGAAACATGGGACAAAAAAGATTATACATAGTTTGGAGGTGTCCTCCTGGAATTTTTGCGATAAATTTGGAAGACTAGACTCTATTTGGGCTTGGATTTAGGTGAAGACTAGACTCTAGTTGGCCTGAAGATTTGAGTTGAAATTAGAAATCGGCTGAAAATCCTGAAATTAGGGTTTTTGATGAAAATTGACCTAATGTAGCTCTAAATCTTATATTTGACCTGAAATTACCCTTAAATTATGTTTTCAACAGTTTTCGTGGTGATCATGGGAAAAATCTGTGCAAAAAAGTGAAAACTCGAAAAAAAATAATTTTTTTTGAAAAAAAAATTGTTTCGTCGCGATGAGACCCTGTGTGTTTTTCTGCTGTTGCGCCTTTCAAAAACTACGGTATTTTTTATTTATTTTTGTTTTTTTCCTGGTTTTCGAAATTTCGAGGTTTTTGCATGAAAAAAAACGCGGAAATCAACCAAATTGATAACAAAATGAAGAATGGAAAGCAAGAAACACTATAAAAACGATTTTCAAGTGTTTTATTGAGACAAAACCGATTTTTCGGTTGAAAATTACGAAAATCGAGCAAATTCATCTCTAAATTAGTTATAATTCACTTTTCTCATGTTATTTCGAGTTGAATTCTTCAGGAATAGCTCAATTTTCGTAATTTTCATCCGAAAAATTGGTTTTTCCTCAATAAAACACTTGAAAATCGTTTGTGGCGTAGAAAATGGCGTTTTTGGTGGCTATTCCTGATCAAAACGATGAATTCAACTGAGAAAAGTGAATTAAAACTAATTTAGAGATGATTTTCCTCAAATTTCGTAATTTTGAACCTAAAAATAGGGTTTTTCCTCAATAAAACACTTGAAAATCGTTGTTTCTTGCTTTAAACAGGGTTAAACCATCTCCATTCTTCGATTTATCAACAATTTGGTTGATTTCTCCGTTTTTTCATGCAAAAACCTCGAAAACCCGAATTTTCGCGAAAAACAAAAAAAAATAAAAAATACCGTAGTTTTTTCAAGGCGCAGCAGCCAAACACACAAGGTCTCGTCGCGACGACAAAGGAGGGGGAATTTTTTATTTTTTTTTATTTTTTCAGAAAATTTTTTTTTTCTTTTTTCCCTCACAACGTTTTAAGCCTGAACAAAAATGACACAGGTGAGAGTTTTTCGTTTTTGGAGGGTGCAGAGAAAAAAAGAAAGAAAGTGCGCTCTATCGAACTGTTCGCACCAGCTTTTTTTTCATTTTCGAAATTCATTTTTTTGTTTTTTCTTTTCTCTTCTCCTTTTCAGCTGATTATCGATGATTTCTCTATCAATAAGTTATGTTTCCAACTGTAGAACATTTTTCAGCATGTTGGGTTGCTACGGAACGTCGATTTTGCCACCTACACAGGAAAAACAGGTCAGTTTTCTTGTTTTCACGATTCGGCAATTTGTTGTTTATTTCAGAGTTTTTTGTATAAGATGAATCGAAAATAGGATTGTTATGATGTATAACCAATTGGGCAATCATCAAACCGAAAGTTTTGCACCAGCAATCTCGACAAAACCGCCAGCGAATCAATCATACACTCGGAACCGAATTGCTGTTATTTTATTCAACGCTGAGGAAATGCCGAGTGTCATCCGACTTTTTGATGACCTCCCAATTGTTCAATTTATGAAATTTGGAACAACTGCTTGAAAATGGCATGTGAAATTTGACTGTTGGTGTTTAGGCGGTGAATTTGTTCAAGCGACTGTTGATGATGCAAGTTAAAAAAGGAGAATTCAACAAAAAACAATGATGAATGGCTATTTTCATGTTGATTGATGATTGAAAATATGATGCTCTTGAGGAGAAATTCAATTGGATGTCTCGAGAAATTTGATGAAAATCGCCGATTTTACTTTTTGAGTGATGGCAATTGCCGAAAACCTTTGATGACGATCACCAATTTTGCTCTTCGCTTTCGAAAATCGCGGAGAACACTGAGGATAATTGAAATCCCATTTAATTATAGATGTTTTATAGCATTGTATCTTGTTTATTTTCTTCAATGTGTATTTTCTGAAATCTTGAGCTAAATTTGTTGTTTTACGCGGTAAAACAGTATTTTTTCGAATGAAATGTTTTGTCTTCTCCTAAAAATTTCAGATTCATCTCTTTAAAATCAATACCGATAGGTTTTTATTCTGGAAAACCCACTTTAAACTGAAAAAAACAGGTTTGAAATAGAAAAACGTTTTGTGTTCGGTAGAGCGCACTTCACTGTTCTCTGCGTCTCCTCGGGTGTTTCTCTCTCGCCTGTGTCACCGTAAAACGTTGTGCCCTGTCTCGTTTTTCTCACATGTCATTCACCTTGTTTACAACAATCCTTCCTGTCCTCTCGTTTCTCCCATCCCAAAAACGAGGTGAAAATAAATAAGAAATCGGATCGGCTTAGCGCCAACACAATACAACAATCATAATCTGTTTATTGGTAGTATTACTGTTCTTCAGATTCTTTCTCATTAAATATTCCAACCGGAAAAGGAACAAGAAGATCCCTCTACACAATATTTCAAGGTTCATCCCTCCTCGTTTTCCCAAAAAATTGCATCGATCATTTTTGGTGTGTTTTGACAAGTATTTTTGATAATTGAGGAGAGAGGATGAGCGAAAATATTTAATTGACATATATTTATTATTATTTGTGAGTTAGTACATAAATAAATATATGTTGCTTCTTTTTATTATATCCAAAAAAATGGGGTAATTAATGTGTCAGAAATGAGGGAAATTGAAGGAATTTGACATTTTATGGTAATATTTTTTAATTGTATGCGGTAATTTTCAGGAAAACACAGGATTTGAAGGTAAAAATTTGATATTTCATAAGGTTTGTAAAAGAAAATTCACCCAAAAACCCCTATTTTCATGGAAAAATCGATTTTTTTGCATTTTTCACCCAAATTTCACACCACCAGGGTGAAATTTCATGCCAAATCCGATTTTTCCCAGTTTCGACATCAAATTCCACCCGGAAAACCTCGAAACCCCCAGGTTTCCCCCGAAAAATGACTAAATGCAAAGCGTGCACACTGTTTCTGCAACCACCGCACACTTTTTGCAGTTGATTTTTTTTGCATCATTTTTCGTTTTTTTTTGTTTTTCAGCCAAATTTTCATATATTTTTCAATTTTTCCGAAATCCTTCCCAAAAAACTCACAAATCGCTTCTATTTCTCAAATAACACACAAAAATCATCGAAAATTCGAAATCCTCCAAGTTTTCCACGTTTTTGACATTAAAATCCAATATTTCAAGCTGAAAATCAGAAAATTTCAATCAAAACCCTGTTTCTTTAGAAAAAACCCACATTTCTTCAATAATCCTCGGATTTTCCGTTGAAATCGATAATTTGAGCCTTGTAGAACATCTGAAAATTCAATTTTCAACTGAAATCCACTGAAACCTGAAAACCCAGCGAAAAAAAAACGAAAAATGAAAAAAATATTCTCGTGTTGCGCTAAACATCGGGCAAGCCGGAGTGTCGTTGTAAAACTCAATTAATTTTCTATTTTTGTTTTTTTATTTTTTGAAAAAAAACGAAGCGGTGTTTGCACACATCGAAACACTTGATGTGACGCCAAATTTTCAGTGATTTTTTGCTGACATTTTTCCAAAAGTTCATGATTTTGCTGACGCATTTCCAGTGGCTAGAAACTTTGCTGGCGCTTTTCCAGAAGCTAGGAATTTTGCTGGCGCTTTTCCAGGAACTCATGAAGCTTCTGCTGACGCGTTTTCAAGTAGCTCATGATTTTGCTGACGCGTTTCCTGGATCTTGAGAAGCTGTGCTGACGCATTTCTAGTAGCTAGAAACTTTGCTGGCGCTTTTTCAGGACTCAGAAGCTTTGCTGACGTGCGTTCAAGAGCTCATGATGTTGCTGACGCATTTCCCGGAGCTTGAAGCTTTGCTGACGCTTTTCTAAAACCTTTGAAAGTTGCTGACGCATTTCTAGTAGCTTAAAAGTTGGTTTTTCCCGATTTTTTGTTGTTGTCAAAATCGAAATCGTAACAACTTTTTGCTACAGTATCCCCTTTCCGACATTTTCACCTTCGTCACGCTTGTTTCACAGACATTCAATAGGCAAGATAGATACAACATTTTGACTATTCTTTTGTTTGTGTTTTTTTTGTTGTTGGGCGGCTGAGGAGTGAAAGGAATGGGGTACTGTAGGGGAAATGGGGTTTTTTGAAGATGATGAAAAATCCTGTAAGCAAAAATTTATTGCTAGATCTACAGTAATCCTTCAAAGTTTTCTCTAGATCTACAGTAATCCTTCAAAGTTTTCTCTAGATCTACAGTAATCCTTCAAAGTTGTTCTAATATTTACGATTTCTCAAAAATCCGACAATTTTCCGTATTTTTTTTTTGAAAAATTGTCTGTATTTCCAAATTTCTTGAAATTTGTCCAAAAGTTATCCTAACTTCCGAAAAAGGCTCCAAAAAGGTGCCAGAATTATGGCCATTTATATTCAATTTATTTACAAATTTATCCATTTTAATGGGATTTTCCTGCAAAATTTTTTTTCTTCCTAAAAAAAAACCACTGTGTATTTACGAGTCATTAATCAGAACAACCTTCAGGTTTTCTTTTCAAAAAAAAAAATTTTTTTTTGCTTTTGTAAACAAAACTGAAGAAACCTATTACCGTAATCTAGAGTTTTTCTTGAAAAATTTTGAAAAAAAAACTTTTTTTAGAAAATTCTGAAAAAACATTTTTTTTAAAGAAAATTTTTTAAAAATTTTTTTTAGGAAAATAAAAAAAAATGTTTTTTTCAGAAAATTTTGAAAAAAAAAACTTTTTTTTAGAAAATTCTGAAATTTTCTATTATTTTCCAATTTTTCAAGAAAATTTTGAAATAAAATTTTTTTTTTAATTTTGAAAAAAAAATTTTCACATTCAGAAAATTCTCAAAAATTTTTTTTTAGAAAATTCTGAGAAAAAAATTTTTTTCGGATTTTTTTTTCGGAGAATTTCGTATTTTTTTCTAAAAAATCCACAATTTTCTGATCACAGGAAAAATATGATTTAAGACGTGGCATAATTGGAGTTTAGCTAACTTATTTTCAGAAAAAGTTTTGGAACTTCTGAACTTTTTTGAAAAATCTTCTGAATTTCAGATTCTCATAAAAATAATTTTTGAAGTTAGCGAAAGTCTTGTAAAGTCCCGATTTTTTGAAAGTTGTCACATCATAACTCAAAAATATTATGACGTGGCAAAAAATTCAGGATTTTCCTTCCCTTCTCGAAAAAAATATATTTTTCTTGGAAGCCAAAATAAACCAATTGTCAGGTACTCAAATTGAAATGAATTTTATTAGAGAGCTTTTGGGGGTTCCCAAGAGACGCTTTTAACAAAATAAGATTTGAGAGGAAAAAAAAGAGACTAATGCACATTTTTTATTTATACAATTGAGAAGAAGAAAATGGGAAAAATCACATTAAAAAATTTGAAAAAAAAAATAAATAAAAAAATAGTGGAAGAGAAAATCAATGTTTGGTTTTCTAGGCCAAAAATGCTCAAATACCAATGAAAATGGCTTAAAATGCATTTTTCCTCACAGAAAATCAATGTGGCCGAAGTATTCGGGTGGAAAAATTCGCTTCAGAACCCGAATTTTCATAAAAATTTCAATTTACATGGTCCCGAACCTGAATTATCACCCCAGGACTCGAATTTTTATAAAAATTTAAATTTTCATGGTCCTAAACCTGAAAATTTTCTTCAGGACTTGAATTTTCATGGAAATTTCAATTTTCAAGGTCCTGGACATGAAAATTGTGGCCGAGAATTGTCGGGAATTCGGCCACATCTGTTTTTCATTTTTTTTCGAAAAATCCAAATATCGATGAAAATGGCTCAAAATGCATTTTTCCTCACACAAAATTGATTTTTCATCAATATTTGAACATCCCCGTGGCCTAGAAACCCAAATTTGATTTTCTAGGCCATCACAATTGCCCTGAATAAGATTGCGGTAGGATTCCCAACGGTGTTCGCATCATCCAATCATCCGATGGTTGTTGCTGCGGATTCGAATACACCAATGACATATCAGCAGCCGATTTTGGATCAAAGCCAAGTAGATCATTTATTGAATATGCTGGGATTGTACTGTAGTTGCTGTTACTGCTATTGTTATTATTGTTGTTGGGATTTGAATTTGTGGAAGGAGATGTTGAAGGTGGTTGAGAAGAAGGTGGAAGTGGAATTGGAAGTGGAAGTTGATTAGATGTTGGATTGGAAGAAGCCATGAAGGATTTATTGCGGACGATTCTGTTGATTGAGGAGACGCTTGGAACGTTGTCACTGTCACAAACTCGATCCTGAAAAATTGTTTTTTTTTGAAAGTTCTGAATTATTTTCTGCTAATCTTGAGGCTTTCAGAAAATTGATGGGGAATTTTTGAGCTGAAAATCTTAAACTATGAAGTTCAGCTGGAAATTTTAGAGATAAGAAAATTGGCAAAAAAATCAGCTTTTCCGGCATTTTTTCTTGGACGAGATTTTTTGATCTACCAGATCTTTTTGATCTATTTTGGCGCCGAAATTTGAAATTTTCAAAATAATTTGCAACGTGGATTTTTTTTCTCGCTTTTGAATCTCAAATTTTTGAAATTTCAAAATTTAAAAAAAAAATTTGAATTTGGTAATTTTTTCTCGAGTTTCAGATTTTTTTAATGAAAAAAAAGGAATTGAAGAAAAATTCGAACTTTTTTTCAAAGATTATTGATTTTTTTTGAAATATTTCGCCACGTGGATTTTTTTTTTGCTTTTGAATCTGAAATTTTCAAAATTTGCCGCCAAAAATATGAATTTCTAACTTTTCCAAAATTTTTTAGAAAAAAACAGGATTTGAAAATTTTTTCGAAAATTAATTTGTTTTTTGCAAATTTTTTCTGAAATTTAAAATTTTTTTAATTAAACAAATAATTTTCCACGTGTATTTTTTTCGGCTTTTTGAATCTCAAATTTTTGAATGTTCAAAAATTTTTGGAATTTTCAAATTTGAATTTTTCAATGAGGAAAAATAACATTTGAAATTAGGTTCTACACCGAATTTTTCAAATTTTCAAAATTTTTTTCAGAAAAAAATATGAATTTTCAAATTTTTTCTCGGATTTGAAGAAAAATTTGAATTTTGTTTCGAATTTTTTCTGAAATTTAAAATTTTTTGAAATATTCTGCAACGTGGATTTTCTGACGCCAAAATTTTTTTCAAAAAATTTGAATTTGCAACTTTTTTTTGTGAAAAAAAGGATTTGAAGAAAAATTCAAATTTTTTCTGAAATTTAAAATTTCTTAAATGGTTCTATGACGTGACAAAATCAGAATATTTTTGAAACAAGCCACAATTTTCAAGAGTTAACCTAACTTCAGTTTCAAAAACATCCCTGTGCCTTTAAAAAATCTCAGACAATTTCTGGCGAAAAAAAATCTTTTAACAAAAAATCTTTTAACTTTTAACATTAACATTAAAAAAGTTAGCCTAACTACTAACCTGCAACAATTTCTCCCGAATTTCCCACGCAAACATCGTCGGATTCGCTCGTTTATACGAAGCAATACAACCAACAACTCTTGGAGTCGCAACTTTCGGCTTGGATCCTCCGATTACACCAGGTCGCACAGATCCAGTTTCGTAATATCGCCCAAGGATTTTTGAAACACATCCGTGACTCACCCTGGAAAATTTGTGTTTTGATTTACAAAAAAAAAAAAAAAAAAAAAAAAAATAAATGAAAAAAAACCTCAGCTGCCTTGATATATCACAAGGTCGAACTCCTTGATGTGCCATATCAACAATCCGACTTCGAATATGATCAGGAAGGGGTCGACCATTTACGAAAACTCCGCCAAGTTGATTGACACCCGTGTGACTATTGTCTGAAAGCGCGCCTTTTTAAATATGACATTCTCTTATCAAAGAAAAAAGGGCTGGGTGGCCGAGTGGCGCACACGCGTGCCTGCTGGTGGGGAGACCACGGTTCGATCCCCACCCGCTGACAAAGTTTTTTATTTTTTTTGAGAGAGGAACTGGTGGATTTTTAATCCAATTTATTTTTTTTGTGAAATTTTTGAAACGTATATTTCGCTGTTTTGGATTTTTAATGAAAAATGATCCCACTAAAGATTTTTGTGGCTAGAAATTCAAAAAAAAAAAGGAATTTTTGATCAAAATTTGGCAAATTCAAATTCAGATTCAGAAGCTTCACAAAATCCAGAATTAGTTAGCCTAAGTTCCCCTGAAGAATCTAGATCTCTTCTTCAGAAAATTTTTGGCTTCAGAAGTTCAGAATAAGATTCAGGAGCTTCAAAAATTTAGAATCTTCAAAAATACAGATTCAGTTTCAGAAGCTTCACAAAAATTTAAATTCAGAATCTGAATCTGAATCCAAAATCAGTTAGCTTCTAAGAGTTAAATAAACCTCTAGAAACCTTCCCCAGAATTTCAGATTCAGTATCTAATTCCAAAAATAAAGTTAGCATAACTTAAGAAACACCTAGATCCTCCAGAAATGTTTTAGAAGCTTCCCAAAAATTCAGAATCTGAATCTAAATCCAAAAACAGTTAACCTAACTTAACAAACATCTAGAACCTTCAGAAATATTTGAAAAGCTTCACAAAAATTCAGAATCTGAATCTGAATCCAAAAACAGTTAGCCTAAGTTCCCCTGGAGAATATAGAACCCTTCCCCAGAAAAGTTTCTGGCTTCACAAAAATTCAGAATCTGGTTCAGAAGCTTCACAGATTCAAATTCAGATTCAGAATCTGAATCCAAAAACAGTTAGCCTAACTTAAGAAACATCTAAAACCCTTCCCCATAAAAGTTTCTGGCTTCACAAAAATTCAGAATCTGATTCAGAAGTTTCACAAAAATTCAGAATCTAAATCTAAATCCAAAAATAGTTAGCCTAAGTTCCCTTCCCCAGATCTTACCAATCGGAAAATGCGAATTTGTCGGAACATTAGCTAAATTAGCAGCAGCGGCAGCTGGATACGGATAATAACCGCGCCAAAGTTGCTCCATACTTTTTTTTTCGAAAAAATTTCAAAAACGATGTGCGCAATCAACCGTTTGGCTGCACGTCAATGCGTTTTCTCTTCTTCTTCTTCCGATGTTGATTCTACAGAAAGCCACGCCCCCTTTTTTGACCATAGGAGGAAAATGGGCGATTAAGCCACGCCCATTTTTGATTCTGATTGGTTTATGAGAGAAAATATGGAGAATTTTTGTGAGGGAGGGAAAAAAGAGAGGAAAAAAGTGTGGAAAATTAATGAGTTGGGGGAACTTTTTCTGGCTAATTAGCAAAAAAAAATGATTATGTGTTGTTCTTTGCAACACATTTTTCAGCAAGAAAATTGCCACGTGGCATTTTTCTCTGCGTCTCTAGCTCTCAAACTGTATGATTTCTCTGCGTCTCTAACTTTCTGTTCGAAAATTGCTTGAAATTTTAAATTCGAAAAAAATCCACCTGGATTTTTCTCTGCGTCTCTAAATTATACGTGCTCTCTAAGCTCTCTGCGTCTCTAACATTATAGTTATATATCTACATAATTGTCTGGTTTCTCTGTGTCTCTAACTTTCTGTTCGAAAATTGCATGAAATTTGAAATTCAAAAAATCCACCTGCATTTTTTTCTGCGTCTCTAATCTATAGTGATGTCTAATTGTCTGGTCTGATTTCTCTGCGTCTCTAAATTTTACACAAAATTTTTCACTGGATTTTGGCACATATCAAAAATTTTTTAAATAAAAAAAAACAAAAAACAAAAATTTAAAAAAAATCAAAAAAAAATTTTACGTCACGTGAAAATCCATCAAAATTCGGGGCATTTCTAAAAAAATTCTCCCTCAAAATGAGAGAAGTTCAATTTCATTCCGATGCTGTGAAATACGAAACAATAACGCGATGCAGTCGATTTTATGGTCCACTTCGAATTCCGAAAAAGATTGCACCGAAAAATTATGGGAATCTATTGAAAGTTCTACAAACTTATTCGAACTTTGATTTGAACAAAAATTGGTTGAAATTGATTGGCGATCAATTTAATGGAAAATCGATTGATTTTCAAAATGATCAATTAATGACTACCTATACAGCTAATGTGAGTTTCAAAAAAAAAAGTTTGCCACGGAGCGGGATCGAACCCCTGACCTAAAATTCAGGAGACGCGCGTGTTTCCCACTCGGCCACGCGCTCATATTTTTCTTCCACGCGAATGTTTGACATCACACACACCTAGGCTACGTATACCTTACGTATACTTTAGGGATACTTTATCCATAACGTATACTTTTTTGTCCATAACGTATACGTGTTTTCAACGGATACAAAACGTGTAAAATTTCATGGAAGATTTTGAATGTTTTTTTGGACTAAATCTGTCCCTTATGGGCTTGGGAGTTGGTTTAACAAGTTTTCGCGAGGTTTCGAGACCATTTCGAATAAATTTATGGTGAAAATTGATATTTTAGAAAAGTGGACGTAACGTGCATATTTTTCATCCGTAAAGTAGACTTGGCAAAAATTGATAAATCATTGGAGGTTTTTCGAAAAACTTAATTTTCGTTGTTTTCTCAATGTTTGTGATGTCAAAGAATGAATCAAAAACTCAATTCGATAATCGGAAAGACTTTTTGAAAAGTACACATAACGGAAATGTATTATTTCCATAACGTGTACTTTTTTATCTCCATAAAGTATACGTTAAGTACATTTTTTGTAACCTATAAAAAATACATTTTCATTTTTATAAATTTTCCATCCTGCGTCTTAAAGATAAGCTATGTCATGATTTCAGTACTTATTCTTCACTAGTAAATTGTTTTTATACAATTTTGGCCATTTTTGTCTTCATTTTCCACTCAAAAAGAAAAATTTGCTCAAAATTAGGTCTAAGTTTCATTCCTGGACTGATATCCCATCTATTTTCAGTCATTTTCATATTTTATCACGTTTTTATTTGCAAATAAACATTAGTAAAACTCAAAAATTGCAAGAAAAACGCGAAATTCAAAAAAAGATAAGCCCCGCCCACTTCCCACGAAAAACATAGCGTAGCGCGCAGCACGCGAGGTGTCGGTCGCTAGAATTATATAAGTAGACAGAGCGCTTTCCCTTCCCCAAAGCGTGTTTCGCTGAAAAACGCCGAGGAATGGAAGTTTTTTTAAAGCAATATTGAATTGCAGTCAATTTTGAACTGATCTATAACTGAAATAGATTCACATTATCAATTTGAAAAATAAATTCTGAAATTTCAAAAGTACACTTTTTATGTCCGTAATTTTGTCCGTTACGTACACGTGAGAGTCTCCATATGGACATCTCAGGTGTACTTAACGTACACGTGTGCGAGAATCAAAAAGTGTACGTTATGGAGACTTTACGTATACGTACCCGAGGTGTGTGTGATATGACGAGGAAAAAATAGTGTTTTTTTGCAGTTCAAAACTCGTTGGATGTATTTCTCAATGTTTTTCACAATTTTAACAATGATATTTATTTATTTTCTATTCTCCATGTCAAAAACACTAACAAATCGAGTTTTAAAATTTATCAAATTCCGAAAATACTACACGGCCTATACAATTATCCCAGTTTTTTGCTGTATTATGATTATTTCGATTACCGTAACATTTGGAAAAGAAACGACTAAAGCTGAAATTGCTATTGGGAATTCGGAAAAATGGCTGGAAACTGCGCAGAGACGTGGGTTTTTTCAGCTAGTTAAATTTTCACTGAAAAAGTTTTCAGGTAGCAGATATGTGAGAGAGCAACGTTGGGACGAATTGAATTGCTCAACTGTTTTACCCGAATTAAGTGCTCAGGATTTAGCCGAGTTTGAATTTGGGATTTTTGGAATCACATCAGCGATTATAAATGGAGCCATCAAATTAAAATTAGGAAAATCGATGAAAAATCAATTGTCAGATCTTGCGGTTCGCGCATTATTATATTACTACAAATTTCAACATGAGGTGGTTTTCAACGAGTTTTTTTTGCTGAACCATCGAACTTTTGAATTGCTCAAAATTCCCAGTGAAAATCTGATAAACACTGCGAAATATGTGATTTTTATGGTATCCATGGTTTCGATTTGCTTCACTTCTTTTATTTGTTTGATGGTTTTTTTGGATTTGAAAAATCAATGTGAGTGAAAAAAAAATATATACCGTAGTTGTTTCCCGACGAGACCCTATGTGTGTTTCGGCTGTTGCGCCTTTCAAAAACTACGGTATTTTTTGTTTTTTTTCCGGTTTTCGCTGTTTCTACATGAAAAAAGGCAGAAATCAACCAAATTGATAACAAATCGAAGAATAAAGATAGTTTAACTCTGCTTAAAGCAAGAAACACTATGAAAAAGTGTTTTATTGAGACCAAACCTATTTTTCGGTTGAAAATTAGGCAAATCGAGCAAATTTATCTCTAAATTAGTTATAATTCACTTTTTTCATGTTATTTCAAGTTGAATTCCTCAGGAATTGCTCGAATTTCATAATTTTCAACAGAAAAACAGATTTTTCCTCAATAAAACACTTGAAAATCGTTTATGACCTTAAAAATAGCGTTTTTGATGGCTATTCCTGATCAAAACAAGGAATTCAACTCGAAAAAACATGAGAAAAGTGAATTATAATTAATTTAGAGATGAATTTGCTCGATTTTCGTAATTTTAAACCGAAAAATCGGTTTTTCCTCAATAAAACACTTTTTCATAGTGTTTCTTGCTTTAAACAGGGTTAAACCATCTTTATTTTTTTTTTGATTATCAATTTGGTTGATTTCTGCCTTTTTTCATCTAGAAACATCGAAAACCCCGGGTTTTCATGAGGTAGCCTAACTTTTTTTCAATTTTTATAGATTTTTTTCATATATTTTTCAAATTTTTCCGAAATCTCTCCCCAAAAAACTCACCGATCGCTTCAAATCACACAAAAATTCGAAATCCTTCAAGTTTTCCACGTTTTTGACATTGAAATCCAATTGTCCATCAATATTTCGAGCTGAAAATCAGAAAATTTTTTGAATTTTTCATGTAGATTGAGTTCTGCTAACTCCATTTCTGTTTCTATAGATTTCTGAGGGCTTTTTCTGGGTCTCACAACAATTTTCTAGCTATTTTTCAAAGGTTGACAGCAAAATCTTACCCAAACCCATTTTCCATCGATTTTTGAGTGAAAAATCCAGTAGTTTTCATGAAATCCGATGTTTTTTACTTCAAATTCAATCAATAATCGTTCTCCTCACATACAAAATAATTTTTGACTCTGAAAACCCAAAAATTTCAATTGAAACCCTGTTTCTCTGAAAAAAACCCACCTTTCTTCGATAATCCTCCGATTTTCCGTTGAAATCGATAATTTCAGCCTTGTAGAACATCTGAAAATTCAATTTTTGACTGAAATCCACTGATTTTCCCCGGAAACCTGAAAACCCGGCGAAAAAACAACGAAAAATGAAAAAATATTCTCGTGTTGCGCTAAACAGCGGGCAAGCGGAACTCCGGAGTGTCGTTGTAAAAGTCAATAAAATTTTCTGTTTTGGTTTTTTATTTTTTGAAAAAAAAAACGAAGCGGTGTTTGCACACATCGAAACACTTGATTTGACGCCAATTTTTTAAAAATAATATGTTTTGCAGACCCACAAATCATCAAATTCATCCAACTTTTCTCCCCAATTCTCCTCCTATTCATAATCCTTGGTTATTTCTTCATCTGGTTCATTTTCACCTCGATTGTTGGAAGTTACACGGTATTCTTGCATTTGACACATTCACAAATTCAAGACGAGATTTGGTTTCATCGAACTGAAACTCAACAATTTTTTGATTGTTTAACGAATTATAACATTATAAGTGTTCCGAAGGATGTTATTATGAAAGGAGTGGAGTCGAAATCTTTGACGATTTTTGATGTTTATCCGAGAAAAATCATCGAAGAATTGATGAGTAAAACGATCTCGAATCCGGATTCGACTCATCCCGATTATCAATATCATCATTTTCTCTCGCAATGTGTAAGTCACCTCTTAAATCAAACAATCTTAAAAGCCCGCTAAAAACTGCGAAAGTCGTCAACGAGGAGTCTCGTTGTTTTCTTTTTTTGTTGGAAAATTACAAATTGCATGAAAAAAAAAACAATTTTCTGAGGATAAAAACTAAGATTCAATATTTTCAGAAGAAAACTTGTATTTTTGAGTTTTTTGAGCGAATTATGCAATATTGCGGTCAAAAAATCAATATTTTCATCACAAAAATGATTGTCAATCCGAAAAAAAAACATTTTTGCAGCTAAAAAATGAGACTTTGTGCACTTGGCAACTTCCGCACTTCTATTCGAAGCACCCAAGATGGATTCGTTTCCTAGCGTTGATTAAGAACGATTTTCGTGTGTCGGCAATCAGCTATTTGAGATATTTGTCGTTTTTTAAGCAAAATACATTCGTGCCAATTGCTGGTTTGGTTTGGAATATTCGTAAGTTTTTTTTTTTTTTGAAAAAGACCACCCACGAAGTTCAATGTATGCAATTCTGGTCATTTAGATACCCCATAAAGCTATGTTCCTTTAAAATTTGAGGATTTTTGCAGTTCCCCTACCAGCGCTGATCTTCTTCAATCTGATCTTCATCCACTTCGCAACTCCATTGATTCGTAAAAAATCTGAAGAATCGAGCTCTGATGTTTTGATGTGATGTGATAAATAAATTTTTTGGCGCGAAATTTCAAAAAAATATTTTAAACGTGACACAAAAATTTTATTTTTGCGAAAAAAAAAACATTTTTTTTAAATTGGGCCAGGCTATTGTTTTTATTTTTGGGGCGAAGAAGTCGTGATTTTTAAAACAGATCGAGAAATATAATCGCGTAGATAACGTAAATAATAATTATGGCGGGAAGAGGTGAAAATAAATTCAAAAACCGGTTTTCGCGGGGATACCGTACACACAAGCACGCCCCTCTTTTCGCTGTGAGATATCGCAGTTGGGTAAATCGGTGCGCCTTTATTTCAATCGATTTTTTTTTGTTTTTTACGCAAAACCGGCGTTTAACTTGGATACGTCGAGTATTACTAGCTATTTATCGATTATTTAGGCAGCATGCGACATCTGGAGAAAGAAGGTAAGACTTTTCAGGCGAATTTCCATTGAAAAATCATGATTTTCAGGATTTCCGCCAAAATCAACCGGATCTTCGCCAATTTCGCCGAAAATCAACCGGATTTTATCAATATGTTCAACAAAAGCTGCAAGAGCAAACTCTTCCAGGTTCAGGTGAGAATGTTCATTTGAATTTTCATGAAAATGTGAAGATTTTCAGGTTTAACAGCAACAACTTCGGGAATTTCGCCGTTATTTCGCTCAACATTTGCATTTTTAATAATTACCTGATTATCAACGAGAATAAATTGTTTATGATATATAATTGATTAACTAAAACTGAAAGTACCCGAAATTCACATAAGAATAAACAAAAATCACCTTTATCTTCGAATTTTATTGTTTTCCTCGATTTTTGATGATGGGTTGAAGAAGTTGAAACTATTGCAGCTGTTGCTAAGCATGCCAATGAACTTCGGCATGTGTTCAGTGGAATCCGGTTGATTTTCGGCGAAATTGGCGAAGATCCGGTTGATTTTGGCGGAAATCCTGAAAATCATGATTTTTTAATGGAAATTCGACTGAAAAGTCTTACCTTCTTTCTCCAGATGTCGTATGCTGCCTAAATAATCGATAAATAGCTAGTAATACTCGACCAGGGCTGGGCGGAATTTACTTGTCGGCATTCCGCAACGCCGACTTTTCGTGCCGAATTTTTTTTCGGCATTTTGGGATGCCGACTTTTTGTGCCGAGAAAAAATTCGGCAATTCGGCAGTGATTCAAAAATTTTAAAAACACTCAAAATGATAGAAAAATGAATAAAATTATATTTTAGTTCGATTTTAGTCATGCGTCAATGGAAATAAAGTTGAAAACAAGACGTTCTGCTGAAAAAAGAGGTTAAAACGCATGTTTTATTTTACGTGAGAAAATTTCGGTTGTGATTTCGGCACATTTTAAAGTCGGAACGAAATTCGGCTTCTATCAAGTGCCGAAAAAATGTTTCGGTCGGTAATGCCGATTTTAAAAACTGCCGAAAATATTTTCGGTCGGTAGTGCCGACTTCAAAAATTGCCGAAAAATCAACGAATTTCGGCATTTCGGCAAGTCGGCGTGCCGATTCCGCCCAGCCCTGTACTCGACGTTTCCAAGTTAAACGCCGGTTTTGCGTAAAAAACAAAAAAAAATCGATTGAAATAAAGGCGCACCGATTTACCCAACTGCGATATCTCGCAGCGAAAAGAGGGGCGTGCTTGTGTGTGTGTACGGTATCCCCGCGAAAACGGGTTTTTGAATTTATTTTCTCATTTTGGTGCCAGCCACTTTGACGTTGATAATACGCGTAGAACCGCCCGAGAAGTGTTGCAAATTTTTGGCCCGCGTGCTCGTGGTTGGAGAGTGTTGGAGAGTGTTGGGAACAGATTGAGGTAGGTGTCATGACGTGGCAAACATTTTTTGACATATATATATATATTTAGGGCCCAAATTTAGGCCTAGGCTTATTTGGACTCAAAAAATGTAGATTTTCAAGCTGAAACACACCTGACGAGACGTGTCCAAAAGGAACAATGTACAAACATTTTCAAAAGCCACGCTGCACATTTTTTGACGAAAAAAAGTGAAGTTTTTCGTTGATTTTCAGCGGATTTTGATGAAAAATTTCAAAAAATTCAAAATTTCACTCTGCACAAAAACTTTGGGACAATTTCTCGCCAGGTGTGAGCTGAAATTTAGGTTTAGGCTTACATTCAAGCTTAGACCTATTTGGACTCGAAAAACGTGGATTTTTCATCCGAACATTAGGCTTAACCTTATTCTAACTCAAAAATTTGCAACATTTCCAGAAAATCCGCCAAACTTGCACCCAACGAAGCCTCTCACTCCGAATTATCACCGAAAAATTTCACCCCACAGCCCTCAAAAATCGTCAAAACCTGCTAGATGAAGTATGGAAGACTCGTGAACAGTTTCAAAGTGATGCAATGCGTTGCGCCATGTGTCAACTGTTTTCCGCCAACTTTTCCGCATTCAAAAATTTTGGGGCCAACGCGAAAATTGCCTCCGTCCTCAAATACGCTCTATCGCTAATCGCTAATCAATCAAAATATTATCGAGTCCATTTTCGGTTCCGCGTGACCTTCTTCCGCGTGTCATTGACACGTTGATGACACGTGGCACACCGAATTCGCCGCCAATTCAAAAAAGCCGTCCGCCTTCTTGGCACATGTGGATTTTGAGGAGAATTGGCCAGCTTTTTTGAGATGAGAGATGAGGAGGAGGAAGATACGCAGAGAAGGAGAAAAAAAGGGAAATGGAGGTAAGTGTCCTACAGTACTCCTAGCTTTTGATGACACAAATTGGGTCTCAAGAATTTTTGTTAATTTGTTGACCCTAAAATTAGGGTCTCAACACGCTATTTTCGTTCCTAAATACATTCTACAGTACACCTAAACCTTGGCGCCAAAATCAAAAAAATTCAAATTTTTTGCAGATTCCGAAAATCGATAATCGATTCGCTTCTGACTTCGTCAAACTCGCTCACACCCAAAATTTTGCACCAAATCTGCCAATTTCAGCCGCAGAGTTGCAATTTTGACGAATTTTACCCTGGCCATGTGGATTCGCTGAAAATCCAGATGCAAAATCTGAAATTGCTCAAAAATCCGCAGCCTGAAGAGCATATTGACGTCGGCGGAAAAATGATTGAGGAACTTGTCTTATATGCGTCACGTGGCAGTTGGAGTCGGCTGAAAATTTTGGCTGAAAATGACAATTTTGAGAAAGTTTTGAAATTCTCGCCAGCAAAATTGGAGAAAATCAAAAAGTCGGAGAAATTTTCGCGGAAAATTTTGGAGCAAGTGATTTTTGAGAATAAGAATGATGTTTATGAAGTGGCTTTGAAATTTGAGAGATTTGCGATGGTTTTGACGCAAGATGCGTTGAGTGAGAGAAGCGAAAGAAAGAGTTTGGTGAGTAATTTTTTCCGCGCGGAAAATTTGGAGTTCAATAGAGCGAAGCAAAAATTCCTAGCAAAAATTTGAGAATTACTGTTTGTTCAGTAGAGCGCACTTTTCTACTTGAACATTTCAAATTTTTACAACAAGAAACATTATTATGCATACTGTATATTAGCAACATAGGTACTCTAGTTTAGCAACCCGACTACTGTAGTTTAGCAACCCAGGTCATTATGAAAGAACAACAAACTCATTTTCTGTTCATTTCTAGGTGCTCTTGTTTCTTTAATATTTTTCAAATCCAATTTTTTGGGCTTGACCTAAAAAAAATAAAAATCGTGACATTTAATAATTTGTTGGCACGTTCACGTGAAAAATCCAACAAAAATGAACCATTTCAAATTTTATCATTCAAAAAAATTGTTGGTTTCGAGTGATGTGAGTTTAAATAATTTTTGGGCTATGACGTGGAAAATGTGGATTTTTATCTGAAAATCCTGGAATTCTCTGATTTTCCCCGAAATTTGAGATTTTAGTTGAAAATCTTAGAAATTTCATCATATTTTGAGATTTTTCAAGCTGAATTTTCCAATTTTCATCAAGGTTTTCAAATTTGGAGCCAAAAAATCCACATGCCATCAAAATATCAAATTTAGTTTTCTCTGGTGTCAAAATTTTGTTTTTCCACGTCACAACTCGATTTTTCAAAAATTCGGACAACCCAGGCTTTTTAATGCAAAAAATAGGCTTATTATCTATCAAAATAGCCCAAATGTTTGTCACGTGGCAAATAAAAATTATATTTTTCCAGAGCGCCTTTCAAACACGGAATATCCATTGGAAATTGCAGCTCCACCTCCGAAAATTCCCAATTGTTGCTCGAAGAAAGTTTGCCATCGCAATTAATAGTGAGTGGGTGGGAGATTTTGGAGCAAAAAATAAATTTTTAAAAAATTGAGTTCACAAATTCTGGTGCCAAGCACAAAATTTTTACAGTTTCAAATTAGGGCGGGAAAAATCTTGGATTAAAATTTGAAACTGATTTTAAGGTTATTCTGAAAATGATCTGAAACATGAAAAAAATTAAGGGAAATCTAAATCGTTCGACCAAAAATATGAAAATTTGGCTGAAAAGCACTAAAAATCGTAAAAAGTTAGCTTAAAGAAATTGTGTTTTTCTGATAAAAATGTGTCAATCCTGTTTTTTTTTGCAGAATCGAATCAAACATTTGGAGGAAGAATTGATGGAGGCGCACCGAAAAATTGAAATTCTTGAATATTGCTTAGAAGAAAAAACGGCGGAAGCAATTCAAAACAAGGATATCGCTTACGGATTCAAATTTGAGTATGAATTTATGGTGGAGCAGAATCGAATTAAAGAAGAAATCATCGAGGAAATGGAAAGGCAAAATGAAAAGTTCGTTTTTCTGGGAATTTTGGAGGGAGAGTAGGGGGTAAATAACAAATTTTTTGTTGTCGAAAATTTCGGAATTCTGAACACCGTATCTTCAGAATTGGATAGAATATTTTTATTTGGAATCTGTAATCTAGATGAAAACTTCTACCTTTTTAATAAAATCCCGGTTGGGTGGTGTCTCGATGGAAGCAGCATTTTTCAATGGGGTCCCCCTGTTCTCATTTTTTGGATGTCTAAATTTTGGACATTTTCCCATTTTTGCCCCTTTTTTTCCGAAATCATACCTTCGCGAACGTCCAAAAGGATCCGATCCTGGACCTTCTGAACAAAACACACGTGATCTAACCACTTGACCATTTCTGACACAAGAAATTACCATCAATTTGCTTAGAAATGCTCGATAAAAAATTTTTACGTGAGAAAAAGAATCTACCTTTTTTCAGAAAGAAATTCATTATCAGAAAAAAGAACATTTAGTGAGTATTTATTGAGTACTGTCTAAAGAAAATTCTTTTTTTAAAAATCAAATCTGCCTGGGGACTAACAGCCCCTATCGAGTATACATTGAATACAGAAAAAAGATTTTCCATGGCAAAATTAGGAAGCTACCTCTTACGTTTCACCTCTTACCTCTTACGAATACATTTAATTCAAAAAAATAATTAAAAAAGTATTTTTTCGGAAAATTTATCGATGACTTCATCCATGGCAAAATTAGGAAGCCTTCCAGATTTTGCCACGAGTCATTTTTTGATAAAAAAAACTGAAATTTTCTATAAATTTGATTGTAATTCGTTTGTTTAACATCTTACGAGTACATTAAATTCAAAAAAATAATTAAATAAGTTTTTTTTTCGAAAGTTTTTTCAAAAAAAAATCGGCCCGAGTTTTTCAAAAAAAAAAATCGGCCCGAGATTTTTCAAGAAAAAAGTTACAGATTTGGAATAATCCAAAAATGTAAAAAATCGGCCCGAGTTTTTCAAAAAAAAAATTACAGATTTGGAATAATCCAAAAATGTAAAAAAAAAAATCGGCCGAGTTTTTTCAAGAAAAAAGTTACAGATTTGGAATAATCCAAAAATGTAAAAAAATCGGCCGAGTTTTTTCAAGAAAAAAGTTACAGATTTGGAATAATCCAAAAATGTAAAAAAAAATCGGCCCGAGATTTTTCAAAAAAAAGTTACAGATTTGGAATAATCCAAAAATGTAAAAAAAAAATCGGCCCGAGATTTTTCAAAAAAAAAAGTTACAGATTTGGAATAATCCAAAAAATGTAAAAAAAAATCGGCCCGAGTTTTTCAAAAAAAAGTTACAGATTTGGAATAATCCAAAAATGTAAAAAAAATCGGCCCGAGTTTTTCAAAAAAAAAAATTACAGATTTGGAATAATCCAAAAAATGTAAAAAAAAAATCGGCCGAGTTTTTTCAAGAAAAAAGTTACAGATTTGGAATAATCCAAAAATGTAAAAAAAAATCGGCCGAGTTTTTTCAAGAAAAAAGTTACAGATTTGGAATAATCCAAAAATGTAAAAAAAATCGGCCCGAGATTTTTCAAAAAAAAAGTTACAGATTTGGAATAATCCAAAAATGTAAAAAAAAAATCGGCCCGAGATTTTTCAAAAAAAAGTTACAGATTTGGAATAATCCAAAAATGTAAAAAAAAAAATCGGCCCGAGATTTTTCAAAAAAAAAAGTTACAGATTTGGAATAATCCAAAAAATGTAAAAAAAAAAATCGGCCCGAGATTTTTCAAAAAAAAGTTACAGATTTGGAATAATCCAAAAATGTAAAAAAAAATCGGCCCGAGATTTTTCAAAAAAAAAAAGTTACAGATTTGGAATTATCCAAAAATGTAAAAAAAAAATCGGCCGAGTTTTTTCAAGAAAAAAGTTACAGATTTGGAATAATCCAAAAATGTAAAAAAAAATCGGCCCGAGATTTTTCAAAAAAAAAAGTTACAGATTTGGAATAATCCAAAAATGTAAAAAAAAATCGGCCCGAGATTTTTCAAAAAAAAAAAAGTTACAGATTTGGAATTATCCAAAAATGTAAAAAAAAATCGGCCGAGTTTTTTCAAGAAAAAAGTTACAGAACGAAAAAAAGATTGTAGAAGTTTTTTTTCGGAAAATTTATCGATGACGTCATCCATGGCAAAATTAGGAAGCCTTCCAGATTTTGCCATGAGTTATTTTTTGATAAAAAAACTTGAAATTTTCTATAAATTTGATTGTAATTCGTTGGAATAATCCAAAAATCTTACGAGTACATTAAATTCAAAAAAAATAATTTTTTGATTTTCATCCTGAATTCAAGAAAAATCGGCCCGAGTTTTTTCAAAAAAGAAGTTACAGATTTGGAATAATCCAAAAATGTAAAAAAAAATCGGCCCGAGTTTTTTCAAGAAAAATCGGCCCGAGTTTTTTCAAGAAAAAAGTTACAGAACGAAAAAAAAGATTGAAGAAGTTTTTTTTCGGAAAATTTATCGATGACGTCACCCATGGCAAAATTAGGAAGCCTTCCTGATTTTGCCACGAGTCATTTTTTGATAAAAAAATTTGAAATTTTCTATAAATTTGATTGTGAGTCAATGTTCTGTGGACAATAATCACAGAAAAAAGTGAAACGGAAATAAATGAGAAGACTGTTACGCCTGGGGGCTAACAGCCCCTATCTTTCGATTAAAAATCCCAAATACAAAATCACTTCAAATATACAATTTTTGAAAGAAAGTCATTTTTCATACATATATTTATTCAAATAAATCAATCTCATTTACTTTTTCAGTGTTAATGAAGAAAGTGGTGAAGAGAGAGGGCCAACGTTTGTTGCCGATGAAACATCGGAAGAAAAAGAAGAAGAAGAACCAGCACTTCAACAACCACCACCACCACGACAATCGGTATGGGTTTTTTTGGGGAGGGGTGGGGGAGGGATTTTAGAATTTTTTGCGGAGGGCTGAAGAATGGATTTTTCTGGTAAAATTTTGAAGTATTTCGTGAGAAATTTCAGAATTTCGAAGACTTTTGATTCTAGGAGCATGAAAAATCAAATTTTTCATGAAGTTTTACACCGGAAATCAATGAAAATTCAAGAATTGTTGAATTTATTGAGTTCCAACCGACATTCAAATTTTTATCACAAAAAATTTGACCAAAAAAACAATGATTTTCTATAATTCTTGCCGCAGAAATATGCAAAGTTTCCAATTTTTATTGAAAAAAAACCCGGTTTTAAAAATCCCAGATACAAAATCACTTCAAATAGACAATTTTTGAAAAAGAGTCATTTTTCATATATTTATTCAAATAAATCAATCTCATTTACTTTTTCAGTGTGCATGATGAAAGTGACGAAGAGAGAGGGGCGACTTTTGTTGCCGACGAAACATCGGAAGAAAAAGAAGAAGAGCAAATACGACCATGCTCACTTCCACCACAACAACCACCACGGCAATCGGTATGGGTTTTTTTGGGGAGGGGTGGGGGAGGGATTTTAGAATTTTTGCGGAGGGCTGGAGAATGGATTTTTCTGGTAAAATTTTGAAGTATTTCGTGAGAAATTTCAGAATTTCGAAGACTTTTGATTCTAGGAGCATGAAAAATCAAATTTTTCATGAAGTTTTACACCGGAAATCAATGAAAATTCAAGAATTGTTGAATTTATTGAGTTCCAACCGACATTCAAATTTTTATCACAAAAAATTTGACCAAAAAAACAATGATTTTCTATAATTCTTGCCGCAGAAATATGCAAAGTTTCCAATTTTTATTGAAAAAAAAACCCGGTTTTAAAAATCCCAGATACAAAATCACTTCAAATAGACAATTTTTGAAAAAGAGTCATTTTTCATATATTTATTCAAATAAATCAATCTCATTTACTTTTTCAGTGTGCATGATGAAAGTGACGAAGAGAGAGGGGCGACTTTTGTTGCCGACGAAACATCGGAAGAAAAAGAAGAAGAGCAAATACGACCATGCTCACTTCCACCACAACAACCACCACGGCAATCGGTATGGGTTTTTTTGGGGAGGGGTGGGGGAGGGATTTTAGAATTTTTGCGGAGGGCTGGAGAATGGATTTTTCTGGTAAAATTTTGAAGTATTTCGTGAGAAATTTCAGAATTTCGAAGACTTTTGATTCTAGGAGCATGAAAAATCAAATTTTTCATGAAGTTTTACACCGGAAATCAATGAAAATTCAAGAATTGTTGAATTTATTGAGTTCCAACCGACATTCAAATTTTTATCACAAAAAATTTGACCAAAAAAACAATGATTTTCTATAATTCTTGCCGCAGAAATATGCAAAGTTTCCAATTTTTATTGAAAAAAACCCGGTTTTAAAAATCCCAGATACAAAATCACTTCAAATAGACAATTTTTGAAAAAGAGTCATTTTTCATATATTTATTCAAATAAATCAATCTCATTTACTTTTTCAGTGTGCATGATGAAAGTGACGAAGAGAGAGGGGCAACTTTTGTTGCCGACGAAACATCGGAAGAAGAAAAAGAAGAACCAGCACTTCAACAACCACCACCACAATCGGTATGGGTTTTTTTGGGGAGGGAAGGTTTGGAAGGTTTATCTCAAACTGAGCAATTTGTGAAAGCTGCACAAAAACCACAGCCAATTGCAAAATTCGGTCAAGAACTTTTTCTTGATTTTTATTTTGTGAAACTCTTCAAACCTCTCGAGGGAACTTTGATCAAACAACTTCGATCGAATGGAGATTTCAATAGAACAACAAATAATGATAGCATTATACAATCATTTAAGGAATTGATTAAACGGCAAGATGAGGAGATTGCGATTTTGAAGGCGGATGCGAAGAGGGTGAATTTGGAGATGGAGAAATTGAAAAACAATAATAATGAAAATGAGGAGAACTATGAGAAAGAGGTTGAGGATTTGCGAGAGAAATTGGAGAAAACATGTGGAATTCATGTGCAACTGGGACAATTGCCGAATGGAGCGGAGGTTGGAATTGCGCAATTGCAGCAGCAAATTGGCGAACTTGAGCAACAATTGGGATATCAGGCTTTTGAACAACAATCACAAACGGTGAGATTTTTTGCGGGAAAAATTGTAATTTTTGAACAAAAATGCAAAAAATTGACCGGAATTTGCTGAATCCGAGTTTTTTGGTCAATTTTTGACTTGAAAAATGCACCAATTTGTTTTTTTGGTCAAACATAGACCAGAATTTGCTCAATTCGAGTTTTTTAGCCAAATTTTGAACAAAATTGAGTTCACAAATTCTGGTGCCAAGCACAAAATTTTTACAGTTTCAAATTAGGGCGGGAAAAATCTTGGATTAAAATTTGAAACTGATTTTAAGGTCATTCTGAAAATGATCTGAAACATGAAAAAAATTAAGGGAAATCTAAATCGTTCGACCAAAAATATGAAAATAGATTTAATAATTTGTTGGCACGTTTACGTGAAAAATCCAACAAAAATGAACCATTTCAAATTTTATCAATTCGAAAAATGGTTGGTTTCGAGTGATGTGAGTTTAAATTTACCTGAAAATCTTTTTTTGGTGGACTATGACGTGGAAAGTGGATTTTTTTTTCAAAATTTTCAAATTACGGCGGGAAAAATCTTGGATTAAAATTTGAAACTCATTTTAAGGTTATTCTGAAAATGATCTGAAACATGAAAAAATTAAAGGAAATCTAAATAGTTCGACCAAAAATATGAAAATTTGGCTGAAAAGCACTAAAAATCGTAAAAGTTATCTTAAAGAAATTGTGTTCTTCTGATAAAAATGTGTCAATCCTGTTTTTTTTGCAGAACCGAATCAAACATCTGGAGGAAAAATTAATGGAGGCCCACCGAACTATTGATATTCTGCAAAATTGCTTGAACGAAAAAACGGCGGAAGCGATTGAAAACAAGGATATCGCTTATGGATTCAAATTTGAGTATGATTATATGGTGGAACAGAATCGAATAAAAGAAGAAATAATCGAGCAAATGGAAAGACAAAAGGAAAGGTTCGTTTTTCTGGGAATTTTGGAGGGAGAGTAGATGGTAAATAACACATTTTTTGTTGTCGAAAATTTCGGAATTCTGAACACTGTATCTTCAGAATTGGATAGAAAATTTTTATTTGGAATCTGTAATCTAGATGAAAACTTCTTTCGATTAAAAATCCCAAATACAAAATCACTTCAAATAGACAATTTTTGAAAAAAAGTCATTTTTCATATATTTATTCAAATAAATCAATCTCATTTACTTTTTCAGTGTGCATGATGGAAGTGACGAAGAAAGAGGGGCAACTTTTGTTGCCGAAGAAACATCGGAAGAAAAAGAAGAAGAACCAGCACTTCAACAACCACCACCACCACCACAATCGGTATGGGTTTTTTTGGGGAGGGGTGGGGGAGGGATTTTAGAATTTTTTGCGGAGGGCTGAAGAATGGATTTTTCTGGTGAAATTTTAAAGTATTTCGTGAGAAATTTCAGAATTTCGAAGACTTTTGATTCTAGGAGCATGAAAAATCAAATTTTTCATGAAGTTTTACACCGGAAATCAATGAAAATTCAAGAATTGTTAAATTTTGAATTTATTGAGTTCCAACCGACATTCAAATATTTATCACAAAAAATTTGACCAAAAAAATATGAGTTTCTATAATTCTTGCCTTAGAAATATGCAAAGTTTCTAATTTTTATTTTAAAAAAAACCCGGTTTGATATCGGAATTCATCGAATTGCTCATATTAAAAAATTTATTTAGAAATTTAAACCTGACTTTTCCTCTGAAAAAAAAGTATACTAAATTTAATTTTGAAAAATTATTCTAAAGAATTCTAGAGTTTTGAGCTGACTATTCAAAAACGGTAAATTTTTCTTAATTTGAAACGAATTCAATTTTAGACTTGAAATTATTTTCAAAAAAAAAATTTTCCACCTTCTCCAAAATCGTATTCTTTCCAGAAATCAATCGAACAGTCATTATTGACAAAAACACATTTATCGCCAATCGAGACCAATTTGATTGATCTTATGAATGGTGATTATGAATTTGTGTCTGTAGCCGACAGAGTGAGTGAATTTTGTAGTGTCTCAAATGAAAAAACGAGAAAATGCAAAATGTGAATGAATCTGGAAACAACAATCACTTTTTTCCAGTTTCGTCTGTGTGAATATGTCGCAACTTCTGCTCAAATATCAACATCAACAATACAATTTCGCAAGCAAAATGTGAGACGAAAATTGGGAAAAATTTGATCACAGTAAGATTTATCCATCTTTTGATTTGCGAAGAAAAAACTCTGTATGTATTTTTTCTATTCACCAAAATCACAAATTGTCGCATGCATTTTTGTGAATAGAAAAATTTGAAAAAAACTTATTTCTTCTGTTTTTTTTTCGCAAATGCATTAGAAACTAACCCTTTAGAGAAAATTCATTCTTATTTTTCAGAAGCTCAATTACTATTTCTTATACAATTCTATCGACAATGAAATTCGAATTGAGTTGGAAAGATTGGATTATTCAAAAATTGCGCTTCAATCGGCATGTTTCGCTGCAAAAAGAAGAAATCGCGGCGAAACTCTTGCGATTCTCCGGAAACCTATAAATGAGAATATCATGATTGATGTAAGTTTAATTATCTTTTCAGCTACAAATTTAATATAAACATTTATTTCAGCTGCTCAAAAGAGTCAAAGAAGATGAAGAAATTAAGAAAAATTAAAAAAGATAACAACTTCATAATTTCTCTTATGCATTTCACTGTTTAATAATTGTGATTTTTTGTCTCTCTTTTTGGAATAAAATTTCTATTTTTTGAGCATTTTTGGAATTTTTTTGCCACGTGGATTTTCGTGAAGTACTGTATATGATTTTTTTTTGCTTAGTTTCTTCTCAGGAAATTTTAGGAACAGTATTTTCGCACTCGTGGAATTATGTCTTGGAGAGAAAAATTGATAGAAAGAAGGTTTTTTGTTCTAGAACCTATTTTTAGCTAAAAATTTCAATTCCCAGCTAAAAATTTGGGTATAGCTTCCGCATCCCAGCCAATTTCGCTTTAAAATTCCAATTTTTTCCAAATTCGCATATGGGAGCTGGAAATAGATGTTTCTAGATTGAAAAATCACGAGCTGAGATGTACTTCTCTGACATTTTTTGAAGACTGAAAATCGGAGTCTGATTTTTGGAGCTACTCCAACTTTCCGATTTATTCATCCATAATGTTTTGATGGCTAAGAATGAGAATATGATTTTTTTGGTCATTTTCCACATGGCATTTTCGGAGTATTGTAGATGATTTTTGATGATTTTTCGCGCCAAAAGATTTCATCGATTGGTTTTCTCAAGTTCTTCGATCACAACTTCAATTATTAACAAAAAAAAACAGTCAAATATTTGGTTGTTTGAAGAAATTTACTCATTATATATCACAAATTATAATTTCTTGTTTTTTATTTATTTTTTCTTTTTGAAAATCTGAAAAGCTAAGCTCCGCCCACATATCTGTGCGGAAAAAGATGGGCGGAGCCAAATTGCTCGATTACAATTTTACATTGACTCGGTAGTGAAAAAACCCCTGTGCCACTGGAAAAAACAGATTTCTCGCATTTATTTTCAAATGACAAAAACAGCATGTGCGCTCTATTGCTTCGTTGTGTGCAAACTCTTTCGAAAATCCCGTCGGCTGAGCGATTTCAAATACAATTATTTTGTTTTTTTCACTTTTGCCAGAATCAAAATTTTTTCTTGATTTTCATTATGAAAGAATAACAAACTCATTTTCTGTTCATTTCTAGGTGCTCTTGTGTCTTTAATGTTTTTCAAATCCAATTTTTTGGGCTTGACCTAAAAAAAATAAAAATCGTGACATTTAATAATTTGTTGGCACGTTTACGTGAAAAATCCAACAAAAATGAACCATTTCAAATTTTATCAATTCGAAAAAATGGTTGGTTTCGAGTGATGTGAGTTTCGTTGGAAAAACTGAGTCAGAATTAGTGTAGATCATCCACAAATAATTTAAATGACTTCTGAATATTGTGAATTAAACATCCAGTTAGTTTCGATCAGCACCTGGTTTACTAATCTACAGTATCCGGGTTGTTTATCTCAAGTATTCGGGTTTCTAATCTACAGTAGCCGGGTTTCTAATCTACAGTATTCGGGTCACTAATCTCAAGTGGTCGGGTCGCTGATCTACAGTACCTGGGTTGCTAATCTACGGTACTTCGGTTGCTCATCTACAGTATCTTGGCTAGTTGTCGCGACATCGGCTCAGAGTAAAAAAAAACCTAGTGGGGGCAAAAACAATGTGCTCCTGTGAGGACATGAAAAAATATTGATGGGAAAAACACTTTTTCCACTGTGGGAAAAAATTAGTTTTGTGCACTCGACACAATACATTTTCACGCGTTTTGCGCCCCCACGATAAAAAAATGGATTTTTTTGATGCGAAAAATGGGGTGAGGGCGTAAAACGTATTATCAACGTCCGAGTACCTGGCACCAAAATGAGAAAATAAATTCAAAAACCCGTTTTCGCGGGGATACCGTACACACAAGCACGCCCCTCTTTTCGGGGATACCGTTGGGTAAATCGGTGCGCCTTTATTTCACAAGCACGCCTTGGATACGTCTCTTTTTATCGCTTTTGCGTAAAAAAACAAAAAAATTTAAGGTAAGACTTTTCATCGCAGTTGGGTAAATCAACCGGTGCGCCTTTATTTCAATCGATTTTTTTTTCATTTGTTTTTTACGCAAAACCGGCGCCGTTTAACTTTGCATTTTTAATAATTACCTGATACGTCTAAAACTGAGTAAAATTCACATAGCTATTTATCTTCGAATTATTTTTGATGATGGTTTGAAGAAGTTGAAACTATTGCAGCTGTTGCTAAGCATGCCATCGGCATGTGTTCAGTGGAATCCGGTTGATTTTCGGCGAAATTGGCGAAGATCCGGTTGATTTTGGCGGAAATCCTGAAAATCATGATTTTTCAATGAAAATTCGACTGAAAAGTCTTACCTTCTTTCTCCAGATGTCGTATGCTGCCTAAATTTAAATAGCTGTAATACTCGACGTATCCAAGTTAAACGCCGGTTTTGCGTAAAAAACAAAAAAAAATCGATTGAAAGGTAAAGGCGCACCGATTTACCCAACTGCGATATCTCGCAGCGAATTTCCATTGAGAAATCATGAGGGAGCGTGCTTGTGTGTGTGTACGGTATCCCCGCGAAAACGGGTTTTGAATTTATTTTCTCATTTTGGATCTTCAGCCACTCGCCGTTGAAAATCAACCGGTGTTTCATCGAAATGTAGTATGTTCAAATAAAAGAGCTGCATAAAATCAATATTTTTATATTAATTTATTTCACGTGCACGTGTGACGTGGCAGGTAGCGGCGTAGAATGTTCATTTTTCGTTTTCTGTTTTTTGTGTGTGCAGTTTTCAGGTTTTTGTTAGGTGTTTTGAAATTCGGGAATTTCGCCGTTATTGCTCAACATTTTTCATTAGGTTTTCTTCGGGTCAATTTCCTAGGGAATTATTTTAGCTGTGTATTTAGCAATTGCTCAACATTGTTTTGTCATTTGTGTTCTAATTGATTAGTGTAACTTTTCAGAATATGTTTGTTTATAATTGCATTCACATAAATTTCTATTATAAAGTCACGCAAATTCACACGTACATTTAAACCAGCAAAATCTTGCACCTTTATCCTTCGAATTTTATTGTTTTGATAGTTTGGCGAAACTTGATGATTTTTGCAGGCAAACCGCCAAATAGTTGAACTTCCATTGCATGAGTGTTGTAAGCAGTGGACAATTCTTCGATTCCACCGGACCCTTCAAACGAATTTGTCGCCACAAATCGATGGAAGCCGGTTGATTTTCGGCGAATTTGTTGAGCAGAATCGATCCGAATTTTGGAAATGGCGGAAATTCAGCTACCTCCAAAAATTCCCAATTTTGCTCGAAGAAAATTATGCCCTATGAAATAATCTAAACTAGTGAGTGGGTGGGAGATGTCGTATGTGCTGCAAAAAATAAAATCGATAAATAGCTAGTAATACTCGACATTCACAAATTAAGCACAAACGCCGGTTTTGCGTAAAAAACAAAAAAAAATCGATTGAAATAAAAAGGCGCTGATTTACCCAACTGCGATATCTCGCAGCGAAAAAAATTAGAGGGCGAATGCTTGTGTGTATTATGTAAAATTTGGCTGTATCCCCGCGAAAACGGGTTTTTTCTGATAATTTATTTTCTCATTTTGGTGCCAAACCACTTTGACGTTGATAATGCTGTTACGAAATGTAGTAAAAAAAAGAATAAATAAAAGAGATAAAAAGAATCAATATTTTTATATATTAATTTATTTCACGTGCGTGTGACGTGGCAGAGGTGGCGGCATGAGACGCCTATCTTTTTTCGTTTTTCTGTCAATTTTTTTTTGTGTGTGCAGTTGTCTGCAGTTTTTGTTAGGTGTTTTGTGCGTTGCCACATTGATTAGGAAACGGTTTTCATTAGGTTTTCTTCGGGTCAATTTCCTAGGTTATTTTAGCTGTGTTTTAGCAATTGTAAATTGTTTTGTCTTTGTGTTCTAATTGTGTAGAGTGTAACTTTTTGTATTTTTAGTTTTTTGCTTCAATAAATTTCTATTATAAAAAAGTCGCAACCACACGTACATTTAGCAAACAAATCAATCTTTTGAAATTTACCTGAAAATCTTGTTTTGATGGTGGGAAACTTGGATTTTTTCAGGCAAACCGCTTCTTCGAACTCCATTGAAACATCGGAAGAAAACAGAAAGAAGGACAATTCTTCCGACCATGGACTCCTTCCACCACAACGCCACCACAAATCGGTATGGGTTTTTTTGGGGAGGGGGGTGGGGGGGGGAGGATTTATAGAATTTTGCGGAGGACTGAAGAATCCGATTTTCTGGTAAAATTTTGGAAATATTTCGTGAGAGAATTTCAGAATTTGGAAATTTGGGATTCCACCTCCAAAAATTCCCAATTGTTGCTCGAAGAAAGTTTGCCATCGCAATTAATAGTGAGTGGGTGGGAGATTTTGGCGCAAAAAAACATAAATTTTTATAAAAAAGTTGAATTCACAAATTCTGGTGTAAGCACAAAATTTTTTACAGTTTCAAATTACTTGCCGCAGAAATATGCAAAGTCTTGAATTAAAATTTGAAACTGATTTTAAGGTCATTCTGATCGAAAATGATCTGAAACATGAAAAAAATTAAGGAAATCTAAATCGTTCGACCAAAAATATGAAAATTTGGCTGAAAAGCACTAAAAATCGTAAAAGTTAGCTTTTGAAAAATTCTAGAGTTTTTCTGACTATTCCAAAAACGTGTCAATTTTATCTTAATTTGAAACGAATTCAATTTTGAGACTTAGATCAATTGTTCAAAAAGAATTAATGGAAGCACATCGGACTATTCCAGATATTCTGCAAAATTGTTTGAACGAAAAAACGGCGATTTATCGCAATCGAAAATAAGGATTGATGCATTATGACTGGTGATTCAAATTTTTGTCTGTAGTGACAGGGTGATGAATTTGTGGTTGAAGAATCGAAAAAACGACGAAAATACGAAATCATCGAGCAATTGGAAAGGCAAAATGAAAAGTTCGTTTTTCTGGGAATTTTGGAGGAAAGTAGGGGTGCAACTTCTGTCGAAAATTTCAACAATAATTTCTCAAGCAAAATTTCGAAGCTGAACACTGTATCTTCAGAATTGGATAGAAATTTATTTTTATTTGGAATCTGTAAAAACTCTAGATGAAAACTTCTTTCGATTAAAAATCCCAGAATACAAAATCACTTCAATAGCATTAATTTGTTAGAAAAAAAAAAAAGTCATTTCTTCTGTTTATATTGTATTTTCGCAAATGCATTAGAAACTAACCCTTTCGAAAAATCTCATTTACTTTTTCAGAAATTGAATTATTACTTCATGATGCAAAGGAAGTGACAGAAGAGAGAGGGCCAACGTTGGATTTGCCGATGAAACATCGGAAGAAAAAGAAGAAGAGACGACAAATACGACCATGCTCACTTCCACCACAACAACCTACCACAATCGGTATGATGATTGAGGTAAGTTTTATTTTTTTGCGGAGGACTGACAAATTTAGGATTATAAACATTTATTTCGGAGGACTGCTCAAAATGGATTTGTCAAAGAAGTATTTCGTGAAGAAATTTCAAGAATTTCGAAGACTTTTTGATTCTAGGAGCATGAAAAATCAAATCTTCATAATTTTTCTCTTATGAAATTTCACTGAAAATTCAAGAATTGTTGAATTTTGAGTTTTTTTGAGTTCCAAGCGACATTCAAATTTTTATCACAAAAAGTTTGGAAATTTTTTTTGACCACGTGGATTTTCGTGATAATATGTATAAGATTTTTTGCTTAAAGTTTCTTCTCAGGAAATTTTAGAAAACAGAATTTTCGCATCTCGTGGAATTATGTCTTGGGTGCTCATAATAAAAAAGGTTTTAGAAATTTAAACCTGACGCTTTTTCCTCTGAAAAAAAAGTATTCCGTTCCCAGCTAATTTAATTTTGAAAATAGCTTCCACATCCCAGAGTTTTGAGCTGACTATTCAAAAACGGTAAATTTTTCTTAATTTGAAACGAATTCAATTTTAGACTTGAAATTATTTTTCAAGTGAAAAAAAAAAATTTTCCACCTTCTCCAAAATCATATCTTTGAGACCAAATCAATCGAACAATTTATTTTCATTTTTTTTTAAAAAACACATTTATCGCCAATCGAGACCAATTTGATTGATCTTATGAATAGTGATTATGAATTTTTGTCTGTAGCTGACAGGGTGAGTGCCCAATTTTGTGGTGTCTCAAATGAAAAAACGAGAAAATACCCGCAAAATGTGAATGAATCTGGAAACAACAATCACTTTTTTCCAGGTTCGTTTTGTGTGAAAATGTTGTAACGGGAACCCCCGGTTCTGCGAAAATTTCAACAATAATTTCTCAAGCAAAATGTGACCAAGGTCGAAAATTTTCAGAAGCAATTTGATCAAATGATAAGATTTATCCATCTTTTGATTTGCGAAGAAAAAACTCTGTATGTATTTTTTTCACCAAAATCATTCACCAATATTGTCGCATGCATTTTTGTGAATAGAAAAATTTTAGAAAAGCATGAACTTGCTATTTTTCACCATTCTGTTTTTTCGCAAATGCATTGAAACTAACCCTTTCGAGAAAATTCCACAATTTTCAGATTGAGTATTTTTACTTCATGACTTGAAAGCGAATGAAAAACGTAATGAATATGCGAAAATTGAGTTGAACAAAAATCAAAATCGATTGCAACAAGACAAGAAGCAAATCGGCGAATTGTATTTGTCCGGGAGACTTTGAAGAATATGATGAACGAGTGTACGAATACACTACAGCTATGCATTCTGAAACCTATAAACGATTGATGATTGCACATCGGAATTATAGCTGCTCAATACCTAAACACTTTATTATCGTTGCTCAAAGAGTCAAAGAAGATGAAGAAATAAGAAAATTGAAAAAGATAACAACTTCATAATTTCTCTTATGCATTTCACTGTTTCCCAATAATTGTGATTTTTGTGAACATCTCTCTTTTTGGAATAAAATTTCTATTTTTTGAGCATTTTTTCAAATTTTTTTGTCATCCACGTGGATTTTCGTCGAAGTACTGTATATGATTTTTTTTTGCTTAGTTTCTTCTCCAGAAATTTTAGGAACAGAATTTTCGCACTCATTGGAATTATGTCTTGGAGAGAAAAATTGATGGAGAAAAGAAGGTTTTTGTTCCTAGAACCCCTATTTTTAGCTAAAAAATTTCAAATTCCCAGCTAAAAATTTGAACATTCACTAGCTTCCACATCCCAGCCAATTTCGCTTTAAAATTCCAATTTTTTCCAAATTCGCATATAGGGGCTGGAAATAGATCATGTTTCGAGTGAAAAAAGATAAATTTTCTGAGAACTTCTGAAATAGCGTCTAATGAGAAACTAATTCGCGAAAATTCAGAATTTATTTGATTTTTCTTTTAAATTTTAAATAGAAAATCTTGAAAACTCTGCATTAGTGATTAGTTATTTCGGGTTTTGGTCTAATTTAACGGAGATGCATTAGCTATGCCCAATTTCATCTGAATCCCAACCTTTAGTGAAAAAAAATTGAATCCGATAGAAACACGCTGAAAAAAACTGAATGCACTAAACAGCAAACACTTCGCGCAAACCGTACAGTACTTTCCGGGAAAATTGTAACGGGAACCCCGGTGTTTTTTGGGTCAAATCAGGGATTCGGATTTTCCCTGGGAAGCTATTTCTGATGTGATTGAACCAAATTTTTTATTCTCACAAGGTCGTTCCGTTCAAACTTCCCAAAACTTAAATTTTTTCCCAATTTTTGATGAACTTCCCAAGTTAATTTTGCTTTTTCCCAATGATTTTTATGACACAACGCCGGATTTAGCACAACTCTATTGATTATTCTTTGATCATTATGATGACCCGCTCGGATTTTTCGTGGACACTTCTGACCAGCTCCCACCGGAGCAGACTTCAACAACTCCTGTTTTCTGTGATTCTTTGTTATTTTCTATGAGTTTGCAATAAGATGAAAAAATCCACAATTTGATAGTATTAATATCAAAAAGAACTGAATGAAAAACGTAACAATAACAAAATTTAACAAAAACAAAACGATTAACAAGACAAGTGGTTCAAAAATTGTATTTTGACAAATGGGAGACGGATTGATGAACGAGTGTAAGAACATACACAACTATGCATATCTGAAACTTTTGAGATTGAGAGATGGCACATCGGAAATGCTCAAAATCACTCACCTATACACTTTTTGTAATATCATAGTTTTTGACAATTTCAAAAGGTCCATTTTTATCATAGCTTGTCCTTTTTCCATTGTTCCGTTTTGGCCACTTAAATTCTGTGTGGAACTTCCTTCATTTTTTGTCGAACATCCTTCTTGCCGAACAACCGAATTTGAAGGCTGCAAAACGTTTGGCCGATTGGGTTTCGTTCTTTGTCAGTTTCCCTGGAATTGATTCAAGAAGAAGATGATTCGATACTGTCATCCAAAACGTGCACTCGTGGCAGAAAAAATCCAAAGTCGGTGGTGCCGAACTGAATACTTTTTTGGTTTTGTTTATAGAGCACAATTTTTTAAAATAACTCACTTTTAATGTCTTGAGTAAAGATGCACAAAATAATCGGACCCAGATGGAAACAAAAAGCGGTTTCCAATGCATTGTAGCGAATTGATCACAAGCATTACAAAACAAGTTTCCATGTTCTCTTTTCCGAACATACGCCACATTTCGAACATTCACTTATCCATCATACAAGTCGAGAACCATTGTCTCTGAAAAATAAAATAAATTGATCGACAGAGGTGTATTTGGAATCTCTGCAGTGATGGCTTATTTTCAAAAAGCGTCTCCATGACTCTAATTCGCGAAAAATCTTGGTTCAATGTTATAAATTAGGTTAATGTAACTTCACTGAAGTTGGTGCTCCGCCAGTGAACTTTTGCTTGGTTTAGTAAATAAAGGGTTCGGGTTTTTAGTCTAAAAATATTAGATGAAATTGCCCATTACTCACCGCACAATAATCATCTGAAAGAGCGACTTTGTTGTGATCAACCAATAAAATTGAATATCCGATAGAAAAGCGCTCGATAAAAAATCTCGCATGCATTCAGCTTGTTTCACACAACACTGTGACTTTTGCAGACGAAGCAATTGAATAGTATTGTGTTTTTCGGGGATTTCGGATGTTGTTTTATTCAAATCAGGGATTCGGATTTTCGGCTGGGCTGAAAACATCATCCGTTCTGATGTGATTGAACCAATTTCAATATTCTCATCATGAACGGTCGTCTCCGTTGTCGTAACATCTCCATCAAAACTTGATTCGACCATTTTTCTGGTATTGAACATCACTGAGTTGTCAGAACTTGATGAACTTTCTCCGCTGTAGGGTTTTCTTCATTTTGTCTCGCGAATGATTTGATTCAAAGATCAACGCCGGATTTAGCACAGGACTCTAGAAAGATTATTCTTTGATCATTATGATGACTCCGCTCGGATACTTTTCGTAAGGACACTTCTGACCAGCTCCCACCGGAGCAGACTTCAACAACTCCTTTCTTTCTGTGATTTCTTTCCGTTTTTCAGTTCGAGTTGCTGGCAATTGACGAATCGATCAGTTTCACTCAAAACTGTTCGTACAATAATCTGAATAATAAGAACTGAATGATTACATTCATATTTGAAAATAAAAACTAACAAATGTTCACATAATGAATGTGGCGAAAATCGGTCCATTTTTTGACAAATGAGAGGAGACTCTTCAGTGAAAACCGTGACAAATCTTGCAGATGATGATAATTCCGGGTTTTCAATGTGCCAAATAGGCAAAGTCCAATTTGAATAACATTTACTTTAAGAAGTCGTTTTGTAACATCATATTTTCACATAGTTTTTTGACCAGAATCGACAAATCGAGACCTGAAATTAAAAAAGAATATTAGTAATGAAAATGAAATATTTGGTAATTCTCACCGGCATAGGCAAATCCAGAGCATCGGTATCTGTTATAGCTATCAAAGTAGCTTCGAGTAGCTTTTTTTATTCAGAAATGCCTTCTGCCGAAAAAAAATCTCTGCGCGGGAGAAGCGAGATTCATTTGGCAAAATGCGGCACGTTTTTTATTTCGAGAAATTATTATTTCTATTCTCCTGGAAATTGTATGAAGAAGAATTTGAAATGAAAAGCGCGAAAATGATTCAAATCATGTGAAACGTGCACTCGTGGCAGAAAAAATCAGAATTTTATGCCTGTGGATCTATATTTTTTGTAATTGACTTTTAAAATATATCACGCCCCACTTGAAAATCTGAAATGATATTGGCCAATTCCAAAATAATACTTCTGATTCATGGAACCCTAGTCGCCCGGCATACGCTGTTAATTGTACCGAATCAATTTCGATGACTCCGAAAACTTCAAGAAACGAATCGGCCCATCATCAAACAAACTTTAATGATCGATACAAGTCGAGAACCGTCTCTGAAAATAAACTCAACTTTCGGAATCAAGTTTTGGAATCCTAGAATAGCTATTATAAACTGCTTATTGTTAGCTATAAAAAATTAGGGTTATACTACTGCTCTGAAAAACAAAGTGAATTCAATGTTAAATATTAGGTTAATATAATTGTTCGTCTCACTGAAAGGGTTGGTGCTCCGCCAGTAGCGGGTAATTTTGCGTTTCGCGTAAATTTGAATAGGAATGCGTGCTCCTGGAAGGTTTAAGTTTTAGAAAAAAAATGGCATCATGAAGTATAAATTCAGGTGACCATCATGTTTTTCCTCACCCAAAACACAAGCGAGTTAAAACCTACGAAATAAAACATGCACCCGCTGAGGCGCTCAGTGCAGTTGTTTTTGAATTTTCGTGTGTGTGTTTGCACACAACACTGTGACGCCTTTTTGCAGACGATTTTTTCACCAGGAAAGCACCAACGCCTTGAATAGTGATTTTTTTCTTTATTTAGACTTACTGAAGGTTTGAATAGTCGAGAAGAAACTGAGCTATGTCCGCTTGTGAAACTTGTTTTGCAGCAGAACCCCGTTTTGAAGTCGCAATTCATTTGCTCCGTTCTATTCGTCGAGTTCATGTACAAAGTCACCATTCCACAATATATTTTTGAATAAACCGAGCATCCATCAAACAACATTTTACCATTTTTCTTCAAATATGAATACCAATCATCATTCAATCCACCATCCAAATACAAACTTTCTATCTTCTCTGTCAACATTTCATCAATGTTCCGCAATCTGCAAAAGTCCCATGATCCAGTTCCCAGAAGGACTCTGAAAAATATTTGAGTGATAGTTCATCAAGCTAGAAGTAAAAGTTTTACCATCGATCCCATTAAAATGTCGACTAGTTCTTTTCCGTTTTTTCCAAATTTGTCTTTGATGTTGCTGGCAATGTGGACTTGGCAGCGCAACAATGGGCATTGTAAAATCTGTCAATACATAAAGGTGAATTTTTATTTCCTTTTTAAAAATTGAATAAATAAAACTAACTTGTGAATAAATTCAAAACGATTTTTTCTCCATCCCAACGGTCAAACTGGAAATTCTTTTGAAATCTCCCATTTTGCTGGCCAAGAACTTGGCAAAAAGCCTCGTGATTACAAGCTCCTTATTTGAATGAATTGACCAACTTCATCAATATTTTCACATTTTTTCCAGATGATGATGTTCTATAAATCAATGCATTTTAATAAAAAAGAAAAGGAATTTATCAATTTTAAAATTATAAACTCACACAAAAAGGAGTGGTAATTCCACCGGCAGCTATGTTTGAAACCAGAGGCATATCCGGTATCTGTGTATGTTGAATCAAGTTCAGCGCCAGATTTCAAAACTTTTCCGTCGGGTGATTTGCAAAAAGTGTATCTGAATGACGAAAGTGAAAAGTTGTGATGAATGATGATTCAATTTTATTTTCCTATTTTCTAAGTAACATTGAAAAAAAGAGAATTTCTTTTTTCTGACGTTCATTCAAAAACTCACTCAAATATTCGATTTTTGAAGTTTCCGGAAGACGCGAATATTTGACAGCTTCTTCACGTTGTAGATGAATTTCAGCCTCAGATGGGCATAACGCCATATAAATCGACAGTGCATCTTTTGAAAAATCCATAAATCTGATACCACGCAAATTATTGTGTGTTACATATAGTTCGTAGACTGAGGTTTTGAAGCGTTTTGCTTGAAATGCGGAGAGATCTTGCGGTTTACTGACCATTTTTGGACCCGTTTTCTTTTTAACCACGGTTTTGTGAGTGATCGATTGGTTTGTGATTTGACTCATTGAAAATACTTTTTCCTTCTTCAGCCATTCGTTTATATGCTCCAATTTTCGTAGACCCATTCAGATTATTTCGAATATATTGAACATCAGTCGCTGAAAATCTTCATTGAAATCCAAGACTATGATATCACAACTTACGAGACGCTCTACTTGTTTTACAACTCGTAAAATCAACCGAACCACTCTCTAAAATATAAATCGACACCACTCGTGTATTCTTCTCATCTCTCAAAACGAACTTGAAAAACTTCAAATTCTCCACTTGTCTGCATTTTACAAATCCCATCTTTTCGCCCTCAACAGTGAAAGTTCCGTATTGTGAAATATTTTCTTCTTCAGATCTGAAATATTTTCAAACTTTGTGATATATATTAGAAATTGTTTCAGAATTGGTGGTTGAAAATTGCAAAGTTCTGACAGCAAATGAAAACATTTACCGTGCCAATCCCAATCATCTGGGGGGTATTTCTTCTCGGACAAATGAGCAGGCATTTCGAAAGAGATCCGTCGTTTTTGAATGATTTCAACCAAATCGATCGGCTTGATCAAGCGAATCATTTCAATATGTCTAAAAATGAATTTTTAATGCTTTATTTTTTACAATTTAACTTACTTTTTGTTCCATTCTTCGACAAAATCAATTTCTGGGAAAATCATTGTGATTTTCGTTTTGATTTTTCCACATCAAACAGCGACAAATCAGCCTCTTTTTTTGTAATCAATAAAAGCTTCCAATACGGTATTCACACGTGTTCTCACCACGATGCGCTGTTTTCTTGACTGAGTATTAAACGTTTGCGTGTTGTAGTCAATTTGTGTTAATTTTCGATTTTTTTGATTTGCGAGCTTCAACAAGTGCAAGAGAATAACATTTTTGTTGCCATTTTGGTTGTCATAATATTGTTAGAAGCGTTGTTCGAAATTTATGACATCTTGTGTTGTTGGTGACTGATGAACTGTTGACTTTTCATTCTTCAAGATTTTTGCTTCATGAATATGATTGATTTCGCCTTTTTCAATATTCATCAAAGATGTGTTGTTTTTCATAGTCATAAATCATATAATCCCAGCCGAAACTTTACGAAATACTCCTGAAACACTCTTTTCACTTTTTATTCTCTAGAAAAAATTCACAAACCTTTTCACGAAGCAATTCTTCGCTAAATTTTATACAAAAAGGTTACGAGTAGATTCTGTCGAGATACTTTTGTTCAACGAAAATTATAAGTTTCAACTTGCAGCGACACCCGGGTTGTGCACTTTGTCGTGGCCGTGTTTGCACAAAACATTCGTTGACGCGCATCTATTTTTATTTCTCGCCTCAAAATAGTTATTATCTCCGTTTTTTATCGTTTAATTGTTTTTCTGAACAGTCTTTCTTCTAATTATAAGTTTCAATTGTTTCAGATGCCTACAATCAGCCCAACAAAAAATTCCGGCTTCGAAACTTCAAAACAATTGATTTGGGAAACTGAAAATCTCGTTGAAACTTGAGGATTTGTCGAACAATTGCCGGAAAAGGAATTGGCTTTTGGGCGAGGATATCAAAAAACCCGTAGAAGATGTCAAATTCCACGTAGATCACAAAACCAAAATGGCCAAAGATATGTACAAAATGGAGGTGTTACTGATGAATCATCGCTCCGAAAATATTTCCCTGATTTTTTTTGATTTGCCACGTCGTTTGTTGGTTCGATCAAGTTAGATGGAATCGAGCGAATTTACAAGAGAAAATGATGAAAGTTTAGGATTGAGATATTGACCGAATTATTGGCTGGAACTTGTAAAGGAATGGAGATTTGAGAGGAGAAAATGAGAAATATGAATTGTTGGCTGGAACTTGTAAAGGAATGGAGATTTAGGAGAGGAGAATTGTAATCTAAAATCCTTCTGCGTCGTTGTTAGAAGTCGAAGTGGTTCATCTAATGTACACCGAATTCGAATTTTATGTGGTATTTTCTGTAAGTGTTTTTTTTGAAAAAAAAAACTAGTCAAAATCAGAAAATTTCGAACTTTTAGAGCGTAACCAAGTTTTTTTTTTCAATTCATCTGCCTTTTTAATAATCGGCAAATATTTTAAATGTCAAAAAGAAATCCACAGTCGGAAGTGGGATAAAATATCCCCACATTTCTCACATGATATTTTTCTAAACGAAAAGTTTCTGCTTAATTTAATTCTGAGAAAATCAACTAGTGAATAAATTTTTTGTATGAAGACCTAGAAATCCAAAATTACATATTTTCAGCCAGCGAAATTTGCTATCCGAAATCAAAAGAACAGGGGGATTAACTAAATTGGGATGTTATTGTATTCTTTAAAAATAAATCTTCAATTTTGATTATTATTTGTTTGATTCTTTTTGGACAGGCAATTCCGGTTTGACCTTCTCGTTTCGATCAACTTATACACAATTGGTCTCTTGTTTTCGAGTTTCTCATCAACCATTATTTCTTTGCGACTATTTTTAGTTTTTTTCACATTGCGGAAGTGCTTAATTTCAGGCTCTGGTGGGAAAATAGGCTTAAATGTTGATTAACTTACAAAAAAGGAAAAACAATGGATATTTTGAGAAAAAAAACGAAAATTTGGGAAAAAAAAAGAAAAAATAGGAAAAAAACTTGGGAAAAAGCAAAATTAACTTGGGAAAAAAAATTGGGAAAAAATTTAATTTGGGAAGTTTGAAAACGACCTTGTGAAAAAAATTTGGGAAAAATAGCTTGGGAAAAAAAATTGACCGTTTTTGAAAAGAACCTAGAGGTTTTCCTATGAATTATTATCCCGGGAACCCTGAGAATCTCACAAACTTCACTTTACGGGCGGAGAATACTAGTCACCCCATATAAAAAACGCGCACAAAATACATGAATCTTAAATGTCCGCAATGACACCATGACGCAATCGTGCACACTGGCCTTGCGCTCTGTTGCACACTCATTTTTAATTTTCTTTTTTTTTCCTTGGGGACCCGAATTGAGTTTTCTAACCTAAATATTATTTGTTAAGGAACCGCATGCATTTTTTTCGTTTTTAACTGTGATTTTAGCTCGGGAACCCTGAAAATCTCTCACCATCAAAGTAAATTAATCAGATTCAAAGGGACACCCTAAATAACACTTTCTGCGCAGGGCCCCCCTAGTTTTTTGTGAGAAAATCAGGTTTGAAATGTAGAATTTCGGGATATCTCACTTCACACGCATTTGTAAACAGACAGGAAACCCTTCGCCACGAGTTTCCTGCCTGTTTTGGGTACTTTTTTGACAAGAACCTGTGTGTTTTACTGAAAACCTGCGGGTTTCTTGCAAGATTCTTGCAGGTTTTCAGCGTCGCCAGGTTTCTCGTCTGTTTACAAATGCGTGTGCTTTCAGGCGCCTACGCAATAATTTCCTGGGTTTAGATTTTTTTTTTTTAATTTTCGTATTTTTTTTTTACAGTTTCTCAAGAGATCCTTCTATAATAATCTTTATTTTCAGAAAAAATGGATGCATTACTAGTATGTGGATGTGACAGTGAAATATCAGATGATAATATTGTTATGAAAGATATAGCTAATGGAAAATCGGCGTCGTTGAATATTAATTCTTGGTTAGTGGTAAGTTTTTTAAAACTAAATTTCGAAAAATATATTTAAAAAATATAAAAATAGGTTGCACCAAGTGTTGAAACTCGCAGTGATATTCGACAAGTTGCAATGGTTGACAGAAAAACGAAAGAAATCAAATCGAATCCAACATTTGAAGAGCTTTTCAAACCAGAAAGTGGACCTGTCAACCCATTCAAAACTGAAAAACAAAGAGCACAGAAAAATACACTCACGGGATATGTCGAACCTGCACATTTTTAATCAATTCCATTTTGACAAAGAAGTTTTGATACTCTTGGATATGCGAGAAATCCGGTCAACTGCAGATCGAGGGAACGGAATTCGTTGGAGACACCAAAAAAGCCATACATCAGTATCCCCGGATTTTCGTCCGGAGGAGTCACATTCTAACTTTGGAAAAAAAAGGGTGAGGAGACCAAGCTAACTTTTTGAAAAACAAGAACCTGTGTGTTTTACTGAAAACCTGCGGGTTTCTTGCAAAATTCTTGCAGGTTTTCAGCGTCGCCAGGTTTTCTCGTCTGTTTACAAATGCGTGTGTGATATTGATGGATATACTGGACCATGGTCAAAATATGAGAATGAGAAAACAATTGCAAAACCAACGCCAGAATTGCAAAAAGACATGGATGCATTTGTGAAAAACAAGCAAGAAAAGAGTCGACGATATAAGAAAGAGCAAAAAGATAATGAACAAAAGGCTGAAGAATCTTCTGTAAGTTTTTTTTCGCTCATTACTTTAAAAAATTATACAATTTTTAGTCAAAGACGCTGAAGACTATCAAAGAGCTTTACTGGTGTCAATCTTCGAAGAAGACTATGTTCCTGAAAGATGTTATATTCCAAACAAAAACTCTCCTACAGAGGACATTCGAAAGGCCTGTTCGAGAAGTCGCTTTCAACAACGATGCAACACAATTCCTATCAGCCAGTTTTGATAGATATGTAAAATTATGGGACACTGAAACCGAACAAGTTGTAAATCGCTTCCCACACAGGACACGTTCCATATTGTCTGAAATATCATCCAGATGATGATAAAAATCACATGTTTTTGGTTGGTATGCAAAATAAGAAGATTTGGACATATTGGCGAAGTGATTCCCGTTGATGAACAAGATGTTGGTTATGAAGTTGAGGTGAAAGAAGATTTGGAGTGTATTCAAGTTGCGGAAGAATATTATGGAGGTTAGTTAGAATTGTTTTTATAATTAATCACAAATGTTCATGTTCAGGAGTTCCTTCAACTTCCAGAAGGTCAATATTTCGATTATGTTCCAGTTGATGGTGATAGATTGATTGATGAAGAAGGTTCTGAATTCATTTTCGACTCGGCCACACAATCCTATCAACAGATGCAGAAGAACAATGTTGTGTAGATTGAGCGGACTTGGATGTTTGAGAACTTCGAGGGTTTCATATTCAGCTGCGCCAAATTATGAATTCAGTGAGTTTTAAACCTAACTAGGAATAGTTTTGGGAAAATCATTTGAATTTGAAAAAATAATATCAAAAAAAAAAAAAATATATATACATAATTTGCAGAAGACGAAATCAAAGGAGCAGCAAGAAAAATTGGTGGACCGACAAAATGTGCCAAAAGGTCTAGGAAAAGTTCAGAGTTGGAAAAAACCGTGAGTTCCTATTTTCATTTACATAGATACCCCATAAGCCTATGTTGCTTTAAAACTTTGCAACTCCATTGATTCGTAAAAAATCTGAAGATTCGAGCGCTGATGGTCTGATGTGATGTGATAAATAAATTTTTTGGCGCGAAATTTCAAAAAAATATTTTTAACGTGACCCAAAATTTTTTTTTGTTTGCAAAAAAAAAATTGGGCCACCAAATCAGTTCTCGGGGCTATTGTTTTTATTTTTGGGGCGAAGAAGTCGTGATTTTTAAAAGAGATCGAGAAATATAATCGCGTAGATAACGTAAATAATAATTATGGCGGGAAGAGGTGAGTTGAGGGGGGTACTGTAGAATACTGTAGGAATAATTTTGAATACTGTAGATCTACTGGATCTTCAAGTTCCCAAAACTCTCTGAAAATTGCAGTTTCAGCAAGCAAAGAAGCATCATCAATGAATCAAGCTGGAAGAGTTTCAAGAATGGATACAATCGGAACTGACACTCCAATAAGTAAAGCGAAAAATGCGAGAGCAAGAAAAGGCTCCGCAACTCCAGCAATGAAACAGAAGAAAAATAAAACAAGTGTGGTTGAAGATCCGGATGATGATAATGGAAATACTGGAAATACTGGAAATAAAAAACAGAATTTAACGAAAAAACGAAAAAAAGGTCCGCTAGATTGTGGGGATAATATCGAATTATCAAATGTGACTTATCAAATTCAAAAACTTATTCGAAATCCAGGGCCGAATGCGGAATATTATTTGACTGAGGGAACTGCTGAGAAGGTTTTGAGATTGAGTCCGAAGGGAAAGAATAAACTGAAATATTGTTTTGAGATTTTGAAGAAGGTTCGAGAGACGAATACGGCTAGTGAGAAATGGTTTTATTTGGATGCGGTGGATTCGGGACAATATCAGAAGTTTGATGTGGGTTTGGACTCCAAACCCTGGAGCAGCGGAAAATATTTTTGAATTTTTGAATTTCGCGCAAAAAAAATTCGAATATTTTTGAGAGAAATTTTGATTCCTCAAAAATCCACGTGGCAGGGATTTTTCAAACAATTTTTGAATTTAACAAACTCGCGCCAAAACCAATATTTAAAATTTTTAGGATTTTTGAAAATCAAAAATTTTTGGAATTGTAAATTTTGATCGCCTGAAATTCTCTGAAAATTTTCTGAATTTCCACGTGGCAATCAAAAAAAATTCGAAACAAAAACAAAATTTTTGAAAACTTTCAGAAAAAGATGAAAATTTGAAGAAAAAAGGCTTAAAAATGCCACGTGGATTTTTTTCGCGAAATGTGAGAATTCAAAAATTTAGGAAAAACTGCCACGTGGATTTTTTCCACGAAATTTGAGATTTCAAAAATTCACAAAAAATTTTTTTTTAGAAAAATATGCCACGTGGATTTCTTGGCGGGAAATTTGAGAATTCAAAAATTTAGGAAAAAATTTGGTGCTTCAAAAATAAATGCCACCTGGATTTTTTTAAATCTCAAATTTTCGAATTGGGTTTCAAAATCCATGTGGATTTCTTAGCGCGAAATTTGAAAATTCAAAAATATTGGTTTTGATGCAGAATTTAAGAAAAATAGCCTAAAAATGCCACGTGGAGTTATTGGCGCGAAGTTTTAAAAATTCAAAAATTCAAAAATTTAGGAAAAAATTTGGTGCTTAAAAATAAATGCCACCTGGATTTTTTAAATCTCAAATTTTTCGAATTGGGTTTCAAAATCCACGTGGATTTTCAGCACGAAATTTGAAAATGAAAAAATTTAGGAAAAAATGCCACGTGGATTTTTTTTCGCGAAAAATTTCAAAAATTAAAACATTTTTGTCAAAATTTGCCACGTGGATTTCTTGCCTTCAAATTTTTCCCTGCATATTTGAATTTTTGAATTTCGCGGCAAAATCAATCATTTTAAAGCTCAAAAAAATGCCACGTGGATTTCTCGGCCCCCAAAACTTCAAAAAACTAAACTTTTTGCAGTACCTAATCACATCTTCCTACAACATTCAACTCTACGAAGTGCACCGCGCTTTGAATCGAGTTTTCACCCGTGATTGTGTCATGAACATCGCCTACCAAACCCTCGAATCAATCCGCGCACTTCACAATGCTGGATTCATCAATCGAAACATCAAACCAGCTTCATTCTCGATCGGACCAACATCTAAAGATCATCTAGTTTGTATGTCAGATTTTCGAATCACTCGAAAACATATCGACGAAGCAACACAGAAGCCGCGAGCAATTCGCCCAAAAATTGAATATATCGGAACTGCACGATATGCGAGTATTTCCAGCTTGAAAGGTTTGGAACAGGGAAGACGAGATGATTTGGAAGCGTGGCTTTATATGATCTTATGATCTGTTTGACTATAATTCGGCGGTTCCGTGGAAAAAGCAAACGAAGAAGGAGAATTTGGCGATGAAGGAGAGATTGATGCAACATGCGGAGCCTGTGGTTTATTTGGTGGTTCCCGAAGGTTTTAAGAAGATTGTTGATTTGTTGTATCCGATGACGTATGAAAGTGCACCGGATTATAGGTAATTTCTGAAATTTGCGATGCACACAAAACGCGTCAACCTCAAAGCACTGGCGCGTTTGTGTGTGCGACGCATTTTTGGTATTTTTTTCTTTTCCGGGTTTTTGAACCAAATTGCGCGTTTTTTTTGTTTTCTAGGGTTTCTAGTAGATTTTGAGTCCTAAACTATGATTTGCAATCAATAAATGATTGTATTTATCGATTTTTTGTTTGTAAAAAATGGTTTTCATCTAATTTTTCGTTGGATATTGAAAAAGTGTCATTTTCATAGTTTTTGAGGTGAAATCTTAGGTTTAAATCGTATTCATGGGATAGAGGATTCAAATGATATAAATTTCATGATTTTACCTTACAATTAGCCATAAGTGGTTTAGCGTTTAAATGTCGCTAAATCGCTTATGGCTAAGGTAAAGCCTGAAATTTATATGAAAATTTCAATGTCCACCTAAAAATTGGATGAAAACCACGCTTTACAAACGAAAAATCGATCATTTATCGATCGCAAATCACATTTTATGACACAAAATCGACAAAAACGAGAAAATTCGATTTGAAAACCCGCCACACACACACAAACACAAATACGTCAGTGCTTTGAGGTTGACGCGTTTTGTGTGCATTTCGAAAATTTCAATTTTCCAGTAAAATCTTCGAAATCCTCGATGAAATTTGTCAAACCAACAATTTCGACAAAACCAAATGCGATTGGGTCGGCAAATTCAACAACAGTATGGTCTCCCAAAAAGCCATCGATGACGCCGCCAACAAAACCGAGGATAATATTTGCTCCGGAGCCGATGATTTTGAGTTTGGCCCCAAAAAGAAGCCGAAAATCACCAGGAAAATGATGAATCCAGGAGATCAGATCAAAAATGGGAGATTTGTGTGGAAAATTGTGAATTTGTTGGGATCTGGAGGTTTTGGTGATGTTTATCGGGTTTTTAGTGAGACAGACAAGAAGAAGAAGAATTATGCGTTGAAGACTGAAAGTGAGGATGGGAAGAAGATGATGCTTCGCCTGAAGGTTGAGATGCAAGTGTTGATGGCAATTCAGGATGATAGAAAGACGAATAAGAAAGCGGTCAATAAACATTTTGTGGAATTTGTTGATCGCGGAAAATCGGATGAACTCAAGTGCAAATTTATTGTGATGAGTATTGTTGGACCGTCGTTGGATGATTGTCGAAAAAAGTATCGAGTTGATTTGTCGCATAGATCTACGCCCTATAATATTGCTATTCAGACGTTGGAGGTATAGTGGAATTTGAAAAAATTCAAATTTCGCGCCGAAAAAATCGTCCACGTGTAATTCTGTATTCTCGTAGTTTTCAAACGTTTTCAAACACGTGGAATTGCGGAGTGTTGTATTGTGGAATTCAAAAAAAATGTGGCCGCGTAAATATTTCGAAAATTAATGAATGTCTGTGTGTGCGTGCGCGGTCGCGTTGCGGTCGGATCAATATTTTTTGTCCATTTTTTCTCTGGAAAATGTGGTTTTTTACATAAAACGGTCATTTTTTGCCCAAATAAATTAAATTGTGAATATTTTCACCATTTTTCGGCAAAAAATGAGCGTTTTGTGTAAAAAACCGCATTTTCCAAAGGAAAATGGACAAAAAATATTGATTTTATTTTGACCGCAACGCGACCGCGCGCGCACACAGGCATTCGTTAATTTTCGAAATATTTACGAGGGACTACCTGCCGCTGTTTTTTGAATTCCACAATACAACACTCCGCAATTCCACGTGTTTGAAAACGTTTGAAAACTACGAGAATACGGAATTCCACATGGCTGTTTTTTGTGGCGCGAAATTTGAAAACTACGAGAATACGGAATTACACGTGGTTGTTTTTGTCGCGCGAAATTTGAAAAAAAATACAACACTCTGCAATTCCACGTGGATTTTGTGGCGCTAAATTTGAAAACATTTGAAAGCTACATCACTCCGCAATTCCACGTGTTTTTTTTTATGGCGCGAAATTTGAAAACATTTGAGAATTACGAAAATACGGAATTCCACGTGGCTGTTTTGTGGCGCGAAATTTGAAAATTACGAGAATACGGAATTACACGTGGTTTTTTATGGCGCGAAATTTGAAAATTTGAAAATTTAAAAATTTTCCAGGCAGTCCGTGATCTTCACAACCTCGGATTCCTCCATCGCGACATCAAACCGGCAAATTTTGCAGTTGGAATCGGCTCCGAAGAACCTGTCGTCTACATGCTTGACTTTGGAATTTGTCGAATGTTCATCGATCCGAAGACCAAAATCCACAGAGCGCCCCGAAAAAAGGTGAAATTCCTCGGAACTCTTCGATTCGCCTCACGTGCTTGTCTCAAATGCGAAGATCAGGGACGAAAAGATGATTTGGAGTGTTGGTTGTATATGGTTTTTGATATTTTGGATGAGGATGATGGAATACCGTGGAAGAATATTTCGGATAGGGATAAGATTTTGGGAGTGAAGATGGCGTTTTTCTTGATGAAGTGTGAGTTTTTTGGAGAGAAATCTGTGTTTTTCAAAGTTTCATTTTCAATTTCAAATGACCTAAAATTACATTTTGAAAAAAAAAACAAAAAAGTTTTATTTTGAAGCATTTTCTTTATGAAAATGACTTGAAATTGAATTTTTATGAAAGTTTGAAAAACATTTGAATTTCAATTTTTGGCGCGAAAATTTTATTTTGAAGCATTTTATTTATAAAAATAAGAAGAAATTAATTTTTTAAAATGAAATTTTGAAAAAATTCAAATTTTTAAATGAATTCTTTTCGCGCCAAAACCAAAAATTTTGAATTTGATTTTCTAAATTTGAAGCTGATCTGAAAATCTTGAATTTTTTTCTCAATTTCGCGCCACAAATAAATAGAGAAGAGAAACCAGAGAAGCAGAGAAAATTAGAGATTAGAGAAACCAGACACAACTAGAGACGCAGACATTCAAGAGAGTCAGAGAAAAAATTGTATTTTTTCTGAAGTTTTGATAAACTTAAAAATCTAGAAATTTTTTATTTTGAAAAAAATGGTCTAATTTCGAATGACTTGAATTTAAATTTTTATAAAATTTTGAGAAAAAATTTCAAATTTAAATTATAGAGCTCCTCAGAGATTCGCTGGCCAGCTCGCCACCAGATCGCTGCGGCCACTTGGAAACCGCATGGCCGCCAGGTCGCCTTGAGTTTTCCGGCCACGTGGCCTGTGTGTTTGAAATTCTGGAAAGCTGGCAAGACAGTGGTTTGTACTCAAAACACTGCATTTTCTACTGTTTTTTTCACTTCATAAGGTTTCAAGTGCTGCGAAAAAACAGAAAATGAGCCAAATTTTTCGAAAATGCCTCAATTCACAAGTTTTTCAGACATTTTCATGAAAATTCATTTTGACGCGGCGAAGTGGCCACCACGTGGTAGCCATGTGGCCGTGACCTAGCCAGAGCCTGGCCACCTTGCCAGCGAAAAAAACCGGGCGACATGGTTTCCATGTGGTTCCCAGGTCAGCCAGCCTCCCCACCTGGTGGCGAGCTGGCCAGCGAATCTCTGAGCAATTTTTGGCACCAAAAATGAAATTTTCAAAAATTTTCTGTTTTGAAAAAAAAATGATCTAATTTCAAACCTGAATTTAAATTTTTATAAAATTTCGAAAAAAAAATTTGCAAATTTATATTATAGAGCTCAATTTTTGGCACCAAAATTGAAATTTTCAAAAAAAATTTTGTTGAAAAAAATGATCTAATTTTATCAATTTCAAATTAAAATTTGACAAAATTTCAAAAATTGTGACACGTGGCAAAGTTCAAATTTAGCGCTAAAATTGAAATTTCAGGTTCAGAATAGCCTTATTAGAAGCTTCTGAAAATCTGGATTTTTTTTGAATTTCGCGTAAAAACTTTTGCCACGTGGCAATGAATTTTTCAAAATTTTCCAATATTTTTGTTGCAGTAAGCATTGTCTACGAAAACATCTCTCGTCAAATGAAAACCATTGTAAAATACGTGGATTCTCTCGAATATCAATCAACTCCCGACTACGAATACATTATCAAAAGTCTGTTGGCAGTCGCCGAACATTGTAAATGTCCAGTCAAAGATCGAAGAAAAGTTGAATGGGCGGGAAAATTGAGAAAAGAGGATTTGGAAGCAATCAAGAGATTTGATGAGAATAGCGATGATGAAAGTGAAGAATCGGCTGGATCTAATGAATCGGAATGAAATATTGATTGATTTTTTATTCATTATATACACGTTGAAAAGAGGAACAACAGCTACACACAGATTTTTTACTAACAAAAAATATGGCCTTTTATAGAAATCTGGGGGGCCTGAGAAGCCAAGTCGGGCCTAAGTGAAAAGATGAAAATGTTGTGAAATATTGCTTTAGTCTCGGAAGATGTTGTGATCTCTTTGGAATCGTTGAACTTCTTGATAGATCAGCTGCTTCCATTCCTGAAGTGTCTTGTCGGCGAAATCGATTTCTTGATCGTAGCGATTTTCGGAGGCCGGAGCGTTGACTTCGTCGTCCTGGAATTTGATTTTTTGCGCGTTTTTTGAGCCAAAATTCGGGAAAATCATGAAATTTTGAGTCTAGAAGCTAAAAATCATGAAAATTTGACCCTAAGAAGCTCGGCGGCGCGGTTTTGTGGGCGTGGCTTCGAAAAACATCGCAAATTTTGAAGCTAGAAGCTCTGCGGCACGGTTTTGTGGGCGTGGCTTGGAAAAACAGAGAAATTTTGAGCTCTAGAAGCCCTGCGGCACGGTTTTGTGGGCGTGGCTTATTTCGAAACTAGAAAATCATGAAATTTTGAGCCTACGGCACGGTTTTGTGGGCGTGGCTTGGAAAAACAGCGAAATTTTGAGCCTAGAAGCTCTGCGGCATGGTTTTGTGGGCGTGGCTTATTTAAAAACTAGAAAATCGTGAAATTTTGAGCCTGCGGCACGGTTTTGTGGGCGTGGCTTGGAAAAACAGCGAAATTTTGAGTCTAGAACCTCTGCGGCACGGTTTTGTGGGCGTGGCTTATATAGAAACTAGAAAAACAGCGAAATTTTGAGTCTAGAACCTCTGAGGCACGGTTTTGTGGGCGTGGCTTGGAAAAACAGCGAAATTTTGAGGCTAGAAGCTCTGCGGCACGGTTTTGTGGGCGTGGCTTATTTAGAAACTAGAAAATTATGAAATTTTGAGCCTGCGGCACGGTTTTGTGAGCGTGGCTTGGAAAAACAGCGAAATTTTGAGGCTAGAAGCTCTGCGGCACGGTTTTGTGGGCGTGGCTTGGAAAAACAGCGAAAATTTGGCCATAAGAAGCCCTGCGGCATGGTTTTGTGGGCGTGGCTTGGAAAAACAGCGAAAATTTGAGTCTAGAAGCTCTGCGGCACGGTTTTGTGGGCGTGGCTTGGAAAAACAGCGAAAATTTGAGTCTAGAAGCTCTGCGGCACGGTTTTGTGGGCGTGGCTTGGAAAAACGGCGAACATTTGAGTCTAGAATGCCTGCGGCACGGTTTTGTGGGCGTGGCTTGGAAAAACAGCGAAATTTTGAGTCTAGAAGCTCTGAGGCATGGTTTTGTGGGCGTGGCTTAGAAAAACAGCGAAATTTTGAGCCTGCGGCTCAGTTTTGTGGGCGTGGCTTATTTGGAAACTAGAAAATCATGAAATTTTGAGCCTGCGGCGCGGTTTTGTGGGCGTGGCTTGGGAAAACAGCGAAATGTTGAGACTAGAAGCAATGCGGCACGGTTTTGTGGGCGTGGCTTATGTAGAAACTAGGAAATCATGAAATTTTGAGCCTGCGGCGCGGTTTTGTGGGCGTGGCTTGGAAAAACGGCGAAAATTTGAGTCTAGAATGCCTGCGGCACGGTTTTGTGGGCGTGGCTTGGAAAAACAGCGAAATTTTGAGTCTAGAAGCTCTGAGGCATGGTTTTGTGGGCGTGGCTTAGAAAAACAGCGAAATTTTGAGCCTGCGGCTCAGTTTTGTGGGCGTGGCTTATTTGGAAACTAGAAAATCATGAAATTTTGAGCCTGCGGCGCGGTTTTGTGGGCGTGGCTTGGGAAAACAGCGAAATGTTGAGACTAGAAGCAATGCGGCACGGTTTTGTGGGCGTGGCTTATTTAGAAAATGAAAATAAACTTATTGAATTCCGAGAGAAATACACACAAATAGAATATGTGTGCGGTAGAGCGAACTTGGCTTTACAACAGAAAAAAAGGTTTTTTTCAAAAGTTAGCCTAACTTTGCTCAAAATCAACATTTCGGAACCTCTAAATTCGCTGAATATCAAAAAATTTGAAAAATTCAGATTTTTTGAGTTAGCAGAACTTTTCTTCAAGTTGAAAAGGTCGAAAAAAAACATTTTTTGACAAAAAAAAAACGTTTTTTTTATTATTTTTTTGCTCAATTTTTCACCCGGAAATAATAGGTTTCAAAAAATGTCTCAAAACATATCTGCACAGTCTCCTATTGCTCACCTTAAACCACAATTTAACATATGCATGATTCAACGCATCTTCCACCGAATATCTTCGATCCGGATTGATAATCAACATATTTTCCACCAAATTCCTTGCAACTTGCGCAGTTAGATGAACTCGTGGATTTTCGGTTTCGGTGAGGAAATTCGAGTCAGGAATAATCTCAGTCATTGGTTTCGGCGGTGCTCGAACCAAGGAGCGAACATACATTGCGGCTGATTGGCCGAGGCGATTTACGAATTCGTCGCTGGGTGTTCCCAAGACTGTGTAGATTTTTGTCCATTGATCGATTCTAGAACATTTTTGGTTAGCTTGGGATTTCCCCTGAATCAAAAAATTCAAAGTTTACCGATCTCTCCCTGGGAACAAAACCGAATGATTGATCATTTCCGCAAAAATACAACCAACTGACCAAATATCGACTTTTTCTGAATAGGCCAAGCCTAAAATCACTTCCGGTGCTCGATAATATCTTGTCACCACGTAATCCGACATTCGCATTGCGGTGTCCACGTTTTTCTTGCGGGCCAGGCCGAAATCCAGCACTTTTAACACGCATTTGTCGTTGACGACGATGTTGGAGGGCTTGAGGTCCTGAAATATTGGATTTAGTTTAGTTTAACTATAGTCTAGTTTGATGCAAAAATTCAGAACATTTTTATGAGTTTTCGCTGAAAAATGAGAGCCCGTTGAAAAAAATAAATTCAAAACACGCGCGCGTGCAACGTCAACGCGGAGTCTCGTTGTTTTCTTTTCATTTTTTTGCAATTTTTTTCCATTTTTCTGGGAAAATCTCAATTTATATGAAAAAAAGGAGAAATTTGTGTTTGCAACTTAAAAATTGAAAACTAGACTCTTTTTGGGTTTAAAATTCATGAAAAAAAAACAATCTTGATTTAACTCACCCTATGAATAACTCCCGAATTGTGCAAATGTTTAATAGCGCACAGCATTTGATAGACGAAAAATGACAGCGTTTTATGGTCCAACTTCAATTTGTGCACAACTTCGTGTAAATTGTGTGTCATCAATTCCATAACCAGATAAACTTCCTCGAAAGTGGCTAATGATGGATCGGGTGTGAAAGCGTTCAATAATCGGATGATCTAAAATCAGAAATTATTATTTTTATATAAAGTTATAAATAAAATATAAATATAAATATTTCCCTCGGGAAATTAAAAAAAAATATTTTTAGTATGCTGCACTGCACTTCAAGAGATCACACTCACATTTGGATGTTTGATGGTTGTCAATAGGATGAATTCACGATAGGCTCTTTTGGCGCTCATTGTCATTAGGAATGGTTGTTGCAGCTTTTTGATCGCCACTTTTTTGCCGGTTATTAGATCATCAGCGGAGCTGGAAATTTTGAATATTTGTGGGGAAAAATGGTTTGCATTGGGGCGCACTTGCTGTTTTTCCTCGTTTTGTGTTAATTTTGAGGTTTCTAGGCTTCAAAAAAATTTCAAAATTTATTTCGAGCTTGGAAATGATGAAGCGGAGCTGGAAAATGTTTTTTCAAATTTTTCAGAAAAAAATATTTTTGCATTGGGGCGCATTTGATGTTTTTCCTCGTTTTGTGTTAATTTTGAGGTCTTTAGGTTTCAAAACATTGTGGAAATGTGTTTTAAGTTTGGAAATGATGAAGCGGAGCTGGAAAATGTTCAAAATTTTACTGGAAAATTTTTTTTGCATTGGGGCGCACTTGCTGCTTCTTACCCACGTTTTGTGTTAATTTCGATGTTTCTAGGCTTCAAAAAAATTGTGAAAATTTATTTCGAGCTTGGAATTGATCACTGTGCCCAGAGAATGAAAAACGCGAAAAGCGCCACAAGGAGACTGACGCTTTTTGTGTAGTTTTTTTTTGTTTCGCTGGAGCGCACTTACTGATTACAAACATTTTGAATTTTTTGTTCAGAAAATTTCCATTTTTTTTGTTTTTTCGAAATTTAAAGAAAATGGGGTATTTTTTCGAAAAAAGTAACCAATGTGAACTGTAGAGGAGGATTAAAAGTACCTATTTCACTTAACCTCATTTCTTGTCTGTTTCTCATATCTCCAATCTTTTGCCTCAAAAATGATGATGCCAAGTTATCATTTTTCAAAATCCAACTATTTCAATCATAAATCTATAAATTTGAAATGAAAGTGATAAAAATTGATCTAATATTATAATTTGACTCGTAATACTGACTATTCACACTATTTTGAATGCATTGAATGCAAAAAGGAACCATTTCAGAATCTTACGGTTTTGTCTGAAATTTTGTTAGTTTTTAGTCAGTTAGTTGTGTTTAGTGATTTTCTAATGATATTTATAAATTTTAAACTCGTTTTTCGAATGATTTGACCTAAAATTAAATAAAAATCAGTCCTATAAATATCTAGGCACTTTATAAAACTCCTTCGTTTATCATTTCTTACTTTTTCAGAATGTTTTTCTAATTCTTACTTTCCTTTCTTCACTTTAACTTGTGAGGTTGATTTTTCAAATCTAGAAAATCCGATATTTCATCATTAGAGCTCTACTTTGACTATTTTTTCATTGTGAAACAAATTTCTTATTTATAACTATGAGAATCATCTATATTTTCCTTCAATTATGATAATTTTCACATTTTCATTCATTTTCATATGTTATTTTATGCTCCCAACTGTTAAAACAGTTCCTTTCCTTCTAAAATTGAATGAAAAACAAAAAGAAGGCGAGAGTGTGTGTGCGCTTCGAGGAGGGTGGATGAGAAAAAAAGAAAACAAGAGAGCGTGTGTTAACGAGAGAGTGGATGAGAAAACAAGAGAGGCAGCGAGAGAGTGCGAAAAAGAGTGGATGGCACCAGACACGTTGGCGCATTTCGCGTTCAGGGCACAGTGATTGATACAACGTGACATTTTCCATAAAAATTCCTTGATTTTCAATTTTCAAAAAACCCGGAAGCTGGGCGGCCGAGAAAAAATGGCCTAGGAACCGACAATTTTTCGGTCATCAATTTCTACAGGTTATCAGATCATCCGCGGAGCTCGAAAATGTGTTTTCAAAATTTCACAGGAAAACAAATTGTTTGCATTGGGGCGCATTTGCTGTTTTTCCTCGTTTTTTTATGTTTCTAGGCTTCAAAAAATTGTGAAAATTTATTTCGAGCTTGGAATTGATACAGCGTGACCTTCTGAGTCGCTTCCATACAAAAATCATATATTCCTGTCTTGAAATCAAGCTTGAAGCTTGATTTGAGGTTTCAAAAAACCCGGAAACTGGGCGGACGAGGAAACATGGCCTAGGAACCGACAATTTTTCTTTTTTTTTTCGTTTCGCGGTTTTTTTGCACTTTTCCTCCGCGGTTCACCTACTTATTCTATCCAATTTCAAGTAAGTTTATCAAATTTTCAAAACCTACACAACAGTTCCTTGTGCTCCAGCATTCAAAAACTCCAAATGAACATATCTCCTTGGGATTTTGAAAGTGCTTTCAGTCGTATTTGTGTCCTAAAATAGAAAATAGCTAAAAATGACATCATATTTCGAACTCACTCGAATATTAACTTGATAAAATTCATCTAAATTCATCGAATTTCCATTTGAAGGTGGATCAACTTCCATCTGAATTAATCGATTTCTCAAATAAGTATAATATTTTCTTATTATTATTATTATATAAAATGTATATGCACTTGTGTCAACAATAAGGGAAAAGAAAGAAAGAAAGAAAAATGAAGAAAGAGAAAAAGAGATGAAAATGAAAATATCTATGTTTGTTTTTTGGTGTTGAAGAATGATTTTAGTTTTTGAAAATGTGTGATTTTAACCATTTTCATTGATTGACAAAAAAATTATGTTTTGAAAAATTGAAAAATTTGGAAATTCATCAGTAGAGCGCATTTGAAAATTCAAGAAATTAGGTTTTTGTTAAAAATTCTATTGTATTCATAAAAAGTTGTGGAAAATATTCAACTATAAAAATGAAAATAAAAATAATAACAAAACGAACAAAAGTCGGTCGGGGAAGGGAAAATATAGTGAAAATAGAGAAAAAAACGAAAATTCGCTCTCTTCTCTCTCATTCATTTTTCACAAATTCGAGAGAGAGAGACGAGAGAGAAGAGACGCAGATGGTTAGAAGGTGTTCTTTTTCACCATGGAGATTTTTCTCGCTTTTCTTGCTTTTTGGTGACGAAAAACCTCGTTTTTCAATAAAAAAATCACCTAAAACCTGTGAAAATGCGAAAAAATCAATTTTTTTATCAATTCAACCGGGTTTTTCATGATAAGAACCAAAGGGTGACTCAATTTTTACGACGCTTTTTCGTTTCGAAATTTCAAATTGCACAAAAAAGGACTTTGAGTGGCGGATAATTTGTTTTTCAACAAAAAAAAAGTGAATGGCTTTAAAGCTTTTTCCCTCTCTTCTATAAGAGATTTTCATGTTTTTTGAGCAAGTGAGTTGAAATATTGGGTTTTAAGCTTATTCATAGGGTAGATAGGGCAAAGACAATTCGAATGATGTAAATTTTCATGATTTTACGTTACCTTAAGTGATTTAACGTCACTAAATCACTTAAGGTAACGTAAAATCATGAAAATTTACATCATTCGAATTGTCTTAGCCCTGTCTACCTAATGAATAAGCTTAAAACCCAATATTTCAACTCACTTGCTCAAAAAACATGGAAATGCCATTTAGTCGATGTTCGACTATAGAAGAGAGGAAATAACGTCGTCCAAATAACATTTTCATCTTTTTTGAGCAAGTGAGTTGAAATATTGGGTTTTAAGCTTATTCATAGGGTAGATAGGGCAAAGACAATTCGAATGATGTAAATTTTCATGATTTTACGTTACCTTAAGTGATTTAACGTCACTAAATCACTTAAGGTAACGTAAAATCATGAAAATTTACATCATTCGAATTGTCTTAGCCCTGTCTACCTAATGAATAAGCTTAAAACCCAATATTTCAACTCACTTGCTCAAAAAACATGGAAATGCCATTTAGTCGATGTTCGACTATAGAAGAGAGGAAATAACGTCGTCCAAATAACATTTTCATCTTTTTTGAGCAAGTGAGTTGAAATATTGGGTTTTAAGCTTATTTATAGGGTAGATAGGGCTAAGAAAATTCGAATGATATCAATTTTCATGACTTTACGTTAGCCGTGAGTGATTTACTGACTAAATCACTTACGGCTAACATAAAGTCATAAAAATTTACATCATTCGAATTGTCTTTGACGTATCTACCTTATGAATAAGCTTAAAACCTAGTATTTTAACTTACTTTCTAAAAATACATGAAAATATCGATTTTGGTGACCAATTTTTGACCAGAATCCATTTTTTTGGTCAAAAATTGACCAAATTTTGACAAAAAAAGTTTTCAACAATAAAAAACTCATGATTTTCAGACAATGCTGTTACTACGCGAATTTATGTCATGGACAGATTTCACAATCTTCGAATTATGGGTTTATTTCTCAACACTTCTCATCACAACAATTCTACTCGTCCTCAAATTGTACAAAATCTTCCAAATCTCATGTCTCGCCGTTTTCATGCCGCTTTTCTGCGGTTTCATTCTCAATTTATACTTTTTGTTTATTGTATTTGTGCGATGTTGGTTGGAATACAAGGCTTTTAAGGGACCATTTTCAAAGTGAGCGTTTTGGTTTTGAAAAAAAAATAAAAATCAGTGCAAGTTCGTCAGTTGCGTGCGGCTGCGCGTTGCGGTTTCCAGACCGCGACGCACAGCCGCACGCGACTCCAGAGGGAAAATCAAGTACAAAGCTCCTAAACTCGCCCAAAACATAGTTATGACGTGGCAAAATCGCCTTCGAATTCTGATTTCACAGCGTTTTTTAGCAAAGCAAAACGCTGTGAATTCAAAAATATTGATTTTTGCCACGTCATAACCAAATTGTGGGCGAGTTAGGGATTTTTGCTCTTAATTTTCTCTTGGGGTGTTTAGTTCGTCGTTCGCGTGCGGCCGTGCGTTGCGGTCGGGAAAAAATCAATATTTTTCCCGACCGCGACGCACAGCCGCACGCGACTGACCAACTAATGTTTTTTTCACTCATTCAACACATTTTTCAACTTCGACATTGAGAAAATATCGATTTTTAGCTGGAAACCGATGGTTTTTGGTGTAAAAATCATTATTTTCTCATTGGAGCGCATTTGCACCTCCAAATTCGATAATTTTTCGAATTCGGAGAAGTAAATACGCTCCAATGAGAAAATATCGATTTTTGGCTGGAAAACGATGGTTTTTGGTGTGAAAATCAATATTTTCTCATTGGAGCGCGCATTTGCACCTTCAAATTTGAATTCGGAGAAGTAAATGCGCTCTATGGAGTAAATGATTGATTTTTGGCTGGAAAGCTGAAATAAAATGTCAAAAAACTATATTTTTTTCCACAAATAAATGAAAAATATCTCAAAAAATAGGAAAAAAAGATAGTTTTTTGACATTTTTCCACACAAAAATGAATTCAAATTCAAAAAATCGCCAAAATTTCAGATTCATCGTAAATGGCATGCGACTCTGCCTATTGCTCAGCTTCACCTCAATGATTTATCGAAAAGTCGAAGGTTCAATCGAGACCAATATGCCAGAATTTAATACCGATTATGTTTTTGTATTTTTGCCAGTTTGGGTAACAATGTGCACATTATCGGTGCAAGTTTGTCGATCGACAAGTCATTAAAACATAAAAAAATTCATATAAAAAGTCTATTGCACAATTGATTCTGAAGATACCCATATTAACAAGAAGACTAAAAAAAACAAGTATAAAATAATTTTTAAAAAAATTAAATTAAAAATCACTTCGAAACAAATCGCTGAAAATGTCGATTTGCACTAGCCAGCGAATTTCGAGGTGGCTGAAGATCAGAAGCACGTGTAGATGTTATAACTGTTGAAGATGACGAAGATGTTGAGATCGAGGAAGAAGAAGTTGACGAAGATATTGATTGTTCGGTGTTTGGTGGATGTTGGCGACGGCGAGCAGCGCAGATCTCGTTGTCTGTTGAATCGTCGTGTCGCCAGATTGATTCGAGTTCGACTTCGTCGTCGATGTCTTCGGCGACGGCGAATGTGCCGGGTTCTGGAATTTTTTGATTTTTAGAATTCAGGATTTTTCTTCAAAGAAGCCACTGTATTTTTCAAATTCTAGATTTTAGTTGATCTTGTTAAATAAAAGATTTAAAAAAAACCGTGCCTCAAATTTGCTTACAGAAAAATGGGCGGAGCTTAATGTTAAAAACTATGCGGCTAAACTGCATAGAAAATGGGCGGAGCCTGATTTTCAAATATTAAAAAATTGAACTGAAGAAACCCTGCCGCAGAATTGCAAAAAAAAAATTGAGCGGAGCTTAATTTTCAAATATTAAGAATTTGAACTGAAAAAGCCTGCCCTAAAATTGCAAAAAAATGGGCGGAGCATAATTTTTGAATCTTGTTTAATTAATCTGGAAAAACCCTGCCTCGAATTTGCTTGCAGAGAAATGGGCGGAGCTTAATTTTCAAATATTAAGAAATTAAACTGAAAAAGCCTGCCTTAAAATTGCAAAGAAAGTGGGCGGAGCTTAATTTTCAAATATTTCAATTTTAAACAAATTTAACTGAAAAAAGCCTGCCCTAAAATTGCAGAAAAATGGGCGGAGCCTAGACTCCCATAAAAAAGAGCTAAAATTTTAGTTTCTAATTTTTTTGTAGATTTTCAGAATTATCTGAAAATTTTCAAATTTGAATTTTCAAAATTATCTAAAAATTTTCAATTTTCAGAATTCTATGAAAATTTTTAAATTTGAATTTTCAAAAATTTGAGTTTCAAAAATTTTCAGAATTAACTAAAAAATTTCAATTTTCAGAATTATCTGAAAATTTTCAAATTTGAATTTTCAAAAATTTTAGTTTCGCAAATTTTTTTGTAGATTTTCAGAACTATTTAAAATGTTCAATTTTCAATTTGAAGAATTATCTAAAAATTTTCAAATTTGAATTTTCAAAAACTTGAGTTTCCAAATTTTTTTTGTAGATTTTCAGAATTATCTAAAAAAAATTTTCAATTTTCAGAATTATCTGAAAATTTTCAAATTTGAATTTTCTTTTTTGTCTGAGTTTCCAAATTTTTTGTAAGATTTTCAGAATTATCTAAAAATTTTCAATTTTCAGAATTATCTAAAAAATTTTAAATTTGAATTTTAAAAAATTTAAGCTTCCAAAATTTTTTAAAGATTTTCAGAAACCTCAAATTCCACCTTTTTTCGTTGAAAATCTCGCACTTCTTCTCAAAAAAATTTCCATACTTTTTCCCCGCCCAAAAAAAGCGACTAAAAATTTGTATCTCATCGATTTTTTTGTATGTTCCAGAAAATTCCAAGTTTTTTCTGGAATTTTCTAGACTCTAATATTATATATATCTATAAATCTTTCTCAAAATACTAATTCAAAGCAAAAAAATAATAGAAAAACATTTTTTTTACCAAAAAAATTCCGAAAATGTCAAAAAACTCTATTTTTTTCATTTTCTGAATCGAAATTTTTGGTCAAAAAATGTTTTTCCTTATTTTTTTAATAACCCTAATAAATCCTTACCCCCATTATTAAATAAATCCTCCTCTTCTGTCAAATCTTCATCATCATTTGTCTCATAGGTTTCACTATCCGAACTGCTTGAACTTCTCTCCAAATCTTCCCTTCTGACTGGAATTTTCACTGATGTTTTCAATGCTTTCTCGAATTTCGAATTCATCAATTTCTCGATTTCCGCGCGATTTTTTTCCATTTCATTCTGAAAATTCTCGTTTTTCTAGTTTTTTTTTCTCCCAAAGATCATTTTGAATATCGAAAAACTTTATCCAACAGAAAATTGCCAAATTTCAAAATCCTCATTTTCAAAAATCTGATAAATATCACAAGAATGCACGTGTCTTCTACGATTTAGTACCTGTTCATCGGTCAATTCTTCGCACGATTCGCATTCCAAATATTTTTCTTCGCAGAAATCGCGACGCGAGACAACTTGTAGTTTTAGTGGCAGTTTTCGCATCCACATTTGGAAGTCGCGGCGAGAAATATCCACGTTTTGATTCAGCAGATTTTCGTCTTTCTCTAAAAATAGGAAATCAATAATTTGTGAAGTTTTTGAATATTTGGCTCATTTTTTGTGCTCTTCGAAGTGTCTTTCAGCAAAAAATGATGGACATATATAATTTTTTAAATTTTTTCACGCTGGAAAAGATCCCGAATTCAGTTTTTGCTGAAAAATTCACTGAAGAGCACAAAAATGAGCCAAAACTCAAGAATTTTCTGTAAATCGCGGTTTTGAGAGCCTATAACTCATGTTAGAGAAGATTTTATCAAAAACTGAATACAGGACGTTGACAAAATTTCCAAAAAATTCAGATGTCACAAAATTGTCAGGAAAAATTTTGTCAAAACCTTCTGAACAATCTCATGTACTCAATTTTTGATAAAATCATCTCTAACATGAGTTATAGGCACTCAAAAAACCGCGATTTTCAGAAAATTCTCGATTTTTGGCTCATTTTTGTGCTCTTCAGTGAATTTTTCAGCAAAAACTGAATTCGGGATCGATTTTGTAGCAGAAAATTTCATTGTTTCAATAAAATTCGAATATATTTAGCTTAACAAAAATTTTGAAACGGAAAATTTCTGTCAAGCTAATTACATCCAAATTTCATTGAAAAATTGAAATTTTCAGCTACAAAAGCCTTTTTAGATCGAGTATTTTCGTCAATTTTGAGATGAATATCGATTTTTTGAAAATTACGTGTTTTTTTTCAGCTTTCGCTAAACAACTCTCTGAAGAGCACAAAAATGAGCCAAAAATCGCGGTTTTGAGAGCCCATAACTCATGTTAGAGAAGATTTTATCAAAAACTGAATACATGTTGTTCAGAAGGGCCGAAAAAATTCAGATATGAGCCTATTTTCTGACATTTGTGAGCCAAAAAGGCAAAAATTGTCAGAAAATAGGCTCATTTCTTAATTTTTCGAAAAGTTTTGAAAACTTTGGTAAATCGATTCAGTTTTTCATAAAATCTTCTCTAACATGAGTCATAGGCTCTCAAAACTGCGATTTTTGGCTCATTTTTGTGCTCCTCAGAGAGTTGTTTAGCGAAAACTGAAATTGAACGAGTTACGATAACTTCCTGATTAAAAAAACACGTCATTTTCGATATTCATCTTAAAATTGACGAAAATACTCGCACAAAAAACTATTTTCTAGCAGAAAATTTAAATTTTTCAATAAAAAAAACTCACATATTCATCATTTTGTTGATTGCGATTCAAAATATACACACATCTCTGATTAATTCTCAACTCAATCTTCCTCTTCATCATTTCCAAACAAATATATGCAATATTCTTCGCATCATCCAAACCCGAATGTTTATTTCCCTGAAACTTCAAATCAAATTTCTCCAACATATTCTCGATTCCCGATTTGCCGTTGCCTTTTGCGATTCCATGAAATCGATCTTTAAAGATTTTTTTGATGTTGATAAAACTTCGGAAACATATGTGGCATTTTCATTCCGGCTAAAATGCATTGGAATTGCATGAATTTCCACATATCGTGAGGTCCGTCGGTGACAAAAGCGAATCGCACGCCTTTTTCACCGAGTCCAAATCTTCTCATCCAATCGTATAAAAGTTGAAGAGCTTCGCGGAAATATGGAGCTTTGTCGACGGTTTCTTGCGCGATTTCTAAACAGAAAAATTTTTTCTAGTATTTTTGACATCAAAAATTGCAGTTCCAATATAAAAACTGAAAAATTCACAGTTTTTTATTTTGGAAATCACGATTTTGACCAAAGAAAGCCTCCCATTTTCGAAAATTGCAATTTGCAAAACTCAACTTCTAATATGAGTTATGACGTTGCAAAATTTGGGACTTAAGAAGAACTTATGTAATTAAGCTTGCTGAACAACGCTATACTTTCAGATTTCCATGAAAATCATTTTTGAAGCCAGTTTTCAGCTCCTGAAGTCCCAATTTTAGGAGCTTAAAGGTTCTTGAATGATTTTCATGAAAATCTGAAAGTATAGAGTTGTTCAGCAAGCTCAATTACATAATTTCTCCTAAAGTCCCAGGTTTTGCCACGTCATAACTCATATTAGAAGTTGAGTTTTGCAAATTGCAATTTTTGAAAATGGGAGGTTTTCCTTGGTCAAAATCGTGATTTCCAAAATAAAAAATTGTGAATTTTACAGTTTTTGACCTTTAAAAACTGAAATTCAGATTTTTATTTCAAAATTGTACTCTGGCCAGCCACGGATTGCCCGAAATGTGTTTCTAATAGTTTTCGAGTCGCTGATCACGATCCCATTGTCAAAAATTACAAAACCCAACTTCTAATTTGAGTTTTTTTTTGCATTTCGAAAAATTGGGACTTCAACTACGTTCAAAGAGGATTTTTATGCAATCTTGAATTAAAATTTTTCACTGGACAAAAATGGTTGAAAATTCAAGGGAACTTTCGAATTTTCAACCATTTTTGTCCAGTGAAAAATGTAAATTCAGGATTGCATGAAAATCATCTTTGAAGTTAGTTAAAGTCCCAAAATTTCCAAATTTTGCCACTTACAAAAATAACTCATATTAGAAGTTGAGTTTTGCAATTTTTGACAATGGGATCATGATCAGCGACTCGAAAACTATTAGAAACACATTTCGGAAAATCTGTGGCTGGCCAAAGTACAATTTTGAAAAAAAATCTGAATTTCAGGTCAAAAACTGAAAAATGCACAGTTTTTATACTTAGCGTACAATTTTTTAATTTGGAAATCACGATTTTGATCAACACCGGTGGTGGATTTTGGCCAATTTCCGACCAATTTTTGATCACATCACTGTTGTGGCCAGATTTTGGTCAAAAAATGGTCAGAATTTGGCCAAAAATTGACCAAAACTCACGATTCGACAAAATTTTGGTCAATTTTTGACCAAAAAACGAATTGATGCATTTTTGGTCAAAAATTGGTCAAGCTCCCACCACCACCAGTGATAGAAAAACCAACATTTTTTCTCGAAAAACCTTCGAAAAAACTCACTAGTAAATGCAATACAGAAATCGGACAAAATCGGATTTCTAACAGGTCTAACATATGTTCGAAACATGCTAACAATCTTCATCTCCTTAACATCAATAAGAACCGCGGGAAGTTCGATAATTTCATGCGGATAATCGTAGATGATTTCAACACAAGTACACTCAAAATCGATAGCTATTAAATAATCGAAATATCTCAATGTCTTATCCGAATTGATATTCTCCAATTTTCTACTTAACAACATATTTTCCTTGCGATAATATTGCGCGACTCGTTTCCTTAATTGCCTTTTCGTTCCACTTGTCGACACTTTTATAACACTCAATGCTTGTCTCAATTGTTCGGTGCTCATTACGTGCAATTCTCGCATTACTTTTTTGACGTATTCTGGCGAGACCACACTTTTCAGAGGTTCTTCGTGTGCGGAGATCTCGATTTGATTTTCTTCGGGGATTTGAAATGTGACGTTTTCCTCGTCGGCACCGTCATCTTCTGAATCTGATGATTTTGCTGGCTCTTCTTGCGCTTCTAACTCTTTGCTAATTGCTAATAACCTTGAAAATGAACTAGCCAAGGCATCACCCATGTTTGATTTTTGAACTGTAACGAAAATCATATTTTTTATTTTTGGCTTGATTTTTGAATTTATTTTCGAAAAATAAAAGGGGAAAGTTATGACGTAGCAGAAAGTTTCATGACATTACGAAAAAATTAGAGAATGTCACGGTGTTTCTCAGGAGGGTCTTATATTTGAAAAAAAAAACTTTTGAAATAATGAAATTTGGAAAATCGTTGATTGAACCAAAAAGGTTTTTTTTTAGGTTTTGGTTCAAAACCTTCTCAAACTTTTCCCAGTAATTTTGGTGCAATCTTGAAATTTTGCGAAAAATCTCACCGATTTATCGACTAAACTCGCTGATGACAATGAAATTTTCACATTTTTCTGCGCAAGTGACTTGAAATCTTGGGTTTAAATAGTTTTCATAGGATAGACAGGACTAGGGGGATTCAAATGATATAATTTTTGATGAGTTAAGGTTACCCATAAGTGATTTAGCGACTTTTAGTCAATTAACGTCGCTAAATCACTTAAGGTAACCGTAACTCATCAAAAACTATATCATTCGAATCCCCCCAGTCCTGTCTATCCTATAAAAACGATTTAAAGCCAAGAAATCAACTCGCTTGCTCAAAAAATGTGAAAATGTCATCGTCATCAGCGAGTTTAGTCGATAAACCGGTGAGATTTTTCAAAAATTTTGTTGAGATTGTACCAAAATTACTTTCAGAAGGTTTTGACTCGTTCATTTTTCAGTTCCCTAAAGCCGTTAGGTTCTAACGATGTTCCAAATTTCATTATTTCAAAAGTTTTTTATTTAAAATAAGACCCTCCTGAGAAACACCGTGACATTAGAGATTTTTTCGTAATGTCATGATTTCTCAAAACTTTTTGCTAGATTCGTCATAACTTATTTTCATAAATAGCTAAGCTCTTGTCCAAAAAAAAAAAAAATAAAAATAAATCTACAACACTCCACAATCACACCGCGTTCCCCGTAAATCTACACAAAAAAGTTGCGGGAATTTGAAATAACGTAGGTATCTAGTAGCTTCACCAGGCGCCTCGCACCTCAAGGGCAGACATATGTCTGCGTCTCTAACATCGCGCGCCAATTTCAAACCGACGCCATAAATAAGATGAGTCATTTATGTATGTTTTGCCCTCGTTTTGTTTCGAATAAAATACGTTTGTGCCTTATTTATTCGAATTTAGATTAAAATTTAAATTCAAATTCCAGAAAACATGGGTTGTATTCAAAGTTCAGAGGCCAAAAAGCGATCGAAACGAATCGATGAAATGGTAAGCTTTTTCTAGAAAATATATGTATTATACTAAAAAAAAATATTTAAGCTACGTCATGACGAACTTCAAGCTGCACGAGAAGTCAAATTGCTCCTCCTGGGAGCTGGCGAATCGGGAAAATCGACACTTGTTCGACAAATGAGGATTTTGCATGATCAAGGATTTGAGCGATGTGAAAGAGTGGCTTTCAAACCGGTTATTTATAGCAATATTTTGCAGGTTAGTGAGGGAGAGAGAGATTGGAAAAAAATAAATCCGAGAGGATTAGAGGGGGCTTTGAAGATGTACTAAGTTGGAAAAATAATTTTGGTAATTAGCAAGATAACTTTTTTTTAAAGAAAAACTTTTTGGCCAAATTATGACCAAAATTTAGTCAAAAATTGATCAGAAATTGGCCAAAATGGCAAAATTTATCAAAATTTGGCCAAATTTGACTAAATTTTTTTTCTCTCTGACCAAAAATTGGTGCATTCCCAGCACCTATGAGTACTATATGTTTTCTAGTAGTTTTCGACACGCTGATCACTATTCCGTTGTCGAAAATCGCAGAACTCAATTCCTATTAAGTGGCAAAGTTTGAGGGATTTTTGAAGCTGAAAACTAGCTGATTTTCATGCAAATCTGATTTTTGAAGATCGAATTCACGAAAAGTCAAAAAACGTCGAGGTCAACATTAGTTTTCTGAGTTTTAGAGCCAAAAATGATGACAAATCAAAGATTTTCAAGCTTCTGGGGTGATTTCTAATGAAATTAAGCTTCGTAAACCCTATTTTTCCTCATTTTATGTTTTTTTTTCATCAGAAATCACCCCAGAAGCTTGAAAATCCTCGATTTGTCATGATTTTTGGCTGAAAAACTAATTTTTTTGACCTACAATGTTTTGGCTTTTCGTGAATTTTTTTCGTTCATGAATCAGCAGATTTGCATGAAAACCATTTAGTTTTCAACTCCAAAAATCCCTCAAACTTTGCCACGTCATAGGAGTTGAGTTCTGTAATTCTAGACAATGGAATAGTTATCAGCGCGTTGGAAACTGCTAGAAAACAAATTTTATTTAAAAATTGCCAAAAGCCTATCTTGTGAGGTACGAAAAATCGCAAAATGACTTGGTTTTTAATTTTTCAAGGTTATTTTCACGTCAAATATGAAAATAGGGGCATTTCTAATTTCTAGATGTATTCCTAAACCTTATTTCAGTCCCTAACCGCTATTATTCGAGCAATGCCAACTCTCAACATCCCATTCTTGGATGAACAACTCGAAAATGATGCAAAAACATTCCTAGCCTTCAAAATGGACACCGATGAGATCCCCGAAGAAATGGTTGATATAATGAAATCAATTTGGAAAAACGAGCAAATTCAAAAAGGCTTCGAAAGATCGCGAGAATATCAGCTCAATGATTCAGCACAATATTATTTGAATGCGCTCGACAGAATCGCAACCACCTTCTACATTCCAACGCAGGATGATATTTTGCGAGCGCGTGTCAAATCCACCGGAATTGTTGAGACACACTTCGTTTATAAGGATTTGTTATTCAAAATGTTTGATGTGGGGGGACAGAGGAGTGAGCGAAAGAAATGGATACATTGTTTTGAGGATGTTACCGCAGTTATGTTTTGTGTTGCGTTGAGTGAATATGATATGAAACTAGCGGAAGATGCGAAAATGGTGAGTGAGAAATATTATCGAAAATCTCATCGTTACTCCACGCGCTCCGAAATAAACACGCAACGCAGACCGCGCCGCGCCACAACACACACGAACGATTCAAATTCCCTCCCTTTCTGTGTGTGTTGTGGCGCGGCGCGGTCTGCGTTGCGTGTTTATTTCGGTGGAGCGCGTGAGATTTTCGATAATACACACATCTTTGTGTGTGTATCAATAGAGCGCGTTTGGTCGCGTGTTCAAATTTCAAATTTATTTTTCTTCATTTTCTATCGAAAATGAATGAAATTTCAGAATCGAATGCATGAATCAATGCAATTATTCGACTCAATTTGCAACAATCACTGGTTTATTGAAACCGCCATCATCCTCTTCCTCAACAAAACCGATTTATTCGCCAAACAACTCAAAACATCATCAATACGTGTATGTTTCACGGATTATTACGGTGATAATAGTTTCGAAGACACGGCGGGATTTATTCGAAAAGAAATTCGAAAGACTAAATCGTCGCGAAAAAGAGGTTTATACACATTTCACATGTGCAACTGATACGCATAATATTCGATTTGTTTTTGAGGCTGTGACTGATGTTATTGTTGCGAGTAGCTTGAAAAATTGCGGGCTTTATTGATCTAATAAACATGAGAATTAAAGAAATATGGAAGCTTATGCTATTTCTGCTAAATTTCATTTTTCGCAAGTTGTTAGCAGGAATTTTCATTTTTCCCGGGGTTACAAGGTTCACGGGTAAAACTTCAGTATAATTGCCTACTTGCCACGTCATAACTATTAGCGTTTCCCCAGAAAAACCCACAAAAAAAGCGAAAAATAAAAAATAAAAATGTGTGCGGTGGCCTAGCAAACCACTGAGAAACTAGGCCACGTCTCTTGTGTCGATTTACGCACATTTATTTTTTTTTTTGAAAAAAAATGCGATTTCTACACGATTCTGTAAATATTAGCCTTCAATGTAAATATTTTCCTGAAATAATAGTTCCCAATATTTTATTTCAATCAAAACCCATCGAATTATTATTAATATGGCGTTCTTTTTGGTTTAAATTTGAATTTATTGTTATTGAACGGCGAATTCTCGCAAGTCTCCTCAACTTCCTCCAACAACACCGCACTTTTATCATCTGCATTTCTCAGAACCTTAAAAATCAACTTGTTTTCCGAAACCCAATTATCTGCGCTGAATTTTGCGGTGCACTCGATTTTCTCGCCATTTTCGATGAATTTTGCATTGATGATAACAGGATCCTTCAAAGTTTCAGTTAGCTTTGGTTCGCCATTCCTAATCACTTCATACGTATCATTTTTTGTTCCGATTGTTCCATTACAATGATATCTTTTGAAATCATCATCAATGAAGTTCATTGCAGCTATTTTCCAAATAACAACACCCGCCTTCGTCTTTAATGCATTGAAGTAGTCTTTCAGAACTTTCAAACAATATTCCCCCGCAACTTTTTCAACATCAATTGAAGCGGTTAAGATGGGATTCCAGGAGTTGCAATCGGTCTGGATTTCACGCTGTATCAAATCATTTTTCACGGTAAACATTGTTTTTGCTATTCCAATTGAATTCGATTTAAAACTATATTCTTCTGAACTTCCAACAATATTTTCAATCGGACTTCTTTCACTCAAAATAATTTTGCTAATTCGAATCTCTTCGATGAATTTCTCTCTTTTGATTTCTTTTCCATTGCATTGAATCAATGAAAAATCCGAAGAAAGAGCAGCAGAAAATCCAGTTTTGGTAGTCAGACTATTCAGATATTTATCAAGAACTTTTTGAGCATCATCATTTGACACATCAGCAGCTCGGATTAGATGTAGGATGAAAACCAGAATAATACAGGGGTAGAACATTTGAAAATATTCTAATTTCGAATTGGCGCGTTTTATAGGGTAAGTCTAGACTTCACACGTTTTATGGAGAGCAAAAATAGATACATGAGATCATGTTTTTATTAGAGTCTGCGAGAAAATGGAAAAATTCAGAACATTTTTTGAAAAACAAATAAATTCAAACAACGCGCGCAACGTCAACGCGGAGTATCGTTGTTTTCTTTTTTATTTTTTCGCACTTATTTTATTTTTGATAGTCGTCTCATTTTTCAGATCGATAAAATGGCTGGAAATTTAAGAGAAATGATGAATTTTCCGCTGAACATTAGGAAAATCTGCAATTTTTTGATACCAAATGTATAGGGAGTGCAAAAAACCGCCACGTGCACGCCACCATGGAACTTCTTTTGATTCAAAATTCTAATCAAAACAATAATGACACGTGGATTTTTTTGGCTCAAAATCAGAAGTGCTCTAAGTATTTTAGCACCAAAAATCTAGCCACGTGGGATTTCTGGCGCAAAACTCACAAAAACTGCATTTCTGAACAAAATCCAACAATGTTCATCAGCCAAAAATTGATTTTTCACCAAAATTTTCATTTTTCCCGGGGTTCCAAGATTCACGGGTAAAACTTCAGTATAATTTCCTACTTGCCACGTCATAACTATTAGCGTTTCCCCAGAAAAACCCAAAAAGCAAGAAAACAAAAATAAAATTGTGTGCGGTGGCCTAGCAAACCACCGAGAAACTAGGCCACGTCTCTCTTGTGTCGATTTACGCACAATTATTTTTTTTTTCGTGAAAATTGAAAACAAACTTCATTTCAAGATATTAAAGCATACAAATAAGGTAAAACAACTTCCGCAAATAATTCAAAGTGACATCACCGTATATACATATAGTTTTTTTTGGCTACCCATATGAGATCACTCGCAGAAAAAAAACAAGAACTATAAACTATGACAAAAATCCTATGTACAGAGTATTTAAAAATTTTAAAATGATTGAAGTGACGCAATATCCGGAACACTACTCGATCGACTTTTATAACTCGGTGGCCGTCCAATGAAGTCCAGTGATTCCCGTCGAGATTCAGATGCTGTCATCAATTTTTTGATCACATTTCCATGTCCTAAAAAAAATTACTTGATGTTGTTGTCATTTCGAATTAGCTTCACTTCAAATTACAGTAACCCAAAAGGGTGCGGTTCTTTCTTTAATTTAATTTGATATGTTTTTTTCCACCGGAACTAACCTTCTTCTGATCTTCCTCCCTTCTCAACATCATCCTTCTCAACTCCAACCCGATCTCTTGCGGTAAACCAGGCCGCCATTTTTTCCAGCGGACTTTTATCGGCCTCTTTCATTGGAAGAATTACGAAGAGGAGAAGTTGGAAGATTGCCAAAAGAACGCCGATGCCATTTGGAACAATTACATAGAGATCGCTGACGAGGTTACCGTAGAAAAACCATTGGGATGAGACGAGAAAATTGGCGCAGCACATGGGGAATGGCAATGAGGAGACATTGCGGTTTTTGAGAACAACACCCTGGAAAATATTTTGATTGAGTTAACTTTAAGGTAACTTTAAGATAGTGAACCTTAAAAATTGAGAGTTTAAGGCTTTATTTTGAGATTTTAAGGCTTAAGATAATGAACCTTAAAGTGAATTAATTAGAGGTTAAGCTAATAAATGAAGATTTTTGAAAATTCTGAAACTGGAAGCCAAATATGTGCTCTTTCAATACAAAATATCAAAAGTCTTATATATTTTTCGAAAAGTTCCTTAGATTTGATTAATTAACTTTGGGTTAAGCTAGAAAATGAGGATTTTCAAAAATTTCTGAAACAAAGTTTATTCTGGCACTTTTCTGAAGTTCTGAGGGATTTCGAGGATTCTTCGAAAGTTTCCCTATCCTATATAATTCTGGATGTTCTTTAGTAGCTCATGACAACATCTAGGCTAAGATCAGGGGTTCCTAAAAATGAAGATCATCTCTGGTAAGGAGCCGTGCCTAGAGATCCATGTTTTCAAGTAGTCGCCTCTAGAGAACCCTAATTTTCCAGGACTCATACCTAGATACCGCCTTTGGCAAGCAGCCACGCCTTGAGAGCTTCCATATCAAGCAGCCGGCCCTAGAAATCCTATTCTCAAGGATCAACGCCTAGAAAGGTCAGTTGTCAAGGATCAGCGTCTAGAGAGCCACCTTCTCAAGTAGCTGCGCCTAGAGAGTCATAAATTCCTAATTTTTGTGTCTGAAATTTCAGATTTTTCAGATTTTCTCCCCTAATTTTTCAATTCATTCCCTTACCAATCCAGCCAACGGCGCTCCAAAATTCATAATATTAAAAGTCATACAAACAATGCCCAACATATCCAAATTCGGTTTCCACGCAATCCAAACCACCATCGACAAAATCAACGAGACAACCAAACCCAATTGAGCGCAAAATGATTTCTGGAACCAATAGAAAACTGGATTTTTTCCAAAAAAAATTTAATTGCACTCACCTTTGGCCACGAAAAAAATAGGAAAAATAGACAGTAAATTGTGAAAAATGAAACGCCAACAAGATTTACGATTATCATTGTCCAATCCATTTTCAGGAATCCGTAACGGAGCCAAAAAGAGCCGCCAAGAAGTCCCATTAAAAATGGGATTCCCGAAATATCACCAATTCCACCTTGTTTTCGAATTGTGAAGCATATTGGGCTGGAAAATTTAAAAAATTGTGCATCGGGTGGGGATTGAACCCTGGCTTTTCAAACGCTCGGCAGAAGTGCAGACCACTTGGCCATAACTTACATTCCACAAAAAAACAGGGCAATTGTTGTTGTGATTGCACTTATTGAAAGTATTTGAAGAACAAGATCATACATTTCTGAAAATGAGAAAAATTTTCTTTTTTTTGGGGAAAAAAAGAAGAAGTTCTGAAGTAGAATGAAACAAAAAGAACCTGCCTGAACCAGGGAGAGAGAAAGAGACGCAGAGAAAAATTGGGGTGTTTTTTTCAAAAAAAAAATACTGTAGAATTTTGGGGGGGAGAAGAATTAGGGGACAAATCTAAAAATTTTGGGACTTTTTTTTCGAAAAAAATTTGGAAAATCAAATTTTATGGGAAAATTGGAAATTTTAGGATGTTTCAAATCTGGTCGAAAAAAATAATTTAAAAAATATTTTTTTTTAACAAAAAATTCGATTCAGAAAATTTCAAAAATGTTTTTTTTTTCATTTTTGTGTGAAAAATCCGAAAAATTTCCAATTTTCGCATGAAATTTGAAGGGGAAGAATTCTGAAATTTGAAAATTTTGGGACTCCTTTTTTCGAAAAAAAATTTGGAAAATCAAATTTGATTCGAAAATTGGAAATTGTGGGACTTTTTTGAAAAATCATATTTTACAGGGTGATTCAAGTCGAAAAAATTTTTTTTTTCAAAAAATTTCGATTCAGAAAATTTCAAAAATGTGTATTTTTTCCTATTTTCTGACATTTTTCTGAATCGAAATTTTTTGTCAAAAAATTTTTTTAAATTATTATTTTCGAGTTTTGAAAAATCCGAAAAATTTCCAATTTTCGCATGAAATTTGAAGGGGATGAATTCTGAAATTTGAAATTTTTGGGACTTTTTTTTCGAAAAAAAATTTGGAAAATCAAATTTAATGCGAAAATTGGAAATTTTTGGATTTTTCAATTCTGGTCGAAAAAAAAATTAATTAAAAAAAAATTTTTTTACAAAAAAATTCGATTCAGAAAATTTCAAAAATGTGTATTTTTTTCATTTTTGTGTGAAAAATCCAAAAAAAATTTCCAATTTTCGCATGAAATTTGAAGGGGAAGAATAAATTTGAAAATTCTGCGATTTTTTTTCGAAAAAAAATTTGGAAAGTCAAATTTAATGCGAAAATTGGAAATTTTTGGATTTTTCAAATCTGGTCGAAAAAAAATAATTTAAAAAATATTTTTTTTTCAAAAATGTGTATTTTTTTCATTTTTGTGTGAAAAATCCAAAAAAATTTCCAATTTTCGCATGAAATTTGATCAGCCTGCCTAATATATTTGTTTATTTTCCAAATTTTTCATTTTAAAACCTATTTACAGTTTACACCTACAGTACTCCCCCCCCTTATTTCAATTTTTTTACAACCTCTAACCCACACAAAAAAATTCTCTAGTTACTGTAAGTGTAAAAAATCTTCAGCTAGCTAAATATATTTATTTAGACTTTGCGCAACTCGAAAACAAAACGATTATCATTTTTTTGAAGAGGTTGGGGGGGGGCAGAAAATGTCAAGAAACATGTTTAGCCGAAAAAATGTGAGCTATACAAATAATCACGACTTGGAATAACTCGAATTCGGGTTTTTCTTAGAAAAATTTTGAGAACATCCAAAATAAAAAAAAACTATCTAGACAATAACAAAAATTGTTTTTATGAAAAAAAATATAACCATTTTTTTGTGGTTGATTGATAGAAAATGCACTTTTTTGGTCAAAAAACATGTGATTTTCATGGAAATTTGTTCAAAATTGGCTCCGATTTTTTTTGTGGAAACACAAAATTTTGGCAATTTTTGGGTACTGTATTCTTCTATCAGATGAAAATTTTCAAAAAAAAAATGAAGTACAAAGTTTTTTATCTATAAATAACCAATTTTTCAAATTGTTACACGTCATTTTATACTTTAAAGATAACCCAACAAAAATTTGGTGTGGATCAAAGTTTTCAATGTTTTTGTGGCTTCAAAACTATTAGGAACCAAAAAAAAATGGGGAAAAATATAAACAATACTTATCAACAAAGTGTCCAAGGTCATTTGAAACCGCAACACAAATTTTTTCAAATGAAAATAAGAAAAAATTTGGGATCCTTAAATAAATCCCAAATAAGACACTACGAGAGAATAGAGAACAGAGTACGAAAAGTGGGGCGGGGCTTACAATCTTTTTGCCCTGCCCATGATAGGTTGTGTCTTAATACCACGTGGAATGAGAAGAATTTGAACTTGCGAAAAAAAATAAAAAACGTTCCGTCGAGCCGGATTCGAACCAGCGACCTAAGGATACCCACTGACTCTACAGTCCTCCGCTCTACCAACTGAGCTATCGACGGTGGCGGGAAACGCCATGTGAAATGTCAAGAAATTATTGGATTTTTGTTTTTTTTTGCAAAAAAAAAAGAGTGACAGGGGAAAGCGCGTTGGTTTTTTGTTTACTAGAAAAAGTGCATGTGTTCTCTGGACTTTCAGAAATTCTTTCTAGTATTTCGTCATTTCGCGCACCCCACGTGACCTTATCAAATATAAATTCACAAAAAATCAAAATCGAATGTCGATGAAATCAAGTTTCTTCTTCTTCTTCCCATCAAAAATAATGATTATTATTGTTGTTCGTGGTAGAATTTGTTGTAATTCCGAAAATTCGGGGCATGTTTGTTATTTATTTTTTTTTAATCTAGTGAGGAAGAGGTCAGAGGACAATTTTTAATCGGTGGAATCTCAAAAATCAATGAAAAATAAAAAAAAGTTTCAAAAACTTAAGAAACAAACATCTGGATAAACAAAAAGTTTCGTCTAACTCTCTGGGTCTCTTCTCTCTCCGTATTCGCGAAAATTCCTCGTTCCCCCTGGTTTTTAAAGGTTACTTTGTGATCTTTTACACTTCTATGTGTGTAGTTTCCTTCTGTCATAAGATTGATTCGACACACCCAGAAATCAAGAAGAAGAAATGAAAAAAATAATAATCGAGAAGAAATGATGATCTTTGGGGGAATGCGAATGAAAACACAAAATGGAACATGGAACTGAAAAATATGGATTTAAACTGGAGTCCGAGCAAAAAATAAGTTGTGCTAATTTGAAAGAGAATGTCTCAATTAGTAGAATCCTGGAAGCTTCTCAAACATTGGCTAAAAATTTACAAATTTCGAAAAAACAGTGAAACACCGTGTAAAATGGCTGTAAAAGTGTAAAAGTCCATAAGTATAGTAGCTTGGATTCAAGTCCCAAAAAAAAATCGAATTTTCGAATTTTCAAAAGCATTGTCCCACATGGATTTCCGGGCGCCAAAATTGGAAATTTCAAAATTTCAAAAATATTTTGCCACGTGGACGAAAAAAAAACAAACGAAATAGTAAGAAAACTGATACCTTAAGGACCTTAAAATCACCCTAATTGACTTTACAATTAGAGAACTTAAAATGATGGCGGCTTTCATTCCGAACAGTTAAAAATGTGATTTAATTTTCCTCGCGTCATTTTTTTTCAAATTAAAATATTCACGTGTGAATCATTGATTTTTCGGTCATTTCTGATTTTTCATCATGTGCATAACTAAAAGAGCCACGAAAAAATGCGCAAGTAAGTTCTTTTTTCTGAATTAAACACTTTGATTTTTCCTGAAAATTGAAAGATCGTGGAATTTCTCACAAGCTTCATGCAAAAATTGAAATTTTTGTGCTTTTGTCCCATAGGGCTTATTTTTTAACACCAAAATTGATACAAATTTTCATTTTTCCTCGTCTTCCCTGATTATTTCCCTGTGTGTTGTTTTTTTCAAACTCACAAACTCGTGATCCATATTTTTTTTCTTATCTAAAAACAGTATGACGTATGATAAGGTTTAGGTTTACTTACTACTGTATTTTTCAAGGTATACTGTAGTTGATTACTGTAGTTGATTGTTTAAATGGCAAATTGTTTCCTTTTTGAAACAATAAACCGTTTTGTCTTTTGTCCGTTCAGTTTTTCTTTTTTTTTTTTTTTGACTAACTGACCATCACAAAACAAAACATAGTTTGGCTTGATAACGAAAAAACTGGTAATTTTTTATTTTGCTTTGTGTTTTTTTGCAATTTCGAAAAAATTTCCAAAAGGAAGGGATCAATTAAAAACAACACATCATAAAAATGTCATTTTTTTGATGCACTCCATAAAAGTTCAATTAAATCGTAAAAATATTATTATTACGAGAGGGGAGGGGGTATTTAAAATACAAAAAAAACAGTGTGACTACCTCGATTATTTTGATTCATTTGATCTATTGAATTTTGGAAATTTTGGGCATTTTTTCGGTGTTGGCAGAGGCCTGTCAAGCAGCCACGTCAAGAAACCCTAGTTGTCTAGGAGCCGCGCCTAGAGATTCACTTTGGCAAGGAGCCGCTCCTTTAGAGCTCCTATATCAAGTAGCCAGGCCCAGAAAATCAACTTTTCTAGGATCAGCTTCTAGAATTTTGAGCTGTCAAGTAGTCATGCCTAGAGAGCTCCTATGTCAAGTAGCCAGGCCTAGAAATCCTAGCTGTCAAGTAGGAGAGCCTAGAAAATTAAGTTGTCAAGGGTCAGCGCCTAGAGAGTTCCCATGCCAAGTAGCCAAGCCTAGAAACCCTAGCTGTCTAGTAGCCATGCCTAGAGAGCCTCGTTTTCAAGTAGTCGCATCGAGAGATCCACTCTGACAAGGAGCCATACCTTAAGAGCTCCTATGTCAAGTAGCCAGGCCTAGAAACCCTAGTTGTCAAGTAGTCAAGCCTAAGAAACCCAATCGTCAAGGACCCGAGCCTAGAGATTCCCTTTGACAAGTTGCCAAGCCTAGAAACCCTAGCTATCAAGTAGCCATACCTAGAGAGCCATATTCTCAAGTAGCCGCGCCTAGAGAGCCTTGTTTTCAAGTATTCGCGCCGAGAGAACCTGAAGCGGCTTCGATATTTGAGGATTCGAAATTTCCATCTTTGTCAGAAAAATTCCGATTCAGAAGTTTTTTCATTAAAAATCCACCAAAAATGATCCATCTTTTCCAGTTTCCGGATCCAATTTCCCTTCCAAAAATTTTCAGCCTTTTTTTCTGCCTCCCGTCCTGTTATCTGTGAGTCATTTGACACATTCTTAGAAGGGGCACGTGAGAGACGCTTTTTTCTCATCGTTATCTTTTTCCTGGTCCACCACGTATACAACTTATATTTATGGTACACTTTTTGGGTGGTCTGGTTATGTAGTTGATAAGATATAATTGTCATAAATATGGGTACTAGTATATGTAAAAAAAAACAATATATGAGTTCACTGTGAACTTTTCTAGTTACAATGATCACAGTTTTGTGTTTAGAACTTCAGAAACTTTTGTTTATGAATATTTTTAAGCTTAAAATAATTTTTTTTTATCAGAGGGGGAATTAAAATTTTGCTGACAAGACCGGAGGAAAAAAAGGTCGAAAAGGGAAAGATCGAAAAATCATACGAGAAATTTTTGATTTTGGAAAAAAAAAATTTCTTAACAAAGCTCCCGATTACTTTAAATGTCTTAACAAAGCTCCCGAATACTTTAAATTCCTTAACAAAGCTCCCAAGTTTTCCCAGCGAGACCCATCTGTGCGCCTTTAAATTTTCTTCTCTCTGCCGTTAGAGACGCAGAGGATATACCGTAACTTGAACTTCAGACCTTTTTTTCTAAACATCTTGAAGTTCAAGTTTTCAAAAAATCAACCGGAACTTGAAAAATCAACCTTTGATTTATAGTGTCTCTACGTGACTTATTGAAAAACCTTTTCCACGAATCAAAACCTGTATTTTGTTGAACCACTGATTTTTGTATTTATCATTTTTTTTTCTGGTCTTTCCCCACGTGGCCTCATTTTATCATCATTAAAATAAGACAGATTCAAATGCTCCTCGAAAAACTCTCTCTCCAAATAAATAAAAATTCAAAATTCTTATCAAATCAAAACATTGTGCCAAGCTCTTCTCAGCACCTTTTTTGCTCCAAAATCAAACAGCGTTATTTTTTTTGATGATGTAACTTAGATGGTTAGGCTCCGCCCCCTTATCATTATAATATTCATTTTCACTCATTCTTTTATTATCAATTTCTGTGTCACGTTTCTCTTTCCTTTTCTTTTCTGGCTCCAATGTTCTATGGGTTATCAAAAAATAATTATTTTTTTCTTTTCGATTAATGGTCATTGATTTTTTCAGAAGAAGTTGAAATGGAGAACAATAATGCTCAAGTTGCTGGCGCTGGAGGAAATGCTCATACTATTGAGTGAGTTTTGAGGGAAGGAATAGAAAGTTTTAGAGTTCGGCAGATCAAAAATCAAAAATTTTTGAGCATAGTTTTCACAAGGGAATTTTTAGTCTAGGATTTCTTGTAAAAGTAGTTTTATATCCGCTACATATATGAACTAGTCGCTCCAGGGACCCTTGAGTTAACCCCCTTTCCAGGAAATATTTTCAAAAAGTTAACCCCCCTAACCAACTTTTTGTGGGTTTTTGGCCTCTGAAGGTATAAAATTCTCCAAAATTTTCAAAAGTTAAGGGCCAAAATGCACCTAAAGTTAACCCCCCCTGCCTCCGAATTCGGAGTCCCAGTTAATGTATGATCCGCTAATGATCCAAAAAACTACAGAACTCAAATATGAGTTATGACGTGGCAAATGTCGAGAAATCTGATAGAGTAAAGAGGCTTGACAGTGTCGAGCTGATTTTGTCATAGTACCAATAGATTCGGAGAACAATTAGTAGCTTCGTGCCAAGTTTCCCTAACTTGATCGAGCCCAGAAAAGCTTATGGGGCGTCCAAAAATCCAAAAAGTGAAAATTTCACGCCTGGTCAATTTTTATAACTTGTAGCTAACTGAATTCTGATCGTTTCAATTGATTTTTGAACAGAAATTGGACGGGTGTGAAATTTTAATTTTTTAATTTTTGGACGCCCCACCAGAAAAGCCCGTGCTCTTTCAGCATCCAAAATAGAACCTTTTTTGCAGCCCACGAAACTACGATGATTTGCTCGCAGTCGTCGCTTCAATCAAAGAACAAGTCGGCAGCGAAATCGCTCACGGAGAGATCGGAATCATCTGCGGATCGGGTCTCGGACCAATCGGAGATTCCGTCGAAAACCCAACAATTCTTCCATACGCCAAGATCCCCGGCTTCCCAGTCACTCATGTTGTTGGCCACAAGGGAAATCTTGTTTTTGGAACAATTCGAGGAAAACGAGTTGTGTGTCTTCAAGGAAGATTCCATCCATATGAGCATAACATGAATTTGGCGTTGGTGAGTTTTTGAACTTTTTATTTTGGAAATCAAGAGAAACCTTCAGTGCGCGTTGCCTGTCCGAGTTCTTCATTTGTTGGGTGTCAAAACATTGATCGTCTCCAACGCCGCCGGTGGAATCAGTTCGAAATTCCAGTATGGAGATCTGATGATCATTAAAGATCACATTTTCTTGCCAGCCTTGGCTGGATTCTCACCATTGGTTGGTGTGAATGATTCGAGATTTGGTGAACGTTTCGTTTCAGTTCATGATGCTTATGATAAGACTTACAGGTGAGCGTAGAGGGAAAAATCCTTTAAGAAGGGGTTAAGCCCTTTAAAAAAGCCTTAAGTCCTTTAAGAATGTCTTATATAAGACAGCCAGATTTTCAAAAATTTCAGGTCAAATGAAAAAACCAACGATTTTCGGTGATATTTTCTACATTTTGAAAAAAATACCGATACCACAGTTTTCCAGATTTTTTTTCTACAAAAGCTTCAAAAAATTAGAAATTTTGACATTTATAATTTTTTGGGTGAAATTTATGCAAATATGAGTTCAGAAAAAATATGAAATTTTTTGAGTTCATCCTGAAGTTTTTTCGTGGTGAAAAGATAAAAAAGTTGTAGTTTTGAAAAAAAATTTATGTGAAAAAATATATTGATAATCATAAAAAATGGAAAAACGGCGATTTTCGTAGCAGAAGGCGATGTGAGTTGTTGTTGCGTTGTTGAGTCCAAATGTGCTCAAGAAACAAAGAGTTGATCTGCAAAAAAATGTATTATTCAACAAGTACGATACTATTTTTTTAAATTCTTTTTTTTGTTGTTTTTCTAATAGTTTTTCATGAAATACAAACATGTTAAAATTTCGTCGCCGACGAAATATTCACATTTTTCAAATTTCGTCACAGACGAAATTTTCACATTTCAAAAAATAAAAACGTGAAATTTTTTTTGCTCTTTTTAAAAATGAGAATGTGAAAATTTCGTCGGCGACGAAATATTGACATTTGCGGTTTGGGGTATTTTTATTCGGAAAACATGGTTTTTGGAAGAGGTATCTATACTACAGTAATTTTTATCTTGAATAAGACTATGTATCGATAAGTTTGAGAAAAAATCTACGACGATGTGAGCAAAATTCTCCGAGTATTCGCCAGGTACTAGTCGGACTTAAAATTTTGAGGATGTCTAATCGGACCAGAGCGATCCCATTTTTATTAGGCGGTGGGGCAGATTAGTTTCTCCCCCGGGAGAAATGGGGAGAAAGAGGAGAAAAGTGGTGCAGAAACGCGGGAAGAAAGAGGAGTTTCTGCCTTTTCTCCCAAACCGTATCGTGCCGAGACCCTTCCTGGAAAATCTCTGCGCCTTTAATCGAGTCGAAATACGGAACTATATCGGTCTTATCGATAAATGGTCTCGACACGATGAGCCGGATACTGTAGGAGGAGAAAAGGCAGGAACTCCTCTTCCTCCCCGCGTTGCTGCACCACTTTTCTCCTCTTTCTCCCCATTTCTCCCGGGGGAGAAACTAATCTGCCCCACCGCCTTAGGAAATCTCTTTTTCAGTTTCTTTTTTTGCTGAACTCACATTTTTCAATTGTTAATTCTTTCTTTTCGAGTAGGTTGTAATGAGATGATTGGTGACTGCTGAAAAAAAAAACATATTTTACATATGAAATTCTAACTCTTAGCGATTTTGTTTCACAAAAACAAGGAAACATAAGATATTCTTTTAAAAAAAGAGCCTATTGCATGATTGAAAAGTATTTTGCGTCTTGCACAATATTAAAAAAAACATCAACATACCTCCTGGACACTTTCAATAAAACAAGAAGTTTTAAGACCATCAAACATTCTTTCACATGTCAATTCTTGCCAATAACTGAAATGTAAAATGTCTAAAAGAAACATTGAAAAAGACCCACCACTTTTTCTCAACAAAAAAAAAAGAAATGATTATATTTGACGTGAAATGCAGATACACGTAAGATGTTTTCCATTTCTATTTTTTATGATGACGTATACTAGTAATTTTTTTGTTGTTTTTGGTGTAATCTTGAGAAGACAATGGCAAAGACCGTAGAAAAACAATGTGAGTTTGAATATCATTAGAAGTACTTATCTTATGTTTCATTTTTGTATTGAGTATGTTTTTTCAGCAGTCACCAATCATCTCATTACAACCTACTCGAAAAGAAAGAATTAACAATTGAAAAATGTGAGTTCAGCAAAAAAGAAACTGAAAAAGAGATTTCCTAATAAAAATGGGATCGCTCTGGTCCGATTAGACATCCTCAAAATTTTAAGTCCGACTAGTACCTGGCGAATACTCGGAGAATTTTGCTCACATCGTCGTAGATTTTTTCTCAAACTTATCGATACATAGTCTTATTCAAGATAAAAATTACTGTAGTATAGATACCTCTTCCAAAAACCATGTTTTCCGAATAAAAATACCCCAAACCGCAAATGTCAATATTTCGTCGCCGACGAAATTTTCACATTCTCATTTTTAAAAAAGAGCAAAAAAAAAAATTTCACGTTTTTATTTTTTGAAATGTGAAAATTTCGTCTGTGACGAAATTTGAAAAATGTGAATATTTCGTCGGCGACGAAATTTTAACATGTTTGTATTTCATGAAAAACTATTAGAAAAACAACAAAAAAAAGAATTTAAAAAAATAGTATCGTACTTGTTGAATAATACATTTTTTTGCAGATCAACTCTTTGTTTCTTGAGCACATTTGGACTCAACAACGCAACAACAACTCACATCGCCTTCTGCTACGAAAATCGCCGTTTTTCCATTTTTTATGATTATCAATATATTTTTTCACATAAATTTTTTTTTCAAAACTACAACTTTTTTATCTTTTTACCACAGAAAAACTTCATGATGAACTCAAAAATTTCATATTTTTCTTTTGAATCGTTACAAAAAAAGTCAGAATAATTCTTGACATTTTTCATGCTTTTTTACATTCTCATAATTTTTTTCAACATTTTTTGAGAAAACCGCGACTGCTCTACATATGTTGATAAAAATCAGTGTTTTTTGAGGAAAAAAAATTTTGATGGAAATTTTCAAATGTCAACCCCCTTATATGCTTTTAAGAAGGCCTTAGGACTCTTAAGAATGCCATATAGGATTTGAAAAGGGGTTAAATCCGTCAAGAATTCCTTATATGCTTTTGAGAAAGCCTTAAGCCATTTGAGAAGGCTTCAAAGCCTTTCTTAAATTTTTTTCATGATTGTTTAACCTCGAAGACGAGAAATGTCATTCAAGAAGCCATTAAGGACCTTAGAAGCTTTTAAGAAGTGGTTAAGCCCTTTAAGAAGGTCTCGAGACTCTTAAGAATACCTTATATGCTTTTAGAAAGGCCTTGAGTCCTTTGAGAAAGCTTCAAAGCCTTTAAAAAGACCTTAAGTTCTTTGAGAATGCCTTATATGTTTTTAAAAAGGCCTTGAGCCCTTTGAGAAGGCTTCAAAACCTTTAAAAGATCTTTAGTCCTTTAAGAATGCCTTATAAGCTTTTAAGAAGGCCTCAATCTTCTCAAAAATGCCTTAGGGCCCCTAAGAAGCCTTTAGAACATATTTTCCTTTCTAGAAACCTTGCCACCCAAATCGCTCAACGCAACAACATGCGTCTATTCGAAGGTGTTTACGTGATGAGCGGTGGCCCGCAATACGAATCACCAGCCGAAGTTCAACTCTTCAAAACCGTCGGCGCTGACGCCCTAGGAATGTCAACTTGTCACGAGGTCACTGTTGCACGTCAACTCCGGAATCAAAGTTCTCGGATTCTCACTCATCACCAATATGTAAGTTTTGCGAATCAATAATGAAAAGTGCAATTAATTAGGGTTTGATAGGGGGAAAATGATATGATAAGGGGGAAATAAAACAATTTTTATTTGGCCAAGGGAACCTAGATTTGTTTTTTTTCAGCGCCAATCTTGACGCTGACAATTCTGTAGAAGTTTCGCATCATGAAGTTATGGAGATTGCAAAAGAGGCCGGGGATCGAGCGTCGAACTTTGTTGCGGATATTATTGCCGAAATGGTTGTATGAATATTCTAATAATCAACTCTTGAATGAAGCAAAAACATAATCTTATCTTTTTTGTATTCGAAGTTTATCCATGTATGTAACAAAATAATAAATAAATATATTTCAAGATATTAGAACATCTTTGAATAATCAGGACGGTTAGCAACAGAACTGGGAAATTTTTAAGTGGCACCGTAAAACGTAAAATGGATACTTTACAATTCTGAAAACCGTAAAAAGTCAGTAATTTATTTAAAAAATTCACCTTTTCAGAGAGTCCCAAAGGTTCCCAAGGGTTTCCAAGGCTTCAGAAGCCTTCAGAAAGCTTCAGAAAAGTTTTGAAGGCTTCAGAAAGCTTCAGAAGTGTTTAGAAGCCTTCAGAAAGCTTCAGAAAAGTTTTGAAAGCTTCAGAAGTATTTAGAAGCCTTCAGAAAGCTGCAGAAAGCTTCAGAAGTGTTTAGAAGCCTTCAGAAAGCTTCAGAAAAGTTTTGAAAGCTTCAGAAGTATTTAGAAGCCTTCAGAAAGCTGCAGAAAGCTTCAGAAGTGTTTAGAAGCCTTCAGAAAGCTTCAGAAAAGTTTTGAAGGCTTCAGAAGTGTTTAGAAGCCTCCAGAAAGCTGCAGAAAGCTTCAGAAGTCTTCAGAAAGTTAACTTTTTTGAGCCGTAGAACCGTAAAATAAACTTTACGATGAAAACCCGTAAAACGTTAAAAACTTAAAAGTAAAAATTCCCAGGTCTGATTAATCTCCGATTCCCTGTGCCCGCTAATGAAATTATTTAAATTTTTTATTCAAACTGTATATACCAAAACATCAAAATTTGTTGCGCTTCACCTCCAACATCCTCAAATACTCAAGTCTCCTCCGTTTCGGTCTCATATGCACCCCTAAACTTCTCGCCAAATACTCTCGAACTCTCTGTGCCACTCCGTCAATCTGTGGTACTGTGTGAATTCCATGGAACAATCGCAACAACGGTTGATCTCGACAACAATAATAATTTCCGTCTTGTGCTTTTTGACACTTCCCAGCTGGGCACGTGTTATCATCCCAACCTTTACACATTGTTGGTGAACCATCGGCAGCGACTAGTGCTTCCACACAACCTTGGATCGGAACTTGACAACACGCGGTGCTTCCATCGATCATTGAAGTGCACGCATGTTCGAAGGGGCAAGACATCGGATTCGATATCGCGCAACTTGTTGGCTTCCCCGTTTCCTCATCCAAAAGCGGGGTAGATCCATCCGGACAGGTGAATATATTCACGGTATGACAACAGAAAAACATAATGTCAATGGCATTTGTGAGATTTGCAGCGTCTTCGAGAGCTGGTAGACAGTCCGTGGATACTGGACAGGATGAATCGCCGGGGAAACATCGTTGGGGTCGCTTTTTGGATGGCTCGACGTAGGGAATCACACATTTTTTGCGCGGTTTGCAGCAAAGATGTCGAGCGGAACCAGATGAACCTGGAATTTAGGATTTAGCGAGAGGAGCAGGGGGGGGGTGTCTTTAGAAGATCGTACACTTTAGCCTAACAAGGGACTTACATTAGGGTGATAACGGGTTTTGAAATAAGGTTAGTGCAGTCTTAGGTAACTGCTAATCACGATGCCGCAAAAATTAGCTGTTTTTGTCGAAAATTCGTGTTTGGAGTCGATTTTGAGACCATCGAAAAGTTGACACCAAGCAAAATTTAAGTCAAAAAATTTTCACGTGAAAAATAAATTGCTTTAATTTTCAGAGAAACGTGAATTTTTTTAATGCAAAAATTTTCTATCAAAATTTGCTTTAGAGCTCATTTGCGCGGCTCAGACTGGAGCTCAGCAGCTAATTTTTGCGGCATCGTGATCATCGACTTACCTAAGACTGCACTTACCTTATTTCAAAACCCGTTGTCACCCTAATGTAAGTTCCTTGTAAGCAAGTTCCAAAAAAATTACACATACACAACTAAATAAGGTGTGCAATAGAGCAAACTTGATTTCTTCCCAACCCCAGGAGGCCCCTTATCTTTCTCAAGTTAGCCCAACTCACCCTCTCCTTGTACACACATATGATCCATCGGACACGCTCCATCCACCCCAACCGAACACACTCTCGGCCTTCCGCCATTTTCCCTCAACGCATCCATTCCCTCCGGACAACTCAGCGGTTTTGTGCAACAAATATGCTCCAAATTCTTCGCCTGCTGACACGAATAATCCATCGGACAACTATCATCGCGATTCGCATCACATCTCACCGCTTCACCCAATTTCTCGGCATCTTGAAGGAGTATTGACTCGGCAGACGGGCAGATCGGATGAGTTCGACAACAGATCGAGGCGTATGGGCTACTCTTCAGACACTCGTAGCCCATCGGGCAACCCTCGTTTTTCACCGAATCGCAGAGATGTGGCTGAGATGTTCGGGGGTTGAGATGGGTTTCGAGGCCGTTGGGACAGGTTCCAACGCAATAATCGGAGCATTGTTCTTGATTGGCGAATGAATTGAAGTGCTCTTCACAATTCGAATGTTCTGTCTGAATACAAATAGGTTCTGAACCTAAGATTAATCTAATTACCTTAAGGTAAACCTAAGGTACATACCTTTTTACACTCCCCCTTCTGATGATCAAACCACCAGGCTAATTCAGGCGAATGCTTCCGACAATTATTCCGATTCTCAAACGGACTTCCACACACAAATTCCTTGCTCGGACAACACGCTCCTTTTTTGCCAGCTCGACCGGTGCACGTGTAATTCCGCGGACAATGCTTGTCCTCGAGACATGAGGCGATGTTGCTGATTGAGTAGCGATCGGCGTGCGGTTCGCCGCGCGGGCAGATGATTTCCGTTGAGCAAAACATCATGCAATCTCCTTTGGATTTGAAATTGTTCTCGTTGCCTCCACAACCACTGAAGGCGAAAGGCCGGCAGGTTTTTGAGGCAGAGTCGAAATAAAATCTAGAATTTTTCAGTTATTTTTTGTTCATTGATTCACGAAATAAAAAAAACGTTTTTATAACGTTAAAAAACCAAAAAAGTGATTCACCAACGGTATTTTTATTCATTTTTTAAAACCATTTTTTTAACACATTGAATAAAGTGAAGCTAAAACGCATTTTAGTGTCCAGAAATGCTATTTCAAAACCTTCTGCTTAAAAATCAAATCAACCCTCACATCTCCCAAAAAATTTAATTGGTAATTGTCGAAAATCAACAATTTAATTTTTAAGGCTGATTAGAAAGTCTTGAAATATCATTTCTGGACACTAAAATGCGTTGTAGCTTCACTTTATTCAGTGTGTTAAGAAAATGGTGAAAAATACCGTTCGTGAATCATTTTTTTAGTTTCTTAACGTTAAAAACGTTTTTTTTTATTTTGTGAATCACTAAAAATTGCAGAATCAAACCTAGTCATCGGTGGAACCCCACAAGGCGATCCTGGATTCACTGAAGACTGACAAATCCGATCAGCCTTCTGACAACACACACTCGTCATACCGCTCCCAACACATTCATGACTTCCCGGACATGGAACTCGCTCTCCATCACATCTCTTGATATTCCCAGCAAAATCCATCAGTGGCATACCTTTTCCGCAAGCCGCCAAACTTTTACAACCCTCCATACATTCGTCTTTGCTAGTGAATCGGTTCTGATTTCCACCACAACCTTCGAACATGAATTCGATGCATTCTCCTGAAGTTCAACAATAGGTTCAGAAGATCAAGAGATCAAAAATCAACTCACGAATATCCGAATCGAAATAATAAGCAGAATGCGGTGTTGTGACACCACAAGAATATCCGACATTTTTCGGAAGTCGACAAAGAAAACCGCCCAATTCACTAGAAATCACTTGAAATAGAAAAAATAGCCAAATCATTTAGGCTAACTTCTTCTTTTTTTTGGATAATACTTATTTACTCATCTCTTTCTTCTTTCTCTCGTATATGGTTGCGACTAAACTCAAGTATTTTGATAAACACCACCCTTGTAAATACAAATTATTGAATTGGAAATGGATAAAAAAGAATATATCAGTTTTGGAGTAACTTTGGGTATGTTAATTTAAGGACGCTAATGAGTTTGGAGATATTTAAACTCACATTATACAGGGTGACCCAAAAAAATATAACAAAATCATCTTGGATTCAGCTTTTAGGAGGTCTTACAATTAGATAACCCATGAGTAAGTCATATTATATTTTTCAATCCTGTTCCCAAGGAAAATTCAAAAACAATTTGTTTTATTTTTTTTTGGTCACCCTGTACAACAAACTTTCATTTTTGACCGCAATATTGCATATTTCGGTCAAAAAACATTATTACAATAGAAAAATCAGTTTTCTTCTATAAATATTGAATATTATTGTTTATTCAAGTGTTTTTTCAACCAAAATTGTCAATTTTCCCGAAAAAAAAAATTTAAAAATTGCAAAAAATAAAAAGAAAACAACGAGACTCCGCATTGACGCCAGGCGCGCGTGGTTCGAATTTCAATTTTTTTCAATCAAATCTTGATAACAATAATTTTCCGAAGATTAATGGTATTAGTGCGAAAAGAAAGCCGAGGAAACAACATAACATCATAAAACCTGATCCACACATACACACCGTGACGCAAAATAATAATTGTCGCAAAAAAAAATTAGATTTTTATCACATTTTTTTTGCATAGCCATTTCTCATTTTTTGTTATTTTTTCACATCAAAATTCTACAAACAAACCGAAAATTCCCAACTTTTTTTTTGCAATTCCTTTCTTTGTGTATTTTTTTATGTGAGATCTCGCATGACTGAACGGGAAATGAGAGATGATAAGCCAAGGTAGCTAGCTAAAAAGACCCACCCCTATTTTCGATCCGATCGCAAAAACTTGTTTATTATTTCATATTTTGCGTTAGCTTTATTTTGTTCAAGAAAATATTCAAGAAACTGAATTTCAGATGCGTTTAATTTGGCTGCTTTTCTATTTTTGTGTTGGTTGGGTTTTGAGTTATCAAGCTCCTGGAGTTTATCCGGAAAATGAGCTGAAAAATGACGTGGAAACGGTGGCAAAGAATCCATATCAGAGTAATGGTTGGAGTGGATATGATTTTTATTATGAGAAAAATCCGGGTGAGTTGGTTTTTTGAGGGAAAAATTATGTAATTGAGGTTGGGCAATTTTTTTAAAAAGCCCTTTAAGGCCTTCTGAGGCCTTCTGAAGCCCTTTAAAACCTTCTGAAGCCTCTTGAAGCCTCCTGAAGCCCCTTAAAGCCTTCTGAAGCTCCCTGAAGCCTTCTGAAGCCTTTTTAAGCCTTCTGAAGCCCTTTAAAGCCCTCTAAAATCTTCTGAAGACTTTTGAAGCCCTTTAAAGCCTTCTGAAGCCCTCCGAAGCCTTCTCAAGCCCTTAAAAGCCTTCTCAAGCCCTCCGAAGCTTTCTGAAGACCTTTAAAATCTTCTGAAGCCCTTTAAAGCCTTCTCCAGCCCTCCGAAGCCTTCTGAAGCCTTTTAAAGCCCTCCTAAGCCTTCTAAGTCCTTCCGAAACCACTTGAAACCTTCTGAAGCCTTCTGAAGCCCTTCAAAACCTTCTAAAGCCTCTTGAAGCCTTCTGAAGCTTTCTAAGCCCTTCCGAAACCACCTTAAAGCCTTCTCAAGCCCTCCGAAGCCTTCTGAAGCTCCCCCTGAGCTTCCTAACGAAATCGAATTTTCAGCAGCCGCTCTGAAAAAACCAACCCCACCCATCTCGACTTCTTCCGACAAAGAATCTCCGACCGATCCAAAAGAAATCGAAGTAGCAGCAAGTAGTACAACAGGTAAACCAACAAGCACTATCAGCACCACCATACCTTCACCAAAACACGCACGCTCACTACCAATTTTTGATGTTGTGCCTGATTATCCCGATGGAATTGATCAGTTGTCTGCGGAAAGTGATTTAGATTTAGACAGAGTTCTGGCTGATACAATGCATCAAGTTATCGGCAAGGTTAAAGGTTTGCACAGTGTTTTGAAAAAAAATTAATTTCTAAAAAAAAATTTTTTCTAGAAGAACGTCTGAACACAAGTTCTAACATCGCACACGCCAAAAAAACTCTAACAGTTCCTGGCGCTTCTAAACTAACACCAATTACACCTTCTTTACCCCAGGCACCAAGTGATGATGAATATGCGAAAATGGTTTTGCCTGATGATGCTGATCTTTCACTTCATGTAATATCTAGCACTACTAGCACTACTAGAAGTGTAACTTCCACACAACCTGTAACTTCACGAGGTCCACCAGCCTCTACACCACCCCCACCGGCACCTGTACCCTATTCAGCACCTCGGGAAGCTTCCGCAACATCTACCAAAGCCTCTCCTGAAGCCACCACCACCACATCTTACCCTGACATCTCAGTTTCATCCGTGATACTACCATCAATTGCACCATACTCTATCTCAATTGTAGCGCACTCATCGAAAATCTATCAACCCAAGTCTGAGCCTGAACTTGTGTCAGCACCGATTCCAGAATCAACTTCTACCTCGGCTTCTCTATCAGAGTATCCAGGGAGTTCTCAAAACCGAGTCGCACCATCCCACCCTGGCACAAATTCTCACTACCTTCCACCATCCCCAGCACCAACACAAACTTCCACATCTCACTCAGGTTATGAAATCCACCAGACAACATCAGCACCATCACAAAACCGAGTTGCACCATCCCACCCTGCCACAAATGCTCACTACGCACCCACCCAATTCAAACCAACTCTTTTGGAGGAGATGTTTGCCACAATGGCACCAAGCCCCTATTTTGTTGCACCCAACAAGATCACACATTCTGCAGATCAACAACAAACTAATTCGCATGCTGAGTCAGACTATGATAATTTTGATAGTGGCTACGAGAGCACAACGCATGAATCAATAATGAGAGAACTTAGTATTAGGGATATTGATCGGATTGGTGGTAAGTTTAGTAACTAGATTATAGTCTTAAACTTTTTCTGTAACTTCTAAGGGGATGACTTCCCAAGGGATGAATACTCCAAAATCCTAGGACTCGCCCAAAATATAGTTATGACGTGGCAAAGTTGCCAGAGCTGTCAAAAATCGGATTCAGAGACAATATTTTTTGAATTCTGATTTCACAGCGTTGTTCAGCAGAGTCGATTTTGTAAGTTCAATACAGTTCGCCACCTGAATTTCAATTTTCCGAACAGACAGTTCGAACCTAGGGTAATCGACTCTGCTGGGCAACGCTCTGAAATAAATCCGATTTTTGACAGTTGTGGCAACTCTGCCACGTCATAACTATATTTTTGGCGAACTCTGGTATTTTTAGAGTGTGCATCCCTTGGGATGATGCCAAAGTTACAGAAAAAGTTTGTTAAGTGAGTCCCAAAAGTTCAAAAAAAAATATTCCAGATGAATTCGAGAGAAATTTGGAGAGCGTAGATTTCGGCGAATCTTTGGCTTCCAACAATTTGAAATCGCTCGCAAGAAAATCGATCAAAAAGTGCTGTTCGTGTTGCGAGTCGGAGAAACAACCAGTTTCTCGTCAAGTTCAAGATTTGCCCGCCGAAGAAGTCTTGATTGCTGAAAATGTTGTACTGCAGCCAGCTTCAGTGGCCGGGGAGGCATATGTTAATCCACCAGCTCCCAGAGCAACTCTAGCTCCACAGCCACAGCCCCAAACAATTTATCAAAACCCGATTGTCCAATATCAATATCCTCAACAGTATCCTCAATCATGCGGATGTTCTGCACCTCCACCACCTGTCAATTGCTGTCCAGCCCCACAACCTTGTTGTCTCCCAACAATCCCGTGCTGCCCTCAGGTTCCCTGCTGTCCCCAGCCAAAGATCTGCTGTCAACCGCCGCCCCTGATCATCCCATCGTGCCCAATTCCATATTGTGGAAGAGCATGTCCGACATGTCCGTGTCGTAGTCGAAGAGTGAAACGATGTGCGGGAAGATCGAAGAGACAGATCGCTCCATTCGTGAGTTCAGGGGAGACACCTTTTGATCGTTGATCTTCGAATCTTTCAGCTTCAATCATCTTGCGGGAATTGCGGAGCTTCGCAACTACGTTCGCCTCGAGTCAAAAGAATGGGATGTTTACCATGTCTTGGTAGAAAGAAGCGAGATACTGATGAGAATTCACATCTTCGCGTGAAACGAATGGTAGGTTCAGGATCTGAAAGTTTTCTACAGCCTTCTAAAGCCCCCTGAAGCCTTCAAAGGCCTTCAAAATTCTTCCAAGGCCTTCTGAAGCCTCTTAAAGCCTTCTAAAGCTTTCTGAAATCACCTCAAGTCTCTTATAGCCTTCGAAGGCCTTCTGAAGTCTCCCAAACCTTCTGAAGTGACCTCGAGCCTTCTGAAGCCTTCTAAAGCCCATCAAAGGCCTTCGAAATCCTCCCAAAGTCTTCTGAAGCCACCACAAGCTTTCTAAATCCTTCTGAAGTCTTCTTAAAGCTAGAACACCCTGAATCTAACCTCCAAATTTCCAAAAACAATAGGTAGAAGCTTCTGAAGCCACCTAAAGCTTCTCATAGCCTTCTGAAGCCTTCTAAAGGCCTTCAGAACACATCGAGCCTTCAGAAGCGACCTAGAGCTTTCTGAAGCCACTTCAAGCCTCTTAAGGCCTTCGGAAGCCTTCTGAAGATTTTTGAAGCCTTATGAAGCCTTTTGAAGCCTTCAAAGGTCTTCTAAAACCTTCTGACCCCTCCTCCAGCCTTCTGAAGCCTTCAAAATCCTTCTGAATCTCACAATCCAACTTCCAGGGCTGTCTTCCATGTTTGGGACGAAAAAAGAGAAGCGCCCCAAATTGCTCACAATGCTCAAACCTCGCTCAAATCTTCCAACGCCACAAAAGATCCATCGGAACTGGTTGCACCCAATGTACTGCCGCTTCTAGAACCAAACGAGAAGTTCCATGCGATTGTCAACAACTTCGTGGGAAGCGTTCGATCACTAAAAGGAAGCGAAACATCGGAGAGACTTGCGATAAATCATGCTGTGACTATTCGAAATGTTTGAACCGCGCAAAAAAGAGCAATCCATAAATGCTCTTCGTCTTGCCTGATTTTTTGTCGAAATCGGTTGAGATGTGTGTTTTTTCTACGGGTAATCAATATATTTATGTTCATTATTATTATTATTTTCATATTTCGCTTACCTCATAATTAGAATGTGAATAAATTATAAGTTGTGTTGTGTCTTTTTGTTTTTGGGGGTTAATTTATTATAATTGAAAAATGCGAGATTTTGTAGTATACAAGGATTATTGGCTAAGCTGTTCTCAAAAATTGATATTTGTAGTTATAAAGTGTAGTTAGCGTAACATTTCTAGAAATCAAGATTTTTTGATTTTTGGAGGAAAAAACCCCAGGGAAATAATGAGGTGATTCAAGTTGAAAAAAAATAATAAAAAAACAAAAAATTTCCATTCAGCAAATGTCAAAAAACTATATTTTTTTCACAAAAATTTTTGAAAAATGTCAAAAAATAGGAAAAAATATAGTTTTTTGACATTTTCTGAATCGAAATTTTTTGTTTTTTTTTAATTATTTGTTTTTCGACTTGAAAATTCAAATTTCAGCACTAGAGAATTTCAGCACAGCCTACAATTCCCGTATGTCCCTTTGACTATAGCTTGCCACGTGGCAAAACCTATACCACCCATGCAACAAAATCGTGTCAACTAGCTTTAGCCAAAAAACCCACTCCCCCTCCATATTTTTTACTATAGCTCCTATCGAGCTCCAGGCCAGCTCTCACATGAAAATCCATATTCGTGCCCGGGTGAAAAAGAGCACACACATTCTTCTTCTTCTTCTCTCTCACATACACGTCTTCTTCTTTTTCTTCTTCTTGTTCAAAATTTTGTTTATGCCCACACTGAGAGCAGTCAGTAGGCAGTAGTAGCTCCTTCTTCTTCCATTTTCCCCCACCCCTTCTTGTTTTGTCGTGTGTGTGAGAGCACCTCCTCCCCGCCTGCTCATATAAGGCAAGACAGAAAAGAGGGCGGAGAGAAGCAGGCAGACGGGCTCCTCCTCGAGAGGAGGCAAAAAAGAGCCGCGAGCGAATATGTGTATTGATGGATCCCGCATTCTCGCTTTTTTTTGTCTTGGCCAGGCTTGTGCGGAAAATTTCGGAAAACCGTGTTTTTCCGATTCCTTGATTTTTCGGAAAATCGGAAAATTTCGGAAAAATTTCAATAAAGGCTTCGTGCAAATTAACTTTGAACAACTGGCGGCGTGGGTTTTGACGATATTTTGTCACTTTTGTTGAATATCACTAACAAGTTTCTATGGTTTTTAGAAATACCAAAATTATGTTGTGATAAATTTAGCAAAAAATCTTGAAAACTGTAATTTTTTCACCTTTTCGGAAAATTATTGGTTCCGTAAAATTTTCGGAAAAATTATTTTGGCGCGACCCGGGTTCAATCCCCACCCGGCGCAACCCGGGTTCAATCCCCACCCGACGCAACCCGGGTTTAAACCCCACCCTGCGCAACCCGGGTTCTATCCCCACCCGCCGCTTTTTTTTTTTCGAAAATAGGATTTTTCCCTTTTATGAGAGCCCTACATGCAAGGGTTCCTTTTTCTCTGCTCCCTCTCTAAATCTCTCACTCTCTCGCTCACTTTTTTTCATGCAGCTGTTTATATTTTCCATGTATACACGGTCTCTTCTCCCGTCCGGGTTTTTTTTCCATCTGTCAGTTTCTCAATTCTCTTTTATTTTAGTATTTGTAGATGTCAGCATCGGCTGAGATCTCAACATCGGCATCAATCGGACAATTGTTGCGTGCACAGTTCGCTTTGAACAATATGACGACGAATGAGGAGAAGCCGAAGACTGTTGGATTCAATGGTGAGTTGGAATTTGGGGCGAGGAGTTTGGCTAACTTGAAATCTAGATTTTAGATTCGGAAGTTTTTCTGGAAATTTGTATGACCACAAATTTGCGCTTTACGAAAAAAATTTCTTTTTTTCTCATTTAATAGTAGGTTCAGATTAGGCCTCAGACATCACAGGATCATTTTTCCAAAAAAATCCTCTTACACTAACTTTTCTAAAATTTTGAAATCTAGAAAGACTATGACTATACAATTTTTTTGTACGAAAAAAAAAACTTTTTTTTTTCGAAAATAACAAAAAAAAGTTCCCACAACAATTTGTTGAGGGAATCTTTTTTTGAAAATAAATTTTCTGAAAACTAGAAAATTTCCGAAATTCCAAAAACAAACTGCAGATCAAAATTGTACGCCTTCTGAATTCTATTGAAGCCTCCAAAAGCCTTCTGAAGCCTCCAAAAGCCTTCTGAAGTTTCAACAATTTTTCTGAAGTTTCAAAAATCCTTCTGAAGCCTTCTGAAGCCTACAAAAGCCTTCTGAAGCCTACAAAACCCTTCTGAAGCCTCCAAAAGCCTTCTGAATCCCATTGAAGCCTATTGAAGCCTTATGAAGCCTTCTGAAGCCTCCAAAAGCCTTCTGAAGCCTCTAAAAGCCTTCTGAAGCCTCCAAAAGCCTTCTGAAGTCTCCAAAAGCCTTCTGAAGCTTCCAACAGCCTTCTGAAGCCTCTAAATACCTTCTGAAGCCCTCAAAGAGCCTTCTGAAGCCTACAAAAGCCTTCTGAAGCCTTCAAAAGCCTCCTAAGAATATGTCCAGCGCTAGAACACCGTAAATCTAATCTCCAAATTTCCTCCAGAATCCGAAAACATGCGTCTCTACGAGCTATACAGCAACAAACGCGAAGAATATCACTCAACACGACCATCCGGGCAACGAAATGAGGAAGTACCCATGGTAAGTATCTAGTAGTAGGAGCAGTTGATGACAGATGTTCCCCCATCCCCTTTTCCGAAATATAATGAGAGTGTTCTTCTTCTAAAATGGGAAGGAAGGCAGGTGTCACCCACCCGGGCGAGCACAACAAAAATGTTTACATTTTGTGTGGTTTTGGGAGCGGAAAGGGAAAGGGAAGGGAAACATTGAAAGCAATTAGTGGCTGAACAATTTATTTTTGAAATTTCAAACATTCTAGACTAGATTTTGAGCATTTTTCAATTGAATCAGGGTGATCATTTTTTATTCTAGACTAGATTTAAGCTCCTAAGCTAAAAATAAGGTTTTCAGATTATTTTTAAGGGCCTTGGCTCAAAAATAATGGTTTTAAGCCATCTTAAGGGTCGTTAGCTCAAAATTAAGGGTTTTCAGCCATTTTTAAGGTCCTTAGCTCAAAAATAAGTTTTTTAGACCGCAATTTAAGCTCCTAAGCTTAAAATAAGGGGTTTCAAGGCATCTTTAAGGTCGTTAGCTAAAAATTAAGGGTTTTCAGCCATTTTTAGGAGCCTTAGCTCAAAAATAAGTTTTTTAGACCGCAATTTAAGCCCCTATAAGCTAAAAATAAGGGTTTTGAGCCATTTTTAGGGGCTTTAACTCAAAAATTCGGATTCTAGGCTATTTTTAAGCTCCTGGGCTCAAAAATTCGGATTCTAGGCCATTTTTAAGTTCTGGGCTCAAAAATTCGAATTCTAGGCTATTTTTAAGCTCCTGGGCTCAAAAATTCGAATTCTAGGCTATTTGTAAGCTCCTGGGCTCAAAAATTCGAATTCTAGGCTATTTTTCAGCTTCTGGGCTCAAGAATTCGGATTCTAGCCTACTTTTAGGCTCCTGGGCTCAAAAATTCGGATTCTAGGCTATTTTTAAGCTCCTGGGCTCAAAAATTCAGATTCTAGGCTATTTTTAAGCTCCTGGGCTCAAAAATTCGGGTTCTAGGCTACTTTTAAGTTTCTGAGCTCAAAAATTCGGATTCTAGGCTATTTTTAAGATCCTGGACTCGAAAATTCGAAAAAAATCCAGAATCTAGCCAAAACCATAATTCCAGGACACCCTAGCTCGAGAATGGGCAGCCGAAATAACCTCAATGGGTTTCGCCGAGCGAACTCCCGCCCAAATCAAGCAACGCATTCGAGACATGCGAAAATTCTCGCGAAAACACGCTCACAAGCTCGGTATAACCGGGTTGAGCAATTCATCCTCTTCACCAACACCTTCAACGATTTCCTCCGCATCTGGGCTAGATTTAGACAAATTATCAGCTGAATTTAATTGGGCTGAGACGAAGAGGAGATCAAGGGGACCAGTGCCTGATTGGATGTCTGGACTGGCGCAGATCATGATGACTGAACAAGAGAAACATCAGGAGGAGGCTGATGTTACGAGTGATGTGATGGATGCGACATTTGGACCGAAGGCGAAACGATTGAAGTTGGCGAAACAATCACAACCCAATCAACATACACATGCTGAACTTATGAATCAACAAAAAGCGAGTATTGAACAACAATTGATTATTCAGAAATTGAAACAGCAACAACAAATTAAGTTGGAAGAGGAGGAAGCGAGAAGAAGAGATCGGGAGATACGAGAAATGAGTCCGGAAACTGCATTGATTGAGAAGAAGTTACAGTTGGCTGATGCGAAATTGGAATCTGAACGATTACGGCAACAGGTAATTCGGATTCTAGATCATTTCTGAAGTCCAGAGCTCAAAAAATTGGATTCTGGCTCGAAAATTCGAATTCTGGGTCGTTTTGAAGCTAAGCTCAAAGATTTGGACTCCAGGGTCATTTTTGAAGTTTCAGAGCTCAAAAATTAGGTTTTAAAACCATTTCAAAAGTTCTAGGCTCGAAAACTTGGATTCTAGATCATTTTTAAAGTCCTAGGCTCGAAAATTTGGATTCTTGGTCATTTTTAAGGTCGTGAGCTCAAAAATAAGGGTTTTATGCCATTTTCAAGGTCCTAGGCTCAAAAACAGGTTTTAAAACCATTTTTAAGATCCTAGGCTCAAAAATTTTGGATTTTTTAGCTCCTAGGCTCAACAAAAATTTGGATTCTACGTCATTTTTCAAACTCCCAAGCTAAAGAATGAGGTTTTTAGATATTTTTTAGCAACCTTAGCTGAAAAATTCAAATTCTTGGCCCGAGCTCAAAAACGAGGTTTTAAAACCATTTTTCTAGGGTCAAAAATAAGGGTTTCATGCCATTTTCGAGGTCCTAAGCTCGAAAATTCAGATTCTGAGCCATTTTAAGCAACCTTAGCTTAAGAATGAGGTTTTTAGGTCATTTTTAAAGTCCTAGACTCGAAAATTTGGACTCCAGGTCATTTTGAAGGTTCAAAGCTCACAACTTCGAATTTTGCGTCATTTTCAAGGTCCTAAGCTCGAAAATTTGGATTCTTGGTCATTTTTAAGCTCCCAAGCTCAAAAATGAGGTTTTAGGTCATTTTTAGGCGCCTGAGCTCACAAATTGGATTTTTCAAGTTACTAGGCTCGAAAATTCGAATTCTTGGTCATTTTCAAAGTCCTTAGCTCAAAAATCAGGTTTTTAGGCCATTTTCAAGGTCCCAAGCTCAAAAAATTGAAGTTTTCCCGCTGGAATCTCAGATCTCAACAAAACTTGTCAATTTCAGGCTCTTCGACTCGAAATCTCTTATTACCAACGTCAAACTCAACTCTACGACGAACAAATTCTACAAACTGCCAACGAATTAGCCACGTCAACAAGTCCAGTTGTGGATTTTCTGAATTTCAAGTTAAACGGATCGACGAAAATTGAAATGGATTAGATGTTCACAACTATTTAGATCTCCAAATTCGGGTTTATTTTATTTTTTTTTGAATTTTCTTGCCATAAATAAATATCTTTTGAAGATAATCTTCATGACGAATTATTTTGTGGTGGATTTTTTGTAGTAACCATATCAGATGGTTCCAATTCCGATGGATTTGTTGAGTGAAAAACTTTTCGAATATGCTTGTGATATCCAAAAATATAGGAGAGTGGGATAACAAAATCACATTCTGGTCGTAAATTGCACAAGAGGAATTGGAGATTGTAGGTGGAAAATACGGGAAGATTGAAGTGAGCAAAAGCGATGAGAGATGTTTGGAGCTGTGATTTTTGAATTTGTGTATCTGGATCAAGGGAGGAAAATCCGAAAATTCTAGGAACGAACGAAAAAAAGTGTTTTTTTTTACGTTGAAAAATCAATTCACGAAAAGTCGTCGGTCAAAATTAATTTTTCAAGTTTTTCAGCCAAAAACCCTATTTTTTCTCATTTTATCAATTTTTACGGAATTCGCACGGAAAATCAGCAAAAATTCTGAAAAGTGAAAAATTCCAAGGTCAATTTTCATCACAAATCACTCCAGAAGCTTCAAAAATCCCGATTTTTCATCATTTTTGGCTGAAAAACTTGGAAAACTAATTTTGGTCTACAATGTTTTTTCGGCATTTTTTGACTTTTCGTGAATTGATCTTTCGACGTAAAACTCAGAGAAACAGGCTGGAGAACCGGCGGAGAAAACGACATGTCGGCGAACTCTCGGACAACCGGCGGAGTGTCTCACCTACACTATTTCGCCGAAACTTTTGTCCACCGGTTGTCCGAGAGTTCGCCGACATGTCGTTTTCTCCGCCGGTTCTCCAGCCTGTTTCTCTGAGAAAAAACTTTTTCAACATTTTTCTAGAATTATTTTTTTCTAATTTTATCAATTTTTACGGAATTCGCCTTGTAAATATTGAAATTTTTTATTTTACGAAAAATCAGCAAAACCTTCTGAAAAGTGAATTCCAAGGTCAATTTTCATCACAAATCACACCAGAAGCTTCAAAAATCTCGATTTGGCATCATTTTTGGCTGAAAAACTTGGAAAACTAATTTTGGTCTACAATGTTTTTTCGACATTTTTTGACTTGTGAATTGATCTCTCAATGTTTGAAAAAAAATTTTGAACATTTTTTCGTTCGTAAATCAGCCCTAAAACATTGTCGGTCAAAATTAATTTTTCGAGTTTTTTAGCCAAAAATGATGACAAATCGAGAATTTTCAAGTTCCTGGAGTAATTTCTGATGAAAATAAGCTTCAAGAACCCTATTTTATCAATTTTTAGGGAATTCGCACGGAAAATCAGCAAAAATTCTGAAAAGTGAAAAATTCCAAGGTCAATTTTCATCACAAATCACTCCAGAAGCTTCAAAAATCTCGATTTGTCATCATTTTTGGCTGAAAACTTGGAAAACTAATTTTGACCTACAATGTTTTTTCGACATTTTTTGACTTTTCGTGAATTTCAATGTTAAAAAAAACATTTTCAAACAGTTTTTTTTCGTGAAATCAGAACTCAAAACTAGTGTCTCTAACACTAAGAAAAATCGGGAAATTTCAAAATTCGACAACTTTGCCACGTCAAATTCTATCCTCACCGTGGATGCCATAAAAATCGGAATATTCTGATAAATAATAGCCAACTCGGCAATTTTCCTCGTTTCTGACATCACATTTTTATTGAGTTTTATACTGACCAACAAAATCAAATGTAAAAACAACGAGATGAGCGGGATAATTTGATGGATTCCCAGGAGAATATAATCACCTATTGTTATTTGGTTAATAAGGTTTAGATAACTTCCAACTTTCTCAGTGAACGGTCTTGAGTCATATTCAAACATTGAAGTTGAAGCTTGGACTTTAGCCTCAACATCAGCCCCAACTTCAGCTCCACATGTCTCATTTCCAATTATAATATGATATGCTTTACAAAAACCATCCGCACAGCGATCATATTTATAATTAATCATTCCAGAGATAAAAATCAGATGAATCATAGTAATAGTATACTGTAGGGGTTTTCCCTGAACATATTTGGAAAGGAATTGGATGTTTAGCATGATTACGATTCTTTGAAGAGCGATCATAAGGAGGAAGAGATTTAGGATGATGTGAGATGATTCGAAGGCGAGTACGAAGAATTCGCTGGAAATCGCAAAAGTGCTTTGTTCGATGGAGCGCATTTGAATTTCTCACATCTCCGATTCGTATTTTGTAACAAAACCTGTCATAAAATACGGTATAGTATGAATCATAAAAACTTGTCCAAGAAGCACTAGAAAAATACTCGAATACAATGGAAATACAATAGCTTCTTTCTCTTTTTTTCGAAATTCGTAGAAAATCAAAAAATAGATCAGGCGAATTGAAATCACAATCAATAGGTAATATAAAACCATTTTATATTTTTTTTAACTTCAAATTTTGAGATTTTCAGCAAGTAAATTAGAGCTTTAGCTGAAAATGTTACCGATAATTATAGCTTTCTATAAAGGTGACATGGAAATGTCAAGAAAATGCAGCTCAAACCAGCATTTTCCCCAAAAAAAAAACGAGACTCCGCGTTGACGACAGGTTTGCGCGCATTGTTTGAATTTTTCAATTTTTTCAATTGCATCAAACTAGACTATAGTTAAATTAAGCTAAATTTATGATCTGAAATCAAATTTCAGCCAAAAATTAACAATTTTCAAGGAAAAATCAATTTTGTCTTGAATTTTTTCATCGCCAGAAATTTTGAATGAAAAAAATAAAAAGAAAACAACGATACTCCGCGTTGACGACAGGTTTGCGCGCATTGTTTGAATTTTTCAATTTTTTCAATTGCATCAAACTAGACTATAGTTAAATTAAGCTAAATTTATGATCTGAAATCAAATTTCAGCCTAAAAATTAACAATTTTCAAGGAAAAATCAATATTGTCTTGAATTTTTTCATCGCCAGAAATTTTGAATGAAAAAAATAAAAAGAAAACAACGATACTCCGCGTTGACGACATGTTTGCGCGCGTTGTTTGAATTTTTCAATTTTTTCAATTGCATCAAACTAGACTATAGTTAAATTAAAGCTAAATTTAAGATCTGAAATCAAATTTCGGCCAAAAACTAACAATTTCCAACGAAAAATCAATTTTGTCTTGAAATTATTGAATTTTTTCATCGCCAGAAATTTTGAATGAAAAAAATAAAAAGAAAACAACGATACTCCGCGTTGACGACAGGTTTGCGCGCGTTGTTCGAATTTTTTCAATAGCATCAAACTAGACTATAGTTGAACTAAGCTAAATTTGAGATCTGAGAGCAAAATGATGACCAAAAAAAGAAAACAACGATACTCCGCGTTGACAGCAGGTTTGCGCGCGTTGTTTGAATTTTTTGAATTTTTTCAATTGCATCAAACTAGACTATAGTTAAATTAAGGCTAAATTTAAGATCTGAGAGCAAAATAATGATTTTTCATTATACAACGATACTCCGCGTTGACGGCACCGGGTGTGGTTCGTTTTTTTTCTCTTTTTTTCTGTTTTTTTTCACAACATTTTAGGCTAATGATAAAATGCAATAGGGTGAGAGGAAGAGATTTAGAGAAAAACATAAAAAAATTCACGTTTTGTTGATTATTCGCGTGAACTCTTGTCGCCTCGCTTCATTTTTCAAAAAAACAAAGAAAAATAATACATGTGTGTATAGCGCTTGGCCATTTGTTTGATCAATGTCGGCAATACGTTTGAACGACCTCTCAGGAAATGTTCGAAAAAATGGAGTTTTTGTTCTCATTTGAGCACGTTTGCCCACTAAAAACGTATGTTTTCTCTAGAATCTCTCTCCTCTCATCCAATTGCGTTTCGGAACGTTGTGTTTTTTCCACAAGCCCCCCAAAACCACATACTTTCAAGACCAAATTTTCATCAAAATCCAATCAATCAAAAGTTCAAATCTTTCTTCTTGAAACTCGCCGAATCAGCATACGGCCAAATCTTTTTCGCCATTTGAATTCGAGTCGTCGGCTTGAAGTTGTTCGCCTCTCTTTTTGAGCTGACAGATAGTGCCGTGTTGATTTCTTCGAGTTGTTTTCCGGGATTTTCGAGCTCCCATTCGAAGCGACCGAAAAATGAGCCTTTGACACGTTTGAAGCCGGCGAAACACTGCAAAAAATTGGGATTTTTGATAAGGTTTTCCGAAAAATCAATTTTTGGCGTTCAGAATTCTCCAGAATCCCCCAGAAGCCTCCATAAGCGCTCAGAATCCTCCTGAATCCTTCAGAAACCTTCAGAAGGTTACTGAAGCCCATAGAAGACTTCAGAATCCTCCAGAAGCCCTCAGAAGCCTCCAGAAGTCCTAGGAAGCCCTCAGAATTCTCCAGAAGCTTAAAGTAGCCTACAGAAGCCTTCAGAAGCCTCTAGAAGCCCTCAGAAGCCTCCAGAAGCTCTCAGAATCCTCCAGTAACCTTCGGAAGCCTCCAGAAGCTCAAAGAAGCCTCCAGAAGCTCTCAGAATCGTCCAGAAGCCTCCCAGAGTTCTCTGATGCTTCGAAATGCCTCCAGAAGCCTCCAGAAGCCTCCAGAAGCCTCTAGAATCCTCCAGAAACCCTGATAAGATTTCAGAAACCTCCATAAGCGCTCTTCAGAAACCTTCAGAAGGTTCCTGAAGCCCATAGAAGACTTCAGAATCCTCCAGAAGCCCTCAGAAACCTTCAGAATCAATCAGAAGCCTCCAGATTCTTCCAGAAGCCCTCAGAAGTCTCCTCAAGGCACCAGAAGCTCTCAGAATCCTCCAGTAACCTTCGGAATTCTCCAGACGCCCTCAAAATCCTCCAGAAGCCTCCAGAAGCGTTCAGAAGCCCTCATTAGACTTCAGATGCTCTCAGAAGCATCCAGAAGTCTCCAGAAGACTTTAGGAGCCCTCAGAAGACTTCAGAATCTTCCAGAATCCTCCAGAAGCCCTCAAAAGCTCTCCAAAGCCCCCAGAAACCTTCAGAAGCTCTCATAAGCTTTCAGAATCCTCCAGAATCCCTCAGAACCCTTCAGAATCCTCCAGAAGCCTTCACAAGCTGTTAAAAGCCCTCAGAAGGCTTCAGAAACCCTCATAAGACTTTAGAAACCCCCAAAATCCTCCAGAAGCCTCCAGAATTCTCCAGAATCCTCGAGAAGCCCTCATAAACCCTCAGAATCCTCCAGAAGCGCTCAAAATCATCCAGAAGCCCTCAGAAGCCTCCAGAAGCCCTCAGAATCCCTTAGAAATCTCTGGATTCCTCCAGAAGCCCTCAAAATCCTTCAGAAACCTTCGGAATCCTCCAGAAGCCTTCAGAAGCTTCAAGAAGCCCTCAGAAGACTTCAGAACTCTCCAGAAACCTGCAGAACCCCTCAGAAGACTTTAGAAGCCTCCAGAAGCCCTCAAAAGCGCTAAAAATCATCCAGAAGCCTTCAAAAGCCTCCAGAAGCCCTCAGAATCTCCCAGAAGCTTAAAAAAAGCTACAAAAATCCAGAGGGCTTCAGAAGCCTCTAGAAGCCCTCAGAAGCTTCCAGAAGCCTTCAGAAGCCCTCAGAAGCCTCTAGAAACCTATGGAAGCCTCAGAAGCCCTCAGAAGCCTCCAAAATCTCACCTCACTCCAAAGTCCAAAATAATCGGGACGACTCTTATATTCCAACAAATTCAAATACTTATAAATATTCAAAAACTCTTTGGGACATCCCTTAAACAAAACATCCGGTGCACAAGTCTGTTTGAATTTATAAATCTCCTTCTCATCTGTCAAACGACGCCACGGTAAACCACAATGCAATTCGACCAACATATACAACCAACTCCACAAATCATCAACACGTCCCTGCTCTTTTCTCGCATGCACATTCAAACTACAATATCTTGGTGTTCCTCGAAATAATTGATCGCCTTTTCTCGCTCTTCTCATCGCAATTTCTCCATCGTCTTTTGTCGCCGTGAATTGTCGCACCATTCCATAATCAATCAAATAAACATTCTTCGTATCGGCTCCCAATGTTCCAGTCACACAATTTCCCGGTTTGATGTCTCGATGAGTAAAACCCACTTCGTGGATTTGTTTGATTGCGAACAGTGTAGCCATGCCAAGGCGGAGTGTCGTTTGTTCGGAGAGTTTGGGAATGTTGGCGGTTCTTTTGTGAGCCATTAAATCTTTTCCAAGGAGTGTCATCACCATGAAACTGTAACAAAAAGAAATTTGTGCATTTTTGCGTCACGGTGTTTACACACACAGTGCGATTTTCTTTATTGTCGAAGCTGAAAAATGTGGCGCGTGCGGCTGTGCGTCGCAGTCGGGAAACAATGGGAAATATTATCGAAAATCTCATCGGTACCACTCGCTCCACCGAAATAAACACGCAACGCAGACCGCGCCGCGCCACAACACACACAAATAAGAGAACGATTCAAATTCCCTCCCGTTTTTGTGTGTGGTGTGGCGCGGCGCGGTCTGCGTTGCGTGTTTATTTCGGTGGAGCGCGTGGTACCGATGAGATTTTCGATAATATGAATTATTGATTGTTTTCCGACCGCGACGCATAGCCGCACGCGACTCAACTCTGCACTGGTCTTTATTTTTTACGGCTGCCACATTTTTCGGCGAGAAATTTTTTGAAAGAGGAGAGAAAGCGCGCTCTATCGCACAAGATTTTGAAATTAAAGGCGCACACATTTTTGTTGAGGCAGGTCTCGCAGCGATTTCGCCTGGCATGAAAACCCAGCCCCCCCGCACTCACCAATAATTCCCTCTTTCCCCCGAATCCAAAAGCCTCGCACAATTCTTACTATCACTCAACTGCTTCAAAACATGCACCTCCAACTTCAAAACCCCTCCATCCGTCAAATCTGATTCCACTTTCATCGCCGCGTGCATATTGAAACGCGTCAAATCGCGCACCTTGAACACCGCACCCATTCCACCTTCGCCCAACTTCTCCACAATTTTCCAGCGTTTTGCAATGATTTTTCCCTCGGTCAACGCTTTAATTTCCTCCATTTCTACTTCTTTGTCTCGTTTTACTTGTAGCTATTTATTTTTTGCTATAAAAGCTGTTAGTTTCTAAATTTTGCGAAATTCTAAAATGACTGGATTTTTGATTGGAGGGGGACAGGTTTCAATTCAAAATTTTATGGTGTCACGTGGAAAATAAAATCTTTAGCATTTTTTAATACAGCTTTTTCCTGAAAAAAGCGAAAAAATAAAAAGAAAACAACGATACTCCGCGTTGACGGTAACGCGCGTTTTTTGAATTTATTGATTTTCCAGTTTTTCAACGACTTTCTTATCTGAATTTTCTCATCAAACTAGACTATAGTTAAACTAAGCTTTTAGTACTTAAATTTTTCTTCGAAAAATTCAAAAAATAAAGTATTTTTTTGGAATACGCCCAATATTTGTCCTATAAAATCAGCCTTCGAAAGATCTCAATCAAAAAATAATGACAGCTATTGGTAGAAACTTTTTCATATTTTCCTTCTCAATTTTTCTAATTTTATTCATCCAAGCGATTTTACAAGAAAGATACACCTATAAATATTCCAAAATTCCAACTCGCTTCAAATGCGAACCTCAAAAAAATCATTATCATCATCATGAAGAGAAATATATCACCCTAACTTTCAAAACTATTCGAGGCGGTGCTGGTTTGGGAAATCAACTTTTCGAGATTTTTGCGCTTCTTGGAATGGCTCGGACTTTGGGAAGAGTTCCATTCTTCAATGAGCAAGATCCGAGCGTTGTGAATAATCTGGGATTATTGTTGGAGACTGTGCCGAAGGCTGTTGATGAATTCAAGATTCTAGCGATCACAAATCGAAGTTTGGCCACAGTATATCGAAATTCGCCAGCTTGTTGTATGTTTGAAATGCATCCATTATTGAAGTGTGAAACTTATCAATATGTGATTATTGATGGATTCAATTTTCAGGTTAGTGATGTGTTTTCTCGCTGGAAAGCGGATTTCGACCAAATTTCTGCAAATTTATCACATAAAGACTTCTTTTACTACGAAAAACAAAAAATTCTTTTTCGAAAACAAAAAGAAAACAACGATATTCCGCTTGCCCGCGCTTTAGCGTAAATTTGATTTCGAGTTTTCTCTGGGAATTTTGAGGAAAAAATGAAAACCCCTAGTTTTCCTATATTTTCAGAGCTTCAAATACTTCGAAAATCTAAAAATCCGCGATTTTTTCACACCTTCTCCCGAGCAAAAACTCAAAATCGATCGGAAAATCAAAGAATCTTCGAATACTACCTGTATTCATTATCAAAGAGGCGATTTTCTTCTCGATAATCTGCACGAGGGTACAAATGGAACATATCTGAAGAAATCAATTGAATTTCTGAGGGAAAACTATTCAACCGGCTCGATTTATATATTTGGAAATGATCCGAAATGGGTTCAAGATCTCATGGAAAATAATGATTATAAATCAGAAAAAATTCACATAATGAATACTCCAATGAAAAATGCCCTAGAAGATCTACACTTCTCCCATCAATTCTGTGAATCTGTGATCATCACAGCTCCATCTTCAACCTTCGGATGGTTTATGGGATATTTATCAAAAAATCAGCGAAATGTATATTATCGAGATATTTACGATACAATGGATTTGGTCAAACATCAAATGATTTCGGCTGATTTTTACCCGCCAATTTGGAAGATTTTGAAATTTTAATTAGAAAAAATCATTTATTTTTCTTGTTTTCTTTACCCAAGATATTGACTCCTCTCAAAAGTCTTCAAATTCTGATGATTATTCGTGTGGAATCTCTCTTTGGGAGGCGGTGGAGCTCGAGCTTGAACTTGTGGAGCATGACAGACTGGAGCTTGACACGGTGTATTCGGAACCGCAGTATTTTGCGGGCTGATTTGAGGTTTATGTTGAGCAGTTGGGACAATTGGTTTAGGCTGAAAATTTATAGATTTTTGAAAGGATTTTGGTTTTTGAACCGGAAAATTCAGAAAATTTGTAATGTTTTGAATTTTTCCAGTTTTTTCACAGGAAATTCAATCTTTCAGTTTTCCGGAAGTGATTTTTAATAGTAATACCTTCAAGATTGCTCGATTTTCACAGAAAATTAGTTCAGAGCCTGACAAGAATGCATTTTTTCAAATTATTTTCTGGTTTTTAGAGCTAAAACGTCTTTCCAGCAGTTACTAAATCACCTGTAAATGGAAAAAACTCTAGATATTACACAGTGCCCCCAACGCGTAGCCAGAGAAAAGTTGTGCGCATTTTTGGTGCATGTGCGGTAGAGCGCACAAGCCTGTTTGTCGATTTTTTGAAAATTTAACACTAGGTTTTTTCTTGAAACGATTAGAATTGAATTATACTTGCATGAAAACTCCCAAACTGAGCTATATGTTCTGGAGAATAATGAGAGGAACATTTTGATATAAAACATGTGAAGATTGAATTCAAAATGAGTTAGTTAATATCTTTTGAAGTAAAACAATTCAAATTTTATGAATGAAAAATGTGATTCGGGACTTGTTTTATGATAAATATGTGAATTAGAATACTTTTAAGGTGTTTTAAGAATTATTTGATCAAAATAAACTTCTGAAATCTAGTTTTTTGGTCATTTTTGGGCAAATTTCGATGGAAAAGAAAATAACAAAAACGGCATATTTTCGAATCATTATTGATTTTACATATTCTAGAAGTTCTATTTCAATGTTTTGGATGCATACAACTGAATTTTATCAGCTTTCCTGGGTCAAAAATGATGTTTTTCAACAAGCTATTTTTTGAAGAGCTATTGCTCATTTCATTCTCAACCATATTTCATGAAACGACTTGGAATAGCTTCAATTTTTCTTCCTCTGTCTTCTCCATATTCGATTTAGTTACAAAAATTCCATTTCCAGCATTTTTCAGCAAGAAAACAAAAGCGCAAAAAAAGATAAGAGAGCGCGCTTTGCTGAAGAGACCGATGAGAGATAGAGAAAAAACGAGAGAGTGTGTGGAGTGTGGAGTGCTGGCGCAATACGCGTTCGGGACACTGTGTATTATCGAAAATCTTATCGGTACCACGCGCTCCACCGAAATAAACACGCAACGCAGACCGCGCCGCGCCACAACACACACAAAAAAGGGAGGGAATTTGAATCGTTCCTCTATTTGTGTGTGTTGTGGCGCGGCGCGGTCTGCGTTGCGTGTTTATTTCGGTGGAGCTCGTGGAGATTTTCGATAATAAAAGTGCTGAAATTTGAAATTTCAAAAAATTTTCCGATTTTCCAGCATTCATAGTTTCGTTGAAACACTCAAATAATTTCAAAAATTGAGATTTCTTGAAGATATCACTATTTTTGCGGATTTTCCGATACCAACCTCCACATGAAAAACGCCTGGCGCCGCTTTCACCGGGCTCAAAGCAAGCCGCAATTCTTTGGGAGCTGCTGCTGGAACATGAGCCACCTCCTCTTTCTTCTCATTTTTCTGCGGTTCAGGACCACTTTCATTGTCATCCGAACTTTCATCCTTGCTATTATTCTTCTTCTCTTTTTCCTTCTCTTTCTCTTTCTCTTTCTCCTTTTCTTTCTCTTTTTGCGTTGGAATCGGAGCCAACGCTTCTGGAGCCGTGTTTTTGGCAGCCGGCGCGCGAGTCTGCACAAATTGACTGATATTCCAGGTGAGGAGTTCGATACGGTCATCAAGATCCGAATCATCCCAATAGCCATTGTCTTTTCCGTAGTTGAGAATCACTTCGATGATTGTCATGTATTGAACATCGACTTGAACACTTCCCAGGCGACTGTCTGCAAAAAATTTTCGGGAATTTAACAGGATTTCACCAAAGGGTCATTTTTTGACATATGAATGTTCAAAAAAACCAATTTTAGGTTGAAAATTCCAAGTTTTTCATAAAAAATTCAAAATTTGGGCATAGCTTCCGCATCTTTGCTGAAATTCCAATAAAAATCTGAAAAATGCTAGATTTTCTCCAGTTTTTCAGATTTTTATCAGATATTTCAGAATTTGAGCGGTGAATTCTGATTTTTGAAGTCGAAATAAAAAAACATTTTTTTAACGTTAAAAAGCCAAAAAAGTGATTCACCAACGGTATTTTTATTCATTTTTTCACCATTTTCTCAACGTGAAGCTAAACCGCACAGAATTGCTATTTCAAGAGCTTCTAATCAGCCTAAAAGACAAATCAAGTCAAAAAAATCACATTTTTTTGGGAGATTTTGTCTTTCAGGCTGATTAGAAGCTCTTGAAACAGCATTTCTGTGTGTTTTAGCTTCACGTTGAGAAAATGGTGAAAAAATGAATAAAAATACCTTTCATGAATCACTTTTTTGGTTTTTTAACGTTAAAAACCGTTTTTTTTTATTTCGTGAATCACAACCTCAAAAATCGAAATTTACCGCTCAAATTCTGAAATATCTGATAAAAATCTGTAAAACTGGAGAAAATCTAGCATTTTTCAGATTTTTATTGGAATTTCAGCGAAAGCTATGCCCAAATTTTGAATTTTTTATGAAAAACTTGGAATTTTCAATCTAAAATTGTTTAATTCTGAACATTCAGATGTCAAAAATGACCTTTTTTGGTTTTTTAACGTTAATTTGCCACATTAACGTTAAAAACGTAAATTTGACACGTTAACGTTGCTCACTTCTCAACGCCTTAATCGTTGCCAACAAATCCAGCTCCTTTTCATCAGTCAATGTTTGAAGGCAAGCTTCAATAACCACAAAGGTCCCTGTTCGACCAATTCCCGCCGAACAATGAACACAAACCGGACCATTCGAACTTCGGATAATGTATAGCATTCGGAGAATCGCCAGAGATGAGTTGGGCACAAATTTGTCAGGCCTGCAAAAAACTTAGGTTAAAAACTCCCGGAAAATCTCCGAGTCACCAGGATTTTGTGTGCAGATGTCTACAAGTATGTTCAACATCCCCATTCTTATTCTTAATCGTCAGCAAACTTTTAATCACATGTTCATCTTTATCCTCTTCAGTTTTACAGGTAATCACAAAATCGCCATGCGTCATAGATTGCCCATTTTTATCCGGCCAATATTGAAAACATTTCGGTTTGCCATCCTCCAAAACTTCGCATAACATCACAATATATGCGCATTTGGTGTGAACAATCATTCGCCAAAAATCAACGACAGTTCGATCCAACGGGCCTTGTGTCAAGATAAAAGGCGCTGTGAAACCATTGACCCAATTTGCGTGAATATAATCACCCAAACTCTCCTCTTTCCCGTCATTTATCACAACTCTTGTGATATCATTGCAAACAACATCTTTGTATCGATTCTTCGTCGGATTTGCATCAAAAACATCGCGTTTCAGCGGTTGTCCGATGTATGGTTTGCATTTTGACATGAAATCCATTGAGAGTTCCATTGGTCCGCGTTTCACATTTTCTTGCGCGAATTTGTGGAACACGGATTTTTGCGAATCATTGATTTTGTCACCTTTCAAAGGGATTTGTGCGTGCGGTTTTTGAAATACAAAATGGATTTTCATGTCTCTTGAAGCCGCCGCGGGATTTGTTGTTCGAGAACGTTTTCGAACTGTTGATTTCTTCTTTTTCTTCTTTTTTGTGCTCGCATCTCCAGATTTATCGTTGGCAAGTACTGAAATTCATTTATTTTAGGAAAAAGCTGAGGAAAACGAAAAATTTCTGAAAAAAAGAGTGTGTGTAGAATTGCGAGAGACAGCAGAGAAAAAAGGGAAATTAAACAACAGGCAAGCGGAGTGTCGTAGTTTTATTTTTATTTTTTTCGAAATTTTTTTTTGGGAATCGCTAGAATCTGGAAAACTCACCAAATCCCAATTTCTTCAAAACCCCCTTCTTCAAATCTTTCCCCTTCTCCTTCATATTTTCCCGATCTTTCCGATTCGTTCCCTCCTCCGAAAGTCCAGCCTTCCCTTTTCTTCTTTGCACAGTTGTAGTATGCATAGTTTCTCAAATGTCAGACCAAAAAATACTATTCGAATCGAATTATAAGCAATGTTGTTATCAGTTAACGACCATTAACTAGGCCTGTTTGATATAAAACTGATGGGAACCCGCCGCAAAAATCTGGGCGGCCCCAGATTTTTCACGTGCTTTTAAAATCAAATCAGGTCACTTATGGATATTCCAAATTAGCTACACTTTTTTTACTTGTTTACTTTATGTACCCTTGAGAACATCAAAATGAGCCGAGCCCACTTGACATCTACTTGATTATGTAATTTGAGAATTTGAGAATTTTTATTGGTTTGAATAAAAAAATGAGGAAAAGACAGGAAATTAGGAAGATTTTTGGCAATTTTCGAGACGCACGAATTGAGGAATCTGCAAAAACATAAGGATTTCGGGGAAATGAGAGAAAAATGAGTTAGTTACCTGATAGTATTGTACAAATGGGCTTGCGCAGATTTTCGGGTCTGGCATTACGCATTGAAGAGAGGCACCAGGTGTCCAGGCTGGAAATTGCTAATTTTGGTTTCTCAAGAAAAAAAAAAGAAAATTCAAATTTTTGCCAAAAAACGCGATGTTATCAATGGGGCGCACTTGCTTATTTTCGTCTAAAATTTGTGGTTTTCGGACAGGCCCGGTTATTTTTCATCGGAAATTACGAATTTTAGGTCAAAATGAATGATTTTCTACTATTTTTCATGAATTTTGGGATTTTTCATAGTAAAAAGGCTATTTTTGGTTACTCAGAAAAAAAAATTCAAATTTTTCCTACAAACGCGGTGTTATCAATAGGGCGCGCTTGCTTATTTTCGTCCAAAATTCTTGGTTTTCGGTCAGACCCGGTTATTTTTCATGAATTTTGGCGTTTTGACACGAAAATTTGGGATTTTCTGATAGTAAAAGGGCTATTTTTGGTTTCTCAAAAATAAAAAAATTCAAATTTCGGCAACAAACGCGGTGTTATCAATAGGGCGCACTTTCAAGACTCACTTATAATAGTCGCCGCATCTTTTCTCATCATTTTCTCCCGATTCCGATCTTCCTCTTCCCGATTCTCATCCTCATTAAACTTCGGAGGACTCTCCGATTTCTCATTTCTCTGCCTTTTCCGCTGTTTTGCTCTCCGATTTTTGAACCATACTTGAATCCTGGCTTCTGGTAAATCGATAATTTTGCTCAATTTTTCGCGTTGTATCATGTCTGGATATTGACATTTTTGAAATGTTGATTCTAATCTGCAAAAAGGATAAATTAGGATAACTTTAAGTTAAGGATAAGTTAGGGTAACTTAAGTTATGACAACTAATAAGTTATGATAACTATAGTTAGGCTAACTTCCAAGTTAAAAAAACCAAACCTTTCTAATTGCTTGTCACTAAAAGCAGTTCGATTTCTTCGAATCCTCGAATCATCATCAAATCCCATCTCCAACTGAAGCTAGAAAAATATATAAAAATAATAATAAAATCGCAAAATTGCTCGGCCACGCCCATTTTATTCCTCGCAGTTTGTGCAAACATAAATGGGGAGAAGAGCAAGGATTACATTTTTGATGAGCCGGGATTAATAAATACATGTATGTATGTATGTATGTACTGTAGCGAGCGAGAAAGGTAGTTATGATGAATTATTATTTATTTGCTAGGGGCCGGAAGGAAACAAGGTATTAGCGAGGTTTGATAGAAAACGGGTCATCAAGGGCCATTTTCTAGCTCGCTGAAAAAATTCAAAAAATTTAAAAAAAAAATTTAAAATTTAAACCACGCGCGCGTGCAACGTCAACGCGGAGTCTCGTTGTTTTCTTTTTATTTTTGTTTTTTTTTAGGGAAAATGACAATTTTCATGAAAAACACAATTTTTTAGAGATAATAAAATGAATTGAGGAAGTATAAATACTAAAATTCGAATATTTTCAAAGGAAAACTAAAATTTTTATGGAAATTGTGCTTTTTTTGAGTTTTTGATCAGATTATGCACTATAAAAGTACAAATCATTGTTAAAAATCTTAGATTTAGCTTAGTTTTAACATTTTCTAGCTCGCTAAAAAAATTCAGCTAACTTCAATAAGTATTCACCGAAATATGGAAGCCCATTGAAAAAAACACAACGCGCATGTGCAACGTCAACGAGGAGCCTCGTTGTTTTCTTTTTATTTTTTCGCATTTTTTTTGTGTTTTTTTTTTTGAAAAAAATAACAATTTTTCATAATTTTCAGTAAAATATTTTTATAACTAGCAAAATTTTTGATCGGTAAATAAATACATACTAATGAATAAAATCAATAATCTCCAAATTCTTGTCATAATTCGTTCCTCTTCTTATTTCTTCCCCTCTTCCTCGTCTGAAAAAAATTCGAATTTTTGTCAAAAAAAAAAACAAATCTGGAAGTCTCACCTTCTTTTTCTTTCGTATTATCCTCTTTTTTGGGTGTCAGCTCGTTTTTATTCTCGCTTTTCACATCTAACGACGGTTTTCGCTCAACTTTTGGTCTATTGCGAACTGATCCTTTCTTCATTCCTTCTTTTGCATCTTTTCGCGATTTCTGAAAAAGTATATTTTTCCTTGAAGCTTGAAAAAAACTAACAAGGGAAGTGCAAAAAAAGTTTGCCCCGGAGGGGGATCGAACCCATGACCTATTGACTAAAAGGCATGCGTGTTAACCACTCGGCCACGCGCTCATATTTTTCTCGCACGCAAATGTTTGATATATGAAACTAGGCGCATTTTTGATTGCTTTTACACTTCCCTTGTTTAAAAAAACCCACATCATGCTCCAATTTTTCCAATCTCTTATTAAGATCCCTCCATTTGCTACGATCTTCTTGTCGAAGTTCCTCAATCGCCAAATAATGTTCCTTGATCTTTTTGGCAAGTGTTGCACAAAGAGCTTGATCATCTGATGGACTACTCGGAGTTTGTTGAACAGCTAGATTAGCTAGTAGAGCTGGTGTAGATGTTGGAGGTGGAGGTGGAGGTGCTGCCTGAAAATAAGTAGAAAATTATTTGACTTTTACAACGACACTCCGGCTTGCCCGCTGTTTAGCGCAACACGAGAATATTTTCATTTTTCGTTTTTTTTTCGCCGGGTTTTCGGGTTTCAGTGGATTTCAGTCAAAAATTGCATTTTCAGATGTTCTACAAGGCTCGAATTATCGATTTCAACGGAAAATCCGAGGATTATCAAAGAAAAGTGGGTTTTTTCGAGAGAAACATGGTTTCAATTGAAATTTTTCAGTTTTCAGGGTCAAAAATGATTTTAAATGTGGGGAAAACGATTATTGGTTGGATTCGAAGCGATTTTTAATGAAAAACATCGGATTTCATGAAAACTGTTGGATTTTTTACTCAAAAATCGATGGAAACTTGGCTCGGGTAAGATTTTGCTGTGAACCTTTGAAAAATAGCTGGAAAATTGTTGTGAGACGCAGAAAACCCTCAAAGGAGTTAGCACAACTCAATGGTACATGAAAAATTCAAAATTTTCTGATTTTCAGCTCGAAATATTGGATTCCAATGTCAAAAACGTGGAGGATTTCGAATTTTCGATGATTTTTGTGTGATTAGAAGCGATTGGTGAGTTTTTTGGGAAGGGATTTCGGAAAAATTGAAAAAAAATTAGGCTAACTCATCAAAATCTAGGCCCAAAAATCAAAAGCTCACCATTTATTCGAGATGTTTGTTTCAAAAATGCTGCCAACATCATTTTCAATCTCACGTGACGCGTTTTTTTGCAAATTTCCATTTTCTCCCCAAAAAAAAAAGAAAAAAAAAGAAAACAACGAGACTCCACGTTGACGTTGCACGCGCGCGCGGTTTGAATTTTTGTTTTTTTTCAATGGGCTTCCCACAGGGGTTTTTTCACTACCGAGAATTAATCACGTACAAAACATTTTATCTGACGACAAAAAACCTCCGCAAACAGCACGCTACGTGGCCGACAAAAAAAACAATAGCGTGTGGCCGGCCTCGCGAGATGTCGGTCGCTGCAAACACACATATAGACCGACTTTTTTCTTTTTATTTGTGTGTCTTTTGAGCCAAAGGGTTTTCAATTTTCTTTTTGAAAATCTGAAAACCTAAGCTCCGCCCACATATCTGTGCGGAAAAAGATGGGCGGAGCCTATTTGCTCGATTACAATTTTTCATTGACTCGGTAGTGAAAAAACCCCTGTGGCTTCCTGAATTTTTGCATAGAACTAGACTATAGTTAAACTAAGAACATTTTTCAAGAAAAAACTTCAATTCGTACAAAGATCCTTTCCAAATCCAAAAACAAACAAATTTTCATTGTCCGAGAGAACTACACACGTGTTTTTGTTTATTCAGCATTCCCAATTTGTAACCGATCTACAGATCAAAAAAATTGAATTTAATTTCAAATTTTTTCCAATTCATCAAAAAATCGGTCGATTTCTTCAAAGATATCGATCGAAAATACCGTATTTTGTATTTTATCGGGGAAAAATCGAAAAACAAAAAAAAACAAGTAAAGCTAAATGTACACGTGGCAAAAATAAATAAATAAATAACAAAGCTACTTAGAAAAATTACCATGATTAGTACTGGCTAAATTGAAGTTCATGTAACTCGAAAACGCGGCAAGTTGTTGTTGATAAATCAAATATTGTTGCATGAAGTTTGAATACTGTAGAGGTACTGTAGGTGGTACTGTAGGTGAGGGTACTGTAGTTGCTGGACTGGTATCTGTGGATTTTTGTTGTCGAAGAGTTTTGAGATATTCGACAGTCATTTCTAGGATATCTGCTTTTTCCCATTTTGCGTGTGATTGAGAGTTCTGGAAAAAATCGGATTTTTTGGAAAATTAAAATTCAAATCCAGCTAGATGGCAGCGAATTTGTTGCTGAAATTTCATTACAAAATTCAAATTCAGCTTCAAAAATCTCAGATCTTCCGATGTTTTTTTGAAAATCATAGAAAGTTCAGAATTATGTAGATTTTAAACTTGGATAATTAATAATTGAAATTTTGAAACTGAAAATTATTTGGGCTAACGCAAAACATTATAGCTTTCTAGACTTAAAAAATTTAGTAAAATAATTTTCAAAGTTTTTTTCAATCGCTGAAACACCGTGTATCTAAAATACAGTGTAGTTTTGTGCTATTTTCCTGTTCAAATTTATTTGTGAAATCATTTTCTTTGGAAAATTTCCAGGATTTTTGAACTCAAAAAGTTGCCACGTGGATTTTCTAGTTCAAAAATTATGCCACGTGGATTTTTTGAGCTCAAAATTTGCCACGTGGAAATTGCGCTCAAAAGTTTTTCATGTGGGTTTTTGAGCTCAAAATTCTGTCACATGAATTTTCGAGTTCAAAAATTATGCTACGTGGATTCTCTAGCTCAAAATTTGCCAGGTGAAAATTGAGCTCAAAATTTTGTCAAGTAGTTTTTCTAGTTCAAAAATTGTTGACCTCAAAATTTGCTTTATGGATTTTTGAACTAAAAAAGTTTGCCACGTGGAATTTCAGTTTAAAAATTGTGAAACGTGAATTTTTAGCTCAAAATTTGCCGCGTGGAAATTGAGCTCAAAGGTTTTTCATGTGAATTTTCTAGCTCAAAATTTTGCCAATTGAAATTTAGATTTAAAAATTGTCCAATGTGAATTTTCAAAAATTCAAATAAAATCGATAAAATGTGAATTCAGATGTACTAATTCAACTAATTATGAACTACAGTAATCCTAAGATTGTTCCTAAAATAACAGTAACCCTAAGAGCTTTAAAAAATCATTAAACTACAGTAATCCCAAGAGCCCTCCCAAAACTACAGTAACCCTAAGAGCCCTCTTAAAACTACAGTACATAGCCCTAGAGTAACCCTAAGAGCCCTCCTAAAACTACATTAACCCTGAGAGCTCTAAACTACAGTAAACCCAAGAGTCCTCCCGAAACTACAGTAGCTTTAAGAGCTCTGAACTACAGTAACCCTAAGATTCTTCCTAAAATTACAGTAACCCCAAGAGCCCTCCCAAAACAACAGTAACCCTAAGAGCCCTCGAAAATCTACAGTAACCCTAAGAGCTCTACACTACAGTAACCCTAAGAGCCCTCCCAAACTACAGTAACCTCTAGGCCCCCCCCTAAAACTACAGTACCTTATGCTGATCCTGTATAAGAATTTGTTTCAACTGCGACAAACATTTATTGATTCGAGCTCGTCGTTTTTTCTCCATCAGCGGTTTATTTTTCTGAAATCAAAATTTTTTTTTTCAAATCAGTTTGAAATTAAATTTTGAACAAACCTTTCGATGTTTTGAAGATGAACCAGCTTCACATTCTGAACCCATCATTTCGCAAAAAAAATCAAATTTCAAAAAAATTTCGAAAATCAATTACAGTAACCCAGGCAGCCAACGCAAGCGAGAAAGAAAAACTTGATGAAAAGGGGCGAAAAAAAATTGGAGGCGATTTTATCTTTCAAAAAAAAAATGGGCGGGGTTGGAAAATGAGAGGACGTGAAGAAAAAGGAGTACTGTAGGGGAGATGATTTGTTGCATGTGGAAAAAGATGGATGATTTGTTGAGAGCGAAAAATGTAACACGCTTCTTTTTTTGGGGGAAAAATACTACTTTTTTAAAGGAACATAGGGTACTGTAGGTGAATTCAAAGAGACATACATAGATTACTGTAGGGCCATAAGATACTGTAGCTGAATTTAAAGGGACAGAGAGTGCTGTAGCTGAGTTTAAAGACCCATAGAGTATTGAAGATGAATTCAAAGGGACATTGAGTACTGTAGGGCCAAAGGGTACTGTAGGTGAATTCAAAGAAACATGAAGTATTGTGGGGCCGTAGGGTACTGTAGGTGAATTTAAAGGGACATAGGGTACTGTAGATGAATTTGAAAAAAACATATAGTACTGTAGCTGAATTTAAAGGAACATACACTCGCTACGCTCGAACCGCATACGCGGAATTTTGATCTACACTCGCGCTTCCGCGCTCCCCAACACTCTAGATTACTGTAGATCGCTGCGAGACCCGGAGAGCACCATTTTGAGTCCAAATATGCCACGTGGAAATTCGGGGATACTGTAGATTTTGGCGCCAATAAGCTTAGTCAGATTTGATGTTGTTTTTTGGTGCTGAAAAAGCCACGTGGAAATTAAACAATTTTTGGCGCCAAAATTCGGGGATACTGTAGATTTTGGCGCCAAAAAACTCTAGTCAAATTTGGTGTCATTTTGAAGGGAATTTTTTTAGGTGCCAAACAAAAAAAACACATTTCAAAAAATCTTAATTTGTGCCACGTGGAAATCCTTCAAAAATTCCAGATTATGAACTTTTTAAAAACTTTTCTGAATTGAAATTTGATAAAAATTTAGAAAACACACATCCAAAAATCAAAAAAAAAGTTCTTCTAGTTCAAAATTCGGTTTCTATTTCACCAGATGTCAAAATCCTAACCTAACCTGTTCAAAAAACAAACAGGCCACCCAGGTTTTCATAAATCAATGCAATAATTATAACACAGTGGGTGGTCTAAAGCCGAAAGATGAGATGGATTACGGTCATCAGTCAACTCAAGACCACCCATCTTGCAAAAAGAAAAAAAAGGACACGAAAAAATAAAATAACACTACCAAAAAAAGTATGTTTCACCTATAAATCATTCAAACGACGATAAAAATTAGTCGAACAACAAAAAAGGCGAGGAAAATTGGAGGAAATAGTGTGGAGAATTGAGAGACGCAGAGAGAGAGAGAGAATATAAATCAGATAAACGTGTGTCGATTATAATTGGCATAAGATGGAGGAAAAAGGTCATTTGAATGATCGTGTTCACTGATTGCGGATAAAAAATAACATTACATGGTGGAAATACTAATTTTGGAGCGGGAAAAAAGCGGGAAATATGGAAAAATTTTGGGAAAATTTTGAAAATTCAAAATTAATTAATCAAATTCCAAATTCAATCTAGAAATTCGCTGAAATTCAGCTTCTGAAATCTGAACTTTCTGATTTTTCAAATCAAAATTTCGATGAAAATTATTGAAGTTGAGCTCAGAAAAACTAAAATTCAGCAGTTTGAAAATTCAAAAAATTCCAAATTCAATCTAGAAATTCGCAATTTCGAAAAATCTGAAGTTCAGCTTCTGAAATGTGAAATTCAGCTCATTGTCAGAAAAAACTGAAATTTTTGAAATCTGAAGAAAAATTCAAATGTCCCTTTAAATCCAAAATCTGACTAGTGTTTGTTGGCGCCAAAATCTACAGTATCCCCGAATTTCCACGTGGCATATTTGGACTCTAAATTATGCTCTCCGGGTCTCGCAGCGATCTACAGTAATCTAGGCGAGCGCGGAAGCGCGAGTGTAGATCAAAATTCCGCGTATGCGGTTCGAGCGTAGCGAGTGTATGTTCCTTTAAAATCAGCTACAGTACTCTATGTGCCTTTGAATCCAAAATCTGACCAGGGTTTGTTGGCGCCAAATTCTACAGTATCCCCGAATTCTCACGTGGCATATTTGGACTCAAAATGATGCTCTCCGGGTCTCGCAGCGATCTACAGTAATCTAGAGTTTTGGCGAGCGCGGAAGGGCGAGTGGAGATCAAAATTCCGCGTATGCGGTTCGAGCGAAGCGAGTGTATGTCCCTTTAAATTCACCTACAGTACTCTATGCGCCTTTAAATTCAGCTACAGTACTCTATATCCCTTTAAAGTCACCTACAGTACTATATGCGCCTTTAAATCCAATATCTGACTAGGGTTTGTTGGCGCCAAAATCTACAGTATCCCCGAATTCCCACGTGGCATATTTGGACTCTAAATGGTGCTCTCCGGGTCTCGCAGCGATCTACAGTAATCTAGGCGAGCGCGGAAGCGGGAGTGTAGATCAAAATTCCGCGTATGCGGTTCGAGCGTAGCGAGTGTATGTTCCTTTAAGTTCACCTACAGTACTATATGTTCCTTTAAATTCACCTACAGTACTCTATGCGCCTTTAAATTTAGTTACAGTACTAGATGTTCCTTTAAATCCACCCGAGCGCGGAAGCGCGAGTGTAGATCAAAATTCCGCGTATGCGGTTCGAGCGTAGCGAGTGTATGTCCCTTTAAATTCAGCTACAGTACTATATGCCCCATTAAATTCACCTACAGAAGCTTCTGAAAATATTTTTCTGAAATGTTTTCTAGAATTTTTCCCCAATTGTTTATTCTTTCTAAATGTAAATGTTTATATGATTTTTGAAAGCCCAGATGTAATTATTTTTTCCCCGCACAAAATACGTTTCCAAAAGTTTTTTAAACGAATCTTTCAGGTTTTTAAATTAATAAAATTTCATTTCCAGTAGGTTCCAAAGTCAAAAATCTTTCTTGAAAGAGAATTTTCAGACATTCCCAGATTTTTGAACTCTAAACTCTAAAGCTGTCTGAAAATCCCTTTTTCCCCCTGAAACCCTCAGAAGAAGCCAAAATAATCCCCCGTCAACAATTTTTTGCTAATTGAAAAACATCAAACTAATCTCTCGGTCACCTCTTCCAGTTTTCCCTCCTGGCTTAAAATAAAATAAAAAAGTTGATTATCTATTTCCCAAAAACCTTCATTTTTTTGTTGCTGTTGCCATGGTAGTTAGTATAAAAATCGTATTATATCCGCTCTGAAATCAATCATTTTTTTTGTTCTTCTCGAGCAGCTCTTTTTGCTCTTTTTTTGTGATGCAATTTTCAATGGTAAGTAAAAAATTTCCAGGAAATTCCAAAAAAAAAATTTCAGAAGTCACTTTTCGATCGAATTCAAGAAGCTAAACAGTGTGTTGGGAAGAATGTGCAACTTTTTGTGATTCATTTGTGGATTTGCGCGCTTGTTGGATTTTCGGTGAGCGAAAAAAAAAATTGCGGGCGGTGTGGTTCGAACCCTGGTCTCACGCACGGTAGTCAAAAATGATTTTGATGAAAATTATTGAAGTTGAGCTCAGAAAATCTAAAATTCAGCAATCTTGAGAATTCAAAAAATTCCAAATTCAATCTAGAAATTCGCAATTTCGAAAAAAACTGAAATTTTTGAAATCTGAAGAAAAATTCAAATGTCCCTCCAAAATCTGACTAGTGTTTGTTGGCGCCAAAATCTACAGTATCCCGGAATTCCCACGTGGCATAATGATGCTCTCCGGGTCTCGCGGTGATCTACAGTAATCTACAGTAATCTAGGCGAGCGCGGAAGCGCGAGTGTAGATCAAAATCCCGCGTATGCGGTTCGAGCGTAGCGAGTGTATGTCCCTTTAAATTCAGCTACAGTACTATATGTGCCTTTAAATCCAAAAAAAAACGTTTTCTTTTTTTCTGTTGCAGCAACCCTGGACTAGAAAAAACGAAGTTTTTTCTAGTCCAGGGTTGCTCCAAAGTTTCTAAAGTCCTTTTCAAATTCAAGATTCCAACTATTTTTTTTGCAGATAACCCTAATATCCCTTGGCTATTCCCACTCGGCCTGTTATCTCAATATGTCCCCAGCACATCTCTTCAACCTCCACTTCGCATTCAACGCCTCAATCTTCATCGGCTCCGTCTTCCATTCAAATCTATCCCGCCGCCTCCCAATCAAACACGTCATATCAATCTCGATATTCCTGATTCTAACCTGTTTTGGTGCACTTCCCAATGCCAATCATTTCATGATTTTCTGCACGATATTTGTGATTTTTGGAACTTGCCTGGGAATTTTGATCTCCGCCATTACAACTTCATTTTGCATTCTTTTCCGAATATCAACCTATATTCTAGTGCACATTTTTCATTTTATAAATGCTCTTGGCAGTGTTATCGTCGTATTTCTATATCAAGCAACACCATCAGAACATCAAAATTCTTGTGCGGAGAAGCGAAATCCAGTGATACATAATGGCCCACATATTCCGAGTCTTGAGAAGTTTTATATGAATCCGGCATTTCGCGCGGATTATATTTATTATATCACAGCGATTTTGAATATCCCTCTGTTTTTCCTGGTTTTGAGATCGAATTTTAATTCCAGTCTTACTGCTTCGATTTCAATTCGACGAGTTGATGAAGAAAATTCGAATTGTCAAAGTGAGCAAAAAAAACATTTCGCAGTGTGGCCTAGAAAAAGTTCGGCCAGCTGTGGCAACCCCGCTCCAGCGCACACTTATTTTTTTTATATTTTTCTTTTTTGCGCTGGCTATAGCCAGCCTTCTGAAGCCTCCAAAACCCTTCTGAATCCTCTAAAAACCTTCTGAATCCTCCAAAAGCCTTCTGAATCCTCTAAAACCCTTCTGAAGTCTCCAAAAGCCTTCTGAATCCTCTAAAAGCCTTCTGAAGCCTCCAAAAGCCTTCTGAAGCCTCCAAAAGCCTTCTGAAGCCTCCAAAAGCCTTCTGAATCCTCTAAAAGCCTTCTGAAGCCTCCAAAAGCCTTCTGAATCCTCTGAAATCCTTCTGAATACTTTAAAAGCCTCCAAAAGCCTTCTGAATCCTCTAAAAGCCTTCTGAATCCTCTAAAAGCCTTCTACAGCCTCCAAAAGCCTCTAAAAGCCTTCTGAAGCCTCTAAAAACTTGAGCAAAAAAAAAATTTTGTGCGATGTGGCCTAGAAAAAGTTCGGCCAGCTGTGTGGCAACCACGCTCCAATGCACACTTATTTTATTTTTTTATTTTTTGCGCGGTACTCACGTATTCTGTACCACTTGTGCAATTGTTCGTCACCGTATACGCACCAAAATGTCTGCGCTCTCTTCATTTTTCGCGCTATTTTTTCGAAATTCGTAGCCGTTTTCGTGGAAAATTAAAGCATCTCCCTTTGAACCGACGATTTTTGCCACGTCATAACTACATTTCTTCTTTCTTCCAGGCCTAACAACAACCAGCGATGTTCATTCGCTCAAACTCGTCCTCCTCTGCTCAATCGTCGCCTGCATCGCCAATATCATGTACACCCTCTTCCCATTTCTTGTCCTAACACAACCCGGCTCATCAATTTTCTACTATCAAATATTCGCAGTGTTCTTCACGTGGGGAAGAATCACCGCAATTTTCGTGGCCGATTATATGGCTCCCTATTTTCTGCTGGGTGTTTCGATTTTTGGATGTGGCGTGGGAGTTTGTGCGATTTCTTCCGAACAATTTCTGATTGGAAGCATGGTTTTTGGATTTTTCCTATCGCCATTGTTACCTGCTTTGATTACATATATTAATCAAGGTTTATCATTGAAATGTGAGTTCTTCAGCTTCTGAAAACGTTTTTTAACGTTAAAAAGCCACGAACGGTATTTTTATTCATTTTTTAAAGTCATTTTCTCAACACATTGAATAAAGTCAAGCTAAAACGCATTTTAGTGTTCAGAAATGCTATTCAACGAAAAAAATATGTTTTCTCAGGAAAAAAGCGAAGGAAACCTATTCAGGGGTCGGTTGAGAAAACATGAAAATCAAACAGTTTCAACACGAGACCCAACGAAAAACAACATGTTCCTTTAAGATACTGTAGAAATTCGCAACGGGACCAATTAACAGTAAGTCAAAGGAACATGTTGTTTCTCGGTGGGTCTCGTTCTCAACCGACCTGAATAGGTTTCCTTCGTTTTTTTCCTGAGAAAACATAATTTTTTCGTTGAATAGCACTGCTGGACACTAAAATGCGTTTTAGCTTTAAAAAATGAATAAAAATACCGTTCGTGAATCAATTTTTTGGCTTTTTAACGTTAAAAAACGTTTTTTTATGAATCACTGAACTCACAAAATCAATTCTTTTAGACACCAACACGTTCACCCTTCTCTCTGGCCATTGCTCAGGTTATTCAATATTCCCACTTCTGTTAACTCTCACAACAACATCAAATTCTCGCCTTTTCATCGCTTTCAATTTCGTTTCAATCGTAATTCTTGTCATTATTCTCGTTTCAATTTTAAGCCTCCATGCACAAATTGAGAGAATGCAAGCTTCTCAAAGTGGATTGAATTTGTTTGTTTCGCGATTTTTATCGGGAGAATCATTGTTGAAGAGGACAAGATCGATTCGACCGCTGATTTCGAGATTGAGACCAAATTCTTATAGAAGGTACGGTAGTTTTGGAAGTTTGTTTGTTTGTGTGGGGAAAAAGGTTAATCCTTGTTACAAAAAATATTTTTTGAGAAAGAAAAGGATAATCCTCTGAAAAGAGGGATTTCCTACCTTATTTCGTAACCAAAATTTTTGAATTTTTCACTTGAAAAAGGCTAATATGAGCAATGCCTGATTTTTCACGGAATTCCAGAATTTTTAAGCCAAAATTCAGGATTAACATGAGCAATAGTTGAAAAATTGACAAATCTTGAGACTAATATGAGCAATGTTCCATTTTTCACGGAATTCCTGAATTTTTGAGCCAAAAATCAGGGTTGACATGAGCAATACTTGAAAATCTACAAATTTTGAGGCTAATATGAGCAATGCCTTATTTTTCACGGAATTCCTCAATTTTTGAGCCAAAAATCAAGGTTAACATGAGCAATACTTGAAAATCTACAAATTTTGAGGCTAATATGAGCAATGCCTTATTATTCACGGAATTCCTGAATTTTTGAGCCAAAAATCAGGGTTAACATGAGCAATAGTTGAAAAATTAACAAATTTTTGAGGCTAATATGAGCAATGTTTCATTTTTCACGGAATTCCTGAATTTTTTAGCCAAAAATCAAGGTTAACATGAGCAATACTTGAAAATCTACAAATTTTGAGGCTAATATGAGCAATGCCTTATTTTTCACGGAATTCCAGAATTTTTAAGATAAAAATCAGGGTTGACATGAGCAATAGTTGAAAAATTGACAAATTTTGAGGCTAACATGAGCAATGCCTTATTTTTCACGGAATTCCAGAATTTTTAAGATAAAAATCAGGGTTGACATGAGCAATAGTTGAAAAATTGACAAATTTTGAGGCTAACATGAGCAATGCCTTATTTTTCATGAAATCCCTGAATTTTTGAGCCAAAATTCAGGGTTAAGATGAGCAATAGTTGAAAAATTAACAAATTTTGAGGGTAACATGAGCAATGCCTTATTTCTTAACCAAAATTTTGAATTTTTGAGCCAAAAATCAGGGTTAACATGAGCAATAATTGGAAAATTGACAAATTTTGAGCTAACCTGAGCAATGCCTTATTTCTCAATCAAAATTTTGAAATTTTGAGCCAAATATCAGGGTTAACATGAGCAATATAATTGAAAATTAACAAATTTTGAGGCTAATATGAGCAATGCCTTATTTCTTGACCAAAATCTTGGATTTTTGAGCCAAAATTCAGGGTTAAGATGAGCAATAGTTGAAAAATTAACAAATTTTGAGGGTAACATAAGCAATTCCTCATTTTTCACGGAATTCCAGAATTTTCGGGCTAAAAATCAGTGCTAAATCTGGAAATTTTCAGAGCGAAAAGTGAAATGAGAAAAATCAATAAAATTTCATTAAACTTGAATTTCCGAATATTTTATGGGATAATTCAAGTCGAAAAAAATATTTTTTGACAAAAAAATTCGATTCAGCAAATGTCAAAGAACTTTTTTTCACATTTTCTGAATCAAAAATTTAAAAAAAAAAATGTTTTTTTACACGCCTGCTCCTGGAAGAACAAACTTCGGCCACGGCCAATGACGTCATCATTTTTCGAAAATGAAACTTGCGACGCGGCCCGAAAATGTTCCAGGCCATATCTCGAAAAACTAAAAACGTAGCGATAATCTACGCATCCGAATCTCTTTGAATAAGTATTTTTCGAAGGTCCTGCAGCGATTTTAAGAAATCGTGTCGAGACCCGTTTTTTCAAAAATAACATGTTTCTTTGTGCGTTTGCGGAAATTCAAAAATAGTTTTTTTTCAAGCATTTTTTTTTCGTAATTAGCTCATTTTCAAAAGGGAATTCTGAAAAGATAAGCATATTAAATAACTTTAGATATGAAAAAACATGATATGGCATTGAGGGCCTGAGAAGATGGTTAAATTCATGATGTTTTCTGTGACCTGAATGATATTTTTCAAAAGAACTGACTTTTGTGTTCACTTCTGGACTTGAATTTTCAGCTTTTTCATCATAGTATTCCAGGGTTTAAAGTTTAATTTGTTGAAATAGCGATAAACCTTCGATCATAAACTTTTAGCTAAATTTTTCACTAATTTTATATGTCAATAGGAACTAAAAATCTGTTTTCAAATGAAAAAATGCATTGTATTTCCTACTTGAGTTAACTTGAAAAAGGATTTCAATTGACAAATTTTTTGAATAACCCTGAAAGTTTAGAAATGTTTTTTGATAATTTTTTCTCTATAGATTTCGGTGAAAAATATAAGGTTTCGATTGAAACCTGGAATTTCTGAAAAATTTCGTTTTTTTTCAATAACTTCAGATAAAGTTGAGTACTAATTCTGAATAAGACTAATTGACCGCAGGTAGAATCTCAAGCATTTCTTGTACTGGTCCTACGCGAGGCTCTATTTCTCATTCTCACAACAAACTTGCCAATTGGAATCAGAATGGGTTTTCAATGCTACATCATACGATGTTTTCTCATTTTTAATTGTAAAACATCACAAAAAATTAATTTATAAAAAATCATGACAAGAACACTTAAAATCCATCGTTTGACAAATGGAAGATGGTGTAGGAAGCATGTTTGCTGCATGATGTGAAGTTATATATCTGGAAAATGTAAAATTAGTATTTCTCTAGGTTATTTCATTGTAATGGGGCTATTCAGATTAGTTTCTCAACCAAAAAACAGGAGGAGATACTCAAATTCTCAACCTACCTAAATTTTGATTTTTCAGCATAAAAAATGAAATTAAAAGAATAACTATTAGGTTTTATTGATAAATTAGTGATTTTGAGGTGATTTGTGCTTTGAATCGCTTCAATTCCCTGTTTTTTTTTTTGGTTGTCGATGAAGCATGTCGGTTTTCAGTTGTCAAAACGACCAAAACTTGGTTTAAAATCAGTAAAAAATTGAAATTCAAATAAATTGCACAATTTCCTTGAGAAACTAATCTGAATAGCCCCATACGTGATAATTTTAATGTCCAGAGCATAGTACTAGCTAGTTCGAGATTTTCTGTGAAAACTAAAAATATTTTTATTACATGACATTCTTACATGGTATTAGAGTAATTTTTCGATAGTGTGATTTTCTCTTCAAACTTCTTTAGTCTGGCGATTAAACTCCAGTATACAAATCTTTTTTCTTGGATTTTTTTGCAACAGTCTTTTTTCACTAACTGACAATATATGTTCGTAAAATTCTAATAAATACTTACCGAAAAAACAAGAATAAATCGATATCCTGACAATCAGAAAATATTCATACATCAACACGTTTTTTCGCCAAATCTTCTGCCGTTTTATGGAAAATTTCTCAAGTTTTGATCACTTGAACTTCGTTGAACGACAAATACATCCATTGAAAGTTTCTTTAGATTCATATTGTTGGTCTCGTTGTGTCTTTCCGAGCCAAGCCGCAAATGAGTTATCTACAAAATAACGAAGTTAAACAATCCGCAGAGAATATAAGATAGGTTAAAATTGAAAAGTTGCCGGTTTTTAACAATATTTATAAAAAAAGAAAAAATCATCGCAAAAAAATTAAAAATAATACTTTTATCCAAGATACATAAATTTATATTTTTTTGTTATAAATCCAACAAAAATATAATGAATTTTTATGTCCGAATATGTTTTTGTAAAAACCATATATTTTTAAAAGAACACATTCTGATTTTCGAAAAATAACGATTTGCGCCGAGCACAAATCGTTATATTTTAATTTTGGCTGTGCGTGGTGAAAATTTATTTTCTAACGTGACCTTTTATTTTCTAAATCTGACGATTTGATCCGAGCTCAAATCGTTAGATTTTGAAAATCCAACCGAAATCATTCTTCATATGTTTTTGCATTTCTTAACACATGATAAGTTTTCAAAAACCGTTGTTGTCATTTTCCAGGACCACACCAAGAAATTTTTGAGATATATTGCCTCAAAAAATACGTCGAGATGAAACAATTTCAAAAAGAGAAATGACTAAATCCAACGAAAAATAATACGTGTCACACGTTTTCTGGTTGGGTTTCGCCATTTCTCTTTTTTGAACTGATCCATCTTATCCGTTTCGAGACGAGATGCGTTAAAATGACTTATGGAGTTGTTTTGGGCAATACAGACAATTATAAAAGTTTGTAGAACATGCTATGGTGCCCATGAATTGTAAAACAAATATAAACAATGACTTTTTTTCGGATTTTCAAAATCTAACGATTTGAGCCAGGATCAAATCGTTAGATTTTAAAAATAGAAGGTCACGTTTTTAGTCACAAATAATATTTTTTTTTGTTTTCAAAATATAACGATTTGGGTTGGGATCAAATCGTTAGATTCTGAAAATAAATACAACGTTTCTAATTCAAATAAAATAAACTGAAATATTTGCCTATTTTTAATCAAAAGTACAGTAACATTTATCGATTGAATATTTTCATTGATTTTCAAATTTAAAGCTAATGATTTGGACAGATATTTGATTTTTCCGTCAAAACCGGCAACTTTTCAATTTTAACCTATCTTATATACAATAATAAGGAAACAATATTTTATTTTCTGTTTTTCATATATTAAATAAGAACGAACTTCTTATACAATTTCCATAGAGAATAGTCAAACAATTTTTCAAAAAAAAAGATACGTTTTAACATTAATTTCAACGAAATCTGAGTAAATTCTGTCAAATGCATGCCTGACTATTAATCACCGAGCACTAAATAATCAATATATGATTGAACAACCGATTCCTCTGCAGAATGTCATTAACTTTCTTAGCAGAGAAAAAGTTTTTAAAAACGGGAAAAAAATGAAAAAAAAATAAAAATGAAAAAAAATGTGTGCAATTTCATGTCAGTGTGTTTGCACACATTGCACAGGCAGATGCAGATCGGCCGGATACTTGCCAAAAATTGAAAACCGGTCCGAAACTTGTACGTTTCCGACCAGTGTTGAAAAACGGCCAGTAACAACTCAAAAACCGACCAGTTTCTGACCGGTTTATCAAAATTGACCAGTAACCGGCCGTGTTTTTTCACTGGTTTTCGGCCGTTTTTGTTGAATTTGAGCAGAAACCGGCCGATTTTCGAGTGGTTTTTGGCCGTTTTCAACACTGGTCGGAAACGTACAAGTTTCGGACCGGTTTTCAATTTTTGGCAAGTATCCGGCCGTTCTGCATCTGCCTGTGTTGCATACAGTACCCCAAAATTTTCATTGCCGCAAAAAAACAGACGTGTTTTCATTTTTTTTCAAATTAATGTGTGCAAACACTTTTGAGTACAGTAGGAATTGAGCTTCAATATTTTTTATTCTGACTAGATTTAGGCGAACTCAAGTCAGCGAGGCTTCGTGGGTGGTCCCTAGATCTGGCAAAACCCCAATTTTTTCCAGATTCGCAAACCGACGTGGAATGACACCCCGTTCACCATCACCAAATCCATCTCCAATCCAAGCTGATGAAATGACACATCTCATGTCGATTTCTCCAGCTCCACCTTCAACACTTCTGATCCCAACACGTGTCTAAATGTGAAAAATTTCAAATTCTGTATAAATTTGCCTGAATATCCTGTATAAAATTCAAATTCTGTATAAATTTTCCTGAATTTCCAGAATCTAGTAAGAAAAGTTTATCAAATTTTCTCCAAATTAATCGAATTATCAAGACCCGGATTTAAATCAACTTCTAGCATTGAAGCTTTCGGCAAACTGTCCACCGTGAACACATTTGTCTGGAAAATTTTTATCCAAAAATTTTTTTAAGGTAAAATATACCTTTGAATCATTTCGTTGCAAACTTTCGTTGGAAATTGCCATTTCAGAAATTGTGTCCAAACGTTTCTGAAAAAATTTTCATGCGCCTTTTAAATATCACAATTTCTTATGCAAGAAAAAATGGCTGGGTGGCCGAGTGGTTAGCACGCCTGCCGATCTTTCGCAACACCCGGGTTCGACCCCCACCCGGCGCACAAGTTTTTTTCTTTTTTTTTTCAAAGAGAACCTACAAAACCCACATTTCGAATCATTTCTGGTTGTGTTTTCAGATTTGTTCTTGTCTCAAATTGTCCGATTGTCTCATTCGATTCTTCGACACTTCGATGACTTTGTAGATTTTGTGTGGAACGATCGGCTTCGAGAGTTGAGGCAACTCGCAGTGTGGCGGTTTCGGTTTTTTTCGCTTTTCTGGAGAAAAATATGAGATATGACTTGAGATAATCTGATTTTTGATCTTTTATTTGATTTTGATGACTAATTTTGTGATTTTTGAGATTTTTGAGGTCTAGAGAGCCCAGGCTTAGCTCCTAGTGAACCCTGTTTTCAAGGCTCAGCTCCTAGAGAACCTAATTTTCAAGGCTCAGCTCCTAGAGAACCTAGTTTTCAAGGCGTAGCTCCTAGAGAGCTCTGTTTTCAAGGCTCAGCTCCTAGAAAACCTAGTTTTCAAGGCTCAGCTTCTAGAGAGCCAGGTTCTCAAGGCTCAGCTCCTAGAGAACCTGGTTTTCAAGGCTCAGCTCCTAGAAAACCCTGTTTTCAAGGCTCAGCTCCTAGAGAACCTAGTTTTCAAGGCTCAGCTCCTAGAGAACCTAGTTTTCAAGGCTTGGCTCCTAGAAAACTTACTCCTGATCCTCAAAATGTTGCATCTGAACAGCTCGATCATGTTTCTCCTCAGCCGCCCGAATCTGATCCTTCCGACATCGACAAAACCACAAAAACACGCAGAAAAGCGACAAAACTGAGCAGACAATTACAATGACTAGAATTGAGATCACCTGGAAAAAAAATTTTGGATTTGGATTTGGAGTTCTAGAAGATCTATAGCTACATAGATTCTTTTAAAATTCAATAGAAGGATTAACTTTGGATTATTTTTATTTATTTTTATTTGAAAAAAAGTTGAAGCTTGGCCTAGAAAACCAAGACTACAGTAGACTTTTCAAAAAAAAATTTTTTTTTTAATTTGAAAGTTTTTTTTTTGAAAAAAAGTTGGAGCTTGGCCTAGAAAACCAAGACTACAGTAGAATTTTCAAAAAAAAAAATTTTTTTTAATTTGAAATTTTTTTTTTTTCAAACTTACTTCTTGTGAGAATTCCATCGATGGCCAAAAAATAATAAAATAAAATGAAAAGTAGCGAAAATTCCTTCTTCTTCTCGTTTTTCACAAATCGAACCGATAAGTCCGGCTCATCTGAAGATTTGAAGGATATTTATTTGACGTAAGCAAAAAATTTGAAAAATTGAGAAAACATGGAAACAACGATGAGTTTGAGCTCGAATATCCACGTGGCTAGAATTTTGAGCTCAAAAATCCACGTGGCTAAAATTTAGAGCTCAAAAAATCCAAAAAATTGGGAAGCTCTAAAAATTTCAGATTTTTTTCAGAAAAAAAGGCTGTGACGTAGAAAATAATTGAAAATTTTGGTCACTTTCAAAAAAAAGTGCCTATTTCCAGCTCAAACCAAAATTTCAGCATTGCTCATGTTACCCAAGGCTCAAAGCTTATGAAAACGAAAACAAAAAGCAAAAATAATAACAATTATTTTTATACCTATACTAAAAGGGGGGAGACTCAAGTCACTCATTTTTTGCTGGTCATCTCATTCTTTTTTTTGCCTCTCTCTTATACTTCATCACTATGGTTACACATGATTCAAGAAGTCATAGACAAAAGCTTGAAAAAACAACGGAATTGTTTTTTGGTGGCTCATAACAAGTTGTAAAAAAATAAAAAACTTTGCCACGGAGCGGGATCGAACCCATGACCTTCAAAACGATAGGTGAACGCATTACCACTTGGCCAGCCGCGCTTTTTTTTAGAAGCTGCAAATGTTTGACATATTTTCGATGGCGCAGAATTTTTCTTGGGTGCTTTTGAAAACGTATCAAGTTTAAAAAAAACTTTCCTTGAAAGCTGTAATTTACTAGACTCAATGGGTTTTAGAGTCAAAATTTGAACTTTTGTGGGATATTTCCGAGTTTAGAAAATCATTTTTCAAAGAACAATTTTAGAATCAAGTGAATTGAAAATGCGATAATGAGCCGAAAGAAAAATATCTATGAGGTAATTGAAAAAAAATTGAGTGAGAAAGCTGAAAAAAAAGTGAAAAAAGTGGTGTTGATGTTGGTTGCTCTGAAATTTTTTTCGCGCATGGTTATGTTGAAAAGATTTGTGAAGTTGAAAGTGAAAAGGGAACTTGAAATCCTATTTGTTTGCTCTGAAATTTGGCTCGAAATCTGAAATTTCAAGTCGAAATTGTTCAATGGCGGACTAACGTGTTCACGTGGCCGTGGAAGAGAAAACCAAACAAAAATTATTTTTTGTTTTTTTTCGCGGAAAACCACAGTGCCCCGAACGCGTATTGCGCCAGCACTCCACACTCCACACACTCTCTCGTTTTCTCTCTATCTCTCATCCGTCTCTTCAGCAAAGCGCGCTCTCTCATCTTTTTTTTTGCGCTTTTGTTTTCTTGCTGAAAAATGCTGGAAATGTTATTTTTGTAACTAAATCGTATATGGAGAAGACAGAGGAAGAAAAATTGAAGCTATTCCAAGCTGGTTCATGAAAAATGGTTGAGAATGAAATGAGCAAGAGCTCTTCAAAAAATACCTTGTGCAAAAACATCATTTTTGACCCAGGAAAGCTGATAAAAGTCAGTGTTATGCTTCCAAAACATTGAAATAGGACTCCTCAAGTATGTGAAATCAATAATAATTCAAAATTATGCCGTTTTTGTTATTTTCTTTTCCATCGAAATTTTCCCAAAATTGATCAAAAAACCAGATTTCAGAAGTTTATTTTGATCAAATAATTCTTAAAACACCTTGAAAGTATTCTAATTTACATATTTATCATAAAACAAGTGCCGAAACACATTTTTCCTTCATAAAATTTGAATTATTTTTCTTCAAAAGAGAATAACTAACTTATTTTGAATCCAATCTTCACATGTTTTATATCAAAACGTTCCTCTCATTATTTTCCAGAACATATAGCTCAGTTTGGGAGTTTTCATGCAAGTAAAATTCAATTCTAATCGTTTCAAGAAAAAACCTAGTGTTAAATTTACAAAAAACCGACAAACAGGCTTGTGCGCTCTACCGCACATGCACCAAAAATGCGCACAACTTTTCTCTGGCTACGCGTTCGGGGCACCGTGTAAAACTTGTTTTTTCGTTTTCCCCCGCGTTTTTGAATGAGAATTATACAAAATGATGAATTTTTCAGGAAAGAATCTTCGAAGATGCTTTCAAACTCCAAAAGGTAAGACGTTTTTCAAAAAAATCGAAGAAAAAAAGAAAAATAAAGAGAAGGACAGCTGAATCTCAAGAAAATCGAAAAAAAGCAAGCAGATGGCGTCTAAACTAGCGCGGTGCAGATGTCAGATTTTTTTAGTATTATTTTTCTCGCCGCGCAGCTGGAAAAATACTACTATAATTAATGACTAACATTCTGTTTCCTGTTTTTTTTTTCGTTGAAAAAAACAAAAATATGTTTTGATCTATGCCACTGCCACCTAAAATATCCACGTCCCTTCAAAGTGCATCGCAACTTTTCCTGGAAATTTATGTGTTGATACGTGGAAGTGTCCAGAAATTGATAAAAAAAACATTTTTCGTCTGGTTATCAGCGAAATTATGGGGTGAAACATCTTTCACGAGGTTTGGGGTGAAACATCTTTGGCGTGTCGAAACCGATTTCTGATGCGATGCCTGAGGAGAAAGATGTGGCTATGACGGAAATTGTGAGTTTTTTTTGGGGAGTTTTGAGGGGATTCTGATGAAAATGATGCAATTTTTAATGAATTTTCAATTCAGGACCTTGATAAACATGGAAATGATGATTTTTGAGGTCTTGAAGTGAAATTTGACGATTTTTAAGATTCTGGAGCGAAATTTGATGATATTCTGGGTCTTTGAGCGATTTTTTGATGAAATTTTGCTCCAGGACCCGGAAATTCATGAAAATGATGATTTTTTGTGTCCTGAAGCGAAATTTGATGATTTTTGAGGTCCTGAAGCGAAAAATTATGCAATTTTTGAGTCTTGGAGCGATTTTTTGATGAATTTTCGATTCAGGACCTTGAAAATCATGAAAATGATGATTTTCTGCGTTCTGAAGCGAAATTTGATGATTTTTTCGCTCCAGGACCTTGAAAATCATCAAAATTCCCCTTGAGACCTTGAACATCATCACTTTTCGCTTCAAGACCCGCAAATTCATGAAAATGATGATTTTTTGGGTCCTGAAGCGAAAATTAATGATTTTTTCGCTCTAGGACCCTAAAAATCATCATTTTTCGCTCCGAGACCTTAAAAATCATGAGATTCCGTTCCAGAACACCAAAAATCTTTAATTTTCGCTTTGAGACCTTGAAAATCATGAAAAAGATGATTTTTGAGGCCCTGAAGCGAAATTTAATGATTTTTTCGGTGGCGCCACGACATGTTGAGAGGAGCGATTTTTTTGGCAGTTTTTATGAGATGTTGAAAGAGGTAAGGCGATTTTTGGGCTGAAAATCAACAATTTTTGAGCTCCTGGAGCAAAATTGGACGATTTTCTGGCTCCTGGAGCAAAATCTAGTGGTTTTTGAGCTCCTGGAGCACAATCTAGTGATTTTCTAGCTCCTGGAGCAAAATTGGACGATTTTCTGGCTCCTGGAGCAAATTTTGACGATTTTCTGGTTTTTTCGCTCCAGAGCCTAGAAAATTACGAAATTTCGCTTGAGAACCTTGAAAATTGTGAATTTTCGCTTCAGGGTCCAAAAATACATAATTTTTAACCTAAAAATCCCAAATTTTCACCAAAAATCTTCTTTGCAGGATCCAAATGTCTCTGAACTTCACGCAGTCGAAGACAGTTTCGTACCTCTCATCAAACTTCTATATTCCGGAATCGATCTCGATATTTTATTCGCCAGATTAGCTCTCAAAGAAGTTCCAGACAATCAGAAATTGACAGATGATATGTTGCTGAAAAATTTGGATTCGGCAAGTATTCGAAGTTTGAATGGATGTCGTGTCGCTGAACAATTGTTGCAATTGGTGCCGAGTATCAAGGAATTCTGTACGACACTTCGAGCAATTAAATTGTGGGCTAAGAATCGCGGAATTTATTCGAATGCGTTGGGTGAGTTTTCGGGAAAGAATGATCCTGAAAATACCTATTTTTAGAGCCTAAATAAGTCTAGTTTAAGGCCTAAAGATTTGCCTTAAAATGAGCCAAAATAAGCCTAGGTTCTGCCTGAAAATGGCCTATTTTTAGAGGCTAACCCTGAGCTAGTTTAGACTCTAAAGATTCGCCTTAGAATGAGCCTGAAAATGCCTATTTTTAGAGCCCAAAAATGCCTAGTTTCACGCCTAAAGATTTGCCTGAAAATGAGCCTAGACAAGCCTAGATTCTGCCTGAAAAAGGCCTATTTTTAGAGCCTAAATAAGCATATATTTAGGCCTATAGCCCGTCAGTAACTCGAGTACTGAGTACTGAGTATACTGAGTACTGAGTATTTGCAAAATACTCAGTACTCAGTATTTGCGAGTACTGAGTACTTGAAAATACTCAGTACTCAGTATACTCAGTATTTTGAGTACTGAGTATACTGAGTATACTCAGTAACTGAGTACTCGAAAATACTCAGTACTCAGTATTTTGGAAATACTCAGTACTGAGTACTGAGTATACTGAGTATGTCAGTACTCGGAATACTCGATTTTAAAGGCATGTTCCACCAAAAAAAAATTTTTTTGAAAATGAGGTATTTGGGCACGGGGAACATTTTGGTGAGGTATACGGTCGGGAACAGACTTTTAAAGGCGCATGCCAGGCTATTACAAATTTTCCGAGATAATTTTTTCAAACTATCATAACTTTTTTATTTTGGAAGCTTTTTTGAAAATTCGACAACCATTTTGACGGTCTTGAAGCGGGCTACATTTTTGGTGTTGACACCAACTACCGTACTTCGCTCCTAAGAGGTGAAAAACACGCTTTTTCTCTCGAAAATGTCGATTTTTGACACAAATATGAATAAAAATGTATTTTTCACCTCTTAGGAGCGAAGTACGGTAGTTGGTGTCAACACCAAAAATGTAGCCCGCTTCAAGACCGTCAAAATGGTTGTCGAATTTTCAAAAAAAGCTTCCAAAATAAAAAAGTTATGATAGTTTGAAAAAATTATCTCGGAAAATTTGTAATAGCCTGGCATGCGCCTTTAAAAGTCTGTTCCCGACCGTATACCTCACCAAAATGTTCCCCGTGCCCAAATACCTCATTTTCAAAAAAAATTTTTTTTTTGGTGGAACATGCCTTTAAAATCGAGTATTCCGAGTACTGACATACTCAGTATACTCAGTACTCAGTACTGAGTATTTCCAAAATACTGAGTACTGAGTATTTTCGAGTACTCAGTACTCGCAAATACATACTGAGTATACTCAGTACTCAAAATACTGAGTATACTGAGTACTGAGTATTTTCAAGTACTCAGTACTCGCAAATACTGAGTACTGAGTATTTTGCAAATACTCAGTACTCAGTATACTCAGTACTCAGTACTCGAGTTACTGACGGGCTATATTTAGGCCTAAAAATTTGCCAGAGATTAAGCCTAAATAAGCCTAGGTTTTGGCCTAGTTTTAGGCCTAAAGATTTGCCTTAAAATGTGTTTCAAAATGAGCCTAGGTTTGGCCTGAAAAAAAGGCCTATTTTCAGAGCCTAAATTTGTATATTTTAGGCCCTAAAGATTTGCCTTAAAATGAGCCTAAGTAAGCCTGAAATGCTCATTTTTAGAGCCTAAAGATTTTCCTTAAAACCAGCCTAAATAACCCTAGATTTTAGGCTTTAAAATGCTCATTTTCAGGTCCTAAAGATTTGCCTTAAAATAAGCCTGAAAGAGCCTAGTTTCAGGCCTAAGGATTTTTATTAAAATGAGCCTGACAAGGCTTAATTTCAGAGCGTTTTTAAGGCTCAAGGCTTGAATTTTGAGCCTAGTTTTAAGCCCAAACATCTGCTAAAAAATGAGCCGAAATAAGCCTAGTTTTAGGCCTAAAAACAAGCCTGAAAATGGCCCAAATAAGCCTAGGTTCAGGCCAGAGTTCCGCAATGGAACATTTTTTCGACACAGTGTCATAACCCCACTTCTTTTCAATTCCAAAAATTAAAAAAGCGTTTTATTTTTGACGTGTCCCATTTTCAATTTTTGAATTGTGTTTCATTTCAAAATGAAACGCAAAAAGTAAAAATAGAAATGTTTCACTTCAAAAATGTGGAGCATTTCAAAAAATTGAACATGCGTCATTTGAAAAATGTGACGCACTAGAAATGTTCCACAAGATGTTCCGCGTCTCAATTTAGCCAGGTATGGCTCATTGTTCCATGGCTCATTTTCGGAACATTTTCTGAATTGATCTTTTTTGAACCGAAAGCAAACCTCACCCAACACCTGGAATTCCAGGTGGGCAATTTTTTTCGGAAAACCTAGGTGGGCAATTTTTTCTTCGAAAAACCTAGGTGGGCAAAAATTTTTAGGGTCCTTAAGGCGAGCCTCAGGTGGGCAAATTTTTTTAGGGTCTTTAAGGCGAGCCTCAGGTGAGCAAATTTTTTTAGGGTCTTTAAGGCGAGCCTCAGGTGGGCAAATTTTTTAGGGTCTTTAAGGCGAGCCTCAGGTGGGCAAATTTTTTTAGGGTCTTTAAGGCGAGCCTCAGGTGGGCAAATTTTTTTAGGGTCTTCAAGGCGAGCCTCAGGTGGGCAAATTTTTTTTACTAGGTGGGCAATTTTTGAAAATAAACCCAGATGGGCAATTTTTTTCCTACTTCTCCAGGTTCTTGGGTGAGGTTTGAACCGAAAGCCACTTTCCGAAATTCTTTGAATATAATTCGGCACCACATATGATTTGATTTCAAAAAAATGGTTGTTTCTTGAAAAGTACAAATATTGGGTTATTGTGAATTCGAAAAAAATCATAATTCAGCTTTGAAAATATTGGGTTACCGAAGATTAACCTTTGGCAACGTTAATTTTATCTTGGAATTGGAGATATTGTCTGAATGCCTAAAAATTGTATACAGGGTGATAAGCTTTGTTATCCGAAAATGATAATTTTCACAAAAACAGGCTTGGGGGTTCACAGGGACCTCACGGAACCAGTTTTCGTGAAAAATTATTTTTTATTCGAGAAAATTAGATTTACGAGGGGGTCTGAAATTATGCGAATTGACTTCAATCAACGATCAGCCAAAATAAGTAATCGATTTCTATGAGCTAATTATGAATTGGATGTTGTTTGTCAATAGTTTGGTTAACTTTTGATAGGAAAAAAATTTTTTCTTCTATGATTTGAGCCCAGAAAACTCGACCGAGCCAAGGGGGTTCGAACTGAACATACTCGATCTCAAGTAAGAAAGTCAAAAAAAATTTAACCCAATATTTTCAAAGCTGAATTATGATTTTTTTCGAATTCACAATAACCCAATATTTGTACTTTTCAAGAAACAACCATTTTTTTGAAATCAAATCATATGTGGTGCCGAATTATATTCAAAGAATTTCGGAAAGTGGCTTTCGGTTCAAAAAAGATCAATTCAGAAAATGTTCCGAAAATGAGCCATGGAACAATGAGCCATAACTGGCTAAATTGAGACGCGGAACATCTTGTGGAACATTTCTAGTGCGTCACATTTTTCAAATGACGCATGTTCAATTTTTTGAAATGCTCCACATTTTTGAAGTGAAACATTTCTATTTTTACTTTTTGCGTTTCATTTTGAAATGAAACACAATTCAAAAAATGAAAAATGAGACACACGTTTGTTGAAAGGTTTAGGTTTGGGCTTGAGATAGGCCTGGAAAATGGCTTGAAAATGAGCCTAAACATGGCTATGTTTGGGCTTGAGATAAGCCTAAAAAAGCCTAGAAAACCAGCCTGAATAAGCCTAGTTTTTGAGCTAAGCCTAAGGCTCTTCTTAGGCTTGTTTAGGCTCATTTTAACCGTGAAAATTAGGCCTAAAACTTAGGCTGATTTCAGGCTTTTCCTAGGCTCATTTTATTCCTGAAAACCAGGGCTTAAAGTTAGGCTTTTCCTAGGCTTGTTTAGGCTCATTTCGATCGTAAAAACCGGGCCTTAAAGCAGCCTGAAAAGCCTGGATTTTTAGCTAAGCCTAAGGCCCTTCTTAGGCTTGTTTAGGCTCATTTTAACCCTGAAAATCGGGTCTAAAAAGCCTAGATTTTTAGCTAAGCCTGAGGCTTCTCCTAGGCTTATCTAGGCTCATTTTAACCCTGAAAACCAGGCCTAAAATTCAGGCTGTTCCTAGGCTTTTCCTAGGCCTATTTTAAGCCTAAAAATCTAACCTAAATTCTTGCAGGATTCGAAATTTGCAAAGATGTCTACGAAGGTCGCGGCTCATCGGATGCACTTTTCGAAGAAGTCAATGTTTTCACCAGATACAAGCACTATATTTGTGAGTTTTCCTGATAATGATAGGATATTCCTGATAATGAGGAGAACAATCGATTTTTGAGAAGCGGGCATCCTTCTAGGTGAGTTTAACAGACAGAACTTTTAAAGGAACATACCGTAATTTCAGATTGCTAGAAGTTTGGGAACTCATCGAACCTCAACAATATATTGATCAGAATGGCAGAAGAGAAGAAAAACAAGAATTTTGGAAACGAAAGGAGATTATATATGAAATGGCTAATGGTTCTGGTGTTTTTGACAGTGATTCTTCAGACTGTTAGATTTTTGCGCTTTGAATAAATTTTTCTCAATTTTTTTTCCCGCATCTCCGCCGAAATTGAATGTTTTTGGCGCCAAGAATTACAGAACTGAAGCAGATTACTGTAGATCTACACAGAGAAAGAGAGAGAGAGAGAAACCTGGAAAAATAAAAAAAAAACTACAGTAGTCTCTGCAACTTGGCTTTTAAGCAAGAGCAGAGAATTGAAAAACAATTTGAAAATCCATTCAAAAATTGTTGAAGTACGGTAGATAATATGTGCGCTGGAAAATAAAAGAATAATGGACAAAATTCAATGCAAAATTGTTTGATCTACCACGAAAAAATTTGAAAATTTGGGGGTCTAGTGATTATTTTTGAGAGTGAAATACATATTGTGGAAAAATTTCGAAAAATTTGTTCGTTTACTCACCGTTTTAACTGCCACGTGGATATTTGAACTTGTCATAGGCCAAAGTGATCTGAAAAATTCAAAGTTTTCAATTAAAAATTCAAAAATTGGGCATAGCTTCCGCATCTCCACTGAAATTCCAAAAAAATAACTAATAAAATTCAGAATTTTCATGATTTTCTAATAAAAAAAAAGAAAATTCTGAATTTTATTAGTTTCTTTTTGAATATTTCAGAATTTCTAATTTATTTTATTAAAAATACTTACCGTATCCATATTTTTGATTGTTCATTGGAGCACATTTGATGACAGCTAACCTGGAATAAAAAATTGAATTTTATTGAATAAAAAAATAAGTTTTTAATTAAAAATTCAAAAATTGGGCATAGCTTCCGCATCTTCACTGAAATTCCAAAAAATAACTAATAAAATTCAGAATTTTCATGATTTTCTAATAAAAAAAAAGAAATTTCTGAATTTTATTAGTTTCTTTTTGAATATTTCAGAATTTCTAATTTATTTTATTATAAATACTTACCGTATCCATTAATTTGATTGTTCATTGGAGCACATTTGATGACAGCTAACCTGGAATAAAAAATTGAATTTTATAGAATAAAAAAATAAGTTTTTAATTAAAAATTCAAAAATTGGGCATAGCTTCCGCATCTCCACTGAAATTCCAAAAAATAACTAATAAAATTCAGAATTTTCATGATTTTCTAATTAAAAAAAAAAAGAAAATCAAGAAATTTCTGAATTTTATTAGTTTCTTTTTAGATATTTCAGAATTTCTAATTTATTTTTTAAAAACTTTTTTGAGATAAATACTTACCGTAACCAAATTGTTGTTCGATGGAGCGCATTTGGTTGATCTGAAATAAAAAATCGGATTTTCTCTGGGCAAAAGCGTGAAAAATCAAACCACATCCATTGGCCAGCAAAATGTTGAGAAGTTGTAGGCGATTCTGAAAAAAACAAGATTAATTTCTTAATTTCAGCGGGCCCAGAAATCCCCAAAACCCCCAAGCTAAGAAATTAGAAACGAAAAAGCTCTGCAGGAGCTCCAAAATCCCGTGCAGAGCTAATCCGATGTTTTGAATCCAAACATCATAAATGAGCAAAAAATTTGAAAAATGTTGAATAAAAAATTGTTTTTGATTGATTTTTTTGTTGAATCCTCCAGGAATCCACTCCAACTTCAAAAATTGATCCAAATTTCGCTCCAACTTTCGAAAATCCAATGAAAAATCGATAAAATCTTGAATTTTCAGCGATTCTTGAATTTTCTTGAATCCAATAATTGTATTTTGTCATCTGGAAAATCAAAAAATTATTGATTTTTTTGAAACAAGAAAAAAAACAACTAACCTTGCAAAATTAACAACTTTCCATTGATAATTAGCAAAAATTGAAATAAATAATTAAAAAATATATAAAAAAAATTCTAGGTGAAAAGAGGAATATGAAGGGAAAGTTTGGATGAATTGGGAAAAGCTAACATAAACTCTAAAATTCCAGCAAAAATTTCGAATTTCTGTCCAAAACAAGGTTTTCTGGTCAGAAAATCATGAAAATTTCAAATTGTTGACTAAAACAAGGTTTCCTGGTCAGAAAATCATGAAAATTTCGAATTGTTGACTAAAACAAGGTTTCCTGGTCAGAAAATCATGAAAATTTCGAATTTCTGTCCAAAACAAGGTTTTCTGGTCAGAAAATCATGAAAATTTCGAATTTCTGTCCAAAACAAGGTTTTCTGGTCAGAAAATCATGAAAATTTCAAATTGTTGACTAAAACAAGGTTTCCTGGTCAGAAAATCATGAAAATTTTGAATTTTTGTCCAAAACAAGGTTTTCTGGTCAGAAAATCATGAAAATTTCAAATTGTTGACTAAAACAAGGTTTCCTGGTCAGAAAATCATGAAAATTTCGAATTTCTGTCCAAAACAAGGTTTTCTGGTCAGAAAATCATGAAAATTTCAAATTGTTGACTAAAACAAGGTTTCCTGGTCAGAAAATCATGAAAATTTCGAATTTCTGTCCAAAACAAGGTTTTCTGGTCAGAAAATCATGAAAATTTCAAATTGTTGACTAAAACAAGGTTTCCTGGTCAGAAAATCATGAAAATTTCGAATTTCTGTCCAAAACAAGGTTTTCTGGTCAGAAAATCATGAAAATTTCAAATTGTTGACTAAAACAAGGTTTCCTGGTCAGAAAATCATGAAAATTTCGAATTTCTGGCCAAAACAAGGTTTCCTGGTCAGAAAATCATGAAAATTTCGAATTTCTGGCCAAAACAAGGTTTTCTGGTCAGAAAATCATGAAAATTTTGAATTTCTGTCCAAAACAAGGTATAATTTGTCCATATTTCTCCAATTTCCAATCGATTTGTATAAATATCCATAGGAATTTGTTTGCTCGAACATCGAAAAATATCCAAAATATTTTTGACCAGCAAAACCTTCCAGCTTCTGCGAATTCTCACAAAATCTTCTTCAAATTTTAATTTTAGAATTCCCGCCAATATTTGAACTTTGTTGAAAATCTTCAAGAAATTGCTCCAGAATTTGGAGTTTTACTTGAAAAACATCCTTGTTTGAGATAATTTGCCGAAATTTCTCCAATTTCCAATCGATTTCTCAAAATATCCATAAGAATTTGTTGGAACATCGAAAAATATCCAAAATATTTTCGGCCAGCAAAACTCTCCAGCTTCAGCACAAAATCTTCTTCAAATTGTAGAATCCCAATTTCTCCCTTCCAAAAATAATCCAATATCCATTGAAAATCGAAAAATTCAGATGTTTTGCAGGTCGAAATCTGAAAAAAATCAAAAAATATTATTTGAAAAAAAGGAAAAAAATTTTAAACTCACAATTAAATGTTCATCCGAGCTTTTGGGTCCAAAAAAATCCAGATCTCGATTGGCAAAATCTCCAGGCTTCCAGCTTCTTTGAAATTCTAGAATTCCAGATTCCAGGTTTTCCAGATCTGAAAAACTCCAAAAATTATTGATTGTCCAATTAAAATTCGATGAAAATCAACTAACCTTTCAAAAATCCCTTGCCAAATTCCAAATTATGGTGAAAAAAAAAAAAAAAATAAAAATTCCTACGGGGAAAAAGGGAAGAAAAATGGGCAAATTCAAATATTTTTGGGGAAAAATCCTCTTTTTTTTCAATTTAAGACTTGTTCTAACTCCTGGAAAACGGAAAATTTCCAAAAATTCTTTAAAAAAATGTGCAGTTGAATAGGAGATTTTTTGAGAGATACCGTAATCCAGGTGTTATTACAATAATGTGCATTTTTTCCGGTTCAAAATGCTCCAAAATCCAAAAATTTTGGGTCGAAATTCTCCATTTTCGATTTTAAAATTCGAAAAATATGCAAATTTTGCTCCAAAAATCGCAGATTTCAAAAAATTCCAAGAGATTTGTAGATATCTGAAAAAAAATCCATAAATCCCAGGTTTTCTAGTAGAAAATCGAAAAAAAAAACCAACCTCAAAATCGAATCTCCAAAAAATCCTTCCAAAAATTATAAAATTACAAGAAAAAAAAAATTTGGGTGAAAAATTACAGGAGGGAAAGTTAGAGCTCAAAAAAAAATTACGACCTAAAATTTCTAGGTGAAAAAGGGGGCATTTATCCTAACTCTACTAATTCCAAAGGGCCAAAAAGTTGAGAAAAATTGGGGAATTTCTTAGGGAAATTTTAAATATTCAGGTCAACAATAAAAATAAACAAAAAAAATTTGTGGAAATAGTTTTTTCTTTTTTTTTTAATTTTTCACTAATTTCCAAATTTCTATCTTACTCCTGGATAAAGTGAGTATATTTAGCTCCAAAATTTCGATTTTGTACAGTTATTTTGAGATTTTTTTTGTATTTTTTTCTGAAAAACTGTACATTTTGGAAAAACGATATCCAGGCGTAATTTCATTTTTTTTTCAATTTTTTCAATTTTTTTTCAATTTATAATAATTTCGTAGGGGATTTCAGCATTTCCGATTCTAAAAAAATTTGAAAAATTTGTCTGCAAAATTTTCGGCATCAAAATCTCACCATTCCCACAAATTTTCGCAATTTTTTGACATTTGGCTGGCACTTTTCCGCTTACCGCACGTCCGGATTCTTCTGCAAATTCTTTTTCATAGGATTGCTCAGATTAGCTTCAAAATTTTCGAAGAATTGCTCATACTATAGTAAAAAAAATATCATTTCTAAAGAAAAAAAAAATCATAGGATTGCTCATATTAAACTGAAAAGGCGTTCAAAATCTTGTTTTAGCTCAATATTCAGAATTCGTAGTGAAAATTGAGAAATTTCGACTTAAAATGGAGCAATTTTGACCTAACATGAGCAATGGACAGTCAATTTAAGAATATTTGACTGAAATTGCTCAAAAAATCACGATTTTTTGCTCAAAACTCCCCAAATCTTCGCCCCAAAACCTCACCAACCTCTCGCCACAATTCCAGCAATCGAAAAATCAACAAGTGGCTCCATTTCTCGTTTCTCTTCTTGTGCCAAAAAGGGAATCTGCAAAAAAATAGAAAATTATTGATTTTGAGCGGAAAATCAACTAACCTTCCAGGAAATCCATCAAAATTTTTCGAAATCAAATCGAAATATCGTGCAGAGTCTCGGAATCCAACATATCATTTGGTATATCGATTTGTTTTCTTGAATTTCAGTTTGAAACGAACAAATTTCCATCCGATTTCATAATCAAAAATTGTTGAGCAAAAATCGTAGATTTTCCTTTGAGAAACGCAGAATATCTTCAAGAAAACAAATTATTTTGAAGAAAAAATCAATAAAATAAAACTCACTGTATATTTTCCGGCTAAAAATCTTCCAATCTTATCGAAAGAATTGCTGACATGCTCCAAAATCAATACAATTTCAACATCATAGGATCAAAGATCATAAAACTTCTTCAAATATCTCTCCAATTTTTGTTTCGCAAACTTTTCGATTAAAATCCTAATAGGCTTCACCAGCTTCGACAATTTTCGCGCATCAAATCGATTCAATTCGAAAATTCACGCCTGAAAATCGAAAAATGATATTCAAACGGAAAAAAACTGGTAAATTTTTAAACTCACATTCAAATTCACCAAAAATATACTTCTCATGAAATTGTGTTGGATAAATAATCGATAATCAAGTTCGATAATCATGCCATAAATCATTTCTTGAATTGTTGATCGAGCATATTTGAATAACAAGATTTCCGACTGATTTCACAATTCACAATGATGGAATTCGAATTTGACGCCATAAAACATTCGAAACTTCAACATTCACATTAACCCAAAGAAGAACATCAATAATTCATTCAATTGTCGATAAAAACAGATACAGCTACATATTGCAAATTGGCTGAAAATCAAAAAAAAATTTCAATAAGAGTGAAATCCAGTGTTTTCTCATTAAATTCCCGCAAAAAAATCAATTCATTTCAAATTTCAAACTCACAGCTTGAAATTTTCTACAAAAAAATCACATAAAATAAGGCAGAATAACCACTAGAAATTCAAAATTTTCGAAAAAAAAGGAAAAAAACCGAAAAAAATAAAAGTACTCCGCGTTGCCTGATGTTTAGCGTAAATCGCTGCAAGAGACAGAGCGGAGTCTCGTTGTTTTATTTTTATTTTTTTTCGTTTTTCGGCCCAAAATTCGTGTTTTTTGTTGGTTTTTGTCAGAATTTCGAGTCGATTTTGAGAGAAAACACAAAAACTACTAATTTTTCACTAATTATGCAATATTTTCCATTGAAAACCCCCAAAAAACTCACAAAAATGTTAGTTTGATGAATTGGTGTTAGTATAATGTCCAAAATTCATTCCACACCCATCGCCGCTTTCAATGTGACGGTTGCCAACCACAATTGCTGGAGTCGTTGACCGACAGGCGGTGTTCTCGCACGACGAAACGCTCCAAGCAGTCGGAACAATCTGCTGGAGAATTCCTCGTGCATCAGCCCATAATCTGTCGCCAACAACCGATCTTGCAGCTCCATCAAGACGTCTTGAACGTCGCCCGCCGAATTGACGACGAACCACGCTTCTTGGATTGTGATTGGTGGTGGCGGCGGTCCCCGATTGTCCGCTGCTCGCTTCCTGTTTGCTCGACGCTGCGGTGCGGGTGCGGCTGTGTAATTGAGTGTCGCATTGTAGGCCGACACCGCGACCCGCATCGGAATTCTGAGCGGAGCAATCGGCGCCACGCCGTTTCCTGGCTCATCCTGATCTTCCTCTTCCTCTTCTTCCTCCTCATTTTCCTCTTCATCCTCCTCTCCAGCTTCTCCTTCTTCAGCTTCATCCTCCTCTTGATCATCTTCATCATCCTCATTTTCCTCTTCATCCTCATCTTCAGCTTCTTCTTCTCCTTCAGCTCCAGCTTCTTCTTGATCATCCCCAAAAACATCTTCCAAATCAGCTCCTCTAACATCTCCAGCCATCATTCCAAATCCTCCTCGATCATCTCCATCATCCTCTTGATCATTCTCCTCATCCTCTTCTTCCTCTTCCTCTTCTCCTTCAGCTTCATCCTCTCCAGCTTCTCCTTCTTGATCAACTCCAGCTGCTCCCAAATCAGCCCCTCGAACATCTCCAGCTTCTCCCAAATCATCCCCTCGAACATCTTCAGCTTCATCTCCAGCTTCTCCTTCTCCTTCAGCTTCATCCTCCCCAAATTCCTCCGCCGCCTGGATGTTCTGCCGCTCCAATTCTTCCTCTTCAGCTTCCTTGGCCTCGATTTCAGCCTCTCTCCATTCCTCTAATTGTGCGGCCCGAAAATCAGCGAATAAATCGGCCGAATTTTCGGCATCCAGTTGGTCCAGATCTGGATCTGAACCACGGTCATCCTCCATTTCATCAATATCCTCTTCCACGTCATCGTCTGCACCTCCTATGTCTTCTTGATGGATCCGACCGTCCGATTGTCCACCAATAGAGTTCCTTCCAATGATAAGAACTTGGTGGCCAATCCTCCGAACCTCGTAACTTTCGAAATCATCGCAGTCGATCTTGATGGTGGTGATAAGATCACGACCAACGATGTTCCGAGTTACGTTGATGTTAGGGTTGCGGAGCGACGGCGACATAGGTGGTGGCGAGTCCGATCCTTCAGATGATGAGTCAGAAGAATCGGAACTCGACGATGACGGGTTATCGTCTTCGGCTTCCTGCAAATTCAAAAAGGTATTGATTTTTTTGAAATTCAGACATTTTTTCATAAAAAAATTTTAATTTTCCAGGTGCTTTGACAAAAAAAAACGTGCTTCAAATGAAAATTGGTGAGTTTTGGGGGGTTTCAAGGCTTAAAATCTTCAAATTTTTGAAATTTCAGATCAATTTCTACAATTATGGCAGACAACACTCCAAAAATTTGATGTTCCGCAATTTTTGAGGTGATGATTTTTCAAAATTATTGGATTTTCAAATAGAAATGTGAAATTTAGAGTTCCAGGAGCAAGAAAATCTCAAAATTTTGCTCCAGAACCTTGAAAATCCCGAAATTTCGCTCCAGAAACTTGAAAATCACAAAATTTCGCTCCAGAACTTTGAAAATCTCAAAATTTTGCTCCAGAACCTCAAAAAATCTTAAAATTTTGCTCCAGAACCTTGAAAATCTCAAAATTTTGCTCCAAGACCCAGAAAATCAGGTTTTTCACCTCCAAGAGCAAGAAAATCAGGTTTTTTAGCTCCAGGAGCAAGAAAATATGGTTTTTCAGCTCGAGAACCTGGAAAATCTGGTTTTTCAGCTCCAGGAGCAGGAAAATCAGGGTTTTTAGCTCCAGGAGCTGAAAAACCAGATTTTCCAGGTTCTGGAGCAAAATTTTGCGATTTTTGAGGTCTTGGAGGAAATTTTTGTGATTTTTAAGTTTCTGGAGCAAAATTTTGTGATTTCTAAGGTCTTTGAGCGAAAATTTGAGATTTTCAAGGTTCTGGATCAGGGTTTTTAGCTCCAGGAGCTAGAAAATCACGTTTTTTAGGTTCTGGAGCTAAAAAGCCTGATTTTCTCGATCCTGAAGCTGAAAATCCTGATTTTCGAGCTCCTCAAACAAATTTGGACGATTTTCCGAGTTCTGAAGCGAAAATACGAGATTTTCTGAGTCTTGGAGCAAATATTAACGATTTTCTGGATCCTAAAGCTGAAAGACCAGATTTTCCAGGTTTTGCAGCTGAAAAACCTGATGTTTTAGCTCTAGAATGTAAATTATCAGGTTTTTAAGCTCCAGCAGCTTGAAAAGCACAAATTTTATCCAGAACCTCAAAAATCTTCCAAATTCATCCCATCTCCCGAAAAAAACCCAAATTTTCCCTCTAGGACCTTAAAAATTTTCCAAATTTATCTCATCTCTCATTTCTGAGGTCCTGCAGCGAAAATTTACGATTTTTCAAGGTCGTGAAGCGAAAATCCTGTTTTTCTAGCTGCCAACTCCAAAACTCACTACTTCCCAACCACAAACTAAAAAATAATGAAAAATAAAATTTAAAAATTTTTTTGTTGGCAAAAAAACACGTTTACGTGAAAAATTCAATAAAAATTTAACATTTTTGATTTTTACGAATTGAAAAGTGGTTGAATTTTTGTGGAGGATGAGTTTTTTGCTTCGGCAGCTAGAAAATCAGGTTTTTTTGCTCCAAGACTTAAAGGGGGTATACCCTATTGTCTCTCGTGCAAAGTGTGATACATCATTCGATTCAGAATTTTGTGTTTTATATGCACAAAAAAATTTAGCTCCCAAAACGCATTCTAAGTACACGTTTTTTGCGTCCAAACAGGACCAAAATCTGCTCGAAATAAAAAAAAGAACACACAGAAAAGAGAGACGCAGACTCTCGCTGTCTGCTAGCCAGCCAGCATTTTTTTTGAATTTTGTGTTCAACAACTACGGTAAGTCTGAATATACTGTAATAAACTTACAAAAATTTAAAAAAAGAAGAAAAAACAACACACATTCTGGCTGGCTGGCAGACAGCGAGAGTCTGCGTCTCTCTTTCTTGTGTGTTCTTTTTTTTATTTCGAGCAGATTTTGGTCCTGTTTGGACGCAAAAAACGTGTACTTAGAATCCGTTTTGGGAGCTAAAATTTTTTGTGCATATAAAACACAAAATTCTGAATCGAATGATGTATCACACTTTGCACGAGAGACAATAGGGTTTACCCCCTTTAACAAATCACAAAATTTCGCTCCAGAACTTTGAAAATTACAAAAATTTGCTCGAGAACCTCAAAAATCACAAATTCTCGCTCCAGAACTTTGAAAATCACAAAATTTTGCTCTGAGAGCTAGAAAATCACAAAATTTTACTCCAGGAGCAAGGATATCAGGTTTTTCAACTCCAGGAGCAGGAAAATCTGGTTTTTTAGCTCAAGGACCAAAAATATCGTAAATTTTTGCTCGAGAACCATGAAAATCCCAAAATTTTGCTCCAAGACCCAGAAAATCTCGAAATTTCGCTCAAAAATTTTTCATTTCTGATTTTCCATGAAAAATTTCTCTAGAAAAATAACGAATTTTCCGAAAAAAAAAATTCAAATTTCAAAGTTCAGAACTGAATATCTCAAATTTTTCCAATTTCAGCTCAACTTCTCAATTCATCAATTCTTCCAACAACAACTACAAGACAATTTGCTCTAAGTTAAAGGTGAGGTTAAACTTTTGTTTTGTAAATTAAAATTTGCGAATAAATAAAAATTTGAAAATTTCAACATTTTGTTCCAAAAACTTCAAAAAAAAAACTAACCTGAGCAACCGGTTCCAAATTCCCTCCATTGTTCGCCAGAAAGGCATCGAAAAATCGATGCAAAGCTTCGATTCTTTCTTCTTCTTCTCCAGCTCCAGCTCCAGCCACAATTCCAACATCATGAACTTCCCCGATTGGCTGTAAAAATTTAGATTTTTTTTCTGAAAATCAAAAAAAATCCAGCAAAAAACTAACCTCCTCATCCACTTCCATTTCCTCCTCTTCCTCAAAATCCGACTCAATTTCCATGGCCGTTTCAAGATCATCGGTTTCACTTTGATGAGAACTTGTAGAACCATCTCGAATCTCAGATCCACCGATTCTTCCATCCTCAACTTCCACTTCCATATCATCATCATTTTCAGCTTCATCAATTTCCATCCCAACAATTCCAGCTCCAGCTCCATCTCCATCAATCCCCAAACCATTCCAGAATTCCCTGGCTTCAACTCCAGCAACAATCGCATTGAGAACGATGAAAGCATCAAAATTTACGATGTTTCCATTGGCAACTTCTGGTTGATGAAGTGTTGATTCGGCATCGTAAAATATTGTTGAGCCGGTTGTTCTTCGGGAGAATGAACGGCTGTCGGCCGAAAGCTGAAAAAAATAGGTTATTTTTCGAATTTTCAAAATTTTCATTACTTTTGGCGAAATTTCACCCTGGAATTTTTGAATTTTCAACAAAAAATGGGTTTTTTTTTTGTCGAAAAAATCGGAAAAAAAATTCAGATTTTCAAATTTTTCATCAATTTTGGCGAAATTTCAACTAGTTTTTTTGAATTTTCAACAAAAAATTTGGCATTGCTCATGTTAGAAAATTTTAAATTTTTGAATTTCGCGCCTTGAAAAACTCCCAAAAAATTCGAATTTTTGAATTTTCAAAAAAAAAATTGACATTGCTCATGTTAGAAAATTTCGAATTTCGCGGGAAATTTGAATTTCTGACTGAAATTTTCAGATCTTCAAATTTAAAACCTATTTTTGCCACGTGGAATTTCGGGACCAAAATTTCACAGATTTCAAATTTTTTTTGAAATCATGTAAATTTCAAAATTTTTTGAATTTTCAGAATTTTAAGGCTCAAAATTCATCATTTTTTAATCAGAAAATCAGCTTTTTTGTTGAAAATTCAAAAATTCAAATTTTTTTGTAAACAATTTTTTGAATTCAAATTTTTCTTCAAAGTTTTGAAAATGAAATTTTTAAATTTTTTGTGACCAAAAAGTACTGTAGAGATTTTTTGCATTTCAAATTTTTTAAGGTATTTTTCAGAGCGCGAAATTCAAAATTCTCAAAAAAAAATGCCCTAAATTTCGATTTTCACATCAAAATCAAAATTCATCATTTTTCATCAAAAAATCAGCTCCAGGGCTCAAAAATGCTCAAAATTTCAATTTTCGGGTCAAAAACAAGGTTCCGGGTCGGAAAAAATTCAAAATTCATCATTTTTTATCAAAAAATTAGCTCCAGGGCTCAAAATGCTCAAAATTTCGATTTTCAGATCAAAATTCATAATTTAGAGCTAAAAAATTTCAAAATTCATCATTTTTTATCAAAAAATTAGCTCCAGGGCTCAAAAAATGCTCAAAATTTCAATTTTCAGATCAAAAAAATTCAAAATTTCAGCAAAAAACTCACATAATCGGTGCCAGCACGCCGTGCATCTCCGGGTTGAGAGTTGGAAATTGCGGGGGCATCCAGGTCTATCAATTCGCCCGCAACTTCCACTACTCTCGGGTGTTGAACATTAAGTTCGCCAGTCGAACCGCCCCCAATCCATCGAGCAATTCGCTCCCAAATTCCAACTTGGCGGCTTCCTGACATCATGTTTTGCAAAAATCTGCAAAATTTCCAGTTTTTTGACACCAAATTTGGCTATTTTAGGCTTTTTTAGGCCGAATCAGGCTTTTCTAGGCCAAATCAAGCTTTTTCAGGCCGAAAAACAAACTCACTGCTTCAAAAATCGCGTTGGGTGGTGAATCCCAATGTATAGTGTACCCTGGAAGAAAAAAAATGTGATTTTTGGCCTGAAAACGGCCCGGTTTGGCCCGAACACGGCCCGGACCAGCTAAAGGCCTTGAAATCCCGTGAAAAACGGGCTTTTTCGCCTTCCCTCCCCAAAAACCCCCGGAAAAAAAAATTGAAAATCGATTTTTTTTCGCATTTTCAATTTTCAAAATGCGAAAAATCTGGGTAGATCAAAAATTTTTTGGTCAAAAATATAGATTTTTGGAGATTTTTGGAGGTCTACAAATTTTCTTCACAATTTTCAGCCAATTTCTGATAAATTCCCAAAATTTTTCCCAGTTTTTTCCAGAATTTATTGCCAGATTGTTAGAATTGTTGGTGATCTTCTTGAAAATCTGCAAAAAAATATGTAAAAAATGTTTTTTTCCTTGATTTTTTCTCTCAAATCCCATTTTTCCAATTTTGTCTTTTCGATTTTAAGCCCAAATTCCTTAAATTTCCTTCTTTCCCTTTCAATTCGCTTTTTTTTTCAAAAAAAAAAAACGAAAAAAAAATTTCGTGCGTAAATCGACACCAGGAGACGTGGTCTAGTTTCCCGTTGGTTTTCTAGGCCACGTCCACACATTTCAGGTTTTTTTGTGGGCGCGCGCGCTAGCTAAATTTAGTGGCGGACTAACGTTTTGACGTGGCCGTGGAAGAGAAATCCAAACAAAAATAATTTTTTGTTTTTTTTCGCGAAAAGTTTGTTTTTTTGTTTTCCGCCGGATTTTTGAGTGAGAATTATACAAAATGATGAGTTTTTTCAGGAAAAAATCTTCGAAGATGCTTTGAAACTCCAAAAGGTAAGACTTTTTTTCGGAAAATCGAAGGGAAAAAGAAAAATAAAGAGAAGGACAGCTGAATCTCAAGAAAATCGAAAAAAGCAAGCAGATGGCGTCTAAACTAGCGCGGTGCAGATGTCAAAACCAAAAAAATTTTAGTATTATTTTTCTCGCCGCGCAGCTGGAAAAATATACTATAATTAATGACTAACATTGTGTTTCCTGTTTTTTTCAAGAAAAAACAAAAATATGTTTTGATCTATGCCACTGCCACCTAAAATATCCACGTCCCTTCAAAGTGCATCGCAACTTTTCCTGGAAATTTATGTGTTGATACGTGGAAGTGTCCAGGAATTGATAAAAAAACATTTTTCGACTGGTTATCAGCGAAATTATGGGGTGAAACATTTTTCGAGAAATGATAACGCACGATTTTTCGGAGAATGTTTTCTTGAAACTGAAAAATATAGGTAGAGGTCCAAAAAAATCGAAATTTTCAATAAAATACATGTTTTCTAGTGGTTTTCACTGCAAAGCTCAACTCCTAACATGAGTTATGACGTGGCAAAGTTGGAAAAGGGAAGTTTAGGAGCTGGAAAACTATGCTTCAGCTCCTAAAATTTGAAATTTTCCAACTTTGCCACGGCATAACTCATATTAGAAGTTGAGTTTTGAAATTTTAGGTCGAAAACTACTAGAAAACATATATTTTATTGAAAATTTCGATTTTTTTGGACCTTTACCTATATTTTCAGTGTATTTTTCAAAAACTCCTGCCAAATTTTTTGAATATTTATTTTTATTGAAAATCTCGGTCGAAAAAAAATAAAATTTTCGACGAAAAATTATATTTTTTTCTATTTTTTGACATTTTTGGGTGGAAAAATGGGAAAAGATATAGTTTTTTGTCAAAAATTGTTTTTTTCCGACTTGAATTGGAAAATAATTGCATAAATATTTAATTTCAATTAAAAAATGTCCAATTATTTTTTTTTGATCGCGTGACCTTTTCAAATATTTCCCTCTCATTTCTCACTCCTAAATTGTATTTTTCAAAAAATGTGAACCCATATTTAATTGGGGCTGATTCACGAACGAAAAAAATGTTTTTTTTTAACATTGAAAGATAAATTCACGAAAAGTCGAAAAATGTCGAAAAAACATCGTAGGTCAAAATTAGTTTTTCGAGTTTTTCAGCCAAAAATGATGACAAATCGATATTTTTCAAGCTTCTGAAGTAATTTCTGATGAAAATAAACTTCGAGAACCCTATTTTGCTTCATTTTATGAATTTTTTTCGTAATTCATCAGCAAAACCTTCTGGAAAATGAACTCCAAGGTCAATTTTAATCAGAAATTACTCCAGAAGCTTCAAAAATATTGATTTGTCATCATTTTTGGCTGAAAAACCTTGAAAAACTAATTTTGACCTACAATGTTTTTTCGACATTTTTTGACTTTTCGTGAATTGATCTTTCAATGTTAAAAAAAAACATTTTTTTCGTTCGTGAATCAGCCCTTTTAAAATGTGATTATCAGTATCAGTAAGTGAAATTTTCCGAAATTTTCCATCTAATTGACACATTTTGATCTCCAATCAATAATTTAAACAGGAGCAAAATTGACCTTCACAAACACACACACAAAACTGTCATGTTTTGTTTCATTTCCCGTTTCATTTCAACACATTTTTGTTATTATTGAGCGCTTTTTTGTTGAGAGCGCTGCTGTGTTCTACTTTTTTAGGTCATTTTTCTCTTTTCTCTCCGCTCATCGATCTTTTTTTCCCGTTTTTTTCGCTTCCTTTCTGTTCTCTCAGTGTTTTTTTCTAATTTTTTCGCTCTCAAATAAAAATTAAAGGAACATATCGTATACTACCTGCATATCTAAGTAACTCGCCCAATTTCTTCTCGAGTTAGATGTGCAGGTGGTATACGGTATGTGTTTTGGACACTGAAAAATATCAAAGAACCCCTGTTCTAGTGTGAAAATTTCGTGCAAAAATGGAGAAAGATAAGGAAAATGTCCAGCGATCAATCATTCTCGAAAAAAACCCCGAAAAGTATTAATTTTTTTCGTGTTCTTCGTTTTTTGTCTAATTTTAAAATGGCGTGATTAAGTAACTTTTATAGATTTTTTTTGTTATTTTCAGATGGTACTTCGAGACTTGAACGAGGAGCCGTTCTACTTGAAGATCGATGGAAAATGGGTTTATGTGGATGAGGAGGTTTTAAAGGCGCATCCGGGTGGAAGTGCCATTACGACATATAGGAATATGGATGTGAGTGCAACCCTGGCACACTTTTTTTAGCGCGCGAAGGTTGCCGAATTCAGATATTTCGTCATTTCTTCTACATACCGTGTATCTAGATGAATATTTTGTACAGAAAAACGTGGAAAATATATATTTTTGATTAGAGACAACGTGGAATTGAGAGAGTGCAGACATATTATCGAAAATCTCACGCGCTCCACCGAAATAAACACGCAACGCAGACCGCGCCGCGCCACAACACACAGAAAAGGGAGGGAATTTGAATCGTTCCCCTATTTGTGTGTGTAGTGGCGCGGCGCGGTCTGCGTTGCGTGTTCATTTCGGTGGAGCGCGTGGTACCGATGAGATTTTCGATAATACTTCGTTAGTCGCGTGCGGCTATGCGTCGCGGTCGAAAAATAATCAATAATCCTTTGTTTTTCGACCGCGACGCATAGCCGCACGCGACTGACGAAGTAAGGAGTGCCACATTTTTCAACTTCGACAATATCTAGAAAAACCAATTTTATGTCTGCACTCTCTCAATTTCACGTTGTCTCTACTCAAAATGTGTTTTTATTACAAAATTTTCATCTATTTACACGGTGTGCAGAAGAAATTACGAAATATTTGAATTCGGCAACCCTGGCACACTTTTTCACACAACAAAAAGCGCGCGAGATTTTCCGAATTCAAATATTTCGTGATTTCTTCTACACACTGTGTAAATAGATGAAAATTTTGTAATAAACATACATTTTTGAGTAGAGACAACGTGGAATTGAGAGGGCGCAGACAAAATAATTAGTTTTCTGTCTGCACTCTCTCAATTTCACGTTGTCTCTACTCAAAATCTGTTTTTATTACAAAATTTTCATCTAGATACACAGTGTGTAGAAGAAATCACGAAGTTTTTGAATTCGGCAACCCTCGCGCGCTTTTTGTTCTTTGAAACAACGAGACTCCGCAATAACGCCACGTGTACATATTTTGCAGGCCACAACAGTGTTCCACACATTTCACACGGGCTCTAAACCAGCCTATAAATGGCTAACCGAACTCAAATCAAAATGTCCAACACAAACGCCAGAAATTGCAAAAATTCGCGATGATAACACGTTGAAAGGATTTGATGATGTGAATATCGGAACTTTCGATATCACACCACAAAGATCCGAGCAGATTTCGAAGAATTTCGAAAAATTGCGCTTAAAAGTGAGAGCTGAAGGATTGATGGATGGAAGTGCTTTATTTTATAGCAGAAAGGTTGGAGAATAATTGATGGATGTTTGTGTGCGCGGCGCGGTCGCGTTGCGGTCGAAAATGTTGTTTTTCACAATTTTTGCTGAAAATAACATTAGTGAAACAAAAAATGAGCGATTTTTGTTGTTTTTCGCGAAATTCGGTCATTTTTTGGCTCATTGGTGTTATTTTCAACAAAAATTGTGAAAATATTAACATTTTTCAACAAAATTGTGAATTATAGTCCGGAAACACTTAAAATATTCAATTTTGTTCAAAAATGTGAATATTTTCACCATTTTTGCTGAAAATAACATTAGTGAAACAAAAAATTAGCGATTTTTGTTGTTTTTCACGAAAATCGCTCATTTTTGTTTCACTGATGTTATTTTCAGCAAAAATGGTGAAAATATTCAGATTTTTGAACAAAATTGAATATTTTAAGTGTTTCAGACTGAAAACTAACCTATAATATTCAATTTTGTTTCGAAAATGTGAATTTTTCACCATTTTTGCTGAAAATAACATTAGTGAAACAAAAAATAAGCGATTTTTGTTGTTTTCCATGAAAATCGCTCATTTTTTGTTTCACTAATGTTATTTTCAGCAAAAATGGGGAAAATATTCACAAATTGAATATTATAGGTGTTTTAGACTGAAAACCAACCTATAACATTCAATTTGTGAATATTTTCACAATTTTTGCTGAAAATAACATCAGTGAGCCAAAAAATTAGCGATTTTTGTTGTTTTTCACGAAAATCGAGCATTTTTTGTATCGCTGATGTTATTTTCAACAAAAATTGTGAAAATATTCACAAATTGAATATTTTAGGCTTTTCCGAACTGAAAACTACCCTATAATCTTCAATTTTGTTTAAAAATGCAAATATTTTCACCAAAAAATGACCGAATTTCGTGAAAAACAACATTTTCCAATGAAAAAAATATTGATTTTCGACCGCAACGCGACCGCGCACGCGCACACAAACATTCATCATTAATTTTCGGGATTAAAACAAGCTAAAAATACGAAAATCTTCCAGATAATTGAGCCGGTATTGACAATCGGTTTAGCAATGTATTTACAATATCATGGATATTATTTGATAGCCGCTGTTTTGATGGGTATTGCTTGGCAACAATTAGGTTGGATGGTGCACGAATTTGCACATCATCAGATGTTTAAAAATCGATATTTTAATGATTTGGCAAGGTTGGTGAGGTTTTTTGAGATGAAAAATTGGAAATTTTGCGAAAAATCGATTTTCCTGTCCAAAAATGGAGGATTATTCACTGAATTAAAGGAACACACCGTATAAATACCACCTGCGCATCTAACTCGAGAAGAAATTTGACGAGTTACTTAGATATGCAGGTGGTATACGGTATGCTCCTTTAATCCACATATCTAGATTTCCTCTGAAAATTGATGAGAAATTCATAATTTTTGATGAATTCTCCCCAAATTTATTTTTGAGTAGAGACAATGTGAAATTGAAAGAGTACAGACAGACAAATTGATTTTTCGCACAAAAAATACAAAAAACTAATTTTTATGTCTGCACTCTCTCAATTTCACGTTGTCTCTACTCAAAAATGTTTATTTTGTTTTTCCAAAATAAAAAAAAATTGAATTTTTCTCTAAATTTCATTGGAGCGCATTTTCTCTCCCAAAAAAGATAGGTTTTAAATTGAAAATTTGAATTTACCAAGTTTCCCGCCTATTGTTGATAGAGCGCACTTGCTCACTTTTCATCAAAAAAATTGAATTTCCCATTTTCGCGTCTTAGTAGCACTAGAGCGCACTTGCTCATTTTTCAACTGAAAGTTGAATTTTCTAAGTTTCTCGCCTTATTAAAGACACATAATCCACTAGAAATGAACAGAAAATGAGTTTGTTATTATTTCATAACACCTTTCAAGTAATGGGAATTCATAAAAATCAAGAAAAAATTTTGAGTCTGGCAAAAGTGAAAAAAACAAAATAATTGTTTTTGAAATCGCTCAGCCGACGGGATTTTCGAAAGAGTTTGCACACAACGAAGCAATAGAGCGCACATGCTGTTTTTGTCATTCGAAAATAAATGCGGGAAATCTGTTTTTTCCAGTGGCTGATGTGTCTTTAACACTAGAGCGCACAGGGGTTTTATTACTACCGAGAATTAATCACGTACAAAACATTTTATCTGACGACAAAAAACCTCCGCAAACAGCACGCTACGTGGCCGACAAAAAAACAATAGCGTGTGGCCGGCCTCGCGAGATGTCGGTCGCTGCAAACACACATATAGCCCGACTTTTTTCTTATTATTTGTGTGTCTTTTGAGCCAAAGGGTTTTCAATTTTCTTTTTGAAAATCTGAAAACCTAAGCTCCGCCCACATGTCTGTGCGGAAAAAGATGGGCGGAGCCTATTTGCTCGATTACAATTTTGCATTGACTCGGTAGTAATAAAACCCCTGTGAGAGCGCACTTGCTCATTCTTCATCAAAAATTTGAATTTACTAAGTTTCCCGCCTTATTAGCACTAGAGCGCACTTTCTCACTTTTCAAAAAAAATTTGAATTTTTATGGAAAAATATGTTTTTTTTCAAATATTATTCTGCATAGGCCCATAACTCATAGAATTTTCCAATTTTTCCAGTTATTTCGTCGTAAATTTCCTTTTTTCCGGACCGCGAGGGCATAGCCGCACGCGACTGACGAACTAACGTCATAAGATTCCACGTGGATTTTTCCCGAACGGAAAAAAAACCAATTTTTCCGCACATAACTCATAGAATTTTCCAGTTATTTCGTCGGAAATTTCCTGCAAGGCTTCTCATCGGGCGGTTGGAAAGAACAACACAACGTGCATCACGCCGCAACAAATGTAGTGGGAAAAGACGGTGACTTGGACCTAATGCCATTCTACGCGACAGTCGCACAAGATCTAAAAATGGCCGACAGCTGGCTACTCTCAATGCTTCGCTATCAACACATTTATTGGACAGTAATGCTACCATTGCTCAGATTATCGTGGCTTTTTCAATCGATAATGTTTGTCCGCGCAATGCCCACACATTTCTACAAATACTATCGAGACACGGCGATTTATGAGCAAATTGGATTGGGCCTACATTGGACCTATGTGTTGGCACAATTGTATTGTTTGCCGGATATGACAACGAGGTTGTGGTTCTTTTTTGTTTCGCAATTGGTTGGCGGGTTTTTGCTGGCTCATGTCGTCACTTTTAATCATTATTCTGTCGAGAAATTTACACGTGAGCGTTTTTTTTTTTGGTTTCCCCCCTGTCTAAAACCGTGTTTTTTTTCCAGTGAGCTCGAATATTATGTCGAATTTCGCGTGCCTTCAATTATTCACAACTCGAAACATGAGACCTGGCACATTTATTGATTGGTTGTGGGGTGGATTGAATTATCAGGTGAGGAATTTTAAAGGAACATACCGTACTACCTGCGCATCTTACTCGTCCATTTGAAGATTTGTGGCTACTTGCTATAGTTGTCCACTAGAGGCGGCTCCTTATCACACTTACTCTCTAGCAGCGGCTCCTTGTCAGAGCTGCTCTCTAGGCGCGGCTCCTTGTCAGAGCTTCCTTCTAGGCGTGGCTCCTTGTCAGAGCTACCCTCTAGCAGCGGCTCCTTGTCAGAATGGCTCTCTAGAGGCAACTCCTTGCCATAGTACCTCTCTAGGCGTGGCTCCTTATCACACTCACTCTCTAGCAGCGGCTCCTTGTCAGAACTTCCTTCTAGGCGCGACTCCTTGTGAAAGCTTCCCTCTAGCAGCGGCTCCTTGAGACACTTACTTTCAAGCAGCGGCTTCTTGTCAGAACTACCCTCTAGCAGTGGCTCCTTGACACAGTTTTTTGGTTTGTTCTCGAGTTAGATGTGCAGGGTTTTCTACCGTACCTTGCGCGCTTTTAATAATGATTTTGGACGCTAAAAAACGTGTAAATTTGTATTTATGACGTGACTACTTTAAAATTGTTATTTTTATATCCAAAAGTCCTTGAATTTCATGAAAATCCTGGCTCAACTGGTTAGAGATGAATCTACTGATCAGAAGGTCGCAGGTTCGATCCCGCTAGTGAACAATTTTGTAAATTTTTATTGTTTCTAGGGTAGTTTTTCATGGGGAGTCTAAAAATGTAGGTTTAACAGTCTAAAATCTGATTTTCAAGCTTCAAAACCTGAAAATTCGTGATCTACACAAAAAATTAGGCCTAGAGTTCAGAAATTTAAAAAAAAAATTTCAAAAAACTTTATTTTTTTCCACAAAAAAATGAAAAATTGAAAAAAATATAGTTTTTTTTCAAATTTTCTGGAAAAAATGAAAAAAATGCTAAAAAATTAAGAATTTCGGCCTGATTTTGGACAAAATCAATTTTTTTTGTTAATTTTTCCAAATTTTTGCAGATCGAGCATCATTTGTTCCCCACAATGCCACGTCACAATCTGAATACGGTAATGCCGATGGTCAAAGAATTTTGCCGCGAAAACGATTTGCCCTACATGGTTGACGACTATTTCACGGGATATCAAAAAGAATTGCATCAATTTGAGAATATTGCAAAAATTGCCAATAAACTCACCTATAAAATTATGTGATTTTGCTTGTTTTTTGCTGCTTTTTGGGTTTGATTTTTGTAGTTTTCCATGATAAAATTTGATTTTTTTTGGTGATTTTTGGAGCCATTTTGAATAATGAACACCGATAAGATAAGCTCATTAGTTTTTTTTTTCTTTGAATTTTCCACGTCAGAAAAAAAAAAGTTGGGGTTCGAAGAGTATTTTTGGTTTTTTTGGATCTCTAGGCGCGACTCCTTGTCAGAGGTGTTCTATAGGCGCGGCTCCTTGTCAGAGGGAGCCTCTAGGCGCGACTCCTTGTCATTATTGCTCTCTACGCGCGACTCCTTGTCAGAATAGCTCTCTAGGCGCGACTCCTTGTCATTATGGCTCTCTAGGCGCGACTCCCTGTCATTATGGCTCTCTAGGCGCGACTCCTTGTCAGAGGGAACTTCTAGACGCGGATCCTTGTCAGATGGAACCTCTAGGCGCGGATCCGTGTCATTATTGCTCTCTAGCAGCGACTCCTTGTAGTTTTCCAAGGCTCATCAATTTTATTGAAGAAAATTTGAATTTTTTGGTTTCCTAGGCCATGGTTTTCCAGGCCACTTCCAAAATTCAGGGAAACTACGTGGAAAAATGGAATTTTTTTGTGAATTCCAGATAAAATTCGCTGCTGTAATTTTGTTATCTCTCTGAGTTTTTTGCAGCGAAAAATCATGCATAAAAGTTCGACGAAACGCACCATTTTTGATTGTGTTCAAATTCAAAAAATCAACATTGATAAGTGTGTTTGTAGTTTGAACTTTTCAGATTTTTTTGTGCCCGAAATTTAGAGCTTTTCCCAAGTTTTCTAAATTTTTCCAAAAATTTTTATTTTTTTCATAAAAATATGTTTTTTTTTTCATAAATATACCTATAAATAAATAAATAAATAAAATTTTTTGAAAAAAAAAACATAACACAATTTTTTTCCCGCTTTTTTTCTCTCTCTATCTCTCAATCTCTCACTTTTTCACAGTGAACAGCATTGGCGAGCGAGAGAGTGTGAAAATTGAGGAGAGTGCACAGAGATACAATGACAGCGATATGTGAAGCAGCAACAACCATTCGATCAGGCAGCCGCCACAACACAAAACCATCTGCGAAAAAAAATGACTGTCGTGGATAAAACGACGTCGGGAATTCGGATGAAGGTTGGTTTTTTTTGGGGCTGAAATTTAGATTTTCAGATTTTTTAAGATGCTTTTAGGATCTGAATTTTTGGAAATTTTGGAAATTTTTTAGGAAAAAAAAATATAGTTTTTTGAAATTTTTTTTTTAAAACCTTTTTTTTTAGTTGTAACTTGAACCCTATTTTTTATCCTAAAAAGATTGTTCTGGAATTTTCAGATCTTCAAAATTTTTTAATTTGTTCTACAGTTATACTGAAGATTTTTTCTCATTTCAAAACTCAATAGGAATTTTTCCAAAAATTGTTCCACAAAAATTCGATTTTCCCCCCAAATTCGGTCAAAGTTTTCTCCAAATTTTCCAATAAATCATCCATTTTTTCTACCATACCATATTTTCCTTTTCTTATCTTTCAAACACAAGTCGAGAGAAAGTTCATCCAAAAAAAAAATAAAATAAAAATCACACCATTTTTCGGCACTCTCTCAAATTAACACGCTATTTCGCCGCTATGGTCGAAGAACACATTTGTTTGTGTGCACTTTGGACAAAAATAATTGGGAGAGATGGAAAAATGCGGGGATCCAAAAATAAGCAGTCCCAAAAAAATAAGCAGTTCCAAAAATAAGCAGTCCCAAAAAAATAAGCAGTCCCAAAAATAAGCAGTCCCAAAAAAATAAGCAGTCCCAAAAGTTAAGCAGTCCCAAAAAAATAAGCAGTCCCAAAAAATAAGCAGTCCCTAAAAATAAGCAGTCCCAAAAATAAGCAGTCCCAAAAAGTTAAGCAGTCCCAAAAATAAGCAGTCCCAAATTTCTCTGCATCTCTGCGTCTCTCGTTGATTAGCATGCAGAGATATAAATAAGCAGTCCCAAAAAAATAAGCAGTTCCAAAAGTTAAGCAGTCCCAAAAAAATAAGCAGTCCCAAAAAAAATAAGCAGTCCCAAAAAGTTAAGCAGTCCCAAAAAAAATAAGCAGACACAAATTTCTCTGCTTCTCTGCGTCTCTCGTTGAATAGCATGCAGAGAGATAAATAAGCAGTCCCAAAAAAATAATTTAATTTCAGGTTGATGGTAAATGGTTGCATTTGAGTGACGAGGTTGTTAAGAAACATCCAGGAGGCGCTGTTATTGAACAATACACGTGAGAACTCTCCAGAATCCTAATAGAAGTTAGCCTAACTTCTTGAAAATATTCCAGAAACGCGGATGCCACTCATATCTTCCACGCTTTTCACGAAGGTTCATCAATAGCTTTTAAGCAACTTGAATTTCTCAAGAAAAACTCGTGGGATCCATCGGAGGATTTGGAAGATGAGTTGAAAAAACGAACGGATAAATCGGATGTGAATATTTCGACATATGATATAAGTGTGGAAGAGGAGAAGAAAATGGTAGCATCTTTTGAGAAATTACGGAAAAAACTGACTGATGATGGGTTGATGGAGGCTAATGAGAGATATTTTGTTTTCAAGTCGATTTCGACGTTGAGTATTATGTTCTTTGCGTTTTGTTTGCAGTATTTGGGATGGTGAGTTAGATAAGCAGACACAAAAATAAGCAGACACAAAAATAAGCAGACACAAAAATAAGCAGTCCCAAATAATTAAGCAGTCCCAAAAGTTAAGCAGTCCCAAAAACATAAGAGGCTTTCATTTTCATTATTCGGATAACTTCATCAAATTTTTTTGAAAATAGTTCAATCGAGCATCTAAAATCCACAAAATAACGTACATTCATACAAAAAAAATGTACGAAAAATTCGAACAAATATTTTTTTTCATTAAAAAGTTTGAAAAACCAATTTTTTGCACTTGCTTCAATGTTTTTATTTTGAATTAAGTGGGAACAAAAAGTGTTAACAACAAAATAAAATTTAAATTTTTTAAATAATAAATGTTTTATGAAAACATCTAGATAGAAAAATGTACATTTTTAGGAAGTCCTCAAAAAATTTACATTTTCAGGGGATCCTTGAAAAATATTCATTTTTAACACAAAAATAAGCAGTCCCAAAAAATAAGCAGACACAAAAAATAAGCAGTCCCAAAAATAAGCAGTCCCAAAAAAATAAGCAGACACAAAAATAAGCAGTCCCAAAAAAATAAGCAGACACAAAAAAATAAGCAGACACAAAAATAAGCAGTCCCAAAAATAAGCAGTCCCAAAAATAAGCAGACACAAAAAATAAGCAGTCCCAAAAAATAAGCAGTCCCAAAAATAAGCAGTCCCAAAATTTTTTCCAGGTATTTGACATCGGCGTGTTTCCTCGCTTTGGCTTGGCAACAATTCGGATGGCTTACACACGAATTCTGCCATCAACAACCCACCAAAAATCGTCAACTCAACGACATTATTTCACTTTTCTTCGGTAATTTCTTACAAGGATTCTCACGCGATTGGTGGAAGGATAAACACAACACTCATCATGCCGCAACAAATGTTATCGATCATGACGGAGATATCGATTTGGCACCACTTTTCGCTTTTATTCCAGGAGATTTGTGTAAATATAAAGCGAGTTTCGAGAAGGTTTTATTGAAATTCATCCCTTATCAACATTTATATTTTACTGCAATGTTGCCAACTTTGAGATTTTCATGGACCGGACAATCAGTTCAATGGGTTTTTAAGGAGAATTCGATGGAATATCGTGTTTATCGTAGAAATGCGCTTTGGGAGCAAATTACAATTGTTGCACATTGGAGTTGGGTTTTCTATCAACTTTGGCTTCTTCCAAGTTTGCCGATTAGGCTGGCGTATTTTGCGATTTCACAATTAGGCGGAGGATTTTTGATTGCTCATGTTGTTACTTTCAATCATAATTCTGTTGATAAATATCCAGCAAACTCGAGAATTTTGAACAATTTTGCGGCTCTTCAAATTTTGACAACTAGAAATATGACACCTTCTCCATTTATTGATTGGTTATGGGGTGGATTGAATTATCAGGTGAGCATTTGAAACTGGAAAACTCTAAATTCCATTTTTTGCAGATTGAACATCATTTGTTCCCAACCATGCCACGTTGCAATCTCAATAGATGTATGAAATATGTGAAAGAATTTTGCGCTGAAAACAATTTGCCATATCTCGTCAACGATTATATTGATGGATATTCGTTGAATTTGCAACAATTGAAAAATGTTGCCGCTTTGGCGCAAGCTCGTTAGAAAAACTTTTATTTTTCACTTTTTCATAAACTTTTCTCCTTTTTTTTTATTGAAATATAGAAAGTCAGAAAAATAAGCAGACACAAAAATAAGCAGTCCCAAAAAGTTAAGCAGTCCCAAAAAGTTAAGCAGTCCCAAAAAATAAGCAGTCCCAAAAAAATAAGCAGTCCCAAACTTCTCTGTTTCTCTGCGTCTCTCGTTGATTAGCATGCAGAGAAATAAATAAGCAGTCCCAAAAATGCATTTCACGCGCGCGCTGTCATCAAAGCGGAGTCTCGTTTATTTTTTTGGACTGCTAATTTTTTACTTTAATTTCAAAACAATATTCATTTATCTATCAAAATCTCATCAAGTTTTTCTTTAAAAAATGGAGCAAGTGTTTGAGCAAGAACTGTTTCTGCGGGGAGCCATTTTTCTGAAGAAATTGGATCAGGAAATCGAAATTTTGCTGTTGAATTTATCGATTTATGCATCAAATGATGAAGATGGATCAGATAGTTCCATTGATTTTGAGCTTCAGGTTCTAGTAAAAATTCCATGATCAATAAATATGTTTTTTTTAAACTCGAAACTTACCAGAAATCGAAAACGTGTGCGAAATATGTTTCCAAACTTGTGTCAAATGTTGATCATCTAACAAAAATTCCTTCTTCCAGATTCCAGGAATCAAAAAGATAGTTTGAATAAATTCATCGAATCGGCAAGGATCCAAAGACATTTTTTTTTTTTGGAAAAAGAGAAAAAACTTTTTTTTGTCTAAGTACAACACTTATGCATTTTTAAAAAAGGAGGGAAAAGCATATTTCTTCAAGTTTTTTTTCTTGTAAAATATTTGTTTAGTGAAGAATCATATTTCAATATCTACATATAAAAAACTAGGAAAAAAGAAAAGTTTATGAAAATATTTTTGGGACTGCTTATTTATCTCTCTGCATGCTAATCAACGAGAGACGCAGACAAGCAGAGAAATTTGGGACTGCTTATTTTTGGGACTGCTTTTTTTTTGTGTCTGCTTATTTTTTGGGACTGCTTATTTTTTGGGACTGCTTATTTTTTGGGACTTCTTATTTTTGTGTCTGCTTATATTTTTGGGAGTGCCTAACTTTTTGGGACTGCTTATATTTTTGTGTCTGCTTATTTATCTCTCTGCATGCTAATCAACGAGAGACGCAGAGAAGCAGAGAAATTTGGGACTGCTTAACTTTTTGTGTCTGCTTATTTTTTGGACTGCTTATTTTTGGGACTGCTTAACTTTTTGGGACTGCTTATTTTTGTGTCTGCTTATTTTTAGGGACTGCTTATTTTTTGGGACTGCTTAACTTTTTGTGTCTGCTTATTTTTGGGACTGCTTATTTTTGGGACTGCTTAACTTTTTGGGACTGCTTATTTTTGTGTCTGCTTATTTTTAGGGACTGCTTATTTTTTGGGACTGCTTAACTTTTTGTGTCTGCTTATTTTTGGGACTGCTTATTTTTGGGACTGCTTAACTTTTTGGGACTGCTTATTTTTGTGTCTGCTTATTTTTAGGGACTGCTTATTTTTAGGGACTGCTTAATTTTTTTTGTTGTTATATAATGAATTTGTGTGTTTTTTTAAAGTTTTTAGTGGATTTTTTAGCAAATTCTCGATTTTTTGGCTCATTTTTCTGCTCTTCAGAGAGTCTCAGCAAAAATTGGAATTTTATTTCTGCAATATTTTATGATGTCTAGTCCCTTGTGAAAAAAATTTTGAATTTTTAAGAAATGTTAAAAATTAAACTCTGAAAAAAATATGAAAACAATTTTGGTTCTATTTTTATTGTGTTCCACTTGCTCAACAATAATGCACAATTGCAGCAAAGTTGTGATAACTTCTTTCGATCCAGACATGAATCGAAATTGTTTCTTTTCAATGGTCCAATGCATTCTCGTGTCAACCGGCGATTCGTGGAATAATTTAGCTCACAAACATGCTTCTTGTTGAGAGGATAAAATTATTTTGTGCAAAAATTTTCATTTTCAAAAATTTTATTCAAAAAAATGAATCAATAAGTACATATCAATAAATACATGATTTTTTTTGATTTAGCAATTATTCTTGTCATTATGAGTGATAATGTCCAAAGTAACATAGGTCATATCATAAGTTGATCCGATTTTGTCTTGTGGAACTTGGTATTCAGTGACACGTGTGCAACCCTGGAAAATATATTTTTTATTTTTTTTTGTAAAAAAAAATCTGAAAAAATTTTTGTGCTCAAAAAACTAACCGGTTGAGTGTTGCAATTGTGATGAACTCTGATGAATGGTTCGATTTTGCCGATCTCATCTTCTTCTCCATAAAGTTCGAATTCTCCTTCTTTATTTGTGTGAATTGAGGCGAGTTCATCATGTGGATCAACTGCAAAATTTCAGATTTGAGAAGAAAAAGAGAAATTTGGGACTGCTTATTTATCTCTCTGCATGCTAATCAACGAGAGACGCAGAGAAGCGGAGAAATTTGGGACTGCTTATTTTTGTGTCTGCTTATTTTTGGGACTGCTTATTTATCTCTCTGCATGCAAATCAACGAGAGACGCAGAGAAGCAGAGGAATTTGGGACTGCTTATTTTTGGGACTGCTTATTTTTGGGACTGCTTATTTATCTCTCTGCATGCTAATCAACGAGAGACGCAGAGAAGCAGAGACATTTGGGACTGCTTATTTTTTGGGACTGCTTATTTTTGGGACTGCTTATTTATCTCTCTGCATGCTAATCAACGAGAGACGCAGAGAAGCAGAGACATTTGGGACTGCTTATTTTTTGGGACTGCTTATTTTTGGGACTGCTTATTTATCTCTCTGCATGCTAATCAACGAGAGACGCAGAGAAGCAGAGACATTTGGGACTGCTTATTTTTTGGGACTGCTTATTTTTGTGTCTGCTTATTTTTGGGACTGCTTATTTTTTGGGACTGCTTATTTTTGGGACTGCTTATTTATCTCTCTGCATGCTAATCAACGAGAGACGCAGAGAAACAGAGGAATTTGGGACTGCTTATTTTTTGGGACTGCTTATTTATCCCTCTGCATGCTAATCAAAGAGAGACGCAGAGAAACAGAGAAATTTGGGACTGCTTAACTCACGAGTATCTTTATCAATCAAGACGACTTTCGCATTCGCCAAACGCTTCTTGTTACAAACTGCGACTCCTTTGACAGTGACATTTTGCAATTTTGCGTCAGCAAAACTCAACCAGGCGGCCAAAATAAAAGCGAACAGCAAGAAAGTTCTCATTTTTGAGCTTCAACTTGAAAAGTGTTTCATGAGCTTGAACTTTATATAAGCATGATTTTGGGGTGGAGCTCGAGCAACAGTTGCTCAGTTTAATTGATACGCGGAGGTGGATCATGTGCTAAACTAAAATGTTTTGGATAATTGCCAGGCAGGATTAAATTTAGAAGAAGAAGAAGAAGGTTTTTGATTTGTGGAAGATTAATGATTTGGATTTTTTTTATAGAAATCGAAATTTTTTATCAAAAAAAAATGTTAAGTTTCAGAAGTTCAAGTCTTCAAGTCAACAAAATCACACAGTTGTTTCCAAAAAAAAATATTTTCAAACAATTCCAGAAAAAGATTGATTGATAGCTTGTCAAATCGCATGACTCACAAAAGATAAAAATAAAATATTTATTTACATTTAGTTTTATCATTATGCACAAAAACGTCCAAAACAACATAGGTCATATTGTAAATTGAGCCAATCAGATTTTGTGGAACTTTGTATTCCGAAGTTCGTAGGCAGTTCTAAATTTGAAAAAAATGTAATTTAAATTGCAAAAAAAAAAACAAAAAAACTCACAGGTTCTGTATTACAAGCATGAGTAATTCGAATAATTGGCTCAATTGTGAAGATTTCGTTATCTTTTCCAAAAAGTTCGAATTCTCCTTCACTATTTGTTTCGATGTGCGCAAGTTCGTCATTTGGGTCAACTGAAAATTTCAGAATTCAGAAAGACGCAGAGAAATAAAGAAATTTGGGACTGCTTATTTTTGGGACTGCTTATTTATCTCTCTGCATGCTAATCAACGAGAGACGCAGAGAAACAGAGAATTTTGGGACTGCTTATTTTTTGTGTCTGCTTATTTTTTGGGACTGCATATTTTAAATGTTTTCAAAAAACTCACATCGATCTTTTTCAATGAGCACAACATTTGCTTTCGCCAACCGTTTCTTATTGCAAACTGCGATTCCTTTGACTGTTATATTTTGAACACTCGCATTTGTGAATTCGAAAATAGTGAAAGCAAAAAATAGAATTTGAAGTTTCATTTTTTAAGTATCTTCACAATGAAAAGAAACTGTTGACCTTTTATATCAAAAAATTCGAAATTGAAGAATTTCTAGATGGTCATATGATAACATCGAACTGGTTTAGTTAGGTTAGGTTACTTTTTTCGGAAAAGAATTTTGAGTCATCAAAAGTTTTGGACTTCTTTAGGATCGATTTTTTCGATATTCATTCTCCCACATTTTAGTGCAATTTCCATCAGACAATATAAAAATCGCCTCTAATATTTCCGAATCAATTTTTGTCATCAACGTTACAAAAATGAATATGAAGATCATCCTAATATTTTCCCACTTTATTTTGCTTGAAGCAAAACTTCAACATGTGAATGTCACTGGTGTTCTTCTATGTCATTCTCAAAGGGTGATGAATATTTTCATCGAGTTATGGGAGTATGATCGATGTAAGTATTATAAGCAGTCCCAAATTTTCGAAATAAGCAGACCCAAAAATAAGCAGTCCCAAAAAAAAAGCAGACACAAAAAATAAGCAGACACAAAAATAAGCAGTCCCAAATTTCTCTGTTTCTCTGCGTCTCTCATTGATTAGCATGCAGAGAGACAAATAAGCAGTCCCAAAAATAAGCAGTCCCAAAAATAAGCAATCCCAAATTTTCAGTCGACGCCAATGATCTTCTCAACACAACTCGAACCAATGACCAAGGAGAATTTCAATTGACCGGCGGACAAAATGAATTTTTCTCCATCGAACCTTATATCGAAGTTTGGCATGAATGTGGAACAAAAGCCGGTTGTATTCGAGCAACAAAATATCATATTCCAAATAGTTTTATCGACAAACATTATGATACATCACTCATTTCTTTGGACACTTTTACAAGTGATGAAAGAAATATGTGTGGGGCTGATATTCCGAAAAAGTATCGAGGATTGTTGACGACTAAGGCATGAAAAATAATTTTTTGTGTTTTTGTGGGCTGAATGAAGTTTATTTATAATAGATTTTGATGAGTTATCCTAATTTTTTTCAATTTTTCCGAAATCCGTCCCCAAAAAACTCACCAATCGCTTCTAATCACCCAAAAATCATCGAAAATCCGAAATCCTCCACGTTTTTGACATTGAAATCCAATATTTCGAGCTGAAAATCAGAAAATTTGAATTTTCGCATGTACCATTGAGTTCTGCTAACTCAATTTCTGTTTCTATTGATTTCTGAGGGTTTTCTCTGGGTCTCACAACAATTTCCCAGCTATTTTTCATCAAAAATTTCAATCTAAACAGTATTTCTCTCGAAAAACCCACCTTTCTTCGATAATCCTCGGATTTTCCGTTGAAATCAATAATTCCAGCCTGTAGAACATCTGAAAATTCAATTTTTGACTGAAATCCACTGATTTTCCCCGGAAACCTGAAAACCCAGCGAAAAAAACATAGAAAATTAATTGACTTTTCTAACGACACTCCGGCTTGCCCGTTGTTTAGCGCAACACGAGAATATTTTCAATTTTCGTTTTTTTTCGCTGGGTTTTCAGGTTTCCGGGGAAAATCAGTGGATTTCAGTCAAAAATTGAATTTTCAGATGTTCTACAAGGCTGGAAATATCGATTTCAACGGAAAATCCGAGGATTATCGAAGAAAGGTGGGTTTTTTTCTAGAGAAACAGGGTTTTGATTGAAATATTTGAGAAAAATAGCTGGAAAATTGTTGTGAGACCCAGAGAAAGCCCTCAGAAATTTATAAAATCAGAAATGGAGTTAGCAGAACTCAATGGTACATGAAAAATTCAAATTTTCTGATTTTCAGCTTGAAATATTGGATTTCAATGTCAAAAAGGCTCTATCGCAATATATGGGTCCCATGGAAATATATGGGTCCGTAAAAACATTTAAGGGTCCCTCAGAAATATAAGGGTCCGTGAATTTTTTTATGGGTCCCAAAAAAATATAAGGGTCCGTTATTTTTTTTGAGGGTCCATAAAAAAAAGTATTTTTTCTAATTTCAATTATTTATTTTTGGTGATTTTTTGTAATTTTTTCACATTTTTTTTAGCCAGTCAGTATTTTTCTAGGGGGTTTACTAAGCCTAAGCCTAAAATAATAGAGAAATTTTGAATCCTGTGGTAACTCTATTTTTGGCTTTTCAGCTTCATAATTAGGCTTAGGCTTAGTAAACCCCCCGAAAATACAAAGAATCGTCAAAAAATCAAGAAATTTACAACAAAACACTTGAAAATTTAAAAAATCACACATTTTTTGCTCCAAAAATCAAAAAATCAGACATATGAAAAAAATCACGGACTCTTTTATTTTTTTGGGACCCATAAAAAAATTTACGGACCCTTATATTTCTGAGGGACCCTTATATGTTTTTTCGGACCCCTATATTTTTTACGGACCCATATATTTCCATGGGACCCATATATTGCGATAGAGCCGTCAAAAACGTGGAAAACTTGGAGGATTTTGATTGGGATTTGAGAAATTGAAGCGATTGGTGAGTTTTTTGGGGAGGGATTTCGGGAAAAATTGAAAAAATTCTGTAAAATTTGAAAAAAAGTTAGGCTAACTCATTAAAATCTAAACTCAAAAAGTCTAGAAAGTTGAATTTAACTCATGTAACCCTCAATTCAAAAAAGCGGCGAAAAAACACACGCCTCTCATGTGTTACAGTACTCTAGCGCGACAAGAGACAACAAGAAAATAACTCGCTGTTCCTTTGCTCAACCAAACCAGCCGTTTTCGGTTTTTTTATGTAAAGAAGATTTTTTTCATAAAAAACAATTTATTTTAAAAAATCAAAACTTATTTATCATGACAGGAAGGAAAAAATCACTATTTACTTGCATTTTTCTTTTTCTCCATGAACCTTGATGTCCAAAGTAACATAGGTCATATCATAAGTGGCTCCGATTTTTTCCTTTGGAACAACATATTGACCAATACGGTTGCAGTTCTGCAAAAAAATGGATTTTAGAGGATTCTCAAAAGAAAATCGAAAAAAAACATACGAGTTTTTCAACATTGCAATTGTGAGTGATGAGGAGATATGGAGCAATTGCGTGAGTTTCGTCTTGCTCTCCGAAAACTGTGAATTCACCTTCGCTGTTGGTGTGAATTGTGGCGAGCAAGTCATCTGGGTCGACTGAAACGAATTTGGGACTGCTTATTTTTTGGGACTGCTTATTTATCTCTCTGCATGCTAATCAACGAGAGACGCAGAGAAACAGAGAAATTTGGGACTGCTTATTTTTGGGACTGCTTATTTTTTGGGACTGCTTATTTTTGTGTCTGCTTATTTTTGGGACTGCTTATTTTTGAGACTGCATGCTAATCAACGAGAGACGCAGAGAAACAGAGAAATTTGGGACTGCTTATTTTTTGGGACTGCTTATTTATCTCTCTGCATGCAAATCAACGAGAGACGCAGAGAAACAGAGAAATTTGGGACTGCTTAACTTTTTGGGACTGCTTATTTTTGGGACTGCTTATTTTTTGGGACTGCTTATTTTTGGGACTGCTTATTTTTGGGACTGCTTAACTCACGTGTATCCTTCTCCCACAATTCGACTTTCACATTCGCCAAACGCTTCTTGTTACAAACAGCACTGGTCCTGGGAGTTTGACCAAAAATTGGTCAATTTTTGGTCAAAAAAATTTTGAACAAAAATTGACCAAAAATGCACCAAAAAAATTTTCACCATTTTTTGGTCAATTTTTCAACTTTTTCCCACCAATTTTTCACCATTTTTTGATCATTTTTCCCAACTTTTTTCAAATCAAAAACACATTTTTTTCACAAAAATTTATTGAAAAGAACAAAAAAGAAACAAAAAATGGTTCTAACTGTTAGGAATCTGCTTATATTATGAACTTTAATTTTCATTGAAAAACATTTTTAGCTAATTAGAGAAAAGAGTTGGAGGCTTGTGCTCGGAAGAATGTAAATTTTGCCCTAATAAAGTCAATTTCAGAGCAATCGCAGACTCCTAACAGTTTGTGAACCTTACAAACAATAAAAATTGCATCAGTTTCGACTAATACTTCTGCTTTCTCTGCACCAGCAGAAAGAGCAGTGTCAACTTGTTCCTTGATTCGCTCACGTCCTTTTTCTGACAATTTATCCGGATTACCATATTGTTCCTCGTCGATTGAATCGTTGTTGGCATCACCTTCTTCTACGGTTGGCAATTAGTCATGGCATTTGAGAAAACTTGATCTTCAAGTTATCCAAAGGAGCTTGTCCATAGTAGAAGTAAGGTTCAAATGATTGTTCGCTGTCGTCTCCGAAGAGTTTACCACTGAAATGCATAGAAATAGAAAATGTACGAAAATTTCAAAACTTACGCAAGTTGAGAAGCCAAACTCAAGAGATCAGCAGCCATGCTGAATTCGCTTGTCAACAAATGACGCTTTCCAGATGTCAAGTTGTTCTTCAATTATGTAGTCCTGGAAATGAGAACCAACTTTGATTAAAATTCTTCAGAAGAAAAAACTGACTTTTCCTCGGCAGTAAGCTCTTTGGTGGCAGCGGTGGAAGTTTCAGCAGTAGTTGGACTCTAGTTGCTTCTTCAGTAGTGGTGGTCTTGACATTTTCAACTGGAACAGTGGTTTCTCCGGTCATTGTGTTGGTAGTCTCAGCAAGAGCAGTAGTCATTCTTTCTTGGTTAGTAGTTTCTAAAAACAGCAGAAATATCAATATTGCGAAATAAGATCGATAAGAATCGAATTTTAAAACCCCGGCGGCCGTCTACCGGCTGTTGAGACACTTCTGATTGTAACATAGAAACTCATGCAAATGTTGCTGGAAACTTGTCAAATTGAGAAACAGCCCCGTTCTGATAAAAAATCTAAAACTCAAAGAAAACCAATTTTTGTTTTTGGCCTAAATTCAAGTTTAATATGTGAATTTCAAAGTTCTGGTAAAACTTGCTGCTAGATCCTAGTCGGGGAACAAGCTTTATATCTTATTAGCAGTCGTGAACAATCAATTTCTCTATAAGTAGGGCAACACACAAAAAAACGAAAAAAAAAGAAAAAATTTGGTGGCGTGCATTTCGTCCGAGAGAAGTACGCACACACATTTCGCTGCAGGACCACATTGCATAAATATGTGCGCCTTTAATCTATTGTTTTCGCGCACCAATTAGTAGTGTTTGGTGATAAATAGTTTGCACCATTCGATACAGAATTTCACGCTGAGTAAAATGATATAAAAATCATCTCTATGTGTGGAAGTTTTTGAGTTCACGTTTTTGGGAAAAAATGCACGATTTTTGGAACACTGGTGTCATTTCTTTCGAAGCTGATGGCTATCACAACAATATTCTTTCAAAAAATAATGGAAATTATTGCCCCTGAACCCAATACTTCTGATTTCTCTGAGCCCTTGTTCTTGATAAATCAAGGATCGATCAATACAACTGATAGATTCGAGATAGGTCTCTGCTTGGTAAAAATAGCTCCAAGATAAGTCAAAACTGATTTTAGGTGAAGATTTGGGGCTTAAATTTGCGCCAATGGTGAAATTGGTGTGAGTGGCGCCAAAATTCACCAAACGAAGTATTTTACTCCTATTTATTGATTCATCAGTAGAAAAACAACGAAATTCATCAACCTAACTTCACCAAAAGCCGCAAAACGACATGTCTGCCCAACAACATTAAGATTTTCGAAATTTTTCACAATTAAAATTTTCACTGATTTTTGGCCAAATTTCGACCAATTTTTTGGCCAATTTCTGACCATATTTTGGCCAATAAATATTTTTGATCAATTTTTGGTCAAAATTCGACCAATTTTCGTTTTTGGCCAAAATTTGGTCAATTTTTGGTCAACCTCCCAGGACCAGTGAGCAACTCCTTTGACGGTGACATTTTGCATATAAGCAGAGCATTCGAAAACGCAGGCGGCGAGCAAAAGACAGGCGAGAAGTTTCATTTTTGATTCGATCAACGGAATGAATGAGGAAATGTTGATTTGGTCGCAAGCTTTTATAGCAGATTTTCAAGCAGTTGTTTCTCTTCTAGAGAAAAGCATTTCTCGCTTTTTGAGAAAAACTGAACAAGAAAGAAGAAGAGAGTCGTAACAATTAATTAGACACGTATGTACTTTGGATCTTTTTTGATCGGTCGAAAAGAGAAAAACAAATGTTGTTGGTGGAAAAAATAAAGGGCAAGGATTCATTGAGAAAAAATATCAGAATTTTTCCTCAAGGGATCTGAAAAATATGCAAAATTGATAACAATCAAAACGTGATCTATTTTTTTTTATCTTTTCCGCTTTTCCCCTCCACAAAAATTTCTGAATAGTTCTCGATTTTGAATATTTTTTGTATTAGAAAAATAGATTGTCTCACAAAAATGGATAGCGATGTTTCAATGAATTGGATCAAGGAGAGGATTCATGATCAGAAGCATTTCACAGCGAGATGGCTCGATTCGGCGGCAAAAGCTTCTGGACAAAAAGTGGAGAATCTGGCGAAAGTTTTTGTTGTTGGTTTGATTGTGCTTTTGATTGTGGCTGATAATCAGGTGAGACACAAAAATAAGCAGTCCCAAAAAGTTAAACAGTCCCAAAAAATAAGCAGTCCCAAAAATATGCAGACACAAAAATAAGCAGTCCCAAAAAGTTAAGCAGTCCCAAAAAATAAGCAGTCCCAAAAAATAAGCAGTCCCAAAAAGTTAAGCAGTCCCAAATTTCTCTGCTTCTCTGCGTCTCTCGTTGATTAGCATGCAGAGAGATGAATAAGCAGACACAAAAATAAGCAGACACAAATATAAGCAGTCCCAAAAATAAGCAGTCCCAAATTTCTCTGCTTCTCTGCGTCTCTTGTTGATTAGCATGCGGAGAGATAAATAAGCAGTCCCAAAAAATAAGCAGACACAAAAATAAGCAGTCCCAAAAATAAGCAGACACAAAAATAAGCAGTCCCAAAAATAAGCAGACACAAAAATAAGCAGTCCCAAAAATAAGCAGACACAAAAATAAGCAGTCCCAAAAATAAGCAGACACAAAAATAAGCAGTCCCAAAATAAGCAGTCCCAAATTTCTCTGCTTCTCTGCGTCTCTCGTTGATTAGCATGCAGAGAGATAAATAAGCAGACACAAAAAAAATAAGCAGTCCCAAAAAAATAAGCAGACACAAAAATAAGCAGTCCCAAAAAATAAGCAGTCCCAAAAATAAGCAGTCCCAAATTTCTCTGCTTCTCTGCGTATCTCGTTGATTAGCATGCAGAGAGATAAATAAGCAGTCCCAAAAACCTCCCTTTTTTCAGGCTCACTTCTTTGCCAATCTAATCCTTGTCCTTGTCCCATTCCTCCTTGTCTTCGTATATCCAGAAGAACAACCAACCGAACGTTCATTACTTGTCTACTTCATAACTTTCGGATTTTTAACAACATTGGATAGAAATCTAGAAAAACTTCCGCTTTATTACGTCATCAAGTTGGCTATTCTTCTACTTTTGTATCTTCCACCATTTTCACTTTGGAAATCTATTGATGAAAATGTTAAGAAGATGGTAGCTGATGAAAAAAGTCAAGAAAATACAAAAAAGGATCATTTGAACAGTATGGAAACTTTGCAGTCTAGTGAACCGGCTCCGCCATCTTCAACCGAAAGTTTTGTGAATAAATCGACTAGAAATACAGTGTCAACATCTAGAAGAAGTCTTGTAACAGCTCGTGAAAAACGAGATGAACAATCTGCGCCTTTAAATCAAGTTATGGCCGATCAAACAGCTTCAACGGCGAAAAGTTTTAAAGAATCGGAAAAAAGCACGCAGCAATCCACAAGATTGGCCACATTGGATTCATCGGCAAAAGCATCGATGAGAATGCCGTTGGCTGGAGAAGCGATGAATTCGAAAAGTGGAACTGATTTGGCGGATGGATCGAGGAGATTGAAATTGGGGCAGAATCCGATGGAAAATGGATCGTTTCATAATTTGAAATCGGATACTGATGGATTCAATTCAACGAGTGAGTTTTATCACGCTAATTAATTTTCTGGGAGACGCAGACACAAAAAATAAGCAGTCCCAAAAAATAAGCAGACACAAAAAAATAAGAAGTCCCAAAAAATAAGCAGACACAAAAATAAGCAGTCCCAAAAAAAATAAGCAGACACAAAAATAAGCAGTCCCAAAAATAAGCAGTCACAAATTTCTCTGTTTCTCTGCGTCTCTCGTTGAATAGCATGCAGAGAGATAAATAAGCAGTCCCAAAAAAATAAGCAGACACAAAAATAAGCAGACACAAAAAATAAGCAGTCCCAAAAAATAAGCAGACACAAAAATAAGCAGTCCCAAATTTCTCTGTTTCTCTGCGTCTCTCGTTAATTAGCATGCAGAGAGACAAATAAGCAGTCCCAAAATATAAGCAGACACAAAAGTTGAGAGAAAAATTCAAAAGCAATTGAAGCATTGCTCATTTTAAGAATTCTCCAAAATATGTGTTTTTTCCAGTGATTGGCCCTGCAAACAATCTCAACGATCTCGTCTTCTTCCCAATGAACAGTCTCATTTTCAACGCGCCATTCGATTTCGACAACTTAACATATCACATGAAAATTCGCAACAACTCACATCATCGTATCGCGTATGCTGTGAAAGGAAACGCCGTGCCACGAGTTATGGTATATCCGCCAGTTGGCATTTTTGATGTGAAAGAGACGAAAGTTTTCGCGGTCACTGTGCAGAAATTTGATTATAATTTAACGGATTTTGAAAAGGATCGCATCGCTTTTGATTATGTGATTTTGCCGGATAATTGTAGAGATCAAATGTTTTCGCTGAAAATGTTTCAGAATGCGGATTCGAAAAGAAGAAAGAATATTCGCGTTTTGTATAACCCGTAAGATTTTTCAATGAAGTTTTTCTTGAAATCTGAATTCACCATGTTTTTCAGAACATCAGATTTAGTCAGGGCCCAAATTTTTAGCTCAAAACCTGGTTTTTTTCGAAAAAAACAAAAAAACCTTTTTTTTTGCTGTTTTTCTCTGCGTCTCCTCTCTCGCCACACACACACACACACCTATTTTTCTCTGCGTCTCCACACACACAGCCACTATCCGCTGACCCGTTTGAATGTCGGCGAGTGTATTTATATAAGAGAGCGCAAGACGCTGTTGAATTTGGTTTTAACCCAGTTACTCAAGGTAATTCGGAGTTCCGACCATTCGAAAGAATGTGTTGACATTATAACTTGAATTTTTGGATCATAGCTTCACCGGGGTATCCGGAGAGGCAAAAATAAGGATTTCAAGACCCAAAAGAAATTTGGGATGTGCAGATACTACGACACTCCATTTGCCTGTTGTTTAGTCTTCCCCGCGTTTTCTTTTCCCTCTCAAATTGTCAAAAATTCTTCAAAATGCCCGTGTACAAATACAATGAGAAATGGTTCAATTCGTCAAAAGAATTAGTAAGTTTTAAGTAATTAATTAAATAATTATAAGTATTATATTTCAGTTAGAAGCTATGATGAAGGATGGAATTGTAAAAGAAGTAAATTATTCGGAAATCTCAATTTTGAAGGAATATAATGCGCGCGAATTTTTAAGAATGGCATTGGAGCATATAAATGATGAAACACCTCCGAATCTCTCTGAAGCAAGTTTTAAACTACGGTTGGCAGTTGTGAATACTGTGCAGCTTTTCTATCTGAATTTATCAAATATTTATTTGGCATCACATCGCGCGTTGTCATTTTTCTATGATATTGCAATCAACAAAATGACGGAGATTCCTTTGGCGATTCGACTTGAAAGGGCGTGGAGTTGCGCTGAAAAGTGAGTCAAAAAATCAATGCGCCTTTAATTTACATCGAAAAATGGGTCAAAAAGAGAGTTAGAACAAATTTAAAGACGAATTCGCTTTATTTCTGCAATTTTGAAGAGGAAAACGCGTTTTTCTGCTGAAAATCACTTAAAAATCGATCAACGAGAGGCGCAGAGAAATTTGGGACTGCTTATTTATCTCTCTGCATGCTTATCAACGAGAGACGCAGAGAAGCAGAGCAATTTGGGACTGCTTATTCATCTCTCTGCATGCTAATCAACGAGAGACGCAGAGAAACAGAGAAATTTGGGACTGCTTATTTTTGGGACTGCTTATTTATCTCTCTGCATGCTAATCAACGAGAGACGCAGAGAAGCAGAGAAATTTGGGACTGCTTATTTTTTTGGGACTGCTTATTTATCTCTCTGCATGCTAATTAACGAGAGACGCAGAAAAACAGAGAAATTTGGGACTGCTTATTTTTGGGACTGCTTATTTTTGGGACTGCTTATTTTTGGGACTGCTTATTTTTGGGACTGCTTATTCATCTCTCTGCATGCTAATCAACGAGAGACGCAGAGAAGCAGAGAAATTTGGGACTGCTCATTTTTTGGGACTGCTTATTTATCTCTCTGCATTCTAATCAACGAGAGACGCAGAGAAGCAGAGAAATTTGGGACTGCTTATTTTTTGGGACTGCTTATTCATCTCTCTGCATGCTAATCAACGAGAGACGCAGAGAAGCAGAGAAATTTGGGACTGCTTATTTTTTGGGACTGCTTATTTATCTCTCTGCATGCTAATCAACGAGAGACGCAGAGAAGCAGAGAAATTTGGGACTGCTTATTTTTTGGGACTGTGTTACGTTGTCCAAGTTTATCGAACTTGGATTTCGTTGGTTGACAAGGATTTAAGTGGATAAAAACCACTTTAATAAACGGAAAAATATAACAAGAGATGGAATTATAATCGATTTATTGATCATAATCCATTTTATAACAAGATGGGGACGGTTTAAGACCGTCCAGAGACAAACAAACTACAAAAACCTTCAAAACAAGGAAAAACACCAAACTCTCTTCGAAAACTTGAAAAAGAAAGTAAAAACCGAAGAGGCGCACCACAAACGCGTCAGTGTTTTGACGTTGGCGTGTTTGTGTGCACTCGCGGCTATTTGAAAAAGGATTTTAATCACACGACTGTGACTTCCCCCTCCTTTAACAAAAAGCCGTCCCGGCTTTTGCCTTAAAACTGAAGAGTTGGTAAACATGGGCATGGGGATAACACAATAAACAAATTTTACTTATTTTTGTCTTCTTGTTAGCCAGTCACCAAACATTTTTGATGCTGCGCTCCGTCCCATCCCATCTCAATCTCAATCCACTACACATCATATAACCACTTCCAACCTCATATTTCCACTTTGAACATCTCAAATCCATCAATTATCAACCTCTCACATCATCCAAATTTCTTCAAATATCCATCAAATACTTTCAACTTTCTATCCGCCTCATATTTCCAGCGGCATAAGCATATGCGCCATTTTCCACCAATTTTCACGTGCTCTGGTTCCCGATGCCTGGCTCGAACATCCACCTTCTTTTCGCACTTTCCGGCCAGTTTCTTCTGCTACTTCTCTCAACTATCACCAAATTTCAACTCATCGAAACACCATCACCCAGTGTCCACTTTGGCGCCAAATATCCTAACTTGACGTTCGAATCATTTCCATTCTTTCGGAGTCGCCTTTCTGGACCTTTTGTGCAGGATTTCCTATCCCTCTACTCGCACTCATTCCTCGATCACTCTCGACCAGCTTCTCCTTCTCTTCTTCCGACTTTCATCCTGAAATTCTCTAACAACCCATTTTTCCTTGAATTTTCCACCCAAAATCATACCAATTGCTTCCGACAATCTTCTGACAACACTATAACGGCCCAAACAGAATCTCGGTCTTCTTTTGGTCTCATCATCTCTTTCTGGAATCACCAATAACCCATCTGTTCTTCTCATGACCATGCTTCATCGGATTCTCCATCTTCCACAATTTTCTGACTTCGGATTTCCAGATTCCTTCATTTGTCAGCTCTCATAACCAATCATTGTCACAAATATCAAGCCATATCTCCATCGTTTGCTTCCTGCCACCAATTTGTTGTTTTCGCCATCCAAATCATCGTTCACCCATCTGCTTCCTCAGTACCTCACCCTATCCGGGGTGAAAATACCACTAGGAAGACAAGACACTGCTAAACGACAACCTGGACAGGTCGGTTCAATCCGTTCGGCCCCCATGTTACGTTGTCCAAGTTTATCGAACTTGGATTTCGTTGGTTGACAAGGATTTAAGTGGATAAAAACCACTTTAATAAACGGAAAAATATAACAAGAGATGGAATTATAATCGATTTATTGATCATAATCCATTTTATAACAAGATGGGGACGGTTTAAGACCGTCCAGAGACAAACAAACTACAAAAACCTTCAAAACAAGGAAAAACACCAAACTCTCTTCGAAAACTTGAAAAAGAAAGTAAAAACCGAAGAGGCGCACCACAAACGCGTCAGTGTTTTGACGTTGGCGTGTTTGTGTGCACTCGCGGCTATTTGAAAAAGGATTTTAATCACACGACTGTGACTACTGCTTATTCATCTCTCTGCATGCTAATCAACGAGAGACGCAGAGAAGCAGAGAAATTTGGGACTGCTTATTTTTTGGGACTGCTTATTTATCTCTCTGCATGCTAATCAACGAGAGACGCAGAGAAGCAGAGAAATTTGGGACTGCTCATTTTTTGGGACTGCTTATTTATCTCTCTGCATTCTAATCAACGAGAGACGCAGAGAAGCAGAGAAATTTGGGACTGCTTATTTTTGGGACTGCTTATTCATCTCTCTGCATGCTAATCAACGAGAGACGCAGAGAAGCAGAGAAATTTGGGACTGCTTATTTTTTGGGACTGCTTATTTATCTCTCTGCATGCTAATCAACGAGAGACGCAGAGAAGCAGAGAAATTTGGGACTGCTTATTTTTTGGGACTGCTTATTTATCTCTCTGCATTCTAATCAACGAGAGACGCAGAGAAGCAGAGAAATTTGGGACTGCTTATTTTTTGGGACTGCTTATTCATCTCTCTGCATGCTAATCAACGAGAGACGCAGAGAAGCAGAGAAATTTGGGACTGCTTATTTTTTGGGACTGCTTATTCATCTCTCTGCATGCTAATCAACGAGAGACGCAGAGAAGCAGAGAAATTTGGGACTGCTTATTTTTTGGGACTGCTTATTTATCTCTCTGCATGCTAATCAACGAGAGACGCAAAGATGCAGAGAAATTTTTCATGTTTTTTTCAGATTACGTCACTCTTCGGCTTGCTCAATCGATGAATTCGGAGAGTTGTATGAGAAAATCAAATTTTTTGCGATGGATTTTCCGAAAATCGAGATAAATATAGAGGTTGAATCGGAATTGCTGGATGACAAAAATAATTTCGAAATTGTTGCATTTAGTGGTGAAAAGCTACAGTTTGGTGGCAAGGAATATTCACCAAAGTACACAATTTTTTGAAGATTTATTTATTCAACTAATAATAAAGCATATAATTCAGAATACTAATATTGATAAAAATCCCGAAAGTCATCAAAAAATCGAAATTTGTTAGGCGAATTGTTGGCTCATAAAAATAATCAAGAAAATATTTCAGAACTCGAAAAAGGAGTAGAATATTATAAATCATCAGGGTTCGCGGTAAAATTCTTTTGTCAAAAATCTTATTTTCCATTTTTTCCACGTATGCAAGTTCCAACTCATGTTTTCGATGAAATTTTCGCTTTTGATATTCTTTCAAATATTTTTTGTGAAGTTCCACGGATTTTATGAATGCTGGCTGGAAAATTTTTTATTTTTAATCTTATTTTTTGGGACTGCTTATGTATCTCTCTGCATGCTAATTAACAAGAGACGCAGAGAAACAGAGAAATTTGGGACTGCTTATTTTTGGGACTGCTTATTTTTGTGTCTGCTTATTTTTGGGACTGCTTATTTTTTGGGACTGCTTATTTTTTTGGGACTGCTTATTTTTTGGGACTGCTTATTTTTGGGACTGCTTATTTTTGGGACTGCTTATTTTTGGGACTGCTTATTTTTTGGGACTGCTTATTTTTGGGACTGCTTATTTTTTGGGACTGCTTATTTTTTGGGACTGCTTATTTTTTGGGACTGCTTATTTTTGGGACTGCTTATTTTTTGGGACTGCTTATTTTTTTGGGACTGCTTATTTTTTGGCTTACAAAAAAAGAAAATAAAACAAACCGAATATTGATACATCCAAGTTGTATTCCCATAAATAATTCCATCCAACGGAATAACTTTAGTTCTATCAAAATCGGTTAAATATCCAAAAACTTGGCAAAACCAATTCATAAAAATCAAAATTTCCTGATCCGAAAATTCAGAATTTCGAAGATCCACGTATTCTTGATAGAGAAAATTGTACATTTCATCGACTTTTTTGGTTAAATTTAAATTATTGGGTGACAAAATACCATTGAATATTTTTTGACAATTTTCAGAGCCAGAAATTGCATTATAGCCAGAAATATGAGCATTTGCTAGAAATTGAATATTGATTATTAGAAGAATGAAGAGCACTTTCAACATTTTTGAATTTTGGTAGAAATGACGGGGGGAAATTGACACGTTGGAATTTCGAGGGAATTTTCACGTTGAAATTCATTTTTTTCGATTTTTAAGAAGCTTTTTTGAATCTGAGGGTGACGAGTTCAATCCCGCATGCGAACTTTCATTTTTTATTTCGATCCAATTTTTGGCGTCCTGGTTTTCTGCTATTTTCTTGATACATTTATAATAAAATCCAATGTTAATTGATAGCGGTTCATATTCAAAAAATAAAATCAATAAATTTACAAGGAACACAAAAAAAATCAAAAAATAAAAACGAAAAAATAGCCTAAATTTTCAAAATCTTAACAATTTCTTCTAAATACGTAACACTACTATCATGAACTTTTGATTCGCCAGATTGTTGATAATCAATCATTGTTGGCAACGCGTCGTTTGTCAAATAATCCATAAATTCGAGCCATCGTTGATTTTGCATTTCGAGACGATATTTTGCGATCTGCAAAGGGATTTTGACATTTTTTTTTGGGGGAAATTCAGAGAATCCACGTGGCAAAAATATAAAATTCGAAAATTTCATTCAGTGAATTCGAGAATTTTAAGAATTTAAATTTGGATTTTTGCCCCCAAAAATAAGAGAATCCACGTGGCATTTCAAAAAATATAAAATTCAAAAATTTTCAGCTTGAAATTTAGTGTTTTTTTCAAAAAAAAACTTTGGCTCCAAAATTTGGAATTTGAAAAATTAGTTGCCACGTGGCATTACAAAAAAAATGAAATTCAAAAAATTTTTCAGCGTGAAATTCAGTGCCACGTGGATTTTTCTTCAAATTTGGTCGAAAATTCAAATTTTGCTTCAAATTTTGTCGAAGAGTAAGATTTTTCTTGAAATTTGTTCAAAAATTCAAATTTTTCTTGAAATTTGATCGAAAATTCAAATTTTTCTTGAAATTTGTTAAAAAATTCAAATTTTTTTTTTTGAAGTTTTGTCGAAAATTCAGATTTTTCTAAAAATTTCAGGTTTTGTCTGAAATCAGAGGTTTTTCAGGCTCAAAATTGCACCAAAATCCTCCAATTTTTCCCCCCAAAAAAATTAACTTACAGTAAGTAAATAAGCCAAAACTGTCGACGATTTCGGAACCTCCACACACCAATTCAAAACACATTCCGCATATTCCCACAATAATTCATCATTCAAATTCAATTTCACATTTCTCGACGCAAACAATGCATCTGAAATTAAAGATTTTTCTATTTTTTATACATAGAAAAGGCTAAAAATGCGGAAAAAAAACCAACTTTTAACAAAAACCGTGATGAACAATTCAACCAAACATTTTTCTCGATTCATAACCATTGCTTGTTCGGACGAATCTAATTTCATCGCGTCTTCTTCGAAAACTTTGATACATTCTTCGGGAATTTGTCGTAATACAACAGATCGTGTCATTATCATTGAGATGAATATTGTTTCCATTTTTCGAGCGCTTGCAGAAATCTGTGAAAATTTTATTTTGAAAATGATTTTAAAAAAAATTATGACATTATTTTAATATTCTACGTCATAATACACGTTTTTAATTTTTTTCATTTTCAATTCATTATTCTCTGGTAAGCAGTCCCAAAATTCATTATTCTCTAGCAAAACCTTTTGAATGGTGAATTAAGCAGTCCCAAAAAATAAGCAGACAAACCTCACCCAATACCTGGAATTCCAGGTGGGCAATTTTTTTCGAAAAACCTAGGTGGGCAAAAATTTTTTAGGGTCTTTAAGGCGAGCCTCAGCTAGGCAAAATTTTTTAGGGTCTTTAAGGCGAGCCTCAGCTGGGCAAAATTTTTTAGGGTCTTCAAGGTAAGCCTCAGCTGGGCAAAATTTTTTAGGGTCTTTAAGGCGAGCCTCAGGCGGGCAAAATTTTTTTACTAGGTGGGCAAATTTGGTAAATAAACCCAGGTGGGCAGTTTTTTACCCACTTCTCCAGGTTCTTGGGTGAGGTTTGATAAGCAGACACAAAAATAAGCAGTCCCAAAAAATAAGCAGTCCCAAAAATAAGCAGTCCCAAAAAGTTAAGCAGTCCCAAAAAATAAGCAGTCCCAAATTTCTCTGTTTCTCTGCGTCTCTCGTTGATTAGCATGCAAAGAGATAAATAAGCAGTCCCAAATTTCTCTGCTTCTCTGCGTCTCTCGTTGATTAGCATGCAAAGAGATAAATAAGCAGTCCCAAAAATAAGCAGTCCCAAAAAATAAGCAGTCCCAAAAAATAAGCAGTCCCAAAACCTCACTTTTGAAATCAAATCACCAATTGTGGCTACAAAACTCGATCCAACAGATGTTGTCAATTCTTCCATTGAAGTCGGTGTGTTCAACTCGACCAAACTCTAAACAAAATTATCGTAAGGTAACTTGGGTTTTCTATAAACTCACCAAATACTTATCCAAAATACAATAAATCGAATATTGTACATCCGCATCATTTTTCAATTGAAGCTTAGTTTCTCCATTATTCAAACTATATCCCTTCACCTCAATTTTCTTCAACAAAGTTCGAAAAAACTCGATAATTATTTTCTTTTCCGTTTCCGATGTTTGTCGATGGGTAAATACGGTGACTTTTTCGGTGATTGTTCGTTTCAAAAGTGCACGGAATTTGGGATCCGCATTTTTCTCGTAATCTCGACTTTTTTGTTCAATTCGTTTTATCAATTTTGCATATTTTTCGAAAAGTTGAAATGGTCGTTTTCCTTCTTCTTCTTCTTCTTTTTTCGAATCTTCTTCTAATGTCGAATTTTCCTCCAATTTCCTCTGCGTCTCTAACTCTCTCTGCTTCTCAGCTTCTTCCTCCTTCAATTTCACCCTCTGCGTCTCTAACACTCTCTGCTTCTCAGCTTCTTCCTCCTTCAATTTCTCCCTCTGCGTCTCTAACTCTCTCTGCCTCTCTTTCTCTTCCGGTGTTTTCAATTGCAACGCAATCGGCGCTGCTCGAAATTCATTTCTCGCTGATTGCGGTGATTCCATAGCAGTCACATACTTCGAATTATCAAATGAGCTGTTTTCTTCGGAAATTTGTGAGCCAACGGAGAATTTGGGGAAAATTCTGGAAATTGAATATCCTTTAGATAAAAAATATCAAAATTTACCATACCAACCATGCTGATCACGATTCCGAAGTCAAAAATTGCCAAAAACGCATGTGAGCACTTTTCTGGAGCTTCAAAGGTCAAAATTGAGTTTTGATTTTCGCCCATTTTCACCATGGAAAATCAATTTTTATAACTTGAATGAAATTGCTCAAAAATATCAAAAACCAGCTGAAAACTGTAATTTTTGAAAAAAAACACCAAAAAATGCAAAAATAATGCGTATTTTTTCAAAAATTACAGTTTTTTTTAAATTACAAAACAACTTCATTCAAGCTATAAAAATTGATTTTCCATGGTGAAAATGGGCGAAAATCAAAACTCAATTTTGACCTTTGAAGCTCCGGAAAAGTGCTCACAGGGATTTGTGGCAATTTTCGACTTCGGAATCGTGATCAGCATGGTCGATTTGGTATTAGAGAACAAAAAACAGACTTTGAAACAGGTGTCGACGTGGCAGCAGCATTTCCAAAAAATGCAAAAGATGGTCTTGCTCCATTATAACCATCTAAATTAAATGAGCTATGCTCTTGTGGGAAAAATACCGATTCTTGACTGGTATTTAGTGAATTTGGAGTTGCTGCCGCTTCAGTTACTGCAATATTTTTAACAATATTTGTGCGAGCAACCATATTATTCCCAAAAATTGGATTTTTCATGGGACGCGGTGGAAGTTGTCGAGCTGGAATCATTCTTGCTGTTGAACTTGGATGCGCGTATTCTCGATCAATCGCCTCTCGCATTATTCGTTTTTCTTCTTCGCTCGCTTTTTGAAGGTAAATTGGCGCCTCTTTTTCTCGTGTATCAATTGTTACAGTTTCAAATTGCATTGATAGTTTTTTCATTTTCTCATCGAATTTTGCAGAATGCTGCTTTTTTCGAATTTCTCTTTGTTTTTGCATATTTTCCTGACGATTTTGTGCTTCGGCAAAATGTCGATCTAATCTAGAAAATTTCAGACATTTTGATGAATTATAGCAAAATCCTTACTTTTCTTCTAATACCGGTTTCATTGATTGCATTCTCCATTGCCTAAAATACATATCACTATCTCCCATATATCCAGGAAGCGGTTCTTCATCGCTTAATTTGAATGTTGGCATTTTATGACTGAAAATTAATATATTTTTGTTTTTTAGGGCCGGAAAAACTAGAAAATTGATAGTATTTTTTTGCTGGAGTTTCAAAAATTGCATAAACACAGCAGAAACAACGAAAAACGTGTTGGCAAACAAAAAAAAACAAAAAGAAAAAAAACTATTTTTTGAAATCGCACATTTTAGCAATGGAGCAGAGCGTCGCGGCCGCAACGCGGTCGGCTCCCTAAAAACCGTTTTACACCCGTAAATCCTACAAATTTTCGGTTTTCAGTGGGATTTCAAATGTTTTTCAGTTTCAGACAATGAATTACGAGTTGGAACAATCTCCGCAACATCAACAACCACACGATTTGCGACTTGTTGATTTGGTAGGATGCCCGGAATGTGGGCGAAGTTATCTGCAGAAGAATATCTATCGACATCTCTGGAATCAACATAATTGGAGCCGAGAGGAGTGCAAACAACTCATAACTGTAATTAAATCCGAGAAAAAAGTGATGAATGGCACGCAAAATACATATACGTGCGATATTTGTTGTGTTGCGTTCAAAACTGTTTGGGCGATGATGAAACATCGGAGAATATGTCTGGCACATCAGCCAGAATCTAAAAGATCTTTATATCATTCAACATCGAAAATGGAGATGATTGAAGAAGATGAAATTATTGATCCAGTTTATATTGAAGAAGAAGAAGAAGAAATTGTGATAAATCAACCGTCATCTTCAACAGAACAATCGCAAGCTCTTGATGAACAAATTCCAAAAACCATTGAAAAAGTTGTCAGCCAACCGAAAATCCAAGATCCCGACAATTTCCGGGTTTCCACGGTTACATCACGTTTCCGTCAATCCACAATTGCATGTCCACTTTGTAAGAAAAACCTCGAAACAAATGACGAATTGGTTCAACATTGCCATTTGGAACATGAAACCGAGGAGACAAAATATCAGCTTGAACAACAAGTTTTTCCAGATAAACAGAGTTTTAGAGTGAGTAATTAGATACTTGAATACTCCTTTAAATAACATTTATTGATTTTTTAGGAATGGTTTGATCAACGACAGGAAGATACCTGTACTTCTCTTACAAAACGAACTGGACATGGCGGAGAAACATTTTATCGCTGTCATATGGTTGGAAAATATTCAAGTGTTGCCAAAAAGCGAAAATCGAATCCAAGGAAACTTGACCAGTGTTGCACGGCCTTTCTCAAAGTCTACCTTCATCCCGATGGTTCGATCTACGCTTCCGGTTGTTTCAGTCACATTGGCCATGAGCTCAACCACAAATTGCTTTGGTTTACGGAATCGCAAGAGAATTATGTGAGGGAATTGTTGGATTTGGGTTGGAATGCGGATCAAATTTATTTCTATATTCGCGATGAATATGAGAATTATGAGTGTAAATTGAAATATATTTCGAAAAATGATATACGAAATATATCTGTGAGACATGAACGATTGAAGCGGAAAAAGCAAGAAGATCCAAACTCGTAAGCATTTTTTGTTTGGTTTAAAAAACTATTTTTTTCCCTTTTCAGATCCCCCAAAGTTTTCGAAGAAGACGAAGAGGATGATGATATTAATGCTCAAAAACTTCATGAAAATCATCAAAATCAATAAAAGATCTCAAATTATTTGCATTTTTCTTTTTCTCCATGAACCTTGATATCCAAAGTGAGATAAGTCATGTCGTAAATTCCACCGATTTTGTCTTTTGGCACGATGTATTCTCCAATACGGTTGCAGTTCTGCAAAAAATTGAATGTCGTCAGTCGCGTGCGGTTTTTTGCCGACCGCGACGCACAGCCGCACGCGACTGAAAACTGACTGGTTTTGATGGATTGCAATTGTGAAGAACACGAATGTATGGAACAATTGCGTGCGTTTCGTCTTGTTCTCCATAAACTTCGAATTCGCCTTCGCTGTTGGTTTGAACTGTGTTCAACAAATCATCGGGGTCGACTGAAACAAAACAATTTTTAAAATTTTGGGACTGCTTATTTATCTCTCTGCCTGCTAATCAACGAGAGACGCAGAGAAACAGAGAAATTTGGGACTGCTTATTTTTTGGGACTGCTTATTTTTGTGACTGCTTATTTTTTTGGGACTGCTTATTTTTGGGACTGCTTATTTATCTCTCTGCATGCTAATCAACGAGAGACGCAGAGAAATTTGGGACTGCTTATTTTTTGGGACTGCTTATTTATCTCTCTGCCTGCTAATCAACGAGAGACGCAGAGAAATAGAGGAATTTGGGACTGCTTATTTTTGTGTCTGCTTATTTTTTGGGACTGCTTATTTTTTGGGACTGCTTATTTATCTCTCTGCCTGCTATTCAACGAGAGACGCAGAGAAATTTGGGACTGCTTATTTATCTCTCTGCCTGCTAATCAACGAGAGAATCAGAGAAGCAGCGAAATTTGGGACTGCTTATTTTTGTGTCTGCTTATTTTTGTGAATGCTTATTTTTGGGACTGCTTATTTTTGGGACTGCTTATTTTTTGGGACTGCTTATTTTTTGGGACTGCTTATTTATCTCTCTGCCTGCTAATCAACGAGAGACGCAGAGAAACAAAGAAATTTGGGACTGCTTAACTCACGTGTATCCTTCTCCCACAATTCAACTTGAACATTCGCCAAACGCTTCTTGTTACAAACCGCAACTCCTTTGACAGTGATATTTTGCATATAAGCCGAGCATTCGAAAATGCACAAAGCGGCAACGAGCAAAGCAAAAGCAACACGCATTTTCGCGATCTGATTTGTTTTGAACACCCAGATAACTTTAAATACTCGCCCAAATAACAGTTGCTGTTTGTTTTGTTATTTGGTAACTCTTAACCATTAATTAGCCGGGATATCTTCTTTTTTTCATTTACAATCAAAAATAACTATAGCAAGCGGGAAAAATTCATGCAAAATAATATATAAATGAAAAAAAAGACTTTACTTTTCCTCGTCTCCAAGAAGCCATTGATTATCCGAAGCTTGTTGATTGGCGAAACCCGCCAAATGTCCGCGAGTTCTTCTCAAACAACACTTGACAAGAATCCAATAAACAAAAAGCACCGCAATCGCTGAAGACGCTCCAATCAACATTGATTTGAATTGTTGATGTTTGTTGGAGATCAGCCAATCATCGAATTCCATTCGAATATCTGTGTAGTACTCGCGGAGAAGTTCCACGTCACGACGCATTTCTTCGCGCGTTTTTTGCAGAATTGTTGATGTTGTATCGTTTTTCTGTGGAACTGGAGTTGATGTTGATTTCTTTTGTTGACCCAAAAATGGAATGTGTTCGAGGAGCGAATTGAAGAATGGAATTGCATCATCCGAAGGTTTCGACGAGCCCCTGGAAAGTTTTTTTTCAAATTTTGAAATTTTCCACTGAAAACCACTCACTTGATGATATCTTTAGTCTCCTGAATCGACTTCATCGCCTCCTGCAATTCTCTATCCAAAATTTCGCTTTCATTCTGCTTCTTCTCCTGACGCAACACAGAACATGTCGAAAATCCGATGAAAATAGCAGCAGTTAGTAGAAGAGCACGACGCATTTTTCAAGTTTTGCATGATTTTTGATTTTTTTTCCTTTTAGAGTAAAATTTGGAAAATTGAACGCGCTCGCGCGGTAGACTGAAATTTTTTTTTCGAAAATAAAAATTTGCGGTGTGCGGTAGAGCGCGGTTGATTGGTTTGAGAAAAAATGATTTTTTTTTGAATTTTGCAGAAAAATAGCTGAAATTTCCACTTGAAAAAGAAGAAATCTTCTGAATTTAAAATCATAGAAATTTGGCCTCAAACTGAATTTTTTCAGTCATCGACCCATTTTTTTCAAAAAAAAAACAAAAAGAATTTTGAAATCAGAAATTTTCGCCCTAGAAAATATTTAGTGTGAAGGAAACTTTCACTTTCCGTCTACTTAGAAATAGGTTGGGTTGTGAGCGAGAAATAGGTCAATCGAATCGTGACATCTCTCTTCCTTATTTTTTTTTCACGTACTTTTATTACGTAGTAAAAGCATGTTATTTACATATATATTTCCAGAAAAAGGAATGTTGATTACACTCATCGTCTGTCTCTGTTTTGGGACCAATGTACATTCAGGTATGATTTGGAATTTTACGCAAAATTGCAGAAAAACACTGAATTTCACGAGAAAATGCAGAATTTCCACTAGAAAATAATAAAATTAACGGGAAATTTTTGGAGCTGAAAATTATGAAAATTGACTTTCTGAAGCTGAAAATCATGAAAATTGAGATTTTTGAGCTGAAAATTATGGAAATTGGCTTTGTGAAGCTGAAAATTATGAAAATTGAGATTTTTAAGCTCAAATTTATGAAAAATTGACATTCTGAAGCTGAAAATAATGGAAAATGACATTTTTGAGCTGAAAATTATGAAAATTGAGATTTCTGAGCTCAAATTTATGAAAATTTAGCTTTTTGAAGCTGAAAATTATGAAAAATGAGATTTTTGAGCTGAAAATCATGATAAATGAGCTGAAAATTATGAAAATTGACTTTCTGAAGCTGAAAATTATGAAAATTGAAATTTTTGAGCTCAAATTTATGAAAAATGACATTTTTGAGCTGAAAATCATGAAAGAGTTCGAGTTGTTCCCTTATTTGTGTGTGTGTTGTGGCGCGGCGCGGTCTGCGTTGCGTGTTTATTTCGATGGAGCGCGTGAGATTTTCGATAATATAAACAACTTTAGACATCCTCGACATCTCCAACAGTTCTGCTTCGAGCTCAGTTCCACAGAGAATCACCAAAGAATCCTGCGACAAGGACAATGAGTTAGCCAAAATCCCGTGTATGAGCGCCAGTGAACACGAACACCTTTGGGGTGGAATCGTTAAACAAAACCTAGCCCGGGTTATTAACGGTATGCTGATAAAATACGCGCAAATGCTCATTGGAAAACAGGAATTGCGCCGGGCTCTGCATTTACCACCGCCACCCCCCTGGGCACGTCATAACTACACGAAACCGAGTGACGTGGAAATCGCCGCGGCGCCGAATATCCAGGCTTATTTCGAGTTAAAGGAACCGCGGCAAAAAACACTGAGCCTTGATAGCTTTTACTTTTTTGAACACAATTTTCCGCCGGCTATTGAGTTTTTAGACAAGAGAGTTCCGGTGATTCGCAGGGTTTTTAGGTGTGGATTTGAAAATATTTTGAAATCGTCTAATTTAGTGATAGATAGGCAAACTATTGATCGCATGATTAGTGAGTATTTCGAGATTTGTAATTTTATAGAAGATTTTGTGAGGAAGCGAATGTTTGATGTTGAATGCTATTTGGATGAATAGTTTCTATTGTTAATCCGAAAATCAAAAAAAAATATGTGCAACGACACTCCGCAAATGACGGCTTGCCCGTTGTTTAGAGCGTTTGTTGGCTTTTTTCATTTTTTGTATTTATAATTTTTTTTTTTACTAAATTTTTTTCATGTAATAAAAATTTTGAAACGTATATTTTTTAGGGGGAAAAATTTCCGATTTCAAAATTGTTTTTGAAAATTAAATAAACCTTGACGAAAATTTATTTAAAAATAAAACAAACAACAGGAAAATAACAAAACAAAAACAAAAAACTTATAATCCAAGACCTTCCGAAGTCGACAAATCAAAATCGACCGATAATCCAGGAATCTCAGGCTTCACCAAACTTAGCTCAACTCTCGGTCTCTGCTGATTCTTCTCATTCACACTAATCCTAACAGTAACTGGCTCCAATTCTCTTATCACAACTTCTCCATCAACTCGAACACTCATATCTTCAATATCTATAATTGTATTTGAATCTGAGGAGTTTTGGAGTACAATTATTGATTTGAGACTATATTTTGGGACGAAAACCTGAAAAAAATTGGTTTTTTTTTAATTTTGAAGATTTTGCAAAATAAAAAAAACATTTTTTTTCAATTTTTCATTTTTGTGTCGAAAAAATGTAGTTTTTTTTACATTTTCTGAATCTTTTTTGTCAAAAAAAATTTTCTTTTTTAATTTTCTCACCTGAATTCCATCATTCCTAACATCCAACACAAATCCTTGACAAGTCTCCACTTTTCCTTTCAAATATCTGACAACCTCACTTTCCTCTCTCAACGAATCCCACCATTTTATAAACTCGACCGGATCAAAACCCAAATCATCTTCTATTTCATTTTGTTGTCCCTGCAAATTTGATTTTTTCGGAAATTCAAATGGTATGGAGCAAACTTTCAGTGCTAAAACTCACCTCAACAGAACTGCTTGCACTTTTTTGCGCATCCTCGATTTCTCCACTAATTCTAGTTTTGTTCTGAATAGGCTCCGGATCATATTCACCTTCGTGTTTCAAATTTTCGAATCTTAATCGAAATATTTCATCTTCAAGTCTGCAAAATCAATTGATTTTCTAAAATCAGGAAAACACTCACATTGTATTTGTCTCTCTAACCGCATGGATTTGTATTATACCTCTATGTATCAAGCTTTTCATTCTGACATACTGTGCTCGTGTAATCATTTCTGAAAAATGCATTTATTCATTTAAGCTGGCTACGGAGACCACCCACGAAGCCTTTGACTTCAGCTGACCTAAAGAAGTTAAAAAAAAAAATTTTCACAAAAAATTACGTTCAGCAAATGTCAAAAAGCTATTTTTTGACATTTCTGCGAGATATTTTTCATTTTTTTTGTGGAAAAAATGTAAAAAAAAATGAAAGTTAGGATATTGTATAAAAAGTATAAGAAGCTATTAGACCTTTTGATTATGGTCCTTCTCTTTCTCTTTCTCTCTTCATTCTACACACTATTTCCTTTTCACAGCGTCTACTAACAAGTTTGCATACCTTTTATTTAGCGTTCTTTTTTTATTGGCTCAAAACCACGCTGTGAAAAAAACGTCTTTCATCAGAAACAGTCCGCACAAAATTGAGGGGGAGGAGACAATGCAAACGCGCTCTAGCGAAATCAAAGACTCGTTCGTCACGAGACCCGCTTGTTTTTACAAAGCTTTTTTTTAGGCCCAACTTTCTTTTCTTTTTTTCTGGTTTTTTTTTGGGGGAAACACGTTTATTTGTTGATTTTTGGGAAGTTTTTTGTTTTTCATACTTTAAAGAATAAATGCATTTTTCAGACATTATGGCAAATGAGCAAATATCGCAGTTGGAAAATGCGCATATAACAAAATGCCTGGATGAAATCAGAAGGCAAGTTGATGCAGTGTTCGAGAACCGAAGAAGGTAAGCGTTTTCCAACAAAAAACTCCTGATTTTAGTTGATTTTGTTGCAGACTTGAACAAGAACTGTTAGTAGAGAGAATATTAAACGAATTACGTATTGAAGTTGAACTTTTGGATGGGTTTTATTATGAAAAACCGATTCAAAATCAAACTAGAATTAGTGGAGAAATCGAGGATGCACAACAGAGTGCAAGAAATTCTATTGAGGTGAGTTTTAGCACTAAACATTTGCTCCAGACCTGGGAAATTTTACGTTTACGTTTTTTATGTTTTACGGTTTTTACGGATTTTCGCCGTAAAATGCATTTTACGGTTGGTTTTACGCTGCCAAAAAAATCGTAAAATAATTTTTACAAAAATAGCGAAATTATAATGAATTTTGACAGAATCAAATTGAAAATTCAAAAAAAAACACAAAATTTTCACAAATAAAATTTTGAGCAAATCCAAATTAATTAATTTTCTGATGGATGTGAAGAATAATGTTGCTAAAATTATGTTGGAGTTACTAACTTCCAATTTTTAAAGAAATTTCTTGACATTTTCAGTTAAAACAAAATTTTACGGGATTTTACGGTTTTTCAGAGCTGTAAAATACTCATTTTACGTTTTACGGTGCCACGTAAAAATTTCTCAGGTCTGGTTTGCTCCAAAATCTGAAAATACCATTTTAAAAATTTCTGAAAAAAATTAAATTTCGATATTTTTTGCAGGGACATCGACATGAGACACAAAGTCATTCTCCACCAACAGATCCAGAAGCTTCAGCAGCAACATGATCAATTTGCGATGTGCCCCTATTTTATGCTTATCTCGGGTCACTTGAAATTTTGATAAATATAAATATTTGCCTTCCAAAATACATAGTGCAGCCAGGAAAAATTCAAAAACCATTTTTCAATTTTATCTATAAAATGAGCAAAACTACAAAACCCCATTTAAAAAATGCTTGCCTACAGTACTTCAAACTGCAAGCATTACTGTAGCCATATTCGATATCTGAAAAGAACCCGAATTCTCCAGCCTACAGTATATCAAACTGCAAAATATTCATATACACATTTTCTGATAACAAATGTATTACCAAGTTGGAATAGAAACAGAGAAGAAACTTTGAAAATATTAAAATTTTGAAACGTATATTTTCTAGGGGGGAAATTTCTGATTTCAAAAACAATTAGCCCAAAAAAAGAATGAATAACAGCAGAAAAACCACGCGCTCCACCGAAATGAACACGCAACGCAGACCGCGTCGCGCCACAAAACACACAAAAAAGGGAACAACTCAAATTCTTTCATGATTTTCAGCTCAAAAACTAAATTGGAATGAAAAGTTTATTGGTTCAAAAAAGGTTCTTATGATTTTTGAACAGCACGATGTCTTTTAAGAACAGCACGATGTTTAGCAGCAACAACACGACGAACCTTCGATCGATTAACCGCCACACGTTTCTTCGACATCGATCGATGTCTAACCGCAGTGACTCGTCGAACCGACGATGCTCGCAACTTCGAAGCAGCTCGCATGACCCCCGATCTCGCCGGGCATGGACAATATTCGCCATCGCCTCCAGGTTGTCCCGGTTGACCGGGTGGCCCGGGAACTCCGGGTTGCCCATCATTTCCTGGTTGCCCATCATTTCCAGGTTGCCCATCGCTTCCAGGTTGTCCAGCGCCTCCCGGTCTTCCCGAGTTCCCTGGTGTTCCTGGTGGTCCCGATGGTCCAGGTGCTCCTGGGGCTCCAGGCCGTCCAACAGTCTTAGTCCCCGGTTGTCCAGGTTGTCCGGGTCCTCCAGATTGTCCAGGGTGCCCTGGTTGTCCGTCATTTCCTGGTGGCCCTGGTGGCCCTGGCGGGCCAGCCAAACCTCCTTGCGCATCATTTCCAGGTTGACCATCTGATCCGGGCCGTCCGTCATTTCCAGGCTGCCCTGGTGGTCCAGGTGGTCCAGCCGGGCACACAATACATCCTCTCGAGTTCAGTGGAACTCCCAAATTTCCATCGTTTCCGGGGAAACCGTCGTCTCCCCTTCTCGCCATGATCTCCATTCAGTCCTGGTGGACCTGGTGGGCCTGGCGGGCCTGGTGGACAACGATCCGGCCCGTTGGTGAGTGAACATTTGCATTGTGGTGGAAGTTGACGTTTGGCGCGGAAAATTGAGTCGAGAACTTGACGGTTTTCTTGACTTTGGGGGATGATTGACATCATTGAATCCCAGATTCCATTGGCGTCGTGCTGAAGGCAAAAAAATCTAGATTTGAAGTCGGGGCAGTCTAGATCTCAAGGAGGCGCGCCTAGAAAGCCGAGTTTTCAAGGAGCCGAGCCTAGAGAGTCTAGTTGTCAAGGAGCCAAGCCTAGAGATCTTAGTTGTCAAGCAGCCGAGCCTTGAGAGCCGAGTTTTCAAGGAGCCGAACCTACAGAAGATGTTTGTGTAGGACCGGCGTCTAGAAATCCAGTCTGATAAGGCTCAACGCCTAGAGATCATGATTCTCAAGTAACCACGCCTTGAGAGCTTCTATGGCAAGGATTGACGCTTGTATAGCCTAGGTCTCAAGCAGTTGAGCCTTGCGAGCTTGTAAGGTAAGGATTAGCGCCTTGGGAACCTAGTTGTCAAGTAGCCACCCCTGAAGATCCTAAGTTTTAAGCAGTTGAGCCTTGAGAGCTTGTATGGCAAGGATTGGCCCCTAGAAAGCCGAGTTTTCAAGCAGCCGAGCCTAGAGATCTTAATTTTCAAGTAGCCGAGACTTGAGAGCTTCTATGGCAAGAATTAGCGACTTGGGAACCTAGTTGTCAAGTAGCCACCCCTAAAGATCCTAATTTTTAAGCAGCCGAGCCTTGTGAGCTTCTGTGTCAAGGAGGCGCGCCTAGAAAGCCGAGTTTTCAAGAAGCTGCGCCTAGAAGATCAGGTTGTATAGGATTAGCGCCTAGACACCTAGTTTTCAAGCAGCCACCCCTTGAGAGCTTCTACACCAAGAAGCCGAGCCTATAACCCACCTTAAACTTCCCAACATCCATCGTAACCTCATCAGCATATCGATTCACCTCATTCACCAACGACACCAAACTAAAACACACCCAAATCACCGCCAAAACCGAAACCGACGCCGCTGTTGTCACCAATAACTTGGTAAATGACATATTTTGTTCTGTGAATCCTATGAAATTTCCTTTTGCTTTTATACTGTAGGAGATAGTGTAACTTGAAAAAAAGGGTCACACTTGAAATGAAGTTTCTTAAAAAGTTTTTTCCCCGTTTCCTTGTTCTTTTCCTTTTTACGGCAAGAAAAATTTTTTATTATTTATTTCCAGAAAAAAATTCAGTAACCACATTTATAAATCATCACGTTGACCTGCAAAAAATTCCAGATTTTTCAGAAAAAAATTAATTTTTTCGAAAAAAAAAATAAATAAAATACCTTATTGGATTTGAGAAGTATGAAATGTCCCATTTCATAGCTGACGCGACTTCCAAAACATTTTCCACAAATCACGTGCCACGTGGCACCGAATTTTTTGTCGAGTTCCTCTTTGATGAAGGCGGCAACGTCCTGGAAATGGTGTTTTTGGGAGGTTTCCTTAGATTTAGCTTAGTTAAACTATAGTCTAGTTCGCTGAAAAAATTCAGCTCATTTCGATGAGGTTTTGCTGAAATATGGACGCTTGATTTTAAAAAAAACGAAAAAAAATAAATTCAAACCACGCGCGCGTGCAACGTCAACGCGGAGTCTCGTTGTTTTCTTTTTATTTTTTTGTTTTTTCGCTGGGAAAATGAGAATTTGCATGGAAAAACTGATTTCCGGGAAATAGAAAGGCTAGAATTCAATATTTTCAGTAGAAAACTGATTTTTAGCTGAAAAATAATGAAAATTCGCGTTTTCTGGCTGAAAATTCACCAATTTCGATCATTGTCAGCATTTGTTGGCTGGAAATGGCTGAAAATGTGTTTTTTCTGCTCAAAATTCTCATTTTCAGCCAAATGTTATGAAAAATCGAATGTTGGACACTAAAATCATTAATTTGCGCATTTTTTGACTGAAAATAGCTGAAAATCATGATTTTGTGCCATTTTTCATGAAATTTCGACTTTTCCAGCTCAAAATTCATCAAAAATCCCCAAATTTCAGCTCAAAATGCTCATTTTCAGCCAAATTTTCCCCGATTTTCAAAGCTCACCTTATCAATATTATATAATCTCTGAGCTTCTCGAACAATTCCAATAACCGAATCTTTTTGCAAATCTTCCATATCAGTTTCTTTCACCTCGATTTTATCTTCAGACATTTTTTGCGATGCTGAAAAATCAAATTTCACACACGAAAAAAAGGAAAAAAGGCTAAAAATCAAAAAAAAAGCCTCGTAAACTTGGGCGATTCAATTTGTACAGAAAAAAATGCAACAACAGCTGTCACTTTTTTTTGAATTTCCTTGTTTTTTTCAATATCTCTTTCAGTTTTTCTTCTTTTTTCTCCTTTAATTTAATTTTGTTTCTTTGTCCAATAAAAATTGGATTGAACTTTGGAAGAAAAAACGAGACCAAAAGAGGCTTTACAAAAATATGACAATTTCGACAACGGTAAAAAAGAGGCGGGTGGCCGAGTGGTTAGCACGTGTGCCTATCATCCGCAAGACCAGGGTTCGAGCCCACCTGCCCGCTACTATTTTTTTGGATTTATAAAAACAAGCACAAAAAGCTTTAAAAAAATTACAAAAAAGTCCAAATTGAAAACAAGTGAAGGGTAAAATTGCCTCCTTCTCCCAAAAAATTCCCCAGAGATTTTCAAAAATTTCATTCGGCTTACAAAAAAAACCAGAAAATGAGTATCTGAATATAAATTAACCGGGGAAAATGTATACATATAAAAGTAAAAATGGGAAAAATCAATGGATTCGTGACAAATCCTCAATGATTTTCAGAATTTCAGCCGGATCTGTTGGAATTCCATCTCCAGAGGCTGGAACTCGCGAAAGTATTTGTAATGCGGCAGATCTTTCGATATCCAGAATTGATTCGATCAAATCACCATCGACGAATCCGGTTGCCTGCAAAAATACTGAATGTCTAGGATCCGCGTCGAGAAATTCACTCTGGCAAGTGGCCGCGCCTTTGGGAGCTTCTATGTCAAGGATTGGCGCCTTGAGAGCCTGGTTGTCAAGTAACCAAGCCTTGAGAGCTTCAATGGCAAGGATTGGCGCCTTGAGAGCCTGGTTGTCTAGGAGCCGCGTCGAGAAATTCACTGTGGCAAGGAGCCGCGCCTAGTTCTCAAGAAAAAACCAAAACCTCAGCTCTTTGAGCACAAAAATTCATGGAGAAGCGGTTTTTTGCTGGAAAATCAGAATTTTTCAAATTTTTGCTCAAAATTTGAGTTTTTTCGATTCTATGCTCGAAAAATTCAGAATTTTGTCGATTTTCAGCCCCAAAATCTCAAAAAACTCACCGGTTCAACTCGTTTTTTCATCGAAAATTGTCGATATGTCGAATGATCAATTTGAAGGCAATTTTTGATTGAATCCGCGATCGCTTTTTCGACATTCAGAAGAAGTCTGAAAAATCGGGGGATTTTGATTTGGAGCAAAAAAAAAAAAGAATTGTGCTCAAAGTTCTAAAAAAACAGATTTTTTGATGAAAATTTCCAGATTTTTTAATGAAAATTTCCAGATTTTTTAATGAAAATTTCCAGATTTTTTATGAAAATTTTCAGATTTTTTAATGAAAATTTCCAAATTTTTTATGAAAATTTCCAGATTTTTTAATGAAAATTTCCAGATTTTTTGATGAAAATTTCCAGATTTTTTGATGAAAATTTCCAGATTTTTTAATGAAAATGTGAAAAATCGCACAAACTTTTTCCATTTCTCATCAATCTGAACAACCAAACCAATCGATCCATCAACAGTTCCAAACATAATTGGTTGACTGACTTGAATCAATGAATCATCGGGTGGTGTGACCAAACTACATCTTCTCATCACATTCACCATTTCGCCAAGGTAAAAGAAGCCGATTGCCTGAAAATTGATCGAAAATTGAGTTATGACGTGTTTTATGAGCCAATTTTGGCATTTTTTGAACTTTTGAGAGCCCAGAACTTGGCTCATTTTGAAAAAAAAACAAACCTCAAGTGGATATCTCGAATCATCCGCAGCGGCTCGAGTTTTATCAACTTCACAGACAAAAAGATTATGCTGAAGTTCGGCGCCAATCACTTTTTCAGCTGTGATGAAATCCGACGCCGCCATCCACATACAATTTGATTCTCTGAAATTTTTTTTTGAAAATTTATGAACTCGATGTCTGTACAATATTGAGAAAAATCTGAAATTCACATTTTTCCTCTCAAAATTACTCTAATATTTTGTAATAAGAAAAATATAATTAGTAGAAAACTGATTTTTCGATGAAAATTTCACTCAAAATTAGTGCATTAGAGCGCATTTTCGTGTTTTTCGATTTCAGATTTTGCTTCGAGCTCTGAAAATTTGGGTTTTTTGGCTGAAAAATGATGAAAATTCAGATTTTCCGGCTCAAAATTCACCAATTTCGAGCATTTTCTGCCTGAAAATGTGGTTTTTCTGCTCAAATCTCTCATTTTCAGCAAATTTTATCAAAAATCGATTTTTGGACACTAAAATCATGAATTTGAGCATTTTTTGACAGAAAATAGCTGGAAATCATGATTTTGTGCCATTTTTCATGAAAATTGGAGTTTTCTGGTTGAAAATTCGTCAATTTTTGAATTTTTCAGCATTTTTTAGATGGAAATCGCTGAAAATCATGATTTTGGGTCAAAATTAACGTCGAAAAACAAAATATACAGTTTATTTTTTTTGAGTAGAGACAATGTGAAATTGAGAGAGTGCAGACAGAGAAATTGATTTTTCTGTCCATAATGTGTTTTGATTAGAATTTCACAGTGTTTGATTAGAATTTCACAGTGTTTTTCAGCCAAATCATAAATTGCACACATTGGATAATTTATAAGCGAAGAGCATAATGCTGCTTTCTATAATATTATTATCGAAAATCTCCACGCGCTCCACCGAAATAAACACGCAACGCAGACCGCGCCGCGCCACAACACACACAAATAAGGGAACGATTCAAATTCCCTCCCTTTTTTGTGTGTGTTGTCGCGCGGCGCGGTCTGCGTTGCGTGTTTATTTCGGTGGAGCGCGTTTTCGTTTTTTTTCGATTTCAGATTTTGCTTCGAGCTCTGAAAATTTGGGATTTTTGGCTGAAAATTGGGATTTTAGGTGAAAAATAATGAAAATTCGAGTTTCCGGCTCAAAATTCACCAATTTCGAGCATTTTCTGCCTGAAAGTGTGGTTTTTCTACTCAAATCTCTCATTTTCAGCAAATTTTATTTTAAAAAATCGATTTTTGGACACTGAAATCATGAATTCGAGCATTTTTTGACAGAAAATAGCTGGAAATCATGATTTTGTGCCATTTTTCATGAAAATTGGAGTTTTCTGGCTGAAAATTCGTCAATTTTTGAATTTTTCAGCATTTTTTAGATGGAAATCGCTGAAAATCATGATTTTGGGTCAAAATTAACGTCGAAAAACAAAATATACAGTTTATTATTTTTGAGTAGAGACAATGTGAAATTGAGAGAGTGCAGACAGATAAATTGATTTTTCTGTCCATAAGTTTTCGATTTTTTTTTCAAAAAAAAAAGTTATTTTCAAAAAATCAGAATTCATCTCAAAATTGATGAAAATACTCGATAAAAAAATTTTTGTAGCTAAAAACTTCAATTTTTCAATAAAATTACAAATGTAGCTTGAAATAAATTTAGAAAAAAAAAACTTTTTTTGTTTTCGAGCTACATTCGTAATTTTTATGAAAATTTGAAGTTTTTATCGGCGAAATCATTTTTTGATCGCGTATTTTCGTCGATTTTGAGATGAAAACCGATTTTTTGAAAATAAAAACTTGAATTTTTGAAAAAAAAATTCTGAACTGCAATTTTTGAGTTTTGTTAAATATAGTAAATTTCTGTTCAAATGAGAGATTTTTCAATTTTAAAATTTAAATTTCTAGTAGTTTTCAACCATCTGATCATTATTCTGATGTCTAAAATTGCCTAATATGGGTCATGAATTTTAGAAGCTCAAATCTAGCCTCAAACGTGTAAAAACTGTGAATTTTCTGCTTCTGAGCCTCTGAAATGCTCAAATTTCAATATTTTTCAAAATTCTACTCTGGCCAGGAACTTATTCTAACTCGCCTTCTGAACAACGCTATGCTATCAGATTTCAATGAAAATTGTTGAAAAATATCGAAATTTGAGCATTTTAGAGGTCCAAAAACCGAAAATTCACAGTTTTTACACTTTTCAGCGTCCCAAAATCCATGACTCATATTAGTCTCCACCTACTTGGCAACTTCATCAAGTGTTCCCTCCATACTTCGATACGTCAACAATTTCATAGATCTCATCAAATCCGCCACCAAAATCTGATCTCCCATAACTTTAACAGATAGTGCAGTGATGTTATTGAAGCTAGCACATTCGTGACGTAGGCCAGTATCCGGATCCCATTCAAACATTCTAACAGCACTATTAATCGCCACAAGCAATTTACCATTCAAAATATTGATTGAATATGGAGTTCCTCGAATTTCCTTTTGGGAGATGAATCTTAGTTTCGATCTGTCTTCCGGATCCACTTGGAATACAATCAATTTTCCCTGTTTGGACTCAGTTTCTTCTGGATTTATGATAGATGTTCCAACGATATAGTAGAATTTTGGATCTTGGCCAAGTTGTCCGGAAATAACACTGATTGATACTTCACGTTCTTCGAAGAAATAGGTGTGTTGAACTTTGAATGTGTGTTGATCGAGAATCATTAGAGATGAGATTTCAGACACCGCTGGAGCGCTGCTTTCATCTTGTGCTTCTGGAAAATTTAATTTTCAGCTTAAAAATCTAAATTTTTGATGAATTCCAAGCTGAAAAAACGAAAAAATTTCAATTTTTTCAGAAAAAAATAAACATTTTTTTTTAAATTTTTCTCTTTTATTTTAAAATTGTCATTAGTTTTTCAGCTCGATTTTGAACAAAAAAAAATACGTTTCAAAATTTCGATTTTTGTGAAATGTTCGAACCAAAATTTAAAATTGGAAAAATTTTCTTTAAAAAAATTGGATGAACATTCTGAAATTCAGAATTTCATGTGAATCAAAATTTTTAGCTCTCACAAGGAATTTGTTCATTTTCAGCTAAAAAAAACTTGAAAATCGACTTTTTTGATGAACTCCAAGCTGAAAATTCAAAAAAAAAAATTTCGAACAATTTTCTTGTGAGAGCTGGAAAATTTTGGTTCATATGAAATTCTGAATTTCAGAATGTTCATCCCAATTTTTGAATTTTTGAATTTCCCGCCAGAAAAATTAAGCGGAAAATTTGAATTTTTGAATTTCCCACAAGAAAAATTAAGCGGGAAATTTGAATTTTTGAATTTCCCGCAAGAAAAAATTAAGCGGAAAATTTGAATTTTTGAATTTCCCGCCAGAAAAAATTAAGCGGAAAATTTGAATTTATGAATTTCCCGCAAGAAAAAATTAAGAGGAAAATTTGAATTTTTGAATTTCCCGCAAGAAAAATCAAGCGGAAAATTTGAATTTTTGAATTTCCCACAAGAAAAATTAAGCGGGAAATTTGAATTTTTGAATTTCCCGCAAGAAAAAATTAAGCGGAAAATTTGAATTTTTGAATTTCCCGCAATGAAAAAGTTAAGCGGAAAATTTGAATTTTTGAATTTCCCGCCAGAAAAAATTAAGCGGAAAATTTGAATTTATGAATTTCCCGCAAGAAAAATTAAGAGGAAAATTTGAATTTTTGAATTTCCCGCAAGAAAAATCAAGCGGAAAATTTGAATTTTTGAATTTCCCAAAAAAAATTTGAAACGTATTTTTTTGGTCTAAAAAACCCAAAAAATGTTCTGTTTTCCCACAAAAAACCCAAATTTTCTTCAAAAAAAATCAAAATTCCCATACTTTTCTCATATCCCGATTTGCAAACCGCAGTTGTCGATGCACTCGTCGAAACCACTCCCCCAACATCTTCTCTAGTCGAAAGAACCGCATAGGTTCCAGTTGATTTTTGATGCGCAATTCTTCTCACCGATTCTCCCATGGGGTAAGTTCTCACATGTATTTTTTGAATATCATCAATAGTTCCAAAAATTATCGACGTTTTGTCAGCCAACACCAAAGAATCTCTAAAAAAATATGGGGATTTTGAAAAAAAAAATTTTTTTTTAATAAAAAACCCACCTAAAATGACTCGAGTTGATTGAGCAAATCGCATTGACAAGTTTCAAATTGACATTTGAAAAAACCAATTTTCGATTGTGCGAAAATACAATAACCGGTCGATCCGAGCAGACAAAAACGTGTTGTCGGCGATTTGTCCAAATTCGTCGCATACTTGGTGGACGAGTTCCCACTGATGTTCTTTTTACTTCGCCAAGTTGAGCATTTTGTAGATCGTGTGTGTAATAGAGTAATACACCGTCTCCTAATGCAACAAGGAGATAATTGATGCCATCGATGTATGTTGCAATTACACTTCTGGCGACAACTTTGGTTGGGAGAAATGCTTCCATGCGCTGAAAATTTAGATTTTTTGAATAAAATCTATGTTTTCTAGTAGTTCGGAACACTTTTTCAGTTTTTTAGTCATTGGAAATTTGATTTGATTTTTTTTTTCAGCTCGAATTTTCAGACAAATTCTAACTTTTTTTAAACCAAAAAAAAATACGTTTCAAAATTTTCTTTCAATTTTTGAGAAATATTAGAAAAAATAAAATGAAACCAAAATTTAAAATTGGGAAAATTCTTTTGAAAAAAATTTTGGATGAAAATTCAGATTTATAAATCGATAATTTCAGAATGTGCATCCAAAAAATTTTTTAAATAGAATTTTCCCAATTTCAAATTTTGGTTTCAATTTAATAGGGGTTTTCTAGTTTTTCAGCGATTTTGAGACAAATTTGGACTTTTTTTTAACAAAAAAATACGTTTCAAAATTTCGATATAATTTATTATCAAATTTTTCAATTTTTGTGAGATTGTTTAGTAGTTTTCGAAAATTTTCGATTCAAAAAATGTCAAAAAACCCTATTTTTCAACACAAAAAAGTTTCAATGAAAAAAATTTTAAAAAAATTCAAAAAATTTAGTTTTTTGACATTTTTCTGAATCGAAAATTTTTTGTTCAAAACTTTTAAAAAATTATTTTCGACGTTCATCCAATTTTTTTCGAAAAAATTTTCCCAATTTTAAATTTTGGTTTCAATTTATTTGCGCCCAATATTTTACAAAAATTGAAAGAAAAATTCATGAGAAATTTTGAAACGTATTTTTTTTAGATTTTCTGACAGAAAATTGAAATTTTTTTGGTTTCTGCAACTAGACAGCAATTTTCAGCTTGGAGTTCATCAAAAAAGTAGATTTTCAAGTTTTTTTAAGCTGAAAATGAACAAATTCCTTGTGAGAGCTAAAAATTTTGGTTCATATGAAATTCTGAATTTCAGAATGTTCATCCAATTTTTTTAAAGAAAATTTTTCCAATTTTAAATTTTGGTTTCAATTCGAAAATTTCACAAAAATCGAAATTTTGAAACGTATTTTTTTTGTTCAAAATCGCTGAAAAATTAATGACAATTTTAAAATAAAAGAGGAAAATTTAAAATTAAACTTGGTATTTCCAAAATTTCGAAAAATTATTGAAAATTCAAAGATTTTTCATGTTATCTCGCCTTCTGAACAACCCTATGCTATCAAATTTTCTTGAAAATCATTTTTGAAGCTAATTTGCCACGTCATAACTCATCTAAATTTCTGGAAACATGATCAGCGGTAGCCAAATTTAGGTTGAAACTTGAAATTTGGAGCATTTTGAGCCCAAATATGGTTGTGTTTGATGTCAAAATGCTCCAAATTTCGAGGATTTTCATAATCCACGTGGAATTTGGAGCATTTCGAGCCCAAATACTTCCCAAAACTCACCGTAACCAAGTCAGTAATCGTCAAACTTTCCAATTTGAACGAATTCCAAAGTGTAACAACAACAAAATTCGCCTCTTTGCTACCATCATCTTTTTCATTCGAAATATCAACACAAGAAATCTCATCCGACATAACCCGCTTTGATATTTCCTGAATTTCCAGTGAATCTCCATCTTCCAAACATCTCAAATAATATAATTCATCTTTAGCGGCAATCACAATTTGACCATGGAGCACATTTGCCGCAGCTTTTGTTATAAGTTCTTGACTCTCTGGTCTCCAAAAAACCGAAGTTTTTCCTTCTTTCATAAGTTGAACTCCATTTTTTGTGACTTGAACTACAAGTTCAGCATTTTTGAATAAACATCCAGCGAAAATCGTTGGCAAATTTTCATTGAAATCTAATAAACCACCAGCTGTTAAATCATCTTCAACAACTTTAATACAATGTGTTTGAAAATCTGTAGATGCAATCACATAATTATCCAATTCTGATTTATATCGAAGCACAAAAATATTCTCAACCCCAGGACAATCCGCATTATTTGACTCATCAATTCCAACACCATTTCTAACCACTCTCAAAGACCCATCTTTATGAGCACCGGAAACTGTGATAAGTTGAGTTTGACCTTCAGTTTCAACATGAATCATATCACGAATCGGCCCGATATTCACATAAGTTTCTAGAATTTCGACAAAAGAACCATCGGGATTCGGTGAATCTAGAAGACGAATCAATTGAGAATCTCCAAGTCTTGAGCCAATGAATGCGACAGCATTGTCGAGATATTTAACAGTGTCGGCGGTTGAAGTTAGGCCAAGATGTTCCACACGCATTTCTCGAATTGAATCATCTACATTCAGGAGAAGCATCAGAAGTCGACCTTTGTTATCAGAGAGAAGATATCTGTTACCTTCCACATCCACTTTTGAATATGCTGTGAAAGATGTGTTATTTGAAACTGGACAGGAAACTGGATTCCGCCGATCATCTGGATGGTATAAAATCGTATCCATTCCTAGAACTATCACTCCACCAATAGGTTGAGGAACGGGGATAATGAAAGAGGCATCGTTGGAAATATTCTCCTGCGATGAGAATGCGCGGAACTCTTTGTCATTCATTCCCAAATCCACCACACGAAGATGTCGACCTTGATTATCTTCCGAAATATACGCCATTCGATAAATCTCATCTTTGGTTTCCATAAATTTGACATCAATTACATTTATTGAATCGAATCGGACATTGAAATGCTTCAAATCGCTGTGTTTTTCCCATTCGACTAATTTCAAAGTTCCGTCGTATAATCGAACTGCGATTAAACCAGATTTATGGACGGTTATAATTGTGCCGTAATCTGTTAGTCTTCCCACACGATCTGCAATATTTCCAGCGGCTTTTGTGACGATTTTCGAGTTTTCATAGGCCAAAACTGCCATTTGAAGTTTCTCGGTTAACACTATCAAATAATCGGTTTCCTGGAAAAATAGAACATGTTATTTTCTCTTGCTTATATTATCGAAACGCGCTCCACCGAAATAAAAACGCAACGCAGACCGCGCCGCGCCACAACACACACAAATAAGGGAACGATTCAAAATCTTTTATGATTTTCAGCTCAAAAATCTCATTTTTCATGATTTTCCGCTCATTTTTCATAATTTTTAGCTTCAGAAAGTCAATCATAATTTTCAGCTCAATTTTCATGATTTTCAGCTTCAAAAAGCTCATTTTTCATGATTTTCCGCTCATTTTTCATAATTTTCAGCTCAAAAATGTCATTTTTCATAATTTTTAGCTTCAGAAAGTCAATTTTCATAAATTTGAGCTCAAAAAGCTCAATTTTCATGATTTGCAGCTTCAAAAAAGCTCAATTTTCATAAATTTGAGCTCGAAAGAGCTCCACCGAAATAAACACGCAACGCAGACCGCGCCGCGCTACAACACACACAAAAAAGGGAGGGAATTTGAATCGTTCCCTTATTTGTGTGTTTTGTGGCGCGGCGCGGTCTGTGTTGCGTGTTTATTGCGGTGGAGCGCGTGAAAGCGAAATTTTTTTGTTAAAAACCCTAACTCACCGCATTTTTCGGGCGAAAAAGTTGAAGATTAGTGATTCTTCCATAAACCGGAATCTCGCATACACTCTTCAATCCTTCTGGAGTTAACAATTGAACATCTAGACGATTTCCGCGATTCAGAATTAGGTTCAAATTTTTGGGATCGGTGAAGTTTCCCACTTCGGTTTTCGAGATGACCGTGGATTTTTTGGCGGATACAATGTAGCTGAGCGACATCTGAATATGAAATATTTTATTTTATTTTTTTGACAGTTTTTTTCTGGAGAAAACGCAGTTTAAGCATAAATTATAAGGGGAAAAGGCCAACACAACAAAAAAACAAAAATAAAAAATTTGAATTTTTCGCGCAAATGCGCCAGTGTTGAGTGCTTGACGCGTTTTATTTGTGTTTGTGTAGTTCTCGCGGACAATTCGATATTAAAAAATCGAAATCTAAATTTTGCGCAAAATCGTCAAGAATGGATGAATCAGAAGGATCGGATTTTGAATTGGCAGAAGGAGAAGAAGAAGATGTTGCAGAAGAATCGGAACACGAATCGCTTCCCGACGAAATCCGCCAGGATTTTGATATTTCCGAGCCTCGCTCACACTCATATCTTTTCAACGAGGATACAGTGGAAGTGATCAACATCGATTTTTTACCAGATGATAAAAGTCATACCCTAAGATATATCAGAATTGAGCAAGTAATTGTGCCCGGCGAACGACTTCCACTTTCACCCCGATGCCCATTTTCCATGCAGAATTTACAAAAAATCATCGAATCCAAGCAACTTGTCATACTTTTATCGAACACTAGAGCAGCAGAATATGATCCACATCATAATGCACATGTTATGCAATTGCCTTGTATCGCAGTTGTTGCGAAAATCACAAAACATCAGATTGAAAATGGCCCGCATGCTTTTGGAATGAAACGAGTTAGTGCTGAACTTTGTGCGATTCATAGGTGTAAAGTTTTTTCGATGGATTTTGCTAATAGAAAATGTGGATTCACTATTCTTCCGGAGTATTTGAGACCATCTGTGATGTCGCTTACTCTTCCGAATTATGCGTTATCTTGGAGCCCGGCAAAGGTTAGGAAAAAAATTTTCTAGTAATTTCCCACCCGCTGATCACTATTCCGTTGTCTAAAATTGCAAAGCTCAACTTCTAATATGAGTTATTTTTGTAAGTGGCAGGGAATTTTGAAGCTGAAAACTAGTTAGAAGTTGAGCTTTGCAATTTTAGACATCGGAATAGTGATCAGCGGGTCGGAAATTACTAAAAAACATATTTTGTAATAAAAAAACATATTTTCCTAAATATACAAAATTATTTTTGAGTAGAGACAATGTGATATTCAGAGAGTGCAGACAGAAAAATCAATTTATCTGTCTGCACTCTCTCAATTTCACATTGTCTCTACTCAAAAATAATAAACGGTATATTTTGTTTTTCGACGTTAATTTTGACCGAAAATCATGATTTTCAGCGATTTCCATCTAAAAAATGCTGAAAAATTCAAAAATTGATGAATTTTGATCCAGAAAACTCCAATTTTCATGAAAAATGGAAAATCATGATTTCCAGCTATTTTCAGTCAAAAAATGCTCAAATTCATGATTTTCGTGTCCAAAAATCGATTTTTTTGATAAAATTTGCTGAAAATGAGAGATTTGAGCAGAAAAAACCACACTTTCAGGCAGAAAATGCTCGAAATTGGTGAATTTTGAGCCGGAAAACTCGAATTTTCATTATTTTTCACCTAAAAACCCAATTTTCAGCCAAAAAATCTCATTTTTCATAATTTTCAGCTTCAGAAAGTCAACTTTCATAAATTTGAGCTCGAAAGAGCTCCACCGAAATAAACACGCAACGCAGACCGCGCCGCGCCACATCACACACAAAAAAGGGAGGGAATTTGAATCGTTCCCTTGTGTTGTGGCGCGGCGCGGTCTGCGTTGCGTGTTTATTTCGGTGGAGCGCGTGAGATTTTCGATAATAATATTATAGAAAGCAGCATTGTGCTCTTCGCTTATAAATTATCCAATGTGTGCAATTTATGACTTGGCTGAAAAACACTGTGAAATTCTAATCAAACATTTATCACCCTGGTTTGGCGAGAAAAGTCTGCGAAACATTTTATCCATGGGAAAAGTACCATTTGGTTTTTGGGTCGCCGCAAATTTCATGCTAAACACCGATCAAAAATACGAATTACTATCGGAAGATTCAACAGATGTTCGCCTGGCGCAATTAGCTGAACATGTTCGAAAAGTCAATCGAGTCGCATGCACAAATTGTGGTATAATTCTCTTTAAAACCGCTGATATCATTCGAATGAGTTGTGATGGAATTGGTGGAAATTATGTGAATCCTGGAGGTGTTGTACATAATCTGGTCACTGTTTCGCAGGTGGACAATTTTCAATATCGAGGACCATCGAGCACCGAATTCTGCTGGTTTCCAGGGTGAATTTTATGAATTTTTTTTTCAAAAAAAAAACGCTATAATTTTCCAGATATCGCTGGAAAATCATTATGTGTGCGCGTTGCGATGATCATCTTGGTTGGGAATATTCATCCGATCATCTGAAGCCCCGCAGATTCTTTGGAATGACTTTTGGTTCATTGAAACCTATACCTGATCTTACCGAAGAGGATTAATATAAATTCTTGCAATTTTTGTTCATAATGTTAATAAAATTCTGTCACACCTGTTGTTATTGTTTTGGTGTGAAAACGAGATATTCAAAAAATATTCCTAACGGCGAACATCTGCTATTTCCCATGTTCCCAAAAAGTGTGAGCCCCACCCACTTTGTTTTCTGTCGACAGAACGAAAAATCTTCATTCATTCATTCACTAGACCCCCATATGTTTTGTTTGAGCGCCGCGAGACCTTTGTGTTTCGACACGCGCCTTTAAACTAGTAGTACTGTACACACACCGCGTTGAATTTTTCTTTTTTTTTTGTTCGAAAAGTTTTTTTTTGCGAAACCGCTGTCATTTTGTTGGGTTTTTCGTGGTTTTCACTTACACAGGGTTTTTCCAAGTCTTAAATTTAGGATTTTCAACAAAATGCACCATTTCGAATAAATTTTTGCGTTGAAAATGCGAAATTTAGGTAAATTTCTAATTGTTGCGTCACGTGACCATTTTTTGTGAAAAAAATTGCATTTCATTTTTGGCTGTCTTTTTGAAAAGAAACCAGTGAGTAAGTAAGATTGTGAAAATGAAGCTTTCTAGTTTGTTCTTTGTGCGACTTTTCAGGTTTTTTAAGCAAGTGAGTTGAAATATTGGGTTTTAATCGTATTCATATGATAGAATTGTCTAAGACAAACAGAAAGATATAAATTTTGATGATGTTACGTTATTCATAAGTGATTTAGCGACCCTTAGTCGATATTTCGTCGATAAGTCGCTAAATCACTTATGGATAACGTAAATTCATCAAAATTTATATCATTCTGTTCGTCTTAGACCATTCTATCATATGCATACGATTAAAACTCAATATTTTGAGTCACTTTCTTAAAAAACCTGAAAATGTCGATTTAGTCGATGTCCAACAACACTCCAAAATCTCCCCCCGCGCTATTCAAAAAATTTCGCAATAGAGCGCGAAAGCAGACAACCACGCCAAAAAGCAGCGTCTCCCCCCTACTTTTCCTTATTTCTCTTATCTTTTCCCCTGTTGCTATGGTTTCTACCTGTCATTTATTGATTTCAAGATTTCCTTTCCTTTTTTTTCAGCAGATTCCAAAATGGTTAAAGCTTCCGTCGACATGTCTCTTGATGATATTATCGCCAAGACCAGAAAAGGAAAGGGAACTATTGGTATGATGAAATAATTTGAAATATTTTCGAAAAAAATAATTGTTTTAGGCAAGAAACCAATTGGAGGACGCAAAATTGGTGGTGGAACCAGAAAACCACTTCGGGGAGGAGCCGGCAGTAGAAAACCTGTTGGTGGAGCACGTGGAGGATGGCGCGATTTGGATGCTCCAGGAAATGCACATATTAGCAGTGGAAATGCGAACAAAGTTATCCGAGTAAACGTCTCAAATCTTGCTCCAAATGTGATTGCAGCAGATTTGGATGAGCTTTTCGGTAACTTTGGACTCGAAACATCAGTCGTCAACTACAACGAACACGGTAAATCGAATATTTTAACGTTGAAAAAACCAAAAAATGACTCATGAATGGTATTTTTATTCATTTTTCACCATTTTCTCAACGTGAAGCTAAAACGCACAGAAATTCTATTTCAAAAGCTTCTAATCAACCTGAAAGACAAATCAAGCCTTCAAAATTCATTTTTGGTAGATTTTGTATTTCAGGCTGATTAGAAGCTCTTGAAATAGCATTTCTGTGCGTTTTAGCTTCACGTTGAGAAAATGATGAAAAATGAATAAAAATACGATTCGTGAATCACTTTTTCGGTTTTTTTTAACGTTCACAGGCGAAGCTTGTTATAAGCTAATACGGTACTTATTATTAGTGAAAAATCGATGCAATTTTATAAATCTAGCTCAAAATTAGCAAAAGCTGCTTTATGATCAATTTGAAGGTGAGAAATAGGAAATTACATTCATCTAACAATTCTAGACTTTCAGAAATCCCTAATCTTCAGAACTTCAGAAATCTGAAATTTAGGAATCTCTGAAAGTATAGAATTGTTAGATGAATGTAATTTCCTATTTCTCACTTTCAAATTGATCATAAATCAGCTTTTGCTAATTTTGGGCTAGATTTAGAAAATTGCATACCGTTTTAGCCTGTGTTAAAAAAAGCATTTTTTTGTTTCACTGCATCAATTTTCTATTTTAAATATAATATTTTTCAGGTCAATCACTTGGAACTGGAGACATTACGTTGAGACAACGTGATGCTGAAAGACTTATCAGGGAATTTGGAGGTGTCGCACTTGACGGAAAGGTACTTCTTGTTCTTCTTCTTCCTCACTCACTCAATTCAAAGTATTGATTCTGTCTGTTGTTTTTCTCATATGATGATATGATCATGATGACCGGAACGGTTGTAGTCAATAATCAGTGAAGCTGGTGTTCGAAACCGAATTTTTGGCATCATTCCAAGTGCATATCACACATATTTCCCCCAAGACATTAGAAACAGAACACAGAACAGAAACAGGTTTGGTTTGTTTTGCAGGTGATGAAGTTTGCCATTGTGAATACAAGCAATATAAGCGGAAGAGTTGATTTTGGTGGAGCGCGACGAGTTTCGGGAGGAGCTGGAAGAGCAAGAGTCAGCGGTGGACGCGCTGGTCCTCGTTTCAACAAATCGAGTAAGTTTTGGACTTGAGCTAACTTGAGGAGAAAATGTGGTTTTTTTGTAGAGCCAGAAGATTTCTTACGAGATGGAGTTCATGCTGGAGACACGAAGAGAGGAAGAGGTGGAGCGAGAAGAGGAGGAGCGAATGGAAAGAAGGAGCGGGGAGAGGGAAAGTGAGTTTTTTTATGAGATTTTCAGGTTTTTAAGGAAGTTAGTTGAATTATTGGATTTTAATCATATTCATATGATAGAATGGTCTAAGACGAACAGAATGATATAAATTTTGATGAATTTAGGTTATCCATAAGTGATTTAGCGGCTTATCGACTTTTTTTCGGTTCTGGTGCGAAAAAACATAGTTTTCTAGGTCCTTGAGCTCAAAAATCGCCAAAATTAACTTCAGGACTTCAAAATTCGTCCAAATTCTGTTCAAAACCTAGAAAATCCCACATTTCCGCTCCAGGACCTAGAAAATCATAGTTTTACGCTTAAGGACTTCAAAAATCGTTCAAATTTTGTTAAGAACCTCAGAAACCGTGAAAATTATCTTCCCAAATTCCAAATCCCCTCAAATTTCCTCCCAAAATCGACTAAACATCGCTAAATCACTTATGGATAACGTAAACTCATCAAAATTTATATCATTCTGTTCGTCTTAGACCATTCTATCCTATGAATAACATTAAAATCCAATATTTCAACTCAATTGCTTTAGTAGATGTCTAAAGTTGCATAGATCAACTCTTAAAATGTGTTATTTTTGTAAGTGGCAAAGTCGAAAATTTAAGTGGCAAAGTCGAAAATTTAGCATTGGCTTGTTCAGGAGGTTCAAAACTACTTATGGGGCTATTCAACGAAAAAAGTTTCAACACAAAAATTGCGACGAGACCCAACGAAAAACAGCATGTACCTTTAAGTTACTGGAAATTCGCAGCGAGAGCAATTTCCAGAATCTTAAAGGGACATGCTGTTTTTCGGTCGGGTCTCGTGACAATTTTTGTGTTGAAACTGTTTGATTTTCATGTTTTCTTCGCTGAGAAATTTTTTTTTCGTTGAATAGCCCCATAAGTAGTTTTGAACCTTCTGAACAAGCCAATGTTATCAGATTTGAATGAAAATCGCTAGTTCTGACCTCCCAAATTTTCGACTTTGCCACTCACGAAAGTAACTCATTTTAGGAGTTGAGCTATGTAGTTTTAGAGTGAAAAACTGCTAGAAAACCTAGATTTTATTAAAATCTGGTTAAATTTTTCACGAAGAAATTCATATCCAATGTTTTTTCCAGATCCAAGAAGACTGAAGCAGAACTCGATGCCGAACTTGAAGCCTACATGTCTAAGCGTAAAGTCTAAAAACATTTTTTCCCTTCCCTTCCCAATCCATCCATATTTATTATTACCCTTATTTTGTTATTATCCGTTTCTTCTCTCTCTTTCTCTTTTCCCAGTCTCGTTTATTCTATAATTAACCGCCGGAAATTCTATTCCAAATATTTTTTGAATTTTTTTATCAAAATAAAAATGCTGTAATAAATTTGGTTTTTTTCAACTCAATCGGTTTTAACAGTGTGAATTATACTTTTTTTTGAATTAGGAAGATTTTTCTGGAAGTTTTCAGAAAAAAAAAATGAAAGAGGCGCCGAATTGGGAAGCGGCTGAAATGGAAATTGGAGAGGTTTCAGTATTTCGCAGAACTTTTCATTGGGGAACTGGGTTTGCTTATATTGTTATAACAATTGTGAGTTGAATAAACTAGAGTCTAGTTTGTTGTTTCTCCAATAACTAGACTCTAGTTGCTCATTTTAGGTTGGCTCAGTCACAACATTCTTCTCATCGCAGTGGCTTCGAATTGATACAATTGAGGGGTTTTTAAATCTGATAGTATTTTTGACGTGGAATTTTCTGACAATGATGAATTTGTTTTCCGCTTCATATTTTGGGCCGGGTTATGTTCGGCGAAATTGGCGGCCGAAAAATGGGGAACACGAGGAGTATTTGCAATTTTGTCAGCCGTGTCAGGGATTCAAAGTTGCGCGAAGTCATCATTGCTCGAAATGCAATCGGTGTTGTATGAAAATGGATCATCATTGTCGTAAGTTACGCGCTCCACCGAAATAAACACGCAACGCAGACCGCGTCGCGCGAAAACACACATCGTTCCCTTGTGTTGTGGCGCGACGCGGTCTGCGTTGCGTGTTTATTTCGGTGGAGCGCGTTTCATCGATCGAAGCGAACATTAATATTATAAGCCCAGATTTTTCTTCCAAATCAAAATTTGAAGAATTTTGTTCTTCAGAAATATTTATGATAACTTTTTCTAGAAATTAAATTTTGGGAAAAATATAGATTTTTGCAAATTTCAAATTTCTGAAAAGTTTTCTATTCAAAAATTTGAATTATCGGAAAACCAGCAAAGTTTTGGTCATCCTGGGCTGATTTAGCTCGAAAATTTAAAATTTTGGAGTTTTTCTGGACCTATCAAGTTACACGCCGTGCAAAGTTCCTGAAAGCCAAGTACACCAGATTTCAGAAAAAGGTCCAGAAAAACTACAAAATTTGAAATTTTCGAGCTAAATCAACCCAGGATGACCAAAACTTTGCTGATTTTCCGAAAATCCAAATTTTTCAGAAAATTGACTTTTTCAAACATCTATGAATTTCGCTAAAAAAAATGCTGAAAATCCCGAGTTTCTCTGGATTTCCAGTATTTTTTCTGGCGAGCTTGCGGAAGCTATGCTCAAATTTTGAGCTGAAAATCCAGCTGAAAACTAGATAATTTTTTCCAAAATTTAAATTTTTTTTTGAAAAAGTTATCATTTTTCTAATGATTTTCTGAAAAACAGTTTTTCTTTAAATTGAAAATCATTAGAAATATTTATGATAACTTTTTCCAAAAAAAAATTTAAATTTTGGAAAAAATATCCTTTTAGTTTTCAGCTGGATTTTCAGCTCAAAATTTGGCCATCGCTTCCACAAGATCGCCCAGAAAAAAACTGAAAATCCAGAGAAACTCGGGATTTTCAGCATTTTTTCCAGCGAAATTCGGGATGACCAAAAATCAGACTAGATAGATGTTTGAAAAAGTCAATTTTCTGAAAAAAATGGAAACCAGCGAAGTTTTGATCATCCTGGGCTGATTTAGCTCGAATGTTTCAAATTTTGAAGTTTTTCTGGACCTGAAAAAGCACAAAATTTGAAATTTTCGAGCTAAATCAGGCCAGGATGACCACAACTTTGCTGATATTCCGAAAATCCAAATTTCTGAAAGTGTCCCGAATTTCGCTGGAAAAATGCTGAAAATCCCGAGTTTCTCTGGATTTCCAGTATTTTTTCTGGCGAGCTTGCGGAAGCTATGCCCAAATTTTGAATTTTTGACAAAAAATGTTTTTTTTTTTGAAAAATCTAAACTTCAAAATTTCCCCAAACTTCAGCCTGGATCAATAACTGTGTCGGTCATCGAAACCACGGATTCTTCATCCGATTCCTCTTCTTCGCCATCATCGGCTGCATCCACGCATTAATCATCGACTTCAACGCCGGTTATTACGCCATGTTTGCTGGTTGGTACTTGAGATATGGAAATGGCACTGAACCCATCATCATTCTAACCCCCGTCAGTTTCATCGCCCTGATTATGGCGTTAGCGTTGGCTATGGCGATTACAATTGCGCTGACGATTCTTTTGGCTGCGCAAATGAAGTATGTTGTCAAAAATATGAATGCTATTGAGGAATATATTGGTGAGTTGGGCTATTTTTGCTCATTTTTGCTCATTTTTGAAAAAAAATTCCTATTTTTCTAGACGGAAAAGCTAAAAACATCCGAAAAAACATGGCCGAATATGAGCAGGAAGAAGAATCGGAGAGAATTCCTGAGTGGATTTATCCATATGATCTTGGATGGAAGACGAATGTCAGACAGGTGTTTGGAAGTTTCCTGGATTCAAGAACTCCTGGAAATGGAACTTGGTGGCCAGTTCGAGATGATTGTAATCAATTTACATTAACTGTAGGTGAATTATTTTGTTCCCAAAAAAATTCTGGGAGAATTTTTTAGACGGAACAATTGATGCAGAAGCAGTTGAAGCGAGATCGAGCCAAGGAGTTGGAGATCACTGAGAGTTTTTCGGCGAGATTTTGTGCGCCGATGCGATTTGGATGGCGTGTTTTTGTGCGGCAACCGATTGTGGAGGGGAAAATGTTGCGGGTGAGTCAAGAACCCGCGTTTAGAGATCCTAGTTGTCAAGTAGCCACGCCTAGAGGCTTCAATTGTTAAGGATCAGCGCCTAGAGAGTCTAGATCTCACGCCTAGAAATCCTGGTTTTCAAGTAGCCGCGCCTAGAAATCCTGGTTTTCAAGTAGCCGAGCCTAGAAATCCTGGTTTTCAAATAGCCGTGCCTAGAAATCCTGTTTTTCAAGCAGCCGCGCCTAGAAATCTTGGTTTTCAAGCAGCCGAGCCTAGAAATCCTGGTTCTCAAGTAGCCGCGCCTAGAAATCCTGGTTCTCAAGTAGCCGAGCCTAGAAATCCTGTTTTTCGGACAATTTCAAATCCCTTTGCGATGAAAATTGGGAAATTGGAAAGATTTTTCAAAAATCTATAAAAAATTCAAATTTTGAAAGAATTCGGAGATTTTAGCCTAGTATCTGAGCCTAGAGAACGTTATTGTCTAGAAGCCGAGCCTTTAGAGCTCACTATGACAAGGAGCCGCGCCTTGACAGTCCATGTGGCAAGGGTTAGCGCCTAGACAACCTAGTTTTCAAGGATTACCGCCTAGAGAACGTGATTGTCTAGGAGCAACGCCTTGAGAACATATATTTCAAGTAGCCGGCCCTAGAGATCCTAGTTCTCAACTCCGATTCAAATTTTTTCCCCAAAAACTCTTCAATCACCTTTTTACAGGTAACGGAAGGCGAAAAAATCGTGGGAACACGGGGAACTCAAGGCTGGATCTATTGCTATCGCCAAACGAATTCGGCCGAAAAAGGATGGGTTCCAATGGCTTGCACAAATTACAGACCACCCACGAAGAATGAGGAGAAAAAAGAGAATTAGCAATTTTTGTACTTACACTAACTTTTTTCAATTTTTCAATCATAAATTTTTGACCATTTTTTTAACGTGAAACCTATCTGGAAAACTTAATGATAAAGATCTATGAAAAGTTGACGTGTTCTAGATTTTTTGGCTTATAAAAGTGGTCCGAAAACTCAACACAAGCATTTTTTAAGCAAGAGCTGCTTATTGTCATGACGTCGAATGAGGGATTTCTACGCGACATCATTTTCAATCCATCAAAATCTGTAACCTATCGTCCGATTCCGAACAAACAAATGGCTGAAGTTGCGATCACGAACAATGAAAAAACCGCAATCATCTATAAATGGAAATCCACTCGTCCCGGGTTGTACAAAATGCGGCCAGTTTATGGTGTGCTTGGACCTGGTGACAAAAGCAGTGTGAACCTCTTTTGCAAAGGTGTCAAAGATGCGCAAAATGCGCCGATTACGGATAGATATACGTGTGTTTTGGCGGCATCGCCGAGTGCGAATGTGAATCCGGAGAGTATTTGGAGCAATCACAAGTATCAGCAGAAATTGGCGCAGACGGGGAAATTGAGGAAGATCAAGTTGATGATTGTTTATCAGGGGGTGAATGATAAGGAGAAGGAGAAGAATCAGACGGAGGAGTGTGATGAGGAGAATGAGAAGGATCGAGTTGGCAAAATGAGACAGAAGAAGAAGGCGGATGGGAAGGCGGAGGAGAAGGCGAAGGATACGAGAAAGGTGTGCGAAATTTCGAAAAATCGAGAGTTTAGACGCTGAAACCTAGCTTAAACGCGATTTTCATGCAAATCTAATAGCATAGGGTTGTTCAGCAGTGTCGATTATATAAATTGTGTAATCGACCATGCTCAACAACCCTTTGTTATCAGATTTGTATAAAAAACATTTTGAAGCTTGGTTTCAGCGTCTAATTGCAATTTCTGCGAAGATGAGAATTTTGCCACGTCATAACTCATAACAGGCAATTTTAGACAGTGAAATCGTGATCAGCGGGTCAAAAACTACTAATCTCATCATCTTCCAGAAAGCCACTCTTGTCATGTTCACACGAAAAGATGGCGATTCAGCAAGTGGCGAAGACGATGGACCGGATGACACTGCAATCACTGCACCCCAGCAACAAGTTCAGTGGATGAATCTATTGAAACCTGTCGCTGACGCTGGTGTCTATCAAAATAAGCAGATTGCAAACAATCCACAACCAATTCCTGGACATCCTGGTGCAATTGCGGCGGCTGCGAAATCCAAGTCGAAGACTAATTTGGCACCAGCACCGGCTGCTCCTCGTCCGCCACCTCCAGCGCAATCTCCAGCACCGCCAGCTCCAGTTTCCGCTCCAATTTCTGCAGCAACAACAAGTTCTGCTGCTTCTGCAGCTCCACCAGTTGCTGCGAAATCATCGAATGCATCGCTCACCAAAGGCACTGGAGCTGCACCAACTTCTGTTGCTCTTGGTGTCGCTGGAACTGCTGATAATGTGCCGATAGCTGCCAAATCGTCGGCAACAAATGCGCCGATCGGAGTCAAATCTTCGGGAACTAGTGGAATGCAGGCGGCGCCTGAAAAACAAGCTTCACAGACTAACCAGCAACAACCGAAAGATCCGAAATCGATTTTCTAGCTGGATATCTATACTGACACATTTTTTTTGTAATGAATGAAGGTTTTGAGACAAATTTTGGATTATAGTTTTTCTAAATTGCCACGTGGCATATGCATTTTTCCGTGAAATTTCAATTTCTCTCTCAAAAAAGAGTACGGTAGCCGTCAGGTTGTGCAAACACTCGATCGAACGGTGACGAACAATTGCAGACATTTTTTTTTTCGTTGCGAAAAGTTTCGAAATTTCGCAGTTTCCATCTCGTTTTTCGATAATTCTCAGATGATTTTCACCTTATTTTTCTTGTTAGAAATCCTGGTTTCCTTGAAATTTAATGTGAAAATAGGGGTTTTAGGTAAATTTGAAAAAAAATGTTTATTTCTCACAAATATTTACATAAGTTGTTGATTTATTCGAAGAAATCGAAATTATCGATCAAATTTGTGATAAGACAAGAATGATAATAAGAAGCATGTGTTGAATTTAGTATTGGGTGGAATGGTGTAAGACAATTCTGAAAATATCGACTTTTTCGAAAAAAAAGTGAAACAACGACACTCCGCTTGCACGGGCTGTTTGAACCTGCGGAGTGTCGTTGTTTTCTTCGCTGAAACACTTACATCAATCAACTCCGGCTCAACTTTATAACATTCATCTGGTAATTCAACAATATCTCCATAAAGTTCCAATAAATTCTCAGATTTGTATCGCGAAAAAACCACTGGTAAAACTGTAGTTGGTGCAATTTGCGGTGTCACGTTTTCATTGAATGTTAGCGTATTTTTATCGTCAACAAATCCATTTCGATTGTTATATCGACATCGGCAAAGTTTGAATTTGGTTTTTTGCGAAGATCTGTATGTAGAAGTTTAATTTTCAATGATAAACATCAAACTCACCTCGATTTTGATGATTTTTGAGAACTCTTCTTTGGACTTGCCAATGGATCATTGGATATCTCAAGTTTTTCTCGTGGAACATTTGGAGATGCGATTCCAGATGATGATGGTTCAGTTAAAGCATGTTGAGAGGGTGATGGTTGATTTTGAGGCGGAGTTGGAGAAGTCAGCAATGAATTTGGTGGACTTGGAGCTGGCGGAGCCACAATTTGAGCATCTTCCGGTCGAGTTGGTGTAACTAGAGGGTCAGATTTGATTTCTTCGAGTTTTGGTGGAGCTGGAAATTGAACAAATTTCAGCGTTGAAAACATAATTTCCAGATTTTTTGTCACAAATTATTCGAATACTGTTTTTTTGGGCAAAATTGCAGGCCTTTGCCACGTCATAGCTTTTCTCACATCCTACGCGCTCCACCGAAATAAACACGCAACGCAGACCGCGCCGCGCCACAACACACACAAAAAGGAAGGGAATTTGAATCGTTCCCTTATTTGTGTGTGTTGTGGCGCGGCGCGGTCTGCGTTGCGTGTTTATTTCGGTGGAGCGCGTGGTCCCGATGGGGATTTTCGATAATAAGCTATGACGTGGCAGAAATCTACGATTTTTGCCCGAAAAACAGTAAAGTGTCAAGTTAGACAAAAATTCTGATAAAATCTATCAAAATTCAAAATTTTATAGAAAAAGTTTATTTACTGACATTCGATAATTCTTCACGGGTTTTTCAAAATCTTACCATTTTGTTTTGTTCCAGGTTCTTCTGATTTTGGAGGATCTGGATCTGAAAAATATTTATTTTAAATCATTTTTAAAAAATCTCATCGGTATCACGCGCTCCACCGAAATAAACACGCAACGCAGACCGCGTCGCGCCACAACACAAGGGAACGATTCAAATTCCCTCCCTTTTTGTGTGTGTTGTGACGCGGCGCGGTCTGCGTTGCGTGTTTATTTCGGTGGAGCGCGTGAGATTTTCGATAATAATCCTACCATTTTCCTTCGATTTTTCAATACTTTTTGTTGTCGATCTCGAACTTCTTTCAAAATCCGAAGAATCCGCTTCAACAATTCGAAAAGTCTCAACAATTTTCGGTCCGTCAGTTGAAGCTGAACTCAAAGTTGAAAGAGATTCAGGAGCTCGTGAAGATCCTTTGGCAGCGATATATTCACAATTGTCGAATGTGATGTTTTTCTGATCGATTTCTCGCATTTCACTGTCTGATAGAGTTCCGCAAAGTTTGTTGGTTTTTTTGTCCGATGGAATTTTTCCCAGTACATTCTGCAAAATTCGGGAAATTGAATTGTGCATTCGTGCGTCGCGGTGTTTACACAGCAATCTGTTTTTTCCCCGAAAAAATAAAAAGAAAACAACGAGACTCCGCGTTGACGTTGCACGCCCGCGCGGTTTGAATTTGTGTTTTTTCGGATTTTTTTCAACAAACTAGAGTATAGTTGAACTAAGCTAAACCTACATCAAAAGGTGCTGGATGCAAAATATCCGAACTTGTTTCGCGAACACTCTTTTTTCTCATTTTAGCATCCTCTTTCTTGACTTTTTCGTCTTTTTGCGTTTCATCCAACGTCTTAACATCCGAAATTCGCCTCTTGATTGGTGTTCGATGAATTTTCCTCGATGGTTTTCGCGATTTTTTTCTCTCGTATATTTTGTAGCAAACAACAATTGAAGCGCCGATAAATAAGGTGAGTGCAATTCTGAAATTTGTTGGATTCTTGGAGCAGAGCATTTTTTCCTTACTTGAAAAGAGGTCTCATATTGATTTGTAGATAAACTGTGTTTTCTAAACCTCAACACAACAAAAAATGAATCATTTTCTTTCTCGATTTTGGCAAAACGTGTCAGTCTGACGTGAAAAAAGCCAAATTTTCCATTTCCCCCTTTTTCTCCCTCAAAAAGAGTACGGTGGCCGCTGGGTTGTGCAAACACTCGATCGAATGTACACGGTGACGAACAATTGCAGACTTGTGTTTCGCAAAAAAAAAATTTTCGTTTTTTTTCGTTGCGAAAAGTTTTGAAATTTCCCATTTCCCGATTTTTTTTTCAATAATTCTAATATATCAGATAATTTTCACCATATTTTTCTTGTTAGAAACCATAATTTCCCCTTAGTTTCCTCAAAATTTAATGTGGAAATAGAGGATTTTAGGTAAATTTGAAAAAATCGATTTTTCAGCGTCAAGCAAGGGTTACACAATCGTCATTGGGAAAAATGACGACTTTCTACAATTTCAAACGTATCACAGTTGTTCCAACAGCACCGGTTAGTGGAAATCGATAAATATTTTAATTTAAATAAAAAAATTGTGTTTTTAGGAACTCAAAGATGTTGTGCTCTCCAAAACTCAGCGTAAAACACCAACAGTCGTTCACAGACAATATTCAATTGGACGTATTCGTGCATTCTATGCTCGGAAAATCAAGTTTTTGCAACAAACACTTCACGACAAATTGACACAAATTATCACAGAATTCCCAAAAATGGAGGAAATTCATCCATTCTACGCCGATTTGATGAACATTCTCTACGATCGTGATCATTATAAGATTGCGTTGGGACAAATGAATACAGCCAGACATTTGATTGATGGAATCGCTCGTGAATATGTTCGCCTGATGAAGTATGCCGATTCTTTGTATCGTTGTAAAATGTTGAAGCGAGCTGCTTTGGGAAGAATGGTCAAGCTTTTAAAACGTCAAAAATCAAGTTTCGAATACCTTGAACAAGTTCGTCAACATTTGTCGCGTCTTCCAAGTATCGATCCAGCTACACGTACTTTGATTCTTTGCGGTTTTCCAAATGTTGGTAAATCCTCATTCATCAATAAAGTCACTCGAGCTGATGTTGAAGTTCAACCATACGCTTTCACAACTAAAGCACTTTATGTTGGACATTTGGATTATCGTTTCTTGCGTTGGCAGGTTATCGATACTCCTGGTATTTTGGATCAACCGTTGGAAGATAGAAATACAATTGAAATGCAAGCTGTGACTGCTTTGGCTCATTTGAAAGCCGCTGTTTTGTTTATGATGGATGTTTCTGAACAATGTGATAGAAGTATTGAAGAGCAATTGCATTTGTTTGAATCAATTCGTCCACTTTTTGCTAACAAACCAGTTATTATTGGTTTAAACAAAGTTGATATTCGTCATCGTTCAGAATTGCCTGCTGAAAAAGCTGCACTTCTCGATCAACTTGAAAAGGAAGGAATTCCAATTGTTGAGACTTCTACACTTACACAAGAGGGAATTATGACACTTCGTGATCGTGCTTGTGACGAACTTCTCGCTCAACGTGTAGAAGCAAAACTTCAAGCCAAGAAAATCACAACTGTTGAGGATTCGGTTCTTAATCGTGTCTTTGTTGCTTATCCGGTTCCACGCGACGAAAAAGTTCGTGCACCATTCATTCCGGCTGGAGTTGCACAAAAACGCGCGGCGGCGAAAAAGGCGGCGGCTGCGAATGCGGAGAATTCGATGGATGTTGATGATCAATCTGTTGCTGCTTTCAGAGATGAAAGTAGGTTTTCTAGTAGTTTCTGACTCGCTGATCAAGATTCCGTTGTCTAATTGTAAAATGGCATAGCTCAACTTCTAATATGAGTTATTTTTGTAAGTTGGAAAATCGGGACTTTAGAAGCTGAACACTGGCTTCAAAAATGATTTTCATGCAAATCTGATAGCATAGGGTTCTTCAGGAGGGTAGACAACATAAGTGGTTCTGAACTATAGTTGGACATCGACTAAACGACATTTTCATGTTTTTTAAGCAAGTGATTTGAAATATTGGGTTTTAATTTTATTCGTATGATAGAATGGTCTAAGACGAACAGAATGATATAAATTTTGATGAATTTACGTTATCCTTAAGTGATTTAGCGACATTTAATCGATATTTCGTCGATAAGCCGCTAAATCACTTATGGATAACGTAAACTCATCAAAATTTATATCATTCTGTTCGTCTTAGACCATTCTATTATATGAATAACATTAGAACCCAATATTTCAACTCACTTGCTTAAAAAAACATGAAAATGCCATTTCGTCGATGCCCAACCATAGTTCAGAACCACTTATGTTATCGACCCTTCTGAAAAACACTATGCTATCAGATTTGCATGAAAATCATTTTTAAAGCTAGTGTTCAGCTTCTAAAGTCCCGATTTTCCAACTTTGCCACTTACAAAAATAACTCATATTAGAAGTTGAGTTTTGCTATTTAGACATCGGAATAGATTTTGTTAAAAATCTAGAGTAAAATAAAAATTTTGCAGACACTCGCCGACTTGAACGTGAAATCGAATTGGAAATGGAAGACGACTATATTTTGGACCTCAAAAAGCACTATCTATTGAAAAATCCCGATGAGAAATACGATGTTGTTCCAGAAATTTGGGAAGGTCACAATTTGTCAGATTTCGTTGATCCAGAAATTCAGCAGGTACATTTTGTCTCAAATTTTGCGTGATTTTTTACACAACAAGGTCAAATAACCGTTTTTTTTCTCTAGAAACTCGAAAAACTCCTGAAAGAAGAAGAATTATTGGAACAAGCTGGAGAATATGAATCCGATTTGGATAGTGATGATGATGAGACAAAGGAGAAGATGAAATTGGCATTGAAGATTCGAGAAAAAGAGAAGTTACTCACATTGGAGACACAAGTGAATAAAAGACTTGCTGGAAGAGCTGGATCAAGAGTTTTGTCGTCGAGAAAGAGAGAAAGATCCATGTCTAGATTGGAACATGAATTGGGAGAATTGGGTGTTGATGTGAGTTTGAAAAATACTTTTTTTGATCAATATTTGATAAATTTGCCGTTTCGGCCAAATTTGGCCATTTTTTGGTCATAATTTAGCCAAAAAATGACCAAAATTTATTTTTTATCCTTTTTTTAAAATGAGATTTCGTTTCTCAAGTATAGTTCTGTATTTTTCCAACCCAAAGAACTTTGGAGAATTCCCCCTCGTTTAAAAATTGATTGGAGAAAAATTGGAATTCCAGAGCTTTCCACAAAGTTCAGGAATCAGTTGAAATTGTCGAAAAATATGGATTTTGAACATTTTCGCACTGAAAATTGGCCCTGAAAACATTTCGCCTTGGAATTTCAAGTTTTGAAACAAAAAAATGACATTTTCAAAAATTGCGCTATGGAAATTGGCCCGGAATTTTTGAAAATCTGATTTTTTCGTATGCAAAATTCAAAACTTGAAATTCCAAGGCGAAAAGTTTTCAGGTGCCAATTTTCAGAGGGAAAAATTTCAAAATCACTGATTTTTGACAATTTCAAGTTGTAACTGATTCCTGAACCTTGTGAGGAAATATTGCTCTGGAATTCAGATTCGATTTTTTCTCTAATCAATTTCTAAACGATGGGGGATTTTTCAAAGTTATTTGGGTTGGAAAAATACAGAACTATACTTGTGAAGATAAATCTCATTTCAAAAAAAAAATTATGAAAAATAAATTGCTTTCGAGAATTCTAAAAATTGGTCAATCGGTGATTTTGGAGATTTTTTGACCAAAATTTAGTCAAAAAATTGATCAGAAATTGGTCAAAAATGCACCAATTTTTCAGGCTCCCAGCACCTGTGGATTGAGAAACTGAATCTCATTTAAAAAACGATAAAAAATAAATTGCTCTCAAAAATTCTAAAAATTGGTCAAAAAATGACCAAATATAGGGCAATCGGTGATTTTGATCAATTTCTGGCTAAATTAAGACCAAAATTTCATATAAAAAATAAATTGCACCCAAAAATCCCCGAAATTTTTCCAGATTGACACAAAGAAAATGAAGAACTTGCAAGGACAATGTGCCAAACCACAACTCGGAAAGAAGATGAAAGTGGGTCGTTCGCGCAGTCTCAGCGCAGTTCGTCCAGCTCCCCGCGACGAAATCGCCATTCCCGACCCAGAAGCTCGTCACCACGCTGTCAAACTTCGCAACAAAGCAATGCGCGGACTTCGACGAGAAGCTAAGAAGGGAGAAGCTGATCGACATGTATATGATCTTAAACCAAAACATTTGTTCTGCGGAAAACGAGGAAATGGAAAAACTGATTGGCGTTAAGTTTTTTTCTTTATTTTTTCATTGTTATTTTTTTTATCCAATTCCTTGTTGATTTTTTTGTTTCTTGAAAACGCTGAGAATAAAGTTCTTATAATAATAAGGTAATTAAGAACTTTAGAAATAGTTATAAGGTCTAAAATTATTTTTGAGAAATTCAGAATTTCCTGATTTATTAAAATTCGAATTATCAGATGACAGCAAACACAGATGTAACAGAAAAGAAGAAAAAACGACCATGGAGAAATAAGGTGAGAAAAATGGCGGCGAAAAAAGCGAAATTGGAACTAGCTCCAATAAATCCGCCGATTCCGAAGTTAGCAGAAATCGAGAAGAAGAAAAGAGGGCCGAAAAAGAAGAAATATCGAGCGGAAAATGAAAATATTCAAAAAAATGGGGAAAATCTGGAAGAAGAGGAGGAATTGGATGCGATTGGAGAGGCGAAGAAGAAATTGGATTCGGGAAGATTTAGGTGGGATTTTTGAACTAGAAGCTTCTGAAAATTGGAAAAATTTGAATTCAAATACATAGTTTTTGATGATTTTTTAATGAACTCCGAGAGAAGTACACAAAAAAAGCGATTTTCTGAGCGAAACCTGGAATTTTTGAAATTTTGAGCTTAAAATTAATGAAAATCCAAGATTTTCAAGTTTTTTAAGCTCAATTTTCAAAAAAGTTTGAATTTGGTAGATATTTTTTAATCTAAATTCAACTTTCGATATCTTCTGAATTTTGAGAATTGTTCAATTTAAAAAAGAATTGAAAAAAATATTTGATAATAAATTATATCAAAATTATGAAACGTATTTTTTCATGATTTGTGAAAAATAAGAAATTTGAGTCTGAATTTGTCTGAAAATCAGAAAATTGACGGTTTCTAAAGGGGAAATCCATGAAAAAGCTGAATTTTCAGATTTTCTGAGGGAAAACCGACATTTTTATGTTTCTGGACCCAAAGAACCTCAATTTTTGATTTTGTGCCGAAAGCGAGCTTAAAATTAATGAAAATTGTAGATTTTCATGTTTTTCAAGCTGAAAATGAAAAAAAAAGAAGAAAATCACTGTTTTCAGCTTCTGTTTCATCATTTTCTGGTCATCAAACATTTTATGAGTAAAAAATTCAATTTTTCACCTGGAACAAGGATAAAAAATGATGAATCAGAAGCTGAAAACAGTGATTTTCTTCTTTTTTTCAAGATTTTCAGCTCAAAAATCTTGAAAATCCAAAATTTTCATCAATTTTAAGCTCAAAATTGCTCGCTTTCGGCACAAAATTCAAAAAAAATTAAATTTTTAACACAAATTTCTTATTTTTCAAAAATCAGAAAAAAATACGTTTCATAATTTTGATATAATTTATTATATCAAAACTTGAAAGTTCCATTTTTATTCCATTTGAAATTGAAAAATTCTCAAAATTCAGAAGCTAATTCAAAAATAAGCTCAAAACATTTTTGAAAATTTAAAAATGAAGTTCAAAAAATAAGTACATGATTCCAGAAAAAATTTAAAAATTTTTAGAAAAAATTTCCAAGATTTTTTACGTTTCACAAGATTTCCAATTTTTGGATTCAGAATTTCTTGTTTTTCAAGGTTTTTCAACCAAAAATGATGACAAATCGATATTTTTCAAGCTTCTGGGGTGATTTTTGATGAAAATAAGCTTTTTTTTTTGAATTTTTTCGAAATTCATCAAAATTTGAAAACGAAAAATCAGAAAAACCTTCTGGAAAGTGATCAGAAATTACCCCAAAAGTTTGAAAAATATCGAATTTTCATCATTTTTGACTGAAAAACTTTGAAAAACTATAATTTTTTCCTATTTTTCCCAGATTTCTCAACGAAAAACTGTACACTTGCACCGGCAGCGAAGCCTACGATTTCTTCAAACAAGATCCCACCTCATTTCAATGTTATCATAAAGGATTCGCAGATCAGGTCAAAAAATGGCCAAATCATCCGCTTCGCGAGATAATTCAGTGGCTTCAGAAGAAATCTGAGAAATTATCGGTTTTTGATTTGGGATGTGGTGAGGCGAAGATTGCGGAAGCTGTTGGAGACAAACACAATGTTCGATCTTTTGATCTTGTCGCGGTGAATGATCGTGTTGAATCGTGTGATATGTCGAAATTGCCGGCCGAAGATGGAAGTGCGGATATTGTCATTTTTTGCTTGTCACTTATGGGAACTAATTTGTATGATTTTGTGAGGGAAGCGAGACGAGTTTTGAAAATTGGGTGAGTTTTTTTGAACTAGCATGAGCAATCCTTTTAGTATGAGCAATTTCTCCCTGAAAATTGTTAAATATGAGCAATTTCTCCCTGAAAATTGTTAAATATGAGCAATTTCTCCCTGAAAATTGTTAAATATGAGCAATTTCTCTTTAAAATTACTAATATGAGCAATTTCACCCAGAAAATCACTAATATGAGGAATTTCTCCCTGAAAATTGTCTAATATGAGCAATTTCTCTTTAAAATTACTAATATGAGCAATTGCACCCTGAAAATTGTCAAATATGAGCAATGCATAATATGCATATAGATTCTAGTCTAATCTTAATCTGAGCAATCTATCCCTGATAAAAATTCAAATTTTGAAGGAATTTGGAGAATCCAGCCTATTTTTCAAGTGGCTGAGCCTAAATTTTGAAAAATATGGAAATTTTAGCCTGAAATTGCAGAGGTTCTGAAGTTTTCATGAAAATTTCAAGAAAATCGTGTGAATCCAAACAAAAATCTGGAAATTTTGAGCCAGAATCCCAAAAACCTTCAAAAGCTCTAAGCAGCCGCGCCTTGAGAACCTAATTTTCAAGTAGCCGAGCCTAGTAAACCTAATTGTCTAGAAGCCAAGCCTTTAGAGCCACTATGACAAGGAGCCGCGCCTTGAAAACCTAGTTTTCAAGGAGCCGAGCCTTGAGAGCCACTATGACAAGCAGGCGCGCCTTGAGAGCCTGATTGTCTAGGAGCCGAGTCTTAGAGCCACTATGACAAGTAGCCGCGCCTTGAGAACCTCGTTTTCAAGTAGCTGAGCCTAGAGAACCTGAGTTTCTTTGGAGCAGTTTCTTGTGAGCCAATTTTGAACTCTAAAAATTCCAATTAAATTTTTTCAATCCCAAAAATGTTGCCCAAAGTGTGACGTCATAACTAGAAAATTCAATTTTTCCAGCGGAATTCTGAAAATCGCCGAAGTCTCGAGCCGTTTCGTCTCTGTCAAAATGTTCTGTGAAGCGATTTCAAAAATGGGATTCGAAATGTCGAATCGACGAGATCTCACCGATTATTTCATCATGTTCGAGTTCCGAAAAATTGCGAAAATCGAAAAAAGCAAACCGTTTGGATTGAAATTGAAACCGTGTTTATACAAAAAACGATAATTTTTTCTTCTTTTTTTTGTTGATTTGTTGATTTTGTGAAGTTTTTTCATTGAAAATTTGATTTTTTTTGTGAATTTTGAAAGGTTTGAAAACCGAAAAATCATATTTTGTTGAATTTTTTACCCAAAATTCGGAAAAACCACAGATTTTCTCTGGAAATGCTGAAAAATCCAGGATGTTTGTGCTAGAAATGTTCATTTTGAGCCTGGACTCAAAAATTCAGGCCAAAAATGAGCCCAAGCTTGTCTAGACTCGAAAAAATCCGGATTTTCTGGCTATAGGCTTATTTGGACTCGAAAAATCGGGAATTTTGAGCCTAGATAAGGTTAAGCTCAAAATTCCGGATTTTTCGAGCCCGAATAAGCCTATAGCCAGAAAATTCGGTGTATTTTGAGTCTAGATAAGCCTAGCCTTAAAATTCCGGATTTTTCGAGCACAAAAAAAAATCCACGTGTCCTATATTTTGTGACGTCAAAATTTTGGGGTTTTCAGAGCATTTCCAGGAAAAATAAAGATTTTTCGAATTTTAAAATTAAATATTTTGGAGCCCAAGTTGGCTCCGGTCCAAGAATTTTTGGGAAAATTTCAAGTTCCAGACGAAAATCTTGTTTCTGAAGCAAAATTATCGATTTTCAGCCAAATTTTTTCAGCCCAAGGAAATGGACCTGAACATCAAGCAAAGTGGAATACATTCGTGTATTTTGCACACTTCCTACTTCAAAAATCGCTCCGGAAAAGTGCACAAAAGAACTGCGGAACGATATTTGAGAACCGATATTCCATGCGGACTTTTTGAATGCAAATCCTGCGCGCCTTTCGAAAATGGTCAACTTCTCAAATCTCCCCAAAACATCCACTCGAAATTCCACGAAAAACACGTGTTAATCATCGATTCCACGTCATTCATCAGATTCTACGATTTATTCGATTCCCCACTTCTACAGAATATTTTGATCATTCAAACTGTTTGGGAAGGCGTCAAATCGAAAAGTTTAGCGGCTTATAAGAAAATGTTGGCTTTAACTAAAGAAGAAGCTGAAAAACAAGAAAATAAAGGGAGATTTCATGTTTTTCACAATGAATATCATTTTGAAACATTCCATGAAACTACGAAATATGAGGATTTGAGTAGAGGAGAGGAATTGTTGATGGAAACTGCGAAATATTTGGAAAAGCATTGGGAGGAGTATAATGTTGAGGCGGTGCTGGTTGTGGCGGATGAGGAATCGAAAAAGAGGATGGAAATTCATTATGAGAAAGTTGTGACGTTGAAGGAGTATATTCAAGGTAAGATTTATTCGAGAGCACAAAAATGAGCCAAAAATTGAGAAAATTCTCGATTTTTTGCTCATTTTTGTGCTGAAAATGATCTAAATGGGATTTTTTCCAAGACATTAGGATTTTTGAAGATTTGAGGAATAAAAAATTCAAAAATTTCACATTTTTGGCCCCAAATTTGTTTTGAATTTTGAAATTTTGGAATTTTCAGCACTGCAATTCGAGAATTTCCAGAAAATTCTCGATTTTCAGCTCATTTTTGTGCTGAAAAACTGTACGAAAACAAAATTTATTAGGATTATTTTTGATTACTGCCGAGAAGTATAATCATTACGGGCTATCCTGGAAAATGCAATAAATCAATTTTGAAACGTAATTTTTCGAGGTTGGAATTTCAGATAAAACTTTTCTTTAATCTGAGCAGTGTAATCTAGAAATTTTATGACGTGGCAGGATTTTTCACAAGAAAATCCTGCTATATCACATTGCTCAGATTAAAGAAATTTTTTTCCGAAAATCTCACCTCGAAAAATTACGTTTTAAAATTGATTCATCGCATTTTCCAGGGTAGCCCGTAATGATAAAGAGTAAATCTCAGAAATCAAAAAAAAATCCTAATAAATTTTGTTTTTGTACAATTTTTCAGCACAAAAATGAGCCGAAAATCGCGAATTTTCTGAAAATTTGAACTTGCAGGGCTGAAAATTTCAAAATTCAAAAATTCAAAACAAATTTTTGGCGTGAAAATGCCACATGAATTTTTGTGGCCAAAAATTTGAAAAATTTGAATTTTTTTCGCTTCGAATTTTCAAAAATCCCAATTTCTTGGAAAAAATCCCATCAGCACAAAAATGAGCCGAAAATCGCGAATTTTCTGAAAATTTGAATTTGCAGGGCTGAAAATTCCGAAATTTAGAAATTCAAAACTAATTTAGGGCGTGAAAATGCCACGTGGATTTTTGTGGCCAAAAATTTGAACATTTTGAATTTTTTATTCCTCAAATCTTCAAAAAAAAAAATAATTTCCAAAAACTTGGAAAAAATCCCATTTCGACCATTTTCAGGCTGAAAATGAGCCAAAAATCGCGAATTTTCTGAAATTCTAAATTTTCAGGGCTGAAAATTCAAAAATTCAAAAAAATTTGGGGCCAAAAATTTTGAATTTTTATTCTTCAAATCCTAATTTCTTTCAAAAAAATCCCATTCCGCCCATTTTCAGCCCAAAACTTTTAAATTTCCAGGCCTCCACTCAGAAACCCGCCAAGGCCTATTGGACCAAATGTCGGCCTACGAATCCACACCAACTTCCAACAAACCCTCAGTTTTCGCCGAACATCTCTCAAGTGATCTCATCGAAGCCGGAATCAAAGCCGGAACCATCAAACGTGGCACATTCAGTGTCTCCAGGGAGAATTACATGGAGGCCAGCGTGATTATCGATGAGAATTTGACGTCGTGGTTTATTTCTGGAGCAAATTGTAATCGCGCGGTGAACGGGGATACTGTAGCTGTGCAATTGTTGGATGAAGCTGAATGGATTGCACCGGAGAAGCGGATAAGGTTGAGAGATGTTGAGGAATATGTGAAGAATGCTGAGGAGATGGATGAAGCTGAAGGTGAAGCTGGAGAGCCGAGGAGCAAAAAAGCTAGGAAGAATGTTGTGCCAACTGCGAAAGTTGTGGGAATTATCAAACGAAATTGGCGGCAATATTGTGGAATGCTTTTGCCGAGTTCGATTAAAGGCGCAAGACGCCATTTGTTTTGCCCAGCGGAGCGGTTGATACCAAGAATTCGAATTGAGACCGAGCAAGCGGAGATTCTGTGTGAGCAGCGGATTATTGTTGCGATTGACCATTGGCCGCGCGATTCGAAATATCCATTGGGACACTATGTGCGAACGATTGGGGAGATGGGAAAAAGTGAGACGGAGAATGAGGTGTTGCTCCTGGAGCATGATATTCCGCATGCGCCATTCTCCGACGCGGTTTTGGATTGTCTTCCGCGGGACAGTTGGCAACCGGATTTGTCGGATGAGCGCCCCAGGGTTGATTTGAGACATTTGACGATTTGTTCGGTGGATCCGTTGGGTTGTACGGATATTGATGATGCGTTGCATTGTAGGGAGATTGGAGAGGATTTGTTTGAGGTGAGGGAGTTTTGAGGGGAAAGATTTTAATTTTTAAAATTTTTAAGTCAAATTTACCTTCAATTTTCATCGGTTTCAGGGAAAACTGTTCAATTTGAGGTAGATTTTGTTTCAAATTTATGTTTTTTTCCTGAAGAAATCGATGAAAATTTAAGATTTTCTCTGAAAAATTGAAAAATTTCGAAGTTTTCCTTGAAACTTACCAAGTTTCTTTAAAAAAAACGCGAAAAACGTGGATTTTCTGGGAATTTTGCGGGGAAATCTCAATTTTCATCGATTTCTACAGGGAAAACACTCAATTTTGTTTTAAAAATCGAAATTTGTTTTTTGTCGCTTTCCCTGTAGAAATCGATGAAAATCAAATTTTGAAAAAGTTTATTTTCGGAATATTTAGTTCTGAAATTTCAAATTTTCTGAAAAATTGAAAATTTTAAAGTTTTCCCTATGAAAATTGATGAAAAATTTGAGATTTTTCTGAAAAATGAGGAAATTCTGAAACAGTTTAGTTTAGCCTAGCTATTTTTCCTGAAATATTAGAGTTTCCTGAATTTTTGGTGAAAGCTTAATTGCTCTAATTCTAATTATCTAAAAATGCGGATTTTCAGAAAATTTCGGTCGAAAAATTGAAAAATTTCAAGTTTTCCCTATGGAATTTGATGAAAATTTGAGGTTTTTCGAAATATTTTCAAGCTTAGATATATTTCCCTGAAATATCAGAATTTTCTCAATTTCCCAAAATTTTCAAAGTAAAACTCTGAAACCAGAGAAATCTGAAATTTAGTGTCAAAAATCTAGAATCTTCAAAATATCTTATTTTTACATTAGACAAATTTGGACTCAAAATTCTAATTTTTTAAACCAAAAAAAAAATACGTTTCGAAATTTCGATAAAATTTTTTTTCAAATTTTTAAGTATCCGAGCCTAGAAAACCTAGTTTTCAAGGATCCGTGCCTTGAGAACCTAATTGTCAAGGAGCCACCCCTTGAGATCCGCTATGGCAAGCAGCCGCTCCTTGAGAGGCTAGTTTTTAAGTAGCCGCGCCTAGAGAACCTAATTTTCAAGTAGGTATTGCAATTTTGAGATTTGAAGCGAAATTTGAATGAAAATTTTGAAAAAATTGAGAATTTCATGGTTTAAAAATTCAGGTTGGTGTTCATATCGCTGACGTCACTCACTTCGTCCGCCCAAACACAGCAATCGACGACGAAGCCGCAATCCGCGGAACTACCGTATACCTCTGTGATCGTAGAATTGACATGCTTCCCGCACTTTTATCAAGTAATTTGTGTTCTTTACGAGGAGAAGAAGAGCGATACGCATTTTCGTGTATTTGGACAATGACATCAAATGCTGACATTCAATCTGTCAAATATCACAAATCATTGATTAAATCGAAAGCTGCGTTAACTTATGAGAAAGCGCAGGAAATTATTGATGATCCAAAGGAGAATCATGACGTGGCGCAAGGTTTGAGAGGATTGATGAAGTTATCGAAAGTACTGAATGCGAGAAGAATGGGAAATGGAGCATTGACATTGGCTTCGAGTGAAGTGAGATTTGAGATGGATTGGGAATCGAAGACACCAAAGGTAGGGGGGTTTTTGAGATTTTTGAAAAAGTGGTTTTCTCCTGATCAACTTCTAATAGAAGTTATGACGTGGCAAAGTTTGAAAATCCGGATTTTTGGATTTTGAGCTAATTCAAGCTGATGAATTTAGGCTAACTTTTGAAAATACATGTTTTCTAGTAGTTTTTGACCCGCTGATCACTATTCCGATGTTTAAAATTGCAAAATTCAACTTCTAATATGAGTTATGACGTGGCAAAGTTTGACGTGGCACCGTAAAATTCGTGAAATTTTTTTGTTACTCAATCTTTTTTCACTGAAAAACAGCAAAAATTGGGAATTTGGTAACTTATCGTAACTTCCATCAAAAAATTAATTAATGAATCAAAATTTTATTTAAAAAATTTTGTGTTATAAGGTCTTACTGTATAAAATTTGTTAAGAAAACTGAAAAAAATTAAAAGCTTTTGAGATTTTTTATTCTGCAAAAATCAACTCCTGAGGCTGATTTTCAACTTTTAATATGAGTTATGACGTGGCAAAATTGGACCTTTGTGAATTGAAAAGAGAAATCGCGATTTTTCGAAATTCTTGGAAAATTGCCAATTTTTTTCTGAAAAAATCCTAATTTTCGCACCAATTTTCAATTTTTAGCGCAAAATTTGAATTTTTTGGAAATTTTTAAAATCTCAATTTCCGCTCCAACAAAAACCACGTGGAAAAATCCTAGGATTTTTCAAAAAATTGGCAATTTTCCAAGAATTTTTGTTTCAACAATTTGAGTTTTGAAAATTTTGAAAAATCGTGTCCAACTTTGCCACGTCATAACTCATATTAAGAGTTGAATTTTGCAATTTTAAACATCGGAATAGTGATCAGCGGGTCAAAAATGACTAGAAAACATGTGTTTTCAAGTTAGCCTAAATTCAAAACTTAGCCTAAATTCAATAAATTTTTTTGCAGAAAGTAATGGAAAAGAAACATTTGGACACTCACTCAATGGTCGAAGAATTTATGCTTCTCGCAAATATTTCGGTTGCTGAAAAGATTTTGCAAGAATATCCAGATTGTGCACTTCTTCGAAGACATCCAGTTCCACTGAAAGAAAGTTATAAACCATTGATTGAGGTATGGGGTTTTTTGGGGGGATTTTGACCAAAATTGAAAAATTTCTCTGAATTTTGAAGTTCTGGATTTTTCTGACGCATTTCTAGTAGCTTGGAAAGTTGCTGGCATCTTTCAAGCAGCTTAAGACTTTGTTGACGCCTTTCTAGTAGCTAGAAACTTTGCTGACGCGTTTCGAGTAGCTCGGAAAGTTGCTAGCGCGTTTTCAGTAGCTTGAAACTTTGCTGACTCTTTTTAAACAGCCCAAGATTGCTGACGCGTTTCCAGTAGCTAGAGACTTTGCTGACGCGTTTCCAGTAGCTTGAAAAGTTGCTGGCGCGTTTCCAGTAGCCAGAAACTTTGCTGACGCTTTTCAAACAGCCTGAGACTTTGCTGACGCATTTTTGGTAGCTAAACAAATTTCTTGCACACATCGAAAAAATCTATAAATCTCTCAATTTCCAGGCTGCACGCCATCGTGGCTTCGAAATCGTCATCGAATCCGGCAAAGGTCTTGCTGACAGTCTGAATCGATGTGTTGACAACAAAAATCCGATGTTGAATCGACTTCTTCGAATGTTGACAACACGATGTATGACACAGGCGGTCTATTTCTCAGCTGGTGAGGTTTTAGCTCTTAAAGCGCTGCTCCTTGAAACCTAGGCTCTCTAGGAGCAGCTCCTTGACATAGGAGCTGTCAAGGCGCGGCTCCTTGAAACAGTAATTTTCCAGGAACCGTCCCTGTGCCACAATATCAACATTTCGGACTAGCCTGCTCAATTTACACCCATTTCACATCACCAATCCGCCGCTACGCTGATGTAATTGTTCACCGCCTTTTGGCCGCTGCAATCGGCGCCGATTCCATCCCAGCCGGACTTTTGAATCAATCAAAATGCACCAAAATCTGCCAAAACATCAATTATCGCCACAAACAAGCACAATATGCGGGAAGAGCTTCTGTTCAATTGAATGTTGTCAGATATTTCAAAGGAAAAGTGGAGATTTGTCAAGGATTTGTGATGGGTGTTAGGAATAATGGAATTCAGGTGAGAAAATTTAAAAAAATTCGAATTTTTTCCTATTTTTTGACATTTTTTTTTATTTTTGTGTGGGAAAAATGTGAAAAAAATAGGAAAAAAAATTTTTTTTTGTAAAAAAAGTTTATTTTTTCCTATTTTTTTCCACACAAAAATGAAAAATTGAAAAAAAATGGTTTTTTTTATTTTGCGAAATGTTCAGAATTAATTTTTGTAAAAAAAACTATAGTTTATTAAATATTTTTTTTACAATTTTTCATTTTTGTGTGGAAAAAAATATAGGTTTTTGAGATTTTCTAAATCGAAATTTCCCCATAATTTTTGAAAAATTCTTCAAATTTAATTTTTGTAGAAAAAAATTCGATTCAGCAAATGTCAAAAAAACTATATTTTTTTCCAAATTTTCATTTTTGTGTAAAATTCTTCAAAATTAATTTCCAAAAAAATCGAATTTTCAGGTCTTCGTCCCAAAATATGGTCTCGAATCGATAATTGTTCTCCACAACTCCTCAGATTCAAATACAATTATAGATATTGAAGATATGAGTGTTCGAGTTGATGGAGAAGTTGTGATAAGAGAATTGGAACCAGTTACTGTTAGGATTAGTGTAAATGAGAAGAATCAGCAGAGACCGAGAGTTGAGCTAAGTTTGGTGAAGCCTGAGATTCCTGGATTGTCGGTTGATTTTGATTTGTCGACTTCCGAAGGTCTTGGATTATAAGTTTTTTGTTTTTGTTTTGTTATTTTTTTGTTGTTTGTTTTATTTTAAAAAATATTCGTGTTCATTTGTTTTTCGATCGATTTCCTAACAAAAATGCCCTGGGGATTTTACTATTCAAAAGTAATAGCTATAACTTTTGAGATAATTGGATTCCATGCAGGCCTGTGCCAGAAATTTTCGGAATTTCCGGATTTTCCTTAAAATTCTCCAAAATTTTCAGAAGTTATGAGCCCTACCTTCAAAATGACACCTAAAGTTAACCAATAATTCAAGTTTTCTTTTGTTTTCCGACCGCGACGCAGAGCCGCACGCTACTGACGAAATAATGCTTTTTTTTTCAAACTTTAACAATTTGATCAAGAATCCTTTTTATTCTTCAAAAATTCCGCATCCAAGTAGAAAAAATTAGAATATTTGCTTATTTGCTGCTTCAAATCATTGACCATCGCTGTTGTGAGAATTATCTGTAAAATTAGATTTTTCAGAAGTTTTCTGTACAATACACTTACTAAAAATCATTTTTTTTTCGCTCAGACTTTCTTCCTGCTTTCGGTTATCGGAATTCTTCAAATCTTCTTTATTTCTGGAAAATGTTTTTTTTTTGAGTTTGAAACTGAAAATTCCCAAGAATAACCAAGAACTAACCTGATATCTAGCATATCTCTTTTCATGATGAAAAATAATTCGAATTCGTGTAAATATTATATTACTGTAGTGTAGATACAGTCTAAAAAAGCACATAATGATTGTTCCACACATCCAAAACTCGGTCTTCCAAGCCCCGCCCCTTTTTTGGATACTAAACTAAACTATAAGTATACTAAAATTGCGCAACATTAAAGAACTTCTGTTGATTAAAAAATATATTTGCCAGGTGCTAACTTATTGTGAAGATCTAGATCTAGAAGATCAGAGTTCAAATGATCTGATTATCGCGTTAAAAAAAATTCCGAGAAAAAATATTAAAAAATTTTGCGTAAACGTGAAATTTGTCGTGGCAAATGCCATTTCATCGATAATTTTTCAGTTATTTCAAATTTTCGGCGAGCAACAAAATGGCAGATGAGTTTTTTCTCTTGGGGGCCGCCCGAATTCCTAACCTACCCCGAATACTTTCACGTGTCCCTCCTGGAGTAAAGTACAGCTCAACTTAGCCTAAGTAAAGCTTCGTTAAGTTGAGCATTAGCCATTGCAATTGTCAGGAACCTCGACATGAGTTACCTTAACTTGATTTGGTTGGAAAAACTGTGAAGGGAGAGATCGAGGTTCGCTTTTTTGAATAAAATTGAAAAGAAAACGTGGAATTATTCAAGGAGGCGGGAAATTTCGACTATTATCAGGGAAAATACGAAATTTCCAGGAAAAATCATGATTTTTTGCAGAAACAAATCCAAAAACCATGGAAAACCCAAGACTAGACTATAGTTTGGGCCATACATTAACTAGTCGCTCCGGGGGCCCTTGAGTTAACCCCCCCCCCTAACCAACTATTTGTGGGTTTTTCGCCATAAAATTCTCCAAAATTTCAAAAAGTTAAGGGCCCCACCTCCGATTTCGGAGTCCCAGTATGGTTTGGGCATTTTCAAACAGTGTAGAAATCTTCATTTGTGTAAGTAAGTAATATGCAGAAATTTATACAATTTTTTGGTGGGCGCCGGGATGTTTTTGTTTGTGTGATATAGAAAACTCGTAAGTTAGTTGGAACAGAGAAGAATTAAAAATTATTGTTCAGCTGGTTTGATGGCAAGTTCTTCCAAAATTTCGGCAACATCTTCATTGTCAATTTGTGGAGCCAATGCAAAATCAACAACGAGCGCCGAGTCACGAACCTTGTTCTCAACTGTGATGTTTCTGGCGGCGGTTTCATAACCCTCCGCAGCAACGAATATTTCATATTGTCCAGCTGGTAGAATACGATAATAATCTCCCTCAGTCCAAGTTGTGACCGGATGTTTGATTGGATTTTCTTGAGTACCATTTCTGATCCATACAACAGCTCGTTCAATGGGTTCCCCGGTGATCGCGTCAACAACAATACCCTTGATTCCACTGTGTGATTTCCAGACATATTCAAAGATTGATTTTTGGTTATCCGCCCAGAATTGTGGAAGTTGTGAAGCAGCTGGCATTTTCTCGCAACTGATTTCCAACGTGATTTCCATGGAGTTTGTTCCTAGGTAGTTGAAGTCTTGCATTCCACCAGCCACCGAATACCACTTCGCACCATTTGTGATTCCACCCTGTCTAGCGAAAGCATCCTGGCTAGAACCATCGCATGGAGCATGGTCATTTTTCGCCATATGCGCGTGGTTTTCAGCGTAACTTGAGGCCAACCATCTGAATGTTCCGTCATCCGGAGACGCGGAATACTCAGTTTTTCCGCTTTCCGGGTTCTTCGATGAATCGAATGGGTAATTCGCGACTAAGTCACCCTCATGGAAGTTTGCGGATAGAACGAAGGGAAGGGAGAGGGTCCATTGACCGACGGCAAGGGTTTCGGGTTGATGTTTGGATTGGGAATCGTCGAAGAGCGAGAGGAGATGGTCGTATTTTGGGACTTTCATTTGCTCGAGCTCGTAGAAGACGCCGTCGAGGTCTGGGAAATCACGGTTGAGGTCGACGCCGTTGGCATTTGATCTTCCGGTGAGCCATTGACGTTTGGCTGGTTCCTGAAATATTGGAGTTATTGTTTTGGGACTTGGTTAAAGGTAACGGTGCGCTTTCCTTTACGCAAAGACCCGTTTGCGATACCGACCGCGCTCACCACGCAATGTGTCGCTGCGCAGCGAAATTTGTTTCTCATCAGAGCGCACTTAGCCCGCAGAAATTTCACGAGGGTCTTTTTGTTCAAGCGGCGTAAAGAAAATCCCACCGTGAGGCAGTATGAAAGAAGCCAGGATAAATTCGGAAATCTCAGAAAATATTCAAAATCTTCAAATTGCCTCCAAGTGTGTGCAAACACTGCGACGCACTATTGCGTACAAGAAGGTTTAAACTATTATATTTGCTTAGGCTTCGTGGGTGGTCCCGGAATCTAACCGCCTTTAAATATAACAATTTCGACAGGCGAGAAAAAGAGCGCGGTGGCCGAGTGGTTAGCACGCGTGCCTAGCGAGCGCGATGCTTTTGCAGTACCCGGGTTCGACCCATACCCGGCGTACAACTTTTTTTTTCTGTTGCCTCTAGATCTAGATACCATATTCCCCCCAATCACATTTTGTTTTTCACTTATCACTACAATTTCTGAGCACGAACGCACGCACTATAAAAAATAACAGTGACGTCAATTTAAGCCGAGACCTATCAAATTTCAAGGGTGTTTTTCTATTGCCGGATTTCCGGTCTGCTGGAAAAAGGGCCCCTTTTCAAATATTTCCGGAACTCACAGTGCTTAGCGCCAATTCGAAACCATCTGGATTCATCGACGGCAAAATGTGAATCGATGTCGAGTTCAACAATTGCACAATTTCCTTGTCATTATTCAATGCTCCCTGGCACAAATTATCGGCGAAACGGAGCAGTAATTCGCGACCGATTGGCTCGTTTCCGTGCATGTTTCCGATCAATTTGATCTCGGGTTTGGCTGGAAACATGGGGGATTTTTAAATCGGGTATTGGAGTATAAGCTTACTTGGCACATGTGCTCCTGGAGTTGTTGAGAAGTGCAAAACGACAAGTGGTCGACCTTCAACTGATTGTCCGATTTCGTAGAGGGTTGAGATCTGGAGGAAAAAACATTTAGAGATTTTTTTTCTGAAGAATTTCGGAAGGGGGATTATCAGAAGCTAGGATTATCCGCACATTGAATCACGTCATTCTAAAGTTCAAGATTTTTTTGTATCAAACTCTTAAAATTGTTTTAGGAAAGGTTAGAGCTCTATATTCGAAAATCTCATCGGTACCACGCGCTCCACCGAAATAAACACGCAACGCAGACCGCGTCGCGCCACAACACAAGGGAACGATTCAAATTCCCTCCCTTTTTTGTGTGTGTTGTGGCGCGGCGCGGTCTGCGTTGCGTGTTTATTTCGGTGGAGCGCGTGGTACCGATGAGATTTTCGAAAAAAAAAATCGATTTTTAATAAGCTTATTTTATCACGTGACCCCTTTTCGCGCATAAATTATTTAAAAAAATTCCCCATTTCTCATTTTTCAAATTTTCCCACAGGAAATTAGCGTAAGTGTGCCACGTCATCTCAAAACTTCTAAGCCTAGATTTAACCACTTAAACTTCTAGATGACTATGGAAAATCATTGAGCCTAATTAGGCTAACTCACCTCTTTACATTTCTGATTGATCTCGGCCAATTTCGTCTCCAACTCCTCCTGTCCATGATAATGCTGCCATTTCTTGTCCTCCTCACTCACCGAACTCCCACCAAAGCCCAAAAAAGCCTGGGCCAAGCCCAGGACGCTCAAAAATCCCACGATGAAACGTGGCGACATCATGAATATGTGTCGAAGAATGAGGGGAAAAGCTGAAAAAAAGTGGGTGGAGAAGAGAGAAGAGCTCGCGGCTGGCTGGCTGGCTCGATCGATATGCTGAAGGCAAGCAGGCAGGGTGCGCGAGCGACAAAAAAATATTCAGAGAATGACGTGGGATGGGGGGTTTTCGAGCTGTGACGAAAAAAAAAAAAAGAAAAAAATAAAAGCACATAAGGATAATTGTTATTTTTCAGCCGGAAAGACATGGTTTTCATATCAGATTTTGAGAATATTTGAATATTTCGCGGGAAAAATTCATTCTCGACAAAACAAGTGCAACTAATGAATGAATTATACATAGTTGGACATCGACTAAATGACATTTTCAGGTTTTTTAAGCAAGTGAGTTGAAATATTGGGTTCTAATGTTATTCATATGATAGAATGGTCTAAGACGGACAAAATGATATAAATTTTGATGATTTTACGTTATCCATAAGTGATTTAGCGGCTAATCGACTAAATATCGACTAAACGTCGCTAAAGCACTTATAAACTTATACTTATAAGTGCTTTAGGGACGTTTAGTCGATATTTAGTCGATAAGCCGCTAAAGCACTTATGGATAACGTAAATTCATCAAAACTTATATCATTCTGTTCGACTTAGACCATTCTATCATATGAATAACATTAAAATCCAATATTTCAACGCATTTGCTTAAAAAAACACTGAAAATGTCATTCAGTCGATGTCCAACTAATGAATTAATAAAGCTGTGGAATTTTTAACAATTTTTCCACTTGGATTTCTGAACAGTTTATGCAAGAGTGAATTTGAATGAAGAAAAGCGGCGAAAATCGATAAGGAAAAAATGTGCGAGCACATTTTTTATAGTTTCGAAACAAAAAGATAAGAAAAATTATTCATTTGATGAAAAAATTTTGAAAATTTAAAAAAAATATGGACAAAGTGCGTTAGAGCGCATTTTCTTCTTTACAAATGATGGCAGGTCAAATTCTGCTCGTCTAGCACAAAATCGCCGTCTTTTGCACATTTATAATGGACAAAGTGTTGATTTCGGTTCAAAATCGGGATTTGCGCACCATTTTTCTTGCAAACATCACAGCTCTGGCTCCAGAATTGCTCCATCTTCTCGTCGAGGTTTTCCAGGGTGTTTCCGGACAAATAGATTCCCGGAGCCCATAGCACACATTCTCCGTGGAACCAGATTTCGAGATCGGCTGCTTTTTTGCTCTGTAAAGATAATTATCTAGTTCGTTGGACGCGTGCGGCTGTGCGTCGCGGTTTTTTCACGATCGCGACGCATCTGATTTTTTTCGCGACTGATTTTTGTTTACCCCGCGCTCCACCGAAATAAACACGCAACGCAGACCGCGCCGCGCCACAGCACACACAAAAAAGGGAACGATTCAAATTCCCTCCCTTTTTTGTGTGTGTTGTGGCGCGACGCGGTCTGCGTTGCGTGTTTATTTCGGTGGAGCGCGTGGAGATTTTAGATAATACGTCAGCCACATTTCGACAATAAATACAAATTAGTAAAAAAAAATGAAATGATGAGTCACCAACCGGTTTTTTCGCAAGAAAACCTGGCCAATATTTTCCAACCGCAAAATTTTTCAAATAATACGGCCCAAAAAGTTCGCCCATCTCATCTCGATGCACACCATCATGACAAAATGCGCATAAATAAGCGCCCTCTATCGCCGCCTCTTCGGGTTCCCATTGAAAAATGCGACTGTGATGGTAGTCTTGAGCACGCGCCACTGCTGAATTGTGATTTTCAGAGTTTTTTATAGTCGCCGCGCCTGATGACGAAGTTTGAAATGTGGGCACGGTGTCTGTGAGCTTTTTGGTTTTGAATTTCTTGGAGAAACTGTTGGCCATGGTTTTACTTTTGTTATCTGCAAAAAATCAAATATTTTTCAAAATTCCCGCAAAAAACTTACATTCTTCATCGTTTTCAATTTCATGCTTCGCCACTTTTCTTCGCTTCGCTGATGATTTTGCCATTTTCAGCTGAAAATCGAGAAAATTTGAATATTTTTTGAGTGAAAAAACGCGGTGGCCTAGAAAACCAACAAACTTTTTTGTTTGTTTGTTTGTTTGTTTTGGCCAGGTTTGCACATTGTGCACAAACCTCATACACGATTAATTCGGTTATTGGGAAATTGTCGAAATCCTATAGGGCCCTAGGGCTAGGCCTAATAGAGATTTTTTATCCAATTGAGGTGATAAAACTGGCTGGCCTAGGATCCGACAAATATGAATTTTTCTTTTTTTTCTGTTTTCGTTGAAAAAAACGCATTAGTCATTGTTTTCCTCGATTTCTTTCGGTTTATAAATACAAAAAACAAATTTTAGGTTTTTTTTATGCCGTCACCGAATTTGCGATATGCAATTGCTCAATATAGCTTCGATGATACAACATTTTCGGAGCAACTTCCTACAACATCACAAGATATCAGAAAATTGGATCTACTAATCGGTGATCGCATTTGTATTTGTGGTGAATTAGATGGTTGGGGTTTTGGAAGAAAATTTGATGATCCACGTAATGAATTTGGTGTTTTCCCATTGTCATGCGTTGAATTTGTTGGACAACCTTTGATTGTCTCAACAACTGATGGAATTCTGGTTGGTGATGAGATTGCAAAAGTGGCGAATGAGTGGTGGACGAAGATTAAGGAATTATTGATAACAACCACTGAAATTTATGGATTTGAAGAATTGATGGAATCATTTAACGAATTGTTTGTTATTAAACGAAAAATTGAAAGTGGTGCGGTTTTTTTGATGACAAATATACCAAATCGACTATGCTGATCATGATTCCGAAGTCAAAAATTGCTCTGTGAGCATTTTTCTGGAGCTCCGGAGTTCGAATTGAGTTTGTTCACCCTGGAAGGGTGAATTTTGACCATTTTTTGATCAAAATCCACTGTTTTGGCCGGATTTTGGCCAATTTTCGGGCAAATAAACAAATTGGTGAATTTTTGACCAAAAATTCACCATTTTTTGGCCAGATTTTCAACAAAATTGACCAAAAAGCTCCGATTTGGCCAATTTTTGGGCAATTTAAACGAATTGGTAAATTTTTGACTAGAAACTTGCTTTTGGCCAAAATTTGACCAATTTTTGATCAGAATTCATTGTTTTTGAATAAGTTATCAGATTTTCTGGTAAACTAAAAACCTGAAAGCCTATTCAAGTTATAAAAATTGATTTTTCACCCTGGAACATGCTGGAAAGGACTCGAGCTCCAAAAATTGCTCACAAGGGTTTTTGACCTCAGAATCGTGATCAGCAAGATCGATTTGGTATATTTTGATGTGTGGGACCACTTCCCTTTAAAAAATTCAAAATTCACCAAATCGACTTTGCTGATCACGATTCCGATGTCAAAAATTGTTGAAAATCCCTTGTGAGCACTTTTCTGGAGCTCCAAATTTAGAATTGAGCCCATTTTCATCATGTTCGAGAAAGTTCTTTTTGAAAAAAGTTCAAAATTTCAGCTTTCAGCGATTTTTTGGTAAACCAAAAACCTGATAGCTTATTCAAGTTGATTTTTGACCCTGAAACATGCTGAAAAAGGGCTAGAGCTCCAGAAAAGTAGTTTTTGGCAATTTTTGACCTCGGAATCATGATCAGCAAGGTCGATTTGATATATTTTGATGTGCCGGGACCACTTCCCTTTAAAAAATTTCAAAATATACCAAATCGACCATGCTGATCATGATTCCGAAGTCAAAAATTGCTGAAAATCCCTGTCAGCACTTTTCTGGGGCTCTAAATTTTGAAATGAGCTCATTTCCAGCATGTTCTAGGGTGAAAATCAACTTGAATAAGCTATCAGTTCAAAAAATCGCTGAAAACTGTGATTTTGAAAGAACTTTTTTTCAAAATTAAAGTTTTTAGCGATTTTTTGATAAACTTGAAATCTGATAAGATTCTCATGGGTTTCTCACCCTGGAACATGCTGAAAAAAGGGTTTTCGCCAATTTTTGACCCCGGAATCATGATCAGCAAGGTCGATTTGGTATTATCGAAAATCTCCACGCGCTCCACCGAAATAAACACGCAACGCAGACCGCGTCGCGCCACAGCACACACAAAAAGGGAAGGAATTTGAATCGTTTCCTTGTGTTGTGGCGCGACGCGGTCTGCGTTGCGTGTTTACATTTCGGTGGAGCGCATACAGTTTATTATTTTTTGAGTAGAGACGTGAAATTGAGAGAGTGCAGACAGAAAAAAAAAGTGATTTTCAGGCGGAATCCCATCCGAAGAATTGAGCAAACTCCGAATCCGAGTCGCCAAATTAATCGACCGCGGAAACATGCTTCTCGGTCTAGACGTAATAATCCGTGATGACCGTGGAGCCCCCCTGGACGCCGATTCTTTGACCCTTCTTCGAAACTACGAGGCACATATCACTTCGCAAAAACTGGTGAATGCAGAATTTCGCGATAAAAATGAGATTGGCCATTTTGGCGTGATGTTATCGATAAAATCCGTCGAATTACACAGCAAACATCAATGTGAAATCAGTATCACTTTATATGACCTGGAAAAGAAAATATTTGCCACTGATTCGTATGTATTTTTGTGGAATCCGAACACTAATAGACACGCGGATTTGAATTTGAAAGCTTTATTCGCGGATTTCAGCCGGGAGGATATAATTAGTGAAAAACGATATGTTATGGTGACAAGAGTTGTGAATATTGCGCCAATTGAGTCGAATAACGCGACAATTCGGAAATATGGTGGAGATCATATCACACCACAAAGCTATTTTTGTAGACAATCCTATGCGTTTGATATTCTTGAAGTCTCATTTCAATCGCAGAATTTTGAGCCAAAAGAGCGTGTGATTTTTCTGAATCGAGATTCTTTGGATCTATCAACAGCTTTGAAGGCTTTTATGATAACTAATAGGTTTCCCAAGAATCTGGGGAATGATATGGAATCGAAAATATTGATTAGCACGCAAATGATTAGTGGGAATTCTACTGAAGTCAAGGCTAGACATCCGCATTTGTTTAGTCGATCACCGACGGCGATTTTGAAGCGGGTTGATCGAAGTTCGATGGCGATTGATGATCCCAGGAATGAGCTTTATGTCACGCTTTTGCAGGGGGAATTGAGTGGGAAGAGTTCGGATAGGAATATTGAGGCAAGGTTGAATGTTGTTGAATCGAATGGGAATGTTTTGAGTAATGTGAGTTTTTTTTTTGCTGGTGGGAGAGATTTGAATTTTTGAATTTCGCGCCTTGAAAATTTAAGGGGGGAATTTGAATTTTCGAACTTCCCGTCTTGAAAAATATAGCTCGAAATTTTGAAAATTCAAATTTTTTGCTCAAATTTTGCAAGTTTTGCTCTTTTTTGCTCAAAATTTCAAACTTCCCGCTCAAAGTTTTTTTTTCTGGCGGGAGAGATTTGAAATTTTGAATTTGGCGCCTCGAGAAATTGAGCGGGAAATTTTAATTTTAATTTGAATTTCAAATTTCCCGCCTTGAAAATTTTAGCAGAAAATTTGAATTTTTGAATTTCGCGCCTCCAAAAATTCATTTCCCGCTCAATTTTTCGAGGCGCGAAATTTAGATATTCAAATTTCCCGCTCAATTTTTCGAGGCGCGAAATTTAGATATTCAAATTTTCTGCTAAATTTCTCGAGGCGGGAAATTTAAAGATTCAAATTTTCTGCTAAATTTTTCTAGGCGGGAAATTTGAAAATTGAAATTTTCCTCAAATTTTTCGAGGCGCGAAATTTGAAAATTCAAATTTTCTGCTAATTTTTTTATGGCGGGAATTTTGAAAATTAAAATTTTCCGCTCAATTTTCGAGGCGCGAAATTTGAAAATTCAAATTTTCTGTTGAAATTTTGCTGGCGGGAAATTTGAAAATTCAAATTTCCCGCTGAAATTTTGAAGGCGGGAAATTTGAAATTTCAAATTTTCTGCTCAAATTTTTTAAAATTATGCTTTTTTTTTGAAAATTCAAATTTCCCGCTGAAATTTTGAAGGCGGGAAATTTGAAATTTCAAATTTTCCTCTCAATTTTTGCTGGCGGGAAATTTGAAAATTCAAATTTCGAGATAAATTTTGAAGGCGGGAAACTTGAAAATTCAAATTTTCCTCTCAATTTTTCAAGATCTAAATCAAATTTCCCCAAAATTCCAGATTTTCGAAACAACAACAGTTTCCGGAACCCAACTCGCCACAATCTACAAAAGTGTCGTTTTATATCACACCGATAAACCACAATGGACAGAACCAATCAAATTAATATTGCCAAATTCAGCATCTCACGATGTTTATTTAAGGATTCTATTTTACTCGAAAAAATCCTACGACAAAAATAAAACCGAAAAAGGTCCATTCGCTTTGGGATATATTCAACTAATCCATAATGCCGGGCTAATAAGTGATTCGGAACATGAATTAGTTGTTTATAAAATCGAGAATGCGCAGAATTTCGACGATGAAACTACGGTTTATATGGGACTACCGACGACGAGAAAAACACTGAAGGATTCGGGATATTCGAAACCGCATGCACCTGGTTTTTCATTGAGTGAGAAGAGTTTTGTGATGATTTCCACAAGAGCATGCTCCACACAATTGACGCAAAATGAGCATTTATTGAATGTGTTGCGATGGCGAATGAATTGTGTGAACCTGCATCAATCACTAAGCGAATTATCGCAGCCAATTGGAGAGACTGAATATGAAATGGTCAGATTTCAATCGCATCTTCTTGATGCGCTTTTTGAGATTTGGCATGATCGAGAGACGATTGAGAAATTGGTGTTTGATGTGATTGTGGCGGTTTTGAGATTGTGTGAAGAGCAGAGACATTTGCAAGCGGCGAGGATGTTTGAGACGTATTTGAGGAGATTCTCGTTTACCACGGCGGCGTTGTGAGTTTTTTTTGGGCTCTCTAGGCGCGGATCCTTGAAAACCAGGGTCTCTAGGCGCTGTTACTTGAAAAGTACGTTCTCTAGACGCTGTTATTTGAAAAGTAGGTTCTCTAGGCGCGGATCCTTGAAAACAAGGTCTCTAGGCTCGCTCACTTGATTCAGGAGCTCACAAGTCGCGGCTCCTTGCCACACTGGATCTCTAGATGTCAGCCCTAGAAAATTAGGTTTTCTAGGCGTGACTCCTTGAAAACAGGGTCTCTAGGCGCGGCTACTTGAGAACTTGGATCTTTAGGTGTGAGCCCTAGGAAATTAGGTTTTCTAGGCGCGGCTACTTGAGAACTAGAATTTCTAAGCACGGATCCTTGAAAATTGTGAGTTTTTTTGGATTCTGAAATTTGAATTTTCAAATTTCCCGCCAGCAATATTAAGCTGGAAATTTGAATTTTTAAATTTCCCGCGAGACAAAATTAAGCGAAAAATTTGAATTTTTTGAATTTCGCGCCTTCAGCTCAAATTTTGAATTTTTATATTTGCCGCAAGAAAAAATTAGGCGGAAAATTTGAATTTTTGAATTTCCCGCAAGAAAAAATTTAGCCGAAAATTTGAATTTTTTGAATTTTGCGCTTTGAAAAATTTGAATTTTCAAATTTCCCACCAACAAAATTTCAGCAGAAAATTTGAATCTTCGAAATTCCCACAAGAAAATTCGAGCGGACAATTTGAATTTTTGAATTTCCCGCCTCGAAAAATTGAGCTTGAAATTTGAAATTTCAAATTTCCCGCAATGAAAATTCTAGCAGAAAATTTCGAATTTTTGAATTTCCCGCCAGAATCCAAAATTTTTTCAAAAAGAATTTTCCCAATTTTAAGTTTTGGTTTCAAATTATTTTTGCCCAGCATTTTACAATCATTGAAAAAAATCATAATAAATTATATCGAAATTTTGATACGTATTTTTTTTGGTTTGAAAAAAGTTAGAATTTGGAGTCCAAATTTGTCTCAAAAAATCGCTGAAAATGAAAATTCGAGCTGAAAAACTAGACAAAACGTATCCCAATTTTAAAATAAAAGATTTCGAGACCTATATTTTTTTCCAGAAAAATCCTAAAATGCTTGAATGAATACGTCACCAATGAATTCGACGACAACACCGAAAAAGCCAGAAACGCGTTCAAAGTTATGGGAAGTCTATTCAAAATCATTGTTGCCTCGAGAAAATGTGGAATTCGATTTGGAGATTGTGAAAATTTCGAGAAAAGATACAAAGAATATTTGAGAGAATTAATGAAATCAATGGTTATTCTGATGGGTGAAAAAGAATCGAAAAAGATGACAATTCAGAATACATGCCTCAAAAATATTCCGCAAATTATTGATTTGATTTATGAAAGTGAATCAAGTTCAGCCGATGTTTTGTGCGGTTTCATTTTGGATTTGATGAAGAATTTTGGCGCGAATATTGTGACTAGAGAACGACTTGGTTTTATCGCGCAAATTGTGGAAACTCGCTTTTTTTCGCTGGCAATTTGCAGGGATTTGCTGCTGATGCCATGCGCGAAAATTGGACTGGAAATTATTGAACTCGATAATTTGGCGATTGAAAAAGGAGAATTTGCGGATCGGGCTGCGGAATTTGCGAGTGTTGTTGCGGCGATTCTCGAAAGGCTTTTTAATGAATCGATGAAGACGGAGACGGGAGAAAGAGAGTTGACTGAGTTTATTTTGGCGGTTTATCGGCCACTTGTTCAAGCGATGATTAGAGTTATTCATGATGATAAGCATACGGTAAGTTGGATTCGGAAAGTAGACATGTTGGCCAGTTTCTGACCAAAAATGCACCAATTTTGGTCGAAATTTGAAGAAAATTCGGCCAATCTGAGCAATTTTGACCAGAAAAATTTGGAAAAATTTTGGGCTAAAAATTGTTTTTGACCAAAAATGAACCAATTTGTTTTTTTTTCGGTCGAAAGTTGATTTTTGGCCTATTTCTGAGCAATTTTGATCAAAAATGCGCCAATTTTTCAAGTGAAATTTAAAATCTTTAAAAAATCAGAAAAAAATACGTTTCATAATTTTTCTACAGTATACCTTGTAGTTTGAGGTACAGTAATCCTTGCAGCCCAGACGCCACAGTAACCCTGAGGCTCAGTAAACTTCTAGGTACAGTAACCCTCGGGCTACAGTAATCCTTGCAGTCAAACTGAATGAAAATTTGAAATTTCATTATAAAAATATAAATTTTAAAAATTTTCAGCCAGAAATTTTTTAAATCTAATTAAAAATTCCAAAATTTAAATTTTTTAATTTATTGAGGATTGCTCATTTTAATCCATAAAATGAGCAATTATCAGAAGTTTGGAGATTGCTCATTTTAATTATTTTTTTTTAAATTCAAATTTTCTAATCAAAATGAATGAAAATTTAATTTAAAAAGTTTCAGCCAGATTTTTTTTAAAATTTAAAATTCCAAAATTTTTGAGGATTGCTCATTTTAATCCATAAAATGAGCAATTATCGGAAATTTGGAGATTGCTCATTTTAATTATTTTTTTTAAAGAAAAAATTCAAATTTTCTTTTTTTTTTCTAATTAAACTGAATGAAAATCTAAAATTTCATAATAAAAATATAATTTTTAAAAAGTTTCAGCCAGAATTTTTTTTTATTTTATTAAAAATTCCAAAATTTAAATTTGAAAAGAAAGTTTCTTGAAACATTTTAATCTTTTGGTTGCTCATTTTAATCCATAAAATGAGCAATAATCGGATTTGCTCATTTCAAATACAATTCCAGGACGACGATGCTCGCGGTCATTTCTTCTCCGTCATCCTTGCACTCCTGGATAAAATGTCTGCACAAATGTTCGACAAATATGTCGAATTGCGACCATTCGATGTGGATAAACGTGATTTTCTCATCGAAATGTCGCAAATGATTCGAGATTTATTGAATCGCACCGCATTTCCGGCAACTTGGAAAGATATGCTTATTTTGCAGAATAAGTGAGTTGTTTTTAATATGAGCAATGTATTTTCGAATAAAAAAAATTTGAAAATTCCAATTTTTCTAGAAATTTGAACATTTTTTTTTCAATTTTTCAATTAAAATTTTGAAAAATGCATTTTTTGAATAAAAATAATTTGAAAATTCCTATTTTCCCAGAAATTTGAATTTTTCTAATATGAGCAATACTATTAATTTTCGAAAAATCCCAAAAATTCAAATTTTTCTTGAATTTTCTCATATGAGCAATAGAATTTCAGCTTTAACGTGGCAAATTTTGGAAATTTAATGATTAATATGAGCAATGCTATTAATTTTGCTAAAAAAAATACCAGAAAATTCAAATTTTTCTTGAACGATATGACGTGGCAAATTTGGAGAATTTTACAAAAAACTTAACTTCATTTGAATTTTTAATATGAGCAATGCTATCAATTCTTTGAAAAATCCCATTTTTTCTATGTGTAAACAAACAAAACATGGTTTTCCCCCCACGAAAAATCAATAGATCAAACAATATTTTTTTTTCTCGCAGAGTTATCCATAAAGCACTGCGCTTCGTAATGTCGGCAGTTCAAAAATATTTCGCCGACGACAAATTCTGTCCCGAAGTCTGGTATGAATATATGATGACTGTTGTTTCGTTTGTCACACAAGAAGGATTGAATTCGCGGCATGAATGGGTCAAACATCAGGATGAGGATACGCGAGTGCAGTTGAGAAAAGGAGCGGCGAAGGATTTGAGAAGCATGTGGTTTGGATTGAGTTGTGAGTGTTTTTTTTGGGTTTTTGGGCTCGAAATGCTCCAAATTCCACGCGAATTCTGAAAATTCTCGAAATTTGGAGCATTTTGACATCAAATACAACCATATTTGGGCTCGAAATGCTCCAAATTCCACGTGGATTCTGAAAATCCCCGAAATTTGGAGCATTTTGACATCAAACACTACCATATTTGGGCTCAAAATGCTCCAAATTCCACGTGGATTATGAAAATCCTCGAAATTTGGAGCATTTTGACATCAAACACAACCATAGTTGGGCTCGAAATGCTCCAAATTCCACGTGGATTCTGAAAATTCTCGAAATTTGGAGCATTTTGACATCAAACACAACCAAATTTGGGCTCGAAATGCTCCAAATTCCACGTGGATTCTGAAAATCCACGAAATTTGGAGCATTTTGACATCAAACACAACCATATTTGGGCTCGAAATGCTCCAAATTCCACGTGGATTCTGAAAATTCTCGAAATTTGGAGCATTTTGACATCAAACACAACCATATTTGGGCTCGAAATGCTCCAAATTCCACGTGGATTCTGAAAATCCTCGAAATTTGGAGCATTTTGACATCAAACACAACCATATTTGGGCTCAAAATGCTCCAAATTCCACGTGGATTTTGAGAATCCTCGAAATTTGGAGCATTTTGACATCAAACACAACCATATTTGGGCTCGAAATGCTCCAAATTTCACGTGGATTCTGAAAATCCCCGAAATTTGGAGCATTTTGACATCAAACACAACCATATTTGGGCTCGAAATGCTCCAAATTCCACGTGGATTCTGAAAATCCCCGAAATTTGGAGCATTTTGACATCAAACACAACCATATTTGGGCTCGAAATGCTCCAAATTCCACGTGGATTCTGAAAATCCCCGAAATTTGGAGCATTTTGACATCAAACACAACCATATTTGGGCTCGAAATGCTCCAAATTCCACGTGGATTCTGAAAATTCTCTGCATTTTTGGTCAAAAATTGGTCAAACTTTTTTTTTTGAAAAATCAAGTTTTATTCAAAATTTGGTCAGGAAAAAGAAAAAAATGTCAATTTTTCACCCAAAAAAAATAATTTGTGCATTTTTGCTCAAAAATTGGCTTCTTCTGATTTTCTGAAAACTTGGTGCTGAATTCTAGACTTATTTTTGGGGAAATTTAGAGAATTGGACCAGGCTTTTTAGAATTTTGACTAGAAAATTTTTAAAATTTCAGCAATTAGTTTTCAGAAAATCAAAAGAAACTTGACAAATAAAAAAAAATTTCAAAAAACATTTCAAAAAAAAAATTTAAAAATTGACCGAATTTTACCAAGTTTGGAACCAAATTTTGATTAAAATTTGACTTTCAAAAACAAAAAGCTTATCCAATTTTTTACCAAAAATTCACAACTTTCTTTTTTTGGTCAAAAATTCACAGAAAAAATCAGAAAAATCTTGAAATTTAAAAAAAAAAATTCAAAAAAAATTTCAAAAAAAAAATTCAAAAATTGTCCGAAAATTGGCCAATTTTTTACCAAAAATTCACAACTTTCTTTTTTTTGGTCAAAAAATGACCAAAATTTGGCCAAAAATTCACAGAAAAAATCAGAAAAATCTTGAAATTTAAAAAAAAAATTCAAAAAAAATTTTTTCAAAACAATTAGAAGAATTGATTTTCTCTCCAAAATTTACAGAAAAATCAGAAGAAACTTGACAAATTGGAAAAAATTACAAAAAATAAATTTCAATTTTTTTTGGAACCAAATTTAGCCCTCAACAATTTTTCTGCCCCTTACAGTATCCCAAAAACTTCTCTACATTCCAAGTATGGTCGGATCATTTATGAAAGTCTCATTAGTTGATGACGATGAAACTCGAGATGCAACAATTCCAATTTTCTTCGATATGATGCAATCCGAATTTAATACAAGTAAAGCGGGAAGTTTCAATAAATTCGCATCGGAACTCGTTTCACAATTGGACACTTTGGTTGGAGAACATAGTGCGACCAAGGCTTTCAAGGAACAATTTAGACAATTGTCTTTGAAACTTTGCCAGTGGGTTTTTGGGGGGGGGGGGGGAAATAATCGAAAAAATTTTCAAAACATTTTTTTTTGGATTTTCAATACGAATTTCAATTTTTGTGAAATATTAGCAAAAATAAATTGAAACCAAAGTTTTTCTGCAATTTTTCGGCTCATTTTCAGCTAAAAACTATTTGAAAATCTGAATTTTTGATGAATTTTCAGCTGAAAATTGCTGTCTAGTTGCAGAAACGAAAAAATTTCAATTTTCTTTCAGAATTTTTTTTCGGATTTTCCTCCTCGAAATCTTTTTCTAGTTTTTCAGCTCGAATTTTCATTTTCACCGACTTTTTTTAACCAAAAAAAAATGAATTTCAATTTTTGTGAAATATTAGCGAAATATAAATTGCAACTAAAATTTAAAATTGGGAAAATTCTTTTTGTAAAAAATTTGGATTCTGGCGCGAAATTCAAAAATTCGAAATTTTCCGGCTAATTTTCAAGGCGCGAAATTCAAAATTCCAAATTTTCCGCTCAAATTTTCAAGGCGCGAATTTCGAAGATTCAAATTTCGAAGTTAATTTTTCTGGCGGGAAATTTAAAAATTCGAAGTTTTCAGCTCAAATTTTCAAGGCGGGAAATTTCCAAGATTCAAATTTCCAGCTTGATTTTCCAAAGCGCGAAATTAAAAAAATTCAAATTTTCAGCTCAAATTTTCAAGGCGCGAAGTTTGAAAATTCAAATTTTCCGGCTAATTTTTTTCTGGCGGGAAATTTGAAAATTCAAATTTTCCGGCTGATTTTTTCTGGCGGGAAATTCAAAAATTCGAAATTTTCCGGCTATTTTTTTCTCGCGGGAAATTCAAAAATTCAAATTTTCGGCTCAAAGAAAATGTTTCCATAATTATTTCCAGGTATTCTTAGAATCCCGCCAAAATTCTAATTGATTTAAAAATGTTTTTTTTTAATTTCGTAGTCAAATTTCCAGATTCCTCAAAATTTTGTTTAAAAAATTATTGATTTTTTTCCCGCTCAATTCTGGTGTCAAATTGACGCAAATTCTTAACTCCAATATTTTTCCACGTGAATTTCGCCACGTCATAACATAACTCATATTAGGAGTTGAGAATTGCAGTTTTTGACATAAAAAATCCCAAAAAATCGTCATGTTCCTTTAAGATCCGACAAAGAATTGATGTCAAATGGAGGAGAGGAACTAATCGAAAGAATCGATCGACTTTTGACATTGCTCATTGAATATTATGAAGTTGCGACAAATACAGAATGTGTGGATAATTTGATGAGTCGAATTGTTCAACTTATGGTAACTTTTTCACCTGATTTTGGTCCAAAACCTTCCGAAATTCCCTTTTTCAGAGATATTACGATCAATATAATCATGAGGAACTTTATGTGAAATATATCTACAAATTGTACACGCTTCACATGTCTTATGGGAATAATATTGAAGCGGCTAAGAGTTTGTTGAGGCATTCGAATATGATTAAGGTGAGTGAAGTTAGGATAAGTTGAGAAAATGTGGAAAAAAACCCGATTTTTCCACGCAAAAATGTTGAAAAATGGGGAAAAATGGGGAAAAATCATAGTTTTTTGACATTTTTTTTAATCGAAAATTTTTTTTTGTCAAAAATTTTAAATTAATTTTTAAATTAAAAAAATTAAAAATGGAAAAAAATTTTATTTGTTAAAAAAATTTAAAAAAAAAATTAAAATGTAAAAAAAACCCTATTTTTCCACACAAAAATGAAAAATATAGTTTTTTTCACAAAAAAATTTAAAAAAAAGGAATTTTTGCAATTTTAAATTTTGGTTTCAATAAAATTGAAATTCCTATTTTTTTGGTTCAAAAAAAGTCGCTGAAAATGAATTTCGAGCGGAAAAAACTAGAAAAAAAGATTTCGAGGAGGAAAATTCGAAAAAAAAAATTTTTAAGCGAAAAATTTGAATTTTTGAATTTTCGCGCCAGCAAAATTAGGCGGAAAGTTTGAATTTTCAAATTTCCCGCCTTGAAAATTTGAACCGAAAATTTGAATTTTTTGAATTTCTCGCCAGCAAAATAAGGCGGAAAATTTGAATTTTTGAATTTCCCGCCTTGAAAATTTGAGCGGAAAATTTGAATTTTCAAATTTCCCGCCTTGAAAATTTGAGCGGAAAATTTGAATTTTCAAATTTCCCGCCTTGAAAATTTGAGCAACAAATTTGAATTTTTGAATTTCGCGCCTTGAAAATTTGAGCCGAAAATTTGAATTTTTGAATTTCCCGCAAGAAAACATTAAGCGGAAAATTTGAATTTTCAAATTTCCCGCCAGCAAAATTAGGCGGAAAATTCTAATTTCGAAATTTGTCACGTCATAACTCATCTTGAGACCAAAAATTCAGATTTTCAAGGTTTTTTAGCTGAAAAATTCCAAAAAAACTAGAAAATTTACAGTTTGACAATACAAAATTGCCTGATTGGTTGGAGAAACGGAATCTTCATCGAGGATCACAAACACATCAGGAATTGAAGGAGAAACTTCTACAAGAAGCTGGAAGTTTGTTTAGTCAAGGAGAAGATTGGGAAGATGCGATAAGTGTTTTGAGTGAATTAGTGCCTGTTTATGAGAATGTGATGATTGATTATGCGAAATTGGCGGATTTGATGCAGAAAATTGCGAAATTATATACGAGTATTGATACGAATCAACGTGTATTCTTCTATTATTATTTGGTCGCGTTTTATGGAAAAGGATTTCCGGATTATTTGAATGGACATAAGTTGGTTTTTGGTTTTTTGTTCTGGGGAAAATGGGAGATTTTTGAGAATTTTTGGCCAAATTTTGAAGTTTTCCGCGTTTTTTTCCACAAAAATTCATATTTTTGGATCAAAATTTGAAAAAATTATAACCGGAGCTTTAATTAATAATTTTGGAGAATTTTTTTGCCAAATTTTGAAAAAGCGAATTTTTAAAAAAAATTTTGGGTTAAAAATTTGAAAAATATACAATTTCGGGAATTTAAAAAAAAAATAATTTTGGAGAATTTTTGGCCAAATTTTGTAATAGCGAGTTTTTAGAATTTTTTAGGGGTTCTGGGTTGGAAAAATTTGAAAAATATAAAATTTCGGAAATTTTTTATTAATAATTTTGGAGAATTTTTTGCCAAATTTTGAAACAACGAATTTTTCTAATTATTTTTGGGCGGTTTTGAGTTGAAAATTTGAAAAAAAATAAAATATCGGAAATTTTTTATTAATAATTTTGGAGAATTTTTTCGCCAAATTTTGAAACAACGAATTTTTCTAATTATTTTTGGGCGGTTTTGAGTTGAAAATTTGAAAAAAAATAAAATATCGGAAATTTTTTATTAATAATTTTGGAGAATTTTTTCGCCAAATTTTGAAACAGCGAATTTTTAGAACTTTTTTTGAGTTGAAAATTTGAAATATATAAAATTTCGGGAATTTTTTATTAATAATTTTGGAGAATTTTTTGCCAAATTTTGAAACAACGAATTTTTCTAATTATTTTTGGGCGGTTTTGAGTTGAAAATTTGAAAAAAAATAAAATATCGGAAATTTTTTATTAATAATTTTGGAGAATTTTTTGCCAAATTTTGAAACAACGAATTTTTCTAATTATTTTTGGGCGGTTTTGAGTTGAAAATTTGAAAAAAAATAAAATATCGGAAATTTTTTATTAATAATTTTGGAGAATTTTTTGCCAAATTTTGAAACAACGAATTTTTCTAATTATTTTTGGGCGGTTTTGAGTTGAAAATTTGAAAAAAAATAAAATATCGGAAATTTTTTATTAATAATTTTGGAGAATTTTTTCGCCAAATTTTGAAACAACGAATTTTTCTAATTATTTTTGGGCGGTTTTGAGTTGAAAATTTGAAAAAAAATAAAATATCGGAAATTTTTTATTAATAATTTTGGAGAATTTTTTCGCCAAATTTTGAAACAGCCAATTTTTAGAACTTTTTTGAGTTGAAAATTTGAAATATATAAAATTTCGGGAATTTTTTATTAATAATTTTGGAGAATTTTTTGCCAAATTTTGAAACAACGAATTTTTCTAATTATTTTTGGGCGGTTTTGAGTTGAAAATTTGAAAAAAAATAAAATATCGGAAATTTTTTATTAATAATTTTGGAGAATTTTTTGCCAAATTTTGAAACAACGAATTTTTAGAACTTTTTTTGGGCGGTTTTAGGTTGAAAATTTGAAAAATAAAATTTTGTTCAGAACTTCAATTAATAATTTTGGAGAATTTTTTTGCCAAGTTTTGAAAGAGCGAATTTTTCAAATTATTTTTGAGGGATTTTGGGTTGGAAATTTGAAATATATAAAATTTTGGGAATTTTTTATTAATAATTTTGAAGAATTTTTTTCGCCAAATTTTGAAATAGCGAATTTTTAAATTTTTTTTTGGGTTGAAAATTTGAAAAATATAAAATTTTTTAAAAATAATTTTGAAGCTTTCCGCGTTTTTTTTCCACAAAAATTGACATTTTTGGATCAAAATTCAAAATTTCCGCACGAAAAATCATAAAAATCAAGTAGAGGCGCCTAGAAAACCTAGTTGTCAAGGAGCCGCGCTTAGAGATCCACCTTGACAAGATGACGCGTCTTAAGAGCTTAGTTTTTAAGGAGCCGAGCCTTGAGATCCACTCTGGTAAGGGGCCGCGCCTTGAGATCCTAGTTTTCAAGTAGCTGATCCTAGAAAACCTAGTTGTCAAGGATCAGCGCCTAGAGAATCTAGTTTTCAAGGATATGCGCTTAGAAGACCTAGTTGTCAAGTATCAGCGCTTATAGAGCCCTCTCCTCAAGTAGTCGGGCCTAGAGAATCTAATTAACAAGGACCCACACCTAGAGATCCACTCTGGCAAGGAGCCGAGCCTACAAATTCCAGTTTTCAAGTAGAAGAGCCTAGATAACCTAGTTGTCAAGCAGCCGCGCCTAGAGATCCTAATTTTCAAGCAGCAGTGCCTAGAGAGCCTAGTTGTCAAGGATCAGCGCCTAGAGAGGCTAGTTTACAAGTAGCCGAGCCTAGTGAACCTATTTGTCAAGGATCCGCGCCTTGAGATCCTCTCTGGCAAAGAGCCGAGCCTTGAAATACCAGTTGTCTAGTAGCCGCTCCTACAAATCCTAATTTTCAAGCATCAGCGCCTTGAGGATCTAGTTGTCAAGTAGCCGCAGCTTGACATCCACTCTGACAAGGAGGCTCATCTAGAGATCCACCTTGACAAGGAGCCGAGCCTACAAAATCCAGTTTTCAAGCATCAGTGCCTAGAGAGCCTAGTTTTCAAGGACCCGCCCCTATAGATCCACTCTGGCTAGGATCAGCCCCTTAAGAGCTTCTATGTAAAGTAGCCGATCCCAGAGAACCTTCTTCTCAAGTAGCCGCGCCTTGAGAATCTAAAAATCAAGTGTCCGAGCCTTCAGAGCTCCCAAAATACTCATCTTTTTTTCAGATTCATATTCCACAGTGACAAATCCGAAATGCACGGCGACTTCACTCAAAGAATCATGAAAATGTACGAGAATCCGACGAAAATCATGAACACCGATGATAATTCAAATTTGATAAATTCACCCGGAAAATTCATCCAAGTTTTCAACGTCGAACCGGTTATTGAGAATTTGAGATTTGAAAATAATCCGAGTATCAATCCACTTGTCAAATTGTATCATAGGAAGTATAATGTAAGTCGAAAAAAAATTTAAAAAAAAAACAAAAAATTTCGATTCAGAAAATGTCAAAAAACTATATTTTTTTTCGAAATTTTTGCCAAGAAATGTATTTTTTTATTATTTTTTTTTTGAGAGGAAAAAATGCCTTTTTTTTGTAGATCAAAACATTTGAGCATAGCAAAATGGAGGAGAGAAAAGAAACAAAATGGACAAATCTTGAAGGACATTCGGAATTTATGAGAAATTGGTTGGTGAAAAGGCGACTGGAAGTTGCTGAAAGTCTACCAGCTGATTTGACATTCTCGGAAATTATCAAACAACCCGAGCCGATTTATGTTAGCCCGTTGCAATATGCTGTGGAACAGATGAGGAAGAAGAATAAGGTGAGGGCTTTTAATATGAGCAATGGTAGTAAATTTGGAGAATTTAGAAGAATTTTGAATTTTTCTTGAAGTTTTTTCGAAAAATTCCAGATTATTCAAATTTTTATGGAACTTTTTAATATGAGCAATTCTATGAATTTCGGAGAACTTACAAGAATTTTGACTATAGTTGAATGGTTAATATGAGCAATGCATTCGAAAATTCCCAGAAATTATTTTTGTTTAATATGAGCAATCCATAGAAAACCTTTGAAAAATCCCAGAAATTATTGTTTTTGATTTTTTTTATATGAGCTATGACGTGGCAAAAATTTGGGAAATTTGATTTTTAATATGAGCAATGTTATTGAATTTGGGGAATTTTGAAGAATTTTGAGTGTAATTGAATGTTTAATATGAGCAATGCTTTGAAAATGGCGGAAAATCCCAGAAATTTGAATTTTTTTAAATATGAGCAATGGAAGGAGAATTTTAAAAAATCCTAACAAAATTTTGAAAATTTTTGAAAAATCTGGAAAATTATTAAAAAAAATTTTTTTAATGAGCAATGCTTTAAAAAATTCCAGAATTGTTGATTTTTAATATGAGCAATGCTATCAATTTTTTGAAAAAAACCCAGAAAATTCAAATTTTAAGATGAGCAATGCTATGAATTTTAAGAATTGAATGTTTAATATGAGCAATTAATTCGAAAAATGCCAGAAATTTAAAAGTTTTATGGATTTTCATGGAAATTTGATTTTTAATATGAGCAATTCTATCAATTTTTTGAAAAATCCCAGAAAATTCCAAATTTTACTTGACTTTTTTAATATGAGCAATTAACATGAGTTATGACGTGGCAAATTTGGGAAATTTGATTTTTAAAATGAGCAATGCTTTGAAAAATCCCAGAAATTCTATTTTTGTTTGATTTTTTTTAATATGAGCAATGCATTCGAAAATGCTGGAAAATTCAAATTTTTCTTGTTTTTTTTAATATGAGCAATGAATATGAGTTATGACGTGGCAAAAAATAGGCAAATTTGATTTTTAATATGAGCAATTCTGTCAATTTTTTGAAAAATCCCAGAAAATTCAAATTTCTCTTGATTTTTTTAATATGAGCAATGAATATGAGTTATGACGTGGCAAAAAATAGGCAAATTTGATTTTTAATATGAGCAATTCTGTCAATTTTTTGAAAAATCCCAGAAAATTCAAATTTCTCTTGATTTTTTTAATATGAGCAATGAATATTAGTTATGACGTGGCAAAAATTAGGAAAATTTGAATTTTAATATGAGCAATCCATAGAAAACCTTTGAAAAATCCCCAAAAATTTATTTTCAATTTTTTTGACGAAATTTTGAAACAGTGAAGTTTTTGTTAACCAAATAATCTAGAAATTCAAATTTTTCCAGAAATTTGAATTTTTCTAATATGAGCAATGTAAATTTTAGAGAATTTTCATTAAAAATGGAAAAAAATTCTGAAATTCAAAATATTTCAGTCAAAAATTATTGATTTTTAATATGAGCAATCCCTAGAAAACCTTTGAAAAATCCCAAAAAATTGAATTTTTCTAATATGAGCAATGCATAAAGTAAATTTTTTGATGAAAATTTGAAATTTCCGGCCAAAAAAAATCAAATTTTTTTCAGGAACTCAGCGAAATGGCCACTACCGTAGAATATAATCCAAAATATGATCTGAAACTTTTGAGTCGCGATATTCTTGGAGTTTCAAATGCTTCTGTAATGGGAGGAGTCAAGAATTACGAAATATTTTTCACAGATGAATGTCGAAATATTTGTGAATGTGGAGAACAATCAGTTATAATGGAATTGAGTTCGTTAATAATTGAACAAGTCGAAATATTGGAATATTGTTGCTATATTCATTCGATTCGATGTTCGACTGAAGATTCGAGACAAATTAATGAAATGATGGCGGATGCTTTTGATCGACATAAGAATTATGTGGAAAAGACTTTTGGAAATATTGTGAGCTCTTTTTTTTTTTTTTTTTGAAAAATTGGTGCTTTTTGACCAAATTTTGATCAAAAACATGGTTTTTGGCCAAAAGTTGTACAAAATTGTTGAAAAATTAACGAAAAAGCTCAGATCTGGCCAATTTTTGACCAAAAACATGTTTTTGGCCAGATTTTTATCAAAATAGGCCAAAAATTGACCAAGAACATGTTTTTGGCCAAAGTTTGACCAATTTTTGATCGAAAATCCACTGTTTTGGCCAGATTTTGAACACAATTGGTCAGAAATTGGCCAAAAAGCTCAGATTTGGCCAATTTTTGACCAAAAACATGTTTTTGGCCAAAATTTGACCAGATTTTGAACAAAATTAGCTAAAAATTAGCCAATAAGCTTTGATTTGGCCAATTTTTGGTCAAAAAAAACGAATTTCTGAATTTCTGACTAATAACATGTTTTTGGCCAAAAGTTGACCATTTTTTGACCAAAATCCACTGTTTTGGCCAGATTCTGAAAAAAATTAGCTAAAAATTGACCAAAAAGCACCGATTGGCCAATTTTTGGTCAAAAAATGGTCAAATTTATGAATATCTGTGTTTGCGCGTGCGGTCGCGTCGCGGTCCGTTAAAAATCACAAAAAACGGCTATTTCCAAGCCTGAAAAACCTATAATATTCAATTTTGTTCAGAAAAAACGATTTTTGTTCGACCGCAACGCGACCGCCCGCGCATACACAGATATTAGGTAATTTTCGACAGCCGAAAAGTTCTGGCAATTTTGCCACGTCATAACTATATTTTTTTGAGCGAATGACTTCCAGCAAGATTTTCAGATTGATAAAAATCAGCGAATGTTTTTCCAGAGATCTCGATTGCCACCTGGAACATCAATCAGAAGAAGATCGAGTTTTCATGATTCGAATCTGGATTTAAATACATCAATGGGAGATGTTAGTGGAATGTCGACGATAAAATCGACAAGAGCCGCGGTTAAGAATTTGTTGTCGTCGAATAAACGAAGTAGTGGAAATGTGCAAATGATTCTTCAGTGAGTTTTGGGGGGATTTTTTGAAATTTGGTCATTTTTAATCAAAAATTGGCCATTTTTTTCAAAATTTGGTCATTTTTAATAAAAAATTGGGCATTTTTTTTTCAAAATTTGGCCATTTTTAATCAATCTACTGTTTTGGCTGAATTTTTTTTTGAAATTTTGATCCAAAAATTGACCAAGTTCCAGATTTTTTCTGAAAATCAACTAAAAGCTTGAAATCTTGAAATATTGAAAGATTGCTCATTCAAATTTCCCCGGTAAAATTTGGAATTTTTAAATTATTTATTAAAATTTTCACTGTTTCAAAATTTTTAGCTGAAAAAAAAAGGAATTTTTTCCGAAAGTTTTTAAAGGCATTGCTCATATTAAAATTTTTTTAGAATCTTAATATGAGCAATGTATCAAAATTGTGGAAGATTTTGAATTAAAAAAATTATTTTCAATAAAAAATTCATGGTTCAACATTTCTGGAATTTTTTGAAGAATTTGATATACATTGCTCATATTAAACAATATTCAAATTTCCCCGGTAAAATTTGAATTTTTGAATTATTTTATTAAAAATTTCACTGTTTCAAATTTTATTTGTTTTTAAAAAAAGTTGAAAAAAACGCATTTTTTTGGTTTTTTTCGAAAATTCATATGCATTGCTCATATTAAACATCAAAATATCCAAGATTTTCTAAAATTCTTCCAAAAGATATACATTGCTCATATTAAAATCGTAATATCTTTCCAGAAGTCGATCAATGTCAGCATCTCAAACACCAACCTTCGACAACATTTCATCAGCATTTCGTTCCTCGTTTGGCGCCACAAAAATGGCCAAATCAGCTCCTCCACCTCCTCCTCCACCACAATCCGAATCACCTGCACCAAGTGTTTCACCAATCAGTTTTGATGGAATTCGAATGCGTCCACATCTGGCGTCTCAAACCTCATTGATTTCTTATGGATGTCCACCGCCACTTCCTCCGAGAGAGGAAATTGATCCGAATCGAACACTTAAACGAAATCAGAAAATTTGAATTTTCATAATTATTAACATAATAATTTTAGTCTAAGTTTTATCCCAAAAAATGTATTTTTCCTCTAGTCAAACAGGTATTTTTTTTTATTAATTTCACTTTGTTTTGCACCCCGTTTTTGAATAAAATCTTTCAAAAACGATTCGAAAAAAACAATTATTTTTGTTCGCGACGAGACCCTGTGTGTTTCAGCTGCTGCGCCTTGAAAAAACTACGGTACTTTTTGTTGTTTTTTTCCGGGTTTTCGATGTTTCCACATGAAAAAAAGGCGGAAATCAACCAAATCGAGAAATGGAGATAGCCTAACTCTGTTTCAAGCAGAAAATACTATGAAAGGAGATTTTTAGGTAGTTTATTTGAAGAAAACCCCGTTTTTCTCTTCAAAATTGTAAAAATAAAGCAAATCTCGTGTTTTTTAGGTTTGAATTCCTCCTTTTGACCGGTGATTTTGACCGGTTTTCCTTTTTGTGTATGTTGTAGTGCGACGCGGTCTGCGTTGCGTGTTTATTTCGGTGGAGCGCGTGAGATTTTCGATAATAAGTGCTGTATTTGAAGAAAAACCCGTTTTCCTTTTCAAAATTGCGAAAATAAAGCAAATTCATGTTTAAATTTGCTCTAAATCCCTTTTCTCGTGTTTTTTAGGTTTGAATTCCTCCAAAAAGTCTTTTTCCGATGGAAAATTTTGAATTTTTGTTGTTTTGTTCTCACTTTTTACACAAAAAACTTCAAAAAAGCATTCATTTTGCTGGGAAAAAGGAAAAGAAATTCGCATCAAATGACGAGTTTCAAATAATTCTTGGTAAAATCATCATGAAGTGCTTCAATAGTTGGATCGAATAATTTTCGAAAACGAAAATAATTCATAATAACTTGATGAACAAATAAATATTGATGATCAGTTTGCACCGAATTATTGCGTTGTTCACGAATTTTCAACATAATTTTATCGGTATCATCAATTTGTTGATTCGATAACATTTGTTCCATTATATATTCAATCATTACAACACTTCCAGTTCTACCAATTCCAGCTGAACAATGAACAGCAATTGGACCTCTGAAATAAGATATTTATAGATGTTTGAACATCAAGTAGATCTAGAACTCACTTTGATTGTCTTGCTTTATTTAACAATTCAATAATAGCTAAATCAGCTGGTGGAACACCACGATCAGGCCAATCAATCCAATGTAAATGTGTTAATTTAATCGACATATCATTTGGTCCTTCAACTGTTAATTGTGTTTCAACAACATTTGCTTTAATTCCTTTCCCTTTGAATTTCACATTTTTCGAATTTTCAAATTTGACAACAATTTTGAATTCTCCTTCTTCAAATGTTAAACTATCAGATTTGGGAAAATATTCATGACATTTTTTTGTTCCTTTTTCAGTAAAATTACATAACATGAATATTGTTTCAACACGTTCTTGTAAACACATAAACCAAAAATCAGCACAGGTTTTCTCAAGTGGAGCTTGTGTACAAATGAATCTTTTTGGATTATTTGGTGTTGATACATAATTTGCATGAATATATTCATTTGGCCATGGTGTTGTTAATTTAACACGACAATTATCCAAACAACCAACATCTTTATAACGATTTCGACCAAATTCTTGAGCTTCTTTGAATGCTTTCATCTTCCCAAAATCATTCGATCTTTTCATTCCTTGAAATTCAGCTCGCAAACCTGTTGGTCCTTTTTCCAAAGTTCTTCCAACAAATTTTGTGATCAATTTTCGTTGAGCCTTTCTTTCTCCATTTGTTGGCGCATCCGGTTTGCATGTTTCAGCACTGTTATTATTTCTTGATCTTTCCTCAGTTTTTTGATACTTTGATCGTTTTCCTCTTTCTGAAACAAGAAAACGGTTAGATTATTATCGAAAATCTCCACGCGCTCCACCGAAATAAACACGCAACGCAGACCGCGCCGCGCCACAACACACAAAAAAGGGAACGATTCAAATTCTTTCATGATTTTCAGCTCAAAAATGTCATTTTTCATGATTTTCTGAACATTTTTCATGATTTTCAGCTCCAAAATGTCATTTTTCATAATTTTCAGCTTCAGAAAGTCAATTTTCATGATTTTCAACTCAATTTTCATGATTTTCAGCTCAAAAATGTCATTTTTCATAATTTTCAGCTTTAGAAAGTCAATTTTCATAATTTTCAGCTCAATTTTCATGATTTTCAGCTTCAAAAAGCTCAATTTTCATAAATTTGAGCTCGAAAGAGCTCCACCGACATACATAAAATAGGTCCTCCGAGTCAGTTTTTAAAGTTAGGGTCCCTCCTTGAAAATTTTCCAAAGTTAAACACCTTCCTCACATTTTTGAGCGAATTTTGGACAAATCTGGGAATTTTGGTAAATTATCAGCAGGAAATTGGCCAAGTTAGGGACCCTTCCCTTCAGATTTTTTGAAAAAAGTTAAACCCCTCACCCCGATTCTGGGGACCCATTTTATCTATGTCCACCGAAATAAACACGCAACGCAGACCGCGCCGCGCCACAACACACACAAAAAAGGGAGGGAATTTGAATCGTTCCCTTTTTTGAGTGTGTTGTGGCGCGGCGCGGTTTGCGTTGCGTGTTTATTTCGAGCTTGCAAAACTCACTATCATTTGACATGATCGATAATGTTTTTGCAAATTGCTTTTAAACTGAAATTAAAGCAGTGGTTTGGATGAATACAAAACTATAGAACTGATTGATTTCGGTTTTTTTTCCTCGAGGTTTTTTTTGCCACGTAAAACTAGGACACGATAAAAATACGTGTCACGTAGGGGAAAAAATCAATATAAAAGCTGAAAATTCGGGGTTTTCATCAGTTCTATAAATAGTTTTTATTCAAAACCTACCAGTGCTTAAATTTCAGTTTAAAAGCAATCAATTGTTCATCATGTCAACTGATAATAGTAAGTTTTTCTTTAAAAAACACCCTAAAAAAGAAAATTTTCAAAAATGCAAAATGCACACAAAACGCGCCAACCTCAAAACACTGACGCGTTTGTGTTGCGCATCCTTGGTTTTTATTTTTATTTTTCGAAAAAATTTTTTAAAAAGTGTTTTAAAAGCTTAAATTTTCAGAAAGAGGAAAAAGAACATCTAGACATGAAAGAAGAACTGCTGAAGAAAGGTCGAAAAATAATAGTGTGAAAACTTGTCAACCGGATGCGCCAACAAATGGAGAAAGAAAAGCTCAACGAAAATTGATTACGAAATTTGTTGGAAGAACTTTGGAAAAAGGACCAACAGGATTACGAGCTGAATTTCAAGGAATGAAAAGATCGAATGATTTCGGAAAAATGAAAGCATTTAAAGAAGCTCAAGAATTTGGTCGAAATCGTTATAAAGATGTTGGTTGTTTGGATAATTGTCGTGTTAAATTAACAACACCATGGCCAAATGAATATATTCATGCAAATTATGTATCAACACCAAATAATCCAAAAAGATTCATTTGTACACAAGCTCCACTTGAAAAAACCTGTGCTGATTTTTGGTTTATGTGTTTACAAGAACGTGTTGAAACAATATTCATGTTATGTAATTTTACTGAAAAAGGAACAAAAAAATGTCATGAATATTTTCCCAAATCTGATAGTTTAACATTTGAAGAAGGAGGAGGAGAATTCAAAATTGTTGTCAAATTTGAAAATTCGAAAAATGTGAAATTCAAAGGGAAGGGAATTAAAGCAAATGTTGTTGAAACACAATTAACAGTTGAAGGACCAAATGATATGTCGATTAAATTAACACATTTACATTGGATTGATTGGCCTGATCGTGGTGTTCCACCAGCTGATTTAGCTATTATTGAATTGTTAAATAAAGCAAGACAATCAAAGTGAGTTATCTCTCCTAATTATTAATTATCTCCTACTTATAATTAATATAATTATTATTTTCAGAGGTCCAATTGCTGTTCATTGTTCAGCTGGAATTGGTAGAACTGGAAGTGTTGTAATGATTGAATATATAATGGAACAAATGTTATCGAATCAACAAATTGATGATACCGATAAAATTATGTTGAAAATTCGTGAACAACGCAATAATTCGGTGCAAACTGATCATCAATATTTATTTGTTCATCAAGTTATTATGAATTATTTTCGTTTTCGAAAATTATTCGATCCAACTATTGAAGCACTTCATGATGATTTTACCAAGAATTATTTGAAACTCGTCATTTGATTCCTCTTCTTTTCCCCAGCAAAATGAATGCTTTTTTGAAGTTTTTTGTTTAAAATATATGTTTTCCAGTAGTTTTCGACGCGCTGATCACGATTCCGCTGTCTAAAATTGCAGAACTCAACAAATTATTTTGAGCCGTCAACGCGGAGCATCGTTGTCAATTTAAAATTCCTGGCTTTTTTTTGAAAGTTTTGAATTCCCCGTCAATATTTATAAACTGTAAACCTGGAGCATCGTAGCCAAAAATTTGAAATATTCAAGATATCCACCAACGTCAACCCGGAGCATCGTTGTCAATTTAAAATTCCTGGTTTTTTTTTGAAAGTTTTTTGAATTCCCCGCCTGAATTTCCCCGCCAAAGTGTAAACCCGGAGCATCGTTTATCAAATAAATTTATATATAATATCAAAATATTTCACTTTAATGATGTCCTTTTCCTCCTCTTCCACCTCCAAATCTCCCAAAAGGTCTACTATGCCACAAATCAAAAAGTTCCTCCTTCGCCTTCTCACTCAACTCCGAAATAATCTGAAACTTCTCCTTCTGCAACTTTTCAATCTTCTCATGCGCCTCTTTCGCTTCAGCCGACAATTTCGCCTCTTTCGTCTCATATTCCTTAGTCTGTTCAGCTTTTTTGGCCTTGAATTCCTTGAACTTCTTCAAATTCTCACCACTCAATGTTTTCTCGGCCAATTCCTCGATCTTTTCATGCTTATCAACCCAGGCGATCGATTTATCCTTCCAGATTGTCTGGAATTTCTCAAGAACATCTTTGGAAACCCCCTTCAAATAAGGTGGAGTTGGGCGGCGATGTAGATTCTTTCGGATGTCTTTTGGAAGTGAATCAATGATTTCGCGAGTTCTAGATTGCTCTTCATCACAGCTATCTCCTTCTTTATAATCCTTCCAGATTTCTGTCAAATTATTTTGTTGTTCAGCAGGCAAATCGTCAGCAAATGGTGGCAAACCGCATGGTGGACGATGCTAAAAACATATATACAGTCCTCCACATAATCTTAGCCTCACCCCCAAAATTTTCGAAAAATCGAAAATTTGATTTTTTCAGAAAAAGTTGGCATAGTCAAAATATGTCAAAAGGTGATACATAAATGTACCCTACTTCGAATTTCAGATAAAAATGAGGCTGAAAAAAAAGTTGACTTTTTTGAAAAATAGGTCTTTTCACTTTCCACATAATCTTAGCCTCACCCTAAAAAATTGCTGGAATTTCAGGTTTTTGGCTTGAAATGAGTTTGGAATGAGGCTGAAAATGATAGTTAAATCAATTTCAGATAGAATTGAGCTGTAATCAACCACTATTGATTGATTAACAGTGACCGAGAGCGCTGATAGTGTGAAGACTTCCATAAAAACAAGTTTTCAGTCGAAGTTGGTCCAAATTCGATTATTTCGAGCTTAATTTTTAGAAAATTGGTAGAAAACACTTTTTTCAACATAATCTGTCAAATTCTGACCCGAATTGCAAAAAATTTTGAATTTTAGCTGATTTTTCGAAAATTTAAAAAATTTTTTGAACCAAAATTTTTGAGTTTCAGCCAAATTTCCGACATTTTTCTGAGTTTTCCAGTTGTATATTCTGGATTCTACGAAAACACGTTAATTCTGATAATTTTTCGAATTCTGACACTCAGAAATTCAAAAATGGAGTAAGAATCAGATGAAAGACTGAAACCTGACTTTGATGAATTTTTGAAAATTTTTTAACCCAACATTGAGGAGCTTTCCTGGTTGAACATTTGGACACAAATTGTTTAATTGAAGTCAGTTATTGGTTTTTGTCAGTTTTTCAACCATTATCACACATTTAAACTGAAATTTTCAGTAAATTACAAAAATAAACTGTTTTTCTCAAAATTGATCTGAAATTTTCGATCAGATATGACCGATATCTCACAATTTCAGAGCGCCTAATTGAAGAATAAGCTTATTTCAGATGTAAGAGATCAGTATCTTGCCTGAACAAGAATATCCAACTGGAAAACTCAGAAAAATGTCGGAAATTTGGCTGAAACTCAAAAATTTTGGTTCAAAAAATTTTTTAAATTTTCGAAAAATCAGCTAAAATTCAAAATTTTTTGCAATTCGGGTCAGAATTTGACAGATTATGTTGAAAAAAGTGTTTTCTACCAATTTTCTAAAAATTAAGCTCGAAATAATCGAATTTGGACCAACTTCGACTGAAAACTTGTTTTTATGGAAGTCTTCACACTATCAGCGCTCTCGGTCACTGTTAATCAATCAATAGTGGTTGATTACAGCTCAATTCTATCTGAAATTGATTTAACTATCATTTTCAGCCTCATTCCAAACTCATTTCAAGCCAAAAACCTGAAATTCCAGCAATTTTTTAGGGTGAGGCTAAGATTATGTGGAAAGTGAAAAGACCTATTTTTCAAAAAAGTCAACTTTTTTTTCAGCCTCATTTTTATCTGAAATTCGAAGTAGGGTACATTTATGTATCACCTTTTGACATATTTTGACTATGCCAACTTTTTCTGAAAAAATCAAATTTTCGATTTTTCGAAAATTTTGGGGGTGAGGCTAAGATTATGTGGAGGACTGTATTATAAACACGCAACGCAAACCGCGCCGCGTCACAACACACACAAAAAAAGGGAGGGAATTTGAATCGTTCCCTTATTTGTGTGTGTTGTGACGCGACGCGGTCTGCGTTGCGTGTTTATTTTGGTAGCGCATGAGATTTTCGATAATACTTCATCAAAAATAAAAGTAAATTAGGCTAACTCACTCTAAATCTCGGCTTGGCTTCCAAAACCACCGAAAAAGCTAGAAAAACACAAAGTGGAGCGATGTACTTGAACATTTTTGCTATGTTTTGAAGATTTTCCAATCGCCTTTTATACTTCCTGCTATCTCTTTTTTATTGACCAAACGGAGAATTGATAAAAATCATTTTAGAACAGATCTATCAATTGGTAGTGATCTTTTGCTTTGTTTTTTCAATGACGAACAATTTGGAAAACACTTATGATAAGTGTTTTTAAAAAAAATAGAAAAAAAAACGCGCTCCACCGAAATAAACACGCAACGCAGACCGCGCCGCGCCACAACACACACAAATAAGGGAACGATTCAAATTCCCTCCGTTTTTTGTGTGTGTTGTGGCGCGACGCGGTCTGCGTTGCGTGTTTATATGTTTTCTAGTAGTTTTCGACCCGCTGATCACGATTCCGCTGTTTAAAATTGCAGAACTCAACTCCTAACATGAGAAATAAGAGATTTGAATTAACAACGACACTCCGCGGGGGGGGAACTTGAAAAATTCAAAATTTTCAAAAAAAAAAAAGAAATTTTAAATTCACAACGATGCTCCGGGTTTACGCTTCACAAATATTGGGGGGAAATTCAAAACATTCAAAATTTTTTTCACCTCACCTTCAAAATAATCGATTTTCAGCTTATTTTCAGCTTTTGCTAGCTGAAATCGAGTTTTTTTTGCACAATTTTTTCTTCGCCACGTGGAATTTGTATCTTTCATTTTGTTTCAATTTTCGTTTTTTCGTCAAAAGATTTTACAAAAAAAATTGAAAAAGAGAACATTTTTCATCATTTTGTGACACAAAATGAAGATATTCGTTCTACTTTATTTTTTTCTAAAAATTGCTGAAACCAAAAAGCTGAAAGCTCTGGATGTCGCCCGAATTCTCATCGATCAATATTCCTTGGCACTTGAGACTAGAAATCGCGAATTGCTGGAGGAATATACAAGTGAGAATTTTAAATTGTTTGCTTGCGAGAGGGAAAATAATTATTATCTAACGAGAAATCAGATTTTTGAAAGTATTTCTGAAATTCCAATGAATTTGCTGAAATTAAGAAGTTCGATAATTGTGAGTGAGGCGAAATTCTTTAAATTCGGAGCAATGCAAATTCGAACAATTGTGGATTTCAAATACAAAGTGAATTTCGATGCAAAACTTCCGGCAAAAGGTGGAAAATATCAATTAACTATGGAATATGATCGAGATTGTCCCGAAGAAGTTCCTCTAACTTCAATGTTTTTGGATTATTCGAAAATGGCAGAAGTCCTTGGCAAAAATCTGATGATTCAGTTTGTGGAGAGTGTGCAAGGGGTTCGGGAGATTTTTATTGAGCCTTATGTTTTGCAATTTTGTGATTTTGATGGCAGATTTCATGAGATTATTTTTGAAGATTTCGCAAATTCCATTCCCGATTTTATTGATCTTGAAAACAAAACCAAAACGTGGCTGACTGCTATTCAAAACGCATATTTTGAATCTGATGGAACTCTATGTTTCGAAGTTCATGGTGGAGGATTTAATCATTATTATGAGGCGGTTATAAAAAATGGGAAGTATCGAATCAAATTGGATAAGCATCTACAATGCCTCCCTTTTCAACCGAAAAGTTTGGAGTTTGAAGTTCTTCAACATTCGGTTTTTAACTAAATAAAGATTTTTGACCTTCAATAAATCAAACTGGTTTCAATCAAACATCTACATCAGAATTTGTTATTTTTTCCTGAAAAACAGTAATTTGATATTTTTATCAAACGTAAACAAAAGTTGGAACTGAACTTTGATGCACTTTTTATTTCACTAATTTCGCCTCTCCGGATACCCCGGTGAAGCTATGATCCAAAAATTCAAGTTATAATGTCAACACATTCTTTCGAATGGTCGGAACTCCGAATTACCTTGAGTAACTGGGTTAAAACCAAAGTGAACAGCGTCTTCCCCTCTCTTAAATAAATACACTCGCCGACATGCAAACGGGTCAGCGGATAGTGGCTGTGTGTGTGGAGACGCAGAGAAAAAAAAATGTGTGTGTGGCGAGATATCGCGAAGAGACGCAGAGAAAAGGACGCTTGAAGTGAGAATTTTTTTTTGTTTTTGGTTTCTTTTTCGAAAAAACATGGGAAATTGAAATAAATTGAGGTATATTAAAAAGTATAATATACCATTCGATAGAGAATTTTTCGCTCTTTCTAACTATACCAAAATGTATGCAGTTTGGTAGCAAACATCGAATGAAAATCAAGAAAAACAAAATTTTATGCATCAAAAATGATTGAAATTATTTAGGCTCCGATGGTCGAGCATCCCACAATTCGAAAAGTTCAGCTCTGACTTTCTCATCAAGATTGTCAACATAGGCGAATCTTTCAGCAATCATAGCCTCAACTTTTGCATCAGCCTCTTTGGCAGCTGGGGAGAGTTTGGCTAACTTAAAAAATTTAATTTTTGGATTTTTTTGAAAACAAAAACTTACCAAATCCGCATAATTTTTTCTGACCGCATCTCTTTGCTCTCTAAATTCCTTGTAAACCTTCAAATTTTCAGCAGGTAAAATTTTTTCAGCCAACTCATCCAATTGTTTAAGTTTATCGGGGAAAGCAATCGTATCGTTGAAATAAATCGCATCAAATTGAAGAATTGTTTCTCTTTTGATGCCGGCGAAAAATGCTGGAATCGGTGGACGAGCCAGAAGTTCTTCCCGCTCTTTTTCTGGCAAACTATCCAATAATTCGCTGGTTTTCGCTTGTTCGATGTAACAAGTTCCGCCAACTTTATAATCCTTCCAGATTTCCGTCAATTTCTTTTGGTTTTCTTCCGATAAACTTTCGGTGTATGCTGGTTGAACACATCCAGCTTTTGGTGGCGCGCGATTCTGCAAAAAATATGTTTTTCTTGATTTTCATTCGACCAAACTACATACATTTTGGTATAGTTAGAAAGAGCGAAAAATTCTCTATCGAAAGATATATGATACTTATTTGATATACCCCGATTTTTTTAAAATTCCATGTTTTAAAACCTTTTTCAAAAAAAAAAAACAAAAAAAATTCTCAAGCGTCCTTTTCTCTGCGTCTCCTTTCTCGCCACACACACACCCACATTTTTCTCTGCGTCTCCACACACACAGCCACTATCCGCTGACCCGTTTGAATGTCGGTGAGTGCAGTTATTTAAGAGAGGGGAAGACGCTGTTGAGTTTGGTTTTAACCCAGTTACTCAAGGTAATTCGGAGTTCCGACCATTCGAAAGAATGTGTTGACATTATAACTTGAATTTTTGGATCATAGCTTCACCGGGGTATCCGGAGAGGCAAAAATAAGATTTTACCATTGGAAAGCATTGAAAAAAAACTCACACGAAGTTTATGCGCTCCAGGAGCTGCGCAAACCACGGCGACACCAAAAAGGGCAACTAGAAGAATAGAATTGTTCATAGTCTGATACAATTCTGGAAAAATGATCGGTCTTTTATACGCTTCCAGAATCTTATCAATGCGTTTTTTTCTAGATTGTTGTTTTTGTTTCACTTGCCGAATTGTTTGATAGTTTCACAAAGGACGACGAAAAAGTCAGACAACGAAAACCGCTAATTTCATCTTTAAATGTGAAAAAATAGAAATCTTTTATTCATTGCTCATTTTATACAAGTTTTTTCAATAAATATTTTAATAAATCAATTAATGACGTGGTGGTGGTGGTCCATGTGGTCCTGGTCGAGTTTCCCACAAATCAAAAAGTTCTTCACGTGTTTTCTCATCAAGTGATTCAATCAATTCGAATTTTTGTTTTCTCAATTCCTCAATTTTTGCATCAACTTCTTTTGCATTTTCTGACAATTTCCCTTTTTTCTCTTCATATTCTTTCTTTTCCTGCTCTTTTTTCGCCTTGAATTCCTGGAATTTCTTCAAATTTTCACCACTCAATGTTTTCTCAGCCAATGCATCAATTTGTTCAATCTTTTTTGGATGTGGAATTGATTTATCTTGGAAAATCGCATCGAATTTAGCCAAAGTTTCCTTTGGAAGTCCAGCCAAAAATGGTGGACGTTTGTGAAGAGATTTTTGAAGTTCTTTTGGAAGAGCATCCAAGATTTCACGAGTCAATCCTTGCTCATTATAACATTTCGCACCGGTTTGATAATCTTTCCAGATTTCTGTGATTTTTGCTTGCGCATCAGCTGGAAGTTCTGCCAAAAATGGTGGAATTCCACATGGTGGTGGTGGAGGTGGGCGATGCTGAAAAATCATAAAGATCAGGAGAATCTAGAAGATCTGAACTCACTCTTGGTCCACCAAAACCGAATGGCTTCGCATTAACAGCGACAATTGCAACCAATGCAAAAATTGTCAAGATTCTGATGCTCGATGTCATTTTTGATGTGAAAATGTGGAAAAATCCTGATATTTATAGGGGGAAAAGCAATCGAGCAATTGATGCTGATCTTTTTCCATGAAACTCCGCCTTCTTTTTGGCTCCGCCTCTTTTTAGCGAACTTTGAGTGTGTTTAGGAGAAGAAGAAGAACAACAACAAGAATCTTTGAAAATTTGATGACGTCATCAACGACCTTGGTTGAGATCTTGCTTTCTGACCTGTGGCCTAGAAAAGTAAAGGTTTTCTCTTCCACGCCTCCAATATTTTTGAATTTCTAGATTTTTAAAAGAAAAATCAAGTTTTCCTGAAACTTTTTCATTTTGAAAAAATAATTTGTGAATTTTTTTTCACGTTCAAACGCTAAACTCGTTAACCTTGATAAAATTAGGTCAAATTTTTCAAGCAGAAAATTTTCACATTCATTTTTTGAAGCTGAAGGATTTTTGTTAACTTCGGGAAAATTTTCGTGAATTTAATTTAATTTCTGAAATACTTTACAATTAGTCAAATTTCAAAATTCACAAAAAAAAACTTATTGCTCATTTTATACAATTTTTTGTATTTCGCAAACTTCTTTGGGTCTGCAAACTATTTATTTGACATTTTATGGTCCGCAAATAAATTGCCAAATAGTTCAGTGGTAAGAGGCTTGATTTTGAATCTGACACTAGAGGGTTCGATTCCTCTCGGGAACTTTTTATTTTTTTTGAAAATTTGGGAAAAATAGAAATCTTTTATTGCTCATTTTATACAAGTTTGTTTTGTCAAATAAATATGTTAGTACAATATTTTAATTAATTAATTAATTATCTTAATGACGTGGTGGTGGTGGTCCATGTGGTCCTGGTCGAGTTTCCCACAAATCAAAAAGTTCTTCACGTGTTTTTTCATCAAGTGAATCAATCAATTCGAATTTTTGTTTTCTCAATTCCTCGATTTTAGCATCAACTTCTTTTGCATTTTCTGACAAATTCGCTTTTTTCTCTTCATATTCTTTCTTTTCTTCCTCTTTTTTCGCCTTGAATTCCTGGAATTTCTTCAAATTTTCACCACTCAATGTTTTCTCAGCCAATTCATCAATTTGTTCAATCTTTTTTTGATGTGGAATTGATTTATCTTGGAAAATCGCATCGAATTTAGCCAGGGTTTCTTTTGGAAGTCCAGCCAAAAATGGTGGTGGAGGTGGACGTTTGTGAAGAGATTTTTGAAGTTCTTTTGGAAGAGCATCCAAGATTTCACGAGTCAATCCTTGCTCATTATAACATTTCGCACCGGTTTGATAATCTTTCCAGATTTCTGTGATTTTTGCTTGCGCATCAGCTGGAAGTTCTGCCAAAAATGGTGGAATTCCACATGGTGGTGGTGGAGGTGGACGATGCTGAAAAATCATAAAGATCAGGAGAATCTAGAAGATCTCAACTCACTCTTGGTCCACCAAAACCGAAAGGTTTTGCATTAACAGCTACAAATGCAACAAATGCGAAAATTGTCAAGATTCTGATGCTCGAAGTCATTTTTGATATGAAAATGAGAAAAATCCTGATATTTATAGGGGGAAAAGCGATCGAGCAATTGATGCTGATCTTTTTCCATGAAACTCCGCCTTCTTTTTTGGCTCCGCCTCTTTTTAGCGAACTTTGAGTGTTTAGAAGAAGAACAACAACAAGAATCTTTGAAAATGTGATAAATTTGATGACGTCATCAACGACCTTGGTTGAGATCTTGCTTTCTGACCCGTGGCCTAGAAAATTAAAGGTTTTCTCTTCCACGCCTCTAATATTTTTGAATTTCTAGATTTTTTAAAGAAAAATCAAGTTTTGCTGAAACTTTTGTATTGAAAAAATGAATTTTTGAATTTTTTTTCACTTTCAAACGCTAAACTCGTTAACCTTGATAAAATTAGGTCAAACTTTTCAAGCAGAAAATTTTCAGATTCATTTTTGAAGTTGAAAGATTTTTGTTAACTTCCGGAAAATTTTCCTGAATTTAATTTAATTTCTGAAATACTTTACAATTAGTCAAATTTCAAAATTCACAAAAAAAATTATTGCTCATTTTATACAATTTTTTGTATTTTGCGAACTTCTTTGGGTCTGCAAAATATTTATTTGACATTTTACGGTCCGCCAAAAAGAACGCAAATAGTTCAGTGGTAAGAGGCTAGATTTTGAATCTGACACTAGAGGGTTCGATTCCTCACGGGAACTTTTTTTTGAAAATCTGGCAAAAATAGAAATCTTTTATTGCTCATTTTATACAAGTTTAATTTGTCAAATAAATATATTAGTATTGTTTAATTAATTAATTAATTATCTTAATGACGTGGTGGTCCATGTGGTCCTGGTCGAGTTTCCCATAAATCAAAAAGTTCTTCACGTGTTTTTTCATCAAGTGATTCAATCAATTCGAATTTTTGTTTTCTCAATTCCTCAATTTTTGCATCAACTTCTTTTGCATTTTCTGACAAATTCGATTTTTTCTCTTCATATTCTTTCTTTTCCTGCTCTTTTTTTGCCTTGAATTCCTGGAATTTCTTCAAATTTTCACCACTCAATGTTTTCTCAGCCAATGCATCAATTTGTTCAATCTTTTTTTGATGTGGAATTGATTTATCTTGGAAAATCGCATCAAATTTAGCCAGGGTTTCTTTTGGAAGTCCAGCCAAAAATGGTGGTGGAGGTGGACGTTTGTGAAGAGATTTTTGAAGTTCTTTTGGAAGAGCATCCAAGATTTCACGAGTCAATCCTTGCTCATTATAACATTTCGCACCGGTTTGATAATCTTTCCAGATTTCTGTGATTTTTGCTTGCGCATCAGCTGGAAGTTCTGCCAAAAATGGTGGAATTCCACATGGTGGTGGTGGAGGTGGGCGACGGAACTGAAAAAATATTTTTTGGAATCCTGGGGCCTCAAAAACAGAGTTAAACTAACTGGGCATCCAAATCCACCGCATGGCTTGGCATTAACAGCGACAAACGCAACCAATGCAAAAGTTGTCAAGATTCTCAAACTCATTTTGTTTCTTTCATTTTCCATGGGTTTTCCCCTATTTATACGAAAAACTTCGAAGCTCCGCCCATTTATTTGTTTGTTTTCGAGTGTTTTCAGGTAAACATAAACAAAATGATACAATAATTTGTTGAAAATCACGGAATTTTTGCTCGGGATTCTCAAAAATCAAAAAAAAAACGAAAAAAATGGAAGAGAAATAAAAAGAAAACAACGACACTCCGGCTTGCCCGTTGTTTAGCGCAACACGAGAATATTTTCATTTTTTCGTTTTTTTTCGGCGGGTTTTCAGGTTTCGGGGGAAAATCTGTGGATTTCGGTCAGAAATTGAATTTTCAGAAGTTCTACAAGGCTGGAATTATCGATTTCAATGGAAAATCCGAGGATTATTGAAGAAAGGTGGGTTTTTTCGAGAGAAATACTGTTTTGATTGAAAATTTTGAGTTTTCAGCGTCAAAAATGTTGAAAAACATCGGATTTCATGAAAACTGCTGGATTTTTCACTCAAAAATCGATGGAAAATGGTTTTGGGTAAGATTTTGCTGTGAATCTCTGAAAAATAGCTGAAAAATTGTTCAGAGACGCAGAAAACCGTCAGAAATCAGCGAAAATTCAAAATTTTTCTGATTTTCAGCTCGAAATATTGAATTTCAATGTCAAAAACGTGGAAAACTTGGAGGATTTCGAAATTTCCGATGATTTTTGTGTGATAGAAGCGATTTGTGAGTTTTTTGGGGAGGGATTTTGGAAAAATTGGAAAAAGTTAGGCTAACTCATCAAAATCTTGACCAAAAATCCTGGTTCTCAAAAAAAGAAGAAACATGGTGGCCGAAAAATGTCGGGAACTGGGCCACATCATTTTTTTCACGGATTTTCAAAAAATAGGGCGATTTGAGAGACGCAGAGAGAGAATCCTCCAAGAGAAATACAAAACACCAAGTCGTTTCGAGACCAGGCGGCCGAGAAATGTCGGGAACTCGGCCACATCATTTTTTCACGGATTTTCGAGAAATAGTGCGATTTGAGAGACGCAGAGAGAGAATCCTCCAAGAGAAATACAAAACACAAAGTCGTGTCGAGACCAAGCGGCCGAGAAATGTCGGGAACTCGGCCACAGAATTTTTTTTTTCATTTTTTTCATTTTTGCTTTTCAAAACCACAAAAATGACGCAATAATTTATTGAAAACCAAGCGAAATTCAAGATTTAGAAGATCTCGGTCGAAATTCCCACAAATCCAGAAGTTCCTGTTTCTCAGCCGCCGTCAATTTCGCCAAAATCTCAAATTTCCGCTTCTGCAACTTCTCAATCTTCTCATGCGCCGCTTTCGCATTCGGCGACAATTCCTCTTCCCGTTCGCTAAACTTTTTCGCCTCTCGATCTTTTTTCTTCTTATATTCCTTGAATTTCCGCAAATTATCACCAGTCAGCTCCCGCTCTGCCAATTCTTCAATTCTCTCTAATTTCTCAGAAAATGGGATTGATTTATCCTTGAAAATCGAGATAAACTTCCGCAAAGTTCGCTTCGGAATACCACGTAAAAATGGAAGTTTCGAGACGTTTTCGAGATTCTCTTGAACTTCTTTGAGAAGACCTCCGACAAGTTCACGTGTTTTTGCTTGTTCCTCTTCACAATCATCGCCCTCCTGATATTCCTCCCAGATTTCATTGAGCCGATCTTGAGCATCGCTGGGAAGATCTTCGATGAATGTTGGAAGTCCACATTGAGGTCCGCGCTGGAAAGATCGGAGGATTTTTTCGCCGATGCTTTTATGACAATTTTCCCCCTCGTTAAAAAACCACCAGCTAGCCGAGTGGCGAACACGCGTGCCTCACAATCGCAGCGCACGGGTTCGACCCCCACCCGGCGCACAATTTTTTTTTTAATTTTTTAAAAAATTTTCTAACCTTTCTCCTCGATTTCGTGGGCTTAGCCTCCGCAAATAAAACAACAAAAACTAGTAGAATTAGGAAAATCTTTTGCATTTATTTCTTATTATAACCATCTACTAATTATATTTATATACTAATTGTCAAATGTTTTCAGATCATTTGCAATGATAAATTTATTAGGCTAAGCTTAAAACTTGATTTTCCTCATTTTTAATTGTTTATTTATTTTATTTTATTTAATAAAATAAAATTTTCCAAATAAATAAATAAACAAAAAGTTCCAGATTGTGATGAGCTTCCTGGTTTCTCAAAAAAAAAAAATCTGGCTCTCTCCAAAAATAGTTTTGATGCTGATCTTCTTCAGTTTGTAAACAAAAACAGCCCCAGATGGGCAAAAATGGACAAACGGCAAAAAACAGTGATTTTTTATCGCTGAGCAAATATTTGGAGCACAAATGGTCACGAAATGCACTTTGATCATACTAAATGTGGAAAAACACTGTTTCTTTCTAAAAATGCGATGTTTTGGGGGCCGAAAATCCTGGATTTTGATCTACAAAAGTTTTATTTCTCACTTATAAACATCATAAACACATCCATCTTTCGATCCAACCGGAAAAGTTTCCATCGAACCAGTTGAAACATCGTGATAGACAAAAGTGTCGTAGTGACGAATCAAAGATTCCATTGAGAGAAACTGAAAGAATTCTTATTTGGTAGAGTGGTTTACGCGGCTGCTTAGGGTTTCCAAGGCCCGGGTTCGATCCCCACCGGGGGCAAATTTTTTTTTTGTCTGGCCAGAGTACAATTTTTCTAAAAATCTGAATTTCAGTTTTTAGCCAAAGTGGTGGGAGCTTGACCAATTTTTGACCAAAAATGCACCAATTCGTTTTCTGGTCAAAAATTGACCAAAATTCGGTCGAATCGTGAATTTTGACCATTTTTGGCCAAATTCTGACCATTTTTTGACCAAAATCTGGCCAAAACAGTGATTTGATCAAAAATTGGCCAAAAATGCACCAATTTTTCCAACTTTCTCCCACCACCTGTGAGAGCTCGGGTTCGATCCCCAGCGGGGGGCAAAAAAATTTTTTTTTTTTTTTTTTTTTTTTTTTTTTTGAATAAAAAAAAACAAAAAACCTACATCAAGTGTATCTCCACATTCAACTTTATAAGTCATTCGCCCAACTTTTCCACACTTATCAAATTGTTTTTTCTGATTAATCGCAAAATGATAGAAAGCTCCGCTGCTCGAACGATAGACCAACATCAGCGGCATTGAAAATGGGATTGTTCCATCATCAGGCATACGATAATAAATCACAAAGCTACGATGTCCGATGCGATTTTCGGCATTTGATTTTGTAACGCCGCCAATAAATGCATCGGCTTCGAAACAATTCGATGATGTTGATAGTTGGGAGAACTCGGTTTCAGTTTCATCTGGCATTGAGATTGTGTCGCCTGGATTTAGTGCAGGCCAAACCAAGTTGCGCTCCTTGTTCACCTGAACGCATTTTATATATGAGATTTCTAGCGTGAGAAAAAACAGCCGCATGGCTACGCGGAAGACAGTGCCGCTTCGCGGAAGCTTGCGGTCTACACTCGCGCCAAGCGCGCTCGAGATAGGCTTGCAGGCTCAGATCCGGCCGCTTCGCGGAAGCTTGCGGTATACACTCGCGCCAAGGACGCTCGAGATAGGCTTACAGGCTTAGACGTGGCCGCTACGCGGAAGCTTGCGGTTTACACTCGCGCCAAGGGCGCTCAAGATAGGCTTTCAGGCTTGGACGTGGCCGCTACGCGGAAGGCAGTGCCGCTGCGCGAAGCTTGCGATCTACACTCGCGCTAAAGGCGCTCGAGATAGGCTTTCAGGCTTAGACGTGGCCGCTACGCGGAAGTCTACGCGCTCGTCCAGCTTTCATGCAACCCGGGTTCGACCCCCACCCGATGCACAACTTTTTTCTTTTTTTCACTCACCAATCTCCCATATTTGTCCTCTTCAACACGATAATCTGGCAATGATACCAAAGATGAGGCGTCACTATTTCTTCTGCTTCTCCTCTTATTTTTTCGGCTACTTTTTGAAACAGAATTTGATGTTGTCATCATGACGCGGAAAATTCAAAATACCGATTTTTTTATTTTTTTTGGTGTTTCGGGAAAAAATATAGGACACGTGAGCGTTTTTTGAAATTAAAAATTTAAAAAATTTCGAAATTTTCAAATTATTTTTGAAAATTCTTGAATTCCCCGTCAATAACTGTAAAGTGTAAACCCGGAGCATCGTAGGCAAAAATTCAAAAATTTCAAATTATTTTGCGGTGTCAACGCGGAGCATCGTTGTTAATTTGAAATTTCTGATTTTTTTTCGAAAATTTTGAATTCCCCGCCAGTAACTGTAAAGTGTAAACCAGGAGCATCGTAGGCGAAAATTCAAAATTTTCAAATTATTTTTCGGCGTCAACGCGGAGCAACGTTGTGAATTTAAAATTTCTGATTTTTTTTGGTGAAATTTTGAATGTTTTGAAATTCCCCGCCAATAACTGTAAAGTGTAAACCCGGAGCATCGTTTGAAATTTCTGTTGAAGTTTTGCAAAGTTCCCGGTCCTTTAAGGGCGAAAAAAAAGTCAGACAATGAAAACCGCTAATTTCATCTTTAAATGTCACATAATTATATCCAATTTCAGCCAAAAAAAATTTTTTTTTTGTTTTTTTCTCCATTTTCAAAAACAAAAAAAATGGAAATATCATTTTCGCAAAAACTTTTTTCAAATATTCCAAACTTTATTTATCTAATATTTTTCATTTGCTTCGCTTTTATTTTCAAATTAAACACTGAAAGAGAGAAGAAAACCTTGATCTACAAATTGAATCGACAAATTTTCCTGATCTCCGCTTTTCGAGCTATGATTCTACTTGTTGGAATGATTTTGTTATTTTTTTCGAATTTTTTGTTGTTGTAAGTTTGCAAGGCGCTCAACTTTTTTTTTTTAATTTCAAAAAAAAAATTTTTCAGCTTATTCTTATTGCTTATCGCAATATTCTCCGCAGCCGCTGAAACCTGCGCCTTCTCCAATTTTCACATTTCTAATCGCACTCCAAAGACTTTTCGTAATCCTCGATTTCAAGTTTCAAAAATATTTGAAAGGCAGGAATTTAACATTCCTAATAACTATAACAAATATTTTTGTTTTTATTCAATTCATAATTCAACTTACAAGTTGTCCTGAGCAATATTGCAGTTTTCTGAGCACAATAATAACTCAAGAAACTGTAAAATGCTCAAAGTTTCTTGGATTCTTAACTCCATATCAAATTATTTTTCATGTTATTGATATAGTTTTACCAATATTATCAATTTTAATTCATTTAATTTTAATCATTCATATAAATCAGAACAAAAATTTGTTACCAGAAAGAAGAAGATCTTATGAAATATCAATTATTATGCAAAATATTCCAAGTATTATTTGCAATAATTTACGAATTATTGCTATTATTTATCTACATTCAAATTTCGCAAATTTTCAAAAATCCACCAAAGAATATGTCTCATTTTATATTTGTAATACACATTATTATCAAATTTTTATATGCACTGCAAGTTATATTATAGTTAACTATAAAAATGTGTCAGAAGGCTCGATTTTTCCGTCGAGAAATCCAACAGTTATTCAGTAAATATAAACTTTTTTTGATTTGGAATCGCTTTCATGCTTAGACGTGGCCGCTACGCGGAAGCTTGCGGTCTACACTCGCACCAAGGGTGCTCGAGGTGGACTTCTGGGCTTTCAGGTCCGGCCGCTTCGCGGAAGCTTGCGGTTTAAGCTAGCGTCAAGGGTGCTCGGGATAGGCTTACAATCTTAGGTCCGGCCGCTACGCGGAAGCTTGCGGTCTACACTCGCGCCAAGGGCGCTCGAGATAGGCTTAGGCTTGGACGTGGCCGCTTCGCGGAACCTTGCGGTTTACACTCGCACCAAGGGTGCTCGGGATAGGCTTGCAGGCTTAGGTCCGGCCGCTACGCGGAAGACAGTGCCGCTACGCGGAAGCTTGCGGTTTACACTTGCGCCAAGGGCGCTCGGGATTACATAAACAAAAATATATTTATTGAAAACCTTTTCCTAGTCATTTTTTGCTTTGGAAATGGAATTTTTACAGAAAAATTTGCTGAAAACAAATCTAAAAATTCTATAAAAAATATACAAAACAATCAATAAAATCCCAAAAATAATAGCAAAAATATCAATAAGATAATATTGAATAATTGATAAATGTCTTCCATAATTATCTAAACTTGGCAATTTTCCAAATTTTGCTGCAAATTCAACATGTTTTACTAGAACTTCACGTGGATTTGTTGGAAGATTATTCAATTTTTCAGCCAAATTTTCAGCATTCTTTTTATAATTTGGATTATTCAACACTTTTTTGATTGTTTTTTGAAGGAGATCTGGATTGTCTAGATTGTCTTTGTTCAAAACTTCAACTCCTCCATGTCTTTCAAGCATTGCTGCATTTCGATTTTGATCAGCGAAAAGTGGAATCATCACACAAGGTTTTCCCAAAAGTGATAATTCCCAAGTGCTTGCCAAACCTCCATGTGTTACAAAAACATTCAAACGCGGATCAGCTGGAAAAATATATCTGAAATTTTTCCAGAATCTAAATTAGGTTACCTAGAAGTTCATTTTGTGGAAGCCATGATCCTAGATAAACATTTTTCAAATCATCAGCCAATTTATCATTTTCATCTTCATATTTCCAAATAAAAGTCACATCTGGCATTGAAGCGAATACTTGAAGCAAAGATTTTCTGAAATTAAAGATTTTTCTGGAGTTAAATTAGATTTTCTAAATTACTTGTATTCCTCTGGCATATGCATACTTCTTGCATTTGATCCAAAAGAAATAAAAACATTTTTCTTCCGAATATTCAAAATCTTATCCCATTTTTCCGGCAGCTTCATTTCCCCTCGTTTTGTGTTCACAGAAATTCCACCAATTGGAATAATTTTGTCAAAAGTTGGTGCGGGAAAGTCCAAAATTGGAATCTGATTTGTGAAAACATATGAGGCTTCTGGCAAAACTTCCCGCCAAGATCGAGTAACATTTGCGATTTTTCGAGCATTTTCAAACTCATATTCAGCGATATATGAGAAGAAATACGATCCTATAAGGAACAGAACTCAATAAATTCAAAAAACAAATGAAAAATACCTCCAAAAGCTTGAAGTGTGTTAAGAAGTCTTTCCTTCATTGTCATTTTTTCACTAAATCCTGACATTACTCCAGGAACATAACTCGAAGCCATAGGTTGACCCAATGCTGAACTTGCATGCTCATATCGACTTGCAGCTAACACAGCAACATGTGCTCGAATATTCACAGCCTCGAAAAATGCATAAGCACACATGTCAAATGGCTCAGCAACTGCCAAGTCATAATTTTCAGCTTTGATTTGTTCGAGAAGCTCGGTGGATGATAGAACTTCTGAAATTTTTTTTTTTTTTTTTTTTTTTTTAATAAAAACTCACTTTTACATTGTCCACCTAAAGTATTCGCCATTTGCCCAGCTCTGGAAATTATTGTCAATGGATTTGTGCTATCTTCTTTCCACATATTCTTCTGGAAATCTTTAAATTGCTCCGCAAAATCTGAAATACTCTCATCTGGCTCAACAAAAATGAATTGCTTGGTTGATTTTGTGCCGTGCTTTCCACGTTCTCCAGTATCAATAATTGGCATCAAAATTGTCTGGAATTGGGGGAAAAATTCAATGTGGACATTATTGAAGTCTCGCGGAAGCTTGCGGTTCAATTTCAGGCTTAGACGTGGCCGCTTCGCGGAAGCTTGCAGTCTACACTCGCGCCAAAGGCGCTCGAGATAGGCTTTCAGGCTTAGACGTGGCCGCTGCGCGGAAGACAGTGCCGCTTCGCGGAAGCTTGCGGTCTACTTTCAGGCTTAGACGTGGCCGCTTCGCGGAAGCTTGCGGTCTACACTCGCGCTAAAGGCGCTCGAGATAGCCTTTCAGGCTTGGTCTACCTTCTCTGCACTCTCCCTAATCCCTATACTCTCTCACTATTTCTCCCACTACGTCTCTAACCTTCTCGATTGGTTTCTAACCGTCTAGCTTCTCTACGTCTCTAGCTTCTCTGCACTCTCTTACCACATTATGTCCAGCATCAGTCAAAACATCAGCAACACTTCCCAACATTTTCACATGACTGTGACCGAATAAATTCGAATAGACTAGAATTTTATAACTATTACATACTTGTAGCAATAAAAATGCACAAAAATATAGAAATCGCATTGCGAACTGACACTGATTGTGATTGTGATTGATAATTTTTGCACATTTTATCTTTTGGGAAAGGGGAGGAGCGAACTTTGGTTAGTTCTGATAAGAAAACTACACTTGGTCACTACAATTTATATGGTTTGGTCTTTCGAAAAAATATTTATTCAACACATTTTCCTAGTCATTTTTTGCTTTGGAACTAGAATTTTTACAGGAAAATTTGCTCAAAACAAATCTAAAAATTCTATAAAAAATATACAAAACAATGAATAAAATCCCAAAAATAATAGCAAAAATATCAATAAGATAATATTGAATAATTGATAAATGTCTTCCATAATTATCTAAACTTGGCAATTTTCCAAATTTCGCTGCAAATTCAACATGTTTTACTAGAACTTCACGTGGATTTGTTGGAAGATTATTCAATTTTTCAGCCAAATTTTCAGCATTCTTTTTATAATTTGGATTATTCAACACTTTTTTGATTGTTTTTTGAAGGAGATCTGGATTCTGGAGGTCATTTTTAGCTAGAATTTCCGCTCCTCCATGTCTCTTCAACATTCCAGCGTTTCTAGTTTGATCCGCGAAAAGTGGAATCATAACACAAGGTTTTCCCAAAAGTGATAATTCCCAAGTGCTTGCCAAACCTCCGTGTGTTACAAAAACATTCAATCTTGGATCAGCTGAAAATATTGATTCTGAAAATACATTTCAAGATTCTGAATTAGGTTACCTAGAAGTTCATTTTGTGGAAGCCATGATCCTAAATAAACATTCTTCAAATGATCAGCCAATTTATCATTTTCATCTTCATATTTCCAAATAAAAGTCACATCTGGCATTGAAGCGAAAACTTTTAGCAAAGATTTTCTGAAATTAAAGATTTTTCTGAAATTTTAGACTTTCAATAACTCACTTGTATTCTTCAGGCATATAAATACTCTTTGCATTTGATCCAAAAGAAATAAAAACATTTTTCTTGCGAATATTCAAAATCTTATCCCATTTTTCTGGAATTTCCGATTTTTCCATGTTCACAGAAATTCCACCAATTGGAATAATTTTATCAAAAGTTGGAGCTGGGAAGTCCAAAATCGGAATCTGATTTGTGAAAACAAAAGAGGCTTCTGGTAAAACTTCCCGCCAAGATCGATTGATTTTCGCGATGTCCCTGACTCTTTCATAGATCTGATCTCCAACATGAGCGAAGAAATATTCGCCTGAATGAAAAATACCCGGTGAAAATATAGAGCAAAATCTTCACAAACCTAAAAAACTCTGAACTGTATTCATAAACCTCTCCCCAATTGTCATAACTTCTCCCGAAGTCGCTTGCAAACTTGGCACATAACTTGTAGCTCTTGGCTGACCTAAAGCTGCACTAACATGATCAAATCGACTTGCGGAGAGCACCGCAACATGTGCTCGAATATTTACAGCTTCAAATAAAGCATAAGCACAAAGATCGAATGGTTCAGTGATGGCTAGATCGTAATTTTCAGCTTTGATCTGTTCCAGAAGCTCCGGAGATGATAGAACTTCTACAAAATTTTGTTTTTTTTTGGAACAAAATAGCATGCATGATAAAAAATTCACATACTTTCACACTGTGATCCTAGAAGTTGCGACATTGCCTTGATTCTTGACACCAAAACAAATGGATTTTTCGCATCATCTTCCCACATTTTCTTCTTGATTTCTTTCATCACTGGAATCAATTCCTTTACACTATCCGCAGGTTCGATGAAAATAAATTGATTCGTAGTTTTGACGCCATATTTCCCTCTCTCATGCTCTTCAATGATCGGCATCAAAATTGTCTAAAAAAAAAAAATAAAAGGGATGGGCCGAACCGGGGATTGAACCCGGGACCTCTCGCACCCAAAGCGAGAATCATACCACTAGACCATTCGGCCACATTTTTCTCCCACTTAAAATTGCCAATAAATAAGCGGCGCTCTTACCACATTATGTCCAGCATCAGTCAAAACATCAGCAACACTTCCTAGCATTTTTACATGACTGTGACCGAATAAATTTGTATAGAATAGAATTTTGTAGGAAAAACATTGATGAATATGAAAAAGGAATATTCCTAAATATATGGAAAATAACCTCATGATCACTAGGAAAAAATACAATTTTTTTTCAAGTTAGCGAATCAATCAGTTTCTGGTTGACAGAATCTACCTGACAGGCGGAGATTTTCTCGTTTTCTCTAATTCTCTTCAGACACAAAATAGTTCAAAGAACATTTATTGTACATGCAAATAATCTAGTCATTTTTTGACTTTGAATTGGAATTTTTACAGAAAAATTTTTATAGTTCAAAAGGGGTTTGAGACTAGGCTTGCAGGCTCAGACGGGCTTGCAGGCTAAGACTAGACCTACAGGCTTAGGTCCGGCCGCTACGCGGAAGCTTGCGGTCTACACTCGCGCCAAGGGCGCTCGAGATAGCCTTTCAGGCTTGGTCTACCTTCTCTGCACTCTCCCTAATCCCTATACTCTCTCACTATTTCTCCCACTACGTCTCTAACCTTCTCGATTGGTTTCTAACCGTCTAGCTTCTCTACGTCTCTAGCTTCTCTGCACTCTCTTACCACATTATGTCCAGCATCAGTCAAAACATCAGCAACACTTCCCAACATTTTTACATGACTGTGACCGAATAAATTTGAATAGACTAGAATTTTATAACTATTACATACTTGTAGCACTAGAAATGCACAAAAATAGAGAAATTGCATTGCGAACTGACACTGATTGTGATTGTGATTGATAATTTTGCACATTTTATCTGTTGGGGAGAAAGGGGAGGAGCGAACTGAGTTCTGATATGATAAGAAAACTAGACTTGGTCACTACAATTTATATGGTTTGGTCTTTCGAGATTCCATATTCTAAAGTCAGAAAAATATTTATTTATATCTAGACTAGATTCTAGTCATTCTTCTTCTTGGAGCTTGAATTTTTACAGAAAAATTTGCTCAAAACAAATCTAAAAATTCTATAAAAAATATACAAAACAATCAATAAAATGGCGCTCGAGATGAGCCTGAAGGCTTAGGTCCGGCTTAGGCCCGGCCGCTACGCGGAAGCTTGCGGTCTACACTCGCGCCAGGGGCGCTCGAGATTACATAAACAAAAATATATTTATTGAAAACCTTTTCCTAGTCATTTTTAGCTTTGGAATTGGAATTTTTACAGAAAAATTTGCTCAAAACAAATCTAAAAATTCTATAAAAAATATACAAAACAATGAATAAAATCCCAAAAATAATAGCAAAAATATCAATAAGATAATATTGAATAATTGATAAATGTCTTCCATAATTATCTAAACTTGGCAATTTTCCAAATTTTGCTGCAAATTCAACATGTTTTACTAGAACTTCACGTGGATTTGTTGGAAGATTATTCAATTTTTCAGCCAAATTTTCAGCATTCTTTTTATAATTTGTATTATTCAACACTTTTTTGATTGTTTTTTCTGTAAAAAAATAAAATACGATTTCGAAATCAAATTACATCATGATCAAAGTGACAACTTAAACGTGCCTTATCATATTATTTGACCGCTATCACAGACCACAGGCACAGAACACACATTAATTCTGAATTTCGAGCGGGAATTCAAGGTTTTGCGCACATTTTCAGATGGATTTTCAAGATCGGAGCAATTTTTTGCTCAGATAATTTAGTTTCAACAAAAATTTGTGGTAAAAATCCCAAAAAAAATCGCAAAATTTTTGAAAAAACTCCTCCTCTTTTGATAAGGCAAATATATAAATAAGAGTTTTCCAATCATTTTTCGTCAAAAAATGACAAAATTTCTGCTGTTTTGTGCATTTCTAGTGCTACAAGTATGTAATAGTTATAAAATTCTAGTCTACTCGAATTTACTTGGTCACAGTCATGTGAAAATGCTAGGAAGTGTTGCTGATGTTTTGACTGATGCTGGACATAATGTGGTAAGAGCGCTGGTTATTTATTGACAATTTTAAATGGGAAAAAATGTGGCCGAATGGTCTAGTGGTATGATTCTCGCTTTGGGTGCGAGAGGTCCCGGGTTCAATCCCCGGTTCGGCCCATCCTTTTTTTCCTTTTTTTATTTGTTCATCTTTTATTTTTCCCCATTCCAGACAATTTTGATGCCAATTATCGACACTGCTGAACGTGGAAAGTATGGAACAAAATCAACCAAGCAATTCATTTTCGTTGAGCCAGATGAGAGTATCGCAAACTTCGCTGAGAGACGGAAAGAGTTTCAGAAAAATATGTGGAAGGAAGATACGAAAAACCCATTGGTAATGATCTCAAAAGCAAAACAAATGGCTGAAATGTTCGCGGGACAATGTCACAGTAAGTTATAGCTAGACTCTGAAGTCATCAAGACCATTTTTCAGAGGTTCTATCATCAACCGAGCTTCTCGAACAAATCAAAGCTGAAAATTATGATTTGGCACTCACTGAACCATTCGATCTTTGTGCTTATGCTTTATTCGAAGCTGTGAATATTCGAGCACATGTTGCTGTGTTAGCTGCAAGTCGATTTGAACATGTTAGCTCGGTTTTAGGACAACCTATGGCTTCGAGTTATGTTCCTGGAGTAATGTCAGGGTTTAGTGAGAAAATGACGATGAAGGAAAGGTTTATTAATACACTTCAAGCATTTGGAGGTAAGCTTCACAAGAATTTTTTTTATTTTAATTATTTTTCTACATAGGAGGATATTTCTTCTCTTATATTGGAGATTATGAATTTGAAAAAGTCAAGGATGTTGCAAAAATCAATCGATCTTGGCGGGAAGTTTTACCAGAAGCCTCATATGTTTTCACAAATCAGATTCCAATTTTGGATTTCCCAGCTCCAACTTTTGACAAAATTATTCCCATTGGTGGAATTTCTGTGAACACAAAACGAGGGGAAATGAAGCTTCCAGAAAAATGGGATAAGATTTTGAATATTCGCAAGAAAAATGTTTTTATTTCTTTTGGATCAAATGCAAGAAGTATGCATATGCCAGAGGAATATAAGTGAGTTATTGAAAGTCTAAAATTTCAGAAAAATCTTTAATTTCAGAAAATCCTTGCTTCAAGTCTTTTCTTCAATGCCAGATGTGACTTTTATTTGGAAATATGAAGATGAAAATGATAAATTGGCTGATCATTTGAAGAATGTTTATCTAGGATCATGGCTTCCACAAAATGAACTTCTAGGTAACCCAGAATCCCGATAAACATTTTCAAAATCAATATTTTCAGCTGATCCAAGATTGAATGTTTTTGTAACACATGGAGGTTTGGCAAGCACTTGGGAATTATCACTTTTGGGAAAACCTTGTGTTATGATTCCACTTTTTGCGGATCAAAATCGAAATGCAGCAATGCTCCAAAGACATGGAGGAGTTGAAGTTTTGAACAAAGACAATCTAGACAATCCAGATCTCCTTCAAAAAACAATCAAAAAAGTGTTGAATAATCCAAATTATAAAAAGAATGCTGAAAATTTGGCTGAAAAATTGAATAATCTTCCAACAAATCCACGTGAAGTTCTAGTAAAACATGTTGAATTTGCAGCAAAATTTGGAAAATTGCCAAGTTTAGATAATTATGGAAGACATTTATCAATTATTCAATATTATCTTATTGATATTTTTGCTATTATTTTTGGGATTTTATTGATTGTTTTGTATATTTTTTATAGAATTTTTAGATTTGTTTTGGGCAAATTTTTCTGTAAAAATTCCAATTCCAAAGCAAAAAATGACTAGGAAAAGGTTTTCAATAAATATATTTTTGTTTATGTAATCTCGAGCGCCCTTGGCGCGAGTGTAAACCGCAAGCTTCCGCGAAGCGGCACTGTCTTCCGCGTAGCGGCCACGCCCAAGCCTTTTAGCCTACCTCGAGCGCCCTTCGCGCGAGTGTAGACTGCAAGCTTCCGCGAAGCGGCACTATTTTCCGCGTAGCGGCCGGACTTAAGCCTGAAAGCCTATCTCGAGCGCCCTTGGCGCGAGTGTAGACCGCAAGCTTCCGCGAAGCGGCCACGTCTAAGCCTGAAATTGAACCGCAAGCTTCCGCGAGACTTCAATAATGTCCAAATTCAATTTTTCCCCCCAATTCCAGACAATTTTGATGCCAATTATTGATACTGGAGAACGTGGAAAGCATGGCACAAAATCAACGAAGCAATTCATTTTTGTTGAGCCGGATGAGAGTATTTCAGATTTTGCGGAGCAATTTAAAGATTTCCAGAAGAATATGTGGAAGGAAGATAGCACAAATCCATTGACAATAATTTCCAGAGCTGGGCAAATGGCTAGTACTTTAGGTGGACAATGTAAAAGTGAGTTTTTATTTAAAAAAAAAAAAAAAAAAAATTCAGAAGTTCTATCATCCACGGAGCTTCTGGAACAAATCAAAGCTGTAAATTATGACGTGGCAATTGCTGAGCCATTTGACATGTGTGCTTATGCATTTTCGAAGCTGTGAATATTCGAGCACATGTTGCTGTGTTAGCTGCAAGTCGATATGAGCATGCAAGTTCAGCATTGGGTCAACCTATGGCTTCTAGCTATGTTCCTGGAGTTATGTCAGGGTTTAGTGAGAAAATGACGATGAAGGAAAGGTTTATTAATACACTTCAAGCATTTGGAGGTTAGTTACTGAAGATTTTTTTAATTTGATTATTTTTCTACATAGGAGGATATTTCTTCTCATATATTGGAGATTATGAATTTGAAAAAGTCAAGGATGTTGCAAAAATCAATCGATCTTGGCGGGAAGTTTTGCCAGAAGCCTCATATGTTTTCACAAATCAGATTCCAATTTTGGACTTCCCAGCTCCAACTTTTGACAAAATTATTCCAATTGGTGGAATTTCTGTGAACACAAAACGAGGGGAAATGAAGCTTCCAGAAAAATGGGATAAGATTTTGAATATTCGCAAGAAAAATGTTTTTATTTCTTTTGGATCAAATGCAAGAAGTATGCATATGCCAGAGGAATATAAGTGAGTTATTGAAAGTCTAAAATTTCAGAAAAATCTTTAATTTCAGAAAATCGTTGCTTCAAGTATTTGCTTCAATGCCAGATGTAACATTTATTTGGAAATATGAAGATGAAAATGATAAATTGGCTGATCATTTGAAGAATGTTTATCTAGGATCATGGCTTCCACAAAATGAACTTCTAGGTAACCGAGAACTTCGATAAACATTTTTAAAATCAATATTTTCAGCTGATCCAAGATTGAATGTTTTTGTGACTCACGGTGGTTTGGCAAGCACTTGGGAATTATCACTTTTGGGAAAACCTTGTGTGATGATTCCACTTTTCGCTGATCAAAATCGAAATGCAGCAATGCTCCAAAGACATGGAGGAGTTGAAGTTTTGAACAAAGACAATCTAGACAATCCAGATCTCCTTCAAAAAACAATCAAAAAAGTGTTGAATAATCCAAATTATAAAAAGAATGCTGAAAATTTGGCTGAAAAATTGAATAATCTTCCAACAAATCCACGTGAAGTTCTAGTAAAACATGTTGAATTTGCAGCAAAATTTGGAAAATTGCCAAGTTTAGATAATTATGGAAGACATTTATCAATTATTCAATATTATCTTATTGATATTTTTGCTATTATTTTTGGGATTTTATTGATTGTTTTGTATATTTTTTATAGAATTTTTAGATTTTTTTTGAGCAAAGTTTCCTGTAAAAATTCCAATTCCAAAGCAAAAAATGACTAGGAAAATGTCTTTAATAAATATATTTTTGTTTATGTAATCTCGAGCGCCTTAGGCGCGAGTATAGACCGCAAGCTTCCGCGAAGCGGCACTGTCTTCCGCGTAGCGGCCAAACCCAAGCCTGAGGCCCATCCCGAGCGCCCTTGACGCGAGTGTAAACCGCAAGCTTCCGCGAAGCGGCACTATTTTCCGCGCATACCTGAACTAGTTGCTCAGGGAACGTTGGAGTTAATCCCCTTCCAGGATAAAATTTCAAAAAGTTAACCCCCTAACCAGTTTTTGCTGGTTTTTGACCCCTGAAAGCATAACACACCCCAAAATTTTAAAAAGTTAAAAACCCCACTTTTAAAAATGCACCAAAAGTTAACCCCCCTCCCTCCGGATTCAGAACTTGCATGCTTCCGCGTAGCGGCCGGACCTAAGCCTGTAAGCCTCTCTCGAGCGCCTTTAGCGCGAGTGTAGACCGCAAGCTTCCGCGTAGTGGCCACGCCCAAGCCTGAAAGCCCAGAAGCACATCTCGAGCGCAATTCAAAGTCAAAAAATGACCAAGGTATACATTTTTGTTTATATAATCTATGAAAAAAGTGAGACCCCCTAACATATGGGCAAATCTTGCAAATCTAATAATCCAGATTGATTGTGGTGGCCGCCTTTCACGCCTCATCACACATTTTGTTAGGTACAAAATTTATTAAAATGCAAAAACTCTAGTTATCTCGTAAAACACACTTGGTCCAAAATCCCAAAAAATGTTGACTCACACCATTTTGGACTAGAATTTCCAGGAAATACATAAATACAACAAAAAAGGAACACCGGCAAAATATTGTGGGGGCGGGGGAAAATGGGTTGGGGTTGGGTAGAGCACCAAAAGAAAGCTGCGGGAAGTTGTAGGAATGTAAAAGTTAAAAAGTGAAATGGCAAAAATGTGGCATAGTTGAAAATACAATAAATGAGATCAGGTAGAAGAAGCGGTAACTAGCGAGTTAGCTGAAGTCGAAGACTGTTGTTGCTCTCGATAGGGTTTACAATAGGAATAGCGATGATTCATGTGTTGACTATAACTTCCAGAATGTGAGAATCGTTTAAGGCACTTGTCACATTGAAATGGTTTTTCGCCGGAATGAAGACGTTTGTGTTCGGTGAGATGATGTTTGTGTTTGAAGGCTTTTTCACAAATGTCACATTTGTAGGGACGTTGGCCTGCGAAAAATAGATGAATTTTGTTATTTTTTATGGAAATTTTCCATTTCGGAAGGAGGGAGGTTAACTTCTGGTGGATTTTTGGAGGTAGGGGACTTAACTTTTGAAAATGTTAGTGTATTTTACGCTTTATGTGATAAAAAATCAGCAAAAATGGGTTAGGGGGTAGGGGGGTCAACTCAAGGGCCCCCCTAGTTCATGTATGTTTTCAGATCTTCCTAACCTTAAGATCTCCGAGCTTTAAAATGTAATTGAAGCCTTTTTTAAGAAAGTACTATAACTCCTTAACTAAAAAAACTTAAGATTTACTGTAACTTTAAAAAATGTACCTAAATTACACTAAGTTAAAAGTGAGCTAAACGTCTTTAAGTTCATATCCTATTTTCATATTTTCTAAAGGTGCATCTGCTCAATGACCTCATTATAATCCAATTAATATATATTGCATCACATAATTTATCCCCCCTAAATCCCCCTTATAAACAAAAGAGAATGTTGCCAAACATGTGTCCCTTTCCTATCCAAAACCCAATTATTACCTGAATGCTCATATTTATGTCTTGCTAAGGAAGATTGTTTGCCAAAAACCTTGTCACATTGATCACATGAGAATAAACCTTCAGCATCGGATCCCAGTTTCAAGAGCTTCGAATCAGTTGAGCAAAGTGATGATGTATCTTCCTCTTTGATAATCGCAGAGTTCAGAAAGATGTTTGGAGTTTGCGGCCAAATTGATGGAGTCCTTGGTTGCTCATCCTCCTGATTCGAGAATCCAGCATGCTTCAGAAGCTCCTGAATCACACCGGTAGATTGGTCCAAAAATCCGATGAGCTTTTCCGGACTCCACTCCATCTCCTCCTCATTATTATCATCACCATCTTTCAACGTCAAATCCAAAGGTGTAGTTGCTGGATCTTCCTGGAACAAAAAAAAATAAATCTATGAATTGTTTACACCAGGTGACACCCCAATTAGTCAACAAAACATCTTGAAAAATATCTCAGGTGGTTGTATCCTTCATTCTCGAAAACCCTCTCCCTCCTTTTATGAGGCTCATCTCTCGACAGATGCGCCTATATTCCAGCCAGATGCCATTATTACTATTATTATTATTATTATTCCCTCCTTCTTCCCTCCTTCTTTTTATTATTGTTACTTTTATTGATGTTTTGGCTGGCTAGCTTATTAAGGAGATGAAGAAGAACAAAATTGGATGGATACCTACTTGGAAAATGAGCAGACAACTTTTTTTTGCTCTGGGATGATGTAATTTCAGAAATGGCCGAAATATTTGGGTGGCCGAGAAATGTCGGGAATTCGGCCACATCATTTTTTTTTTCATTTTTTCACACGGCATTTCAAAAATTGGGAAAATTGCGAACACAGAGAGAAAAACCCTCCAAAATCGTGTCGAGACCCGACGTTTGTACTTCTCTCGGAGGATTTTGTGTCTCTTCGCTATTTTTAAAAGACCGTGTGAAAAATTTGAAAAAAAAATGAAATGGCCGAACTATTTCAGGTGGCCGAGAAATGTCGGGAATTCGGCCACATTCAAAAATTGGGAAAATTGCGAACACAAAGAGAAAAACACAAAACACCGTGCATTATCGTGTCGAGACCAATTGCGCGGGAAAAACAATTTTTGAATTTGAAAAACATATTGTCCCGCGCTTTGGGTCTCGAAACGAAGAGGTTTTATATTTCTCTTGATTTTTATGTTCCAAAGGCCGTGAAAAAAGATATGGCCGAACTTTTCGGGTGGCCGAGAATTATCGGGAATTCGGCCATATCCAAAAACATCCCTGTGAATTCGGTGGAAAAAAGCAGGTGCGAAATTAGGCACATAATTTAAATGAAAACACCAAACTGACACCCCGTGTTGATGAATTGATAGATGTAGATGTATATAAATATATTCAGGATCTTCCCCCCACATGATTTATTAGACACCTGGCTAACCTGAGCAATCTCCTCCTCAACCTCCTCAGCTTCATCTTTGACCGTTGTTGAATTCGCAGCCTGAAGTTGCGCCCAGACTGCCATGAGTTGCGCCTGCTGCGCGGCTGGCGTTGCCCATGGCGGTGAAGCTGCTGGCGAATTGATCTGACCACGTGGCATTGATGGGAGGCGATTGCTGCGACGCTCTTTGGCGCGAGTGTTTTGGAACCATACCTGGAATAAAAATTTTTTATTTTAAAATTTAAAATTTTTTTTCTCGAATCCCCCTTGTGTGTTTGCGGTGGTGCTAAAAAGAATAATTGAATGATGTGAGGTAATCGAATAAAAATCGTCGGAGAAAGACAAGAAGACACCTGCGTCCCCCCTTTCTCTAAAGGAGCCCCATCTATCTCATTTTATTTCGCATTTCATTTGAGAGAGGCATCGGGCAGGGAAACCAAAAACACATGTTCAGACACTCATTCATTCACACAAACACCTTGGGAATATTGGGTTTGTGTGTGGCGAGAAATAAAAAAAGGCAGGAACACCTGGGAACAGTGCGGGAAAGATATAAAATTGAATTTATTGATCTTTGAAATCAGCACAAAGTTCAGATAAGCGTAAAAAATGAAAACGCGTAAAAAATTTTTTTTTTCGAAAAAAAAATTATTTACCGTAGTTGTTTCGCGACGAGACCCGGTGTGTGTTTCAGGTGTTGCGCCTTTCGAAAACTACGGTATAGAGGTTTTTGAAATCAGCACAAAGTTCAGATGGTACTTTTATAAACGTTCAAAAAAATTAGAAAAATAAGGAAAAATAAAAATTTTTTTTCGAAAAAAAAAATTATATACCGTAGTTGTTTCGCGACGAGACCATGTGTGTGTTTCAGGTGTTGCGCCTTTTAAAAACTACGGTATTATAATTTTTTTTTGTTTTTTTCTGGATTTTCGAGGTTTTTTGATGTTTCTGCATGAGAAAAAGGCAGAAATCAATAACAAATCGAAGAATGGAAGTAGTCTAACCATGTTTCAAGCAAGAAACCTTTTAAAAAACGATTTTCAAGAGTTTTATTGAGGAAAAACCTATTTTTCGGTTGAAAATCACGAAAATCGAGCTTAATTAGTTCTAATTCACTTTTCTCAAGCTTCATTCCTCTTGTGAATCAAAGGCGCATTGATTATTTGAAAGATGTGGGTCTCGACGCGACGAAAATTTTTCAAAAAAATATTTTTCACTTTTCCGTTTTTTACGTTTATATTAATTTTCAGTTAAAACATCTTGAAAGGTTCTAGAAGTTCCCCGAATTCAAGACCCCCCAAAATCCCTCACCTGAACTACCCGTTTATTGACTCCAATCTGCTCAGCCACCGCTGATAACTCATACTTTGATGGAAATGGATTGCGCTTGAAGTGATTCTGCAGAATCGCAACTTGCGAATCATTCAGAAAACTTCGAGATCTCAACGGTCTCCAGTCAGGCGATCCAGCTTCTTTCACATTTTCTCTAGACGATTCTTCAGCTTCGGGTTCAGGTTCGGGCTCAGGTTCAGCTTCAGCTTCAACAACATCAACAACAATATCGACTTTTGGTTCAGGAGACGGAGCGGCTGATCCCTTTTCCGATGTTTGATTCAAACAAGTTGATAGAAGACTTTGTGTTGGTGAAGTTGCTGTCGGTGAAGTTGACGATTCAGAAGATCCTAGATTTTGCAAAAAACTCGCTTGCAACATTGACAAATAGGAAGTATCAGGTACAAATGGAGCGGGTGTTGGTGCAGCCATATTCATCATAATATTTCGATACATCATCAGGTGAATTGGGCTGAATTGTGGGATTAGGGAAGGCGAAGATGATTGTTGAACACATTTTTTACTGCTCATGTGTGAAGAATAGGATCCGGAGTGCGAAAAACGTTTGTGGCATTGTTGACACTGAAAAAAATTGAATTTGAACGTGAATTTCATGGGGAAAAATGAAAAAATGAGGTGGCCGAGTTCCCGACAAAAAAATACTTCGGCCATGTATTTATTTTCTAATTTTTTCCCCGAAATTCATGAAAACTGAAGTTGAAGGTAAATTTCAGGGGGAAAAAAATGAAAAAATGATGTGGCCGAGTTCCCGACAATCTCGGCCACCGAAATACTTCGGCCATATATTTGTTTTTTCATTTTTTTCATTTTTTCCCTGAAATTCACAAAAAACTGAATTTGAACGAAAATTTCAAGAAAAAAATGAAAAACGGCCGAGTTCCCGACAATCTCGGCCACCGAAATACTTCGGATATATATTTTTTTTTATTTTTTTCCCTGAAATTCATGAAAACTGAAGTTGAACGTGAATTTCAGGAAAAAAGAGAAAAGTGGCCGAGTTCCCGACAAACCTCGGCCACCGAAATACTTCGGCCATATATTTATTTTTTTTATTTTTTCATAAATCCTAGACCCGCAAAAAATGTGAATAGTGTTTTAGATCACGCGGCAATTTTTCGTTTTTCTAGAAATCGATTCGCAGAAAAATATTTTTTAAAATTATTTTTTTTTGTTTTTTTTGTCGAGCAAAGTGTTCACGTTATTTTATTTTGAGATTAAATATTCGAAAAAAAATTTTTTCAGAAAATTCGGAATTTGAGTGAGCTGATGTTGGTTTCAAAATTCACAATTTCAATTATGAAAACAAAATTGGATTTGGATTTGGTTCTGATTATTCAACTTCAACTGTCAGGTCAGTTTAATGGGTTTTGGGTGAAACTTAAGGTAAGTTCGGGGTATTTTTTCATAATATTCACTCAGTTGCTCACACTTGTAAAAAAAGGAAAATCGCTTGAAATGTTATTTTTTTTAATTTTAATTTTTTTAAAAAAATTCTAGCAAAGCAAAAGTTTCCCCCTCAAAATCCACACCTCCACCTAGGCTACCGTAATCCCATATGCCAATAAACAAGCCAGGTGTGTGCAAAAAAATGGGCGGAGCTCCAAAGGTATATGAACGAATGAAAAGGGGAAAAGAGGGAAAATAAAAGAAAAGAAGCGGAGGAAAAATGGAGCAAAGGAGGAATTAATGAATGCCTGGCGGGCATACTTTCAGTGTGAGTTGAGTTTTTATTTTGTGAGTGAAAGAGCTTTTTACCTAAGCCTTTTTGAAAGGGGAAAACAGCGAGAAAAGAGAAATGATTGTGCGTAGTAATAATAATCCAGGTAGATAAAATGAGAAGAAGAAATGGGCCCTTGTCATGTTTTTGTTGGAGACAATGATAAATTAGTTAGTTTTACGGAGAAGATGGGACAGGTGCTTGTGTGTGTGTTGCGATTTGAAACAAGATTTTTCATTTTCTCGTTTTACAGGTGTGGATTTGGAAGTTAGAGAAAAAAGCTATTTTATTAGGTGGCCAAAAAGTTTTTGGAATTTCTCGAAAAATTGTTTGAGCCTGAAGTTTATGATTTTGAATTCTAGAATTCTAGATTTCTGAAAATCTTCAAGATCCTAGGCTTCTAGAAATATCAGGAAAAACCTCTAAAGCTTTTTCAAGATTCTGAAAAATTCTGAAAATCTTCTAGAGCTTTTTCAAGATTCTGCAAAAATTCTAGAAGAGTTCTAGAATTCCTATAGCTTCTGAAAAATCAGCAAAATATTTTCTGAAATTTTCCAGGCTCTCAAAAAATTATCCCAGGGTTTTTCTAAACATTTCCGAGTTTCTAGAAAATTTTAAACATTTTTTTTTGGAAATTTTGGTTCAAGTGAAAAAATTGTGAGAAAACTCTGATGTTTCAGAATCCCAATTTTCAGGTCAATTCAAAGTTTCTAGAAGTTTCTTAAGCGATTCAAAAAGATCCTATTGTAAGTTATGGTAACTATAAATATATTATCAAACATCTAGAATCCTCTGAAGTCTTTGTTAAACTTTCTGAAATGTAAACTGAATTTTCTGAAGTCTCCACTAAACCCCAGAAGTCTTCACTAAAGCTCAGAAGTCTTTGAAAATCCCCTGAAGTCTCTACTGAACCCCCGAAGTCTCTACCAAACACCCGTTCACTCACCTCAAACGGTTTCTCTCCCGAATGAATTCTGATATGCTCCTTTAAATGATGCTTGAACTTGAAAGCCTTGCCACACTCGGGACACTTGAATTTCCGCAAAGCCTCGTCTGATTGTGCCATTGTGGAGGATGAAGTGTCCATCATCCCTGCAAACAAGTTTTTTTTGTACAAAAAAATCGAGAGCTCTTCATAATAATAATAATAATTATAATAAAGTGGAAAAGATTCTTGAAGATGCAGAACAAAAAAAACGGAAAAATTATATTTTTTCTTTCCAGGGGGACTCTTGAAGGGAAGAAAACGAAAAAAGAAGAGGTGAGGAGCAGAGCGAAAAGGTGCCAAATGAAGAAAATGGCACACCTCCGCCGCTGCTCACCGCCTTCACTATTATGCTCATCCTCCTCTCTTTCACATACTACTACTACTGCCTCTTCTTCTTCTTCTACCACCACCTGCAGCCCAGTTCGATTAGGCCACGCCCCTTTTTGAGGAAGGAGGAAAAAAGTGGGAGGAGTGAGTGGGGGATTTTGTTGCCGATAGGTATACGGTAATTGGGCGGGGCTCAAGAAAGAATTACACGTGGCAAATATCGATTTTTTCAGATTCTGGGGATTAAAGAAACATACCGTATCAGCAGCGTATCTATTTAAATCGCAAAATTTTTTTACCCAATTTTTTCGCGAGTTAGATACGCAGGTTTTTCTACCGTAGTTCAGTATACTATTTTGCAGAACAAAATCTTCAAGGCTACCGTAGTTACATATTAAAGGAACACCCCCCTTAAAATTATTACGGGGGGGGGGTTGAAAAATTATCAAAATTTGTGCGTTAGAGCGCATTTTCTTGTAGGCTTTAATGCGTCTCTGGCTAAAATTTGAGCTAAGTTGATAAGGAGCACCTTAATGCTCTTAGGAGGCCCCCCCCCGCAAAATATGTACAAAACTACATGTTTATAAGAAAAGTTGGTTTTTGTGCGTTGGAGCGCATTTTCTTGTTTTATTTTGCAAATTTTAAGGCGCATTTGGCCTAAGTTGATACCAGAATTATTCAAAACCTTTAAGGAACACCTTATTCCCGTTACGGCTCTTCCCAAACCAAAAATTGACCCCCCCCCCCCGCAGAATATGTACAAAACTTGCATCAAGCTTATCTTGACAATTTTCCCCGGCGGCCAACGTGTCCTCGGTAGTATAGTGGTGAGTATCCGCGTCTGTCACATGCGAGACCCGGGTTCAATTCCCGGCCGGGGAGAACTTTTTTATTTTTTCTATTTTTTTGGTGGAAAATTGATATATTTTTGCAGCGTGTGAAAAATATAAGCGGTTCTATCCGAAAAACATGTAAATTATTTAAAATTGCTTAAAAAACCCGACTGGAAAAATAATAGACAAAATGAGAGATGAGAGAGGGATAAAATTTAATAATATGTACTCTTCTGAGACAAAACAAAACAAAATTGAGAACAGATGTTTTAAGAAGAAGCGAAAAAGGTATAGTAGTTTGATTTGAGAAATGAAAATGACCAAAAAAAAGTTTTTGGTCATGAAATGGTTGTTTTGCATTTGGTTTGGTTATCTTCTTCTTCTCATTCATTACTCCGCCTCAAGATTAAACGGTAAACCTGAATTACTGGATATCGATGCAAATGAACATGTAAATATCTCTCTTCCGTATTAGTAGAGAACTTGTTAGTTTTCACTTTTCTTTCGCTCTCGCGAGAAATTTTCGCCAGATAGATAAGGAGAAAAGTTTTTTAGTTTAGCTGGTAGCTTTTATACCTAATCAGATCGCAAACAAAAAATATTTGGGAAAAAAAAAATTCAGAAGAAAAATGAATCATCGTGGTGGTCGAAAAGAAAATATAAAAATGAGGAGGAGAGCCAGGGAGGAAAAATCGAGAGGCTCCGCCCACTTTTTTTTTTGGCCAAGACAGACTGACGATATTTTTAAGAGGGGGGTATTGATTTTTTTAAGGTGACCTCAAAAAATTTTTTGCTAACATGAGCAATGATTTCAATTGCGAAAAATCAATAAAGTTCAGGCATTGCTCATGTCAAGCGAAATCTTTTTGAATTTTGGGACCGAAAAAAATTTAAATCTTGTTTTTTTCGCGGCTAAATTTGAATGACAAAATTTTTGGCGCAAAAATTTTGAATTCAAATTTCAAAAATTTCCAAGTTCAAAGTCCACGTGGCTAAAAATGTGGGAAAATTTAGAATTCAAATTTCAAAAATTTCCGCCTAAAATTCCACGTGGCAAAAAATGGCGCGAAAATGAAAAATTCGAATTTCAAAAAATTTCCGGTTTAAAATCCACGTGGCAAACAAATCGCGAAAATGAAAAATTCGAATTTCAAAAATTTCCGCCTACAAATCCACGTGTCGAAAAAATCGCGAAAATGAAAAATTCAAATTTCAAAAAATTTCGGATTAAAAATCCACGTGGCGAAAAATGGCGGGAAAATTGAAAATTCGAATTTCTATTTTCCCGCCTAAAAATCCACGTGGCGAAAAAATGCGCCAAAATTTTGAATTTAAGTTTCAAAAAACTCAAGCTCAAAACCCACGTGGCGAAAAAAGGGGGGAAATGAAAAATTCGAATTTCTATTTTCCCGCCTAAAAATCCACGCGAATTCAAATTCAAAAAAGTTTCAAGCTCAAAATCCACGTGGCAAAAAAAGGCGGGAAAATGGAAAAATATTCGAATTTCAACATTTTGGTGCCTAAAAATCCACGTGGCAAAAAAGGCGCGAAAAGGCGGAATTCAAAATTTGTTGACCCCCCCCCCAGAACTGTTCAAAAATCATCGAAATTTCGTAACATTTTTCCCAAAAAACATTTTTGTGTAGTAAAGTAGCGCAAAAATGATAGTTTTTCTAGCTAGACAAGAAATATTTTTATATTTATATTTATTTATATATAAATGAGCATGTCAGGCTCCCTTCTACCACCAGCCAGCAAAAAAATAACATCTCTTTTCTTTTTTGTGGGGGCCCCATCACCGGTGTCAGTATTGGCATGAATTCGAAATGTGATAGGTTCTTTCATTTTTCCCCGCAGCCATCTTTTGAGAGGGATTCATCATTAAAACCTGCTGAAAGTGGAGGGAGCTCCGAAAAAAGTAAAAGTAATTGGGGATGAGATGAGCATATACATATAAGCGAGAAGAACGAAAAACGAGGCAAAAAAGAAGACAACAGCATCAGGTAGATCAAATTATTGAGGCATGTGTGCGAGAAAAAAGAAGGAGGCAGAAAGGCAAAATAAAAAAAGAAGACAAAAAAGGCATGAAGCTTAACGAATCTCGAAAAACGACACGGGCCCCCATGAAATTCGTTTTAGGGGAGGGGACGATCATCATCAGGACACCTTTTTCTTATGTTTTTTAAAAAGGGGTCGTAGGAACCTTAGAGGAATCTTGCTTGGTGCTAGGAACCTTAAAGATATTAGGAACCTTAATGGAAAAAACCTTAATTAAATCTAAAGGCCCCCTTTACCTTTTTAAAGGAATCTTGCTTGGTATTAGGAACTTTAATGAAATCTTGTAGAACCTTAAAGGTATTAGGAACCTTAAAGGAACCTCGCTTGGTATTAGGAACCTTGAGGGAATCTTTCTTGGTATTAGGAACCTTAAAGGTATTAGGAACCCTAAAGGAATCTTGCTTGGTGTTAGGAACCTTAAAGGAGTCTTGCTTGGTATTAGGAACCTTAAAGGAGCACCTTAAAGTTCTTTTGACCTAAAGCGCATTTTTTGAAACGTATATTTTTCAATTTGGGTCAAAAACCCATAACAATTTCCATAGAAAAATCAGTTTTTTTTCCATGCAAATTCTCATTTGCCCCCTCCCCCCAAAAAAAATATTAAAAAACAACGAGACTCCGCGTTGACGACTGCGCGCCCGGTTTGAATTTGTGTTTTTTTCAAAAATTTGAAATTTTTCGGAAATTTTTCCGAATTTCCCGTTATTTCAAGGAAAAATGAATTTTCCGGAAAATGTGCTCGGAAAATACGGAAAATGATTTTTTTTTTCAACATTGCCCAAATTTTGGGTGATTTTCTCCGTTTATGACAGAAAAAAATGAAATTTTTGGATTTTTCAAATTTTACGATTTTTTGAACGTAAAACGTCTTAAAAATAAGTTAAAGAAAAATTTTTCGCCACAGGCCTGAACTAGACTATAGTTAAACCACGCTAAATCTAACAATAAGATTAGTTGAATATCCAAAAAGTTCAAAACCTCCAGAACTAACAAAAAGTGTGCCTACACACAAATTCCAATGAATAGTTAAAAAGCTCACCCATTAAATTGTACCATTAAGGCAATGCAAAACCTTTTGAGGTCCCCCCATAATTTGTAATGTGTTTTGTTTTTGCTATTCGACTACTTTGTTCAGCTCTTGCCTCAAGGTGCCCCTTCAAAACCACATTACATAACTTGTGTAGGGCAGCTGCGGCAGAAATATATTTTATATTATAGATTTTTTTGATGAGGATAATGTAATGACAACGATGAACAGGTGTCTAGGAAAATGTGAAATGAAATGAAATGCAAAAAATATATATGTGATTTGAATTGTGTTAGTTTCTGACCATCAATAAAAAATCCAGGGGGAAATTACCGTAACCCATAATTTGTGCTCCTATTAAACAGCTCAATCTACCTCATCATCACATGTGGTGAGACATTAATTAAATAAGTGAGCCCCCCAGCCCCCAATTATATTATTAGTGACACCTTTTGGCTCATCAATTAAGTTGCCTGTCAATAGACAGGAAATTTTTCTCGCGAGAAAAATGCAGGGGGAAGGGCTCTGAAATTTGATAGCCATGGCCCCAGCGTCTTATTTTGCCCCCTTTTAGTTGGATAAATCATCGTTCGTCTTCTTTGGGGGAAAAATCAGCAAAAAAATAAAAAAGTTCTCCCCGGCCGGGAATTGAACCCGGGTCTCGCATGTGACAGACGCGGATACTCACCACTATACTACCGAGGACACGTTGGACGCAGGGGAAAATTGTTAAGATAAGGTTGATGCAAGTTTTTCACATATTCTGCGGGGGGGGGTCACCTTTTTGGCTAGAATAGAGCGTTAAGGGGAATAAGGTGCTCCTTAAAGGTTCCTAGACTCAACTTAGGCAGAATCGCCTTAAAATCTGCAAGAAAATGCGCTCTAACGCAAAAAAAACCACCTTTTCTACGTACAGTAGCCCTACTTAAAAGAGTCTCCACCAATTAATTTAAATTGTTCAAGTATCCGCAGGTGGCTTCTTTTTCTTCTCAATACCCACTTATCCAGTAGATTAACCGTATGTCGCGTGTCGGGTTTTTTTCAAAATAAAAACACATGTAACACACATTACGTCGCCAATTGTTTAGTTTATTATGATGTCTCTCGTTAAGTCCCACCACCAAAAATTTTTGGCCGGCCGGAAAATGTATAAACAACAAGAGACAAGGGAGCCAAATTCTAATAAACGCCACCAAGACGTATTTGTTTTGAGAGTCGGTTTTAAAGTGTTTTAGTAGTAGCAAAAAAGTAATATAGGAAAAATCCTTGAAGGCATACGTGGATTCACACTGATTGCGACACAAACCCCACGGGATACACTAACGAATATATGTGTATACACCATCTGACACCAATTTGTTCACCATTTCTTCTTCATGCACCATTAGTAAAGGAGCATATATAAATATAGATAGATAATGAGAATGAGAAGGGGGATGCCACCAAAAATCAAGATAAAATGCGGGTTTTTACATTAATTTTAACTCGATATGAGAGATGCTGGCTTAATTGTGCGCGAAAATGGGAAAAAGGGGGGTACTTTTGGGGGAGCTCAAAATCGATTCAGGTTTGGGGCTTTTTCAGACAGGGATTATTGAAATTTAAAAATTGGCCGAAATATTTGGGTGGCCGAGAAATGTCGGGAACTCGGCCAAGGCAGCAAACTCGCTCTAATATTTCGAAAACCGTTATTGTTGGGGCTCGTTTGTTGCGCTGGCCGAAGTCCCCACAATTCTCGGCCACCTATTTTTTTCAGAAAATTTGTTTTTTTTTAAGGATTTGAGGCGCCTTTGGCTAAAACATGAGCTAAGTTGATATCAGAATTATTTAAAACCTTTAGAAGCACCTTATTCCCGTTACGGCTCTTTTCGAGCAAAAAAGTGAACCCCCCCTCGCAGAATATGTACAAAACTTGGACAAAAATTTCTTAAGGAACATATTAATTAAAATAATGAAAACCGAAAATTGCTTGGATTACTGTAGGTATTAAAGGAACATACTGTTTATATGAAAACCAGGGGGACTAGGTTGACATTCTAGTAGCAAAACTGCTCAAAACCCCTTTCCGAGCAAAAAAGTGACCCCCCCCCCCCGCAGAATATGTGAAAAACCTTTATCAACCTTATCTTGAGAATTTTCCCCTGCGTCCAACATGTCCTCGGTAGTATAGTGGTGAGTATCCGCGTCTGTCACATGCGAGACCCGGGTTCAATTCCCGGCCGGGGAGAAATTTTTTATTTTTTTATTTTTTTTTTTTGGAAAATTGATTTCCCCTCTCAAATGTGTCACAATCCATCATCTTCTCTCCTTAGGTATATAAAATGTTTATATTCACAAAATTTAATATACCTTCTGGCCTCCTCGCAACATCTTTTGCAACATCTGGTAGTTAGATGAATTTTGACAAAAGAGGCGCCAGATGCGCCTACAAAAAAAATGGGGAGAGAAAATGAGAGACGACTTTATTACCTCCCCACCTTGTCTCTTGTCTCGTGCGCCATTTCACGGTGTTTTAGAGGAGCGAGAAATATTGAAACATTTGGGGGACCTTGACTTTTCTCTAGCAGCTGTCATGAAATTACCATAATCCCCCTTTTGTTTACCACCGACAAAATCTCCACAGGTGTTAAGCAAAAAAAATGTATCGTGCTCCAAATTGAGCCAGGGATCTTACATAATCTGGTCAAATTTCAAAAGTTCGAGAAGTATTTTTATAGCTCCCCCCCCATAAAAGGTAGTTGCGTAACCCGCCAGACCACAAATTCAATCCAGAAAAATCAAAAATCTGTCCAAAATCTTCAAAGGTACAGGCCCGCTCCGCGCTTCTAAATTCGGTATGAATATTCAACTGCATTTATAATCAGGCTAGAGAGTGTGCGGTTCGAGGAGACGCAGACGGTGGGAAGACAAAGGATGAGTCCATACGGTGATGGAAGATTGATTAGAGGCAGAGGTATTGCGAACGAGGAAAAACAACATAAGGCTGGGGGATTATCGGGAAGATCTCTCTTGGGGGACAGAAATCCATGAGTGGGGGTAAAGTTAAAGGGAGCTAGCTCAATTTTCCACCAAAAAAAAAAATAAACAAAAAAATAAAAAGTTCTCCCCGGCCGGGAATTGAACCCGGGTCTCGCATGTGACAGACGCGGATACTCACCACTATACTACCGAGGACATATTGGCCGCAGGGGAAAATTGTCAAGATAAGCTTGATGCGAGAAAAAATAGTTTTGTACATATTCTGCGGGGGGGGTCACTTTTTGGCTCGGAAAAGGGTTTTGAGCAGTTTTGCTACTAGAATGTCAACCTAGTCCCCCTGGTTTTCATATAAACAGTATGTTCCTTTAATACCTACAGTAATCCAAGCAATTTTCGGTTTTTCAAAATTTTCCAGAAAACGCGCTCTAATGTTTCATTTTCCTCAAAAAAAGGTCAATAGGCGGTAGTCATGTCCCTTTAATCATGCGCTAATCCAATAGCACTTCACTTCACCAGCTTAGGCTTTTTTGGGGCAAGAAAAGTGTAATATTGTTGTGTTCTTCTCGCATTTCGCGCACGCCCTTTTGAAAAGCGCCGCCTTTTCCTTAAGAAGAAGAAGAGATGCATTGGTACTTGACAGGCAGGTGCATCTGTCACCACTAAGAAGATTACTGTAGATGGGGGGGGGTGTTCTTGAGTACAATATTTTTTTATTTTTTTTTTCACAGGGGGGTCAGAACATTTAACATAAAAATTATTCCGGTTTCGATCTTGTCGCAAATTTTGGAATCTTCGATTCGAAAAGTTGTCCAAACACTGGATCTTCTACAGTATGATCTTCGTCATTTGGCATGATGTATCTGGAAAAATTGCGGAAGCTTCTGGGGGCATAGAACTCTACGCGCTGAGCAAAACACAATTTGGAGCAGGCGGTTAGCGCTCACATCTTTAATTTGAGGGTCGAGGGTTCGAGTCCGCCTGGGGGCTAATTTTTTTTCTTGATTTTTTTGTTGAAAAAATATTTGAAAAAAAATAGGCGCGATGCGGACTCGAACCCGAGACCCTCGAAACAAGAAGAAAAATGTGGAGCAGGCGGTTAGGGTTTATAGCTTCATTTTGAGGGTTGAGGGTCGAGGGTTCGAGTCCGCCTCGAGGCTAATGATTTTTTTTGTTCAAAAAAATTTTGCAAAAAAATTATTTTCAATGTTTTTTCTTGAAAAATTAAAAAAATATTTGAAAAAAATTATTTTCAATGTTTTTTTCTCAAAAAATATTTGAAAAAAATTATTTTAAATTTTTTTTTGTTTGAAAAATTAAAAAATATTTTTTAAAAATTATTTTCAATTTTTTTTCAAAAAAATTATTTTCAATTTTTTTTTGAAAAAAATATTTGAAAAAAAAAATTATTTTCAATTTTTTTGCTTAAAAAATATTAAAAAAAGTTATTTTCAATTTTTTTTTTTGAAAAAAAATATTTTCAATTTTATTTTGTTTAAAAATATTTGAAAAAAAAATTATTTTTAATTTTTTTTTGTTTGAAAATTCAAAAAAATATTTGAAAAAAAAAATATTTTCAATGTTTTTGAAAAAAAAAATCCACGTGAAAATTCAAAAATTCAAGAAATTTTGGCTGCGAACAATCCACGTGGAAAACTCAAAAAAAAATTCAAAAAAAAAATAGTTGCAATGCGGACTCGAACCCACCACCCTCGAACGGAAGGTGTAGACGCTAACCGCCTGCGCCACATTTTCAAAAACTGATTTTTCAGAGCTCATTTTCTCAGCTCCCCTTGAAGCTCAGCAGCTAATTTTTAGAGCATTTTGATCAGCGTGTCAAGTTCTATGAGCCACATACTCCAATCCAAAGATCTGATTGGTCTGATTAACAGGTCGATCGGTTTCATCATCATCGAAAAACAATTTGACAATCAGCGCCGCGCCAAAAATCACCAACCAAATGATGAAAAACGGCACACTTTGCTCCAAACTGCAAACAAACCGCAATTAGGGTTTCCAAATTTGTTTTGTGTTCCCCTTTTTCAAATTGTTGCCAATCACCTAATCTAACTACCAAAATGAGCCCAATATTGGCTCACAGGGAGACAAAAAGGATGACACAGATGTGGTCAGGAAATACGAGGTTCTGGTCTCTTCTCGAATCTAATTGCAATCTGAGACACATAAGTGGATTAGTAGCTGCAATATGGGCACACACTTTCAAAATTGTGTATGTTTTTAATATTAGGAGTAATAATTTTCCACAATTTTCCACAGGGGGACTTACGTTTGTTTGAAAGTCACGTCATTTTGACAGCACGCAATGATTCCGCGACTTTTACAGCAAGTTGAGCCGGATGAGCAGAGGTAGATGTTGGGCTGCAAGATTTTTGAGTCTGGGGGCTTTTAAAGGGACATACAGTATTCGGAAAATTTCAACAGGGTCCTGGAGGGATTTTGAAGGTGACTACAGTAATTTTGAGGTTTGAAGGGAGCTGGGGGCTTTGAAAGGTTGTGAGGAACTTTTAAAGGGACATACAGTACTTGAACAAGGTTCCCTTAAAAGGATCATACAGTATTTCAAAAATTCTTGAAGGATCTTACAGTAATCCTGTGATCTTTAAAGGGACCTGGGCACTTTTACCGTAATCTAGAAGCCTTTGGGGAATTTTTAAAGGGACATACAGTATTCGGAGAATTTCAACCGGGTCCTGAAGGGATTTTAAAGGTGCCTACAGTAATTCTAAGGTTTAAAGGGAGCTGGGGGCTTTGAAAGGTTGTGAGGAACTTTTAAAGGGACATACAGTACTTGAACAAGGTTCCCTTAAAAGGATCATACAGTATTTCAAAAATTCTTGAAGGATCTTACAGTAATCCTGTGATCTTTAAAGGGACCTGGGCACTTTTACCGTAATCTAGAAGCCTTTGGGGAATTTTTAAAGGGACATACAGTATTCGGAGAATTTCAACCGGGTCCTGAAGGGATTTTAAAAGTGCCTACAGTAATTCTAAGGTTTAAAGGGAGCTGGGGACTTTGAAAGGCTGTGAGAAACCTTTAAAGGGACATACAGTACTTCGAAAACTTCAACAAGGTTCTTAAAGGGACATACAGTATTTTGAGAATTTGAAAATTTTTTATTCGTTGAAAAAAGGTCCTGGAGGGATTTTTAAAGTGTCTACAGTAATCCTAACTTGAAAGCTTGTGAGAAACTTTTAAAGGGACATAAAGGTTTTTAAAGGAGCCTACAGTAATCCTATGGTTTAGGCGCCTATAAAGGTACATTGGAAGCTTGTGAGAAACCTTTAAAGGGACATACAGTACTTCCAGGGTTTCAACAAGGTTTTTAAAGGATCATACAGTATTTTGAAAATCTCCTGGAGGGATTTTTAAGGTGTCTACAGTAATCCTATAGTTTATTCGCCTTAAAATATCCTAAGGAAATGAAAACATGGTTTTTATGAAGCTGAAAATTCGAAAAAATCTGAACTTACAACTAATTTCCAGAAGCCAAAATTTGTGAATTTTCAAAATTTTCCAAAATTTTACCTGATAGGCTGGCAGAGAGCTGTTTATAATACAAGTCGACATTTTTGCTTAGAAATTTTTATATAAAAAAATTTTTTTTGAGAAAAAAATGTTTCAGAATCCAGGGAAACACCATGACTACCATAAAATCCTTCACATCAAATTTTTTTTGAAAATTTTTTTTTGTTCAAAAAAAATCCCGGGCGAAAATTAATATTTGTCGATTATTTATTAATCCTCACGCAAAGTAAGTGCTTGTTTTTCTTCTCCAGATGCTCCGCGAGCCGCACAAAATTAACATAAAAACACATGCATTTATTATAACTCGAGGAGATAGAGATACAACAAGTAGGGGTACAAAATGTACAAAATGTATCTAATGTCAAGTGTACCTGGCAGCTGTTAATTCAAGGACTCATCTTGTTTTACAAGATTGTGAGACAATTATACAGGGGGGTCTCTGGAAATTGGAGAAGCTTTGACCTGAGAATCCAAATCTGTCTATCACACCTTGCTATATGGATACATCTGTTACGCAAAATGATCAGATTACGCGAGACCCTCATCCAATTATCCGAGATTTGTGTGTTTATTTATTGGGGGGGGATTAGAGACAGTTTGGTAAGTAACAAATATGGAGGGGGGGGAACTTGGGAAAACATCTGGAGGGATTTTTGAGATTAGGAACAGCCCCGGAAAACGGAAAATCGGAAAATTTCCGGATTTTTCAGAACCGGAAAATTTGGACAGTCTGAAATTCGCGATTTTCAGCCTTAAATTGGCACTATTCATGAGTAATTTAGTAACTATTTGAGACGTTTCAAGTTCAAAAAATCGTAAAATTTGAAAAATTGAAAAAAAAATTCCAAAAATTTCATTTTTTTTTTCATAAAAAAAAATTCAAAAATTTCATTTTTTTTCATAAAAAAAATTTCAAAAATTTCATTTTTTTTTCATAAAAAAAAATTCAAAAAATTTCATTTTTTTTTCATTTAAAAAAATTCCAAAAATTTCATTTTTTTTCATAAAAAAAATTCCAAAAATTTCATTTTTTTTTCATAAAAAACATTCAAAAAATTTCATTTTTTTTTCATAAACTTAGAAAATTTCCCAAATTTAGGCAATATTGAAAATATTTCTAATAAAGATCGGAAAATTCGGAAAATCCGAAAATTCGGAAAATTTCCAGCACGCGCCTGGTTCGGAAGTTTAAAATTTGAAAAGTTTTTGAATCGGTGCTAAAAATAAATTTTGCCTCAATTTTTTTTTGAATTTCCAAATCGATCTACTCAAATCATGATGAAGTACGGTAGAACCTGCACATCTAACTCGAGAAGAAAATGGATGAGTTAGATACGCAGGTGGGTACGGTATGTTCCTTTAATCTGGCAATTCTGTGTTTTTTGGATTTTGAGACTCATTTTTAATTAAAACCCTAAATTTAAAAAAAAAAGGCTTCAAATTTTCTACACATTTTTTTTCCAGAACATTTTGTGACCCAATTTTTTTACAAGAAAAAACTTGAAGACTTCTGCTAACTTAGAAACTTTTTCAAATATTTCCAGATTTTCCGAGCCAATTTCCAAGAACCTCTAATCTTCTGCTGCAACAAAAACTCTCGAAAACACATATTTTATCGCAGCTTCTTCTTCCTCAATACCCATAAATCTACCCCATTATCTACCGTACCCCGCGCACTCTCTCTCTCTCTCCCTCTCAATTCCACACACTCTCTCTCTCTGGTGCCCATAAATTGAAACACATCGTATGAGAAACGAAACGGTGTTTTGGTGGGGCCTCCACCCAAAATTGCTCCCCAAGGTGTAAGTGAGAGGATATTGGCGAAGGAAGGCAGGCAATAAATCGCAAATCATGCACACCCCATGATATTCTTCTTCTTTGTCTCAAGGGGAACTCATATTATGATAATGAGCGGCGTTTTGATGTGATGCCGACTTAGGCGAACTTATAAAAAATGCGGGGGTTTTTGAAACAAAAAATAAAAAAAGTTTGCGCGCGGGTGGGGTCGAACCCGGGTATAGTGATTGCCAGGCGCGGGCGCTAACCACTAGGCTATGGTGCTGTTTTCTCTTCCCGTCTCAATTGTCATATTTAAATGGCGCGCGCTCACAATCAAAATCTGTTCTTTAAGTTAGTGGAACTCGGAAACCAACACATGTACATATATATATTTTGATTGATAAATGCAAATCCCGAGAGTCCTTCTCTCCTGGCTGCCAATCAAACACTTGCCACCGAAAACAATTTTGTCGGGGCGAAAAAGGAAAAGAGAAGGAAGGCACTTGTCAAATATCCACCTCAAACCTCACGGGAACATCCACCAAAAAAAAACAAAAAAGGTTTTTCGCAACATTCTTTTTCGAGGGGGGAAGTTAGAATAACTCTATATTTTTCCAAAAAAAAACATAATTAAATCTTCAGAATTCATCAAAAATGCTCCAAACCTTCGAAAATGAGCTGCAGGGCTCAAAAATCATGTCAGAAACCCAATTTTGGCTGAAATTGAGCTGAAAAAAGCTCCAGAGCCCAAATTTTAGCTAGAAATCATTAAAATTCAGGTTCAGGGCTCAAAATTCATAAAAATGCTCCAAACCTTCGAAAAATGAGCTCCGGGGCTCAAAAATCAAGGAAAAAATCGAATTTTGGCATATTTTTTTTAAAAATGTTTTTTTTGAATTTTGAAAAATGCAAAAAAAAATCCTGAAAAAATCTACGTTTCAGAAACTTTTCTAAAAAACCCAATTTTTATTTTTTCAAAAATAAATTCCAATTTTTTCCAGACACTTTGAAGTTCAATTTAAAATTTAAAAAATTGTCAAATCACATTCTAAAAATATATTTTAAATTTCTGAAAAAAACCCCTGAAAATCTATGTTTCAGAAAAATGAATGATTATTTTCAAAAAATTTTCAAAATTTTTTTTTAATCAAAAATAAACTTATTTTCAAAAATTTTCAAAAAAATTTTTTTTTGAAAACTTATTTTCAAAAATTTTCAAAAAAAAAAGAATTTCAAAAATTTGGGAATACTCAAATCCTTATTAAAAATGCTTCAAAATTTCCAGAAAAATTTAATTTTTCAAAAATCCTGGAAAATCTACGTTTCAAAAAATAAATAATCCAAAAACTACCGTACCTAACTTGTCCCCATGTATACCTAATTAGTAAATCTTTGTGTTCGCGTGTCATTCTAATACTTCCCCTTCCAAAACTACGGTATCTTTTGTCGGGGGAAACCCAAAAACACGACAGGAAATCTGCCCTTGTTGTCTATTCTATTCCACACTAACGAGCTATCACAAGGGAATACCGTAGACGACGAAATAGTATAGAAAATCAAAGAGACGGCAGACAAAAAGCAGTGTGTTGCTCATACTAAATAACCTCTATACACGCCAACAACACATCCTGGAATTCTTTTGAGTTGGTTTTGACCGAAAAATAGAGAAGAAGCTTGATTGGACTTGACTTAACTTCTTTTTTTAGTCACATGTAAAAAAAATTTGAGGGATTTTCTTTTCCAAAAAAAGTTTTTATAAATCAAAAATAAAAATTAATACAAAAAATGAATAGCTAAACTATAGTCTAGCTAAACATAGGTAAACCATAGTCTAGTTCAAAAATAGCTTGTAAACTATAGTCTAATTACAATATAGCTAAACTATAGTCTAGTTTATAAAATAGCTAAACTATAGTCTACTTCAAAATAGGGCTGAACTATAGTCTATTCAAAAATTAAAAGCTAAACTTATAGCTTTAAAATAGCTAAACTATAGTCTAGTTAATAAAATAGGGCTAACCTGTAGTCTAGCTAAAAAAAATTTACCTAAACTATAGTCTAGTTAATCAAATAGCTTGTAAACTATAGTCTATTCAACAATAAATAGCTTGTAAACTATAGTCTAGTTAATAAAATAGCTCAACTATAGTCTAGTCAACAACGAATAGCTTGTAAACTATAGTCTAGTTAAAATAGCTAAACTATAGTCTAGCTTAAAATAGATAAACTATATTTTAGTCAGCAATAAATAGCTTGTAAACTATAGTCTAGTTAAAAATAGGTAAACTATAGTCTAGTTTTAAAAAAATAGCTTGTAAACTATAGTCTAATTAAAATACAACTAAACTATAGTCTAGTTAATAAAATACAGCTAAACTATAGTCTAGTTTTCTCCAAAGGCCCTGTATCTACAATTGTCCATGTGATTTTTTGCAAAAATTCGGTGGAATATTTATCAGCGATGTGGAGGATTTTGGAAGTCCAGGAGTTCCATGTGAGATATTTGATGAGGAAGTAGAGCACTGGAAAATCTCTAGATTGCTCATGTTAAGCTTCAAAATTAGCTTTTGAAGTTTGAAGAGCATTGCTCATGTTAGATTTGAAAATTCAGAAGATTGCTCATATTAAAAATCCAGAAAAATTTGAGAGGAATTGCTCATATTAAACTTGAAAATATCATTGCTCATATTAGGCTTGACATATTCTAAACAAGAAATTTGGGGAGCATTGCTCATGTTAATCCAAAAAAAATCGAAAAAATTGAAATTTTGTTTGAAAAAAAAAATTGATTTGGGTTAACATGAGCAATGCTTCTTTACTTTTTTGTTTTAATAATGTCAAGCCTCATATGAGCAATCTAGTTTAATATGAGCAATGCCTCATAAAGTTTGCTGGATTTTTAATATGAGCAATGTTTTCAAAATCTAAATTTCTCTGAATTTTTCAAAGCTTAAACTGAGCAATGCTTCAAAAGCTAAAATCCTTCTCCAAAATTCTGAAGCTTAAAATGAGCAATGCTATTTTCTAGTTTAATATGAGCAATGCCTTTGCTGGATTTTTAACATGAGCAATCTTTCCGATATCCAAATTTCTCTGAATTTTTCAAAGCTTAATCTGAGCAATGCTTCAAAAGCTAAAATCCTGCTCCGAAATTCTGAAGCTTAAGATGAGCAAAGTAATTTTGTTTTCTAGCCTAACATGAGCAATAATTTTTCCCAAAAATGCCTGAAAGTTATAAGAACTCTTACCAATTCCACCCGCAAACATCGAAACTCCAATAATCGAGCTGATTGGATCTTGTTGAATCGGAATCACAAGCAAAGCAACATTTATAACAATATTCAAAATTGGCCAAAATATTGAATATTTTACAGCAGATGTTGCTACTGGCATATTCTTCCATTTAATTATGACCAAAATTATCAGAACAATAATTGTTGTGAGCAATCCGATGATTGTTAAATAATTTACAAGAGTATCGGTGTCACCCATGAATGCAAATGAGATTGATGTGAGGGTCTGGAAAATCTTACATTAGGTAAACTATAGTCTAGTTTGTGTGGAGAAAATTCAGACAATTTCGATGAGAATAAAAAATAAATAAATTCAAACCATGCGCGCAGCTGTCAACGCGGAGTCTCGTTGTTTTCATTTTTATTATTTCAGGGGGGGGTTAAATAGACTATAGTTAAACTAAGGTTTAACTATAGTCTAGTTTGATGAAAAAATTCAGAAGATTTCGCAACGTCAACGCGGAGTCTCGTTGTTTTCTTTTTTTTATTTTTGGGAGAAATTTTTGAAGAAGTAATCAATATTTCCAAAAGAAAACTGATTTTTCAATAGAAATTCTCTTGTTTTCAATTTTTTCATCGAAAAAAAATGATTTTGCTTAATTAAACTATAGTCTAGTTTGTGGAAAAAATTCAGAAGATTTTCCATTGAAAAAAACAAAAATTCAAACCATGCGCGCAGGTGTTAACGCGGAGTCTCGTTGTTTTTTTGGGGGGGGGGAATTTTTGAAGAAGTATTCAATATTTTCAAAAGAAAATTGATTTTTCATTAGAAATTGTGTTATTTTCAGTTTTTCATCAAAAAAAAAGATTTTTCTTAGTTAAACTATAGTCTAGTTTGATGAGAAAAAATTCAGAAAATTTGCATTGAAAAAAACACAAATTCAAACCACGCGCGCAGGTGTCAACGCGGAGTCTCGTTGTTTTTTTTGGGAAAAAAATATTTTCAAAAAAAAAATTTCAAAAAAAAAACTGATTTTTCTGTGGAAATTTGAATTAGCTTAGTTAAACTATAGTCTAGTTTGATGAAAAAATTCGCCGAAATATGAAAGCCCGCGCAACGTCAACGCGGAGTCTCGTTGTTTTCTTTTGGAAAAAATTAGAGAAGGTTAGAGACGTAGAGTCAGTCAGACGCGAGACGACGAGAGTATTTTGCAAAAATATCTTTTTTTGTGTTCCTTGAAACAAAGTACGGTATTTTTTCAAAGGGACACATATTTTCTCAAAAATATCTCGAAGCGATGACGTCATCAGACTCTCGTCGTCTCTCGTCTGACCCGAGGGGGGCAATTTTCTATTGTGGGGAGTAAATGGTAGTGAGAAGGTTAGAGACGCAGAGAGAGAGAGAGAGAGAGAGAGAGAGAGAGAGAGAGAGAGAGAGAGAGTGCAGAGAGAGTGCAGAGGTGGCAGACAGTTAGAGAGACGCAGACACTTCTCTCTCTCTCTCACATGAAAAAATACAGAAACTCTTGGACTATCATTATCCACGTGGATTAGACTGAAACACGTTGGCATTAGAGAAGGTTAGAGACGCAGAGCGAGAGAGAGAGAGAGAGAGTGCAGACAGTTAGAGATTCGAAAAGTTGAGGAATTAGACAATTAGAGATGCAGAAAAGGTTAGAGACGTAGAGAGATAATGATTTGGAGAGAGTGCAGAGAAGGCAGACAGTTAGAGACTCGAAAAATTGAGGAACTAGACAATTAGAGATGCAGAGAAGGTTAGAGACGTAGAGAGAGTGCAGAGAATTCAGACAGTCAGAGACGCAGAGACTCACATGAAAAAAGACCGAAACTCTCGGACTATCATTATCCACGTGGATCAGACTAAAACACGTCGGCATCATATTTCTCCTGGCGCCAGCCACCATATATCGACTCCAACTGAAAACATCGCCGTTCAACGTGCCGATCAGCAGAAATCCGACGACTGCCGGCACCGCGTACGCGGCATTATTGCCGACGGTTCGCTGAATGAAGGTCTGGAAGTTCTTAGTGGATTCTGGAGGTGGAAGAAGAGGAGAACTGACCGTGGCCACAGCATCTGAAGCGATGATTTCTTGCGGTGTGAGAATCGCGAAGTAGGCGATGTTCACACAGACATAGATCACGGCGGAGATCAAGAGACCGCCGAGGGATGCGCGAGGAAGAGTTCTGAAATTTTCAGAGAATTTTCAGGTGGATTTTGAAGATCTAGAGGATCTTGAACTTTCAATGAAAAATTCTCCTGAATTTTAGGAATCTTCTGAATTCCAAGATTCTGTAGAACATCTGTGAACATCTAGAAATTCGCTGAAAACTTCTAAACATCTAGAAAACTTGGAGATTTGAGGATCTTCTGAATTTTATGATTCTGAACCTTCAGAACCTTATAGATCTTCTGAATCTCCTGAACCTTCTGAATCTGAACTTTAGTAGAACATCAAGAGCGTCTGATGTTCTACTGATTTTGGATGGTGAAGATCTAGAGGATCTCAAGTTAAAGTTTCAATGAAAATCTGGATTTTAGAAATTTTGAATTGGGAAAACCTGGATCTCCTGAATTTCAAAGATCTTGATTTTCTGAATTTCAGGAATCTGCTGAATTCCCTGAACCTTCAGAATATCTTGAACCTAAATTTTCTGAATCTTGTGAACCTCCTGAAGTCCATAATTTTGAACTTTCAGATTCTCAAAGATCTTCTGAATTTCTCAAAACTTCTAGATCTCCTGAACCTCCTGAATTTCTTAAACCTGAATTTTCCGAATCTTAAAAATCTGCTGAACATACTTCTGTATCTTCTGAATTCCAAGGTTCTTTAGAACATCTGTGAACATCTAGGAGTTCGAAGGAAACTTCTAAACATCTAGGAAACTTGGAGATTCGAGGATCTTCTGAATCTCATAATTCTGAATCTCAAAGATCTACTGAATCTTCTGAATTTCTTAAATCTTCTTGATCTCCTCAATCTCCCGAATCTCCTGAACCTTCAGAATTTCTAGAGCCTTTCTGAATTTTTTTCTGAATTTTCTGAACCTTCAGAACCTCCTGAATTTCTCAAAGCTTCTAGATCTTCAGAACCTCCTGAATTTCATAGGCCCGAATCTTCTAAACCTCAAAGATCTTCTGAATCTCAGAGATCTTCTGAATCTCAAAGATCTTGTGAACCTCCTGAATTTCTCAAATCTTCTAGACCTTCAGAATCTCATGAACCTAATTTTTCTGAATCTCCTGAACTACCTGAATTCCAAGATTCTGAATTTCAAAGATTTGCTGAACCTCCCGAATCTCCCAAATCTTCCACCCCCAAAATCCCTCACTTCTCAAAATTCTTGATCTCAATCTCTTCCGTCCCATAATTCAACGTCGTAAATCCACCAAACGCCCAATTTCCCTGATAAATCGCCAACACAATTGCTCCCGCCTCAAAATTACTTCCTCTCATGAATTCCGCACCGCTATAATGTGCCGTGTAGCCTTTGAAAATCATGAAAAACGCGCCAATCGAAATAATTATCAATGTGGCAAAGATCTTCGAGCACATTGAGATGATTTGAATTTTTGCGGCGAATTTTTTCAGCGAAAACATGTTGGTGAGAGTTAGGAATACTGTAATGTTATATAAATTTTCTAAAAAAAAAAAAAAAAAAAAAAAATTTTTGAAAAAAAAATTTATATACCGTAGTTGTCTCTTCGCGACGAGACCCTATGTGTGTTTCAACTGTTGCGCCTTTCAAAAACTACGGTATTTTTTGTTTTTTTTCGGATTTTCGAGGTTTTTGCATGAAAAAAGGCAGAATGGAGATAGCCTAACTCTGTTTAAAGCAAGAAACACGATTTTATCAAAAAATGCTCCAAAAAATCGAATTTTTGCTCAAATAGAGCTGAAAAACTTGAAAATAGGCCAAATTTTAGCAAGAAATCATTAAAATTCAGGTTCAGGGCTCAAAATCCATCAAAAATGCTCCAAACCTTGAAAAATGAGCTCCAGGGCTCAAAAATCAGGGAAAAAACCGAATTTCGGCTCAAATAGAGCTGAAAAACTTGAAAATAGGCCAAATTTTAGCTAGCAATCATTAAAATTCAGGTTCAGGGGTCAAAATTCATCAAAAATGCTCCAAACCTTGAAAAATGAGCTCCAGGGCTCAAAAATCAGGGAAAAAACGGAATTTTGGCTCAAATAGAGCTGAAAAAGGCTGTAGAGCCCAAATTTTAGCGGTTCTCGGTTAAAAAAATCAAAAATTTACCTGCAAACCGAAAAACGAAACATTATATAGGAAAAAATGATTTTTTTTTCAAATTTGAAAAGTTGGAAAAAATACGTTTCAGAATAAACACAGGGTCTCGTCGCGAAACAACTACGGTATATAATTTTTTTCAAAAAAATATTTTTTTGCTTTTTTCACGTTTATTTCTTCGATTTTTCATGCAAAAACCTCGAAAATCCGAAAAAAAAACAAAAAATACCGTAGTTTTCGAAAGGCGCAACAGCAGAAACACACACAGGGTCTCGTCGCGAAACAACTACGGTATATAATTTTTTTTTTCAAAAAAATTTTTTTTTTTCTTTTTTCACGTTTATTTCTTCGATTTTTCATGCAAAAACATCAAAAACCCGAAAAAAACAAAAAAAAACCGTAGTTTTTTAAAGGCGCAACAGCTGAAACACACACAGGGTCTCGTCGCGAAACAACTACGGTATATAATTTTTTTTTTCAAAAAAAAAATTCTCACATAAAAGTCCGAATCCAAAAAATTTCCCAGCATCATCTCTTTGCTGATTGCTAAAGCAGAAGATCGGCTCCAACGCTTGAACAATATATTTCCCAAAAAGTCAGATATAAAACAGCTGCTGATGATGAACTTTGAATCAGAAGTGATAACCATAAGATCGAGAAGGCTATGGGAGTCCAGCCGAGGTAATCGATATAGGCTAACTCGGCACCGCTTTCTGGGATACTTGTGCCAAGTTCGATGTAGTTCTGGAATTGAAAATATATATTTTGATTTTGGAAATTCTGAAAATTTCAAGCTGAAATCCAGATTTTAATCACAGAAATTTAAAAATTTAAAAAAAAAAATTTTTTTTTGGGATTTAAAAAAAACTACTGTACGCAAAAGTGTTTGCACACACCAAATTTGAAGATTTTTAAACCTAGTTTAATATGAGCAATGTTTCTCTAAACCTAATCTGAGCAATAATATTTATTTTTCTTCAAAAAAAAAGGCTGTGAAAAATTGTACGCAAAAGTGCGTCGCAGTGTTTGCACACACCGTAATCCTTGAAGGCAATTTGAAAATTTTTAGCAAAAAGTTTCTAGAAAAAATTGGATTTTGGAGCTCTATAACTTGTATAATTCCAGGTTTTCAGAAAAATTTCAGCAAAAAATCAACTCACAATTGCAGTGATCATATTGAGCAACGCACAAACCACCCAAATAATAAGCGAGAGTCCAATTGAGCCGGCATGCTCCACAATTCCCTGAAAAAAATATTTTTTTTATTTTTTAAACCCAAAATACTATAAAATAACCTAAGAAACACTTAAAAAAACATTAAATTTGAGAAAAAATAAAGAAAAATGCGGAAAACAACGAGACTCCGCGTTGACACCTGCGCGCGCGCTTTGAATTTGTGTTTTTTTTCGTTTTTCAAAAAACTTCCATATTTCAGCGATAACTCATCGAAATCTTCTGAATTTTTTCATCAAACTAGACTATAGTTAAACTAAGCTAAATCTAGGATTTTTGCAAATTATTTGGAATTTTATTGTGCATTTTCCGATGGAAAACTCGAAAAAAACAAAATTTCCATTGAAAAAATCAGTTTTCTTCTGAAAATATTGAAGAACACAGTTTTTTCCATGCAAATTCTCATTTTCCCCGCGAAAAAATAAAAAAATGCGAAAAAAAAAAGAAAACAACGAGACTCCGCGTTGACGTTGCGCGCGCACTTTGAATTTGTGTTTCTTTTCGTTTTTTTTTAAACTTCCATATTTCAGCGAATTCTTATTGAAATTTTCTGAATTTTTGCATCAAACTAGACTATAGTTAAACTAAGCTAAATCTAAGGAAAAAAACAAAATTTTCATTTTTTAAAAAATGAAAAATTTCAAAAAACCAACCTTTGGCGCGATAAATATCCCACTTCCAATAATACTTCCAACAATATACGCAGTTGCTCCAATGAGCCCAATTTTATTATTTTCATTTTTGACCATTTTTGAAAATGGGCGAAAAATGAACTAATAATAAAATATGTACAAATATGTTTCTCTTATCTAAAAAATATTTAAAAAAAATTGTGTAAAAAATGGAATTTTTGTGCTTTCTTGAATGATCTTTGGAGTTTCAAAAAACAATTTTTTGAATTTTGGTTGAATTTAAAAAAATCTTAAAATCAATTTGAAATCCAGAATTTTGTGAATTTTCAAAAAAAAAATTTTTTTGTTGCAAAATTTTATAGTTATTACATCAGCCATTTATCAACAAAAATTGGAAAATCAAGGAATTTTTGAGCTTTCCAAAGACATTGCTCATATTATGCAAAAGAAACAACTCCCTATTTTCACGGTCATTTTTTGTATGTAGTTTGATCCCAAAAATTCTAGGTCAACTCAAATTCTCTGTATCTAGCTTGATCATTTAATTTTCTTGACTACACTCTAGCCAACGTAGTCTACACAATTTCGAATTTTTTCAAATATCTCCTCAATCATTTTTCAATTCGATCACCCCATTCCATATCCTCGAAAAATCCATCGCAACGATTTATATCGTCTTCTTGTATATATTTTTGTCTGACATCCCTCAACTCTCCTCATTCTCCACACTCTCTCCCACAAGGTGTCTTCTCAGAATGTCCTCGGTTTTATCTTGTTCTTCATTCATTCAGCAGCGGACGACGACAAAAAAAAGAGAAATATTTTTGGTATTATTATTATTGTTGTGATTTTGAGGATATTGGATTTTCCTTTGATTTGATTTGAGGAAGATGCCATTTTCACTTTGTGCATTGGTGAGTTACAGGGAAAAAAAAAGAAAAAAAATTGTGCTCTGGGTGGGGGTCGAACCCGGGTGCTGCAAAACCAGCGCGCGCGCTAGGCACACGTGTTGACCACTCGGCCATGCAGCTCTCTTTTTTCGGTGTTGAAAATGTTGCATATAAAATGCGACCAAAATTTTCGGACCGTCTTTTTTTTTGAGAAGAAAAATTTCGAGAATTTTCTGAGAGAAAGGAATTCGCATTGTTTGATCTAGAAAATGATTTGATTGTGAATTAAAGTGACGTCAGAAAATTGGAAAAAAATATGTTTCTTGATTTTTTCAGTTTTGCAAAATTTATTATCTTTTCTCGACCTCCTAGATAAAAAAAATGAAAAAAGGTTCCAGATAAAATGTGGAACTGTTTTTTTTTTCAATTTTTGATTTTTGGTTGAAAATTTTTTACAAAAACATTATTTTTTCATTTTTCAATATTGAAAAAAAAAACGTTTTTTTTTTGAAAAAAAAATAATAAAAAAACATTTTTTGACAAAATTTCATTTTTTCCACACAAAAATGAAAAAAATATTGTTTTTTTCTGAAATTTGTGTAAATTTTAAAACTCTTTGTTTGAAAACCCCTCGAAAATATAACTGAAAAATAAGGTTCCAGATAAAATCTGGGCATTGTCCACTTCTTTCTCGTCCATATTAAAAAAAACCTCAAAAAACCCTGGGTCGTTCAAAAATTACACAAAAACCGGTTATTTTCAATTTCTTCGTGAATCCTCCTCGTTTTTTCCTCAGCCAGTCATTTTCTATTCTATTCTCATTTCGAATTTTATCGATTCATTTTCATTTTTATTCCGGAAAATTCTCAATTTCTCCCGTTTTATAGACATTTTTTGATACAAAGTAAGTAAGTACAAAAAACCGGATTCTTACCTAAAAAATAAGAAAAATGGGACGAAAACAACAAAAAATCTATCATTTCTCCGTAAACTAATTGAGAATGGTCGAATTTTCCGACGATTTGTTGTATTTTCACGAATTTGATGTGATTGTGAGGATTTTTTCACTACAAAACTTCAATTTTTCAAAATTTCAGCGAAATTTGAGCATGGGCCTGTTACGACCATCGTTTCAAGAACCGAATGCGAGATTGATGCCTGGACCAGTGGTGAGTTTGGGGGGAAAAATTTTAAAAAAAAAGAAAAAAATACAAAAAGCGCCGGGTGGGGGTCGAACCCGGGTTATGCAAAACCAGCGCGACTCCTCGGCACACGTGCTATCCACTCGGCCATGCGGCTCGTTAGTTTCGCTGGGGAAAATGTCGCATATATTATCGAAAATCTCATCGGTACTCCACGCGCTCCAATAAACACGCAACCAGGCTTGTGCGGAAAATAGGTTTTCGGAAAATTTCGGAAAACCGTGTTTTTCCGAATCCATCCGGTCGGAAAAAGTTTTCCGAAGTTATTTTCCGACTTTTTATTTTCGGAAAAAAAGTTTTCCGACTGTTTTTTCCGACTCAATTTTTCGGAAAATCGGAAAATTTCGGAAAAAATTTCAATAAAGAAATAATAGGCATATTTGTTGGTTGTTGAGTAATGTTGAAGTAGTTTCAACAAATTCGGCAGTTTTCACGATATTTTGTCACTTTAGTTAAATATTACTAACAAATTCCTATATTTTTCACAATTACCAAAATTATTTTTCGATAAAATTAACAAAAATTCCTGAAAATCACCTATTTTTTCACTTTTTCGGAAAATTATTAGTCTCGGAAAATTTTCGGAAAATAATTTTTTCCGAAAATATTCATCGGAAAAATTTTCCGACCAAAAGTTTTCCGAATTTTTCGGCCGGAAAATTTTCCGACTCGTATTTTTTCCGAAATTTCCTCAAAAAAGTCGGAAAATCGGAAAACGCGTTTTCCGTTTCCGCACAAGCCTGCACGCAACGCAGACCGCGTCGCGCCACAACACACACAAATAAGGGAACAACTCAAATTTTTTCATGATTTTCCGCTTCAGAAAGTCAATTTTCATAATTTTCAGCTTCAGAAAGTCAATTTTCATAAATTTGAGCTCAAAAATATCAATTTTCATGATTTTCAGCTTCAGAAAGTCAATTTTCATGATTTTCAGCTTCAAAAAGCTCAATTTTCTTAAATTTGAGCTCGAATGAGCTCCACCGAAATAAACACGCAACGCAGACCGCGCCGCGCCACAACACACACAAAAAAGGGAGGGAATTTGAATCGTTCCCTTATTTGTGTGTGTTGTGGCGCGGCGCGGCGCGGTCTGCGTTGCGTGTTGAGCGCGTGGTAGAGATGAGATTTTCGATAATAAAATGGGTGAAATTTTTTGGAAGATCAAGAATTTCCAGACATCCGAAGAGGAAGAAGAATCATCATCAGAAAGACGTCGATACAAAGCCTACACAGTGATGCAAAAAGCCGGTTTCCAACACACTGAATACGCGCAAATAATGGTTCACCTATGTCGCGCCGAACTTTTTATATCTCTAATCTTCCTAGCTCACGGCACAACATGCCCCGGTTATCCCAACGAAGCTGAATATCAATCCACGTGTCATATGAATACAGTCTCAGCGATTGTTGGTTTAATAACAGGGGCTCTTGGCCTAGGAGCAGTTCATAGATATCGATGGCGAACAATGCTGATATTATGGCTGGTTTTTTGTATAATGAGTTCGGTTGGAAGTTTGTTGGCTGTGATTACGACTGGCATTTGGTTGGATCATTATAGTAAAATGAAAGTTAGAACTGGGTTGGGAAATGGGTTGAGTGGATTTATGCTTCTTGGAAGTGTTGCGTTTGGAGTTTGTTTTATTTTGACGGCGGTTATGATTTGTCATTATTGGAATTCGCATTCGACTGGATATCAACCGGTTGGCAAAATTGCGGTGGGTTTTTGAAGTATTTCACGAAAAAAACCGTTTTTTAACGTTAAAAAACCTTCACGAACGATATTTTTATTCATTTTTTCACCATTTTCTCAACACATTGAATAAAGTGAAGCTAAAACGCATTTTAGTGTCCAGAAATGATATTTCAAGACTTTCTAATTCTAATGAGCCTAAAAGACAAATCAAAACCTCCCAAAAAATCAACAATTTGGCTTGATTTGTCTTCTAGGCTGATTAGAAAGTCTTGAAATAGCATTTCTGGACACTAAAATGCGTTTTAGCTTCACTTTATTCAATGTGTTGAGAAAATGGTGAAAAAATGAATAAAAATATCGTTTGTGAATCACTTTTTTGGTTTTTTTTCGTTAAAAAACGTTTTTATTTCGTGAATCACGCATAAAATATGTTTTCTAGTCTAATCAGGATCCCAAAAATTGCAGAACTCAAGATGAGTTATGACGTGGCAAAATTTGGGACTTTGGAAGGTCAAAACTAGCTTTCAAAATGGTTTTCATGAAAATCGGATAGCATATGGATGTTCAGGAGGCTCTATTGCATAAGTTCAGAACTACTTTTGTTATCGAGCCTTCAGAACATCCATATGCTATCAGATTTTCATGAAAACCATTTTGAAAACTAGTTCTGACCTCCTAAAGTCCCAAATTCGCCACGTCATAACTCATCTTGAGTTCTGCAATTTTTGGAATCCTGATCAGCGTGAAGAAAACATTTTTTTTGAAATTAAAAATAATTCACGTCATTTCGCGTGACCTGATAGATTAAAGTTGCACCTCCCGGTTCTCCTTTGCTTGATATTGCAAGGAGGTTGACTTCAAAGATGGCAGTGGATTTAAACCACTAGCAAGGCAAAACAACAAAAACACGGATTTTAGGCCAAACTTTATGTTTTTGACCAAAATAAACAATGAAAATACAAATACAACTTCACGAGGAAGTGTATCAATAATAATAAGTGATGAGTTAATTAATTAACACAGAGAATTCCGAGAATTCCCTGTGAAAACAACAAAAACCTAGAAAAACACAAAAACACAAAAACGAAACTAAATATTTTGAAATGCACGTGGAGAGCGCACACACACACAAAATACGTCAATCTTTTACAAGATGGCGCATTTGCGGTGCACATCCTCTTGAGGATGACTTCCCCCTCAAGAGGTGCCGCCACGGTACCTATGACAAAACAATTAAAAACCTTGATCGATTGGATGTTGTTTGGAAGAAGCATATATGCCCAATTTGTTTCGCTTCAACATTTGAATATGCTCAATATACTTTGGCGATATGCAACCCTCATAATCTACACTTTTGACATACACCATATTGCAATTCTTCTTCATCTTTCTTTGTCCCTTTCCAGTTTTGGCTTCTTCCAACTCGATCATCTTCTTTCTCCATTTCAATTCTTCGAATTTCAGCGAAATTTCTACGAAGTATCATTCCAACACTAATTTCTTCTTTTCCCAATTTTCGATCTTCATAACCATTTTGAACTTTTGCTTTTCCATTTTCATTCACTTTTCGCTCTTCTACTTTCTTCTTCTCCGTCTCAACTTCAAACAAAGTGTCACAAAGGACATTTCCCATCCAAACTTCATCGTTTTCCAATTTTCCATTTCGATCCTCATCTTCAACATTTGCCATTTCACCTTCTTCAACTTTTCTAACTTTTCTCTTTTCATTTTCAGATTTTTCGACTCGATCTTCTTCAACGTTCGACGAACCATTTCTGGAAAAATAATCTGATTTCACATAATTTCCCAATTTTCCCTTTTCTTTCAAATCTTTCGCTGCGCCTGTTTCACACTTTTTATCCAAATTTCCCAATTTTCCAGCATTTTTCTCATTTTCTCCCATTTTCTTTTCACTATCAAATCTCAAATAAATTCCAAATGTTCCAAAACTTTCCAATCCAAGAATCAACATATCTTCCCAACTTTGAATAATATGGAATTTCACAACTTTCTTCATATTTCTGATCTCAATCTCAATGCTCCAAACTCCAATAACATTCAATCTCTTTCCACTGCAATCATATATTGAACTTTTCGCATTTTCTTCTTCCAAAATGAATTTCTTCCAATTTTCAACATTTCTCTTCAATTTTTCCAATTTTCCCGTTGAAATCACATTAACCATTGCTCCACTATCAATCAAAATTGTCGCATATTTTCCAAATATCTTCACATTTTCCTTCATATCTTCCCATTTTCTTCCTCTTATGGTGTTAACCTTCTTGGTTCCCGAACATTTAACAGCAATGTGTCCTTCTTCACCACATATAAAACATTTTCTCAAATCTCTTCCATTTTCTGATGCTGATTTTCCATCTTTTTTTCTCTTCCGATTTCTTCTTTTCATCCTTGTACTTGTTTCTCTCCAAATCAAATTCAAATTGCAAAGCCGCAGCTTTCAACTTTTCATACTGGAATCCGTCCTTCTCATCGTTCTTTTTCACCGCCAAAAGTCCCAATAAAGTCGGATTTCGCTTCGCAGCTTGCAATAACTTCGCCGTTTTGAAAATATCAACTTCCTCTCTCGACGAAGAAAATGCTTCTTTCGCAAGCGAATCAACAACGATAAGATAACCTTGGAGCGACTGATCTTGACGAATTCTCAAATCTTGCCATTTTTCGACTGCTCTTCCTCTTTGACTTGTTCTTGATGCATTCATCGCTTTCTTGAATTTTTCAACAATTTCTTTCCATGTCATTTCTTCTTTCAATTCAATCGTCTCAAATAACTTTTTAGCTTCTCCACGCAAAAATTTTGCCTTCATAACAGCTGCCATTTCCATTGAACTTTCCATATTCTGCTTATATTTCATCTCAAACAAACTCAAGAAATCATCCAAATTTTCTTGCGGTTTTCCATAATAAATTTCAGGATCTGGCATCGTCGAGATCTTCATAAATCTTGCCACGTTCATAAGTTCTTCTCGAACACTTTGTCTTGAACCTGAACTGCTCGATTTTCCCGATTTTTTGCCCCGACTACCCTCTTTTTCAACAATTTCCGCTTTTTCATCTCTCAAATTCTCAATATTTCCCGCTTTTTGCTCTTTCACCCATTTTTCAACTCTTTTCTCTTTGACTTTTTCAGTATTATCGCTGCGCGAACTTCCCAAACTTTCTGACTTACAAATTTCCATACTCTTCGTTTCTCTCACAGTTCCCATCTTCAATATATCCTCAACTTTTTTCATTGTCTCATCCATTTCATTTCCATCATCAACAATATCCAAATTCATCATTCGCACACTCGGCGTTGGTGACAATTCTCTTTTTCTCTTTTCCTCATTCTCCATTTTCAGTTTCATCATCAATTCATCTTTTTGTTCCATCAATACCATCATCTCTTCGAATTTCTGCTCATATCTCTTCAATTTTTCGTTTTTCTTCCAAATCTCTTCCTCATTATTCTTCAACTTTCCATTCAATTCTTCAACCTGCAAAATAAACTTTTGTCTTTCTTCTTTGACATTTTTCTCAATGTTTTCAAGTTTCTCACCATTTTCTCTTTCCCAAATAACCAACTCGGTTCCTTTCTCCATCAATTGTGCCAATTTCTTCACATTGGTCTTGTTTCCTCTTCTCAAATATCGCAAACATCTCATTTCATCCCGATTTGGCATTTGCGCCCACTTTTCCTTGACCATCCCGCGCAAATCCTCTACTCGTTGTTCGACTTTCTTCATCAACGGATTCAATACGACATCCGCTTGTCTTTCACTCAATTTCCATTTCTTCGCATCTTCTCGAGCTTCTTGTGCAATCATAATCCAATCCGCTGCTTTCTCATCAAACATCATACCAATATCCTCCTCATGTCCCGTTGAATCCTCCAATCCACTGCTCACTGATCCGATATTCTGCATATTTTCGCTTGCCGCAGCCATTTTCGATGTCGAATTCTCCACTAGTCCAAAATATCCAATATCCTTTTGACAATCGAACAATTCCTTAACTCCAGTCCTGAAACTAGGAAAGGATCACTAGGAACGTGTTCAAAAATCAAAAAAATCGACGAATACACGAAGTTGAATGAATTTGGGGTTGTGGTTGGTTCGGCCCCCAAGTTGCACCTCCCGGTTCTCCTTTGCTTGATATTGCAAGGAGGTTGACTTCAAAAGATGGCAGTGGATTTAAACCACTAGCAAGGCAAAACAACAAAAACACGGATTTTAGGCCAAACTTTATGTTTTTGACCAAAATAAACAATGAAAATACAAATACAACTTCACGAGGAAGTGTATCAATAATAATAAGTGATGAGTTAATTAATTAACACAGAGAATTCCGAGAATTCCCTGTGAAAACAACAAAAACCTAGAAAAACACAAAAACACAAAAACGAAACTAAATATTTTGAAATGCACGTGGAGAGCGCACACACACACAAAATACGTCAATCTTTTACAAGATGGCGCATTTGCGGTGCACATCCTCTTGAGGATGACTTTAAATCTTCATTTTCTGATTTCTCATAATTCATTTCCAATTCCAGAAACGCTCGCGATCTCTTCGCCGTCGTTTGAGCCGCGCAAAATCATGCGACAAACCCAAAGATGCTCGCCCGCCAACTTCAAATCCATCCGACAAAGGATATCACATTGTCTAGGAACCTATTTCATTCTTGTTTCATTCCACGGGTCATAAAATAAACATTTATTAATTGAAGCTTCTTTGTTGCACCTGATTTGATGTGAAATTGAAATTATGACCCGATTTCCCCAAACATTTCACAATTTCGCAGATATTTGTGACGTCATCGATTCCACTGTGATGGCGACCCTGAAAATGCAGAATTTTTGGGTTATTTTCCTCTTGATTATATCTAAAAACCGAAAAACCTCAAATTTCAATTGATATATTTCTAGAAGATGTTTCATACTTCTTGCAAAATGTCCCGTATGTTCTGCATATGCTTTTTTAACATTTATCCAATTTTTGAGATATTCCGGGATTTCCAATTGTTTATATTCGGCTTCCAATGGCAAAGCAACTTTCAAATCCCAATCTCCACAAGTTACCATTGCAAAATTCGTCAAATCGTCATCTTCTTTTATCCAATCATCGAAACTTTTCAAAACTTCTTCTAAATTTTCTTGACCATCGATCATTTCTTGAATTATTCCTGTCAAATTCGTGCAAAATGTGGAGATTTTCGGGTTCTCAGAGGGTTTGACATATTTGTGGAATCTTCGGATTTCTTGCCAATTTGAAGTTTTCAGTTGCACCACGGGGAACTCGATGATTTCCTGTTTAAAATATATTTGAGAAATATTTATTTTTTCTTTGCTTACCTGCACTGGATAAATTGGCCCAGGTTCACATGTCGCTTCAAAATCAAGAACCAACAAATAATCAAAGTTTTGTCGAATTTCCATTGCTTTTTTTGAAGGTTTTCGGAAAATCGGATATTTTGGCGGTGTTTTCACCTCTCTTGATTTCACAATCCGAATATCTTCGACAAAACTTCCCCGTTTGCTTGCCAAATATCGTCGAGCAATTGTATTCATCCAGGAAGACGAGGAAATTTGAAATTCCGCAAAAAAATAATTTTCAAACGCGAAATAAAAAGAAAAAATGCAGCGTCATTGGCGGAGTATCGTTGTTTTACTTTTTTTTATTTTTTGCGAACTAGTATTCTCCAAGGGAAAAGCGACATTGGAGAGATTCTCAGGGTTCCCATATGTTATACTTTAAACGTGTCCGTTTCTAAAATCTGGGGGGGGGGTTCCCAATTTTAAAAATCCCCAGAAATTTCTTCGCGAAAACACACAGCGCGTATTTCGCGTCAAGGTTGCGCGTAGGATTTGGTGTTTGCGGGCAGTCGGTGTTGACATACACTCTTATTTTTTCCGTTCTTTCTTTAGGTTTGGGATGTTTTTCATCTTTTTCCTGGTAACCGCAGTTATTCTATTTGGTGTTCTTATTGCAACTGCTTATTTAACATTTCTTGTACGACATTCGAATCATTCCAACAAGAACAAAGAGAAAAAACATGAGGTAAAAGGGGTTTTTTTGAGGTTTCAACGAAAAATCTTATTTTTCAGGTAAAAACTTTGGCAGTTCTTGGATCTGGAGGGCATACAACAGAAATGCTCGGATTGATTAAAGAGTTAGGCTCAAAATATAAAAATCGTGTGTATATAATTGCGGAAACGGATAAAATGAGCGAGGAAAAGGCTCGAAGTTTGGATGGGGAATTTTTTGAAATTCGAAAAAATTCCAAGAAGTCGAGAAGTTGGTCAATCATACATTTCATCAATTTTCTCAACAATTTATGCAACATATTTTGCATTCGAAGTTGTCTACAGAAATCGGTGAGTTTTTCAAAAATTTTACTGAAATTAAAGAATTTTGCAGACCAGATCTAGTTCTTCTCAATGGTCCAGGAACTTGTATTCCAATCGCATTCGCTGCCGCATTTTTTGATTTGATTCGCATTTCCGACACAACAATCATTTATGAAGAATCGATTTGTCGAGTCAACAAACTTTCAATGTCCGGAGCAATTTTGTATTATTCGGGACTGATTGATGATGTTTTGGTGCAATGGCCTGGTTTAAAAGCTAAATATCCAAGATGTACATATATTGGAGATTTGAAAACTTGTGAATAAAATTTTTTTTTGGGAAATGTTTATTACGTTTTCATTTTCGAATTTTTCTGTTTCAAAAAAAAGACTGCTTTCACGTATTATTTTATTTTAAACGTGACCTTTTTTATGATGACGTCACCTAACAAGAAGGATTTTCATTTGAAATTATAACGTAGCCATTTTTGAAAAAATGAATAAAATCCTAATATTTTTATTCATTTTCGTTTTCATTATTTATTTCGCGCTATTTTCAAAATCTATAAACTTGAAACAAAATTCAAGAAATATTCAAAAATTAATTGAAAACGAAACTGATGATTGGAATATTTGCCATTTTCCAAAATATGATGCATGGGATGATGAAATTATGAAGGTTGGTTTGGAAATTTTTCAGATTTTTTTGAATATAAAATATGATTTACTTAAGTTCATTGATCCGGATTCGAATTCAATTAAAAATTGCGACAAGAACTTCGAAATTTTGACTGAATTGAAGAATTCTACTTGGTCTTCTTCTACTTCTTTTATGAATGAAGAAAATTGTCGAGCAAGGTGAATTTTAATTAAGGAAACACCCTTAAGGTCATTTCGAAATGTTTCCATGCATATTTCGGTTAAAAAAAACAAAATTTCCACTGAAAAAACCAATTTTCTTCTCAAAAATATTTAATCTCAGTGTTTATATTTCTTAATTTTATTTTTTGCATACCCAGAAAACAGTTTTTCCATGCAAATTCTCAGTTTCCCCGCGAAAAAATAAAAAAAATGCGAAAAAATAAAAAGAAAACAACGATACTCCGCGTTGACGTTGCCAGCGCGCGCGGTTTGAATTTGTGTTTTTTTTTCGTTTTTCAAAAAACTTCCATATTTCAGCGAAAACTCATCGAAATGTTTTGAATTTTTGCACCGAACTAGACTATAGTTAAACTAAGCTAAATATATTTCAGATGTCATAGATTCAAATCAGAAACGGAAAATTCGGTAGATAATTGGACAAATCAAACAGGCCCGGTTGATTGTGAAATTTTGGAAACTGTTTGTTCGGATGAAAATGGTACAGATATTTATGGATGGTTGCATAGTCAGATTATTGAAACGTAATTTTTTCCGGAATTTTTATGAAGTTTTCAGTAAAACCCTTTTTTAGACCTTTGGAACCACCGAAGATGAATATTTCCGGATTAAAACAATTCGATGTGGTTGTAATAATGATTGATTCATTATCATATACACAAGCAATTCGATCATTACCAAGAACCCTTTCATATTTCAAAAATCATTTAAAAGCTGTCGAATTTCCATATATGAATAAAGTTGGTGAAAATAGTCGACCAAATGGTGCTGCTTTATGGTTTGGAAAATCAATGTTGAAATTAGATCGAAGTTTTTTTAAAGAACCGATTATTAAAGAAGATTGGAATGATGATTATTTTTGTGATGTTTTTAAAGATAATGAAACTCATTTATTCAGAGAATTCAAAGAATATGGATATAAAACAATGTTAGCTGAAGATTGGGCTGCTGGACTTATGACTTATCCAAATTGCAAAGGATTTAGGCATCAACCAAGTGATCATTATATGAAACCATTTCAAAATGCCTATGAAAAATATGGGGAAAATTTGACGAAGAAACATTTGAAAGGAAAATTTTGTAGAGAACATCATCACTCACTTTTAGATTATCTACAACAATTTCAAAATTCTTATGAAAATATTCGAAAATTTAGCTGGATTTGGGCAATTGAACTTGGTCATTATTATCAGAATTCAATTTTCCATGCAGACAGGGATTTTCATAAATATTTGATGGAAAATCGTGCAAAACTCGAGAATTCTTTTGTATTTTTAATGGCTGATCATGGATTTCGATATGGAGATATTCTGGATACAAAATTGGGGCGAATTGAGAAAAATAATCCGCTGACAGCGATTTCGATTCCGAAAGAATTACGAGAAACTACAGAGATTTTGGAAATTATGCGAGAAAATTCGAGGAATTTACAAACACATTATGATACAAGAGCCACGTTTTTGGATATTTTAAAGGTAGGTTTTGAAGAAATTTGGGTCTGAAAATGATTTTTTTGACAATTTGGCGACTGCAAATTATTTATTGAACATTTTGCGGTCTGCAAATAAAACGCCAGCTAGCTCAGTGGTAACACCCTTGTTTTTGAATCAGAGGGTGGCGGGTTCGATCCCCCATGCAACCTATTTGTTTTTTTTTATTTTTTTAAATTTTTTTTTTCAGTATCAATCAAAATCTGGATTTTCCCAAACCCAACCGCTAAACATTCCCGGAGAAAAAGGAAATTCACTTCTTCGACACCAGCCAAAAGATTTTCGAAATTGTCAAACTTTGCCTATCCCAAAGGAATTTTGTATTTGTCAATTTGAAACTTTTGAAGCAGACAAGTCAGTTTTTTCTTCATTAGAACCAAAAAAAATGAGAATTTTCAGCACTACAAAATTAGCTAGAAATGTTGGTTCAAAAGTTATCGAAGAGGTGAATTTGAAATTGAATGAAAGTGGGTTTTCGGAAAAATGTGTTGAAATGCAATTGGAAAATGTGACATCTTTGATACAATACAAAAATCAATACAAAGGTTCAATATTATATACAGTAACAGTTTTGGCGAAAAAACCAAGTGAAGCGATTTTTAAAGCGAATATTATTGTGAATAAAGATTCAGATATGGAATTATTAGGAATTATTGAACGAGTTTCGAAATATGGAAAAACTGCAGATTGTATTGAATCGGAAATACATCGACCATATTGTTATTGTCGCGAACAGAAATAATTTTTTTGTTTTTTTTTAATACAATTTTTATAATAAATAATTTTTTTACTGCAAATTATTTATTCGAGATTTGCGGTCTGCCAGGAAAACGCCAATTAGCTCAGTGGTAAAATCTTTGCTTTTGAATCTGAGGCACTCGGGTTCGATCCCGCTCGCAAACATGAATTTTTATTTTTTCTCAAAAAAACATAATTTCCATCAGTTTTCTCCTGAAAATATTGAAAATTACTCAGAAAATAGTTTTTTTTCATGCAAACTCCATTTTTTCTCCGAAAAAACGAAAAAAAAAGAAAACAACGAAACTCCGCGTTGACGACTGCGCGCGCGGTTTGAAATTGTGTGTTTTTTGCTTTTTTTTGCTGAATCGAGCTAGAAAATAGGAAAACTAAGGCAATTTCAAAATCCAACAATTGTATTTCACTCAATATTTGTATTCCGTCGAATTTGAAAAACTTGATGATTATTTGTACTCGAATTGCTCATTGAACCACTTTGTTTCCATTTGAAGCGATCACGGATTGACTGAATTAATTTCGATGTTTTTTTTTCGTCGAAAAATCAAAAAGCCTACCCGAACTGAAAAAATGATCAAAATCGGATTGATTGCCGGACACCAGGAGAATAAAAATGGTAAATAATTGGACATTGTTGCATTTTCCAAATCGATGAATGGAAGAATGAAGCAAATATAAAAAGGGATATGAATTGTTAAAAATGGCAAAGCGAATTGAAGCAGCAAAACTCGATTTAATTGTTTTTGAGCTTTCAAAGAGTTAACACTTTGTAATTTTGCTTTCATTAGAAATTCAATTTGAAATCGACTTATGATAACTATTATAACAGCAAGAAGTAGAACTGTGAGTATGAAAATTGTGCAAATCAATGAGGAAAAATCTATTCTATATGCTCCAGAAGTTATGCTATATGCCTGAAGAAACTTTGAATTTTAAAATTGAAAAAAAAGTATTGATTACATTCATTGGGGCGATGAGAAACGCGGCATCACCTTCACCATTAATATAATAAACAATGTTCAAGGAAATTTTGAGATCATAATCTGAAGGGATATATCCAATTGTGACTAATATAGCTGTAGGTATTGCGATTGATACAATTATTAAATTTGTGATAATAGCCATTCGATCTTGTGAAATTCCGGATCTGGATTTAAAATTAATTGTAAATTTTGAGTGTTTTTATATGCGTAATTTTCGACAAAAGAAAAAAAGAGCACCATGGCCGAGTGGTATGTACGCCTGCCTAGCTTACGCGCCGCTTTTGCAGCCCCCGGGTTCGACCCCCACCCGGCGCACAATTTTTTTCTTTTTTTTTTTCTTCAAGACTCACGATTTTAAAAGCTGTGCAACTTGAATATATTGAATTGTGGGGTATAAGCAAGAGATCACGACAAAAATCAAAAATAGAATCAGCAGAAATTGTCCGAATAAAAATGGAAGTTGTATTCCACCCTTCACAATATACAAATATTTGAATTTTGAAACATATTGAAGGGTCTGAAAAAAATTCCTTTTTTGGTGGTTGAGCACGATTTTTATAAATTTTACAGGTGAAGTTAGCACAACTATTAGGCTAAAAATGAGGCGAGTGATACAATTGGAGTATTGCATTTTTCGCACAGAGTCGGAGAATATTTTGACTTTTGACGTGGCGATGAGAAGTGCACAATTTGCGATGAGAGAAATGACTCCAGCTAGATAACTGTTGAGTTCGTCTTGGTTGGAAATTGCCATATTTTTAGCTGAAATGATTTTTTTTGCAAATCACATTGCTTAAATTGAGAAAAAACGATCATTGGTTACTCAAAAGTACTCTGAAAATGTACTGGATTATTTTGAGAGCAGGGAAATCATAAGACCGATTAGACAATGATTTAAAAATGCAAATGTTCCGACGTCAATCAAATCATTACAGTTTTTTTGATCTTGTGAGAAAAAACTTGCAAAAATAAGTTGTTATGACAATAAAATTGCTATTAAAGGTAATAATAACCGATTTTTATTCTATTGTTGGATTTGTTCAAAGAATTTTGAATGACGTTTGGAATTCTTGGAAGACAAATAATTGGGAACATTTTAAGTATGAACTCGATACGCAAACACTTTACGCGCAAATATCTACAGTATTTTTCACGAAATGAAAATCAATTTGCCACGTGTTTTCAATTTTTCTTCATTTCTAATTAATTTTTCAACGAAAATGAGGCGAAGCTGTGAGTTTCATGATATTTTTCTAGGTTTTAAATTATAGTTTCTTATTTTCCATGTTGTGTAAATCTCCAAATTCCCCCCTGAAAACCCTGATTTTCCATTAAAAACCATGGGTGCACCCCCAGTTGTTCAATGCAGCAAACGCGCCCCAGCGCACAAGCATTTTTAAAATTTTCTTTTTTTCGACGCGCTTCTTTCTCTCTGTTTCTTTCAAGTCTAAAACGATTTTCAGAGTTTATTTCGTTAAATACGTTATAAATGGATCCATTGGAAGCATTGCAGAAGTATGTTGCCAAGGAAGTCAAATTCCAGGAAGTGCAATATGTGAGTTTGTAAAAATTATATATTTTTGAAGTTTTATTGATTTATTTTGCAGAATAATGAAATATATTATGCTTTCGGTGACAATGCATATTTAAAAAACACATTGACTGGAATTCCCGTATGTTTTTTTTAAAAAAAATATCGGAAATAAACAGATATTTTCTAGATTTACGGTAAAACCGATGAATACTACACATTGGAAGCGCTTCTTCTCTTCTATCAAAGTTTATCACTTGGCCATGGAGTTTATGTAAAAGAAGCGGCTTCTCGAGATGTTCGTGCCATCACAAGAATCGACAGAAAAAGTGTTCAAGAATTGTTGGAAGGCCGCAGAGGCGATATTCCAATCAATACAAGTCTTCCAACTCAACCGCCCATCTCTTTGAGATCCATTTTAAGCAGTGAACCGGAGTCTAAACGTGCGAAACTTGATGAAGAAGCTCTTGAGTTAGTTATTAACGTGATTTTTTCAAAAAAAAAATGAAAAATTTGCAGAGAAGAACAGCGAAGAAATGCGCAAGCAGCTCAAGTCGAAGTTCGTGCTCTCAATGAAAATCTGACAGTCGATCGGATCGCTGAGATGAGAAGAAAACGTCAACTTCACCAGAAGAAGAATATTGTGGCCACAGAGTAAGAAAGATTTTTCTGTGAATAATTTCAAAAATATTTTTTTTTCAGTGAAAGTGCACCTGGTGGTTCATCATTGTCGTCGTCGACGAAAGAAATTCCGAAGGTTAGAGAGCATCGGACACGGGAAAATGTGATGCTTGGAAGTCGCGATTTGAGCGGCGTTTTGGATATTATTCAAGCCGCGCAGGTTTGTTTTTTTTTTTGTAGAACTCAACTTCTAAAATGAGTTATGACGTGGCAAAATCGAAAATTTGGGATTTTAGGAGGTCAAACCTAGCTTTCAGAATAGTTTTCATCATGAATTTCAGATTTCGAAAGCTAGTTTGACCTCCTAAAATCCCAAATTTTCGATTTTGCCACGTCATAGCTCATATTAGAAGTTGAGTTTTGCAATTTTTGACATCGGAATAATGTTTGGCAGGTCAAAAACTAATAGAAAACATATATTTTATTAAAAATTACATAAAATTCATGTTGTCTAGTCAATTTTGACCCGCTGATCACTATTCCGATGTCAAAAATTGCAAATCTCAAGTCCTAATATGAGTTATGACGTCGCAAAATTGGAAATTTGGGATTTTAGGAGGTCAAACTAGCTTTCAAAATGGTTATGACTTTCAGATTTTGAAGGTTTCTGAAAAATCTTTCTGATTTCTTTTTAGTAGTCCAAAAGATTTTTCAGAAACCTTCGAAATCTGATGAAAACCATTTTGAAATCTAGTTTGACCTCCTAAAATCCCAAATTTTCGATTTTGCCACGTCATAACTCATATTAGAAACTGAGTTCTGCAATTTTTGACATCGGAATAGTGATCAGCGGGTCAAAAACCACTAGAATTTTCAATTTTTCCAGCGTCAATGGGAAATCGAGGAGAAAAAGGAAAAAGTGGCTGCGATTCACGCGACAACTGGACACGGAAATCATCCATCTTCACACTCTCATCAACAAAATCAGCAACAACAACAACAACAACAAAATCGAAGTGGATATTCTCGTTATGCACAAGAATCGTTTGCTACTGTAAGATTTTTATTTAATTTTTATGAAATTAATGCTGATTTTTGCAGGAAAAATCACACGAATTTCAAACCGATCAATCTTTTATCGGAAGTAATTTGCATGCTTTGAAACAAGGAAATGGGGGGCTAAGTGAGTTTTTTGAAAAACCCAAAGAGGATTTTGTAAGCGAAAATTTCTTTTATGAAAATCCGCATGTTGAAATTCTGAACAATTTTCAAAAATTTGTAATTCACCTCAAAATCAACCGCATTTTGAAGCTTGAGTGGTCCTCTTTGGATTACTGTAGAGTCCTTAATTCAAAGTTTGATAATACAGTGCGCCCAATAAATATAGGACACCCCCAGTTTTCATAGTAATTCAGTGAATGGTAACTGATAAGAAAAATCTGTTAAGTGGAGTCAACTCAGGACCCAAAATAACCCCCGGAAACCAACTTTGGTCGAATATGAGATCTTTCGTGATACCGAACCATGAAATCTGTGATTTTCAAGCGCCCAATAAATATAGGACACCCCCATCAAAAATCGGTTTTGTGACTCGATATTGCTATAATTTGATTCTGAGCATGTTTATAACATGTTGTTAATGTATTTCCTATCATTTCCTCTCAAAAGAAATTGCCACGTGGCGTTTTTCTAACAGATCAACGCTCTTGACCGTAAAATCTCATCATGACAGAAATTTTCGATTTTTTCGAATGAAATGTTGTTTTTTATGATTTTCTTGAGTTTAAAAATGATAAACCATTTAATTCCAACAATACCCACTCATTTCTGATCATTAGATCTGCAGTTATGACATTGCTGATTTTCCGATCTTACGATGTTTCCATCTAGAACTTCGATTTACATGATTTTTTTTCGACAAAAAATTGTCCCGGAGTAACTTTCTCATGTTTTGAATACATTCTGACGATTTATTCTTAACTTAACATCATTTAGCTGATTTTATAGTGAATTTTCAGAAAAACAACGAGTTTCAGTTAGTTTTCCATTGAAAACTGTTAAATTTCAGTAAATCCGGATTAATCATTGAGATACGGCTACTAGGGTTGTTATGATATTTGGAAATAACTGTATTATTAATGAGTAACAGTTCTCTGAAGGTTTTGAAGAAAAAATTGAAGTATATTCGAAGTTCTAGATGGAAACATCGTAAGATCGGAAAATCAGCAATGTCATAACTGCAGATCTAATGATCAGAAATGAGTGGGTATTGTTGGAATTAAAGGGGGGGTAAGACGACAAAATTTTTTTGTCGCAAAGTTAAAGGCTCCCCAAAAGTAGTAAAACCTCCAAGGGATTTTTTCTGGAAACGTCCAGAAAAAATGTTCCATAAACTAGGTACCACGTATAGGTATACGTTGAATTTATTCCATAAACTTTCGGTCAACGTATACGTTGAAAAAAGTTCATGGAATATTTTTTTCGGACCTTTTTAGGCCTTTCGAGAAAAAATCCCCTGGGGCTTTTACTATTCAAAGGGAGCCCGATTCATTGAGCAAATAAAATTTTGTCGTCTTACCCCCCTTTAAATGGTTTATCATTTTTAAACTCAAGAAAATCATAAAAAATCGAAAATTTCTGTCATGATGAGATTTTACGGTCAAGAGCGTTGATCTGTTAGAAAAACGCCACGTGGCAATTTCTTTTGAGAGGAAATGATAGGAAATACATTAACAACATGTTATAAACATGCTCTGAATCAAATTATAGCAATATCGAGTCACAAAACCGATTTTTGATGGGGGTGTCCTATATTTATTGGGCGCTTGAAAATCACAGATTTCATGGTTCGGTATCACGAAAGATCTCATATTCGACCAAAGTTGGTTTCCGGGGGTTATTTTGGGTCCTGAGTTGACTCCACTTAACAGATTTTTCTTATCAGTTACCATTCACTGAATTACTATGAAAACTGGGGGTGTCCTATATTTATTGGGCGCACTGTAGTACTCTACAGTAATCCAAAGAGGACCACTCAAGCTTCAAAATGCGGTTTTGATCGAGTTTTTTCGTTGAGTTTGAGATGAATTACGAATTTTTGAATTACGAAATTCATAAGCTATTCCTCATAAATTGTCAATTTTAGAGCCAGTTGAACCATCTCCAATGCGACAAAGTGGAAGTTCGAATATCATGTCGAAATCGCCGATGAATAGTGGTTCTGGAGGAAAACGACCGTCTCGAACACCGATTATTGTTGTGCCGGGAGCGTTGACAAGTTTGATTACGATTTATAATGCCAAGGATATTTTGCAGGTGAATTTTTTGAGGGTGGTTTTTTTGTGAAATATATCTGAAAAATTATGAAACCTATTTTTCACGGGGTTATTTTTAAACTCAAAATCTCAAATTTTTGACAATTGGGAATTCTATGCCAAGAAGCCGCGCCTAGAGAATCTAATTCTCAAGCAGCCGCGCCTTGAGACCCGCATTCTTAAGAAGCCGCGCCTAGAGAACCTTTTTAGTCTTGGATCGGCTCCTAGAGATCCACCCTGTCAAGGAACCGCGCCTTGAGAACCTAGATGTCAAGCAGCCGCGCCTTGAGACCCGCATTCATAAGGAGCCGCGTCTAGAAATCCTAGTTGACTAGTAACCGCCCCTTCAGACCCTAGTTCTCAAGTAGCCGCGCCTAGAGAACCTTTTTGTCTTGTATCGGCTCCTAGAGATCCACTCTGGCAAGGAGTCGCCCCTTCAGACCCTAGTTCTCAAGTAGCCGCGCCTAGAGAATCTAATTCCTCAAGGAACCGCGCCTAGAGAACCTTTTTGTCTTGAATCGGCTCCTAGAGATCCACTCTGGCAAGGAGTCGCGCCTAGAGAATCTAATTCTCAAGGAGCCGCGCGTAGAGAACTTCTGTCTCAAGTAACCGCGCCTAGAGAACTTAGATGTCAAGTAGCCGCGCCTAGAGAGCCTTTTTGTCTTGAATCGGCTCCTAGAGATCCACTCTGGCAAGGAGCCGCGCCTTGAGACCCGCATTCATAAGGAGCCGCGTCTAGAAATCCTAGTTGACAAGTAGCCGCCCCTTCAGACCCTAGTTCTCAAGGAGTCGCGCCTTGAGAACCTTTTAGTCTTGAATCGGCTTCTAGAGATCCACCCTGTCAAGGAGCCGCGCCTTGAGAACTTAGATGTCAAGGATCAGCTCCTAGAGAACCTAACTAACCGCTCCTCGAATTTCCCAATCCAAAAAAAAATCTGAAAATTTCGCAGGATCTCACATTTGTCCCATCTGCCAAGCGAAAATCTGAAACCAACAAAAAACTAGTGGATGTCATAATTCAACGCGTCAAAAATGGACAAACTTGTAAGCTTTCAAGATTTTTTCCACCAAAAATCTGATTTTTTTTCCTCCCAGATAATATTCGAGTGATTGATCAAGTTGATAAATTGACAAATGAGGATTATGATCGAATTATTGCGGTTTTTGCGCAGGTTTGATTATTTTTAAATTGAAAAAAATGCAAAAAAAGTGTATTTTTAGGGTGTTAGCTGGCAATTCAAAGGTTGGAAATGGAATGGAGTTCCAACTGATATTTTCACACATATTCCTGGTTTTCATTTGTATTCGGAAAATGATAAACCACACGGTCAAGCCAGTCAATGGAATGTGACTCGAATCCCAGTCGCCGTCACAAAACGACACACAGATCGCGCGAAATTCAGCTCAATGTGGGAGCACATTGAAAATTCGGTTCGAAAAACCAAACCGCATTTGTGTCAACGACTTGGTTTATAATAAAATTGAGATTTTTTCTCATGTTTTTTAATAACTTTTTTGTTTTTTATCCTGTCTCTCTCTTTTTTTTGGTTATAAATTATTTAAAAAATTTGAACAATTTATTTAAGTTTTTTTTTGTAGGGCTGATTCACGAACGAAAAAAATATTTATAAAAAAGTCAAAAAATGTTGAAAAAACATTAGTTTTTCGAGTTTTTCAGCCAAAAATGATGACAAATCAATATTTTTCAAGATTCTGCAGTAATTTCTGATGAAAATAAGCTTCGAGAAGCCTATTTTGCTTTTTCGAAATTCATCAAAATTTTTTTATTTCACGAAAAATCAGCAAAACCTTCTGGAAAGTGAATTCCAAGGTCAATTTTTATCAGAAATTACTCCAGAAGCTTCAAAAATCCCGATTTGTCATCATTTTTGGCTGAAAAACTCGAAAAACTAATTTGTCCACTCGTCTCTCCAGATGTGATTGTTTTTTCAGAAAAAATTCCCTGTAAAAAGAAAAAAGAAAAGGCGCACCGATTCAAACAAACAAATAGGTCTCGCCGCGCTGGCCTACGGTCATTTTTTAATTTTTTTCTTTTTTCCTCGGTTTCCAAGTGTTATTTTTTCCGTTTGACCGTTTGTGAATTGATTTTTTTCCCTGAAATAACACGTCAGATCTTTCAGCTTAACGTTTCAAAATGGAACCCGAGCCAAAACGACTTCGATTAGAAGAAAGAACTGGATGGTTTGATATTCCATACGATTGTCGACGAATTATCATCGAAAAAATGGATTTGTTCACATTCTGCAGATTCGCACAATGTTCGGAGAAATGCAACGATGAAGTCAAATTGTGCACAAACTTTGTGAAATCTATCAGTTTGCATCATTTTGGAGAAACTTTCTCCATGCAAATTGAAATCAAGAATCGTAATTTGTATGTTTGTATTGGAAAAACAAATTATAGAGGACGCATCAAATTGGATACTCCAATTCCTTATATTTCGTTTACAAATTCAAGTAAACGGAGTGGTTATTATGAAAAACCAGATCAAAAAACGCGTTGGACAAAAATGGAAGAAGAAGAAGAAAGTGTTGCAATGATTTTTGCAAAATATTTCAATATGATTGTGAAAAACGCATCGAATTGCCGCATTAAATTGGAATTTGGAAGTGTGAGTTGATTTTTGAGAAGATTTTTGGTATTTAAAAAAGCAGATTCACGAACGAAAAATGTTTTTTACATTGAAAGATTCACGAAAAGTCAAAAAATGTCGAAAAAACATTAGTTTTTCAAGTTTTTCAGCCAAAAATGATGACAAATCAATATTTTTCAAGCTTCTGGAGTAATTTCTGATAAAAATAAGCTTCGAGAACCATATTTTGCCTTTATTGCTAAAAATAGGGTTCTCGAAGCTTATTTTCATCAGACATTGCTTGAAAAATATTGATTTGTCATCATTTTTGGCTGAAAAACCTTGAAAAACTAATGTTTTTTCGACATTTTTTGACTTTTCGTGAATCTTTTCAATGTAAAAAACATTTTTCAGCCCTAACAAGGAAACCTTTTTTACTCAACACTTCAAATCATGATGAAATTTTGTCCATAGGTAGCTTTTGGGGCCATAAGAACACCCTAAAAATTTTAGTTACCCAATGGACCTCTGAGCCAAGTTCTGGGCTCTCAAAAGTTCGAAAATTGCCAAAATTGGCTCATAAAACACGTCATAACTCAATTCTCGATCAATTTTATGAAAAACTGAGTAGCAGATGATGATCAGCGTGGTCGATTTACCCAAAAACCATCAATAAATCAAATTTTCAGAAAAATTTCTGATTTTGAAAAAAAGAATGAGCAGGGGCACATATGAATTTTCATGAATTTTCAGCCCAAAAATAAAAAACTTCAAAATTTTTCGAAAAAATATTTTTTGTTGATTTACTTTTAGGTAATCGACCATGCTGAACAATATCTGAAACTCTAATTCTCCCAAAAAAAATTTTGAAATGGAGCTATGATGACTTTTATGACCATTTTTAGGCCTTTTTTGAGTTTTTGAGAGCCCAGAACTTGGCTCAGAGGTCCATTGGGTAACTAAAATTTTTAGGGTGTTCTTATGGCCCCAAAAGCTGTCTATGGACAAAATTTCATCATGATTTGAAGTGTTGAGTAAAAAAGGTTCCCTTGTAAAGCAATATTTCCAGAATGATTTTCCATTCGAACTTCTCGATATCAAACATCTCAACAAAATCAAATCATTGGATATTCCCCCAAGGAATTGCGATTTTGGCGAAGGATTTATCACAAAACAGCAGTTATTCAATATCACCGATACATTAAGAATCCCTTCGATTTCACTGAATTTCAACGAAATTCTTCAATTGCAGGCGGAAAATGTTAATCTCCCTGATTCAAGGTTCAACTGGGAACAAGTGAAAGATTTTGTGAAATTATGGAAAAATGGAGATTTGCCCAAAAGAATGTGCAGTTGGAAAATGGGATTTATATCGAATATTGGACCAAATGAGGCCTTTGATAATCAAAAAATGATGGAAGAATTGGATGGATTTGATTTCAGTGAGCATGCGATGTTTTATAGTTTTCTCGTGAAAACTTCAACCGATCCTCGAGTGGTTTCTTTTATTGATTATTCGTATTCGTATTTTAATCTTTTCTCTTTCAAACGGAAATTTTATTTTGATGAAGAGATGAAAAGATGGATTATTGATGAGGATTTGTGCTAAGTTTGATTCCATAATTCCCCCATTTCTTGTAATATATCACCACAGAATGTTTTATCAATTTTATAAATTTCGAGAATTATTGTATAGTTGGACATCGACTAAATGACATTTTCAGGTTTTTTAAGCAAATGAGTTGAAATATTGGGTTTTAATGTTATTTATATGATAGAATGGTCTAAGACGAACAGAATGATATAAATTTTGATGATTTTACGTTATCCATAAGTGATTTAGCAACCTTATCGACTAAACCTCGCTAAATCACTTATGGATAAGGTAAACTCATCAAAATTTATATCATTCTGTTCGTCTTAGACCATTCTATCATATAAATAACATTAAAACCCAATATTTCAACTCATTTGCTTAAAAAACATGAAAATGTCATTTAGTCGATGTCCAACTATAAATTATTGTGCCTCGAAACTCTATGAAGGTTAGTTTTTGGCTTTTTTGCACAGAAAAATTAAAAAAGAAGGGAAAAGTACTTTGCCAATTAGAAAATAAGAAAAATAAAAGAGAAATTGCTCTTTTTTGGCGGCTTGTTTTTGAATAAAAAATGTGGAAAATATCGAAAAACCCTGAATTCACCCAAAATCTCCGATAAAATCAAGTTTTTGGAATTTTCACAAAGTAAACACGTATTTTGTTGCTGAACAAAAAACATCGGTTCGCGCTGTTTAAAGGGACATGCTTTAATTTTCCACCAAAATCTCAAGAACGGCTCCATCAAATGAAAATCTGAGTACACTATCTTTATCGCCGTGAAAAACTGCATGGAAATAGGCTTTGGTTCGTGGCGAGACCAATTTCGAAAAATAGCGCGCAAAATGGAGAGACGCGAGACATTTTTGTGCATTTTCGCGTCACCGTGTTTGCACAACACAATACAGTATACCAACCGCGAACGTGTAAAAAACGTCGAAAATCAAAATATACGAATAATTATTTCTTGATTAGAGACAACGTGAAATTGAGAGAGCGCAGACAGCAGACAAATTAGTGTATGTCTGCACTCTCTCAATTTCACGTTGTCTCTAATCAAAAATAATATTCTCTGTATATTAATAAATTTCAAATTTTAATTCGAAAACTTCCATTTTCTCCTCTGCTGATAAAATATTCAATTTTACTGCCAACTAAAAATATGAAGAACAAATTGAAAAGTGCATCTCCCCCAAGCCAGTGTGAAATTCAAATTTCATCGTAATTTGAGACCGTGTTGCCATTCCCACAATTGGATAGATCAATATCCTTCATTTCTCCTTCTTTTTTTTCTTCCGTGCCCATTTCTGTTGTTGTTTCTCTAATCCTCTTCTCTATTTTAGGAGTTGGCACATGTCCAGCAGTGTGTTTTCCTCCTCCTCATCTCGCCTCTTTTTTTTATAGCAGCAACCACATGAAAAAGCACTCTTTTCTCCTTTTTTCCGCGCATACACACTACTTTTTGCTCTTTTTTGTGCTCTTCGACGTTTTTTCTTGGGGTTTTTTTTGTTTTTGTACAATTTTCAGGGGATTTTTAGAGCTGAAAATCTGCTTGCGACCTCAAAACGTGTTGCAAATCTGCTCCAATCGCAAATCAGCGCGAATTGAGAGAGTGCAGACAGAAAAATTAGTTTTTTGAATTTTTCGTGCGAAAAATCAATTTGTCTGTCTGCACTCTCTCAATTTCACATTGTCTCTAAACACTCAAAAATAATAAACTGTATATTATCGAAAATCTCACGCGCTCCACCGAAATAAACACGCAACGCAGACCGCGCCGCGCCACAACACACAAATTTATGAAAAATGACATTTTTGAGCTGAAAATCATGGAAAATGAGATTTTTGAGCTGAAAATTTCGAAAAATGAGCGGAAAATTATGAAAAATGACATTTTTGAGCTGAAAATCATGAAAGAATTTGAGTTGTTCACTTATTTGTGTGTTTTGGCGCGGCGCGGTCTGCGTTGCGTGTTGAGATTTTCGATAATATACAGTTTATTATTTTTGAGTAGAGACAACGTGACATTGAGAGAGTGCAGACAGACAAATTAGTTTTTCGCACAAAAAATACAAAAAAAAACTAATTTTTCTGTCTGCACTCTCTCAATTTCACATTGTCTCTGAACACACAAAAATAAATCTATCCGGATATAGAATTTTCGCATGTTATTTACATATAAATATGCTAATTTCAAGATTTTCCCTTTCCTTTTCCCTTTTTTTTGCATCTGAAAAATCAATTTTTCATCTATTTTCTTTCTAATTGTATCTAGACCAAAAATGAAAGTGATTTTGACACACCCAAAAAAAATTTGCGCGATATTTTTCAAAGAAATGATATCATTTTGGTTTTTCAAAAGGAAAAAACACAGAAATTTGTGCGTTAGAGCGCATTTTCTCCCGTCAAACGACACTCCGCGCGGTCACCTTGCGCGACTCACAACAATTTCAAATATTAGTCAAGTGTGCTATTTGTTTTGTCGTGCAAATATCGTTGATTGATTATTTTTTTGTCTCTTGCACAGTCTTTTGCCCCTCAAAAAATCCCCATATTTTCCAGCCAACCTGGATCATCGTTGGTACGACGGAGTTCCGGCGGCGGAATCCGGAAGATCCGCCGCGGATGCCGGTTATCAGCGATATTCCGATCTGGAACATGTGCCGGGACCATCGAATTATCCAGACGCCCAGCAACAGCAGCAGTATATCTCAAGATCTGCGCGAAATCCATATGCGGCTGTGCCGGGCACGACAACTTCGATTTCGGCAATGTCGCGGCGGCCCGTTTTACAGAGGTTGGGAGTTTTTTGGCTGGGGGCTAGGCGCGGCTCCTAGAAAGTTAGGATATCTAGGCGCTGATCCTTGACAGTTGATGTTTGTAGACTCGGCTACTTGAGATAGGAGCTCTCAAGGCGCGACTACTTGACATTTGGATTCTCAAGGCGCGACTACTAGACAACTGGGATTTCTTGGCTCGGCTACTTGAGATAGGAGCTCTAGGCGTGGCTGCTTTGGAGTCAGGGTCTCAAGGCGCGGCTCCTTGAAAATTGAACTCTCTAGGCGCGACTACTAGCCAACTAGGTTTTCTAGGCGCGGCTACTTGAGGTTCAGGACCTCTAGGCGCGGCTGCTTTGGAGTTAGTGTCTCTAGAGGCCGATCCTTGAAAATTAGTGTCCTTAGGCGCGGCTCCTTGACATTTGGATCCTCAAGGAGCTGCTACTTGACAACTAGCATTTATAGGCTCGGCTGCTTGAGATAGGAGCTCTCAAGGCGCGGCTACTTGAGATAGGAGCTCTCAAGGCACGGCTGCTTTGGAGTTAGTGTCCTTAGGCTCGGCTCCTTGTGAATTAGGGTCTCAAGGCGCTGATCCTTTACAGTTGATGTTTCTAGACTCGGCTGCTTTGGAGTTAGGCTCTCTAGGCGCGGCTGCTTGACAACTAGCATTTATAGGCTCGGCTGCTTCAGAATTAGTGTCTCTAGGCTCGGCTTCTTGGGAATTAGGGTCTCAAAGCGCTGCTACTAGACAACTAGGATTTCTAGGCGTGGCTGCTTCAGAATTAGGCTCTCTAGGCGCAGCTCCTTGAGATCTATACACAAATTCTATTTTCACAAACCTTAATCCCAAAAATCCTGAGAAAATCTTTTTTTTCCCCTCCTCTCACAAGCACAAAACAACAAAATTAATCCAGCTAATAAAAGATTCAGCCACAACAAAAACAACTTACTCTAACTTCCTACTAACATTTGCAGACAACACCGATCAATGGACGGACTTGGAGTAATCGATAATTATAACAAGGAGACTTATGATTTAGCCAGTCATCATAATAATCAATATGATTATCATCCAAACGCGATTCATAAACCATCATATATCCCACTGGAAATCTCGACTTCTTCAAATTATCCACCACAACAATTTGCACATCGATCATTAGCAGCACTTTCAAATCCGATTCCAACACAAAATGCGTTTTGGCAGCAGCAGCAGCAGCAGCAAAATAGGTACAGATTTTTTGTGCCGCCCGGAGACATAATTCGATTTGCCTATTTAGAAACATTTTTTGTTTGCTCCGCTTCCCTTTTTTCCCCAGAAAAAAATACGTTTCAAAAATATTTGCTTCCTTCCTCCCTGGAGAGAAATTGTCTTGCAGCATGGCCACCGATCATCTCTACGATGTTCTTCCAAATCAAAGTTCGGCCAGATTGTCGACGATGAATGGGGGAATCAATATTAATACGGAATATGAGCAATTGAAGGTTGGTTTTGGGCCCGGAAATTGGGCTTTTTTAGGCCGCAAGATGCTATATTTTGGAAAAAAATACATTTTTTGCCGAAAAATTGGAACTCTTTGTTTTGGAGGTCCGATTTTCGATGTAAAATGTTCTAGAAAAAAATTTGGAAATTTTAATCTAACATAAATTTTCAAATTTTTGATAATTTTCAATTTTCCTTGAAAAAATAGCTTTAAAAATGTTTTCTGAAAAAAATTGAAAATGGATTTTTTTTTTTTTTTTTGAAAAAAAATTGAAAATGATTTTTTTTGAAAAAAATTCATTTTCAAATTTTTTTTCAAAAAAAAAAATTCATTATTAATTTTTTCTGAAAAAATTCATTTTCAAATTTTTTCTGAAAAAATCATTTTCAATTTTTTCTGAAAAAAATTCATTTTCAATTTTTTCTGAAAAAAATTAATTTTTAATTTTTCTGAAAAAATTCATTTTCAATTTTTTCCAAAAAAAAATTCATTTTTCAAATTTTTTTTCAAAAAAAATGCATTTTCAATTTTTTTTCTGAAAAAAAATTCATATTTAAATTTTTTCTGAAAAAAAATTCGTTTTTAATTTTTTTCTGAAAAAAATTCATTTTCAATTTTTTCTGAAAAAAATTAATTTTTAATTTTTTCTGAAAAAAATTCATTTTCAATTTTTTCCAAAAAAAAATTCATTTTCAAATTTTTTCTGAAAAAAAATCATTTTCAATTTTTTCTGAAAAAATTCATTTTCAATTTTTTTCTGAAAAAAATTAATTTTTAATTTTTTCTGAAAAAATTCATTTTCAAATTTTTTCTGAAAAAATTCATTTTCAATTTTTTTTTTCAAAAAGTTTGTTTTTATGAAAAAAAAATTCATTTTCAAATTTTTTTCAAAAAAAAAATTCATTTTCAATTTTTTAATGAAAAAAATAATTTTCAATTTTTTTCAAAAAAAAATCATTTTCAAATTTTTTCTGAAAAATTCATTTTCAATTTTTCCAAAAAAAAATTATTTTCAATTTTTTTTTCAAAAAAAATTCATTTTTAATTTTTTTCAAAAAAAAAATTCATTTTCAATTTTTTTCTGAAAAAAATTCATTTTTCAAATTTTTTCTGAAAAAAATTCATTTTCAATTTTTTCCGAAAAAAAATTCATTTTCAAAATTTTTCTGGAAAAAAAATTCATTTTTAATTTTTTTTTCAAAAAAAATTCATTTTCAAATTTTTTCTGAAAAAAAAATTCACTTTTAATTTTTTTCTGATTGTGAAAAAAATAATTTTCAATTTTTTTCAAAAAAAAATCATTTTCAAATTTTTTCTGAAAAAAATTCATTTTCAATTTTTTTCCAAAAAAAAAATTATTTTCAATTTTTTTCAAAAAAAAATTCATTTTTAATTTTTTTCAAAAAAAAATTCATTTTCAATTTTTTTCTGAAAAAAATTCATTTTCAAATTTTTTCTGAAAAAAATTCATTTTCAATTTTTTCCGAAAAAATTCATTTTTCAAAATTTTGCTGGAAAAAAATTCATTTTTAATTTTTTTTCAAAAAAAAATTCATTTTCAAATTTTTTCTGAAAAAAAAATTCACTTTTAATTTTTTCTGATTGTGAAAAAAATAATTTTCAATTTTTTTCAAAAAAAAAATCATTTTCAAATTTTTTTCAAAAAATTCATTTTTAATTTTTTTCTGAAAAAAAATTCATTTTCAAATTTTTTTCAAAAAAAATTCGTTTTCAATTTTTTCTGAAAAAAAATCATTTTTAATTTTTTCTAAAAAAAACTTTTTTAATTTTTTCTGAAAAAATTCATTTTCAATTTTTTTCTGAAAAAATTCATTTTTAATTTTTTCAAAAAAAAATTCATTTTCAATTTTTTCTGAAAAAAAATCATTTTTAATTTTTTTCTGAAAAAAATTAATTTTCAAATTTTTTCTAATGGGGCTATTCATGTTATTTTTCAACGCTGAGAAAACGGGAGAAAAGCGGAGAAAACCTATTCAGGTAGGCTGAGAAAATACGAAAAAAGCGGAGAAAATGTATTTCCTCCGCATTTCTCCTGTTTTCTCAACATGCTGAGAAAATACATGAATAGCCCCATAAAAAAAAAAATTCATTTTCAAATTTTTCTGAAAAAAATTTATTTTCAATTTTTTTCAAAAAAAAAAATTCATTTTCAAATTTTTTTATATTTTAACATTAAATATGAGAAAACTAAAAATTCTGTTTCTCAAAAAACGCGAAAATTTTGAATATTTGCAAAATTTGCCCCCAAAAATCATATAAAAATCAATATTTTTCAGCTGGATTACACTGCAGCCATCGAAAAATTGAATCAAACAATGAATAGCATCAAAACATTCTGGAGTCCTGAATTAAAACGAGAAAGACAAATGAGAAGAGAAGAAGCGACGAGAATTAATCAACTTGAACGAATCGTTTCTCATTCTGGTGCATCTGCTCCAAATTCTGATATTGAAGGTAATTTTTTATGGGTCAAGAATTATCCTAATATGAGCAATGGAAACATTTTTCGGTCCAAATTCAGACCTAACAAATAATTTAGCCTAATATGAGCAATTTTTCCTTCAGCTCTTCAATTACGAATGGATCTGAAAGAACGAGAAGAGCGAATTCGACAATTATCAGCGGCTCTCGAAAATTCCGGAACTGGAATTGGAATCGGAATTGGAATGGATCCGAGAGTTCGAGAATTGGAGGATACAATTATGCGATTGCAGGATTTGTTGGCGACGAAAGAGACGCAGGCGATGATGAATAATACGGTAGGGACTAGGGGAGAGCTTCTGAAGTGGCCGAGTCGAGAAATCCTAGTTGTCAAGGAGGCGCGCCTAGAGAGCCTAGATTTCGAGCAGCCGCTCCTGGATACCCTAATTTTGAAGCAGCCACGTCTAGAGAGCCTAGATTTCAAGCAGCCGCGCATACAGAACCTAGATTTCAAGAAGCCGGGCCTAGAGAGGCTAGATTTCAAGCAGCCACGCCTAGAGAGAATAGTTTTCAAGCAGCGGCGCCTAGAGAGCCTAGATCTCAAGAAGCCGCGCCTAGAGACCCTACATTTGAAGCAGCCACGCCTAGAGAGCCTGGATTTCAAGTAGCCGCTCCTTCAGAACCTAGTTTTGAAGCAGCCACGCCTACAGAGCCTAGGTTTCAAGCAGCCGCGCCTAGAGAGAATAGTTCTCAAGTAGCCACGCCTAGAGAGGCTAAATCTCAAGCAGCCACACCTAGAGAGCCTAGATTTCAAGAAGCCGCGCCTAGAGAAAATAGTTCTCAAGTAGCCACGCCTTGAGAGAATAGTTCTCAAGTAGCCGCGCCTAGAGAGCCTACTGATTTTTTTTTCAAATCGGAACTTCCAAATCAAAATTCAAACTTCTCTCATTTTCCATTAAAAATTCAGAATTTCAGCTTTTGGATTTGAAAAATTCAAAAAAATGGATGAAATAATTTGTATAAAAATTTTTAGAAATTTTTGAGGAAACCTTTTCTTAACCTCATTTTTCAATGTAAAAAATTCAGATTTCATCTGAATTTTTTCTAATTTTCTGAAAATTCCAGCAAATTTCCCATTTTTTCTCGAATTCTCCATTGAAAATGCAAAAACAAACATAATTTTTTATTATTTTTCTGGCAAAATTATTGTTTTTCTCGAAAAAAAATTTTTTCTGCCACAAAAAAATTCAAATCTGAATGGAATTTTTACAGGATCATCAAGGTCGCTATGCTCTAGAAGGTGCACTTCGAAGAATCGACGAAAAACAGGCGAGAATCGTTGAATTGGAAGAGGAATTAATGCGACAACGAATGATGAGAACAAATCAGCCACGAGATTTTACCGACAAAAATCTATCTGGACACGAAATGACTACAATGAGAATGAAAATGGAGAGAAGTGAAGTGGAATTAGCTGAAAGGAAAAGTGAATTGATGAATTGTCAAAATCGTATGCAAACTGCTGAAGAAACATCGAATGAAATGAGATCGCATGTTCAATTATTGAAAGATCAATTAACAAATCGAGAACAACATAATACATTATTACAAGGTGATGTGGATGCATTAAGACAGAAATTGGATAGCAAGAATAAACAATTAGAACAACAGAATGAGAGGATTCAACAATTGGAAAGGGATATTAATGGAACGAAGGCTGATGTATCGGATAAGACTGAACTTATAAGGCAGACTGAATTGAAGACGACTCAATTAATTGGGAGAATTGATGGATTGGAGACGAGTTTGAGGGAGAAGGATCAGGAATTGGATAGGGCTAAGGTGAGGGTTTTGGGAAACTTATTTATTTTTTTGCTCAGAAAATTTCTTAATATGAGCAACGCTGGAATTTTCAAGGGATACATTTGGAAAGCTTATTCAAGAAGAAAAACATTTCAAAAAACTCCATTTTTTACATTGCTCATATTAAAGAACATTCATTTTCCAGATTTTTTTCTGATATTTTTAATATGAGCAATGTTATTTTTTCTTGTAAAATTTTTCAAAAATTAAAAAATACAAATTTTCGCGCCGAAATTAATTGCCGCGTGAATTTTTTATTTAAAAAAAGCAGCATTGCTCATATTGAAGAAAATTCATAGGAAATTTGAATTTGGAAAATTTTTTGAAAGTTTGATTTTTTTTTTGAAAGTTGCTTAAAATCCACGTGGCTTTAGAAATTCAAATTTTACCGGCCAAAAATCCACTGGAAAATGAATTTTTTTTAATATGAGCAATGCTGCTTTTTCTTGTAAAATTTAAAAAAGGCAAATTTTCGCGCCAAAATTAATTGCCATGTGAATTTTTTATTTAAAAAAAGCAGCATTGCTCATATTAAAGAAAATTAATTTTCCACATTTTTTCGGATATTTTTGATAAGGATTCTAAAATTTTGAATTCTACATGCCACGTGGATTTTTGGCGCGAAAATTTGAATTTTTTTGAAATTTGAATTTTTACTAGAAAAATCAGCATTGCTCATATTAAAGAAAATTCATTTTCCAGATTTTTTCGGATATTTTTGATATGAGCAAGGATTCTGAGAATTTGAATTTTGCATGCCACGTGGATTTTTGGCGCCAAAATTTGACATTTTCAGTTTTTGAATTTTTACAAGAAATAACCGTATTGCTCATATTAAAAGAAAATTCATTTTCCAGATTTTTTCGGATATTTTTAATATGAGCAAGGCTTCTGAAATTTTGAATTCTGCATGCCACGTGAATTTTTGGCGCCAAAATTTGACATTTTCAGTTTTTGAATTTTTACAAGAAATAACCGTATTGCTCATATTAAAGAAAATTCATTTTCCAGATTTTTTCGGATATTTTTGATATGAGCAACGTTTGAGTGGATTCTGACGCCAAAGTTTGAATTTTTACAAGAAATAACCGTATTGCTCATATTAAAGAAAATTCATTTTCTTAATATGAGCGAGGCTTCTGAAATTTTGAATTCTGCATGCCACGTGGGTTTTTGGCGCGAAAATTTGAATGCCAAAAATGAAAATTTTTGGAAATTATCCGAAAAAAGAGAAAAATCATAGAAATCTACAGAATTTCGCCAGAAAAAACCCCAATTTTTTTTTAAAAAACTCCAATTTTTGCAGATCCGCCTCCTCAGTCATCCCGACGTTGTAAAAAGAAAAAGAAATGCTGGAAAAAATCGAACAATCCGATCGAGAAAGACAACGACTCCAAGAACACATTGATCAAATTCGCCGAAATTCCGAAAAAGAACACATCGAGCAACAAAAAACGTATCAAAAAGAGTTACAAGATTTACGATCAAATATTGAGAATTTGCAAAAAGAATTGGGAGATCGTGATATTTTGCTAGAATCTCAAAATGAGAAGATCGGAGATATGAATCGAGATTTGAGCCAGGCGAAAAAACGACTACAGGATGCGCAGGTTGATAAAGGAACTGATGAATTGAGAAAAGATGTTGAGGCTGCGAGAAATGAAGTGGAGAAATTGCTCAAAATGGTGCATCAATTGGAAAAGGAGAATTTAAATTTGACTGGGCAATTAAAACAATTATCAGCCAATGAAAATGGGGCAAAATCAATCAATAATACATTGATCCGGAAGGAAAGTCAACAACAACAATCAAATTATCAGAAAAGAGTTGAAGAATTGGAAGAGGCACTAAGAGAATCGGTTTCGATTACAGCTGAAAGAGAGATTCATCTATCGCAACAGAAACATCATTTACAACAGGTTTCGGTGCAACTTCAAGAGGCGAGAAAAGAGATTTCGGAGATGAGGAAAACGAAGCAGATTGGAAGTGAAGGGGGAGTTGAAAGGGATCAGATGATTCGAGCGATTGAGACGGAGAGAAGGCAGCATTTGGAGCAATTGTTTCAGTTGAAGTGAGCGGTGGGGGGGGGATATTTTTAGAAATTTCGGAAAATCTCGAAAAATTTGAAGGGTTTTGTTATCAAAATTTTGATTTTTTTTCCGAAAATTTTGATTTTTTGTCGAAAATTTAAAAATTTCAGCTGAATTTCTGTTGAAAAATTCAGAAGATTCAGAAAATTTTTTGTTTTTGTCGGAATTCTAGAACATTTTCTTCTTGAAAATATTGTTTTTTGGTTTGATGACTGAAATTTTCAGAAATTTCGAAAAATCTCTAGAATTTTGAAGGTTTTTTTTTCAAAAATATTGATTTTTTTGTCGAAAATTTCAAAATTTTCAAATTTTGTTTCAGTTGAAATCTGAAATTTTCAGAAAATCCCCAAAATTATTTTTTCAAAGTGATAATATTCAAAATTTCCTGCTCAGAAATTCAAAATTTTGATTTTTTGACGAAAATTTAAAAATTTTACAAAAAACTAATTTTTTATTCCGAAATTCAGAAGATTCACAAAAAAAATAAAAATTTTTTGGACAAATTTCAAATTTTGTTTCAGTTGAAAACTGAAATTTTCAGAAATTTCGGAAAATTCTTGAACAAAAAATTTACAATTTTTCGAGTTTCAGCCCAAATTCAGAAGATTCACAAAAAAAAATAAAAAAATTTTGAAATTTTCAGAATTTTCAGAAAATCCCCAAAATTATTTTTTCAAAATAATAATTTAAAATTTCCTGGTTTTTTCGAAGGTTTTTTTTTCAAAAATTTATAGATTAATATGAGCAATGCATGTAATTTCTGTATTAATTGCTCATATTAGACTTTTTCTGGAATTTTGCAAAATATTGTGAATTTCAGAATTTTCCAAAACTTTGAAAAAACCTGAAAATTCAAAAAAATTCAGAAATTTTTGAATTTCAGCAATAATTTTAAGTTTATTTTTCAAAAATTTTGATTTTTTGTCGAAAATTTCAAAATTTCAGCTGAATTTCTGTTGAAAAATTCAGAAGATTCAGAGAATTTTTTAAATTTTCTTCAAAATTTGGTGATTTGAAAATATTGTTTTTTGGTTTGATGACTGAAATTTTCAGAATTTTCAAAAAATCCCAAAAATTATCCCGAAAAAATCTAATTTTTTTTCTGGAATTTCTGAATTTCAAAAAGTTCAGTTATTTTAAAATTTGTGCTGAAATTGAGAAATTGTAGAGTTTTTTCTGAAATTTTCAGAATTTTTATGAAAATCCCGAAAAAATAAAATTTTCTGAATCTTTTGAATTTTCTAACAGAAATTGAGCTGAAGTTTTGAAATTTTCGACAAAAAATCAGAATTTTCAGAAAAAAAAATTAAAATTATTGCTGAAATTCAAAAATTTACAAATTTTTTTTTAGAATTTTAAGGGTTTTCCTAAAAATCCCGAAATTTTGAAGAAAATTTTCTGAATTTTTCGAATTTTTTAACAGAAATTGAGCTGAAGTTTTGAAATTTTCGACAAAAAATCAAAATTTTCAGAAAAAAAATTAAAATTATTGCTGAAATTCAAAAATTTCCGAATTTTTTTTCGAATTTTCATGTTTTTTTGGAAAAAAAAATACAGAAATCAATGCATTGCTTATATTAATCTCTATTTTTTGCAGACAAGAAGCCCTATTGGCCGCAATTTCCGAAAAAGACACACATTTGGCACTGTTGGAAAAGGCTCGCGGACCGCGTGATGAAATCGAAACATTGCGAAGGCACAAAGATGCGTTGATTCGAAAATTGAAGCAAGAAAATGAGCGGTAATCTTAGATTTTTAAAAAAAATATTTCCCTCCCAAAAATCAATAAAATTCCTCCAGACGTGCTCTTGTCTCCCATCCCGACCCCGCAATTTCAATGAACGCAATGGCGAGTGTTCTCCCCGGTGCTCCACTTCCAGCTCCATTGATTCCTCCAGTTCCAACATCTCAACAACATCAAGAACACGATGATACTGATGGAATTTGGGCTTAGGATTAATTTAGACAAAAAAACAAAATTTTTAAGCATATCCTCAAATCTTTCTAAGAATCTCAATCACTTTATGCATTTTCTTAATTTATTTTGAATTTCTAATAAATTTTTAAGAATATTTACATTGATATGCGAAAAAAGAAGAAACTAATACTTGTTAATTTGAAAACACGAACCTTTTTTTAAAATGCAAAACAGAAAAGATTAGCTGAGAAGTGAATTGACAACTGCGCCGACGTTCAGATTTCGAAGATCCGCATATGTTTGACCGCATCCAACAAATACGATTGGTTGGCCAGTGATATAGGTCATTGAGACAGCAGCGCCAACCTGGAAATTTGAAAATTTCGGGATTTTCTAATTATTTTGGAGCAGGATTGCTCATATTAGGAATTTGCTGAATTTCTAGGCGCTGTTGCTTGAAAAATTTGATTTCTCGGCGCAGCTACTTGAAAACGAGGATATCTAGGCGCGACTATTTTATCTCTAAAAGTCCTAGGCGCGGCTACTTGTCATTGAAGCTCTCAAGGCGCGGTTGCTTGAGAAAGATGATCTGTAGGCGAAAACCCTTGAAAAATACGTTCTCTAAGCTTGGCTACTTGACTACTAGATTTCCTAGGCGCGGTTGCTTGACAGAATGAAGCTCTAGACGCGAGTCCTAGACAATTAGGATCTCTAGGCACGGCTACTTGAAAAAAAGGATTTCTAAGCTGGGCTACTTGACTACTAGATTTCCTAGGCGTGGTTGCTTGCGAAAGATGATCTGTAGGCGCAAACCCTTGAAAAATACGTTCTCTAGGCTTGGCTACTTGACTACTAGATTTCCTAGGCGCGGTTGCTTGACAGAATGGAGCTCTAGACGCGGCTCCTTGACAAAATGAATCTCTAAGCTTGGCTACTTGAAAACCAGAATCTCTAGGCGCGGCTACTTTTTTTCTAGACGCAAACCCTTGACAATAGAACTTTCAAGGCGCGGCTACTTGTCCTTTAAGCTCTCAAGCCGTGGCTCCTTGACAGAATGGAGCTCAAGGCGCAACCCCTTGACAACAATAATTTCTAGGCGCGATTGCTTGAAAACCATCATTTCTAGGTCGCTCACCTTATCATCAATCGTATCAAATTTGGTCAAAACAATTCCATCAATAAGTCGTGGTTTTTGTCCAGGCGACGCGTGATTCGCCAACGCTTCATTAAATTTCACAAGTTGATCAACCGCCTCATTTCCAACCAAAGCTTCACCAACAAACAATACCAAATCCGGCTCATTAATCCTAATCAATTTGGCCAATTCTCTCATCAGCGGCTCATTATCCTGCATTCTTCCAGCCGTATCAATCAACACAACATCAAGACCTCTTTCAGCCGCAATTTTAATCGCAGCCGCTCCAATCGCCGCCGCATCTTTACCATAACCTTGCTCATACAAATGCACACTATTCGGATGAAGCGCGTTGAGATGTCGTGTATGTGTTCGAAGTTGTTCAACAGCTCCAGCACGGAATGTATCACCAGCAGCGATTAGAACACGATGTTTATTCTCAGTCAACCAAAATGTGATTTTGGCCAGGTTTGTCGATTTGCCAACACCGTTTACACCGCAAAACACAATGACGTAGGGACGTTGATCTCTTTTGGCTTCCAAAACGTCTCGGAGAATATCGACACGGTGTTTTGGAGTGAGCAATTGGACGAGCGATTCTCTTACTGCTGTTTTGACTTCTTGTGCCACTCTTGAGAAATTGTTGACGACTTTTCCTTCGAGTTTTGAGACTACTGATTGGCAGATCTTTTCGGCTGGTTCAGCAGCAACGTTTTTCACTGGAAATTTTTGAATTTTAAAGCTAATTTGAGATTTTTAACGAAATTCATGTAAATTTTGACCTGCTAATATGATATGACGTAGCTAAATTTATTAATTTCGAAAATTCCGAATTTTCTGGGGTGATTCAAGTCGAACTTTCTTGACATTTTCTGAATCGAAATTTTTTTTCAAAAAAAAAATCCGGATTTTTTTTTTCAAAATTTTCCAACTTTGCCACGTCATAACTCATATTAGGAGCCGAGCTTTGTAATTTTTGACAACGGGTCAAAATTTTGAATTTTAAAATTTTCATTTGAGATTTTCTCTAGTAAATTTTGCCCTGCTATTTCTAAAATGAGTTATGACGTGGCAAAATTTGAAAATTCGAAAAAAGTTCATTAAAAACTTTTTTTGAAAAAGATTTGATTCAGAAAATATCAAAAACTATATTTTTCCAATTTTCTGAATTGAAATTTTTTTCAAAAAAAAAAATTTCGGATTTTTTTTCAAAATTTTCCAACTTTGCAACGTCATAACTCATATTAGGAGTCGAGTTTTGCAATTTTTGACAACGGCTCGAAATTTTCAAATTTTAAAATTTTCATTTGAGATTTTCTCTAGTAAATTTTGACCTGCTATTTCTAAAATGAGTTATGACGTGGCAAAATTTGAAAATTTTCGAAAAATCCGAATTTTCTGGGGTGATTCAAGAAATTATTTTTTAAAAATTAGGTTCAGAATATGCCAAAAAATCATATTTTTTCTTAATTTTCGCAATTTTTATCCACAAAAAATGAAAAAATTGGAAAAATATAGTTTTTGACATTTTCTGATTCAAAATTTTTTTAAATTAATTTTATTTCGTCTCAAATCACTCCAGGAAATTCGGATTTTTCAAAATTTCCCGATTTTGCCACGTCATAACTCATGTTAGGAGTTGAGATTTGCAGTTTTTCGGGTCAAAAACATGAATTTTCCAATTACAAAAAAACTCACTAATCAAATTATCTCTCATTTTTTCAACAAGCGGTTGCAAATCCTCAATATTCAACTTCTTTTCTCCAACAAGTCCCTTAATCATTCCAAACCATCCTCCAGAAGATTTAACAACTCTGAAAATTTATTTTTATTTTTTCAGTGACAGAAAAATGTTTTTCAACATTGAAAGCTCAAAAAGTCAAAAAATGTCGAAAAACCATTAGTTTTTCAAGGTTTTTCAGTCAAAAATGATGAAAAATCGATATTTTTCAAGCTTCTGGTGTGATTTCTGATAAAAATTGATCTTGGAATTCACTTTCCAGAAGGTTTTGCTGATTTTTCTCGAGGAATTTCGAAAAAAATTCACAAAATAAAGCAAAAATAGGGTTCTCGAAGCTTATTTTCATCAGAAATTACTGCAGAAGCTTAAAAAATATCGATTTTTCATCATTTTTGTTTTTTCTGATGAAAATAAGCTTCATCAAATTTTTTATTTTACGAAAAATCAGCAAAACCTTCTGGAAAGTCAATTTTCATCAGAAATTACTGCAGAATCTTGAAAAATATCGATTTTTCATCATTTTTGGCTGAAAAACCCTGAAAAACTAATGTTTTTTCGAAATTTTTTGAGTTTTTTTTGAGTTTTCGTGAGTTTTCGGTCAATTTTCATCAGAAACCTCTAGAACTCACTGTGTTTGTTCTTCCTCTTCTTCCTCATCATCCGATTCCTGAAGCGATTTCAAATCTCCCTTCAGCGATCCAATTTGACCTCGCATACTCTCAACAAACTTATTCTCCTCCTCATTCTGCGCATTTTCCCCATTTTCCGCGGGATTCGATCGATCCAACGAGGCAACATCGCTAGCTTTTCCACTCAATTCCCAAACTCTCGCCTGTTTTCCCTTTGGTTTCTTCTGCACATCTTCTTCCGGCGATCTTGGAGCACTGCTATTTTTCCCACTTTTCTTCGCAAAGAATTCCTCTCTTCTTTTTCGCACTTCATCGTCTGGACTTCCTGGTGGAGAAGATGTATAACCATCAGATCCTCCTGGTGAATTTTGCTCGGGTTTCTTCTTCTCCTTTGCCTCCTTTTTCGGCTGCCCTGGTCGACTGACAATCAAAGATTCGATAGTTTTTTGGGATTTTGCAGATTCTTGAAAAGTTTTTGGCTTCTTCACAATATTTTCATTGGCTTTCGCATGCTTAGCAGCTTGTGCTAGAATTCCTTGAAAACTATCATCATAACTAGCAAAAACTTCTTCTGTATCACTATAAAGAGCGGCCTTTTCCTGAAGCTCATTCAAAAATGTTCTGCGGAAACTTTCGGTGACTAAATTCAATAATTTATCCGCATATGTGAGATTGACGATAGTCTGATAGACAACCAGGTAAATAATATCGAGTTCGTTATCCAATTGAAATTTCATGGTATAATTATTATCCTTGAATTGCAAACTATTTCCTCGCTCTTGCATCAGCACTTCTTTGATGAAATTGTTGATTGTATCTGTGAAATTTTGCTCGCCTTCCTGCAAAAAAAACTTGAAAAACACGATTTCCCGCCAAACTAACCTGATAACTCCATAATACAACTCCTCCTTTACTGAAAATCGAGAAAAGTTCGATCATGGCTTGTGTTTTGTGTGTGTAAAACTGCAATTTTCAGTGGGGGGCATGCACACGTGTTGGAATGTCGTCGGGTCGAGTGTCTTGTACGCAACACAACACACGAGTTGACGCGCAATTGCACACATTGGAGGAGGAAAATTATTTAATTTTCAGAGAAACCTCATATTTTCAGCCTAGATTTCGATGAATTGCGGAAAAATTAATTTTCGTGGAAGTTTTTAATCAGCTTTAGATCTTGCTGAAGTCTAAATTTTCAAACTTCAACCCTAAAAATGGATAAAACGTGGCAAAAATCGTAATTTTCAACAATTCATCTCAAAATTGACCGAAATCCTCGTTCAAAAAATGATTTTGTAGATAGAAACTTCAATTTTCTCTCTTTTATAAAAAGAATACGAACTTACTTAGCTCGACAAAAATGTTGAGACTGAAAAAACTATGTGCAACGAGTGTTTTTTCGTTTCAACATTTTTTTTATAAGAGAGAGAGAGAGAGAAAATTGAAGTTTCTATCTACAAAATCATTTTTCGATCAAAGATTTCGGTCAACTTTGAGATGAATACCTCATTTTTTTGAAAATTACGATTTTTGCCACGTTTTATCCATTTTTAGAGTTGAAGTTTGAAAATTTTGACTTCAGCAAAGTTCTTAAGTTGATCAAAACCTACTACATTTTTGAGAATTTATCGAAATCCAGGCTGAAAATATGAAGTTTCTCTGAAAATTTCTCTGAAAATTATAATTTTCCAATTTTCGAAAAAAAAAAATAAATACGTGACACATATGACGTCACAAATTCCACGTATTTTGATCTTGATAAGACCGCTATAAAAGGAAGCCCCGAATCCACTCAAATCCAACCCATAGTCAACAGCCATGGCTCAATCTGTCCCACCAGGAGATATCCAAACTCAACCAAACGCCAAGATCGTCTTCAATGCTCCCTACGACGACAAACACACCTATCACATCAAGGTAATTAATTCATCGGCTCGTCGTATCGGATACGGTATCAAGACGACCAACATGAAGAGATTGGGCGTCGATCCACCATGTGGAGTTTTGGATCCAAAAGAGGCTGTCCTCCTGGCTGTTTCGTGCGATGCTTTTGCCTACGGACAAGAGGACACCAACAATGATCGTATCACTGTTGAGTGGACCAACACTCCGGATGGTGCGGCCAAACAATTCCGTCGTGAATGGTTCCAGGGTGATGGTATGGTTCGTAGAAAGAATTTGCCAATTGAGTACAATCCATAAACGCGGCAGTAATAAATATGTTTTTGCTTCGAATTTTGTTTTTTTTTCTTGTGAGTTTTGGCATATGCCACGTGGCACGGGTTTTTTTTCTCGAATTTACTGTACCCTGGTCTTCCTTGGGTCCAAATTTCACCAAAAATAAGATTTTTCAATGGCAAATCTAGTTCGGATGAACTTTTTGGCTCCTCAAACGTTGAATTTTGGCTTTAAAAATTTTTAACTACAGTTTAGCTAGCAGCTTTCGCTACAGTAATCCTTGCAGTTCTACAGTAACCCTGAACAATTGAGTACAATCCATAAACAGGCACGCGGCACTAATAAATATGTTTTTTCTTCGAATTTGAATTTTTTGAGCAGAATTCTAGCTACCGTAATCCATTTACTACGGTAATTTTGAAAATTTGAGTCAGACCTTGTAGTTCTAGCTACCGTAATCCTTGCAGTTCTACAGTAACCCTGAATAGTTTTCATCTCGTAGTTCTGTTTTGGAGCTGTATTTTACCTTGCAGTTCGAGATACAGTACTTTTTGCAGTCCGATGTTTCCTATGTAGTGACATTAATCCAGAAACTAGATAGCTTGCAGTTCGAGCTACAGTAATTTTTGTAGTCCGGTTTTTCCTAGTTACAGTAATCCTTGCAATTTTCAATGGGCTGCTTGGCTACAGTACCCTTGCAGTTCTACAGTAACCCTGAATCTGCAATACTTTCAATCTTTTGAGCTTCATTTTATCTTGCAGTTCGAGCTACAGTACTTTTTTCTGTCCTCTTTTTTTTCTAGTTACAGTAATCCTTGCAGTTCTACAGTAGCTCCGAATCTAAAATCTTCGGCGTTTTCTATTACAGTAATCCTACAGTAATCCTTGCAGTTCTACAGTAACCCTGAATCTGCAATAGGTTTCATCTCGTAGTTCTGTTTTGGAGCTACATTATAGCTTGCGGTTCGAGCTACAGTACTTTTTGTAGTCCGGTTTTTTTCTAGTTACAGTAATTCTTGCAATTTTCAAGGAGCTGCTTGGCTACAGTACTCTTTGCAGTTCTTGAACCTTGCAGTTCTACAGTAACCCTGAATCTGCAATAGTTTCGTTCAAGGATCTTCATTTTACCTTGCAGTTCTACCGTAATCTTTGCAGTCCGGTTTTTTTCTAGTTACAGTAATCCTTGCAGTTTTCAAGAGGCTGCTTGGCTACAGTACCCTTGCAGTTCTCCAGTAACCCTGAATCTGCAATAGTTTTCATCTCGTAGTTCTGTTTTGGAGCTACATTTTACCTTGCGTTTCGAGCTACAGTACTTTTTGTAGTCCGCTCGGGAAAAAATACGGCGCCAAGGCGACATCCTGGGGCGCTAAGGCGACATTCTGGGGCGCCAAGGCGGGAAGTGCTCTCGCCTCGGCGCTAAAAAGGTGCGCAGAGAGAACGCACCGGCGCTAAAACGGCGCGCGAAGAGACGCCTCGGCGCTAAAATGGTGCGCCAGTGAGACGAAAAAAATAAAAAAAGGTGCGGGAAAGGGGCATCGAACTTGGGTCAAAACAATGACAACCCATCCTCTTATCCACTCGGATACGCTTGCTACATTTTTAGTGCGGAAAATTTCGATGAAGAGAAAAAAAGAGTCATTTGTATGGTAAAATAATGAATTTTTCCTGAAAATGTCGCCTCGGCGCTAAAAAGGTGCCGTAATTTCGGCACCTTTTTAGCACCGGGGCGGCCAAAACTCCTCGACAATTTTTGTCGCCTCGGTGCTAAAAAGGTGCCGCATTTTTCCCGAGCGGTTTTTTCTAGTTACAGTAACCTTGCAGTTTTTTGCTCTTTTGTCCTTTGCAGTTCGAGCTACCGTAGCTTTTGTAGTCCAATTTTTCTAGACTTAACATGAGCAATATCCCAAATCTCTTCCCCTTTTTCTTTCTTTTTATGCCTTGTTAATTAGGGTCAATACAAATTGGAGGGATTAAGAGAAAATCACAAAATAATTGGCGCTTTTTTGACTTGCCGATAAACAAAATTCAAATTTTCCCTCTTTTTTCCCCCAAATAAATCAAAGAAACCCAAATTGAGGTGTTCTTCTTCATGAATTCCTTGATACTTATCTCAATTTCAAGTATTGACAAGACCGAGGTCGAAACATAAACTTAGCAGCAAGCAAAAAATGTGTGTTCGAGATGACTATCTGACTTTCGAAAACATTGCAATTTGGTTGTGATTGGCAGGTTATTTGAAAACAGAAATAGATTTTTCAAAATTCCCGGGAAAAAAAGTGTTTGCGGAAATTAGCACCTTGTAATTGAAATGTGTTAACACCATTAGGTGTAACAATGAGAAAGATGTTATGACAGATAATATGTATTCAACTATTTTGGGAAGTTGTGCAATTTTCCGCTTTTTCATGAAATTTTCGATTAAAAAAAATCGATATTCATCTCAAAATTGACGAAAATACTCGTAGTTTTAGCATTTTCCACAGCGCGCGCACCAGTTTTATTCTCTTTGAAATTTTAACCGCAGAAAAAATGACTAGCAAAGCGCAGCAGGTTAGCGGATAGCCCATTGAGGCAACGCTGTGGGGTTCGACCCATGCTCGCTGCAACATTTTTTGATTTTTTTTTCTTTTGCAAGAAAACGACTTTGCAACTTCGGAGCTCACTTTCTTGTGCTCAGAGTGGAGTTCGGCAGCTGAATTTTTTATATGGCCATTAGAACATCTCAAAGTACCCTCAAAAAATTTTTCAGCTCAAAACTCGACCCTTTGTTAGCTACAAAATCATTTCGAGTATTTTCGTCAATTTTGAGATGAATATCGATTTTTTTCGAAAAATTCATGAAAAAACCGGAAAATTGCACAACTTCCCAAAATTGTTGAATACATATTATCTGTCATAACATCTTTCTCATTGTTACACCTAATGGTGTTAACACATTTCAATTACAAGGTGCTAATTTCCGAATGGAAAAGGAATTTTAACAGGATTTTTTGATTTATTAACAGAACAAAAAGATTTTTCAACAAAATTCCATTTTCAAACGTCTTCTATATCCATATTGAATCTCATTTTATGAAAAGTGAATCGAGCTTTTTCGGATTTGTCGTAGTTCATAATGTATTTGTTGTCATAATCGCTGAAAAAAATTATTGATTAACTGGAAAAAATGGAAATCATACTATTTTTGGGGGATTTCGAAATCTAGCCCTTCTAAATCGACTTCAACATCTTTTCGCTTCTTATTTTTCTCACTAAATCCTCCGTGTATCGAAACACTTTTCACATTTGCGTTCAATTTTCCATCACGCCAATATTTGATATATTGATTGATATCTTTTGGTGTCAAATCCATCATATAAATGACAATATGTTTCGCTTTCAGTTGAATCAATTGGTCAAAACTCAAAACAGTTGCTGGTAAATGCAGGTACGATTTGACGCGTTTGATTTGATCGAAATCGACAAATTTGTGTTTTATCAAGCAAACTTGACGGGAAGTTGGATGAATTGTAAGTTCTTCCAATTTTCTCATATTTCGAAGTTGAATTGAGCGAATCAGGTTTGATCTACCTTTGCATCCCTGAAAAATAAAAAAAATTCTGATATTCAGTTCGAAAGTTTACCAAAGACATTTCGAAATTCTTCAAATTCTTCCCAAATTTCTGAATATATTCGTTCGCATATTTGGCAATTACATCGAATAATTTTCCAGTTTCAGTAACTCGCCATAAGATTTTTCCAGGTTCAAAACTGAATGATTTGTCTCTGAAGGAAAAAAAGGAGAATATTTTTGTTTTCAAAAAATTCAACCCACCTTCTATATTTGACAATAGTTTCTGCTTGAAAATTATCATGAAACTCGAATGTCCACAAAGGCCACAATTTATAAAATTGTATTTCATACGAGTTTCTTCTTTTTTCCTCGACAATTCTCATATGATGACAATAATTTTTCGATGAAATCGCTTCTTCATAGCATAATTTGGAACATTGCGCAAATTTGTATATTGTTGTATCAGGCATAATCTCGATGATGATAATTCTGAGCTCGAAGGGAATATCGAACCAGCCAGTTGTTTCTTTCTCGTCATTCTCCACTTTCTCTCGTTTTGCAGGTGGTTCCATGTTTCTGGAGGTTTCAAGAGTATTATTTTGGTATTCTTAATGAAAAATCACAGTGTAATTACGTAAATAACCGACGAAACAAACAGAAACAAAAAAAAAACAAATTCGAAAATAAAAAAACGTGGCCTAGAAACCGACTCGTCCACGTCTATTGATTTTTTCGTCGAAAAATCATTTCGAAACGCAAAAATGAACGAATTGGATGGAAAACATGAATTGTGGTGAGTTTTTTGGGGAGGGTTTTGATCAAAAAACAAGCTGAAATCATAAATTTCTAGAAAATCCCCTGCTTTGGGGAAATTTCTTCTACTTTCACCAAGATTTTCCCAAACACCGGTTCACTTCCCAAATCTTCCAACACCTCAAACTTCACTATTTGTTCACACTTTCAATATCTGTCATCGAATCTTGTTAACACTTTTACAATTCAGTAGATAAGGTGCTAATTTCCGTTCGACTTCCCAATGTTTCGAATTTGAAACAATTTTTTTTCATCAAACATATGCTACTATTGCAAAACGTTTTGGCCTTGATTCACTCATTTCCCTCCTCCTTTTCATTCATTTTCACTAAATAGACACTCATTTTTTTTTGCACTTACGCTATGTTTTCAAGAGTTTATTCATTCATCCATTATGAGAAATTCCAATACTTGACCCATCAAAAATTCTCATTTTTTGATTGATTCACTATGCTAAATACAAATAGCGAATTGCGTAATATATCGGAACACTTTTGTAAACTTAATTTGTTTGATTCGCGGATTATAGTTACACCTAGACCTTTTTAGCGACTATTTGACCAGATGTTAATCCAAAGTGACCAAAAACAAAAAGTTTTTTTGTTTTCCGGCCGGAACCTTTGGCACCAAGACACAACAAAAAATGGCATAACTTTCTTTGTTCCACCAGCCAGCAAATGATGCGTTTCTAAAAGTTCCTCTTTTTTTTTGCTTTGAGGAACTTTTTGCTGTTCCTCTTCCCTCCTCTCATGGGAACTTGTTTAGACATTCATCAAAAATTTTCGCCGCCTTCGGCTGTTTTTCTTTCGGCACGCATAGTATCTCTCGATAGCGTGGCCATTTTGTTGCATTTTTTGGTGAGATGAAGCTCATTTTGTGGGTTTTCGTGCTCTTTTTTGAGTTTTGAACATTTTTCTGGTTTAAAGTCCTGAAATTTAGGATTTTTCTGAAGAAATGGCAAGGGGTGGCGCCTAGAGATCTATTCTGACAAGGAGTGGCGCCTAGAGAGCCTTGTTGTCTTGGAGTTGCGCCTTGAAAACCTAGTTCTCAAGCAGCCGCTTCTAGAGAGCCTTGTTGTCTAGCAGCCACGCCTAGAGATCCACTGTGGCAAGGGTCCGCGGCTTGAGGGTGCCTATGACAAGGAGTGACGCCTAGAGAACCTAGTTGTGAAGTAGCCGCTCCTAGAGAGCCTCGTTGTCAAGTAGCCACGTCTATAGAGCCCCATTGTCTAGGAGTCGCGCCTTTAGGACATAATTTTCAAGTAGCCACCTCTAGATACAAAAAATATTGACCGAAACTTCAAATTTTCTTATATATTTTTCTCCAAAAATTACAAATCCGAAAAATTTCCAATCTCCAAGATACAGTAATATTTGGACCGCCGCCAACTTGTATTATCTCAATTTCCGATCTTCTCTTACATAAACCGAAACCCGATTTTTTCTGTGTTGCTTTCAAAAAATTTCGAAACACTTTGGGTGGTCGTTTTTGCCGCCAACAACTGTCAAAAACATAAATCATAACATTTTGTGTTGGGGTGTCTGCGCGACATTTTTCGAAAAAAAAAAACTTGCACTTTTATAAACACTTTTCTTAAGGAACAAGTTTAGTTAAGGTAACTTTGTGCCTTAATTAATTGACCTTCAAAGATGATATCTTTCTTTTTGATCACCCCAATTTCACACATTTTAATTTATTATTATTGATGAGAGGGAATTAGGTGGCTGGTACGGTATGAAATTGTTTCGAAATACCAAAAAATGTTGGTTCTGAAGCCTATTTTCTATCAAAAATCTCAAAAATCTTCGATTTGTCATTTAAAAAATGTCCAAATAGCTATAGTTTAGCACCCAATTCAATTCAATTGAGATAATTACATACAAGTTTTGGTTTTTTTGTCGGCGAGTTCTGAAAAAGAAGCAAATAGTAGTATGAGCGTGGTGGTTTTGAGCAATTAAACACTCAACCATATGACATTAGACCGAAAAATAAGAAAATTGTTTCAAATTGCTTTACTTGTGGTTTTGAAGGTTTCAAGGTAATTAGATTTTGAAATTGGCGGGAAAAAGATTTTTGAAAAATTCAAAAAATTCAGAATTTTTGAATTTTGTTGTGAAATCTGAAATTCTGAATTTTCAAAATTTCTAGGATTAAATTTTTAAAAAATTCGGGATACTGTAGTTTTTGGCGCCAGGATTTTGTGTTTTGAAATTTTTTTTTGAAATCTGAATTTTGTAGTGAAATCTTGAGGTTTACAGTAATTTTTTTTGGCCCAAAATTGGATTCCAAAATTTTCTGAAAATTGTGAATCCTGAAAATCTGAATTATCAAAATTTCCAGATCAAATTTTTTTAAAAATTCAAATTTTTGAAATTTCGCGCGCGTCTTTTCAGGGATACTGTAGTTTTTGACTCCCAGGATTTTTTCTGAGAAAAATTTATCCTATTTTTGAACCCCTATATCCTCATAGCTACAGTAACCCCAGGAAGATCCACGTGGCAAAAATTGAATTTTGGCGCCAAAATTTCGAAATTCAATTTTTCCCGCTCAAAATTACGACACCACGTGGATTCCAGGATTTTTGGCGCCAAAAATCTGAGTTGATTTTTGAATTCTCAAAAATTCGCGCCCTGGAATACTGTAGTTTCTGGCGCGCCACTAGTTTTTTTTTGGACCAAAAAAAAATCCACGTGGATTTTTGCAGTTCTAAGCTACAGTAACCCTGAGAAAATCCACGTGGCAAAAATTGTTTTGGCGCCAAAATTATCGAAATTCAATTTTTTTTTTGCCAAAAATTGGATTTCAGGATTTTTGGCGCTACAGTAAGCTAAAAAATTCGAAATTGCTTACTGTAGATTTTGGCGCCAAAATTCAAAATTAACGAAATCCACGTGGATTTCAGGATTTTTGGCGCAAAAACTATTGTTTAAAAAAAAGTTTACTGTACGCAAAAGTGTTTGCACACTCTGCGGGAATTTGAATTTTTCAAAAAAAAACTGGGAATTTTCTTGGCTCCCTGTATAAAATATACCGTATAGCTAACCTGAGAATTTTCAAATATTCTTCTCCCAAAACACCGTGCGGTTCGTCTCCTTTTTACATCATCATCGACTTCCGTTTGTCACACACACAAGTGTCTAACCAAAACCCATTAGACAGTTACTCATCCTAACCAAAAATAGTTTTTTTTTTGCGATTTTTTCTCACGATTTGAATTTATTTAGTGTTCAAAAACACCTAACCTAACCAAAAAAACCCAAAAAATTGCGCCATTTTTTGCGGGCCGCCCGGATAATTAAAGAGCGTGAATTGATACACTCAAGAGATGAGCATGGCTCACTCGGCCAAAAAACGACATAGCTCGGGGCGACTCGCTACACTTTTTGTCGAGACTCGTTTTGCAGCGAGTTGCCCCAAGCGCGCCTCAAAAGTGGCGAGTTCCGGGCAACTTGCCGCAAATTTAGCGTGTTCCGGGCGAGTTGCTGAATAACGGGGCGAAAACAGGGCAAGTCGCTACAATCTCGAGCGAGTCGCCCCACGCTTGCCCGAAGTGCCTCGGGCCAGTCGCCCGAAACGTGTAGCGACTCCGCCCCGATCGGTAGCGACCTCGCCGTTTTCTGACCGAGCATTTTTAGCCAGGCTCATCATCAAAAAAAATAGAAAAATAATAATATTGTCAAGGTTTTGCGCAATTTTATGAGGTAATTAGACAAACATAACATTTTTTTGCTGGACACAACAAGTTCCGCTAAATTGCGCATCACTTTTTTATTTGATTTATTTTTTGCCGCCATTTTTAATTGAGAGGAGATGAGTACTGTATCGGATTACAGTAAGAATTACTCAAAAAAAATATGTTGGCGGCTAAACTTGCAAAAAAAGATTTCGAATTAAGATAACTCAAGCCACCTGGAATCAATTTTGTTTTGATTTTTGTGAGAAAAAGCCACGTGGTGCACAACGGGTTGCCTTTTTAAGAAGATTCCGACAGAAAATTATAGTTGAGACTTCCCAAAGGGTTTGGAATTTGAAAATTTTGAAAAAAACCTCAATTTTTTTGACTTAAAAAAATACGTTTCAAAAATTTTTTGAATTTTTGGGATTTTTTTTTGAAAATTGATGCGCCTGGTCCTTTGTTATATCTGAAAATTTTCCGATTCTGGATTTTCGGTCGAGAAATTGAGCCTAAGCCCAAAAGCCCAGGCCCTAGCCTAAATCTAGGCCTGAGAAAAAAAAAATTTAAAAAATTTTTTGACAAAAAAAATGCGATTCAGAAATTTTTGTCCAAAAATGTTTTTTAATAATTTTTTCGACATTTTTTTTCATTTTTGTGTGGAAAAATAGGAAAAAACCGGAAAAAAATATTTTCTTGACTTTTTCTGAATCGAAATTTTTGTCCAAAAATGTTTTTTTTTGACTTGAAAAAAATACGTTTCAAAAATTTCATGAATTTTTGGATTTTTTTTTTGAAAATTGATGTGCCTGGTCCTTTGTAATATCTGAAAATTTTCCGATTCTGGATTTTTAGTCAAGAAATTGAGTCTAAGCCCAGGCCCAGGTCCTAGCCTAAATCTAGGCCCGAGAAAAAAAAAATTTTTTGACAAAAAAAATGCGATTCAGCAAATGTCGAAAAACTATATTTTTTCCTATTTTTTCCACACAAAAATGAAAAAAAAGTGGAAAAAAAATTTTCTTGACTTTTTCTGAATCGAAATTTTTGTCCAAAAATGTTTTTTTTTTCGACTTGCAAAAAATACGTTTCAAAAATTTCATGAATTTTTGGATTTTTTTTTTGAAAAATTGATGCGCCTGGTCCTTTGTAATATCTGAAAATTTTCCGATTCTGGATTTTTGGTCAAGAAATTGAGCCCAAGCCCAAGCCCAGGCCGTAGCCTAAATGTAGGCCCGAGAAAAAAAAAATTAAAAAAAATTTTTTACAAAAAAAAAATTCGATTCAGCAAATGTCAAAAAACTATATTTTTTCCTATTTTTTGAACATTTTTTTTCAATTTTGTGTGGAAAAAATGGGAAAAAATATAGTTTTTTGACATTTTCTGAATCGAAATTTTTGTCCAAAAATGTTTTTTATCATTTTTTTTCGACTTGCAAAAAATACGTTTCAAAAATTTTATGAATTTTTGGATTTTTTTTGAAAATTGATATTCCTGGTCCCCCAATACAATTTGAATGATAAATCTGAAATTTTTCGAAAAATGGTCTGATTGTGCCCCAGGATTCAGCCTAAAGGCTCTAGCCAAAATCTGGGCCCAAGTCTAAGGCTTAGGCCCTAAGCCCAGGCCCTAGCCTAAATCTAGGCCTAAATCTAGACCCGAGCCTAAGCCTAGACGAAATCTAGGTTCAAGCCTAAGCTCAAGCCCAGGCTCTAGCCAAAATCTGGGCCCAAGTCTAAGGCTAAGGTCCTAAGCCCAAGCCCAGGCCCTAGCCTAAATCTAGGCCTAAGCCCAACAAGCCCCTTGTGCAGATTTCCGGATCCAATAGATCATCATCCATCATCTTTTCTCGCAATTAACAACAATGGTGTGACTTTACTCTCTCTATCTAATCCGTCTGCGTCTCTTCATTTTCCATAATCTCTCACCGCCCGGATCATTCAAAAAAGTTTCGAATTCTTGTCCGGTTGAAAGACTTTTAATCCTACCGGCTCTTCTTTTATCCCTTGACAATATAATTGCTCTTTTTCGGGAGAAAAATGATTGTTTTGGACAATTTTTGAATATTAGATACAGTACCCAAGTTACTGTAGATAAAAAAATCCACGTGGCTAAAACGGCTGGTTTTTTAATTCTGAATTCAAAATGAAAATTTTTGCTCCAGAAATGAATACAGTAATCCTGTCCTCTACAGTAATCCAATACAGTAATCCAAGTAGTCAAAACAATCGATCATCCAAACTTTTCTTCTTCTCAAATTACCAATTATCCACTCAATTCAAGTGTGCATATTGATACAGTATCCATAAACTTAGGCTAACTCGGTGGGAGATAGGCTTGGCTACTTGAGAACGGGAGTCTCAAGGCGCGGTGTCTTGAGAGATAGGTTTTCTAGGCGTGGCTGCTTGGTAGGGTGGATCTATAGGCGCTGATCCTTGAAAAATGAATTTTGTAGACGCGGCTGCTTGACAAATAGGGTTTCTAGGCGTGGATACTTGAGAACTAGGCTTTGTAGGCGCGGTGTCTTGAGATGTATGTTTTCTAGGCGTGGCTCCTTGGTAGGGTGGATCTGTAGGCGGTGATCCTTGAAAAATGAATTTTGTAGACGCGGCTGCTTGACAAATAGGGTTTCTAGGCGTGGATACTTGAGAACTAGGCTTTGTAGGCGCGGTGTCTTGAGATGTATGTTTTCTAGGCGTGGCTCCTTGGTAGGGTGGATCTGTAGGCGGTGATCCTTGAAAAATGAACTGTATAGGGACGGCTTCTTGACAGCTAGAGTTTCTAGGCGCTGCTCCTTGAAAACTAGCGTTTCTAGACGCGGTGTCTTGAGAGATAGGTTTTCTAGGCGTGGCTGTTTGGTAGAGTGAATGCTCGAAAATTAAGCTGTCTAGGCGCGACTACTTGAAAACTAGCGTTCTCTAGGCGCGGCGCCTTGACAAATAGGGTTTCTAGGCGTGGCTGCTTGAAAAAGAGAATATCTAGTTTTAGCGCCTTAAGAACTGAAGTCTCTAGGCGCGACTGCTTGACAACAAGGCTCTCTAGGCACGGCTACTTGAGAACTAGATTCTCTAAGCGCTGATCCTTCACAAAACAACCCTCAAGGCGCGACTGCTTGACAACTAGGGTTCTGAGACGCTGATCCTTGACAAAACAACCCTCTAGGCGCGACTGCTTGACAACCAGGCTCTCAAGGCGCTGCTCCTTGACAGCTAGGTTCTCTAGGCGTGGCTGCTTGACAGCTAGGGTTTTTGAGACGCTGATCCTTGACAGCTAGGTTCTCTAAGCGCTGACCCTTGATACTAGAGCCCCTCTAGGCGCTGATCCTTGACAAAACAACCCTCTAGGCGCGACTGCTTGACAACCTGGCTGTCAAGGCGCTGATCCTTGACAAAACAACCCTCTAGGCTCGGCTGCTTGACAACCAGGCTCTCAAGGCGCTTATCCTTGAAAATTAAACTGTCTAGGCTCGGCCACTTGAAACAGAAACATTTCTGGACCTCAAATCTGAGTTCTTCCAGAAGTTTTCTCAAAAAAGTACAGTAATCTAAATGTTATCTATGCTCAATCCTCGATTTTGTCCACCTGCCTTTTATCACCCACCCATTCGTAAAAAAAAGTAATTTTGAGAGCAGATGGTGTGTGTTCCACACCAATTTCTCTTTCTTTGTTGTTATATAATTGCCGCGCAATGATAATAATCATCAAATCGGAAATTGTTTGTAAATATTTGCTCCGCGAGCATAAGTTTTATATAGACATATACTTGCGTAAGATATTTATATGTACATCTGTCTCCAAAAAAAATTCCCAAACTCGTCTTTTTTTTTTTTTTTTTTTTTTGATTGATGAATTACCTCGTTTTTTCTTGTGAGCCTCAAGAAAAAAAAAAAATTGGCTCAAGGTCTTTTTTTTTTCGTGAGCCAAGAGGCAAGGAATTTTTGCGGTTAGCCTTCAAAAAAGTTGCACTAACTTTCTTTTTTTATTAGCCAAGGTGACTAATTAGTTTAGGGCTTTTACCCTACCTTTTTTATGGGTTTTCTCATTAATTCCAAGTTACTGTAATTGTTTGGGAACGAATTTTTGATTTTGGTTTTTGAAAAAATTAGTTTTGTAGATTTTCAGATTTCAAAAATTTTTGTTCTGAAATTCGGAAAATCTGGAAATTGGATTCAGAAATTTTCAGAGGAATTCTGAAACCTGAAATTTTTCCGGATAAAAAATGTTAATAGGCGCGGCTGCTTGCCATTGAAGCTCTCAAGGCGCGGCTCCTTGACAGAGTGGATCTCTAGGCGCGATTGCTTGAGGCAGAGGATCTCTAGGCGCTGATGCTTTGCAAATCCAACTGTCTAGGCGCGGCTGCTTGACATTTAGACTCTATAGGCTTGGCTCCTTGACAGATTTGATCTCTAGGCGCGATTGCTTGGCAGCTAGAATCTCTAGGCACGGCTACTTGAGAAACAGGATCTCTAGGCGCTGCTCCTTGGCAGGTAGAATCACTAGGCGCGGCTACTTACCAATAAAGCTTCCAAGGCTCGGCTGCTAGACAACTAGAATTTGTAGGAGCGACTGCTTGACAGATTTGATCTCTAGGCGCGGCTGCTTGAGAAAGAGGATTTCTAGGCGCTGATGTTTGCAAATCCAACTGTCTAGGCACGGCTCCTTGACAAATTTGATCTCTAGGCGCTGCTCCTTGACAGCGATGCTCTCAAGGCGCGGCTACTTGAGAAACAGGATCTCTAGGCGCGGCTCCTTGGCAGCGATGCTCTCAAGGCGCGGCTGCTAGACAACTAGAATTTGTAGGAGCGACTGCTTGTCAGATTTGATCTCTAGGCGCGGCTGCTAGACAATCAGGCTTTCTAGCCTCAACTGTTTCTGAGAGACTAGAAAAAACTCGAAAATTTTCAGCAAAATCCCATTTTTTTCTCTTTACGTCTCTCCTTCTCCCATAATCTCTCTCTCTCCAGAAATTTCGATCCTCAAAAATCTCGATTTTCTGAAAAAAAATTCCAGCTGATTTTTCATGTTCACTGTTTCTCTGCACCTCTTCATCTCCCACACTCTCTCTCTCTCTCTCTCTCTCTCTCTCTCTTATATATAGTTCCCCCCTTGCCAACACCATCGATCATCACCTTGTCGTCACCCCCCCCTCCCTGTCTTCTCCCAAAGCTCCGCCCACTTCCAAGCCCCGCCCCCTGGTGTAGTAGTCACCCAAAAACAATCACACCACACCACAAAATTTATAGAAGAAGAAGAAGATGTCGTGCTTAGCAGTTGTCCTAAATGGTCCGAAGGCGAAAAATGGTCGTCGGGTATTCGAGAGTTTTGTCGAGCAGAATAAGATGAGCTTTTGGAATCGGTTAGTTTTTTTTTTTTTGATTTAGTCTAACTCAATTAGAACTTACCCTAACTAAGTTCTAAAGTAGAAGTTACCCTAACTCCCTAAATCTTCCAGTGAACTTGTGACGGCCGCCGAATCCCTCATCTACATGGGCTTCATGCGCCCCGGAACCCTCTTCATCTCCGGCGACTTGCCGCAACTCCACATTCTCAAAGACGCGTGGGCTCGACGAGTTTTGAAACCGGCCAACGGCTACACAATCGCATCATTGGGTGAGTCAGGAATTTTTATTGTTTTGGGGGGGGGGTCTTTTGTTTTTTTAGGTTGGGATGGGTTCGAACTTTTTTGAAAAAAAGGGAAGGCCCTGTCCTTTGTTTATTTAGGCAGACGGGGGTGTTGGAAAAGGAGCCGCGCATATCATAATTTTTTATGATCTGGTTGCAAATAGGCCCATATCGTATTTGCATAATAGTTTGAAAACTAGGCGCGACTGCTTGAGATGGTGGATTTGTAGGCGCGGCTGCTTGATAGATAGAGTTTTATAGGGGCGGTTGCTTGAGATAGTGGATTTGTAGGCGCGGGAGCTTGAGAATTAGAGGTTTTCAAGGGTTGGATTCTAGAGAAAGCCGATCTGTAGGCTCAGGCACTAGACTTTCTGTTTCTTAAGGCCCGGATACTTGACGATTAGACTTCTCTAAGGTGTATGCTACTTGACAGCTATGGTTCTCAAGGCTCGGCTGCTTGAGAACTAGGCTCTCAAGCTACTGGTCCTTGACAATCGGAGTTTCTAGGCGCGGGTCCTTGACAGTCAGCTTCTCTAGTGTTAACTGCTTCACAACTAGATTTTCCAGAGTTGGCTGCTTAGAATTTAAGCTCTCAAGGCGCGACTCCTTGGCATATTGCATCTCTAGGCGCGGGTCCTAGACAATTAGCTTCTCAAGGCTCAGCTACTTCACAGCTAGGCTCTCTAGGTACGACTCCTAGACAACTAGCTTCTATAGGATTAGCTGCTTGAGAGCTTCGATCTGAAGGCGCGGCTGCTTGATATAGTGGATCTCTAGAAGGCGCTGGTCCTTGACAATTAGGTTCTAAAGGCTCAACTACTATGTATTGAGGCTCTCAAGGCGTGAATCCTTGACATATATATTCTCTAGACGTGGGTCCTTGACAGTTTGCTTATCTAGGGTTAGCTGCTTGAGAACTCAGGCTCTCTAGGCTCAGCTACTTCACAACTAGGGTCTCTAGACGCAAATCCTAGACAATTAGCTTCTTAAGGCTCAGCTACTTGACAACTAGGCTTTCAAGACGTGACTCCTTGACACATATATTCTCTAGGTGCGGCTCCTTAACATAGGGAATCTCTAGACGTGGTTGCTTGAAACATATCATCTCTAGGTGCGACTCCTAGACAACTAGCTTCTATAGGATTAGCTACTTCACAACCAGGCTTTCAAGGCGTGACTCCTTGACAACTAGGCTTCCAAGCCTTGTCTACTTCCCAACACCTTCTCTCGGCTCTCTCTCATTATTACCAGATCACTTAAACACTCAGTCGGCATCATTTTTCATCCCATTGTTCTTAACAAAGTGCTAAAATACTCTAAGCTCACTTCAAACAGTTTCACCCGAAAGTGTGAGACTTTTTATTGTTCTTTCGAAATTTCCCAAAAGCAAAACCACCTGTACCTAGAAAAAAAAAGAGCAGGTGACCTGCTCTTTTTTATTAATTAGAAATAATTTCTGGCGAGAAAAAAGGTGGTAAATATTTGGGCAATCAAGTGTACTTTCCAGGTGATCTCGGAGCCATTCAACAAGTCGAGCAGATGCATTTTGTGCCACTAGGCGATGTGATTTGCGACGCGGTGGCTCAACTAAATCGCCACGGTCAACCCGCCACGGAGACCACAATTCGACAATATGTAGCCAGACATTGTGCACATGTTGCACCGCCAGCCATTGAAATGGTAACTTTCCCACATAAAAATTAATTATTATACATTTATAATTATACTTGCTTATAGGTTCGCCAGACATTGAACTCTTTATTAGCCACTGGTTTTATCTATAAAATGGGAGAGCACTATTTTGTATCGGTGCCCACCAATTCGCCACCCAAACAAAAACAGACGGTGGAATGTCAGACTGGTCAATCGATAATTCAGCAGAAGAAGGAAAAAAGAGGAATTCTAGCCAGATTGTTCAATAAGGCTGTGAGACCTGTGGCTCAGGCAATGCCACCAGTTGTGCCTGCACCAAATCCACCACCGAAACCTCTTCCAGCGCCAGCGCCACCAATGTGAGTTGCATATCTCAGAGATTTGAGCGAGGGGAAAGAGAAGGCGCGGGTGGCCGAGTGGTTAGCGCGCGTGGTTTCGAAGCGCTGGGTCACGGGTTCGACTCCCCCTTGGGGCGAAGTTTTTTATTTTTTCTTTAAATAGCTTGGGATTAGGCGCAGGCTGCGAATATTTGGGTTTGATTTAAAAAAAATTTCCAGTAGTTTTTTGGGCTCGAAAAGAATGTTTAAAAATGTTTTTTTAACATTGAAAGATCAAAAGTCAAAAAAATGTCGAAAAAACAAAATTAGTTTTTCAAGGTTTTTCAGCCAAAAATGATGACAAATCAATATTTTTCAAGCTTCTGGAGTGATTTCTGACAAAAATTGACCTTGGAATTCACTTTCCAGAAGGTTTTGCTGATTTTTCGTAAAATAAAAAATTTAAATTCGAAAAATTCATAAAATAAAGCAAAATATGGTTCTCAAAGCTTATTTTCATCAGAAAAATTCATAAAATTTTTTTATTTTCCGAAAAATCAGCAAAACCTTCTGGAAAATGAATTCCAAGGTCAATTTTTCATCAGAAATTACTCCAGAAGCTTGAAAAATATCGATTTGTCATCATTTTTGGCTGAAAAACCTTGAAAAACCACCACTAAAGCCAGCCTTGCAAGAATATCTCAGAGATTTGAGCGGTGCGAAAATATGGCGGGGTGGCCGAGTGGTTAGCGCGCGTGGTTTCGAAGCGCTGGGTCACGGGTTCGACTCCCACCTTGGGGCGGAGTTTTTTATTTTTTTTTGGGCTCTTCCTTAGAGTTTAGGTAAGCCCAAAGTAAGCCCAAAAAAATTTTACAAGAAAACAATGGGGTGCCCCTAGGAAAGTATCACCCATTTCAAAATATTTTGACACCTTTTTGATTGATTGGGTGTTGTTTTGTCCTGTAGAGTTCAAACCTTGGTGCGAACAAGCAAGCCAAGAAAAAGGAACCTTGGGTGACGCAAAACCACGGTGGTAGATTGTAAATATGGATGAACAGATTGCGTAAACCCCTACCCTATCCCATTCCGCCCAGTAATTACAGACCAATCAAAAAAATATAATTATACAGGTATCACCAAGAACCATGCCAACCAAAAAGGGTGCAACAGCAAAATGAGGCGGTTGTGATCACGAAAAAACAGCAAAGAAGAACGAAACGTCGTGAAACTGCCAAGTTATTAAGTAGCAGCTCGGAGTGCTTGAATTATGGGCCAATTGATCCGCCAGAAATGTTGCCTGGATGTGTTTATAAGCAGCAGACTTATAAGAAGAGAGTTGCCACCACCAAGAAATATCCACCAATCGCGAGAACTTCCACACCAATCGAATCGGATAGCGCATATTCGCCGTCGCCTGTGGCGACCGATTCGAACGAGGAGGCTAGCCAGAGTGATCCGGAAATCAATCACACTTATATCAACCTGGTGAAGCCGGGTTTCACCAATGATTCGACGCAATTCGAGGATTTGACGGCGGCGTCGGAAGAACCGCAGATTTTGGCGACGCAGATGATGCGAGGGGTGTTGATTTCGAATTTGTAGGGACCATTTAGCTCAGTTTTGACCTCTAGGGTCGGTCGTCACCATGTATTTTTCTCTAGTCCCACTTCAAATGTGATTTCTTTCAAGCAAGCCCCCTCTCCGTCTCTGCCCTTTGCGAACAAAAACGAAAAACTTTATTTCTCTGCACTCTCTCTCTCTCTCTTTGTTTAAAACTGGTCATTTTTCATTTTTTTTTGTTGTATGTTTCTCTCTATTTTTTTTCAAATAAACTTTGTAGCAAAAAAATGATTTTCGAAAAAAAACAAGAACGAGACTCCGCTCTTACGTTGCCTGTTTTTTATTTTTCAAAGCTTTTTCTTGAATTTTGATAAATTTCTGGGAAAAATTCCCGAAATTTTCGAAAAAAAATAAAAAGAAAACAACGAGACTCCGCTTTTACGTTGCATGTATTTTATTTTTCAAAGCGTTTGAATTCATTTGAATTTTGATAAAATTTGTGGCAAATTCCCCAAAATTCCTGAAATTTTCGAAAAAAATGAAAAGAAAACAACGAGACTCCGCTTTTACGTTGCCTGTGTGTTCGCGGGCGTTTGAATTTGTTTTTTTTTTCAAGCTTTTTTCACGAATTTTGATAAAATTCTCGAAAAAATAAAAAGAAAACAACGAGACTCCGCTCTTACGTTGCCTGTGTTTTATTTTTCAAAGTTTTTTCTTGAATTTTGATAAAATCCCCAAAAATTTCCGAAAAAAAAAAGAAAACAACGAGACTCCGCTTTTACGTTGCATGTCTGTTCGCGGGCGTTTGAATTTATTCGAATTTTGCTAAATGTTGTGGCAAAAACCCCCAAAATGAAAAAATTTTCGAAAAAAAAAGAAAACAACGAGACTCCGCTTACGTTGCATGTGTGTTCCCGGGCGTTTGAATTTATTTATTTTTTTCTTTTTATTTTTTTTTCGAGAAATCTTTAATTACCCACACTTCCTGTGTCTAAAAGAGGGGGAAAATTCAAATTTTAGAATAGAATAGAATAGAATTTCCGGAGCAGGTGTGGCTATAAAAAGGAAAACACGAAGAATAGAAGCGGATTACACAAGAATAAGCTATTCCCTACGCTTTAGAACTACTAATTACGTAATTCAATTAAGGATTACCTTGGAGAGAAATAATAATAAATAGATTTCGAAATAAAAGGAAGGAAGATGAATCATAGGAAAAAAAAATGATTTTTATTTGTTTTTGCCCCTTGTGACATGGTTTTTATCACAAAAATATCAATTTTTCACTTTTTTTGTGTTTTTTTTTCATATAAATACATATAAATATATAAATATGATGAAATTTTCCCAAAATCAGATAACCTGATCAATTAGGTAAAGAAAATGTTGATTTAGACAACCCTGTCTAATTTTTCTGTGTCACATAATTCATCATCTGTCTTTCTTCTCCAACTTTTTTTGGGATATATGAGCACGTGTGAAATCGACCCTAACACATGTCACCCCAAAAAAAAACTAACAAGGCGACTAAATATAATTATAGTCTATGTGTCTAGACCCAAGTAATTCGAAACCTTACTTTTTTGTAAAAAAAAAAAACAAAAAATGCAGCGCGCTTTTCAACAATATTTTCCGGTAGGGAATAAAAACCCTAGGTAGCCGAGTGGTTAGCGCGCGCGCCTAGTAAATATTGCTGGCGGGTTCGATTCCCCGCGCCTGCAACCTTTTTGTTTTTTTGCGTACAATGAAAAATAAACAATTTTTGAATCTACGGTAGCGTTTGTTTTGTTTTCTTACAAGAAAACAACAAAAAACGTACATTTAATGATGACTAATATTTGTACACACTCTATTATTCATATTCGTAATTTTTTTGTGCTTCTTTTTCAAATCAAACATTTTTGTAGATGTCTTCTTGTTCGGGGGATGATGGTTTGCCTGCGAATTATCAATGGTTTTCGAATCAGATTGCGGGACATCATCCATCGGTTATCAAGAATGGGAAGAGAGAAATTGGTAATTTTGAGGGACCCTTAGAATTTGAGAGGGGGGGGCTATGACGTGGCAAAAAAACGATTTGAATCGGAAATATTTTTGAGAAAATTGAAATACTGGAAGTTTGCAGGGATTTTTTGGGGCGAAAATTCTGAATTTCAAATTTTCAAAAATATTTTGACACGTGGATTTTTGGCACCAAACTTTGATTTTTCGAAAATTCAAAAAATTTAGCCACGTGGAAAATTGAATTTTGAATTTTCGAGAAAAAATTTAGCCGCGTGGATTTTTAGGCTGAAAAATTTGATTTTTAAAATTTATGAAATTTTTCGAAATTTCAAAAAATTGCCACGTGGATTTTTAGGCGCAAAAATTCTGTATTTCAAATTTTCAAAACTATTGTGCCACATGGATTTTCTGACGCGAAAATCGAATTTTCGAAAAAAAATGCAAAAATTCAAATTTTTGCCATTGAAAATCCACGTGGCAATTTTTTGAAGATTTAAAATTTTGAATTTTCGAAATTCCAAAAAATTTAGCCACGTGGAAAATTGAAATTTCAAAATTTTCAAAAAAAAAACGCCACGTTGATTTCCAGGCGCGAAAACTTTGAATTTTCGAAATTTCAAAAAAAATTTTCCACGTGGAAAATTGAAATTTCAAAATTTTCAAAAAAAACGTGGATTTTCAGGCTTTAGAACTTGAATTTTCGAAATTAAAAAAAATGCTACGTGGATTTTTAAGCGCTAAAATTTGAATTTTTCAATTTTTAAAACTATTTGCCACATGGACTTTCAGAAAGTTCTAAAATTCAAAATTCCACCCGAACCTCCAGGTTTCAAATTTCTTTTCTTTTCTCTCTTTTTCTCCCGAGCCAGCTATTTGTCCAAATCTTTGCTCATTTACATAATAAATGAGCGATTAGAGGTTGACTTGTTGTTCAATTGTTTTCACAGCAGCCGTTATTTGTTCAGCTGACGGGCGATCTCGCACCTTTATTTATCCCCAGAAAAATTCAAAATTCAAAATTTCCAGGCCTGCTTCAAATCTCGGGAACTTCGGAATGTCTCAAACCGAAACAGGATGCGAGTCGTGGAGAGAAAGAGGTATTTTACACGGTGTTTTATACAGGGTGACGTGTTTGGTCTCAAAATTTGAAAAGGTTTTGTTGTAGTTCTCTCGGAGGATTTTTAAAAGCCCGTGTGATACATTTTTCACCTGTAGAAATAAATAAGAAATTGTGGTTACGCAACATTTATGCGCTTTTTTGCTGCTGCACCTGTGAACATGTTTTACGATGATTTTTTTACAGGGGGATCATGAACATTTTTTGGGGAGGAGAACACGCAATACAAATTAGCGGGGAGGGGAGGGAATTTCTAGAATCTGGATTGTAAAATTCAGAATCTGTGGATTTGAAAATTGAAATTTGAAAAAAAAAGAATATTTATGGGGATTTTCACACTTGAAATGTGAAAATTTTCAAAAAAATTGAAAAAAAATCAAATCGTATTTTTTTGAGTTCAAAAGTGCTTCTCTAGGCGAGACTACTTGGCGATTAGGCTCTCTAGGCGCTGACTCTTGAAAATTGTATTCTCTAGGCGCTGCTCCTTGACAGGGTGGATCTTAAGAGGCCGCTGCTTGATAACAATGTTTTCAAGGCGCGGCTGCTTGCCTGAGTGGATCTGAAGGCGCCGCTCCTTGCCATAGTGAATCTCTAGGCGCAGCTGCTTGTCTGAGCGGATCTCTAGGGGCTTCTCCTTGACAGGGTAGATCTCTAGGGGCGGCTCCTTGACAGCGGTAGATCTCTAGGCTCGGCTGCTAGACATATCAGCTATCAAGGCGCGGCTCCTTGCCATAGTGGATCTGAAGGCGCTGCTCCTTGACAGGGTAGATTCCTAGGAGTAGCTGCTAGACATATCAGTTCTCAAGGCGCGACTGCTTGCTAGAGTTGATCCAAAGGCGCGACTCCTTGCCACAATGGATCTCTAGGAGCGGCTACTTGCTGTAGAAGCTCTCAAGAGGCCGCTGCTTAACAACAATGTTTTCAAGGCGCGACTCCTTGCCAAACTGACCCTCTAGGCGCTGTGCCTTAAAAATTAAGCTCTCCAGGCTCAGCTAGATTTCCAGGCTTGTCTATAGACCCAGATTTTTCAGAATTTGAAGTTGATAGCTTCAAAAGCTGCTGGAACGTTGAAGATTTCAGAATCCAGAAGTTCCAAATCTCAAAATTCAGCAGAATCCAATTTCTAACTTCATTTTCAACTTAAAACCTCGAATTTTATCTCTAAATTTTCAACAAATCCTGAAAAAAACATCCAAAACAGGTTTAAAAATCATAATTTTCTGTCTCAAAATTTCTGAATTTTCAAAAATCCTCCTCACATCCAAAAACTCGTAAAAAAAAACCTACAGTAACCCTAACTCATCTCATATTTTCTCCATATTTACGTAACACTCTCCACTAATTACCAAAATATACGGTTATCAAATTCTTCCCACGCTTTCTTTTTTACTATTTTCTTCTGCTACTACTGCTGTTGCATACATATTTAATTAATTATAATTAATTAACTGCAATGATTTTATGACACTCATAAAATATTGTGTATTCGAGAACATTTAGGGGGGTACTGTAGGATACTGTAATATTCTAGGATACTGTACTATTAGGATACTGTACTATTACTAGGATACTGTACTGTATTGTACTAGGATACTGTACTATTACTAGGATACTGTAATATTACTAGGATACTGTACTATTACTAGGATACTGTACTATTACTAGGATACTGTACTATTACTAGGATACTGTACTATTACTAGGATACTGTACTGTACTGTAGGATACTGTACTATTACTAGGATACTGTACTATTACAAGGATACTGTAATATTACTAGGATACTGTACTAGGATACTGTACTACTGTAGGATACTGTACTATTACTAGGGTACTGTACTAGGATACTGTACTATTACTAGGATACTGTACTGTACTAGGATACTGTACTAGGATACTGTACTATTACTAGGACACTGTACTATTACTAAGATACTGTACTATTACTAGGATACTGAACTATTACTAGGATACTGTACTATTACTAGTATACTGTACTAGGATACTGTACTGTACTGTAGGATACTGTACTATTACTAGGATACTGTACTATTACTAGGATATTGTACTATTACTAGGATACTGTACTAGGATACTGTACTGTACTAGGATACTGTACTAGGATACTGCACTATTACTAGGATACTGTACTATTACTAGGATACTGTACAAAAAGTACTGTAGGTTACGGTAGATAGATATTACGGTAGCCAACGACCTTGTTTGTTTTCGATTCTTCTTCATTCTGAGGTGACATGTCAGTCATAAGTATATAATATCCGGAATTGCGCAATCAATTGCAACAACTTTTTTTGGAGACTCATCACAGAAGATGATGCTACCTTTTCTTGTTAATCTGACAAGGGAAATGGGGAATTTTTTTCACGGGACCCTATTTTTGACTGGAAAAAATTTCTGGAATTTTGAGCTCAAAATACTTACAAGAAAAAATGCACCAACTTTTCAAAAAAATTCTGAAAAATTGTCCAAAAAATTGATTTTTTCTCCCTAGATTTCGATTTTTTTCCGGAAAAATACGTGGTTTAAATTTTCAAAATTCAAAAATCTACACTTTTCATTTTTTCAGTGCCTACCTAAATTAAGAAGTTAGCCTAATTTAAAAAAAAACAGTACTCGTAGCTAATTGTCAAGGAGCCACGCCTAGAGAGCCCAAATGCCAAGCAGCCGCGCCTAGAGAGCTCCTATGTGAAGTAGCCGCGCCTTGGGAGCTTCTATGGCAAGGACCAGCGCCTTGAGAGCCGAAATGCCAAGCAGCCGCGCCTAGAGAGCTCCTATGGCAAGTAGTCGCGCCTAGAGATCCTAGTTGTCAAGGAGCCGCGCCTTGAGAGCTTCTATGGCACGTAGCCGCGCCTAGAGAACAACTATGACTAGGAGCCGCGCCTTGAGAGCTCATGTGTCAAGTAGCCGCGCTTAGAGATTCACTCTGTCAAGCAGCCGCGCCTAGAAAAATCAATTTTCAAGGAATCGTGTCTAGAACTTTTTCCAATCAAATTTTCACCTAGAAATTTCCAGACCTTCTCAAAATCTCTAATGATAGCATCCTAAAAATGTTGTTGTATATCCGCGTCAAGTACTATAATATTGTGCTTCCTCTTACGCAACAATTTCCACAGAAGATCTTGACAAGTTTCCAGGTAGCCATCTACAAACTTATGTCCTCCAATAATGACGAATTACGCAACTACTCTTCGGAAATCAGGTATACATTTATTCATTCAACCAAGAAACTTTCGAATCTTATCTGATTTTCAGCAGCGAATTCTCCACCTGCGAACCTTCAGATGTTCAACAACTTCGAAATTTGTGTCCGCGATTTTTCGGAATTCGAAAATTGTTTGTGGACGGTCAAGGTAATCAGAAAAAGAGATGAACCTCATAAATTCGCCTAATTGTGTGGCCAGATGTTTTTTGAAAACGAAATTCACTTTCGATTCTTTAAATGGTCTTCCGATTATCATAGCCTGGACGATTTCAAAAAAAAAAAAATAAAATCTATCATTTTAAAGGGACAGACACCAAATAAAATGAAATGAAATACAATGAATGAATAATTAATCGCGTGTCGCGAAGAATTTTATGACGTGTTTTATGGGCTTTTTGGCATGTCGAGAGTTTTTTAGTAGAATTGAATTGGATTTAATGAAAATAGGGATTAGAGATTTGAATTTCGCAAAGAGAACGAACAAAATTTGAAAAAAACACTACAAATTTTGAAAGCGCGCGCGAAAAATGCAATTTTTATCAATGGGGCGCACTTCCATTTCTACTTTTATTTTCTTGTTTTTTTGTTTTTCGAAAAAAATCAAATTCGCCCATTTTTTGTTGTTTTTTCATTAAATAACATGATTTCAGGCGAACAACACGGGATTTCGAGTGAAATGTAAGTAATATTATGAAAATCTGAAAGTTTCAGCTTTTCCTAAACTCAAAACCTTTGAATTTTTGAGGGAAAAGCTGGAAATTCAGCAAAAGCCTAGGTTTCAGGTGTGAAATTTAAAAAAAAGCTCAGATTTCAAGCTCACAAGGGAAGCAAATCTGAAATTTTGATGAAACATATTGAAATATACCAAATCGAACATGCTGATCACGATTCTGAAGTCAGAAATTGCCAAAATAAGTTCTCACAGGGATTTGTGGCAATTTTTGACTTCGGAATCGTGATCAGCATGGTTGATTTGGTCGATTTCGATATGTTTCATCAAAATTTCAGATTTACTCCCCTTGTGAGGGTTTTCATCTTGAAATCCAAGCTTTTTCTCAAATTTCACACCTGAAATCTAGGCTTTTGCTGAATTTCCAGCTTTTCCCTCAAAAATTCAAAGGTTTCGAGTTCAGGAAAAGCTGAAACTTTCAGATTTTCATAATATTTCCCCAAAATACTTACATTTCACTCGAAATCCCGTGTCCAATCTTCGATTTTTGTGTTTTTCGCCTGAAATTATGTTATTTCATGAAAAAACAACAAAAAATAGGCGAATGAACAATTTTCGAAAAACAAAAACAAGAAAAAATAAAAGTAGAAATGGAAGTGCGCCCCATTGATAAGTAAAAATTGCATTTTTCGCGCGCGCTCTCAAATTTTTTCGTGTTTTTTGTCGATTTCCCAACCAAATACACACACACCTCGGGTACGTATACGTAAAGTCTCCATAACGTACACTTTTTGATTCTCGCACACGTGTACGTTAAGTACACCTGAGATGTCCATATGGAGACTCTCACGTGTACGTAACGGACAAAATTACGGACATAAAAAGTGTACTTTTGAAATTTCAGAATTTATTTTTCAGATTGATAATGTGAATCTATTTCAGTTATAGATCAGTTCAAAATTGACTGCAATTCAATATTGCTTAGAAAAAACTTCCATTCCTCTGCGTTTTTTAGCGAAACACGCTTGGGGGAAGGGAAGGCGCTCTGTCTACTTATATAATTCTAGCGACCGACACCTCGCGTGCTGCGCGCTGCGACCGACACCTCGCGTGCTGCGCGCTTTTCCGTGGGAAGTGGGCGGGGCTTATCTTTTTTTCTGGATTTCGCGTTTTTCTTGCAATTTTTGAGTTTTGTTTGCAAATAAAAACGTGATAAAATATGAAAATGACTGAAAATAGATGGGATATCAGTCCAGGAATGAAACTTAGACCTAATGTCGAGCAAATTTTTCTTTTTGAGTGGAAAATGAAGACAAAAATGGCCAAATTTGTATAGAAACAATTAACTAGGAAAGAAAAAGTACTGAAATTATGAAAGAACTTATCTATAAGACGTAGGATGGAAAATTTATAAAAATGAAAATGTATTTTTTATAGGTTACAAAAAATGTACTCAACGTATACTTTATGGAGATGAAAAAGTGTACGTTATGGAAATAATACATCTCCGTTACGTGTACTTTTCAAAAAGTCTTTCCGATTATCGAACTGAGTTTTTGATTCATTCTTTGACATCACAAACATTGAGAAAACAACGAAAATTAAGTTTTTCGAAAAACCTCCAATGATTTATCAATTTTTGCCAAGTCTACTTTACGGATGAAAAATATACACGTTACGTCCACTTTTCCAAAATTTCAACTTTCACCATAAATTTATTCGAAATGGTCTCGAAACCTCGCGAAAAGTTGTTAAACTAACTCCCAAGCTCATAAGGGACAGATTTAGTCCAAAAAACAGTCAAAATCTTCCATGAAATTTTACACGTTTTGTATCCGTTGAAAACACGTATACGTTATGGACAAAAAAAAGTATACGTTATGGATAAAGTATCCCTAACGTATACCTAAGGTATACGTAGCCTAGGTGTGTGTGTACATGTTTCAATGCTTTACAGATCGCGAATTTCTAATCCTCGAAGATGTCACTGCAAACTACAATCTTCCAGCGATTCTCGACTTGAAAATGGGCCGAAAAACGTATGATCCACTGGCGAGTCGCGAGAAAATCGACAAAGAATCGATCAAATATCCGCCACAGGCGAAAATTGGCTGTCGATTGTTGGGATATCGTGTAAGTTTTGTGTATTTCTCTCGGACTAAAATTAAAAATTCAAAAAATTCCCGCTCGTTCGTTCCATCTGTGAGCATTTGTTGTGTCTTGACACCGGCACAAAGGCGGATTATAGTGCGCGAGAAATTAAGAAGGCAAGCAGGCGGGGGCAATTAAGATGACACCACATGGTGACACTTGACTGTACTTATTAGGTGACAGTGAGAAAAAACGGGTATCGCTATTTGAATTTTTAATTACACTTGGATGAGCTTGAGATTATCGGATCTGGCGAGGGGTTTTCTGGAAACTGGATGTGAACCTAGATTCTAGAATTCTGAAAATCGGATTTTTGGCTTAGAAAACTAGAAATTGCAAGGATCAGCGCCTAGAGAGCCTAGTTTTCAAGCAACCTCGCCTAGAGAGCCATTTCTGAACTCTAAAAACTAGAATTTGGTTATCGGTGTGATTTTGAAGCTTTTTTTCATGAAATTTATGATTTTTGAAAAATCAAACACTTTTTCTAAGTCAATTTTCGCGCTGAAAACTCTGGAATCACTCATTTTAGAGACTTGCAGCATTTTCAGCGTGAAAAATATCAGAAGCCTTGAAACTCCCAAATTATTCAAACTTTTTCCGTTTGGCGGCAACATCAAAACGCCGCCAGTATATCGTATAAGTGGTTTAGGGTTTTAGTGTTCCACCCAATAGGTCATATCATCACAACGTGTTGTTATATGATATCCCCAACTCGCACATTTCTGTTTGATATTATGTAATTTGATACAGGTAGACTAAGAAAAGGCGTTTTTTCTCTGTTGTAAAAAAAAAAGAGATTAACAGATGTGAAGGACGTTCGGAACATCAGAAAAAAGAGGAAAAACTAACAATGATCTAATAAAAATTTAAAATGAGCTCAAGTGTTTTTGTAGATTCATTCATCTGATAAAACGGTCAAAGTTCGCGACAAAGACTGGGGAAAATCGTTCGATGAGAATACCATTCAAAATGGTGAGTTTTAATTGAAAAATACACTGTGTATTTTGAAAAAGGGGTTGCAGACAGGATTTTTTTGAAGATTTTCAGAAGTTAAAGCTTACAATCAGAAAATTGATTTCAATCGCCCAATTATGGGAACTTTTCTCAATATCGAATCAAAAATCAAAAAGTTGTTTGAAATTTCTCAAATAGTTACTAATTCCTCAGAAGCTCAAGGAATTCCTGATCAAAAAATTTTAAGCCGAAATCAGTGCTGAAATTCAAAATTGAATTTTTTAAGCCTATAAAGCAATTGAAAAGCTTTTCGAAAATCCCAGAAATTTAAAATTCAGCAATTTTTCAAAATTTTCACTAATTTGATATTTCGAAATATTGAAGCATATTTAAAACTAAATAATTAAAAATTAAAGAAACTTGAAAATATTTTTTTTTAATTTCTTTTTCGAAAAGTCTTGAAAAGTTCAATTTATAAAAATTCCACTTTTTTGATAATTTCTAGATCAAAGTTTTAAAACACCGTGATTCTAGAAAATTTCAAGAATTATTTTAATTTGAAAAATCTAGAAGTTTTCAACCCACTGATCACGATCCCTTTGTCAAAAAAACTGCAAAAATCAACTCCTAATATGAGTTATGACGTGGCAAAATTGGAAAATTTTGAAAAATCGGGACTTCACGATTCGGCCGAATTTTTGAGTTTTCAAAATTAAAAATTAATTGTACGCTAAATTTTTCCAGCATGTGAATTTTTCAGTTTTTTACATCTGAAAAACTGAATTTTTGTTTCAAAATCGTACTTCGGTCGTCACAAAAGCTTCGAAGTACAATTTTGAAAGAAAAAATCTGAATTTCAGTTCTTCAGATGTCAAAAACCGAAAAATTCACCTACTGGAAAAATTTAGCGTTCAAAATTTTTAATTTTGAAAACCCAAGAATTCCTGAAGTCCCGATTTTTCGAAATTCTCAAACTTTGCCACGTCATAACTCAGGTTAGACGTGGATTTTTGTAGTTTTCGAAAAATTCTCAGACAAAACCATGTTTTGCAGGTTTGGCCGAATTCTTCTCAGCTCGCGGCCCAGATTCCCGCTCTACAGTAATCCGCGAAGCTCTAAATTCCCTCAAATCAATTCGACAATTTTTCGAAACCCAAAAATCCTTCCAATTTTTCGCCTCCTCACTTTTATTCGTCTATGAAGCCCGAGAAAATCTTCCGACAAATTTGCGAATTGTAATGATCGGTGGGGGAATTTTTTTCAAGATTTTTGAAATTTTTGAAAAAAAAATTTCAGATTTTTCCCACGCTTTCAATTCAAATGGCGAAAGAGATGAGGGATATTTATTCGGCGTTGAAAATCTTCAAAAATTCCTGGAAAATTTACTTTAAATCTTGAAATATAATTAATTACTGGTTTAATTTTACGGATATTTAGACAAAAATTTATTCCACAATAAAAATATTTTAAAAAATTTTAAAAATCATTTTGAAAAACTCGCCAAGAAACAGTCAAATCCTCCAAATTCAAAAACAAAATAGTGCGAGATTTCGAAAATTTCGGAATCGAAATACAAGTGCAAATATTCTCCCGATCATCCAATGCAACATTTCGAACTTCGCAATTCGATTGATTTCCACAAATCATAAATCTAGGTGTAGTTGAGATGATCAGCGGATCTCTATCAGCCATCGGAAAACCATCCAAAGTATCGGGGCAAGTTGGAGCGATGTGTTGCCATTTTAGACAATTTTCCATCGCGTCCACACTTTTCCATTTCCAACACGTTTTTAGGAGATCGTCGATGTTTTCACCGGATGTTGTGAGGAATCGAATGCCGTCGAGCGAGAATTCGTAGGGATTTGTCACGAGGTTCACTTGTTTTTTCGTCATTCCGGAACGTGGAAGACAAACTCTGCAAAAATTTTAGATTTTTGAGAAAATTTTTTTAAAAATTCTAAAAATTTTGAAACGTAAAATTTCAAGGTTTAAGAAAATTTGAAAAATGCACATTTTTGAGCTGCTAAAAATCCACGTTGCAAAAAATTCGCAGACTAAAAATTTTGTAGTTCTCGAGGAGAAATTTTTTGAATTCGAACAATTTTCAAGAAAATCAAATTTTTACAAAAAATTCTAAAAATTATCAAAATTTTGAAACGTAAAATTTCAAGGTTGTTGAAACTTTGGGTGAAAATGCACATTTTTGAGCAGCTCAAAATCCAAGTGGAAAAATTTTGTAGTTCTGGAGGAGAATTTTTGATGTCGAAGGAAAAAATGTTGAATTTGTAGAATTTCAAACATTTGAAGAAAATTGTTCTAAAAAATCAAATTTTGACGAAAAATTCTGAAAATTATCAAAATTTTGAAACGTAAAATTTCAGGGTTTAAGAAAATTTGAAAAATGCACATTTTTGAGTTGCTAAAAATCCACGTGGAAAAATTTTCCAGACTAGAAATTTTGTAGTTCTCGAGGAGAATTTTTTGGTATAGAAAAATATAGAATTTTTAGAATTTCAAACATTTGAAGAAAATTGTTCTAAAAAATCAAATTTTGACGAAAAATTCTAAAAATTATCTAAATTTTGAAACGTAAAATATCAAGGTTTAAGAAAATTTGAAAATGCACATTTTTGAGCAGCTAAAAATCCACGTGGCACAAAATTTTGTAGTTCTCGAGGAGAATTTTTTGATGTGGAAAAATGTTGAATTTTTAGAATTTCAAACATTTGAAGAAAATTGTTCTAAAAAATCAAATTTCGACGAAAAATTCTGAAAATTAACAGAATTTTGAAACGTAAAATTTTGAGGTTGTTGAACTTGGGGTGAAAATGCACATTTTTGAGCTGCCGAAAATCCACGTGGAAAAATTTTGTAGTTCTCGAGGAGAAATTTTTGATGCCGAAAGAAAAATGTAGAATTTTTAGAATTTCAAACATTTGAAGAAAATTGTTCTAAAAAATCAAATTTTCCCGAAAAATTCTGAAAATTCTAAAAATTTTGAAACGTAAAATTTTAGGGTTGTTGAACTTTGGGTGAAAATGCACATTTTTGAGCTGCTCAAAATCCACGTGGACAACTTTTCCAGACTAGAAATTTTTGTAGTTTTCGAGAAGAAATTTCTGATGTGGAAAAATGTGAAAATTTCAGATTTCTGAGAAAACTGTTCTAAAAAATCAAATTTTCCCGAAAAATTCTACAAAATAACAAAATTTTGAAACGTAAAATTTTAAGGCGAAAATTTTGGGAAAAATTGTTTGGACTTGAAAATCTGGTGAAAAATGCACATTTTTGAGCAGCTCAAAATCCACGTGGAAAAATTTTCCAGACTTAAAATTTTGTAGTTCTCGAGGAGAAATTTTTGGTATAGAAAAATGTAGAATTTTTAGAATTTCAAACATTTGAAGAAAAATGTTCTAAAAAAATCAAATTTTCCCGAAAAATTCTACAAAATAACAAAATTTTGAAACGTAAAATTTCAAGGTTTAAGAAAATTTGAAAAATGCACATTTTTAAGTTGCTAAAAATCCACGTGGCAAAAAACAGCAATTTCAAAACAGTTTTTGAATCGAAATCGGTCAAATTTCTCCAAAAATTTCAGAATTTTTGCACAAAAATCGTCCATTCTCACCTATGAATCGGTGGCTGTGGCCATAAAGAAGAGCACGGATCTCCAACTCCAGCAGAAACATCAACATCCAATTGATCAGTCAGCGAACTGATGATTTTATCGAGCATCGTCAATGCTTTTGTTGACATTTGCTTGTCTTGTCGAGATAATGTCAATGTTCGGACAACTGATTCAACATCACAGCCAACCTGGAAATCATAGAACTCTGGATTTTGAAAAAAACATTTTTGTTTTCTAGTAGTTTGGCTGATCAAGATCTCAAAAATTGCAGAACTCTAGCTGGATGAGTTATGACGTGGCAAAATTTCGAAAATTCCGGATTTTTGGAGCTGAAAACTAGCTTCAAAAATGATTTTCGTGCAAATCTGATAGCATAGGGTTGTTCAGAAGGCTCTTGAGTGAAGGTTCGATTTCTGAAATTCGAAAAAATTTTCAGAAATCTTCACTCAAGAGCCTTCTGAATAACCCTATGCTATCAGATTTGCACGAAAACCATTTTTGAAGCTAATTTTCAGCTCCTAAAATCCCAAATTTCCAAACTTTTGCCACGTCATAACTCATCTAGAGTATCTACATAAATATCCTATTCAATTCACAAGGGAGCTCTAGATTTTTGATAAAATGTTGGTTTTCTAGTGGTTTTCGACGTGTTTAGATGCAAAAATTTCAATTTTTCGATATTTCAGCTCCTGTTTCATGTTTTTTAGCTTTGAAAAGACCATTTTTCATGAATTCCAGGTTATTTTTGGGATTTGAAGGTAAATTTTATGAATCTTGGACAATTTTTCATGGTTTTTGATGAAAATTTCGAATTTTCAATAGAAATAGTATAGTTGAACATCGACTAAATGACATTTTCATGTTTTTAAGCAAATGAGTTGAAATATTGGGTTTTAATGTTATTCATATGATAGAATGGTCTAAGACGAACAGAATGATATAAATTTTGATGAATTTAGGTTATCCTTAAGTGATTTAGCGACGTTTAGTCGTTAAGGTCGCTAAATCACTTATGGATAAGGTAAAGTCATCAAAATTTATATCATTCTGTTCGTCTTAGACCATTCTATCATATGAATAACATTAAAACCCAATATTTCAACTCATTTGCTTAAAAAACCTGAAAATGTCATTTAGTCGATGTCCAACTATACTAAAAAATTTGAAATTTTCATCAAAAACCATGTCGAAATTGTCCAAGATTCATAGAATTTACCTTCAAATCCCTAAAATAACCTGGAATTCATGAAAAATGATCTTTTAAAGCTAAATAACATCCCAATCGATATTTTGAGCTCCTGGAGCCAAATTTCATGTTATTTAGCTTCAGAAAGATCATTTTTCATGAATTCCAGGTTATTTTAGGAATATTAAGGTGAATTTTATGAATCTTGGACAATTTTGACATGGTTTTTGATGAAAATTTCAAATTTTTTCGATTTTTAATAGAAAATCTCGAGTTCCCTTCCTTGTCCGAAACCATCTCATACCACATTATTATCGATTGATGGTCCCAACACAACCAATCTCTCCACATTCATTTCCTCTTCCTCCTTCAACCATTCTCCAAAATATTCAAACGATGAAATCGTGCCATTATCCTCCTCCAAATCCCCGCTCAATTCCAATCCGCTAACAAAAGCAATCACCGATTTCCTCATCTTCATCTTCAAATCAATGGGTTCAACTCGAATCTTCGGCCAAATCACTCGAATCACCTCAAAAACCCCGTCTTCGTCTCCCAATTTTCCGAATAATCCAGCACAGCAACCGGTTGCACAATCATTCATACTGATGTTTCCCTCCAATTTCACCGTTTGATTGTCGCATTCGAATTCGAGATGATCTTCGGCGTTTTCGGTGTATCTTTTCAAGTCTCCAGCTTCTTCATCTTCGTAATCCTCGTAGGCAACTTTGTCTTCGCTGAGGAGAGTCTGAAATTTCAGAAATTTAAAGGTTTTGGGGCTCAGGAGGAAATCGGTGATTGCTTTTGTGAAATTAAAGGTGTTTGGGCTCATTTTGAAGCTCTCAAGGCTCTCTCAGGCTCATTTTGGAGCTCTTAAAGCTCTCAAGACTATCCACGTGGCAAATTTTGAAAGCCTGAAGTGTTTAGGCTGATTTTGGAGCTCTCAAGGCTTTTTCCGAGGTGTTCGGGCTCATTTTGGAGCTCTCGGGGCTCCTAGAAAATCCACGTGGCAAATTTTTTGAAAACCAGAAGAGTTTAGGCTCATTTTGGAGCTTTCAAGGTTCCCCAAAAATTTCAGGTGGCAATTTTTGAAAGCCTGAAGTGTTTAGGCTCATTTTGTAGCCCAGGAAGCCCCCGAAAAATCCACGTGGCAATTTTTAAAAGCCTGAGGTATTTAGGCTCATTTTGGAGCTCTCAAGGTTCTCTCAGAGCTCTCAGGCTCATTTTGAAGCTCTCAGAGCTGTCAGGCTCATTTTGGAGCTCTCAAGGCTATCTACGTGGCAAATTTCGATCCCGCAATCTTGCTTGCAAGCTAGACCATGTTCCTTTAAATCCACGTGGCAATGTTCAAAACCCTGAAGTGTTTAGGCTTATTTTTAAGCTCTCAAGGCTCTCTCAGAGCTCTCAGGCTCATTTTGGAGCTCTCAGAGCTCTCAAGGCAATCTTCCACGTGACAAGTTTCCTTATCCCGAGGTGTTTAGGCTCATTCTGAAGACTATTTTTGCATATTTTCGCGGTTTTCATCCACCAAACCCACTTTCAAAATCGACGGTTTCGCCGCAATTTTCTTCAAAATCATTCCAATCACCAAAACATCCTTCGTCTTCGTGACATCCGTCAACGAAACACATTCGAAATTCCCTTTTCCAAGAACATTTTCCGCATTTTCCAATATTCGCCCTTTCAATGATTTCAGTCTTGCGTCATACAATTCAAAATATTGACGATTAAAAGCGCCTGGAATAAGAAAAAGAAAAATGAGGAAATTTTCAAATTTTCCTGGAAAAACCAACCTTTCTTATCCTTTTGGGTTAATAGAAATTGTTCGGATAAGTTACGATAACTTCCAGAATTCTCTTTACCAACCATTTTTATTCTGAAAATATCAAAACTCAAGAAAACACACACAAAAGAAGAAAAAAAGAAAAGAAAAAATATTTTTTGAACAAACATTTTGGCGGGTGATGCATGCGCGCTCCATTGCAAACACCGCCAATTTCATAATTTCAAATCAATTTATTCACTCAAAAACCAAAGAAAAGAACCATATGAAAACTCAGGAATCACAAAAATTATGGGGAAATAAATAAATACTCTGATAATAAATAATTTAAATTAGTTTTGATAAATAAATAATTGGTTTTTTTTATCATTTCAAAAGGCAATAATTTACTTCTTTTTCCTCATTTTTTTGTAGTTCGAAGAAAAACCGGTAGAAAAAATAGTAGAATTTTTAGGGGGGCGGAAATGAAATATTATATGCAATAATAATAAATTTCTAATTTGAATCTACTAAATGTGAATAATACATATACAAAAGATGGTGGAATATTTTGTATTTATGAAATAAGATTTCGAATTTCGCGATGCATGTGACATAGATAATCGACATATGACATTGTTGTTGGTGACGATTTATCCTGCAAAAATATTTTTGAGATTTTGTTTTGGAAATTTGAAAACTTCATAAAATTTGGGATGAGGTAGAAACATTTCAGGAAAAAAATTCGAAAATTATCAAAATTTTGAAACGTAAAATTTCATGGTTTACGAAAATTGTTTTGACTTGAAAATCTGGTGAAAAATGCACATTTTTGAGCTGCAAAAAAATCCACGTGGCAAAAAATGACATAAAAAAGTTGTCTTTATTATTGAATTAAAAATACGTGAGAAAATTTGTTTTTAGAAAATTTCAAGTGAAATCTATTTTGGGTTTAAAAACAGTATAGGTAGCCATGTCGTCAGTCGCGATGCGTGTGAGCGACACGTTTTTAGAAATGAAAATTTGGCAAATTCAATGGAAAATATCGAGGTCAACACGCAACGCAGAACCGCATCGCGACTGACGACATGGCTACCTATACTGTTTTTGAATCCACATCACTTGACCTAGTTTTTTATTTCTCACGTGTTTTTAATTCAATAATACAAACTGATCCGAATGAGAGGCATATTGGAATTATTTTTGACAAAAAATTTCGAAAATTATAAAATTTTTGAAACGTAAAATTTTGAGGTTGTTGAACTTAAGGTGAAAATGCACATTTTTGAGCTGCTCAAAATCCACGTGGCAAAAAAATTCCAGGATTTGTTTTAATAGACAAAAGTTATGGCTTGAAAATTTTTTTCTAGAAAATTTCAAAAGAAAAAAAAACTATTTTTTCCCTATTTTCAATAAAAATCTAATTAGGGTTTGAAAAATTCAAAAAAAAATCTACAAAAAATCCACGTGGCAAAATTCAGTATTTTTGGCTTCAAAACTATGTTTCCCTATTTTTCAATTGAAAAACGTTCTTGATATAAATTTTGAATTTTTTTAAAATCTAATAATAAAAGGCTTGGGTTTCAAAAACTTCAAAAAAAAATTATACAAAAAAAATCCACATGGCAAAATGCAGGCTTAATTTTTTTGATAGAAAATAAAAAAAAACTATTTTTCCTATTTTCCAAGTGAAATCTAATTGGATTTCAAAAATTTCTACAAAAAAATCCACATTTTTCAAAAGAAAATTTCAGAAACAAACTTTTTCTCGCTGTTTTTTAATTCAAAAAAATCCACGTGGCAAATTAGCAAAAATTTTCTAGCCAAGACATTTTCAGCCCCCAGCCCCCCCCCAAAACCCTCACCTCAACCAAAAACTTCTTCATCCACGGTTCCATTCCACTCTTCTCCACAATTATAAACATCTTCCTTTGTCGAATCGGTTTTGGCAAAATTTGCAAAACTTTCCGAAGCGCTCGCGATCTCGCATTATCCTTTTCCGGAATAATTCCAGTTTCCGCATCAATCATTGTCACCGCTCCAACACCAAAAATCTCCTGACACCATTGTTGTGCAACACCCAATCCAATCCATAAAAATGTCACGACACCATTATCAATTATATAGGCTTTTGTATTATCCAAAAACTCCACACTAGCTCTCACAGGTTTCGGCAATTCTTTCAATTCTTCGCCTTCTGCAACTTCAATATCTGAAACTGGCAAAACTCTAGGATAAACCAAAGCCATCGCATCTTCTGTTCGAATTCCTCGAATCAATTCCATTTGCCAAACTTTATCATCAACTGTCATTTCACTTCCTCCACTAATCGCATCATTTTTCAAAATCGAATTCACAAATAGCGGCATCAATTTGAGTGACTCTGGTAATATTAATTGTCCCAGCGGACAAGATTCGCTACATTTTTCACGATATGTTGCCAATAATTGTGCACATCTTTGTGATAATTGATCTTTCATTTCTTTGTTTCCTTTTTCACGATTCAATTGAATCGCTTGTTTGAACATAAATGTTGTCAATGATTCAGGATCAGCCATTCGATATAATTGATTGAAATCGGCTGACACAGGCAAACAAATATTTAGAATACGAAGTCTTCTTTGACCAGAAACTGAGGTGTACAAGGTTGCGGTCTGGAAAATTAGGAAAATGAATTTCGATAGTTTTCATGCTGATAAAACCGGGTCTGCCTAATTTTTCAGAAAAATTCTTCCAATTATTGAAAAATCTGGCGATTCCTGAGTAATTTTAGACCTGTTTTTCAGAATTTCAGATTTTTTAGTCCCGGATCAACCAAAATTTGGAAATTCTCGAAATCAAGCTAATTTTGAAAATTTCAAGATCTGATTCTTTTTTTAGAACCAAATTCTGAATTTTTGATGAAAAATTCTTCCAACTATTGAAAAATCAGGCGATTTTCAGAATTTCAGAAGTTTTGGCTCAAATTCAACCGAAATTCTTCGAAATCAGGCAAATTTTTGAAAAATCTTGAATATTTTCTGATTTTTGGGAGCTTCTGAGAATTTGGATGGATTTCAGGACCAAATTCTGAATTTTTGATGAAAACTATTTTTCCACGTGGCAAGTTTAGGTTCATTTTAAGGCCAATTTCGTGTTCAACCCTAATTTTAAGGTTCCCAAATCCACGTGGCAAGTTTAGGCTCATTTTAAAGCAAATTTCGTGTTCAACCCTAATTTTAAGGTTCCCAAATCCACGTGACAAGTTTAGGCTCATTTTAAAGCAAATTTTGTGTTCAACCCTAATTTTAAGGTTCTTAAATCCACGTGGCAAGTTTAGGCTCATTTTAAAGCAAATTTTGTGTTCAACCCTAATTTTAAGGTTCCCAAATCCACGTGGCAAGTTTAGACTCATTTTAAAGCAAATTTCGTGTTCAACCCTAATTTTAAGGTTCTTAAATCCACGTGACAAGTTTAGGCTCATTTTAAAGCAAATTTCGTGTTCAACCCTAATTTTAAGGTTCCCAAATCCACGTGGCAAGTTTAGACTCATTTTAAAGCAAATTTCGTGTTCAACCCTAATTTTAAGGTTCTTAAATCCACGTGACAAGTTTAGGCTCATTTTAAAGCAAATTTTTTGTTCAACCCTAATTTTAAGGTTCTTAAATCCATTTTTTCCACCCAAAATTCCACTCCCACCTGAATAATAGCCGATTGATCGCTCAATTTATCATCATGCTTAATTTCGGTAACAAACGATTTGCTCTCATCAATCGACGCAATTTCCAAATCCGTCGCATTTTCCATATAAAATGAGCCCGAAAATGAGACGGGCCGAATTCCCGACGATGTTCGCACGCGAACCATACAATCGAATGCGATTTTTTTGGATACATGTCTTTCGAGCTCATTCAACAGGCGAATGCCATCTTTTTCGGCCTAAAAATGTGAAGTAGATCAAAAATATTTTGTGATGAAATTTGATAAAAAACGTCATGTTTTTGAAAATTCGTAACTTAGCTCAAACTCAACGAAAAAAACTCGATCAAAAGCGCATTTTGAAGCTTGGGTGGTCCTCTTTGGACTACTGTAGAGTACTGTTATCAAAATTTGAATTTGAGATATGAAAAAATAAGAAAACTTTCAGAATTTTTTGGTCAAAAAAATGATTTTTCGTTGAGTTTGAGCTTCAAAAATACGAGGTTTTTTGACTTTTTGAAAATTGTAATTTTTGAATTTCTGAACAATTTTCAAAAATTCCTAATTCATCTCAAACTCAACGAAAAAAATTCGATCAAATGCGCATTTTGAAGCTTGAGTGGTCCTCTTTGGATTACTGTAGATTACTGTTATCAAAAATTGAATTTGAGATATGAAAAAACATCATTTTTTGGTAAAAAAATTATTTTTTTAATTTTTCATATCTCAAGCTTCAAAATGCGGTTTTAATCGAGTTTTTTTCGTTGATTTTGAGCTTCAAAAAATACGAGGTTTTTTGACTTTTGGAAAATTGTTCAGAATTTCAAAGTTTTACTTTCAAAATCCTAGCTTTTGTCTGTGCTCTCTCAAAATTTTACCCTATCAAAAGCCCATTAAAAACTCACCGAAAAATATTGAAATTTGAAAATACTTCCACCAGTCACCGCTGACATTTGTCCGATTGTGGCAACATCGATAAAAGCATTTGGGAAGAGGAACAAATCAACAGTAACTCCAGATTTCACACATTGTTCTCCTAATTTCGTATAACTTTCCTCTTGTGGTACTAGAGCGCTCTTCTCTTTGTCGGTTCCCAACAAATTTCGCTCGTTTTTCGTTTTCAATTTTCCCGGCGCTTCAAAGGTTGGCAAAACTGTGGAGAATAGAATCAATTTTCCTGCACGATCGGCGCACTGAAAATTTTAGAAAATTATTTTTTGGAGATTTTTTTTCAGCATTCTATTTCTAGATTTTTTTTTGACGTCAGTGGAAAATAAATAATGAAAATTTCGTTCATTATTAATTTTTTTTTCGACAATTTTTCTATATTTTCAGCATTTTTGATCACAATTTCGTAATCTAAAACTACAAAAATCCATTTCTAACATGAGTTATGACGTGGCAAAGTTTGAAAATTTATGAAAAATCGGGAATTCAGGAATTCTTGGGTTTTCAAAATTAAAAATTAATTGTCAGCTTAATTTTTCCAGCATGTGAATTTTTCTGAAATTCTGATTTTATTTTCAAAATTGTACAATTTTGAAAAAAAACCTGAATTTCAGTTTTTCAGATGTCAAAAACTGAAAAATTCACATTTTATCTGGAAAATTTACAAATTTTTATTTTCAAAATCACGAATTTCGAAATTTTCAAATTTTGCCACGTCATAACTCATCTAGAGTTCTGGAATTTTTGAAATCTTGTTCAGCGAGTCAAAAACCACGAAAATTTTCCCCAAATCCCCCAAAAAAACTCACTTTCAACGCATCAAGACCAGCTTGAACAACGGGTTGCAAAATTGTTTCAGTGGTTTTCGATGGCGCAAAGATTTTTGGAATTTCAGCCAAAGCAGCTCGAAGTCCTGGCAGCGCTTCATTGTACGGTAATAACAAACCATCGACCAATGGAACAAATGGCTCTTGAACGTCGGCTGAAACAAAAATAACATCAGGGGGGGGTTTCAAGATAAAAATCTTTAAAAATTTTCAATTCAAAAACTTCGTCTCCTGGTTGAAATTGCCAATTTTCATGAAAAATCGGAATTTTAGTCACGGTGTTTTCACTGTTTTTTCGAAATTTGCAATTTTTAACTAATTAGAAAATGCTTTTTCAAATTAGCCTAACTCATTTTTTGCTCATTTGAAAAAGCATCTAATTAGCACAATTTACAAAGCTTCTCAAAAATTTGTTGAAAAACTTCAAAACAGTGAAACACCGTGGCTTAAAAGTCCGATTTTTATGAAATGTCGTCAATTTTAACCAGGAGACGCAGTTTTGAATTGAAATTGATTTTAAAAAATCTATTTGAATCAATTTCAATTCAAAACTTCGTCTCCTGGTTAAAATTACCAAATTTTCATTAAAAAATCGGAATTAATAGAGAAATCAGATCCAAATTTTTTTTTATATCTTCAGAATTTTGCAATTTTTAATGGGCCTATGCAGAATAATATTTTGTAATAAAATAACATAGTTTTCCTAAGCAGGAAAACGTCGAAAAACAAAATATACACTTTATCATTTTTGAGTAGAGACAATGTGAAATTGAGAGAGTGCAGACAGTTTTTTTTGTATTTTTTGTGCGAAAAATCAATCTATCTGTCTGCACTCTCTTAATTTCACATTGTCTCTACTCAAAAATAATAAAGTGTATATTTTGTTTTTCGACGTTTTCCTGCATAGGAAAAATATGTTTTTTTATTACAAAATATTATTCTGCTTAGGCTCATTAAAAATTTCAAAATTCGAAAATACAGTGAAACACCGTGGCTTAAAAGTCAGTAATTCGGAGCTGTTTTTCTGTCAATTTTGATTTGTTTAATGAAAATTTGGTAATTTTAACCAGGAGACGCAGTTTTGAGTTGAAATTTATCGATTTTTCTTCAAAAAAACCCCCCAGAAAAACTCACTCATAACCAGCATTTTCGGAGTTGCAGACGATAAATCAAAAAAGTGAACAACTTGATCAAAAGTCGCCAAACCAACACGAATCGACGAATCCAATTGTCCACTTTCCCTCGGCAAATTTCTCAAAATCCTCTCCAAATTCTGACAAATAATTGGTACCATTCCATTGGAAAGTGCATTATAAGAAACATCAATCAGAAAAATGAATGCGGGTTCTTTGGGCGGCACTCCATTTTTACAATATTGTTTAGTTGCAACCAAATCAAAAGCACCGAGGAATAATTCGGGTCTCATTTCAATATCAGTTCGTCGTCCGGTATGATCCAAATGCGCGAAATACGCGTCTTCAACTGGAGTTGACGCATGACAAAATGGACATCGAAAACGTCTCCCACCATCTTGAAATTCCATAAACGGGCAGATATATGCTTTACATCTCGCGCATCTCACAGGTCCTTGTGGTCCCAAATCCACTACAGGCGGTTCCCTTTCCAATTCATTTAACGGAGCAAATGGCGAAATAACCACAGAAAATGGAATTTGACTCGTTTTTAGCATTGTATCAACCTGTGGTGCCATATACAGTGTAGATCTCATGAATTTTGGATTACAATTGCCTTGATCTTGCGCGTAGATGTTTGTAGAAGTTAGAGGTGGAAGTTCAGCGTGTGGATAACCGGTTGGGAAGAGACCGGCGCGTGTTGTATCATCGTCCATCACTTGAACAGCGCTTGGCATCATATTAGGGTCTAGTCTTTGTTGTCGTTGTTGGGGAGCCGCTCCTGGATAGGCTCCTGGTGCTCCTGGAAAACCTGGAGCTCCTGGGAAGCCTCCTGGTTGATTTGGGGCGCCTGGGAAGCCTTGAGGGGGGCCTTGTTGTCCTGGAGCGCCTGGGAAGCCTCCTGGTTGATTTGGGGCGCCTGGGAAGCCTTGTGGGCCCGGTGGGAAGCCTGGTTGCTGGAATTGTTGTCCTGGACCTGGTGGGAAGCCTTGTGGTGGGCCTTGTTGCTGGAATTGTTGTCCTGGGCCTGGTGGAAATGCTCCTGGTTGAGCTCCTGGAGCAGGTGGGAATCCTGGTTGTTGATTTTGAGCTTGGAAACCTCCTGGTTGAGCTCCTGGACCTGGCGGAAAGCCTTGAGCATTTGGAGCCGGTGGGAAACCGCCTGGAGCACTTGGTCCTGGTGGGAAACCTCCTGGTTGAGCTCCTGGAGCTTGGAATGATCCTGGTTGAAGCTCCCGGAGCCGGTGGGAAAGCTCCCGGAGCACTGGGTCCTGGAGGAAAAGCTCCTGGTTGGGCTCCTGGTTGTTGATTTTGAGCTTGGAAACCTCCAGGTTGAGCCCCTGGAGCTTGGAAACCTCCTGGCTGTTGATTTTGAGCTTGGAAAGCTCCTGGAGCACTTGGTCCTGGAGGAAAAGCTCCCGGTTGAGCTCCTGGAGCTTGGAAACCTCCTGGTTGTTGATTTGGAGCTCCAGGAAGTCCAGGTTGTGTTGGGCCAGGCGGGAAACCTGTTGGATATCTTTGAGCTGGAGCTGGAGCTTGTTGAGCAGGACTTGGCGCGTTATTCAAAGGAGTTGCGGATCTTTGTTGTTGAGGGAATTGTGGAGGAGCTCCGAATTGTGCAGCGGCTTGTTGGGGGGTTACAGATGGTGCTCGAGATGGTTGTTGTTGTGGAGTTGGTGGAAAACCTCCAGGTTGAGCTGCAGGTTGTCCATTAAACGGTGGACCTGGTAAATGGAGCACCAGTTGGAGGTCCTGGCAGTTTTGCAGGTGGCGCAGCGGCGAATTGTTGAGGTGGCGGGAATTGCTGTGGGGCTGCTGCATTTCCATTTTGATAACCGCCATTCATTTGAGCAGGTTTTGGCACATTTCCTGAATTTTTTATCTTATTTTTCAATTAAAAATACCCCGATTTTAATTTTTTTCCAAAAAAAAACAAAAAAAAACCTTGTAATCCATTTTGTTGTGGAAATTGCGGCTGCTGATAAAACTGTTGAGGATTAGTACCATATTGAGGCGGTTGAAACGCCATCCTGAAACGAAAAACGGGTTGAAAATGAAGTGTGGAAAATGAACAAATATTTTGTTGGCAACCGTCCAAGTTCCATGTCATAGAGAAATCCACCGTAGCATGTCGTCGCACAGCAGGCGTTTCGCGACGAGACCCCGTGTTGTCTGCCGTCTCTCATGTGGCGGCCGCTCTCTCGCGTGTTGTCCGCGTTTTGAATTTTTGAATTTTTTATTTCTTGTTTTTTTGTGGTTTTTGTTGTGCACAGTGTTTTATCAGTGCATTATTATTGTGTGAATTTGTGGTTTTTGATGAATTTATCAATTTCCACTGATTAGCAACAAAAACAATGGGTTTTTGAGAGAGATTTTAGTATAAGAAATGTTTTTGTTCTTTCTTTTTATTTACATCTTGCAAGATTTCATGTAACTCAAAGATTTCTCTAAATAGTTGTAAATAAGAAGTCAACTCAATTTTCAAGTGTTCCTCCACCATATGGTTACTAATTGAAAATATTCTGCTTTCTTTGTTTATATTTAACAAGACGCCCCCCCTAACGAAAAAAATTTCAATGAAAATGTAACTATTTTATCATAAACATCTGGTTATTGAATTTGCAGATCGTTTCCAGATGTAACTTGACATTGGCTCTGACCCAATAAAAAATCCGATTCGCAAACTTTTTCTCCCTTTTTTTGTGTGATGGATTTGATCCACTTTTCTTTTCGGAGATGGTATCTTCAAAATTTCATCCTCCAATTTTTCATTTCTGCAAGTTTTTACAGCCAGTTTTATTCCTTTCCAGCCTAAAACCAGAAATAATTTAAATCAAATTATTATTCTCACAGGACCATTTCTCGGCCCATTAGTGAATACTAATGACCCCATCCCTTTCCATCCGATTAGGATAGACCAACACTTAAAACAGCCTTCTTTTCTCTTCCAAAATTTTTGTCTATTGTTGTCCTTTTTCAAGGTTAATCATATTGTTGTTATGAGGAGGCAAAAAGAGGAACACCGACCAACCGTGTTTAACATAATATACATATTCATTTAGATATGAAGTGTTTTCTATTAACTATGTTTTCTGTTCCTAGAAGTCCAAATTTTGCTGCAAAAATACCATATGCAAACGTGGATTTTTGACTGCAAAATGTCGGTCTTCTATGGATTAAAGGTGGATTCTGAGCAAAAAATAAGTTGTGCTTTTTCAAATGAGCATAACCTATTTTTTGCTCAGGTTCCGCCTCTAAAGGCATATATTATGGGCCTAAGCAGAATTTTTACTGAAATTTAACACAAAAAAATGATTTTTGATTAGAGATAACGTCAAATTGAGAGATTCTAAACAAAAATCAAATTTTCTGTCTTTCATCGAAAATCTCATCGGTACCACGCGCTCTACCGAAATAAACACGCAACGCAGACCGCGTCGCGCCACAACACAAAAAAAGGAGGGAATTTGAATCGTTCCCTTATTTGTGTGTGTTGTGGCGCGACGCGGTCTGCGTTGCGTGTTTATTTTGGCGGAGCGCGTGGTATCGATGAGATTTTCGATAATAGAATCTCTCAATTTTCAAAAACTATTACAATTTCCAAAGGAACAAAGCAAAAAGTAATCAATAAAATCTCAAATGCAGAAAAATGTCGAAAAAACAAAATTTACAGAAAATTATTGTGATTAGAGACACCGTCAAAATAAGAGATTTTAGACAAAAAACTAATTTTCTGTCTAAAGTAAAAAAAAAACTAATTTTACTAATTTTCTGTCTAAAGTCTCTCAATTTGACGTTGTCTCTAATCACAACAAAATTCTGTAAATTTTGTTTTTTTGACATTTTTCTGCATTCGAAAAGTCTAAATATTACTTTTCTGCTCTTTTCCTTTGAAAATTGTAATAGTTTTTAAATAATGTACTTCATACACTAAATGTGTTTGCTTTTCAATTCCAAAACAAAACAAATACTCGAACCCAAACAATAAAATTCGCACAATTTGCATAAATACCATCCATTCACCGCCTTTCCAAAAAGATAATCCCAGTGACCAACACCTGTTCCACGCTGAATTACTTCTTGTGTCCAGTTTATCTATTTTTCTTTCTTGTCAAAGAAAAACACCGGTTGTTTATGTTTTTGTTGACTTTGTGCATCATCAGTTGTTTTTTTGATTTTAACCTTGAAAATACTCTCGAAAATATACGTACAATTATAAATAATTTGAGAAACTGGGCAGGTTTCATTTCATTAAATTGTTGGGGGAAAATTGACTTATTTGATGTGTCATTATTAGGGTTTTTTGGTGTTTTGAGAGGATTATCCTCTTTTTTATATAATGTGAACTATTTTTTGGAAATTAGGAAAATGTTACGAAATTTATGAAAATGCTGAAAGTTTCGTTTAAAACACTTTAAAATTTCGTATAACGTTTCACGAATGTGCCTCTTGGACCAAGACCAGACCCGGCTCGGCCCTGGCTGGCTTTTTAAAGGCCATAGAGCTAACGACCGGGCCGAGCCCTTAAGCCCGTTTTTTACATTTGGGCCGGGGCCGGCCCGGTCGTAGGAACATGTCTGCTCTTGGTTGTCCAGTTTTTTTCAATGAAAAGTTTCCATATAGTACGTTTATGGGAACGTTTCATCTGTCAGGAGAACCTTTTTCGAACGGGCTAAAAATTGATAGAACCAAAATTGACCTGTGAACCAAGTTATAAGGCTCTAGAGGTCCAAGGCTCGAAAAATAGACTTCCTGGCTCCAATTTTAGTTCCTCGTCGGCTCAAAAACATTTTTCTTGAGATATTGATCAGTTTCTCCCGGTCAGCCGATTTCTAAAGTCAGGCGTACCATAGCCGTACGAAAATCCGAGACTTGTACCGTTTTCAAGTTTCCAAAAACAAAAAATTTCCCAAAAACCCCTAAAAAAGTGCAAAACTGTGTCAAAACACACCAATTTGTAATATTTAACAACCCAACCCAATCCTGTGTGACAAAAATACACAGAAGAATTGCGCAATGCGACTCTCTTCTCCCCCGTTCTTGTAATACGACTCCTATTACATACCAATTTTTTATTTTTTTTTCTTAGTTTGCCAATCAATCTAAAGATCTACATCAAAAACTTGGAGTTTTGTGTTGATCGATATATTGATTTTCCCAGATTTTCTTATCAATTTCCTTGGGGATGTTTTGATTTGCACATCTTGTGATAACATCAAATTTCAAATTTTTATCAAAAACCAAACCATTTCGCTTCTTTTTTTTTAAATACATAAATAACAAAATTTGTTCGTATTTATGAATCACTAATTTTTCTCGTTTCTATACATAGTACGTTTGAAATAAATACAAAATGTATTTATTTCATACATAAATATACAGAGAAACTATCCGGATTGCGCTTTATTTATCCATTTGTTTGTTTTTTTTTCTGTTCGATTACGAATTCGAATTCGAATTCGCGATTTTTTTTGTCTCGCCGGATGTTAATTGTGGCGAATTGATTGATCTGAAACTTGAGATGTTTGGTTTTTTTGACTGTGTGTACCCTTTTGAATGGGTATTCGTTTACAACCAGTTTTGTAAACATGTGGGAAACTGCAAAATGAAAATTGAAATGCTCTACAGACTGCCACGTCACAGTTCACGTTTTTTTTAAACTATGACGTGGAAGACATTTTTGGTATTTTTTGGTACACCAAATTGTTCTTCATTAATTTTTGGTATATCACTTCTATGAATTCGGCTCCAGGACCGATTTTTTGCGAAAGTTTCTGAGTCCATTTTTTCAAATTTTCGAAAAAGTTTCCAGAACTTTTTCAAAATTGTTTGATTTTCGGAACTTAAAACGTCTTAAATAGTTACTAAATCACCTGTAAATGGAAAAATTACAGTTTTACAACCAAATAAGACCTGAAATTCAAAATTTGAAGACTTTCTGGTTTTTTAAATCCAGAAATTTTCCGACTTTCCGTTTTCCGCGTTTCATCTTTCCGGCATAGACCTGTTTCTTAGCCGGTTTTATCGATATCGGGGGCCGAAATTATTGAGGAAAAGTTTGGGCGTACCGAAAATTTCGTTCAGCAATTTTTTGCTTTACCACTTTTATGAATTTGGCTTCTGGTTATATCGACTAATTAAACTAAACGACATTTTCATGTTTTTTAAGCAAGTGAGTTGAAATATTGGGTTTTAATGTTATTCATATGATAGAATGGTCTAAGACGAACAGAATGGTATAAATTTTGATGATTTTAAGTTATCCATAAGTGATTTAGCGACTTCGCGACTAAACCTCGCTAAATCACTTATGGATAACGTTAACTCATCAAAATTTATATCATTTTGTTCGTCTTAGACCATTCTATCATATGAATAACATTAAAACCCAATATTTTAACTCATTTGCTTAAAAAACCTGAAAATGTCATTTAGTCGATGTCCAAGTTCCTTATTCCTCCCAAAACCATTTTCATTGTCCTGTTATGTTATAATTCGACACGCGATTCTCAATTCCCAATTTCCTCCAACCGCCAAAGTATTATACTGGCGGCATCAACATTTTCTTCGCGAAAATAAGATTAATGATGTTCTCCTTCTGCTACTGGTCACCATAATATTCTTTTCGGCTTCATTTGAATGTGCCATACGTGTTTCCGTTTTTTTTGTCACATCATAATAATCCATCCGTTTTTCAATGAATACCAGATTTACTCTCTGCTGTTCACTTTTTCCCTCCATAAAGGTATTAATTTTATACTCGTATTTCATGGCTAGGCGAAAAACATAGTGAAAAAACACCTGGAAAGTGAATAGAGAGCTAAAAGGATATATAATTGGGCTGGCCAAAGCTGACCTATTATATCAATCATTTTGGGTTGTTTTTCAGTGGATACGCTTAGTAAGCCGCCTACTTTTTTTTGTTGTTCGAAATCCTTTTTAGAGAATGTTCGAAAGTGCAGAACTATTAATATATGACAGATGTGAAGACAGACACTTTCTGGCGCTGAAATTGTCATTTTTTCGTTGTATAAAGAAGAAAGTGTCGATCATTTTTATTTTTAAAGAAATAGACCCAAATTCGTTTCAACCTTCAACTAAATGAAATTTTCATATTTTTCCCGCAAGTGACTTAAAATCTTACGCTCTTATCGTATTCATAAGATAGATCGGCTTAAGATGATTCGAATGATATAAATTTTGATGAATTTAGGTTACCTTAGCGATTTTTAGCGATTTTTAGTCCTAAATTAGCGATTCTTCACTTATCGGTCGTAAATTTATGAAAAATTTATATCATTCGAATTGTCTTATTCCGCTGTATCCTATGAATGCTATTAGAGCGTAAGATTTTAACTTAGTTGCGGGAAAATATGAAAATCTCGTAACTAGGGCGGTTTCCTAAAAATTAACGAAGAAAACTTTGGGCGTACCAAAAAATGCTGGAAATTTTTTGGGACGCCAAATTTTTCTTCATTAATTTTTGATGTACCACTTTTGTGAATTTAGCTTCTGGGGCCGAATTCATAAAAGTGGTACAGAGAAAAGTGATATTTGAGGTTTTCAAGCTCAAAAATATCGTCTGGAGCTGAAAATTAGGTTTCTTGTAAAGGTTAAACATGATTTTCAGCTTTCTTGCGCTAAAAATCACCCTTTTTGTGATTTTTCATGAAAGTCGAGCTTGAATTGAGGAGATCTTTGATCGCAAAAAAGCTGAAAATCATGAAATTTTGAGCTAGAAATGAACTTGAAGGTTTAAAGTTCACAATTGACACCCTAAAATTAGTGAAAATCATTTGGTGTACCAAAAAATGCTGGAAATTTTTTGGTACACCAAGAAAAATTGAGCGTATTATCGAAACTCTCATCGGTACCACGCGCTCCACCGAAATAAACACGCAACGCAGACCGCGCCGCGCCACAACACACACAAAAAGGGAGGGAATTTGATGTGTTCCCTTATTTGTGTGTGTTGTAGCGCGACGCGGTCTGCGTTGCGTGTCTATTTCGGTGGAGCGCGTGGTACCGTCTTTGGAGTACCACTTTCATTAATTTGACTCCTGGCCTCCCAAAAATTCCATCGTTCAGTCCATTTAATAAAAATTGTTACTATTTCCTCTCCAAATTGTTTTTAATTACCCAAATTTATATCAAACGGTCTGTTATCTGCTGCCCAAATCTCTCATCAATTGCAATTAACCTCCCCCAGTTTTCCTCCCCTTACATTTCTATTTGTTTTTCTTATGATCTTTGTTGAAGAGATAACAGTAAATACTCAAAGGTGTTACTTTTGATTTTTTTTTGTTTCGAGATATTTTTTGAAAAAATTCAATAAATATTTTCAGATTAACACGAAACGATAGTAGAATATAGAAAACCCCACAAAAATTGAATGACTTCTGAAACGGTGGCTGAAAAAGCTGGAGAAAATGAAGAACGCCGATGCTCGTCGGATTTATTGACAACGATGACCAAAAAAGGAACACAACACAAACAGGAAAAAGCGATTGCGCATGATTTGGAATGTGCATTTAAAGGTGGGTCCCCCTGTGTGTTTTTTTTGACTGATACGTTTCTCTTGTTTGTTTGTTGATACGTTTTGGCATGAGAAACGAATTGTACATTTTTTTTTATTTCGCGGCTTTTTCTTCGGGAAAAAGTGTAGAATTTGATGAAATCCTCAATTTTTGAGCTGAAAAATCATTTTTTTTTCAATTTTCACTGATTTTCATCATTGAAACCTGAAAAATCGAGATTTATTACAAAATCGGACATTTTCTATAGTTAGAAGTTCAGGATTTCGAGGGTTTTAGGCTGAAAAATAATCAATTTCAGTGTTTTCGGCTGGAAAATGAACAATTTCAGTGTTTTCGGCTAAAAAATGAACAATTTCAGTGTTTTCGGCTGAAAAATGATTAAATTTAGTTTTCTCGGCTGAAAAAATGAGCAATTTCAGTGTTTTCGGCTGAAAAATGAACAATTTTAGTTTTCTGAACTGAAAAATGAGCAATTTCAGTGTTTTCGGCTGAAAAATGATCAAAATTAGTTTTCTGAACTGAAAAATGAGCAATTTCAGTGTTTTCGGCTGAAAAATGATGAAATTTAGTTTTCTGAAATTTTCAGGGGCCGAAAATTAACGTAGAAAAATTTTCTTCAGTCACTTTTGGTTTTCTCCAGATCTGGAAGAGAAATCCTCCACTACAGTAGGCTTTTTGTCGGCTCCTTTCATCTTTTTTCTATTGGAAGAGGAAATGTTTGGTTTTCTAGGCCATCATTTTGTTCATCCCTAGATTTTCTAGCTCCATTTCTTTCCCTCCAAAATTCTAATAATCGGATTATTGTGAGGTTTTGAACATATTCGACCCAAAACCGTCTGTTTTATTATTATTGTCTACCTTCTCTTTGCATTTTTCCAATTTAATCCTCTCACAATAAAAAATTACCATCAAATGAAACAAAGGGAAATTTATCATGTCCGCCGTTTTTTTGAATTGAATTTGGCTGATGTTCCATGTGGTTTTTATTTTTATTTTCTATTTTTTCCCCTATTTTTTGAAGCATTTTGTACCTTTTTTGAAGCTTTTCTTGAAATTTACTAGATCTTTGTGTTTTGAAAAGATAGAGTAATTTGATATGAGAAGTTAGGTTAAGTTGAATATATAGAAAACAATTCGTTGATGTAAAGTTGTTTGAAATCTCGAACACATTAAATTGTGAAAAGAGAAGAAAGTTAGAGAGAGAAAAGAGACATTAGACAGTTGGTCTTGACTTTTTCGCATTCAATATGAAAAATTGAAGAAGAAGAACTGAACCTGACTTACTTGAACTTAGTATTTTTATTTTTGGAAAATGAGTTATCGTTTACCACTTTGTGCTTCGATTGGAATTGATGATTATTATGATTTTTCAGGTTGGTTTTGAGAATTTTTCGAATTTAGGTTTGAAAAATAGTTTATTTATTTTTATATAAACAAACGTTTGTTTTATTTTTTCTATGCGAAAATCCAGAATTTTATTTTTTTTTGAGCAAAGACAATGTAAAATTGAGAGATTAGTGTTTTGTCCGAAAAAATCTGATTTTCTGTCTGCGCTCTCTCAATTTTGCATTGTCTCTAATCAAAAATAATATGTGAATCGCTAAAGACTAGAATTTGCAGACAAATAGTTTGTCTGCAAATTCTAGCATGTAATGAAAAAGTTCAATTTTAAACCGCTGAATTCGGCTTCGACTTAGTCTAAGTCTTACTTCAAAAGTTAGCCGTAAACAGTAATTATAACAATAACTTTCAAATCCGCCCTTCTGAAATATCTAATAAAAATCTGAAAACTGGAATTTGCAGGCAAATAGTTTGCCCGCAAATTCTTGCATTTTTCAGATTTTTATTGGAATTTCAGCGGAGATGCGGAAGCTATGCCCAAATTTTGAATTTTTCATCAAAAACTTAAGATATCCAATTAAAATTTCTTAGAATTTTAATTATTTTCCACATTTCTCCAATTTTTTTCCTGAAAATTAGCTCACTTTTCCTAAAAGTACTTCAATAAAACAACGTTTACAACTTTTTTCCTTCGAAAAAAGAAAACAAAAATAACCCATTTGAAAAAGCAAATTAATCTATCTTTTGAGCACTTCAAAAGAGCAGTTGTTTTTTTTTTTTTTGAAAAAAAAACTTTTTATCTTGATATTTCTATTTTGAATCCAAATTTCTAGTTTGACTTTTTTTTCAAATTTTATTTTCCAAATATCTCTTTCTCGTTGTCCCGATAATAAATCATCCATGAAAATTTTTACACTTTTTTTGTTGTCATTTCTTCGTCGTCGCACTGGCAAATGTTTTGAAAATCTGTGTGTTTTTTTCGTATTTTTGTGATAACTTTTTGATAATAAATTTCTATCATGAGTCATTTGGGTCAAGGGATTTTTTTTGATGAAAGTAGTTTTTGACCCGCTGATCACTTTGCTGCCATCTAAAATTGCAGAACTCAACTTCTAATATGAGTTATGACGTGGCAAAGTTGGAAAATTGTGTGCTAAATTTTTCTAGTATAAAATATATAAATTTCTTTGACCACTGAAAAACTGAAATTCTTTAATTTTGGAAAAAAATCTGAATTTTTCAGTTTTTCAATTGTCAAAAATGGAAAAATTTAGCGTACAATTTTTGATTTTGAAAATCAAGAATTCAAATAATTTCACGATTTTTCGAACTTTGCCACGTCATAACTCATTTTAGGAGTTGAGATTTGTAGTTTTTGATGGCAGGAAAAAAACGAGCAAAATTTCGTAATAAAAATGGCTGATTCACAAAAAGTCAAAAAAATGTCGAAAAAACATTGTAGGTCAAAATTAGTTTTTCAAGGTTTTTCAGCCAAAAATGATGACAAATCGATATTTTTTAAGCTTCTGGAGTAATTTCTGATTAAAATAAGCTTCGAGACCCATATTTTGCTTTTTTCGAAATTCATCAAAATTTAAAATTTTTGAATTTTAAGAAAAATCAGCAAAACCTTCTGGAAAGTGAATTCCAAGGTTAATTTTAATCAGAAATTACTCCAGAAGCTTGAAAAATATCGATTTTTCATCATTTTTGGCTGAAAAACTCGAAAAACTAATGTTTTTTCGACATTTTTTGACTTTTCGTGAATTTTGAAACATTTTTTCGTTCGTGAATCAGCTCTAAAATTTTTTGTGCAGTTTCAACACAATTTTTTTTCAAAATTGTATCCGAAAATGCCCAAAATTTGCTCATTTCACCAAATGAGAGCCTCCGAAAAACATTAATCTTTTCTCCTTTGGGTTGTCCTCATTTCGACCCGCCGCATTCAAAACAACACGAAATGACCGAGGAGCATTTGACTACAAAATGCGTAATCCTCCTCGCTTTTTTTTGTCTCCTCCCAATAAAATGTGTTTGTTTTTGGATTGTGTTTTTGATTTTGCTATTTTTTGGCTTGCTGGGAGGTATTATTAGATGAAAATGACCGAAGACCCCGTATTTTTCAAGAGAAAAACTAAACATATATAAAAGTTTTTTTTTTTGGTTTCCCATGATCTAATTGTATATTCTATTCTGGTGGCTCAATTTTCATTCTCTCATTGAAAATGAAGAACGTTTTTGAAGTGTTTCAATGAATTTGGTTAGAATTATAAACGAGAGTGAGTGTGTGAATGGCATTTTAATCAAGTTGTTGTTCTCTCTGTGACTGGCACATTTTTTAGTAGTAGTTTTTGAGCTCATCTTAGCATGAGCAATGCCAGAAAAATCCGGAATTTTTTGAACATTTTGAGCCATTATCGCCTAATCTGAGCAATGCCGAAATTTTATCCGAAAAAAATTGTTGGCTTTAATTTTAGTGGTTTTTGAGCTCATGAGCAATGCCAGAAAATTTCAGATTTTTCTGAAAATTTTGAGCCATCATTTTTTTTTGAAAATTGAAAATTTCCACGTCATTGGGCACGTTAAAATGAGCAATCCTTAATTTTTGTTGAAAGTTGAGAAAATTCAGTTTTGAGCCGAAATTTAGGAGATTTATCGATTAATCTGAGCAATTCCTAATATTTCCTGAAAATTTGAGGAAGGGCCGAAATTCAGAATATATAGCTATAAAATGAGCAATGCTTGAAATTAGATTCAAAAACAAGTGTTTTAGATTAACATGAGCAATCCCTGATTTTTTGTTGAAAGTTGAGAAAATTCAGTTTTGAGCCGAAATTTTGGAGATTTCACATTTAATATGAGCAAATCCTGATATTTCCTGAAAATTTGAAGAAATTAGAATTTTTTGCGATAAAATGAGCAATGCCTAAAATTTTTAACCTGAGCAATGCTCACGATTTTTTTTAATTTTGGAAAAAAATCGATTAACATGAGCAATCGCTGATTTTTATCAAAAAATTGCGAAAAATCTTTTTTTCAGCCAAAAAATTTGGGATTTCTCGATTAATCTGAGCAATTGATGGATATTTTTTCAGAAAATTTGGTGAAATCTGAATTTTTTGCGCTAAAATGAATTTTTGATTCAAAAGCCTCAAATTTGATTCAAAAACAAGTTTTTTATGTTTAACCTGAGCAAAAAAAACAGAATTTTTCGAAATTTTTTCGATTAACATGAGCAATGTATTGATTTAGGTTGCTCAGAAATTCAATAAAAACTGGAATTTTTTCTGAAAAAAAAATAATTTCTGCCCGATTTTTTTTGCCAGCTAACAAATGACCAAAACATGTTTGTTGCTCATGTAATATCATTAGTATTTTTCCTCCTCTTTTTCTCCTTCACAAATAAATAAATAAATATAATATTTATTATATTAATACATTTCACACGCTTCTCCTCTTTTCGTATTTTCGTGTTCTTCAAAAATAAAAATGGCAATATGATACCAGCCGAGCCCCAAAAATGGTTGTTTTGTTTCTTTTTTCTTACACACTCATTTTATATTATAAAATGAGAAGGAAGCGGGGATAAAAAGTGCGCATCTTTTTCTTTTTTTTGCTCCTCACACTCTTCATTTGGCTCCAAAAAGAGGAAAAAAGAGGAAAAGTGTGTTCTTTTCCCGTTTCGATGACAATCTTGCCTCAAAATGCTCAAAATTTTTGACATTTTCCATGTTTTTTGGCTCTAGAAGACGAAAACAATGCATTTTCGAATAGTTTTTTGCTTTATTTTCAAGATTTCGTAATTATGAACAACAAAGCCCAGAAAAGCTGAGTAATTTGCACTGGCATTCATTTATTTTTGAATGACTGAATAACTCAATTTATATCTTCTCTCTTTCTTTTTTCTCGCCGTTTTTTCGCTTTTTTTTTTCTCGACGCGCAAAAATGGAAAAATTGTTTCTATGGGAATTTTTCTCTCTTTGGAATCGGCTGAAAATTGATGATTTTCAGCCGAAAATTTCTGAATTTAGGCTTGTTTTGGAGCAAACTTTGTGGATTTTTTGAATTTTAAAGGAGCTAAAATGCCACGTGGCAAAAAACTTGTTCAGAAAAATTTCACTGTTTCAAAATTTTTATAAGAATTTTTTTGAACATTTTGAAACAGTGGGATTTTTCTGAAATTTTGAAAAAAAACATGTTTTTTAAAAATTAATTTCAGAAAAATTTCACTGTTTCAAAATAATTTTTTCTTCGAATTTCATCATTTTTGAATTTCTGAGCAAAATTCATATGAAAATTTTGAAACAGTGGGATTTTTCTGAAATTCAGAAAATACATGTTTTTTTTGAAAACTAAATTCAGGAAAATCTGACTGTTTCAAAATCTTTATATAAATTTTCTTCGGAAATTGAAAAATGATGGGATTTGAAAATTTATTTGAACATTTTTCTGAAATTTGAAAAACATGTTTTTTTTTTTTTGAAAATTAATTTTAGAAAAATTTAACTGTTTCAAAATGATCATATAAATTTTCTTCGGAAATTGAAAAAGGATGAGATTTGTGAATGTAATCGAAAATTTTTCTGAAATTTTGAAACAGTGGAATTTTTCTGAACGTTTTTTTTGCCACGTGGAATTTTTGGATCCTTTAAAATTCGAAAAATCTATGAATTTGGCTACAAAACGAGTCTAAATGGTCTCAGGGACATTTTTCTGGTGATTTTCTATCGCTACTCTGATTTTTCTCACGAAATTCTCTTTTTCGAGCCAAATCTGTTGATTTTTTGAGCCCTGAAACTTCTAAAAGATTATCAATTTTTTTGAAAAGTTCCCTTGAAAAAATTCAAATTTTTCATTTTTCCAGAATTTCGCGCAAAAATGAGCGATCAGCTCAAATGTTTGGGTGATCGGACAGATGTACAATTGAGCAGTTTGAGTGAATTACAGGTTGGTTTGGTTTTTTTTTCAAAATTCCACAGAAAAATCCGATTTTTATAGGATTATTTTCGAAAACGCGGTGAAATTGAAGGAGAATATGCTTGTAAATTGGAAAAATTATCAAAAAGTATTGCACAAAAACATAAATCGGAAAGAGTTCGACGAGAAGGATGGCAACAACACACATCGAGTACAGTCTGGCACACTTTGGTCGAACAAACCAAAGAGGAATCGAAAAAACGACAATTGATTGGTGAATTGTATGGAAAACAGATTACGGCGAGTATTGAGGCGAGATGTGAGGATTTGGCGAAAATTTCGAAGAGGGTGAGGGATTTAAGGCGGAATTTTGGGAAAAAATTCGAGAATTTTGGGTGAAAATTGTGATTTCACACGATTTTTTCATGAAATTTTGAATTTTTCAAAAAAAAACACAAAATTACCTCTCCAAAAATCACAGGCGCATACGGTAGAACCTGCACATCTAACTCACGAGTTAGATACGCAGGTTATACGGTATGATCCTTTGAACAGGCAAATTTTTTGTTCTCTTTTTTTGTCAAAAATTTAACAAAAATGGTGTTTTTGAAGAATTCCGAAGCTATGACGTGGCAAAATTGTCATTTTTTCCTAAGAATCAGAAGATCTTAATTCTCAGAGTTCACGGAAATTCAGAAGTTTTTCATGATTTTTTTCTTCGAAAAATAAATTTGTACCGAAACATTGAATATATTACTATCCAAAAATAATCCTCGAATTTATTTTTAAAAATATTTGAAACGTATTTTTTTGCAGTTTTTCACAAAATTGTGAGTTCACACGATTTTTGCATGATTAAAAAAAAACACAAAATTACCTGTCCAAAAATCACTGATTAAAGGCGCATACAGTAGTAGAACCTATAACCTGCGTATCTAACTCACGAGTTAGATATGCAGGTTATACGGTGTGTTCCTTTGAACAGAGATTTTTTGTTCTCTGAAAATCAAATACGAAAAAGGTAAAATTGTTCAAAAATTCAAAAATTTAATGGGAAAAATTGTGTTTTCAAAGAATTCTGAAGCTATGACGTGGCAAATTTGTCATTTTTTTTCTCTAGAATCAGAAGATCTGAATTTCACAGAGCTTCAGAAGTTTTTGTGTTAAAAAATTCAGATCCTGAATCATAAATTCTGAAGGATATGTCATGCTACAAAATTTAAGGTTAAATTACAGGATTTAAGGTTTTAAATTAGGATTCAAGGTTAACTGACTAGCTTTTTTAAGGTAAAATTACACCGCAATATAATACTACCTTGAATTATTCCTCGAATTTATTAAAAATATTTGAAACGTATTTTTTTCTTGCAGTGCCGTGAAGTTGGATCATTTTCACACACCGAATTGAATCGAGTATTAAATGAGCTTCAAACCGCAATGAAAACATATCAATTATGTTATGCTGAAATGTGTGGAATTGAGCGAAAGAAAAAATCGGCGGAAGATGATGTGAAAAAATATGAGGAGGCGAATAGTGGAAAATTTGAGACATCAAGAAGGCATCGATCACTTGTCAAATATATGAAAAGGGTTGGTTTGGGGGAAAAATGAGCAAAAATGAGTTGGGCTATCTTGAAAGAGCATTTTCTGATTAATTAAATTGTCAAAGTTCAAAAAAACAGTGAAATACGGTGCAAAATTTGGCAATTTTAGCCAGGAGACGAAAATTTTTTTCAAAAATTTTTCAAATTGCCTCCAAGGATTGTGCAAACACTGTGACGCATTTTTGCGTACAGTAAGATTTGAAATATTTCTTTTAGACCAGTTGAAGTCAGAAGCTTCGTGGGTGGTCTCGGAATAACTGTCTAAAATCCTAATTCTGCTCATTTTCAGCGCGAAGAGAAATTCGAAGTGGTCCGCCTGAAATGCACAAAAGCGAGAAATGAATATTTGCTATGCGTAAAAGCGGCAAACGCGGCGCTTCATCGATTTTTTGCACAAGATTTGTCGTATCTTATCGATTGTATGGATTTGGGCATGGATTTTTGGCTCAGAGCAATTCTTGGTGGGTTTTTGAGGGGATACTGTAATTTTGTTGTGCTCAAAAAATTGAACAGGGACTTTTTCTATGATTTTTTTTTATAGCCTAGACTTTTTTTCTAAGAAATTTTTGGGTTCAAAATTTTTTTTCACTGAAAATGTGCTCAAAAATTGGGATCTAAAAAATTCTACAAGAAATTTTTTAATGAAATTTTTTGTTGATTTTCAGAAAACTGAATTTCTGAACAATGATTTCCCTCTGACCAAAGTTGGAAAAATTTGAACATTTCTGAACAAATTTTTCAAAAATTGGAATTGTTCTCGAATTTTAAAAAGAAATTTAAAAAATAATTGAAAATTTGAATCTAAACCATAGAAAATCGCTCTGAAAATTTCCAAAATTTGAAAATTTCTGAACAAATTTTTTCAAAAATTAGGATTTTTCTCGAATTTTCGGAATTTAAAAAATTGAAAATTTGAATCTGGACTATAGAAAATCGCTCTGAAAATTGAGAAATTTTAAAATTTCTGAATAAATTTTCAAAAATTGGGTTTTTTGTCGAAATTCGGGATTTGAAAAAATTGAAAATTTGAATCTGAACCATGGAGAATCGCTATGAAAATGTTCAAAATTTGGAAAATTTCTGAATAAATTTTTCAAAAATTGGATTTTTGTCGAATTTTTGGAATTTAAAAAATTGAAAATTTGAATCTGAACCATAAAGAAAATCGCTCTGAAAATTTCCGAAATTTGGAATTTTCGTCGAAATTTTGTTGGGACTAAGCCCAAATTTCTCGACTGAAAGAACCAATTTTTCTCTAGAAAAAATCCTATAAACTCTCATTTTTTTTGCAGAAAAAGTGATTGAATTAGGATTTTTCTCGAAATTTAAAAAAGAAATTTAAAAAATAATTGAAAATTTGAATCTGAACCATAGAAAATCGCAGTGAATATGCCTTTTAAAAATCAAAAAAATACAACAAATTTCTCAAAAATAATTTCTCGAAATTTTACAGGGGGACCTAGCCAAAATTTCTCGACTGAAAACCTCTGAATGTGAGAAAAATCCTATTTTTTTGCAGAAAAAGTGATTGAAGAGCGAAAACGTATGACACAACACGAAATGGATTCCCTAGCCGAATTAGGAACCCTCCGATCTTCCGTCGACGCAAAAGCTGACAAACAAAAGTTTTTCGAGGCCAATCATCAACTTTTTATGCTTCCCCAAACAATTTGAATTCCGCCCACAATTGGGTGATGAAATATCGGAAGTTTCGGCTGAACAAAATTTATCGGCTGATCTTCTTCAGCGACAAAAACAAATTGAAAAGAGGTTGGAGGGTTTGCAATTTGAAACTGATGAAGTTTGGAAGTCGCTGGAAGCCTCAGAAAAGCAACTTCTCGCATTGTACAACACACAATTTGAGGGTGATTCGGGAAAATGGAGGAGCGATCTACATGTGACTTATCAATATTATTTGAAAAAGTTTGAAATGTTTTTGCTCAATGGGAATCTTGCGGAGCGTTTGGAGGCGAGAAGTGCGACGATTGGTGAAGCTTTGGCGAAACAGGGAATTTCTACGAAGATTGCGATGGTTAATAGTGAAATTCGGAGGAATTCGGAGAATTTTGAGGAGAGAAAACAGCAGAAGACGAAGAGAATTGGCGCGCAAATGTCGTCGGAAACTCGGCCGCGGCCGCGGTTATTTGGTGGAAGTTTGGATGAATATGTGGAGGCGACAGGGGAGGAGATTCCGCTATTGGTCGAATCGGCGATTGGATATTTGTCACGATTCTCGCTTCGAAATCAGGGGTTGTTTAGAGTTTCGGGATCGCAATCCGAGATTAATCGATTCAAGGAGGCTTATGAGAGGGGAGAAGATCAGTTTGCGTATTTGGAAGATGGAACTGAGAGTAATTCGGCGGCTGGGGTTTTGAAATTGTATTTCAGGGAATTGAGAGAGCCGATTTTCCCGATTTTTATGTTTGAACAGTTTTGTGATTGTGCGAAAGCGGAGAGCTCTTTGGAATTTGTACGGAGGGCGAGAGAACTTGTCGCGAAACTTCCGATATCGCATATTCTGCTCCTTCGCTTCCTATTCCAATTTTTGTCACATTTATGCGAATTTGCTGATGAAAATATGATGGAACCCCACAATCTAGCGATTTGCTTTGGGCCCACACTTTTGCCGATCCCGGAAGGCAAGGATCAGGTGTTCTATCATAATTATGTGAATGAGTTGGTGAGGAATTTGATATTGCATGCGGATGAGGTGTTTCCGCGTGATTTGGCGGGACCGATTTATGATAAGTATGCGATGCAAAGGAGTGTTGGAGGGCATTTTATTGAAGAGAAGTTGGTTTTTGATTTTTACGGGGTGGATTCGTAAATTTTGGGTCAAAATTACTTAAAATTCACACAAAAACCTGATTTCTGACGCCCAAAAATAGCCAAAAATCAGCCTGAATACTCAAAAAAGGCCCAGAAAATCGAAAAATCGCATTTCGGGCTTCTTTTATGGTTTAAGGCTCGAATTTGACCTGAATTGTCATTAAAAGCCTGAAATCCACCTTGATACACAAAAATAGCCTCTGAAAGTCCAAAAATTGGTTTTCAGACCTAATTTCCGATTCATTTTAGCTCTTTTATGCAAAATTTGTCAGAAATCAAATTTTTTTTTATAATTTTGTTCAGTTCAGGTCCAAAAAATTTGAAAAATTTTACCTGAATTTCTGATTTTCACCTTAAATACAGAGAAATATGCTTTGACAATCCGAAAACTACAGATTTTGGGCCATTTTTCGATATTTTAAGCATAATTTTCTATTCTCGCTTTGAAAATTCGAAAAAAACTGATTTTCAGACCCATGTTTGCTTCATTTTAGGTCTTCTTCACATTTTTCATAAATTTTAAGCTGAAAATTGCTGTTTTTCGCAAAAAAAAACGAGAAATTTCATGTTCTTTAGACCCAGAAACTGCAAAAATTTAGATTTTTCAAAACCGAAAAAAATACGTTTCAAAATTTTTGATATAAGATTATTATCAAATATTGGTTTCAATAAATACTGCTTATTTATGAAGACTTCAAAACCAAATTGGAAAATGCTCTAAAATTTTGATGAAAATTTAGATGTTATCAATTTTTTTTGAATCGAAAATTATGAATATTGTTTTTTCTGGGTCCAAAAACCTCCGAAAATTGACCTGAAAATTTAAATTTTTAATAAATTTTAGGCTCCAAGCGAGAAATTTGATGTTCTTTAGAAACGCCCAGAAACCAGAGAGCCCAGAAGCCCTTAAATTCCAAAAAATCTTATTTCTGACCTAGTTTTAAGTCATTTTAACTGCGATCTATTCACATCCAGAATCTGATGTTTATTTTTTGCAGCGATCTTGTTTCGGAAGATGAAGAAGATCTTCACAACCATAACCATCATCAATCAAAACACGCCATCTCAACAACAATAAATCGCAATCATCACATGCTAGATTCAACATACGAATCAGCTGATAGAATCCTGTTATCCTCACCAATGCTCTCACAGACCAATACATCAAATGGAACTTCACCGCATGGAAATTGCCCGGAAGAAACATCGAGTCGAACTAGTAGTGATCAATATAAAGAGGATATTCCGCCATTGTTAAGGACTGAAATGCCGCTGAAAATTGCGAATGAATTGAATAGTATGTTCAAGAATAATAGTGGCGGTGTTTTGAGACATTCGAATTGGGAAAGATCTACTGAAGTTGAGGAGGATCGAGATTATGTATCACCACCTCCACCTTTGATATCTACACAGTATACAACAAAATCAGATGCGATTTATGCGCCGATGATTAAGCAGAGAGCTGCCACGTTGCCGGTGGCCACAACTTCGTCCTCGAATGGTGGGAGCTTGAGTGATATGTCTGTGGTGTCAGCTGGAGCGCCTCTAGCAGCACAGTCTACTAATATTGGCGTCAGGATTATTGGGAAATCGTCGCTGCGCGATCAATTGCAATTGATACGGAAGGAGAATAATGGAGGAGGGGTTCTTGATGCGACAACTTCGAGACCAACATCTTTGGATGACAATGAGACGGGGTGAGTTTTTTTTGGGATTTTTTTATTGAAAAAATCACGATTTTCAGCGGAAAAATAGGTCTTTTCATGATTTTCAGCTGAAAAATCTGGAATTTTCCGATTTTCAGCCGAAAATTCTGGAATTTCATGAAGGCTAGACTCAAAAAAATCGCAAATTTCATGATATTCAGTCAAAAATCGCAATTTTTCCGAATTTTAGCTGAAAATTCTGGAATTTTTGAAGCTAGGTTTATTTGGACTCAAAAAACAGCCTTTTTCATGATTTTTAGCTGAAAAATTTGGAATTTTTAAGGCTAGACTCAAAAAAATTGCAAATTTTATGTTTTTCTGACTCAAAAATGACACTTTTCATGATTTTCAGCCGAAAAATCTGTAATTTTGAAGGCTAGGCTTATTTGGACTCGAAAAATCGCAAATTTTATGATTTTCAGCTGAAAAATCTGGAATTTCAGAAATTGCATGATTTTCAGCCGAAAAATCTGGAAGCCGAGCCATCGCAAAATTTTCACGGTTTTTGACTCAAAAAATTTTTCATGATTTTCAGCCGAAAAATCTGGAATTTTTTGAAGGCTCTTATTTGGACTCGAAAAATTCATGATTTTCAGGCTGAAAAATCTGGAATTTTGAAGGCTAGGCTTATTTGAGACTCAAAAATGGCCCTTTTCATGATTTTCAGCTGAAAAATCTGGAATTTTGAAGGCTAGGCTTATTTGGACTCGAAAAATGGCCCTTTTCATGATTTTCAGCCGAAAAATCTGGAATTTTGAAGGCTAGGCTTATTTGGACTCGAAAAATGGCCCTTTTCATGATTTTCAGCCGAAAAATCTGGAATTTTGAAGGCTAGGCTTATTTGGACTCGAAAAATGGCCCTTTTCATGATTTTCAGCCGAAAAATCTGGAATTTTGAAGGCTAGGCTTATTTGGACTCGAAAAATGGCCCTTTTCATGATTTTCAGCTGAAAAATCTGGATATTTTGAAGGCTAGGCTTATTTGAAATCAAATAGTGGCCCTTTTTCTGGATTTTCAGCCGAAAAATCTGGAATTTTGAAGGCTAGGCTTATTTGGACTCGAAATTTGATTTTCAGCTCTGGAATTTTCAGGCTAGGCTTATTTGGACTCAAAAAATCGCAATTTTCTCGGTTTTCTGACTCAAAAATGACTCTTTTCATGATGTTCAGCTCAAAAATCTGGATTTTTGAAGCTAGACTCAAAATTTTACAGTTTTCACGATTTTCTGACTCAAAAATAGCCTTTTTCATGATTTTCAGCTGAAAAATCTGGAATTTTGAAGGCTAGATTTATTTGGACTCAAAAAATCAGAAATTTAATGATTTTCAGCCGAAAATTTTTGGAATTTTGAAGGTTAGACTCAAAAAATCACAATTTTTCTGATTTTCAGCTGAAAAGTCTGGAATTTTTGAGACTAGGCTTTTTTATCTGAAAAATTCATGGTTTTCAGCCGCCAGAAATATCTTGAAAAATTTGGATTCAGAAAATATTTGAAACTGAAATATGTTTTAGTTTAAAATTATTGTGCCACGTGGATTTTTTGGCTCCGAATTTCAGATTTTCGAGATTTTTGAAATTTTGCAAAATTTCTCACCACGTGGATTTTTTGGTGCCAAAATTTCATTTTGAAATTTTGTAAAAAAAAATTTTGTTTTGAATTTCAAAAAATTCAATTTTTCTTAGTTTTCATTGTGAAATTTTCCCCGCCAAAAATTCTCGTTTTGAAAAATTCGAATAATTTTTCACTGAATTTCTTACAAATTTTTAAAAATCCTGACAATTGTGAGAATTTGTGTACCTAAAATCAGATTTCTCTATTTTTTTCCAAAAATCCTCAATTTTTGCAGCTCAAACTCAACAACAACAACAACTCCACCATCTGATATTTCTTCACCCCAACCAGATATCATAAATTCAGCACGACCTAATCATCGTGCAATCTCACCAACTCTAGATGATATTGTAGCTGCACTGAATGTGGCTACAAATATTAATTAACAATTAATTTACATAATAAAAATACTACAAATGATGTGTGCTTTAACTGAAATTGTCTAAATATCGATTATTCACGGGTCCTTTTCTCCTCAATTTTTCCTTTTTTGTTTTTTCCCCATTTCAATTTTTTACGGTTGTATTTAAGCTAAATATGAATTTAATAAATATTTTATGTACAAAAAATTTTTTTTTCCTGGATTTTACATGGTTTACTAACTTTATTTGTGAATATTTTTTATTTTAACTAATTTCTGAATTTTTTTAAATATTTATTTTCAGATGAAAAATTTAGCATTTTTACCTCTATTTCTGCTTTTTCGAATAGTTTTGGCTTCGCGGAAAAATTGTGCGATGGAAAATTGCTTTGATTTTGAGAAATGTAGGAATTCGAGAAAGGTTTATATTCATCCGGTAATTGAGAAGTTTGAAACATCGCCAAAGTCTGGGATTTATCGGAATGTTTTGAGATTTGTTGAGGAGAGGTGGGTGATTTTTGGGATTCTGAAAATTTGAGTCTAGAATTCAAAATCCACCTGAAAATTGTGATATTTTGAGTCCAAATTTGGCCAGGTTTAGCCTTGAAAATTTTCAGAAAAACATTTGAAATCTGAAAATTTGAGTCTAATCTCAAAAATCTGCCTGAAAATTCCAATATTTTGAGTCCAAATTTGACCAGGTTTAGACTCTGAATTTTCAGAAATTTGTCTGAAAATCTGGAATTCAGAACATTCCTGAAAATGCTGATATTTTGAACCTAAATTTGATTATTTTTCAAAAATTCAATATTTTCCAAAAAAATAAATCCACAAAAAATTCCAGAAAAAAATACGTTTCAAAATTTTCATTTGAATATTATTATCATATTTTTAGCGCTAAATCACAAAAATTGCCGAAATTTGAATTTGAAGTTCTCATAAGTTCATCTGAAATTCTGAAAATTTTCAGTCTCGAATTCAAAATCTGCGTTGAAATTCAGATATTTTGAATCTAAATTTGGTCAAGTTTTGAAATTTTCTGAAATAAGCTTAAGTTCTGAAAATGTTCCTAAAACTTCAGAAACCAAAAAAAAATTTTAAAAAATTCTTATGAACTTATGTTAAAAAATATCCGAAAATGAAAACTCCCTGCAAAAAAATTCAGAAAAAAATTAAGTTTTAAAATTTCAACACCTCCAATCTCAATGTTTTTGCAGTGATCTTTTCACCTCCGACCCAAATTCCGCCTGTATTTTCTTGCTTGGAATCGACACGACAGATCGAGATATCAAAAGTTCGAATTATGTCAAAAATATCGCCGAATATATTGAAAGTTTGGATCAAGTTGTTTGGAATAATGGAACAAATCATTTGATATTCAATTTGTATCATGGAACATTTCCTGATTATGATGATCATAATTTGGGATTTGATACGCAAAATGCGATTATTGCGAGGGCTTCGAGTAGTGAACAGGTTAGGAAAGTGGGTTTTGGAATTTTGGGCTTTGAAAAATAATCCACGTTTAATTTTTTTTCTGGAAGTTTAACTTCGATTTTCTATTCCACGTTGCAATTTTGAATTTTCAAATTTTCGCTCAAATTGAGATTTTTTGAATCTGCAAAATTTTTTACGCCAAGAAAATTCCACGTGGCAAATTTTTTTTTTTTTGAAAAATCTGAAATTTTATACCTGAAAATTCCACGTGGCAAAAATTTCGAGAAATTTTAAAAATCTGAAATTTCAGAGCTGAAAATTCCACGTGGTCAAAATTTCTCGAAATTTTAAAAATCTAAAAAAAAATTTATCTTCAAGAAATCCACGTGTCAAAAATTACTGAATTTTTCTCCAATTTTCCGAATTTTCAAAATTTTTGAGATTTCGCCCCAATTTTTTTCATCAAAATTTACTAGCTGAAATTTTTTCCCCAAGAAATCCACGTGGAAAAAATTCGAAATTCAAAATTTTAAATTTTTGCGCTTCAAATTTAAGTGAAAGTTTCGGTGTCAAAAAATCCACGTGGCAAAAATTTCGAGATTCAAATTTTTAAATTTTTGCGCTTCAAATTTAAGTGAAAGTTTCGGTGTCAAAAAATCCACGTGGCAAAAATTTCGAGATTCAAATTTTTAAATTTTTGCGCTTCAAATTTAAGTGAAAGTTTCGGTGTCAAAAAAATCCACGTGGCAAAAATTTCGAAATTTTAAAAAATCTGAAATTTTAGTGCCTAGAAATCCACGTGTCAAAAATTTTCGAAATTTTCCCGCCAATTTTTTTTTTGAAAATAAAAAAAAGACTCTAGTTTCACAAAAATTCTCCAAATTTCGAAAAATCTGGAGTTTTTAGAGCTCCAAAAAATATTTTTTCCAACATTTTTCACAAATTTCTGAAACACGTGAACGTTTGATGACGTGGCAAATATTTCATTTTTTTTTTCTTTTTTATTTTTTCACATCAAAAATATAGAATTATTCCTTGTTTTCTAGAATTTCCTAACCGGTTTCGATATTTCACTTCCATTATTCCACGACAATCATCCATATCAATTAACATCTTCGAATTCTCAAAATCACGTGCATTTTTCTCGAAAACCCTATTTGATCAGTTTCAAAGGAAAACGATATGTTTATGGAATTGGATCGATGACACGAAATCTTGTGCATCATTTGCATAATGGAGAGGATATTATTATGGTGACAACTTGTAAACATAATAATGATTGGCAGGTAATTTTTATACTTACTTGGCTTTGCTTTTTTTGCCACGCTGAGCCAAGAAAAATGAGCCCAAACTCGAGAATTTTGTGAAAATTGAGAGCTTTTAGCTCATTTTTGGGCTCTTTCCCGGGAAATGAGCTAAAAGCTCTCAAAAACCGGAGAATTTTCTGAAAATCACAGCTATTACTCATGTTAGAGAAGATTTTTATGAAAAATTTAATTTTTGAGCCTTTATCCTGAGCAACACACAGTCTTTCCTAGAAAAAATCGATTTTTTGAGCCAGAAAATTGTGCTGATAGAATCTTCTCTAACATGAATTTTGGGCTCTCAAAAACCCCGAATTTTTAAGAAAATGCTAGAGTTTTGGCTCAGTTTTGTGCTCGAGAGCACAAAATTGATTTTTTTGGATCAGAAGGTCGCAGGTTCGAACCCCCGTGGGGTCTAATCATTTTTTTTTCCAAAATGTTATTATTACATCTTGAAAGAAAAAGAAAATAAATGGTTTTTACCGATTAGACCCCACCGGGCTTCGAACCTGCGACGTTCTGATCCAAAATCTTGCTGAAAACCTGGAAATCCTGTAATTTTCGAGCTCTCCCAGACTTTTAGGGTTTTTTTTCAAGCCAAAAACATACGTTTATTGAAAAATTGAAGTTTTTAGCTAGAAAATCATTTTTTGATCGAGGAATTTCGATTTTTCGAAAAAAAAACATCCAAAAGTTAGCGTAACTCTAGAGATTTTTTCTGGAAGCTTCTCAAAAATTAGTTGAAAATTTTCAAAGTTCAAAAAAACAGTGAAGTCGAATTTCATGAAAATTCTGATTTTAAATACCCGGAAAAAAATACGTTTCAGAATTTTTTGTTAATTTTTTGGTGAAATTTTGAAAACAATATTACATTTTTCTTTCTCACGTCAGTGTGAAAAATTGTGCAAAAACATACATATTAAAAATTCAAATTTTCAAAAATTTCATGATTTTGACGAAAATTCTCGATCAAAAAATGATTTTCTAGCTAAAAATTTCAATTTTTCAATCAACAAATGTTTTTGGCTTGAAAATTGAAGGTTTTTTGCACAAAAAAAAGACCCAAAAGCTCATTTTCGTGCTCTTTTCCTGGGAGAAGAGCCCAAAAAATGAGCTAACATGAGTTATGGGCTCTCAAAAACCCCGAATTTTCTCAGAAAATTCTCGAGTTTCGGCTCATTTTTGTAGGCTCTGAAAAATTGTTTTCAGAATTATCAAGATCATCGTTGCTCAGCTGACAATGAACAATATGATAAATGGGATTATGATGAGCTTCTGAATAATTCAACATTTTGTCTAGTTCCCCGTGGCCGAAGATTAGGATCTTTCCGATTCCTGGAAACCCTTGGATCTGGTTGTATTCCAGTTGTCATCTCAGACTCGTGGATTCTTCCCTTCTCAGAGATTATCGATTGGCAACAATCGGCCCTGAGAATCCCCGAAAAGGAGGCTATTTTGATTGTGGAAACACTCATGAAGGTGCCACGTGGCGAAGTTGAGAAATTGACGTGGAATTCGAGACGGGTTTATGAGAAATATTTGCGGAGTATTGAGACGATTGGAAAATGGGTATTTGAGATTGTTTTTGTGAGAATTGATAAGCATTTTGTTGAGAAATACGTGTAAAAAAATAAGTTTTTCTGGTGAATTTTGAAAGTTGGTGAGCTTATTTTGTATTTCAGACAAAATTACAGATGATTTATTCCCAAAAAAATATATTTATGACGTGGCAAAGTTGCCGGAAATTGGAGTTTTATCTGAAAAGTTCAAAATTTTCAGAAAATATTACCTCTAAAGCAAATTACAGCTATGGAAAAGGTCTATTCTGGCCATTTTCTTTTTGCCACGTCATAACTAGATTTTGGGCAAATTTTTCACCCTGGGTTTTTTTTTGGATAAATTATCTCTTGAGGTGTGCTTTTACCTAACAAAAAAATCACAGGAAAAATTAAATTTTTTTTTCAGAATTTTCAGAGATTCTTTTCCAAAATTTTGTTGAAAACTAAAAATCTCCTTTATAAAACTGAAATGTAACGGGGTGACTCAAGTTGAAAAAATAATTAAAAAAAATTTTTTTTTGACAAAAAAATTCGATTCAGGACATGTCAAAAAACTATTTTTTTTTCCTATTTTTGACATTTTTTTTTTCATTTTTGTGTGGAAAAAAAATGTCAAGTCAGATTTTTCTTTAAAAGGTCTGGAAATTGTCCAAAAATTGGATTCAGAAAACTTTGTCTAAAAATCGGTCTTGGTTTGATTCATTAGAGCTACAGTAATCTGGACGCCAAAAAATGTTCTAGAGAAAATTTCAGATCGATGAAAAAATATTTTTTTTGAAAAATATAATGTCGTGCTATCAGTGTTCAAAATACCTAAAATTAATTTTGAAAAAAAATTATTTTTTTTTTCAGAATTTTCTTGAAAATTGTGTATTTAGCGAAAAAAATATTAATTTTCAAAAAAACTGAAACGTAAAAATCCCAGGTCTGAGTTGGACCAAGTTCAGAGAAAATTTCAGATCAATGAAAAACATTTTTTTTTTTGAAAAATTGCGAAAAATGCCGTGCTATCAGTGTTCAAAATACCAAAAAGGGTGTAGTTTGTTTTGTGTTATCACGAAAAAAAGTGGACAAAAAACTTTCCAGAAGAAAAATACTCAAAGGGGGGTCAAATTTCAGGAAAAGTGTTCATTTTTTAGGTTAATTGAAAAAAAAATCTTGAAAGGGATTTTGTACACGAGACAATACTACAATCCCAAAATTTTTTTTTTCAAAAAATGTTCATAAGCTTCAAAGTTAGCTAATCTTATGAAAGGATTAAATAGATTTTTGATGAAAAAATCCACATTTTGTGAATAAAAATTCACAAAATGTGAATAACTACACTTCAGCAACAATAGAAGTTATCCAAACTTCTTTGGTTTAATTCATAGTCATAGTCATAGTCATCTTATTCATCTCATTCCTCCCTTCTTTTTCTCCATCCATCCATCCTTCCTTCCTTCGTTGGTTTTGCAATTCGAAAGGCACATTGTTGACACGACCGATCTTGTCTGTTCGTCTAATGTCTCTCATGTCTCGACGCACTCGTCTTTCCTCTTTCTCAACAATCTTCTCCTTCTTCTTCTTCTCCTCGTTCTTCACCGCCGCCGCTGCATTTTTTGTGTTGGTTTGATTCGGGTTCCGATTATTCGCCCTGTTCTCTCCCTCTCACTCGTCTTTTGCGATTGTGTTCGTCGCGTTCTTCATACACTTTTGAGTTTTCTGCGATGTTTTGCTGCTGATGTTGTTGATCATGCTGAACTTTGTTGAGAAGCAAGATCAGGGGCATACCACGCCCCCCTTCGTGCAAATTAACTTTGAAAATTGGCGGTATGGGTTTTGAAATTTTTTGGCGAGGTGAAAACAACCTTTTCGACTGAAAAATACCACTTTTTAACGGAAAAACAAGCAAAAATTTGCTGTTTTTCAAGAAAATCTCAAATTGGCGCCGTGCATATGCCTCACCATGGGCGTGGTATCATCAGGGGTCGAATTCACAAAAGAAACGGCGTACCAGAAAAATGTTCAGTGATTTTTGGTACGCCTAGGTTTTTCTTCAGTCATTTGTTAGTACACTCCTTAGGAATTCGGCCCCAGAGGTCCCACGGCCCGGAAAAATTGACGAAGAAGATTTTTGGCGTACTAAAAAAGTGGATTTTTGGTATGCCCAGGCTTTTCTTCACTAATTTTTGGTATACTCCTTGGGAATTCGGCCCCAGCGGCCCCAGGCCCGAAAAAATCAATGAAGAAGGCTGCAGGGGTACCAAAAAGGTGATTTTCGGTACGGCTCAAGGTTTTTCTTCTGTCATTTTTGGTACACTCCTTCTGAATTTGGCCCCTGTGGCCCCACGGCCTGAAAACTTCATTGAAGAAGATTGGGCGTACCAAAAAGGTGATTTTTGGTACGCCCCAAGTTTTTCTTCAGTAATTTTTGGTACAGCCCTTATGAATTCGGCCCCAGCGGCCCCACGGCCCGATTTTTAAAAAATGGTATACCAAAAAGTGCTGAGCGTACCAAAAATCATTTTATGATTTTTTTGGTACCCCCAGGTTTTTTTTCCAGCCTAGACCTCTGAATTTGATCATTGTCATGATCTACCCCGCGAGTTTTCGACACTTCCACTTTTCTTGAGATAAAACTTGCATTTTTCCATTTTTTTTCATTTTCCCAAGCCATTTTACACGTTGTTTCACCGTTTTCATGAACAACTTGGTTTATCCTCCGAGGAGTGTACTAATTGTTGTAATTTTATATCTCAAATGAGCCCAACTTATTTTTATCTCGGACTCCACCTGATCCTGAAGTTCCATCCTCTTCATATCGAGCTCCCCGCTTTCCCATTCTGTCGGCTAGATCAATGTGATTATCTAGATAAACAAATATTCGCCTTCCTCTCAATGATCACCCTGTTTTCCGTCTCCAAATGACAATTTTTGTCTTTACTAAAAAAATCGCATAAGTGTCGCGGCCCACCAATCGATTTCGAAATACTACTCGTAATAATCAGCCAGACAGTCGCCGTTTCCTTCTTTTTTTTGTCTTTATTGACACACATGACTCGAATGAATGATACATTTCCTTTGATCTATTCAAATTCCACCATGATTTTCTCTTTTTTTTCTAGCTGCTGGTTGTTGTTTTTTTGGTTCTAAGTAGTGTTGACTCTCTTCTTCTTTTTTTCCTCGATGTTGCCACGATTTGTTTTGTGTGTTTATATTATTGATTAGCTTGATGTTTGTGATGAAAGTGAATTTGCGAGATCACTAGAATCCTTAAGGATCTTACCCTGGGTTGGTCCGATTTCGTTTTCAGACGATCCAGAGAGATCTAGAGTTTGTTGGAATCCAGTATTGTCTAGTTAAGCGCCCGGGGTACAGCAAAAATTAATTAGGAACAATTTGGTAGTACTAGAAAGATTTTTGGTACAACCAAAGTGTTCCTGAATATGTTTCGGCTGACCACTTTCCTGAATTCGGTCTGTAGCTTCCAAAGAATCTGGAGGGTTCTGGAGACCAATTTTCACGTTGTTTTTAGCTTGGGTTTTTACCCTGGGTTGGTCCGATTTAGTTTTGAGACGATCCAGAGAGATCTAGAGTTTGTTGGAATCCGGTATTTATTGTTAAGCGTCCGGGCGCAAATTTTTTCATAAATGTGCTTCCTCCAGATTTTTCCTCAACAAATTTCGGCCTTCTGGAAGTCACTGTAATTTCCAGAGGATCTGATGAAGCCTGGAGAAGCCTGGAGAATTCTGGAGGAACCGATTTTCACGCCGTTTTCCCTAACTCAATTAAAAGTTTCTTAGATCTAATCAATCTTCGGATAAATTCATTCCATTTTCGTACTTTTCTCAAGCTCTGGGGCCGAATTTACTAAAGTGGTATACCAAAAATTACTGAACAAATTTTTTTGGTACGCCCAAATTTTTCTTCATTAATTTTTGGTATACCACTTTTGTAAATTCGGCCTCTGATGCAATTTTTCACTTGACAAAACCAAAATTTGGATAACTGTAGATTAGCTTCGGATATTCTAAATCTAACCTTAGTTTTCGGACGATCTCTGATGAAATCTAGAGGATTCTAAGGACCCAAGCTTAATTTAGTTTCTTCCTGAAATTTTTTCGTTCCTGGCGTTATCTTTGATGCAAAACACCTCTAAATTAGCCTAACTCCACAAATCAATTAGCCTAAGATGACAAGTTGCGATATTTTTAGAACCATCATCCTGATGACTATAAAAAAAGAAGAAGATCAGGTGTCTGTCGTATGTTCTCTCTAATCGATGGATGCTGTTGAATGAATGGCTGAATAGTTGGATGTTCTCAAAGCCAGCATCATCATCATCATCATCCTGTTGTTCTCGTTGTCGTCCTTCTCTCGTTTTCTCGTTCTTCCTATTCGCAGCAGCATCCACACAGACGCATAGAGATGAGAAGAAGAAGAAGACAACACACACTCACACACGCCACCGATCGACCCAGCCTCGTACTCCTTTTCTTATATATTCTACTAAACACAACACTTCTACTACTACTCAGACATCTGCTCTTCTTTTTTCTTTTTCTAATCGCTCCTTGTTTTCTTGGCTACCGGTTTGATTTTGAAATTTTTCCGATGTTGAAATAGTGCATGAACTTTTCGCTATTGATATTTTCAAAGTTCACATAGATCAATTCAAATTTTTGAATTTTTTAGACTTTCCGATGTTGAAATGTGCCGATTTTTGAGTAAAAAGAATCGCTTCAGATAGATCAGAGACTTTTCGAACTTCAAAAAGACGATTTTTCGATCTTAAGACAAGTTGATTTTTAGCCTAAAAATCGAGAATCCACAAAATCGCTTCAAGACCAAGGCTATGTTTCTAACTATAAATAGATTTGTTTCAATCTCAAAACGTCTAATTTTCTGAATTGATCGATCTTTGAAATGCCGTGAATGGCTTTCTAAGGAGTTTGTGGAACTACCCTTTTGAAAAATGATTATTTTGATATTGGGGTGATTCAAGTCGAAAAAAATAATTTTAAAAAACTTTTTTTGACAAAAAATTTCGATTCAGCAAATGTCAAAAAATAGGAAAAAATATAGTTTTTTGACATTTGCTGAATCGAAATTTTTTGTCAAAAAAATGGTTTTTATTTTTTTTTTCGACTTGAAATACCCCATATAGCTTTTCAAAACTTTTTCGCTTTTTTCCAGTCTCGAACTTCAAAATTCGAATCTGAGATGAGATCAAGTTCAGAATTTCTAAGCTCAGATCAATTTGAATCTGATCTATCCAATTCTGAGTTTGATCTCTTTGAAGTACTTCTGCCCATAGTTTTTGTTCTAGCTTGATGAAAATCAATTGATTTTAGTCCGACACCATTTTCCTAGACCTAGAGGTCAATAATTTATCCTATGACTGATTTTGAAGTTACAGAAACTGTTTCTAAACAAAATCCGATGAAATTTCTGAAATCAGACAATTTCGAATTGAAAATCATAGAAATTTGGCCTGAATCTGAATTTTTTTCAGTCATCGATCAAATTATTGACCGATCTAGATTACTGTGAAGTGTGGAAAATCACTTTTTTTCCGATTTTTCTGTCCGAAATTCTGATCAGAATGCGATTTTTTCAAGTTCAGCGGGTTCTGTCACTCGAAATGTACCAAGTTCGTCTCCATCTCTGTCAATTCAGCATGCACACCGTGTTATCAAAATCAAATCGACACTAGAAAAATTGATTAGCAGACGAAAAAAACGATTTTGCTTGCTTTCCTGTCTGTTTTTTTGTTCCCTAGCGTCATTTTGCCTGCTCGCTTCCTTCCCATTCACCATTCAAAATCACCAATCGTCTCTGCGTCTCTCGCTCTCTCGCTCTCTCGATTTTTTTTTCTGATTCGCGCGCGTTTCTTAGTCATTCATTCATTTTTTTGATATATCTTCGATTTTTCCGTTTTTTCCGATGATTTCCCCTCAAAAAATCCGGATTTTTTTGCAGTTATGGTCACCGCCGCTGTTGGTTTCGATGCCACCGATCAGAAGTTCATTGTGATCGGTGCTGAAAATCTGGAAGATACTGACACCGTTGGCGCGTCGATTGATCTCGATGGCAGATCGTTGACATTGCTGGAGATTTGTCAATCGGTTGAAGAGGCGAAACAAGCTTGTGAGCAGAAAGCGAGTAATATGAGCAATGTTGGTTTTTTCTCTGCTGGAATCTTGTGATCTTCTGCTAGATCTTTCTCTAGATCTCTAGATTTTTTGCAGATCAATGGAATGGGTCTTGCATCGATTACTTATGACGATGAACTTCAGCAATCGTCGTCTTCTGGAACTGAGGCGAAGGATATTGAAGAGGAGCAGGAGATGGAAGAAGATCAGAATGGGTTGATTGAAGATGTGGCTGGGAATCAGGAGTTGTTTGGAGCGGTTGATCTTCATGTGATTAGTGATATGCGTGAGTTTTGGGTGTTTTTGGAGGGCAGGTGGGTAAGGATCAGCGCCTTGAGAGCATCTTTGACAAGTAGCCGCGCCTTGAGAGCATGAATGCCAAGTAGCCGCGCTTAGGAATCCTGGTTGTCAAGGATCAGCGCCTTGAGAGCTCTCTATGTCAAGCAGCCGAGCCTATAGATCTATTTTGTCTAGGAGCTGCGCCTAAAAAGCCAATCGGTCAAGGATCAGCGCCTTGAGAACCGAATTGTGTAGGATTCACTTCTAAAGAGCTCCTATGTCAAGGATCAGCTCCTAGAAATCCTAGTTGTTAAGGAGCCGCGCCTTGAGAGCGTATTTGTCAAGTAGCCGAGCCTAGAGAGTATTATTGTTAAGGACATGCGTCTATAGGTCAACTCTGACAAGAAGGTGCGCCTAGAAATCCTAGTTGTCAAGTAGCCGCGCCTAGAGAGTATTATTGTTGAGGAGTCGCGCCTACAGATCTATTCCTTCAAGGAGCCGCGCCTTGACAGCATCTTTGTCAAGTAGCCACGCCTAGAGAGTATTATTGTTGAGGAGTCGCGCCTACAGATCTATTCCTTCAAGGAGCCGCGCCTTGACAGCATCTTTGTCAAGTAGCCACGCCTAGAAATCTTGGTTCTGAAGCAGTCGCGCCTTGAGAGCATCTTTGTCAAGTAGCCGAGTCTAGAAATCCTAGTTCTCAAGTAGCCACGCCTAGACATTATAATTGTCTAGGAGCTGCGCCTATAGATCCACTCTGACAAGAAGCCGCGCCTGAAAAACCTGATTCTCCCGGATTTCGGATTCAAAATTTTCAAATTTTCGTGAAAAATGAAGAATTTTAGACATAAAAGTCCGAGTTTTGAGTCGAAAATTAGAAATTTTCCAAACTTTTTAGCCCAATATTGAAAGTAGGCTTGGAAAAGCCTTTTTCACAATTCTCAAGCAGCCGCATCTTGAGAGCTTCTATGTCAAGGATCAGCGCCTAGAGAGCCTAGTTGTCAAGGAGCCGCGCCTTGAGATCCTAGTTTTGAAGCAGCCGTGCCCAGACAGTAGAATTGTCTAGGAGCCGCGTCTCTCTGACAAGTAGCCGAGCCTGAAAAACCTGATTTTCCCGAATTTAGCATCCAAAATTTGGATTATTAGTGAAAATTAATAATTTTAGGCATAAAAGTCCGTTTTCAACGAATTTTAAGTCGAAAATTAGGAATTCTCAGAATTTTTAGCCTAATATGTCTATGATCCGAAGGAGGCTTGGAAAAAGCCCATTTTTCACATTTCTCAAGCAGCCGCGCCTTGAGAACTTCTATGTTCAAGGATCAGCGCCTTGAGAGCTTCTGATTTCAAGTAGCCGCGCCTAGAAAGCTATATTTTCAAGAATCAGCGCCTTGAGACCCCAGAAAAACCCTGATTTTCACGAATTTCGCATCAAAAATCTGTATTTTTGATGGTTTTTAGTGAAAAATTCAGAATTTTAAGCCTAAAAAATCCAATTCTCGATTTTCAGAAAGTCAAATTGATGGAATGCGAAAATCGGTTCGAGATGTTGTCGGAATGGTGATGGAAGACATGAAAAGCGATATGGAACGAATGAAAGCGCGACAAGAAAAAATGATGGAAATGTTCAAAAATGCATTTGGAACCGAAAGAGATGGCCGCATTATTGAACCGTTTTCAGGTTTGAGCTATGACGTGGCAAATCTTGATTTAAAATCATGTTTTTTCAGAACTTGCCACAAGTCGCACATTCAATTTTGGATCGATAAATGATAGCCGAGCTTTGAATGGCATCGAAACACTGATTCAATCACAATTTGATATTGTTGAACAGGCGTCGCGGAAGAAAATTGATGAGTGGACGCGGTTTTTGAAAAATAACGCGGCTCCGAGTCATTCAAACCATTCGCAAGGATTTTCCAATGGATCTTATCAGCGTAGAGATCAGCCGAAACCGCAGATTCCAACGGCGATTCGGAGAGATGAGGATTCGATTCTGTTGAATGCGAGTTTGGATGTGTCGACGACAATGAATCCGAAAGAAGTTCAGGGAAAGCGGATTGTTAATGGGGTGGTGCAGGCGGTTGAACGTGAGGCATTTTTTTGGGGGGGGGGGGTTTCCTGTCCAAAACACACCGTACCACCTGCGTATCTAACTGATTTTGAGCGAAAATTGTCCAGAATCAAAAAAGATACATTTTCTGTCCAAAAACACAGCTTTTTTTCACAGTACCCCAAATTTTGTGATGAAAATTGTCCAAAATCAAAAACAGACATTTCCTCTCCAAAACACAAGCTTGGCCAGATTAAAGGAACATACCGTACCTTTTTTTTTACAGTACCTCAAATTTTGTGCTGAAAATTGTCCAAAAACACAAGATTGGCCAGATTAAAGGAACATACCGTACCTTTTTTTTACAGTACCCCAAATTTTGTGCTGAAAATTGTCCAAAATCAAAAAACAGACATTTCCTGTCCAAAAACACTGTCAGATTAAAGGAACATACCGTACCTGTTTTTTTTACAGTACTCCAAATTTTGTGCTGAAAATTGTCCAAAACAGAAGATTTCCTGTCCAAAAACACTGCCACATTAAAGGAGCATACCGTATCCACCTGCGTATCTAACTGAACAATTTTTTGTGTCCAATTTTTTGTCAGAAATCGAGTTAGATGTGCAGGTTCTACCGTACTTTTTGGCGTGTGCCTTTAGGGTTTTTGGACAGGAAATTTTCGGTTTTTTTTTAAATTTTGCACTTGGAAAAAGCATTTTGTTTAATTTTAAAAAGTTTCTAACATGAGCAATCCAGAAAAAGTTCTGAAAATTTTCTAACATGAGCAATTGAAGTTTTTTTGATTAGAAAACAAAATTTTTCAGTCTACGGAAAAAACCGCGATTTATTGATTTTTTTGTTGCGAAAAAAATTGGGCCAAATTATTTGGAAGCTATTTTTTCACAAGTTTTAATATTTTTTCCAAATTTTCAAAATCCTAGGATGAAAATTGACCAAAATTATAAATTTCGGACCCACAACTCGGCAAAAATGGCCAGAGTAAAGTTTTGAAAAAAAATCTTAATTTCAGTTTTTACTGAATTTTTAATTTTGAAAACCATGATTTAGGCCAAGTTAGACCTCTCATTCCCTTCTCAAAACGTTCTTTATTTTTCCAGGTCTCGATTATCCATATATTTCACAAGATGAAGAAGAGCGATGTCTCGAAGAAGCGAATGGACAAGGACCAATTTATGCTCAACTCATTTCCAAAGTTTTGTTCGCTGACACAATTGATTTGTATTTCAAAGATCAAGATGTTGGAAAACGCAATTGGTTGCATGACGCGGTTGATTTTCGATTTCCGACTTTTGATAAATCGGTCCACGTGGCAAAATGGAAGAATTGCTCGTATTTTATTAATAAGAATATGCGACAACATCATCAGGCGACTGGAAGTTGGTTTTTTTTCTCCGGGGTTTTTCGGAAAATTTTCAGCGGAAAATCTGAAATTGGAACTGAATTTTGAAACTTTTTATCAATTTTTATCCGAAAAATTAATTTTTCGATTATTTTAAAGAAAAAATTTTCAAGATTTCAATTAACGGAAAATTTGTTTTGAAAATTGGAACTTTGCCAATTTTTCAACGCAAATTCAAATTTCTCCGGGTTTTTGCTAATTTCGAATTTTTTAATTTGAAAACATTTTTTTTTTCAACTTTTGGCTGAACTCTTCAAGATTTTGAGAATTCTGCCGGTTTCAGTGGAAAATCTGAAATTGGTACTGAATTTTGAAATTTTGAAAATTAGAATTTTGCCAATTTTTTCAACCCAAATTCAAATTTTTCCAGGAAATTTTTGAAAATTTCGGCTTTTTTCAGCGGAAAATCTGTTTTGAAATTTTGAAAATTGAAAATTTGCCAATTTTTTAAATACAAATTCAAATTTCTTCAGGAAATTTTTAAAATTCGGTTTTTTTCAGCGGAAAAAAATATAGCCTAACATGAGCAATCCTCAAAAAAAAAACTCCTTAAGGATTTTTGAGCATTGCTCAATTTTTTTATTTCAAAACAAACGATTTCATCGAGAAGATCGGAGTTCTGAAGGTTTTTGCTAATTGAAAATGAAAAATATGTGAATTTTCATTTCAATCCTTGAAAAGCCTAACATGAGCAATCCTTAAGGATTTTTGAGGATTGCTCATTTTAGGTTTTTTATTTCGAAATAGACGATTTCAGCGAGAAAATCGGAGCTCTGAACTGAATTTTGAAACTTTTCATCAATTTTTATCCAAAAATATTAATTTTTCAAATATTTTTAGGAAAATTCAGAAAAAAAGCCCAAATTTTTCAAAAATTTTGCGAAAAATTTTGCTACAAACAGAAAAATTGGAAAAATTTGAAGGTTCAAATTTTAAAACTTGAAATTTTGCCAAAATTTTATCCCAAAATTATTAAATTCTATCAAAAATCCATTTTTCAGGACCACAACCACGTGCTTATAAAGAGCGAGTGAAGAGAGATCCAATCATGCCGGCTTCCGACGAAAAATCAGTTTTGAAAGAGGTTCAGGCGAAAAATTCGAACATTTTTTCAAATGGCAAATTGAACGAAGATGACATTGTTGATGATTTCATTTCGCATGAAACAAATATTCCACGAATCAAATATTTGACTGCAGATTATGAGAAATATTGCTATGAAGAAGCACAAAAAGCGGGAAATCAATATAAATATGCGGAACTAATGGCATTCCGTCTGTTTGCCGATAATTTGCAATCGAAATTCAAAGAACAAGATGTGAATAAGAAGGAATGGTTGAGGCATTGTGTTGAATCGAGATATCCGATTAAAGATCGAGAGAAGAATGATAAAAGATGGAAAGTTTGTGGACAAACTTGTAATCGAAATCGGTAAGTATTGCTTATTATTGGGTGATTTTGAAGGGGATTGCTCATTTTAGAGTTAATTTTCGGAATTTTTATAAAATTGCTCATGTTAGGAATTCTTATAGCATTGCTCATGTTAGGAAATTTTTAGGTTCACTGATTTTCGGTATTTTAAAAAATTGCTCATGTTAGAGCTCATTTTAGGATTCTTAATTTCAGAATTTAAAAAAAGGATTGCTCATTTTAGGAATTATTTAGCATTGCTCATGTTAGGATTTTTTTTTAGAATAGCTCATTTTTGGGTAATTTTGAAGGGGATTGCTCATGTTAGCATTTTATTTAGAATTCCTCTTGTTAGGAATTATCGAGAATTGCTCAGTTTTGTACTCATTTAGTATTGCTCATTTTTGGAATTTTTTAAAGGATTGCTCATTTTAGGGTTTGATTGGGATTGCTCATTTTAGTAATTATTTAGCATTGCTCATTTTGAGATTTTTTAAAGGATTTGCTCATGTTAAGAATTATTTAGAATTCCTAATTTCAGAATTTAAAAAAAAGATTGCTCATTTTAGGATTTGACTAGGTTTGCTCATGTTATTGGCTTCATTAAAGAAATCTTTCAGATTACTTTTTAATATGAGCAATACAGGTTTTTGAAGATCATGTTAGGTTTTTAAGAATTTATTAAAGGATTGCTCATTTTAAGAATTTTTAAGAATTTATTAAAAAGATTGCTCATGTTAGGAATTCATTTTCAAAATTTCTCATTTTTGTAATTTTTCAAAGGGATTGCTCATGTTAGGATTTACTTAAAATTTTTCTCATTTTTGGAATTTTTTAAAAGATTGCTCATGTTAGCTTTTTCATTAAAGAACGCTTCAAAGTATATTCATAACATGAGCAATGGTCTCCCTAAGATTGCTCAGATTACCTTTTCACCTGTTAAAGGGCGTTAATAGTCTCATTTTCTAGAAGCTTTTTTTTTAAATATGAGCAATGCCCCAAATTTTGCAGCACAAAAGTGGTTGGACCAGATGGACACGAAGCAAGATGGCCATATTTTCCACAATCAGTTGAGGAAGAATGTTTCAAAAAATGCGATGGAAATTTTGCAATTTATGCGGAATTGATGAATGTGAAATTATTTCCCGACACTCAACATGTCTACTTCAAAAATCAGGATGTTGGAAAACGATTCTGGTTGCACGCACAAGTCGATCGACGATTCCCAACACCTGACAAAGGCCAGCAATTTGCCAAATGGAAAGCGTGCACAAATGCGATCAATAAAAAGTTTGCCGATGGAACTGTTATACCAATTAATATTAATAGACAGGAAGAAGAGGAAGAGGAAGAATCACAAAATGATCGAGAAGGAAGCAGTGCGGATTCGGATGATATTTTTGATGATACAACTTTGGAAGAGGAAGAGGAAGAAGTTGAAGATGTGAAACCGGTTGATGTTGTGGTGATTCCGAAATTTGACAGAAGAAGCGCCGAAAACACTTTGAAAAGAAAATTGAATGATTCAGAAGCTGGAACACCATCAGGAAAGCGAGAAAGTGTTAGAAATAAAATGAAGAAGGAAAAAGAGGAGATTGAATCGTATCCATATATAAGTGAAGAAGAGGAGATTAAATGTTTGAAATTTGCCAATGGAAATGCGCATATTTATGGGAGAGAGGTGTTGAAATTGGTGTTTAAGGATACGACACCGCAGGCGTTTTATAAGGTATTTTTTGAACTATTTTTGAGGATTTTTGGGTCCTAATCAGGCCTGTGCCGGAAATTTTCTCGTTTTTTTCAAATTTTTCCAGTTTTCCGGAAAATGTTCTTTAGTAGTAATATTTTTAATTTTTCCTAAATTCTGGGAAATTTTCTTAGTTTATGATAGAAAAAATGAAATTTTTGGATTTTTTTTTCAATTTTCACTATGTTTTGAACGTAAAACATTTTTTTTAACAAAAAATTTCGATTCAGAAATTCTCAAAAAATTATATTTTTCCCTATTTTTGACATTTTTTTTTGAAAAATATCTCGAAGCGAAAATTTTTCAATAAAAAAAATACCAAAAATAGGGAAAAATAGTTTTTTTTTGATATCCTCCCCTTATAAAAAACGAAATCACTGAAAATTTGGCGTCACATTAAATGTTTCCATCAATAATGTGCAAACACCGCTTCGTTTTTTGAAAAATCAACTCGATTTTTGACAAGAAATTGGACACAAAAATGTGTCAGCCTTAGATACGCAGGTGGATACGGTAGAAGTATTTGTGAATTTTTATTTATTTATTTTTTTTTGAGGGTTTGAGCGCTGCAATTTTTGGAACATCTAACACGCTTATTGTAACTTCAGGGGATTTTTTTCTTCAAAACGGGAACTCCACTCTAACTTTGACTTTGAGAATAGATCACTTCAAAAGTATAACAGTTGGGAACCCTGAGAATTCTCTCTAACTACACTTCACGAAGAGTATACTAGTTTTCTAAAAAAAGTTTTTTTTTTTCTAATTTTTTTTCAAAATGTTCAAAAAAAAATTTTTTTTCAATTTGTTTTTCAAAAATTCTTTCAAAATTTCCAAAAAAAAATTTTTTTTCAAAAATTATTTCCCGCCCAAATCAAAATTTAAAATTTTGATGTTTTTTAACGCCTTTCGCTCCTCAAACTACACTCTAGTCTTAGGAAATCAACAAATTTTCATGTTTTTTGCAGGAACTCGATTCAAAGAAACGTGACTGGTGCCTGGAAATTCTCGATTTCCGCTTCCCATCTGAAAATGACAAGGAAAGACAGGCGAAAATTCGTGGAGTTATGCTAACTTATAATAAGTATTTGGGCGGACTCTTGAGACGATCTCAATAATTGTTCTTTATTTATTTACTATGTTTTTTTATTTTATTTTACTATTCACTATTATTTTTATTATTTTCATATGAATTTGGAGTTTTACCTCACTTTTTTCTTTTATTTATTGATGGTTTAAAATGAAAATGAAAACAGATGAATCGAAACAATAAATAAATACAACAAATATGTATGCTAATCAAAATTCTCACTGAGATCATTGCAGGCTTGTCTGAAATCGGCTAGACTGACACGATTCGATTCCTCGTATTCGAGATCTGCTGGGCAGGATTCAGCCACTTCTTCGTCTTCTTCTTTCTGGAATTCAAGATTTTGATTAGGGAAAAGTAAAAAAAATTCATGAAAAGTCAAAAATTTCACGAAAAGTCAAAAAATTCACGAAAAGTCAAAAAATTCACGAAAAGTCAAAAATTTCACGAAAAGTCAAAAAATTCACGAAAAGTCAAAAAATTCACGAAAAGTCAAAAAAATTCACGAAAAGTCAAGAAATTCACGAAAAGTCAAAAAAATTCACGAAAAGTCAAAAAATGTCGAAAAAACATTAGTTTTTCAAGGTTTTTCAGCCAAAAATGATGAAAAATCAATATTTTTCAAGCTTCTGGAGTAATTTCTGATTGAAATAAGCTTCAAGAACCCTATTTTGCTTTTTCGAAATTCATAAATTTTTTTATTTCACAAAAAACCAGCAAAACCTTCTGGAAAGTGAATTCCAAGGTCAATTTTAATCAGAAATTACTGCAGAATCTTGAAAAATATCGATTTTTCATCATTATTGGCTGAAAACCCTTGAAAAACTAATTTTGATCTACAATGTTTTTGAATTTTTGAATTTCAAAAAAAAAGCTCACCATTTCCGTATCGGCATTACTGGCCAGCAGTAGATTATCAACAGATGTTGTTCTTGCCAATTTCTCCATCTCCTCTTCTTCTCCTTCATCTTCTCCACTACTCGAATCCGAATCTGAATACGCGATTCGCCCGTTGACGTGGCGAATCGGCGCTCGGCATACCATTTTGGCGTCGAGGTCGTAGTTGATTTCAGCGCCCGGGAAGACGGTTTGATTTATGGAGACCTGGAAGAAATTTTGAGAATTGGGAATTTTTTTGAAACCCTGGGTTTGATTTTTATGACCAAAATTTTTCTGACCTAAAATTTGAAAAATCTCACTGGAGCGCATTTGCACTTTTTTTGGTTTTTTAAAAAAATTATTTAGTTTTCAAAATCCTGCAATTTTAAACCTGCAGTTTGAAAGTTTCGAAAAAAATTTCATAAAATTTATTCGATCAAAAAAATCGATAATTCAATATTCCTGATTATTTTTTGAAATTTTCTTCAAAAAGTACGAAATTTCGCTAGAGCGCATTTGCAATTTTTTAAAAAATTATTCAGTTTTCATGATTTTGAGGCTCAAAATTCGAGGTAAAAATTGGAATCAGAATTTTTCGATGAAATGCAACTTTTTCGAATTTTTCTGGGACCAAAAATTTTCAGAGGTCAAATTTGAGAAAAAAAATATCGTCAGATAAATAGAATTCAAATTTTCTCCAAAAAAATCGAAATTTCGCTGGAGCGCATTTGAACTTCAGGGATTTTTTAAAATATTATTTATTTGAATCAGAATCTTCAGAATTTCTAATTTTTCTGGGATTTTGAATCGATAATGCATTTTTCTTCTTCTTTTTGACTCTAGAAATGAAAAGAAAAATTTTAAATTTTTCTCGAAAAATACGAAATTTCGCTGGAGCGCATTTGCACTTTAAAAACATTATTTAGTTAATTTTTTCCCGTGATTTTGATGATGTTTTTCTATCCAAATTCAAATTTAAAAAAAAATCAAAAATCCAGAATTTCCCGCCAAAAAATTACCTGTGCACATGACATTGGCGGTAGATTCTTCTCAATGTTCACATATCTCATTTGATACATATTTCCCAGTGATGTTGATGTTGAACTTTCTCCCTGATTTTCAGCCTGATCTTCCTCCAGCTTCAGCTTCTTACTTCCATCATCATCTCCGCCCTTTTCACACATAATCTTCTCGAATTCACTCAACTCAATAAATCGTCGTTTGCGATTCGCTCGATGTTCCTCTTTCTTTTTTTTCTCCACTTCTTCGTCGTATTTCTCGATCATTTCACTGAAGTTTCCACCGAGGCTGAAGCAGATCTCTCGAATGATGTCATCGCAATTTCCGAGAAGTTCGATATCGGCGCGATAAGAGGGGAGCGATTCTCTGGAAAAAACAAATGGGAATGAGCTTGTTGGAAATGAGTTATGACGTGGCAAAATTGAAAATTTGGGGTTTCAGAAGCTGAAAACTAGCTTCAAATATGATTTTCGTGGAAATCTAGGGATGAAAATCTAGGCTGAAGGGTCAAAAATGTGGAAAAAAATTTCTGAAATCTGAAAAACCTGAAATTTCCAATGAAGAAAAATAATTTTAGAAATTCAGTTCTAAATTTTAAAAAATTGTATAATTCATTCAATTTTTTAAAAATTTACAATTGAATTTCTAAAATTATTTTTCTCCAGTGAAAATTTCAGATTTTCAGATTTCAGAGATATTTTCTATATTCATCATTTTTGAAAGCTAGTTATGACGTGGCAAAATTTAAAATTTCACTTTTGAAAACCTGAAATTTTCACAGAAGAAAAATAATTTTAGAAATTCAGTTATGAATTTTTTGAAAAATTGGAAAAATCATTCAATTTTAAATTTTTTTTAATTTTCACATTTTTAAAAAAATAACTGAATTTCTAAAATTTCAAAAAAATGTATAACTGATTTTCAAAAATGATTTTTCTTCAGTGAAAATTTCAGGTTTTCAGATTTCTCAAATTTTCACTGAAGAAAAATAATTTTAAAAAATGGAAATTCAGTTTAAAAAATTACTTTTTTACTAAAAAAAAATTAGAAAAATTCATTCAATTTTTCATTTTAAATTTTTTTTTAATTAAAAAAAATTTTTTTTTTTATTTTCAAATTATTTAAAAATTGGAAAATTCAGTCAATTTTTTAAAAATTTGAAAATTAAAAATTTTTTTTAACTAAATAGAAACTTAAATTCAAAAAATTGAATGAATTTTCCAATTTTTTAAAAATTTACAATTGAATTTCTAAAATTATTTTTATTCAGTGAACATTTCAGGTTTTCAGATTTCTCAAATATTTTCTATATTCATAATTTTTTGAAAGCTAGTTATGACGTGGCAAAATTTGAAATTTTCACTTTTGAAAACCTGAAATTTTCAGTGATGAAAAATAATTTTAGAAATTCAGTTATGAATTTTTGAAAAATTGTAAAATTCATTAAATTTTCAATTAAGAAATGTTTTTTTAATTTTTCAAATTTTTAAAAAATTGGAAAATTCATTCAACTTTAAATTTAAATTTAATAAAAAAAATGTTTTTTAATTTTTCAAATTTTTAAAAAATTGGAAAATTCATTCAATTTTAAATTTTTTTTTAAATTTAAATTTTTTTTTAATTTTCAAATTTTTTAAAAATTGAAAAATTCATTCAATTTTTTAAATTTAAATTTTTTTTAAATTAAAATTTTTTTTTAATTTTCAAATTTTTAAAAAATTGGAAAAATCATTCAATTTTTTTAAATTAAAAAAAAATGTTTTTTAATTTTCATTTGAAATTTAAAAAATTGAATGAATTTTCCAATTAAAAAAAAAAATTATAACTCTAAAATTATTTTTCTTCATTGGAAATTTCAGGTTTTCAGATTTTTTGAAGCTAATTTTCCGAAATTTGCCACGTCATAACGCATATTCCTGCCAATTCCAACCTATTAATCAAAATTTGCGGAACATTTTCATCAACACTAAACGGAATCAGTGAAACCGGTCGAACTTTGAGAGAAGATCCAATAACAACCAGTAAATCAACATGATTTTTATCTTTCGCCATTTTTCGATGAAATCGTTTTCCCAAATCTTCTCCAAAAAACACGATATCCGGTTTAATAACTCCATCATTACAAACTCTACAATACGCCACTCGTTTATTCATAACATCCTCTCGAATCACATCTCCATCAAATTTCTCGCCGCATTTTGTGCAAGTCGCTTTGCTAAACGAACCATGACATTCGATAACTCGACTAATTCCAGTCTGATGTTCCAATGTATCAATATTTTGTGTATAATTTCTCAACAATTGCTCATTATCTTCGAGCAATTTGATGAATCGATGTGAAACTGATGGGGTAAATTGACCGGGAAGATTTCTTTGGCGAAATCGAAAAAGGGCGCTGGATTGTTGCGGAAATAACGGATGTCGAACATTGCGGTTGGATCAGGAAGATCAGGAAATTCAGCGTGTAATCGAGCATAGATTCCTGAAAAAATTGGAATTTTTAAAAAAAATTGGTGCAGAGCAGGCCTGTGCCGGAAAATCGGAAAATTTCCGGATTTTTTGGAACCGGAAAATTCGGAAAAAATTTTTTTCAGCCTTAAGTTGGCACTAAAACTTATTTTAATCTACAATTCTTCTATTAACAGGTAATTTAGTAACTATTTCAGTCGTTTTACGTTCAAAAAATAGTAAAATTTGAAAAATTGAAGAAAAATTCCAAAAATTTCATTTTTTTTTCATCATAAACTGAGAAATTTTCCCAAAATTTAGGCAATTTTGAAGATATTACTACTAAAATTCATTTTCCGGATTTTCCGATCACATTTTCCGGAAAATTGATTTTTCCTTGAAAAAACCGGAAATTCGGAAATTCGGAAAATTTCCGGCACAGGCCTGCTGTATAGCCTTACCTTCAAAATTTTCAAAAAATCGAAAAAAATTAAAGTTTTCAGAAAATGTTTGTTATTGAAAAATATGGGCAAATGGAACACTAATTTATCCCAGAAATCAATTTTTTTTCGAATTTTTCACCAAAATTTGATTTCTGGGATAAATTAGTGTCCCATTTGCCCATATGTTTCCAAAAACAAACATTTTCTGAAAACTTTAATTTTTTCGATGTTTTGAGAATGTTGAGAGTGAGACTATACTCGTATTTTCATCAAAAAATAATGAATGTCTGTGTGCGCGTGCGGTCGCGTTGCGGTCGAACAAAAATCAATATCACCGATTTTTGGTCATTTTTTCACTGGAAAATGTTGTTTTTTACAAAAAACGGTCATTTTTGCCTAAATGTAGGTTTTCTAGTAGTTTTCGAGCCGCTGAACTCAAAATGAGTTATGACGTGGCAAATTTCGAAAAATCGGCACTTTAGGAGGACATAAACGAGTTTTCAGCTCCTAAAATCCCGAATTTTCGAACTTTGCCAAGTCATAACTCATTTTGAGCTTGAAAACTACTAAAAAACCATTGAAAAACTCGTTTTTTTGTAAAAAACAACATTTTCCAGTGAAAAAATGAACAAAAATCGGTGATATTTCGACCGCAACGCGACCGCACGCGCACAAAGACATTCATAAATTGTTCCCAAAAAAACTGACCATCTTTACTACGAAAATCGGGAATGCCGCAAGAAACCGAGACTCCAGCACCGGTTAGAACCAAGATTCGTTTTTTGGTTCGGAATAATTCAACGGCGTCTTGCAGAGTGTTGAATTCTGGTAGTTTTTCACGAACCGGCGGTCGATCGAGCAATTCTGACATTATTCCGAAGACCTGGCAAAAATTGAGTTTTTTTTAAAATTGAATTCGAACTTGAAATTAACGAAGCTAATTTTTGCAATTTGTTTGGGAGCCTTGAAAATCAGAAACTATATTTTTCTATTGGAAAATTCTATTTTCAATTTTTTAAATTTCAAATGAAAATTAAAAAAACATTTTTTTATTAAAAAAAAATTTTAATTTAAAATTGACTGAATTTTACAATTTTTAAAAAATTTGAATATTATTTTAAAAAATTTATTTTTCAGCTGAAAATTCACGAATTTCAGGTTTTTCTGAAAACTCAATGAATTACAGTAATAATTTTCTGATATTCGATTTTTAATGAAAACCCTTGTGAGATGAGTTAGGATAACTTTTGAGCTAAGTTTTGCAATTTTTTTGGAGCTCAAAACCTGGCTCAGAGGTTCTTTGAGAGCATGATAAATGTCAGAATGTTCAAAATTTAAAAAAAAAATAAATTTTGAGTAAATGTTCAAGTAGGCCGAACTATTTTGGTGGCCGAAAAATGTCGGGAATTCGGCCAAAGCAACAAACGCGCTCTAATGTTACAAAAATTATCATTGCTGGCCGAATTCCCGACGATTTCTCGGCCACCAAAATAGTTCGGCCACATACATCTTCTGAAATTTATGTTCAACTTCAATTTTTTGTGAATTCATCAATTTTTGAACATTTTTTAATGTTTTTCAATAAAAATCAAATATCAGAAAATTATCACTTAAAATTTATTTTTTAAATTCTGAAGTTTTTATGCTCCCAAAGAATTTTTGAGCCAAGTTCTGAGCTCTTAAAATTTTCCAAAATTGGCTTATAAAAAAGCTATTCTAACTCAACTCACAAGATTTTTCATTAAAAACCTGAAATTCCTGAATTTTCAGCTGAAATCACAATTTTTCAACAGAAAAATATATAGTTTCTGATTTTCCCAAATTTTCACAACCCAAAACTCACCATACTATCACTCAACGCATTCACATTAATATGACAATCCGGAAAAATAATCGAAAAAATTTCTTTTGCAGTTTTGCCTTCGGATAACATTGATTCAACTTGCATTATAATTCCACGCTTGCCATTCTACAAAAAAAAACATTTTATTTTGAAAATTTCGTAATTTTTTCCTCACCGAATTTTGCCACGAATCCGAATCTGCTTGACTTGAAGTGTCCGAAACATCGTCAGAAGTTGGATTTTCAATCCTATCTAATTCCTCTGTATTTTTCTCATCAGCCATTATTTTTTCTTGAGAAATAGATTAAGAATTTTGAAGAATTTCAGGAAAAAAATTGATTTGAGATACAAAAAATTGCGCAAAAAAGCGTCTAACTTCAAAAATTCTCAAAAATAAACACAAAAAAAAAATATTTTTGACCGAAAACAAAAAAACAAGGAACTAAATATAAAGCAGTGGAAATGAATATTATCTACAGAATGAATGTGTATTTGAAATTCTAGACCTGATTTCTTCTGACTTCGAGCTGTTTTCGACCCTCATGATTTTTCACAACTTTATCCATTCGATAATACCAATCGGCGATTTTTTCCGTTAGAATCACTTCTTTGAATGCAGAACAACCGTAGAATGAATTCATTGCACCGTAGAGACTCTGCAAAAGAAAAAAAATAAAAAAAAATCATAGATAATCATAGAATCATAGATTTGAACTAACAAGGGAACCTTTTTTACTCAACACTTCGAATCTTGATGAAATTTTGTCCATAGACTATAGTTTTTGGACAATTTTGACTTATTTTACAGTAAAAACATAAATTTGCATGATTTTTGATGAAATTTTCAAATTTTTTCGATTTTTAATAGAAAAAGTATAGTTGGACATCGACTAAATGACATTTTCAGGTTTTTTAAGCAAATGAGTTGAAATATTGGGTTTTAATATTATTCATATGATAGAATGGTCTAAGACGAACAGAATGATATAAATTTTGATGAATTTACGTTATCCTTAAGTGATTTAGCGACCTTAAGTCGATATTTAGTCGATAAGGTCGCTAAATCACTTAAGGATAACCTAAAATCATCAAAATTTATATCATTTTGTTCGTCTTAGACCATTCTATCATATGAATAAAATTAAAACCCAATATTTCAAATCATTTGCTTAAAAAACCTGAAAATGTCATTTAGTCGATGTCCAACAATACCATAGACAACTTTTGGGGTCATAAGAACATCCTAAAAATTTCAGAACCTCTGAGCCAAGGCTCTCAAAAGTTCAAAAATTGCCTCATAAAAGTTAGCATAACTCAATAATTTTCGTGAAAAACTTGATTTCTCCTAAAAATTATTGAGTTATGCTAACTTTTATAAGCCAATTTCGGCAATTTTTGAATTTTTGAGAGTCCAAAACTTGGCTCATAGGTCCTAAAATGTTTAGGATGTTCTTATGACACTAAAAGCTGTCTATGGACAGAATTTCATCAAGATTTGAAGTGTTGAGTAAAAAAGGTTCCCTTGTAAGTATAATTTTTAAAAAATCTGATATTTCCTAACAAAATATACCAAATCAACCATGCTGATCACGATCCTGAAGTCAAAAATTGCCACAAATCCCTGTGAGCACTTCTGGAGCCCATTTTCACCATGTTCCCGGGTGGGAAATCAACTTTTACAATTTGAATAAGCTTGTTCACCACCTTCCAAAACCTATCGGCTTTTTAGTTTTTCAAAAAATATTTTTAAAAAACCAGGTGTAAACTGTAATTTTTAAAAATTATTTTTTGAAAAACTAAAAAGCTTCTAGGGTTTCGAATGTGGTAAACAACCTTATTCAAATTATAAAAGTTGATTTTCCACGCGGGAACATGGAGAAAATGGGCTCCAAAGGTGCTCACAGCGATTTTTGACAATGTTTAACTTCAGAATCGTGATCAGCATGGTTGATTTGGTATGTTTCATCAAAAATTTTCCCGCGAAAACTGATTTACCAAGTCTGCTAAACTAGGCTTGTCTCCTCCTAAAAATTGTCGATTCGGCCCGATTGCTGCCATGAAATCTCTACAAGCTTTGCGTAATTCTTCACGTTCATCTACGATATTATGCCTGAATTTTTTTCAAATTTAAAAAATTGATTATCAAAAATCTTCTCACTTCTTCTTCAAAGTTTTCGATAAAATGTACATTGCAGCAGCGCCGATGTAAACCGCCAAAATACGTTCCCAAGCTGGAAATGCGCGATGCCAATCTCCGACAATTTCAAACCATCGGAACGTCTCCAATGATTCATCCCAAGTTCGATAGACATTTGGTGAAATGAGATGGATAAACCAATTGTCGACCCATTCACGCCATTCTCGTTCTTCCCTGGCTGCTGCCATATCGCTTTCGGGTTCGATTTGTCCTTTCATGATGAAAAATCGGTTGGGATAGGAAATCATCTGAAATTTCGATTATCTTCCGGATTAGCGGCCACGCGGAAGGAACAGCAATCCTCCCCGCGTGGCCGCTAAAGCGGAAAGATAGTGCCGCTAGCGCGGAAGCTTGCGGTTTACACTCAGCCTCCGCGTGGCCGCTAAAGCGGAAGATAGTGCCGCTGCGCGGAAGCTTGCGGTTTACACTCAGCCTCCGCGTGGCCGCTAAAGCGGAAGATAGTGCCGCTGCGCGGAAGCTTGCGGTTTACACTCAGCCTCCGCGTGGCCGCTAAAGCGGAAGATAGTGCCGCTGCGCGGAAGCTTGCGGTTTACACTCGCTTCGCTCGAAGGAACAGCAAGCCTCCGCGAGGCCGCTAAAGCGGAAGATGGTGCCGCTGCGCGGAAGCTTGCGGTTTACACTCGCTTCGCTCGAACGAACAGCAAGCCTCCGCGTGGCCGCTAAAGCGGAAGCTAGTGCCGCTGCGCGGAAGCTTGCGGCTTACACTCGCTTCGCTCGAACGAACAGCAAGCCTCCGCGTGGCCGCTAAAGCGGAGGCTTGTTGTTCCTTCGAGCGAAGCGAGTGTAAACCGCAAGCTTCCGCGCAGCGGCCCGATCTTCCGCTTTAGCGACCACGCGGAATGCTATGACGTGGATATCCAAACACGGCCGCTAAAGCGGAAGACAGTGCAGGAGAAAAGCGAAGAAAACCTATTCAGGTCGGTTAAGCACACAAATCGCCACGAGAACCAACGAAAAACAACATGTTCCTTTAAGATATTATCGAAAATCTCCACGCGCTCCACCGAAATAAACACGCAACGCAGACCGCGCCGCGCCACAACACACAAATAGGGGAACGATTCAAATTCCCTCCCTTTTTGTGTGTGTTGTGGCGCGACGCGGTCTGCGTTGCGTGTTTATTTCGGTAGAGCGCGTGGAGATTTTCGATAATATCTTAAAGGAACATGTTGTTTTTCGTTGGGTCTCGTGGCGATTTGTGTGTTGAATAGGTTTTCTTCGCTTTTCTTCCGTTTTCTTAACAAAAAAATATCATGGTAACTTACAGGTTTACCCTTTTCATTTGTTGAATTCACTCCTGGATACATTTCAATAATATCATTTAATGATTTATCTGGTCGTTGAATATAAGTAGCCAATTGTGAAATAATCAAAGAAGATTCAGTGAGATTGGTTTCTCCACTTCTAACAATCGGAACTTTCTTGTAATCCGTACTAAATTTGATTTGAGATCTTGTCACCGGATTAACTTCCACAATTTCGTACGAAAAACCATAATAATCCAAAAATGCGCGAACTTTACAGCAAAACGGACATGTTTCGTATTGATATAGCCGAAGTTTGAGGTTTGAGCGATCCAAATGATTCACGATTGTTCTACTCAATAATACATCATTTTGCGCTTGTTCTGGTTGTTGAACTTGAATCGGGCAGGTTCGTAGTTTATTCGATGGTTCGTCTGTTTTTGTGGCGCTACCTCCCCATGAAAACCAAGCGACAGACCCAATTTGAACTGTTCTGGCACCCCAGAACCTCATTCCTAAAAAAATGTATTTCATATTAGACTCTCAAAAGCTTTAAAGTGCAAAAACAGCCCTTTTGAAAAACGTTCAGAAATAAAAGTACGAGTTAGCGCTGCGAGACCAAACACAATAAATCGATGTTCCTTTAATCCGAATTTTCATTATTTTTCCCATTTTCCCTGGAAAACTAGGCTAATTTTGAGTTTTCAAGGTTTTTAAGTGGTCTAGAAGTACTCAGCATGTTTATATTGGTTAAGAATTCAAGTTATCAATGTTTTACTCAGAGATAAGACAAAAAAACTGAATTTAACGTCATCCAATTTCAAAATCTTGTTTTTTTCCTATATTTCTCTGTCTATTGCTCTAGTTTTTACATACTCTTACTCATATTTGAAGTTTTTTTCGAAAATAATCTAAATTTCCGATTGCGAAATTCTTCGTAAGATGATTCTTTATTCCCACATAAAAATGTGTGTTTTTTGCGATAATTTCTACGGAAAAAATTTTCTGATAAACAAATACTTATTTTCCACGTAATTCTGGTCATTTCTAACTATTTCTCACCCCAAATTATTCAATTTTAGGGTAACAAAATGAGCGGGTTGAATACCGTTCCAGATAATATCAACTTCGCTAGCGAAGAGAAAAAAATTGCTCAAAAATGGAAAGATGAGGACACTTTCATGAAATCTGTGGAGTGAGTTTGAGTTTTCCTTGAAATTTCCTCCCAGAAATATAGTTGAACATCGACTAAATGATATTTTCATGTTTTTTGAGCAAATGATTTGAAATATTGTGTTCTAATGTTATTGATATGATAGAATGGTCTAAGACGAACAGAATGATATAAATTTTGATGACTTTACGTTATCCATAAGTGATTTAGCGAGGTTTAGTCGATAAGTCGCTGAATCACTTATGGATAACGTAAAGTCATCAAAATTTATATGATTCTGTTCGTCTTAGACCATTCTATCATATGAATAACATTAGAACCCAATATTCCAACTCATTTGCTTAAAAAACATGAAAATGTCATTTACAAGGAATAGTTCTAAAAATTACCCCTGAAAAAAGTTGTTTCTATGCGGAAGTAATACTATCTGGTGAGGTAAGAAAAACCCCAAGTGGATTTTGCATGCAAAAATTTCTTTCCCTAATTTCGGGGGTTGGTTTTCACAAAAAAAGAAGAAAAACCAAGCATCTTTGGGAGCCTGGATACCCGACAATTTTAACATGTTAATATACGTAACTTTTTGCGTAGAGTTCGAAAAAAACAAGCATTTTTTAAAAAATTTCAAAAAAAACTCAAAAAAAGTTTTTTTAAGTATTCTAGTGTCGATTTTCGAACTCAACGCAAAAAGTTACGTATCTTAACATGTTAAAATCGTCCGGTATCCATTCTCCCAAAGATGCTGGAAATCGGTTTTTTGTTCTTATTTTTGTGAAAATAAAACCCCCGAAACTAGTAAAAGAAATTTCTGCATGCAAAATCCACTTGGGCTTTTTCTTACCTCACCAGATAGTATAACTTCCGCAACTTTTTTCAAGGGGGAACATACATCAGTTTCTCCCGGTCAGGGCCTCAAAATTAGCCACCCCCGAAATGTGAAAATACAAAAATTAGCCAGACCCCCTCAAAAAATAGAGAAAAAAACTTGGTTTTTTCAAAAAGTTAGCCGGTCCCCACCCCTTTTTTCCAAAGTTAGCCAGGCCCCCTCCGGACGAAAATCCGGGGATACTGATGTATGAGGGGGAATTTTCGGGAACTATTCCTTGTAAATGATATTTTCATGTTTTTTAAGCAAGTGATTTGAAATATAGGGTTTTAATGTTATTCATATGATAGAATGGTCTAAGACGAACAGAATGATATAAATTTTGATGAATTTACGTTATCATAAGTGATTTAGCGACGTTTAGTCGATAAGGTCGCTAAATCACTTGAGGATAACGTAAAGTCATCAAAATTTATATCATTCTGTTCGTCTTAGACCATTCTATCATATGAATAACATTAGAACCCAATATTTCAACTCATTTTCCTAAAAAACCTAAAAATGTCATTCCAATTTCAGACTCTCCAAAGATCGTCCTCGATTCACATTTTACGATGGTCCACCATTTGCAACTGGTCTTCCACATTATGGCCATATGTTAACAAGCACAATCAAAGATGTTGTTGGTCGTTGGGCTCATCAAAATGGACATTATGTTGAAAGACGTTTCGGATGGGATACTCATGGTTTACCAGTTGAATTTGAGATCGACAAAATGCTTGGGATTACCGGACCAAGTGATGTTCATAAAATGGGAATCGCTAATTATAATGCGGAATGTCGAAAGATTGTGATGCGATATTCGCAAGAATGGGAAGTTACAATGGGAAGACTCGGAAGATGGGTTGATTTCAAAAATGATTATAAAACTCTTTATCCATGGTTTATGGAATCTGTCTGGTGGGCATTTAGTGAATTACACAAGAAAGGATTGGTCTATAGAGGTGTTAAGGTTATGCCTTATTCAACTGGTTGTTCGACACCTCTTTCGAACTTTGAAGCTGGTCAAAATTACAAGGATGTTGTAGATCCGGCGGTTTTTGTTGGATTCCGAACGGTTGAGAATCCCAATCGTCTTTTGGTTGCATGGACAACGACGCCTTGGACACTCCCATCGAATTTGGCGCTTGTAGTTCATCCAGAAATGCAATATGTTGTTGCGAGGATAAAACAACTGCCATTGAATATGTTGTGCTGGAAGAGCGACTTGGTGAACTGAAAAATGAGAATTTGGAAATCATCGAGAAATTGACTGGAAAACAATTAGAGGGCATTAAATATGAGCCACTTTTCCCATATTTCCGCGAGCAACCAAATGCTTTTCGAGTTTTGAATGACACTTTTGTCACATCGGATTCTGGTACTGGAATTGTTCATCAAGCTCCATATTTTGGAGAAATCGATTTTCAAGTTTGTGTGAACAATGGGGTTATTGCGAGAGATCAGAAGATGATTTGCCCGGTTGATGAGAAAGGAAAATATACAGCGGAAGTGAAGGAATTCGAAGGTGTTTATGTGAAAGATGCGGATAAATTGATTATGAAAAAATTGAAGGAAATGGGAAATCTTGTTAGACAGGCGGAATGTCGACATTCTTATCCATTCTGCTGGCGATCGGATACACCATTGCTTTATAAAGCGGTTCCATCTTGGTTTATTCGAGTGGAGACTTTGGTGCCGAAATTGTTGGCGAATAATGATGAAACTTATTGGTATGTTGATTATTTTTATAAATATCTTGAAAATTCTGATTTTCAGGGTTCCATCATTTGTGAAAGACAAGAGATTCGCAAATTGGTTGCGTGATGCAAGAGATTGGGCAGTTTCAAGAAATCGTTTCTGGGGAACACCAATCAATCTTTGGACAAGTGAAGATGGTGAAGAAGTTGTTGCGATTTCAAGCATTGCTGAACTTGAAGAACTTTCTGGTCAGAAAATCACGGATTTGCATAGAGAAAGGTATTTTTCTAGATTATTAATGGATCGTGAAAAGTGAAAAATGCGAAAAATCAAAGAAGATATTGTGCAAACGCGAATTTTCCGGTATTTTTCGAGCCAAAATGAAAAGAAATTTAAAAGTTTTCTTGAAATTGTGTTTTTAATGATAATGAAGGGAAAAGTAGTTTTAAAAAACTGAAATTCCAAGAATTCTTGTTTCACCATTGATTTTTCCTTCAATATCAATAAAAACTTCAAAATTTCAAGCAAAACCTTTCAATTTCTATTCATTTTGGCTCGAAAAACACCGGAAAATGCGATTTCTGCAACAAAAAAGTTTTTTGCACGATATTTTCTTTGATTTTTCGCATCACGAAATAAAAACAACGTTTTTTAACGTTAAAAAAACCAAAAAAATGATTCACGAACGGTATTTTTATTCATTTTTTCACCATTTTCTTAACACATTGAATAAAGTGAAGCTAAAACGCATTTTAGTCTTTAGAAATGCTATTTCAAGACCTTCTAATCAGCCTAAAAGACAAATCAAGCCTCACATATCCCAAAAAATCAACAATTTGATTTTGAAAGCTTGATTTGTCTTTTAAACTCATTAGAAGCTCTTGAAATAGCATTTCTGAACACTAAAATGCGTTTTAGCTTCACTTTATTCAATGTGTTGAGAAAATGGTGAAAAAAATGAATAAAAATACCGTTTGTGAATCACTTTTTCGTGTTTTTTAACGTTAAAAACGTTTAAACGTTTTTAAAAAAAAATTACTGCACAAAAGTTTTTTGCTTCAAATCTGATTTTTCAGCGTTGATAATATCACAATCCCTTCAAAATCTGGAAAAGGAGTTCTCCGCCGTGTTTCGGAAGTTTTCGATTGCTGGTTTGAATCCGGCTCAATGCCATACGCCCAGAACCATTATCCATTCGAGAATCGCAAAACATTCGAAGACAATTTCCCGGCCGATTTCATCGCCGAAGGCATCGATCAAACTCGCGGCTGGTTCTACACACTTCTCGTTCTCTCAACAGCGCTCTTCAATAAACCGCCATTCAAAAATCTGATTTGCAACGGTCTGGTTTTGGCGGCGGATGGACAGAAAATGTCGAAGAGTAAGAAGAATTATCCGGATCCGATTGGAATTATCGAGAAGTATGGAGCCGATGCGTTGAGATTGTATTTGATCAATTCGCCGGTTGTGAGAGGAGAGAATTTGAGATTCAGAGAAGAAGGAGTGAGGGATTTGTTGAAGGATGTTTTCTTGCCGTGGTTTAATGCCTATCGATTCTTTGTTCAAAATGTTCAATTATATGAACATGTAAGTTTTACAAGGGGAATTTGACAACTTGAAATCGAGAAATCCAAAATTTCTATAATTTATTGTCAAATATTTTTTTTTCCAATTAAATTTTTCGAAAATTTCAGTTTGAAATTGGAAAATGCTCAAAATTTGGTTGAAAATTCAGAAAAAATATCGATTGATCAGAAATCTGCATGAAAAACTTGAAAATCTACATTTCTAATGAACTTTGAGCTCAAAATTGCTCTTTTCGGTACAAAATTGAGAAATTAGATGTTCTTTGATCCAGAAACTTTTAAAAAATTCAATTTTCGTCCAGAAAATCTGAAATATTCAGTTTCAGACAAATCTAGACTGAAAATTCGATTTTTTCAAAAACCCAAAAATAATACGTTTCAAAATTTTGATATAATTGATTGTAAAATATTTTTTTCAATTAAATTTTTACTGATAAATTGAATAAATAAAGACCAAAATTTCAGTTTGAAATTGGAAAATTAATCAAATTTTGATTTTTCAGCCTCGAAATCCACAATTTTCCAGAAAATCTGAAATATTTAATTTTTCTGCTTAAATTCTTATTTTCAGACAAATTTAGACTGAAAATTCGAATTTTTCAAAAACCAAAAAATAATACGTTTCAAAATTTTGATATAATTTATTGTCAAATATTTTTTTCAATTAAATTCTTTTCCAATAAATGGAATAAAAAAACCAAAATTTCAGTTTGAGATTGGAAAATTAATTAAATTTTGATTTTCAAGCCTCGAAATCCACAATTTTCCAGAAAATCTGAAATATTCAGTTTTTCTGCTCAAATTCTTATTTTCAGACAAATTTAGACTAAAAATTCGAATTTTTTCAAAACCCAAAAATAATACGTTTCAAAATTTTGATTTGGTTTTTTGTCAAATATTTTTTACAATTAAATTTTTACTGATGAATTGAATAAATAAAAACCAAAATTTCAGTTTGAAATTGGAAAATTCATTAAATTTTGATTTTTCAGCCACAGTTTTCCAGAAAATCTGAAATATTCATTTTTTCTGGGCAAATTCTTATTTTCAGACAAATTTGGACTGAAAATTTGAATTTTTCAAAAACCAAAAAAATACGTTTCAAAATTTTGATATAATTTATTGTCAAATATTTTTTTCAATTTAATTTGTCCAAAATTTCAGTTTGAAATTGGAAAATGCTCAAAATTTAGTTAAAAATTCAGAAAAAATTAAGGATTAGTGAAATTTTGATTTTTCTGTATCGAAATCCACCATTTTCATGGTTTTTGGCTCAAAATGGATATTTGTATGGAAACTTTTTTGGGGCAGAAAATAATGTAGAGAAAAACTTCAGAATTTTGATTTTTGTCAGATTTTTTGAAAAAAAAAATTACCAAAACAGTGAATTTGAAGATTTACTAAATTATATTTCCCAGGAAAAATCCATAAATTTTGCAGGAAACCGGCAACACTTTCGAAATGAACAATTTCAAAACCAGCGATAATGTAATGGATAAATGGGTCGAATCATTCACAAATAGTTTGGTTTCATTTGTCCGCAAAGAAATGGACGCCTATCGTCTTTATGCTGTTGTTGGTCCTCTAACCAAATTCTTCGACACTCTTACCAATATCTATATTCGATTGAATCGTAAACGTATCAAAGGAGATCTTGGACTCGAAGATCAACAAAATGCATTAGGAGCACTTGGAAGAGTTATCACTTTAATTGTCCGATTAATGGCTCCATTCACACCATTCTTCTCTGAATATATGTATCAAAATTTGAAAAAAGTTATCGGAACAAAAGAGGAATCTGTTCACTTTTTGTTGCTACCAAAAGCTGATGAAAATGTGATTGATGAGACTGTGGAAAGAAGAGTTGAAGCGATGAGAAATGTTATTGATTTGGTTAGATTGGTGAGAGATCGTGAAGGAATTGCGGTGAAATATCCATTGAAAGAGATGATTGTTATTAACAGGGATTCGCAATATTTGGAGGATGTTAAGAGTTTGGAAGCTTATGTTCTTTTGGAGTTGAATGTTCGGAAATTGACTGTTTCGCAGGATAAGAATAAATATGGAATTTCGTTGAAGGTACGGTGTATTTTGATATAAAAATATGAATCGGGCTAATTTTATTAACCAAAAATGATAAATTTTTTGAGCTTTTTGGATGATTTCTGATGAAAATTGACCTTGGAATCCGTTTTTTTAAAAGAAGTTTTGCTAATTTTTTTCTGAAAAGTGAATTTTCATCAGAAATCACCCCAAAAGCTTAAAAATCCTCGATTTCTCATCATTTTTGGCTGAAATCTCGAAAAACTAAAGGGATCCCCAAAAAGTGGGAAAGTTCTGGATTTTTATGAAATCCGTGGAAAAAACTGATTCACGAACGAAAAAAATGTCGAAAAACAAAATTGTAGGTCAAAATTAGTTCTTCGAGTTTTTTTTCAGCTAAAAATGATGGAAAAGCGATAATTTTCAAGCTTCTGGGGTGATTTCTGATGAAAAATCAGCAAAAACTTCTGAAAAGTGGATTCCAAGGTCAATTTTCATCAGAAATCACCCAAAAAGCTTAAAAATCCTCGATTTCTTATCATTTTTGGCTGAAAATCTCGAAAAACTAAAGTAAATCAACCCTAATCAAAAATAATTAGGGTTGATTCACGAAAAGTCAAAATTAGTTCTTCGCGAAGTTTTTCAACCAAAAATGATGGAAAATCGAAAATTTTCAAGCTTCTGGGGGATTTCTGATGGAAAACTGCTGAAAATTGGATTCCAAGGTCAATTTTCAACAGAAATCACCTCAAAAGCTTAAAAATCCGCGATTTGTCATCATTTTTGGCTGAAAACCTCGAAAAACTATAGTTATCTCCAAAAAATGGGAAAGTTTTGGACTTTTTGATAAAACTCGGTGAAAAAAACTGATTCACAAGCGAAAAAAATGTCGAAAAAAAATTTTACGTCAAAGTTAGTTCTTCGAGGAGTTTTTCAACCAAAAATTATGGAAAATCGAAAATTTTTGAAGCTTCTGGGGTGATTTCTGATGAAAATTGACCTTGGAATCCACTTTTTTTAAGTTTTTGCTGATTTTTCGTGATGAACTTAGAAAAATCAGCGAAAACTTCTGAAAAGTTGATTCCAAGGTCAATTTTCATCAGAAATCACCCCAAAAGCTTAAAAATCTTTGATTTTCCATCATTTTCGGCTGAAAACCTCGAAAAACTAAAGTAAATCAACCCTAATCAATAATAAATAGAGCTTATTCACGAAAAGTCAAAATTAGTTCTTCGAGGATTTTTTCAACCAAAAATGATGGAAAAGCGAAAATTTTCAAGCTTCTGGGGTGATTTCTGATGAAAAATCAGCAAAAACTTCTGAAATTTGGATTCCAAAGTCAATTTTCATCAGAAATCACCCCAAAAGCTTAAAAATCCTCGATTTCTCATCATTTTCGGCTGAAAATCTCAGCCAAAAAAAATATGACTAAAAATCATGGAAAATCATAAATTTTTGAAGCTTCTGGGTTGATTTCTGATGAAAATTGACCTTGGAATCCGTTTTTAGAAGTTTTTGCTGATTTTTCATCAGAAATCACCCCAATAGCTTAAAAATCCTCGATTTGTCATCATTTTCAGCCTCGAAAAACCAAATTTAATAATTTTAGGCTGAACCAAACTTCAAATTGCTCGGTGCCCGGCTCAAAGGAGAGCAAAAGAAGGTGGCTGATTATTTGAAAAATAAAATAAGCGAAGCCGAACTCGAAAAATTCCTCGCCGATGGAAAATTGACTGTTCTCGGACACGAATTATCATCGGAAGAAGTTGCTGTAAGTTATGCGAGTGGAGGAGATTCGGCAACTCACGGATACAAAACACATTCGGATGCCAAAACTATTGTTATGGTTGACACAACAGAAGATGAATCATTGGTTGAAGAAGGATTGTGTAGAGAAGTGACGAATCGTATTCAAAGATTGAGAAAACAGGCGAAACTTGTGTCAACTGATGTTGCATTTGTGAATTTGTTGGTGACACCGGAGAATTCGCAATTGGCGCAAGTTGTTGCGGCGAATTTGGCGAATATTGAAGCGGCGACTGGAACACCGGTTAAAATTGGAAAACCCGCGGATGGAAAGCCACCGACTGCGACTAATAAGAGTGCTGTTAAAGATGCGGAAGTTGAGGTTGGTTTTTTGTTAGATTTTGGGGGAGATTTGTCGTCAACGCGGAGTCTCGTTGTTTTTTTCATTTTTTTTGGGGGGGGGGGGGGGGTGGTAATTTACATGGAAAAAAGAAAGAAAACAACGAGACTCCGCGTTGACGACAAAAATTTGCATTTTTAGTTAAAATTCGTCTCAAAATCGCTTTGAAAATTGAAATTTTCTGTGCTTTCCCAAAAAAAGATGACAAAAATATCAATTTTGTCAAAAAAAAACCTACAGTAATCCATTTGCATTTTGGATTACTGTAGGATTGCTCATTTTGATTTAAAAAATTGACCAAAATAAAAAATCGAGATTTCTGAAGCTTCTGGAGTGATTTCTAATGAAAATTGACCTTTTCAGAAGTTTTTGCTAATTTTTCGTAAAAAAAAATTCGAATTTCGAAAAAGTAATATTTTTCATTAGAAGCGTGCGTGGTTTGATTTTTTTTAATTTTTTCGCAAATTTTTTGATTTAGATCTTTTGCCTGAAAAATTGGGAACATTCCAATTTTTGAAAAAAAAAACCATTTTTTTTTTGGAGAAAATGTTTTGAAATGTTTTTTAAAACATTTTTGGAGTTTTTCCAGTCAAAAATGATACAAATCGAGATTTTTGAAGCTTCTGGAGTGATTTCTTATGAAAATATTAACTTTTTTCATCAAAATTTGAATTTTTTACGAAAAATTAGCAAAAACTTCTGAAAAGCTAAATTTTCATCAGAAATCTCGATTTTTTTATTTTGGCCATTTTTTTGAATCAAAATGAGCAATCCTAAAACTACAGTAATCCAAACTGCAAATGGATTACTGTAGGTTTTTTTTTTTCAGTTTTTCGACAAAAATTGATATTTTTGTCAGTTTTTTTTGGGAAAGCACAAAAATTTTAAAATTTTCAAAAATTTTTCGAAAACAAAAAAAAAATACGTTTCAAAATTTTTTGAAAAATTAAAAACTGAAATTATCATAAAATTCAAGAACTATTTTTCTGAAAAAAATTTTTCTGAAATTTTCAGCTCTGGCTGTTTGCCGAAGGAGATTCATTCGATGGAATCACTATTTTGGATGGCTCAAAAAAGGTTCGAGTTCAAATCGAAGCCGGAAACGAAAAATTGAACACTTTTGCTGATTTGTTGTATCATGTAAGAAATTTTTTAATTTTTTTTCAAGTTTCAAAAAGAAAAATGTGTGTTTCCAGATCCGATCATCTCTCGATTTGTGGAATGGTAAAATCAGCCTCAAAAATAGCGATGGTTCTGCAGTTGTCCCAACTTCTAATCTTTCTTCTTTCTCTGGCAAAACTCTTCAATTGGTTAAGTAGAATCTTGTTTTTTCTCTAAATTATTATATATCTGTTCTGTTTTACTAGCTTTATTTTCAGAAAGCACTGTGGTTTTTGTTATAATAATGAATGGTTTTTATTGGAATTTTTGCGAGAAAAAGGGGCGTGGCCTAAATTCATAACAGGTGCGCACACCTTGCAAAAACAACCTATGACGCTGTTTTTGTTGGTCCAAAATGCGCGTTTTTATTTTAAATTGTTTTTTTTCCTACTTATTTAAGTAAAATTTAGATCGCTTCAACAAAAATGCCATGCGAATGCAATTTTGAATCAGAGTTAGTTTAGTGATTTCTTAGAAATATCAATTTAAGATCTATTTTTAGCGAATTTATGGATCTGGAAAAAGCAGCGAAACTTTTGAATTTGGACGAAAGAACTATTGAATATTTGCACAATGGACAAATGAATGAAGATAATCCGTTGTTAATTTTGGACTTCAAACAAGCGACAAATTCGGAGCAAGACAGAAGAACTGTTTGCGATGCATTGGTAGGTTGTTTTTTACACCACGCGCTCCACCGAAATAAACACGCAACGCAGACCGCGTCGCGCCACAACACACACAAAAAGGGAGGGAATTTGAATCGTTCCCTTGTGTTGTGGCGCGACGCGGTCTGCGTTGCGTGTTTATTTCGGTGGAGCGCGTGGAGTACCGATGAGGTTTTCGATAATACTTGCCAAAAATTGAAAAACAGTCCAAAACCTGTACGTTTCGGACCGGTGTTACTTAAAAACTGCCAGTAACCACTCGAAAATCGGCCGTTTTCATTGAATTTGAGCAGAAACCGGCCGGTTTTCGAGTGGTTTCTGGCCGTTTTCAACACCGCTCCGAAGCGTACAAGTTTCGGACCGTTTTTCAATTTTTGGCAAGTATCCGGCCAGTTTACATTTTCCTGTGTCATGAAATATAAAAAAACGTTTTTTAACGTAAAAAACTAGAAAAAGTGATTCACGAACCGTATTTTTATTCATTTTTTCACCATTTTCTCAACACAGTGAATAAAGTGAAGCTAAAACGCATTTTAGTGTACAGAAATGCTATTTCAAGACTTTCTAATTCTAATGAGCTTAAAAGACAAATCAAGCCTTCAAAATCAAATTGTTGATTTTCGAAAGTTTTCGAAATCCACCAATTTCCATTTTTTTCAAATCTCACATCTCCCTTTCTGGACACTAAAATGCGTTTTAGCTTCACTTTATTCAATGTGTTGAGAAAATGGTGAAAAAATGAATAAAAATACCGTTCGTGAATCACTTTTTTGGTTTTTTAACGTTAAAAAACGTTTTTCATTTTGATTCTATACAGATTACTCGCGGAGCGGTGCAAATTAGCAATTCAACTGTCTCATTTCCTAGTTGGCGTTCATTGAATGACGCCAAAACCGATATGCTAGAGAAAAAGTCATGGTTATTTTATTCGAATAGTGTTCGGCTTATAAATAGGCTGAACTTATCCCAACAAACGACAATCGACACTACAATAATCGCAGAGTATGACAAAATCACAAATAAGGTTTGGCTCCAAGATTTGGATTTTTTCAAAATTTGAAGTATTCTAGAATGTTTTATGGTTGTTATAATGAAATTTTTTTCAAAGTTCGAAATTGTTAGTTTTTTCTCCTCTTAAAATGAAACTAATTAGAACTCTCGGTTCATTAAAAAACGTCATACTTATTTCATTTTTTAATTATCCTTATCCTGTAATTATTTATCATCTATCTATTTTCAGCTCTGATGGCACAGGAAACGAAAAATTGAAATCTCAAAAATTACGCGAGAAACCATGATCGCTTCGAGACCTAACAATTGGAAAAATAAATGTGCCTTTGAAAAATGAAAAAAAAACGTGTTTTTTCACGCGTAGCCTTTTTCAAAATGGGTATTTTCAGAAAATTGAACATCATTTCTACTAATCTTGACGAGAGGAATCTGATGGTCTATTCAGAAATTGCTGAAAATGCTTGCGAAATGCTGAAAACCGCTTGCGCGTGCTGAAAACGTTTTGCAGTGTGCAAACACCGTGACGCACAAATGCACACTTGGTGTACCGTATAGCATGCTAGCAAACAAAAAAAAATGTTTTTTTTGCATTTCGAAATTTTCAGAGTTTTCCAGCGCAGAATTCAGGTAAACATCTCGTTTCGAAGTATTTTTTGATGAATGAGGAGCTCTTTTGGGCTCTTCAGAATTTGCTATTCACGGAGTTGCAATTCGCTGTTTAGTTGATAATCTTCTGAATGATCATGATGCAATTCAAGATTTTCGATAAAATATAGGTTTTCTGGTAGTTTTCGACACGGCCCCGGCGTCAAAAATTGGAGAAAATTGCTCCTAATATGAGTTATGACGTGGCAAAGTATACAAATTTCGTAAAAAATGTGACTTTGGCTACTCGAAAACCTTTATTTTGTCAAAAATCTCCCCCTTGTTCGTTTTTTTCTTTCAAAATTTCATAAAATTACCTAGGTTACTATTACAATGCTCTAAATAACCTCTTTCTCCTCATTTGCCCACCACAAACACGCCAGTGACGTATAGCATTGACACACATTATGTCACTTGACGCACAATTTTCTCCATCTTTTTCTCTCGTCCCTCCCGCCAACCTCCCTCATTCCTCTTTCTATTTCGCGCCCCCGTTCGTGTTCGCCCTAAAAAAATTTCGCGGTTTTTTTGCAGATTTTTCAGCTACCGAAAAATCATCAGGCGATAATGATGACCGATGAGAAGGCAACCCCCGTCGATGTGATGTCGCTCGACAAAAATAGCGAGGTTTGTTTGATTTTTTGTCACCATTTTTGGTTTGGGGGATTGCGCAGGTGTCGAATTTTTTTTGGGATGATAAAAAAAATTCGAATATAGCCAGCTGCGAAAGTACAGCGGCTGGGTAGGAAACAAAATTTGTACTCACTCGCGCTACATTTTTTTCCTCTTCTTTTCATTATTTTTCTCAAGTTAGAGAGCTAGAGGCGTGTTATTAGTATACTAATACTAATAATTATTTTATTCTACTAACTAACTAACAAATGTTGAGACGGGTGAGTTATAGAAATTTGGAAATTCAAGGATTTCTTCCTTGGTATTGACGATGCTCCTTGAAGGTTCCAATAAATTCTAGTATCAACTTACATAGCCATGTTTTATGTTTTAACTCAAAAACATGGGGGCACACAAAATAAAACAGGAAAATCGTGCATTAAAGCGTATTTTCTGCATTTATGCAGTAATTCACGAAATAAAAAAACGTTTCTTACAAGGGAACTGTTTCAACTTTCACTCTAGATTTTCAATAAAATATATGTTTTCTAGTAGTTTTTGACACGCTGAACAAGATCCCCGAAATTGCAGAACTCAAAATGAGTTATGACGTGTCAAAGTTCAAAAATTTCGAAAAATTGTGACTTTAGGAGGTCAAAACTCGCTATAAAAAATCTAATAGCATATGGTTGTTCAGGAAGGTTGATTACATAAGTTTAGAAGGTTCTTTTTTTCTCAAACTTGATCACAAATTGAAAAAATGAAGTTTATGTAATCGAATTTCCTGAACAACCCTATGCCATCAGATTTTTATGAAAACCCGCGAGTTTTGACCTCCTAAAGTAGCAATTTTTTGAAATTTTTGAACTTTGACACGTCATAACTCATTTTGAGTTCTGCAATTTCGGGGATCTTGTTCAGCGTGTCAAAAACTACTAGAAAACATATATTTTATTGAAAATCCAGAGTGAAAGTTGAAACAGTTCCCTTGTAAGAAACGTTTTTTTATTTCGTGAGTTACTGCATAAAACAAGAAAATACGCTCTAATGCACAATTTTCTTGTTTTATTTCGGGCGACCCCATGTTTTTGAGTTAAAACATAAAACATGGCTATGTAAGTTGATACTAGAGTTTATTGGATTCTCCAAGGAGCATCGTAATCCTATAGATTTCTTGAAGGAACAAGAAGACCAAAAAAAATCAAAAATTTTTGCAGCTCGCTGCTCGACTTCATGGCGATTCGTCGAAAGACTCGAAGGCGAAACCCGGTTTCCGCCAAAAATCCCTTTCCCCCCGTCGTCGTTTGAAAAAAGCGCAACTTCTCGCCAATCCCATCCTCTACTTTGAACAAGTCGTGCCAATTGAGTTCCAAGTGTCGCGCTTGTCCAAAAAAGAGAGCGAACGCTATTTTGATGTTCTTTATGACATTGGTTGCAAGATCTATGTGATGGTTCAACGATACGGTCAAGGCGAGTCGAGTTTGTCGAATCGGACTAGTGAGACGACAACCGCCAAGTCGACGATTGCTATGATTGCTAAGACATTTGGTTTTGCCTCCGCTGATCAACCTCCTGCTCCTGTTGAGTTTCCGACTGTTGAAGATCTCCTCCTAACCATCGATGTGAGATTTTTCTCTTAAAAATTGTACCTAACTTATGACGTCATCAAGTTCTGGCTTCTAGAACTCACCGCGCTGATGACGTAGCTCCAGGCGGAGCTGAAGAAACTGAGCTCTGAAATTTGGGCTCATTTTTTCCAGCTCCACCTGACGCTACGTCATCAGCGCAGTGAGTTCTAGAGGCCGGTGAAGCAAAAACTTGATGACGTCATACTTTGGGTACAATTTTTGATAGACTTTTGGTCGCTGCGAATTGCAAAGCCTGCAATTAATTTTTTTCATCGAAAAAAAATTAATGGGGTGATTCAAGTCGAAAAAAATGATAAAAAATGGTTTTTTTGACCAAAAACTATTTTTTTCCCTATTTTTTGACATTTTTTCACACAAAAGTGAAAAAAATGTAACAAAAATAGGGGGAAAAAATAGTTTTTTGTCAAAAAAAAGTTTTTTAAAATTATATTTCTCGCGTTGAATCACCGCAATATCAAAATCTACCTGCTAGATTCAAAAAAATCTTCAAAATCGCGTTCTTCTTTCTGAAGATGAGCAAAATAGTTTCAAAATTTCAAAATCTTCAGGCAAACTTTGCCACGTCATAATTGATTTTTAGAGTTCTGAAGCTGAAACAGCTGAATCTTGCGTCGTAAAATCCAAAATTTTCGATTTCAGGCAAATTTTGCCACGTCATAGTTTATATTCTGAAGAATTTCGCAGAGGTCATTGATCTGAAAATTTAAGATTTTCTGAATATAAATTATGACGTGGCAAAGTTTGCCTGAAATTGAAGTTTAAGCTCATGGAAAACTGGGTTGGACGCAAGATTCAGATGTTTCAGCTTCAGAAGTCTGAAAATCATTAATTTCAGCTTCAGAACTCTGAAAATCATTAATTTCAACTTCAGAACTCTGAAAATCATTAATTTCAGCTTCAGAACTCTGAAAATCATTAATTTCAGCTTCAGAACTCTGAAAATCATTAATTTCAGCTTCAGAACTCTGAAAATCAATAATTTCAGCTTCAGAACTCTGAAAATCTCTTGTTTTCCAGAAAAAAGGAATCCACGACGTCCAACTCCTCGCCGGAATCAAGGCAGCCATCGCCACGGGCATCTCCAACGCCCGTTTCACCATCGACATCTCCTCCCCCACCGCCACCCAAGATCCATCTCGATTGTCACCCGAAAATGCGGCCCAGGCCATATTCTTGATGGCGAAAATGGCGTTGAGATGTCGAGCGACACGATTTGTTGAAACTATTATGGCGACTGCGCAAGAAGTTGGTGTTGGAATGGAAGATGAGGAAGAAGAAGAGGAGGAAGAGGATGAAGAAGATGTTGATGAGGAAAACAAAGATCAACAAAGATTTGATTTTACTGGAGTTAAGATCGGAGATGAACTCCTTGAAGCGACGCAAATCCAACAAAATGGTCTTCTTGAACTCGCCTGTCGCCTCGGATTCACTGAACTTTTCGATATACTCGCTGAAGTTAAAAGATTCGAGTTCGATTCGTTGCTCTCGTATGAAACGATGCCTTTGTTGGAATCGGCGGCCGCTGGAACAACGACGATTTTCAGGAAAATTGTTGAGGCTGGTGCGGATGTCAATTTCAAGTCGAAACATTCGAGCAATACTGCGTTGTTGTATGCGGCGGTGGCGGGGAATATTGAGGTGAGTTGGGCGAACTCGCGAAATTTTCCGTGAAAAAATGTATAGATTTTTGATAAATCGGGATTTTTGAAGCTGAAAAATAGCTTCGAAAAGGATTTTGAAGCGATTTTTTAGCTCCTGAAATCCCGGATTTTCATTTGAAATTCTTGAAAAACTTGTGCAGAAATTTAATTTTTTCAAATTTCTCATCGAAATCTGAGTTATAACGTGGCAAAGTTCAAAAATCCGGGACCTCGGGAGCTGAAAAATCGCTTCAAAAACATTTTCGTAGTGGTTTTTCAACTCCTGAATTACCGGATTTTTATTTTTTTAGTTCTTGAAAAACTTGTGCAGAAATTTACATTTTTTAAAATTTCTCATCGAAATCTGCTGAAAATCACTGAAAATTCCAGATTTTTCGTGAAAAAAATCTACAGATTTTTGATAAAATACAGTTTTTGACCCGCTGAACTCAAAATGAGTTATGACGTGGCAAAGTTCAAAAATCCGGGATTTTTGAAGCTGAAAAATAGCTCCAAAAACATTTTCGAAGTGGTTTTTCAGCTCCTGAAATCCCGGTTTTTCAAAATTTGCCACGTCATAACTCAGATTTCGATGAGAAATTTGAAAAAATTGAATTTCTGCACTAGTTTTTCAAGAATTTTAAATGAAAATCCGGGATTTCGGAGCTGAAAATAGCTTTAAAATAATTTTCGAAGCTATTTTTCAGCTCCAAAAATCTATACAAAATGGAATTTTCAGCAGATTTCGATGAGAAATTTGGAAAAAAAAACAAAAAATTTATTTTTTTTTGTTGCAGATCGTGAAGTATTTGCTGGAAACTGGTCGATGTTCATTATCAGCAAATAATTCAAGTGGACACGATGCTTTGATGGAAGCATCGAATGCCGGAAAACTTGATGTTGTCAAGCTTTTATTGAGCCATGGAGCTGTCTCGAAATTCTTGAACCTCAACGCCGATTTCAAAGAATCCGCGCTAACTCTTGCCGCGTATAAAGGACATTTTGATATTGTTGAGATTCTTTTGGAAAATCACGCAAAACATCCGATTAAGAACATCGAAGAGGGTCTGGAAAGAGAGGAAGAATTGTATACGGCGCTGATGGAGGCGAGTATGGACGGGCATTTCGAGGTGGCGAAATTGTTGATGGCTCGCGGTGCACCGGTGAATCTCAACACTGAATCCTTCGAAAGCCCGTTGACCCTTGCGTGTTGTGGTGGACACGCTGAATTGGCGGATTTGTATTTGACGGCGGGCGCCAATGTTGAAGAGCGGAATGATGAGAATTACACGCCGTTGATTGAAGCGTCAAGGGAAGGACATTTGGAGGTGGTGAAGGTTTTGTTGAAGCATGGTGCGAAGGTGAACACGCAGGCGGAGGATAATGGAGATACGGCGCTGTCTGTAGCGGCTTGTGGGGGTTTCATTGAGATTATGGAATTGTTGATGGAACATGGCGGAGATGTCACGGCTGGATTAACACCTCCGATTGTGGAAGCGGCGCAGGAAGGATCTTTTGAAACTGTGGAATTCATTTTATCAAAATGCAAAACAATTCCGAAGAATCAATTGACTAGCGCGCTGGTTTTTGCAGCAGATTGTGGGCAAAAGAATGTTGTTGAACTGTTGATTAAAAATGGGGTGGATGTGAATGCGTATTACGAAGGGACCACGGGATTAATGAGAGCCGCTAGAAATGATTATCTGGAGATTGCGCAGGTTTTGATTGCAGCTGGCGCGGATGTGAATAAAAGAACGGAGGATAATGATGCGACGGCGGTTTCAAGTGCTTGTGCTGAGGGGAATATTGAGATGGTTCAGTTGCTTTTGAAGAATGGGGCGGATCCGTATATTGAGCTGAAGGATGGGAATTCTTGTTTGTTTGAAGCGTCGAGAAATGGGAATTCGGAATTGGTTTCGTTACTCATACATTTTTCGAAGACGGGGAATCTCTCGGCGGATTCAATTCGCACTTCTACAAATATTCCGAAAACCAAGCAGAAGGGATTCTTCAAGAAAACGCAGCGGAAAACATCGTGTGATATGATGACGATGATTCAATCGACGACGACGAGTCTGAAGAAGAAGAGTCAATTGGGAAAGTGTAAATCGGATCATCAGATTACGTTGCAGGAAGTGGAGATGTTGCAGCATTTGTTGAGAATTCAACAGTGGGTTTTTTGGGGGGGGGGCGGGATTTAGTGATTTTGAGGGGAACCTGGGGATTTTTAATCAAAAAATCTTGATTTTCCAAAAAAAAAATGGTTCAAATTCAGTTCAGAACCTCAAAATTCCTTCAAATTCAGTTCAGAACTTCAAAAATCGTCCAAATTCAGTTCAGAACCTCAAAAATCGTCCAAATTTAGTTCAGGACTTCAAAAATAGTCCAAATTCAGTTCAGAACCCAGAAAAACCCCAAATTTTCGCTCCAGGACCTCAAAAATCTCAAATTTTCGCTCCAGGACCTAGAAAATTCCAAATGTTCGCCCTAGGACTCAGAAAATTGTCCAAATGTTTGCTCCAGGACTTCAAAAATCGTCCAAAATTACTTCAGGACTTCAAAAATCGTCCAAATTCAGTTCAGAACCCAAAAAACCCTAAATTTTCGCTCCAGGGCCCAGAAAATTCCAAATGTTGGCCCCAGGATCTTTAAAAACCCGAATTTTCGCTCCAGGACTCAGAAAATCTCAAATTTTCGCTCTAGGACCTAAAAAAACCCAAATTTTCGCTCCAGGACCCAGAAAATTCCAATTTTTCGCTCCTGGACTTAGAAAACCCGAATTTTTGCCCCAGGATCTTAAAAAACCCGAATTTTCGCTCCAGGACCAATTTTTCACGTCATTTTAAACGTTGAAAATTAGTTTTTCAAAAATCTTTCTGGCAAAAATATTTATTTTTCGAATAATAAAAATTTTACTAATTTTTCCTGAAAATGTTTGAATTCAAAACTTTTTTAAAATATTAAATTCAATATTCTCAAAAAATCTAATTTCTTGTAAAATATTGAAATATTGGGATTCAAAATTTAAAAAAAACAAAAATTAAAATAACCATATTTTTTAACCGTAAACACAAAAATTCGTCCTAAGGTCACAAATTTCTTCTATTTAATAAATCATCATTATCATAATAATCATTCCCTATTTCTTTAATATATTTCCAGACAAATGATGTCAATCGATTTGACGAATGTTCCAAAAGAAAAGATGAAAGAACACAATCAAATCACCAAAGGCTTTGGCAAGTGTTTATGGAACGAATTCGGACGGAAGAATTCGATTTCCGAAAGCACCACAAAGATCGGATATTGATCGATTGAAAGAGGGAGATTTGGTATGTATTTTATTTTAGGGCTGATTCACGAACGAAAAAAATGTTTTAAAATGTTTTTTAACATTGAAAGAAAGTCAAAAAATGTCGAAAAAACATTAGTTTTTCAAGGTTTTTCAGCCAAAAATGATGAAAAATCGATATTTTTCAAGATTCTGGAGTAATTTCTGATTAAAATTGACCTTGGAATTCACTTTCCAGAAGGTTTTGCTGATTTTTCGGAAAATAAAAAATTTTTAAATTTTGATGAATTTCGAAAAAAATCATAAAATAATGCAAAATAGGGTTCTCGAAGCTTATTTTCATCAGAAATTACTCCAAAAGCTTGAAAAATATCGATTTGTCATCATTTTTAGCTGAAAAACTCGAAAAACTAATTTTGACCTTGTCGAAAATCAATGAATATCTTTGTGCGCGCGCGCGGTCGCGTTGCGGTCGAACAAAAATCAATTTTTGCTCATTTTTTCACTGGAAAATGATGTTTTTCACAAAAAACGGTCATTTTTTGCCTTTTTTCAGTCTGATTAAAAATGATAATGGAATTCAATTTCGTCGGAAAATGTGAATTTTATAGGTTTTTCAGTCTGAAAAAGGCAAAAATTGACCGTTTTTTGATGAAAAACAATATTTTCCAGAGAAAAATGAGCAAAAATTGATTTTTGTTCGACCGCAACGCGACCGCACGCGCGCACAAGGACGTTTAATAATTTTCGAAGTATTTATGAGGGATTGTCGCTGTTTTCCTCTGAAAATTGATGAATGTCTTTGTGCGCGCGCGGTCGCGTTGCGGTCCAAATATCACCGATTTTTGGTCATTTTTTCACTGGAAAATTTTGTTTTTCACAAAAAAACGGTCAATTTTTGCCTTTTTCAGTCTGAAAAACCTATAAAATTCAAATTTTTCAATAAAATGGAATATTATCAGTTTTTTAATGAAAAACAACATTTTCCAGTGAAAAATGAGCAAAAATTGATTTTTGTTCGACCGCAACGCGACCGCACGACGCGCACAAAGACATTCATTAATTTTCGAATAATAAAAATTCCATTTTCACAGCTTCCCGGAGTGAAATCATTTGCTGAAATAGTTGCGTATGGTTGGCTGGAAATGGAAAGATATTGTGGACATCCGATTGAACTTGGTGGATTAGAACAGCGATGCAACGAGGGTCATACGACGAATGCGGCTGCCGCAGTTTCAGCCGCAGCCGCAGCTGTCAGTGGAATTGATACGCAAGCATATTTTGCGACGGTTTTGGCGAAAATGAACAATGGCGAGAGTATGCGAGTTCCGGCAACAATTGGTGCGATAAATGCGGCAAGCGCTGCGATTGGTGGAGTGTTTTTTGATAAAGGAGAAGATGGGGCGAATCTGAATAATCCAGATGACAAACATTTGTATCTATCGAAACAGCTTCAAATGTTGACGGCGAAGAATTGTTGTGAATCGGGACTTCGTGGTGTTTTGAATCGAATGGGTGTGAATTTCAAAAAAAGGAATAATACAAGTGGATCGGAAAGTGGTGGATCGATAACGGAAAAGAAGGCGAGTCGATTGGGAAATAAATCGTATACTGGAGTGTCGACTTTGGCGATTGAAATGGAACGACAATATCAGAATAGTCGGACGGAGGATAATCGAGATATGGCGATTTTGACGGCTTATGTTGCGAGTACCCTTCCCGAATACGGATAATAATCGGAGTGATATTATTAGTGAGTTTTGGGGGATTTTTTGCACAGAAAATTTTGTTATTATTGGAAAAATTGGAATTTTACGCTTTGAAAATTGAAAATTTTGAAAAAAAAAGTCTTATTATTGGAAAAAATGGAATTTTTCACCTTGAAACTGGAAAATTTTCGTTTTAAAATTGGAAATTTTTGAAAAAAAAATGTCTTATTATTGGAAAAAATTGGAAATTTTTCACCTTTGAAAATGGAAAATTTTCGTCCTTTCAGGCAAAATGTTGAAATTCAGCATTTTTGTGTTTTTTAGATGATGAAAATTGTTTTTTTTTTCAAAATTTCGAAATAAAATTGTTTAAAAACCAAAAAACAGCACAAAATTGAGCCAAAAATCGAGAATTTTTGCGAAATTTGTGGTTTTGAGAACCCATTACTCATGTTAGAGATGATACTTTCTCAGAAATTTTGTATTCGGTCAGAAAATCTTCTCTAACATGAGTAATAGCCGCGATTTTCAGAAAATTCCCAATTTTTGGCTCATTTTTGGGCTCTTCGGAGAGTCGCGCAACAAAAAACTGAAAACTTGTCTGAAAAATTGATTTTTTCAGTTCTGAAATTATTTCGAGACTTTAGAATTATCAAAATTGTTCAAAAAGGTTTGATTAGATTCGAATTGATTTATTTTTAGTTTGAAAATTTAGAATTTGATCTTCAGACTTCTGAAAAATGTAACAAGTCCAATTATTTTTGAAAATTTCCTTAAAAATCAACGTTTTTGATGAAATTTAAGCTCGAAATTCTTCTTTTCGGGAAAAATTTCGATTTTTGCCCAGAGAATTTGAAAATTTAGCGAATTTTGAATTTTTATTTGATGAATATCGGAAAAAATATTTGATAATAAATTATATCAACATTTTTTGAAACGTATTATTTTTTTAGGATTTTTGAAAAATTCGAATTCTTGAGTTTTAGCTGAAAAAAGCTATATTTTCAAATTTTCTGGGCAAATATCGAAATTTTTCGAATTTTCCCGAAAGAAAGCATTTTGAGCTTAAATTTCATCAAAAATTTGGATTTTCAAGGAAATGTTCAAAAATAATTGGACTTTTCATAATTGGATGCATTTTTCAGAAGTCTGAAAATCAAATTCTAAATTTTCAAACTAAAAATAAATTAATTCGAATCGAATCAAACCTTTTTGAACAATTTTGATAATTCTGAAGTCTCGAAAAAATTTCAGAACCTAAAAAATTCAATTTTTTCAGACAAATTTTCAGTTTTTCGCTTCGCGACTCTCTAAAGAGCCCAAAAATGAGCCAAAAGTTGAGAATTTTCTGAAAATCGCGGCTATTACTCATGTTAGAGAAGATTTTTATCAAAAATTGAAAAGTTTGATCTCTAACATGAGTAATGGTCTCTGAATTTCGAAAATTCTCGATTTTTGACTCATTATTGTGCAAAATTTCCGAATTTTGTTCAAAAATCGCCAATTTTCCAGCCGGTGATCGACTTCTCAAGAAAATCTTCTCAACAATGAAACAGGCTGAAGTCAATGAAGCTGTCAAAAAAGCCAAAGCCACGTTGACAAGCAATGAAAATGGAAGTGAGTTATTTTGCATGAAATCTTTTTTTTTCTTGTTTTTCTATTTAATTACCCTGCACGTTTGAGAATTAAAATTATTTTTTTGACGAAAAATTTGTCAAAAAACTATATTTTTTCCTATTTTTTGACATTTTTTTCATTTTTTTGTAAAAAAAAATGTCGAAAAATAGGAAAAAAGTGAAATTTTTGGTCAAAAAATGGTTTTTAATTATTTTTTAATAAAATCCCCCGCTTCTTCTTTCGTTTTCTTCGTTCTGTCCTCGCATGCATTGTCGTTTTTGTAGACAAAACCGAATGCGAACTCTACACAAAATATTTTGAAGCACAAAATCGCAAGGAGCCATTCTTTGCCAAATGTTTGGCCGAACGAGCCAGTGTCACGCAATTTGATTCGACATTTGAGTGTGATCATCATGATGAGGTGGGTAAAATGCTCGTTTTCTGGCTCCAAATGAATTTTGCTCACAAAGATAGGTGGCCGAACATATTTGCGGTGGCCGAGGAATGTTGGGAACTCGGCCACGAATGATTTTCATGACATTAGAGTGATTTTGTTGCTGTGGCCGAATTCCTGACATTTCTGAAAAGGCCACCGCAAATTGTTCGGCCACAAAAAATGAATTAAATATGTGGCCGATTTTATTTGCGGTGGCCGAGAAATGTCGGGAACTCGGCCACCAATGATTTTCATGACATTAGAGCGATTTTGTTGAGTTGGCCGAGTTCCCGACATTTCTCGGCCACCGCAAATTGTTAGGCCACATTTTTAATGCATTTTTTTCGAAAATATTGAAAATCAGAATTTTTGTGCTTTTAAAATTATAAAAATTGTTCTCAATGGAGCGCGTTTGCAAATTTTCGAGCTAAAATTTGAATTTTTATAGTTTCCGGTTCAATTTTGAGCATTTAGAGGTTCATATTTTGCTCATCTAAAAATTTAAAATCAGAAAAATGTGAACAATTCAAATATTAGCTCGAAAATTTGCAAATGCGCTCCATTGAGAATTTGGCGGGTTTTTTGAAAAAAACTACAATTTTTATCATTTTAAAAGCACAAAAATGCTAAATTTCAATTTATTTTCGAAAAAAACGTGGCCTAACTATTTTTGGTGGCCGAGAAATGTCGGGAATTCGGCCACCGCAACAAATTCGCTCTAATGCTCCAAAAATCATTAGTGGCCGAATTCCCACATTCTGAAGTCATCAAAATGCTCCTTGAGCCAAAAAACTCCAGGGGGACTAGGTTTTCCTATTCCCCCTGGAGTAAAAAAAATATAGAATTTCTAGTAGTTTTCGAAGCGCTGAACACGTCTAAAATGACGTGGCAAACTTCGGGAAGCTTGAAAAATGAGCAAATGCCACGTCATAACTCATGTTAGAATGGAAAAAAATCTGGAATTCCCATTTTTCCAGGCCATTTTTGAATCAATGACGTGGCAAACTTCGGGAGCTCGAAAAATGAGCAATCCCGAAATTTGCCACGTCATAACTCATGTTAGAACGGAAAAAAATCTGAAATTCCCATTTTCCAGGCCATTTTTGAATCAAAAGTGATTATTTTCAGAAATGCAACACAAAATCGCCAGCGAAAAATAACGAAAATGGAACAAATGGTCGAAGTGCAGTTCGATCGCTGACTGAAAGAGTCATGAAACAAGTGAAACCGGTAGATAAAGCGACTGATAGTTCGCTGGAAACACCGCTCTCAATTGCTTGCGCGAATGGACATCGAGATGTTGTTGAATTGTTAGTCAGCGAAGGATCCAACATTGAACATCGCGATAAGAAGGGCTTCACTCCGCTGATCTTTGCCGCTTCTGCTGGACACGCTGATGTTGTTGAGATCCTATTGAAGAATGGCGCGTCGACTGAAGCGCAGACTGAAAGAACTAAAGATACGCCATTGTCTTTGGCTTGTTCGGGTGGGCGGAAAGAAGTTGTTGAACTACTTCTTGCTCACAACGCGAATAAGGAGCATCGAAATGTCAGCGATTACACGCCGCTGTCTTTAGCAGCTTCTGGCGGTTATATCGATATTGTGACGATGCTTTTGAATGCGGGAGCGGAGATTAATTCAAGAACTGGAAGTCGATTGGGAATCTCGCCGTTGATGTTGGCGGCGATGAATGGACATCGTGAGGCGACGAAATTGATGTTGGAGAGGGGCAGTGATATTAATGCGCAGATTGAGACGAATCGGTGAGGGTTTTTGGGGCCTACAGTAACCTAGTAGATTTTGAGCGGCAAAATTTGGCTCATTTTGAGACCAAATAAGCCTAGGCTAAAAATTTTTTGGAACCTACAGTAACCTGGTAGATTTTGGCGCCAAAAATTTGATACTCAACAAGCTTATGCTGAAAATTGTTGTGCCTACAGTAACCTGGTAGATTTTGCTCTCGAAATTCGGCTCATTTTGAGACCAAATAAGCCTATGCTAAATTTTCTGGTGTCCTACAGTAACCCAGTATATTTTGATGCCTACAGTAACCCATTGGTTTTTGATGCCTACAGTAACCCAGCCTACAGTAACCCTAGTAGATTTTGAGCGCGAAAAATCGGCTCATTTTGATACCAAATAAGCCTATGCTAAATTTTTTGGGGCCTACAGTAACCCAATGGTTTTTGACGCCTACAGTACCCTAGTAGATTTTGAGCGCGAAAAATCGGCTCATTTTGATACCAAATAAGCCTATGCTAAATTTTTTGGTGGCTACAGTAACCTGGTAGATTTGGACGCCTACAGTTACCCATTGGTTTTGATGCCTACAGTAACCTGGTAGATTTTGAGCGCGAAAAATCGGCGCATTTTGAGATTAAATAAGTCTGAGATTTAATATTTAAGCTAAATTTTTGGGGCCAACAGTAACCCGGTAGAGTTTGAGTGCTAAAAAATTTAATTCAAATTTTTTTTACTCCTTTATTTAAAATCATTTTTCGCGCCAAAATGTACAGTAACCTGGAATATTTTTAGCACAAAATATGAACTGAGCCAGCTCTCATTTTGAGTTTTCAAAAAAAAATTTTTCCAGAAACACGGCTCTAACTTTGGCATGTTTCCAAGGCCGAACAGAAGTCGTGGCACTTCTCGCCAAATTCAACGCCAACGTCGAACATCGTGCAAAAACCGGCCTGACTCCTCTAATGGAAGCCGCAAATGGTGGATATTACGATGTTGGTGAGATCTTGCTGGATTTCCTTGCCGATCCCAATGCCGCTCCAGTTCCATCTTCAAAAGATACAGCTCTAACAATTGCTGCTGATAAAGGACACAATCAATTTGTTGATTTGTTGTTATCGCATGGTGCACAAATTGAGGCGAAAAATAAGAAGGGATGTACGGCTTTGTGGTTGGCGTGTAATGGTGGACATTTGTCGACTGTCGAAGTTTTGTTGAAGTTTAATGCGGATGCTGATGCTTTCGATAATCGAAGAATGTCACCGTTGATGACCGCTTTTCGCAAAGGACATGTTGATGTGAGTGATTTTTTTGAAAATAGAAAAAAAATTGAAATTTGAATTTTTCAAGGATTTTTATGGTTTCAAAAAAGATGAAAATTGTTCAAAAAGCTTTTTTTTCATGCAAATTGCAATAGGAAAAATTTGAAAATGAAAAAAAATTGAAAAATTTTTAAGGTTTCAAAAACTATGAAAATTGTTATTTTTCAAAAAAAAACCCGCCAAATTCTCAATGGAGCGCATTTGCAAATTTTCGAGCGAAAATTTGAATTTTTATAGTTTTCGGCTCAATTTTGCTCATCTAAAAATTTAAAATCAGAAAAAAACTGAAAAAAGGATCTGAAAATTCTGTTTTTCGCACTTTTTTGGTTTTTGGACAATTTTATTTTGAAATTTTGAAAAAATTTTCATTTTAATGATTTCAAAAGCTAAAAATTGATTTTATAAAATTAAATTTTAATGAAAAAAGTTCAAAATGATTTTACTCACATGGCCGAACAATTTGCGATGGCCGAGAAATTCGTCTGGAATTCGGCCACCAATGATTTTCACAAAATTAGAGTGAATTTGTTGCTGTGGCCGAGTTCCCGACGATTTCTCGGCCACCGCAAATTGTTCGGCCACACATTTTTTGATTCATTTTTTTTCGAAAATATTGAAATTCAACATTTTTATGCTTTTAAAATGATGAAAAATTGTTCTTTATCTTCAAAAATTTCGAGTACTTTTTGAAGAGCACAAAAATGAGCCAAAAATCGGGAATTTTTGCGAAATTTGAGGTTTTGAGAGCCCAGTACTCATGTTAGAGATCATACTTTCTCAGAAATTTTGTATTCAGTCAGAAAATCTTCTCTAACATGAGTAATAGCCGAGATTTTCAGAAAATTCTCGACTTTTGGCTCATTTTTGGGCTCTTTAGAGAGTAGCGCAGCAAAAAAACTGAAAATTTGTCTGGAAAAATTGATTTTTTCAGTTCTGAAATTTTTTCGACACTTCAGAATTATCAAAATTGTTCAAAAAGGTTTGATTAGATTCGAATTAATTGATTTTTAGTTTGAAAATTTAGAATTTGATTTTCAGACTTTTGAAAAATGTAAAAAGTCCAATTATTTTTGAACATTTCCTTGAAAATCATGAAATTTAAGCTCAAAATGCTTCTTTTCGGGAAAAAAGCGAAAAATTTCGATTTTTGCCCAGAAAATTTGAAAATTTAGCGATTTTTACTGAAATTTTGACTTCAAAAACCCAAAAAATTTGAAATTTTCACCTGAAAATTCTGAAAAAAAAATTTTGCAGATTGTCAAAGTGATGGTTTCTCATGTCAAACAATTCCCATCCGACCAAGATCTTCAACGAATTTTGACATCAACCGAAAGCGCTGAGATCAAGGAAAAATGTCAACAATGTATGACGGTGATTCGCGACGCGAAAAGTGCTCAAGCTGAATCGGCGAATAAAGCTGCGCAAGATTTGTTAGCGTTGTTGGAAGAGGAAGAGCTCCAGGCGAAATCCAAGAAGCAAAAACAACAGGAGAAAAAGGCGAAGAAGAAGAGTTCGAAGAAAGTTGCAGCTGTGCCGGAACCTGAAGTTGAGCCTGAAGTTGAGCCGGAAGTTGAGCCAGAACCTGAGCCAGAACCCGAGCCAGAACCAGTTGAAATTGCTCCACCGCCACCTCCCCAACCTTCTAAGAAGAGCCTGAAGAAGAAGGCTGCTGCAGCTGCAGCAGCCGCAGCAGCTCCAGCTCCTGTAGTTGTTAGTATCCCGTGTGTTCCACCACCGCAACCTGTTCGAAACTTTCACCAATTTCACCGAGAGCCGATGAATGGGTTGAAGCGTCGGGCAAAAAGTCGAAGGGAAAAAAGCAGATTCAGAATATTCCGGCGCCGATTGTGAATTCGACGATGACAATCAACAAGGAATCGTCGACGACTTCGAGTGTTACGTCGGAATTTGGAGGAGGAGGAGGAGTTGTTCAGGAGATTGATTTGGTGAGTTTTTTTTGGGAAAACTGAATTTTTGAGCTATGACGTGGCGAAATTTGGAAAAAAATCGCGAAATTTATCGCTACAATGTTTGATACTCAGTTAACATAACATTGCCTGCGTATATTATTAGATACTCAGCCAATTTTCGATTCTCTATGATGAATTTTGAGCTGAAAATTGAGCAAAATTGACCCTGGAGCTTGAAAATGCTCATTTTTGAGCAAAAAACCAAGAAAAATGAGCCCTGGAGCTTGAAAATCCCGATTTTGAGGCAAAAATTAAACAAAAACAACAAATGCGCTCCATTGAACTTTTAGCTTTTTGTAGAAAAATTCAAATTTTCAATTCAGATTTTTTTGAGATTTTTCGAAATTTTCCAAGTTTTTTTTTTCGAATTTTTATATGCTAAAACTAATTTTCCCTGCCTGACTTTATTTTTACTCAGATTTTCTGATTTATAAAACAACTCTGAATTTTTGAGCTATGACGTGGTGAAATTTTGAAAAATCAGAATTTTTCGAAATTTTGCCACGTCATAGCTCAAACTGAAAATTCCCAAAATTTTTTTTCGAATTTTTAAATGGTAAAAATAATTTTCCCAACCTGAAATTATTTTTACTCAGATTTTCTGATTTATAAAACAACTCTGAATTTTTGAGCTATGACGTGGCGAAATTTAGAAAAATTGTCGACAATTTATTGCTACAATTTCAGAATTTTTCGAGATTTTTGAAATTTTGCCACGTCATAGCTCATATTCAAAACCAAATCTGTGCTTGAAATTTTCCAAATTTTTTTTTTTGAAATTTTAAATTTTCGACAGAGTTTTCCCAACCTGAATTTCAAAATGATCGAATTCAAAAAAAAAATGTGCTGAAATTTGAAATCCATAACACTTCTGAGGATTTTTGAGCTATAACGTGGCGAAATTTTGAAAAATTGGGACAATTTTGATCAGTTTCTCTGGTTTTGGCTAATTTCTGATCAAAATTTGACGCAGAAAATTTACGCGCTGAAATTGTCTGAAAATCGGGGGAAAATTGGAATTTTTGCGAATATTTCGCTTTGAAAAATGATTTAAAAAAGTTAGTTATGACATGGCAAAATTTCGAAAAATCGTAAAACGAAAGGTCAAAATTTAGCCATTTTTTGAATTTTTGACTAATTTATGGTGAAAATTTGGACAAAAATTGATTAAAAACAAATTTATAATCGAAATTTGTGAATATGAGCTATGACGTGGCAAAATTTCGAAAAATCTCAAAAAAATTGGGACAATTTTGATTTTTCTCTAGTTTTGGTTTTTTTCTCTGATTTTTCTCTAGTTTTGGCTATTTTCTGGTCGAAATTTGATGCAGAAAATTTACGCGCTGAAATTGTCTGAAAATAGGTGGAAAATTGGAATTTTTGCGAAATTTTTTTCAACAATAAAAAAAGTTAGTTATGACGTGGCAAAATTTCGAAAAATCGTAAGAAGAAAGGCCAAAATTGAGCCATTTTTTTTATTTTTTGGCTAATTTATGGTGAAAAATTGGACAAAAATTGATTAAAAACGTATTTCTAATCGAAATGAGCTATGACGTGGCAAAATTTCGAAAAACCATAAGAAGAAAGGCCAAAATTAAGCCACGTCATAGCTCATATACAAAATTCAACGTTTCAAATCCATTTTCATTTCTTGCAGAACAAGAAAAAGCAATATACATTGAGTGTTCCAAGCAGTGCAATCCCAAGAATAATTGGAAGAGGCGGTGCAAATGTGAATTCGGTTCGTGAAGCGACTGGAGCAACAATTGAAATCGAGAAACAAGGAACACGAAAAGATCAATTCGAAAGGCTGATTAATGTTCGTGGAAGTCCAGATTCGATCAAATCAGCAGTTCAGATCTTGCAATTAATGGTCGCTGATGTTGACGCGCAAATCAATGATGTTATTCGAAGTGTGCTACGTGGCAATAGTTCGGTGGCGTCGTCGATTTCGTCGGATGGAACGACACATTCTTTGAAAGCGCCTGCTGCTGAAGTTGTTGTTGTTGCTCCGCCCAAAACGATTTCTGCAGCTCCAGCGAATTCCGGTTCGACTGGAAATGTTTGGCAGCAACGGATGGCTGCGCGACAAGAGCAACAATCGAAAAACTGAGCCGCCGAAAGTTGCTCCGCCGAGCCCCGTCAAAGTTGCACCAATCACACCGATTGCGAAAATTGTGGCGGAAAAAATTGCAGGTGGGTTTTGAAAATTTGAAATTTGAAAAACCCCGAGTTAGATACGCAGGTGGTTACGGTTTTGGTTTTTTTTTTTGAAAAAAAATCAATTTTTCATAATTTTGAAAGCTCTGGCAAGCGGAGTGTCGTTGTTTTTTCCGTTTTTTTGATGAAAATTCACAGTATTTAGCATTTGAAAGCTTCACAAAATGAAACTAGACTCTAGTTTCAGAAGATATACGTGGCCGATTTATTTTTGGTGGCCTAGAAATGTTGGGAATTCGGCCACAGCAACAAAATCGCTCTAATTTCATGAAATTATCGCGAATTTGTTGCGTTGGCCGAATTCCCGACATTTCTCGGCCACCGCAAATTGTTCGGCCACAAAAAATGAATTAAAAATGTGGCCGAACTGTTTTCGGTGGCAGAGAAATCGTTGGGAATTCGGCCACAGCAACAAAAATTATGATCTTCACAACATTAGAGCGCATTTGTTGCGTTGGCCGAGTTCCCGACATTTCTCGGCCACCGCAAATTGTTCGGCCACATTTTTTATTCATTTTTGCTTCGAAAATTTTGAAATTCAGCATTTTTGTGCTTTGAAAATGATAAAAATTGTCCAAAAACTCAAAAAACGGGGGACTAGGTTTTCACTGTGTATTCCTAGTATTTTCCCAATTTTTCAGAACCCGAAGTTATCCCAATTCGCCCAACTCCAATTGTCAAACGCGAAGCAGTGGTTCAACCGATTCAACAACGAACTCCACCACAACAATCGGTTCAACCTCTCGGCTTTCGGCCAATATGTTCCGGTTCCACCATCGCCACCACCTACACCTTCAGCTCCAGCAGCCACAACATCTACAACATCTACAACTCCAGCTCCACTTCGAACCATGTTATTCCCAGCTAGCTTGGCACCAGCTCCACCAGCTCCAACAGTTTCGGAAGACGTCGAAGCGGCTACGCTGAAATTGTTTGAGAGCACAAAGCTGGCTGAAATTTGGGGACAACCTGAGGAGCAAACGGGCGATTCGGCGTGGGGAAGTCAGTTGTTTGGAACGCAGGCCGAATGGTCGCCGGCTGAGATGTTTAAGAATCTATCGACATCTTCTGGAACAACATCAGTGACAAGTTCAGCGCCACCACCACAAACATCAAGAGATCAAACGAAGAGTGTGCCATTGTTCGCCAGAACTCAGCCACAGCAGCAGATTCAACAACAACAATCGAGACAAATGGCGATTATTCAACAACAACAACAGAACTATCATCAACAGCAGCAAACTTTGATAAATCAACTCCAAACAAGCCTTTCGGAACAAGTTTCGGCAACTCATAATATGTATAGTCAATTGGCTGCGCAATTGTTGACACATCAGGAGACGTCGACTTCGAATTCGCAGGCTTATTATCAGCAACAACAGAATCAGCAGCAACAACAACTTGCGTATGCTAGAACGAATAGTGGATTTGTGAGTTTTTTTGTTGGAAATTTTGGATTTGGGCTGGAATTAGGGCCTTAAAAAGCCTTAGTTTTAGGCTAGATTTTGGCTTGGATTAAGGTCCTAATCTTTTCAAGAAATAAGCCTCCAAAAGCCTTAATTTTAGGCTAGATTCGGGCTGAATTTGGGCCTTAAAAACCCTTATCTTGGGGTAGATTTTGGCCGGAATTAGAGCCTTAAAAGCCCTTATTTAAGGCTAGATTTAGGCCGGAATTAGGGGCTTAAAATCCTTAGTTTTGGGCTAGATTTTGCCTGAACTAAGGTCCTAAAAAGCCCTAATTTTAGTCTAGTTTCGAATTTAATTAAGGCCTTAATCTTGTTAAGTAAGTGATCTATACAACGCCAAAAAAAGCCTCAATTTTAGGGTAGATTCAAAGGCCCTTATCTTGTGAAGTAACTAGGCTCAAAGGCCTTAATTTTAGGCTAATTCTGGTCTGAATTAATGCTTCAGAAAGCCTAAATTTTAGACTAGATTTGGCCTGAATTAAGGGCCTTAAAAGCCTTAATTTTAGGCTAGATTTGGCCGGAATTAGAGCCTTAAAAGCCTTAATTTTAGGCTAGTTTTGGACTGAAATACGGGCTTAATTTTTTCAAGAAAAAGGGCTAAGAAGCCTTAAGTTTAGGCTGGATTTGGCCGGAATCAGGGCTTTAGAAAGCCCTAATGTTAGGCTAGTTTTGGCCTGAATTAGGGCCTTAAAAGCCTTTTTTTTAGGGCTAGATTTGGCATGAATTAGGGCCTTAAAAAGCCTCAATGTTAGGCTAGTTTTGGACTGAATTAGGGCCTTAGAAGCCTTAGATTTTGGCTAGAATTATGGCCTTAAAAGCCCTTATTTTAGGCTAGATTTTGGCCGGAATTGAGGCCCTAATTTTAGGTCCAATTAGGGTCTGAATACTTTAAATGCAACGCTAAAAGATTAAGCCTAATTAAGACCTTAATTTAAGGCTAGTTTTGGCCTGAATTAAGATCCTAATCTTGTAAAGAAATAATGCTTTAGAAAGCCTTAATTTTAGGCTAGATTTGGCTGGAATCAAGGTCTCAAACTTATCAAGTAATAAGGCTCCAAAAAAGCCTAGAAAGGCCTTAAGTTTAGGCTAGGTTTTGGGCTGAATTAGGGGCTTAAAAGCCCTTATTTTAGGCTAGAATTTGGCTGGAATTAAGACCCTAATTTTAGGTCCAATTAGGGTCTGAATACTTTAAATGTAAGGCTAAAAGATTAAGCCTAATTAACAAGTAAGGCCTCAATTTGAAGGCCCTAATCAAGAATTACGGCTCTTAATATCGCAAGCCTAAGCCTTAAAAAAAATTTTAGATCCAAAAATCACCTTCAAAATTTTTGCAGAACGAAAACAACGATGATATAATGAATGCATTCTATTCGGCCGACAATCGTAATCCAAACAACTATCAAAATGCGATTCGTCGAATTCAGCCAATAATTCAAGTTTGTCAGCATCAGCAGCGAACTTCAACCAACTCGGCCACTTCTCAATATTCAGCACCACCTCCTGGATTTTCGGCGATTCGTCAACAACAACATTATTTCCAGCAACAACAATATTCGTGAGTTTTTTTTTTTTTTTGGGGGGGGAAGTCTAGCCACGTGGAATTTGTGGCTCAGAGTTTTTGTCTCCGAAAAATTCCGAAATTTTAAGCCCAAAATTCCACGTGGCAATATTTTTTAGTTCAATTTTTGATTTCAAAAAAAATCACATGAAGAGTTTTGAATTTTGAGCCAAAAATTGAACCCACGTGGCTCATTTTTTGCTCGAAATTTGGAACCTAAAAATCTAGCCACGTGGATTTTCTGGATCAAAATTTCGAAATTTTAAGAAATTCCACGTGGCAATGTTTTAATTTTCTGAAAAAAATTGAAATAAAATTCGATGACACGTGGAATTTTTGGCTCAAAATTCTAATTTGAAAATCTGGCCACGTGCTCGAAATTAGAAGTGCTCCTTTTTAGCATCAAAAATCTAGCCACGTGGATTTTTTTGTCCAAAAATTTTGAAATTTTGATCCGAAAATTCCACGTGGCAATGTTTTTTAGTCCGAATTTTGATTCATGAAGAATTTTTAGAAAAATTTGAACTGAAAAATATTGCCGCGTGTAATTTTCACTCAAAATTGAAACTGAAATTCTGATAACACGTGGATTTTCTGGATCAAAATTTGGAGTAAAAAATTTTCCACGTGGAATTTTCTGTCTCAAATTCTGAACTAAAAATCTAGGCTCGTATAAAGTTTAGCTCAGAATTCTCATCAAAAAATCTAGCCACGTGGAATTTTTTTGTCCAAAAATTTGAAATTTTGAGCTAAAAATTCCACGTGGCAATTTTTTTGGTTCAAATTTTGATTCATGAAGAATTTTGAATTTTCAGAAAATTTGGAACTTAAAAATCTGGCCATTTTTAATTTTCTTTAAAAAAATGTAAATAAAATATCGTACCACGTGGATTTTCTGGCTCAAAATTGGAACTGAAAAATATTTCCTCGTGGAATTTTAGGCTCAAATTTTAAACTGAAAAATTTAGCCACGTATAAATTTTAGCTGAAAATCTGAACAAAAAATCTCGCCATTTTTAATTTTCTGGATCAAAATTGAACTGAAAAAATCTAGCCACGTGGAATTTTAGCTCAAAATTGGAACTGAAAATTTCAGCTTAAAATTTGAACTGAAAAATTTTTTATTTTCTAAAAAAAAAAAAAAAATTTTTAATTTTCTAAAAAAATTTGAAATAAAATTCCGTGCCACGTTGAATTTCTGGATCAAAATTTGAACTGAAAAATCTGGTCAATTCGGATTTTAGGCTCAGAATTTTAATCAAAAAATATTGCCACGTGGAATTTTTGGCTCAAAAATTTGAACAAAAAGTCTGACCATCTGAATGTTAGCTCAAAATTGGCATTTTTTGATTTTCAGTCAACCACCCCAACAACCCCAACAACCATTATGGAATATTCCACCAACTCAATCTTCATCCCAAAATCCATCAACATCTTCTTCTTCATCAACTCAAAAACCATCAAATCTTTGGGGAAATTCTTGGAATTGATTTTTGATTTTTCCCCGTTTTTTCTGTTCAAAACAAAGTAGTTTTCGCCGATTTTTGATAATTTTCAATATTTTTTTTGTTTTTTTTGTGTGTGAATAGTCTCTTAGTTTTGCCGCCCCGATTTTTTTTTGTATTTTGATTATTTTGAATACGCTTTTAATTTTTCCCCTTCCCATTTTTTTTTAAAATTTTTTTGATTTTCACATCGCCCGGGTTACCAACAAAATTTTTCCGTTTTTTCCGTTTTTATTTTTTTTGTCTGTCGGATTTTTCTGCATTTTATTTTATTTTTTATTTTTTCCCTTCAAAAAAATGTTATCAGAAATTTTGTATGTTTTTTAATGGTGGATTTTATTCAAAGCGGTTCGAAAAACTGTGAAAATATTGATTTTTTTTGGGAAATTTTGAAAAATTTGCAGAAAAAAGTGGGCGGAGCCTAAATTTGCTAATATTCCTTTTTTTTTGAGAAACCCTGCCGCAAAATTGCAAATTCTAGGCTCCGCCCACTTTTTTGCATTTTTGCGGCAGGAAATTTGAAAAAAAATAGAAAATATCGGAAAAGCTGGATTTCTTTGGGAAATTCTGCAATTTTTGCAAATTCTAGACTTCGCCCACTTTTTTCTAAAAAAAAAGTTTTAAACCAGAAATTTCTCGAAATTCTTAGAATTTTCAGCCGAAAAATCACAGTTTTGAACGATTTTTCTCAAAAAAAATTAAAAATTTCAGAATTTCTTTGATTTTCAGCCGAAAAATCGCAGTTTTGAACGATTTTTCTCAAAAAAAAATTTTAAAAATTTCAAGAATTTTCTTAGATTTTCAGCCTGAAAATCGCAGTTTTTAACGATTTTTCTCAAAAAAAAATTAAAAAGTTTTCTAGATTTTCAAAAATCTTATTTCAAACAATTTTCCCTGAAAATCACAGGTTTTAACGATTCAAAAAAAATTTAAAAATTTCAGAATTTTCTAGATTTTCAGCCGAAAAATCGCAGGTTTTGAACGATTTTTCTCAAATTTAAATTTCAGAATTTTCTAGATTTTCAGCCGAAAAATCACAGTTTTGAACTATTTTTTTCAAAAAAAATTTAAAAATTTCAGAATTTTCTAGATTTTCAGCCGAAAAATCGCAGTTTTGAACGATTTTTTCAAAATAAAAATTAAAAATTTAAGAATTTCTTAGATTTTCAGCCTAAAAATCACAGTTTTGAACGATTTTTTTCAGAAAAAATTTTTTAAAATTTCAGAATTTCTTAGATTTTCAGCCTAAAAATCACAGTTTTGAACGATTTTTCTGAAAAAAAAACAAATTTTTTTAATTTCAGATTTTTCAAGATTTTCAGCCTAAAAATCGAAGTTTTGAACGATTTTTCTCGAAAAAAAATTTTAAAATTTCAGAATTTTCTAGATTTTCAGGCTGAAAATCGCAGTTTTGAACGATTTTTCTGAAAAAAAAATTAAAAATTTCAGAATTTTCTAGATTTTCAGCCGAAAAATCATAGTTTTTAACGATTTTTTCAAAAAAAAATTCAAAAAATTCAGAATTTCTTTGATTTTCAGCCGAAAAATTGCAGTTTTGAACGATTTTTCTCAGAAATTTTCAGATTTTTCTATATTTTCAGCCTGAAAATTCTTCTTTTTTCAGATGTTGGCCCGAAAATTGATGAGGACAAATTTCGTGCGAAATATGTATATTCAAGTTCAGGAGACACCAAATCCACTGTCTCTCAAATTTCTTCCCGGCCAACAAATTTTGCCAGACACATCGAAAACCTATGATTTTGCATCGGCAAGCACAGCTGTTAAACAAAGTCCGCTGGCTGTGTGAGTTTTTAGTCGCGTCGCGGCTATGCGTCGCGGTTGGGTTGAGAACCGCGACGCACAGCCGCGCGCACGCGACTGACGAACCAGAAAATTTTGCAGAAAACTTCTACGAGTCGAAGGAGTGAAGCGCGTGTTTTTCGGTGAGAATTTTGTGACAATCACAAAATCGGATGAAAATGTTGATTGGGCATTATTGAGACCCGAAATATTCTCAACAATCGCTGATCATTTACAAACTGGAAAACCGATTATAAATGAGGAAAATGCTGGAAATGGCGAGGAAGTTGGTGAGGTTTTCTGAAAATTGAGGATTTTAGCTACAAAATCATTTTTTAATCGAGGAGTTTCGTCAATTTTGAGATGAATTACGATTTTTTGAAAATGACGTGTTTTTTAAACCCAGAAATTTTAATTTTACAAAATTTTGTGATTTTTTATGCAAAACATGCAACTTGATAATATTGTTTTCAAAATTTCACCAAAAAATTATCAAAAAATTCTGAAACGTATTTTTTTCCGGGTATTTAAAATCCGAATTTTCATGAAATTCGACTTCACTGTTTTTTCGAAATTTGAAAATTTTTAAACTAATTTTTAAGAAGCTCCCAAAAAAAATCTCTTGAGTTACGCTAACTTTTGGATGTTTTTTTTTTCAAAAAATCGATATTCATCTCAATGTTGACGAAAATACTTGGTTTTGTAGCTAAAAACTTCAATTTTTCAATCAACGAATGTTCTTAGCTCAAAAAATTTTTTTCGGTTGAAAAATTTAGGTTTTTAGCTATAAAATCATTTTTTGATCGAGGATTTTCGTCAATTTTGAGATGAATATCGATTTTTTTTTGAAAAAAACATCGAAAAGTTATCGTAAAAAACTCATCGCAAATACATATTTGCTTTTAAAAAAATTGGGGTTTTTAACCCAGAAATCTCAATTTTGCAACATTTTTTGTTTTGTTTTTTTGACCAAATCATTATCAAACTCTATTGCTTTCAAAATTTCACCAAAAAATTATCAAAATATTCAGAAACGTATTTTTTTCGGGTATTTAAAATCCGAATTTTCATGAAAATCGACTTCACTGTTTTTTTTAACTTTGAAAACTTTTAACTAATTTTTGAGAAGCTTTCAGAAAACATCTGTTGAGTTACGCTAACTTTTGAATGTTTTTTTTATTGAAAAAAATCGATATTCATCTTAAAGTTGACGAAAATACTTGATTTTGTAGCTGAAAACTTCAATTTTTCAATCAACGAATGTTTTAGCTCCAAAAAAATTTTATTGATTGAAAAATTGAAGTTTTTAGCTAAAAAATCATTTTTTAATCGAGGAGTTTCGTCAATTTTGAGATGAATATCTATTTTTTTTGAAAAAAAAACATCGAAAAGTTATCGTTGCTTACAAATTTTGATTTTTGGACGATATTGGCTCCATTTGAAAAATCGATTTTTTTAAAGTTAAAAATTAAAAATTTTAACCCAGAAATCCTCAAAAAATACCTGAAATGACTGTTTTCAAAATTTCACCAGAAAAATTATCACAAAATTCTGAAACGTATTTTTTTCGGGTATTTTTAAAAAAAAGTTTTTTTTTCTTAAACCAAAAAGTTTCCTTCCAGAAGACACCGAAGTTGTTCTAATGATCAAAGAAATTCTCGAAAGTCGAATTCGCCCAATGGTCCAAGAAGATGGAGGAGATATTGTATATGTTGGATTCGAAGAAGACACCGGAACTGTGAAATTGAAAATGCAAGGTTCATGCACTGGTTGTCCGAGTTCGGGTGTGACTTTGAAAAATGGCATTGAGAATATGCTCACGTTTTATGTTCCTGAGGTATTTTTGTACTTCATTCTATGAAAAAAATATTTGAATTTTGTCAATTTTCAAGGTGAAAAATGTGATTGAAGTGAAAGATGAATCGGATGATCTTGTTGAACGAGAATTGGCAAAATTCGAACAATCGCGTGGAATTAAAGATTGATTTGAGTTAGTAGGGGTGTAGAATACTGTAGGTTATAATGAATAGTTATTTTTTGAAGAGGTTTTGGGTGAAAAACTACCGGGAAACGTTTTTTTTTCAAAAAAAAAAACAATTTTTTTACCAAAAAAATTGATATTCATCTCACAATCAGAGGTGACGAAAATACATTATTTTCTAGCTAAATACTTTGATTTTTCAATCAACGAATGTTTTTAGCTCGAAAAAAATTTGAAACGGAAAAAAAATCAATTTAGGCTAAATCTTCTTTGTATTTTTTTCAGGTTTCAATTTTTTTGAACCAAAAACATATGTAATTTTAAGGGGCGATTCAAATCGAAAAAAAATAATAAAACATTTTTTCAAAAAAAAAGTTCAAAAAAAAAATTTAGAAACTGAAAAAACACAAAGAAGAGTTACCCTTTGTTTTTTTTCGTTTCAATATTTTTTCGAGCTAAGCACATTGGCTGATTGAAAAATTAAAGTTTTTAGCTACAAAATCATTTTTTGATCGAGTATTTTCGTCAAATTTAAGATGAATATTGATTTTTTGAGAAAAAAAAACATAAATAGTTATCGTAACTCATGAAATACATTTCTGCTTACAAAAATCAGAACTCCACTTGAAAAATTGGGGTTTTGAACCCACAAATCCTAATTTCACAAAATGTTGATATCAGCTGATATTATTTTCAAAATTTCATCGAAAATTATCTCAAAATTCTGAAACGTACTTTTCCTCTACTTCAAGATGAATATCGATTTTTCGGAAAATGACGTGTTTTCTGACAAAAAATCAAAAATTTACTGTATCTCATACATATTCTGTAAAACCCCGATAAAAAAATAATTTATGTGAAAATATTTGATTACGACATAGTCGCTACAAGAAAGACGAAAAACGAACCGGATGTGTTCGAAACCCGGAATTCAGCAAAAAATAAAAAAAATCAATCAATACAGATAAATAAATAAATATAAGTAGCTAGCACTTGTTACACGATGCTTTACAGAAAATCTTCATAAATTTGCTCTCACTTTTACACTCGCCAATTTTCGCCCAATAACTACAAAACAGATTTTTGTCCTCGCATTTTTCCTTCGCCACAATTGGTTTTTTAGTGGTGGTAGTGGTGGTGGTAGAAGTTGTTGTAACTGGTTTGATGTTCTCTTTTCCACGTGGAATCGGAACTTTTGTTGTGGAAGATGATGGAATTGATGTTGTTGTTGTTGTGGTTGAAGTTGTGGTCTCAACAACTTCAACTTCACACATCTTACACGATTTTCGACAATAATGTGTCATATATTTGACAGAATGTTGACAATGTCCCAATTGTTCCCACATTCCACAATGTGCGTTCAAATCTTCGCATTCTGCAAGGAAACATGTGGTTTTAGACTGCACACAAAATGCGCCAACCCTCATGGGATTAACGCGTTTCGTGTGAAGTGGGTGGCGCGTTTTGTGTTTTTTTCGAAAATAGTTTTTGGGGGTTTTTTTTCATTTTAAGCTGTTCCGATTCAGGCCTGTGCCTGCACTTTTCCGGTTTTTTCAAGGAAAAATGAATTTTCCGGAGAATGATGTTTAGTATTTTCAATATTGCCCAAATTTTGGGAAATTTTCTCACAGTTTATGATAGAAAAAATAAAAAATTTTAATTTTTAAAATTTTACGATTTTTTGAACGTAAAACGCCTCAAATAGTTACTAAATTATCTGTGAATAGAAGAATTGTAGATAAAAATAAGTTTTAGTTCTAGCATAAGGCTGAAAAACGAAATTTCAGACTTTGAAAATTTTCCGACTTTCCGTTTTCCGGCACAGGTCTGGTTCAAAACGGCATTTTTGTGCCCAGCTCTGATTCAAGTTGTAAAGGAGTAACTTTTTGTTGAACTCTTGGACATCGACTAAATGACATTTTCATGTTTTTCAAGCAAATGAGTTGGAATATTGGATTCTAATGTTATTCATATGGTCGAATGGTCTAAGACGAACAGAATGATATAAATTTTGATGAGTTTACGTTATCCATAAGTGATTTAGCGAGGTTTAGTAGACTAAACCTCGCTTAATCACTTATGGATAACGTAAATTCATCAAAATTTATATGATTCTGTTCGTCTTAGACCATTCTATCATATGAATATCATTAGAACCCAATATTTCAACTCACTTGCTTAAAAAATCTGAAAATGTCATTCAAACTCACTTCGACTTCTTGATTTTTCAACTGATATTCTCGTGGTTGTTGTAGGTTTCTCGGTTGTTGTGGTTGTTGTTGATGTTGAACTCGATTTTGTTGAAACTGAAACTTCTTCAATCTCTGTTGTTGTTGTCAACTTCTGAGTAGTTGTTGGTTCTTCAGTTGTGCTAGTAGTAGTAGTTGTAGTTGAACTAGTCTTCGAATACTCTCCACATTGATACAATTTATTCACCTTCTTCGCATCCATCTCTGACAATTTATATCGCTGTCCAACATCGGCTTCATTATCTCGCGGCACAATTGTCGGTTTACCATTTCGTGAAAATGCCAATTTATGATAATGCATCACTGATTCATAATCATATGGCATTCCAAGTGAATCAATGATTTTTTCTCGGATATTTCTCGAAGTTTCTCATCATTCCCGGCCGAATGTTGTCTTCATGAATGTCGACAAAATCGTCGCGATCAGTTCGAGAATGTTCGTGGAAGAAGCCGAGAGCGTGCATTAATTCGTGCGCAATTATACCCTAAAAATTTAATTTTTGATTGCTAATTAACAATTAATAAGCGTTTTTCCTATCTAATTGTAAGTACATACCTTTGAAAAACATTTGTCGACTTCTAGCGAAACTGTTTGATTTCCGCCGGCTCTTCCGACATATGACGAACATCCGAACGCTACATTTCTCTTCACATAAATATAGTCGAAATCGTCGTCGGTTTTTGGCACGAATCGAACGCAAGTTTTCGTTTTGTATTCGTCGAAAGCTTGTGCAATTGCTGTACGTTGACTGAAAATATTGATTTTGAAATTTTTCTAATTGTTCTGTGAGGTATGCGGTGTCCAAAGTCGAACTGTCTGTTTCTCTCGTTTACACACACTATTTCTCTGTTCGTTGCGAGACCCGTTTAGAAAAATGAAGAAGAAAATGCGAGTTTTGGACGTTTTTTTTGTTTTTGTTGGTGCGGAAAAATTTGGCTTGTCCTCGAGAACTACAAATTTTTTGATGTGGAAAATTATTGAAAACAACTGGACTTTGTCAGTCGCGTGCGGCTGTGCGGCGCGGTCGGAAAACAATCAAGAATTGCATTTCTTTTCCGACCGCGCCGCACAGCCGCACGCGACTGACGAAGCCCAGTTGTTTTCATTTTTACGCCGTCCACATTCTTCAACTAGATTTTGATTTTCCAGCTGAATTTTTGGTATGGAAAAAAATAAAAAAAATTAAATTGTCCTCGAGAACTACACATTTTGGTGTGGAAAATTAACTATTTATCACTGTGACACAGCACGACCATTTATTTACTCCAATAAAAAATTGCCCCTCGGGTCAGACGACAGACGACGAGAGTCTGATGACGTCATCTGAGACAGAGAAAGACATCGCTTCGAGATATTTTTGAGAAAATATGTGTCCCTTTGAAAAAATACCGTATTTTGTTTCAAGGAACACATGTTTTATTGAAAATATCTCGAAGCGAAATTCATTTTCGAGATATTTTTGCAAAATTCTCTCGTCGTCTCGCGTCTGACTCAACGGGCGCCTTGATCTATCCCCTCTTTGATCTACACTCACTCATTAGTCATACCCTCCTCCAACATATAAGGAACTTCACCATTCGGCCAAAGTTTATCCGGATAAGTCACCAGATTCAAAGCACTATGAAATGGTTTTCGAAACAATTCATCTTCATCAATCATTGGATCATCCCTCAATTTTTTCAAAATATCGATTTTCTCGATTTCCGGAACACCCATAATATCTCCTTCGAAAAGCAACGAGTTTTGCATCGATTCGATTTCAGCATCTGTTGGTTTTTTGACCGGCGCAGTTTCGGCGTTGTGGAAATCTTCTGGTAGCAAATAGTGTTCGGCGTAATCTAGAATGGAATTTTGTTATTTTTTTTGGAGAGGAGTTAGGCTAACTTACCATCAAATTTTGATTTGGCATTTAAAGCATACTCATTTGGAACTGGAACAACGCCAATAGAAGAGACGGAAAAAATTAATGAAAATATAATAGAAATATACGTTAATAATGTCATTTCCTGAAACAAAGTTGTTTTTCCAGTGGAAAATGAGGAAAATCTGAAGGAAGCAAGAAAGGTGGGGTTAGATTTTGTTTGAAAACCGGTTTTCTATTGACCGGAATGTTCGGATGGCAGTCAAGTGTTGCTCCTCTTAGCCAAGAAGGCACACAAAAGAAATAATAAATATACAAATAGCACATCGGAGAGGAATAAAAAAGCAGAATATGAAATTGATACGGGCGAAAGGCCCAAGGCCTTAGGCCCGTCCCCCCCAGGCCCGGCCCCATAAAAAATAGAGCACCCCAAAAATATAAACACAATTTTCAACACGCTGAAACAGCTGCTTCCGTGGCGCAATAGGCAGCGCGTTCGGCTGTTAACCGAAAGGTTGGTGGTTCGAGCCCACCCGGGAGCGAGACTTTTTTTTTTTTTTTTTGAAAAAATGGCTAGATTTGTTCAAGTGATCAAGTGCGCTTCAGGTTCATGACTAATCAAAGGCGACTTGAAACAAACAATGCGCAAATATTTGTATAGCAGAATAACATCCTGGTTTGGTTGACCCACAAGAATTTGGGAAATTTTCCAGGGCTTCAACAAAAACGTGGCGTTTTATTAAAAAAAAAAAAAAATTTGTAAGCTTCATTTTGAGAGTGAAAAATTTTGAAAAAGGATCGTTTGAAAAATTTTTATCCAGGAAATTCAATTTCAGAGGATTTTTGCATGAAAATAAATTTAACCAATTTTAATTTAAAAATTCAAAAATAACCTGGAACAAAAGGTGATAAACACTAAAGAAATACGAAAAGAATTGTGCAAAGAAATCGCCAAAAAAAGAGAAAAACAAATATGCTCTTTTACCCCGTGAGCTCTTATATGGGATGGAAAATATATGCCATATAATCTTTGGACTCAAAAATCAATGAGAGCTTTGGAAATATTCAGAAAAAAATTTTAAAGAAAATTTCTTAAAAGAAAATTTCTTTAAAGAAAATTTTATACGAAAATTTCTTAAAATAAAATTTTTTTACGAAACTCTTAAAATAAATTTTTTTTACGAAAATTTCTTTTAGAAAATTTCTTAGATTTCTGAATTCAAAACCATCGAAAACTTCAAATTGTAACTAGAATCCAGGCTCAGGCTTAGGCCCCCTTAGGACCTAAGCCTGAGCCTGGATTCTGTGTCAGGCTTAGGCCCTAAGCCCTCCCCCTTTTAGGCCCCAGGGATATATAAGGCTTAGGCTTATTAATTTTCAAGTTTTAAGAATTTTTTACGGGTACATACCTTTCAACTATTTTTCACAGAAAATGAAAATAAAATAAAAAAAAATTTCTGAAAGTTACAATTTTGATGCTGAACTTCTGAATTCCAATAAAAATGTGAAAAATGGCTGAGTTTTGCTGCTGGGCAAACTCAGACCCCCCCCTAGGCTTAGACCCGGCCGGGCTCAGGCCCCCTAGGCTTAGACTCCCCTAGGCTTAGACCCAACCGGGCTTAGACCCGACCGGGTTTAGACCCCCCGAGGTTTACCCCCCACCGGGCTTACACCCCCTAGGCCTAGACCCTGTCGCTTCGCGGTCTACACGTAAAGCCGCTCGGGTATTAGGCTTGGCCAAAAACAGATAATACTCAGGCTAAGGCCCGACCGCTTCGCGGAAAATTGCGGTCTACACTCGCGGCAAAGCCGCTCGGGCTTTAGGTTGGAGGGGCTGGCCTAGGCTTTGCGATAAAAAAAGGCTTAGGCTAAGGCCCGGCCGCTCGCGTTAAGCTTGGCCAAAACACATAATACTCAGGCTAAGGCCCGACCACTTCGCGAAAGATTGCGGTCTACACTCGCGGCAAAGCCGCTCGGGGTTAGCCTATAATTTAGAGCTAGACCTAGGCTTTGTGATAAAAAAAGGCTTAGGCTAAGGCCCGACCGCTCGGGAATTAGGCTTGGCCAAAATGAGATAATACTCAGGCTAATGCCCGGCCGCTTCGCAGAATAGTCGATCGGGGCTGGCCTATAGATTAGAGCTAGGCCTAGGCTTTGCGATAAAAAGGCTTAGGCTAAGACCCGGCCGCTCAGGTATGAGGCTTGGCCAAAAAGAGATAAAACTTGCGGTCTAGACTCGCGGCAGAGCCGCTCGAATAAAAAGTTTCAATTTATTTATGTTTTGAAACCAAATCGTCTCAAACAACAATAACAAAAACATCAAATTCAATAAAAAAAGATGACCAATGTCCTCAAAAAAAGGGACGCGAGAAACATGATATTCCAAAAAAAAATATCGTGTGTTCTTCTGTTTCGAATTGTGAAAGAAGACGAAGAAGAAGTCCTGTGCTCTTATTGTTTTGTTGTGTGTTTGTGTCTAATCCTGTCGCCTCCGTTTTTCTTTGTTTTTCCACCAAGAAGAAGAAGAAGCAAGCAAACAATTGAACAAAAAAAAATTTTTTGGAAAAGCAGCCGAAGAAAAATCGTGAGGTGTCAAACGCAAATTTGCCAATGGTTTGTGGAAAAATTGAGAAAAATTTTTATTTACAAAATTATTTTTTAATAAGTTAAGGCACTTGTTAAATTATATATGATAGACCACTGTTTGGAAATTGAGAGGCTTCAGAAGGGATTTTAGAGGCTTCGGAAAGCTCCAGAAGGCTTTTAGAGACTTCAGAAGGCTTTTCGAGGGTTTCGGAAGGCTTCAGATGGCCATTATCGGCTGCAGAAGGCTTTTAGAAGCTTCAGAAGGCTTCAGAAGGCTTCTGAAGGCCATTATGAGCTGCAGAAGGCTTCAGAAGGTCTTTGAGGGATTCAGAAGGCTTTTAGAAGCTCCAGAAAGCCCCAGAAGGCTTTTGGAGGCTTCAGAAGGCTTTTGGAGGCTTTTAGAGGTTCCAGAAGGCCTTTACGGGCTTCAGAAGGCTTTTGAAGGGTTTTAGGGGCTTCAGAAGGCTTTTGGAGGCTTCAGAAGGCTTTGATAGGCTTCTGAAGGCCTTTTGAATGCTCCAGAAGACTTTTGGGGGCTTCAGAAGGCTTTGATAGGCTTCTGAAGGCCTTTTGAATGCTCCAGAAGACTTTTGGAGGCTTCAGAAGGCTTTTGGAGGCTTCGGAAGGGTTTTGAAGGCTCCAGAAGGCTTCAGAAGGTTTTTAGAGGCTTCAGAAAGCTTCCCAATTTCCAAACAGAGAAACCTAAAATGGGGGAAGTGTATCATTAGCAATGCCCATTTCAAACAAATTTTTGAGCTTAGCAAGTTGTTGATTCTCATCAAAAGTCTCGAAAACCGACGGAGCTGAAAATACAATTCCAATCGTCCCACCAAGAGTTGCACCAAAAAATCCATAAAGCAAAAAACGATCGACAACACTGGCAATGAATTTCCAATCATCGCGAAATTGTTTGGTGATTTCCTCGTCTCTCCGATTTTCGGTGATGAATTCGATTGCGTCGACGGCTCGTTGAGCCTCGGGACTCAACTCGTCGTCGAATTCTTCCTCGTTTTGTATTCGAACTTTTCGACAACTGTCGCTGGAATTTTGAAGAAATTTAGAAAAAATCGATAAATTTGTTTTTTTTTCAGATTTAGTTTTTAAAAATCGGAAATTCCCGAAAAAATTCATGATGTGGCACATTTTTGTGGATTTTAATGTTTATTATCCCTAGAAAATTCGTTTTTTCATCCAATTTGCTATTTTTCCTCAAAAAAAAAATAAATAAATTTTCGAAAAAAATTTCGAAAAAATAAACCACGCGCGCAACGTCAACGCGGAGTCTCGTTGTTTTATTTTTATTTTTTCGCATTTTTTTCGGGAAAATGGGAATTTTCATGGAAAAACACAATTTTCCGGGAATGAAAAAAATTGCAAAAAAAATAAATAAATTTAAACCACGCACGCAAACCTTGTCGTCAACGCGGAGTCTCGTTGTTTTTTTCCTTTTTTATGGAAATTACCACCCCCCAAATGACAAAAAAAGAAAACAACGAGACTCCGCGTTGACGACAGATTTGCGCGCGTGCTTTGAATTTGAATTTATTTTTTCCTGGTTTTTAATTTTTGCATCCAACTAGACTATAGTTAAACTAAGCTAAATATAAGATCTGAGAAGCCGGAAAACTCACGAAATATGCGTGTGCCTACAAAGTGGATGATGTTCTCCAGCTTTCATCGGATTCTCCTCAACACTCGGACCCTTCTCCAACAATTTTCGATGGCCTTTTTGTATCACATTTTTTCGATGTGGTCGTTGCATACACATCAGTAATGGGAGGATCTTAACAGATTTTTTTTAAATTTTGTGGGGATTTTCACAAAATCAACTCACATCTAAAAACACTTTTCGGACCCAAGGTGGAAGTCGATGTGTAATCGGACTTCTAAAATATATATTACATATAATTGTGGTCACCATGATTGTAATGATATTTAACACAAAAGTTAGGAGAAGATATTTTGCAACCAAGGGAATTGAATCTGAAGTTGGCGGAAGAATTTTGGAGACCAAAAGCAAGAAGACAACAATTGAAAGTAACACATTCATAGTCAAACCCATTTTCTCGCCGGAAGCTGTTGGTAAATAGAAGACTGTGACATTCAAAAAGGCCATTAGGACTGTGGGAAGGATCAGGAATACGGTGTAGAAGAGGGTTTTTCGACGGATTCGGATTTGAAATTCGATTCGACTTCGGTCGGTGGTTAAGATCGCTGGGCCATCCTAGAAATTGCATCATCATTTTTTAATTTTCAAAAAAAAAATTTTTAATTTCCAAAAAAATTTTTTTTTGATTTTTTCAAAAAAAAAAATGCTGGGCCGTCCTGAAAATTGCAATTTTGTGAAAGTAAAAAAAAAAAATTTTTTTTAATTTTCAAAAAAAAAAAAAAAAATTTTTGATTTATTCAAAAAAAATGTTGGGCCATCCTGAAAATTGCATTTTTGTAAAAAAATTTTTTTTTTTTTTTTTTTTTTTTGATTTATTCAAAAAAATGCTGGGCCCTCCTGAAAATTGCATTTTTGTAAAAAAAAATGTAAAATTTTTTTTTTTTTCAAATTTTTTTTTTTTTTTTTTCAAAAAAATTTTTTTTTCTCACCATCATATCCCAAATTGAGCTTGTCGCATATTCTGAAAAATCGACCCGATCCGACTTCAGAAAATCCAATTTTATCTCATCTTTGTTGTACTGTAAGAAAAAGAGCTATGACGTGGCAAATATTGATTTTTTTTTGAATTTCAGAAAAAATTTGAATTTTTAGGGAGTGTTTGGTCTTAAAATGCTCCAAATTACCCAGAGAGTACAAAAAAATGGGCGTGGCTTTGAAATACACCGTGTTTGGTCTTAAAATGCTCCAAATTCCCTGCAGGGCTCAAAAATACACCGTGTTTGGTCTTAAAATGCTCCAAATTTCCCCCAGGGCTCAGAAATACACCGTGTTTGGACTCAAAATGCTCCAAATTTCCCCCAGAGCACAGAAATACACCGTGTTCGGTCTTAAAATGCTCCAAATTTCCCCCAGGGCTCAGAAATACACCGTGTTTGGTCTTAAAATGCTCTAAATTTCCCCCAGGGCTCAGAAATACACCGCGTTTGGTCTTAAAATGCTCCAAATTTCCCCCAGGGCTCAGAAATACACCGTGTTTAGTCTCAAAATGCTCCAAATTTCCCCCAGAGCTCAAAAATACACCGTGTTTGGTCTCAAAATGCTCAGAAAATCCTACCGTCCAACTTCCAAACGTCAAACTACACAATTGATCATCAAACGGAAAAAATTCGACATCAATAATACAACTCGATTTATAAATCGCCGGCGGAACCCACATCACAGTTCCGTCGCTTTTCACCAATACATTACACATAAATGATACCTCGTAATTTCCGTCAGCGCTGGAAAATTTCAGAATTTTGAGGAATTCCAGAATTTTCAGAATAACTAACTTGTTGAAAAGCACAATGTCGGGGAGCCAAACTTTTTCGGGTGCAACTCTGATTTGCGAAATGTTTCCGTAGTCTTTGGGATTCCATTTGAATTGATAATCGTACCATTTCTAAAGGAATTCGAACATTTCTCCTGATTTTTTAAAATCCCCTAATTGTGAGCTCACCAAAGTTAGCCAAACATTTGTGTGCATCACTTGCTCTTTTTCATCGACATTAATCAATAGAACTAGTTGCATTCCGATTTGAACAATCATTGGAAGTTCGGAACGATTTCGGACTGGCTGAAATGTAAAAAATTTCAAGTTTTTGCCGAAATACGGAAGCTTGTTTGAAAAAAAACGAAAAAAAGAAATAAATTCAAACCACGCGCGCAACGTCAACGCGGAGTCTCGTTGTTTTCTTTTTATTTTTTTGCGAATTTATCCATTTTTTGGGGGAAAAATGGTGATTTTTGCATAAAAAAAGGAAAAATTGCGAAGAAATAAAAAGAAAACAACGATACTCCGCGTTGACGACATGTTCGCGCGCGTGGTTTGAATTTTTGTTTTTTTTCGCAAATTTTTTTTTATTTCTCATTTTCTGGAGACGAAAAATAATGAATTGAAGAAATTTAAACAGAAAAATTCAATATTTTCAAAACCAAACTGATTTTTCTATGGAAATTGTGTTTTTTTGAGTTTTTGACCGAAATATGCTTTAAAAATTTTTTTTTGTTCTCAGAAATCAGATTTAGCTTAGTTCAACTATAGTCTAGTCCGATGAAAAAAATCAGAAAATTTTAATAAGTTTTCGCCGAAATACGGAAGCTTGTTTGAAAAAAAACGAAAAAAAAAATAAATTCAAACCGCGCGCGCAACGTCAACGCGGAGTCTCGTTGTTTTTCTTTTTATTTTTCTGCAATTTTTTTCGGGGAAAATGGTGATTTGCATGAAAAAAGGAAGAAAATTGCGAAAAAATAAAAAAGAAAACAACGAGACTCCGCGTTGACGTTGCTTGTGCGCGTGGTTTGAATTTTTAAAAAATTTTTCACAAATTTTTTCATCCCCGGAAAATTGTGTTTTTCCATGAAAATTCTTATTTTCCCCGAGAAAAAATGAAAAAAAAAAAGAAAACAACGAGACTCCGCGTTGACGTTGCTTGTGCGCGTGGTTTGAATTTTTAAATTTTTTTTTGAAATTTGTTAGTTTTTTTTTTTTTTTGACAGAAAATGACAATTTCTGGAAATTTGTATAGCAAATTCAAATTTAACGAGTCCAAAAAAAAGTCATAAAAACTTTTATTGACTTTTCCCAAATTTACCTGAACAAGCGAGTTATAACCACGAAACAAATCAACCATGAGTCGATCTTCAGCTTCAACTTCCGCCGATCCCAAACATCCTGAAAAAATATACTTTTTAAGTGTTTTTCATTGTTCTTTTCCAACAAAAGTACTTCCTTGAGCACTTTTTTCTGGCGAAAAAAAGAAAAAAACTACATTTGACACGTGGCAATCAGATTTCCTGCAATTTTTTGCAAAAAATCCTTTTTGAGTGCTTTTCCCCCATTCCATTATGACTAAAGAAAGAGAAAAAAATGGAAAAACAAATGGATTTGGGCCGAAAATAATTGAATTATTTTCTGTTTGTCTTGGTGAGATTCGCCCTAGTTTCTCAACAACATTTTGCCCGCTGGAAAATATGTCCTCGGTAGTATAGTGGTGAGTATCCGCGTCTGTCACATGCGAGACCCGGGTTCAATTCCCGGCCGGGGAGAGATTTTTTGTTTTTTCGTTTTTTCTTTTTTTTTGGTTTCGGGGAAAAAAGTGTTCGCTTTGCCAAGAGGGACAAATCAATCATATCTAAGTTCTGTCCCCTTTTTTTCCTCTGGTTCCTTTGAAAAAGGAAAAGACAAAAAAAATCATTCAAAATAATCCGAAATAAGCTCCTTTCTACTTTTTATTTTTTTTTTTGCAGAAAGTTAGAAAAATTTTGGGTCACACTTGAAATTTGATACTTTTTCGGGCCTCGAAGAAACTTTTTGGATGAATTTTTTATTTTCTTCTTGTTGCAGAAAAAAAGTAAAAAAAAAAAAAGAAACTGACCTGGAAAAAATTGCAAAAATACTAGAATTCCAGATATCCACATGATGATTTTCAGAAAAGAAATTTCAGTCACACGCCGTCCATGAAAATTTTCTGAAATTTGGAAAAATCTGAAATTTTGTGCTGAAAATATAGAAAAAAGCAAAAACAGAAACTGAATAATTATTTTTTTTTCAAATTCAAATCGAAATTTTTTGGCCAAAAGACAAAAAGAATGAAAAGAAGAAGCTGGACTAGCGAAAAATGCGAAAAAAAGAAGAGGAAAAAGAATAGAATGAAAGTGTGTAAAAAGGGGCGTGGCTTCGGGAAGAAGAAAAACCAAAGGAAATATTTAGTATCTATAGGAAAAGGGATATTTATTTTTAACAACTGTTCGATTTTTGTTTTGGGCTGGAAAAAATTGATGAAATTTTGAATTATCCTAATTTCTTTTGTAAGTTAACGTTACTCTTAAGTTTAGCTTAAAATTAACCTTAAATTTAAAAGTTAGGGTAACTTTTAAATTTAGGGTTCATTTTTGTTATTACAAGATAATTTTTTTATTTTGAATTTGCCGCCAAAAAAATTGAGCCCGGGAAATTTCGAAATTCAAAAAAAACACGAATTTTTTTCAAGCTTAATTTTTGCTCTTAAAAATTTTGAAAACTTCAATTTTCCCGCCAAAATTCCAGCCGGGAAATTTGAAAATTCAAATTTTTCTCTAAAATTTTTGAACCCGCGAAATTAGAAAACTCAAATTTTCCCGCCTAAAAAGTTTGAGCGCGGGATATTTGAATATTCAAGTTTTCCCGCCAAAAAATTTGAGCGCGGGAAATTTGAATATTCAAATTCTGTACTTCTTCCGCGAAATTTCGAAATTCGGGAAATTTTTGAAAATTCAAATTTTCCTGCTCAAAAATTTGAGCGCGGGAAATTTGAAAATTCAAATTCTGTATTTCTGGCGCGAAACTTCGAAATTCGAAGTTTTCCCGCCGAAAAAATTTAGGCGCGAAAATTTCGAAATTCAAATTTTTTGCACCAAAGCCACGAAATTTGAATTTCTGTATTCCTTTGGCGCCAAATCAAAATTTGGAATTTTTTGGCGGGAATTCAAAATTTCCAAAAAAAAAATGTTTTTTTCAAAATTTTTTGAACCAATTAAATTTGAATATTCAAATTCTCTCCAAAATTTTTGAGGCGGGAAACTTTCGAAATTCAAATTTTTTGCACCAAAGCCAGAAATTTGAATTTCTGTATTTTTGGCGCCAAAAACTTCAAAAGGATTTTTTGAAAATTTTCAAATTCTCCGCCAAAAAATTTGAGCCCAGGAAATTTGAAAATTCAAATCTCCCGCCAAAATTCCAGCCGGGAAATTTTGAAAATTCAAATTTTTAGAAAAATTCAAGTTTCCCTCCAAAATTAAATCCCGCGAAAATTTAAAAATTCAAATTTTTCTCCAAAATTTTTGAACGAAGAAAATTTGAAAATCTCATTTTCCACTGAAAAATGCTCTTTGTCTTTAATTTCAACCAAAAAAAAATCCGCCGAAATTTCTCTCTCAAAATTCAAATTTATTGTTACACGACACACGACACACAAAAAAATTGGGGCAATAAAAATAAAAGATTCAAAGATATTTTCATTCATAGTTTTCGAGAAAAAACGTGGAAAAACGTGGAAAATTGGGGGGCGAAATCACAAAATTGGTTGAATTTTGAAAGAGAAAATGAGAAGGGACCAGAGAAAATCGGGGAAAAATCGAGATTTTTTGCGACGGGGGGGAATATAAACATAATTTGGGAAGGGGATCCTTTTTTCGATAGATATTAAAAATACATATTACATTATATTAATAATATTATATGGCAGTCAATAAAAAAATAGGATATGAAATGATAATAAGAACTTTCCAGGGGGACAAAATTATATATGAGTGTGGCCAAAAACAAACATATGCACATAGGGGGGGTTAACTATAAAAAAATGGGGGAAACTTACCAAAATTGGACAAAAAAGATCAGACACCAGAGTTTCGGCACGGCCAAAAGTAAAACTTTTTTAATAGTCGAGATGTCATCTGAAAAAAAAAGAAAACTTGGAAGATTAATTGTGCCCAGAAGAAAAATGGGAGAAAATAATTACCTCAGGCATTTGTTTGAGAGTCATTGTTCCTTGTGAGGTTTGGAATCCGCATGCGACTTTTTTGTTGACTTCAGTCAACATTTCAACAATGTCCATGTCGACTGCGTGGCGAGAGAAGACCTGGAAGATTTTTGGGGAAAAATCAGGCTTTTTTAGGCCGTTTCAGGCTTGTCTAGACAATTTTTGGGGCCTGAAAGCCCTAAAAGGCTTGAAATCTCTAACTTTAGGGCTTTTCTGGGCTTGCCTAAAATTCAGACCGTTCCAGGCTTTTCTAGAGGCCTTTCAAGCCTTTTAGAGCTATTTTAGGCCCGAAAAATTGTCTAGGAAAGCCTGGAACGGCCTGAATTTCATTAAAGCCCATAAATAAGAGGTTTATTAGTCAATTTTAATTATTAAAATTTCCTAACTTTTTTCCGAGCAAAAAAATTGTGTGTAAAATATTAAAATATTCCGGAAACTATTACACACTTTTCTTATTTAAAAAAATATTCAAATTTCAAAAAAAAAAGTGTTTTCCGGTTTCAAAACAGGTTTTCTTCAAAATGAAAATTTCATAATTTCTAAGAAAAAAATGAAATTTTTCACGTGAACTGAAAAAAACTGTGACGTGGCAATTTTATAAAAATAAATTTTTAGCTTGGAAAAAAATCATTTCTGATTTTGTAAAATACTATTTTCGACTAGAAAATTTTTTGAGTTTGGGTAAGTCCGGGGGAAACTGATTACATTTTTCCAGTCACGAACTTTTTTTAACAAAATCAGGCACTTCAGATTCCAGCTAACAAGATCTGGGATTCATCTCAAAGTTGACGAAAATACTCGATCAAAAAATGATTTTCTAGCTAAAAACTTCAATTTTTTAATCAACAAATGTATTTCGCTTTGAAAAAAATTTTGAAACGGACAAAAACACAATGTTTCAATATTTTTCGAGCTTCATAATTTTATTGATTGAAAAATCAAAGTTTTTAGCTACAAAATCATTTTTTGAGATGAATATCGATTTTTTGAAAATGACTTTTTTGGAAAAAAAGTTATCGTAATTCATAAAACACATTTTTCCTTTCCAAAAAATCTCATTTTCCCTGAATCTTTCAGATTTCCGGTGAATTTTATTGATTTTGATACCAGATCTTGTTAGCTGGAATCCAAAGTACCAAACTTCGAAGTTCTGACGTAGAAAATGTTATTTTACAAAATCAGAAATGATTTTTTTCCAAGCCGAAAATTCATTGAAAAATTTCCACGTCACATTTCACGTGAAAAATTGGATTTTTTTTTTTAGAAATTTTAAAATATTGAAATTTTCATTTTGAAGAAAACCTGTTTTGGAACAGAAAAACACTTTTTTTTTTGAATTTTCAATAATTTTTTGAATAAGAAAAGTGTGTAATAGTTTCCGGAATATTTTATTTTACACACGATTTTTTTGAAAAAAAGTTGGGAAATTTTAATAATTTGAAAAATTGACTCTAATTTTAGGGCTTTTTAGGGCTTGCATGAAATTAAGGCTGTTCTAGACAAATTTTCGGGCCTAAAATAGTCCTAAAAGGCTTGAAACTCTAGAAAAGCCTAGAAACGGCCTAAAAATTTTATGCAAGCCCGAAAAAGCCCTAAATTTAGAGGTTTCAAGCCTTTCAGGGCTTTTTTAGGCCCAAAAATTGTCTAGAAAAGCCTGAAACGGCCTGAATTTTATGCAAGCCCAAAAAAGCCCTAATATTAGAGGTTTCAAGCCTTCTAGGGCTATTTAAGGTCCCAAAAATTGTCTGAAACGGCCTCTAATTTTCGGGCTTTTTTGGGCCTTCATAAAATCCCCCAATTTACCTCACAAATCGCCTGAATAAACCACGATCCTTTCACACTATTTCTCCACGACACAAATTGCGCAGTCGTCGCATACGCAATCAAAATATCCGCCTGATCCGGCTTCTTTCGCCACGCCGTTTGTTGTAGTTGCGGACGAATACAACCCATAAAATTGAAAATCGGACCATCGCCCTTGTCAAAACTCATTTGATTGTAGGCCGCGACGCGGCCGCTTCGCAACATTGCCGGAATTCCATCTATTGCGTCATGGGGGACGGCAAAACCAGTGTCACGACGTTCTGCAAATCAAAATTTGTTTTTTGTACCCCGTGTAGCCTAGCCAAATGTTTTTGCTATAAAAAAGCGAAAAAACAAGATAATTTTTGGGCGTTATCAGTTCATTCTATATACTATGGAACACCAGGAAGAAACCGAATCTATTATTGACACCGTTTTGAACAGTAAGTGGAATTTAAGCCATTTTGGGCCAAAAATGTCCTAATTTTCGCCATTTTTGGGCCATTTAAGCCATTTTTGGGCCAAAAATGGGCTAATTTTCAACCAAAACAACCCACCTCCTCGACACGCTTGAATAAATACCAATTTCGGTTTATTGGCCAAAAATGGAGCCTTTGAGGCGCTCAACAAATCGCACAAATCGTGTGTGCTCACCGATTGGTCATCGACTCCTAGAAAAAAAATTGACGATAGGTTCCCCTGCGCGGGAGCTGGAATTTTCTGAAAATCTCAACGTTAAGCTGGATTTTCAGAAAATTACAGATCCGGCAGAAAGTGTTTTTGAGCTGAGCCAAAATATTTTTTTGAAAAAAAATTGACGATAGGTTCCCCTGCGCGGGAGCTGGAATTTTCTGAAAATCTCAGCTTTACGCTGGATTTTCAGAAAATTACAGATCCGGCAGAAAGTGTTTTTGAGCTGAGCCAAAATATTTTTTTTTGAAAAAAAAATTGGCGATAGGTTCCCATGCGCGGGAGCTGGAATTTTCTGAAAATGTCAACGTTAAGCTGGATTTTCAGAAAATTACAGATCCGGCAGAAAGTGTTTCCGAGCTGAGCCAAATTTTTTTTTTTAAAAAAAAAAATTGACGATAGGTTCCCCTGCGCGGGAGCTGGAATTTTCTGAAAATCTCAACGTTGAGCTGGATTTTCAGAAAATTACAGATCCGGCAGATTTCGGATTACTAAAAGTGTTTTTGAGCCGAGCCAATTTTTTTTTTGAAATAAAAAATTGGCGATAGGTTCCCCTGCGCGGGAGCTGGAATTTTCTGAAAATCTCAGCTTTTAGCTGGATTTTCAGAAAATTACAGATCCGGCAGAAAGTGTTTTTGAGCTGAGCCAGAATTAATTTTTAATTTCAAATAAAACATTGACGATAGGTTTCCCTGTGCGGGAGCTGGAATTATCTGAAAATCTTAGCTTTATGCTGGATTTTCAGAAAATTACAGATCCGGCAGAAAGTGTTTTTGTGCTGAGCTCCAAAATCAATTTTTTTTCAAAAAAAAATTGGCGATAGATTCCCCTGCGCGAGAGCTGGAATTTTCTGAAAATCTCAGTTTCATGCTGGATTTTCAAAAAATTACAGATGCGGCAGAAAGTGTTTTTGAGCCGAGCCAAAATATTTTTTTTTTTGAAAAAAAATTGGCGATAGGTTCCCCTGCGCGAGAGCTGGAATTTTCTGAAAATCTCAGCTTTTAAGCTGGATTTTCAGAAAATTACAGATCCGGCAGATTTCGGATTATTTAGTGTTTTTCGAGCCAAGCCAAATTTCAATTTTCAAATTAAAATAAAAAATTGGCGATAGGTTCCCCTGCGCGGGAGCTGGAATTTTCTGAAAATCTCAACTTTAAGCTGGATTCTCAAAAAATTACAGATGCGGCAGAAAGTGTTTTTGAGCCGAGCCAAAATATTTTTTTTGAAAAAAAATTGGCGATAGGTTCCCCTGCGCGAGAACTGGAATTTTCTGAAAATCTCAGCTTTTAAGCTGGATTTTCAGAAAATTACAGATCCGGCAGATTTGGATTATGTTTTTGAGCTGAAGCCATTTTTTTTCAAAAAAATTGGCGATAGGTTCCCCTGCGCGGGAGCTGGAATTTTCTGAAAATCTCAGCTTTTAGCTGGATTTTCAGAAAATTACAGATCCGGCAAAACGGAAATACCGTGCAAGGGCTGGGAAACCAGCTCCGATACGCCAAAAATTAATGAAGAAGAACTTGGTGTACGCCAAATTTTTCTTCATTAATTTTCGCCGTAACTTTTCCACGTCATACCATTCTTTTTCTCTTACCAATAATTTTATTCTCTTCTCCATGCGATAAAATTACAATAATCGCCGAAGAGCATCTTCTGTGAGCACTTTCTCTGGTGAAATCCTGAATCGTGAACAATATTTCCTGAAAACGCTCATTTTTCATTTTTTTTTTCCTCACAAGACCCTTCTTACTCTAGCTGTCAAATTATCTCTTCCCAAAATATGATAACCCATAGTTCGAAAAAGGTTCGATATATTCTCCTTGTCCGTTTTTGTTCCATTTCTTGTTGGCATTTGTTCAAAGTGTTCGTTGTTGATGATGAGACAAAGACCACGTGGATTCGAAAAATTCGGGTACATCTGAGGATAGAAATTTGATTTCTAGATGTTTTTTAGCCTGAAAATCTGAAGACATACCGTCTCTTTATCATAGATTCGTTGAATTGAGGGAGCATCTGTGTAATTCATGGAATTCACGTTGAATTCATAGGGTTCGGTGGGGGAATTTGGAGCATATTTGTAGGAGCCAATTGAAGATCGTGTAGATGCCGAACTACTGTAACCCAATGAACCACTTCCGAAACTATGATTTGGTGATGAAGCTGGAAATATGGGGGAATTTTGGTACCAGTTTATTTTGTGAGCGAAAATTCTCCATGGAGATCACAAAATAATGATTCATGCAGTAATTCAGGAAATAAAAAAACGTTTTTTAACGTTAAAAAACCAAAAAAGTGATTCATGAACAGTATTTTTATTCATTTTTTCACCATTTTCTCAACAAATTGAAGAAAGTGAAGCTAAAACGCATTTTAGTGTCCAAAAATTCTATTTCAAGATCTTATAATCAGCCTCAAAGATAAATCAAGCCTCACATCTGATTCTGAAGACTTGATTTGTCTTTTAGGCTGATTAGAATTAGAAAGTCTTGAAATAGCATTTCTGGACACTAAAATGCGTTTTAGCTTTCACTTTATTCAATGTGTTGAGAAAATGGTGAAAAAATGGATAAAAATACCGTTCGTGAATCACTTTTTTCGGGTTTTTTAACGTTAAAAAACGTTTTTTATTTCGTGAATTATCAAAATGCATTTATTTTGATTCAAAAACTCACGAGTTTGTCGATTAAAAATCGATCTAACTGGTGATTGATAATTCATTCTATCCGATGCATGCAACGGTTTCTGCGATCTCGATCTCGATCTTGCTCGCGACAACAATTGTGCTGACGGATCGAAACATGTCGATGAGATTGTTTCGCGTCTCGGTCTCGATGTTGTCGCCACCGCCCCAATCTCCATTCGACGTCGTGTTGTTGGCGGTGAGCTGATTGTTGCGGATGCTGTTGATATGGTGACACGAGATGCGCGAACACCACTTTGATAATGGTGTGCTCCGATCAAGAGAGGTTTCAGCAATTCAGCGAGATCGTCTTGTCCCGATTCGATTAGTGCCTCGTAAAATGCGTCGTACGCAACATCTCCTCTTTTCTTGATCTCTTTTACTACTTCTTTTCGACGATCTCGTTCAGTTGGGGAAGCCTAAATTAAAGATATGAGCTCTGGTAGTTTTCGACACGCTGAACACGATTCCGTTGTCAAAAACTGCAAATCACAACTCCTAATTTGAGCTATGACGTGGCAAAATTGAAAAATCGTGAATTCAGAAGGTTGTAACTTGCTCCAAGCATGGTTTTCATGAAAATTTGGCGTTGTTTAGGAGCAAGTCATAAATTTTCATGAAAAATCTTCCAAATTCACAATTTTTCAACTTTGCCACGTCACAACTCAAATTAGGAGTTAAGATTTGCAATTTTTGACAAAGGGGTGGCACTAATTTCACGATTCCTTTGTCAAAAACTGCAAATCACAACTCCTAATATGAGTTATGACGTGGCAAAATTGAAAAATCGTGAATTTTGAAGCTCTAAACATGGTTTTCATGAAAAATTTCATGAAAACCATGTTGAGAGCAAGTCAGCCTTGTAAATTCACGATTTTTCAACTTTGCCACGTCATAACTCATATTAGGAGTTGAGATTTGCAATTTTTGACAAAGGAATCGTTCTGGACTATAGTTGGACATCGACTAAATGACATTTTCAGGGTTTTTAAGCAAATGAGTTGAAATATTGGGTTCTAATGTTATTCATATGATAGAATGGTCTAAGACGAACAGAATGGTATAAATTTTGATGATTTTACGTTATCCATAAGTTATTTAGCGAGGTTTAGTCGATATTTAATCGATAAGCCGCTAAATCACTTATGGATAAGGTAAACTCATCAAAAGTTATATCATTCTGTTCGTCTTAGAGCATTCTACCCTATCAATAACATTAAAACCCAATATTTCAACTCATTTGCTTAAAAAACATGAAAATATAATTTAGTCGATGTGGCCAATTATATTCTGGACTCACAATGATCGAATCAATAACCGTTTCATTGAAAACCTCCTTCACAACCAACAATTCAATAACATCTTCAACATTCATATGATGCAAAAACTCCAAATGATTCTTATCCAAAAGATTTCGACGATCTTGTCGCATCATCTTCGCCAAGAAGAAGATTGAATGCAATTACTTGCGCTATTGTATGATTTTTCTGAAGCGCAAAGAAATAAAAAATTAAATTTGAAACCAGAAAAAAACCAGAAATAAACAAAAGACATCTGGAGAAAAAAGTATCGAGAAAAGGCTTCATAAAAAACTTGTATATACAAACTTTTTTACGACGGGTGGACGCAGGACAATAATTTTATGATGAGCGAGCAAAAGCAGGTGGATGGGAAACAAAAAGGTGTCAAAAACCCAAGGACACACCACCAAAATGGACGAAAATATTTAATTTCGCGCAACAATTAGTGGAATAATAATGCTCCAAATGGCTTTTAAGGTTATTATTATTAGATCAACTCACTACTAATATGAATATATTCATTATTCATATAAGAACAATAGCAGTGGATATATATAAATTGCGCAATAAATCGCACACATTTTCGTGCCACTATTTTGACAAGAAAAAGAAAGTCGGCATGTTTTTTGAAAGGCACCTCAAGTACACCATTAATTGTTCTTTCTTGTTTTTGTTATTTGGTGAGAACGGTTTGTCTGAAGGTTAAACGTGGCGTTAGCTAGCATCTGCAAATTGTTTTCACAAGAAGACATAAATATGAGACACTGTGTTTTTTTCTAATAGAAAAATGCAATTCCGAGGAGACGCAGACAGAGAGAGAAAGAGGCTGGTCTCGACGCGATGTGTGTCTGCCACACACTATTTCTCTCCCTTTTTCGGCGAGAGATTTGTCTGCGCACGTTAAAGTCTGCGTCTCTCAGAACTGGCAAGAAAAAATACAGTGGAGAAAAACAACAAATTGCTCATCATAAATTGGTTTTCACTGTAAAAAGTTTATCTTGCCAATTAATCTCATGATGCGTGATCGGTAAACTACAAAATCTAATGCGCGAAACATGAAAACATCAAGGTTAACAGGTTAAAATGCATTTTATGTGCGAGTTCGTGAAACAAAAGCAAAAAATCAATAGGCAAATTCAAACCAGCTGTTTTGGCGGCGTTGCGGTGGAGCACACTTGCATCCTCGACCACCCAGTGTGTTTTTTTTCTGTGTTTGTTTGCGCGCGCAGCCTTTTTCGCTGGAGAAAAGATTATTGTGAAATACGGCGAGCGTGCTGCAGATCTGCAGATGCCTGCTGCAGCTTTCAGAAAATTTTGCAGAGCTGCAGCAGCTCTGCAAATTGTTTTTTTTTTGCAAAAATGAAATTTTTCGATTAGATTCATACCACGCCCAGCTTCGTGCAAATTAACTTTGAAAATTGGCGGTGTGGGTTTTGAATTTTTTGGCGAGGTGAAAACAACTTTTTCGACTGAAAAATATCACTTTTAAACGGAAAACCAAGCAAAAATTTGCTGTTTTTCAAGAAAATCTCAAATTGGCGAGGTGAATTTCTGTAAATTTCTATTGGTTAACGTTAAAAAAACCAAAAAAGTGATTCACGAACGGTATTTTCATTCAATTTTTCACCATTTTCTCAACACATTGAATAAAGTGAAGCTAAAACGCATTTTAGTGTCCAGAATTGCTATTTCAAGACCTTCTAATCAGCCTAAAAAACAAATCAAGCCTTCAAAATCACCTATTTCATTTTTTGGGAGATGTGGGGCTTGATTTTTCTTTTAGGCTGATTAGAAGGTCTTGAAATAGCATTTCTGCACACTAAAATGCGTTTTAGCTTCACTTTATTCAATGTGTTGAGAAAATGGTGAAAAATGAATAAAAATACCGTTCGTGATTTACTTTTTTGGTTTTTTAACGTTAGAAAAACGATTTTTATTTCGTGAATCACTGCATTACTGATAGAAAATCAAAATTTTCGATTAGATTTTAAATCTTGGGCCGAAAAAAATCGAAACAATTCGATTTTTTCTTCGTTTTTCGGCAGGTCTGCCGCAGGTCTGAAGCTGCAGGCACGTACTTAGCAACCCTGCTGCAGCTCCGGCGCATTTTCCCCAGTGATAGTAGAATTTTGCAGGCTACATCGCCTTCTCGTTCATCACAATCACAATTCTATTTTTGACAATCTATTCGACTCAAAAACAACAATACAAACACTTTATCGGCGAGGAAAGTTGCTATAGGTGACTAGATTATTGTATTTTTAATAATAATTATTATTATATTTGAATTGACTTGACTTGAAAATGAGAAAAATAAATAAATTAAGAAGAAGAAAATTTGGTCGAAAAATGCAAATACACGTTTGCAAAATAAGGATTTCTAGGCTAGGATAAATAAATAGCAAAATTAATTTAGGAAGTTGAATTGTAATTATGAAGAGTTTCACTGTTTGGATGTAGCATTGTATTCTCATTAGAACTTGGAGCATGAGATCCATTTGCTGGCTGAAAATGATTGATTTATTTATAGATCTAGTTTAAGAAATTTTTTCAAGCTAACCTTGATATTGAGGGCTTCACTACTAACCGCAAAAGAAACATCGGAAGGCAGTGGAACATGATCTGATGGAATATTCACGACGCAACCAAGAATATCCCATTCAGGTGACAATCTTCCAGATTTGAAAAGTTTCTCCGATTGTATAGAAACGAAATAAATCGTCGACATTGAAGATAGCATTGCAAATGTTCGAAATGGAAAATATTGAACACCATCAGTGTACATTGGATAATGGAAAAATGGGGGGAATGATAAAAGTGGTTCGCCGCCAGCGAGTCGAAGAATTAGACCAACGAAATATCCGGATAACGAACCATAGGTGTTACTTCGAGGCATGTAAACGACGCAAACTAGTTGGGGGAATAGAATGACGTAAACCAAATCAGCACAAAGATACCATAAACCATAAATTGATTGGATTGTTAGAGCCATTATTGTTGCCATTATACCAACACAAATGATTGCAACTCTCATAACGATGATCACTTCTTTCTCGGATGCCTGAAAGTATTTCTATGAGTATAAGAAATGATTTTGGGATTTGCTAAATGACATTTTGTGAGCAATTTAGTTGACATATTTGGTTCAAATTGTTATTCAAAGATAGGCAGGCCTAAGGCAATTCGAATGATATAATTTTTATGGCTTTACGTAACTCATAAGTGATTTAGGGGCGGGGGGTAATCGATAAATCGAGTCTAATAATAATTTTTCACGAACGTTTATACTCGTTCTCGTTTGACAACGAGTCTAAACGTCCAGAATTAAAGGTAAAGTCATGAATTAGACTCGATTTATCGGTTAACCTTCCCTAAATCAGTAATGGGTAACCTAAAGTCATAAAAAAATTATATAATTTCAATTGTCTTAGACCTATCCTATAAACACAATTAAAACCAAATATTGCAACTAACTTGCTCAAAATGTTATTTTTAAATTGTAAACTTACATGTGGTCTAATTGTAAGTTTCCAAATATTATGCGCAAACATTGCTGCAGCTGATAATACTGACGAATCAGCTGACGACATAACAGCTGCTGATACCGCACCAAGTCCAATAAACGCCACCCATCTTGGTGTCAAATATTGGAAGACAAGTGGAACCACCATATTTCTCTTATCCGGTGGAATACTTTCCACTTTTGTGCCATTATTCCAAGGCGAGTAATCAGTCATTCTCCAATCTAGAACTTATTGTAGCTTAATTTCGGATCTTTATTTTGTCACCCACCAGTATTCCTTGCAATCGCACCAATCAACGCCGGTGGAATCGCCATCAAAATACATCCAACGCCAGCGACAAATGACAAAGTTTGTGCGCCGTGTGCGGTTTTCGAAGAGAGAACTCGTTGAAAGTAGACTTGCCATGGAATCCCGCCGAAAATCAGAAGGAGCATACAATCCCACCAGAGAGCAGTTTCTTTGAATCCACCAACACTTCCGATCCAATCGCCAGCGTTTCGAGAAATGTCTTTGGCGCCATCGTGAACCATTGCAGCTGGCACACAGACCCACTGAAAAAGGATAGGGATATTTTGATGTGAGGTTTGAATGTATTCATGCAGTGATTCACGAAATAAACGTTTAAAAAACCAAAAAAAAGTGATTCACGAACGCTATTTTTATTCATTTTTTCCACCATTTTCTCAACACATTGAATAAAGTGAAGCTAAAACGTATTTTAGTGTTTAAAAATGCTATTTCAAGACTTTCTAATCAGCCTAAAAGACAAATCAAGCCTTCAAAATCAAATTGTTGATTTTCGAAAATCACTAATTTCATTTTTTGGGAGATGTGAGGCTTGATTTGTCTTTTAGGCTGATTAGAAGGTCCATACATAAACTGGGACTCCGTAGGACCCTTAACTTTTGAAAATTTCGGAGAATTTTATGGCTTCAGAGGCCAAAAACCCACAAAAAGTTGGTTAGGGGTGTTAACTTTTCGAAAATTTCCCTGGAAGAGGTTTCAAAATCTATGCTTCAAAATCAAATTGTTGATTTTCGACTATTTCATGTAATGAGAAGGTCTTTAAATAGCATTTCTGGACACTAAAATGCGTTTTAGCTTCACGTTTATTCAATGTGTTGAGAAAATGGTGAAAAAATGAATAAAAATACCGTTTGTGAATCACTTTATTGGTTTTTTTGACGTTAAAAAACGTTTTTTTTTCATTTCGTGAATGACTGCATTAAATATTTTCTAATAACCCACCAATCCAACAAAAATACAAAAAAGCTGAACAACATCAGTATAAGCGACCGCATAATATCCGCCAGTGAACGTGTAAAAAACAGCAATACACGCTGACAAAGTGACCGATGCGTTCATATCAATTCCAAGAATAACTGACAGTGTTGCACCCAATGCTGACAGAATCGCAGCTGTCCAAAATGTTTCGCCAAGAAGTGCTGGCAAATACATCAGACCGCCGATTCTTTGACCATATTTGTGCTGAAAATTGAGAAGATTAGAGCGCACTTTGAATTTCTTTCCGCGAATGGAAAATTCAAATAAAGTGTCAATAGAGCGCACTTTAAATTTCAACCCGGAAATTTGGAAAATTCAAATTTTCTCGGAAATTAAAGTGTCAATAGAGCGCACTTCAAATTTCAGCCCGGGAGTTTCGAAAATTCAAATTCTCTTTCAAATAAAATTTCAATAGAGCGCACTTTGAATTTCTTGCCGCGAATGAGGAAAAATTCAAAATTTCTCCCAAATTTTGAAGAAAAGCTAGGGCTTTTAGAATTTCTCACCTGAAATGGATCTAACATCGTAATATAGCCCTCTTCTCTCATCTTCTTCGCAAACAACAATCCTCCCATAACTAATGATATCGCATATCCAACCGGTGCCTGACATCCCAATAATCCACCGTTATATAATGCTTCAGCAGTTCCATTTATATAGGCTCCTCCAACCCAAGTTGCTGTCATTGTGAAGATTCCAACAAGGGTTCCGATGTTTCTTCCAGCCAACATCACTTCTTCTGTTTGGGCGCCAGCTCCTTCGGACTCCAGTTCTTTGTTGCTCTGAAACACGCATTTTATATGCGACATTTTTGCCTACTGCACAAAAGTTGCCGCGTGGCCTAGCGGTTAACACACGCGTCTTTTGTTCACTAGGTCATGGGTTCGATCCCGCGCCGGCGCAAACTTTTTTTTTGCATTTTTTTTTATTTTTAGCCCCAAAAAGATCCCAAGTTCAAAATGACGTCACCACACATCACAAACCTTTGATTTCCGTCCCGCCCAAATTCCAACAATCAAAATGAGCACGTAGAAGAAGACGATGGCCACAATACCCAAGAAATCTGCCATTTTTGGTCTGATTCTAAAAAAAGGTATATTTTTCTTGAAAAATCTGGAAAGCGCCACATTTTTTGGCCAAAAAAAGTGATTATATATGTACATATTATCCGAGTTTCTCTCAATTCCCCTCCCAAAAAAAACGTGGGAAATGCGTGGATGAAAAAACAGAAAAAACGAAAAAAGGGCAGAGGAAAATCTGGGAAATTCAATTAGAAAATGATACGAAAAAAATAGAAAAGGTTCGGTCGTTTTTTGAAAAAAAAAAGGAAATAATTAGAAAATGGATTTGTGTGCCGCTTTTTTTTGATTTCGTGAAATAAAATTGTGCGTTCGGAAACTACCGTAGTTTTTGAAAAGATCTTGAAGATTGGGGGACAAAATTGAAAATTTTTGAAAACTGATTTTTGAAAAAAATTTAAAAAAATTGAAAATTTTCAAGAAATTTTTTAAATTGAATTTTTTTGAAAATTTAAAAATTCAAAAAAAAATTCTTCAAAATTTTTGAAATAAAAAAAAAATTAAAAAAAATTAAAATTAAAAAAATTTTGAACTGAAAATTTTTTCAAATTGTTTTGAATTTTTGAAAATTGAAATTTTTTTTCGAAAAAAATTGAAAATTAAAAAAACTTGAAAATTAAAAAAATTGAAAATTAAAAAAAATTGAAAATTTGTAGAATTTTTTTGAAATTTAAAATTTTTTTCGAAATTTTTAAAATTTTTGAAAACTGATTTTTGAAATTAAAAAAAAAATTAAAATTAAAAAAATTTTGAACTGAAATTTTTTTTTAATTTTCAAAATTCAAAATTTAAAATTTAAAAAAAAATTGTTTTAATTGAAAATAAAAAATCTTTATTTACTTGAAAATTAAAAAAAAATTTAAATAGAAAATTCTTCAAAAAATTTTTAAAGTTGAAATTTTTTCAAATTTTAAAAATTGAAAAAAATTACAAATTTTGAACTGAAATTTTTTAAGAAATTTTTAAAATTTTAAAATTTTTCTGAAATTTTTAAAGTTGACAATTTAAAAAAATTTTCAAAATGGAAAATTTTTTGAAAAAATGAACATTTTTAATTGAAGGCCCCTAAGGCCCCTAAGGCCTAAGGCCCCTAAGTCCTAAAGGACTAAACTTAGGTTAGGCCTTATTCAGACTGAACCTTAAATCCTAAATCATCAAATCTAAGCCCAAGCCTAGAAAGAAGCTTTTAAAAATTACAATTTAAAGTTCTCGAGAATGCTCCAAAATTTTTTCGAGCCAAGATTTGAGCTCTCAAAAATCATGCAAATTTTTTTTTCGATTTCCAAAAAAAAAACACATTTCATTTTATATTCGACATTTTTGCCTACGCAACAAAACAACCGTGTGGCCGAGTGGTTAACACACGCGTCTTTTGTTCACTAGGTCACGGGTTCGATCCCACTCCGGGCAAACTTTTTTATTTTTTTTTAAGTTCAAAAAACCAAGATTCCCTAGCTCTAATTTAAAAACCAATAAATAATAAAAGCTTCTCGTCATCCCGAAAAAGAATTCCGAAAAGAATTCCAAAGAAAACGAAGAGGTGGAGGTCTCAGCCAAAATAATGTGCATACCTAATAACTTGTCCTGCCTGTCCTTCTCAAAATTATTTTGTTCTTCACCAAAAAAAAACAATGGTTTCGTTGAACAACTAACCAACCAACCAAAAAAAAAAGAAAAAAAACGAAAAAAATTCAAGAAAAAACTAGAAGCTTGAAGAATATTTAATTGAAGGGTGGACACATATACGATATAAATTATAGATTTCAGTTTCAGATTTGGATTTGGAGATGAATAACATCAGTGATGTCACTGCTCAGAAGTTCAAATGAGTTATGACGTGGCAATGTTTTTTCATTCTAGATAGATTGTCAAGGATCAGCTCCTAGAGAACCTAGTTGTCTAGTAGCCGCGCCTATAGAGCCTTCTGTGACAAGGATCGGCGCCTAGAGAGTGTATATGCCAAGTAGCCGAGCCTTGAAACACTAGTTGCCTAGTAGCCGCGTCTAGAAAACCTAGCTCTCAAGTAGCCGAGCCTATAGAGCTTCTATGACAAGGATCAGCTCCTAGGCGACCTAGTTGTCTACTAGCCGCGCCTAGAGAACCTAGCTGTCTAGGGTCAGCAGCTAGAGAAGCTCTATGGCAAGTAGCCACGCCTTGAGAGCCTACATGTCTAGGAGCCACATCTAGAGAAGGACTATGGCTAGGAGTCGCGCCTATAGAGCTTCTATGACATGTAGCCGCGTCTAGGCAGCCTGGTTCTCAAGTAGCCGCGCCTAGAGAACCCTATTGTCAAGTGTCAGCGCCTAGAGAGCTTTTTATGCTAAGAAGGCGAGTCAAGAAACACTAGTTGTCTAGTAGCCTCGCCTAGGAAGCCTGGTTTTCAAGTAGCCACGCCTTGAGAGCCTTCATGTCTAGAAGCCACAGCTACAGAATGACTCTGGTAGGAGTCGCGCCTAGAGCACCAAATTCTCAAGGATCAGCGTCTAGAAGACCTGGTTTTCAAGGAACCACTCTTAGAGCGCCTTATTCTCAAGCAGCAAAGCCTAGAGAGCCTGGTTTTCAAGTAGCCGCTGCTAGAGCGCCTGATTCTCAAGGATCAGCGCCTAGAGAACTTCCAATGCCAAGTAGCCGAGCCTTGAAATCCTAGTTGTCAAGTAGCTGCGTCTAGAGAACCTGGTTCTCAAGTAGCCAATCCTAGAGAGTTCCATTGTCAAGTGTCAGCGCCTAGAGAACCTTATTGTCTAGTAACCTCGCCTAGAAATCGAAGTTGTCAAGGACCAGAGCCTAGAGAACCTTGTATTCAAGTAGCCGCGCCATGCCAAGTAGCCGAGCCTTGAAATCCTAGTTGTCAAGCATCCGCGCCTAGAGAACCTAATTTTCAAGTAGCCGCGCCTAAAAAAATCACCTGTCAAGGACCCGCGCCTACAATTCCTAGCTCTCAAGTATCAGCGCCTAGAGAGTTTCCATGCCAAGCACACACGCCTAGAAAGCCTAGTTCTCAAGCAGCCGAGCCTGGAGAGCTCGGAAAATGCCACGTCATAGCTCAAATCACAAATTCAAATTTCCAAAGCTCATCGCTTCAAAAAAAAATGAAATTGATTCACTTCTTCTTCTTCTTCTCACTCCCTCTCATCCCATATCTGATTTCAGTCAGCGAAAAAAAATTTAATGGATTTTTTTCCCGAAAAAAAATAAATTTAAAAATAAAATGTTAGAAAAGTGAGTAAAAGTTTTTTTCCAAAAATGAAAAAAAAAATAGAAGAAAAAATAAATGAGCCACTAATTGGGCGGATTCATATTTCCTGCGCACATAATTTTTTTCTGTCATTTTTCAAATCAATTTTTCCCATAAGAAATTTCTAGATATATATATTGTTTTGGCTTATTTTTTGTGTTACTCGAAAAAAAAACACCAAAAAATAATTATTATAATTATTTTTGAGTAGAGTTAGCACAACTTGAAAAATTGAGGGTACTGTAGGGCCCTTTGAACACGGAAGCTTTCTCTAGGCGCTGATCCTTGAGAACAAGGTTCTCTAGGCGCGGCTGCTTGAGAACGAGGTTTTCTAGGCGCGGCTGCTTGAGAACAAGGTTCTCTAGGCGCGGCTACTTGAAAACCAGACTCTCTAGGCGCGGCTGCTTGAGAACAAGGTTTTCTAGGCGCGGCTGCTTGACAGCAAGGTTCTTTAGGCGCGGCTGCTTGCGAACAAGGTTCTCTAGGCGCCGCTGCTTGAGAACACGGCTCTCTAGGCGTGGCTGCTTGAGAACAAGGTTTTTTCTCGAACTTTTTTGAATTTTTAGACCCTAGACTCATAAGATACCCTAAACCTTAATTCATCCTAAGTGTCTAGATTTTCAGAAAAAAATTGCCACGTCATAACTCATTTTTCGAGTTGAGCTAAATTAGACAGAATTTTGAAAGCTTCTGAATCGATAAAGTTTTTTTTTCGAATTTTTTTCCAAACATTTTTTGGGGAAAATTTTAAAATTTGATTTTTTTTTGAAATTTCTAGAAATCTTTGAAAAAAAACTGCAAAAAAACACAAAAAAAAAGAAAAAGTCACGCATTTTTGCGAACACTTTTCCATGTTTTGTTGGAGCCCGGAATTGAATTTGTAAAGATTTTTCGGCGCTTCTTTTTTCGCCTTTTTTTGCGCCTAAATTTCGAACCGAAGCAAAGAAAGCAAAGCAAAATTTATTGTGAGAAAGCAAAAAAAAATAAAAAAAGCTGAAATTCTTTCGAGTAAACGTGTCGAAAGTGTCCCTTGGGATCATTTTTTCCCATTTTTCGCTGGCTTCTAAATTCTATACATCATGTTTTTTTCTCCAGTTTTTTTTTTTTTTTTTGGAAGCTGGTGGAAAAATTATTTTTGAAAAAATTCAAGAGCCCGCGCATTTTATATGCAACATTTTCTACAGCGAAAAAAAGCAGCCGGATGGCCGAGTGGTAAACACACGCGCCTATGATTCGCAAGACCCGGGTTCGATCCCCACTGCCGCCTAATTTTTTTTTTTTTTATTTTTTCAACCAGACAAAGAAAAATCAAAGGCAAAAAATGTTTTGTCGCGGAAAAAACGAAGTTGTCAAGAATCCTCTTCATTCAATCCACTTTTCGTTTTCGTAAAACGAATTTAAGTCGGCCGAAGGAAGAAAAAAGAAAGAAATCGAATTTCTCAGCAGCACAGCTTTTCGTCGTATTTTCCATGCAAATTTTTGTGGAGCCAGCAAAAAGAAAAAAAAGAAAAAAAAGAAAACCCGACAAACTTCATAGCATTAAAAAAACGAAACAAAATTGTACAAACGAAAATTATTTGGATAAAAATTCGGCAAATTCCGGATTTCTGGCAACAATCAAATCACTAACTTTATTCACTTGCTCCAATGTTGTGAGAAGTTGAGAATCCCAAATTCTCATTGGATTTATGTCTGGAATATTTTCAGATTTCAGATTTTGAGCGAAAATTGCTCAAAAATCCAATTTTTGAGCTTTAAAGCTTGAAAATCGGCTCAGAAGCTCAAAAATTGCCTGAAAATCGATTTTTTGAGCTCCAGAGCTTAAAAATATGCTCCGAAGCTTAAAAAATTGACAGAAAATCGATTTTTTGAGCTCAGGACCTTGAAAATATGCTCAGAAGCTCAAAAATTGGTAGAAAATCGAATTTTTCGGGCTCTAAACTTTGAAAATATGCTCAGAAGCTCAAAAATTGACAGAAAATCAATAATTTGATGTTCTTGGATCCATTAACTTTTAAAAATTTCAATGTTTGTTCTGAAATATTCTGCTTTTTCAGATTTTCCTCATACAAACTTTCAATTTTCGAATATCAACGTCATAAATAAATTTATTCTAGTTTTTCAGCTCAAATTATTATTTTCAGACAAATTTAGAGTAAAAATTCTAATTTTTTCAAAACCCAAAAAAATTACGTTTCAAAATTTTGATATAATTTTTTATCAAATATTTTTTTCAATTTAATAATTGTTTTTTTTTCTTAAAATTTGACTGAAATGCAATTTTTGAGATCTAAAGCTTAAAATCGGCTCCAGAGCCTGAAAAATTGATAGAAAATCCCATTTTTGAGTTCTAGAGCTAGAAAATATGATTTTCCCCATACAAACTTTCAATTTTCGAATTTCCACGTCATAAATAAATTTATTCGAGTTTTTCAGACAAATCTAGACTAAAAAATCGAATTTTTCAAAATCCAAAAAAATTACGTTTCAAAATTTTGATATAATTTGTTATCAAATATTTTTTTATTGATTTTTTCTTAAATTGGTCAGAAAATCGATTTTTCGGGCTTTAGAGCTTAAAAATATGCTCCAGAGCCTAAAAATTGACTGAAAATGCAATCTAGGGCTTGAAAATGGGGCCAGGAGCTCAAAAATTGCCTAGAAATCCAATTTTTAAGCTCTAGAGCTTGAAAATAGGCTCCCAAGCCTAAAAATTGACAGAAAATCGATTTTTTGAGCTCTAGAGCTTGAGAATAGGCCCCAAAACCCAAAAAAAACACCCACCTTCAAAATGTAAAATCCCTTCGACTTGATCAATATAACCAGACAATCGAGCTGAAGAAATCATCTCACCAGCCATCAATTCGGCCTAAAATCCAAAAAATTTCCAATTTCAGTCTTGATTTTCTGAAAATCCAACTTACAGCATCTTCAGACACTCCCAAAAGTGTTCCAAGTGTTTTCATCGAAATATTCGTGTATAATTGACTGATCGCTGTGATATTATGCTCTTGAATTACGCCTCTGAAATTTGAAATTACAGATTTTTCAGCCAGGAAAAAAAGTTGAATTGGTAAAAACTCACTTCAAAATGGATTCTCCTTGTTCGTCGGTTTTTTGGTGTGGTTGAAGGAGACTTTCGAATTCGGCAAGCTGGAAAAATCGTTGATTTTGGGATTTTTTTCAAAAAATTTGATCTTCTGAAGTTAAAAACTCTGAAAATCTAGATTTCTGATGAATTTTTAGCTCAAAATTGCTCTTTTCGATACAAAATCGATTCAGAAAAGTCCATTTTTGTTCAGAAAATCTGAATTTTTTTCATTTTCATATCAAAATTTTGAAACGTATTTTTTGGACCAAAAAAATGAAAAATTAGAATTTTTAGTTCAAATTTGTCTGAAAATAAGATTTTGAGCTGAAAAACTAGAATAAATTTATTTATGACGTGGAAATTCGAAAATTGAAAGTTTCTAGGAGGAAAATCTGAAATGAATTTTTTTTTCTAAATTTTTTCATTTTCAGATTTTCCTCCCTAGAAACCTTCCATTTTCAATAGCTCAAATTCCTATTTTCAGACAAATTTAGACTAAAAATTCTTATTTTTCATTTTTTCCCCAAAAAAAATACGTTTCAAAATTTTGATACAATTTTTTATCAAATATTTTTTTCAATTTTTTTCGCTATTATCTCCAAAAATAAATAAAAATCAAAATTTCAGCTTCAAATTTGGCTGAAAATTGAATTTTCAGCCTCGAAATCTGCCTTTTTTAAGGTATGACGTGGCAAAATTCGAAAAAGGCTGGAAATTCGATTTTTTTGAGCTCTAGAGCTTTAAAATATGCTCAGTAGCTCAACTCAGAAGCTCAAAAATTGACTAAAAATCAATTTTTGAGCTCTAGAGCTTGGAAATAGGCTCCTGAGCCTAAAATTTGGCTGAAAATCCAATTTTTGAGCTCTAGATCTTGAAAATAAGCTCGGAAGCTCAAAAATTGACAGAAAATCGATTTTTTGAGCTCCAGAGCCTATTTTCTTGCTCTAGAAGCTCAGAAATTCAATTTTTGAGCTCTGGGGCAAGAAAATAGGCTCAGGAGCTCCGAAATTCAATTTTTTGAGCCCTGGAGCAAGAAAATATGCTCAGAAGCTCTAAAATTCCGATTTTTGAGCTCTAGAGCTCCAAAACATGCTCAGAAGCTCTAAAATTCCAATTTTTGAGCCCTGGAGCAGGAAAATATGCTCACCTCATCCTTACTAATAACCCGCGTCAAATACATTTTCGCAATCAATTCAAAAGACACAAAATTCTCGGCTCTTTCATCTTTGAACAACAAACTCAGAAGGCGATTTCGTTGAACTCCGGGTTTCGCCAACAAAACGCAAACCATTGCTTTATTTAGCGCCGTAATTCGATCCGATTTTGGAATTTGATCAATTGTGCTCAATTCATAATATCTGGAAAAAATGGGGAATTTTTTAAAGATCTGGGAAAAATTTAAAAAAAAATTGAATTTACTTTTGAGCAGCTTCAACGAATCTCCGTTTCGCGTCTGAAACTCTGGCTTGCAGAATTTTATGCTCAATTGTGATTTCAGGATTGTTACATTCGACCATCAGAATACTTGTTCGATTTACATATTGTTCAGCTTCATCGATCTGAAAATGAGAAAACTTTGAGATTTTCAGCATTTTTTCAAGCCTGGGAGCTGAAAAATCAGAATTTTCTGCATTTTTTGGGCCTGGGAGCTGAAAATCCCGATTTTTCAGCTTTTTCAGTAACTAGAAGCTGAAAATCCCAATTTTTGACTGGAAAATCAGAGACTTTCAGCTATTTTTAGCTATAATCCTGATTTTCAACTGAAATTTTGAGATTTTCAGCTATTTTCAGTAACTAGGAGCTGAAAATCCCGATTTTTTGAGTGAAATTTTGAGATTTTCAGCTTTTTCAGAAGCTGAAAATCCTGATTTTTGACCGAAATTTTGGGATTTTCAGCTATTTTTAGGCCTACAAGCTAAAAATCCCAATTTTTGACTGAAAAATCAGAATTTTTCAGCTATTTTCAGGTCTAGCGAACTGAAAAATCAGATTTCAGACTAGAAAATCAATATTTTCAGCTATTTTTAGGCCTACAAGCTAGAAATCCTGATTTTTGACTGAAATTCTGAGATTTTCAGCTATTTTTAGGCCTGGGAGCTGAAAATCTCAATTTCAGACTAGAAAATCAGCATTTTCAGCTTTTTTTGGGTGTGAGCGCTGAAAAATTAGATTTTTCAACATTTTTTGAGTCTGGGAGCTGAAACCCCCAATTTTTGACTGGAAAATCAGAATTTTCAGCTATTTTTAGCTTTGAGAGCTGAAATTCCCGATTTTTGACTGAAAAAATTAGATTTTCAGTTTTTTTGGGTCTGGGAGCTGAAAAATCAGAATTTTCAGCTTATTTTTTGGTTTGTGAGCTGAAAATCCCGATTTCAGACTGAAAAATCAAACTTTTCAGCTAAAATTAGGCCTGGGAACTGAAAATCCCGATTTCAGACTAGAAAATCAATATTTTCAGGCCTGGGGCTAAAAACCCCAATTTCAGAGTAAAAAATCAATATTTTCAGCTATTTTTCAGGCTCAGGAGCTGGAAACCCCGATTTCTGACTAAAATTTTGAGATTTTGAGCTATTTTTAGGCCTGGGAGCTAGAAACCCGGATTTTTGACTGGAAAATCAGAATTTCCAGCTATTTTTGGGTCTGGAAGCTGAAAATTCCATTTTTTGACTGCAAAATCAGAGATTTTCAGCTATTTTTAGGTTTGTGAGCTGGAAACCCGCGATTTTTGACTGAAATTTTGAGATTTTGGGATTTTTTGGGTCTGGGAACTGAAAAATCAGAATTTTAAGCTTTTTTTCAGGTCTGTGAGCTGAGAAATCAGAATTTTTAGCTATTTTTCAGGTCTGGGAGCTGGAAAACCCGGATTTTTGACTAGAAAATCAATATTTTTCAGCTATTTTTCGGTTTGTGAGCTGAAAATCTCAATTTTTGACTGGAAAATCAGATTTTTCCACATTTTTTGAGTCTGGGAGCTGAAAAATTTCAATTTTCAACTGCAAAATCAGAATTTTCAACATTTTTTGAGCCTGGGAGCTGAAAATCCCGATTTTTGACTGAAATTTCGAGATTTTCAGCTATTTTCAGGCCTAGGGGCTGGAAAATCTCAATTTTTGACTGATAAATCAGAATTTCCAGCTATTTTTGGGTCTGGGAGCTGAAAAATCCGAATTTTCAGGTCTGGGAGCTGAAAATCCCGATTTTTGACTGAAAACTCAATATTTTCAGCTATTTTCAGGCCTAGGAACTGAAAATCCCGATTTTTGACTGAAAAATCAGAATTTCCAGCTATTTTTGGGTCTGGGAGCTGAAAAATCAATATTTTCAGCTATTTTGAGGCCTAGGAGTTGAAAATCCCGATTTTTTACTGGAAAATCAGAATTATTAGCAAATTTGGTCTCAAAATGACCAGAATCCCGTGAATTTTCCAGATTTTTCAACAAAACTCTTGAATTTTATGAATTTTTTTCGGTGATATTCTAGAATCTAAATAGAATTTCCTAACCTCATTACAATCCAACAACAATTTCGTAATTCGAATGCATAATTGTGCTTTACTTCCTTCGGATGCCGATTTTGGCCCGTTGAATTTTGCAGTTGCGTCGGAATTAATTGAGATAAGAGCCTGAGCTGCGTCTCGAATTCGACCCTCTTTTTCGTAAATACTTGCGAGCAGCAGGCGAATTATGCATACCTGAAGCGGAATTTTTTTGTTTTGGACAAATTTTGAGCTCCGGAGCATATTTTCAAGCTCTAGAGCTCAAGAAATCGATTTTTGAGCAATTTTTGAACTTCTGAGCATATTAAGGTCCATAGAGCTCAAAATTTTGCTGGCCTAAACTCTAGGCTCACAGCCTTTCAATGAAATATATGGTTTCTAGATCAAGATCCTGGAAATTGTAGAGCTCAAGATGAGTTATGACGTGGCAAAAATCGATTGAAATTTTCAAAATATCAGGACTCAAGTTACTTGATATTTTGAAAATCTCGAACTTTGCCACGTCATAACTCAAAAATGGTATTTTCGAGGCTGGAGCTCAAAATATGATTTTTTTCCTGAATTTTCAGTCAATTTTTGAGCTCCGGAGCCTATTTTGATGCTCTAGAGCTCAAATTTTTAAATTTTTTAATTACCATTTTTTAAGCTTCTGATCATATTTTTTCAAGCTCTAAAATTTGAGCTCAAAAAAAATCATATTTTGATTTTCTTGAAATCACCATTTTTGAGTTATGAGCGTGCGGCTATCGGAAAGTCGCGAATTTGGGGAGCAAATACATTTTGTTGACCGCTTTAGACGCTTTAAAATATTCTCGCAGCTCGAAAATTGACTAAAAATCGATTTTTTGAGCTCAAAAGTTTCAGAACATAGGCTCCGGAGCTAAAAATTGACTGAAAATCGAATTTTTGAGCTCTAGACTTTGAAAATATGCTTAGAAGCTTTAAAAAAATGGTTGAAAATGCAATTTTTGAGCTCTAAACCTTGAAAACATGCCCAGAAGCTTTAAAAAATGGTTAAAAATGCAATTTTTAAGCTCTAGAGCTTTAAAATACGCTCCGCGCACCTGATCCTCATACGAAATGGTTCTGGCCTTGATAATATTCAAAATGCCTTCAGCAATATGTTTAATCGATTCCGAATCCAAACACGACATTTCCAATCTTTCGGTGACTAATGACACAAATTGCCGTGAAACAACCATACTTCCGGTTTCGAGTGCAATTACAGTATCAATTATATTCAGAATCTTCTCGACGTCGACGATTTTCGCCTGTTTTGGCAAATATACATCGCATAGTTTTGAGAGACTGCAAATTTTCAGATAAATTTTGAATTTTCAGCAATGAAAATCGGAAAATTTGAAAATTTCTGATATAAAATATGCCACGTGGCAAAATTTTTGAATTTCTGAATCTTTGGAGTCAAAATTTGAATTTTCAGCAATGAAGATCGGAAAATTTGGAAAAATTCCGATAGAAAATATGCCACGTGGCAAATTTTCCCATTTTCATCGCTGAAAATTCAAATTTTGGCTTAAAATATTCAGAAACTCGAACATTTTTGCCACGTGGCATATTTTATATCAGAATTTTGTGAAATTTTTCGATTTTCATCGCTGAAAATTCAAATTTTGGCTTCAAAAATGATACGTGGCAAAATTGGCGTTCAGAAATTCAAAAATTTTGCCACATGTCATTTTTAGATGCAAAATTTCAAAAATTTTGCCACGTGGCATTTTTTCTATCAGAATTTCTCAAAATTTTCGATTTTCATCGCCGAAAATTCAAATTTTGGCTCGAAAATATCAAAAATTCAGAATTTTTGCCACGCGGCATATTTAATATCAGAATTTTTCAAATTTTCCGATTTTCATCGCCGAAAATTCGATTTTGGCTCCAATTTTGCCACGTGGCACATTTTATATCAGAATTTTCCGATTTTCAAAAACTTACGCTTCAAACTGCGCTTTATGATCAGTATCTTGTGCAAACAAATAAGCAACTTCGTCACTCATCATTCTTTAATTATAGATTTTTTTTTTGTCTGAATAAAATCAAATCAGATCTTCGAAATATATTGCTCATAGGTTCTGTGAACTATTTCTGTTTCAAAAACGAGGATTTTTGATGGAGAAAATCGAAAAATCATTCAGCATAGCAACAACATAACAATAAAAAAGATCATTTTGTGTGTGGGAGAGCGAAAATCAGGGGAAAAAATAGGTTGAGAAAAAATATAAAGCGGTTTTGAAATTGCTATTGAGAAAAAAATTGAATTTATGCCATTCCTTCGTCATCTTCATCTTGTGGTTTTGGTCCGCGTGGTTTTGGACCACCAGTTGCTTGTTTAGCCATGATAATCTGCAAAAATGTCGGATTAATTTCAAAATTCAAGGGAAAAGCTGGAAATTCAGCAAAATTTAGAAGAAAACAACCTTTCAGGTGTGAAATTTGAGAAAAAGCTCAAATTTCAAGCTAGGTTCTGAAATTTTGATAAAACATATCGAAATATACCAAATCAATCATGCTGATCATGATTCCGAAGTCAAAAATTGCCACAAATTCCCTGTGAGCACTTTTCTGGAGCTCCGAGTTTTTTCACCATGTTCCCGGGTGAAAAATCAACTTTTATAACTTGGATAAGATTGTTCAGCACATTCAAAAACCTATCAGCATTTTAGTTTATGAAAAAATATTTTTTCAAAACCAGAGGAAAACTGTAAGTTTTGAAAATTACAGCTTTCGGCTGGTTTTTTAAAAATATTTTTTGATAAACTAAAATGCTCATAGGTTTTCGAATGTGCTGAACAACCTTATTCAAGTCATAAAAATCGATTTTTCACCCAGGAACATGGAGAAAAAACTCGGAGCTCCAGAAAAATGCTCACAGGAAATTTGTGGCAATTTTTGACTTCGGAATCGTGATCAGCATGGTTGATTTGGTACATTTCCATGTGTTTCATCAAAATTTCCTCGCCCCAAATATCTAGTTATGACGTGGCCAGGTACTGTAGAATTTTTCAGAGAATTCTCTGATTTTACAGTGATTTTTTTGAAATTTCCAATCTTTGTCCAACTTCTGAGGCAATTTTTCCACAAAATCAATAAAAAATGCTGTGAAATTATTGATTTCTTGAAAAAATTCAAAAAATCATAGGAAGTTTTGGATTTTTTTTTCAAGAAATAAATAATTTCACCGCATTTTTATTGATTTCTGGAAAAAGTTCCATTTTGCCTCCTGAAATTGGACAAAGATTTGAAATTTTTTGAAAAAATCATAGGAACTTCCGGACATCGCTGTAAAATCAGAGAATTTTCTCTGGAAAATTCTACAGTACCGGGAAAATTTCGATTTTTACAGTGCTACCCAGGATTTTCAGCCAAAATTCACCTGAAAATCCCAGAAAACCTCAAAATTTAGCTTGAAATCCCGAATTTACCTGATCAACTTTCAAAATTGTTGCAGCTGCATCAGTTGCCAATTTGATGGCTAACCTTTTTCCGGCGTATAAATCGAAAATATTGTTTTGAACAGCATCCATCAATTCTGCAAAAAAACAGGATTTTTTCCCTATTTTCCTCCTTAAAATCCACCCTACCTTGTTGCCAAATATCAATTCCATGATTCGCATTTCCAGCACAATGTTCAGCATGCAATTTGGTCAAAGTTTCAGTCGTATTCATGCCCGCATTTTCAGCAATCGCTTTCGGCAAAGTTTCAAGAGCATGCGCAAACTTTTTGATCGCATATTGCTCCAATCCCGGCGCTTTCTCTCCGAAAGACTCAATTTGTTTCGAAAGTTCAATCTCAACCGCTCCAGCTCCGGCTAACAATTGTCCATCTTTTGTGAGAGCTTTGTAGGTGTTGACAGCATCATCAACAGCTCTTTCGACATCATCAATTCTTGATTGAGATGAGCCTCGGATAATGATTGTGGCAACATTTCCTTTTTCACTTTTCTTGTCGAAAACGACCACATTTTCATCGCCGATTTCTGTTACTTTAACAATATCACAATGTCCCAAAAGATTGACAGCTGGTGCACACTGAAAATGTTTTTGTTAAGGTAAAAACTATATTTTTTGACATTTTTCCCACACAAAAATTGAAAAATATCTCACATTTCATGTTTTTTGAGAAAATGAGTTGAAATATTGGGTTCTAATGTTATTCATATGATAGAATGGTCTAAGACGAACAGAATGATATAAATTTTGATGAATTTACCTTATCCATAAGTGATTTAGCGAGGTTTAGTCGATATTTAGTCGCTAAAGCCGCTAAATCACTTATGAATAACGTAAAGTCATCAAAATTTGTATCATTCTGTTCGTCTTAGACCATTCTATCATATGAATAACATTAGAAAACCCAATATTTCAAATCATTTGCGAGATATTTTTCATTTTTGTGTGGAAAAAAGTGTTTTTTTCATTTTTTCCAGAAAACCCACAATTCTGGCTTGAGCTTGAGCTCCAATAGTTCTACACAATCTACGAAGATCGAATTTCGATGTAAGTCTAACAGCCATAATTTTATATTTGTTCAAGAAATGCAGATACAAATCTCCGAATTTCCCAGCAGCCACAACAACTTTGACTCCAGTTTCAGCGATCGCTTTGACTTGCTCTTCAACTTCACTCTCTTCACCTTTTGAGAAATTCACAAGTTCATCAGCATTTTCGATAAGAATTGTTCCTTTGGTCTCAGTTTGTGTCAAATCAAATGGACAAGTGAAAACTGCAATTCTAGCGTCTTGCGCAGATTTGATTTCTCCTTCCGCGCCACGTTTGAAAACCATACCATTCATGACGGTTGATTTGCTGACACCGGACCCGATGATTTTACAAATTCTAATGTTATCCACATTGAAATTGTAGGAGTTTGAAGGAACTGTTGTGACGCAGGCTTTGGCTACCAATTCAGCGATAACATCTTCATTATCATATTGTTTTGAAGTGATAGCAGATCTCAAATAATGTCGAACTTCATCGATGTTTTTCAAATCTGATGCAGTTTTAACAACCAAACTTGGCAAAATTTCCAAAGCTTTTTCAGCAGCTTGCTCATATCCCGCAGCAACTTCTTGAGGTGTCATTCCCATATTAATGAGTTGTGAAGCATGTTCTAATAAAGACGCGGCGAGAATAACAACGGTGTTTGTGTTGTCGCCAACTTGTTTTTCTTGCATTTCAGTTGCCATGATGATAATTCTGGCGGCTGGATGTTGGATTTCAAGTTCTTTGAGGATTGTAGCAGCATCATTGGTGACAAACAATTTTTCGATGTGATTGATGACCATTTTGTTCATCCCATTTGGCCCGTAAGCGGATCGGATTTGGGAGGCAAGTTCTACACAAGCATCGATGTTACGTTGGACAGCTTCATCGGTTCCTTTGAAGTGCTGAAATTTTTTGATTTGAAAAAGATTTTAAGCAATTTTAAGAAACTTACCTGAGCTCCTTCTTTCATGAACCGGTTGTAACCGGACTTTGGAATTGCCATAGCCATGTTTACCTGGAAAAATGAATAAAATTTCGATTTTCTCGAGTTTTTTCAAGGAAAAACGTGAAATATAAGTTGGAGCAAATTTTTAACATTTCATAAATTGGAAAAATTACACAAAACATGAGAGAAGCTCGAAAGAGAAGCCTAGAAAATGAAATTTCGTTGCATTTTTGAATTCGAATTTTCGGGAGAATGAGAAAAATAAATGGGTCTCGCGGCGAACACACTGCCACAAAGGAAAGCCTACTGTAGAAAACGAGCGTGTTTGCGGACGTCGGCGAGTTTGGTGTTTGCGGAGAGCAAAATTTTTTTATTTTTTGCGTTTTTTCGAGAGTTTCGCCAAAGAAATGTCTGTAATTGCAATTCACAGTGATAGTGAATTCAATTCGAAATTCAATGCGAATAAATCCAAAGCTGTTTTCGTGGATTTCACCGCTTCCTGGTGCGGACCGTGTCAATACATCGCTCCAATCTTTGCCGAACTAGCCGGACAATATCGAGGAGCTGTTTTTCTCAAAGTAGATGTTGATGAATGCAGTGGAACTTCTTCGCAGTATGGTGTTCGGGCTATGCCGACTTTTATGGCTTTTGTGAATGGGTGAGATTTATTTTAAAATAAATTTTCAATCAAAATGATGAGCGTGGACTGAATTCGGATAAATAAATGATTTTTTCTCATTTTAGGCAACACAAGGAAACCCTACAAGGCGCAAATGAAAGTGGATTGCGAGCAATGGTAAAGAAATACGGCTCAACTACCCCTACATGGTCAGGAAGTGGACAAAGACTATCTGATGCACCGCAAGCTTCTCCAAGTCGCCCATCTGGATCATCTCAACAATCAGCTCCAGCTGCCGCTGGACCAAATCCACTCATCGATGGAATTATCATGGTCAATCAGCGTCTCCAGGGCTTCGGGCTTAGCCCATTCACGATCCAAGGATTCGTGATCCAACCCGTTCATCTTCTGGTAGCTGCGCTTGCTCTTTTCTTCATGGGACCTTTTGGGCTTCTCGTCTCAGCTGCAATTGTTTTCTTCACCCAAGGAAGCACAGCTACACAACCATCTGCTGCAGGAATGGAGAACCCGTTCCATCAACCACCAAGTAGTTATGGCGGACCGAGAGATGAAAGAGCGAGAGGAGGAGATAACTCGAATACAAAGCCTTTCATTGGAGCTGGTCAACGTCTTGGAGGACAATAAATCTTGCCAATTTATTTCAAATTTATTTATTTATGCACGAAATTTTAAAAAAAAACGTGTTTTTTAACGTTAAAAACCGGAAAAAGTGATTCACGAACGCTATTTTTATTCAATTTTTCATCATTTTCTCAACACATTGAATAAAGTGAAACTAAAACGCATTTTAGTGTCCAGAAATGCTATTTTAAGACTTTCTAATTCTAATGACCCTAAAAGACAAATCAAGCCTTCAAAATCAAATTGTTGATTTTCGAAAGTTTTCGAAATCCACCAATTTCCATTTTTTTGGGAGATGTGAGGCTTGAATCTCCCAAAAATGGAAATTGGTGGATTTCGAAAACTTTCGAAAATCAACAATTTGATTTTGAACGCTTGATTTGTCTTTTAGGCTCATTAGAATTAGAAAGTCTTGAAATAGCATTTCTGGACACTAAAATGCGTTTTAGCTTCATTTTATTCAATGTGTTGAGAAAATGGTGAAAAAATGTATAAAAATACCGTTCGTGAATCACTTTTTCCGGTTTTTTAACGTTAGAAAACATTTTTTTTAAATTTCGTGAATCAGAAAAGCATGTGATGGGGTTTTGTAATTAATCAAGGTTGATGTATAAAAATGAAGACTTCTAAAGCGATTGAATTTTTGTTGGTGGTGATAAGAAGTTGTCTCTCTGTACATATATAAAATTATATAAATATGAAAAACCCATGAAGATTTTCAGATGTTAAGTAGGATATGTATGAATCGTCAATTGGCGTCATGTTCTTCAGCTTCTTCCCCAATTCTATGCTCTTTCCCACATCAAAAACCAATAAGCCGTAGAAATATGAGCCAACTTCCATCAGCAATTGCTCCAGCTTTTCAATACGCCACAGATTGTTATATCACACAATCAATTCAATTTGGAATGGAAGGTCTTCATAGTGTTGGGCTTTCTTGGCCAGCTGCTTTTATTTCAGCTGCAGTTGCTCTTCGAATAGCAACTGCACCGTTGCATGTTTATGCGGAGAAGATTTTTGCGAATCGATTACATGCGCAGAATTTTTTGACGAAGGGTGTGCTTCAAAAAGTTGGGGAGAGATATCGAGTTGAAGTTGGACCGAATAAAGATGGAACGAAATTGGAAATCAAGTCGAATGATCCGAAAATTGCGCAGAAAACTCAAGAAGCGGTTGGGAATTGTGAAATGAGAGCGCTGATCATAATGCTGTGAAAATCAGAGCTCCACGCGGAGCCAAGGAAATGATTGAAACGAGTTGGACCTCGACTAAATGAAATTTTCAGGTTTTTTAAGCAAATGAGTTGAAATATTGGGTTTTAATGTTATTCATATGATAGAATGGTCTAAGACGAACAGAATGATATATATTTTGATGACTTTACGTTATCCTTAAGTGATTTAGCGACTTTTAGTCGATAAGGTCGCTAAATCACTTATGGATAAGGTAAACTCATCAAAATTTATATCATTTTGTTCGTCTTAGACCATTCTATCATCTGAATAACATTAGAACCCAATATTTCAACTCATTTGCTTAAAAAACCTGAAAATGTCATTTAGTCGATGTCAAACTATATTTACAATGAAGTAAAAAGGTTCTGAAATTAACTTTTGATGAAATATAGTAATTCGACGATGCTGAAAACGATTGCGAAGTCAAAAATTAGGCTCATAGTAGGCTATAGCAATTTTTGACCTCGCAAACGTTTTCAGCATGGTCGAATTACTATATTTCATCAAAAGTTAATTTCAGAACCGTTTTTACTTCATTGTGAATATAGTTGGACATCGACTAAATGACATTTTCAGGTTTTTAAAGCAAATGAGTTGAAATATTGGGTTTTAATGTTATTCATATGATAGAATGGTCGAAGACGAACAGAATGATATAAATTTTGATGACTTTACAGGGTGCGTAAAAATTACGTAGACAAGCATTTTTCGCTGGTATAAACTGAAATTCGTGCACTTCTAGAGAATTATAAGTTTTAATATGTTTTATTATGATGTTTTGAACATATGTGCGAAGTTACATGTCAATCCGTCATTTCTGGGGCCAGTGACACCTTCTAATAAACTGCGCAATAAACGTTCGTTGGCACGCGACACAATGAAAATTTTTAGATGTGTTCTCCCATGGATTTAGAAGTTGTTTTCATGTTGTATTATGACTGATAGGTTTTCTTAGAGTCCCAAAATGTCAACCAAAAAGATACAATTGCCTTTAATGTTTCACACCATGTTTGGGTGGGGGTTATGAGAAATGCCTGCTTGGCTGACAAAATTCCATAATTTCCGCTGTTTTCGGGGTCTAAATCGAAAAGAAAGTCCGAAAAAACATAATTCTAGATTAATTTACATTATCTTGGATAATATCCAACTTTGGCAATAATTATAAAGTACTCCAGCAAGCTGTTGTTTCAGTTCACAGACCAAAGTTGTCTCAACAGCTGTTGAAAAATGATTTTTTCGATTTGAGCAACGTTTTAGTTTGGATCCGTTTTTGTCGGATCTGAACCCAATGTATTATTCCATCAAGGAACGTTATTAGAAAGGGTCTGGGTAAACCCTTAATCAAGTATCCGAGTCATACGGTATCTCATTTTTGAATATTGGGACACTTTGTCCGACAAATGACCCCGTGCCGAAGTGGATGTTTGCCGAGAACGTTTTTCCGAATTCATACATCGGAAAATTAATCAAATAAAATGGTAATAATTTAAGTCTGTTAGTTAGGACCCTAGTAGTTAACTTTAAAACATTCCTATAAAAAACTAGTTCAAATTTTGAAAATATGATTGATCAAAGTTGTCTACGTAATTTTTACGCACCCTGTAGGTTATCCTTAAGTGATTTAGCGAGGTTTAGTCGATAAGGTCGCTAAAACACTTAAGGATAACGTAAAGTCATCAAAATTTATATCATTCTGTTCGTCTTAGACCATTCTATCATATGAATAACATTAGAACCCAATATTTCAACTCATTTGCTTAAAAACCTGAAAATGCTAATTTTCAATAGACTACTGATTTCGTTTCAATCATTTTCTTGGCTCCACGTGGAGCTGATTTTCACAGCATTTTGATCAGCGCAAAGAGTTCTACAAGACACTATTTCTCATTTTACTAATGTATTTTTACAGCTCGAAGAAGTTCCCGGAATGTTAGCTGAACATGGTCTACAAGCCGCGAGAATTCAAAATTTAAAATTATGCACAGTTCCAGTGTGGATATTTTCATCATTTGCATTGAGAAATATTATTAGTTGTAAGCTTTCTTAAGATTTCAAAATTCTTAATTTTCCCCCAAAACACCCAAATTTTCAGCCGATTTCCATCCCTCAGTCGACGGAGCTCTTTGGATACCTGATCTACTCTCACCAGATCCATATTTCATTCTACCGATTGCTGTCGGCGTTTTTGGATTTTTGAATTTGTATAGTCAACGCAAAATTTATCCGGGAGTTGTGAAGATGACGTGGAAACAGAAGTCGTATGATGCGGTTTTGGCGTTTTTCACGATGTTTGCCGTTACTATTATGTCACAATTACCTGCGGTGAGAATTTTACAAGGAAAAGTTGACGATTTTCCATAGAATATTATCGAAAAAACCACGCGCTCCACCGAAATAAACACGCAACGCAGACCGCGTCGCGCCACAACACAAGGGAACGATTCAAATTGTGTGTGTTGTGGCGCGGCGCGGTCTGCGTTGCGTGTTCATTTCGGTGGAGCGCGTGGTACCTTTTTTCGACAATATCTATGTTTTCTGGTGGTTTTCGACCTCAAGATGAGTTATGACGTGGCAAAATTTGAAAAATTCGGAATTTTAGGAGCTGAAAACTAGATTCAAAACTTATTTTCATCCAAATATGATAGCTCGAATTCTTTGGGAATTAAGAAAAACCTTCTGAATAGCCCTATGCTATCAGATTTGGATGAAGCTAGGTTTTCAGCTCCTAAAATCCCGAATTTGCCACGTCATAACTCATCTTGAGTTCTGAAATTTTTTGGAAAATTTCGGACCGATTTTTTTTTGAAAATATTCGGGCCGATTTTTTTTTTGGAAAATCTCGGGTCGATTTTTTTTTTTGGAAAATCTCGGGCCGATTTTTTGGAAAAATCTCGGGCCGATTTTTTTTTCGGATAATCTCGGGCCGATTTTTTTTTGGAAAATCTCGGGTCGATTTTTTTTTGGAAAATCTCGGGCCGATTTTTTTTGGAAAAATCTCGGGCCGATTTTTTTTCGGATAATCTCGGGCCGATTTTTTTTGGAAAAATCTCGGGCCGATTTTTTTGGAAAATCTCGGGCCGATTTTTTTTTGGAAAATCTCGGGTCGATTTTTTTTTTTGGAAAATCTCGGGCCGATTTTTTTTGGAAAAATCTCGGGCCGATTTTTTTTTTGGAAAATCTCGGGCCGATTTTTTTTGGAAAATCTCGGGTCGATTTTTTTTTTTGGAAAATCTCGGGCCGATTTTTTTTGGAAAAATCTCGGGCCGATTTTTTTTTCGGATAATCTCGGGCCGATTTTTTTTTGGAAAATCTCGGGTCGATTTTTTTTTTGGAAAAATCTCGGGCCGATTTTTTTTTGGAAAATCTCGGGTCGATTTTTTTTTTGGAAAATCTCGGGCCGATTTTTTTTTGGAAAATCTCGGGTCGATTTTTTTTTTGGAAAAATCTCGGGCCGATTTTTTTTTTGAAAAAACTCGGGCCGATTTTTTTGGAAAATCTCGGGCCGATTTTTTTTTTGGAAAATCTCGGGTCGATTTTTTTTTGGAAAATCTCGGGCCGATTTTTTGGAAAAATCTCGGGCCGATTTTTTTTTTGAAAAATCTCGGGCCGATTTTTTTTGGAAAAATCTCGGGCCGATTTTTTTTTCGGATAATCTCGGGCCGATTTTTTTTTTGGAAAATCTCGGGTCGATTTTTTTTTTTGGAAAATCTCGGGCCGATTTTTTTGGAAAATCTCGGGCCGATTTTTTTTGGAAAATCTCGGGCCGATTTTTTTTTTGGAAAATGTCGGGTCGATTTTTTTTGGAAAATCTCGGGCCGATTTTTTTTTTGGAAAATCTCGGGCCGATTTTTTTTTTGGAAAATGTCGGGTCGATTTTTTTTTTGGAAAATCTCGGGCCGATTTTTTTTTGGAAAAACTCGGGCCGATTTTTTTGGAAAATCTCCGGCCGATTTTTTTGGAAAAATCTCGGGCCGATTTTTTTTTTGAAAAATCTCGGGCCGATTTTTTTTTTGGAAAATCTCGGGCCGATTTTTTTGAAAAATCTCGGGCCGATTTTTTTTGGAAAAACTCGGGCCCATTTTTTTTTTGGGAAAATCTCCGGCCGATTTTTTTTTGGAAAATCTCGGGCCGATTTTTTTGAAAATAATCGGGCCGATTTTTTTTTGGAAAATCTCGGGCCGATTTTTTTATTGGATAAACTCGGGCCGATTTTTTTTTGGAAAATGTCGGGCCGATTTTTTTTTTTGGAAAATGTCGGGCCGATTTTTTTTTGGAAAATCTCGGGCCGATTTTTTTTTTGGAAAATGTCGGGCCGATTTTTTTTTTGAAAAATCTCGGGCCGATTTTTTGGAAAATCTCGGGCCGATTTTTTTTTGGAAAATCTCGGGCCGATTTTTTTTTGGAAAATCTCGGGCCGATTTTTTTTTGGAAAATCTCGGGCCGATTTTTTGAAAAATCTCGGGCCGATTTTTTTGGATAAACTCGGGCCAATTTTTTTTTTGGAAAAATTTATTTTTTTATTTTTTTTCGACTTGAATCACCCCATAAAAGTTAGCCTAACTTAACTTTTTTTTAATTCAATATTTCCAGTGCATCCCCATGTATTGGCTAGTTGTCTCAACAACCGGAATGGCTCAAGCCCAACTTCTTCGCCACCCGAAAATCAAAGGATTATTCGGCATCAAAAAATTGCCAACCGACTCGAATACTCCCATCAGAGATTTGTTCAAAATGCGCAATGTATAGTTTCCAAAGAAATAATTTTTAAATGAACATTTCCATAGGTAAAAAGATAAACGTAATTAAAAATTTTGATGTGACCCCCTTCGAACTACAAATTTCTGCTTCTCTGTGTCTCTCTCGATTTCCAAAATATTCAAAATCTAAAAGGGCGTGTATAACTAAATTATACATCGCAAAAATAGGTCAATGTCATTGTTTCTTCATTTATTCTAATTTTTGTTATTTTGTTTTTCGACTATGATCATTACACTGAAATTATTTCTTCTATTTGTTCTCGAAATAAACTCAGGTAAAAATGTTTGAAAAAGTATATATGTACCTCAATTTTTCAGGAGTTATCACAACTTCTTCGCCATTTAACGCGTCTGAAGAGTTGAACAAAATCAAAAAAACGTGTTTGACTGATGAAGAACATTACGAAATATCGGGAAATAAATTTGAGCAAGGTTGGGCTCGAGAACTCAATCGTGTTACAATTGAGCAAGCTCTATTCATAATAGGATGCTCAGAAATTCGGAAAGCTCTCGGATTTCCAAAGTATTTAGGATCATGGCAAAATCATGGAATGCCAAAAATTGAAGAAATTGAGGATGCGCCGAGTTTAGAAAAATATTTTGAACTACAAATATTGTATAGTATAAGCAGGAGCGCTGAACTTTTTTTCGTTACCGATCAAGATTTGTCAACGGCAATTCAATTTTTGGACAAGAGATTTCCTGCAATTCGTATGGTATTTAGAGAGAAATTTGAAAAGTACCTGGAGACCATGAAGGCCAATAACAAGAGTATCAATCGAAACACAATTGATTATTTGCTTATAGAAAATGAGATGATACAGAGAATGGTGAAAGACGCAACTGGTGTGATGTTTTACAGTAGGAAATGTACAAAATACTCCATTCCAGATACATCGTTTTTATACTTGAAAACAGTCAAGGAATGCTTGCAAAGAAAAACATGTTCTTGCTAATTGTAAGCATTGAATTGAACTTAATGAAGTTTTTAAAGTCTAAACTCGAATTAAAATAAAATGGCTATAATTTCACGCCATTCCAATGCTGTCAGTGAGAGTAAAGAGAAAGATAGGCTGATTTACTGCTGTTTTTTGCGCAAATCACAAATAAAGCATATTTCTGTGTACTCGAATTAATTTTCAATCAAAACATAAACTAACAGTGCGAAAATATTAGATAGTTGGAAAAGAAACCTCCATGGCCGGCAAATTGGAATGTATACTTCGTGCATATTTTGAGATCAATATTTTATTTAAGTAAATGTGCAAGAAAATAATATCGAGGCGTACAAATGTGGAATTCGCGTTGATGGAACAAAAAAGATTGTTACTTTTTAATACATTTGAAAAGTTGACGACAAATATTTTGTGTATTCTGAAATGAGCAAAATTAGTTATTTTCTTCAATTTGAAAAAAAACTTGAAAAAACCTACAAAATCTGCAACATTAATTCCAATTATTCCAATATTTCTTATGGTGGTAAATTGTTCGAAACACTCATCATCAATGCATCCTAAATCGACTTGCATTTTTTTTAACACATCCAGGTATTCCATTGAAAGCTGAAAATTTTAATGATAAAAATCATAAATTTAAAAAAAACATTAAACGCTTACCAATTTCAGTTTGTTGATATTTGACTCGCAATTTTCACACAACATTTTGCCTTGGAAGACATTTCTGATATCTGGGCTGCAATATAATAATATTATGAGAAGAAATTTAAGACATTTCACTCGCAAAGTTTTTACTCGCTGTACTCAAAATGCATATTTTATGATCCACAAAACCGCAAAAATATTTTTTACTCAATCGTTGTCATTGAAAACTTTAACAAAATGTTTTTAAAAAATATGGATCGGTAGTTAATTAATGAACAAAGCATAATTTCGGCAACATTTCTCTCTAAACTCATAAAAAACTGGAAATAATTGATACATTTTTATTATTCATAAATAAAAATTCCTTTTTTTAATTACAAAGTCATAATATCAGCTGGAAATCACTTTTATATTTAACCTTTTTAATCTACTTAAAAACTTTAAATATCATAAGGAACATAATTCAGAATGTGTGCCAGATTTGAAAAATACTCGGTTTTCAGAGATCAAAAACAGAAAAATACACAGTTTTTACTGTTAAATGTTAGTGGACAATTTTTACTTTGGAAGCAAGGTCTCATAATCAAGAAAACAGAAGAAATTTCCCTCCAAAAAAGTTATGTTTGAACCGCGCGAGGACGCCTTTAAATTATTTAAACCTTAAAATCCCAGGTTTTTGAACTTCGATTAATAAAAAAAACTCACGAATATGGACACTTTCCAGCTATCTTGCAAATGATATTGCTTTTGACAAGTGTTTGAAATTGCGGAAAAAATATATCCTTGATCAGTAAAGTGACATTTTTAATGGCAATTGCTGAGTTCGCACATTTCAAGCTTTCCTTCTCTATTAACTGATCACAATAAATGGCAGTCCTTGTATGAAACATGTTTGTACCATACTCGATAGTCTGAAATTTTTTTTTCATTTTGTGTACATTTTTCAGCAGCCAGCAGTCAAAAGAGGAAAAAAGAGTCCGTGATTCTTTGGGAAAAAGATGGTCTGCAAATTGTCCAAACCATTTTATGCGACTATAATTAGCCTTTCAAAAAATTGTTTAGGACTTATATGTTTAGACCTTGCTTAAAAATAAATTTATGATTAAAAAAGTTTCATGTTTTGATTCGCTTTTCCAAACATTAGAGAGATTGGCTCTATTTTTGGACTCATATAATTTCTAAAAAAAATCTAAGTAGGCACTTTCTGATTCAAAATATAGACCGGGTCGTGCTCAAAGAGTTGATTGGATTTAAAAATATAATTCCTGGACTTTTTTTACAGCTGCTAATTTTTTTCGTTACAATAATATCAAAATAATTTTTTAAAACTAACCAATCCGATATCGCTAACTTGCCCCATACATAAATAACATTCCGGCGAGTATTTCTGAACTTCTCTTCTTTCTGGATGCGAAATTGGTGGAAATACAGGTGCTAAAGAATGAGAAGAAAACTGATTGATTTGCGAAGTCATAAAAGGCGAGAAAATTTGAGACACAACTGGAGTGATCATAATTAGTGCAAGTAGCCAGCCAACTGTCCAAAGAGCTGGAAAATTATTGTTTTTGTTCAGTAGAAATATTAACTTTTTTCATTAGACTATTTTTATGGATCAAAATGAGCAATCATAATTTTCGAGCCACTCCAAATTTTCGATTTTTTATTTAGTTCAATTTTATGGATCAAAATTTCCAGCTAGAAGTTTTTTATACAGGGTGACAACAAATTATAGCGACAAATTAAACTAACTCTGGCGACCGTGGTACTTAACCGATCTCTATGAAATTTTTTTTGGGACTATTCTGACTATTCAGGACCACACAGAAAAAATATCAAGAGTTCTCGGAAGGTTCCCGATATTTTTCCTGACCTTTGAAGAGTTTCGAAAAATATTTCCGTACTCGCTAGACACTTTGTACAGCAAAAATTTTCCCTGGCTGATAAATTTCATATTTCTTGCTCAAAATAGTTTTTCTGGATCATAATACACACTGTTTCACAGTTATAATAATTTCTAATGTTCAAATGAGTAATTCACCGGGGTTCAATTATCATGAATTTTTAGAATTTTGTGAATTTTCAAATCCAGTCAAAATTAAAAATTCTCCCAATAATATTTTTTAAACGATGTTACTGCTTCAAACTGTCCCAGAGATATGATTTTCAAACAGAAATTTTGAAAGAAATGCAACTTTTTTAAAAATCATAATTTCTTCAAATTCATCAGTTGACTCTGATAATCCGTTAATAACTCTAATTAATGATGAGGATTCATGCTCAAAATTTTTTTCAACAATGTTCGATGATATTGAGACAATTTCCATTCATGCATTTTTATAAATCTTGGAATTTTATCTCAATATTTCAATTTGTTCGAAAAATGAAATTGTGATACTCGCAAGTGGTGGTTCCAAATAACCACATCCAAAAAAGTTCAAAAGTCGGATACCTGTTATAATATTTGTGTTGAATCCTCCTCAATACTTACTTTATCTAAAATAAAAATTATAGTTGTAGAATATTACGTTCAGAGCTCAAAAAATTAGCCCTTAAAATATCGAAAATTTAAAAAATCGTAAAAAAGAGAAATTTTTAAAACGATCGCTTTCCAACTTTGTGAAAATTTTTGTGTTCATAATCAAAAACAAGTAAGTATACTGATTAGGTGATATAAAATGATGGTTTTTGAGAAAAGTTGAGCAATGAAATCATAAAAAATCGTTCCGTGATTACTGTCAGATCAGTGTAAACTTTTGTCGCTATAATTTGTTGTCACCCTGTATGCGTGACATATTGTTTATTTAGGTGGAATATTTGTATCATTTGTTTCATTTCCCATGAAAAAATTTACCAACCATCATTAAAAACACCGAGCATAAACAGTCCAAGGTTGAAAAGATATTCGAAAAATGCAACAAAACCGACAAGTATTATTTTGAAAGGTTTTGTACGACTTTCGGTTCGGCGTGCGGCTTGACGCGACAATTGTTGCTGAATATCTGGATCTTGGACGTTGGCAGTGAAACCACAGTCTTCGGCTCCCGGTAAATCGCAACGAACAGCCAATTCGAGCGCCAAATCAGGATTTTGCAAAGAATTTGTAACAAATGGCACCAAATTTGTTTCATCGATCGAAACCGATAGAACTTGTCCTTTTCTGTTAATTCCCATAATTCCACCAGTGTTGGATAATTCGCAGGTGACAAAAACAGGGTCTGTTGATATACGATTCGAATAAATGTGATTTCCAGATTCAATATCATGCAAATGTAGATATCCATGTTTTGATAGCACATAAATTACTCCTTGTTTAGAAGAAACCTGCAATAATAGATTTTTAAATAAGTAATTGGTAATGGGGTGGAACTCTGACTTAATTTTCTAAAAAAGCCAATATTTCTATATGGAAATTTTCAAAAAAAAAAGCTGTTTTTCGATGAATAGCTGATAAATTCAAGGCAAAATTTTTATGGAAAATTATTAAACTTTTAGGTTTTTCTTATGAAATACGCTTATCCGTTCAAAAATGCGTATTGTCATTCTTCATCAACCCCATTGTAATCAAATCCCAAACGATTGAATGACTAACAAGCACGCCAAGCCGTGGCTGGCCAGAGTACAATTTTGAAAAAATCTGAATTTAAGTTTTTAGAGGTCAAAAACTGACGAATTCAGAGGTTTCAGAGGTCAAAAACAGGAAAATCCACAGTTTTCATATTGTAAAAAAAAATTGCGTACAATTTTTTATTTTGGAAACCACGATTTTGGCCGAGGTGTGCTAACAAGAAAAAACCTTTTTCTCTTTTAGTTTCCTATCTATTTCATCTACCTATAAATCAGCCGCCGAAAAAATGTTTGTAAAAAGAAAAAACCAATATTTACCTGCATCGAAACTGGAAAATCTTGTGCAGTTTCAGCCGTATATGGTACATCAATATTCTTTTTCTGGAATGGTTGATTTCCAGCCGCTGGCGATCCAATTTCGATAATATGCAATTTTCCACCGGCTTCATTTTTGACGGAGAAACAGAAAAGATTCGATGGATGTGCATTTCCTTCAAGTTTGAATCGAACAAAACAAGCGGCATGTCCATCGATTGTTTGGGATACTTTTCGTTTGTTATTGTACAATTGCATGTTTCCAACAACTCGATTATCTTTTTCTGATATTCCAATAAGAACAAGCCATTTCGAATCAGCATCAGTTCGATAATTTATAATTTGAGTTTCAGAAAGTGAAAGATGACGATCAAACATTTTCACAGGCGCCGCATCACCTGAAAATTAAATTGGATTTTAAGTTGAGAATCTTCTATAAGAAAAATCTTACCCACAATCGACCAATGATAAACAGCAGTGTCTGAAACCAAAGCAATAGTTGTTTCGTTAATCCATTTCCAGAAAACAACATCTTCGGTATTTTGATGGGCCTTCATTCCTGCTTTCAATTCGATATTAAAAATTTGAATAGTTTTTCCAGCTGTAAAAACAGTTATTTTTCACTTCAATAAAACTTTTCGATAGTTCAATTAACTTACATTTAAGCGCCAAAATTTTAGCGGTTGGATGCATGATAACAGAATCAGCAGAAATTGGGTGACGAGTTTGATTTGTTGGTTCAGCCAAATCAATGATGACAACTTGTTGTTGATCGCCAATCTGAAAATAGAATAAATTTGATAAAAAACTTATTTCATTTCAGAAAGCCATACCATTTCTCTGACAACGATATTTTTGTCAGATTCCATTGTAATATTAGTAGTATTTTCAACGTTGGTGAGCTGTAGATGCTCATACAGTTTGATAGGTTTACCGCTGGCCATCATATTCGTATCAATGATTGATTTTTGATTGGGTGAATTATATGCCTGAAATTAAATTAAATTGGTACACGTTTCAGAAACTTTGATTTTTTGCGACGATGAACACAAATTAATTTTGCTACCTCAGGCAGTAGAAAACTCCGGAGGGGAACCAGAAAACGCAAAAACTTCGGAGATAGGCCAAAATGGGTACAGAAAATCGAGAGAGCGCCTGTTTTTTCTAGTTTGGCACGCCTTTCTAGTTTGGTTTTGGCGATTCTCCGGAGCAAATCGCTGTCGATCGAACGCGCTCCATCGAATGATGACAATGACTAGTCATTTTTTTCATTTCATTTTTTTTTGTTTTTCTAATTTTTGCTATTCCTTCAAAAAATGCTCAGTTTTCAGAGTGTCTTTGCCTAATTTGATAATTTTCAGACAATTGAAATCGTCTAGAAGCAATGTGCGTCCTACGAAATCGTCATGGATAAAAGTCAACCTGGACTTGGAATACAATTAGCGATTTTTGCTCCTGGTGAGTGAAGTTTCTCCAACAGAAGTGAATACTAGTTTTATTTATAGATTCAATTGGAATCCCTCGTGCTAGGAGAATTCGAAAGCAGAGGCTCGCTCAACTTTCATTTATGGAGGATCGCCTTTCAATATTTCCAAAATCGCGAATCACAAGATGTATTCTATTTATGAGGTGAGTCATGAGAAAGAAACTCGATGAACGTTTGTTTTTCGAGTTTTTGAGCTTTGAAAATTTCCAAATTTTAAGTTTATGACCATTATCACATCCTATCTCAAAAAGGTCGTTCGCAATTTCAAAGTGAGAAATGACAATTAATAATACTATCGGAGAATCATCCTTATAAATCTATTATCCTTTCTCAATTTTCAGCGTGAAATGGCTTATGGCGTCTCCACACAATGCTACAGCTCTCCTCGTTGGCTCAAAATGATAGGAAACAGAAGTTCATGTCAAAGAATTGCCGAAGTCAACACTAAATCTTCATTAGAATGCCAAAAGAATCTTCTGATGCTTATATTCTACTCGTTTGGAGATTGAAACAATCAGAAAATAACTAATTTTTCCTGTTTGTTGAAAATAAATATTGATTTTTGAGAGTGAAAGACTAGAATGTATTCGAAAAAAGTAGGCGAGAAAAACAAAAAAACTCTGGAGAATCGACAAAAAAGTTCCGGAGATTCGCCAAATCGTACCGAGAAAAGATCCGGAACCGGGTTTGGAGCTTTTTTAGCGACATTCTCGTTCCATTTCGGCGAAACTCCGGAGTTTTCTACTGCCTGAGTCCATCGAATGATGACAATGACTAGTCATTTTCTCATTCCATTTATTTTTGCTATTCCTTCAAAATCGCTCAGTTTTCAGAGTGTCTTAGCCTAATTTGATAATTTTCAGACAATTGAAATCGTCTAGAAGCAATGTGCGTCCTACGAAATCGTCATGGATAAAAGTCAACCTGGATTTGGAATAAAATTAGCGAATTTTGCTCCTGGTGAGTCAAGTTTCTTCAATAGAAGTGAATACTAGTTTTATTTATAGATTCAATTGGAATCCCTCGTGCTAGGAGAATTCGAAAGCAGAGGCTCGTTCAATTTTCATTTCTGGAGGATCGCCTTGCAATATTTCCAAAATCGTGAATCACAAGATGTATTCTATTTATGAGGTGAGTCATGAGAAAGAAAATCGATGAACGTTTGTTTTTCAAGTTTTTGAGCTTTGAAAGTTTCCAAATTTCAAATTTATGACCATTATCACATCCTATCTCAAAAAAAGTCGTTCACAGTTTCAAAGTAAGAAATTACGATTAATAATACTCTTGGGGAATCATCCTTATAAATCTATTATCCTTTCTCCAATTTTCAGCATGAATGCGCTTATGGCGTCTCCACACAGTGCAGCATCTCTCCTCGTTGGCTTAAAATGATAAGAAACAGAAGTTCTCGTCAAAAGATAAGTCAAAACCCAATCTTCATTAGAATGCCAAAGGAATTTTCTGATGCTTATATTCTACTCGTTTGGAGATTGAAACAATCAGAAAATAACTAATTTTTCCTGTTTGTTGAAAATGAATATTGATTTTTGAGAGCGAAAGACTAGAATGTATTCGAAAAAAGCAGGCGACAAAAACAAAAAAACTCTGGAGAATCGACAAAAAAAGTTCCGGAGAATCGCCAAAGCGTATCGAGAAAAGATCCGGAACCGGGTTTGGAGCCTTTTTAGCGACATTCTCGTTCCATTTCGGCAAAACTCCGGAGTTTTCTACTGCCAGAGAAAAAATTTAAAGTCAGATGATGACTTTCGCGCCGGCGCAAAATGGTAGGTCAAACATTTTCTCTCCCTTTTCCCTCCCTTATAAAACACGAAATCACTGAAAGTTGTGCGTCAAATTGGGCGTTTGTGTGAAAAATGTGTAAACACCAGATCTGACGCGCAATCATATTTTTGTGTAGATTTTCGCGCGCTCGCTTCCTCACTGTCTTTTTACTTATGGGGTGATTCAGATCGAAAAAAAAAACTAAAAAAAAAACGTTTTTTACAAAAAAATTCGATTTAGCAAATGTCAAAAAACTCTATTTTTTCCACACAAAAATGAGAGATATCTCGCAGCGAAAACGTTTCAATGAAAAAAAATGTCAAAAAATGTCGAAAAATAGGAAAAAATATAGTTTTTTGACATTTGCTGAATCGAATTTTTTTTTGTAAAAAAAACGTTTTTTTTTTAGTTTTTTTTCGACCTGAATCACCCCATTAATTTCTCAAGTTTTTTGTCAGCTTTTTCTCGCTTTCGCTTTTGCTTATGTGTATTATGGCATACATGTTCGTATTATTGCACTTTTTCCAGTGAAAGTCAGCGATATTAGCGAATATATAAGGACATGTGCATCTCAAAAAAACTGGAATCTTTCATAAAACGACTTTATTTTCCATGTTTCCCTGTCTGAACGGCACTTTGAGCGTGATGCGAGAATTGAGTATCAAGCGATCTTTGGATTTTTTTAGAAAAAAATTATGAGTTTCGCGGAAAAGTTGTCTTTGTCAGAAGAAAAAGTTCAAAAAAAAAAAGAAATAAAAGTTTATTCATGATAAACATGTAAATTATCGGTTTATTCTTGAATACTGTAGTTTTCACAATGTTGAAATGATCTGCCAAAATTGAAAACATGAAGCAAACTGACAAGATTTGTTGATGTTGTTGATTTCAGGTTATCTGAAAAAGTTTGTTTTAATTTTTTTGTTTTTCACATTTGTTTATTTATTTTTGTACCGAAAAGCTATTTTTCGAAAAGCTTTAAAAAGAATTCACGTTTTTTTGATAAAAATTTTAAAAAATTCGCGTGAAGCGAGCATGATGCGAGAAATTGAGATTTTTGGAATTTTAGTTTTGTTTTGTATGTATTTGAAATTTTACAAAGACTAAAAATATTTAGAAGTATTTTCCGAGATTCATTCAAAAAGTACTATTTAACTTATTATCTCAACGCTATAAAAATATTGAAAAAAAAACGGCTAAGAAAATGGGGTTTTTTGAAGTAAAATAGTAGTAGTACGAACTGTAAAGAAATAAAAATTTCCAGTTTTTTCGATTACATTTTACGTTTTCTCATGATCGCTTTCTTGTAAAATATTTGGAAAATAATCAGAAAATGTCAAAAAAAAACTATATTACATTTTTTCCTTTTTTGCTAAACTCAGAAGTTTCCGTATACTGTTAGGAACGAAAAACAACTATTTTTTTTCAAGAAGCTTTGTTGAAAACTCACCATTCAAGCAAGAAGATCACAAAACTCAAGAAGATCATCGCCCTATTTTTTATGAAATACGAAATGACAATTTTCATGTTGGTTTACGTGGCACAACGTGAAAAAAATAATTTCATCTTTTTTCTTTGGAATTTTCCACTAAAATCAGAATTTAAAAAATTTTGCGTGACTCGTGGAATGCATTTTCAGTTCTCAAAAATAATCAATTCGATAAAATACCATTTTTTATTCTCTATTGCTCAAGTTACAATTTGGACTTTGAAAGTGAGTTTTTTTCGCATCAATAAAACCTTTCAAAGAGTTTTTTTTCGGATTTCTCTAAAACTACTGACGATAAATCGCTTAGCCGTTTTTTTCAATATTTTTATAGCGTTCACAGGGTGTAATTTACTACCTCGAATCGCTAGACCTCAAATTTTTCATTAATTTTTGGGTAGATCAAAAATCATTTTTCTCTAAATCTCTCGTTTTTGCGTTGAATTTCGTCGATTTTAGTCCCACCCCTAAGATCGTGTCAGGTCTCAAAAAATGCGCGAAATTTTTCGGGTAGCAAATTACACCCTGTGCGTTGAGATAATAAGTTAAATAGTACTTTTTGAATGAATCTCGGAAAATACTTCTAAATATTTTTAGTCTTTGTAAAATTTCAAATACATACAAAACAAAACTAAAATTCCAAAAATCTCAATTTCTCGCATCATGCTCGCTTCACGCGAATTTTTTAAAATTTTTATCAAAAAAACGTGAATTCTTTTTAAAGCTTTTCGAAAAATAGCTTTTCGGTACAAAAATAAATAAACAAATGTGAAGAACAAAAAAAAATTAAAACAAACTTTTTCAGATAACCTGAAATCAACAACATCAACAAATCTTGTCAGTTTGCTTCATGTTTTCAATTTTGGCAGATCATTTCAACATTGTGAAAACTACAGTATTCAAGAATAAACCGATAATTTACACTTTTTCATGAATAAACTTTTATTTCTTTTTTTTTGAACTTTTTCTTCTGACAAAGACAACTTTTCCGCGAAACTCATAATTTTTTTCTGAAAAAAAATGCAAAGCACTTAATTTCTCACAAAAATCGAAATTTCACTGGTTTCTAGAGAGCATATGAATTATCACGCACATTGATCAAAATTTTCTCCCGTGTACACATTTTTTGTATTACGTCGGAAACTAATTTTATGTCTGGTTTTATGAAAGATTCCAGTTTTTTGAGATGCACATGTCCTTATATCTGAAAAACAGGAGAAAATGTGAAAATGTGTTTCGTGCCCCCACCAGGTGGGGCCCACCAATGCGCCACCCATTTATTGATGGGGGCACTAAAAAGGTGGGAGCACGAAACAACAAGTGGGGGCATAAAAAAGGTTACTTTTTCCATTGTTGGTGCGAAAAACGCGTGAAAATGTATTGGGTTGTGTGTACAAAATGTCTCACTGTAAATTAGCCATGCGTTTACTGTAGATCAGCAACCCAGATAATGTAGATTAGTGACCCGAATACTTGAGATAAACAACCCGAGGTTAAAAAATCCCTGGGTGTGTAATTTACAATACCCAGAGGTACTTCACATTATCTGTGGATGATCTCCAGTAACTAGTATTCTCCAAGGGAAACGCGACATTGGAGAGATTCTCACTTGTCAGGGTTCCCATATGTTATACTCTAACATATCCATTTCTAAAATCTGGGGGGGGGGTTCCCAATTTTTAAAAATCCCCAGAAATTTCTTCGCGAAAACACACAGCGCGTATTTCGCGTCAAGGTTGCGCGTAGGATTTAGTGTTTGCGGGCAGTCGGTGGTGGCACACACTCTTTTTTTTTTTTCGTTTTTTCTTTAGGTTTGGGATGACTAATTAGTTTTTTCGATCAAACTCACATCATTCGATATCCAACCATTTTTTCGAATTAATAAAATTTGAAATGGCTAATTTTTGTTGGATTTTGCCAACAAATGATTAAATGTTCTATTTTTATTTTTTTAGGTCACGTCCACAAATTGAATTTGATTAAATATTACACAACATTTTAGGCTAATGATAAAATGCAATATGGTGAGAGGAAGAGATTTACAAGGGAACCTTTTTTACTCAACACTTCAAATCATGATGAAATTTGGTTTATGGACATATTTTGGGACCATAAGAACACTCTAAAAATTTTAGTCTCCCAATGGACCTCTGAGCCAAGTTCTGGGCTCTCAAAAACTCAAAAAAGGCCTAAAAATGGTCATAAAAGTCATCATAGCTCCATTTCAAAATGTTTTTTGGGAGAAATAAAGTTTCAGATATTAATCAGCATAGTCGATTTACTAAAAGTACATCAATAAAAAACTTTATTTTGAAAAATTTTGAAGTTTTTTATTTTTTGGGCTTAAAATTCATGAATGCCCCTGCTCATTCTTTTTTTCAAAATCAGAAATTTTTCTGAAAATTTGATTTATTGACGTTTTTAGGGTAATTCGACCACGCTGATCATCATCTGCTACTCAGTTTTTCATAAAATTGATTGAGAATTGAGTTATGACGTGTTTTATGAGCCAATTTTGGCAATTTTCGAACTTTTGAGAGCCCAGAACTTGGCTCAGAGGTCCATTGGGAGACTAAAATTTTTAGGGTGTTCTTATGACCCCAAAAGCTATCTATGGACAAAATTTCATCACGATTTGAAGTGTTGAGTTGAAAAATGTGGATGAAAAATGTGGCAGCTCGTAAATAGAAAATTAGCGCCGATGAAAAGAATAATTCAATGTCAAGTAATCGAAATTCATGAAAATCAAGAAAAAATTTTGAGTCTATCAAAAGTGAAAAAATAAAATAATTGTTTTTGAAATCGCTCAGCCGACGGAAATTTCAAAAGTGCACACAACGAAGCAATAGAGCGCACATGCTGCTTTTGTCGTTTGAAAATAAATGCGGGAAATCTGTTTTTTCCAGTGTTTCTTGTGTCTTTAAGCCAGAATACTGTAGATCAGCAACCCGATTACTGTAGATTAGCTACCTGACTACTACTATAAATTGGCAACCCAGGTACTGTAGAACAGCAACCCGAATATTGTGGAATTCAAAAAATGTGGCAGAGGAAAAAAGAGTCAGTTAGTCTCCCGTAAATATTTCGAAAATGAATGAATGTCTGTGTGTGCGCGCGCTCGCGATGCGGTCGAAAAAAACAACATTTTCGAAGGAAAATGATGAAAGAAATTACCGATATTAATTTTATTACGACCGCATCGCGACCGCGCGCACACCCAGACATTCATTCATTTTCGAAATATTTACGGGAGACTAGCTGACTCTTTTTTCCTCTGCCACATTTTTCAAATTCCACAATAATTGGGTTGCTATTCTACAGTACCTGGGTTGCCAATTTACAGTAGTAGGCAGGTGGCTAATCTACAGTAATCGGGTGGCTAATCTACAGTATTCTGACTCCAAACAAAGATTTGTTCAAAATGCGCAATGTATAGGTGGTTTTTTGTTAGGATTTTAGATTTAAGTTTAATAAATCTTTTAATAAAATAATTTAAGACAAAAAACCTGAATTTTGTTTTATTATTATGAGCTAGAAATCCTAAAAAATAGTCTAATTAACTTAAAAAATCCAAATAATTTGCTATCCGATATCCGCCATATTTTTCGATACAATTTTCATGGATGAAACTATATTCAACGGCTGAAATTTCGTATCCATTAACTTCATAGGAAAAAAGTCGATAACTAAGATGAGCAATCTTTTGAAGAAGTTTTGAATGTTTTGGAGCATCGCCATGTATTTCAATATAAATTTGACAAACTGACATATCCTCTAAAAATGGTATCAAAGCATCGTGTTCCGCTCCTTCAATATCGATTTTTAGAATTTCGAAAGAATCGATATTTTCCCGTTTTGCTAGGGATTTTATAGTTGTTTGATTTCCGATTGTTGCTTTATGGGTTGTTCCACGCAATTTTTTGTAGATTTGTTTTGTTGTGTTATTTTGCTCATCTCGATCGTAGCCATGAATTATACAGGTGTTATTTAGGAGGGTTTGAAGTTCTTGCTCGAAATCGATTTGATTGTTGAGGCCCAATGATAAAATACTGGAAAAACACGGATTTTTATTGTCGAATTTTTTTTTTTGCGACGGTGAAAAATTTTACTACGGTACGCTATTCGTGCATTTGTGCGTCGCGGTGTTTACACACTAGATAGTAATTTCAGAGCATTTTCAGCATGTTAGAGGCATTTTCAGAAAACGCTGAATATATCATCTGATTTGTCTCGTCGAGATGAACCAGGAAAACTATTTACTTGTTTCTGAAACGCATTCTCAAAAAAGTTATGGGCTGAAATACAAATTCTGAGCAAATCAAAGGCGCACACATTTTTCGAAAGAGTGAGGTCTCGCAGCGATTTCAGTTTTTCACGTTTTTCTACGTGAAAACGCCATTTTTTAGGCTACTGGACTTCGTCAGTCGCGTGCGGCTGTGCGGCGCGGTCGGAAAAGAAATGAATTACTGATTGTTTTCCGACCGCGCCGCACAGCCGCACGCGACTGACGAAGTCCAGTTGTTTTCATTTTTACGGCGGCCACATTTTTTCAATTTCGAGACTGAAAATCATTTTTTTTCGGTTTCTGAATGCAAAAACATCAAATTTCACGATTTTGAGACTAAAATTCATCAGAAATGCCCGTTTTTCTCCCAACTCACTACGAATTTTCGGGAATTCTCCACGGATTACACGTCCATTTCCCGCCGTCTCCCAATTTCCCAATTCGAACCTTGATGGGACAATAAACTTCGGGCGCAAAAGCACCGAATAGATTCCAGAATTCTTTCGGCTTTTTGATCGATTTTAGGAGAATTCTACGGCCGGAAGATTGCGATTTGGAGAAGATTATCATTTTCTGGAAGTAGCGGGGGTTTGGGGGCTTTTAGGCTAACTCTAGAGCTTTTAGGCTGACTCTAGACCTGATTTAACCTGGTAAATCGGATTTTCAAGGTTTCCAGGCCCGAAAATCTGATTTTTAGGCTTACCCAGGTCGATTCAGGCTCATTTTAGACCGAAAAATGGATTTTCCAGATTTTCAGAGCTGGAAATTTGATTTTAACGATGATCAGAGGAAAATTTGCCCTATCAAAGTTCACTGTAAAATTAAAAGCCCAATTTTTTGCCACGTCATAGCTTTTAGGCTAACTCTAGACCTATTTTAACCTGGTAATTCCGGTTTTCAAGATTTTTTAGGCCCGGAAATTTGATTTCAAGGCTTGTTAAGTCTCTGTGAGGGAAATAAACCCTATTAAAGTTTACTCGAAAAAATTTGAAGCCCAATTTTTCTCATTTCTGTGAAAAAACCCTAGTTTTTCTCCCCAAAATGCCACGTCATAGCTTTTTTTTAAATAAGAGTTAGCCTAACTCACCTTCAATAATTCCTTGAATTCTGAACTCGGCACATCTGTATCATTTCGACTTGCTATAAGTCGACCAGGCTCAAAATGATCTGAAATAGTTCAAGTCTCGAATTTTTTGTGAATATTTTCGAAAATCTCATCGGTACTCCACGCGCTCCACACGCAACGCAGACCGCGCCGCGTCACAATACACACAAATAAGGGAAAGATTCAAATTCCCTCTCTTTTTTGTGTGTGTTGTGGCGCGGCGCGGTCTGCGTTGCGTGTTTATTTCAGTAGAGCGCGTGAGATTTTCGATAATACAAAAAAACTCACTATCAATCGAATAACTCAAATTCAATAACCCAACAATTCCAAGAAAACACAATAGAGTATAGATAACTTTTGACATGAAATCTGTACAGGAAAATTTGGAAATTGAAAATTGTTGTAAAAATAAAAATAAAAGTCCGAATTTTGCGGGCAAAACAATAAAATTGGCGGTTTTTATGATGGTTTTTGCTATATTTGCGTGAACTCTTGTTTGTTTGTATGTATGTTCAGCTTTCGGAGAAGTGAAATAAAATAAAATTCAAAACTTTTTTACAAAAATTTTAATTTTTGTTAAAAAGTTTTGAATTTTATATGTTGAGCTTTTGAAAATAGAAAAAAATAAAATTTTTTGTGATTTCAAAAAAAAAACATCATACTATAAACAAAGCGTTGGTCTCCAAGAAACCAAAAAAAAATATTTTTCTACCAGGAAACAAAGAATCAAACATTCTCACATATTAATAGAACAACCTGAAAAAAAACTTGAAAAAATTTCCATATTTCAAATATCAAAAGCTCCATTCATTGAAGAATTGAAGTTTTTAGCTACAAAATCATTTTTTGATCGAGGATTTTCGTCAACTTTGAGATGAATATCGATTTTTTTGAAAAAAAAGTTACCCTAACTCATGAAATTAATTTTTTTCACAAAAAAGTGAAACGTATTTTTCCCCTCCACAAAATAATTTCGAATTTTAACAATTTTGTGCAGATTCTACCGTACTCTTCAGCATGCGCCTTTAATATGAGCAACTAGAATTTTCTGTGAGCAAACTAGAGATTTATTTCCAGCCATGTTTTTGAGCAATCAAAATTTTATAACCACAAATTTTACGGCTTCCCCACCAAAACTCAATTTTTTCCCCATTTTCTGAATTTTTCAGCCAGGCTAAGCTAAGGTTGTTTTGAGTTTTGTTCCATTATATTTTGTGATGATCATCTTCGAGTTTTGCCCTTTTCTGAAAGTTTTTTCCCTTTTTTTGGAGGAGGAAAAAAAGGATACTGTAGTTTTGTTGCTCAATTTTTTTGTTTTTGAGAAAATTCTTAAATTTTCAGTTATATTTCCGGTGATTTTTGAGATGATACAAGTTTTTATTTGAAAAAAATTTCAAAAATTCAATATTCATCTCAAAGTTGACAGAAATCCTCGATTAAAAAATGATTTTGTAGCTGAAAACTTCAATTTTCCGATAAATTTGTAATTTTATTGAAAAATTAAAGTTTTCAGCTACAAAATCATTTTTTAATGGAGGATTTCGGTTAACTTTGAGATGAATACCGCATTTTTGAAAAAACATCGAAAAGTTACCCTAACTCATGAAATTATTTTATTTTTCAAAAAAAAATTATTGAGCAAAAAAATGAAACGTATTTTCCCCCTCATTTTTAACAATTTAATTTTCTGAATTTTTTCTTTTAAATTTCATTTTCCAGGAAGAATTTCGAATTTTGCTGTCCAGCAAAAATTTATATCATGAGTTACGCTAACTTTTCGATGTTTTTTTCAAAAAATCGTATTCTTTCAAAAAAAAAAGTTAACCTAACTCATGAAATTATTTTATTTTTCAAAAAAAAATTATTGAGCAAAAAAATGAAACGTATTTTCCCCCTCATTTTTAACAATTTAATTTTCTGAATTTTTTCTTTTAAATTTCATTTTCCAGGAAGAATTTCGAATTTTGCTGTCCAGCAAAAATTTATATCATGAGTTACGCTAACTTTTCGATGTTTTTTTCAAAAAATCGTATTCTTTCAAAAAAAAAAGTTAACCTAACATATGAAATTAATTTTTATTTTTCAAAAAAATTATTTAGCAAAAAAGTGAAACGTATTTTTCCACTCAATTTAATTTTCATTTCGAATTTCAACAATTTTATGCAGCTTCTACCATACTTTTCAAAACTCCAAAACTACAAATTTTCAAAAGTAGATCAAATCGTCCTTGATCAAAAAATCACCCGGCCAAAAAAAATCAGATATCTTTCATTCTATTTCCTTCTTCTTTTTTTTGTTTTTTGTGTCATTCAATTCCCCAAAGATTCATTGCTCTCACTCGTTTTTGCAGCACAAAAAATTCGACCGTTGACCTTCTTTTTCATGCTCCATCATTTTCCTTCCTTCTTCTTCATCTTCTATTTTTTCTCCCCACATCTTTCTTATCACTCTCTCAAATCCCCGCACTATTTCGCCCCACAGCTTATGTTATGTTATATATGTCTTTTCTTTTCTGATTCGATTCGGCTGTGCAACAAGACAAAAAATGTCTGTCTGCATCTTTCGCGCACCCCCCTCTAGATATTATTTTCTCGTTCTTTTCTTTTGCTGTCTGCGTCTCTCACCTCGTCTCTTTTTTTTTTGCAGGCAGGCAGCCAGGGTAGAACGAAGTAGAAGAAGTCGATGGCGATTCGATTCGATCTTGTTAACACGACGAATCTATTCCCCCTCGCTTTTTTTCGTTTTTCGAGACATGTTTTGAAATTTGTCTCGTCTGCTGCAAATACATTTTGCTTTTGTTTTTGTAGACAAAACAATTCATCATTTTGTTTTTTTTTCAATTTAATGTTTATGCGATCTTTATTCTTGACATTTTGACCTTTTTTGTTCACAAGGGAAGTAAAAAGTGTTCTGAAACTAACTTTTGATGAAATATAGTGAAATATAGTAATTCAACCGTGCTGAAAACGATTGCGAGGTCAAAAATTGCTATAGCCTACTCTGAGCCCAATTTTTGACCTCGGAATCGTTCTCAGCACGGTTGAATTACTATATTTCAATATTTTTCGTCAAAAGTTAACTTCAAAATCATTTTTACTTCCCTTGTGAACAAAAAATTTGTTCGTACGCTCAAATTTTTCTTCAATCAATTATTTTGAATAATAAAACAATATCAAACTATAGTTAGACATCGACTAAATGACATTTTCAGGTTTTTTAAGCAAATGAGTTGAAATATTGGGTTCTAATGTTATTCATATGATAGAATGGTCTAAGACGAACAGAATGATATAAATTTTGATGACTTTACCTTATCCATAAGTGATTTAGCGACGTTTAGTCGATAAGGTCGCTAAATCACTTATGGATAAGGTAAAGTCATCAAAATTTATATCATTCTGTTCGTCTTAGACCATTCTATCATTTGAATAACATTAGAACTCAATATTTCAACTCATTTGCTTAAAAAACCTGAAAATGTCATTTAGTGGATGTCCAACCAAACTATATAATTTTTTGTCGAGAAGGCTTTTGGTCATTATTTGCTAAAGGTGGAGAATTAGTCTTTGTGTGATTTGGTTTTCGGATATTTCACGCAGAGATTTTGAAAATTTTAGAAAAATCGTCTTGAAAATCGAAATTATAGGTTTTCGAAATCGAAAATTTTTAATTCTTAGCATCAGACCAGCCTATAATTAAATATTTTCTAATTTCGAAAACCTATAATTTTTATTACTCGATTTTTTTTCTACATCCAATTTTCAAAATCTAAAATCACACAAAGACTAATTCTCCACCTTTAGCAAATAATGACCAAAAGCTCTCAAAAAATAGTTTGGTATCGAAGTTTTTTCTTCCTCTTCTCCTCTTTTTTCTGCCCAACTATGTTTTATATTGCGTCCCAAACATGTGCAAAATCCAATTAAAAGTAAGCAAAAGAGTAAAGTTTACTTTTTCTTTCTTTCTGCAAACTTTTTCTTCTTCTTACAATTAGTTTGAACCTGAATGAGAGAAGAATCCTCCTCAATTTTGCAAAAATTATTGTTTCTTTGATCAACATCCCTTTGATGTTGTTCAAAATCAAATAATATTTGAAAAAAAGATGAGACGATTGTTCAAATATTATAAGAAGCAACGCAACCACTACTAATAATAAATATGAAATGAAACACTTGTGTTTTGATTTCATTGGTCGGTTTATTAAAACACTGTGTTGCCTTTTTGTTTATCTAGTTTGTAGTTTAGTTTAAAATCAAACAATTCTGATTTTATATGAATTTGAACGAGTTATGACGTGGAATTTGAAAAGAAAACTCACAATTTCCAAATTTGCCACGTCATAACTCATTTTCGCAGTTGAGCTAAGCAGGTTTTGACTAGGGCTGATTCACGAACGAAAAAAATGTTCAAAAATGTTTTTTTAACATCGAAAGATCAATTCACGAAAAGTCAAAAAATGTCGAAAAAACATTGTAGGTCAAAATTAGTTTTTCAAGGTTTTTCAGCCAAAAATGATGACAAATCAATATTTTCAAGCTTCTGGAGTAATTTCTGATGAAAATAAGCTTTAAAATTTTTTATTTTACGAAAAATCAGCAAAACCTTCTGGAAAGTGAAGTCCAAGGTCAATTTTCATCAGAAATTACTCCAAAAGCTTGAAAAATATCGATTTGTCATCATTTTTGGCTGCGAAATTTTGACCTAAAATGTTTTGTCGACATTTTTTTACTTTTCGTGAATTGATCTTTCGATGTTAAAAAACATCTTGAAACATTTTTTCGTTCGTGAATCAGTCCTAGTCGAAATTTTTCCCAAAAATGTTTTTTTTTCGAAAAAAAAATTTCAAAAATCCCCTTGTTCGCTAGAGCGCACTTGCCCACCTCAACATTTTCAAAAAATATTTTTTTCTTTTTCAGCCTTGATTTTTCACCGCTTCCCAACGAATTCCTTGAACCGTTTCAGATAATTTGATTAGCTGAAACGGAAGAGGGCATTTTGAACTTTCTTATCTGAAATTTTATCATTTTCCGGTCTGATTGGTCGCAAAATACCGTGAAATTCAAATTTTTTCCATTTTCAACAGATTTTGGTGTAGTTTGACATCGTGAGAGAATCCAGGGGAAAACTAACAAAAAAAAATATTTTTGACTATTTGCTTAGCATCTTCTTCCTCTCTTTTCTTGTGTTTTTGCTCATTTCAAGAAAATTTTGGCAGGATTAAAAAAATAAGTCTTGAAAAAATCATAAATAAAAAAATATAGATGTATATATCTGGCAATTTATAATTGAATTCTCAACATCTCTTTTTTCTTTTCGCTTCACGTCATTTCATTTCATTTCTTCTTTTTTTTCAGACGCGAATTGTATAAGAAAGAGAATGTAAAAATGGGGAATTTGTGAAAAAAATTGGAAATTGATAGAATATGATTTCGGAAACCACTTCCGATGCATTGAATTCGACAACTTCTACTAGTATTGAATTGAACAAGGATAATCCCAATGAGTTCGATTCGTTGTATGATTCGAGAGCTGCGAATGAGGAGAGAAGAGGAGGAGGGGGAAATAGTGGAGAATATACTGAAGAATTACAGGTGAGCGGGTTTTTTTTAAAGAGGATTACCGGAAAAAAAACAGTCAAAACACCTTCAAAAAAAACATTATTGTATGTCAAGAAGCGGATGCTAGAAAACCCTGCTGTCAAGTAGCTGGGCCTAGAGAACCTAGTTGTATAGGACCCGCGCCTAGAGAACCTAGTGGTCAAGTAGATGCGCCTAGAGAACCTTTTTGTCTAGTAGCCAACTCTGGAGAACCTAGTTGTCTAGGGTTCGCGGCTGAAGAACAACCGTGGCTCGAGACAGCGCCTTGAGACCCACTATGGCTAGTAGCCGAGCCTTGAGAACCACTATCACTAGTTGTGAAGGGTAGAGAACCTAGTTGTCTAGTAGCCGAGCCTTTTGAGCTTCATTTGGCAAGTAGCTGGGTCTAGAGAACCTTTTTGTCTAGTAGCCGAACCTAAAAAACCCTGTTGTCAAGTAGCTGAGCCTATAAACTCTGTTTTTGAAGGACCCAGGCCTTGAAAACCTAATTCTCTTGGAGCCGCGCCTTGAAACCCTTTTTGTCTAGGGCCTGCGCCTAGAAAAGCCTTGCTGTCAAGTAGATGCGCCTAGAGAACCACTATCTCTAGGACCCGCGCCTAGAGAACAACTATGTCTAGGACCCGAGCCTTGAGAACCTATTTGTCTAGTAGTCGCTCCTAGAGACCCACTACGGCTCGGGACAGCGCCTTGAGACTCACTATGACTAGTTGTGGATGCTACAGAACCTAGTTGTCTAGGACCAGCGCCTAGAAAACCGCTATGTCTAGGACCCGCGCTTAGAGAATCCTAGTTTTCTAGGACCCGAGCCTTGAGAGCATCTATGTCAAGTAGCCGCGCCTAGAAAACCTTTTTGTCTAGTAGATGCGCCTAGAGAATCTTTTTGTCTAGGACCCGAGCCTTGAGAGCTTCAATGTCAAGTAGCCGCGCCTAGAGAACGACCATGTCTAGCAGTCGCGCCTAGAGAACCTAGTTGTCAAGTAGCTGCGCCTATAGAATCACTATGTCTAGGACCCGCGCCATTAAACTATAACTTTGCTCTTTTGATTCTCCAACTTCCATATTTTTCCCCATTCAAAGTCATTTTTTTTCAACAAACGCCAAAGTTCAACTGTAATATTTTAATATATTCTACATTGATCAAAAAACTTTTCCCAATATTTTTCATCATTTTTTTCCAGACCGACTCTGATCAACAAGAAAGTAGTGCAAGTTTCACAATGTCTTGGGCAAGGTAAAAAAAAATTTTTTTTAATTTAAATTTTTTTGAATATAATTTTTGAAATTTTCCAATTTTGCAGAATCAAATCATCAATGAAACAACGAATACGATGGATTATTTTTGGACTAACATGGCTTCAGGTAAATCTTTTTTCACATTTTTTTTTGGAAAATAATTATTTATAATCAAGTGTACTTTTAGCTTGGAAGTGTTATGAATTGCGTCGATGTCTTCTCGTTTTCTATGGTTTATATGGAGACTAATGTGACCAATGAGTCGGCGGATAATGTAAGGAGGATTTGTGATTTTTTTTTGCAGAAAAGGATTAAAAATGGGATTAAAGTGCAGGTTTTTAGACTGAAGATTGAGAAAATTCACAATTTTCTAGCGGATTTTTTGAAAAAAAATATATTTTCTACTTTTTTGAGGCTTCTGCGGCCTTTCTGAGGCCTCTAGGGCTTTTTTGAGGCCATTAGATTCTTTTTTTGAAGCATTTTGGGCTTTCTGGGACCATTAGATTCTTTTTTGAAGGCTTAAAGGCCTTAAGACACTTTTTTTTGGATTACTAGGCCATTTCAGGCCTAAAACTGTACAGGGCGTGCTGCGCAAGCCCTGTAAAGACAGGTTTTCTCAAAAAATAGCAAGTGCGCTCCAATGCAAATCACAAATTTTGGTGAAAAATTCAAAAAATCAAATTGATAAAATCAAAAAAGGTAAAATGTGCACAGGAGCGCACTTGCTATTTTTAATAGAAAAATTTGATTTTTCGAATTTTTCACATAAATGTGTGATTTGCATTGGAGCGCACTTGCTAGTTTTTGAGAAAATCTGTCTTTACAGGGCTTGCGCAGCACGCCCTGTACAGTTTTAGGCCTGAAATGGCCTAGTAATCCAAAAAAAGTGTCTTAAGGCTGCCTTGAAGGCCTAATGGCCTTTAAGTTCCCAAAAAAAAGTTGTAAGGGCCTCAAAAAGGCTGTAAAGGCCTCAAGAAAGCTCAAAATACTTCAAAAAAAAGATCCTAATGGGTTCAGAAAGCCTTAGAGGCCTCAAAAAGGCCCTTAAGGCTTTGAAGAGGTCCTAAGGGCATCAGAAAGGTCCTAAAGACCTTAAAAACCCTAAAGGCTTCTAAAAAGGCCCCAAAGGCCGCAAACGTTTTATTAAAAATCCGCTAGAAAATTTTAAAATTGAAAAATCGCGGCGAGACCCAACTCATCAAATTTGTCATGCACCTTTAATCAATCTCTTATTTTCAGATGTACATTTATTCACTGGAAGAGAAATCCAGTCTAATCTCAGCAATGGCAATCGGTTCACTCATCGGAATGTACCCACAAAATGTGCTGATGCAAAAATACGGAGCCCGTCCGGTTTTGACAATTGCCAGTGTTTTGTGTGCCATTGTCACTGCATTCATGCCATGGGCACTGGATACCAATTATCATGTCGCCCTGGTTTTTCGGATATTTCAGGTGCGGGCTGAAAATTTTCGTCTGAAAATGTCGAATTTAGCTGTTTTCTGAGCTAAAATAGGCTTTTTTAACGAATTTTTGGCAAAATCAATCATTTTTAGATTTTATTATCGAAAATCTCATCGGTACACGCAACGCAGACCGCGCCGCGTCACAACACACACAAAAAAGGGAAGGAATTTGAATCGTTCCCTTGTGTCGTGGCGCGACGCGGTCTGCGTTGCGTGTTTATTTCGGTGGAGCGCGTGGAGATTTTCGATAATAGCTCTGTAAACTCGGGAAAATCAAGTTTTCTGAGCTGAAATTCTGAATTTTTCATACATTTTTTTCAAAATCGACCGTTTTCAGCGCTTAAAATTGAAAAAATGTGAGATTTCTGATAGAAAATTGACCCAAGCCTGAATTTGGATTGTCATGGGTGGAATTATTGATTTTTATGTTTGCTCAGCTCTGAAAATGAGCTATGACGTGGCGAAAATTCATAAAAATCGATAATTTCATCCATGACAATCCAAATTCAGATTTGCGCCATTTTTCTATCAGAAATTTCAGATTTCAAGCAATTTTAAGCGCTGAAAAGGCGATTTTGAAAAAATGTATGAAAAATTCAGAATTTCAGCTCAGAAAACTTGATTTTCCAGAGTTTTCAGAGAAATTTCTAGAAATTATTGATTTTGTCAAAAAAAATGCCACGTCAAATTTTTTTCAAAAATTTTCTAGAAATGACAAAAAAATCAATTTTTAAATATTTCACGTGAACACGTGATCCACTTTTTCATTTTCCATTTTCAATTTTTTCCAGGGAATCCTATACTCTGCCGATTTTGGTGTTGTCGGTTTCGTCTGCTCGAAATGGTCGCCACTGAGTGAAGTTGGGCTAAGTCTGGCAACACTAAGCGGCTTCACGGCATGCAGAGCTGTTATTCAACTTCCAATCGCTGGATGGGTAAGCTTAGGCGCTCCACCGAAATGAACACGCAACGCAGACCGCGCCGCGCACACAAAAAAGGGAGGGAATTTGAATCGTGTGTTGTGGCGCGACGCGGTCTGCGTTGCGTGTGGAGCGCGTGTAATACCGATGAGATTCATAAATATTAAAAATAAAAGTTTCTTTTCAGACAGTCGCATTTTTCGGCTGGCGTGTCATTTATTATATTCTATCAGCAATTTTACTATTAAGCACAATTTGCTGGTTTTGGATCTATCGCGATGATCCAGAATGCCATCATTTGATCACAAATTCCGAACTGCACAAAATTCTGAATGGCAGAAGAAAAGAGAATCGAAAGATCAGTGTGCCTTATAAGCAAATTATGAGCGAAAAATCGGTTTGGGCCGTGTGGTTCGCCGGTTTTGCTGATATTTTTGCATCGTTTGTATTTTTAGTTTATGGTGCGCAATATTATCAATATTTGGGCCTTAATGCGCAGGTTTGTTCTTTTGAGTTGAAATTTTGGGTTTTAATGTTATTCATATGATAGAATGGTCTAAGACGAACAGAATCATATAAATTTTGATGACTTTACCTTATCCATAAGTGATTTAGCGACCTTATCGACTAAACGTCGCTAAATCACTTATGGATAACCTAAAGTCATCAAAATTTATATAATTCTGTTCGTCTTAGACCATTCTATCATATGAATAACATTAAAAACCTGAAAATGTCATTTATACCCGCCGCGATGCGTGTGCGTTGCGGTCGCTTCACAATACAAAACCCCCGTTTTTTCATGTCCAACTATACTTTGTCTTTTACACCATAATTCTATCTTGAAATTTGTTTAATAAAGAATTGGAAGAAAATTGAAATCTCGTGGATTTCTCCTATTTTTAATGGAGGAAATTGTTTTGAAATTTTGGTTTTTTCAACAAGAAATTTCAATTTCCATTAAAAATAGGAGAAATCCACGAGATTTCAACTTTCTTCCAATTTTTTATTTAACAAATTTCAAGATAGAATTATGGTGTAAAAGGCAAAGTATAGTTGGACATGAAAAAATGGGGGTTTTGTATTGTGAAGCGACCGCAACGCACACGCATCGCGGCGGGTATAAATGACATTTTCCAGGTTTTTTAAGAAAATGAGTTGAAATATTGGGTTCTAATGTTATTCATATGATAGAATGGTCTAAGACGAACAGAATGATATAAATTTTGATGATTTAAGGTTATCCATAAGTATTTTAGCGACCTTATCGACTAAATATCGATTTAAGGTCGCTAAGTCACTTAAGGATAACGTAAAAATCATCAAAATTTATATCATTCTGTTCGTCTTAGACCATTCTATCATATGAATAACATTAGAACCCAATATTTCAACTCATTTGTGTGAAAAACATGAAAATGTCTCAATCCACGTGGTTTTCAGGCAAATGCGTGGTTCAATTCTGTAAAAGGTTTACTATTTATTCTTGTTCGTATAATGGCTGGACTAGCATCGGATCGTGCGAAATGTCTCAACGAAAAATCGAAACTTCGCCTCTTCAACACGGTTTCGCTGCAAATTCCGGCATTTATTTTGATCATTGTCACATTTCTTCCCAGAAATCTTCCATATCTTCATATTATGTGTATCACGGTGTATCAAGCTTCATTCGGGTTTAATTGTGGAGGATTTTATAAAGCTGCTGCTTTGATATCTAGGTAACTCGGGAACATTTTACCATATATTTTTAAAATGCGTTTTTCCAGACAATTCTCTTATTTTGTTATCGGGTATATTCAATTGTTCAAGTCATTGGCTACACTCATCGAGCCGGTTTTGTTTTCATTGCTTGTTTTACAACCTTCAACTGAATGTAAGAAGTTTCACCCCTAAAAAGTTACCCTAAGTCTCTATTTTCAGCGGATTTATCATGGGGCAGTTACTTCATGTTTCACGCAATCGTACTAACAATCGCTAATACATTCTTCATATTTTTCGTGAAATCCGAGCCAGCTGAATTTGTGATGAACGCCGATTTGGAAATGAATAAAGCTTGTGGAGTAGTCGATGGTGAATAGGAGAAGAAAATCGACATAGTTTTTTGAGTTGACTTTTTAATTTAATAAATTATTCATATACATGTAGTTATCATTATCAGTGAATATTTTATAAGCGGATGCGCTACAATACGAAAATGAAATGGATTGGGATTACACATAATACATAAAACGAAACAAAATGCAACCAACTCTCACTTGTCTTAATTTTGGGTAGGCTCTCCAGCGGCTTCACCGGCTTCTTGTTCTTGATCGTCGGCTGAGATGTCGGATGTCCAGAGGGTGAGGTTGTCGCGGAGAAGTTGCATGATTAAAGTCGAATCCTTGTAGGACTCCTCGCTCAATGTGTCGAGTTCGGTGATGGCGTCGTCGAAGGCCTGTTTGGCGAGTTGGCACGCGTTATCTGGTGCGTTCAAAATCTCGTAGTAGAATACGGAGAAGTTGAGTGCAAGTCCAAGGCGTATTGGGTGAGTTGGTCCCATTTCGGCCTTTGCCAAATCGAAAGCCTCCTAAAAGAAGAAAACAATAATCATTAGAAATATGGGGTGGAAAACTGACTTGATAGGCGTCTTGCGATTTCTTGACGATGGCCGCACGCTCGTCAGTTCCAACTTCAGCCAGGTATCTGAAGTAATCTCCCTTCATTTTCAAGAAGAAAACCTTGGATTCGACGTTGGTGGCCTTGACGATGAGGAAGTCGTCCAAAAGCTTGAGAACATCTTCGCAGATATCTCGGAGCTCTTTCTCAACCTTGAGACGGTAATCCCTGGCGATTTTCTCTCTGTCCGGAGTGGTTTTCTGCTCAATCGAGGATATGACTCTCCATGATGATCTGCGGGCACCGACGACGTTTTTGTAGGCGACAGAAAGCAAGTTTCTCTCCTCATTCGACAATTCTTTGCCGAGGGTTGTGACCTGGGAAAATAGTTGGTTTTTAGGCGTGATTTTCATTTATTTATTCACCTGTTTCATGATAGCAGCCATGTCATCATATCTCTCGGCTTGTTCGGCGAGTTTGGCACGGTTAACCAAATCTTCAACGCTCTCTGACATTTTGAAGCAAGTTCTGAAAAAAATTTGCTCATTGATGAACCTTTTTTTCAAAAAACACTTTACGAGAGCAAAAAAAAACGATGGGATAAGAGCATTGATATGATAAATGGGCGAATAAAACTCAAAAAATCGATCGAAAAGTGCGCCGCATGACAACTACAACTATGTAATTTTCGAAACATTTCAATGATAAGAAAGTCTTAGGGCAAAAACTTGTGTGTGAGAGAACAAAAAAATTGGCCTAAAAACAAACTGCAATTTCGCAACGCCTAAAACTAGAAAATGTCGCCTCAAAAAGAGAAATTTAGGAACTGACGCCGACAAAAACAAAACGAAAAACAGCTGCGAGGATTTCGAAATTTCATTTTCGCGGCGCGCAACAAGATATCGCTCGCCAGAAAATGAGTGCGCCTTTGATGGCGCCATGTTTGAAAATTGATTTTTTCCCCTCTTGTTCGCGTTGTTGTTTTTTTGAAAAGAGAAAAGGGGAAAGAAAGAACGAGCGAAACATACAAACATACAAAAAAGGGAGGTCAGTTCAAATAGCGATTTTTTCAATGAAACAACACGATTTGCAAAACATGTAAATGAAATATATTATACTTTTCAACAAAACCGATTAATATTTCACATTGGAAACTGGCGAAAAACTCATGTGACAGCGAATTTTTCGCGAAAACTCTGCAAAAACGAAAAGACGGGCCTAAAAAATCGAAAGAGCGCGGCGTTCCACACAAGACCAATCGAACAAACAAACAAGTTGTCCCTTTAAATTACAGTAAGAAATAAATTATTTTTTATTTTATTTTTTATTTTTTTGTTGTTAACATGTTTTCCTCCGAAATTTTCGCGGATAAGGTAATCCAAATTCCCATGGAAACGCGTTTTTTTGTGCATTGTCTCTCTCTTTTTTCGTTTTATTATCGATATGTGTTCAGAGAAACTGAAAAATTATGACACATGGGTTTGGTTGGTTGCTATGTTGTTTTTTCCCCAACTTTTAAAAAAATTTTCGAATTTACATTGTTTTTTGAAATAAATCTAAGTACAGTATTAAAAAATTCTATAAATAAATAGATAGATAAATACACAAAAAATAAATTTCCCGGGGGAAATTAATTTTTGAAAAAGTGCTTATCATTCTTACTGTATCTTTTTTCGGTATTTTTTTCTATTTATTGAAATTTACATTTTTCCAATACAACACTTTTTTTTTTTTTTTTTTTTTCCAAAAATTGTTCAAAATGGAAAATGAAATTCTGAAACGTATTTTTTTCGGTGAAGAAAATATCATGAAATTTTTTTTTAATTCGAAAAAATTCTTAAAGTCTCGACAATTTTGCCACGTCATAACTAATACAAAAAATTTCAGATTCTTGGTTTCATATTTAGAAAAAATGAAAAATAAAGTTTGCCTCGAGGCGGGATCGAACCCCTGACCTAAAAATTCTCAGACGCGAGTGTTTCCCACTCGGCCACGCGCTCCTGTTTTTCTCCTACGCAAAATGTTTGATAAATGAATCGTGGAGAGCGCAAAACTTTGCCACGTCATAGCTCAGTTGAAGAATTCTGATCTCTTGTTGAGTTTAGCCCCCCATACTAATCAACCCATTGTTCCATCTTCCGTTTGACATTTTTTTCGCGCAAAAAAAAAAAGAAAAAGTGTTGCGGGTCTTTGAGAGTAAAACCATTTAGCTCTAAAATATTTTTTACTCTTAATTCGATTCTCAAATAATCAAAAAATATCTCTCTCTTTCTTTTTTCACAAATTTCCCTCCCTGTTCTACCAGTTTTGTTTTTTCAAGAGCTCTTTTCCTCTACTTATATATTTGCTCTACTTATGTCTCCCGCTCTAATTTTTGCTAGGTTTTTCTTGCTGATTGATTTGAGAGCGGAAAATTTGCGCGCGGAAAGCAAGCGGAAAGAAGAAGAAGAAGATAAAGCTTGTTAATTTGAGCGCGGAACAATTGTGATTGTTGCACTTTTCTCTCTTTATTTAGCCTAAGTTCTTTCTTTTTTTGGGAGAGACAAGAGGATTTTCCTCTTTGAAGATTTTTCCACCGTATTTTAGGTTACTGTACCTACAGTAGTTTGTTTTGAAATGTTAAAATTCCTGAATTTTTGAGATTTTATAAAATTTTTAAAATTTTTTAAAGGCTCTTAAATTAGAAATTAAAAAAAAAAATTACAAGAATTTTCAAAAAACATTTTTTTTCTTCAAAATTTGGGTCACATTTTTATCACATGGCAGTTTTACCACTAAAAATTGTCATGTGACTAATTTTGAATCAAATTTTCAGAAACTTAATTTTTATTTTGTTGAAATTTTGAAATTTGGGTCTTGCTGTGAGTTTCAGGAAATTTTTTGAAATTTAATTTTCAAATTTTTTTTTTGGGAAAAATTGAAAGGTCTGAAATTTTGCTAATATTTTTCTTGGAAATTTCCTGGTAGTTTTTTGAGCAAATTATTTTACATTTAAGCTTGCAAAGCCTAAAATTAGGCCTAAAGCTTTCAGAGCCTAAAATTAGGCCTTAAGCTTGCAAAGCCTGAAATTAGGCCTGAAGCTTGTGAAGACTAAAATTAGACCTAAAGTTTGAAATTCCTGAAATTGGGCCCAAATTCCAAAAATTTCTGAAATTTTAAAACTTTTCACATTTCCTGAAAAAATTGGCAATCGGTGAGAGTGAAGGAGACTTAGAGAAAAATAGATCAAAGGTACATCAAAAATTGTGGATCTGAAAATCCATAAATGTTGAAATTGCGGTTGCTAAACTTAATTTGTTTCGAAAAAAATTGAGGATGAATTTTATTTAGTCGCTTAGAACAGTGTTCAAAAATCAATTCTCAAAAATCAATCTGTCTATTTCTAGATTTAAATAACAAATCCTAGACCCGAAAATTCAACTCGCGGTAGATCACGCGCGATTTCAATATCTTTTCGTCTCTTTCACTCTCGTCATTTTTTATTGTTACTTGGTTCAAAATTTCATTAGTAATCCAACTAATTTATATTAAAACAAAACAAAAATATTTTTTTTGTATGTATAACAAAATGACGAATCCACTCTTCCAAAAATATTCATCAAACACTTTATGTCTCTGCTGTTCCATTTTTTTCAGCACAGCATTTTGCTATTATTTACCCAAACCCTATTTACTTTTGCTCAATTTCTTTTTGTTTTTCAAAAGTCTTAGTTTAAAATTTATATGTTTTTTAAAGTTTCTCTTTTTTTTGGGAAACAATTAGTAAAAAAAAATTCCAGTTTTTATACAAATAAAAAAAAGTTAACACAAGTAAAGTAAGAAATTACTGTCTAAAATCAACATTTCCCCCCGCTCTTTGTTATTTTTGAATATTTTCAGTGACTAATTTTTCGCCGTCTTTTCAATTTCAAAATGCATAAAAATTCATACAAAACTAAAAAAAATGAAATTTTTTCAGTTTAACCATGACAGTTGTGGCAGATGAACGGGTTCAGCCGGAAAATAATCAAAATCAGCCAAAAATCGAGAATTCTGGCGGCATTTTTTATCGGATATGTTGTTGTTGTAGCACATCGGAAAAGGAGCCGCCTGTGCAATTGATTCGAAGTGAGTTGGGCTAACTCTAGAAGGGCTCGGGCTCGGGCTTCTAGGCTTCTAGGCTTCTAGGTTTCTAGGCTTCTAGGCTTTAGAACATTGAGGTTCAGGGCTTTGATCTGAATTTATATTTAATTTTTTAAAGCTTGGGGTTAGGCTTAGAGGCTTAGAGGGAACTTAGGCTAACTTGAGAGAAAGAGAGAGACGCAGAGAAAAATCCAAAAAAAATTTTTGGATCAATCGCGTCGAGACCAAGAGCGCGGGAACTGCACTTTTAGATAAAATTAGTCAGGGTTACTGTAGTTCTGAAATCTGAAATTAACAAAATCCTCATTTTCAGGCTTAACAAGCTTTAGGCCTTATTTTAGGCTTAGCAAGCTTCAGGGTTTATTTTAGGCTTAGCAAACTTTAGGCCTACTTTTAGGCTAAGCAATCTTCAGGCCTTATTTTAGGCTTAGCAAGCTTTAGGTCTAATTTTAGGCTTCACAAGCTTTAGGCCTAATTTTAGGCTTAGAAAGCTTTAGGCCTAATTTTAGGCTTCACAAGCTTTAGGCCTTATTTTAGGCTCCGCAAGCTTTAGGCCTGATTTTAGGCTTCACAAGCTTTAGGCCTTATTTTAGGCTTAGCAAGCTTTAGGGCTTATTTTCAGGCTTTACAAGCCTTAGGCCTAATTTTAGGCCTAGCAAGCTTCAGGCTTAGTTTTAGACTCTGCAAGCTTCAGGCCTTATTTTAGGCTTAGCAAGCTTTAGGGCTAATTTTAGGCTTAGCAAGCTTTAGGCCTTATTTTAGGCTTAGCAAGCTTCAGGCCTAATTTCAGGCCTAGCAAGCTTTAGGGCTAATTTTAGGCCTAGCAAGCTTTAGGGCTAATTTTAGGCTTAGCAAGCTTTAGGGCTTATTTCATGCGTTGAAGGCTTTAGGCCTAATTTTAGGCGTTGCAAGCTTTTGGGCTAATTTTCAGGCTTAGCAAGCTTCAGGCCAAAAATTTTCTAAATCTGAAAATTTCAGATTTCAAAAATCCTAGATCAAAATTCAATTCCAGGCGGCTCTCTAACCTATCAACAAGGTTCAAACGAAGCTCCACCTCAACCCCAAATCTCAACAGCAAATGAATCAATCGAAGGTGTACCCGAAGTTCAGCCAGAGATCAGAAAGATCGAGGAAACAAGTTCAGAAAACGACGAGGAAATCAATGTAAACGACATTTTGATGGATGAAGTTATCCGAAATGCCGAGGAACAAGAGGATAAAACTGAAGTTCTGGAAGAGGATGTTGTCTCGATTTCCAGTCATGTTATTCAGGAAATTGATGAGAAAGATCTGAATGATTTTGTGAAACCGCTGAAGGCTCGGAAGGCTACGGTGACTAATGAAGATTCGATTTCTATTACTTCACACCAGGAGGATCAGGAAGATAATCGGAAGATGTCAGTGATTGAATTTATAAGAAGTGAGGCTGAAGCTGAAGCTGAGGCTGAAGCTCAGGCTGAAGCTGAAGCTCTAGAAGCCCCACAAAAACCAGCGCGAGATCCTGAAGTCACCCAATCAGAGATCTCAGATTCCGAGGAAGATCAGGAGGTCCCACCACTCCCCTTAGAACCTCCACCACGGCTCACAACATCAGCGCTCGAAAACCATCCGATCCCCCCGCCAAGATCGCCAAGGATCAGCAAGATGTATCAGAATGCGGATGATTCTGATTCTGATTCAGATTCTGAAGAAGATCAGGAGCCAATTGGGTTGAGTAAAATGCAGCCAATCACATTCGCCGCTTCGCCGAAACCAGCGGATTCTGAAGCTTCATCAGATTCTGAAGCTGAAGCTGAAGCTTCATCAGCTTCAGAATCAGAAGCCGAGGAAATTGGGGTGACTAGAATTTCAGTCAAAAGCAATGGCCAGGCTCAAATTCATTCGCCACGTAGTCCAGTTCGTGTAAGTCTAGATGTGGATCGTCAACAAATTGTGACAGATGACGAGTTTTCGGAGAAGCTTATTTGATAATGATAATTTTTGACTGGAATTTTGATTTTGAAATAAAGATTTAATAACAAATTTCTTCTTTAGTTAGATGTGCAGGTTCTACCGTACTCTGAAAAATTGTTTTTTTTTTGAAACGTACATTTCGCTGGCTCGAAATTCGAAAAAAAAAAACGAATTTTTTTTCAAAAACTTTTTCTGAATTCAGAAATATTTTTTTTATTTTTCTAATTTTCAGAAGGCAAAAATTTCAAGAAATCTTCTAGTTTCAGAAAATTCAAAAAAAAATTCGAATTTCAAAAATTTTTTCGAATTTCGAGCCACAAAAAAATCCAACAGTTTCCAAACAGCCAAAATTTTTTTTGAAAAAAAATCTACTGAAAACATTATAGTTCAAAATTAGTTTTTCAAAATTTTTCAGCCAAAAATGATGACAAATCGATATTTTTCAAGCTTCTCGAGTAATTTCTGATTAAAATTGACCTTGGAATTCACTTTCCAGAAGGTTTTGCTGATTTTTCGTAGAAAATTTTTAATTTTGATGAATTCCAAGGTTAATTTTCATCAAAAATTACTCCAGAAGCTTGAAAAATATCGATTTTTCATCATTTTTGGCTGAAAAACTGTTTTTTTTTGTTTTTTGACTTTTTCGTGAAATTTCAGCCCCAAAAATACGTTTCAAAAATTTCTCAAAAAAAAATAAATTTGATTCAAATTTAATTCTACAAACATCGCCAATTCAGTACAGATCAGCAGGCTGAAAATAAGCTGATCTGTAATTTTCTGAAAATTTGATTTTTATTATTATCGAAAATCTTCACGCGCTCCACCGAAATAAACACGCAACGCAGACCGCGCCGCGTCACAACACACACAAAAAAGGGAGGGAATTTGAATCGTTCCCTTATTTGTGTGTATTGTGGCGCGGCGCGGTCTGCGTTGCGTGTTTATTTCGGTGGAGCGCGTTCGATAATATTTCGCAATAAAGATTTTTATACATAAATTATTTGTGTGCCACATAAAATACAATTTCGGGAATTTGTCCATCTTCAACACTTGTTCCATTATTATTCATGGCTGCGTATGTGAATTGAAATGTCACATCTCCTTCATTCAACATTATTCGACGAAGGCCTTTTGTGCCATAGTAGGAATCGGCTCCCTGGAAAAAAAAATTTTTTTGAGAAAAATTCTGAAATTTTCAGTTTTTTTGTTGAAAATTTTGCTTGGAACCATAATTTCTGGACAAAAACTATGTAAATATTTTTCACAGATTTGTGATTTTTTTCTAATTTTCTGGAAAATCAGAAAAAACAGCTTTTGGGGTCATAATAACACCCTAAGATTTTAGGACCTCTGAGCCAAGTTCTGGGCTCATAAGAGTTAGCATAACTCAATTTTCGATGATTTTTGTGAAAAACTGAAAAGCAGATAGTCGATTTACCCAAAAAACATGAATAAATTAAATTTTCAGAGAAAGTTTTGAACAATTTTTCTGGTTCATCAAGATTTGAAGTGATTTGAGTGAAAAAAGTTTTGAAAAAGGAAAATTTTGAATTAGTTCGAAATTTTCTCAAAAATTTACAGAAAAACATGGGGAAATTTTTATTGAAAATTTTGAAATTTAGTTTAAAAATCTTCTTGGAACCATAATTTCTCGAAAAAAAACTAAATATTTTCACAAATTTTATTTTTTGTCTAATTTTCCGGAAAATCAGACAATTCAGATTTTTTTTCATTTTTTAGCTAGAATTTTCAGCACATTTGGACCCACTTTTTATGAATCTCCCTGGAAAAATTTTTTGAAAAAAATAAATTTTTAATTTGAATTTGAAAAAAAAATTTCGAATGTCAAAAAACTTCATTTTTTCCTAATTTTTTCCACACAAAAATTTCGACTCAAGAATCACCCCAGAATTAATTTTTATTTTTGAAAATTTCCCAAGTTTTCAAACTCACTCTAATCAACGCCGATGCAATATAAGTAATTCCAGGCAAAATCTCCACAGGTTCCTTAAAACACACTCGATTCGAATTCGAACTTCCATCACTAACAAAACTCGTGTCATGTTCGGCTAATGTTTTACTAGTCCCACAGTGGATTATCTTAATTTGAACCTTATATTCATGTTGTTCCAAAACACTTCCATACAATCCAAGGCCAACGACGAAAATTCTACGATCCACGGTGAATCTGAAGTGATTTTTTGTTGAAAAATTCTGGATTTTTTTGAAAAAATTCCGGATTTCAAGCTCACTTAATTCTATCAGGTGTCCCATTATATCCCCATCGATTTTCGGTTCTTTGAAATCGCGAAACCACGCATTCAGTTTTGGAAATCGAACATCGCACACGATCCGAATAGATCAAAACTGGACGATCGCTTGGATTTACAGCGAGATATTTGAAGATCTTGTTCATTTCTCGATCGGATAGCAAACCGGTGGGTTCTGAAATTGAGATTTTCAGCTATTTTTTTGGGTCTGAGAGCTGAAAATCTCGATTTTTGACTGAAAAATCAATATTTTCAGCTATTTTTAGGTCTGGGAGCTGAAAATCCCGATTTTTGACTGAAAAATCAGAATTTTCAGCATTTTTTAGGCCTGGGAGCTGAAAATCCCGATTTTTGACTGAAAAATCAGAATTTTCAGCTATTTTTAGGTCTGGGAGCTGAAAATCCAAATTTTTGACTAGAAAATCAGCATTTTCAGCTATTTTTAGGTCTGGGAACTAAAAAATCAGAATTTTCAGCTATTTTCAAGCTTTGAAACTGAAAAATCAGAATTTTCAGCTATTTTTTGGTCTGGAAGCTGAAAATCCCAATTTTTGACTGAAAAATCAGAATTTTTAGCTATTTTCAGGCCTGGGAACTAAAAAATCAGAATTTTCAGCTATTTTTTGATCTAGGAGCTGAAAATCCCAGTTTTTGAGTGAAAAATCAGAATTTTCAGCTATTTTCTAGGTCTGGGAGGTGAAAATCCCAATTTTTGACTGAAAAATCAAGATTTTCAGCATTTTCTGGTCTGGGAGCTGAAAAATGAGAGTTTTCAGCTATTTTCAGGTCTGTGAGCTGAAAATCCCAATTTTTGACTGAAAAATTATAATTTTTAGCTATTTTTCGGCCTGGGAGCTGAAAATCCCGATTTTTGACTGGAAAATCGATATTTTCAGCTATTTTTAGGTCTGGGAACTGAAAAATCCCAATTTTTGACTGGAAAATCAGAATTATTAGCAAATTTGGTCTCAAAATGACGAGAATCCCGTGAATTTTTCCAATTTCCAAACAAAAAAATTGATTTTTTTCCTTTTTGCTCAAGATTCTTTGCTTTTAACAGTCTTTAACATGAGCAATTTTAGAGAAATTGGAAAAAACTCAAATAGCAGATTTTTCAACCAAAAAAAAATTCAACAAATTTTGTTGAAACGTACATTTTCCTGGTTGAAATTTGGTCTCAAAATGACGAGAATCTTGTGAATTTTTCAAATTTCCAGAAAAATCGGGTTTTTTTCAACGACATACCTACAAACAACGCGAATTCGTCGATTTTCATCAGCGGAAAACGAATAAGTGGCAGGGCTTTTTGAAGAACAGCTCGCTTATTATCAGCATCTGCTGGCAGATTTTTTCGTTCACATTCAGAATTGGCCCATCGTAGAGTTGCCTGGAAAAACAAAAGATGATCCTGTTTTCAATTTTTGCTGCGCGACTCTCTGAAGAGCCCAAAAATGAGCTGAAATTTCGTGATTTTGAGAGCCCATTACTCATGTTAGAGATGATTTTTATCAAAAACTGAATGCATTGCGTTGTTCAGGAGGGTAGATTTACTAAAATTCACAAATTTTTGGTTCCATACTTTCTGAACAACGTGTTGCATTCAGTTTTCGATAAAAATCATCTCTAACATGAGTAATGAGCTCTCAAAATCACGAAATTTCAAAAATTCTCAACATTTGGCTCATTTTTGGGCTCAGGATCTTTCTCAGCGTGAAAAAAACTTGAAAATGGTCCGATTTCTATTTTTTTTTTTTTTTTTTGAAACGTGACCCCTAAATTTTATGAATTTAATTTTCCTCCAACCCTTTTTTGCTCATTTTAGTTTTACTCGAATATTCGAAAATGACAGGTATCGCAAAGCGTATAATGATGTGTCGACCAACACATTTCGATGTGAATTATTCGATAAACGCTTGGATGAAAATCAGCAGCCGAGTCGATAAGAAAAAAGCCCTAAAACAGTGGGAGATTCTGAAAAGTACCGTGGAGAAGTGTGGAGCAAAAGTGGAAGTTATGGAATCGGAAGATGCCAGGGGTTATCCGGATATTGTGTATTGTGCGAATGCGGGGTTGGTGAGAGGTGATCGAGTGTATTTGTCGCATTTTGCGACGCCGGAGAGGTTGGGCGAATTTGTGTTTTATGGACGATTTTTTGAGAAGTTGGGAATGAAGACGTATTATAACAAGGAGATTATACATGAGGGTGAGTACTGTAGATCAGAGAGTTCTATTGTCGAGCAGCCGAGCCTAGAAATGCTAGTCGTCAAGAGCCAGCGCCTAGAGATCCGCTCTGTCAAGGAACCACTCCTAGAGAGCCTATACATCAAGTAGCAAAGCCTAGAGATCCACTCTGTTAAAAAGCTGAGCCTAGAGAACCTGATTGTCTAGGCACCGCGCCTAGAAATCCACTATGTCAAGGAACCGCGTCTTGAGAGTGTATGTGCCAAGTAGCCAAGCCTAGAAGTTCCAGCTGTCAAGTAGCTGAGCCTTGAGATCCACTCTGTCAAGGAGCTGAGCCTAGAGAATCTATACGTATAGGAGTCGCGCCTTAAGATCCACTATGTCAAGTAGCGGAGCCTATAGAGCCTAGTTTTCAAGTGGCTGAGCCTATAGAACCTTATTTTCAAGTATCCGCGCCTAAAGATTCACTCTATCAAGGAACCGTGTCTTGAGAAATTCTGTGCCAAGTACTCCCGCCTAGACAACCTATTCGTATAGGAGTCGCGCCTAAAGAACCACTCTGTCAAGGAGCCGAGCCTAGAAATTCTAATTGTCAAGGATCCGCTCGTACAGAGCCTAATCCTCAAGTAGCTGAGCCTAGAGAACCTGATTTTCTAGGACCCACTTCTGGAGAGTTCCATTGTTCAGCAGCCGAGCTTACAAATCCTAATTGTCAAGGAACCGCTCCTAGAGAGCCTATTCCTCAAGTAGACCTGCCTAGAGATCCAATCTGTCAAGGAGCCGCATCTTGAGAGCTTCAATGTCAAGTCACCAACCCTATAAGTTCAAGTTGTCAAGTAGTCGCGCCTAAAGAACCACTTTGGCTAGGATTTGAGCCTAGAAAACCAATTCGTATAGGAGTCGCTCCTATAGCCACTCTGGCTAGGACCGGCGCCTAGAGAGCCTATTCCTCAAGCAGCCCTGCCTAGAGATCCATCCTGTCAAGGAGCTGAGCCTTGAGACCTTCACTACCAAGTAGCCGCGTCTAGACACCCTATTTCTTCCAGGAACTGGCGATGCTCTCTGGTTCGGAAAAGGTATGAACTATTTGCTGAGTGGAGTTGGACCGCGATCCGAAGCCAAAGCTTGCGCCGACATCCAAAAGAAGCTTTCAACAAAAAATGACAATTTCCAAGTTGTAGCAGCCCGATTAGTTGATCCAAGGTACTTAAATCCTCCACGCGCTCCACCGAAATAAACACGCAACGCAGACCGCGTCGCGCCACAAAACAAGGGAACGATTTTTGTGTGTGTTGTGACGCGGCGCGGTCTGCGTTGCGTGTTTAATTCAAAAATCCTTCAGATTCTATCATGTTGACACGTGTTTCTGCCCACTAGACGAAGAACTCGCGATGTGTTATAAACCCGCATTCGATTCAACATCTCAACACAATATTTCAAACTACACTGAAATTCTTCCGATTCCCGAAGAAGATGCGAAACGTTTCGCTTGCAATTCAGTAGTTATCGGGAAAAATGTGATAATTCACCGGGGTTCGGAGAAAACGGAGAGACTTTTGGAGAAGAATGGCTTCACGGTACATCCCATTGATATGTCGGAATTTCTCAAAGGCGGAGGATCGGCGAAATGTTGTACACTACGCTTAGACTAACCTGAAATAAATGCAATTCTCGAATACGAAGTGTATCTCGCATCAAAACATCGCAAAGTGTATTCAAATCGATTTCAGTGAAACCGTCGCCATTCAAAGCCTCGATTGTATTTCGATCAATCAACTCCAAACATAATTGTTCGAGTTGAGGCTCATCGAATAGTTTGGCTTGGGTTAGAAGCATGAAGGCGTTGTCGGCTTCGAGGCTTTGAGTGAGGAATTCGACGCAGGCGGTTTCCATGGCTGGTACGGCGTATTTTTTGGCTAAAAAAAACGTTTTTTAAACGTTAAAAAACTCGAAAAAGTGATTCACGAACGGTAATTTTATTCATTTTTTCACCATTTTCTTAACACAAGTGAAGCTAAAACGCATTTTAGTGTCTAGAAATGCTATTTCAAGACTTTCTAATTCTAATGAGCCTAAAAGACAAATCAAGCGTTCAAAATCAAATTTTTAATTTTCGAAATTTTTCGGAAATCACCTAGACAATTGCAAACCGGCCGGATACTTGCCAAAAATTGAAAAACGGTTCGAAACTTGTTTCGGCCAGTAACCACTCGAAAATCCGGCCGTTTTCACTGAATTTGAGCAGAAACCGGCCGATTTTCGAGTGGTTACTGGCCATTTTCAACACCGTACAAGCTTCGGACCGTTTTTCAATTTTTGGCAAGTATCCGGCCGGTTTGCAATTGTCTAGGTGATTTCCGAAAAGTTTCGAAAATCAACAATTTGATTTTGAAGTCTTGATTTGACTTTTAGGCTCATTAGAATTAGAAAGTCTTGAAATAGCATTTCTGGACACTAAAATGCGTTTTAGCTTCACTTTATTCAATTTGTTGAGAAAATGGTGAAAAAATGAACCGTTTGTGAATCACTTTTTTGGGAAAACGTTTTTCATTTCGTGAATCCACAAACAAACCAGTATACAGTGTTGTCATCACACTCTCTGGCCCAATATTCACTTCATCACTATACAAAAACTTCAACAATGTCAAAAATGCGGGCGGCTCAACATCGGGTAACTCGATCTCAATCGGCTCCTCGGTATTTCGCGGCGTGAGCCCGCCATTAAACATCGCATCGAACACAACACTTCCAATTGAGAGCACAAATTTATGCGCTGGAATTGTTTGACGTGTCTCATCGTTGCCGACGACGAAAAACACATCGGCCAGAGTTTCGTTACAATACATGTGAGCGATTCTTTCCTTGAGGGTTTTCTTGTCGGCTTGCCAACCGAGGATTGGATGTGGTTGTGGTGATTTTGCGGGGGTTATTGGGGCTTCTGGAAATTGGATTTTAAAAACCTTAAGAACCTTAAGGCCTTACTTTTCTGTTTCTTCATTAAAGACGCAGACAACGTTGGAAGTTTTGGTTTCCTTCCAAAAGCGATCAAATTATGCGATGGTCTCTCGATAAGATTTCGATTTACTGGCAAAATATTTACAACTGGTTTAGGTTCATTAGAAGAAGAAGCTGAAGCTTGATCATCTGACGGTTCAACAGAATCAGAAGGTCGAACTAAGAGAGCAGCATAGCATTCATCTAGAGTCGGAACTCTTGGCGAAGTTTCTTCTGAATCGGGCGAATTCGCTGGATTTTCCTCGGAATTTCTGACATTTGCAGGGAGTTCTGATTGATTTTGATGTTCGATATTTGCTGCGTTTCGTCTTGATGGATAAATTTGATTTTCTCTGCAAAGATTATAGTTGGACATCGATTAAATGACATTTTCAGGTTTTTTGAGCAAATGAGTTGAAATATTGGGTTCTAATGTTATTCATAGGATAGAATGGTCTAAGACGAACAGAATGATATAAATTTTGATGAATTTACATTATCCATAAGTGATTTAGCGACTTATCTACTAAACCTCGCTAAATCACTTATAGACAACCTAAAGTCATCAAAATTTATATCATTCTGTTCGTCTTAAACCATTCTATCATATGAATAACATTAGAACCCAATATTTCAACTCATTTGCTCAAAAAACCTGAAAATCTGACAAACCCTTGAAACAAACTGGCTTGTTCAGTGTTCGAATTATTGCTGCTCGAAGGCTCATCCATAAGTTCCTGTAAAATCAGCAAAATAATAATATTTGCCTCAAAAATAAGTATGAAAAGGATCAAGAAAAAATCCGGATTTCTCACGAGGATTAGAAAAAAAGAGCAGTGAGATTGAGCATGTTTGCTTTATTATTATAGAAAATAGAAAAACCTCGTAAATAAATATATGAAAAAGGCACTATGGACTAAAAAAGGAGAATAATATCAATGTTGACCTATTGTTTATCATTTGTTGATTGATCTGAAGATGATAAATCGTTGGTATGCGAGAATTCTGGATGACGTTTTTCGATGAAGGCGGCGATTCCTTCTTGACAATCTTTTAGTTTTAGATTTCCGACCATCACGCGTGAACCGTATCTGGAAAAAAAATATTTTTTTTTGAAAATCACGTGGCATAGGTTTTAAAATCGTCATTTCTACAAAAAATATATAAAAAGTGAGTGGAAAATTGCGAATTCTTGGAAAAAATATGGATAAAACCTTGAAAATATGAGATTTTTGATAAAATATATGATTTCCAGTGATTTCACGATTCCCTGAAATTGCAGAACTCAAGATGAGTTATGACGTGGCAAATTTCGCGATTTTAGAGCTGAATGATTTTCATGCAAATCTGATAGCATTGGATTATTCAGGAGGTTCGATAACATAAATTCAAAATGAATTTTTAGAAATGGTTCTGCAACCTGAATTTAATTTTTCGAAATTGATCACATATTATCGAAAATCTCCACGCGCTCCACCGAAATAAACACGCAACGCAGACCGCGTCGCGCCACAACACAAGGGAACGATTCAAATTCTCTCCAATTTTTGTGTGTTGTGGCGCGGCGCGGTCTGCGTTGCGTGTTTATTTCGGTGGAGCGCGTGGAGTTCCGATGAGATTTTCGATAATAATGAAAATGTTCACTCTATCAATTTTGAAAAATTAAATTCAGGTTGCAGAACCATTTCTGAAAATTCATTTTGAATTTATGTTATCGAACCTCCTGAAAAATCCTATGCTATCAGATTTTCATGAAAATCATTCAGCTCCAAAATCTCGAAATTTGCCACGTCATAGCTCATCTTGAGTTCTGCAATTTCAAGGACAAAAGATGTTTAATATATAAAGGAACCGATGGACTTAACGCTGGTGATCAAACTCCAAAAGGGCCACGGCATTCGCCCCAAGGAGTCGCCAGTTGCCGACGGAATGCCACTGGAAACTGTACAGCCACAGTCAAGCCAAAATCGTCTATTCGGATTGGATGTCACAATGTTCGGTCCCTGATGGATGGCTCAAGGCGAGACGCCGAAAACATCGTGGCGAACTTATCTGGATGTAGTGTTGTTGCACTACAAGAAACCCGCGTCCCGACCAATCAAAACATAATCACTGCCGAAGGAAATGAGTATATTTTCTGCGGAATGACACAGAAACGAGTCGGAGGTGTCGGATATTGGATTGAAAAAGGGGCTCGAAAAATGGTTTCGGAAGTTATTGAATATGGTGACAGACTGGCAGTGTTGAAATTGAGATACGGATCCACCAAAATTGCGATTATCAACGCATATGCGCCCACATCCAAAGCATCAGAAAAAGAAACCGACAAATTCTACAGTCATCTCCAAAAAGTGTATAGAGAAACACCTGAATCCTGGACCAAAATAGTTTGTGGCGATTTTAATGCTTCAATTGGTAAAACATCCAGAGATGAACATCCAACTGTTGGTAGATTTGGAATCAAAAATGTAGGAAGAAATGAAAACGGTGATGCTTTGATAAATTTCGCCAACAGTCAAAAGTTATCCATTTTGAATACTTTATTCAAAAAGAAGAGAAAAGATTATTGGACTTGGAGAAATGAACGTATGAATGCTGCCACGATGATCGATTATTTCATGATCAAATGGTCGAAAAGATACTTGGTGGAAAACATCGATGTATTCAACTCCAAGTCAAACTTATCAGATCACAGGATGATTCGATTAAAACTTTTGATATCAAACGCAAATATCCAAAGGAAGCTGAAAAGACCAACCGAGCCAAGAAGATCCAACCAAAAACTGGACAAAATCAAATATGCTACGGAAATTGAGCACTGTGATAACCTTGATTCGTGTGATTATAATCAGTTGGTAGAGATGATGAAAGAATGCGCTCTAAAGGCGTCGAACCCAGTCAAAAAGGATGGAAAAATCAGTGCTGAAACCATCGATTTGCTGAAGAAACGAAAACTGCTGATCCACTCAAAATCAAGCACTGCCGATGAAAGAAGAGAAATCTCAAAAGCGGCGCGAGATTCATTGAAAAAAGATGTTGATCAATGGAAATGCCAAATGATCCAACGTGCGGTCGAGAAAAGGAAAAGTATCAAAAAGATCTATCGTAGAATGGAAGATCGAAAAGAACTATTTGGAAAGTTGAAGCTGGCGGATGGTACTACAACAGCAAATCGGTCAAAAATCAAGCTCGAAATCAAAAATCACTTCATTCATCAGTTCAAAAATCATGGCCAAAGAACCCAAAAGATCAATGAAAAACCAAGAAATCCATTTCCAATTTTAATTGATGAAGTGAGTTCAGCAACAAGAACATTGAAATCTGAGTCGGCTATGGGATTGGATAGAGTCTGTAGTGATATGCTGAAACATGGTGGTGAAAAACTGCAGCAGAATCTTGCGAGATGCTTCAACAAATTGATTGAAGACGGAAAATATCCACCAGAATGGAACGAGATTCGCATAAAATTGTTGGAGAAAAAGCCAAATCCGGAAACCTTGAAAGATGTCCGCCCAATCTCCATACTATCAATCCCTGGAAAAGTATTCACAAAAATAATGACAAAACGAATGGCAAGAAAAGCTGAGAGCTATCTGGATGAGACCCAAAATGGATTTAGATGTGGAAGATCTTGCTCGGAAAATCTACAATCCATCACGTGCCTATGGGAAAAATGCCACGAATATGACATGCCGTTGATTCTCACTTTTATTGATTATCGTGCAGCGTTTGATTCAATTTACTGGAGTGCGGTACAGGAAGGTGTGTTGGAATCTGGGTTCGATCCACAATATATGGAAGCCATAAAAAGCTGTAACGAATTTGGCACCGGAGAGATCGAGATTTTTGGAGAGAAATTAAAAATACCTGTGGAAAGAGGAGTAAGACAAGGAGATTCTTCGTCACCTGCGCTCTTCGCAATTGCCTTACACAAACTCCTGAACGAAGCTGATCCACTACCTGAAGATGATGAAGAGGAGAATTTTGGAATTCGAGTCGATGGCAATTATATTTCAAGATTATTATTTGCTGATGATCTCGTTCTAATCGACAAAAATCCGAAAGACGCCTCGAATCGTGCCTCAAAAATTGCCAAAATCTGCGAAAAAGCTGGGTTGATCTTCAACACTGCCAAATCAAAGGTATTGAGAAATCAATGCGCTAACAATGCAAGTGTTCGTGTAAATGGCCAGCCACTTGAAGATGTTGATCAAATAAAATACCTGGGAAGAATCTTCAGGAAAGATGGCGCTTTGGACTCGGAAATAAATAACCGAATAAGAGCGGGCTGGGCGGCATATCACAGCATTGCATCTGCAATCAACGAAATTTCAAACAAAGAGAAAAACCACTTCTTGAAATCCAGCGTGTTGAGTGCAATGACATATGGTTCAGAAACTTGGAACACGAAAGTTGAAGATATCAAACGAATCCAAAGAACAATCAACTATATATGGATTCAAGCAAACGCGGGAACTCCACCAAATTTGGAAAAGTTTATAATGAAGATAAAAATGCGCTGGGCTGGACACATTGTGCGCTTGCCAACTCAAAGAATATGCAGAATTATAACTTTATGGGAACCTCCGAATGGCGTGAAAAGAAGAAAAGGAAGACCGAAAAAGAGATGGGTCGATGACGTGCAAAATGAAGTCAAAGTGCATCAACACAACATCAACTTGCAAGGCCTCGGGGGAGGCGGAAGAAGAAGGATCGGGCTAATATCCAGTAAAATGCCCTGGTCACGATTGGCTAGAAACCGAAGTTCCTGGAAACATCTGGTCCACAGCTACTCGCTCGAATAATGGACTATCAAAGTATCAAAGTAAGTGAAAAATCCTATGCTATCAGATTTTCATGAAAATCATTCAGCTCCAAAATCTCGAAATTTGCCACGTCATAGCTCATCTTGAGTTCTGCAATTTCAAGGACAAGCGCGTCAAAACTTCCTTGATAATATATTTTTATCAAATATCTCTAACAAGGGAACTATTTCAACTTTCACTCTAGATTTTTAATAAAATATATGTTTTCTAGTAGTTTTCGACCCGCTGATCACGATTCCGTCATCTAAAATTGCAGAACTCAACTCCTAACATGAGTTATGACGTGTCAAAGTTCAAAAATTGCGACTTTAGGAGATCAAAACTTGCTTTAAAAATGGTTTTCGTTAATTCAGGTATTGCAGATTTCAAATTTTTTTGAAAAATCTTCTGGATTTTTGTATGAACCTTATGTAATCGACCTTCCCGAACAACCCTATGCTATTAAATTTTCACGAAAACCATTTTTAAAACAAGTTTAGACCTCCTAAAGTCGCAATTTTTGAACTTTGACACGTCATAACTCATGTCAGGAGTTGAGTTCTGCAATTTTAGATGACGGAATCGTGATAAGCGGGTCGAAAACTACTAGAAAACATATATTTTATTGAAAATCTATAGTGAAAATTGAAACAGTTCCCTTGTAGACCCAATTTTTAGGATTTTTTTCCAAGAATTCCGAAAATCTACCTGTACGCATCTGTAATATTCAATTCACTTTGCGTATAGAAAAATGCTTTTCCCAGAGCAGTCACACTTCGGCTAAATTGCCCGATTTGTTCGGCAACTTTCAATGCCTCGAATTTAACCTGCTCGTCATCGACAATTCGAGAAACAAGGCCAGCGCGTAGGGCAGCTGAAATAAGAAATTAAGCAAAAATTGTGTTGTTATTCATTTTTTCTTTGTCATTTTACCATCTGCGTCGATTGGTTGAGCAGTTAGAAGCATATCCATCGCAACTTTTTTGGGCACCGCGCGAACTAGCGGAATTCCTGGTGTTGAGCAGAATAAGCCGAGTTTTTGGCTGCAACAATGAATTTCATACAAAAAGGCAGGGAATTTTTGAATTCTTCATACCCGGGAACCAAGAACTTCGAGGATTTTCCAGCTACAACGATATCACAGGAGGCGACAAGTTGGACACCGGCGGCTGCAGCGGTTCCATTAACCTATATGCTCAAATTTTTAAAAATACCGTGAGTTTTTTGGAATTAATTACCTCTGCAATCACTGGAACTTTCATATTTCTTATAAAATTCATCATATCTCCACAGCGATTGAAGATTTTTGAGTGTTGCTCGGTTCCTTTATCAGCTTGCTAGAAATTAGATTCTATTTGGTACATAGATGAAATTAAAACACTCACCAGTTCCCTTAACTCGTGCCCAGCGGAAAATGATTTTCCATTATGCGCAATAATCACAGACCGAACTTTTTCAATCTTATCGATAGCTCTTAACTCATCCGATAATTCATTGATTAAATCCAAAGACAATGTATTGACTTTCTTATCATTCAGAATTAATCGAACCACTGAATTACCCTAAAAACTTTTTTTTTTAAATTAAATTAAAAAATTTAATTTACAAAATCACCTGGTATAATTCTCGTTCCAATAGACTTTTGGCAACACTTGTTGTTGATAACCTTCGAATACTTATATTCAACATTCTGTGAAAATGGGTTTTTTTCAGTGTTTTTTGTGCTTGAAAATGAAAAAAAAAAAAAAAAAAAGAAAAAAAAGGGGCGTGGCCTAAATTCAAATGTGGCAAGCGGTGCACACACTTTCGAAAAAAGCGTGCGATGTTTATTTTTTTTTGTTTTCCCGCTTTTTTTTGTTGGTGGCGTGCCAAAATTGAACAAAAAGGTTCACAAAGGTTCGAAAACATTCTTTTATCATTCTTCGTGGTGTCAGATGACTTTTGAGTGTATTTTTGATAACCGCCCATCCTTGTTTCATCAATTTTTGATCGATCTTCGTGGGTTATTTGAAAAATCGTTTTTTTTCTGCGAAAAAGGTGTAATTTGATTGATAGAATGCATTTATTAAATAGTTCCTGAATCGCAAGATTTTTGAAGAAATTTGTTAGACAATTTGAAATGTTATGAAATCTTGAAAGATTTATTTTTTATTATTCAAGCAGTTTTTTGCAAATATTTTCCTAGAAAACTGGTTAAAATTTTCTCTTCAATCCTCTTAAAAACGTTTTAAAAAGGTTCACTCCGGAAATTGATGTTTGAAAAGTTCACTTGTTTTTTTTTCGGAGTGAGATTTTGTTAAGAATCTGAAGTTTTTAGGCTTTTTTTTTAAATTAACTCAGTTTAGGTACGTGAATTTGGCTGTCAGTTTAACATATCTTGCAAATTTCAGTGCATTTCCGTTGTGATTTCTTCTAACTTTGATTATTCACGTTCACATTTTCCGATTCAGGATAGCGTATTTTTTTTAATTTAAATATTTCTTCCTCGAATTATTATACGGAAGTTTTTATAACATATTTCATTTCCCATTATAGTTGGACATCGACTAAATGACACTTTCAGGTTTTTTAAGCAAATGAGTTGAAATATTGGGTTTTGATTTTATTCATATGATAGAATGATCTAAGACGAACAGAATGATATAGGTTTTGATGATTTTAGGTTATCCTTAAGTGATTTAGCGAATTATCGACTAAACGTCGCTAAATCACGTAGGGATAACCTAAAATCATCAAAATTTATATCATTCTGTTCGTCTTAGACCATTCTATCATATGAATAACATTAGAACCCAATATTTCAACTCATTTGCTTTCAAAACATGAAAATGTCATTTAGTCGATGTCCAGCTACATTCAGAACTATGTATTGATTGGTTATGAAATTCATAACATATTTCATTTCCAATTTTTGGCAGATGTCCAAAAATTCCAAAATAGAACATCTTGAAATACGTCGTTTTTTTTCTTCCCAATCTCTCTCCACCCACTCTCGCTCTCTAACAAACAACCCGAATGAGTGTTCTTTCTCCTCTTCTCTCTTTAGTGCAGTGAACCGCATCGCATTCCCCAACGCGTCGCGTTCTCTGTGTTTTTTTCTTCCTCTTTCTCGGACGGCGGCGGTCCATCGATGTGAAGAAGAAGAAGAAAAAGAAGCAATCGGCTAGTTATAGCAGATACATCAGTGCTCTTTTCTTGTCTGATTCTCTCCGATTTATTTTTGTTTTCCTAGCGACAACGCGTAATTTTCCGCTTCTCCGCGCTCCTTCTATATTTTTGTTGTTTTTTTCTTCGTATTGTATTCGATTTCCAATGTGAAATAGCAACATTGATATTGTTTCGTTTTTTTTGAATTTCGAAACTAAATTTCAAAGATGACAAATATTGATTATTATGAAATAATCTTTCGACACAGTGTTCCAGAACTATAAACCTTTCCACTTTTCCCTTTAAAACAAAGTTTTGTCAACCAAACTTCTCATAATAATAATAATCAATATGCAAATTCGCTTGCTGACGGATTAGTGTTTTTCTTTATTCTCCACTAGTTTTTTGTTTCCTTTTCCATCTATCTATCTATCTGCTGAAAATATTCTATTTTCTTTTGCCTTCAAAATCTAATTAGGAGAAGAAATTTGAGGGCATTGAACGTCATGAGGTGACATATTTCAATGAATTGTTGAGTTTTTGTCTATTTTTAGATAGATTCAAATGAATTTGTTATGTTGCTTTCGTTTTCCAACCTGCCTGCGACATAAACGAAGTATATGTACATTTATTCTCACGATCGTTTTTGAATAGCAAAATTTTGAGCAAAGATCGAAGAGCAAAATGAGTTTTGAGGTGTTTTGACTATAGTTAGACATCGATTATTTCGACTAAATGACATTTTCAGGTTTTTTCAGCAAGTGAGTTGAAATATTGGGTTTTAATGTTATTCATGTAATAGAGTGGTCTAAGACGAACAGAATGATATAAATTTTGATGATTTTAGGTTATCCTTAAGTGGTTTAGCGACATTCAGTCGATATTTCGTCGATAAGCCGCTGAATCACTTAAGGATAACCTAAAATCATCAAAATTTATATCATTCTGTTCGTCTTAGACCATTCTATCATATAAATAACATTAAAACCCAATATTTCAACTCATTTGCTTAAAAAACCTGAAAATGTCATTTAGTCGATGTCCAACTATAGTTTTGATAGTTATTTAGCTCTTGGTTTGAGATTTCATTTCCTGTTTTTCCTGAAGTTCAATTTGAAAACCGTGGGACGTTTCGTTTGAATTTTTTCTGCGATTTTTTTGAATTGAATTTTGGGAAATACAGGAAATGAAAAATCAAAACTCATTTCCAACTGAAGAAAATTTGGGCGTACCAAAAAATGCTGAAAACAGTTTTTTTGGTACGTCGAATATTTTTTCATTAATTTTTAGTACGCCACTTATGAATTCGACCCCAGGGCCAAACTCATAAAAGTGGTTTACCAAGCACACCTCGGCCAAAATCGTGGTTTCCAAAATAAAAAGTTGTACGCTAACTTTTTACAGTACGAAAATTCGGAATTTTTCAGTTGTCTGTGGTTTTTTTTCAGTTTTTGACCTCTAAAAACTGAAATTCAAACTTTTTCAAAAATTGTACTCTGGTCAGCCACGGATTGGCAAAGGTGTGATACCAAAAATGACTGAAGAAAATTTTTTGGTACGCCGAATTTTTCTTCATTAATTTTTGGTACGCCCCAAGATGTTCGTTTTCCTTGTATTCAGAAAACGATTCATTGTTGTCATGGAAAACACCATTGAGGAAAATTAAGTTTATTTTCTTCCAAATTCTACGATTCGTATTAAAAAATCTAATCCGAAGTCTCTCAAATATATATAGATATAGACATTCATCAATATAAAAATTTCGTCCGAGATTAGGTGGATTTGTCGCCTCTTTTTCGTCATTCAGTCTCTCTTCCTATGTGCTCTCTCTCTCTTTTTTTGTCTATTTCATTTCTTGCTCTTGCTGACAAGTATTGATTTTGTCCAGTGTCTCTGTGTGTTGCTATGCAATTCTATCTATCTTATCATTTTTTGTGTTCTGTTCAGTTGTTTCAACTGATGCACTTCGTTGTTTTGTTTGTTTTTTCAACCAAAAAACAAGAAACATCGAATTTGTTGTTTCAGAATGACTGCGGTTGTTCAATCTGCACCATCTGTGAATGACCCACTCGACAGAACATTTATAAACGATGTCGATCAATGGATTGAGCAATTATATGAATGTAAACCATTGACAGAAGGACAAGTTAAAGCATTATGTGAAAAGGTAACGATTTTGAGGAGTTCTGGAAGTTTTTGGGTGAAAAAAGGGAATTGACAGTTGTGTAGGAATCTAAAAATGCAAAAAATATCTCTACGAAAATAAAAATTCGATTTTTATAATAATGAGCCTATGCAGATTAAAATTTTGTAATAAAAACACGAAAAATCATAATTTTTTCTATGCAGAAAAACGTCAAAATATACAGTTTATTATTTTTGAGCAAAGACAATGTGAAATTGAGAGTTTGTGCGAAAAAATTAATTTTTTCGTCTGCACTCTCTTAATTTCACATTATCTCTACTTAAAAATAATAAGTAGACTGTATATTTTGACGTTTTTCTGCATAGAAAAAATTATGATTTTTTGTGATTTTTATTACAAAATTTTAATGGGGCTATTCAAGTATTTTCTCAACACGCTGAGAAAACAGGAGAAATGCGGAGAAAATGCATTTTCTTCCCTTTTTTCGTATTTTCTCACAATCAGCCTACCTGAATAGGTTTTCTTCGCTTTTCTCAGCGTTGAGAAAATAACTTGAATAGTCCCATAATCTGCATAGGCCCATTATTAAAAAAACCGATTTTTTATTTTCGTAGGGATATTTTGGAACTTTTCGATTCCTACACAATTTTGATAATCACTAGTTACGCTATGTGAGAATATAATTATCATTGGCTTTATTATCGAAAATCTCATCGCTACCACGCGCTCCACCGAAATAAACACGCAACGCAGACCGCGCCGCGCCACAACACTCACAAATAAGGGTACGATTCAAATTCCCTCTTTTTTGTGTGTTGTGGCGCGGCGCGGTCTGCGTTGCGTGTTTATTTCGGTGGAGCGCGTGGAGATTTTAGATAATATCTTGCATTCAAAACAAATTCCTATCTCAAAAATCTCTTTTCTTCACTGAACCCTGAAATTTTGCTAATTACTAACTTATCCTACGTTTCCAGGCCAAAGAAGTGTTGGAAAAAGAGCCAAACGTGCAAGAAGTGCGATGCCCTGTCACAGTTTGCGGTGATGTACACGGACAATTTCACGACCTAATGGAACTATTCAAAATGGGCGGCAAAAGTCCGGACACGAATTATTTGTTTATGGGCGACTACGTGGATCGAGGATATTATTCAGTGGAAACAGTTAGTCTGCTCGTTTGTTTAAAGATTCGCTATAAGGACAGAGTTACACTTCTTCGTGGAAATCACGAGTCTCGACAAATTACACAGGTGAGAAGAGATTATTTTATTTTTTGCTGGGTTTTCTTGAAAAAAAAACAATATTTCTCCAGGTGTACGGGTTCTATGACGAGTGTTTGAGGAAGTACGGAAATTCGAACGTGTGGAAATATTTTACCGATTTATTCGATTGTTTCCCGCTGACAGCGTTGGTTGATGGACAAATCTTTTGTCTTCACGGTGGATTATCGCCATCCATAGACACTTTGGATCATATTAGAGCTTTAGATCGTATTCAAGAAGTGAGTTTGGGGATTTTTGGGAATTTTGGGTTCAGAAAACTATAAATTACTGTGTGAAAATCCTAAAAATTTCCATTTTTTTGGCCCTAAAAAATAAAAATTGATGAAAAAGAGCAAAATTTCACAGTGTATGTCCCTTTAAATTACTGTAGCTTTTTGGGTTCAGAAAACTATAAATTATTGTGTGAAAAGCTTAAATTTTCATCATTTTTGTGCCCTAAAAATTCAAATTTGATGAAAAAGAGCAAAATTTCACAGTGTATGTCCCTTTAAATTACTGTAGCAACAAGTTTAGCTAGTAGTGCGAAATAGTTTTGGACATACAGTAGTGCGAAATAGTTTTGTAGATTTTTAACGTGGATCCTTCTAATATAAAAATTATTGGAAAACTCTCAACAAAAAGCCTTTTGTGGTGTCCAAAAACCCCAGATTAAAGGCGCATGCTGAAGTACAGTAGAACCTGCACATCTAACTCGGGAAGGAAAAAAAATATCGCTTAAAGGAGCATACAGTAGGTCGAGCGGCTTTGGCGCGAGTGTAGATCAAAATTCCGCGAAAGCGGTTCGAGCGAAGCGAGTTTATGTCCCTTTAAATAACTGTAGCAACAAGTGTATCTTGCCTTTAAGGATTTACGGTACCCAGGGAAACTACGGTACTTTAAAGGAACATAGACTTGTGCTAAAAGTACCGTAGGCTTTTTAAAGATGTTTCTTATCTTTGTAATTTTCAAAAAAAAAAATCATTTTTACATATTTATAAGTCCAAAAACCCTAGATTCAAGGCGCATGCCTAAGTACGGTAGCACCTGCACATCTAACTCAAGAAGAACGAGTTAGATATGCAGGTGATACGGTATGTTCCTTTAAAGATGGAGATGCTGAAAATCGACATTATTCAAAATCTTCATGAGATAAAAAGTGACCAAATTTTTCCAAATCCAAATTTTGGGAAACTAAAAACTCTATACCTACAGTAACCCAAACTGCAAAATCCGAATTTACGGAATATGAACATCTACAGTAATCCAAACTGCAAGAATTTGAAACTTTCAGAATTTTTACCGAGTTTCATTAAAAATTTCCGGAATTCCCCTAAAAATGCTCAAAAATTCCAGGTACCACACGAAGGACCAATGTGCGATCTATTGTGGTCAGATCCAGATGATCGAGGCGGTTGGGGAATCTCGCCACGTGGTGCCGGCTACACATTTGGACAAGATATTTCTGAATCATTTAACCATTCAAACGGACTCACCCTAATTTCACGAGCCCATCAACTCGTAATGGAGGGCTATAATTGGAGTCACGATCGCAATGTCGTCACCGTCTTCTCGGCACCAAATTATTGTTATCGTTGTGGAAATCAAGCGGCAATGGTTGAACTCGACGATGATCTCAAATACTCGTTCCTCCAATTCGATCCAGCTCCACGAAGAGGAGAACCACATGTTACGCGTAGAACTCCCGATTATTTCTTGTAAATTCTCTCGACGAACATTAATTCTTCTTCTTTTTCTTCTCCAATTCTTCTTCTCACTTGTTTTTTTTGTATCTAATTTAATTCTTCTCCCCATCCATTCTTCTTCCTCTTCTCCTCCTTTAAAAAATTCTGATTTTTTACTAGTTTTCAAGCCCTCCGCAATCCAAAAATCCCCCATTTTTTTGTCTAATTTCAGTCATCCCAGTGTTTTTTTTTCTCTATCAAAAATTTACTTCTTTTTTTTTTTTCGTTTTGGACAAAAATTCTATACAAATTGTTCTTCTCTTCTTCTTTTTTTCAATATTTATTATTTTATGATTATTATTGATAAATCGTGTCGAATTTTGACGATTTCACAATTTTTTCTAAGCAAGAATGTTGTAAATTTGACAAATTTTGATATATTTTTTGGTTAGGAAAATTTTTGAGAACACTTTTTGGCCCAGAATTTGAAAATGATGAATGGTTGGTCGACGTTGGGAAGTGGAAATTTGAGAGATGCGTTGAAATTGCCACCGGGAGAGGATAGAAATGAATGGCTTGCGGTGAATTGTGAGTTTTTTTTGGCTGAAAATTTGAAAATCTGGAAAAATTTGGGTTTTTGGGATGCTGAAAATTCAAAATTTCAAAAAATAGGTTTTTCTGGCTGAAAAAAATTTCGAAAATTCTGAAAAATTCTAGAAAAATTGATTTTTGAGATGCTGAAAATTCAAAATTTCGAAAAAAAATGTTCAAAAAACTGCAGAGCACTAAAAAATCTCCAAATTTTCTGAGCTCTTTTTTTGCCACGTCATAACATTAAGTTTTTTTTGGCTGGAAAATTTTTCGAAAATTGAAAAATTCTAGAAAATTTGATTTTTGAGATCTGAAAATTCAAAATTTCAACAAAAAATGTGCTCCAAATTTTCTGAGCTCTTTTTTTGCCACGTCATAACATTAAGTTTTTTTTGGCTGGAAAATTTTTCGAAAATTGAAAAATTCTAGAAAATTTGATTTTTGAGATCTGAAAATTCAAAATTTCAACAAAAAATGTGCTCCAAATTTTCTAGAGCTCTTTTTTTGCCACGTCATAACTGTAGGTTTTTCTTTGCTGATGGGGCTATTCAGCGAAAAAAAATGTTTTCTCAACGGGAGAAAAGCGAAGAAAACCTATTCAAGTCGGTTGAGAAAACATAAAAATCAAACACTTAAAACACACAAATTGCGACGAGACCCAACGAAAAACAACATGTTCCTTTGACATTTTGCATTACTGTAAATTGGTCCCGTTGCGATTTTCTACAGTATCTTAAAGGAACATGTTGTTTTTCATTGGGTCTCGTCGCAATTTGTGTGTTTTAAGTGTTTGATTTTTATGTTTTCTCAACCGACTTGAATAGGTTTTCTTCGCTTTTCTCCCGTTGAGAAAACATATTTTTTTTCGCTGAATAGCCCCATGAAAAAAATTTCAAAAAATCTGGAAAAATTGATTTTTGAGACCCTGAAAATTGAAAAATGTCCAAAAAAAATGTCCAAAAAACTGCAGAGCACTAAAAAAATGTGCTCCAAATTTTCTAGAGCTCTTTTTTTGCCACGTCATAACTGTAGGTTTTTTTTGACTGAAAAAAATTTGAAAATTCTAGAAAAATTGGGTTTTTGAGATCCTGAAAATTCAAAATTTCAAAAAAAATTTTTCTAAAAAATTTTCTAGAGCTCTTTTTTTGCCACGTCATAACTGTAAATTTTTTTGGCCGAAAAAATTTGAAAAATTCTGGAAAATTCTAGAAAAATTGAGTTTTGAGATGCTGAAAATTCGAAATTTCAAAAAAAAAATTTATTCAAGAAACTCCAGAGCACTAAAAAAATGTGCTCCAAATTTTCTAGAGCTCTTTTTTTGCCACGTCATAACTGTAGGTTTTTTTGGCTGAAAATAATTTCAAAAATTCTGGAAAATTCTAGAAAAATTGATTTTTGAGATGCTGAAAATTCAAAATTTCAACAAAAAAATGTCCAAAAAACTGCAGAGCACTAAAAAAATGTGCTCCAAATTTTCTAGAGCTCTTTTTTTGCCACGTCATAACTGTAGGTTTTTTTTTGCCTGAAAAAATTTGGAAAATTCTAGAAAAATCTATGAAAATTCAATTTTTGAAATGCTGAAAATAAAATTTCGAAAAAAAATTTATTTTTAGAGCACTAAAATCTCGCAGTTTTCATCTTTTTTGCCACGTCAAACTGTAGGGTTTCGATTTTGGCAGAAAATCCATTTCAGAAAATTCTGGAAAATTCTGGAAAAATTGATTTTTGAGATGCTGAAAACCGGAAATTTGTCTGAAAAAAAATTGAGCTATGACGTGGCAAAAAAAATGTGTACTAGAAAATTGTGCTCCAAATTTTGCCAGCCTGTAGGAATTTTTTAGAGCTCTGAAAATACCTGGCTCAAAATTCGGAGCACTTGGACATTTTTGTGAAATTTTGAGGTGCTTAAAAATCAATTTTTCTAGAATTTTCCAATTTTCGAAATTTTTCAGATAAACCAACAAAAATTCAGATGAAAACTATTTTGTTGTTCAATTTTTCTGAATTTTTGTTGAAAAATTTATCTGAAAACAGAGCTATGACGTGGCAAAATGTGCACTAGAAAATTGTGCTCCAAATTTTGAGCCAGGAATTTTCTGAAAATCCTCCCAAATTTGCCACGTCATAACTTTTTTTTTCAGAAATTTATTGATTTTTGGAACAAAAATATGCAGTTTTCATTTTTTTGAAATTTTTTTTTTTAAATTCAAAATACAAAAACTTCCTGAATAGAATTCTCAGATATTTTTAAACCAAAATTTCCAAAATTTTTTTTCCAAAAAGTTTTTTTTGCAGTAATTGATCTTGTGAAACAAGTTCGAATGCTCTTTGGAGTTTTGTGCGAATCCGAATGCACCGATTCAAAATGTCCCGAAATGACGGCAAAAGATCGTGTTTATACATGGACGAATGATGAAACTGTGTAGGTTTTTCCCCGGAATTTGCTAGAAAATCAAAAATGAAAAAAAATCATTGCAGATTAAATACAAGTGCTCCTCAATATATCGATTTATCACTTTCCTGGTGTCAGATGAATATTGATGATGAAAATGTTTTTCCGTCGGAAATTGGTGGGCATTTTTGTTTTTTTGAGCCAAAAATCGAGAATTTTTGAAAATTTGTGCCGAAAAAACATAAAAAAACGAGTTTTTCAGCCGAAAATGATGAAAAATCGATATTTTTCAAGCTTCTGGAGTGATTTCTGATGAAAATTGACCTTGGAATTCACTTTCCAGAAGGTTTTGCTGATTTTTTTTGATGAGAGGAGCTCTGAGGAGCACAAAATGAGCTGAAAATCGAGAATTTTCGAAAATTCGAGGTTTTTAGAGCCTGTAGGGATGATTCACGAACGAAAAAATGTTTCAAAACTCTTTTTCCCAAACCTGAAAATTTTGAATTTTCTGAAATTTCGCGCCTAGGATAACTTTCAGCGGGAAAATTTGAAAATTCTACATCAAAATCTAAAGAAATGCAAGATTTTTGAAATTTGTGCTTCTGCAAAAATTTATTTTTCGCAAAATTAAAAAATTTGAATTTTCATGAAGTTCCCGCCTCCAAAAAAATCATTGAAAATTGAAATGTTTGAATCTTTTCGAGTTTTTCAGCAAAAACCAAAAATGATGAAAAATCGATATTTTTCAAGCTTCTGGAGTAATTTCTGATGAAAATAAGCTTCAAGAACCCTATTTTGCTTTATTTTATGCATTTTTTCGAATTTAAAATTTTTTATTTTCCGAAAAATCAGTAAAACCTTCTGGAAATTGAATTCCAAGGTCAATTTTAATCAGAAATCACCCCAAAAGCTTAAAAAATTCTCGATTTGTCATCATTTTTGGCTGAAAAACCTTGAAAAACTAATTTTGACCTGGTCATCTGCGAAATTTGTGGGTACTGTAGGTTACTACGGTAGAGCGGGAGATTTGCGAAATTTTGATACGAAATAAGGTTGGGTTGCCACGTGGCAATGATTTTTGATTGAAATTTTGAAATTTTGATTTTTAGCGCTAAAATATGCGACGTGGATTTCTGAAATAAAAAATTTCAAAAATTTTTGAAACAGTGAAAAATTTCAATGTTAGAAAATACATTTTTTTTTCGTTCGTGAAGAGACCAAAGTCACATTTTTTTGGTTAGAAAATCCTGTTTTTTTTTTCGAAAAAAGGCTCAATTTTGTGAATTTGGGTAAAATCTTCTTTAACATGAGTAATGGGCTCTGAAACCGCTTGAAAATCCAAGATTTTGGCTCATTTTTGGTCCCAAATTCTATTAAAAAATTGCTTGCAGGCAAAAAATTTCCCCCAATCTTCGACGAAATTTGCAAAACAATAATGCGTCGACTATTCCGAATCTACGCCCATGTTTATCACTGTCATCTAAATCATTTCAAAGAAATCAAAGCGTTGGCACATTTGAATACGTCATTCAAACAATTTGTGCTATTTGCCAATCAATTTGAATTGTTGAAACGCGAGGAAACTGAACCATTGAGAGGAGTTATTGAAAGTCTTATGAGTTCCGGATGATTTGGATGTATTTTCTGTGGTGGAAATGAAGATTTGTACATATTTATTGAATAGACACATTTATCCCGGGATTTTTACGTTTCAAAAAATCTATATTATTCATTTTGAATGCAATTTGTTGTTGAAAAAACTTTGAAAAAAATCCACGGATTTTTTTTTCGAATTTTGAGGGTTTCCCGCTTGTCGAGAGAAGTACACGGATTTTTTGAATTTTGAGGGCTTCCCGCTTGTCCGAGAGAAGTACACGGATTTTTTTTTCGAATTTTGAGGGCTTCCCGCTTGTCCGAGAGAAGTACACGGATTTTTTTTTGAATTTTGAGGGTTTCCCGCATGTCCGAGAGAAGTACACGGATTTTTTTTTGAATTTTGAGGGTTTCCCGCTTGTCCGAGATAAGTACACGGATTTTTTTTTTTGAATTTTGAGGGCTTCCCGCTTGTCCGAGAGAAGTACACGGATTTTTTTTTGAAATCCTAAAATTTTTTTGCATTTTTTTTCTCTTGAAATTTTCCGGGATTTTTTACGTTTCAAAAAATCGATATTGTAGAAATGTGCATTTTGAATCGTTAAAAATTACAAAACTACTGTACGCAAAAGTGCGTCGCGGTGTTTGCACACATAAATTTGTGGAGGCAATTTGAAATTTTCAAAGATTTATTTATTTATTTTTTAAATTTTTTTTTCATTTTTCAGTGTTCAAAAACATTTGACCTTTAGATTTTGACCTTGTGCACTTTTTACGAAAAAAAAAACGAAAATTTTTTTTATTTTCTAAGTTACGATATTTTTTTTTATGTTTTCCAGTATTTTTTTATTCACAAAACCAACAAAAATATAGTTTTTCGCCTGATTTTCTCTCGATAAAGAATAAATATTTGTACTATTTATATGCGTCCCCACCGATTATTTGCTAACCTTTCTTTTTCTTTTTTTCTCTCACCACCCTCTTTTCTCTCTTCTGATTTATTTTTGGTTTAAAATTATGAAATACCTTGTGGTTGTGGTTACCTTAGAAACCATAAAAACACAGAAATTTGAACCACGTTTTTTCATTTTTAATTTTTTGTAGCAGCAAATTCCAGATTTGTCCAGCAAAATTGACAATTTTTGGAGGAATGTGAGAAATGACATCGAAATATGACGTGGAAAATGTACCAATGTTGGATTTTGACGAACATCAAAGTGAGTTTTTTTTTTGAATTTTGAGTGTTTCCCGCTTGTCCGCGAGAAGTACACGGATTTTTTTTTTGAATTTTGAGGGTTTCCAGCTTGTCCGAGAGAAGTACACGGATATTTTTTAGAATTTTGAGGGTTTCCCGCTTGTCCGAGAGAAGTACACGGATATTTTTTGAATTTTGAGGGTTTCCCGCTTGTCCGAGAGAAGTACACGGATTTTTTTTTTAATTTTGAGGGTTTTCCGCTTGTCCGAGAGAAGTACACGGATTTTTTTTTGAATTTTGAGGGCTTCCCGCTTGTCCGCGAGAAGTACACCGATTTTTCCCCCAAAAATTTATAAATTTTTTGCAGAAACCTGCCGAAGTGCATCGATTCTTCGAGTCATCGACGATGAAGATTCAAAACGAGACAGTCTTCGATCAATAATCCATCAAAGTGCTCGGGAAGGAAATATTAGTTCGTTGAGAAAAGAGCTCGCAACAAGGCCGCATTTGATAAATGAAAGGGATTTGGATGGGGTAAGCGCCGGCTGGGGGTCGAACCCTGGTCTCGCAAAAGATTGACAGGCGCGCGTGCAAACCACTTGACCACGCTTATTTTCCAGATGACCCCCCTGCACTATGCTGCAAGATACGGTAACTTGGAAGCTGTCAATCTCCTCCTCGAATACGGCGCTGATCCGGATTTCAAGAATTGCGAAGGTGACACTCCACTTCACATCGCCTCCAAATATAAACACGAACCATGGTCGGATATTTGTAAAATTGTGGATGAATCTGGAAGAACTGTGTTGAATTCGGATCGAGAAGCGTATGAATTGACACGGTCTATTATTAAGTCTCTGGTGGCTGGGAAAGCGTGAGTTGACATTTTTTATTGAACAACGTGCTGAACATTAAAGGAACATACCGTATCAAAAACCTGCGTATCTAACTCTTTCTTCTTGAGTTAGATGTGCAGGTACCTCTACCGTACTTCAGCATGCACCTTGAAAAGGCTTTTTTTCTTGAAAATTAGAAGGTACTTTTGACACAAGTCTATGTCCCTTTAAAGTACCGTAGTTTCCCTGGGTACCGTACCTACAGCAATTTAAAGGGACATCCACTTGCTTCGCTCGAACCGCTTTCGCGGAATTTTGATCTACACTCGCGCCAAAGGCGCTCGAGCTACTGTATGCTCCTTTAAGCGTTAATATCCTTCAAGGCAAGATATTTAAACTTTTCGCTACAGTAATTTAAAGGGGCACACTCTGTGTAATTCGGAATTTAACTTGCACCCAAGCTCTTAAGCTACTGTATGCTCCTTTAGGCGTTAATATCCTTCAAGGCAAGATATTTAAACTTTTCGCTACAGTAATTTAAAGGGGCACACTCTGTGGAATTCGTAATTACACTTGCTCGAAAAGCTCTTGAGATACGGTATGCACCTTTAGGCGTTAATATCCTTAAAGGCAAGATATACTTGTTGCTACAGTAATTTAAAGGGACACACTTTGTGGAATTCGGAATTACACTTGAATCAAAGTTCTTGAGATACGGTATGCTTCTTTAGGCGTTAATATCCTTAAAGGCAAGATATACTTGTTGCTACAGTAATTTAAAGGTACATGAACTTTGCAAAACTTTGATCTACGTTTGCTCCCAGAGCTTTTGAGGTACTGTATGCTCCTTTAAGCTTTAAAATCCTTCAAATCTCGATATTTAAACTTATTGCTACAGTAATTTAAAGGGACACACTGTTGAATTCGGAATTACACTTGCATCAAAGTTCTTGAGATACTGTATGCTCCTTTAGGCGTTAATATCCTTAACGGCAAGATATTTAAACGTGTTGCTACAGTAATTTAAAGGGACGTGAACTTTGCAAAACTTTGGACTACAGAACGCTCGAGGTACTGTATGCTCCTTTAAGCGCTTAGCTATCAGTTTAGACTCTCAATTTCCAACTGGGTCACTTTAGGCATCATAAATTTAGGCCCCAAGTTAATTTAGGCTCCAGGTCAGTTTAGGCCCCAAGTAAATTTAGGCCCCAATTCAGGCACCAGGTCAAAAAAGGTCACAATTTGGGCCCCAGGTCAATATAGGCCTCATAAATTTAGGCCACAGTTTTGGCCCCAAATAAATTTAAGCTACATTTTTGGCCCCAGGTCAATTTAAGGTACAATTTAGGCCCCAGGTAAAATTAAGCCCCATCAATAAGGCCCCTCAATTTCCAGCTAGATACCCGATTCTAAAAAATTTCCAATTTCCAGAGTTCTAAACCCCATAAATCAATATAAATTAACACCATTACATTACGCTGCAATGAAATCGAATATTCCTGCGATCTCCACACTTCTAGAACTCGGCGCTGATGTTAATGTAAGTTTCACTTCGGACCCCTTCCATCGGAAGTTTGGGCCCCGTTTTCCAGGCACAAGATGTGAATGAGATGACACCTCTGCTCCTCGGATGTGTTCACGGAACTCAAGAAACCATCGGCAAACTTCTCAAAGCACGAAGTGACATCTCGAAAAAAGATCAACGACAAAACACCGTGTTTCATATTGTCGCACTACGCGGTGAACCTGAATATCTGAAAATGATGTTGGAACATGGCGGAAGTTTGTCGATGAAGGCGTTGAGTATGAAAAATAATGAGGGAAAAACACCGTTGCGATTAGCTGTCGAGGGAAATCATCCGGAAACTTTGAAGGAGATTTTGATTTTGGAGAAGAGGACGTCGACCAAATGGACAAGGTAAGATAAATTTTCTCAAAAAAAAAAAAAAAAAAAAAAAAAAAAAATTCGGAAATTTTTTTTTTCAGCAGAGAATCTGGCTTGATACATTTCGCCGCATCGAAAGGATATCTAGAAGTTCTGAAGGAGTTGATTGAGGCTGGTGGAGATTCGGAAGAGCGAGATGAACATGATTGGTTGCCTTTGCATGTGGCAGCCAAGATGAATCAGAAGGAGATTGTTGAATATTTGTTGGAGGTGATTTTTGAAAGGGAATTTTGTACATGGAAAGCTTTTAGGACCTCTGGGCCAACTTTTTTGCTCTTAAAAGTTCATTGCAAAAATTGGCCTATAAAAGTTAGTGTAACTCAATTTTTTCAGAAAATTTTTTGATTTTGGAAAAAAAAATTAAAAATTTTTTTTCGAAAAAATATTTTTTATTGATGTACTTTTAGTAAATCGACTATGCTGATCAATATCTGAAACTTTATTTCTCCAAAAAAAATTTTTGAAATTGAGTTATGATGACTTTTATGAGCCAATTTTTGAACTTTTGAGAGCCCAGAACTTGGCTTAGAGGTCCTAAAAATTGTAGGATGACCCAAAAAGCTGCCTAAATTTCAAGCCTTGTGGTTTTCAGGCACCCGCCACACACCATTTTTAAAATTTTACTTTCCAGAAAAAAGATTTTTGAAAATTTTTTTTATTCGAAAAAAATCTTGGACATTTGAGGGATTTTCTGCACATTTCAAACGTTTTTTTTTCAAAATTTCTCCGATTTTTAAAAATCCACGTCATAAGTAACTCACCTTCAAAGTTGACATTGTCCAAGTGAAAAAATATATTCTCTGTACTGGTTTTTACTATTTCAAAAATCTTCTAGAGCCTTCAGACGCGCATAGAATCCTCTAGAGGCTTCTTGACGGTTCTAAGGGCTTCAGGGGTATTCTGAAGGGTTCTAGAGGCTTCTGAAGGCTTCTAGAGTCTTCTAAGAGATTCAGAAAAATTCTGGAGGCTTCTAGAGGCTTCTGAAGGCTTCTAGAGGCTTCTGAAGGCTTCTAGAGTCTTCTAAGAGATTCAGAAAAATTCTGGAGGCTTCTAGAGGCTTCTGAAGGCTTCTAGAGGCTTCTGGAGGCTTCTGAAGAGCTTCAAACACCTTCTAAGGGCGTCAGAAAAATTCTGAAGGCTTCTTGAGGCTTCTAAGGGCTTCAGGGGAACCCTAGAGGCTTCAGGGGAATTCTAGAGGCTTCTAAGGGCTTCAGAAAATTTCTAGAGGCTTCTGGAGGCTTCAGAAAATATTCTGAATGCTTCTAGAGGCTTCTGGAGGCTTCAGGGGAATCCTAGAGGCTTCTTGAGGCTTCAAAAAGCTTCAGAAAATAAAAAAATTTCGTTCCAGAAATCTGACATCGATGCAGTGGATGATTTCGGAATGACTCCTCTAATGTCAGCCGTCTCTCATAATTCTCTCGATGTCGTAAAACTTCTGGTCGAAAGAAAAGCAACAATTTGGTTGACAGACAATGATGAGAGAACTCTCATTTTCATTGGCGCCAAATACAATGCCCTCGAATCTGTGCAATACATCCTTCAATATATTCGTGAACTCGCCAGTTTCAATCAAAAATTGGGAGAATCCATTGCCTCGAGGAAAACCCTGCGAAATGTTGATAAGGAGGATGAAGTGACTATGGTGAATCAAACTGATCGAGATCAGAATACTGCAATGCATATTGTTGCATCGAATGGCTATTTAGAAATGATGAGGGTTAGTATTTAACATATTCTGGGGGCTCATTCACAATTTCTGAAGGCTTCTGGAGGCTTCTGGAGGCTTCTAAGGGCTTCAGGGGAATTCTAGAGGCTTCAGACAATTTTTTTTTTTTTTAACATTGAAATCATTCAATTCACGAAAAGTGTAGGTCAAAATTAGTTTTCCGAGTTTTTCAGCCAAAAATGATGACAAATCAATATTTTTCAAGATTCTGGAGTAATTTCTGATTAAAATAAGCTTCAAGAACCCTATTTTGCTTTTTCGAAATATAAATTTTTTTATTTTACGAAAAATCAGCAAAACCTTCTGGAAAGTGAATTCCAAGGTCAATTTTAATCAGAAATTACTCCAGAAGCTTAAAAAATATCGATTTGTCATCATTTTTGGCTGAAAAACTTTGAAAAACTAATTTTTAAATGTTTTTTCTTCGAATTTTTGTGAATTCCGAGAGAAGTACACAGAATGAAGTGTGCGATAGAGCGAACTTTCTTTCCTATACTTTTAGGGTTGTAGGGATTTTCAGCTTAAAATTAGCCTAATTAAGAGTTAAATTGTGCCAATTTTCAGCTTTTATATGAATATGGAGCTGTTTTAACATTGGTGAATGAAGATGAGGAGACAGCACTTCATCGAGCTGCAGCAACTGGCGAAACTGCGGCAGGTTGGGGAATTTTATGAATAAAAATTTTGAAAGAAGAAATTTTCATGAGAAACATGAATTATGAATTAGTTTTGGAAGAAGAATATGAGATTTTTCAATTAATTTGGAAAGAAGATTGGGGGGAATTTTTGAGATTTAGAAAAATTTTTTTTGAAAATTTTCTGAAAAAAAGTTATGACAAAGTTCTCAAAGTAAAATTTTGAAAAAAAACGGAGCTGTAACTTTTAGAAGTCAAAACGTGATTTTCTAGGCGCGGCTCCTAGACAATCGGGTTCTGTAGGCTCGGCTACTTGAGAAGTAGATTGTCTAGGATCGGCTGCTTGACAACTAGGTTGTCTAGTCGCGGTTCCTTATCGGAGTGGATCTCAAGGCCCCGCATCTAGTAAGCGTAGTTCTCTAGGCGCTGCTCCTTGAGAATTAGGTTCTCTAGGCGCTACTACTTGTCATCTAGATTGCCTAGGATCGGCTACTTGACAACTAGGCTCTCAAGGCGCTGCTCCTATCCAGGCAGGTTCTCTAGGCGCGGCTCCTTTACAATCAGTATCTCTAGGCTCGGCTACTTGACACACATGCTCAAATTGCGCAAAAAATCTCTGAAATTCAATATTTAGTCCAAAAATGTCATCCCAAAAACCAGTTTTTTGCAGTCCGCCAACTAATCGAATGGGATCATCGTCTACTTTTACAAAAAGATGAAATGGGCAATAGTGCACTCCATATGGCATCAAGAAATGGTCAGTTGGCTTTTTTTTTATTTGCTCATTTTAAAAGGGTTTCCTACATGCATATCCCTTTTTCTACTACTGTATGTGTTCTAAAAAGGCATATCTTTTTTTTCGTTCGTTTGTCATTGAATAAGCAGATGGGTTTTTGGCTGTGTTGTGTTGACAGATGGTGCAGGGAAAGGATACAACCTCCCTGTATTTACTTTTTGTATGGTAATTTGGGTGACATCTGTTTGATTGCAAAAAAAAAATAAAAAAGTTCGCCCGCATGCGGCATCGAACCCGCGCTTCGCGAACGATAGGCCCACGTGCATACCACTTGGCCGCCCGGGTGTTGTTCTCTCCCGTTGAAAATGTTGAATATAAAATGGCCCTCGCCAAAAAAAGCGGAAAAAGTTTTCTTTTCCGCCTCTCCAATTATTTTCATCTTTTGCTTGGTCGATGCGAGGTTTTCATTAATTATTTTCAGAATTTTTGTTTTTATTTGCACAAGGTCTCATATATATATATATATTTGAATCTCATCAGAATCTCGGAAATACACACCTGTTTCTTCCGATTCTAATCTTGATGATAATAATCCCAGAGAGCAATTATCGGATTTTTAGCGGGAAATACATAGACAAGAAAAAAAATGATTGTGTAATTGGGGCGAAAATAATTATATAGTTCTTGGAAGAAGAGCAGGTGTGGACTTTCTCTTTTTGAAGAAGAATTGAGATTGCGTAAGCCTGAACAACATTCTGAATGTCTGGGCAGAAACTTCAGGATTCAGAATCTGGAGGATTCAGGATTATTGAAGCTTGCTCTGACCGGGGAACATCGAGAATCTAACTCGGAAATTCGGGATTCAGGATCTGGAGCTCTTCAACTTCTTCAGGTTGAGGATTCAGGATTAACAAAGAAGCTCTGATTTCTAATCTTAGAAACTATAGAAACTACAGAAGATTTTGAAAATTCAGATTTTTCTTGAAGTTTGATTCAAACCTAAGAAGCTCTGATTGTGTTTCCAGAAGTTTCAAGCTCTGAAATTCAGGGTAAAAATTTTCCTCTAGAAAATTCCGATATTTTGAGCTTCGAAAACCTTCTGAAAATCGATATCCAGGAATTCTGCATTTTTCTCTGAAATAAGAAAAAATCCACATTTTCCAAGTTATCCTAACTTCCAGAATGAAATTTTGAATGGGGTGATTCAAGTCGAAAAAAAATTAAAAAAAAAATTTTTTTTTAATTTTTTTTTTAGAATTTTTTTCATTTTCGTGTGGAAAAAAGGAAAGAATAGTTGCTGAATCGAAATTTTTTGTCAAAAAATGTTCAAAATTTTTTTTTTCGACTTGAATCACCCCAGAAAGGTCAGAATTTTCTTGAACTTCTCAGAAGACTTGACCTGAGTCCAGCTGATTGAAACACTGATTGGGATTCCAGAAGTTTAAGGAAGTTCTGAATTCTTAATTCCAGGGAAAATTTGGATTTTCCTTTTTAAAAGCCGGAAGAGTCTGCATTGAACTTTGAGGCTAATCCAAAATTTTTCAAGTTATCCCAACTTCCACACCTCTATAATAATTATAGCCTCAAGATCTACCGCATTGTTTTTTCCTCCTCCTTCCATCCTCCATCCTCGCTCCACCTACAGTAGTGTTTTATCGATTTGCGGCTCTCGCCAGCTTCTTCTTCTTCTTCAGCTTCCCTCTTTCTCTCCCCACAACATTCTCCACATTTTCCATGATCTCTCTAGATGGAAAATGGGCGGAGCCGCGGGCTGCGCGGGGCTCCTCTCACTCACTCACTCAGTCTGCTTCTGAATTCTTACTAGTAGTACTTGTTGTTGTTTGGCTATCTATCTATCTATCTAGATATATATATTATATTCTGTCTACTAACCATCTTTCCAACAGTTCCTCTTGGCACCTGTCCATGTCTAATCCGTTTTTGGTACGCGGGGGACAAGTGTCTCCCCGCCCCTCCGTCATTTTTTCCCTTTCCTGACCACCTGCTCTTTTTTCATTCATTCATGGTCATCATCTGGATGTTTTCGTCTATTTTTCTTCTTGATTTATTTTTATTTTTGTCTTCCAACTTGGCCTTCACCCGAGTGACTTTAGTGGAATTTGCGGATAGCCCCGACTAAGGCACGCGGTGAATGCCAAGTTGACCACTGAGTTGGTTGAAATGTGAGTTTGATGAGCAATTTTATGACTTTAGCGGCCAAAAACCCACAAATAGTTGGTTAGGGGGTTAACTTTTTGAAAATATTTCCTGGAGAGGGGGGTTAACTCAAGGGTCCCCGGAGCGACTTGATGAGATCTACAAAGTTCTAGTATTAAGGGAAGATCCTTTGTTCCTCTTGCAACCTTGGTTCTTCATTAATTCGCCAGATCTCACAAAGATCGGGGAACAATAGGATTACGTAATCTTATTGTTTTCGCCGGTAATCCATTGTGAACGCGAATTTTAATTAGAATTCATTAGGCAGGGAAGATTTGGGGGGGATTTACATGGGGGCTTATATCAGAGCTGGAAGCTACTTAATTTCAGGCTTGGTCACATCCAATAAGATTTTAATTTTTCATTAAGCGGATCTTGACTAAGGGAAGATCCTTCAGTTCGAATTTTTTTTGGTTTGGAGAAAACTGGGGAATCTAGGTTTCAATTGGAACATCTGAAATAAGGTTTTGGAGCTAAAGGCTAATTTCAGGCTTGGCCAAAAAGATTTCAATTTTAATTAACCGGATCTTGACTAAGTTAAGATCCTTCAGTTCGATTTTTTTTTGGTTTGGAGAAAACTGGGGAATCTAGGTTTCAATTGGAACATCTGAAATAAGGTTTTGGAGCTAAAGGCTAATTTCAGGCTTGGCCAAACCCAATGAGATTTCAATTAACCGGATCTTGACTAAGTTAAGATCCTTGAGTTCGAATTTTTCTCTGGTTTGGGGGAAACTTGAACCTGGTAAATCTACATTTCAATCGGAATTTTTTAGCAAGATTCTCAAAACTACAAAATGTGGGAAAATTTGTTCACAACTGAATTTTTAATTATTCAGGATTTTATTTTTTTTGAACCTGGGGAATCTACGTTTCAATAGAAACATAACGTTTTTGGTTCTAAAAATACAAATATTGTTCAAAACTGAAGATTGAATGGAAAATTATTGAGGAAATCAAAAAAGTTCCATAAATTCTCTGAAAATTCCAGAGCTCCGAGAAAATTTCTGAAAAAAATGAGCTTCGGGATAATTTCGAAAATGTGTTTTTTTGTTCTAGGCAACGATGTAACGACTCGTGTTCTATTAGACGCCGGCGCCGACAAAGAAGCCCGCAATTCGTATCATCAAACACCATTAATGGTGGCCGTCGAAGCCGGTTTTCTTGAAACCACTCAACAATTGGTGCAACGAGGAGCAGATGTTGAAAATATGAGCGATTCAAGGTCTTGAAACGGCTTTTGGGGGTCATGTAATGATTTGTCTTATTTAGAACCGTTTTGCATCTGGCAGCTGAAAAGGGACATGAGACGATTGCGAGGTTTTTGATATCGAGTGGGGCGAGGGTTGATCGAAGGGATGAGACTGGAAGAACTGCGTTGGATGTGGCTTGTGAGAATAATAAAAAGTGCGGAAGCTAGAATTGTAGTTTTTAAACGATACTCCACGTTTACGGGGTCATTTTTCATGAATTTCAGGTCAAAAAGTGTTTCAAAATGCAAGCGTAAACGCGGAGCATCGTTTGATCATCAAAAAACCTTTTTTTATCGCGGTGTAAACGCGGAGTATAGTATTTTTCAGCATTTCAAACGATACTCCAGGTTTACGCGGTGATTCTTTATGAATTTTTGGCCAAAACATATTTCAAAATGCCAACGTAAACGCGGAGCATCGTTCGAACATTAAACGCCTTAGTTTTCCCTTTTTTCTGAGGTGTAAACGCGGAGCATCGTTTGAACATTACCCATCTATTTTTCCAGCTTTTTTGAGGTGTAAACGCGGAGCATTGTAGTTTTAGGCATTTCAAACGATACTCCACGTTTACGACGTCATTTTTCATGAATTTTTGGGAAAAATATTTTCAGAATGACAGCGTAAACGCGGAGCATCGTTTGAACACTAAACGTCCAATTTTTCAACATTTTTTGAGGTGTAAACGCGGAGCATTGTAGTTTTAGGCATTTCAAACAATACTCCACGTTTACGGGCTTATTTTTCTCAAATTTTGGGAAAAATATTTTCAGAATGACAGCGTAAACGCGGAGCATCGTTTGAACACTAAACGTCCAATTTTTCAACATTTTTTGAGGTGTAAACACGGAGCATCGGAGTTTTTAGCATTTTAAACGATACTCCGCGTTTACGGGCTTATTTTTCTCAAATTTTGGATCACAAACATCAAAAAAAAATTCAGAATGACAGTGTAAACGCGGAGTGTTGTTTGAACACTAAACGTCCAATTTTTCCATATTTTTTTCGAGGTGTAAACCCGGAGCATTGTAGTTTTTAGCATTTTAAACGATACTCCGCGTTTACGGGGTCATTTTTCATGAATTTTAGGTCAAAAAATAAATTTCAGAGATGTTTCTCGAGTACTTCTGGAGACCAATGAATGGAAATCCCTGATGATTCCAAATGATGTGATTCCAATCGGAAACCGGGATAAAAATGGGGAAAGAATCACTTCGAAGAAGCGAAAAACACCATTCAGAACCCTATTGCTGAAATTTCCCGATCTTGCAGTTCTGGTGATGGATAAATGTATCGAGTTAGTCGAACTCTTCAATTTTGATTCTGAATCTAAAAATAACGTGCTTTTTCTTTTCAGAAGAAATAAAGAGGATGAAGATGAGACGATGTGCATTGCATATAACTTCGAATATATCGATGACACTTATATGATGCCAAATGAAACATCGACTGATTTTGTGGGCATTTTGTCGCCCTATAATAGTGAATTTAAATTGGAGAAGGAGGCCGATGAATATGCGTCGAATTATGATGATATTTTCAAGAATCATCCGCTGAAATTGATGGCGAATGCGGAGAAATTGTCACTTTTGTCGCATCCACTATCATTAGCGTTATTGAAGCATAAGTGGAATAAATTGGGACGATGGGTTTATTATTTGGGTGAGGATTTTGGAAGGGTTTTGGAGGAGTTAGAGGGCTTTTCAGATAGTAGAGGGCTTTTTAGATGAAACGGGGCTATTTAGATAATACAGGGTTTCAGGGAAACATAGAGGGCTTTGCAGATGAAACAGGGCTATTTAGATGATACAGGGTTTCAAAGAGAATTACGGACTTCAGAGAAAATTGAGGGCTTTAGAGAAGTTAGAGGGCTTTTAAGGAGGAGTTAGAGGGCTTCTTAAGAGAGTTAACGGCTTTTAAGAGAAGTTAGAGGGCTTTTTCAGAGAATTAGGGATTTTGCAGAAGTCAAGGGTCTTTAGAGAAGTTAGAGGGCTTTTTTAGACAGTACAGGGCTTCAGAGATAGAGAGAGAGAGAGAAAGATAGAGGGCTTTTCAGATGATGCAGGGCTAATTAGATAATACGGGATTTAAAAAAGTTAGAGGGCTTTTCAGAATATAAGGGGCTTCAGAGAACTTAGAGGGCTTTTTAGATAATACAGGTTTTTAGAGAAACTCAGAGGGCTTTTGAATTAGTACAGGGCTTTTCAGATAATACAGGGCTTTAGAGAAGTTAGAGGGCATTTTAAGGAGAATTACGGACTTCAGAGAATTAAGGGCTTTAGAGAAGTTAGAGGGCTTTTAAGACGAAACAGGGCTAGTTAGATAATACAGGGTTTTAGAGAAAACATAATTTTTAAGAGAACTAAGAAGCTTTAAGGACTTCTGGAAGAAATTCTCCTTGAAACTTCATTTAGCCTAACTCTTGCATAAACCAAAAAATAGAATTTCAATTTTTTGCACTATTTAAAGTATAGTTATGACGTGGCAAAGTACTTTTTGAGTACTGTAATTTATTTCAGAGATTTTTCACTTCAGAAAAATCAATAAAGCAGGATTGAACCCTGCTGAACAAGGCTGTTAAATCAGAATTAAATCAAATTTGCCACGTCATAACTATGCTTTGGGTGGTCCTAGAATTGACCCAAACAGAACTCAGAACTTTCGAAAAACCGAAAATTCAAAAATCCATATTTCAGCTCTAACAATTTACTGTGTATTCATTATCTCTCTAACACAATATGTTCGACATACAAAAGCCCCATATAACGTTGAAAAAGCTGAAGGGAACTATTATACTCACGATTTCTTTGATGACAATCAATCATGCCCAAATGTCCAATTAGAAACACCGAATCCAATTTGGAAATCGATAATTGTGCTCTTCGCAATTTCGCAAATCATTAAAGAAGTCTTTCAATTATACCAAAGAAAATTGTCGTATTTATATAATTGGGAAAATTGGGTGGAATGTTTCATTTACTCCACTGCCATTATAACGGTCACCGATTTATCCGAATGTTCAGCGACTTCGGGAGTTCGAAAGGTATTTAGGTTCTGAAAATCTTAAAAATCTTCTCCCAAGTATTCTTTTTAGAATTGGCAATGGCTTCTGGCAGCCCTGTGTATTTTCATCGGATGGATTAATTTATTGTTTATGATTCGGAAAATGCCAAGATTCGGGATTTATGTTGTGATGTTTGTTGATATTGTTAAGACGTTTTTCCGATTTTTCCCGATTTTTGTGTTGATTATTATCGCCTTCTCCACGTCGTTTTATGTGATTTTGCAGAATCGGGTTGGTTTTGGGGGCGTAAAGGGGGAGTATCGTTTGAAAAAATCACTTATAGTTTTTCTATCCGAGGTGTAAATGTGGAGCGTTGTAGTTTTCAAACAATACTCCAGGTTTACGCGGTGATTGTTCATGAATTTTAAGCCGAAAAATATTTCAAAATGCCAGCGTAAACTCGGAGCATCGTTTGAACATTAAACGCCTTAGTTTTCCATATTTTTCTGTTGTGTAAATGTGGAGCATTGTAGTTTTCAAACAATACTCCAGGTTTACGGGGTGATTTTTCTTCATGAAAAAGATGTTTGAGGATTTGAGAGCTTCTGAACATCTTTGGGAGTTCTGAATGAAGTTCTACTGATTTTCTGGGAATTTTTTTTGGAAGATCAGAACCTCAGATTTTGAAAAATCGAATTTTTAACCGAATAAAAAAAAACTCTAGAAATTTTGGAATTCGAAATTCCAAAAAAAAATCCTTATCCCGATCTCAGCAATCCAAAAACATATTTCAGCCCGAATTCTCCACCATCTTCGTATCTCCTCTCAAAACCACCGTAATGATGATCGGCGAATTCGAATTCACCGGCATCTTCCACGGCGACAACGCAACGCACGAGGAAAAAATGTTCGGCACCGCCCACACCGTCGTCGCCTACACTCTATTCTTCTTCTTCTGTATCATCATGACGATTTTGTTGATGAATCTGTTGGTTGGTTTAGCGGTTGATGACATCAAAGGTGTTCAGGAGAAAGCGGAACTTCGGAGATTGGCAATGCAAGTTGATTTGGTTTTACAAATCGAGGCGAGCGCGTATTGGATTCGGAGACGGAAAAAGTATGCGACAAATCGATATGCTTCTTATCCGAATGGAAAATTGCATCGTGGAAGTTGGGCGACGTGTTGGTCGCATTTTAGAAAACGGTTTGGGTTGAATACGATTAATGAGAGTGAGAATACGGAAACTTATGATGCAGAATCGGTAAGAGTTATATTCGACATTTTTGTGTCAGCGAGAAAGTGGGCCGCGTGGCCGAGTGGCATGCACGCGTGTCGATTATTCACGAAACCAGAGTTCGATCCCCACCCGATGCACTTTTTTTTATTTTCATGGAATCTCTTCGAGATTTTCTCTGAAACAAGGTTTCCGAGAATTTTCTTGAGAAAAGTTGATTTAGGATAAACATTTTGGAAATCTAAAAAAAATTTCCGAAGTATTAGAGCCCAAGGTCCAATTCAGAAGTTTACTCAAAAAGATCGGCCCTGGCCAGATTCTTTATAGGTAGACCGATTCTGTGGTCACCCTGGTTCACTTCAGAATTCTCAAAAGCTCAGCTGAGATTCTTCAGATCCAAATTTTACAACCTAAAATTGATGGGTTGATTCAAGTCGAAAAAAAATAATGAAAAACTTTTTTTTAGAAAAAAATTTCGATTCAGCAAATGTCAAAAAACTATATTTTTTCCTATTTTTTTTTACATTTCCTGAATCGAAATTTTTTGTCAAGAAATGTTTCTTTATTATTTTTCTTTCCACTTGAATCACCCCATAATTTGTGAAAAATATCCCAAATTCCTTGAGAACCGAACTTTTGAGAAGCCTCCTCTCACATTCTCAATTCCTCCAACCTTCCAGGAACTAACATCCGAACTCCGCTCAAGTATGCAAGTTCAACGAAACGCTCTTCAAACCCTCCAATCAAATGTCGATGTAATGTACGAGAAACAAATTCGACTCGAAGCAATGATCAAAACCCTTGCCAAAGGTTTGAATATCAATATGGAATTGGAGGAAAAAGATTGATGCATATTATTATTATAATAGCCTAATTTAATTTTATAAATCTCATTTCATTTTTATTTCATACATTTATGGTCATTCCATTCCATTCATTTAAACGGTTTGAAAAGTGTTGCATTTGAAATTGAACAAAAAAGTGGGATGAAGCGACTAGTCTTAGTCAGTCAGTCTCTTTTATTATTAGTCAAGTACATTGAGAAGACTTGAGATTTTTGTATGGAAAAAAATAAAAAGAAGAAATAGACATATCATTTTGGAATTTGATTCGATGTATCGTCGCTTATTCGTTTTTTGTTTATTTATTCGTGTTTTTGCTGTTGAAGGTATATTTTTTGGATTTTAGGGAAGTTAAAGGGCTTAAGAGAGACATAGAGGGCTTTTTAGATAGTACAGGGCTTTAGAGATAGTACAGGGCTTTTTTTCAAAGATAATATAGGGTTTTAGGCAGGGTTCCGAACCGATTTTGAATTTTCGGTTTGGGTCGGGTCAAACCGAAAAAAACCCACCCAAAACCACCCACTTATACCCAGTTCAAAATAGAACCACCCAGAATCAAAACTGAAAAAACAGTTCTGGTTCAGACTCGACCCAAACCCGACTCGAACCAGACCCACCCAGAACCAAACCCATTTTTGGAGAACCAACCCAGACCCAGACTCAATGGCATACATGGCACTGCTCTCAAATCTGTGAGGGGGAAATCATGACATTTGGAAAAAATTTTCGAGGGGGATCATGACATTACATACAAAACCTAAATTTTTTCAAAGTGAAATCGGTACGCTAGAAAAAAATTGGGTTTTTGCATGTGGTCATTTTTGACTTATTTTTTCAGGTTCGGTAATTTGGAAACTAGTTCTTTAGGAATATCGAATGTAGAGAACGAGCGAAGAATTCGACGGATATCTTTCATCGGCTAATTATTCTTATTTTATTTCTAAAATTCTCAATTATATTTTTCTATATCCTTCTAAAATAAAAAATGCGTTTATTGTAGTAAGTTCATCTCAGAAATTTTTACAAATTTTTCTGAACAATTACATAATAATAATAATCATATCCAATGCGTTATTTATTTGATAATCAAATTGAAATCCAAAAATATTGAATTACAAAACAAAAGAAAAAAATGAATTCCACCGAGAATTCGATCCAAAAACCCTCTGATTATTAGGCGCGATCTCTACCGACTTGACCACGAGGCTACTTATTTTCACACGTTTATTTTTAAGTGATAAAAGAGGGATAGAAGGGCGAGAGAAAATGAAAAAGAGAAGGAGAAGCGGAAAAAAATCATAAAATTTTTGAAAAATTCCCATTTTTTATCGAATTTCGCCGATTTTGTTATATGTTTCGATTGTATAAGTAACTTAAGGATGGTAGAAAGGAATGTCTGTCGAAATTATCTAAAAAGATGGTTTATTTCTTGAGATATGATCCCCCCAAAATCGAAGCCGTTTTGCTATGTCATTTTGGGGGGATCATATCTCAAGAAATAAACCATCTTTTTAGATAATTTCGACAGACATTCCTTTCTACCATCCTTAAGTTACTTATACAATCGAAACATATAACAAAATCGGCGAAATTCGATAAAAATGGGAATTTTTCAAAAATTTTATGATTTTTTTCCGCTTCTCCTTCTCTTTTTCATTTTCTCTCCCCTTCTATCCCTCTTTTATCACTTAAAAATAAACGTGTGAAAATAAGTAGCCTCGTGGTCAAGTCGGTAGAGATCGCGCCTAATAATCAGAGGGTTTTTGGATCGAATTCTCGGTGGAATTCATTTTTTTCTTTTGTTTTGTAATTCAATATTTTTGGATTTCAATTTGATTATCAAATAAATAACGCATTGGATATGATTATTATTATGTAATTGTTCAGAAAAATTTGTAAAAATTTCTGAGATGAACTTACTACAATAAACGCATTTTTTATTTTAGAAGGATATAGAAAAATATAAGTGAGAATTTTAGAAATAAAATAAGAAATAAGAAAAAATAAGAAACAATGGATGATATCCGTCGAATTCTTCGCCCTTTCTCTACATCCGATATTAAAAGCGCTAGTTTCCAAATTATCGAACCTGAAAGAATATGTCAAAAATGAAACCCCCCTCTCCTGGATATTTTTCATTTTTTTCACCATTTATTTTTTCAAATTTTTGACAAAAAAAATTGAGGGGGGGGTCATGACATTTCAAAATTTTGGGGGGGGGATCATTACATGGAGGGTCTGTTGGGCAAAGATGCCATGTATGCTCAATGGATCAGACTCGGGTAAGACCCAAACTCATTCGAGAATCAAAAATACCCACCCGAACCAATTCAACCCAAATCCAACTCAAATCCAAACCATGTGGACTCGGGTACCCGGGTAAAAATGGTTCTGAAAAAACAATTCAAATTTATTCGATAATAAAATAATTCACCAGTTTTTTCCAGAAATATTTTTAAGAAGTTTATGTTTCGCAAATTTCAGAAATTTTTAAAACCATAACTAGCGGGTATAGGAAAAAAATTTCAGTTTTTGTTGAATTTTTTCAACGAGAATCAAAATTTCGGTTTTTTGTTGAATTTTTTCAACGAGAATCAAAATTTCGGTTTTTGTTGAATTTTTTCAACGAGAATCAAAATTTCGGTTTTTGTTGAATTTTTTCAACGAAAAATTTGTAAATCTGGAAGAGCTTCCAGTTTTACAAATCCATCATTTTCGAGCCAATTTTCATGGTTTCAGTCTGAAATTGATTGAAATTCATTTAGTGGGCATCATTCGAGTAATATTCAAAGAAAGCGTTTGAAAAATAGTTGAATAGCCGATCAATGAAAATCGAATAAATGTTTCGATAACTGGTGAATTATTTTATTATCGAATAATTTTGAATTGTTTTTTCAGAACCATTTTTACCCGGGTACCCGAGTCCACATGGTTTGGATTTGAGTTGGATTTGGGTTGAATTGGTTCGGGTGGGTATTTTTGATTCTCGAATGAGTTTGGGTCTTACCCGAGTCTGATCCATTGAGTCTGGGTCTGGGTTGGTTCTCCAAAAATGGGTTTGGTTCTGGGTGGGTCTGGTTCGAGTCGGGTTTGGGTCGAGTCTGAACCAGAACTGTTTTTTCGGGTTCGGTTCTGGTTAGTTCATCCATTTGTTTGTTCTGGATCTGGGTCCAACACACTCGAACCAGACCCGATCTGCCCCAAGAACCGACCCAGTTCGGAACCCTGGTTTTAGGGAAGCTTGAAGGGCTTTTCAGATACTAAATGGCTTTAGAAATAAAAAATAAAGGGTTTTAGAGATAACACGGGGTCTTTCAGATACTACAGGGTTTTTCAGAAGATACAGGGGCTTTTCAGATAACAGAGGGCTTTTTCAGATGATACAGGGATTTAGGGAAGCCTAAAGGGTTTTTCAGATACAACAGGGATTCAAAGAAAATGAAGGGCTTTGGGGAAACAAAAGGGCTTTTCAGATAGTACAGGACTCCTTAGATAATACAGGGCTTTTCAGATAATACAGATAAAGGTTTAGGGTTTTTTTCAGAAGAAATTAACTGGTTTTAGAGTATCCAAAGGGCTTTTTAGATAATACAGGGCTTTCAAGAAAATCCGAAAATATAAGATGAGTGGAAGAGAAAACCGACATTTGGTTTTCTAGGCCATATTTCTTCCAAAAGGTCATTTTGCAGATGACTCAAACGAGAAAATAACGAATACAGATCTCTCACCCTACGGTGAATGTTTCGAAGGCTACACTCCCACATTTATCCGATATATCGGAACTCGACAAATGGATGGCCCCGCTTTTGTGGCGAAAATCGATATGGTCACGTGTTCATCGCATTGTCGCGCGAATTTCGATCCGGCCTCGGAGGAACCGTTTCCGTGTGGCGGTTTTAATTTCAGAGCTGGCAGGAATCCGGTTTGCGAATTTTTCCCAGCGACCGGGGCTGCAGATGTGAGTGAAGTTGAATTTTGTTAATGGTATTGTCAGTCCTTAGTTCAACTATAGTCTAGTTTGATGAATTGACTCAGTTCAACTATAGTCTAGTTTGATGATTTAGCTTAGTTCAACTATAGTCTAGTTCGATGATTTAGCTTAGTTCAACTATAGTCTAGTTCGATGAATTAGCTTACAATTAGTTCAACTATAGTCTAGTTTGATGAAAAAATTCAGCCGAAGTATGGAAGCCCATTGAAAAAAATTCAAACCACACGCGCAACGTCAACGCGGAGTCTCGTTTCTATTCCACCCCAGAAAAAAAAGAAAAAACAACGAGACTCCGCGTTGATGACACCGCGCGTGGTTTAATTGTGTTTATTTTTTGGCATTTTTTCTTTTCATTCCAAAAACATTTTTTTTTTCGAAATGAATTTTTAAATTTGAAAAAAATCCACGTTTCACGCTTATTTTTCATATTTTCCCTCATTTTCAATTTCGATTCCAGAAAAACGCGACCCAATCGCTAAAAATCGAAGATGCTCCAACATTTTACTACGAAAAAACGTGTCTAAAAATCGCGAAACGCTGTGAAGAAAGTGCCTACATGTTCGACGTGAAAAAGGGTTATCGAATCGACGAGGTTCCCCACAAAATAATCAATATCTCCACGACAATTCAAGAATGTATGGAAGAATGTGGAAATCTTCAAGATTGTCAAAGTTTCGGTTTTCATCGAGAAGCAATGCGTTGCTCATTTTATAAAATGACGAGAAGAGATGCGATTATTATTAAGGATCCGAAAATGGATTATTTTGAAAATAATTGTATACATCGTAGGTGTTTTTTCTGGAATCTGGATTTTTTGGATGATATTCAAATTAATTTTGTTTTAAGCTTCATCTCGCTGTCCGAACGGTCGCATCGAATTTGTGGTAACTCGAAAAGCCGATGTTCCCTCATTCGGTCTTGCACTTGGTGTTAAAAGTATCCGAAGTTGCATGCAATCCTGCATCAATAATGGACAATTTCACTGTCGAAGTGTGCAATTCGACGCGGTTTCCAATGAATGTTTTGTGTCGGATGAGACTTCGGATGTGGCGGTTCCTTCGTCGACGCTCGATATTTATGAACCGTTTTGTGTGCCACGGAGTGAGGAAAATACTTGTAATCGACCGTATTCTTTTGAGAAATCGATTACGTCGAAGATGATGAATGTTACACCGATTGTTGAACTTCCTAGTGAGTTTTAGACGGGACCACCCACGAAGCCTCTGGCTTAAACTAGAAGGTACGCAAAAGTTCGTCGCAGTGTTTGCACACAAATTTTATTTTTGACACTAAACTTCTAGGAAAATCAAAATTTAATCTAGTTTAGACAAACAAGGGTTAGGCTTAGACCTTTCAAAATTTTAGGCTGAGGCCTTTCAGGATTTTAGGCTTAGGCCTTTCAGGATGTCAGGCTTAGGCCTTTCAGGATTTGTCTTAGGCTTAGGCTTTTCAGGATCTGAGGCTTAGGCTTAGGCCTTTTAGGATTTGTTTGTATTAGGCTTAGACCTTTCAGGATTCATCTAAAATCTTAGGCCTTTCAGGATTTATCTAAAATCTTAGGCTTAGGTCTTTCAGGATTTTTTGTCTTAGGCTTAGGCCTTTCAGGATGTTAGGCATAGGCCTTTCAGGATTTGTCTTAGGCTTAGGCCCTTTATCTCGAATCTTAGGCTTAGGCATTTCAGGATTTTTGTCTTAGGCTTAGGCCTTTCAGGATTTGTTTGTCTTACAAGGAAAGGTTTTCAATGTTCCCCCAAGGAAAAAATCGAGAGTATGTGGAATGTTGAGGGTTCCCGTGGGTAAGAAAAACCCTAACGGGAATAAGGAGAAAAATGCCTTGTTTTAGAAAATTTTGGTGTTATTGATTTTTGCGATGAAATTTTTTAGAAAAATCGAAACTTTTTTCAAAATTGATGAAAAATGTCAGTCTAAAAATCCATTTGTATTATCAAAACAAAAAAAATTGGCAAAAAAACGGAGCCTGGAAATTCAAATGTCATTCTTGCCAAGTACGGTGTTTCTGCCAGTCGCTGCGAGACCCATATGTGCGTCTTTGACTTTGTTTCTCTGCCCAATGGTGTGGTCTCGAAACGGTGTTAGTGACGCAGAGGAATACCGTACTTGGAGAAATTGGGATTTGAATTTCTGGCTTCTCTTTTTTTGCCAAATTTTTTTACTTTGATAATAGCGCAAACGGCGTACTTTAGTATTACTCCGACTAAAATTAGGAATAAAATAATTTTGGTCCCAAAAGTCCACTAAATCAAAAATCCAGTTTGAAAAATTCATAGAAAATCAACGTTTTCGTTGTGAAGGAAAAGTTTGTGTGAATCGAGACTATGATTTTCGGATTCTACGGACCAAATTACGTCTGTTGACCGTCATAAATTTTTCAAGTTCCGTTCATTTTGAAAATGGAAAAAATTATTTTTTGTGTTTTTTGGTGACCATTTGATCAGAAAAACTCCGACTAAAAAAACCAAATTTCAAAAAATGTCAAATTTTTTGATAAAAAGTTTCACAAACACGTAATCGACCATTCTGAACAACTTCCACGACTCAAAAGTTCATGAAATAGATTCAAAATCGAGTTACAGATGCTCTAAAAATCAAAAAATGGTGTAAAAATCGACCTAAAATACATTTTTTCTCGAGAATAAGGCATTTTTCTCCTTATTCCCGTTAGGGTTTTTCTTACCCACGGGAACCCTCAACATTCCACATACTCTCGATTTTTTCCTTGGGGGAACATTGAAAACCATTCCTTGTTAGGCTTAGGCTTCTCAGGACTTCTTAAGTTCTAAAGTTGTCACTGACTTAGGCTAACTCGCCGGAAAATAAATGAAATTTCGGAAATTATTTTTTGAAACTTTCATCATTGAATTGTTGATCAGGGCCCTGAATTTCCAAATCGAACTAAAACTGAATCAGGAATATTCCGAACTAATATAAATTTCTTCGGCTTGGAAAGTTCTAGAATCTCGAACATCAGCTCCGATAACCCGAGCGAGGATTTCCCTGATTCTCTCACCTCCACCTTCCAGATCAATCAACCGAAAAATGCCTTCAAAAATGCATCGACATTGACACGTGTCAATCGATAAACTACAATGTGCTGACAAGAGTTTGCACGCTTCTCGACAAATCCAAAACCGAAGCCGCCTCTCTGATTCACCCAGATGAGAATCACGATTTCTATGAGACGACTTGCCCGAAAACTGTGACGACTACCAAAAAAATCCACGTGGCATCTGTGGCTAGTACTGTGGCTAGTACACAGCAACCTGTGACTACTAGTACAAAAACTACAATTCAAGAAAAGTTAAGAAAGACAACGGTGGATATTGCGAATTATCGATTGTTCGAGAGAAATCGGGAGATTTTGGATGAATTTGTTCAGGAACAATTCACGAATATTGTCAATGTTCAGGAATGTTGGTGAGTACCCCAGAATATATAAAATTAACATGAAAAAAAGAGAAAAAAAATTCAAAAATTTAAACCACGCGCGCAACGTCAACGCGGAGTCTTGTTGTTTTATTTTTTTAGGAAGCTCTGCCTTCACTTGAACTGCTCGTTCATCTCATTCTCCTCAACTCTGAACAGTTGCATCGTCTCGAATTCCACCTTGGAAATCAGTGAGATCACTAGAGATTCAGCGATCTATGATTTGTATGTTCACAAGGATCGAGTCACTACAACTCCAAGTACAACTACAACAACATCTGAGCCTCTTGGGGCTCCTAAGTCGCCAACATCTGACGATGATAATATTTTCGAGTTCAATGAGCTATTTGACATCAGCGAGGCTTCAACTACCACTGAAGCTGTTGAAACATCAATCTCCACTACTGTTACAAGCACAACTTCAAGGCCAACAACAACATCAGCACCACCCTCAACATCTACAGCCCATCAAAGAAGTCGCGCACACGCCTTGCCGAATACCGAAACTATCACTGAAGATAAAACTCTTCTACCCATCGATGATCTGGAACTCGGGGGGCTAGAAGATTCACAACCGATGCAACTTTCTGAAGAATCAGGGATCGCGTATGTTGATCCAGAATTGGTGGATGTTTCAGCGCAGTGTCAGAGTCAGGGGATTAATATTACATTTGATTTGAGGAGTCTAGCGGTGAGGTTTGGGAATCTGGGGTTCTAGTTGCTTATCCAAAAGGCTTAGGCTTAGTTAATCTTAGGCTTAGGTTAAGTTAGGCTTAGGCTTAGTTAGGCTTAGGCTTAGTTAATCTTAGGCTTAGGCTTAATTAGATTCAGGCTTAGTTAAGGTTCAGGCTTAGTTAAGCTCAGGCTTAGTTAAGCTTAGGCTTAGTTGAGCTTAGGCTTAGTTAAGCTTAGGCTTAGTTAGGCCTAAGCTTAGGCTTAAGCTTAGGATCAGTGGTTTAAGGGCTTCAGGAGATTCAGAAGTGTTTCAGAAAACTCCTAGAATTATGTCTCCTGAATCTCCTGATCCTTTTGATCCTGAACCTCCTGTTCTTGAACTTCATGAAGTTTTCAGATCTTAAATTTTGTTCTAGAGTTCCCTTGTGAAAATCCAAATTTCCAGAACTACACTGGAGTTGTATACGCCTCGGAAAGATTCGAGCAATGTCGAGTTTTCGTCAAAAACGCCTCGCACTTCTCAATTTTCATCCCACGCCCAAAACATAATAGTTGGTGTAATGCAGTCGAGCTCAACAATGAGATGTCCACAATCGTAATCCTCTCCAATGATCGGATTTTGCCGCATGACGTCACAACTAAGGATGATCTATTCTATCAAGTCGCTTGTCAGTATAATGAAAAAGATGAGGCGAGAGTTAATCAAGGAATTGTTGTTGGGTGAGTTTGGGAGGGGAATTTTGCTTTTTCAAACAACACTCCACGTTTACAACCGTATTTATCACAATTTTTCAAAAACATACTTACATTTCACTCAAAATCCCGTTGGAATTGAAGTCAAATATCCAGAAATCCTCGATTTCCATGAAAAATTGGTTTTTGGTGGAAATTACCTGAAAAAATCGTTATTTTTCATCGAAAATCAATAAAATCTTGTGAAAATTCGCGCAAACTTCATCAAAACCTCAATAAAACTCACCGGATTTCTGCGAAATCGCCATCGAATTGTTGATTTTCCACCAAAAAATCGATTTTTGATGAAAATAACCTGAAAAAATCGATATTTTCATCGAAAATCAATAGATACTAGTAAAAATCCACGCAATTTTCATCAAAACCCAAAAAACTCACCGAACTTCTGCGAAATCGCGATCGAATTGTGGATTTTCCACCAAAAAATCGACTTTTTGGCGGGAAAACCTGTAAAAATCGATATTTTCCATGTAAAATCAATAAAATCTTGTGAAAATTCGCGCGAACCTCATCAAAACCCCCAAAAACTCACCGGATTTCTGCGAAATCACCATCGAATTGTTGATTTTTCATCAAAAAATTGGATTTTGGCGGGAAAACCTGAAAAAATCGATATTTTTCATCGAAAATCAATAGATACTAGTAAAAATTCACGCATTTTTCATGAAAACCCAAAAATCTTACCGAATTTCGGCGAAATCGCCAAAGATTTGCCACTTTTTCGCGTTGGGCGGCGCAAAAAAAAAGAAAATTCGAAATAATTCAGTGCGACACACGTGAAATGACGCGCAATTGCGGACACACAAAACGTGGGTGTTTGAAAATATTTATTTTTTTTTGCAATTTTCGAGGATTTTGAAATGGAAAACATGATTTAAATTGAAGAAATAAAAAGTTTTGAATAAGATTTTATTGCAGAGGCCCCTCCCCAACAATGATCACCAAGAAAAGCAGTCAAATCGAGCAAAAAATCTCGCTGGAAATCACAAAAGACGGAAAACCTGTCGAAAGCGTGTTCGTCGGCGAAAACCTCATAGCCACCGTCAAATCCAACATGTCTGCCTCTTCGATGCGCGTCGTCGATTGCACCGCGCATCGAGTTGGCGGCAAAACTCCAGCTTCAGTTAACCTCATCGCCGATGGTTGTGCTCTCCTTCCATCAATCATGTCACCAATGAAAATGACGCCGAATGGCTGGCAGAGTTCACTTTCAGCATTTCGAATCGATGGTTCGGAGCAAATTGATATTGTTTGCATTTTGAATATGTGTGAAAATGGGAGTTGTGATGAGTTGAAGTGTCCACCAATAACATCGGAAAGATTGGCGAGAAGATCTTTATCCAATGATGAAACATCAATTCGAGTTGATCGACGATTATCTGTGAAAGTTGAGGAGAAACACGCGGATGGTCAAATGTTCCAGGCGATTTGTATTGAACCACATTTATATCTTCCGGGGATTGCGTTGTTTTTTGGAAGTCTTTTTTCGATCGCAATTTCGATTATTCTGACTTTTCGGAAAAATCGGAGACATGATGCACAGGTTGAACAATTATTGTGAGTTTTAGGGTAGATTTGGAGTGGGTTCTAGGCGCGGCTCCTTGAAAACCTGGTTCTCTAGGCTCAGCTACTTGACAATTAGGTTCTCTAGGCGCTGATCCTTGAAAACCGGTTCTCTAGGCGTCAATCCTTGCCAGAGTAGGTCTCTAGGTGCGGCTACTTGACAACTAGAATCTCTAGGCGCGGCTACTTGAAAACCAGGCTTTCTCGGCTCAGCTTCTTGACAACTAGAATCTCTAGGCTCAGCTTCTTGACAGCTAGGCTCTCTAGGCTCAGCTACTTGACAGCTAGGCTCTCTATGCTCGGCTACTTGAGAACTAGGATCTATAGGCGCTACACCTTGAGAGTCAGGTTCTCTAGGATCGGCTACTTCAAAACTAGGTTCTCTAGGCTCAGCTACTTGACAGCTAGGCTCTCTAGGAGCTGATCTTTGAAAACCCGATTCTCTAGGCTCAGCTACTTGAAAACTAGGTTCTCTAGGCGCTGCTCCTAGGAAATTGGGTTCTCTAGGCTCGGCTACTTGACAACTAGGATCTCTAGACTCGGCTACTTGAAAACTAGGATCTCTAGGCTCAGCTACTTGAGAATCATGTTTTCTAGGCTCAGCTACTTCAAAACTAGGTTCTCTAGGCGTCGCTACTTGTAAACCAGGCTTTCTCGGCTCAGCTCCTTGAAAACCTGGTTCTCTAGGCGGTGTTGCTTGAAAACCAGGCTTTCTCGGCTCAGCTTCTTGACAACTAGAATCTCTAGGCTCAGCTTCTTGACAGCTAGGCTCTCTAGGCGCGGCTGCTTGAAAACCAGGTTCTCTAGGCGCTGCTACTTCAAAACCAGGTTCTCTAGGCGCGGCTACTTGACAGCTAGGCTCTCTAGGCTCGGCTACTTGAAAACCAGTCTTTCTAGGCTCGGCTACTTGACAACTAGGTTCTCAAGGTGCGGCTGCTCAACAACTACGGTCCCTAGGCGCTACTACTTCAAAACCAGGTTCTCTAGGCTCACCTACTTGAGAACTAGGATCTATGGAGGCTCAGGAAGTTTATCTATGTCAATTTTTGCACTCCGGAGCACAAAATTTAAATTTAGAGCTCAATAATTGCATTCTAAATCAATTTCCGAGATTCTGGAGCTAATCAATGAGCTCCAGAATTTTCCAAAATCCAATTTTTCTTCCAGACAATACCGAACTTCTCTTCCTGCCGAAATAATTGGACCGAAATATATCAAAACATCATCTGAAAATTAAAAAACTTCTAAATTTCTAGATTTGAATAAATAAATATTTTCCAAGATTCTAAAAATAATTTGGCACACCCGGAAAAATTCAAAAGTTCATTGTCAGTAGAACATTTTGAAAAAAAATGATATCATTTTTGAAATAAAAATTTTCAACAACAAATAAACCAATCCCATTTTTCTATTGTGTCAATTTTTCAATTTTCCATGTATCTCTACAATACCAAAATGTCTAACAATATAATAAATGATTGAATAAATAAACATACATAAATGTCTGTTCAAATATTACACGGTGTGTATCGTTTTTGGGAACAGAAATGGGTATATAAATACGCAGGGTTTTCAGATTTTTTCATGATTCAAATGTGATTTTTTTTTCATTAAAGTACGGTAGAGGTACCTGCATATCTAACTCAAAAAAATTAGGCAGAAAAGTTATACGTTGTGTTCCTTTAATCGGGAATTGTATTTTTTTTTCAAACATGATTCCAATTTGAATTGTAAAATTTTTTTTTTTTTTTTTTTTTTTTTGAGGGAAACCGGATTAACCCCCAACATTTTTCGAGAGAAACAAAAAAGAGAACATATTAAAAATAATTCTCGATTTTTCGATTTTCAGTTTGGTCTCTCTGTCTCGAATTGTTTTGTTTTATTTTTTTTGTGAGTGTGGGATTATTATTGAGTCATAGGGAATTTTTTTTTTGAAATTGAGAAACTTCAGAATTTTTTCTGAAGTTTGTCTGAATTTTGAAGTTCAGAAATTTTCTAGAAAATTTTTGAAGAATCCAAATTTCCATAGAAGTCCTCTAGAAGTTCATTTTCCTAATTTTAGGTGACTGATATGAGCAATGGGGTACTGTAGTCCAGAAAATTTCAGAAAAAAATTTTGGTGATTTCTTGAACTTCTGAAATTTTCAGAACAGTTTCAGAAGTTCCAACCAATAAAGTTGAATTTTCCTGTAGGTGACTAATCTGAGCAATTTGAAAGAAAAATGCCACGTGGATTTCCGGACGCCAAAATTTTTAATTTCAAAAATTGCCACGTGGATTTCAGGTTCCCAAATTTTTTTTTTTTTGAAAATTTTTGTGGATCAAAAAAATCAGCTCAAATTTTTCCAGAAGATTTCAAATTTCAAAACAAAAATTTCAGATTACTCTGGAATTTTGCTAATCTGAGCAATGCTCACGAAAAAATTGAGCTGAAATTAAAAATAGGCAATTTTAGAAAATTTTCCAAAAAAAAAAATTTTTTTTTTCAAATTTTTTCAAAAGAAAGTTGTTTTTCCCCCACTTTTTATTCATTTTTTATCGCTATTTTTTTGAGCACAAAAATAGCTCTATTTTCCCAGTGAATCACTCGTTTTCACTCCAGATGCACTTGTATTTTTTATTTCACACAACAACAAAAAACCAGGGGTGCTTGAAAACCGGTACCGTATCCTATTCCTGTTCCTTTTTATTCATTCATTCATTTTTGTGGCTCCAGCTCTTCTCCGGCTCATTTTATTCAATTTCAAAATTTCAGATTCCGATTCCGATGTCTTCTAGAACTTCAACTTCAACTTCCACAACTTCTCTAATTTTCGCCTCAATTTTCTTGGCCACTTTTGCCGGTGCGTGTCATAGTTGTGAGTTCATAAATGCCACGTCACAACACACTTTTCACAATTTTTTTTTGGTTTTAGTCAAATTATTTGAATCAGTTGGCATTTGTGAACTCACTGCGCTCACAACAATAGAACTATAGTCTAGTTTGCTCACAGAGACCTTAAGATCTTAAGGTCTTAAGAAGACCTTAAACCCCCAAATATTCTCAATTTCTCAGTTCTTCCCTATGCTCAAATAGTCGGTGCCCGTGCCTATCTTCTTCAACAAAAAATGGAGTGCAAAGGTGGAAAAGTGTACGACATCGATAATGTTCAAGACATCGAACAATGCAAAGAAGCGTGTCGACAATTCGATTGTGACGCCGTGAATTTATTCCAAATCGGCGAATTTGCCTTCAAATGCGAGATTTTGAGCTATGTTTCAACTTTGGTTCCGGCAAGTGGAGCTGCCTGTTATTACGCGTCTGATGCGTTGCAAGGTAGGGCGTATATAAAAAGAAAAAGTCGCATCGCTCTCTCTGTTGCACCCTTGGTATAGTGGTTAGCGCCCGCGGTTTTGGTGCACTGGGTGGTGGGTTCGATCCCTCCCCGGCGCAATTTTTTTTCTTTTTTTTCCCTTGTGCGATTTAAAGAAAAACTAATGTTTCCCAGGAAAATGATGAGAAAAAGTTGTCAAATGCAGAAAAATTAATTAAAATTCAAATTTTTCGCAGGCGGCGGCTATAACAATGGATATAATGGATATCAAGGTGGATTTGGTTACAACGGTTACGGATGGGGAAAAAAATAATTTTTAAATTTTTTTTTCAAAATTTTGAACCTGTACATACACTATCTATTAATAATAATAAACAATTTATTCCCGAAGTTTAAGATCACTTTTTTTCAAAAAAAAATAAAAAAATTACGCGTAATGTTTTTTGAGTTTCAAAATTTTCAAATCGCCGTTGGTTCGATGGTGGATTTTCCGATGCTGTGTGAGACTCCCAGACTGTAGTGCGAATATTTTTGATCTACGGGTTTTCGACGCGAAATGAAGTTGAGAAAATGATCGACGGATGAGCGGATGGCTTTGATGCGGAGTGTGTAGATGAAGGGGTTTAGGGCGAGTTTGAGCATTACCTGGAAAAAAATATGATGAGGTTTCTGAAGGTCTAGAGTGACGTCTAGGCGGCTACTTGCCATAGTCGACCTCAAGGCGCTGGTCCTTGTTATAATAGCTCGCAAGGAGCTGCTGCTTGACAACCAGGTTCTCTAGGCGCTGATCTTTGAGTTCTCTAGGCGCTGATCCTTGAAATGTAAACTGTCTAGACGTAGCTGCTTGACAACTAGGTTCTCTAGGCGCTGACCCTTGAAGTTTGATCTGTCTAGGCGTGGCTACTTGAAAACCAGGTTCTCTAGGCGCGCCTACTTGTCATGCTGGACCTCAAGGCGCTAATCCTTGACAACTGTGAGGTCTAGACGCGGACACTATACAACAAGCCTCTCTCGATTCAGATCCTTGAAAATCAAATTCTCTAGTCTCGGCAGCTTGCCATAATTGATCTTAAGGCGCTGATGCTTGACGATTGAGTTCTCTAGGGGCGGACACTATACACCTAGGTTTTCCAGGCGCTGATTCTTGACGATTGAGTTCTCTAGGCGCTGATGCTTGAAATTTGAGCTGTCTAGGCGTGGACACTATACCCATAAGTTCTCTAGGCGCGGCTGCTTGAAGTTTGAACTGTCCAGGAGTGGACACTATACACCTAGGCTTTCTAGGCGCTGATCCTTGAAATGTAAACGGTCTAGACGTAGCTGCTTGACCACTAGGTTCTCTAGGCGCGGGCACTAGACAACTAGCCTCTCTCGATTCAGATCCATGAAAATCGAATTCTTTATGCGCGGACACTATACACTTAGGTTCTCAAGACGCTGATACTTGAAGTTTGAACTGTCTAGGCGCGGCTGCTTGACAACTAGGTTCTCTAGGCGTTGATCCTTGACAACTGTGAGCTCTAGGCGCTGACCCTTGACACATGAACTGTCAAGGCGTGGACACTATACAACCAGGTTCTCTAGTCGCTGGTCCTTAAAAATTGGCCTAAGCCTAACTTTATCTAAGCCTAAGCTTAACTTTATCTAAGCCTAAAGCCTAAGCCTAGTGCTTAGCATAAGCTTAAACTCTGTTAGTAACGTCAAAAAATCTGCTGATCTTTAAAAATTCAAAACATCCAAAATCTAGGGCACAATCTAGAGCAAATCTAGAGCAAAAATACTCAAATTTGAGCTCAAAACATAGCTCCCAAGCTCCCAAGCTCACTCACCAACATATTCACACTGCTACTCAAAACCAGCGACCAGGAGAGCGGAATATCCCTCCTGTACACAACAATACAATCGTTGCAAACCAACACAAAATACAGTACACAAAGTCCCCAGGACAATGAGAATGTTGAGACGATCAATAGAGTTGTCCAAACTAATTTCAGCTTTGAGTAGACGTTTGTAGTTCGGCGGGTACTGTAGCTGTGGCTGGAAGGAATTCAGTTAGGCTAACTCTAACTCAATTATGATCCCTATTCATCTTTTTGCACTAAAAACAACTTACGTCTGCTGCAAGTTGTTCATCTTCCGATTTCCAGAAACTGATTCGAATTCCACTTTGGCCTTCAATAATTTCACCAAAATACAACCGTAGATCACCAGTGTCGAGATCAGTGGAATCATGAAGATCAGAAAAACGGTGATTCGGAATTTGAAGTGATTGTAGGTGTTGAAACGGCAATTCTCGTTGCGAAGTCCGTCGTTTTCATCGAGAACGAACCAGAAGAAGACGAAGAACTGCGGGACGAACCAGAGGCAGAGGATTAGGGCGCGGATGCGGCGGGTTGTCACCATTATCTGGGGAATTTGGAGATTAGATGATTCTGACAAAGCTTCTAAAGCTTCTGAAGGTCACCAAGAGCTTCTGGAAAGCTCCAAAACCTTCAGAAAGTGCTCAAAAGCTTCTGAAGGTCACCAAGAGCTTTTGACAAGCTTCTGAAGCTTCTGAAGACTCCCAGCTAGCTTCTGAAGCTTCTGAAGAATCTATAAAAGCTCCCAGAAGCTTGAAGAATTCACCTGAATTCACCAAAATTTTTGATTTGTGGAAAGATTCCAAGATTTTTTTTTTGAATTTTGAGTTTTAATGCAATTCAAAAAATTCATTTTACAGTTGCCACGTCATAACTGATTTTTCTGACCTCTCTAGGCGCGGCTACTTGAAAACCAGGTTCTCAAGGCGCTGATCCTTGACGATGGGGTTCTCAAGGTTCAGCTACTTGACAATTATCATCTCTAGGCGCTAAACCTTGAGAACAAGGTTCTCTAGGCTCAGCTACTTGAAAACTAGGTTCGCTAGGCACGGCAGCTTGAGAACCAGGTTGTCTAGGCGCTGATCCTTCACAATTAGATTTTCTAGGCACGGCAGCTTGACAACAAGGTTCTCTAGGCGCGGCTACTTGACGATGGGGTCCTCAAGGCGAGACTACTTGAGAACCAGGTTGTCTAGGCGTTGATGCTTGAAAACAAGGTTCTCTAGGCGCTGATCTTTGACGATGGGGTTCTCTAGACACGGCTACTTGAAAACACAATTCTCTAGACGCTAATCCTAGACGATGGGGTCCTCAAGACTCGGTCCCTTGCCATAGTGAATCTGTAGGCTCGGCTACTTGACATATATCCTCTCAAGGCGCTGTCCCTTGCCAATGACGTCCTCTAGGTGCTGCTCCTTCACAATTAGATTTTCTAGGCCCTGAATCTTGCCAATGACGTCCTCTAGGTGCTAAACCTTGAGAACCAGGTTCTCTAGGCGCGGTTTCTTAAGGTCCAGGTTGTCTAGGCTCAGCTGCTTGAAAACTAGGATTACTAGGTTCGGCTACTTGGCATAGAAACTCTCAAGGCGCGGCAGCTTCACAAAAAAGTTCTCTAGGATTGGCTACTTTGCATAGAAGCTCTCAAGGCGCGGCTACTTGACAATTATCCTCTCTAGGCGCGGCTCCTTGAGGACAAGGGTTTCTAGGCTCGGCTACTTGACATAGAAGCTCTCAAGGCGTGGCTCCTAGACAATCAGGTTCTCTTGGCGCGATTACTTCAACCAACCTTATACTTCAACGGATACATAGTTCCCAAAAATTGATTGATAGCCAATGCAAAAAGATGCATATCCGATGTCAACATTCCACCGATTCGAACCATCTCCAAAACCGCTTCAAAACACGGTCCACCCGCTTTTATTTGATGGACGACTGGGAGATATGAGTTGACCAGAAGGCCTGCAAAATTTTAGGCTTAGGCTTAGGCTTTTAGGCCTGGTTTAGGCCGAATCTACTCACCAGAAGACAACAAAATCGCGGCCCACATATCAGCGGCTGCCAGCGAAACACACAACTTCAAATACGGTGAAACCGGGCTGGATAACCATGACGACGACATGACAATTAGGCCATTTCCCAGAATTGCGATCTGAATTTTGGACATTTTTGGAGTTAGCGGAAGTCGATTTTTAATTGCTTGCTCTTTTTTTAGAAGAGAAAATGGAAAAAGGAACGTGGATTTTGAAAAATTTTTTGGAATTTTTTGAAAAAAATGTTTAATCGGATCATTGGATTTAATTTTAAGATCAGAAATAGACATTTTTCGAAATTGAAAAAAAATTGGTTTTCAGATTCTCAAAGCTGTTCTGAAATTCCAGATTTAAAAAAAATTTTACAAAAAAAAAAATTTTTTTTTCATTTTTTTCATTTTTGTGTGGAAAAAAATTTCAAAAAATTTTCCAAAATTATTTTTTTTCAGATTCTTGAAATTATCGTCTTCAAAAAAAGTTCTGAAACTAGATTTCTTGAATTTTTTCAGATTTTCATTTTGAAAAACACAATTTCTCTAGTTTTTCTAAATTTCAAAATGGAAATTGAAATTTTCCAAAAAAAAAATTCGAATTTGAAAAAATTTTTAAAAAAAGTTGGTTTTCAGATTCTTAAAGCAGTTGGAAGTTTGAAGTTCCAGATTTTTTTTCCAAAAAAAAAAAAAATTTCGAAAAACGACATTTTTTTTTCTATTTTTTTTACTTTTTTCTCCACACAAAAATGAAAAAAAAAATATTTTTTTCAAAAAAGTTGAGAGGGTTTTCAGATTCTTAAAGCTGTTCCTAAAGTTTAAAGTTCCAGATTTTTTTCCAAAATTAATTTCGATTCAGAAAATTTCAAAAACTAAATTTTTTGTGAAAAAAATGTTTTTTTCATAATTTTTTTTGTCTAAAATCCTGAGATTTCCGAAAATTCTAGATCTCACTCCTGAAGTTCAGAATCAGAATTCAGAACCCCCTGAACTCACCAGCAAAACCATCAACATCAGCGGTATGAGCCAGGTATAAGTGCTCCGCATTTTTTCCAGCAATTCGAGAAATTCAGCCTGTGACATTGCTGAATTGTTCATTTTTTCTGGAAAAAAATCATGAGACTTTTCAGAAAAAAATGAGAAAAGTGTAAAATTATGGCAATTTAATGCGAAAAAAAAAGAGTTCAGGGAAAAAAATGCAAAAATAAATAAATATTCAATGTTTCCGGGGATGATTTCATTTTTTGAGCGGAATTTGATCTACATTAGATTTCACAAAAATTACGGTAGATCAAACTTTGCCACGTGGATTTTGTTTTGAAGATTCAAAATTTTTGCACAAAAATCAAGAGTACTGTAGATCAAAATTCGGCGCGAAAAAATTAATTTTGAAAAAAAAATCACGCCGCAAAAAAAATTCAAATTGTGCAGAAAAAAAAATGAAAAAAAAAATTTTTTTTTTGGCTCCGCCCCTTTTTAGTTTTTTTTGCTGAAAATAAAGAGAAAAAGTTCCGATATATATTTATATTTTTATTAGATTTGGGGAGAGAACTTTGGATAACTCAATTCATATTCATATGTTGCCATATTTTTTGGGAATTCTAGGAACAGAAAAATTTTACAGCTCAGAAATTGAATTTTTTTAAAGTTTGTTTGAGAATTTCAGCTGGAACTTATAGAATTTTCGAAAAAATGAACTCTAAATTTTTAATTTTTAATTTCAAAAAGTCAAGCAGCCGAGCCTAGAGAACCTGGTTCTCAAGCAGCCGAGCCTAGAGAATATGGTTTTCAAGCAGTCACGCCTAGAGAACCTGGTTTTCAAGCAGCCGCGCCTAGAGAACCTAGTTCACAAGCAGCCGCGCCTAGAGAACCTGGTTCACAAGCAGCCGCGCCTAGAGAACCTGGTTTTCAAGCATCCGCGCCTAGAGAACCTGGTTTTCAAGCAGCCGAGCCTAGAGAACATGGTTCTCAAGCAGCCGCGCCTAGAGAACCTGGTTCTCAAGCAGCCGAGCCTAGAGAACCTGGTTCACAAGCAGTCGCGCCTAGAGAACCTGGTTCACAAGCAGTCGCGCCTAGAGAACGTGGTTTTCAAGCAGCCGAGCCTGGAGAACCTGGTTTTCAAGCAGCCGCGCCTAGAGAACCTGGTTTTCAAGCAGCCGCGCCTAGAGAGGATGGTCTTCAAGCAGCCGCGTCTAGAGAACCTGGTTCACAGCGGAGCCTATAGGATTCAATTTCCAAGCAGCCGCGCCTTCTGAATTCGAAAAATTAGATTTTTCTCTAATTTTTTTTATTGAACCTGATCTTTATCAAAAAACATTTCCAAAGGTAGCAAAAAATCAAAAAAAAAATTTTTTTCAAAATTTTTTGAATAGCTCGCTAATTTTTTTACAATTATGTAGAAAAATCTGAAAATGTCACGTCCTTCTAAGAACATTTTCTAAGAACATTTCTAATAAAAAAAATAAAAATATTTACTGAAAAATTTCTAAATTTAAGCCCATAATTAAAACTGAAAATGCCAAAAGACTCTGAAAAAAACTGGGTTGAATGAATTAAAACACATAGATAATTGGAGCGCGGTGTGACGAGCCAAAATTCAAATTCGAATTTGAATTAGTATTCTGATCTCAAACATCTTCTGGGAAATTATTTAGCGCAGACAACAAATATTTTTCGTTTTTCAAATTTTTTTTCGAAGAAAATGGGGGAAATTTTGGAAATTTGCATATTTCTCAAAAAAAAAACACAAGAATTTCGATGGAAAAATCAGAATTTTATTTTTTTTTTCGTGAAAAATGAATTTTCCCCCGAAAAAAAATTCAAAAAAATAAATAACGCGCGTTGGCGTCAACGCGGAGTCTCGTTGTTTCTATGAAAATCGTGTGTTTTTCGAGTTTCTGGCCGAAAAATGCTAAAAATCATGATCCCAGGTCCAAAATTCATAGAATTTCTTGAATTCTAGCTCAAAATCATCGGAATTTGATGATTTTCAGTGAATTTAGGCTCAAAAATCGCGTTTCAGAACCCAAGAAAGCCTATTTTTCATGAAATTTAGGTCCAGACTAAAAATTTCTCAAAAATTATAGATAAGATGGTCCCAGGTTCAAAATTTATTGATTTTCATTCGCCGAAATGTAAAAAAACACTTGTTTTCCATGAAAAACCCCATTTTCCGAAAAAACGAAAAAATTCAAAAAAATACGAAAAAATAAATAACGCGCGGTGTCATCAACGCGGAGTCTCGTTGTTTTCTTTTTGTTTCACGTCGACCCAACTGCTGCAATGGGTGTACGGTTTTTCGAGTTTTCCGCGAAGTGCTACGAGAGAAAACATCGACTAGAATTCATGAAACTCCTTATTTCCATAGATTTGAACACGCTGATCATGAATATGTAATCAGTTTTCAAAATGGTTCAGTAGTTTTCTTGAATTTTGATGCATTCAGTCTCACACCCATTGCAGCAGTTTGTTCTTTAGTGGGTCGACGTGGTTTTCTTTTATTTTTTTTTTGGGAAAAAAATAGTAATTTTCACCGAAAAACCCAGTTTTTTGGGGATGAAAATGAAAAAGAAAAAAAGAAAACAACGAGACTCCGCGTTGACGTTGCGCGCGCGTGGTTTAAATTTTTCAAATTTTTTTCGTTTTTTTTTCTTTTTCGAAGGAAAATGGGATTTTTCATGGAAAAACAGTGTTCGTAGGATTGAAAAGAAAAAAAGAAAAATAAAACAACGAGACTCCGCGTTGACGTTGCGCGCGTGGTTTGAATTTTTCAAATTTTTTTTTGTTTTTTTTCTTTTTTTTTGAATAAAACTAATTGAGCTAAATCAAGGAAGCAGAAAAAATGCAAAAAAAATCAGAAATCATCAAAGATATCAATCGGGGCCGGCCAATAAAATAAAATAAAATAAAACGACAAATGACGAGCGAGTTGTTTAAGCTTCTCCCTTTTCATCTTTTTTTTCGAAAAAAAACTTTTTTTGCTGTTCCCCCAAAAACAACTGTGAAATTATTTTATGATTTGTGAGATGTGCTTGAATTAATCTTTGAAAATTTTAAGCTGGGGAGGTATTTTTTCACCTCAGGAGAAGTGAAATTGAGAAGAAAAACGAAAAAATAAAGATGAAAGGGTAATTGGAGAACATTTTTCATGGTTAAATGGGACGTGTGACCAGGAAAAAAAAAGGTGCGGGAAGGGGGATCGAACTTGGGTCGAACAACATGGCAACCTATCCACTTATCCACTCGGACATGCGCGCAATTTTTTTGATGCGCTGGATTTCGATGAAAAGCGGGGTTTTGATTAAAATCAGAATTTTCAGGATTTTTTAGAGAAAAAATCAGAATTTTCAGGATTTTTTTCAAAAAAAAAATCAGAATTTACAGGATTTTTTTCAAAAAAAAAATCAGAGATTTCAGGATTTTTTCAAAAAAATCAGAATTTTCAGGATTTTTTTTTGAAAAAAAATCAGAATTTTCAGGATTTTTTTCAAAAAAAAATCAGAATTTTCAGGATTTTTTTCAAAAAAAATTCGGAATGTTCAGGATTTTTTTCAAAAAAAAAATCAGAATTTTCAGGATTTTTTTCAAAAAAAAAATGAGAATTTTCACAATTTTTTCAAAAAAAAAAGAGAATTTTCAGGATTTTGTTCAAAAAAATCAGAATTTTCAGGATTTTTTTTCAAAAAAAATAAGAATTTTCAGGATTTTTTTCAAAAAAAATCAGAATTTTCAGGATTTTTTTCAAAAAAATCAGAATTTTCAGAATTTTTTTCAAAAAAAAATCAGAATTTTCAGGATTTTTTTCAAAAAAAAATCAGAATTTTCAGGATTTTTTTTCAAAAAAAAATCAGAATTTTCAGAAGTTCGTGAAACTTGAAGCCCAAAGATTCTGCGAAAAATTATGAAGCTCTATTTTCAGCTCGCCTGAATTTTAATTTTTTTCTGGAAAAAAATAAAATGACGTCACAAAAAATTTGTCAAATGTGTTTTCGTTTCGAACTGAAAATTTTTTTTCGAAAAAATGAAATCTTCCCAAAGTGCTTTGAGCTCCCCAGAGCTCTCTTCACAGAAAAAAAATGATTTTTTTCAACAAAAAACAACACTTTCTTTCTTCTAACAAAAAAAATGAGAAGAGTTGTTTTGAAAAAATTTCAGACAAATTTTTTGTGAACAAAACAACAAAGTCCATCCTTTTTATGTCAAAAAAAAGAAGAAGAGAAAATAAATTTTGAACTTTTTTGAGAACTACAAAAATGGGGTGTGCATTTGTGCGTCACCGTGTTTGCACACAACTACAAGCTACAGTAGTGCTTTTTAAATTTTTTGATTTATTTTTTGCGTGGCCGAACTTTTCACAAGCTACAGTAGTGGTTTTCAAAAATTTTTTGAATTTTTGAATTTTTTTTTTGCGTGGCCTAACTTTTCGCGAATTTCTAGGCCACATCTCTATTATTTACAGCTTCTTTTTTTTTTCTTCAAAAAAATTGTATTTATTATGATGATTAGCATAATAATAAGAAAAAGAAGGGGAATATGAGACATATTTTTCTGAAAACACGAAAAATAGCTGAAAAATCTCTGGAAGGGATTCAGAAATTTCTGGCCAAAAAACCAGGAACAAAATTTATTTTTTCAAAATTCATTTTTTAAATTGAAAATGATGGATTAATTGCACTTTTTTTTGCAAATTATTAGTCTTTGGTATCTTTTAAATTTTTTCATGGAATAACTAAAAAAAAATGAATGAATCGGAAAAAATAACAAAAAATCCCGCAAAATTTTGTGAACCATGAAAAATCTTGCGAAAAATAAAATAATATAAATAAATATAGTTTGATCTTGCTCGGAGAAGAGCAAAAAAAACTTTTTTTTCGAAATTTGATACTTGTCAAAAGTCTCTCTGCTGCAGAAAAAAAAAAGAAAAAGTTCCCACCGGGGTTCGAACCCAGCAAAATGGGGTGGGTAGATTCGCACGCAGAGATGATAGCCACTCGGCCACGCAGGGCTGCGAGGAAGGTGGTTTATTTTTTTAATAAATGAATGAAAACCGGCGGAAAAATGAGAAAAGTATGTAAATGACATTGGGGAATGAAAAATAGCAAAAAAAAATGAGAAAAAAAGTTGAAGTACTTAGGGATAAGTAAATAGAGATTTTTTTTTTGATACATGTGTTTTTTTCTGACAAAAATTTTGGCTTTTTTTTTCATTTTTTAGAAAACTTTTTGAAAAATTTTGAGAAATGCATTTTTTTGTTTGAAAAATGTCCAGCTGAAAAACATTGGAATCATTTTACGTTTCAAATTTCAAAAGTTTAAAGAGCAGCCAAAAATAGATTGGGATTCAGAAAATGGACAAATTCGAGATCAAAAGATGGTGTGAACAATTATGGCGTGACAAAATTTGCAAATTAAAAAAAATCGAAAAATTTCTAGTCATTTTTCTCTTCCAGAAAAAAAAACACATTTTTTTTCAACAAAAAAAATGAATCAAAATCTATTGTTCTATAGAAATTCACCCCCCCCCCCCCACCCCGTCAATGTACGTCATAACATTTTTCTAACAATTTTGCGTGGCCTAGAAAAAGCTCGGCCACGTGCAAAAAAAAAAAAAAAAAATCACGTCACCGAGCAAAACCGAACCCGTGACCTTGTGACCGCGGGCGCTGCGTGTTAGCCACTCGGACACGTGTGCGTCTTTTTTCGCTGGGAGAAATGTTGGTGAAAAGAAAACTCTCAAAAAAAAAAACAAAATAATTTCGACTTCTCCTTTTTTCTCATACTCATTTTCAGTCAGTCAGTAAGTATTATTCAGAATGGACAGAATGACAAGTGCCTTCCGTATTCATTTTTTTTCTCATTTTTTTTCTTTTTCGCTCATTGAATACCAGGAAAAAAGGACGCCATGTCATTTTATGGACCATCTGGGTTCCCCCAAAAAAATATAAATATATTTGGCCAAAAAAAACATTTAGATTCATTTAGGGGGAAAAATAAGATTAATGAAATTTTTCTCCGAAAATCTGAAAATAACTAGGCTACTTATGTTAGAGAATAAAAAAAAAAGTTTTCTCTCTGAAAATCACAAGGAATAAATTTGCAATTAATTATAAAAAGTATATTTTTGCTTCTTCAAAGAGCAGATTAATCCATCGTGAGAAAAAAATGCAAAAGGTTCGAAAATCTTTTTTTTTCGTAAAAAAAGGCGGGGCTCTAAAGAACTCTCTAGAAAACCAGGAAGAAATGTAGAAAAAAATAGAAAAAAAATATTTTTCGGTGGGAAAAAATCAAAGTTAATTGGCTTCCGACAAAAAGTTCACACGCAATTTTGTTATTTTTTGAAAAAATGTTGTTTTTTTCGCAAAAAAAACAAGAAAAAACAGAAAAAATCAATAAAAAACTGCAAAAACAAACAATTTTAAACCACGCGCGCAGTGTCATCAACGCGGAGTCTCGTTGTTTTCTTTTTCTTTTTTCTTTTTTTCCGGGAAAAATGCATTTTTCATAGAAAAAACTATTTTCTGGGATTAAAAAACAGAATTTGAAGAAGTATAAACATTACAATTCAATATTTTCAAAAGAAAACTGATTTTTCTATGAAAATTGTGTGTTTTTCGAGTTTTTGACCGAAAAGTGCTAAAAAATCATTTTTTAATGGTCCCAGGTTCAAAATTCATCGATTTTCATGAATTTCAGGTCAAAATAATCGAAATTTGTTGATTTCTAGTGAATTTTAGCTTAAAAATCGTTTCAGGACCCAAGAAAGCCGATTTTTCATGAAATTTAGGTCTAGATACCGTTCCAGACTAAAAATTTGTCAAAAATCATAGATTTCGATGGTCCCAGGTCCAAAATTTATTGATTTCCCTGAATTTCAGGTCGAATTTCATCAATTTTATCTTAAAATTCCGTTATTTTCCATTAAAAATCCCATTTTCCCATGAAAAAAATAAAAATTTCAAAAAAAAAATAAACAAAATTAAACCACGCGCGGTGCTGTCAACGCGGAGTCTCGTTGTTTTCTTTTTATTTTTCTGCAAAATTTGCATTTTTTCATAAATTCTCTTGTAAAAAACCATATAACATGATATTTTTAAATTTTACGCACGTGAAAACCCCAAAAATTATACGTTTCAGAATTTTCATATTTTTCAGTTTCTGAAAGATGAAAAATGATGGTATGATAGAGTGTGGTGGACGACTAAATTCTTCAAAACCAATCGGTGCCGTCAACGCGGAGTCTCGTTGTTAAATTTTTTTGAAAAAAATTTAGAATACACCGTGATTTCTGATGAATTAAAAACAAAAGTGTCGAAATACGAGACATTGAGAAAATCCCGAGATAATCTCCATAGATTCTAGTTTATTTCCACACATTTTTTTGTTTTGTTGTTTTTTTCAGACAAAAAAACACTCTTAAAAGGATTAGAGCAAATATAATTAGTTGAAGATTGAAAAAACAACACTTTCGCAGAAAAAAAATTTATTTCTCAATAAAAATTTTAAGAAAACCCGCTGAAAATGAGCACCTGACTAGAACCCGACCCGATCTTAAACAAAAACTTCTTCGGCTATTTTTTGCAGTTGTTTTTGCTTCCAAAAAGTGTACGAACATATGGATAATGATGTGCAAAATCCCAAGGAAATTCTGCAAAAAAATTCTAGTTCGGATTCTAGATTCTGAAGTCTAGATTCTAGATTTAGACTCCAGATTCTAGAAGATCTGAGATCAAACTTACAATAAACATATTATGGCAATTGTATAAATCAGACTTTGATTTTCGGGATTTTTTGCAAATTTTACGGCAAATGTTTTGAGCTTCGCTGCTTTTTGTCGAATTGTATCAGCTTTTGAGATTTCTGGAACAGAAATGGGTTTTTTAGGCTTGAAAATCCGAATTTTCAGGCCTAGATTTTAGGCTTGAAACTTTAACTTCTAACCCTGAAAGATCCTAGATTTTCGGGCCGAAAAATAGGCTTAAAAGAGCCTAGATTTTAAGCCAGAAAATTCAGATTTTAGAGCCTGGAAGAGCCTAGATTTTCGGGCCTGAAAATAGGCTTATTCATGCTCATTTTTCTCCAAATTTTCGGTCCGAAAATAGGCTTATTTAGGCTCAACAAATAGGCCTAGATTTCAGGCTGGAACTTTTTAATGTCAAGCCTGGAAGAGCCTAGATTTTCGGGCCTGAAAAATAGTCTTATTCATATTCAGGCTCAACAAATAGGCCTAGATTTCAGGCTTGAACATTTCAATTTCAAGCCTGAAATAGCCTAGGTTTTCGGGCCTGAAAATTCGGATTTTTGAGCTAGATTTTAGGCTTGAAAATTCCTAATTTCCAGCCTGAATTAGCCTAGATTTTAGGCCCGAAAATAGGCTTATTCAGGCTCATTTTTTCAGGCCTGAAAATAGGCTTATTTAGGCTCATTTTTCTCCAAATTTTCAGGCCCGAAAATAGGCTTATTCAGACCTATTTTCATCAAATTTTCGGGCTTAAAATAGGCTTATTCAGGCCCATTTTTCATCAAATTTTACGGCCCGAAAATAGGCTTATCCAGGCTCATTTTTCATCAAAATTCGGGCCCAAAAATAGGCTTATTCAGGCTCATTTTTCTCCAAATTTCCCGGCCCGAAAATAGGCTTATTTAGGCTCATTTTTCTCCAAATTTTCGGGCCTAAAATAGGCTTATTTAGGCTCATTTTTCTCCAAAAAAAAACTAACCACTCTCCAAAACCACCGTCACATTCGTGACTTGAACAGCCAAAAGCGTCGTTGCTTCTTTCGCCCACAATTCACATTTATATTCTCCAGAATCGGAAAATTGTGCATTTTCGACGAGCAACATTTGCTCGTCATTTTTCATCCATTTTATGATTTCTTGATTTTTCTTCCATATCATTTTTTGTGTTTCATTTTTTAGATTCGAAAAACAATCAATTTCCAGAGATTCGCCGCGAATAACAACTATTTTTGGGTCGACGATTGTGCGAAATTCATTTTCTGCAAGAAAAAAATAGGGGGGGTTGCTGAATAAATAAATAAAAAATATGTGAAAAACAAGAGTTCGGAATGCTGTGGGGGCTCAAGGCGCGGCTACTTGACATAGATTTTCTCAAGGCTCGGTCACTAGACATAGACGCTCTCTAGGCGCTGACTCTTGAAAATCGGAGTTTCTAGGGGTGGCCACTTGGCATAGACTTTCTCAAGGCGCCGCTCCTTCTCCTTATGCATCTCTAGGCGCTGACCCTTGAAAATCGGAGTGTCTAGATGTGGTGACTTGAGAACAAGGCTATCTACGGGCGGCTCCTTCTCACTATGCATCTCTAAGCGTCGACCCTTGAAAATTGGAGTGTCTAGACATGGTGACTTGAGAACAAGGCTCTCTAGGCGCTGATCCTATACGATCGAGCTTTCTAGGGGTGGCTTCTTGACAACTAGAACTTCTAGACTCAGCCACTTGACATAGACTCTCTCAAGGCGCGGCTCCTTGGCATAGTGAACCACCAGACTCCGCTTCTAGACACTTAGTTTCTCCAGGCGCTGATCCTATACAATTGAGCTTTCTAGGGGCGGTTACTTAAAAACTAGGACTTCTAGACTCAGCCACTTGACATAGACTCTCAAGGCGCGGCTCCTTCTCACTAGGCATTTCTAGGCGCTGATCCTTGACAAATCAGAGTTTCTAGACGTGGTGACTTGAGAACAAGGTTATCTAGGGGAGGCTACTAGGCATAGTGAATCACTAGGCCCGGCTCCTTGAAAATCAGAGTGTCTAGGCGCGGCTACTAGACATAGTGAATCACTAGGCGCTGATCCTTGACAACTAGGTCTTTTCGAGCAAAAAAATGCTCCCGCAACTCACGAAAAACCGTCAATCGCGCGCTCGATTGAATCGAACCAGCCGGATTCATCGCATGACACGAATAAACTCCCTCATCAGCCATCGTAACATTCATAATATAAATATGATCATCATTAGGTATCACATATAGCCTCCGACTTTCCGCCGCCGGAAAAAGGCCTCGATCAAATGCCCATTTCAGGGTAGGAGATGGTGTTCCCATTGCGGCACATTCAAATTTCGCACTTTGCCCGGTTAAAAGTATCATATCACTTGGTGTGCTCGTGAAAACCGGTGGCTCATGAACATGAAGCTCAACGTGTTTCGAGAAATCTGATCCAAAACGATTTCGCGCAACACATTGATATTCTAAACTATCAGAAAGTGTGACATTATCAAGAATTAATTCGGCCGCTGCCAATTCTCGAAAATCCATGGTGCCATTGATGATTGCAGTTGTGTTCACCGTCATAAAAGTGACCGTATCTTGATCCAAAACTCGGGCTTGACCATTTTCCACAACTCGCCACTCAATTTCCAGTGGTCCTTCGCCATAAGCATTACAAGTGAATCGACTTCTTTGGGAGACTATTGAATTTTGCGATTCGGGTTGGGCGACGATTTTTGGACGCGGCGAATCGTCTACTGTAAAAATTTAGATTCAAAAAAATTCAAAAATTTCAAAAAAAATTCAAAAAATTCACGAAAATACAAAAAATTCACGAAAAGTCAAAAAATTCAAAAAAAATTCAAAAAATTCACGAAAAGTCAAAAAATTCAAAAAATTCACGAAAAGTCAAAAAATTCAAGAAAAGTCAAAAAATTCAAGAAAAGTCAAAAAATTCACGAAAAGTCAAAAAATTCACGAAAAGTCAAAAAATGTCGAAAAAACATTAGTTTTTTCAAGGGTTTTCAGCCAAAAATGATGACAAATCGATATTTTTCAATCTTCTGGAGTAATTTCTGATGAAAATCAGCAAAACCTTCTGGAAAGTGAATTCCAAAGTCAATTTTAATCAGAAATTACTCCAGAATCTTCAAAAATATTGATTTGTCATCATTTTTGGCTGAAAAACCTTGAAAAACTAATTTTGACCTACAATGTTTTTTCGACATTTTTTGATTTTTCGTGAATTTTTTGATTTTTCGTGAATTTTTTGATTTTTCGTGAATTTTTTGACTTTTCGTGAATTTTTTGACTTTTCGTGAATTTTTTGACTTTTCGTGAATTTTTTGACTTTTCGTGAATTTTTTCACTTTTCGTGAATTTTTTCACTTTTCGTGAAATTTTTTTTGACTTTTCGTGAAAAGGCATACTTTATATCAGAATTTTCTGAATTTTGACTCAAAATTCATCATTTTCCCCGAAAAACCACTCACAACACGTCAGATTCGATCTATCAATAGCCATAACATCTAAATTCTGCATAACCGATGGATACGAACATTTTGCAATGATTTTCGATCGATCCAATTTGAGTTTAACAATCCAGGGAGCCAGCCAACTTATTTGACAATCGCAAAGTATTGAGGAAGAGTTCATGAATCTGGAAATCAAATATTCAGTCTGGAACGGTTTCTAGACCTAAATTTCATGAAAAATAGGCTTTCTTGGGTACTGAAACGATTTTTGAGCCAAAATTCACTCAAAATCATCAAATTTCGATGATTTTGACCTAGAATTCAGGAAAATTGATAAATTTTGGACCTGGGACCATTGAAAAATGATTTTTTAGCATTTTTCGGCCAAAAACACACTATTTTCATAGGAAAATCAGTTTTCTTTTGAAGAAATATGGAATTAACATCATTCCTCTTCAGAAAAAAGGTTTAAATTCCCATTTTTTTAATGGTCCCAGGTCCAAAATTCATCGACTGAATAGGTCAAAATCATCGAAATTTGATGAAGTGAATTTTGAAAAAATCGTTTCAGGACCCAAGAAAGCCTATTTTCATCAATTTTAGGTCTAGAAACCTTTAGGTCTAGAAAATCATAGATTTCCATGGTCCCAGGTCCTAAATTTATCGATTTTCCTGAATTTCAGGTTAAAATCATCGAAATTTGATGATTTTCAGTGAATTTTGGCTCAAAAATCGTTCCAGGACCCAAGAAAGCCTATTTTTCATGAAATTTTAGGTCCAGACTAAAATTTGTCAAAAATGCATTTTTCAGATGGTCCCAGGTCCAAAATTCATCGATTTTCCTGAATTGTAAGTCAAAATCATCGAAATTTGATGATTTTCAGTGAATTTTGGCTCAAAAAATCGTTTCAGGACCCAAGAAAGCCTATTTTTCATGAAATTTAGGTCTAGAAACCTTTAGGTCTAGAAAATCATAGATTTCCATGGTCCCAGGTCCAAAATTCATCAATTTTCCTGAATTTCATATCAAAATCATCGAAATTTGATGATTTGTAGTGAATTATGGCTCAAAAATCGTTTCAGGATCCAAGAAAGCCTATTTTTCATGAAATTTAAGTCTAGAAACCTTTAGGTGTAGAAAATCATAGATTTCCATGGTCCCAGGTCCAAAATTTATTGATTTTCATTCGCCGAAATATGGCAACTGCGAAAAATCCCATTTTGCCGCGAAAAAAAAAAATTAAACCACGCGCGGTGTCGTCAACGCGGAGTCTCGTTGTTTTCTTTTTATTTTTTTTTTCAAAAAAAATTAGCTCACAATCTTTTCAAATCGAGTGGTTCAAAAGCGTCCGGATGAATAGTAGCAATCGGATTTCCAGTAATATCAAGTTCCTCCAAAGCGGGAAACCTTTCAAAAGCACGACTTGGAATAACTCTCAATTGATTATTGGTGAATCGCAACGATCTCAAGAATGGCATCGATGTATTATATAACACAGCACCATCTTCAACACAAACAGCTAAAGTATTCGATGACAAATCCAATCGATGCAAATTATCCATCCCAACCAAAGCGAATTTGTGTAAACTATTGATTGAATTTGCGGAAAGTGTGAGTTCTTCCAATTTTCGAAGAGCACGAAATGATCGAGATGGTAAGGATTGAATGCGATTGGAATGGAGGTTAAGCCATTTGAGGTTTGGTGTGTGAGACCATGAATTAATGTCAAATGATTGGATTTGATTGAATGATAGGTCTAGATGTTGCAGGTTGGTTAATCCGAAAAGCCATCCGATGGTGACAGATTGGATTCGATTGTTGGCTAGGTTTAGGCGTTGAACATTTTCGCAAGCGTAGAAAATTCCGTCATCCAGTCTGCAATATGAAAAAAATAAAAATTTGTGCGGCGGGTGGGGGTCGAACCCTGGCTTTACCAATAATAGGCACGCGCGCTAACCACTCGGCCACCGCGCTCTTATTTTCTCGCACCAAAAATGTCGAATATATCATCGGTACTCCACGCGCTCCACACGCAACGCAGACCGCGCCGCGCCACAACACAAGGGAACGATTCAAATTCCCTCCCTTTTGGTTGTGGCGCGACGCGGTCTGCGTTGCGTGTTCATTTCGGTGGAGCGCGTGAGATTTTCGATAATAAAATGGGGCCCAAACCAACCTGTAGATATCATTTTTGGAAATAGTAACATTTTTAAGCGCCGGCAATTGATTGAACGCAAAATATTTGACTTCCCGAATGAGGTTTCGTGTGAGATCTCTGGAAAAAATCGTCAGATAAATGCAAAAAATATCTACCGTAGTTCTTTGGTCGCGACGAGACCCAGTGTGTGTTTCAGGGTGCTGCGCCTTTCAAAAACTACGGTTTTTTCCCGGATTTTCGAGGTTTTCAATGAAAAATCAACGAAATTGATAACAAAATTAAAGGCGCATCGATTTTTGTGAAGGTGTGTGTCTCGTCGCGAAGGGAACTACGGTCATCCCCCCCTTTGGGGGGGGCCCAAAAAAACTTACATAGTTTCTAAATGTAAAAGCCTTGAAAACGCGTATTGTGACAATGAACTGATTCGATTTCGAGATAATTTTAAAGATACCAGCGATTGAAATGATAAAAATGTGTCGGAAAATATGTCGAGAATTGCGTTGGATGCGAGATCCCTGAAAAAATCGTGATTTTCCACCGAAAAATCTGAAAAAAACCAACAATCTCTCAATTTTAGTGATATTCCCAGTGACTGGAACTTTTGGAAGATTCGAAATCAGATTTCTTGACAAATCAACATGTCGAATATTGGCAAGTTGGCTGAATTCATCCGGCGAGATGCTGTTGATAAGATTCGATCGAAGATCAAGACGATCAACGTTCGCCAAAAATCCTGTGGGAATTCGTGAAAGTCGATTTTTTCGCAAGTTGATTACTCGAAGACTTGATGGAGCGTTTGAGAAGAACTCAGCAGGTATTGAGCGAATCAAATTGTTTGACAGATCTCTGGAAAATTGAATTCAAAATTGAATTTTGTTCGATGATTTCTGGTCATTGTCTTGTAAACGAAACGGTGTTAATTTATTTTATTTTACGACATCATTTACGATCACTTTCTTTTTTTCTCGAAAAACTTTTTGGGAAGACTTGGAATTGGGAAAAAAGGGGGATTTATTGAATGTTAGGTCGACTAAATGAAGTTTTCAAGTTTTTCAAGCAAATGAATAAAAATATTGGGTTCTAATGTTATTCATATGATAGAATGGCCTAAGACGAACAGAATGATATAAATTTTGATGACTTTACGCTATCCATAAGTGATTTAGCGAGGTTTAGTCGATAAGTCGCTAAATCACTTATGGATAAGGTAAAGTCATCAAAATTTATATCATTTTGTTCGTCTTAGACCATTCTATCATATGAATAACATTAAAACCCAATATTTCAACTCATTTGCTTAAAAAACATGAAAATGTCATTTAGTCGATGTAGAACTATAACACAGAAATGAAAAAAATGTCAAAAAATATGAAAAACTTATAGTTTTTCCCAAAGTTCAAGAAAAAAATTGAATAAATTCAAACGGTTTGAAAAGCGCGGTACACACACACATACACCACGACGCACAATTGCACACAACAAACACTACAGTAGTCTAATATGAATTATTATCGAAAATCTCACGCGCTAAATAAACACGCAACGCAGACCGCCTCGCGCCACAACACACACAAAAAAGGGAGGGAATTTGAATCGTTCCCTTGTGCGACGCGGTCTGCGTTGCGTGTGGAGGCTTCGTGGGTGGTCCCTTTCCCCCCTCACTCACAACGTATGCAAAAAACCAAATCGTTCCAATCGCACCCCATCAACATCCTCAATCTCATTATCACTCAAAATCAAAATTCTCGTATTGTTCGGAATCGTCGTCGGAATCTCGGCTAGATCAAGACTCGAACAATCGACAGTGTCTCGAATACAATGACACAGGCCAAGACAAACTTGACCGTAGCTCGAGGAGCATAGTTGAATATGGTATAATAGATGGAGAAATATGAGAAGAGCCAGACGAATTATTGTCATGACATTTCAGGGCTGAAAACAAAAAACAAAAATAAAAAATATTTTTTTTCTTCGTTATCTTTAAAAAAGTTATGGTTCGATTCAAAGAATAAATAATAATTCCCCAAATCATCTGATCAAAAATCAACAGAAAAAATTAAATAAACACACAAAGTTCCTAACCCACAGGCTAGCTAGGTACGAGAAAAATCTCTCTATCATAGCATAGATAAATCGACTCGACCTTCTTTTCTTCCTTCTTTTCGTCTGTTAAGAAGACAAATAATGATAATAAAGAGAGGGAAAAACGAGAGAGAGAGAAATGGTATTTGTGAAAAAATTGTATTGATTTCGGGTAGAGGGGCAAAATGAATAGAGTTTGTTATCTTTTGACGAAAAAAAATGGGGGAAAATAAACAATTTATGAATTTTTGAGAGGAAATAAGGGTTTTTTAGGTTAAAAAATCGATAAAATCCATCTATCTTCAACTTAAAATACCCCAACAAACCCTTAAAACAAAAAAAAATGGAAAAAAAAAACATGAAAAAAAAAAAAAGAACGCGCATGCAACGATACTCCGCAATGCCGCTTGCCAATTCGTGTATTTCCCCCGGACAATATTGATTTTTTTGTTTTTTTTTTCGGATTTTCGGGTTTTTTCGCATAAAACACCCAAAACCCTTTTCAAGCGAGCAAAAATAAAAAAAAACATTTTTGCGAGAAAAAATAAAAATAAAACAACGATACTCCGCAACGCCGCTTGTCTTTTCGTGTATTTCTCCCGGACAATATTGTTTTTTTTTTGTTTTTTGCGGGTTTTCGGGGTTTTTTTTTTCGCATAAAATACCCAAAATCTTTTTCAAACGTGCAAAAATGAAAACAAAATGTTTGCAAAAAAAATAAAAGTAAAACAACGATACTCCGCAATGCCGCTTCTCTTTCTTTTCGTGTATTTCTCCCGGACAATATTGATTTTTTTTTTGCTTTTTGCGGGTTTTCGGGTTTGATTTTCGCGTAAAATACCCTAAATCCTTTTCAAACCGGACAAAAATGAAAAAAAACATTTTTGCGAGAAAAAATAAAAATAAAACAACGATACTCCGCAATGCCGCTTGCCTTTTCGTGTATTTCTCCCGGACAATATTGATTTTTTTTTTGTTTTTTGCGGATTTTCGGGTTTTTTACGTATAAAAAAGTTATTTTCCTTTTGAAGCGAGCAAAAAAAAAATTTTTTTTTTCACTATTTCAAAGATCTGCCAAAAGTTCAAAGTATCAAGACTATAAAACACAATATTTTGAAACATCACACGATTTTCGACACTTTAGCCGTGGGCTCATAAAACTTTGGATTTTTCTCTTCGCGCGCGCAAAAACCGAGAGTTGTAAAACTAGTGTGTAGTTGTTCTAATTTCATTTTATATTGTTTTTTGGCTGTTCTCCGAACATTTTGCTATTTTTCTTCCTGGTTTGAAAAATTCTTCAGGAAATGCATAGATTATTTCTGATTTTTATATTCTATCTTTTATTTTATGAATCTACTGATGGTTGTATTTCAACACATCCGGCTGCAAATCCAATCATGTAAGTTGATCAGAAAAAAAAATCCTGCCTGGAAACTTTTTCAAATCTAAAAAATCTTTCAGAAAAAAAAACGAAAAAAAAATTTTTTTTCTGAAAAAAAACGAAAAAAAAATTTTTTTTCTGAAATCTGAAGATTTGTTAGAGAAATGCCCCAAATTCTTCATTTTTCGACTACGATTGTAAACGCGCTCCACCGAAATAAACACGCAACGCAGACCGCGCCGCGCCACAACCAAAAGGGAGGGAATTCGAATCGTTCCCCTATTTGTGTGTGTGCACGACCATTTACTCCAATAGAAAATTGCCCCTCGGGTCAGACAAGAGACGACGGGGGTCTGTCTGATGACGTCATCTGAGACAGAGAGATAATTTTGAGAAAACACGTGTCCCTTTGAAAAAATACCGTATTTTGTTTCAAGGAACACATGTTTTATTGCAAATATCTCGAAGCGAAATTCACATTATTTTTGCAAAATACTCTCGTCGTCTCGCGTCTGACTCAACGGGCGCCCCTTGTATGGTCGTGTGTGTTGTGGCGCGACGCGGTCTGCGTTGCGTGTGGAGCGCGTGGTATAAACGAAACCAAAATTCACATTTCAGTGATCCTTCGTCAAGTTCAAACAACGATACGAATATTAATCAGAATGCGAATGAGAATTCCAATTCCAATTCCAATTCCAACGAAAATCAAAATTCAAATAACCAAAGCTCTTCGAATTCTAATGGAACTTCAAGTGGAACTTCGAGCAATAGTACGAACTTGAATTCAAACTCAAATTCCAACAACAACTCCAACAACAACACCAATGGGAATTCCAGCAATGGGAATTCCAGCAATGGAAATGCAACCAATTCGAATCAGAATCAGAATCAGAATCAGAATGACAACCTCAATCGGAACAATAACACCAATTCAAATGCCAACACAAACTTCAACGGCAACAACAACACTAACATGAATGATAATATGAACAGCAACACAAACTCCAACAATAATTCGAATCGTAATTCAAACAGCAACAGTAGTTCAAATCTAAACGCCGTGAATAGCAGTGGAACAAGTTATTCCTCAAGTGTAAGCAATTCGAATAGTGGAAATACAAATACAAATAGTGGAAATACTGTCATCAATATTGGATATAATTATTATGGAAGTGGAGGAGGAGGAAAAGAGGGTTGTAAACCTAGAAAATGTTGTTGTAGACGACGAAGATGTAGATCGAGGGATTGCTCATGTTATGGACAACGACCGTGGAATAAGGCGTGTTATGATTGCGAAGGTCGGAGATGTGCTGATGGTCCCTGTGGACCTCGGGGGCCTGAAGGCCCATGTGGAAGAGGCTGCGGTCACCGGGAGCATGGGTCGAGCTGTCCTGAAGACCCTTGTGACGCTGGCAGACCTCGGGGGCCCGGTCCAATATGCCCTGAAGGTCCCTGTGGACCTCGGGGGCCTGAAGGCCCATGTGGAAGTGGCTGCAGTGATCGGGAGCCCGGTCCAAGGTGCCCGGAAGGTCCTTGCAGACCTCGGGAGCCTGGTCCAAGATGCCCTGCTGGTCCTTGTCAAAGGCCAGGCCCATGTGAAGATGGCTGTTCAGAACCGTGTCGCTCTCCTTGTCGTCCTGATTGGCCTGGCCCGGATCTTCCACCACCCAACAACTCGACAAGGCCACCAGGACCTACCCGACCAACTAGGCCACCAGGACCTACTCGACCAACTAGGCCACCAGGACCTGCTCGACCAACTAGGCCACCAGGACCTACCCGACCAACTAGGCCAACTAGGCCTACCCGCCCTACCCGCCCTACCCGCCCTACCCGACCACCACCAATATCAACGACCACACCTTCTACCTCCCCACCATCCCCCTGTCACGGTATCCCAGGTCTCCCTCCAATGCAACCCGGATGTGCCTACCCAGATATTCACCTACCTGAAATCCCCGGATTCAATAGTTGTTTATACATGGAACATCACAGAAGATGTCGAAGACCGCAAAAATGGAGAGATGATTGTGATGATCAAGATGATTGTTGTGAGAACGAGTGTTGTGATGATGATTGTTGCGATCATCATCAACCACATCCACCTCGATTCACAACAACTACTGAAGTTCCGACATCCACAGAATCTATGACATCCACCGAGGCTCAGAGTACAACTGAGGTTATGAGCACTACTGAGATAGTGACTTCTTCCGAAGTCCCGACATCTACAGAATCTGGAACAACATCGGGAGAAATTCTGACCACAACTTCAGAGGTTTTAACAACATCGGAAGCTGGTACAACTTCGGAAGTTCTCACCACAACCTCGGAGCTTTTCACAACTTCTGAGATGCTTACCACTTCGGAAGTTCTCACCACAACCGAGGCTATGACATCCACAGAATCTGAAACAACTTCTGAAGTTCTGACCACAACTGAGGCTATGACTACCACAGAACTTCAATCATCTACAGAACCTCCTACCACAACTGAAGTTCTGACAACTTCTGAAGTTCTTACCACAACTGAGGCTATGACATCCACAGAATCTGGAACAACTTCAGAAGTTCTAACAACAGCTTCTGAAGTTCTGACCACAACTGAGGCTATGACCACCACAGAATCTTACCACAACCGAGGCTATGACCACCACAGAACTTCAAACATCCACAGAATCTGGAACAACTTCAGAAGTTCTAACAACCACAGAGATTCCAACCACATCTTCGGAAGTTCTTACCACAACTTCCGAAGTTCCGACATCTACAGAACTTCAAACAACCACGTCAGAGATTCCCACCACAACTTCTGAAGTTCTGACCACAACTGAGGCTGTGACCACCACAGAAGCTGGAACAACTTCAGTGGTTTTGACAACCACTGAGATTCTAACCACAACTTCGGAGCTTCTAACAACTTCCGAGTTAATTTCATCCACAGAAGTCCCAACATCTACAGAATCTCTAACTACAACAGAGATGCCCACCACAACTTCGGAGCTTCTAACAACATCAGAAGTTTCGACTAGCCACTGAGGTAATATCCACTACAGAAATTCAAACATCCACAGAACCTGCGACAACCACAGAAACAGTGACAACTGCAGAAGTTCCCACTACTACAGAAGTTCCGACATCTACAGAATCTCTCACCACAACAGAAATTCCAACAACATCCGAAATTCTCACTACTTCTGAAGTTCTCACCACAACTGAGGCTATGACATCCACAGAACCTCCTACCACCACTGAAGTTCTGACAACTTCAGAAATTCGAACCACAACTGAAGCTCTCACTTCTACTGAACCTCCTACCACAACTGGAGTTCCAACATCTACCGAATCTCTAACAACTACAGAAACTCTCACCACAACAGAGTCAATTATAACTACTGAAAGTCCAACTACGTCGGAAATTCTCACAACAACTACAGAAGTCTCAACATCTACAGAACCTCCTACCACAACTGAAGTTCCGACAACTTCCGAGATGCTTACCACTTCAGAACTTTTGACATCCACAGAAGTCCCAACATCTACAGAATCTCTAACCACAACTGAAGTTCTGACAACATCAGAAGTTGCTACCACCACTGAGGCTCTCACATCTACTGAATCTCCGACAACTTCAGAAATTGTCACATCTACTGAAATTCCAACTACATCTTCTGAAGTTCTGACCACAACTGAGGCTATGACAACTTCAGAAATTCCTACGACCACTGAGGCTCTCACATCTACTGAAGTCCCAACATCTACAGAATCTGGAACAACTTCAGAAGTTCTAACAACCACTGAAATTCCAACTACATCAGAAATTGTCACATCTACTGAAATTCCAACCAGCACAGTATCATTGACAACATCTGAAGCGTTTACTTCTACCGAGGCAGTAACAACTTCAGAAATTCCAACCACCTCTGAGGCTCTCACAACTTCTGAAATTTTGACAACATCGGAGTATCTGACAACACGCTTAACTTCGACAGAACTTCCAACAACATCAGAATTTGTGGCTACAACAGAACCATCGACAACTTTGGAAGTGTTGACTTCTACTGAACCTCCAACATCTACAGAATCGCTGACAACTTCTGAAGTTCCCACAACTTCGGAGATCCCAACTACATCTTCGGAAGTTCCGACCACAACCGAGTCAATGACATCCACAGAAGTCCCAACATCCACAGAGCTCCCAACTACAACTTCAGAACCTCTAACAACAACAGAAGTTTTGACAACAACATCTACAGAAGTTCCGAATTCAAGTTCATCCCAAACCCCACTCACATCAACTGCAATTCTAGTAGCTTCTGAAGAATTGGATGATTCTATCACCACAACATCCCGTCGACCTCCTCCAACCTGCTCATGTTCATCCAACCCAATCCGAACAAACATCGCATGCCCATCAGGAAACATCTGCTCAACTCCAACCACAACATGTCGACAAATCACCTGCGACTATTCTGAAACCCTATTAACATCAGAAAATGGAGATAGCGTAACTTCCCTCACCTGTGAAAGTGGGAAATGGATCTCTTCAAATGGGGTTGAGTATTCTTCAGGAACTTGTGTGAAGTCTTGCAATTCTTGTGCAAATTTACAATATGATACATCACTTTGCCCATCGAATTCGTATTTTTGTGAAAGTTCAGCGAAGTAAGCTTCATCTAATTAATTAGTTAGGCTAATTAAATGTTGTCTTCCAGCGCCCTCGTTTACACTCAAACATCAAATGGCTGTAATCGTGTGCAATGTGCAAACTCCAACACGGCAATGTATTATTACGATGGTCGATTGTCTTCGCAACCCGTTTGCACTGGAACCTATTACAGCACCCCTGAAGTCAATACGGTGACGCGGGTGATTTGCGCGAGACGATGCGCATGCTCATCAACGGAATTCAATCCGATAGTTCCGGTTGGCATAGGTTCGATGGCGATGAATCAGGCAGCGGCGCCGAGGTGTTTTGCGAAATTGGCGGGTTGTCCGGATGGATATTCGTTGAGGTGAGCGAGAAATGACTGAAAAACTGAATTTTGTTTAGTTTTAGGCCACGTTTCACGTTAAAAATGATAAATTTCGAGGTTTTCGCCTAAAAAAATCTTTAAAATTTTTTTCAAACGAAAAAAAAACGCGGGTTGGGTCTTGCAGCGATATGTGTGTATTTTTCATGCGCCTTGAATGCAAACTACGGTTTTCGAAAATTTTGGGAGTTTTTCATTGAAAAAAATGTCAAAATGCTCCAAATTTAGAACTTTTTTCGCATGAAAAAAATGAAAACATTTTTTTCAAACGAAAAAAAAAACGCGGGTTGGGTCTTGCAGCGATATGTGTGTATTTCTCATGCGCCTTGAATGCAAAAAAAAACATTTTGGGGGTTTTTCATTGAAAAAAATGTCAAAATGCTCCAAATTTTGCGCTGAATTCTAAAAAAGAGCTTAATTTTTTCAAAAAACAAGCCGGTTTCAAATTTTTTCTTGAAAACCTTTATTTAAAAAATTAATTTTGAAAAAAAAATAACATTTTTTTTTTTCAAAAAAAAAAAACGCGGGTGGGTCTTGCAGCGAAATGTGTGTATTTTTCATGCGCCTTGAATACGGTTTTGGAAAAAAATTTTCATAAAATTTTTTTTTCTTGAAAATCTTCCCAGTTTTTTGCATAAAAAAGTAATTTTGAACATTTTTCGCAATAAAAAAATAAAAACATTTTTTTCAAACCAAAAAAAAACGCGGGGTGGGTCTTGCAGCGACATGTGTGTATTTTTCATGCGCCTTTAATGCAAACTACGGTTTTCGAAAATTTTGGGAGTTTTTCATTGCAAAAGGTGTCAAAATGCTCCAAATTTTGCGCTGAAAAAGAGATGAATAAATAAAATTAAAAAAAAATCAGGTTTCAACATTTTTCTTGAAAATCTTCCCAGTATTTCGCATAAAAAATTAATTTTGAACATTTTTCGCATGAAAAAAATAAAAACATTTGTTTCAAACGAAAAAAAAAACGCGCGGTGGGTCTTGCAGCGAAATGTGTGTATTTCTCATGCGCCTTTAATGCAAACTACGGTTTTCGAAAATTTTGGGAGTTTTTCATTGAAAAAAATGTTAAAATGCTCCAAATTTCGCGCTGATTTCTAAGAAAACCCTAATTTTTCTCCCAGAATCGAAACAACTGACGGATCAATAATATTCTTCGACCAACAAGCTGCAAGTTCAAAAGAGCTAGAATGTGTGGATGGAACGTATTTCCGAACAACAATTGGAAATACAACAGTCAGTGTTGATAATTATACCTGTTTCAATGGAGGTTGGTTGTTTTTCCGCAAGCTTCCGCGTTCCGCATCCAACAATTTTCCGCAGGTTGTTCATCATGCACATTTTCCACAAGTTCATCTGAAATCATCGCATCAACCACTTACACCAACTCGAATTATTGTAAAAATTTGTCACTTTTTGGGTGTGATAATGGGTATAGGTATGTTCCTTTAAAGGGTCTAACCTGAAAACTGAAAATAAAAAAAAAATTTTTTCCAGAATCTCTGGAAGTTCACAAAGTGTGTCGTCAAGTTTAGAATGTGAATTATTTGATGGCGAAGCCATGTGGAAAATCGGGTCTGCTGATCGTGTTAGTGGAAATCTTGATGTTTCTTGTGCATGATTTGGAAGATTTTGTTATTATCGAATAAATTTATATAGGTTGATGTTTTAAAAAAATCACAAAATCAAAAAAACGTTGCCGGGGACGGGATTCGAACCCGTGAAGGATGTGTCATCCACAAGATCCTGAGTCTCGCGCCTTTGCCCACTTGGCTACCCCGGCATGCGAGAAAATGGGGAGATTCAGGTATATAAACACAAAAAAAAACATTGCTCATGTTAATTTTTCTAGAATTTCGTTTTGATTCTGTCAAGATAATTCAGGATTAAGCTCAAAAACATGTTATAGTTTTTTAAACTTTATTTTTTTAAAGAAAATTGCCACGTGGATTTCTAGGAAAATCGGAATTCCTCGATTTTTTCAACATTATAATTGCTCATGTTAATTTTTGAAATTTCCGAGCTAAAAATCGGAATTTTCACAAAAATAAGCATTGCTCATGTTAATTTTTGAAATTTCGCAGCTAAAAATCGGAATTTTCACAAAAAAAGCATTGCTCATGTTAATTTTCGAAATTTCTGAGCTAAAAGTTGGAATTTTCACAAAAACAAGCATTGCTCATGTTAATTTTTGAAATTTCGCAGCTAAAAATCGGAATTTTCACAAAAATAAGCATTGCTCATGTTAATTTTCTACAATTTTTTGGAGCTAAAAATCGGAATTTTCACAAAAATAAGCATTGCTCATGTTAATTTTCGAAATTTTGCAGCTAAAAATCGGAATTTTCACAAAAACAAGCATTGCTCATGTTAATTTTCGAAATTTGGCAGCTAAAAATCGGAATTTTCACGAAAATAAGCATTGCTCATGTTAATTTTCGAAATTTGGCAGCTAAAAATCGGAATTTTCACGAAAATAAGCATTGCTCATGTTAATTTTCGAAATTTGGCAGCTAAAAATCGGAATTTTCACAAAACAAGCATTGCTCATGTTAATTTTCGAAATTTGGCAGCTAAAAATCGGAATTTTCACAAAACAAGCATTGCTCATGTTAATTTTCGAAATTTGGCAGCTAAAAATCGGAATTTTCACAAAACAAGCATTGCTCATGTTAATTTTCGAAATTTCGAAGCTAAAAATCGGAATTTTCACAAAACAAGCATTGCTCATGTTAATTTTCGAAATTTCGAAGCTAAAAATCGGAATTTTCATAATTTTGAAACGTGTTGACCTATTTCTTCATCCACGTGGCCATGGCTCACTATAAAATAAGATGAATTTGAGAAATCAGTCATTTTTGAAGGCATTTTCATCATTATTATTATTCATTACTATCAATTTTTGTTGGGATGAACCCATTTGTAAGCGAAGACTATGAATTGAAGCATTCTTTTAATGAAATCACGAATTTACGCGATAAATTGGCTATTCTTAGTGATGGTTTGGTGACAGAAAATATGACTTGGAATATAGCGATTGGAGCGCATTACAATCAAGAAAATGAAAAGTTTCTAGCTGTTTATTTTTGCTTAACCAAACTTCAACCAATTATCCAAAATTTTGTATGCGAAGTGAATGCGAAATTCGAAGTTTGGAAGAATGATCAAATCATTCGAACTCACGAACCGCTCTTCAACATTTGCTTTCAAAATGTAGAAAATAAATGGGGATTTCCCAAGTTTGCGAAATGGCAACATTTGATGGATAATTGGATTTTGGATGGTAAATTGACGATTGGTGTTAAATTCAGTTATAAATTTTATAATTTTGATTTCAATCGCAATGTTTTTCAAAGTTATCCGGTGAAATTTGGAGATGGTAGAAGAGTATTTATAAACAAGCAAGTAAGAAAAAGGCTCTATCGCAATATATGGGTCCCATGGAAATATATGGGTCCGTAAAAACATATAAGGGTCCGTTTTTTTTTTTTTTTTTTTACTAAGCCTAAGCCTAATTCTGAAGCTGAAAAGCCGAAAATAGAGTTACCAGAGGACTCAAAATTCTCTATTATTATTTTTAGTAATCCCAAAAAAAAAAAAAAAAAAAATTCACGGACCCTTATATTTCTGAGGGACCCTTATATGTTTTTACGGACCCTTATATTTCCATGGGACCCATATATTGCGATAGAGCCGAAAATTTTTTCAATCCGCGAAAATAAATTTAATTTTTTTTTGCAGTTTTTTGCAATGTTTTCTCAACATCTCATGGAAGAATTCAAAAATTCGCCGAAATTTTTTGAAATTGAAGATGAAGCTGAAGCTACAAACATCAATGACTTCTGTCTGCTCTATGCAGCAATCCATCCAAATCCAATTCAAATAACCGGCGAGACATTCGTCAAACTTCTCGATTTATCGAAGCGATTCGAAGTCGAAAATTTATTCGAGAAATGTGTGAAAGATGGAGTGACATCGACAATGATTCCGATGATTGAGAAGTTCAGAGGAGCTGAGTTGATTGAGCCGGATAATCGATTGATGGTTGGTTTTTCGAGGGATTTTGAAAGATTCAATTTTTTTTGTTTTTTTTTGCAGAAAGGATGCCTAGAACTGTTCAAAACACCACACGATATCAAAATCTTTGCTCTAAATCCAGACTTTGAAAAATTGCAGGACAAAACGAGACTTGCAATATTGATGGCACTGGTTAAAATTATTCCTTGATGAAGTTTTTGACGCAAAAATTGTGAAAAAACCTTGCCGGGGACGGGATTCGAACCCGTGAAGGATGTGTCATCCACAAGATCCTGAGTCTCGCGCCTTTGCCCACTTGGCTACCCCGGCGTCGGGAGAAAATGGGGAGATTCAGGTATATAAACAGGAAAAAAACATTGCTCATGTTAACTTGTTTTCCATTTTTGTTTTGGACAGTGTACTATAAACAAAATGATTGCTCATCTTAATAATCTCGTGAAACGTATTTTTCCCCCGCATTTTTTTTGCAAGTTATGTTATCTCTAGCCCCCACAAAAAGTACAACAACAACAACTAGGGGAATCTCGATTTCCATCCTCTCATGTTTTTTTTTTTGCTGTGGCGGTAAGTAGATGATGTCAAGGCCACACCAGCCAGTAGTAGGCTACTATGTGTCATGTCTCCATTTTTTATCCCGACCGCCATCTCTCATTTTTTCCTGTCCTGTCCATGTTTTTTGTATTGTGGACACTGCAGTGTTGCTTTCTGAATTTATTTCATTTTATTTCGTGTGTTTATGGTGTTGTTTATTTGCTGTGTAGTGGTTTCGTGAACCGAAAAAATGCATGACACCAATTATATTCAGGCCGGTTTGCTTTGAAAAACGTTTTTTCCATGAAAAATCACATTTTCATATCCATGTTATGAAAAAATAAAAAGAAAACAACGAGACTCCGCTTCGATGACACTGCGCGCGCGGTTTGAAATTATTTATTTTTTGCATTTTTTTCGGGGTTTTTTCATCGAACTAGACTATAGTTAAGCTAAGTTAAATCTAACATAAGATCTGAGTGCTGAAAATTGATTTTTAAGGATTTTTTTTGGGAAAAAGCAAAATTTCCCATAGAAAAATCATGTTTCTCGTGAAAAATTGCATAAATTAAAAAAAAATCGTTTTTTTTTCCATGAAAAATCACATTTTCATGTCCATTTTATGAAAAAATAAAAAGAAAACAACGAGACTCCGCGTGGATGACACTGCGCGCGTGGCTTGAGTTTTTTTATTTTTTGCAGTTTTTCGGGTTTTTTTCATCGAACTAGACTATAGTTAAGCTAAGTTAAATCTAACATAAGATCTGAGTGCTGAAAATTGATTTTTTAAAGCAATTTTCGGCAAAAAACACAAGTTCTCATAGAAAAATCATATTTCTTGTCAAAATATTGCAAAAAAAACCGTTTTTTTCTATGAAAAATCACATTTTCATGTCCATTTTATGAAAAAAAGAAAAAAATTGCAAAAAATAAAAAAAGAAAACAACGAGACTCCGCTTCGATGACACTGCGCGCGCGTTTTGAAATTATTTATTTTTTGCAATTTTTTCAGGGTTTTTTTCATTTTTCGGCGAATTCTTATTGAATTTTGCTGAAATTTTTCTGAGAACTAGACTATAGTTAAATTAAGCTAAATCTTAGATAGATTTGAGAACAACAAATTGATTTTCTAAAGCATTTTTCGGCAAAAAATACAATTTCCCATAGAAAAATCATGTTTCTTGTGAAAAATTGCATAAATTTTAAAAAAAAAATCATTTTTTTTCCATTAAAATTCCCCTTTTTCCCAAAAAAAGAAAAAAATTGCAAAAAAAGAAAAAGAAAACAACGAGACTCCGCTTCGATGACACTGCGCGCGCGGTTTGAAATTATTTATTTTCGGCATTTTTTCGGGGTTTTTTTCATATTTCGGTGAATTTTTTTTGCATTTTTTTCTGATTTTTGCATCGAAAAAAAACAAAATTAAAAAAAAAATTTCCCAAAGTTCCCCCTAACTCCCCTAGATCCTTGACATATTATAATATTCGCTAAAATGGAATTGAATTGAATGGCAAAAGGAAGGAGAGGTCATTTGAACTAGATTCAGTATGAATTCATGCGTAAAGCCATTTTATTTATGTATGTTCATATATTTATTTTTTTTTATTTATAATACTCTATACTCTTGTTACATTTTTGACCGTTATCTCGAAAAATCTGGGTCATGTTTGAAAAAAAACTTTCCGTTTTTTCTTATTTATTTACATTAATCCTTCCTGCTGACCTCAAAAAAAAACAATTCCGCAATTTTGTTTTTTTTCCAGATATGAGGTTAATACTACTATTGCTAATCCTCGTCAAATCCATCGAACTTCTACCAACTTCCAACAAGTGCAATTCATTCTACATCCGATGGCCACGAGTTCGTCTCAACTTCAAAGCTGTCTCGGAAGCGCGGCTCTCCCTGAAAGCCTGCCAATCCGCTTGTTCATTGGGCGAAGATCCGATAAGTCCCGGAAAACCGCTGGAATGTGCCGCTATCAATCATCAGAGTTCGCCCGATGGTTTTTCGCATCATTGTGATGTTTTTCAGCCGCATCAATTGCAGAATGTTGATGGATATGTGGAGGCGGATGATCGATATACGTTTTATTGGAAATATTGTTTGTCGTGTGAGTTTTTGGGAGCCCTCAGAAGTTTGAGAAGCTTTTTCAGAAGCATTTAGTGGCCTCCAGAAGGTTTGGGAGCCTTCAGAAGCTTGAGAAAGGCTTTCAGAAGCTTTTAAGAGCCTTCAGAACATTTTGGGGGTCTTCAGAAGCTTCTCAGAAGCTTTTAAGAGCCTTTACAATATTTTGGGGGTCTTCAGAAGCTATTAGGTTGCTTCAGAAGCTTGAGAAATACCTTTAGAAGTTTTTGGTAGCCTTCAGAAGCTTGAGATGCTTTTCAGAAGCTTTTGAGGAGTTTCAGAAGCTTCAGAAGCTTCTCAGATGTTTTTAAGGGAAGAAGCTTCTAAGGGTCTTCTGAAGCTTGTGGGAGTTTTCAGAAGTTTTTGGGAGCCTCCAGAAGCTTTTCAGAAGCTTGAGAATTATATTCAAAAGCTATTGGGTTGCTTCAGAAGCTTGAGACATATCTTCAGAAGCTTTTAAGGGCCTTAAGAACATTTTGGGGGTCTTCAGAAGCTTGAGAAATACCTTCAGAGGCTTTTGAGGTTCTTCAGAAGCTTCAGAATCTTCTCAAATGTTTTGAGGGCCTTCAGAAGGTTGAGAAGCTTTTCAGAAGCTTTTGAGGAGTTTCAGAAGCTTTTCAGAAGTTTTTAAGGGCCTTAAGAACATTTTTGGGGGTCTTCAGAAGCTTCAGAAATACCTTCAGAAGCTTTTGAGAGGTTTCAGAAGCTTGTGACGACCTTCAGAAGCTTCAGAAGCTTTCCAGAAGTTTTTGGAAGCCTTCAGAAGTTTGGAGAATTTTTTTTCAAAGTTTTAGGAACTTCAGAAATTTAGAGCATTTTTAATCAGGCTCCACCCACTTTTCTGCAAGTCTGGCACGGTTTTTCGAGAGTGTAAACAGCTTAATAATTCATTTAGCCACGTGGATTGCTATGACGTGGCAAACCACAGCTAAACACTACGATGCTCCGCGTTTACACCTCGAAAAATACCTTCAAAAGCTTTTTGAGGGTTTCAGAAGCTTCAGAAGCTTTTCAGAACATTTTGGGGGTCTTCAGAAGCTTCAGAAGCTGCTCAGATGTTTTTAGTGGCCTTCAGAAGCTCTTGGAGAACACTGATGTTCCACATCATAGTTCTACTGATCTTCCACGTCAAAAATATATTTCTAGAAGTAAAAATTAGACTTCCAGATCCCCTAGATCTTCTTCTATCCTCAAATCATCCCCTCATTTTTCCAGCCACCCGAAAATGTTCCGGCGAATACGCCTTCACCTATCTCTCCGATCGTTTCATGGACTTCAAATCAATCGTCAAAACCACAATCAAAAATAGTTTAGAAGAATGTTTGTCGGAATGTTTGGATGAAACCGGCTTCGAATGTCGCTCGATTTCCTTCAATCGAACCGATGGTGGATGTCATATGTCGAAAGATTCACAAATCACTCGACCTGAGGCGATTCGGCTGAATAATAATCCGAATTTCAGAATTGATTATTATGAGAACAATTGCTATAATAGTGAGTTACTATAACTATTTGGGAAAAAAAAGGGCACGGGATTTACCCTGGGTAAAGGGCACGGGATTTACCCCGGGTAAAGGGCGCGGGATTGACCCCGGGTAAAGGGCACGGGATTTACACCGGGTAAAGGGTACGGGATTTACCCTGGGTAAAGGGCACGGGATTTACCCCGGCTAAAGGGCACGGAATATACCCCGGGTAAAGGGCGCGGGATTTACCTCGGGTAAAGGGCGCGGGATTTTACTACCCCGGGTAAAGGGCACGGGATTTACCCCGGGTAAAGGGCACGGGATTTACCCCGGGTAAAGGGCGCGGGATTTACCCCGGGTAAAGGGCGAGGGATTTTACTACCCCGGGTAAAGGGCACGGGATTCACCCCGGGTAAAGGGCGAGGGATTTTACTACCCCGGGTAAAGGGCACGGGATTCACCCCGGGTAAAGGGCGAGGGATTTTACTACCCCGGGTAAAGGGCACGGGATTCACCCCGGGTAAAGGGCGAGGGATTTTACTACCCCGGGTAAAGGGCACGGGATTCACCCCGGGTAAAGGGCGAGGGATTTTACTACCCCGGGTAAAGGGCACGAGATTTACCACGGGTAAAGGGCACGGGATTTACCCCGGGTAAAGGGCGCGGGATTTACCCCGGGTAAAGGGCACGGGATTTACCCCGGGTAAAGGGCACGGGATTTACGCCGGGTAAAGGGCACGGGATTGACCCCGGGTAAAGGGTACGGGATTTACCCCGGGTAAAGGGCGCGGGATTTACCCCGGGTAAAGGGCGCGGGATTCACCCTGGGTAAAGGGCGCGGGATTTACCCTGGGTAAAGGGCACGGGACCCCGGGCAAAGGGCACGGACCCCGGGCAAAGGGCACGGACCCCGGGTAAAGGGCGCGGACCCCGGGTAAAGGGCACGGGACCCCGGGCAAAGGGCACGGACCCCGGGTAAAGGGCGCGGACCCCGGGTAAAGGGCACGGACCCCGGGTAAAGGGCACAGGATTTACCCCAGGTAAAAACACTAATGTGTTTTTTTGTAGTGTCCGAGTCATTCAAATTCGAAAGCAAATGTCTGGACAACGGAATCTCAGTCAAAGTAAACTCGCGTCTTCCATACACCGGTGCACTTTACGGACTATACGATTTCTTCACTTGCCGAATCGAGCCCAAAGAATCGAATGAATTCGAATATCTCTTCCCATCTCCAATGATCTCGAAAAATTGTTCAGATTCGATAAGGTTCAAGGGAAATGAGATGATTCTTGAGGTTGTTTTATCGACTGATGGAATTGAGCCGCTTTATTTCATTACTCCGGATGATTTGACATATCAGGCAAAGTGTCCGATTAGGGAGCAGCAGCAGCAGAAAGTTAGCACAACTACGGAGAAAATTGTGGCGAAGCCGATTGTGCATTTGGATAATCAGTGAGTTTTTGGTCGATGGAAATTTCACGGGAAATTCAAAATTTCGAGATTTTCCTCCTTCAGTTTCTCATTTCATTTCCTCTATAATTTTGTTCTTCCCCCATTTTTCCTTCCTAAGTTAGCCCAACTCAAGCTTTTAGAAACAAAGAGATGGAAGCGTCAGCTCACGCATTATTTGAGTTACTCTCAAAAGTCAGCGAAGAGGACGAGCCTGCGCTGCAAAACACATTTTCGTTGCCACTAACCACAACAACCAGGCAAGTTATCACAACTCCAACAACCACCACCAAGAAGCCTGTCACCACCACTAGAAAGCCTACAACTACCACCAAGAAACCAGCTCCAACTACCACCAGACAAGTTAGCACAACTCCAAAATCCACCACCACCAAAAAGCCAGTCACAACTACACACGTGGCAATTATTGTGGCGAAAGATGCGCCAACGACTCGCGCCAAATTATTCACCACCAAACATCCGCACACACAAAAAATGCAAGTTTTCCCCCGCATGTACTGTACCCCTAAACTAGAGTCTAGTTTTGCACGATTTTTTTGAAAAAGGTTATGACGTGGCAAAATTCTTTCAGATGCCTTTTAGGCTTAGGCTCAGGCTTAGGCTTATCTGAAATTGAGAAAATCTGAAATTCAGTATTCTAGATCTTGAATTTTCTGATCTCATTCCTGACATTTTTTTCAATTTTCAAAAATCTAAGATTCCAATCTGCAAAAAAAATTGCCACGTCATAACTTGAGATTGCCAAAAAATTCTGAAATTGAAGTTTTGGATCGCACCAGAGAGTTCACAATGTCTATAAGAATTTTTTTTCAGAGAAGTTCCAACCACAACATCTACAACAACATCTACAACAACTCCAAGACCTCCACCTCCACCAACAACTACAGTACCTTCTACCACATCTACAGTACCCCCAACTACCACATCTACAGTACCTTCTACCACATCTACAGTACCTTCTACAACATCCACATCTACAGTACCTTCTACAACATCTACTTCTACAGTACCCCCAACCACCACATCTACAGTACCTTCTACCACATCTACAGTAGCCCCAACTTCAACATCCACCCAAAAACCATCAAATAATAGCTCGTGAGTCAGATCTACCCATGAAAATCCTGATCTCAAACAAAATCCATGATCCATATTCCAGAATGCCAAGCGTGGCCGGAAAACCAAAAACCGCTGTCAACTTCGACATTTTCCACAATGGTCAACCGGTTGAAGCGGTTGTGGTGGGCACGAAAATCACACTGTCTTTCATTCCACATTATCCGATTCCACGTGGGTTTTTTCGGGGGGATTTTGGAAGGATTTGGGGGGTTTTTGGGAGTTTTGGGAGGCTTTCAGAAGCTTTGGATAGCCTTCAGAAGGTTTTGGGAGCCTTCAGAAGGTTTTGGGGGCCTTCGGAAGCCTCTGGGGGCTTTCGGAAGCTTCTGGGGGCCTTCAGAAGCTTCAGAAGCTTTTCAGAAGCTTCTGGGGACCTTCGGAAGTTTCTGGGGACCTTCACAAGCTTCTGGGGACCTTCAGAAGCTCTTAAGAGCCTTCAGAAGTATTTGAGGAGTTTCAGAAGCTTCTAGGGACCTTCAGAAGGTTTTAGAAGCTTCTGGGGGGCCTTCAGAAGCTTCTGGAAGCCTTCTGAAGCCTTCAGAAGCGTCTGGTGGATTCTAGAAAGTTTTGGTGGCTTCTGGGGACCTTCAGAAGCTTCCGAAGCTTTTCAGAAGCTGCTGGATACCTTCGGAAGCTTCTGGGGAACCTTCAGAAGCTTCTGGTGACCTTCAAAAGCTTCCGAAGCTTTTCAGATCTCTCCACCCAAAAACACATATTTTTCCAGCCGAGTACATCTCCGTCCGCGGTTGCCAAGTCGAACCAATCGATCCAAAATACGACTGGGAACACGAGCCCCTCTTCATAATTCGTGACGGGTGTCCAGCCGACGGTGTCGGTCTCGTCTGCCCGCCAACACAATCCGAATACGGCGCCAAAATCTCGGTAGAAGCGTTCCGCTACCAAACCACCGGCCAAGTTCAATATTCCTGCCTCGTTCGAATTTGCCCATTCGCACCTTGCCCCAAATCCAATTGTGAAGATGTGGAGGGCTGCGATTCGAATTACATGCATCGATATCGTCGGGAACTTTCCTTGGATGATATTAGACGGGCACTTGAGGCGAATCCTGAATTGGCTTCGCAAATCGGAATCTCACCCAATGCTTTTACCACGACAAAAGGATCCAATAAACACTTCACAAGTGTAGTTCGTAAGTTCAGGATTTTCCAGTGAGAACTTCTAGAGATTCCTGATTTTTTCTAGAAGAGCAACAAAGAATATCGATTGGTGGCGATCATGTTGTTCGACGTCGATTAGTTGTCGTCAATTCCGAAGATCAACTTCGATATTATGTTCGGACTGGTGATATTTTGTAGTTCTCACGGAGGAAAACATTGGCGCGAGATAGCTTTATTATTTTCTTTCTGTCTTTTTTTTACGCCACGTGTGCGGGTCATTTTTGTTTGTTGCAAAAAAAAATTAATAAATTTTATCTGAAAATTACGGTAGAACCTGCATATCTAACTTGGGAAATTTAAAATTTAAAAAAAATGCAGAGAAAAAAAAGGACATTGTTAAAAATAAAGGGGAAAAATACGTTTCACAACTTCATCAATTAATTTTTCGAAAAAAAAACATTTTATTTGTGCTTCAGAAGTTTTTCAGATGTTCTTGAAGAACTTCTGAACCTTCAGAAGCTTTTCAGAAGTTTTTAAGGTTCTTCAGAAGCTTCAGAAGCCTTCAGAAGTTTCTAAGAAGTTTTCAAGAGCCTTCAGAAGCTTTTCAGAAGTTTTTAAGATGTTTTTAAGAGCCTTCTGAAGCTTCAGAAGCTTCAGAAGCTTCTGGGTTTCCTTCAGAAGCCTTCAGAAGCTTTTCAGAAGTTTTTAAGGTTCTTCAGAAGCTTCAGAAGCTTTTCAGAAGTTTTTTAAGGTTCTTCAGAAGCTTCACAAGCCTTCAGAAGCTTTTCAGATGCTCTTCAGAAGCTTCAGAAGCTTTTCAGATGCTTTTGAAGTTCTTCAGAAGCTTCAGAAGATTTTCAGAAGTCTTTTGGATGTTCTTGAGGACCTTCAGAAGCTTTAGAAGCCTTCAGAAGCTTTTCAGATGCTTTTCAGATGCTCTTCAGAAGCTTCAGACTTTTTTGGGCCTAGATTTTGATGAGTTAGCCTAACTTTTTTCCAATTTTCATATATTTTTCAATTTTTCCGAAATCCCTTCCCAAAAAACTCACCAATCGCTTCTATTTCTCAAATCTCAATCAAAATCATCGAAAATTCGCAAATCCTCCAAGTTTTCCACGTTTTCATCAATATTTCGAGCTGAAAATCAGAAAATTTGAGTTCAGCTAACTCCATTTCGATTTCTGAGAGCTTTTTTTGGGTCTCACAACAATTTTCCAGCTATTTTCAGAGAGATTCACAGCAAAATCTTACCCAAATCCATTTTCCATCGATTTTTTGAGTGAAAAATCCAGTAATCCGATGTTTTTCATGAAAATTCACAAGTTCTTCGCTTCAAATTCAATCAATAATCGATTTCCTCACTTTCAAAATCATTTTTGACCCTGAAAACTCAAAAATTTCAGTGTTTCTCTCGAAAAAACTCACCTTTCTTCAATAATCCTCCGATTTTCCATTGGAATCGATAATTCGAGCCTTGTAGAACATCTGAAAATTCAATTTTTGACTGAAATCCACTGATTTCCCCCGGAAACCTGAAAACCCGCCGAAAAAAAACGAAAAAATGAAAATATTCTCGTGTTGCGCTAAACAACGGGCAAGCCGGAACTCCGGAGTGTCGTTGTAAAAGGGATTTCGCTTTTTTAAGGGAGAAGAAAACTGTGTTTTCCATGAAAATTCGCGTTTTCCCAAAAAATAAAAAGAAAACAACGAGACTCCGCTTCGATGACACTGCGCGCGCGGTTTGAAATTATTTATTTTTTCAGGATTTTTTTCAGGTTTTGATATTTCGGTGAAAACTTAACGAAATGTTCCGAATTTTCGCATCAAACTAGACTATAGTTAAACTAAGCTAAATCAAAGACTTGGGAACAAAACATGGATTTTTTAGAGAATTTTCCGGCCAAAAACACAATTTCCCATAGAAAATTGTTGTGAATCCGACAGTTTCATTCCAAAACTCAAAAGATATCAGAAGTAGATTCCCCCGTCACAGTTTTATCTCCAATCTTGACAATTTGCCAATCAGCTCCACTCAAACACGTGATTCTTTTTCCATTCATTCGAACCGTTTGCTCATGAAATATTTGCATAAAATATGGTGCCATTAGGAAATCAGTTCCACTCAATCTCTGAAATGGATTATAAACCAACACTTTCTTCAACAAATCAATCGATTCGATCATATCTTTTTGGCTGATCAGATTATTGAACACAGCAGTTCGTCGATCTTTCATTGTTTGATTTGTTGGATGAATCATAAAATCGAAATTTGGGAAGGGTCCTTTTGCAGTTCGTTCATAGGAATTCCAGATATCGGAATATTTTGAATCGCTGATTTTCATTGAATTCAAATCATTTGAAGTTGGTTGACCAAGAAGTTCGAAGATTAATTCGGCTTGATTGTTGCTTGTTCGACCAGCCATGAAAACTGCACCTTTTAGAAGTTCGCCGAAAATACAACCACATGACCAGATATCTGGAAATGTTTGGAATTTTCAGAAAATTCTGGAAAAATTAGGCTTCTATAGGCCTCGATGCTTGAAAAAAGCAGTTCTGACAAGGAGTCGCGCCTAGGTAACATCTCTGACAAGGAGGGGCGCCTAGAGAGCAGTTCTGACAAGGAGCGGCTCCTAGAGAACATTTCTGACGAGGAGGGACGCCTTGAGAGCCGTTTTGACAAGAGGCCGAGCCTAGAGAACATTTCTGACTAGGAGCCGCACCTAGAGGGTCACTATGTCAAGGAGCCGCGCCTAGAGAACATATATGACAAGGAGTTGCGCCTAGAGAACATCTCTGACAAGGAGCAGCGTCTAGAGAACATCTCCGACAAGGAGGTGCCTCTTGAGAGTAACCCTAGCAAAAACGCCTAGAGAATCCCTATGACAAGGAGCCGCTCCTAGAGAAACCATGAGGCAAGGAGACACGCCTAGAGAACAGCTATGACTAGGATCCGCGCCTAGAGAATCCCTATGACAAGAAGCAGCGCCTAGGGAGCAACACTCAAACAAGGAGCCGCGTCTAGAAAGCAACGCTGACAAGGAGCCGCGCCTAGACAGCCATTAGGACAAGGAGTCGCGCCTACAGAGCAGCTATGACTAGGGGACGCCCCTTAAGAGCAACCCTAGCAAGGAGCAGCTCCTAGAGATCCATTATGACAAGGGGTCGCGCCTAGAGATTCGTTTTGACAAGGAGACGCGCCTAGAGAACATCGCTGACAAGGATCCGCGCCTAGAGAAGCATATTGTCAAGGAGCAGCGCCTAGAGAACAGCTATGACTAGGAGCCGCGCCCAGAGAACATCTTTGAGAAGGAGGCGCGCATTGAGATCAGGTATTCCAGAACTCACCAATCTCAGATCCATAATTCTTGGAACCCAAAAGCAATTCAGGCGGTCGATAATATCTTGTCACATGATAACTTGGCTGTGGTGTTTTCCGCGCTTCAAAAGCCGAACTTCCAAAATCAGTGATCTTGAGAAGACCAGTATCAGCGTTGTATAACAGATTTTGAGGCTTCATATCGCGGTGGCAAATTTCCATCTGAAACTTTAAGTTTTTAGAGCTGATGTGGCAAAATTAAAAAAAAAATTTAAAAAAGTTGAGCTCCGGGTGGGGGTCGAACCCGCGGCCTTGCGAATGCAAGGCGCGAGTGCTAACCACTCGGCCACAGCGCAGTTTTTTTTCCCAGGCGAAAATGTCGCATATAAAAACCTACTCTTTGTAAAAAAAAAGAAAACAAAAGTTGAGCGCCGGGTGAGGGTCGAACCCCGGGCTTTGCAAATGCAAGGCGCGAGTCCTAACCACTCGGCCACAACGCTGTTTTACTTCCCCGTCTAAAATGTCGCATATAAAAAACCTACTCTTTGTAAATGATGTTGTCCACGGAATAATTGCCACGTCATCAATTTCACCTCAACAATATCGATTTTCCGATTCAAACTTCTCAAATGTTGATGCAAATTCAATGGAATATATTCGAAAATCAAAGCCAAACATATTTTTCCCTCATGCTCTTTCTGATAACTATACAAAAGTCGAACAATATTCTTATGTTTTAATCGATTCAATTTTCCGAGTATCCGAACTTCCAACGGACTTCCACGCTGTCTCGGCCACGTCTTCTTCACCACAACTTCTTGCTGTTTTCCATTTTCACCACCACCTTCGGAGAGAATTGCGATTCCTCGATAAACATTGCTGAATGCACCGGATGCGAAGAGATTCATGTTCTCCAGGTGGAGTTTAGTCGGTTTTCCATCTTCGAGACGAGATACAACAAGATCATCTGATGTTCGATACAAATTTGGCATTTTTCGTGGATGATTTCGTATTTGACGAGTAGTAGAAATTGAACAAATTCTCGAAAATCGCGGGTTTTATAGAGAAACGTGAGCTAGAATGGAGGTCACGTTGAAATTTGAATTTTGTTTCCTGTTTTCTGAAAAAATTCGGAACATTTCGATGAGTTTTCGCCGAAATATGGAAGTTTTTGTTTAAAACCTGAAAAAATAAATAATTTCAAACCGCGCGCGCAGTGTCATCGAAGCGGAGTCTCGTTGTTTTCTTTTTATTTTTTGCGGAAAAACGCGAATTTTCATTGAAAATTCAGTTTTCCGGGGATGAAAAAATTAAATTGAAGAAATATTAACACTAAAATTCAAAATTTTCAAAGGAAAACTGATTTTTCTATGGAAAATTGTGATTTTTTGCTGAAAAATGCTTTAAAAATCCATGTTTTGTTCTCAGATCTTAGATTTACCTTAGTTTAACTATAGTCTAGTTTAATGCAAAAATTCGGAACATTTCGTTAAGTTTTCACCGAAACCGGAAAAAATCCTGAAAAAATAAATAATTTTAAACCGCGCGCGCAGTATCATCGAAGCGGAGTCTCGTTGTTTTCTTTTTATTTTTTGCGTTTTTTTGGGAAAACGCGAATTTTCATGGAAAACACAGTTTTCTTCTCCCTTATAAAAAGCGAAATCACTTTCACAACGACACTCCGGAGTTCCGCTTGCCCGTTGTTTAGCGCAACACGAGAATATTTTCATTTTTCGCCCGGTTTTTAGGTTTTCGGGGGAAAATCATTGAATTTCAGTCAAAAATTGAATTTTCAGATGTTCTACAAGGCTCGAATTATCGATTTCAATGGAAAATCGGAGGATTATTGAAGAAATGTGGGTTTTTTCGAGAGAAACACTGAAAAACTGAAATTTTTGAGTTTTCAGGGTCAAAACCATCGGATTTCATGAGAAAAGCTGGATTTTTTACTCAAAAATCGCTGAAAAATGGATTTGGGTAAGATTTTCTCTGAAAAATAGCTGGAAAATTCAAATTTTCTGATTTTCAGCCTGAAATATTGATGGAAACGTGGAAAACTTGGAGGATTTCGAATTTTCGATGATTTTTGTGTGATAGTGAGTTTTTTGGGGAGGGATTTGGGGAAAAAAATTTGAAAATTCAAACCACGCGCGCGCAACGTCAACGTGGAGTCTCGTTGTTTTTTTCTTTTTTTCGGGGAAAACGCTATTTTAGGTTAATTTGATACATTTTCGCTTTCCAAACCGCTTTTCTATATAAAAAATGTTCTTTTTCTCTTTTTTCATATGAAAATGATTGATGTTTCTCCAAAAAAGTACACTTTTTTCAAAAAACAAGAAATAAGTAGTGGTTATTTTTGCCTTCTCATGTTGTAAATTCAATTTTCTCCGTGATGAAAAAGCCGTGATTGAATTTTGCACATTCTCAATTGTCTCGAGACTTTTTAGGCGGTTTTTTTTTGTTTTCTGATTGGCTCTGAAATCTCACATAAAATATTCATCCGGATTAGAATTGCTCAGAAGTTTCTCTCTTTTTTTTGCTTTTTTCGCTTTATTTAGCCACTTATTTATGACAACTAGGCAAAAAAGCAACTTTTTTTAGTTTTCCCCGAAAAAATCGCGAGCCCCCATTTTATATGCGAAATTTTCTACAGCGGTGAGAGCGCGCCACACGTCCGAGTGGTATGCACTGGCGCCTCGCAATCGTAGGTCCCGGGTTCGACTCCCCATGCCACCTATTTCTTTTTTTTTTTTTATTTTTTTTTCCTCTTCTTTGTAGTCTGGTGCTTGAAAAAATCTCAGATTACATTTCTCTTTTTTTTCCTAGGTTTTCCTGCTGAATTGATTTTTTTTTGTGGAATTTTTGATGAACTGTAAAATAATCCTATTAAAAAGTTTCGAAAAAATAAATTAGCATAAATTCTATTGGTATACATTTTCTATTGGAACAAAAGAATGAATCAACCAGGCAAAAAAATTTTTTTGGGGCCCCAGAATTGCCACGTCATAGATCAAAAAAATGTTCCAATTTTCAGACATTTTGAAAAAAAAACCTGTTATTGTTTTTTTTAATTAGAAAAATCTAATTGATTGTTTGCCACGTCATAGGTCATGTTTTCCTTTTTTTTTTAAATTTTCTGAAAAATTTTATGAAAATTCTGGAATTTTTAAAATTCTAGGCTAATTTTGAAAAAATTTCAGAATTTTTCAAATTTCTAAAAAATGTTCCCAGAATCTAGTAATTTAACCTAAAACATGTTTTAGGGCTGAAATTTTTTCTCTGAAACCTGTGAAAATATCTGCAAATCAGCGATTCCAGCATTTTCAGCGCAAAATTTGGGTCTAGAAGAAAATTGTGCCAAAAGTTCCAAAAAAATGGATCAACCGGGTTACTGTAGAAAAACAACATGTTTTAGGCTGAAATTTTGTGCTGAAACTGCTGAAAATGCTGAAAATATCTGAAAATCAGCGATTCCAGGTTCAAAAATTCCAAAATTAAAATTTTTTTCGCTCTCTCAAACCCCACAATTATAGCTTTTTCATAACCGCAAAATTAGTTTTACCTTTTTTTTTCTTTTTTTTTCTGCGCGAGCCATGAAATATCGCGTGGTTGGTTAATTTCTATATAACTTTTTATTATTTTTCCTCGTTTCTCTGGAAAAAAAGTGAAGGAAAAAGAAAAAAAGGAAGAAAAAGGAGAGAGAAATGTGTGTCTCTGTGTGCAAAAAAAAATAAATAAATAAATATTTTTTTGATTTTTTTTTTTGATATTTTTTTGTTCTAGACTCAAATTTCGCGCTGAAAATCGTGGAATAACTGATTTTCAGATATTTTCAGCATTTTCACAAGTTTCAGCACAAAATTTCAGTCTAAAACATGTTGTTTCTCTACAGTAACCTGGAGTTGATCCATTTTTTCGGAACTTTTGGCACAATTTTGTTCTAGACTCAAATTTTGCGCTGAAAATCCTGGAATCGCTGATTTTCAGCTTTTTTCAGCATTTTCACAGGTTTCAGCTCAAAATTTCAGCCTAAAACATGTTGTTTTTCTACAGTAACCCGGTTGATCCATTTTTTCGGAACTTTTGGCACAATTTTCTTCTAGACTAAAATTTTGCGCTGAAAATCATGGAATAACTGATTTCCAGGGATTTTCAGCATTTTCAGCAGTTTCAGCACAAAATTTCAGCCTAAAAACATGTCGTTTTTCTACAGTAACCCGGTTGATCCATTTTTTCGGAACTTTTGGCACAATTTTGTTCTAGACTCAAATTTTGCGCTGAAAATTCTGGAATTATTGATTTTCAGATATTTTCAGCATTTTCACCGGTTTCAGCACAAAATTTCAGCCTAAAACATGTTGGTTTTCTACAGTAACCTGGTTGATCCATTTTTTCGGAACTTTTGGCACAATTTTCTTCTAGACTCAAATTTTTTGCTGAAAATTCTGGAATCGCTGAAATTCCCCTCAAATATAATCACTTCCGTGTTGTTCCTTTTTTTTTTTTGAGAGGGCGCAACTCTTTTTTTTCCTCAATTTATCCAATTTTTTTGCAGTGTCTCTGAATAGAAAATGTACTTTTTTTTTTCTTTTTTCTCAGCTTTTTCTCAATTTCTTCTTCTAATTATATGAATCTACGAAAAATTCCAAGATTTTTTCATTATTTTCATTTTTCTCCTTCTTTTTCTTTTTCATCTTTTTAGGAGCCCCAATTTTCATTTTCAATATAAAAATGAAAAAAAAAATAAAAATAATAATTCATTTTTATTTTATTTTATTTTATGGCTCTAGAAGAGAAATGAAAAACGAGAGAAATTTATCCGAAAACGCTATTTTAACCGAGTTTCTTCTTCTCAATAAAATTTGTACTTTTTTTCGAAACAAAAAAAACTTTGAGAAGAAGTTAGGCGAAGTTTTTAGAAAAATTCTGAAATCTTCAAAAAAAATTTTTTTCGGGATTTTTTGCACAATTTTTGATCGAAATTTTGCGCTGAAAATCCTGGAATTATTGAATTTCAGATATTTTCAGCATTTCCACTAGTTTCAGCACAAAATTTCAGCCGGAAACATGTTGTTTTTCTACAGTAACCCGGTTGATCCATTTTTTCGGAATTTTTGGCACAATTTTCTACAGTAGGTTTTAAAGGGTTTCTAGACTCAAATTTTTCGCTGAAAATCATGGAAATATTAATTTTCAGATATTTTTAACTTTTTCACGAGTTTCAGCACAAAATTTCAGCCTAAAACATGTTGTTTTTCTACAGTAACCCGGTTGATCCATTTTTTCGGAACTTTTGGCACAATTTTCTTCTAGACTCAAATTTTGCGCTGAAAATCCTGGAATTGCTGATTTTCAGATATTTTCAGCATTTTCACCAGTTTCAGCACAAAATTTCAGCCTGAAACATGTTGTTTTTCTACAGTAACCTGGTTGATCCATTTTTTCGGAATTTTTGGCACAATTTTCTTCTAGACTCAAATTTTGCGCTGAAAATCCTGGAATTGCTGATTTTCAGATATTTTCAGCATTTTCACCAGTTTCAGCACAAAATTTCAGCCTGAAACATGTTGTTTTTCTACAGTAACCTGGTTGATCCATTTTTTCGGAATTTTTGGAACAGTTTTCTTCTAGACTCAAATTTTGCGCTGAAAATCCTGGAATCGCTGATTTTCAGATATTTTCAGCATTTTCACAGGTTTCAGCACAAAATTTCAGCCTAAAACATGTGGTTTTTCTACAGTAACCCGGTTGATCCATTTTTTCGGAACTTTTGGCACAATTTTGTTCTAGACTCAAATTTTGCGCTTAAAATCCTGGAATCGCTGATTTTCAGATATTTTCAGCATTTTCACAGGTTTCAGCACAAAATTTCAGCCTAAAACATGTGGTTTTTCTACAGTAACCCGGTTGATCCATTTTTTCGGAACTTTTGGCACAATTTTGTTCTAGACTCAAATTTTGCGCTTAAAATCCTGGAATCGCTGATTTTCAGATATTTTCAGCATTTTCACAGGTTTCAGCACAAAAAAAAAATTTGCCTCGACCCGGGATCGAACCCACGACCTTTTTTTTGACTAGACTGAAAGACGCGCGTGTTAACCACTCGGTCATCTTTTTTTGTTTTTGTTTTTTCCCCTCGAACAACAAAAATTAGTTTTTCAGTCTGAAACCCTATTTTTCCAGCCAAAAAAAAGCTTTTCTCATTTTTTGCAGGAAAAAAAGTCAAACTTTTTAAATTTATGCGCGATTTTTTCTTCATCTCAAGTGCACATATCTCATTTCATTTTTCTTTTTTTCTGGAAAAATCTTTTTTTTTTTCCAGAAAAAAAAATCTTTTTTTTGTATTTATTACTACTACATTTCCCCCTTTTTAGTCACTCAGCAGGTGATTTTTTTCATTTTTTTTTTCTCATTTTCATTCCAATTCGCTCCGAGTTCTGCTAACTCCCATGAAAAATGCCCAAAAAGACTTCTAGAATGTTCGCCATCGCGCAATCTTCAATTCTTCGCGATTCCCTTGCTGGAATTCTCGAACTTCCACCTGAACGGGTTTTTCGAGGAATATCAACCGCCACCGTATGTTGGACATTTTGTGGTTGGAATCGAGGATGTTCGAGATGGAAATTTGCGATTTGCTGTCAGATATTTTTTGAGTAATGTGAGTTTGCCGCTGATTTTTAGATATTTTCAGCATTTTCACCAGTTTCAGCACAAAATTTCAGCCTAAAACATGTTGTTTTTCTACAGTAACCCGGTTGATCCATTTTTTCGGAACTTTTGGCACAATTTTCTTCTAGACCCAAATTTTGAGCTGAAAATTGTGGAATTGCTGATTTTCAGAGATTTTCAGCATTTTCACAAGTTTCAGCTCAAAATTTCAGTCTAAAAACATGTTTCTCTGCGTCTCTCTCTCTCTCAGAAGCGAGACGACGAGAGTATTTCGTGGCGAGATATTTTCCAATAAACTGCGTGTTCCTTTAAACAACACTACGATTTGTGACGTCATCAGACTCTTGTTTCTCTGCGTCTCTATCTTTCTCTCTCCCTAATTTTGAAAGGCTGTGACGAAATTCAACGCAAAAATGAGAGATTTAGAGAAATCTATAGTTTGATCCATTTTTTTTTGAGTACTGTAAAAAATAAAAAAAAATTGAGCAACTTTTCGCCACGTCATAACTATATTTTTGATCTAGAAAATCCTGAAATCGCTGATTTTCAGATATTTTCAGCATTTTCACAGGTTTCAGCACAAAATTTCAGCCTAAACATGTTGTTTTCTACAGCTTTTTTGCCACGTCATAACTATATTTTTGATCTACCAGAAAAAAGTTTTGAAAAGAATTTGTGCAAAAAAAATTCTGATGAGAATTTTAAATTTTAAAAGTTCAAAGAATGCTCTGAAGTCACTAGGAACTAGGTAATTTCCTATGGAAAATCAAAAGGTCAAAAAAAGTTCCTAGAACTTTTTTTGTACTTCAAAATCAGAAGCATTTTTGCACCTGCAGATGTTTGGGCCTGATTTTAGATTCAGAAACATTTTTGAGCAAGATCTATGAGCTCAAAATCAAAATCAGATTTCAAAAAAAATTTAAAAAAAAAATGTTTTTTTCCAGGTCGAAAAATCGATATCACTCTTCATCGTCAAACGTGAATGGTCGGATCAAGACGAAAAATATGTGGATGATTTAGTCAAAACCGAATATCGTAGATCACATGATCTTAATCAATCAGCAATTGATCGTGTTAAGTTAGTAGATTTTCAGCATTTTCACAATTTTCAGCGAAAAATTTGAGTCTAGAAGAAAATTGTGCCAAAAGTTCCGAAAAAATGGATCAACCGGGTTACTGTAGAAAAATAACATGTTTTAGGCTGAAATTTTGTGCTGAAAATCATGGAATAGCTGATTTCCAGAAATTTTCAGCATTTTTACCAATTTCAGCACAAAATTTCAGTCTAAAAACATGTTTTTCTACTACAGTAATCTGGTTGATCCATTTTTCGGAACTTTTTGGAACAATTTTCTTCTAGAATCAAATTTTGTGCTGAAACTCGTGAAAATGCTGAAAATATCTGAAAATCAGCTATTCCAGAACTTTAAGCGAAAAATTTGAGTCTAGATGAAAATTGTGCCAAAAATTCCGAAAAAATGGATCAACCTGGTTACTGTAGAAAAAAACATGTTTTTGACTCAAATTTTGCGCTGAAAATCGTGGAATCGCTGATTTTCAGACATTTTCAGCATTTCCACCAGTTTCAGCACAAAATTTCAGTCAAAAACATGTTTTTCTACTACAGTAACCTGGTTGATCCATTTTTTTGGAATTTTTGGCACAATTTTCTTCTAGACCCAAATTTTGCGCTGAAAATCCTGAAATCAATAATTTTTCCAGCAAACTTCCCGATTCTGAATGGAAATCCGATCGTCTCGACCAATTAAATCAATGGCGAACAATTCCAGCCATCAACTACACATTCTTGATTCTCAATGATAATTTGAAATCACAAATTGAATCGCAAGCCAGAATCACACCAAGAACTGCGATTATTCAGGATTCAGATGAAAATTCAGATGAAGCTGGAGCTGGAGGAGATCAACAACTTTCAAACAAGCCTCCGGTTTTACACTGGACAATTGATCCTTTGGAAGGTGAAATCCAATTTATTGTTCAATTCCATTTTTCATTGGCTGGACCTGATGACGTCACTTTTCGAGATATTTGCAGGTTAGTTATCCTAACTTTTGAAAATTTTGAGACAGGCGTTCTCTTTACCAAAATTTTCGCAGCGGGAGAAAAGAGAGATGTGGCCGAGAGGTTAGCATTTTTGACTGGCGTGCATGAGACCAGGGTTCGAATCCTGGTGCCCGCGGAGTTTTTTGTTTTTTTTTTTAGTTATGACGTGGCAGGGTGAAAATTGCTGTAAATTAGCTATTCCACGATTTTCAGCGCAAAATTTGAGTCTAGAACAAAATTGTGCCAAAAGTTCCGAAAAAATGGATCAACTTGGGTTACTGTAGAAAAACAACATGTTTTAAGCTGAAATTTTGTGCTGAAACTGGTGAAAATCCTGAAAATATCTGAAAATCAGCGATTCCAGAATTTTCAGCGCAAAATTTGAGTCCAGTTCCAAAAATTTGGATCAACCGGGTTACTGTAGAAAAACAACATGTTTTAGGCTGAAATTTTGTGCTGAAAATGCTGGAAATGCTAAAAATATGTGAAAATCAGCGATTTCAGGATTTTCAGCGCAAAATTTGAGTCTTAATGTAAATTGTGCCAAAAGTTCCGAAAAAATGGATCAACTTGGGTTACTGTAGAAAAAAACCATGTTTTAGACTGAAATTTTGTGCTGAAACTTGTGAAAATGCTGAAAATTTCTGAAAATCAGCGATTCCACGATTTTCAGCTCAAAATTTCAGCCTAAAAACATGTTTTTCAACTACAGTAACCCGGTTGATCCATTTTTTTGGAACTTTTTTTCATCTAGACTCAAATTTTGTGCTGAAAAAGGCTGAAATGCTGAAAATTTCTGAAAATCAGTAACTGCCACGTCATAACTATATTTAGGAGCCTTAAAATGTTGAAAAATATTGAAATTTGGTGTCTAAAAATGGGAAATTTCGAGGAGAATCCCAGAAAAAAAAAAAAAAATTTTTTTTTTGCAGATCTCTAAAACCACACGTGGAAAGTGCCTACGAATGGACCGATGGCATTCTTCTAACCAGTGATCCAGTTCGATTGCATGTTCAAAGATATTCGGATACTGTAATTGAATATGCTGCCAGAATTTGTGTTGATGAGCTGGAAGGAGATGAAGCTGATAAACCAATGAGATTTGTATGGCCATATTTGGCAGTTGCATTGAAACAAACTATACAATCACTTGATGAACATCCACATATTCAATATTCCGTGAGTTTTCAGCATTTTTCAGCGTTTTCAGCGTTTTCAGCGCAAAATTTCAGCCTAAAAACATTTTGATCCATTTTTTCGGAATTTTTGGCACAATTTTCTACAGTATCTCAAATTTCGCGCTGAAAATCCTGGAATCGCTGATTTTCAGATATTTTCAGCATTTTCACCAATTTCAGCACAAAATTTCAGCCTAAAAATATGTTTTTTTTTCTACAGTTTTCTACCCGGTTGATCCATTTTTTCGGAACTTTTGGCACAATTTTCATCTAGTCCCAAATTTTGCGCTGAAAATCCTGGAATTGCTGATTTTCAGATATTTTCGTTTCAGCACAAAATTTCAGCCTAAAACAAAAAAATGTTCATTTTCTACAGTAACCTGGTTGATCCATTTTTTCGGAACTTTTTGGCACAATTTTCATCTAGTCCCAAATTTTGCGCTGAAAATCCTGGAATTGCTGATTTTCAGATATTTTCAGCATTTTCACTAGTTTCAGCACAAAATTTCAGCCTAAAACAAAAAAATGTTCATTTTCTACAGTAACCTGGTTGATCCATTTTTTCGGAATTTTGGCACAATTTTCATCTAGACTCAAATTTTGCCCTGAAAATCCTGGAATTATTGATTTTCAGATATTTTCAGCATTTTCACAAGTTTCAGCACAAAATTTCAGTCTAAAACATGTTTTTTTTCTACAGTAACCTGGTTGATCCATTTTTTCGGAATTTTTGGCACAATTTTCTTCTAGACCCAAATTTTGCGCTGAAAATTCTGGAATTTTCAGATTTCCTTCGTTCCTTATGGTTCAATCTTCTTCTCATCTCCTTCAATCGAAGCTCGCGTCTTCGATTCCACAGTCTTTTGTGCAACCGCTCTCAAATACCAAAAAGTCGGTTTCAAAATCGGCGAAATTGTGCATCACGTGGATTTGGAGCAAATTTTTCCCGATGGAATTTATCCATCAATCGGCCGACTTTTGACAATGCAACCGCCTTCGCCAAAATTCTCGCGACCTGAATCGGTGGCTGAAAATCTTCCAGCACCACCTCCGATTTCTTCCGATTCGACGCCTGGCGGCCTTTCGGTTTCGCATAATCGAGGAAGACGAGTTTCTTTTGGTAGGCCCTTTGAAAATGCTCAAAATCAATTTTTTTTTGGAAAAAATTCATGTGGCCTAACTTTTTCAGGTGGCCGAGAAATGTTGGGAACTCGGCCAATGCAACAAAATCGCTCCAATGTTTCGAAAATCTTTATTTATTGGGGCGTGGCCGAATTCCCGATATTTCTAGGCCACCCAAATATTCGGCCACATATATTTCGTAAATTTCAGAAAAAATACGTGGCCTAACTTTTTTGGGTGGCCGAGAAATGTCGGGAACTCGGCCACGCCTTCAAAAATAATGATTTTCGTGACATTAGAGCGATTTTGTTGCTCTGGCCGAGTTCCCGACATTTCTAGGCCACCAAAAAATTCGGCCACGTATATCTTCTGAAACTAGAGTCTAGTTTCATTTTGTGAAGCTTCAAATTCAGAATTTTGTGGTTTTTTAATGGAAATTTCACAGTATTTAGCATTTGAAGCTTCACAAAATGAAACTAGACTCTAGTTTGAGAAGAAATATACGTGGCCGAACTATTTTGGGGCCGAAAAATGTCAAGAATTCGGCCAAGGCAATAAAATCGCTCTAATGTTTAGAAAATCATAATTTTTGGGGGCGTGGCCGAATTCCCAGACATATGTCGGCCGAACTTTTTCAGGTGGCCTAGAAAGAATTCGGCCACGCTCATTTTTAGCCATTTTCATCCAAAATTCGAGCATTTTTCAAATTTTTTTTTTCATCGAAAAAAAAATAGCGTGCTCAATAAATCTTTCAGGAACCATCAAATTAATGTCCGACGCTCCAGCAACAACTCCAGAAATTCCGATTCTTCAAGAAAATGGCACTGGAACTGATAAAAAAGAGACGACTGTGGGCGGGTTTATTGATAATATGGTCCAACAGGCAATGGATCAATTAGCCGTGTAATTAATTAATTAATTAATTAATTATCTTAAATTATCGATTTTTCCTCTTTATTTATATGATGCCAATTTTCTCTTTTTTCTTCAAAAAAGTTTATAAATAACAAAAATGTTCAACAAATAATAAAATGAAAATAAATAATTTTTTAACAATTTGTATTTTGCGCTTCCATTTTCAGTTTTTTCATCTGAAAAATTTTTGAGATGTAAATTTTCGAATTTTTAAAAGAAAATTCGGAATTTTTAAAGCATTGCTCATGTTAATTTTCGAATTTTTAAAAGAAAATCCGAATTTTTAAATCATTGCTCATGTTAATTTTTGAATTTTTGAGAAAAAAAGCATTGCTCATGTTAATTTCCAAATTTTTAAAAGAAAATCCGAATTTTCAAAGCATTGCTCATGTTAATTTTTGGAATTTTCACAAAAAAAAGCATTGCTCATGTTAATTTTCGAATTTTAAAAGAAAATCCGAATTTTTAAAGCATTGCTCATGTTAATTTTCGAATTTTTAAAAGAAATTCCGAATTTTTAAAGCATTGCTCATGTTAATTTTTGGAATTTTCACAAAAAAAGCATTGCTCATGTTAATTTTCGAATTTTAAAAGAAAATCCGAATTTTTAAAGCATTGCTCATGTTAATTTTTCAATTTTTAAAAGAAAATCCGAATTTTTAAGGCATTGCTCATGTTAATTTTCGAATTTTTAAAAGAAAATTCGGAATTTTTAAAGCATTGCTCATGTTAATTTTCGAATTTTTAAAAGAAAATCCGATTTTTTAGCATTGCTCATGTTTTTGAATTTTCACAAAAAAAAGCATTGCTCATGTTAATTTTCGAATTTTTAAAAGAAAGTCGGGATTTAAAAAAATCCTAATTAAAAAAATCCGATTTTTTAAAGCATTGCATTGCTCATGTTAATTTTTGGAATTTTCACAAAAAAAAAGCATTGCTCATGTTAATTTTTCAAATTTTTAAAAGAAAATCGGAATTTTTAAGGCATTGCTCATGTTAATTTTCAATTTTTGAAAAAAAAACCCACCAATTCATTGGCATCTTTCGTCGCTTTCAACAATCCATTATATTGCAAATGTGTCATTCGAACTTCGATTGGTGGCTTTTTTTCTTCGGCTTCCGACAATTTCATCGAGCAAATGTCGCCGTTTTCGGTTCCACGACTTTCGGATTGAAGGAGAAGGTTTTTTGGGTTTCCTGCAAGCATTGCTCATGTTAGTTTTTGAGAAAATTCAATTTTTCACGGATTTTGGGGTAATTTTCTTTTAAAAAATCTGACTTCTTCAAATTTTTGTTGAAAAATAAAATTGCTCATGTTAATTTCCGCATTTTTAAAATGAAAATCAGAATTTTCACGAAAAAAAGCATTGCTCATGTTAGATTTCGAGATTTTGATAGAAATCGGAAATTTCCAAGCATTACTCATGTTAATTTTCGCATTTTTCGAAGGAAAATCAGAATTTTTGAGGAAAAAAACATTGCTCATGTTAATTATTTTGAAAATTCAATTTTTCACGAATTTTGGGTTAATTTTCATAAAAAAAACCTGATTTTTTCGAATTTTTGAAAAAAAAATCGAAATTTAAATTGCTCATATCAATTTCCGCCGCATTTTTGAAAGGAAAATCCGGATTTTCAAAGCATTGCTCATGTTAATTTTTGAGAAAAATTGGAATTTTCACGAAAAAAAAACAATGCTCATGTTAATTAATTTGAAAATTCAATTTTTCACGAGATTTTGATTCATTTTTCTTCAGAAAAATTTGAATTTTTTGAATTTTTGTTGAAAAATAGAATTGCTGAGGTTAATTTCCGCATTTTTTGAAGGAAAATCAGAATTTTTTAGAAAAATAACATTGCTCATGTTAGTTTTCGAGAAAATTCGATTTTTTTTTACGAATTTTGGGTCAATTTTCTTCAAAAAATCTGACTTCTTCAAATTTTTATTGAAGAATAGAATTGCTCATGTTAAATTCCGCATTTTTAAAGGAAAATCGGATTTTTCACGAAAAATAGCATTGCTCATGTTAATTTTCGCATTTTTTTGAAGGAAAATCAGAATTTTTGAAGCATTGCTCATGTTAATTTCAAAATTTCCGAGCTTTTATTGGTTCTGAAATTTGAAAAATTGAAGCAACGCTTGAATCACAAATTTTAAAATCCCTACAAAATTCAAATAAATTTGAAACCTATATTTTCAGGGTGTTCAAATGGCGGTGATTTTTTCTCCAAAAAAAAGGTAAAAAAAGGTTTTTTGGGTTTCCTGCAAGCATTGCTCATGTTAATTATTTTAAAAATTCGGTTTTTCACAAGTTTTGGGTCAATTTTCTTTTAAAAAATCTGACTTCTTCAAATTTTTGTTGAAAAATAGCTATGTTAGTTTCAATTTTCGAATTTTTGAGAAAAATTAGTATTTCCACGGAAAAAAAGCATTGCTCATGTCAATTTTCAAATTTTTAAAAGGAAAATCAGAATTTTTGAGGAAAAAACATTGCTCATGTTAAATATTTTGAAAATTCGATTTTTTTTACGAATTTTAGGTCAATTTTCTTCAAAAAATCTGAATTGTTTGAATTTTTGTTCAAAATTAGCTTTGCTCATATTAATTTTCGCATTTTCTAAAGGAAAATCGGAAATTTCACGAAAAAAAAGCATTGCTCAGTTAATTATTTTGAAAATTCAAATTTTCACATGTTTTGGGTCAATTTTCTTTTAAAGAATCTGACTTCTTCAAATTTTTGTTGAAATTGCCCATGTTAATTTTCGCATTTTTTGAAGGAAAATCAGAATTTTTGAGCATTGCTCATGTTAATTTCAAAATTTCCGAGCTTTTATTGGTTCTGAAATTTCAAAAATTGAAGCAACGCTTGAATCACAAATTTTAAAATCCCTACAAAATTCAAATAAATTTGAAACCTATATTTTCAGGGTTTTCAAATGGCGGTGATTTTTTTCTCCAAAAAAAAGGTAAAAAAAGGTTTTTTGGGTTTCCTGCAAGCATTGCTCATGTTAATTATTTTAAAAATTCGATTTTTCACAAGTTTTGGGTCAATTTTCTTTTAAAAAATCTGACTTCTTCAAATTTTTGTTGAAAAATAGCTATGTTAGTTTCAATTTTCGAATTTTTGAGAAAAATTAGTATTTCCACGGAAAAAAAGCATTGCTCATGTCAATTTTCAAATTTTTTAAAGGAAAATCAGAATTTTTGAGGAAAAAACATTGCTCATGTTAATTATTTTGAAAATTCAATTTTTTTCACGAGATTTTGGGTCAATTTTCTTTTAAAGAATCTGACTTCTTCAAATTTTTGTTAAAAATTAGCTTTGCTCATATTAATTTTCGCACTTTTTCGAGAAAAATCGGAATTTTTTACGGAAGAAACATTGCTCATATTAATTTCAAAATTTCCGAGCTAAAAATCTTCTGGAATTCAAAAATCAATGAATTTTTCCAGAAAAATTTCAGATTTTCGAACTTTTAGAGCCCAGAACTTGGCTCAGAAGCTTTCAATTTTCAAAAATCCCTCAAAAATCCCAACCTTACCTGACACAAATTTTCTTGCTTCATTACTCGCCACACCCCACAACATTGACAAATTCATCACATCAATCGGTGCTCGCAAATCCATCATTAATTTCAGCTCCACTCGAAATAATGATACACTTCGATTTCAGAGATCTCAATAATACCCGTCCATTGAACAACGCCTGGAAATTTGAGAATCAATGAATGAATGTTTTTGTGCGCGCGCGCGGTCGCGTTGCGGTCGAAAATCTTGTTTTCCACAAAAAATGACCAATTTTTATGAAAAGGGCTAATTCACAAAAAAAAATATGTTTTTTTTTAACATCGAAAGATCAAAAATCAAAAAATTCACGAAAAGTCAAAAAATTCACGAAAAGTCAAAAAATTCACGAAAAGTCAAAAAATTCACGAAAAGTCAAAAAATTCACGAAAAGTCAAAAATTACACGAAAAGACAAAAAATTCACGAAAAGTGAAAAAATGTCGAAAAAAAAACATTGTAGGTCAAAATTAGTTTTTCAAGGTTTTTCAGCCAAAAATGATGACAAATCGATATTTTTCAAGCTTCTAGAGTAATTTCTGATGAAAATTGACCTTGGAATTCATTTTCCAGAAGGTTTTGCTGATTTTTCGTGAAATAAAAAAAATTTTAACCTTATTTTCATCAGAAATTACTCCAGAAGCTTGGAAAAATATTGATTTGTCATCATTTTTGGCTGAAAACCTTGAAAAACTAATTTTGACCTACAATGTTTTTTCGACATTTTTTGACTTTTCGTGAATTTTTTGACTTTTCGTGAATTTTTTGTCTTTTCGTGAATTTTTTGACTTTTCTTGAAATTTTTTGACTTTTCTTGAATTTTTTGAATTTTTGTGAATTTTTTGAATTTTCGTGAATTTTTTGACTTTTTTGTGAATTTTTTGACTTTTTGTGAATTTTGTGAATTTTTGTGAATTTTTTGACTTTTCGTGACATTTTTTTTCGACCGCATCGCGACCGCGCGCGCACACAAAAACATTCAAAATACCGTTTTTCGTGTGGCTGAGATCAAACACTCAGCATAGGAAATTTCATAAAATATTCCATCATTTCTCATTCGATCCAATACTTTTGAAAATGTCAACCATTTTCCCTGAAAAAAATGTTATTTTTTTCTGAATTCAAAAAAAAAAGTTAGCCAAACTCACTCTATCAGCTTCTAATCTGTCGATTGTGATGATATCGAAAAGTTCGGTTTTTCTTGATAAAGTTTCGAGAACTGATGGATCGCCGGGTCGAACAGCGATTAGATCGTAGGACTGGAAAAAATTTGGAAATTTTGAATTTTTTTTTGAAATTCAGTAGAGAAAATCGGATAATTTTGTGAAATTTGATCAGAAATTTTGAAAAGTTTCAGGATTTTGGAAATTCTAGAATCAAAAAGTGAAACTTCGAGTTTCGAAAAAAATGCCACGTGGATTTCCAGCAGTAAAATTTTTAGATTCAGAAAATTTTGCCACGTGGATTTTCAGCTCAAAAATTCTAAGATTCTGAAATTCTGAAGCCACGTGGATTTTCAGCTTGAAAATTCTAACATTCTGAAATTCTGAAGCCACGTGGATTTTCAGCAATAAAATTTCGAGATTCTGAAAATCTGAAGCCACGTGGATTTCCAGCAATGAAAATTCGAGATTTAGAGAAATTCTGAATCCACGTGGCTTTTCCAGCTGAAAAAAAATCGCATTCTGAAAATTTGAAGCCACGTGGATTTCTAGCGATAAAATTTTCAGATTCAAAAAAATTTACCACGTGGATTTTCCAGAACTGAAAAATTCTAGTCTCAAAACTTTTGCCACGTGGATTTTCCAGCAACGAAAATTTCAGATTTATAAAATTCTGCCACGTGGATTTTCAGGGGCTCAAAAATTTTAATATTCTGAAATTCTGGAGCCACGTGGATTTTCAGCAATGAAATAATTCGAGTTCTGAAATTTTGTCACGTGGATTTTCAGCATTAAAATTCTAAGATTCAAAAAATTCTGGAAGCCGCGTGGATTTTCAGCTGAAAAATTTCGATTTTAAATATTTTGCCACGTGGATTTTCCAGCAATAAAAAATTCTAGATCTGAAAATTTTTAAGCCACGTGGATTTCCAGCAGTGAAAATTCTAAGTTCTGAAATTTTGAAGCCACGTGGATTTTCAGCATTAAAAATCTAAGATTCTGAAATTCTGAAGCCACGTGGATTTCCAGCTCAAAAATTCTAGATCTGAAAATTTTGCCACGTGGATGGATTTCTAGCGATAAAATTTTCAGATTCAGAAAATTCTGAAGCCACGTGGCTTTTCAGCTGAAAAAAACACAAATTTGAGCTGAAAAACTAGTTTTCTGCCAAAAATCCATGAAATTTTGTGCTAAACCTAAATTTTCCAATTTTCTCGACCCAAAAATCAAAGTTTTTCAATTCTGGACCCAAATTTCGATAAAATTATCATGAATTCGGCTCGAAAAAGCATTTTGAAGCGAAAAAAACACAAAAAATGCAAATTTTTCGGTTTCAGAATGTTTTGATTTTCAGCCGTTCAAAAATTCTTTTAGATTTGAAGCCACGTGGCTTTTGAGCCCCAAAAAAACCCACCAAAACCGTTGGATGAATAAAAGTCTTATTCAAAACAATCTGTTCATTAGCTGTCATTGTAATCCGACTAAATTGTCTAAAAATCTTTCCCCTTTTCGTCAATTCCTCCAAATCCAATTCCTCCGTATTCACATAAAATGGAAGCGGTATAAGCTTTTTTCGAAGTAATCCAGCCAAACCATCTTCAACTTGTTTTTGTTGCTTTTTCTTTTTTTTCGGTGGTTCAATCAAAGTTTCTTCAGTGGTTCCAGGTGTCCATAACATATCAGCTTCTGTATAATATTCCGAAATATCTCCTACATCAATATTTATCGCAACTGTATCGTAACCCATTTTAATCGCACGTTTTACCATGTTCAGAGTTCTGAAAGGTTGAAATTTTAAAAATTCCATGTATTTCATGAGTTACGCTAACTTTTCGATGCATTTTCAATGATTTTCCAGCCTGAAAAACTTCAATTTTTTCAATCGACAAACAATTTTAAAACGAAAATTTTGCATTTTTTGTATTTCAAAATGGTTTTTTATCGAAAAATTGAAGTTTTTACCTAGAAAATTTGGTCCAGCAACTGAAAAACTTTGATTTTTGGGTCCAGAAAATCGAAAAAATTAGGTTTAGCACAAAATTTCATGGATTTTTGGCAGAAAACTAGTTTTTCAGCTCAAATTCTCATTTTCAGCTCAAATTTTGACTAAAAAATTTGAATTTTCAAATATTTTTCGCGAAGAAAAAAACATTTTTGAAAAATTCTAATTTCCTAGTCAAATTTTGTGCTGAAAATGAGAATTTCAGCTGAAAACCAGTTTTCTGCCAAAAATCCATGAAATTTTGTGCTAAACCTAATTTTTCCGATTTTCTGGACCCAAAAATCAAAGTTTTTCAGTTGCTGGACCAAATTTTCTAGTTAAAAACTTCAATTTTTCGATAAAAAAGCATTTTGAAGCGGAAAAAACACAAAAAACACAAATTTTTCGGTTTCAGAATGTTTATTGGTTGGTAAATTGAAGTTTTTAGCTAGAAACTATCGATTTTTTATCGAGGATTTCGTCGATTTTTTTAGGAAAAAACATCGAAAAGTTAGCGTAACTCATGAAGAAGAACCTACGTTTCTTTATCAACATGTTTAATATTCAAATCAGCATATTGAAAAGTGGATTCTGGTGTCATTGGAGTAAATTCCATATGCTTCTTCTTCTTAGAACTTGTTGAACTACTACTTGTTTCCTCTGCCATGTTTTTTTCTGCAAATTTGATCATTGAGGCCTTTTGCCAAACCATGTTTACAATACAATACAAGTCACAATTGTCGGTAAAAAGTTAAAAATAGCTCGAGTTCGGATAAGTTCAAATAAAGTGTGTGTTTTGTTGTGAGCTGAAGATGGTTCTGAACTTTTGAGAGCCAAAATTTTCAGGTGGTGGGAGCTTGACCAATTTTTGCACCAATTCGTTTTTTGGTCAAAAATTGACCAAAATTCGGTCGAATCGTGAATTTTGGTCAATTTTTGGCCAAATTCTGACCATTTTTTGACCAAAATCTGGCCAAAACAGTGATTTGATCAAAAATTGGCCAAAATTTGACTAAAAAGTTTTTTGGCCAAAAATGCACCAATTTTTCAACTTTCTCCTGTGTTAATGACATTTTCAGGTTTTTTAAGCAAATGAGTTGAAATATTGGGTTCTAATGTTATTCATATGATAGAATGGTCTAAGACGAACAGAATGATATAAATTTTGATGACTTTAGGTTATCCTTAAGTGATTTAGCGACCTTATCGACTAAAAGTCACTAAATCACTTAAGGACAACCTAAAGTCATCAAAATTTATATCATTCTGTTCGTCTTAGACCATTCTATCATATGAATAACATTAGAATCCAATATTTCAACTCATTTGCTTGAAAAACCTTCAAAAAATGTCATTTAGTCGATGGAACCCTTTTTTGGAAAGGGAAATGTAACATTTTATTAGAAAAAAAAACATTTTTATTTACTTTTCGAGCAAAACATTTAATAATACTCACGACATGATTCAAAAGAAGTTTTTGATTTTTTTTTATTTTTTTTGCCACGTCATAGCTATAGACTTCTAGAGGAACACTATTTAGGATGAAAAATATTTGTTTTAAAAAAAATTTTATTTTTCGTCACGTCATAGCTTAGTTTCTGTGTAACAGAAAAAAATACGTTTCAAAAAAATATTGAAATAATTCTGCTCTTGAGAAATTTCAATTACGATAATTTCGCAAATCTCAAAACCAAAATTGCCAAGTAGCTCAGTTGCAGTGGTGTCTGCTAGCAATCTCAGGGTCACGGGTTCGATTCCCACTGCCCGCTTCTCTTGGTACAGCATTTTTTTAGTTTAGTTTTTTTAAAGCCCTTGAGTTGGGCTAATTTTTCAAAATTGCCACAAAAATCAAAAAATCACAGATTGTATGTTCATTTCATTTTCACTTGTTCTCAGCTAAATGCAAACATTTGTTCTTTTCTTCTTCAAAAGTAGTAATTCCCGCCCGCCTCCCGAACTTTTTCACCCGCCCTATATAAATTTCGAACCGCTAGATTCGTTTTCATACGAAAAATGTTCTCGACGATGACGAAACCAACGATTCTTATTATTCTTTTTTTATCGATTATTGTAGAAATTTCAGCGAAAAGCAGATTTTCTAGAGATATTGTAAGTTTTTCGTTTTTTAACGTTAAAAAACCCGAAAACAGTGATTCACGATCGGTATTTTTATTCATTTTTTCACCATTTTCTCAACAAAAGTGAAGGTAAAACGCAATTTTAGTGTTTAGAAATGATATTTCAAGCGGGTGAAAAGAAAAAGTTGCTTTTAAATGAAAGAGCATGTATTTTTATCCATTTTTGCCTTTTACACCATATCTCTAAATATCTTGAAATCTGTTTATGTAACAAAAAAATTGGGAGAAAATTATGAGCTGCGGATTTATTGTATTTTCATGAATTAACTTCAAATTTGGTTTTTGGCTGAAATTTGCAGTTAATTCATGAAAATACAATAAATCCGCTGATTTGCGAGCTCATAATTTTCTCCCAATTTTTTTGTTACATAAACAGATTTCAAGATATTTAGAGATATGGTGTAAAATGCAAAAATGGATAAAAAGACATGCTCTTTCATTTAAAATCAACTTTTTCTTTCCCCCGCTTGAAATAGCATTTCTGGACACTAAAATGCGAGCCAAAATTCAAGAAAAATGGCTGAAATTTGCTCAAAAACCAATTTTAGACATGAAAATTGAGCTCCGGACGAAATTTCTGATTTATCAAGTGAAAAATGAGCTCTAGATCAAATTTTCAGGGCTCAAAAACCACTAAATCTTTCAATTTCGCTTCAATTCTGCCAGAAGCGTACGAAATTCCACGCAAAATTGAGAGATTTAGGCTGAAAATTGGATCTAGAGCTCTTTTTTGACTTCTAGAGCTTGATAAATCAGAAATTTCGTCCGGAGCTCAATTTTCACGTCTGAAATTGGCTTTTGAGCAAATTCCGGTCATTTTTCTTGAATTTTAGTTCAAAATTCACCTGATACATTAATTTACTGTTCAATAACAGAATTCGAGTCATCCGCAGTGTCAAAAAGTAGCGGTTCTGTGTCATTTTGTGAGCCTTTGGTTTCGAGAGGCCGTGTTAGGAAAATGGTGAAAAATGAATAAAAATACCATTCGTGATTCACTTTTTTGATTTTTTCAACCTTTTTTTTATTTCGTCACTAATCATTTTTCTCATTTTTCTATACAAACAACTCGAACTTTTATAAAAATGACGAAATGGTAAGTATTTTGCAGAACTCGGGTTCGATGTTGATAAAACGTGAATTTCGAATTCGCAAATTGCAGACCGAAGCTTCTGGAAGTGAAGGATCAGGAATCGAAAGTTCTGGAGAAGGATCTGGTCTTTCATTTATTCATTTCGAAACCGAAGGATCACAAAATGACACAGAACCGCTACTTTTTGACAGTGCGGGTGATTCGAACAATGTTATTGAACAGGAAATTAATGTAGCAGGTGAATTTTGAGCCAAAATTCAAGAAAAATGACTGGAATTTGCTCAAAAGCCAATTTCAGACGTGAAAATTGAGCTCCCGGCGAAATTTCTGATTTATCAAGTGAAAAATGAGCTCTAGATCCAAATTTCAGCGCTCAAAAATCACTAAATCTTTCAATTTCGCGTGGAATTTCGTACACTTCTGGAAGAGTGGTTTTTGAGGCCTGAAAATTTGATCTAGAGCTCATTTTTCACTTGATAAATCAGAAATTGCGCCGGGAGCTCAATTTTCATATCTGAAATTGGCTTTTGAGCAAATTCCAGCCATTTTTCTTGAATTTTGACTCAAAATTTGCGACGAAATTCAACACAAAATCAGAGATTTAGAACATTTTCATATTTTTAGAGCAACACAATTGAAATATTGAATTTTAACCCTATTTATAGGATAGAACGGTCTATGGACATCGACTAAATGATATTTTCAGGATTTTTAAGCAAATGAGTTGAAATATTGGGTTTTAATGTTATTCATATGATAGAATGGTCTAAGACGAACAGAATGATATAAATTTTGATGATTTTAGGTTATCCTTAAGTGATTTAGCGACGTTTAGTCGATAAGGTCGCTCAATCACTTAAGGTTAACCTAAATTCATCAAAATTTATATCATTCTGTTCGTCTTAGATCATTCTATCATATGAATAACATTAAAACCCAATATTTCAACTCATTTGCTTAAAAAACCTGAAAATTTCATTTAGTCGATGTACAGCTATAATTTCCTCCTATAAATACGGTTAAAATTCGATATTTCAATTCTGTTGCTCTAAAAATATGAAAATTTCATTTTTTTTTCCTACAAAACCAATTTTTTTTCAAAATTTCTAGATTCCGAAGCCGACACTCTTCTAATCAAAGTTCATCTCCCATCCAGAAATGTCAATACATTAATGAATGATCTTGAGGAACACGCGACAAACGAAACAAATTTGAATACAAAATTGGAAATGGCTGTTTCGCTCACCGAAATGTTGAATGGTTTATTGGAACGAATCCAAGGCTCTTCAACAACTCAACAATAATTAAAAATCCCCCAAAAAATAGAAAATCTTGCCATAAAAATATATTCAATGGTTCAAATAAACCCGTTCAAAAACCGATTTTTTTCTTCTAATGTAAAAAAATTCTATTTATGAACAAAAAACAAAACACAAAAAATTACGAGGTGACTTGTCCTGGATGTTTATCCGATCGATTTTTCCTCACTAAAAACTTCATTTTTCGATTCATATCTTCGTTGAAAATCGCAGTCGATGCTTCCATCGAAAGTGCTTTTCGTTGCATGTATGGTTTTTGATAGAATTGTGTTCGTCGGATGATTTTCAGCATTCCTTCATTGTCCATTAATCTGGAAATGTTTCTTTTAGGAAGAAAACATGCAGTTTTCACGTTAAAAACCCGAAAAAGTGATTCACAAACGGTATTTCTGTTCATTTTTTCACCATTTTCTCAACACAAGTGAAGGTAAAACGCAATTTTAGTGTGCAGAAATGCTGGGGGAAAAAGAAAAAGTTGGTTTTAAATGAAGAGCATGTATTTTTATCCATTTTTGCCTTTTACACCATATCTCTAAATATCTTGAAATCTGTTTATGTAACAAAAAAATTGGGAGAAAGTTATGAGCTCGCAAATCAGCGGATTTATTGTATTTTCATGAATTAACTTCAAATTCAGCCAAAAACCAAAATTTGAAGTGAATTCATGAAAATACAATAAATGCGGTGATTTGCGAGCTCATAACTTTCTCTCAATTTTTTTGTTACATAAACAGATTTCAAGATATTTAGAGATATGGTGTAAAAGGCAAAAATGGATAAAAATACATGCTTTTTCATTTAAAACCAACGTTTTCTATTCCCCCAGCATTTCTAAACACTAAAATTGGGTTTTACCTTCACTTGTGTTGAGAAAATGGTAAAAAAATGAATAAAAATAACATTTTCGGGGTTTTTAACGTCAAAAAAACGTGACCTAATTTATTTTTCTTTTCATTAATGTTCAGTTCAAGCTCATTTCGAGAATTCCTACCTATTCAATAACCCGAAGGCTCCATCAACATCATTATTTTGAACTAAAACAGTTCTTGTGGCAAATCTTGGGTGAGCATTCCAAATTCCTTTAAAAAGCCGAACTGCAAATGGCTGTGCTAATGTGCCTCGCCAATTCCATTGTCTGACCATCTTCAACTGAATTTAGAATAACTTCTGGAGCGCTAAAATCTAGTATTATAGGTTGAGAAACCATTCTGTTCACAACAAAAACAATGAAAAAAGATATTATGAAATCGAATAAGTTTATTTCTTCGGCATTCGCACAGATTCTACATATTTATCTCATTTGAAGCATAATCGAAATCTACTTTGCGGCGCGAGCAGCGGCACGGGCGTCGATTTCTTCTTGAACTTCTGGAGCCAATGCGTTGTCTGGTCTTGGGCGGAGACTGTCGAGACGGAAAAGAACCCAGGTTGGGTAGGACATGAAGGCGACGCAGATCAAGCTGTAGAGTCCAATCTGAAATAGGATTTTCAGTTAGGAGACTTAAGAGAAAATGTGATTATGAACTACTAACCTTTTCTCCGACTGAGGTGAATCTGAGTGGTGGTGTTGAGTCAACTCCCTTTGTGGAGGGAACGACGGAGAACTTGTTGTCCACGGGCCAATGAGAGAATTGCGCGGTTCATTCTGAAAATTGAGGTTTTTTAGTTAACGAATGAGCATAAGAACAGAAAAAAACGTTAAAAACTAGTTTTCAAAGTTTTTGAGAGCTCAGAACTTTTCTAACATATTAGAAAGCTTAAATATACATTTCCAGAAACAATAAATTCAATAAAAACCATGAAAAAAGCTCTAAAACTGTCTGAAAACTGAAAAAAAGCGAAAAACAATGGAAGAAAATGAGAGAGGACAGGCGGTGAGAGAATAAAGGCGCAGAGGTGCGTAACAGAAAATGTGTTGATCGGTGTGAGACCCATGGCATTGGCACACAGCCAATGTTGAAATACGAAGTTTATTTTTTTTTCGTTTTTTCACGTTTTCTTGTTTTGACCGGGGAATTCTTGTTTTATCATGAGTTTTGAAGAAGCACAGTTGTAGTTTTTGTAAAGTTTATTGTTGTGATTCACTTGAACAACATCACATAAGTGTTGTACTCTGAATTTTCTTGGTTTATCGTTTCAAAGTTAATCAATGATTCTCATTCATTTTTCAGCCTGAATTCCGCTCAAATATCGATTAGTTTTATGTCAAAGAATGGAATCCAGCGTTCCTCAGCTCTCAAGTTCATCTGAACATGTTTTCGCCGAAGAAAAATTAGAAATTCAATCAGGAATCAACTCAGTAGCCCAAGAAGTGCAATTTTCACAGTCTGAACAGGTAAGTTTTTGAGTTTTTTGGGTAAAAAAGTACGAATTTCTTCAGGTCGCCACCCAATCTACCTCAAATATCCCACAAGTTTCTCCAGCGCAAATTTCTCAGGGAAATGTGAGTTTTTCTAGAAATTTTGATGAATTTTCCCTAGAAAATCATTATTTTTCATGATTTTCTCACAAAATAGATTGTTTTTGTCGGAAATCCAATTTTCTCTGATTGTCTGGCTGAGCCAGTATAAAAACTATGTTTTTGTACAGTTTTTCACGCTGAGAGCACAAAAATAAGCCAAAATGGCCATAACTCATGTTAGAGAAGATTTTATCAAAAATTGAATACAGGGTGATGTTCAGGAGGGTTGATTTGATCAATTTTACTAAATCGACCCTTCTGAACATCACCCTGGGTTTATTTTTTGATAAAATCTTCTCTAACATGAGTAATGGGCTCTGGAAATCGCGAATTTTGGCTCATTTTTGTGCTCTCCACAGAGTCGCGCAGTACAAGCTGAAAATAGGATCTTTTCCAGCGTGAAAAACTGTACAGAAAAGCGCTCCACCGAAATAAACACGCAACGCAGACCGCGTCGCGCCACAACACAAGGGAACGATTCAAATTCCCTCCCTTTTTTGTGTGTATTGTGGCGCGGCGCGGTCTGCGTCGCGTGTTTATTTCGGTGGAGCGCGTTGGCAATTCCCACTGCCCGCTTCTCAGATTTTTTTTAGTTTTCAAAAAAACTTTGATTTTTGGAAAATTTGCCTAATTTTGTCTCTAAAGCTCTAAGAAAGCTGTGACGTCACAATTTTTCTTCCCCAGAGCAAAAAAAAATTTTTTTCGACATTTTTTCAAAGAATTTTTCGAAATTTCACGGAAATAACAGGATATTTCTAATTGGCTTGGGTTTTTCCTAATTTTTTCCAAATTTTTCCCCAGAAATCTTCAATTTTTCGCTGAAAACAAGCCCATAAATTCGGAATTTTGTTGTGTTTTTTGCACTTTTTTTGACCAAACAACTGCCCTTTTTGTTATGACGATTTTCGCGTTTTTTTCCAGCAACTGCCACGTTTTCCACAAAATCTCAATGATCCACGTATCAATATTCATTTGCCAACAGCGGTGAGATTTTTTTTTTGAAAAAAATTGAAAAAAATTCATTTTTGTGTGGAAAAAACTATATTTTTTCCTATTTTTTGGCACAATTTTTCTCATTTTTGTGTGGAAAAAATGTCAAAAATAGGAAATTGAATTTTTTTTTGTCAAAAAAAAATTCTGAATTGCTCATTCGGATTAAAAATTAATTTATTCTTAAAGTCATTCATCAGAGATTATGTTTATTTTTGAAACAACTGACGTTTTTCTTCAAAACCTCAATTTTTTTTCCAGAGACCCCCGTCAGTTTCAAAAGATCCCTTCCTTCTTTTGGCCGAAGAAAATGCGAGAATTATTATTGCAAAAGAAGCGGAAAGAATTCGATTGAAAGAAAAAAGCTGCCACGTTAGAGCCGTTGGAAATTAATACCAAGTTGGATTATGATGTGAGTTTTGTTGAAATTTTCAAAAAAAATTGAGATTTTCACGTGGCAAATTTTTCAAAAAAATTGAGATTTTCATGAAATTTTCAGCCTGATTTCATCGGAAAAGCTGAAAATTCACTATTTTTAACGATTTTCCAACAAAATTCTGTAATTTTCAGTTCAGACATGTCGTTTTTGCTGAATTCGGGCCCCTAAAGCCCGCTCAATTTATCACGGGCCCGGCTGGCCCGGCCTTATGAAAATTTAAAAGCGGCCGGGTTGGCCTCGCCCAAACAATATTTTTGAATGGCCAATTTCAGAATTTTTTTTTGATGTTTTCGATGTTGGATTGTATTTATATGAGTGAAAAATCAAATTAGAATGTGATATTTTGCTTATAAAAATAGAAATAAGTAACAAATCGAAAAATAAAAAGCAAAAATTTCAAAATTCAAGTGAATTCTCTTCCACACACATATTATTTTACTATTTTTACTCTTTACAATGTTTGAAATTCATTAAAAATTCCTTTTTGACCACGAAAAACTCATTTTTTCAATGAAAAAAAATCGAAGAAAAAATAAGCGGGCCCCAAAATCGGGCCAATGTAAGCCGCACATGTTAAAATCGGGCTTCGGCTGAATAAAGCCCGATTTTTTGTGTTTACTTCGGGCTCAGCCCGGCCGGCCCGGCCTGCAGCGACATGTCTGTTCAGTTAGAAACTGAATTTGCGGCTCAAAATTCATCAGGAGGAAAAAAAAAGAAAATTTGAATTTTTCATAAAAACGTAAATTTTTCATAAAAATAGAGCGCATTTGCCATTTTGACTCGAAATTCATCATTTTTGATGATTTTTAGCTTGAAAAATCACATTTTCAGCCTAATTTCATCGGAAAAGCTGAAAATTCTGTAATTTTCAGTTCGAAACTGAATTCGCGGCTCAAAATTCATCAGGAAAAAAAAAATGAAAATTTGAATTTTTCATAAAAACGGGGATAGTTCAATAGAGCGCAATTGCCATTTTTGGCTCAAAATTCATCATTTTTGATGATTTTTAGCTTGAAAAATCGCGAATTTTCATTTCAGATCTGGTTTTTTTTAAATGAAATAAAAATCTTAAAACTTTGCCACGTCATAACTCATATTACCCCCAAAATTATCCCCAAAATTTCCCATTTTCAGTCGGAAGAAGAGGAAATCGATCTGAAAACGCCAAAAATTGGCGAAGTTTGTGGAAAATGTCATTTGTATCACCACGAAGATGAGGATGAGATTACTAGAGAAGAATTATTTTTGGCTGAAAATGAGGCGGCGGCTGAAAAAGAGCAACCCAAGCTCCAACTTATGAGCAAAAAGAAATCGCATCGACACAAACAGATTGGCTACAAATGGATACTTTGCGACATTTGCAACACTTGGTATCATTTTTTGTGCACCGGATTGGAGCAATTCCAATTTTATTTGTACAAGACGTTTCATTGTCAGAATTGTGAAGCGGTGGCTGGACCAAGTGTTGGTAAGTTAAACTAACTTAGTTTGATGGGAAAATTGCAGAAAAACCACGTTTTTTGGTGTAAAAAACGTGAAATTTGAGACGGGGGACTAGAAAACCAAAATTTGGAAAACTAGTCCCCGACTTCAAATTTTTTGAATTGAGAAAAATCCACGTTTTTTGGTATAAAAAACGTGAAATTTGAGCTCGGGGACTAGAAAACCAAAATTTGGAAAACTAGTCCCCGAATTCAAATTTTTTGAATTGAGAAACTGTGAAACCCTGAATTTTTATAAAATTGAGAAGAATTCACATTTTTTTTTATATAAAAAACATGAATTTTGAGCTCGAGGACTAGAAAACCAAAATTAGGAAAGCTAGTCCCCGAATTCAAATTTTTTTTTGTTGTTTTCGAATTGAGAAACTATAATAAATCCCTGAATTTTTATAAAATTGAGAAAAATCCACGTTTTTTGGTATAAAAATCATGAAATTTGAGCTTGGGGACTAGAAAACCAAAATTAGAAAAACTAGTCCCCGACTTTAAATTTTTTGAATTATTTTCGAATTGAGAAACTGTGAATCCCTTATTTTCTATAAAATTGAGAAAAATCCACATTTTTTGGTATAAAAACGTGAAATTTGAGCTCGGGGACTAGAAAACCAAAATTGGAAAACTAGTCCCCGACTTCAAATTTTTTCAAAAATTTTTATTTTGTCTAGAATATCCAAAAATCGCTCGACATCGTTATCAATGGCACAAAAGAGCAAAATCCACAAAAATCGAAGTTGGATCGGAATTATGGATTGAAAGATTCATACAAAGAAGAATCTCAACTTCCAGCACCAAATGAAAATGAAGTTGAAATTGTTGAAAATGGTTACGAATTCCATAAAAAAATTCAAGAAAATGGAGGAATTTCGAAATGGAATAAGGTGTTTTTGATTGAAAATATGGATGGATTAGAGATGAAAATGCCTGAGAAAGAAAGTTTTGATATTGAAAATGTTGTCGAATTAATGGGAGATGATTATGAAGTTGATACAATTGATGTTTATAATCAGAATACGTATTCGATGAAATTGAAAACGTTTTTGGCACTGTTTCGAGATCCGAAACCCAGAAAGAGACTTTATAATTTTTTGTCGCTGGAGTTTTCGGAGAATGAGAAGTGAGTTTTTGATTTTGGGCTGGAATTCTGGGGCCTAAAATTCTCCTGAATTTAAATATAGGAACTTTTAAGAACGTTAATGATAGTTTCAAAGTTCTCTAAGAATCAAAAGTGACTTAGGGTCCTTAAGAAGCGTTTGGAAAAGTTCCAAAAATCTTTGGATTCAAAAAATCCCTAAAGACCTTAGGGCCTTTTTTAACGTTCATAGAAAAGCCCCTAAAGTCCTTGAGCTCCAAGAAAATATTTTGAATTTGAATTTTTCCACGTGGATTTTTGGAGCTCTAGAATCTTCTGAAATTAAATTTTTTTGAGCTCCGAAAATCCACGTGGAAAAATTTGAGTTCAGAAGCCAGAAAATTTTTTGAATTTAAATTTTTTGGTGGCTCAAAATCCACGTGGATTAAATTCTGCCACGTGGATTTTCGGAGCTCAAAAATATCTTTTGAAATAAATTTTTTGGAGCTCAAAATCCACGTGGCAAAATTTAAATTCAGAACTCGAATTTTTGGGGCTCAGAATTCACGTGGATTGAATTTTGCCACGTGGATTTTCGGAGTTCTAGAATTATCTGCGATTTAAAGTTTGCCACGTGGATTCTGAGCCGCCAGAAAATTTTTTGAATTAAAATTTTTTGAGCTCAAAATCCACGTGGCAAAATTTGAATTCGTAATATTTTTGGGGGCTCAAAATCCATGTGGATTAAATTTTGCCACGTGGATTTTGATCCGCCCAGAAAATCTTCTGAAATTCACCTAAAAACTTGAAGCCACATGGATTTTCAGACAAAATTGAATTTAAAATCTGAAAAAAATTATAGTTTACTTAAATTTCACCCCAAAAAACATTACAGAATGCGACAAATCATAAAACCCCCCTGGTTTGTGCGCGATAATTCAATGATCGATCAACTCTGGCCCGAAACCGAATCCAAAGATTGGCTACGATTAATTCAACTCGAAGAAAATCTCGCAGAAGAGCAGCGACCGAAAGTTGAGGAGTTTTGCCTTTCCGGAATGGCCAACTCCTACACCGATTTTCACATTGATTTTGGTGGAAGCAGTGTTTATTATCATATTTTCAAAGGCAAAAAGGTTTTCTACATTGCGCCGCCAAATGAAAGAAATTTGAAAGCTTTTGAGAAACATGAGACATCTAAGAAGACACACGAATGGTTTGGCCATAAAATTGCGGGAAGTGTGAAACGAGTTGTGATTGAGGAGGGGCAGACTTTGCTGATACCTGCCGGATGGATACATGCGGTTTGGACCCCGCAAGATTCCCTGGTTTTTGGTGGAAATTTTCTGCACTTGGGAAACGCTGAAATGCAAATGAGGATCTATCAATTGGAAATGGCGGTGAGGAATATTGTGAAAACGGAAGACAAATTCTATTTCCCGAATTTCGAATTTGTACATTGGATGTATGTTCGAAATGTGATCTTAGAACGGCTCAAAGAATCGAATGATGAGGGAATTTCCATGATGGATTCGGATTTTTGTATGTGGAAGGCGGCCAAATGTTTTGCGAGTGAGATGAGGATTTGGCTAGCGAAAGGAGATCCCAGAGAAGATCTAGAGCAGAAATCGAAGGTTCTGAATAGTTTGGATGTTCAGCTGAGAAAGCAGGAGAAGATTCAGAAGGAGGGGAAGAAGATGAAACGGGAGAAATCTGGAGGGGGAGCATCGCCGGAGGATTATAGACCGTATAAGAAGCGGAGCAGGGTTGAGGTGGCCCCTGTGAAAAATGAGATTGTGTCAAAAATCAATGGCGTTCCGGTGGAGCAGTTTTTGGTGAAAAAAGAAGAGGAGGAATCCACCCAGCCACCACCGATCAAGATAAAAATTCAATTGGAATCGAATTTGGATCAAATGGCCACTGCAAAGATGTTTAACAATGGGAGAACGTCGTCGGGAAGAAAAGTGAAATTGAATCAGCAGATTGTGGATTATTGTGGGAAGAGGATTGAGGATGGAAAGAGTTTGGGTGGGTGTTGGACTCTAGGGGCCGATCCTAGGCCAGAATTGGGATTTGTAGGCGCGGCTGCTTGAAATCTGGGTGATGTAGGCGCGGTTGCTTGAAAACCGGGTTCAATAGGCGCGGTTGCTTAAAAACCGGGTTCTGTAGAGTCGGGTACTTGAAAACCGAAATTTATAAGCGCGGCTGCTTGAAACTCAGGTTCTGTAGGAGCTGAGCCTTAACAATTTAAATGTATAGGCGCGGATGCTTGTCAGAATAGATTCACTAGGCGCTGCTGCTTAGCAGATTGCATTTCTAGATGTGGTTCCGAGAGAAGTAGGATTTTTAGGCTCGGTTACTTGAACTCTAGGGTTTCTAGGCGTGGCTGCTTGAAAACCAGGTTGTGTAGGAGCTGAGCCTTGACAGTTTAATTTTCTAGTCGCGGCTACTTGAGGACTAGGCTCGCAAGGCGGCAGTCCTTGCCAGAGTGGACCTCTAGGCGCGAGCCCTTGAAAATTGGGTTCTCTAGGCGCGGCTAGGTGATAACTAGGCTCTCTAGGCGCGGCTGCTTGAAACTCAGGTTTTGTAGGCGCGGCTACTTGAAGACTAGGTTCTATAGGCGCGTCTGCTTGAAACCCAGGTTCTCTAGGCGCCAGTTGCTTGAAAACTAGGAGCTCTAGGCGCGAGCCCTAGAAAATCGGGTTTTCTAGGGGCTGAGCCATGAAAATTGGAATTTCTAGGCGCGGCTGCTTGAAAACCGGGTTGTGTAGGCACGGTTGCTTGAAGACTAGGTTCTGTAGACGCGGCTGCTTGAAACTCAGGTTCTGTAGGCTCGGCTGCTTGAAAATCGGGTTGTGTAGGCGCGACTGCTTGAAACCCAAATTCTGTAGGCGCAGCTGCTTGAGGACTAGGCTCTCAAGACGCGAGACCTATAAATTCAGGTTTTCTAAGCGCTGCTGCTTGAAATCCGGGTTCTGTAGGAGCTGAGTCTTGAGAATTGTGAATTTGTAGGCGCGGCTGCTTGAAGACTAGGCTCTCTAGGCGTGACTGCTTGGCAGAGTGCATTTCTAGACACGAGCCCTAGAAAATTAGGTTTTCTAGGGGCTGCTGGTTGAGAACTAGGCTCTCTAGACGCGAGCCCTACAAAATTGGATTCTCTAGGCGCACCATCTTGAAAATTAGGTTCTCAAGGCGCAGCTGCTTGCCAGAAAGCATCTCTAGTCGCGAGCTCTAGAAATTTAGGTTGTCTAGGATCGGCTGCTTGAGAACTATAATTTCCAGGCGCGGTTGCTTGAAACTCAGGTTCTGTAGGAGCTGATCCTTGAGAATTAGACTATCTAGGCGTGGCTCCTTGCCAGAGTGGATTCTCTAGGCGCGAACCCTACAAAACAAGGCTCTCCAGGAGCTGATCCTTGACCAAAGATCTATTTCCAGACGATGAAACAATTCCAGTCCTCAAATCATATGCGGAACTAGATGAAGATCTCGAAAAATGCGAAAAAGCATCTTCTGTAGCCAAACCAAAAATTGTGAAACCAAAGAGTGAGCTTTTTTCCCAAAATTTTGTTTTTTTTTCCAAAAAATCTTGTTTTTTTAGAAGAAAAAGCGGCGAAACCAATCAAAGAACCGCGAAAATCAGCAACACAAACAACAAAACAAAGATTGGCTAAAAAATTGAAAATGTGAAATCTTGTATAATATTTTTACGGTTTTTTACCTGTTTTTTTCTTCTTGTAATGTTATTTTTCCTTTTTTTTTATGATCTCCTGTTCTTTTTTTTTTTTTTTTTTTGATTTTTAATGCATGTTTTATCTTTTTTTTTCTTGAAATTTTTATTTTTTATTGAAAAAATGTTTGAGAACATTTGATATCTTGAATCATTATTTTTTTAGAAGTTAGCAGAACTTTTTGGCGGGTTTCAGATGACTGAAAGTTTGGATTCGAATCAAATTGCGTCTTCAGAACTTGGAACGAAGAATTTGTGAGTTTCAGGGTTTTAAATGGGCTGAAAAATATCGAAAATTTGAATTTTTGAGCTATGACGTGGCTTTTTTTGGCGGGAAATTTGAATTTTGAAAATTTTCAAGAAAAAAAAGATTTTTCGCGCCCTCAAAAAGCTACAGTAGTTTTTGTTTGACACGTGGATTTTTTGAATTTTGAAAATTCATTTTTTCCCGCCAAAAATCTACAGTACTTTCTTATGATTTTTTGGCGGGAAATTCGAATTTTAATAATTTGCATTTTTCCCGCCAAAAGCTACAGTACCTTCTTATGAATTTTTGGTGGGAAATTTGAATTTTGACACGTGGATTTTTTGGCGGGAAATTTGAATTTTGAAAATTTGCATTTTCCCGCCAAAAATCTACAGTACCTTTTTATGAATTTTTGGCGGGAAATTTGAATTTTGAAAATTTTGACACGTGGATTTTTTTTGGCGGGAAATTTGAATTTTGAAAATTTTTAAAGAACAGATTTTTCGCGGCCCCCAAAAAGCTACAGTAGTTTTTTGTTTGAAACGTGGATTTTGTTGGGCGGGAAATTTGAATTTTGCAAATTTATTTTTTCCCGCCAAAACTTACAGTTTTTTCTTATGAGTTTTTGGCCCGAAATTTGAATTTTGAAAATTTGCATTCTCCCGCCAAAAATCTACAGTAATTTCTTATGAATTTTTGGCGGGAAATTTGAATTTTGACACGTGGATTTTTTTTTTTTTTGAAAATTTGCATTTTTCCCGCCAAAAGCTACAGTAGTTTTATGTCTGACACGTGGATTTTTTTGAATTTTGAAATTTTTATCTTCCCGCCAAAACTTACAGTACTTCCTTATGAATTTTCGGCGCGAAATTTGAATTATGAAAATTGCATTTTCCCGCCAAATATCTACAGTACTTTCTTATGAATTTTTGGCGCGAAAATTCAAATTGGTAAATCTATTTTTCAACAAAATGTATTTTCGAACTTTGCCACGTCATAACTTCTACAACTTCTAGAGGGAAAGCTACAGTAGTTTTATAAATACGGAAAAAAAATGAGATTGTGTTCAGAATATCGACTCAGGCGCCAACAAGCGCAACCAAAAATGAATCACTCGAACCAATGGAAAAAGTCCGACTAATTTTTGAGCCCATGGAATCGTTGATTCCTTTTGAGCCTATCGAACTTCTCGATCCATTAGAACCTCGAGAAAAACTTGAACCAATGGAAAATGTGAATTTGAGATGTGTTGAACAATTAGAACCACTTGAACCCAAAGAATTATTGAATCCATTGTCTGGAAATTCGATTTGAATCGAATTTTGTGCATTTGAGCCAAGTTTTGGCACTTTTTTTGAGCAAAAATGGTTTTCTAATGTATATTTAATTGTTTCGAACTTCTGTGAAGTTGAAATTTGTTGAATAAAACATTTTTGCATGATTTGGAAGATTTTTAGTTAGTTAGGGAAAATTTCAGATTCAAATTTCCCGCCAAAAATAATCCACGTTTCAAACAAAAAACTACTGTAGATTTTTTGGCGGGAAAAATAAAATGTTGAAAATACAAATTTCCCGCCTGAAAAATCCACGTTTCAAACAAAAAAGTACTGTACATTCTGGCGGGAAAACGTAAATTTTCAAAATTCAAATTTCGCGCCAGAAAATCCACGTGTCAAACAGAAAACTACTGTAGTTTTTTGGCGGGAAATTAGGTTTTTCAAACTTTTTTGAAATTTTGTTTTGGCGCGAAAAATCAGTTTTCAAAATTTTTAAAAAATTTATTTTCGCGCGAAAAATTAGAAAATAAGTACTGTAGATTTTTGGCGGGAAAAACAAAAAAAATTCAAATGTTTTTTCAGCTGGGATTCTCGCTACGAATTGGAATTCTCGAATTTCCGCGAATTCGGCGACGAAGGTGAAATCTGGTTCGGAACATCGGCCGAAAATCGAATTCTCAAATATTTTTCGGACTCAAAAATCCCAAAATCCTCGAAAATTTTGGATTTAGGATGTGGAAATGGAAGTGTTTTGCGAAAATTGCGTGCGAAAAAATTCACAAATTTGAAAGGAGTCGATTATTGTGAAGCTGCTGTGAAATTGAGTATTGGATTGTCTGAAGAAGAGGAAAAAGAAGCTGAAGAGTTAGCGAAAATCATATATGAACAATTGGATATTACTAAACCTGAGCAATCATTTTTTGAAGACGAATTGTATGATATTATTTTGGATAAAGGAACTTGGGATGCGATGAGCTTATCTGATGAAAGAGGTCAGGTTTTTCTCCAGGAGGATTTTTTTCGCAAAAAAAATCTCAGGGGAATTTTTGAAAACTGGATTAAAAACCACATTTTCTAGCGGTTTTTTACGCAAAATTGAAATTTTGAGCAAAAATCAATCAAATTTCCAAGTTATAGAACTAAAAATCATATTTTTGACCCTGAGAAGTTTAATATGAGCAATTCTAGATTTTTCCATTAAAAATTTGTTAAATTAAAATAAAAATAAAACTTTGAGTTCTGAATGTTTGCTCCAGAAATTATAACATGAGCAATGCCAAATTTTTGATTGGAAAATTCTGAAATTATCGATTTTTGGATCGAAATTCGAGAATTAACATGAGCAATGCCACATTTTGAGCAATGCCACAGAAGTTTAATATGAGCAATTTTATTTTATTTTTTTGAAATTATACTAGTTTTTCAGCTAAAATTATCATTTTAAGCTCAAAATTTGGCTCAAAAATTCGAATTTTAAAAAAAACCCAAAAAAATTACGTTTCAAAATTTTGATATAATTTTTTTCATCAAATATTTTTTCAATGAATTCTTCGCATACTATTCAAAATTGGAAAATTCTGAAATTATCGAATTTGGATCAAAATTAATGAAAATTTTGAAAATTAACATGAGCAATGCCACATTTTTGACGGAAAAAGTTTAATATGAGCAATGCCTAATTTTTTTTTTGAATTTATACTGGTTTTTCAGCTGAAATTATCATTTTCAGCTCAAGTTTTGCCACCCGAATTTATCGATTTTTTCAGATTCCAGATTATCTTCATATCTGAAATTCCTCAACCGCGCAATGAAACCCAATTCAAAATTTGTGATTTTCTCGTGTAATTTTACAATGTAAGTTGAACCTTTAACTTTTTAATTAAAAAAAAATCGAAATTTCACCGGAAAAGCTGAAAATTCACTATTTCGATCGATTTTCCAACAAAATTCTGTCATTTTCAGTTAGAAACTAAGTTAGCGGCTCAAAATTCATCAGGAAAAAAAAATGAAAATTTGAATTTTTCATAAAAACGGGGATAGTTCAATAGAGCGCATTTGCCATTTTTGGCTCAAAAACCATCATTTTTGATGATTTTTAGCTTGAAAAATCACATTTTCAGCCTAATTTCAGCGGAAAAACAGAAAATTAACGATTTTCCATCAAAGTTTTGTAATTTTCAGTTAGAAACTGAAAATTTTTGACATTTTTCCACACAAAAATGAAAAAAATATTTTTGAATAATTTTTTTTTTGACTTGAATCACCAGATCTGAAATGGAAATGGAAATTTGCGATTTTTCAAGCTAAAAATCATCAAAAATGATGGATTTTAAGCCGAAAATGGCAAATGCGCTCTATTGAACTATCCCCGTTTTTATGAAAAATTCAAATTTTCATTTTTTTCCTGATTAATTTTGAGCCTCAAATTCAGTTTCTAACTGAAAATTATAGAATTTTGTTGGAAAATCGATAATTTTCAGCTTTTCCGATGAAATTAGGCTGAAAATGTGATATTTCAATGAGAAACTGAAGTTGCGGCTCAAAATTCATCAGGAGAAAAAAAAATGAAAATTTGAATTTTTCATAAAAACGGGGATAGTTCAATAGAGCGCATTTGCCATTTTCGGCTCAAAATCCATCATTTTTGATGATTTTTAGCTTGAAAAATCGCGAATTTTCATTTTTTTTCTGAAAATAACGTGTTTTTTGAGAAAAAAGTTAGCGTAACTCATGAAAAAAATTTTTTTTTTCAAGCTTTTCAATATTCCAGAGACGAATTGAAGCGGCAATTTGCATGCGCCGATCAACTAATTGAATTTGTCGCCGAAGTCCCCGCCGCCCACACATTTTCATTTGGCGGAAAACAGGGTGTCACATCAACGGGTGCCGTTTTCCAGAAAAAAATGTCATAAATAAGGCCAGGCTGCAAGAGTGGCTCTTATTGAAATTGTTGCGTTTTGGACTCTCATAAATTTTTTTTTTTCGTGTTTTTTTCTCGTTTTTTTTCCGCCTTCCCCCATGGGACTATTTTTCCCCTCCTTTTTACATTTTCTTTTCTTTTTTCGCCGTTTTTTTTGCTGGATTAGGGCCGAACGAGAAGAAAATGATAAATTGGCCCAACTTGCACCATTTTTTCGCATTTTTTTTGTTCACTCAATGTTTTTTTCTGGTGTTTTTGGTGGATATTTTGGAGCGATTGCTCATGTTAAACTTCTTAGGGTCAAAAAATCTGATATTGCTCATATTAATTCTTTTTTGAAACGTAAATTTTTTGGATTTTTTTGAAAAAAAATTTTGTTTGAGCCAAAATTTGACCTGAAAAACTAGTATAAATTCAAAAAAAAGTTAGGCATTGCTCATGTTAATTCTTCAAATTTTCATGAATTTCGATCCAAAAATCGAAAATTTCAGAATTTTCCAAGCATTGAAAAAAATATTTGATGAAAAAATTATATCAAAATTTTGAAACGTAATTTTTTTGGGTTTTTTTCAAAAAAAAATTTTTTTTTTGAGCCAAAATTTGAGCTGAAAATGGGAATTTCAGCTGAAAAACTAGTTAGGCATTGCTCATGTTAAACCTTTTTTTTTTACATAAAAATGGGATTGCTCATGTTATAATTTCTGAATCCAAATTTGGAGTTCAAAATTCACAAATTTTTTTTGTTGACGTGAAAAAATAACATTGCTCATATTAACCGTTTTGACGTCAAAAAAGAGATTGCTCATGTTAAGCTTTTTAGCGCGAAATTGAAAAATTCAAAAAATTGTTACGAGAAAAAATATAACATTGCTCACATTATACTTTTCCTAGGCAAAAATAGAATTGCTCATGTTATAATTTCTGACGTCATAATTTTGAATTTGAAATTTACAAATTTTTTTTGACATGAAAAATCTGGCATTGCTCATGTTAAATTTCAAAAAATTTTTGTTTCTTAATTTTTCAAGAATAATTCTTGAAGCAAATTTTTTCCCGAAATACAGTACCTACAGTACCTGCGAATCAAACTCAATTTTTTGAATAAAAATATTACCAGAGAGGATACTGTAGCCCGCCAAATTTAAAAATTGGTTGTTTTTTGAGCCCCGGGGGTCAAAAAAGGTCATAAGACTTGGATAATGAGATTTTGGCTTTTTGGTGCAAATTTTGAGCAGAAAAAGAGCATTTTGGCTTTTTCTTGCTCAAAAAATTTTTTTTCGAATTTCCGGGAAAATAAATCTTGCACCATATAATTTCTTACCTAAAATTTTAAGCAAAAAAATCTAGAGCTTTTCCCCCCGAAAAAATTTACTTCCAAAAATTTTTCCCGCCAAAATCTACAGTAGTCCAAAGCACTTCAGATTGAAAGCGCACACTGGAGTACGGTAGAGGTACCTGCACATCTAACTCGAGAAGAATTTGGACCGAAAACCTTCTAGCTTCTCTACGCTCTGTAGTTTCTCTGCGTCTCTAACCTTCCTCTTCTCTCTAGCTGTCTGCCTTCTCTGCGCTCTCTCAAAATCCTATTATCTCCTGTGGATGTCCCTCTGCGTCTCTAACCTTCTCGCCATCTCTAATTGTCTGCCCTCTCTACGTCTCTAACCAAATTTTTCAGTTAGATACGCAGGTGATACGGTATGTCCCTTTAACCTGGCCAATTTCTTATTTTTGGCCAAATTTTTGAGAAAAATTTGATTTTTTCTGCAAAAAAGTGACAAGTTTTGACATTTTTCCTCATTTTTCTTCCTTTTTCCATGTCAATTTGCATTTTCTTCCTGTTTTTTGCTTGGCTCAGAAAAAATGTATATATTTTTTTTGGGACCATCTGGTCCCTCTAGAAAATATTTATTTATTTATTTTTCATTTCATTTCATCAAAAAAAATTTTTTTTTTTGGTTTTTCTGATCTTTTTTTCTTATTTGATTAAAGAGTTTTCTGGATTTGGGGGAAAAAACCAAAAAGTTTTTTTTTTCTTTTTTTCGGAGGAAGAAAAAAAAGGAAAAGAAATCATTTTTTTCCTTTTTTTTTCGTTCTTTGCATATTAAATTATCTTGTTTTCAGAAGACTTTTTGCTGAAAATAAAATCTGGAAGCTGAAAAAAAAAAATGAAGGCGCATTTTTGTGATCAGCCGATGAATTTGACGAAAAGGGCCTGCTGTCAATTGGTTTTTATTTTGAATAATACAGAGAAGGTGGGTTCAAGGAGTCGAGCCTTGAGAGCCTATTATGACAAGCAGCCGCGCCTATAGAACCTAATAGCCTAGGGCTCGCGCCTTGAGAGCCTAGGTTTCAAGCATCCGCGCCTATAGAACCTAATTGTCCAGGGCTCGCGTCTAGAGATTCACTCTGTCAAGCAGCCGAGCCTTGAGAGCCTAGTTCTCAAGCAGCCGTGCCTAAACAGCCTAGTTTACAAGCAACCGCGCCTATAGAACCTAATTGTCTAGAAGCCGCATCTAGAGATACCCTATGGCAAGCAGCCGAGCCTTAAGAGCCTAGTTGTCAAGGAGCCGTGCTTATAGAACCTTATTGTCTAGGACCCGCGCCTTGAGAGCCTATATTTTACAAGCAGGCGTGCCTTGAGAGCCTAGTTCTAAAGTAGCCGAGCCTTGAGAGCCTAGTTGTCAAGGAGCCGCGCCTATAGAACCTGATTGTCTAAGGCTCGCGCCTAGAGATTCACTCTGACAAGCAGTCGCGCCTTGAGAGCCTAGTCCTCAAGCAGCGGAGCCTTGAGAGCTATTGTGACAAGCAGCCGCGCCTATATAACCTAATAGCCTAGGGCTCGCGCCTAGAGAGCTTCTATGTCAAGTAGCCGCGCCTATAGAACATAATTGTCAAGGAGCCGCGCCTAGACATCCTAGTCTCCAAGTAGCCTCTCCTTAAAGGTGTCCTAAGCCATGTATTTTTTTTTGCGAAAAAAAACTCAAAAAGATATATTTTTTGCCCGGGGGCGTGAAAAACAACAACAAATGTGTGAAAATCAACAAAAACAAAATTTTTTTCGATTTTTTTGCAGATTCCACCGTGTACACCTTCAATGTTTCCGCCAACAAGTAGTTCGGTAAGTTTTTTTAAAAAATTTTTGCCGCCAAAAAATTCTACAGTAACCCAGGATTACTGTAGCTTGAAAATTGATTCCAAATTTTCTTTTCCTTCATTTGTTGGCCCCAAAAAAAGCTACAGTAACCCAAATTCTTCCAGAAACCGCCCGTTTATTTGATGGAACCAGTTGCTGAAAAAGAAGATCACCTAACTTTTTTCCTCGGAATTTTTGCATTGATGTTAATCGCAATTGGATGCTCTTTAGCCTTGAGTAAAATTACCAAACCAAAGTGGGTGTTTAATATGAGCAATAAGAGAAATATATGTATAACATGAGCAATATCCATATTCAGAGTTTCAATTGGCTACAACACATCAACATCATCCTATGATATTTTGATGTGGTTGTCTAGTAATCAACCAAATCGATCTTCAATGCTTCTGATGTTGAGATCTATTGCTTGTCGAGTTCCGATGACACCCGAAAGTAGCAATGTTTCGGTGGTTTCGTCGAATGTTCCGTGAGTGCAACTAGACTAGAGTCTAGTTTAGTTTGGTGGCAAAAATTCGGAAAATTTAAAAAAAACGAAAAAAAATTCAAAAATTTAAATCACGCGCGCAGGTGTCAACGCGGAGTCTCGTTGTTTTCTTTTTATTTTTTCCCATTTTTTTGGCGAAAAATTGTTTTATTTCAATTTTTATCTTAGATTTAGCTTAGCTTAACTATAGTCTAGTTTGATGGAAAAAATTCGGAAAATTTCGAAAAAAAAACAAAAAAAAATTCCAAAATTCAAACAGAGCGCGCTTGCGTCAACGCGGAGTCTCGTTGTTGTTTTTCTTTTTCATCCCCAGAACTTGTTTTTCCCAAAAAAAAATAAAACAACGAGACTCCGCGTTGACGACAGGTTTGCGCGCGCTGTTTCAATTTTTGAATTTTTTTTCGTTTTTTCTTTTTTTTTCGGGGAAAAATGATGATTTCCAAGGAAAAAAAAACAAAAAAAATTCAAAAATTCAAACCACGCGCGCTTGCGTCAACGCGGAGTCTCGTTGTTTTCTTCTCTTTTTTTGCAATTTTTTCCCATTTTTTCGGGGAAAATGATAATTTTCTAGTAACCAGGAATTTGAATCTAGAAAACTTTTGATCTCTGAAAAAAATCCCTGATCTACTTTTTGTACTTCAGACTTCTACCATCCTATCAACGTGCAACAACAACATCTCCATCCACAAATCAACCGCCTCCCCCATATTCTGCACTTATCACTTAACAATTTCCTTTTTTTAAATTTTTCACCGGTATTTTTCATGGGTTTTTTTTGCTTTCTTTGAATTTGCCAATTAATTTTTTTTAATTTTGGTTTTAAATAACAAATTTTTCGCAAGTTGATCTTAAAAATACAAACTTTTATCTCTATATTTGAAAAAAAAAGTTCTACATTTATTACAATCTCATGAGGTTTGTTTTTCCAAAAAAAAAAAAAAATTTCTCCCCGGCCGGGAATTGAACCCGGGTCTCGCATGTGACAGACGCGGATACTCACCACTATACTACCGAGGACACATTGGCCGCCGCGCTGCAGAGCCATGAAAAAGAGCGAGAGGAAAAATAATTTTTTTTATTTTTCAGCGATTTCTATTCTGGAATCAACCCGTATTTGCTGTGGATTCTATCGGACAATTTGAGAAGTTATATTTTGCATCAATTGGGAATTTCGAAACCAAAAAATATTGTGAGAAGAAGAAAAACAATTGTTTCAATTGTGCCAGGAGCGACATAAATTTAGATATTTTTCAAAAAACACCGTGAACGTGACCTGCCAACACTATGCAACGTGTCAAAATGTCGATGTGGCGTGGAAAATCGGCAGAATCAGTCATTCACCAAGTGTGATCTTCTACTAACTACTCGACACTGCCTACTAACAATGCAACAAGGACAATATAGAGAGCGAAGAGAGCAATTGCCAATTGCCAAGAAATTGTACAAGGTTAGGGGGGATTTAGGCTAACTTATCGGGAAAAATTCAAACGTCGTCAAATGCGCTCTGAAGAGGAGAGCTGGCGCATTTGAAGAAGGTGTGCGCGTTTAGGGTGCATTTCGAAAAAATTTTTGTTTTTTTTTTCGTTTTCCCGAGGAAATCGGCCAATAAAATCCAATTTTTCAGTTCATCGATCTTCCAAACGCAAAAAATTGGCGAGTTCAACCCGACGAATGTCTAGCACATGGCCGAATCGCTTCCTACACTCGCACCAAGTCCCGCTTCCTCCCCGATGACTTGACTTGCCTTAAAATGCGCCTAGCGACTGTAACCAGCCATGGTTTCCTGATTTTATATGAAGTTGCTGACCGTGGAATTGTTGTGGATTTGAGAAAAGCGCGTGCGATTTTGACGAAATGTGATAGTTTCAAAGGAGATCGATTGAAGTACAAGAGATGTCATATTAAGATTCGACTTGAGTTTGGAAATGTTCATTTATTTGTGAAAGATGATTCGATTTCGAAATGGACATCTGCGATTATATCTGCACATTCGAATATCAAAAAGGTTTCCGAACCTATTGTTGCAGTTTCCGAAGCCGAAGAAGCTGTAAACAACTCGGTTTCCTCAAATTCTGGAATTATAACAGTTATCGAAAACCCAAAACCCGAACAAATTCCATCAATTCGTCAAGGAAAATCATCAGTTTCATCGATTTGTAAAAAACTTGAGACTGAACATTTTGTAGCAGAACCAGAAGCTGTGCAGAAGGAAAATTTGGCGGTGCCATCATTTGAGGAAGAAAATGGGCAAGGAACAACGAAGGCTTGGTGGTTGAGATCTCTTCGATGCTAATTAATGAACATTTTTTATTGATTTTTGATCATTGTAGGTCAAAATTTCGAGTTTTTCAGCCAAAAATGATGAAAAATCGATATTTTTCAAGATTCTGGAGTAATTTCTGATGAAAATTGACCTTCGAATTCACTTTCCAGAAAGTTTTGCTGATTTTTCGAAAAATAAAAATTTTGATAAATTTCGAAAAAAGCAAAATAGGGTTTTTGAAGCTTATTTTCATCAGAAAAAAACAAAAATGATGAGAAATCTATATTTTTCAAGATTCTGGAGTAATTTTTGATTAAAATAAGCTTCGAGAACCATATTTTGCTTTATTTTATGAATTTTTTCGAAATTCATCAAAAAAATCAGCAAAACCTTCTGGAAAATGAATTCCAAGGTCAATTTTCATCAGAAATTACTCCAGAAGCTTGAAAAATATCGATTTGTCATAATTTTTGGCTGAAAAACTCGCAATTTTGACCTACAATGCTTTTTCTACATTTTTTGAATTCTATCGATGTTAAAAAACATTTTTTCCTAGTAAAATTTCAGAAAACTCTCGAGCTCAGGCAACAAACGCAGAAAGAGTGTGTGAAATTGAGAGAGTGCAGACATAAAAATAAAATTGGGAAGAGAAAACGCTTGGTTTTCTCGTCCATTTTTCATTTTTTTTCCGTTTTTGGCTGTGTCATTTCATTTCTAGCAAAAACCTTTCAAAAATGGTTTGGGAAATGGGTTTGATAATTGAATGCAACGAAGAATGCTTCAAAGTGTTGTGCTCCAATCACAAAACGCGATTATTTCGCAACAATATCGACACGGGATGTTGTAAAATCGGAGTTGGAGAATGGATAGATTGGGATGAGGAAAATGGCGATATGATAAATCGAAAACCCAAATTCCCGGCAAAAATTGTTGATGGTGAATTGCATGTAAGTGTAGTTTGATTTGAAAACCACGTTTATATTCAAAAAATTGATTTTCAGGTTGAAACATTGGCATGTTGCTCAAATCCTATGCAAATTTCTTCCAAAGAAAACCGCGCCAAATGGGAAAATCTTTTGTGGAGTCCACATATTGGCGTGATTCGAGATGATGGGGAACTATTTCTACCATTAAATGCGGATGAATTATATGCGGTGAAGGTGAAATATTGTGGTGGAGAAAAAAGTTTGTGGAAATTAGTGAGTGTTGGAATGAGATGTGAAGATTTGAAAGTGCAATTAGCTGTGGCACAAGCGGTAATTATAATTTTCAAGATTTTTTTGTTGATAAAGTGTATTTTTTTAAATTATTTTCAGCCCTGGACACTTGAGCAAATTGAAACTGAAATTGAAGGAACATCGAAAAAGGACCATTTAGATCATGTGGGTTGAAAAAAAATCATATACCGTAGGGATCTCGTCGCGGCGAGATCCTGTGTGTGTTTCAGTTGTTGCGCCTTTCAAAAACTACGGGTTTTTTTTTTTGTTTTTTTCCGGATTTTCGAGGTTTTTTCATGAAAAATCAAAGAATGGAGATGGTTAACTCTGTTTGAAGCAATAAACACTATAAAAACGATTTTCCCTATTTTTCGGTTGAAAATTACGAAACTCGAGCAAAATTGTCTCTAAATTAATTCTAATTCACAAAAAAGGCGTTTTTGGTGGCTATTCCTGAGGAATTCAACTCGAAAAATGTGAATTAGAGAAGAATTTGCTCGATTTTCGTAATTTTCAACCGAAAAATCGGTTTTTTCTCAATAAAACACTAGAAAATCGTTTTTTGTAGTTTTTCTTGCTTTAAACAGAGTTAGGCTATCTCCATTCTTCGATTTTTCATGCAAAAACCTCGAAAATCCGGAAAAAAAAAAACAAAAAAAATACCGTAGTTTTTGAAAGGCGCAACAACTGAAACACACAGGGTCTCGTCGCGACGAAGGACTACGGTACAAATATTTTTTTTTTTCAAAAAAAATTTTTTTTTCCATTTTTTTTTTACGTTTTTCATTTTCAGATCATTGGTCGAAAAAAAATCGATGATAAGAACACATATGCCGGATTCGTTTATCAACGCGACGAAAAAGGTTTTTTCTGGATCTGGGGTCATTCAACAGGAAAAGCCAGTGTTTGGATAAACGAAAAACCCGAGCTTGGAAATTGGTATTCATTTTGCCTCAAATCCATCTCCTTTGATTCGTTGCAACGAGCCAATAAGCGATTCAGAATTTTTGCAATGAATTTGGTGAATATTCATGATCGATTGCAGGCTTGTCGTTTAAGTCCAACCGAATTTGGGACAAGAATTCGTGTGAAAATGCATCCAACAATTATACAAGACAAATATTGTTGGGATTATGTTCTGGGAAAAGTTGAGATTCCCAATCGTTTGATATCAACAATCGAAAAACTCACAAAAACCCTAAGATCTGATGGTAGATTCTATGAATTTGAAGTTGTTGGAATCGCAAATATTCTCCCGACAGCTCTTGAAAACGCTGAAATGTGCTGGAGTTTTCAAAACATTGAACAGATTTTGGAGTAGATTTGTATTTATTTATTTATTTATTATTTTGTAAATAATACTTTTTTTTTCTTTAAAATTTCAGGAGTATTATTTCTCCATTTTTATTTACTTTTTTCGCGTGTTGAACAAGCAAGCGCGCTCCAATCGCAAACGCTTTTTGAAAAATCGAATTGTTTACCCTTTTTCTTTTTGTGTTCCTGGCTCATTGTTTTTTTTTGTTTAAGAAAAAAAACTATGTCTGACGAAAATACGTCTGAAGTTAAACCAGAAGTTGAAGAAACGAAACGTGTCTATACTCCATACATCAAATTGCGCGGTTTGCCGTTTTCAATTAATGAGGAGGAAATTAGGGAGTTTTTTGGAGGTAGGACGTGTTTTTTACGAAATTTAGGGGAAAGTTTTGATTTTCATCGTGTTCATAGAAATAAGGGGATTCGAATGATATAATTTTTGAAGACTTAACGTAACTCCTAAGTGATTTAGCGACTAAACATTGCTAAATCACTTATGAGTAACGTTAAATGGCCCGGCCACCAAGAAATCTGGTCTAAAATGAAAAATATTCGACCAGGTTTATTTCTGGGTTGCCGGGTCATTTAACGTTAGTGATTTAGCGATGTTTAGTCGCTAAATCACTTAGGAGTTACGTTAAGTCATTAAAAGTTATGCTGATGACGATTCCGAAGTCAAAAATTGCCACAAATTCCTGTGAGCATAGTTCTGGAGCTCTAAAGTTAGAAATGAGCCCATTTTCACCATAATGAGGTTGTTCGCCACATAAACTGAAAAGCTGATTGGTTTTCGAATGTGGCGAACAACGTTAGTTGATTTTCGACCCGGGAGCATGGTGAAAATGGGCTCAATTCTAACTTTGGAGCTCCAGAACTATGATCACAGGAATTTGTGGCAATTTCTGACTTCGGAATCGTGATCAGCATGGTTGATTTGGTATATTTCGACATGTTTCGTCTCTTGTAAATGACATTTTCATGTGTTTTTAGGTCAGGGAGCTGAAATCTTGAATTTTGATCGTAACCATAGAATAGACACATCTAAGCGGATTCGAATGATATAACTTTTGATGACTTAACGTAACTCGTAAGGTTTATCGACTAAACATCGCTAAATCACTTATGAGTAATGTTAAATGACCCAGCGATCTTGGTTGCCAGGACATTTAACGTTACTCATAAGTGATTTAGCGAGGTTTAGTCGATAAGGTCGCTAAATCACTTAAGGATCTCAGAAAGTGTCCTGACAGCCGTCCGCGAGGTTGCGAGCCGTCGAAAGCTAGCAGAGGCTGTCCGCCAGCTCGCATTCTCAAAAAGGGGAGGAGCGAGCGCATCTTCCTCGCCGCCAGCTAGCGCTAGCTAGCAGCTAGCTAGCGGACAGAAAAATTGCGACTGGAGCAGATTTGCTCGTCTATTTCTTTTTTCATTTTTTTTTCGAATTTTCCGGCCTAAAATCCTTTTATGCTTATTTTATCGAACATTTTCACAGAAAACACGCAATCGACGTTGCAAAGTGTTGGAATGGAGAAGGTGCACATCGGAATGCATCTTCTTGATATAAAAATGCGTTTTGGGTGAGTGCAGATGAAATTTAGTTCAGAAAATTAGTGTAAACCTATTTTTCAGTGTTCTCGATGTCTGATGGGTCGTATTGGATTGAAATGGTGGAACGGATGAGGAGAAAAACAATGTTTGACAAAATCCATAAGGTAAGGTGTTTCGAATGAAAACCTTGGATTATAGGTCCCAGTAGTTCTAATATCATGCTCTAACGTAGAAACACATCGAGTTCATCACAAAAAGAATGGAATGTGAACTCATTCTATTAAAAAATCTAATGAAAAAGTTCTATTCTCATTTTTGTTACTCAAATTCATCTTGAAATGAATTCAATTAAATTTTTCCATCAGTGCTTGATAAATTCTGAGAACTATTGCCTTCTAGAAGATATATATGGATAGTAAACAGTAGTTGCCAAGTAATTTCTATGTCATTGTCAAGTCTAACTCCTAAATCTCTTGTCATCGCTAACTCACTTTCTACACACACCTTGTAACTTCATTGTGTTATCTAAACAATGAACGCTGCCTCAGCAGTCTATTTTTCATTTTGCAGATTATAGGCTATATCGGAATATGTAACTTGAAACACTTCAAACATGACTCGATTTTTTCCCATTTCCCAATGTCCTATATTTTTAAAACTAAGTTTCCAACACGATTCACATATTCAGATTCTACAATCATCGGCAAAGTCTTCGCAGCCTGGAAAACATCACAAACACCCTCCACACTTCCACATCCACAGGATTCTGATAATTAATGTGTTTTTTATTTAATAAATTGTTTTAAAATAAACTCTATGAATTGCGAAAACAACAGGCAAACGCTAGCCAGCAGCGAGAACTGGCGAGGTTTCGCCAGAAAATGGCGAGAAAATGGACGGCCGTCTGCCGGCTCGCGTGCTAGCTGGCGAGATTTTCTCGCCGACGGCTGTCAGGACACTTTCTGAGATAACCTAAAGTCATCAAAATTTATATCATTCTGTTCGTCTTAGACCATTTTATCATATGAATAACGTTAGAACCCAATATTTCAACTCATTTGTTTAAAAATACCACGCGCTCCACACGCAACGCAGACCGCGTCGCGCCACAACACACAAAAATAAGGGCAAATACCGAATGGGTTCGCGAAATGCCTCCGGAGGCATTTTCGAATGCCTCCGCAAAATGCCTTCGCGCTACCAAATCAAAAAGCCTTCGCGAATTCCAAATGACTCCGCGCTCGATATTTCAAAAATGTCGAAATTCCTCCGGGGCTTCAAAATGACTCCGCGCTATCAAATCAAAATGCCTCCGCGAATTCTAAATGACTCCGCGGTAAAACCATACATGTTTTTCTCCCTGGATCGACCCCTACAGTTAGCGAGACCTCAAAAAAATTTTTTAAAGTTAGTAAGACCGTTAGTGTGGGGGGCAAAAGCCTCCCACACTAAAAATTTTTTTTATTTTTTTTTCGAAAAAAATTGAAAAATTTTGCAACACGTTTCCAGTATGTGAACTCGAACTCTATGATAGCTACCATTGGGTCCCTAACTCAGCGCTCTACCACTGCGCTATGTGTGCCCACATAACCCGCATGCTGTTTTTCTCATTTGAATAGGATACGTTTGAGAGATAGAAAAAACACAAACAGTAAATTACATTCAATTATTCAAAAAAATATAGAAGAAAATCATGGATTGAATTGTAAATTGAAATACGAATTCTTTAGACCTTATACAACAATATAAAAGCTTATCTTCAATGAATAAATACGATAAAATACTTTTTCCATTCGAAAATGTTGAAAATTGGTTATTACCAGAAAACTCAAAACCTAGAAAAGTATGTCAATTGATATTTTCACTTGAAAATTTGCACAGTGTGTCTAGAGGTCCTATTGAGGTATGTTGAACTATGAAATTGATAAATAATGCTGCATGGGGAAAATAGTTGAGACCACTGGATTTTATCCAGGGTTAGCCTGGATTTTATCCAGAATTTTATATAAGTGCCCGGCGGTCTCAGTAGACCTTTCAGAAAGGGCATTTATTCTGGATAATAATTAAGAATAGACCTTGTGGCATAACCTAGAACGATTTTCAGATGCTAAAATCAATTTTGGTTTAACACTTTATGATGATAAAAGTGGTGTATTGATGAAAAAAGTAGTTTTTCGATAGTTTTTGGGTCGGCGGTCTCAGTAGACTTCTTAGAAAGGGGTTTTATTTTGCATAATACCTAAGAGGGGACCTTGTAACATAACCTAGAATGATTTTCAGATGCAAAAATCGATTTTCGTTAACACTTTATGATGTTAAGAGTGGTGTATTGTTTAAAAAAGTAGATTTTTGAGAGTTTTTTGGTTCGGCGGTCTCACTAGATCTTTCAGAAAAAGCATTTATTTTGGATAATGAGTAAGAGTGGACCTTGTGACATAATCTAGAGCAATTTTGAAAACGAAAAATTGTTTCATGTTCAAAACTTTATGATGATAACTAATTAAAAATTTTTTTCAAAAAAAAAAAAAGTTAGTAGGACCTCAAATTTTTTTCGGAGTTAGTAAGACCGCAACCCTGGATAAATCCAGGGGTAAAACATGTATGGGTAAAACTTTCAAGAATGTCAAAATGACTTCGCGAACAAGGTGTACTTTTCAACACATTTTTGGCCAAAAAGTTGATTTTCAATGAGAATTATCATTTTCAAGGCGTTCACTAAGCCTAAGCCTAGAAACTTAGACGATAGTTTGGTTATACAAGTTCGGATATTAGGCTTAGGCTTAGTTAAACGCCCAGAAAGGTGCAGGAAACATTCAAAACCACATTTAAATACGTTAACTAAGCCTAGGCCTAAAGTTGGAACTTGAACAATCAAAATATTGAAAAAATTTCTCCTTTTTTAAGAGTAAAAAAAAATCTGGAAAATAACAATTGAAATTTGTAGCTCAAAACGTGTTGAAAGGCCTTGTTTCGCGGACCCATTTTGACAGTCTCAAAATATTCACCGCGAAGTCATTTAGAATTTGCGGAGGCATTTTGATTAGGTGGCGCGAAGTCATTTTGAAACCCCGGAGGCATTTCGACATTTTTGGAATATGAACCGCGGAGTCATTTTGAATTCGCGGAGGCTTTTCGATTTGGTACCGCGAAGGCATTTTGCGGAGGCATTCGAAAATGCCTTCGGAGGCATTTTGCGAACCCATTCGGTATTTGCCAAAATAAGGGATCCCTTTCTGTGTGTGTTGTTGCGCGACGCGGTCAGCGTTGCGTGTGGTAGAGCGCGATGGGATTTCTCGATAATACGAATTAATGTTTCAGATTTGACCATCAAACGTGTCAAAATTCTTGCCGGCTTCAATGGAAAATCGAGCGGTGAAGCGATGGTTGAAATGGGATCCAATGAGGATGCTGGAAAAGCGATGGGATTAGATCGGAAGGAGATCAAAAAGCGATACATCGAAGTGTTTTCAGCGCCTTTGTGCGATGGTGAAGGTGCATTTAAAGCAGCAGCCGGTGGAGGGGAAAATGATGGATTTATTGTTCGATTGCGAGGTGTACCATGGTCCTGTACTGAACATGATGTTAAGGAGTTTTTTGAAGGTTTGTTAAGTTAGGTTAGGGGGGTTAAGGAACATTCTGGGTCTTCTTCTAAGCGGTTGGGTGTTGTCTCAGGGCTAGAAACAACGGAGGTGATAATTGGAACTGTGGGTGGGCCTGGAACCAAAGCGACGGGGGAGGCGTTCGCCAAATTTGCGACCATCGAACAATCGCAAACAGCCATGGAATACAACAACAGACATATGGGATCAAGGTGGGTTAGAGAGCGTTTTTGGACACCAAAAATGCAGTTCTTGGGGTCCCGGTTGGGGGTCTCGGGTTGGTTTAATTCTTGAAATTGATATTGATTTTATCAAATGTTGCTTTTCAGATACATCGAAGTTTTTCAATCGAATAAAGTTGAATGGAATAGAGCGAAAGGAATACCAGGTAAAGCCCCAAATTCTGGCCTAAAAAATTTTTGATAAAAAATTGGCCAAAACAGTGAATTAATCAAAAATTGGGCAAATTCTGGCCTAAAAATTTTTTAAGCAAAAATTTGTTTTTTTTTTTAATCGAAAAAACACGTTATTTTCAAAAAATCGATATTCATCACAAAGTTGACGAAAATTCTCGATCAAAAAATGATTTTGTAGCTGAAAACTTCAATTTTTCAATAAAATTGCGAAAGTAGCTTGAAAAAACAATTTGAGATATTTTTTTCGAGCCAAATTCGTGTTTCATTGAAAAATTGAAGTTTTCAGCTACAAAATCATTTTTTATCGAGGATTTTCGGTCAACTTTTAGATGAATATCGATTTTTTAAAAAATGACGTGTTTTTTTAGGGAAAAATCGAAAAGTTATCTTAACTCTTGCAATGAAATTTTTGCTTACCAGAAAAATTGGAATTTCTTCCTGAAAATAAAAGTTATGGTAATCATTGATAAAAACCGATGGGAAAAATACGTTTATTTTTTTTTTTGAATAATTTTTTTCTGGAAAATAAAATCTGATTTCTTGATTCAAAAAAATCGATATTCATCTCAAAGTTGACGAAAGTTCTCGATCAAAAAATGATTTTGTTGCTGAAAACTTCAATTTTTCGATAAATTCGTGATTTCATTGAAAAATTGAAGTTTTCAGCTACAAAATCAACATTTTTGAGCTGAATATAGATTTTTTTTTCGCAAATTAGGTGTTTTTTACTCGAAAATTTACCGTAACTCATTGAAAAATATGTTTTAAAAAAATATGGTAATTTTTGACAAAATTTCGCTCTAAAAATTGGTTCTCTTTATTATAAACAACACTGGTGGCCGAAAATGCACCAATTCGTTTTTTGGCCAGAAATTGACCAACTATTGGTCAATCGGTAATTTTGGTCTGAATTTCAATTTTTGGCCAAAATTTACATGACCAAAATTTGTCAAAAAATTGAAAAAAATGGCCAAAACGGCAAATTTATAAAAAACTCATGTTAAAAAATGCACCAATTTTTGGTCAATGAGATCGTGATCAGCACACCTACTAGAACTTTAAATTAAAATTTCCATTTTACAGTCCCTGAATCCTACCAACGAACTGGAATTCGTCCATTAATGGCCAGCGGACATGACACATATTATAATCCACCAGCAGCACAACATCATTATGATTATTCATCTGCCGGCAGATATGCCGATCCTTATGCTTATGATGCCTATTCAGCTGGTTATGATCCATATGGAGCTGGAGCACATGCGAGTTATGGTGGAAATGTTGGATATGATGAACAAGCTATGAGAGTTAGTCGAAGTCGCACAGGTGGTGGGAGAAAGTTGCAAAAATTGGTGCATTTTTTACCAATTTTTGATCAAATCACTGTTTTGGCCAGATTTTGGTCAAAAAATTGGTCAGAATTTGGCCAAAAATTGACCAAAATTCACGATTCGACTGAATTTTGGTCAATTTTTGACCAAAAAAAAAACGAATTGGTGCATTTTTGGTCAAAAAATGGTCAAGCTCCCACCCGCAAAATTCAAGAATTAAAAAAAAATAAAATTTTGCAGCTTTACATGCGTGGGCTGCCATTTGATGCCGATGCACATGCTGTTGAAGCGTTTTTCTCACCGATTCATGTTGTTGCTGTCAAACTTGGAATCACTGAATCGAACAGAGCTTCTGGGGATGCGATTGCTGAATTTAATGATTATAATGATATGGTTTCGGCGATGAGTCGGAATAATCATCGAATTGGAAGAAGGTATGGGAATTTTGAGGTTGTTTTGGACGAATTTTGATCAGGATTTGGCCAAAAATTGACCAAAACGCTCTGGCCAATTTTTGATTAATTTCACTGTTTTGGCCAATTTCTGATAAAAAATTTTTTAGCCAGAATTTGGCCAATTTTTGATAAAAAAATTTCTCCAGAATTTGGCCCTTTTTTGAGTAATTTACTGTTTTGGACAATTTTTTTGATAAAATTTGGCCAAATATTGACCAAAAAGCTGCGATTGGCCAAATTTCGGGCAATTTTTAGTAAAAAAATTCACGCTCGAATCAAAATTTTGATTTGAGCGGGTAGCTAATGAAAATTCGAGATATTTTCAGAAAATCTAAATTTCTGATCAATTTTCAGCTCAAAATTGCTCTTTTCTTGCCTTTCCGCAGCGTAAATAAAAATTAAAAAAAAAAATTAAAAATAAAAATTTTCGACACAAAATCGATCCAGAAAATTCCATTTTCATTCAAAAAATCAGAATTTTTTTCCATTTTCAGAGCTCTAGAGCTCAAAAATAGGCTCCAGAGCTTGAAAATTGACAGAAAATCGATTATTTGAGCTCGAGAGCTCGAGAGCTCAAAAATATGCTCATGAGCTTAAAAATTGACTGAAAATGCAATTTTTTGAGCTCTAGAGCTTGAATTTATGCTCTGGAGCTCAAATATTGCCTGAAAATCGATTTTTTAAGCTCTGAAGCAAGGAAATAGGCTCAGGAGCTCGGAAACTGACAGAAAATCGATTTTTCTAATGAAAATTCACGCTCGAATCAAAATTTTGATTTGGCCAAAACAGTGAATTAACGAAAAATTGGCCAAATTTTGTCCAAACTCAGACTGAAAAAATTTTTTTGATTAAAATTTGGCCAATCGCAGCTTTTTGGTCAATTTTTGGCCAAATTTTAATTGATAAAAATTTGGCCAAAACAGTGAATTAAACAAAAATTGGCCAAAACAGTAAATTAACCAAAAATTGGCCAATTTTTGATCAAAATTTGGCCAAAACAGTCAATTAATAGAAAATTGGCCAAATTTTTATCAAATAAAAATTTTTTTAATCAAAATTTGTCCAAAACAATGATCAAAAAGTTCATCCACTAAAAAACCCCCATTTTCAGATACGTGGAGCTATTTTATACCCGCGACGCGCCTGGAAACATGAAAAAATTGATGTGGAAAGAAGCGAGTGGTCCGAATGTTGGAGCAGCGCCAGCTCTTGATCCAGTCATCAACGGATGGTCGAACAAAGGAAACACATCGAATCGCACACCAATCGGACCAGTTATGCCAGAAGAGCATCGAGGAGGTTATGGTCCGGGAAGAGGAAGAGGCGGACCACCAATGAGAGGACCATCGGGACATGAAGCAGCGGCGGCGAGAGCTGCGAGAGATGCATGGGCTGCGTATGGGTATGATACAAGTGCACAATGGCCGGCAGCACATGATCCGTATGGTGAGCAGGATTTTTTTGAAAAAATTGAAAAAAAAACAAAAAAATTGGGATTTCCTAAAGGATTTTCATGAAAAAAACCCTATTTTTTAAGGATTTTCATGAAAAAACCCTATTTTTCTAGGATTTTCATTAAAAAACCCTATTTTTTAAGGATTTTCATGAAAAAAACGCTATTTTTTAAGGATTTTCATGAAAAAACCATATTTTTTAAGGATTTTCATGAAAAAACCCAATTTTTTGAGGATTTTCATGAAAAAACCCAATTTTTTAAGGATTTTCATGAAAAACCCTTTTTTTAAAGGATTTTCATGAAAAAAACCCAATTTTTTAAGGATTTTCATGAAAAAACCTTATTTTTAAAAGGATTTTCATGGAAAACCCTATTTTCAAGTTTTGTAAAAATAAATTTTTCGTAAAAATATTTTTCGAATTTTATTTGTAAAACTTTGAAGTCAAATTTTTTATAGGAAAAATTTGGAACGTATTTTTTTCGGGAATTTTATTTTTGGAAAAAAATTGGTTTTTTGAAATTTCATTTTTTTTCGGGAATTTAGATCGGGTGAACCAAAATGTATTCAGATTCAGAAATTAGAATTTTGAGCATTTTTTGATAGCTCACCCCCGCAACCTGTAATTAAATTTTTGATGATTTTTCGATCTCCATGGCGACCTTAACTCCAAATTCCCGCCATTGGGGAATTTACCCAAAAATTTTTTCAAAAAATTGAATAATTTCAAGGTTTTCACGGCCTTTCACAATTTTTACCGATTTTTAAAAGGCCGTCAAAAAATTATTCTGGAAAATCCTATTTTTGCCACGTCATAAAATCAAAAGTTTTCTAGAATTTATCCAAAACATACATGTTTCTTTACAGTTTTTCACTCTGAAGAGCAAAAAGAGCACAAAAAGAGCCCAAAACTCATGTTAGACAAGATTTTATCAAAAATTGAGTACAGGGCGATGTTCAGGAGGGTCGATTTGGTAAAATGTGAATTTTCAACCCTGAACAAACTATTTTTGGTTGAAAAATCGATATTTTAGCAAATCGACCCTCCTGGATATCACCCTGTATTCAATTTTTTGACAAAATCCTCGATTTTGGCTCTTTTTGGCAAGAATTGAGTTTTTGGTTAAAAAATCGATATTTTAGCAGCAAAAAAAGCTGTTTTGGACAAAAATTTCATCAAGATTTGAAGCTGAAAAACTGTACAAAAACAAAAATCATTTTAGCTGATCGTCAACGTGAAGCACATCCACATCACGATCCATCAGCTGCCTCATGGGGATCTTATCCTCAATATTAATCATCTCGAAATCTATTTTTTATCCCCCCAAACATGTTATATTTATTTTCATTTTTGATATTTAAAAAATGCCCAAAATTCCCCTTCTCTTCATTTGAATGAACATTTTTGCCCAAATTTTTCAAAAATTTTAATTTTTTTCTTTTTGTTTTGTCAATTTTACATATATATATCGCATCCCCTTTCCCCCCAAGATTTTCAGATTATTTTCAGATGGTTTTTGTGGAGGTTGGATGGTATGATGAGCTGGAAAAACGGGTCAAACATCAGCAAAAATTCATGGAAAAAATGAAATTGGTGAGAGCGGATCAGGAAAATGAAAGGGATTTGAGAGGTTTGGATTCGGCGCTGAAGAAAACGACCTCGTTTATTAAGAAGATCAAGAATTTGACATCGGCCACGATTCCGGCGATTATTGAAGATTTGAACAAATTGAACTTGTCGAAATTTGTTGAGGAAATGGCGTCGGGAATCACCGAAACCAAATTGAAATTATCGGATATTCCGAAGGTTTCGGAACTTTGTGTGGAGATTTCGGCGAGGTATTCGAGGTTTAGTGAAGCGCTGGTTGGAGAATTTAAGAAGATGTTGCCGTTGAAAAAATCGGATAAGATTTCGAATGCGGCGAAGTTGAAAATTGATATTTTGTGAGTTTTTTTTAAGGATTTTTATGAAAAAACCATATTTTTGAAGATTTTTGGGAATTTAGAAGGTTTCCTTGAGGATTTTCATGAAAAAATCCTATTTTTTAAGGATTTTCATTAAAAAACCCTATTTTTTGAGGATTTTCATGAAAAAACCCTATTTTTTACGGATTTTCATGAAAAAACCATATTTTTTAAGGATTTTCATGAAAAAACCCTATTTTTTAAGGATTTTCATGAAAAAACCCTATTTTTTAAGGATTTTCATGAAAAAACCCTATTTTTTAAGGATTTTCATGAAAAAACCCTATTTTTTAAGAATTTTCATGAAAAAACCCTATTTTTTAAGGATTTTCATGTAAAAACCCTATTTTTTAAGGATTTTCATGTAAAAACCCTATTTTTTAAGGATTTTCATTAAAAAACCATATTTTTAAGGATTTTCATGAAAAAAACCCTATTTTTTAAGGATTTTCATGAAAAAACCCTATTTTTTAAGGATTTTCATGAAAAAACCCTATTTTTTAAGGATTTTCATGAAAAAACCCTATTTTTTAAGGATTTTCATGAAAAAACCCTATTTTTTAAGGATTTTCATGAAAAAACCCTATTTTTTAAGGATTTTCATGAAAAAACCCTATTTTTAAGGATTTTCATGAAAAAACCCTATTTTTTAAGGATTTTCATGAAAAAAACATGTAAAAACCTATTTTTAAGGATTTTCCTGGAAAAACCCTATTTCTTAAGGATTTTCATGAAAAAACCTTATTTTTTAAGGATTTTCATGAAAAAACCCCTATTTTTAAGGATTTTCATGAAAAAACCCTATTTTTTAAGGATTTTCATGAAAAAACCCTATTTTTTAAGGATTTTCATGAAAAAACCCTATTTTTTAAGGATTTTCATGAAAAAACCCTATTTTTAAAGAATTTTCATGAAAAAACCCTATTTTTTAAGGATTTTCATGAAAAAACCCTATTTTTTAAGGATTTTCATGAAAAAACCCTATTTTTTAAGGATTTTCATGAAAAAACCCTATTTTTTAAGGATTTTCATGAAAAAACCCTATTTTTAAGGATTTTCATGAAAAAACCCTATTTTTTAAGGATTTTCATGAAAAAACCCTATTTTTTAAGGATTTTCATGAAAAAACCCTATTTTTTAAGGATTTTCATGAAAAAACCCTATTTTTTAAGGATTTTCATGAAAAAACCCTATTTTTTAAGGATTTTCATGAAAAAACCCTATTTTTTAAGGATTTTCATGAAAAAACCCTATTTTTTAAGGATTTTCATGAAAAAACCCTATTTTTTAAGGATTTTCATGAAAAAACCCTATTTTTTAAGGATTTTCATGAAAAAACCCTATTTTTTAAGGATTTTCATGAAAAAACCCTATTTTTTAAGGATTTTCATGAAAAAACCCTATTTTTTAAGGATTTTCATGAAAAAACCCTATTTTTTAAGGATTTTCATGAAAAAAACCTATTTTTTTAAGGATTTTCATGAAAAAACCCTATTTTTTAAGGATTTTCATGAAAAAACCCTATTTTTTAAGGATTTTCATGAAAAAACCCTATTTTTTAAGAATTTTCATGAAAAAACCCTATTTTTTAAGAATTTTCATGAAAAAACCCTATTTTTTAAGGATTTTCATGAAAAAACCCTATTTTTTAAGGATTTTCATGAAAAAAACCTATTTTTTAAGGATTTTCATGAAAAAACCATATTTTTTAAGGATTTTCATGAAAAAAACATATTTTTAAGGATTTTCATGAAAAAAACATATTTTTAAGGATTTTCATGAAAAAACCCTATTTTCTAAGGATTTTCATGAAAAAACCATATTTTTTAAGGATTTTCATGAAAAAACCATATTTTCAAGTTTTGCCACGTCATAACTCATATTAATAAAAATTTGCAAAAGTCAAAAACCACTAAAAAAAATATTTTCCGTTGAAAAATTGATAGAAATTTTGAAACATGAGCAATTCTACAAAAATTGCGGGAAAAAATTTGTTTTTCGAATTTTATTTGTGAAATTTTGGCTGAAAACCGTGCTGAAAACCTTCGTCAAAAAACCAACAAATTAGAATTGGCCAGATTAAAGGAACATACCGTATCCACCTGCACATCTAACTGAACATTTTGTCCGATTTCTAGTCAGAAATCGAGTTAGATGTGCAGGTTCTACCGTACTTTTTGGCATGCGCCTTTATTTTTCTGGGGACCTACAGTAATCCATCTCAAAAATTTGCGGGAAAAAATGGAATTTTTCAGAAAAAATCCACGTGGCATTGAGCAATTCCAATTTTATGATTTTTTTTTTTTTGAGATGGATTACTGTAGGGCCCCGAAAAAATCCACGTGGCATTGAAAAATTCCAATTTTTGTGCTTTTTTTCAGTTGGATTACTGTAGGGCCAGAAAAAATCACACTGTATTCAAAATTTTAATGCCGCGTGGATTTTTTCGGGGCCCTACAGTAATCCATCTCAAAAAAAGCACAAAATTGGATTTTTCTGGGCCCTACAGTAATCCATCTCGAAAAAATGCCCAAAAAATGGAATTTTTCAAACAAAAATTCTCAAATTCCCCCCAAGAATCGATTTTTTTGCAGATTCCTATCGGATTTAATTCTATGCGGAGTGTTCAACGAAAAAGAGGGTCTTCAAATTCTCGGCGGTGTTTTGTCATATTTGGTGCAAACCGACAAAACCGAGTTCAACAATGTCGCATTGCTCAGCTCAATCTGTCGATATTCCGGTTGGCAAATCGCCGAAATCATCCCAATTCCTCTTGAGGCTTCGGAAACTCGAGAAATCCCGGAGCTCCCTGAATCAACTGCTCTGACATCAACACAAAAACGAAGTTTGCGGGAATTATTGATCGGCTACTATGAGGCATTGTTGAAAATCACTGAAACTGCGTGCACAGCTCGAAATCGTGCACTAAAAAAGGCGAAAAAGCAGGAGAGAGTGCGTGGAGATGCGGGAGACGTAGAGAAGCAGGAGTTGGAAGTGACGCAGGCGGTTTTTGATGCGAGGAAGAAGTTGGTGACGGAATTGAGTGGAGCGATTGGAATTGAGATGAAGATGTTGAAAGAGGAAGCGAGTGATGATGAAGAAGATACTGCTGCTAATATTGAGGTGAGTTATTTTTTTTTAATATGAGCAATGCTAGATTTTTCATGTTAAATTTCAGGAATTTTGAATTCCAAGATATGGCTTCGAAAAAGTTTAATATGAGCAATGCCGGGTTTTTCACGTAAAAAAGTTTAACATCAGCAATGCTAGATTTTTAGCGTAAAAATTCGTAAATTTTGAATTCTGGATTTTGGCTTCGAAAAAGTTTAACATGAGCAACGCCAGATTTTTAGCGTAAAAAATTGAATTTTAAATTTTTTCTCCAAATCATAACATGAGCAATGTCTTTTTTAGCTTCAAAAAAGTTTAACATGAGCAATGCTAGATTTTTCGCGTAAAAAATCGTGCATTTTGAATTCTCAATTTTTGGTTTCAAAAAAGTTTAATATGAGCAATGCTAGATTTTTCACGTAAAAAATTGAATTCCGAATTTTTTCTCCAAAAATCATAATATGAGCTATTTAATTTTTTAGCGAAAAAAAAGTTTAATATGAGCAATGCTGGATTTTTCACGTGAAAATTCGTAAATTTTGAATTCCAAATTCTTGGCGCTTAAAATCATAATATGAGCAACGTCAGATTTTTCACGTAAAAAAATTTCTTCTGAAAAAGTTTAATATGAGCAATCTTAGATTTTTCACGTAAAAATTCGTAAATTTTTAATTCCAAAATTTTGGCTTCAAAAAAGTTTAATATGAGCAATGCTAGATTTTCCCCGGAAAAATTCGTGAATTTTGAATTCTAGATTTTTGCCGCTTGAAATTATAACATGAGCAATTCTAGATTTTTTTCCAAAGAAAAAAAAACCGAATTTTCAAAAAATCGTTATTCATCTCAAAGTTGACGAAAATTCTCCATCAAAAAATGGTTTTGTAGCTAAAAACTTTAATTTTTCAATAAATTCGTAATTTTACTGGAAAATTGAAGTTTTTAGCTAGAAAATCATTTTTTTGATCGAGATTTTTCGTCAACTTTGAGATGAATATCGATTTTTTTTTGGAAAATATCGAAAAATTATTTTATAATTCAGGATTTACAAATTTTTACGTGAAAAATCGATTTTTTTGAAAATCGCGTGTTTTTAAAACGAAAAGTTAGCGTAACTCATCATTTTTTGTTGTCAGATGGGACGCGCTCTAGCCGAAGGCGAAGTTGTATTATGGACAGATGAAGAAACTCGTGCGTTTTATGAAAATCTGATCAATTTACGTGATGTTGTACCACAATCACTTTACAAAGAATCCGAACATCGAACGATTGAAAAAACAAAAACTGTGCAGAATATTGATGAAATTGATATGGAAAATATTAATGAAAATGATGATAATGAGATGAATAATTCTTCGAAGAAAGAAGTTGAGGAGACAAGGAGATCGAAATCGCCGACGATGGAAAATATGACAGGAGGACAGCAGAATGGTGGAGGAGGAGGAGGTGGAGGACAGCAGAATCAGTGGCAGGTTTGGAAATTTTGGAAGGAGAAAATGGGAATTTGAAAGAAAATTTCATCCAAAAACATTTTTTTTTGAAAAAATGTTTCTTTCTGCTACAAATTTCACAGTTTTTTCCTGAAAAAAAACGAAATTTTGCATTTTTTGGGCTGAAAGTGATGTTTTTTTCCACAAAAATTGGAGTTTTTTAATGCCACGTGGATTTTCTGGGGGCCCTACAGTAATCCACCTGAAAGTTCCAAATTTTTTGAATCGTAATTATGAAAATTCTGAAAAATTTGGAAAATTTCATCCAAAAAACATGTTTTTTTGAAAAAAATGTTTCTTTCTGCTACAAATTTCACAGTTTTTTCCTGAAAAAAACGAAAATTTGCATTTTTTGGGCTGAAAGTGATGTTTTTTTCCACAAAAAATGGAATTTTTCAATGCCACGTGGCATTTTTCTCGGCCCTACAGTAATTCACCTGAAAGTTCCAAATTTTTTGAATCATAATTATGAAAATTCTGAAAAATTTGGAAAATTTCATCCAAAAAAATGTATTTTTGAAAAAATTTTCTTTTCTGCTGCAAATTTCACCGGTTGGAAATTTCCCGGGGGAGAAAAATGAATAAAAAAAAAATGCTGGATTACTGTAGGGCCCCCAGAAAATCCACGTGGCATTGAAAATTCCATTTTTTGGGCATTTTTTTGAGATGGATTACTGTAGGGCCCCCAAAAATCCATTTTTTGTGCTTTTTTTGAGATGGATTACTGTAGGGCCCCCAAAAATCCATTTTTTTGGGCATTTTTTGAGATGGATTACTGTAGGGCCCCAAAAAATCCACGTGGCATTGAAAAATTCCAATTTTTGTGCTTTTTTTGAGATGGATTACTGTAGGTCCCTCAAAAATCCACGTGGAATTAAAATTTTGAATACTTTGTGATTTTTTCTGGGCCCTACAGTAATCCATCTCAAAAAATGCCCAAAAATGGAATTTTTCAGTGCCACGTGGATTTTTCCGGGACCTACAGTAATCCATTTCGAAAAAATCATAAAAATTGGAATTTTTCAATGCCACGTGGATTTTTTTGGGACCTACAGTAATCCAAATCTCAAAAAATCATAAAAATTGGAATTTTTCAATGCCACGTGGATTTTTTCTGGAAAAATAAAAAAAAAATTATGCGGGATTCAGATTTTCCAAAAAAAAATTTTTTTGAATTTCAGAACTTTGTGCTGGATCTCGATCATCTGGTCAGCAAATATTCAGTAGATCAAGCCGCCATCAATTTCGTCTCCAACTTCAACAAAAAAGGGAATCACAAAAAATTGATAAATCTAATGGTTAGCCCGCCGGCTTCAAGATTAGATTTGATACCATTTTATGCTCGACTTATCGCAATTCTCGAAAATGTTATGCCTGATCTCACCACTGAAATCGTCAATCAAACACTGGAGAAATTTCGAGGATTTATGCAGAAAATCGGGGAGAATGTGAAGATTGAGGTGAAATTGGTGACGGTTGCGATGATTGCGGAATTGGTGAGCATTTTTTGGCGATTTTCAGCTCAAAATTTGGGTCCAAAAAAATTTTAGAACCTCTGAGCCAAGTTCTGGGCTCTTAAAAGTTCAAAAATTGCCAAAAATTGGCTCATAAAAGTTAGTATAACTCAATTCTCCATGATTTTTGTGAAAAACTTAGTAAATTGAATTTTCAGAAAAGTTTTCGATTTAAAAAAAAAATAATGAATTTTCTGCCGAATTATTTTATCGAAATTTGGTTCCAGAAACTGAAAAAATTTAAATTTCGCCTAGAAAATTCGAAAAATTAGCTTTTTGCACAACATTTCATGGATTTTTGGAAGAAAACTAGCTTTTTCAGCTCAAATTCTCATTTTCAGCTCAAATTTTGACTAAAAAAACCAAAAAAAAATTACGTTTCAAAATTTTGATATAATTTTTTATCAAATATTTTTTTTTCAATAAACCTAGCAATTCGAATTTGGAAAATTCTGAAATTATTGATTTTTGGATCGAAATTCATGAAAATTTCAAGTTTTCAATATAATTAGCTAAATTCATAGTTAAATTTTTCTAGACGAGCCATTTTTCAGCTTATTTTTCAGCTTCATCTTTTTCAGCTATCAAATCTTGAAAATCCACATTTTTGATGAATTTTCAGCTCAAAATTTGGGTCCAGAAACTGAAAAACTTTGATTTTCGTCGAGAAAATTCGAAAAATCAGCTTTTCAGCTCAATTTTGGCGATTTTCAGCTTGAAATTTGGGTCCAAAAACTGGAAATTCTCATTTTCAGCTCAATTTTTGACTCAAAAAAAAACAAAAAATTACGTTTCAGAATTTTTATATAATTTTTTATCAAATATTTTTTTTTTCAATAAAGATAGCAATTGGAATATGGAAAATTCTGAAATTATCAAAATTTGGTTCCAGAAACTGAAAATCTACGATTTTTGTTCTGAAAATTCGAAAAATCAGCTTTTTCCACAACATTTCATGGATTTTGCCGGAAAAATAGCTTTTTCAGCTCAATTTTTGACTCAAAAAAAACCAAAAAAAAATTACGTTTCAAAAATTTGATATAATTTTTTATCAAATATTTTTTTTCAATAGATTGCTAACAATTGGTATTTGGAAAATTCTGAAATTTTTGATTTTTTGGATCAAAATTCATGAAAGTTTCAAGTTTTTAATTTCGAAAAGATAAATTTCTCAAAATTTGGTTCCAGAAACTGAAAATCTACGATTTTTGTTCTGAAAATTCGAAAAATTTTGACTCAAAAAAAACCAAAAAAAAATACGTTTCAAAATTTTCATATAATTTTTTATCGAATATTTTTTTTCAATAAGATGAGTAATTCGTACTTGGAAAAATTCAGAAATTATTGATTTTTGGATCAAAAAATTTCAAAAATTCAAAATTTTCATGAAAATTCCAATAATTTTTCCATTTTCCAGATGAAATTCGATGTAATAAGCCGTGCCGAAGGTTTAAGTTGTCTTCGTCAACTTGTTTATAATCTACGTGGACATTCAGTTGATATGACTGCAATTATGATTGAATTGGGAGGATATTATTTGTATAGACATACGGATAGTCATTCAAAAATGAAAAGATTATTAGAAGTTGTGAAAGTGAAGAGAGAAAGAATGAAGGATAGCCGACAAATTGTGGGTTTTTTCGAACTTTTTATCGGGAAAAATTGAAAATTTTGGCGTTTTTGGGTGCAGAAAATCGGAAAAATTCATGGATTTTTGCCAGAAAACTAGTATTTTTTAGCTCAATTTTTTCAAAAATCTAATTTTTGAGTCAAAATGTGACCTAAAAATAAGAATTTGAGCTGAAAAACTAGTTTTCAGCCAGAAATCCATGAAATGTTGTGCTAAAGCTAATTTTCTAGACAAAAATCAAAGCTGAAAATTCATGAAAAATGTAGATTTTCAAGAATTTAGAAAATACAGTAATCCAAAAAAATTGAAATTTTGAGTCCTGGAGTACTGTAGGTTGAAAATTCGCAAAAAATTATGATTTAAAAAGTTTGAGCTTCTGGGTACTGTAGACTCTAAAATTCCTAACTTGACTGAAAATTCTCAAAAAATTATGATCGACAAGAATTTAAAAAATACAGTAACCCCAAAAACTAGTTTCCAGGCAAAAATTCATGAAATACTGTGCTAAAGCTAATTTTTCGAATTTTTGGATGAAAATTGAAGTTTTTCAGTTTCTGGAGCCAAATTTTGAACTTAAAATTCATTAAAATATTGATTTTCAAGCTGAAAAATGGCTCATCTAGAAAAATTCACCTAAAATTTTACCTTTTCTAAATTTAAAACTTGAAATTTTCATGAAATTTGATCCAAAAATCGATAATTTCAGAATTTTCCAATATCGAATTGCTTTCTTTATTGAAAAAAAATATTTAATAAAAAATTATATGAAAATTTTGAAACGTAATTTTTTTTTTGATTTTTTTTAGTCAGAATTTTAGCTGAAAAGCCTATTTTTCGAATTTTTTGGATGAAAATCGCAAATTTCCAGTTTCTGTACCCAAATTTTGAGCTTAAACTTCATCAAAAATTCAGAATTTCAAGTTTTGATAGCTGAAAATGAAAAAAAGGACCCAAAAAATACGATTTTTTGAGCGAAATAATCCTAAGAAAAATCAATAATTCCCAGATGCTAATCGATAATGCCTATTTCACATGTCTTCCACCCGAAGAATCACAAGAAGAACGTTCCCGCCTTCAAAAAACATCCGAAAACACTCCCATCAAACAATTCATTCGCCACATCATCATCGACATCGACGCCGATTTCATCGACACATTTCTGAAGTGTCTTCGAAGATTGGACTGGTCCGATCCCGATGTTTCGAATTACGCCATCAAATATATGTCATCACCCTGGCTGATCCCCCTGGAGAATTTGCAGCATTTGGCATCGGCGATAGTTGGTTTATGCGCACTTTCGCAATTCAAATGGATTGGTATTGCTGTAATTGACAATGTTATTGAGACAATTAAATTGTCTTTGGAATTTCCGGAGACTTTTAATCAGTGGGCAAATTCGGCTATTAGTTATCTTGGAGAATTGTATAATTTTGCACTATGTGATGAGGAATTGATACTGAAAGTATTGTATTTGTTGATAACGCATCCGGAAACTTCTGAGCAACAAAGTTGGAGAGATTTGTCGAGATTGCGGTTGGTTTGTGCTCTGTTGCAAGTGGCTGGGGAATTTTTGAAAACGAGTGCGGTTGCTGTGAAATTCCGATATTTTATGATTTATTTTGATCGATTTTATTTGGTGAAAAGGGAGAGATTTGAAGCGGAAGTTGAGAAGGTTTGCGGTTTTTTTGGGGGGAAATTTGGGCAAATTTTGAAAAATTTGACGAAAAAACCTCATTTTTTGTATTTTTGGACAATATCTAAGCAAAAATAACCCAAAAAATTGAAAAAAAGTTTTTTTTTCCTCTGAAATTTACGTTCAAATTTGATTTTCTAAGCCTAATTTAGAGAAAGTTGAGAAGGTTTGGATTTTTTTTTGGAAAAAATTTGAAAAAAAAAATTTTTTTTTGAGCACTTTCAGTGATCAAATTTCGATGAAATAAGCAAAATTCTCTCAAAAACCTCTTTTTTTAAAAACTATTTTTTGAGAATTTCAGAGCGAAATTCATCTGTTTCAGATTTCTGAGCGAAAATTGACGAAAAAAATTGAATTTGAACGTAAATTTTCAGAAAAATGAGAAAAAACCCGGGTTTTCAGAGCGAAAATTCTCCCAAAAACGTTATTTTTCCCGTATTTTTGACCAAAAATTAACGAAAAATTGAAAAAAAAACGTGGCCGTGGCCGAGAAATTGTCGGAAATTCGGCCACGCTCTCGAAAATAATGATTTTCGAAGCATTAGAGCGAGTTTTGGGCTTTGGCCGAATTCCCAATATTTCTAGGCCATAGCAAAAAGTTCGGCCACGTAAATTTCAGAAAAAAACGTGGCCGTGGCCGAGAAATTGTCGGGAACTCGGCCACGCCCTCAAAAAGAATGGTTTTCCGAGCATTAGAGCGAGTTTTGGGCTTTGGCCGAATTCCAGATATTTCTAGGCCACCCGAAATAGTTCGGCCATGTAAATTTCAGAAAAATACGTGGCCGTGGCCGAAAAATGTCGGAAACTCGGCCACGCCCTCAAAAAGAATGGTTTTCCGAGCATTAGAGCGAGTTTTGGGCTCTGGCCGAATTCCTGATATTTCTAGGCCATCCGAAATTGTTCGGCCACGTATTTTTCTGACAATGTGAAACTAGAGTCTAGTTTTTTTTGTGAAGCTTCAAATTTTGAATTTTTCAGCAAAAATCGATTCTGGAGCTCTTGAAACCGGAAAAACAACGACACTCCGCTTGCACGAGCGGAGTGTCGTTGTTTTCGCTGAAAATTCAGCATTTGAAGCTTCACGAAACTAGACTCTAGTTTTAAGAAGATATACGTGGCCGAACTTTTTCGAGTGGCCGAGAAATGTCGGGAACTCGGCCACAGCAACAAACTCGCTCCAATGTTTCGAAAATCATTATTTTGGGGCGAGGCCGAATTCCCGACATTTCTCGGCCACCGCAAAAAAGTTCGGCCACGTCTGAAAATCAGAATTTTTTCGGATTTCAGTTGGAAAACCTGTGATTTTTCTGAAATTTCTGAAAATTTCCAGCTTGGTTTAATGGGAGCAATCGAAGATGTCGAAAGTTCGATCAACACAAAATTCCCGTTCGAAATCGAAATCGCCTATGAAAATTGCTCGAAAGTGTTGCGACGTGTCAAATCTGCGATTCCGCTGAATTTGGAGGCCGCCAATTTGGCTGTGCAGAAAATGGAAAACAATTTGAGGAAGAGCCTTGATGTTGAACTTCAACAGTCCGATTCGCGACGTGGATCTTTTGAAGAGGCCACCATTTTTGAGGAGGATGAAGAGGAATATAGGTTGGATTTTGGGGAGATTTTCCAAAAATTGTGAAATTTCTACTGAAATTGAATTATTTCCAACAAAAAAACACAAAATCGAGAATTTTCTACGATTTTGGAGCCTATTGCTCATGTTATAGAGGATTTTTTGTCAAAAATTGAATACAGGGTGATATCCAGGAGGGTCGATTTGCTAAAATATCGATTTTCCAACCAAAAATCCACGTTTGTTCAGGAAACTTTTGGTTGAAAAATCCACATTTTACCAATCCTGATCACCCTGTACTAAATTTTTGATAAAATCTTGTCTAACATGAGTTATGGGCTCTTTTTGTGCTCTTTTCGCTTTTCAGAGTGAAAAACTGTACAGAATACATTTCAAATTTTTGATTTTATGACGTGGCAAAAAATAGGATTTTCCAGAAAAAAATCGATATTTTTCTTACAAAGTTGAACAAAAAGTGCATTCTTCCAAAAAGCTGAAAATTCATCAAAAATGTAGATTTTCAAAGCTGAAAATTATGAATTTGGCTTGAAAAAAAGTGCAAATTTGAGCTGAATTTTATAGAAAAATTGAAGTTTTAACTAGAAAATTTGGGTCCAGCAACTCATTTTGCCAAAAACTTCTCGAACAAACGGAAAAATAGACATTTTTGTAGCTTTCCCGCACAAAATTTCAATGGATGCTTATTTCGAGCCAGAAAACTAGTTTTTCAGCTCAAATTCTTATTTTCAGCTCAAATTTTAACTCAAAAATTCGAATTTTTCGAAAAAATCTTGAATTTTAAAATAATTTCCAGCGATGAAGATGAAGAGGAAAGCGATTACGACGAAGAAGAGGAAAAGCTGCGATTCAGCGAAGAATTGGCAAAACAGGCGACAAAAGAGGAAGAAGACGAATTCCAACGAGAATTGGATTCGCTGATGGGAGACGGGTTCAGAAATCCGACAACCGTTCAAAATGTGCACGAGATGTCATTGCCGGCAGCTGCCAAGAATCGATTTGAGCGCAGAATTATGTTTTGTGAGTGATTTTGAGGGGAGGTTCTGGGAAAATTTGCGGGAAAATTGGACAAAAATCGTGATTTCCATGTTAAAGGAACATACAGTAATACCTGCGTATCTAACTGGACATTTTTGTTGTTTTGGACAATTTTCAAGAAATTTGACCATTTTGGACAAAAATTGTTCAAAAACATAGAATTGTGAGATTAAAGGAACATACAGTACCAATTGCGTATCTAACTGTGAACATTTTTGTTGTTTTTGGACAATTTCTTGAAAATTGTCCAAAAACAAAAAAACAGACAATTTTTTGTCCAAAACTGCCAGCTTAAAGGAACATACCGTACCACCTGCTTATCTAACTGAACATTTTTGTTGATTTTGGACAATTTTTGTCCAAAAACAAAAAAAATGCCAGACTGAAGGAACATACAGTAATACCTGCGTATCTAACTGAACATTTCTGTAGTTTTTTGGACAATTTTTGTCCAAAAACATCTAATTGCCAGCTTAAAGGACCATACAGTACCTACTGCGTATCTAACCAGTGATTTTCTGCCCGAGTTAGATGTGCAGGTACCCAGCTTTTCTGATGTTTTTGGACAATTTCTTGAAAATTTTCTTGAAAATTGTCCAAAAACACCAAATTGCCAGATAATAGAAACATACCGTACCACCTGCGTATCTAACTGAACATTATTGTTGATTTTTTGTCGAATTTCTTGAAAATTGTCCAAAAACAAAAAACTAGACGATTTTCTGTCCAAAACTGCCAGATTAAAGGAACATACCGTACCTCTTGCGTATCTAACTGAACATTTGTTGTTTTTGTCCAATTTCTTTAAAATTGTCCAAAAACACTCACCTGCGTATCTAACTCGTGGTTTTCTGCCTGAGTTAGATGTGTAGGTAGCTCTACCGTACTTAAGAGCTCATTTGAACCTTTTGAAAAACTTGGAACCGTGCCAAAAGCTCAAAAATTGTGATTTTCACAGTTTCGGAATTTTTGGCCAAAATCAGTATAATTTTTGGGTGGTCCCAGCTAATTTTTTTTCATTTTTTTTAAATATTCCTGGCTTCTCGTTGCCTACGGGCACTAAAGTAATTTGAGAAGTTGTGAAAATTGAGAGAAGAAGAAGAAGCTGTGAGAAACAACAACAATTGACTTTTTTATACGTTTTGGTGTTATTTGATATAGTCGAAAATAAGTGTTTCCGTGCAACATTGACACCCCAATTATTGTTTAGACAAAGTGGTTGGAGATTGTTTTGGTGTCTGGGTTTTGAAGGGGCCTGGAATTTTGAATTTTTACTCAAAAAAGTTCTTGACAAGAAAGTACCCCCGGGTTATGAAATGGACACGTTAAAAGTATAAAAATTGAGAGTATTGAAAAAAAAAATTGACGATAAATTATATCAAAATTTTGAAACGTATTTTTTTGTTAAGAATTTTTGAATCAAAATTTGACTCAAAAGTGATAAGAATGAGCTCAAAGTTTATCAAACAATTTTTTTTTTTCTGAAAAGTCAGTTAAATTCCGGATTTTCAAACTCAGAATCACGTAAATCTGAATCAGGACCGAAAAAAAACGTCATTTTTTCAACACATCGTGATTTTTTCTCGAATTTTCATGAAAATTCGGAGTTTTGGACGATTAAAAAATATGTACAAAAATCTGTAAATTTGAAAGTCCAAGCTAGTTTTTACACGGTGTTTCACTGTGTGTTTTTTTTTTTTGAGAAAAAATTAGCTTAACTTATTTTCTTCCCAGGCTCCATAGATCTTGTGAGAACTCTATAAATCCAAAGTTTCGCACACAAACTTCAAAAAATTCCTTTCAGTTTCCCACGAGAAATCAAGCCCCCACAAGTACAAAAAAAAGCTCAAAAATCCAGAATTTAAGAAAATTCGTCTGAAAATTCGAATTTTCATCAAAATTGCAATTTTCCGGGTTAACAAACCGGAATTTCGCAGATTTTTGATGATTCTGAAGCTTAAAAATCAGAAAATTTTCATCAAAATTGCAATTTTCCGGGTTAAAATCAATTTCCGAAATTCAGCAGATTTTTATGATTCTGAAGCTCAAAATCAAAAATGAGCAAATTTTTGCTAACTTTTGAGAGCCCAGAACTTATCGATTTTTTTCAAAATGACGTGTTTTGGGGTCATAATTATCGATTTCAAAAATCCCCTCCAAATTCTCAATAGAGCGCACTTGCCTATTTTCAGCAAAAAAATTCGAATTTTTCAAGATCTATAGATCTTTTGGCTTGTTTTTCTCACACAAACTTTGAAAATTTTACACGAGAAATCAAGCCCCCACATCATTTTTTTTCCAAGTACAAATTTCTCAAAATCTCAAAATGGTGTCGAATTTCAATCAAAAAAAATCGTTGACATGTCCAGGTCCAAATCCAAATTGTAACATGATATGACAAGAAAACAAACCCCCATATCTTGTTTTTTTTTTTGATGTTTTCCTCCTCTTTTTTTTTGTTGCACAATGCTCCAAGAAGATTTTATACGAATTCGAAAAAAGACACATCTACACACAGAGCAACAAAAAGTTTATTGAATTTATTCGGGGGCAGTAAGCAGGCAACATTTTTTCACTCTTGTCGAAAAATGAAATGAAATTGGGTTGAAGAGAAGAGAAGAGTGATTTTTCGGAAAAAAGTGGGAAAAATGGAAATTCCCACAAAAAAACACGTCATTTTGAGAAAAATCGATCAAAAAATGCATTTTCTAGCTGAAAACTTCAAATTTTCAATAAAATTTTGAATTTAGCTCGAAAAAAGTGCAAAAATTAAAGTTTTTAACTAGGAAATTTGGTCCAGCAACTGCAAAAAATTTGATTTTTGGGTCCAGAAAATCGGAAAAATTAGGTTTACCACGAAATTTCATGAATTTTTGCCAGAAAACTAGTTTTCCAGCTCAAATTCCTGATTTTCAGCACAAATTTTGACTCCAAAAATTGGAATTTTTCAAAAAATCTTGAATTTTAAAAGTTTTTATTGGAAAAAACACGTCATTTTGAAAAAAATGCATTTTGTAGCTGAAAATTTCAATTTTTCAATAAAATTATGAATTTAGCTCAAATTTGCACTTTTTCCGAGCTAAATTCATAATTTTGTGGAAAAATTCAAATTTTTAGCTAGAAAATCATTTTTTGATCGATTTTTTTGAAAATTTCGTGTTTTTTTTTTGAGAAAAACTTTCGAAAAATTCGAATTTTTGAGTCAAAATTTGAGCTGAAAAACTAGTTTTCTGACAAAAATCCATGAAATTTTGAGCTAAAGCTAATTTTTCCCGATTTTCTGGACAAAAATCAAAGTTTTTCAATAAATTTACGAATTTAGCTGTGAAAACACGTAAAAATCCCAAATTTTCGAGAATTTTCGGAAAATGAGCTACCCTAACTTCAAAAAATTCCCGGCCGAAATGACATTTTTCAACACCACATGTCATGAAAAAAAAATTTTTCACTTAAAAAAAACATTATCCTAATGGAAAATTTTTGATAAATGTTGGGCAATTTTTGTTTTTTTGCAGCTGATGATACGAAAGAAGCGAGTTCCTCGAACTCCAAAACACAACAACAAATCAGAAGAATTTCGATGGCGCCAAAAGAAAATTCGGCGGAAGAAAATGAGATGATTGTTGAGGATGAGGAGGAGAAAATGAGAAGGGAAATCGAGAAGAATAGTCGAGTTACGATTATGATGAGAGGAAAAGGAAGCAAGGTACAGGAGGGTTTACAGGAGGGTTTGACAGTAGTTTAATATGAGCAATGCCGGATTTTTTGCCGCAAAAAATGTGTAATTTTTGAATTCGAGTTTTTGGCAGCCAAAAAAGCTCAATATGAGCAATACAAGATTTTTCATGGAAAAATTTTTGAATTTCAAATTTTAGCGCCAGAAATCATAACATGAACAATGTAATTTTTGACACCAAAAAAGCCGAATTGTTCACGTGAAAAATGTGCAATTTTGCCACGTGGCAGCCATAGTTTAATATGAGCAATGCCTAAAAATTCTATGAAAATTTTGAAAATTTTGAGTTCACGACGATTTTTTTCAAATTGAGCCCGTGAGCCAAGTTTTATAAGGCTCAAAATCATACTATTGACCCTATGAAGTTTAATATGAGCAATACCGGATTTTTCATGTGAAAAACTTGAATTCTTAATTTTAGCGCCAGAAATTATAAAATGAGCAATGTCATTTTTTTGCTTAAAGGACTTTAATATGAGCAATGCCGGATTTTTCACGTGGAAAATGTGTAATTTTTGAATTCGAAGTTTTGGCGCCAAAAAAGTTTAATATGAGCAATGCCGGATTTTTCATGAAAAAATTTGAAAATTTGAATTCTTGATTTTGTCGCCATAAAAGTTAAATATGAGCAATGGTTTTTATCTGCTAAAATGAGCAGTTGTTGCCACGTGGCAGTCATAATTTAATATGAGCAATTATGCTCTTTTTTCAAATCCACCTGGCTAAAATATAGTTTAACATGAGCAATGCCGGATTTTTCATGTGAAAATTTGAATTCCTCATTTTAGCGCCAGAAACGTTTAATATGAGCAATGATTTTTCACCTGCTAAAATGAGCAATTTTGCCACGTGGCAGCCATAATTTAATATGAGCAATGCCAGATTTTTCAACTAACTTTTGGCTCAGAGGTCCAAAAATGAGGCATTGCTCATGTTATAATTTCTCGCGCCAAAATTTGAATTTGGTAGGTCAAAAATGCGGGAAAATTTAGCCATATTTTTCTCAGAAAAAACAAATTCCGGCAATTTTTTAATTTTTTTCCTTCGGGTGAGAAAAACTGCTCAAAATTCAGATTTTTTCATTTTTGAATCTCAAAAAATTCCGGCAAAATTCAGAATTCCGAGTTTTTTTCGGGAATTTTTTCGGGATTCAAATGAAAAAATCTGAATTTTGAGCAATTTAGGCTTAAATTCTATTAATAAATTCTAAAAAAAATCCAATTTTCTCAAATTTTCTCAAATTTCCTATGAAAAAACTGCTCAAAATTCCGGAAAAATTCAGAATTCCACGTTTTTGCGTCCCCAAAACAAGAATAGCAAGTACGCTCCATTGAAAAATGCAATTAGAGCGCGTTTTCTCAATTTCTTGCAGTTTGCAAATGCGCTCTAATGAGAAATATAGGATTTTCAATGAAATTTGAATAAATTTTTGCCAAAATGTTTTGAAAATTCGCCCAAATTTTGCAGCCTCAACTCAAAACCGTCTCAATCAAAGACGAAACTTTGCGCGAACGTTGGGAACTGGAAAAAGAACGTGAGAAAAAAGAGCGAGAAGACATGAAACGGTTGACATTGGGACAACAGCGAAGAATTGAGTTGGAAGAGGAAAAAGCAATGATGGCACAAATTAATAATTATCGAATTAAAGGCGCAGCAGCAACAGGCGGTGTAGCTACTATGAAGAAGAAATATTGATTTTTTCCCAGAATTTTTTTTTTGGCCTTTTTTCCCTGGGGTGAGTTTTTATGGGAGACTTTCACTTTGAAATATGTAGTAAAAATTTTATTTTCAAAAATACAAGAGCAGGAAAAAAATTGAATAAAAATGTACCCCGGCAACGCAGATTTTGAGCACTTGTGGCCTAGTTTCCGACATTTCTCGGTTTCTCGGCCACCGCGAAAAAGTTCGGCCACGGCCGAGAAAAATAATGATTTTTGAGCGATTTTCTTGCTCTGGCCGAGTTTTCGACGATTTCTAGGCCACCCGGAATAGTTCGGCCACCTATTTTTCTGAAATTTACGAAATATACACGTGGCCGAAGTTTCCCGGTGGCCGAGAATTGTCGCAAATTCGGCCAGAGCGCTCTAATGTTTCGAAAAATCATTGGTGGCCGAAATCCCGACATTTCTAGGCCACCTGAAATAGTTCGGCCACGTATTTTTCCTTTTTTTTTCTCGGAAAACTAGAGTCTAGTTTTTCATTTTGTAAAAAACTGTGATGAAAATTCAGAATTTTTTATTTTTTTGATGAAAATTTCACAGTATTTCACAAAATCAAACACTAGACTCTAGTTTTTAGAGAAAAAAAAAAGAAATTTACGTGGCCGAAGTTTTTCGGTGGCCTAGAAATGTTGGGAATTCGGCCAGAGGAGCAAAATCGCTCTAATGTCACGAAAATCAAAAAATTTTTGAGGCGAGGCCGAGTTCCCGACATTTCTCGGCCATCCTGAGATTTCTAGGCCACGTAGTTTTCTCTAAAAACTAGAGTCTAGTTTGATTGTGTAATTTACAAAACTAGAGTCTAGTTTCATTTTGTCGAGCTGAAAAATTCTTAAAAATTTGACTGGAATCCAGATTTATTCGAAATTCAGCCCCAAAAAACGGAAAAAACAACGACACTCCGTGTAAACGAGCGGAGTGTCGTTGTTTTTTTTTGAAATTTTTTTTTTATTTTTACATTTTGAGCCCAAAATGCTCATAAACTCCGTTGCCGCGACATTTGAAAATTTAAAAATTTGAAAAAAAAAACAATATGAATAGAACCGTATATGGATTTACAGAAACTCGACTGACCTGACTGATTTTTGAAAACGCAAAAACGCACCAACAAAAAAAACCCCGCGAGAGGAGCAAAAATATATATTTAATCGGCTCAATTTTTCTTGTTGTTGTTGTTGTTATTTTCACCCCGAAGCAGGTTTTGTTGATGTATTTTTTCGTTATTTTTTTGTTTGTGGCACGGTGAAACTCTGGTCTTTTTTTCCGCGTTTTTTTGTTGAGATCCTGAAAAAAAAATTTTTTTGAAAAAAAAAAAAATTTTTTTGAAAATTTTCTGACGTCATTGCGGAGTCTCAATTTTTTTTCCAAAAAAAAATTTGTTTTTTCAGAATTAAAAAAAGTTAAATTTGAAAAAAAACCGCGTGAAATTTTTGTGACGTCATTGCGGAGTCTCGTTGGAAAATTTTTTGAAAAATTGTGTTTTTTCAGAATTAAAAAAAATTTTAATTTGAAAAAAAAACCGCGTGAAATTTTTGTGACGTCATTGCGGAGTTTCGTTGTTTTTTCTCCAAAAAATTGTGTTTTTTTAGAATTAAAAAAATTTAAATTTTCGAAAAAACCGCGTGAAATTCACGTGACGTCATTGTGGAGTCTCGTTTGAAAATTTTTGAAATTATTAAAATTTTCATTTTTTTTTTGAAAAAAAAATTATTTTTTGAAAAACCGAGTGACGTCATTGCGGAGTCTCGTTGTTTTTTTTCCAGAACATTTTTTTTTTGAAAAAAAATTTTTTTTCATTTTTTTCATAGTTTTTTTTATTAATATATATGGGTCCCTTTTTTTGTATTTGTTAATTTACGTTTTTTTTCATTTTTTTTCGCGAAATAAATATTTTCTTGCCCCCTACCCGACTATATAGTTATTATAACTTTTTTCGTTTTTTTTTTCGTCGAAATCTCATTTCCCCTAACTCTTCTTCCTATCTAAATAAATATATACTACTCTTTTTTTTATTGGAAATCCACCAGAAAAAAAAAAGTTTTTTTTGGGAATATAAAATTAAAATTCAATTATTCAAAAGTGTCCCCCAAGGAAGTTTTTTTTGGGCCGAAAAAAAATTGGAAAAAGTTGTTTGCTCAAAATTTTTGACACGTTATGCATTTTCGAAGAAAATATTGATTTTTTGAGCAAAAAAACTTAATTTTCTGGTGCTCCAAAGTGCAAAATACGCATCAATGAGTTTTTGAGTTAGGTTAAGTCGAGAAAACAAAAAAAATGTGAATTTTTCGAAGAAGGAAAAAATTTGAATTTAAAAAAAAACCGCGTGAAATTTACGTGGCGTCATTGCGGAGTCTCGTTGTGTTTTTTCAAAATTGAAAAAAAAATTTAAATTTTAAAAAAAAACCGCGTGAAATACACGTGGCGTCATTGTGGAGTTTCGTTGGCAAAATTTTTCAATATTAAAAATTGTTTTTTTTTCAAAATTAAAAAAAAATTTAAATTTTTTTGAAAAACCGCGCGAAATACACGTGGCGTCATTGCGGAGTCTCGTTGTGATTTTTCCAAAAAAAAAATTTTTTTTTCAAAAAATTGTTCACTTTCTCAAAAAAGTTCCCCTTCTCACAAATAAAAAACAATAAAATTTTTTGGTTCCCAAATGTTCACTCTTCTTGTTTCTTTCTCCTCTTCTCACACATATCAAACTCAAAACATTCACTTTTTGTGTGTTGCCTCCAGAGATTTTCTGGCTCTGGAGACGCAGATGGTGACAACTTGCTTGCTGTGTTTTTTTGCGGGGTTCGGAGCTTATTACAAGCAAAAATTCTAAAAAAAAAAAAAAAAGTTGTGCGTCGGGTGGGGGTCGAACCCATGGCATCACAAAGATTAATACGCCCGCGCGCTAACCACTCGGCCAGCCGGCTGTTTTTCTCTCTTGTCGCAAATTGTATATTTAAAAGGCGCGCTCGCTCGGGTGGCGCATTTTCTCGACAGGGTGACACTGGAACTAACCTTTTTGATGTGTTCACCGGAATAAATGGAAGATTTAGAAGAAAATATAGGAAAATAGTAATATGAATATGGAGAAAAGAGCAATTTTTGAAAGAATTTGAAAGGATTTTGGAAATGTTGAAGAATTGCATAGATCACGTGGACAAACACAGACACGTTGCATTGAATGACGTTGTTGAACTTGACCTGGAAAAAATTGAAAATGAAAATGCGCTCCAACGCGAACTGTGACGTCATCAGGAGCTTGTGATGTGGAAAATTAGGTGAAAAAGTTGGGGACGTACAAGTGTGCTCTATCGCACATATACACATTTTTTGTGTGTACTTCTCTCGGAATTCAAAAAAAAATGTTTTTTTTTCAAACTGCTTGCCATGTGGCAAATGCGCTCCATTGCGAACTATGACGTCACTGTGAATTCGTTTCGAAAAAAAATAATGAGCGATCAAGTGTGCTCTATCGCACACATTTATTTTTTTGTGTGTACTTCTCTCGGAATTCAAAAAAAACATTTTTTTTCTTTTTTTTTGTGGAAAAATTTGAAAATGCAGAAAACGCGCTAAAGTCCGCAAACACCACGACGCAAAAATGCACAAAAACCAACCTGGTTGCGTATTTTGCGTCATACTTCTCACATTCTGACACGCCATATGATGGAAATTTTTTCGCTTATCACAACCGGCTCCCATCCAATAATCGCCATTCCCTGCAAAAACAAAACACCGTGTTTTTTTTTTTGTTTTTTTGTTTTTTTTTTTAATTTCTCTGAAAATATGTAAAAATTTCCATATAAATGGATATATATATGAAAAACAATTATTTTTTGTTATTATTATAGCTAAAAGGCCGTGAAAAAACGTATTTTTCACAAGAAAACTGATAGAAATTGTGTTTTTGGCCAAAAAAATGCTTTAAAAATCCATATTTCTTAGATTCTCAGAGCCAAACCTTAGATTTAGCTTAGTTTAACTATAGTCTAGTTTGATGCAAAAATTCGGAACATTTCGATAAGTTTTCGGCAAAATATTAAAGCAGGTGAAAAAAATAAAATTCAAACCGCGCGCGCGCAACGTCAACGCGGAGTATCGTTGTTTTTTTGTAATTTTTTCATTTTTTTTCATTTTTATCAAGAAAAATGCGATTTTCAATAAGTTTTCGGCGAAATATGAAATCCCGTGAAAAAATAAATAAATTCAAACAGCGCGCGCGTGCAATGTCAACGCGGAGTCTCGTTGTTTTCTTTTTATTTTTTTGCAATTTTTTATTTTTTTTTTCATTTTTTGACAATTTTGCATGAAAAAACAATTTCGTGAGGATAAAATTGCAAAAAAATTCAAAAATTCAAACCACGCGCGCGTGCAACGTCAACGCGGAGTATCGTTGTTTTTTTTCATTTTTTTTCATTTTTTGACAATTTTGCACGAAAAAAGAGCTAACCGGAATGCATAGTAATTGTAACACAAACATCTTGATCTCGATCGCATTTAATTGGTTCAAGAAGACATTGTGGGCGATGAAGACGGGTTGAAATGCGAAAATTGTCGAGTTGTGTTGTTGAAGATGTGAACATACATGTTAGACATGTTAGAGATGAGGTTGTCTGAAGGAATTTTGATTTTTAGCTGGAATTTTTGCAGAAAAATTGCATTCTTTGGTCTAAAAACAAATCTCATCACATATTTTTTGTCAAAAAAATGTTTTTTTATTTTTTTCGACTTAAATCACCCCATTAAAAATGTGTGTGGGCTGAGCTCAAAATTAAAATGAAAATGAAGAAACTTAATGAGAAAATTCGGCTTTTCTCACGAAAAAAAATTTAAATTTTCGAAAAACCCGCGTGAAATACACGTGGCGTCATTGCGGAGTCTCGTTGGAATATTTTTGAAAATATTAAAAATTTGCATTTTTTTTCTAAATAAATTTTTTTTGAAAAACCGGGTGACGTCATTGCGGAGTCTCGTTGTGTTTTTCAAAAAATTGTTTATTTTCAGAGTAAAAAAATTTAAATTTTCGAAAAAAAACCGCGTGAAATACACGTGGCGTCATTGCGTAGTCTCGTTGGGTTTTTCAAAAAAAAAAAGTTTTTTTTCTACAAATTACTGTATTCCAAGGAATCCGCAAACACCGCCACGCACAAATTCGCGCGCGAATTCAAAAAATTCAAATTTTTCCCGCTCCCCAACCAACCTGCACACATCCAAAAACCAACCAAACCACCAAAAATCGCCGCCAAAACGTGTCGATTTTTTTTCGACGTCGATGGTGGCCAAACCACATAAAATAGAGGAGAACTAGAGTATAGTTTGGCGGTGGGATGACACGTGGCAAACTAGAATATAGTTTGGGATGATAAAATCTAGATTTTTCACATGAAAAAAAATGTGAACATACAAAGCGACGAAAAGTGTGGAGAAAAAGAAGAATTGAGCAACACACTGAGCAAAAAAAAAAAAAAACGGAGCAGGAAAAATTTGTGGGCGTGGCCAAAGTGGGCGTGGCTTTTTCTTTTGAGGTTCAGATTATTATTATTGTTATTTTTTTTTTCTGAATTGACTTCATTTTTTTCGCGCCAAAACTTCATAAGGAAAAAACAATAATATAGTGAAGAAGAAAAAAAAAATATGAATAATTAAATTGGTAGCAAAAAAATAATAGAAAAAAATAATCATTTTTTCCTAGTTATGGGAAAAATCACAGATTATGGACGAAAAAAATTACACAACCAAAAAAACATTCTAAAAATTCTCAAAATTAATTTTTTTCACAAAAATTTAAAAAATTTCACAAAAAATACGTGGCCGAACTATTTGCGGTGGCCGAAGATTGTCGGGAATTCGGCCACGGCAACAAATGCGCTCTAATGACACGAAAATCATCATTTTTTCCGAATTTTTGAGAAATATGGCCATTGCTCATATTAAACTTTTTGGCACCGAAATTAAGAATTCAAATTTAAATTTTTTTACGTGAAAAATATGGCATTGCTCATACTAAAATTTGTTGGCCGAATTCCCGACATTTCTCGGCCACCAAAAAAGTTCGGCCACGTATTTTTCTGAAATTTACGAAATATAAACGTGGCCTAACTATTTGCGGTGGCCGAGAAATCATCGGGAATTCGGCCACGCTCCCAAAAAATGATGATTTTCGTGTCATTAGAGCGAATTTGTTGCGTTGGCCGAATTCCCGACGTTTCTCGGCCACCGCAAAAAAGTTCGGCCACAAAAAAAATTATGACAAATTTTTCTCAGATCTTGGAATGCTCGAAATATTGATGCTTCAAATCTTCAACATTTTCAGTCTGCTTTTTCGCGATTTCAATGTCATTTGCAATTTCAGCTTTGAGAGCGTCTGAAAATTTTTTGAATTATTTTTTTAAAAATTTTATTTCTGATTTCTGATTCTAAAAAATTCTCAATTTTTAAAATTTTTCGAATTTTGATTTTTAAAACAAATTCTGAATTTTAAAAATTTTTGATTTCTGATTTTGAAAAAAATCTGAAAAAAATCTGAAAAAATTCTGAATTTTCAAAAATTATTTCTGATTTTTGAAAAAAATTTTCGCTTTTTTAAAAAATTTTTATTTCAGATTTTTTTAAAATTTTTGATTTTTTCTAAAATTTGTATTTCTGATTTTAAAAAAATTTGATTTTTTTTGAATTTTTTGAATTATTTCTGATTTTTAAAAAAAATTCTGATTTTGGAAAAAAATTTTTTTTTAAAATTGAAAAAAAATTTAAAAAATTTTTTTTAATTCTGTTTTTTTTTGAATTTTTAAAATTTTTATTTCTGTTTTTTTTAAATTCTAAAAATTCCGAAATTTTCTTACCTAATGACACAAAACTCGACATTTCTCGAATAAATCCAATAATTAATCCACGAATTGTTGAACCATAAAAATCGGGACCATTATAGCCGATCAAATTCACTTCCAGCGTTTTTTTCTCATTTTTGTATTGCGGGTTTTTGCCGACACTCATTGCCATACTGAAAACCTGGAAAAATCGAGGGATTTTCAGCTCCCAGACCTAAAAAATGCTAAAAATTCTGATTTTTCAATAGAAATTCGAGATTTCTAGCTTCTAGGTCTGAAAAATGCTGAAAATTCCAGAGTTTCAGTTAGAAATCGGGGTTTTCAGCAATTTCGACCTTAAATTGACCAAAATTCAAGATTTTGCATGAAAAATAAGCCCAGAAGCATGTTTTTGGACCAACAACGATGAAAAATCGATATTTTTGAGAAAATGCGCTCTATTGATAATTTGGGAGCGAAAAAATCGGAATTCAAATTTTCTCACATGAAAATCAAGATGAAATCCAGGTTTTTGATGCAAAATTGAGCAAATTCGCTCCATTGATAATTTTGGCGCCAAAAGTAGAAAATTCAAATTTTTTATAATGAAAATCAAGATGAAATCCAGGTTTTTGATGCGAAATTGAGTCAAAAACCTGGATTTTCAGCTCCTAGGCTTAAAAAATGCTGAAAATTCTAATTTTCCCTCCCAAAACTTCAAATTTTCGCTCACCTTCCCATTCAAACTGGCCAATCCAAAATAAACGCCAACCTTCAACTCATCTGGCAAATTCGCCACAACACAATCTTCCAAATTCGCCGTCGGACATCCCAATTCTTTTCCACCTCTACCGAATCCTCTTACAACTAAACCTTCAAATAAATACGGTAGCACATTTTTCATCTGAAAAAAAAAATTTAGTTTTTCAGCTGCGTGCGGCTGTGCGTCGCGGTCAGCTTGATTTTTTTGCGAAAAATTTTTAAATTTTCTTTTTTAGCGCCAAAATTTGCAATGGAGCGAATTTGCTCAAATTGGGGTCAAAATTATCGAAAAAAACTCAAGTTTAGAGATTTTCAGCATTTTTCAGACCTGAGAGCTGAAAATCCCGACTTTTTCAGCATTTTTTAGGCCCGGGAGCTGAAAATCCCGACTTTTTCAGAATTTTCAGCATTTTTTAGGCCCGGGAGCTGAAAATCCAGGTTTTTAACTGAAATTTTGAAAATTTCAGCATTTTTCAGGTCTCGGAGCTGAAAATCCCGACTTTTTCAGAATTTTCAGCATTTTTTTAGGCCTGGGAGCTGAAAATCCCGACTTTTTAAGGATTTTCAGCATTTTCCAGGCTTCGAAGCTGAAAATCCCGACTTTTTCAGAATTTTCAGCATTTTCTAGGCCCGGGAGCTGAAAATCCCAATTTTCCAATGAAAAATCAGAATTTTCAGCATTTTTCAGGCCTTGGAGCTGAAAATCCAGGTTTTCTACTGAAATTCTGAGATTTTCAGCATTTTTCAGGTCTGGGAGCTGAAAATCCCGACTTTTTCAGAATTTTCAGCATTTTTTAGGCTCGGGAGCTGAAAATCCAGGTTTTCTACTCAAATTTTGAGAATTTTCAGCATTTTTCTAGACCTGGGAGTTGAAAATCCCAAATTTTCATTGAAAAATAGGGGTTTCCAGCAATTTTTTGGGCCCGGGAGCTGAAAATCCCAAATTTCTATTTAAAAATCAAAATTTTCAGCTAAAACCGCGACGCAGCCGCGCCGCGTTGACAACAAGATACTGTAATTCGGGCTACACCGTTTCAAAAAATCCAAAAATCAAAAAAAAATCACAAATTTATTAATTTCCGAAGTTCAAAATTATCAGAATTCCTTTGCCAAATTCAGAATTTCATCTAGATCTTTATCCTCAACTTCAATATTTTTGAAAATCTTCGGGGAGCAAATTAGAACTTCTCGAAGCAATTTAAATCTCTCCGTTTGTGTATACAAATTTTTGCTCTTTAATTCCAGCTTGGAAAATTCTCGTAATTTCGGCCAGAATTCCGTTTGAACTCTTCTCTGAATAAAAGTCCGTGAGACTTGTGACATCTTCAAAACGACTCGAACAATCAAACAATGTGCTGCGGAAATATTCATAAAATCATTTTGAATTTCGAAAATTCGAATTATATTTTGCCAATTTTGATGGATCATTGGAAGTAGAAAATCATCATAGTTCTTCAGAACTTCTAGAGAAATCTCAATAATTTCCAGGGTGACAATTTGAATTGCGAGAACTTCTGAGGAGATCATGTGTTTTGTGCGTGTCAGAATTTTTTTCGACGATTATCATTTGATTTGTGGGTATCGATTTTTCTTCGTCAGATTCTTCATTTTTCATTTTTATTGGCTGCAAAAATTCAGACTTTTCTAGGCTCATTTTGAAGCCCTTTAAGGCCTAAAATCGGGCCTAAACTTCGGCTTTCTTAGGCTCATTTTGAACCATTTTAAGGTCTGAAAATGGGCCTAAACTCAGACTTTCTTAGGCTCATTTTGAAGCCTTTTAAGGCCTAAAATTAGGCCTAAACTTAGGCCTGGAAAAAAATTGGGGCTCATTTTAAAGCCCTTTAAGGCCCCGTTGGAAATTGGGCCTAAACTCAGGCTTTTCTAGATTTATCTCTAAGTCCTTCAAGGCCTAAAATTGGGCCTAAAATTGGGCCTAAACTAAGCCTAATTCAGGATCATTTTGAAGCCTAAAACTTAGCCCAACTTAGGCCTATTTAGATTTTTTGAAGCCCTTTAAAACCTGAAATCGGATCTAAACTCAGGCTTATCTAGACTTTTTTTGAGGCCCTTTAAGGCCTAAAATTGAGCCTGATCTAGGCCCTGGAAAAAAATAGATGAGCTTTTTAAAGGAACATACAGTACCACCCGTTGGTTTTTGTCCAATTTCGAGTTATTTTGAGTTAGATGTGCAGGTTATACCGTACTCCAGCGTGCGCCTTTAAAGCCCTTTGAGGCCTGCAATTAGGCCTAAAATCGGGCCTAAACTTAGGCTTATTGGGGCTCATTTTGAAGCCCTTTAAGGCCTGAAAATGGGCCTAAACTTAGGCTTATTTAGGCTCATCTTAAAGCCTGAAATTGGGCCTAAACTAAGCCTAATCAGGCTCATTTTGAAGCCTAAAATTTGGCCTAAACTTAGGCTTATTTAGGCTCATTTTGAAGCCCACTTCACGGCCTGAAAAGTTCATGAAATAGATTCAAAATCGAGTTACAGATGCTCTAAAAATCAAAAAATGGTGTAAAAATCGACCTAAAATACATTTTTCTCGAGAATAAGGCATTTTCTCCTTATTCCCGTTAGGGTTTTCTTACCACGGGAACCCTCAACATTCCACATACTCTCGATTTTTTCCTTGAGAGGGAACATTGAAAACCATTCCTTGTAAAATTAGGCTTATTTAGGCTCATTTTGAAGCCCACTTCACGGCCTGAATTTGGGATTAAAACCAGGCGTTCCTAGACTCATTTTGAAGCCCTTTAAGGCCTAAAATTGGGCCCTAAAACCAGGCTTATTTAGGCTCATTTTGAAGCCCACTTCACGGCCTGAAATTGGGCCTAAAACCAGGCTTAATTAGGCTCATTTTGAAGCCCAAAATTGGGCCTAAACTAAGCCCAATTCAGGCCCATTTTCAAGCCCACTTTACGGCCGAAAATCGGGCCTAAAATTTAGGCTTATCTAGACTCATCTTGAAGCCCACTTTAAGGCCTGAAATTGGGCCTAAACTCAGGCTTATTTAGGCTCATTTTGAAGCCCGTTTCTCGGCCTAAAATCGACCCTAAACCTCACCTCCAATTCCGGAAACCATCGATTCACAGCCATCACAAAAGCTTTCAGCGCTCTCAAACATGAAATCGTATTTTTCTGCTCGAAATTGTCCAGCGAAATCAGCAATTTTTGTACAATAACAAGAGATTGATCGAAAAATTCGGAATCATTGCAACGATTCAAAAATTGTTGAAAAACAATCGGTGCAAATGGATAATATTGAGATGAAGTTGAAGCCAAAGTGATTCGATGAACTAGGTAAGATCCATATTTTGACATGGTTTCGGGTACTGTACTTGAATCAGTCTGCAAAATATTTGAATTTTTGTGAGAGTGTGTCAACACCGAACACCGAATCCTACGCGCAAAAATGAAAAAAAAACAACGACACTCCGTCCGTACGTACCAGCGGAGTGTCGTTGTTTTTCCGTAGTTTTTATCGATTTTTGCTGAAAATTCAGAATTTTTTGGAAATTTCACAACAAAATGAGACTAGACTCTAGTTTTCAGCAAAAAACGTGACCGACTAGACTCTAGTTTCGATTATCCATCAAAATTTGAACATTTTTAACACTTTTTAACTAAAAAAATAAACTAGACTCTAGTTTCAGGTGGCCTAGAATTGTCGGGAATTCGGCCAGAGCATCAAACTCGCTCTAATGACACAAAAAATCATCAATGGCCGAGTTCCAGACATTTCTCGGCCATCAAAAAAACTTCGGCCATGTAATTTTTCTGAAATTTACGTGGCCGAACTATTTCAGGTGGCCGAGGATTGTCGGGAATTCGGCCAAGGCAAAAAATGCGCTCAAAAATCATCAGTGGCCGAATTCCCGACATTTCTCGGCCACCAGAAAAGTTCGGCCATGTAATTTTCTGAAATTAACGTGGCCGAACTATTTCAGGTGGCCGAGGATTGTCGGGAATTCGGCCAAGGCAAAAAATCATTAGTGGCCGAATTCCCGACTATTTCTCGGCCACCAAAATACTTCGGCCATGTATTTTTTCTGAAATTTACGTGGCCGAACAATTCAGGTGGCCGAGGATTGTCGGGAATTCGGCCAACGCTCAAATTCCACAAAAAATCATCCGTGGCCGAGTTCCCGACACTTCTCGGCCACCAGAAAAACTTCGGCCATGTATTTTTGCGTAGAAAATGCATTTTGAATCAAAATTTGAGCATTTTTCCCCAAATTTGAGCATTTTTCCCCAAATTAAAAGCTCAAACCTCTCCCAAACTTTCTAATCCAAATTGTGCCGCTTCCGAAGTGATCCATGAATTCGACGCGGTTTCCAATAAGAGGAAAAACAGAATTTCGATGAGATTTTTCGATTTTTGTTTCTTTTTCACTTCGAAAAAGGCGACAAATTTCGCCAAACAAATGCAAATCAAACTTTCCAAGCACGATTCGAAATTCTCTGAATTCTTCTGATTTTTCCAAAACAGTTCCTCTAAAACTTCCAGAAAATATTCGGAAATTTGATAAATCCGCGATTCTTCAATACTATTTCCATCCAAAGAATTGGCCAAAATCAAAATCAGACTACATTTTCTGGAATTCGAAGTCGAATGTTGAATTTCTTCAAAAATCAAATCAATAAATTCGGGATTCCAGAGAATTTTCGCGATTTTTTCCACGTTTTTTGATTTGACATTGAATTGGAGCGGGAATTTTTGCAAGTGTTCACAGATGTTCGAAGTGCTTTCAGCTCTCGTGATCATTAGGCGTTTCAGATCGATTTTTATGCTATCCGTAAGACTTCTGGAAAAAAATACTGTAATTTAAGAAAAATGCATCATTGCTCATGTTAAATTATGGCTGCCACGTGGCAAAAAAGTTGCTCATTTTATATTTTTTTTAGAATTCAAAACAAATTCATTGCTCATATCAAGAATAATATGAGCAATCCGCGTTTTCTGTGGCTAACAATAAGATATAGCTTAACATGAGCAATGTTGAAAAATAGGCTTAATATGCATTTTTTCAGCATTGCTCATGTTAAGCTATATAAAAAAGAGAATTATGACTGCACCGAGTGAAAATTGCTCATTTTAAATCGCAGATAAAAATAGCATTGCTCATTTTAAATTTTCTGGCGCCAAAATTTAGAACTCTAATTGTTTTCGGGGAAAAAAACTAGCATTGCTCATGTTAAGGCACAGAAATTTAGAATTCAAAATTCACAAATTTTTTTCCAAAAACAGCATTGCTCATGTTAGAAAAATGCCACGAAGCCAAAAAAATTTATTTAGAATTCAGTTTTCAATTTTCAAATTTTTCAATTCAAAATTTACAAAATTTTCACAAAAACCACCTGACATTGCTCATATTTAATAAAAAAAAAGAGCATTATAGCTTCTCCAGCATTGCTCATGTTAGAAAAAATGGCACGAAGCCAAAAAATTCAAAAATTTTTTTTACAAAAAACATCTGACATTGCTCATATGAAACAAAAAGAGAATTATGGCTGCCACGTGGCAAAATTGCTCATTTTAAACTTTTTTCAGAATTCAAAACTCCAATTTTTTTCGGGAAAAAACCAGCATTGCTCATGTTAAATTTTTTGGCGCTAAAAAAATATTCAAAATTCAAAATTTCAATTTTTTCGGTTTAACATTGCTCATTTTATAATTTCTGGTGTTTATTTTGATTCAGAATTCAATTTTCAATTTTCAAATTTTTCAATTCAAAATTTACAAAATTTCTACAAAAAACATCTGCCATTGCTCATATTTAAAAAAAAGCATAATAGCTGCTCCAACATTGCTCATGTTAGAAAAAACGCCACGAGGCCAAAAAAATTCAAAAAAATTAGAAAAAACATGTGGAATTGCTCATATTATATTTTTTGGCTCCAAAATTTAGAATTCAAAATTTACAAAATTTTCACAAAAAACATCTGACATTGCTCATGTTAGAAAAATCAGAATGCTCATGATTTCTGGCGCTAAAAAAATCATGTGAAATTCAAAACTCTCAATTTTTACGAGCGAAAAAACTAGCATTGCTCATGTTAAATTAATTTTCAAAAATATTTTAGAGCGTTTTCTGTGGCTAACAATAAGATATAGCTTAACATGAGCAATGTTGAAAAATAGGCTTAATATGTATTTTTTCAGCATTGCTCATGTTAAGCTTTATGAAAAAGAGCATTATGGCTGCCAGGTGGCAAAATTGCTCATTTTAAATCGCAGATAGAAAATCATTGCTCATGTTATGATTTCTCTGGCGTTTTTTTAAATTCAAAATTCAATTTTCAATATTTTCAATTTGAAATTCAATTTCAAGATTTACGAAATGAATTCAAGATTCAGAAAATTTTTCCAAAAAATCAGCATTGCTCATGTTAGCTCAAAAACTGCCCCAAAAACCCCGTACCGTATCAAATTCACCACACAATTCGCTCTCGTCACACACAACATCTCCAAATCCTCTCGAATTCCAAACAACACCGAAATCAACATCTCAAAAGTCGGCTCAATATTCGTTCCACTTCTCACAATCACCGGAATTCGATTCGTCAATTCGTCCAATTTTTCAAACATCCGCGATTTGATAAAACTTCTGATCTTCTATTAAATTCAATAAATCCTCTACAGATTTTTTCGCGACTTCTGAATCTGAATTCATATTCAAAACCAGATAAACATCTAGAATAATTGGATCTAATTCTAGAATCGGATGTAGAATTTTGATAATTTCTAGAAGTTTAATCTTCGTTGATGTTTGTCGATGATTCACGAGGTTTCCACAAATAATTTTTAAATATTCCCTGACATTTTTGACGATTTGATGTCTCGATGTTTCCAGGTCAACTAGAATTGCCTTCAGATCTTCTGAATAGCCATTCGACTGATCTTCATCGGAGGCATCTGATTCACTCAAACATCTAATTGTGATCTTCCCAAAGATCTCCAAAACCATCTCAGATATCTCGAAAAACCTCTCATCACTTCTCAGAACATTAAACAACTTCGACAAAATTCCCGGCGCTACCGTAGCCAGCGATTGAATCCCGCATTTATCGCAAAACTTCTCCAAAAGTCTCGCTGATCTCTTGCGAACTTCAACATCTTTTTGAGGATCTAGGAGAATTTTGAGGAATTTTGTGATTTGTTTGCTGAGAACAATGAGATTTTTGGGAGAATTGAAGGGATTTGAGAGGTGATTCGATGTTTGGATGAAATCGAAGAGATGTTCGATGAAATCGCTGAATTCGAGATTTGTTGGAGAATCGCAGAAATCGAATTCGGCTAGCAAAATTGGTTGGAGATTGATGTATTGGAGTGAGGGCAGCTGGAAGAAGTTGGGAAAAGTTTTGTAAGTTTAATATGAGCAATGCCAGTTTTTTATTGATTTTTGAATTCTAAATTTTGGCTTTAATATGAGCAATGCTAATTTTTTTTTTCGATTTTTTGAATTCTAAATTTTGGCTTTAATATGAGCAATGCTTAATTTTTTCACGTAGAAATTTGAATTTTAAATATTTTTAGCGACAGAAATTTTAAAATGAGCAATAGTTTTTCACCTGCTAAAATGAGCAATTTCCATCCAAAATTGTGCAAATCAAAGCTCAAATCCTACTTGACCCGAAAAATTCAAATTTTCCAACAAAAATAAGTTTTAAACACTCACATTCGCCGGATTTTTGTCCAAAATCATCAAACAGAGATCAAATAATCGAAAAAGTTCCACTTTTTCCAAACCCGTCAATTCATTTGCATTTTGATTTTGAAGGAGCAGCAATTTTGAGGCGAGTAGAACAGCTCCAGCACATGCGACCCGTTCTTCTTTTGAAACGTATTCGGAACCGGCTGGAAATCAAAAATAAGTTTGAAATTTGGGTTTTTTGGGGAGAAAATCGGAAATTTACACGTGGAAGTTCACGTTTAAAATTTGAATTTAAATTTTTTTCATAAAAGATTTCGAAAAAAATATTTTTGAGCTTCCCAAAATTCAAAGCACCTTTAAAAAACGTGGCCGAACTTTTCCGGTGGCCTAGAATTGTCGGGAATTCGGCCACAGCCCAAAACTCTCTCAAAAGACACGAAAATCATTGATTTTGAAGCGTGGTCGAATTTCCGACATTTCTCGGCCATCAAAAAAGTTCGGCCACGTAATTTTTCTGAAATTTACGAAAAATACACGTGGCCGAACTTTTCCAGTGGCCTAGCAATGCCGGGAACTCGGCCAGAGCAACAAAATTGCTCTAATTCTTCGAAAATCATAATTTTCGAGAGCGTGGCCGAGTTTCCGACATTTCTCGGCCACCTGAAAAATTCGGCCACATATTTTTCTAAAATTTACGAAATATACACGTGACCGAACTTTTTTGGTGGCCTAAAAACGTCGGGAATTCGGCCACGGCAACAAAATTGCTCTAATTCTTCGAAAATCATAATTTTCGAGAGCGTGGCCGAGTTCGCGACATTTCTCGGCCACCTGAAAAGTCTTCGGCCACGTAATTTTTCTGAAATATACACGTGGCCGAACTTTTGCGGTGGCCTAAAAACGTCGGGAATTCGGCCACGGCAACAAAATCGCTCAAAAGACACGAAAATCATTCGTGGCCGAATTCCCGACAATTCTCGGCGACCTGAAAAATTCGGCCATATATTTTTTTCTGAAATTTACGTGGCCGTACAATTCCAGTGGCCTAGAAATGTCGGGAATTCGGCCAGAGCAACAAAATCTCTCAAAATCGCTCAAAATCCCCATTTCCCGGCTCATTTTCAGCCCAATTTTAAGCTTTTCCCCCAAAAATCCACCTTCAATAACCCGAATAAGCGGTTGAATCAACCGTGTCGCTTCAATTCCAGCTTTACTACAGCTCAAAATATTGGCAAGCGACGAATGAACCGTTTCAAAAAGCCCTGACATCTCTGAAATTTCGATTTTTTTCCTGAATTCAATAAAAAATATATAAATGTTAGTGATTTTCAACTTTTCTAAAAAAAATTGTATGAAATCCAATAAAAATTCACTATTTTCATCAAAAAAATGTGCAAAAAAAAGAAAAATACCCGCAAAAATGGTGAAAAAAAACAGAAAAAAAGGTGAGACCAGTATATTTTTTTTGAAAAAATGACTAAAATCGTCCGATGCTCAAATTTGTTGAAGTTGAAGTTCCATTGATTAATCGAGTTGGAATTGTTCGAACTATTGATCCATTTGAATTGATATAACTTCGGTTTTGAGCTGCTAAATTATTTGTGTCGATTAAAAGCTCGTGATAATCTGCAGGGCGAGTGATTTGTCCAACTGACCATTTTAGCACTTCACCGCCTTTTGCAGTTATTGGAGCTGTCTGCAAAATTTTTTTTTGTGAAATTTTAAAAAATTTTCAGAAATTTCAAAAATTTTCGAAGAATTTTTAAATTTTTTAAAAGCTTAAAATGAGCAATTTTGCCACGTGGCAACCATAATTTAATATGAGCAATTATGCTCTTTTTCAAGCTAAAATATAGTTTCACATGAGCAATGGTTTTTTATCTGCGATTTAGAAAAAAGCTCCGAAAAATCCACGTGGAAAATTTATTGAACAAATTTGAGGCTTCCAGGAAATTTTGAATTTTCAATTAATTTTCAAAATCCACGTGGATTTGAGAAAAAAAGAGCATCATTGCTCATATTGGCTGCCACGAGCACCATTGCTCATATTAAATTATGGCTGCCACGTGGCAAAATTGCTCATTTTAACAGTTAAAAACCCATTGCTCATGTTAAGCTGTAATTTAGCCACGTGGAATTTTTATGACTGATTTTGGCGCCAAAAAATCGCTTCAAATTTTGAAAATGAGAATTTTGGCGTCAAAAATCTACGTGGAAAAAGGTCGCGAACAAATTTTTCACCTCAAAAATTTTGAATTTTCATAATTTCGCACCAAAAATCCACGTGGCATTTTCCAAATTTCAAAATTTTCAAGATCCTCCCAAAAACAACAACACTCACTTCATGATATAATACAAGATCATACAATTGATCGTGAACAACTTGATTGGTTCCCAAAAATTGATAACCTTCGGGGATTTTTTCCACCAAAAAATGTTTGTAGGTTCCATCTTTTGATGCGTATGAGACAGTGTATCTGCGAAAAAAACAAAATTTGAAAAAAAACCTGGGCTGAAACTCTAGATTTTCCTATTTTTTTCATTTTTGTGTGGAAAAAATAGGAGAAAAATTAATTTTTCAAGGTGATTTCAGTCAAAAATGATGACAAATCGACTTTCAGAAGCTCATTTTCATCAGAAATCACATCAGAAGCTTCAAAAAATCTCGATTTCTCGTCATTTTTGGCTGAAAAACTAAAATTTTGACCTAAATACAACGTTTTTTCGAATTTCATTTAAAATGGCTTTTCATGAATTGATTTTTCTCCAAACCAAAAAAATCTTTGTTCAAAATTCCAGTTTTTCTCGAATTTCCTAATATGAGCAATGAAAATTGCGTTATGACGTGGCAAATTTGGGTAAATCTTATATTTAGTTGAATCTTTAATATGAGCAATGCATATGAACCTTTGAAAAAACTCAGAATTTTGAAACAGTGCAATTTTCAATAATAAAATAGTTTAAAAATTCCAAATTTTCTAATATGAGCAATTTCAATGATTTTTAAAAAAAACTCTGCGTCTCTCTCTGTCTGGTTCTCTCCCCTCTCTCTCTTTCTCTCTCTCTCTGTCTCTTTGTCTGCGCCCCCTCTCTCCCTTTCTATCTCTCTCTCTCTCTCATTCTCTCTTTCTCTGCGTCTCTCTCTCTCTCTCCCCCTGCGTCTCTCTCTCTCTCCCCCTCTTTCTCTCTCCCTCTGCGTCTCTTCCCCCCTCTCCCCCTCTCTCCCTCTGCGTCTCTTACCCCCAAATCCTCTCCGAAACGCGAACCAAAAACGATCCCGTAGGTTTATTCATCAGCAACACCTCCGCCTGCTCTCTCGATATAATTCCATGAAACCAGGGAGCCGGCGCATGTGTTTTCGGGTCGAGACCCGTGCCACGTGGCAACTCGTCCCTTTTGAACCATTCAACAATCGCTTCTCGTGATTTGGGTTTTGGTGGACGTGGCAAATTTTTACTAAAAGAAAAATTGATTTTTTTTCAGAAAAATGAAAGAAAAATGGCTGAAACTCACATGGCTTCTCTTAAACTCGTCGCATTTTTATCCTTGAGCGCTGGTAGAATACTTGTACTTGTCCGAACCAATTGCTGATGTCTTTCACGTGCTTTTTGAGCCAATTCACGTTGCGCATTTTCGGCTTCACGCGCTTTTCGCTCTGCAAAAAAAAATATTGATTTTTTGAAAAAAAATTGGTGAGGGACTAGGAATTGCATCATGCGAAACCTAGTCCGCGGCCTTGAAAATGCTGAAAATTTCGGTCAAAAACCTGAATTTTTAGCTCCGCGACCTAAAGAACGCTGAAAATCTCAAAATTTGACTGAAAAACCTGGATTTTCAGCTCCGCGGCCTAAAAAATGCAGAAAATTTCGATTTTCCATTAAAACAACTCAGAAATCGAAGAAAAAAAGCTCGAGGGACTAGAAATTTCGATTTGCAAAACCTCGTCCCTCTGTTTTATAAGCCAACATTTATTGTTAGAGGGACGAGGTTTTGCTGATTTTTCAGTCAAAAACCTGGATTTTCAGCTCCCAGGACAAAAAAATGCTGAAAATTTTGATTTTTCTGTAAGAACCCGGGATTTTCAGCTCCGAGGCCTAAAAAATGCTGAAAATCTCAAAATTTGAGTTAAAAACCTGGATTTTCAGCTCCCAGAGTTGAAAAATGCTGAAAATCTGTAAAATTTGAGTAAAAAAAACTGGATTTTCAGCTCCCAGAGTTGAAAAATGCTGAAAATCTCAAAATTTGAGTAAAAAACCTGGATTTTCAGCTCCCAGAGTTGAAATATGCTGAAAATGCTGAATTTTCAATCAAAAACCTGGATTTTCAGCTTCCAGATCGAAAAAATGCTGAAAATCTCAAAATTTGAGTGAAAAACCTGGATTCAAACAATTTTTCAGCATTTTTCAACTCTGGGAGCTGAAAATCCGGGTTTTTAACCGAAATTTTGAGATTTTCAGCATTTTTTCAACTCAAAAATCCAGGTTTTTAACCGAAATTTTGAGATTTTCAGCATTTTTTCAACTCTGGGAGCTAAAAATCTCAAAATTTGAGTGAAAAACCTGGATTTTCAGCTCCCAGAGTTGAAAAATGATTAAAATTCTGATTTCTCAGTCAAAAACCTGGATTTTCAGCATTTTTCAACTCTGGGAGCTAAAAATCCTGGGTTTTGACCGAAAAATCAGAAAACCTCGTCCCTCTGAATTTTGACTTATAAAACAGAGGGACTAGGTTTTGCATATTGAAATTTCTAATCCTTCGAATTTTTTTTCAGGCCGCGGAGCTGAAAATCCAAGTTTTCTACTCAAATTTTCGAGATTTTCAGCATTTTTCAGTCCTGGGAGCTGAAAATCTCAGGTTTTTGATTGAAAAATCATGCATTTTTCCCCGAAAACCCCGAAAAAAAACCTACGCAATTCCTCCCATTCCACTTTTCTCCGCTCCTCTTCCGCTTCCGCCTCTTTTTGCAGTTTTTCTCGCCGCTCCGAAAGTGTCTGGAAGATTTCCGATTCTCGTTTTTGAACTTCTTCCTCTTCGTCTTCCGCATAATTTGTGGGTTTTTGGGGTGGTTTCGGTCGCATTCGAACACCTGAATATGAGTTATGACGTGGCAAAAAATGATTTCTGATATCATAGGGTTGTTCAGGAGGTAAGATTTGATAGACTTATGAAATCTAACCTTCTGAACAACCCTATGATATCAGATTTTGATGAAAATCACTTTCAGCCTTCCAAAATCTAGATTTGTCAAGGCTAAAAATGATTTTCATGAAATTCTGATTTCATAGCGATGTTCAGAAGGTTCGTATGGAACTTCGTGCAAAAATCTGAGAAAAATCTAGATTTTAGAAGGCTGAAAGTGATTTTCATCAAAATCTGAAATTATAGCGTTGTTCAGGAGGCTTGGTTACAAGTTCGTGAAATTTTTCAAGAAAACAGGTTGCAGATTTCGAAATTTTCTTGAGAAATGGCTCGAACTTGTAACCAAGCCTCCTGAACATCGCAAAAATATCAGATTTTGATGAAAATCAATTTCAGCCTTCTAAAATCTAGATTTGTCTCGGATTTTCGCACGAATTTCCATAATTATGTAATCGAACCTTCTGAACACTCAGATTCCCATGAAAATCATTTTCAGCCTCCCAAAATCTAGATTTGTCAAGGCTAAAAATGATTTTCATCAAAATCCGCTATCACAGGGTTGTTCAGAAGGTTAGATTTCATAAATCTCCACGCGCTCCACCGAAATAAACACGCAACGCAGACCGCGTCGCGTCACAACACAAGGGAACGATTCAAATTCCCTCCCTTTGTGTGTGTTGTGGCGCGACGCGGTCTGCGTTGCGTGTTTATTTCGCTGGAGCGCGTGGAGATTTATGAAATCTAGCCTTCTGAACATCGCTATAATTTCAGATTTTCGTGAAAATCAATGTAAAATCCGGAATTTTCCCGTACCATTAATAACAAGCGACTCCGCCCCATTCAAAATCGGCGTTTCTCCCGTCGATTTCCCCGAAAACTGCGCAAAATATCCCTGCGGCTTCGGCATCAATGCCGGTTTTTCGCCTCGATAAAATTGCGCCTTCTGCGGTTGCGGTGTCGAGAAACTTGTGACCGTCACTGAACCCGACGACGCTGAAGATGCTGATGGAGAAGTCTGACTATGAAACCCATTAGGTTGGAATAATAAGAGGGGCGGAGGTCCCGTGTCATAGTCATAAATACTTTCGAAATCTGTGTTGATTTGTGGTGGTGCAGATCCAACTTTCAATCTTTCCAGTTGTGCCATCAATGTTTCCTCGTCCGAATCTGTAGTACTTTCGGGCCCAGGCCCATTTATACTAGGCCCAAGAGAATGCAATTCTCTCATGGCCAATTCATGGGCCTTCTCCCGATTCTCCTCATCCAAAATCTCCTCAATAGTCTTATCCTTCTCATGTGCGCCCATCACCCAAACCCAAACCTCCCCGTCGATTCCCACACGCCATTTTACACGACGTTTCGTCATGTCTTTGACGGCTTGGCCGCTGCGCTCGAATTCGAGCTCGGAGAGCTCCCATTTCCGGACTTGTTCGGCTCGCATTTGACAGAAGAGCAATTGTTTTTGCTCGTCGTCGAGCGCGTCGAGCAGTTCTTGATCGACATGACCCTGAGGAAAGAATTTTTGTTTTTTTTGCGCTCCACCGAAATAAACACGCAACGCACACCGCGCCGCGCCACAACACAAGGGAACGATTCAAATTCCCTCCCTTTTTGTGTGTGTGTTGTGGTGCGGCGCGGTCTGCGTTGCGTGTTTATTTCGGTGGAGCGCGTGGAAAATTTTAAATAATATTTTAGGGCTGATTCACGAACGAACAATTTTTTTTTCACGAAAAGTCAAAAAATGTCGGTCAAAATTAGTTTTTCAAGGTTTTTCAGCCAAAAATGATGACAAACCGATATTTTTCAAGTTTCTGGAGTAATTTCTGATGAAAATAAGCTTCATGGACAAAATTTTGTTTTTTTTGACACCGAATAAGCCTAATTTCAGTGAAAATTTGAATTTTGGCGCCAATTGGTATCAAAAAACCTCAAAATTTTGCGCCTGGGCTCACTTGGTATCAAAAATCTCCAAATTTTGGGGCTAAAAAACTAAAAACCGCAACGCACACGCATCGCGGCGGGCATAAATGTCATTTTCAGGTTTTTTAAGCAAATGAGTTGAAATATTGGGTTTTAATGTTATTCATATGATAGAATGGTCTAAGACGAACAAAATGATATAAATTTTGATGAGTTTAGGTTGTCCGTAAGTGATTTAGCGGCCTTATCGACTAAATATTTAGTCAATAAGCCGCTAAATCACTTAAGGATAACCTAAATTCATCAAAATTTATATCATTCTCTTCGTCTTAGACCATTCTATCATATGAATAACATTAAAACCCAATATTTCAACTCATTTGCTTAAAAAACCTGAAAATTTCATTTAGTCGATGTCCAAGAGCTTTTTAGCGCGAGAATTTGGGTTTTTTTGACACCAATTGGCGCGAACATTCAAATTTTCCAGTTAAATTTTTCAAATTCCCCCCATTTTCCTCCAAAAACAACTCACAGTACTCAAAATCTCCGAAAGAATACTCATTCAAAAAGCCTCATATATATATATATATATTTACAACAAAAACTTTGGGGAGGGCGAGAAAATTCTGGAAAAATCTCTTGAATAAAAGAAGAAAATTGATAAATAATAACAAAAGAGAGATGGAAAAAAGGACATAAATATTATATTAATCAAATGAAAATACAAGAGAAATAGTGTGACCTTTGCAGTCAGCAAAACGAAAAAGTGAAAACTATTTTGTACTAAATGACAAAAACCTCGTTTGAACGAGGTAAAATCGATAGATTAACTAACTAAAAACCTGCGCGCGGCCCATTTTTTTTTAATTTCATGAATTTTTCCCCTAAACTACAATTCTATCACTTGAAAATGCTCCACGAGCTTGCGAAAAAAAAACGAAATTGCCAGGGACTAGGTTTCCGCCGGTTTCCTAGGCCACAAGTCCCCCGCTGTTTTTTTTTTTGGGGGGGGGGTTCTGCAACTCGCGGAGCAAGTTTTCAGAAGATGAATTCGACTTTTGGGAGTTTTCCAATTTCCTTCGAAATGTTTTTTTTTCGCGAAAAAAAGAAGTAAAAGAAATTTAGCTGGAAATTTAAAAGAAATAAAATCCCGTTCAAAAGTATCGAATTTCCTGGGGGGGGGGGAAGCAAAGTTTTGCTTTATTTTGAAAAATTTTGAAAAAATAATAAATCTGACTCGAAAATCAATGAAGAACTGCAAGAAGCCAGAGTTTTTATTTTTTATTTCGTGAAAAAAATGTCAGCTGCTATGGCCTCCGGTCTTTTTTCTGCTTTAAAGCTTTGCACAACAAAAAACCTTGGAATTTCACAAAATAAATACAAACAAACGAAAAAAGCCTAACCAAATTTGGCGAGAGTTTAATCGCATTTTCGAAAATTTCTCCCACACGCCGGAAAAAAAAGAAATTCGTCGTATTTTAAAATGAAATTTACTACTAATCCAAAATGCAAACTTTGCTATTGCTAGTCATTTTTTCGTCCCTTTAGCACTTGAAAAAGTTAGTTACTCAGTGATCAAACACTACACAAAAACTGGAACCGCGGCGGCGGAAAAAAAGAAAAAAACTTGATAAAATATATATATTACTAGACAGTTTTCCAGTTAATTACAACGTTTAATTAATTTTTAAGAGAGTTGGACATCGACATTTTCATGTTTTTTAAGCAAATGAGTTGAAATATTGGATTCTAGTGTTATTCATATGATAGAATGGTCTAAGACGAACAAAATGATATAAATTTTGATGACTTTAGGTTATCCTTAAGTGATTTAGCGACCTTATCGACTAAACGTCGCTAAATCACTTAAGGATAACGTAAATTCATCAAAATTTATATCATTCTGTTCGTCTTAGACCATTCTATCATATGAATAACACTAAAACCCAATATTTCAACTCATTTGCTTGAAAAAACGTGAAAATGTCGTTTAGTCGATACCCGCCGCGATGCGTGTGCGCGTTGCGGTCGCTTCTCAATACAAATGGCTTTTAGCCAGTTTTCCTTCCAGTCGAATTTTGTTAGAAAATCGATGAAAATAGTGAATTTTCACTTTTTCCCGGTGAAATTAGGCTGAAAATGTGATTTTTTACCTGAAATTGCGAATTTTCAAGCTAAAAATAATCAAAAATGATGGATTTTGAGCCAAAAATAGCAAATGCGCTCTATTGAACTATCCCCGTTTTTATGAAAAATTCAAATTTTCGAGAGAGAGAGACCCACTTTGCTTCTCTGCTCAAATACGATGTTAGGGACGCAGAGGATATAACATTCTTTAAACACAATTTTCCCATGCAGAAAAACGTGTTTTGGGTTAGAGACAACGTGAAATTGAGAGATTCTAGATAGACAGAATCCTCATTTTCTGTCTGCGCTCTCTCAATTTCACGTTGTCTCTAACACGTTTTTCTGCAGTCCTCTGCGTCCCTAACATCCCAAGTCAAAGACGGGTCTCGCAGCGACCGCAACGCACACGCAACGCGCTGGGGTGATTTTCGCAGATTCAAAAGTGTGTTTTGCAATTTGCCTGACCTCCCTGGAGTAAGAAGTCTTTTATGACAGCCATTAGGTCGTCAATTTTACGATTGCAATAAATTCAGGCACACACATTTCATTTTTCATTTTTGAAAAAAAATCAATAATTTTTTATCAAAAACAAAAAAAAACGAAACTTTGTAAAGTGTAAAAAGTGCTCACGGTGTTTTGTTGAAAAAATTGAAAAAAAAAATGAAAAAATTTCGAATTTTTATTTTGTTTGATAAGAAGAGGGAAAGCAAGAAACATAACATGTTTACAACACACTTTGAAAATAAAATTGTGTCGAAAAAAAAATGTTTACACATTTATTTATTTGTATGAATCAATAAATACCTTTTATGGTAGTTTTGGACAAAAAAAATAGAATGGGGGAAAAAGAAAATACATTACGATTTGAGGAAAACGAGAAAATCACAGTTGGAGATTTTTCTGGGATTTTGGACTTTTTAACATAGAAAAAAATGAAAATTTGAATTTTTCACAAAAACGGGGATAGTTCAATAGAGCGCATTTGCCATTTTTGGCTCGAAATCCATCATTTTTGATGATTTTTAGCTTGAAAAATCACATTTTCAGCCTAATTTCATCGGAAAAGCTGAAAATTAACGATTTTCCAACAAAAATCTGTAATTTTCAATGAGAAACTGAATTTGCGACTCAAAATTCACCAGGAAAAAAAAAATGAAAATTTGAATTTTTCATAAAAACGGGGATAGTTCAATAGAGCGCATTTGCCATTTTTGGCTCAAAATCCATCATTTTTGATGATTTTTAGCTTGAAAAATCACATTTTCAGCCTTATATCACCGGAAAAGCTGAAAATTAACGATTTTCCAACAAAATTCTATAATTTTCAATTAGAAACTGAATTTGCGACTCAAAATTCATCAGGACAAAAAAAAAAATGAAAATTTGAATTTTTCATAAAAACGGGGATAGTTCAATAGAGCGCATTTGCCATTTTTGGCTCAAAATCCATCATTCTTGATGATTTTTAGCTTGAAAAATCGCGATTTTAGCCTAATTTCACCGGAAAAGCTGAAAATTAACGATTTTCCAGCAAAATTCTGTGATTTTCAATTATAAACTGAATTTGCGGCTCAAAATTCATCAGGAAAAAAAAATGAAAATTTGAATTTTTCATAAAAACGGGGATAGTTCAATAGAGCGCATTTGCCATTTTTGGCTCAAAATCCATCATTCTTGATGATTTTTAGCTTGAAAAATCGCGATTTTAGCCTAATTTCACCGGAAAAGCTGAAAATTAACGATTTTCCAGCAAAATTCTGTGATTTTCAATTATAAACTGAATTTGCGGCTCAAAATTCACCAGGAAAAAAAAATGAAAATTTGAATTTTTCATAAAAACGGGGATAGTTCAATAGAGCGCATTTGCCATTTTTTACTCAAAATCCATCAATTTTGATGAATTTTAGCTTGAAAATCGCGAATTTAGGCTTGTTCTCGAGAACTACACAGAAAACGCTCAAAGTGTACGAAAAACATGTCGAAAAAACAACATCTTGACACATTTTTGCTGGTGAATTAGAGAAAAAATGTGTTTTTTCAAACGAAACTAGAGACGAAATGAATTAATAAGCGAGAAAATTGAGTCCTTAAATCGGGGACAAATAAGTAAATAAATACATATAGAGCCCAAATAATAATGAAAGAAGAAAAAGAAAAATAAGGGGCTACCTGAATAAGCGAAAGAATATATATTTATATAAGTATATGTGTGTGTATGGGTCAATAATAACCTCGTCTCTCACATTTCCGGATATTTTTGGGAGGAGGTGGGCTCATTAATTATTATTGCGTGCAGGTTTTTCCAATATGGGGTGGGTTACTATGTGGATAAATGCAGTAATTCACAAAAAAACGTTTTTTAACGTTAAAAAACCAAAAACGTGATTCACGAGCAGAGAAGCAAAAATTGAAAATTTGAATTTTTCATAAAAACGGGGATAGTTCAATAGAGCGCATTTCAAATCAATCAAAAATCACATTTTCATCGGAAATGCTGAAATTGAGGGGGGTTTTATATTGAGAAGCGACCGCAACGCACACGCATCGCGGCGGGTATAGGGCATTTCCAGGTTTTTTAAGCAAATGAGTTGAAATATTGGGTTCTAATGTTATTCATATGATAGAATGGTCTAAGACGAACAAAATGATATAAATTTTGATGGCTTTACGTTATCCTTATATGATTTAGCGAGGTTTAGACGATAAGGTCGCTAAATCACTTATGGATAACGTAAAGTCATCAAAATTTATATCATTCTGTTCGTCTTAGACCATTCTATCATATTAATAACATTAAAACCCAATATTTCAACTCATTTGCTTAAAAAACATGAAAATGTCATTTAATCGATGTCGTAAAAAATAAAAACCATCTTTACTTCGTCAGTTGCGCGCAGCTATGCGTCGCGTTTCCCGACCGCGACGCACAGCCGCGCGCAACCTGAATATAAGGCAATTTGAGAGTTCCAAAACTCACAAAAATTAACTATGAGCACAAGAAATGCGGTGTCCAAAGCAGAAAAAAAGTGAAAAATAAAAAAAACCTGAGGGACTAGGTTTACACCCCTAAAATCCTAGTCCCTCTCTCTTTTTGTTTTTCTTTTTTTCTTCTTTTTTCTTTTCTTGTGCTCCTAGAGCATTTTTGTGCATTTTTTGCGTACTAGATTAAAAATCCCGCAAATTACATAGTACTTGAGCAAAAAGTGTCGATTGAGAAAAAATGACGAAGAGAGAACCAACCCAGCCCAAAAAAAAGAGGTTGTTCAAATACGCCTAGCTAGAAGAACATGTTTGAACACAGACAGCATTTTCATTTTGTATAAGAAATATATAGAACGCGGAAAAAGTGTGACTAAGAGAAAATTTTGAAAATGAATGTAGAAAATTTGGGTGTGGTTGGTATTTAGGAAATAATAATAAATTAGGAAGATCTTTTGATAAATGAGAGAGGAAAATATGTCTATTTGTACTTTTACAGCTAACAGACGTGAAAAACTGCAAATCGCTGCGAGACCCCATGGAAATTCGCGATTTTTCAAGCTAAAATCATCAAAAATGATGGATTTTGAGCCAAAAATGGCAAATGCGCTCTATTGAACTATCCCCGTTTTTATGAAAAATTCAAATTTTTATTTTTTTTCCCCCTGATGAATTTTTAGCCGCGAATTCAGTTTCTAATTGAAAATTATAGAATTTTGTTGGAAAATCGTTAATTTTCAGCTTTTCCGCTGAAATTAGGCTGAAAATGTGATTTTTCAAGCTGAAAATCATCAAAAATGATGGATTTCGAGCCAAAAATGGCAAATGCGCTCTATTGAACTATCCCCGTTTTTATGTAAAATTCAAATTTTCATTTTTTTTTCCCTGATGATTTTTGAGCCGCAAATTCACCAAAAATTACAGCATTTTTGTTGGAAAATCGATAGTGAATTTTCAAGTGAAAATTAAAAAAAATTTCTTCTGACCCCAAACTAGACTCTAGTAGTTGCCAAATCGGAGCCTAAATAAAAAAAAAGAAAATGAAAAAAGTGAAGCGCGTAAAACTCGAGCAATCGAAAAAAGCGGAAAAGAGAAGAAGAAGAAGAAGAAGCTCTCCGGTGACCAACGAGAGAGATCATAGAAATCGAAGAGGATTAGAGAAAAATGATAAGTGGCACAAGAAACACTTGTTGATGTTCGGAGAGAAAAATGATGAGACCTGAGTCCGGCAAAAATATTGAGTACACATAGAAAATATATAATAAGCAATTTCAAGCACATTTTCAGCCTAATTTCATCGGAAAAGCTGAAAATTAACGATTTTCCAACAAAATTCTATAATTTTCAATGAGAAACTGAATTTTCTGCTCAAAATTCATCAGGAAAAAAAAATGAAAATTTGAATTTTTCATAAAAACGGGGATAGTTCAATAGAGCGCATTTGCCATTTTTGACTCAAAATCCATCATTTTTGATGATTTTTAGCTTGAAAAATCGCGAATTTTCCATTTTTTTCATTTTTCAAAAAAAATTTCATCAAAGTATTCATAAATACAAGAAAAATTCATCACACAGAGAATGTTTTTGGATAAAAAATGAAATGAAAAATATAAGCTCGAAGTATAAAAATAAATAATATATAATAAACCTCCAAAAGGAATTTCTGAACAATTTTTCAATATTTTCGAAAAATTCCTAATTCAGCTCAAAATCAACGAAAAAACTCGATTTAGATCGCATTTTGAAGCTTGAATTAGGAATTTTCGAAAAAAATTGAAAAATCGTTCAAAAAATCTACTTTTTCAGGGGATTTCTTATAAGTTAGTTAATTGGGGGTAATTAAATTAAATAAGTATCTAATAGAGTGATAATAATAAATATTATTAGAATCCTAGCGCCAACAATATTTTTTCGCAAAAAATAATTAAAATCTAGTTAAAATTTTGGCGACGTGCCAGGTGGTTGTTCATTCATCGACGAATCAACACCGGAATAATCAGTTGTCATCATTGAACTATTTGGTTGCATTTGAACATCTTCGCTCTGAAACGATTCCAAAACTATTACAGCGATTTGATTGATTGTGAAAATTAAGTGATTTAGGGAAGTGCATAAGGTCATTTAGCAAATTAGCCATGGTGATCACGATTCCAAAGTCAAAAATTAGCATAAAACTCCCTGGGGGCACTTTTCTGAAGCTCCAATGTTCCAGGGTGGAAAATCAACTTTTATAACTTGTCGAAAACCCTTTTTTAGTTCATCAAAAATTCGCGTAATTTTGAAAAATTCCCAAAATTATGGGCCTATGCAGAATAATATTTTGTAATAAAAAAGATTTAAAAACATTTTTTTTTGTAGTTGTATAATGTTTTAAAATTATTTTTATTACAAAATATTATTCTGCATAGACTCATAATTTTGAAAAATGAATTTTTGGGAATTTTTTCAAAATTACAATTTTCACTGACATTTTTCAGTGAATTTTTTTCTTGTATTTGATGGAAAAAATTCGGGTGGAAATTTGAAAAAAATGAAAATTCGCGATTTTTCAAGCTAAAAATCATCAAAATTAATGGATTTCGAGCCAAAAATGGCAAATGCGCTCTATTGAACTATCCCCGTTTTTATGAAAAATTCAAATTTTCATTTTTTTTCCTAATGAATTTTGAACCGCAAATTCAGTTTCTAATTGGAAATTACAGTTAGAATTTTTATCGACAAAATAGTGAATTTTCAGCTTTTCCGGTGAAATTTGGCGGAAAATGTGATTTTTGATTTGAATTCGCGTTTTGGAATGTGGTGAAAGTCATCAAAAATGATGGATTTTGAGCCAAAAATGACAAATGCGCTCTATTGAACTATCCCTGTTTTTATGAAAAATTCAAAATTTCATTTTTTTTCCTGATGAATTTTGAGCCGCAAATTCAGTTTCTAATTGAAAATAAGAGAATTTTGTTGGAAAATCGTTAATGTTCAGTTTTTCCGATGAAAATTTTTCAACGCGTTTTGGTGTGGTGAAAGTTATAAAAATCGATTTTCCACCCTGGAACATGGTGAAAATGCTCCAAACTTCAGAATTTTGAAATAGGCCGAAGTGTACAAAATCCCCCTAGGCTTTTTATATACTCGCCCAATGGGTTATTTTGCAAAAATAATCATCAAAATCCAGGGGGTCAAATTGTCGATCATTCCTTGTGAGAAACTTTTTTGAAATTCAGAATTTTTAAATAAAAAATTGCTCGAAAAAATAACATTTTATTGAGAAGAAGAAGCTTCAGATTTTCATGAAAATTTTTTTTTAAAAATATTTTCAAGAAGCTTCTCAACAAAAACTGTACTTTATCGTGAAAAAAAACTTTGGATTTTTTATTCAAAAATTCTGAAATCCCAAAAAAATTCCTCACAAGTTCCTCTAATTTAATTAATCAAGAAAAATTTCTTGAACAATTTTTGATGAAAATTCTAAAGTTTGAAGCATTTTTGCTAAGGATTCTAATAATTCTTTAAGACAATCATTTTGGAGGCGAATGAACTTTGCCACGTCATAACTCATGTTAGGAGTTGAGTTCTGCGATTTTAGACATCGGAATCGTGATCAGAGGATCGAAAACTACTAGAAAAACTATATTTTATTAAAATTTGGTCAAAAACCAAAACTCGGAGCTCCAGAAACGTGCTCACATGGATTTTTAGGCAATTTTTGACTTCAGAATAAAGATCAGCATGGTTGATTTGATATATTTCGATATATTTCATGAAAAATTGATTTTCTGACCTTATGCAATCCCCTGCAGTACCTACCGAACTACTCGATCTACTACTCGTCGAATGTTCCCATTTTGCAGCCGCCGGATCAGGATGATAACTTCTCACATCCATGTCAACAGCAATGTCTAATTCGAGATCAACTTCCGCATTTTCGCCGCCTTCTAGATTTTTTGCTTCGGCGTTTACACCAGAATTATCCTGCAAAATATCGGGATTCTGGAGAAAAATGGGAAAAACCAGGGGAACTTACAATTGGCGTTGTTGCTCTTTCGCCTTTCGAAGTTTCTCCATAAGAAGTTAGGGTATTTAATCTTTCCGATCTCATTGATCCTTCCATACATTGTCCAGTTAATGGGCAACTGCAAAAAAATCAATTTTTTTGCAAAAAAAATGGAAAATTTCTGATTTTGGTCAAAAATTTCCGGATTTTCTGGAAAATCTGGCCAGAAACTTCTGATTCAGAAAAATTCGCGCGAGAGTTCAATTTTTTTAATTTCCCGCCAACTTGAAAATAAAAAAAATTCTTGAAAAAATTTCAAATTTCACAAAGTTTTTCTTGAAATCTTCAAATTTAGCAAAACTTAAGAACTTTAAAATTCAATATTGTCGGAAAATTTCAAACAAATTTTCGATGCTAAAAATTTCACGAAGCTACTAAAAAATATTGATTTCTTAAATTTTTGTGCTGAAATTCAACAATTTAGAAAAATCAATAATTCAAGCTTGGCGCGAAATTTTGAAATCTAAACGTTCAATTCTAAAAGTAAATCAATAAAAATCTTTTTTTTATTCTTCGAAAATTTTTGCTTTCATGCCTTTTTCTTCAAAAATCAAAAATTTCTGCTGAAAATTCAAATTTTCAATCATTTTTGAGGTAAAAATCGTTGAGTTAAAAAACAAAATATACAGTTAATTTTGGCACTTGTTGAGTAGCCCAAAAGCTGTCCATGATCAAAATTTCATCAAAGACAGAAGCCTAATGTAGTGTTGTGCGAAAATTCGATCATTTAAAGTATTTTTGGTGGAAAATGCTCTCTCAATTTCAGCATTGTCTCTAATCAAAGACTAGTTTTTCTGCATTGGAAAAATATGACTAATTTTGAGCTTTGCAGAAAACTCACATATCATTTCAGATTTTGGCCAAAATTTTAGGTGAAAATTTAGCTCAAAATTCAAATTTTTGTTGAAAAATCAAATTTCCGCCACAAAAACCCCAAAAAACTCACACATGACTCGCACTGGGATATCTACTAATCGAATTCCTCCTCTGCTTATAGAAAAATCTACAATACCGCTCATCCCTCGCTCTCAAATCACTTCTATAAACTTCATCAGTCAACGTCTCCGCCTCCCCTCCATTCCCAGCCATTCCAACATTTCCATATTGTATCACCGGTGGCCACGTCTTCCCCGCTCCCAAATCCGCGAGTTTCGGCTCCAAATCCACGTAGCTTTTTCCACGTTGCGATTTCGCGTAAACCTCATCATTCACAATTTTCTGTTTTTCATGCGTCACATTCATAAAAGCTTCCGCATGTCGATAGGTTTTCGGCTCAATACATCGTGTAACCACATACAATTTAAACCCATTATTGATTGATTCATTTTTACACGCTCTATCAACCTCCATAATCGGGAACACAGTCACATGCTCATCAGAATTTCTGACAATTCTATTAGGCCCATTGGCATCGGGTCTACCATCCGGCGCACATTTCACAGGTTCCCCTTCGTTCGGCACACTTCTCCTGCGCTCATTATAATTATCCTGCACAATATCCTTCTCGTGTGCTTCGGCCAACATTTTATTGATCGCATATCTGGGCGGCTGACGTTTCGTGTCAATGTAGATGCGTTGAAGGGATTCGTCGGGACAATGCGAGTCGAGACCGGGTGGTTGAGAGATTTGGAGTTCGTTGAAGTTGATTGGTGCGGGGCGATTCGGCATTGATTCGGGATTGGAGGTTCGATGTGCGTCAGTGCTGGCAGAGACGTGGATTGATGGCTCGCTGGCACGAGATTTTGCACCGTCCGATGTGGAGAAGACTGGAAATTTTGATGTGGGTTTTAGACAGGTCTATAGGGGCGGCTGCTTGACATACAAGCTCTCAAGGCGCGGCTGCTTGTCACACAAGCTCTCAAGGGGCGGCTGCTTGTCATACAAGCTCTCAAGGGGCGGCTGCTTGTCATACAAGCTCTCAAGGCGCCGCACCTTGTCAGAATGATTCTCTAGGCGCGACTTTTCATGAACTTTGATCCAAAAATCGATAATTTCAAAATTTTCATCCAAATTTAATTATTTTTTTTTTCTCACTTGAAATTTGGGTTTCAATTTATTTTTGTGATTATAATATAGTCAAGTATTGAAAAAAAATTCATAATAAATTATATTGAAATTTTGAAACGTATTTTTTTCGGTTTTTAAAAATAAAATTTGCATAATATTTCAGATTTTCTGAAATGCGGTGATTCAAGAAAAAAAATAAAAAATAAATTTTTTGACAGAAAATTTTCCAAATTTTTTTTTAATTATTGTAAATACATTAAATCTTGGTTTCAATTTTGCACTAATATAGAAAAAATTAATAATAAATTATATCAAAATTTTGAAACGTATTTTTTTTTGTTTTTGAAAAATTCGAATTTGGAGTCCAAATTTGTCTGAAAATCGAAATTCGAGATGAAAAACTAGAACATGAGGCCTATAGGCGCGACTGCTTGACCACACAAGGGTTCTAGGCGCGGATGCTTGACATACAAGGGTTATAGGCGCGGCTGCTTGCTATACAAGCTCTATAGGCAAGGCTGCTTGACATACTAGCTCTCAAGGAGCGGCTGCTTGGCAAACAGGTTCTCAAGGCGCCGCAACTTGTCAGAATGATTTTTTGAGCAAAAAAAAACTCACATTTCCGAACTTTTCCCATTTTACTCTTCCTCGTCTCATTCTTCGACAACTTCTTCTGCACCGCCTTTTCATTCGCCAAAATCGGCGAACTTTTCGATTGTGCACTTCTTGTCGAAAGAGGCGCCGATGTTCCGACTGCATTTTCCGATTGTGTCAACGATGGTTTTTGAATCGGCGCAGCTGAATCTTCATCATTGTGATCTTCTTTTGAAATGGGAACATATGACGAGGCGCAGGGTGCATTTTCATCATCACCAATTTGAAATTTATGCTTCTTCTCGGCGATTGTTGTCTCGCCTTCTGGATATGGATGAGCTTCATCTCCATGAATATATGGTTCTCCACCACATCCACCAGCACATGTGAACATTGTATTGAACCAAATGTGACCGAGCTGCAAAAATAATTTTGATTTTTTTTCATGAAACATTTTTCAGAAAATTTATGGGATGATTCAAGTCGAAAAAAACATAATTTTGTAAAAAAAAAATCAAAAAATCACATTTTTGAGAAGCTTCCAATTAGTGATTCAAGTCGGAAAAGCTGAAAATCCACAATTTTGATCGATTTTCCAACAAAATTCTGTTATTTTCAATTAGAAACTGAATTTGCGGCTCAAAATTCATCAGGAAAAAAATGAAAATTTGAATTTTCCATAAAAACGGGGATAGTTCAATAGAGCGCATTTGCCATTTTTGGCTCGAAATCCATCATTTTCGATGATTTTTAGCTTGAAAAATCGCGATTTCAAATCAAAAATCACATTTTCATCGGAAAAGCTAAAAAATCGCAATTTTGATCGATTTTCCAACAAAATTCTATAATTTTCAATTAGAAACTGAATTTGCGACTCAAAATTCATCAGTCAAAAAAAAAATGAAAATTGGAATTTTTCGAAAAAACGGGGATATTTCAATAGAGCGCATTTGCCATTTTTAGTCAATTTCGGCTCGAAATCCATCATTTTTGATGATATTTAGCGCAAAAAAATGGCGATTTGAAATAAAAAATCACCTAATTTCACCGGAAAAGCTGAAAATCAACGATTTTCCAACCAAATTCTATAATTTCCAATTAGAAACTGAATTTGCGGCTCAAAATTCATTAGAAAAAAAAAATGAAAATTTGAATTTTCCATAAAAACGGGGATAGTTCAATAGAGCGCATTTGTCATTTTTAGTCAATTTCGGCTCAAAATCCATCATTTTTGATGATTTTTAGCTCAAAAAATCGCGAATTCAAACCAAAAATCACATTTTCAATTAGAAACTTAATTTGCGGCTCAAAATTCATCAGGAAAAAAAAATGAAAACTTAAACTTTCCATAAAAACGGGGATATTTCAATAGAGCGCATTTGCCTCGAAATCCATCATTTTTGATGATTTTTAGCTCAAAAAATCGCGAATTTTACCTTATTTCTCCCAGTCGACGTAAAAATATTGATAAACTTCCGATGCACATACAAATCCACTCGAACATCTCCCTCAAGAAACACCGGCTTCGAAGCAGGCACCGTCCAACCGTAGGCTCTTCGCGATATCACATCATTTTCACACGGATCATTGGGATCATACGAATCTTTGCCGCTCGCAATCACATTTCCTCCACTCCAAGCCAATTCCTCTTCAGCCCAAGTTTCATCACTGATATTCATTGGTTGTCCATAATAAACATCAACATCACCATTGGCAATTCTGAGGCTCAATTGATCTTTCATTAGTGGTCCTTTACTTCTGGGCGGTCTTTCGATATAAATTCCAATTAATTGAACACGAAGTGGAAGATAATTGAGATGATGTTTGCGAAGATGATCGTAATAATAGACATATCTACGTTGCGATGGGATTGTGACACCTTTGTTGTTTCTTGTTCGAACCACACTGTAATAATCCATGTTTTGACGGGGTGATGGATAGAATTGACAATATGAGAGATAGGCACAGATCATGACGCCGGTTCGGCCTTTTCCAGCTTTGCAGTGGACGGCGACAACGTTTCGGGGATCTTCGGTTATCCATTCGTGGACCTGGAAGGGAATATGTTGGGAACAAGGATTTTTGAGGGCCTTAGGCCACAGTGGATTTCTAGATGTTGGTAACAGGCTCTCTAGGCACAGCTGCTTGAAAACTAGGGTGTCTAGGCTTCGCTACTTGACATAGGAGCTCTCAAGGCGCGGATGCTTGTCAGAGTGCTTCTCTAGGCTCGCCTGCTTGATAAATGTATTAACTAGGCGCGGCTACTTGACACCTAGGCTTTTTGGGGGCTTTTAGGCTCTAGATGTTGGTCCTAGACAGGCCTGTGGCGGAAATTTTCCGGATTTTTCAAGGAAAAATCAATTTTCCGATTTTTCGGAAAAAAATCCAAAATTTTGGGAAATTTTCTCAGTTTATGAAAGGAAAAAATGAAATTTTACGATTTTTTGAACGTAAAACGTCTCAGATAGAAGAATTGTAGTTAAAAATAAGTCTTAGCGCCAACTTAAGGCTGAGAATCAAAATTTCAGATTTTGAAAAATTTCCCTGTTCAAAATTCCGGAAATTTTCCGGCACAGGCCTGGTTTGGGGCTTTTTAAGGCCCTCTAGATTTTGGTCCTAGACAATCAGGTTCTCTAGGCGCGCCTGCTTGAGAACTAGGGTGTCTAGTCTTCGTCACTTGATATAGTAGCTCTCAAGACGTGGATGCTTGTAAAAGTGGTTCTCTAGGCACGGATCCTAGAAAATCAGGTTCTCTAGACGCGGCTACTTGAAAACTAGGGTGGCTAGGCTTCGCTACTCGAAATAGTAGCTCTCAAGGCACGGCTCCTATACAATTAGCCTTTCTAGACGCGGCTGCTTGTTATAGAAGGCCTCAAGGTGCCGCATCTTGTCAGAGTGCTTCTCTAGGCGCGGGTTCTTGACAATTGGGTTCTCAAGGCGCAGCTACTTGAAAACTAGGGTGGCTAGTCTTCGCTACTTGACATATAGAAGCACTTAAGGCCCGATTCCTTATCAGATTTGTCCTATAGGCGCTGCTGCCAGACAATTAGGTTCTCTAGGCTTGCCTACGATTCTTGAAACATAAGCTTTCAAGGCACGGCTCCTAGACAATTAGGTTCTATAGGCGCGGATCCTTGACCCATAGGTTTTCTAAGCTCGACTACTTGCTTTGGAACCTCTCAAGAGGCGGCTCCTGGACAATTAGGTTCTCTAGACGCTGATTCTTGATACATAAGCTTTCAAGGCGCGGATACTTGACAGTTAGGTTCTCTAGGCTCGCCCGCTAGACAAACGGGTTCTCTAGGCGCGGCCACTCGAAAACTAGGATGTCTAGGCTTCCCAACTTGACATACCTCTCTACAAAACGGTGCCATCAGTTCCAATCTTGGCGGATGATGATCAGTCATCTCGAACGATATGACACGATTCTTGAAATTCGCCGGATCGTACGAGTATTGTCCACGTCTGAAGATGTGATGTGACTGATACAGTGTTCTAATTGGGAACAAATGATCGTGGGATGGGAAATCGGGGAAAACTTACAAATTGAACACTTTGTAATGATCGCGATGACGTTTTTCGAGAAAACGAATGATGTGCTTCATGCTGTTGCGATAGAGCGCTTCAGTCGCATTCGCCGGATAACCCATCGCGATTATTCGATCAGTGATGTCTGCAAAATTTGAATTTTTCATCAAAACGGGGATAGTTCAATAGAGCGCATTTGCCATTTTTGGCTCAAAATCCATCATTTTTGATGATTTTTAGCTTGAAAAATCACATTTTCAGCCTAATTTCACCGGAAAAGCTGAAAATTCACAATTTTGATCGATTTTCTAACTAAATTCTATAATTTTTGATTAGAAACTGAATTTGCGGCTCAAAATTCATCAGGTTAAAAAAATGAAAATTTGAATTTTTCATAAAAACGGGGATTGTTCAATGGAGCGCATTTGCCATTTTTGGCTCAAAATCCATCATTTTTTGATGATTTTTAGCTTGAAAAATGGCGATTTCAGCCTAATTTCATTGAAAAAGCTGAAAATTAACGATTTTCAAACAAAATTCTATAATTTTCAATTAGAAACTGAATTTGCGGCTCAAAATTCATCATGAAAAAAAAATGAAAATTTGAATTTTTCATAAAAACGGGGATAGTTCAATAGAGCGCATTTGCCATTTTTGGCTCAAAATCCATCATTTTTGATGAGTTTTAGCCTGAAAAATCACAATTTCAGCCTATTTTCACCGGAAAAGCTGAAAATTCACAATTTTGATCGATTTTCTAACAAAATTCTATAATTTTCAGATAGAAACTAAATTTGCGGCTCAAAAATCATCAGGAAAAAAAATTGAGAATTTGAATTTTTCATAAAAACGGGGATAGTTCAATAGAGCGCATTTGCAATTTTTGACTCGAAATCCATCATTTTTGATGATTTTTGGCTTGAAAAATCGCGAATTTCAAATCAAAAATCACATTTTCATCGGAAAGCTGAAAATTAACGATTTTCTAACAAAATTCTGTAATTTTCAATTAGAAACTGAATTTGCGGCTCAAAATTCATCAGGTAAAAAAAAATGAAAATTTGAATTCTTCATAAAAACGGGGATAGTTCAATAGAGCGCATTTGCCATTTTTAGTCAATTTTCACTCAAAATCCATCATTTTTCAAATCTGATTTTTCTGAAACATATTTTTCCCAAGAAATTTTTCCAGAAAATTCTATAAATCTTTTTTTTTCATTTTAATTTTCAAAATTTCCAAAAACCAAAATCCCCCGATTCAAAAATAGCTCAAGATTTGAGAAAAATCATTGTCGCGTGACGGGGAATTTCCACTAAAATCATTTTTTTTCTCATTTTCGAGAAAAAAATAATAAAAATCATTCTCGCGTGACCATTTTTTTTCGCTGACAAAATTAAATTAGCGTTTGAGAGCACAGCGAAAAAAATTTTTTAATGAAAAAAGAGATTTAAGAAAATGCGCTCTATTGAAATATCCCCGTTTTTATGAAAAATTCAAATTTTCATTTTTTTTTCCTGATGAATTTTGCGTCGCAAATTCAGTTTCTAATTGAAAATCACAGAATTTTGTTAGAAAATCGTTAATTTTCAGCTTTTCCGATGAAATTAGGCTGAAATCGCAATTTGTTCAAGCTCAAAATCATCAAAATTGATAGATTTTGAGCCAAAAATGGCAAATGCGCTCTATTGAACTATCCCCGTTTTTATGAAAAATTCAAATTTTTTAATTTTTCTCAGAAAATCACGAAAAATGTGTTTTTGTACAGTTTTTCTTCACAAAAATACTATTTTTCCGTGTTTTCCTGCGCGACTCTATAAAGAGCACAAAAATGAGCCAAAATTTGGAAATTTTCTGGAAAACCGAAAAACTTCTTTAACATTAATTATGGGCTCTCAAAAAAGGAGATTTTCCAGAAAATTCTCGAATTTTGGCTCATTTTTGTGCTCTTTGTGGAGTCACGCAGCAAAACAGGGAAAACAGTATTTTTGTGAAGAAAAACTGTACAAAAATTGCTAGGGAAATCCAGAAAATTCTCGATTTTTAGTTCATTTTTGTGCAAAAAAAATTAAAATAGGAATTTTCTGAAAAATTCTGTACAAAAATATAAAAAAACAAAAACTATATTTTTTCCTTATTTTTTGGTATTTTTTTTTCATTAAAACATTTTCGCTGCGAGATATTTTTTTGAGCAAAAAAAAATGCCGTCCCCTGAAAAATTCCTCCCCCGAAACTCACACGTCAAATCCAAATCAAATCCATCCGTCTTAATCCTCCGCCGATTTTGCGAAACAATCACACGAAACTTGGAACAAACCATCTCCTTCAACCCTTCCAGTGGTCCGTCGCGTTCATTCCGCTCGCGTTTCCGCGTCGCTCGCTCATTCTCCTCAACTTCATCCTCTTCTTCGCTACTCGATGATGACGCACATTTTCGATGCAATTTTCGGGGGGTATTTTCTAGAATTAGAATTGACAGACTATTCGGCGACATTTTTTTGTTTTGTGGTGGGCTTTTTTTTTATCATAAGCGTTTTTTATCAGTGAATAGCAAAGAGAAAAGTTACAGCTCTCCTTTTTTTCTCAATGAAAATGAAAGTTACGTTTTTTTGCGAAAAGCAACTGATAAAACACAAAATGACCGTCAACTGGACAGACTAGAAAAAGGCTGGGGTTTTTCAGAAAAATTAGATTATCGAACCAGGAAGCTGTTTCAACGTCCACCATATATTTTAAATTGTACTTTTTCTAGTAGTTTTCGACTCGCTGCTCACTATTCCGTCGTCTAAAATTGCAGAACTCAACCCCTATCATGAGTTATGACGTGGCGAAATTCAAAAAAACGGTATTTTAGGAGCTGAAAACTAGCTTTAAAAACTGATTCTCAAGCAAATCTGATAGAATCAAAATGAATTTTTTCAAAAAGCTAGTTTTCTCATAATAGGAGTTGAGTTTAGCAATTTTAGACAGCGGGGTCGTGAGCAGCGTGTCGAAAAATACTACGAAACGTATAATTTATGAAAGTTGAAACAGTTTCCATTTAAATGGTCATCACTCCAAAATAGGTACTCACCAGAACAGTTCCCACTAGTCAAAAACCTAGAACTGCGGTTGGGTTCGCCCCACTTTTTATGCTGGTGAAAAAAAACCAGATCACGTTCACGTATTTTCTTTACTCATAAATTTTCCTGTGTTATTTCAAAAATAAATTTTTAGGTGGTCTTCAGCAGAAGTTCCCACTTTGGACCGAATCAATAGGGCCGATTCATGAACGGAAAAAATTTTAGAAAATGTTTTTTTTAACATTGAGAGATCAATTCACGAAAAGTAAAAAAACGTTGTGGGTCAAAATTAATTTTTCAAGGTTTTTCAGCCAAAAATGATGACAAATCGAGATTTTTTAAGCTTCTGGAGTGATTTCTGATTAAAATTGACCTTGGAATTCACTTTTCAGAATTTTTGCTGATTTTTCGTAAAATAAAAAACGTTGAATTTCGAATAAGTTCTAAAAATGAGGTGAAATAGGGTTCCCACTGCTTATTTTCATCAGAAATCACTCCAGAAGCTTCAAAAATTTGGAATTGTCATCATTTTTGGCTGAAAAACCTTGAAAAACTAATTTTGACCTACAAAGTTTTTTCGACATTTTTTGACTTTCCGTAAATTTTTTTGCAATGTTAAAAAACCATTTTTCGCCCGTGAATCAGCCCTAAAGAGGAGCTTATGATGTTGAGAGTGCAACATACACTATAAGGCCCGAGGAAAGCCCCCCCAAAACCAACCCTCTTTCTTCCTCGACGAACTCGGTTGATCTTTCGAAGTCGACGGATTATCGACGTCCGCGTCATTCGGCATCTCTTTCCGTTTTCCGCGACGCCGTCTACAAAATAATTCACTTTTTTATATTTCATCAATTCTGAATAGAGCATGCTCAGAAAAAAAACTACCTAGTCCTTAGCCAAGAGATAATCTTATTAACAACCGTTTTGCTCAGAGAACACAGCACTATTCTCTCTGGAAATAGTGCGAATGTGTGTGTGTGTGTGAATGAACCAAAATGTGAAAAAGAAGAAGAAGTAGGCAAAAGTGGGCGGGGCTTGAGAATATAGAGGAACAAGAACAAGACGATGATGTGTGGAAAAGACACGAAAAAAAACTGTAGCCAGGGAGCAGGGGTGATGCAATAAGTAAGCTTTGGTTCAAATTTTTTAAAAATAGATTCGGATCGGAAAAAAAGAATCGATGAAACATATTGTGTTGACTCATATCATACAATGCACTTTTAGCGGGAAAAAAGAAGGAAGGGAAAAAATTTTCCATAATTATAGAGCAATTTTGAAACCGATTTTTTATCAGGTTTCAGAGATAATTATAGAGGGGTTTTTTCAGATTCAATGCATATTGTAATGTGTTTTATTCAGATTTGAATTTCAGATTTGTCAAGTAGAAAATGACGAGGGATAAGGTCCCGTAACAAAACATTGATGAAAAATATCGAAATATACCAAATCAGCCGTGCTGATAACGATTCGGACGTACAAAAATCCCCCATTTTTCTTCTCCTCGAATTTTCTGGCTCCCGAATTTTTGAACATCTGTCGGAATTCGTTTTTCTCCTTTTCGAACAACACATCTGTTCTACGAGTGTTCATGACGAAACTTGGAAAACCAGCAATTTTCCATGCTGATCACTATTCTGACGTCAGAAATTGTCACAAATCCCTGTGAGCCCTGGAGCCCATTTTCACCATGTTCCGAGGTGGAAAATTGAAATTTTAAATTTGAATAAGGTTGTTTAGCACATTCAAAAACCTATCAAATTCTAAGGTTATCAAAAATTCGCTGAAAACTGTAATTTCAGCGAATTTGAATGAGCTGAACAACCTTATTAGAGTTATAAAAGTTGATTTTCCACCCCGGAACACGAGCTCAATTCTAACTTTGGAGCTCCAGAAAAGTGCTCACAGGGATGTTTGTGGCAATTTCTGACGTCAGAATAGTGATCAGCACGGCAGATTTCCTATATTTCGATAAGTTTCATCAAAAGTTGTCCTGTGAAAAATTGCTGGCTTTCCAAGTTTCATCATGAACACTTGTAGAACAGATGTGTTGTTCGAAAAGGAAAAAAAACGAATTCTCGTATTTTTGGCAGATGTTCAAAAATTCGGGGGCCAGAAACAGTTTGGGGAGCAGGAATATCTTCCGAGGGATCAGAAGAAAATTCAAAAAAGGCCAAAAATTACTAGGCGTACCAAAAAATCGGCAATTTTTCGTACACCAAATTTTTCTTCGTAAGCAATATTCAAAAAAATCGTTATTCATATCAAAATTGACGAAAATACTCGATCAAAAAATGATTTTCTAGCTGAAAACTTCAATTTTTCAACTAAATTCAAATTTATTTGGCTTGAAAAAACTCTCATTGCACATAGATCCATCTAATGCAGATATTAATGTGTTTTTTTCCGTTTCAAGCCAAATACATTCGAATTTCATTGAAAAATTGAAGTGTTCAGCTACAAAATCATTTTTTGATCGAGAATTTCGGTCAACTTTGAGATGAATATCGATTTTTTTGAAATTTCGAAAACTAAAGATCTCGAGAAAAATCGACAGAAGCTGGAAAAGCCAATTTTCTAGGAGAAGATACACCGAATTTCAAACCTTCGGACTAAAAACCAAGAAAACTGAACTGAATTAACATGATTTCTAGACACAAAAAACGTACTCACGAGAAAGAGAGAGAGAATTTTTGAATTATTAATAATATCTTCGTCAAACTGAAAAAAGTGGGAGAAGAGGAGCATGTTATATAATCGCTTGCTCCACAAATCTCTTCGTCTTCGTCTTTTTCGCGCAAATCCTAAATCCATCTATAATCCGCCATTTTTTCAGAAATCGATATGTGAAAATTCACGAATTAATTTTCAAAATGAACAACGAAAAACTATGAGACAGGTGCTAAAAATCAAATTTGTGTCAATGTTTCCATTTGGTTATTTGATTTATATGTGTACTTTGGAATTTTGCAACACAAAATGAAGGCATTGTTACAACAACAACAGGAGTACGGTATTTGGTGCAAAATTGCACAGGATGCACATATTGTTGTTGTAAAGAAGAGGGAGGAAATATGTATCATCCGATGCGAACGAAAACGTTTGGATATAGCCTAACTTCAGTTTTGCCTCAGAAAAGGAGAAGGGAGAATTCTGATTTTTGGAATTCAGAAGCTAAAATTTAGCTTTAGCTGCTAAATTTGACATCTGGGGCCGAATTTTGAAAATTTGGCGAAACAACGGAGGTTAGAAATTCAAAGTACTGTGGTTGTACGAGTCGGTGCGAGACCCATATGTGCGTCTTTGACTTTGTTTCTCTGCCCACTGGGGTGTTAGTGACGCAGAGGAATACCGTACTTTGATGCGAAATTTTTCACGTTGACAATATACCAAAAATTAACGACGAAAAATTTGGTGTACCAAAAAAATTGCTGAATTTTTTGGTACGCCCCAAAGTTTTCTTGAAACTTCGACCCCCGATTTTTGAAAATTCAGAAGCTAACACTAAACAACTTCAGGGGCCGAATTCACAAAAATGGTATACCAAAAATTAGTGAAGAAAAAATTTGGCGGACCAAAATTTTTCTTCACTAATTTTTGGTATACCACTTTTGTGAATTCGGCCCCTGCTCAAATCTACTTCCGGGTTCCCAAAAATATACGAAAATCGGAATATTTTTGAAATTAATTACGTGAACTTTCAGATTTTTTTCGTTACGTGAACATTTATCATTTCATTTTCAAAAATTCGCGTACGAAAAAAATCATGATGTCTATGCCGCCGTGAAAATCTCATCATGTTCAAGAAATCAGTAAGCGTCTAGGCATTCGTATCGCATTACAACTCAAGAAACTCAAAAACCAGACAAGCTCGCACACAAAAAAATGTTCGAAAGTGCGAAACCTTCATCTAATATTCCAATCTCATTAGTATCATTTTCCTCTCGTTTTTTTCCTTTTTTTCATATTCTCATCTTGCCCCCTCGTTTTTCGCACTCCTAACTAATCCAATTACATAATATGTATAGAACATTGAGAAGTTTCGCTTGAACAGAATGAAAAACTAGGAGATAGAACATTTAAAGGTTGAGGATTTTTTCTGGAAGCTTCTCAAATTTTCGTTGGAAAAATTTTGAAGTTCAAAAAAAAATTTTAGACAGCAGAATCGTGATCACCGTGTCGAAAACTACTAGAAAACATCCAGGGGCCGAATTCACAAAAGTGGTATACCAAAAATTTTTTCACTAATTTTTGGTATACCACTTTTGTGAATTCGGCCCCAGGATGTTTTCTAGTAGTTTTCAACCCGCTGATCACGATTCCGTCGTCTAAAATTGCAGAACTCAACTCCTAACATGAGTTATGACGTGGCAAAGTTCAAAAATTGGGACCTTCAAAATGGTTTTCATGCAAATGTAATAGCATAGGGTTGTTCAGGAAGCTCGATTACATAGGTTTAGAAGATTTATACGAAAATCCAGAACCCTTACCAATTTGTACTCAAAAAGTTAATTTTAGGTTGCAGATTTCAAAATTTTCTGGATTTTCGTATGAATTTTCTAAACTTATGTAAACGAGCCTCCTGAACAACTATATGCTATTACATTTGCATGACAACCATTTTGAAGGTCCCAATTTTTGAACTTTGCCACGTCATAACTCATGTTAGAAGTTGAATTCTGCAATTTTAGACGACGGAATCGTGATCAGCGGGTCGAAAACTACTAGAAAACATAGATTTTATTAAAAATCTATGCAATCTCTGATCCTTTTCGTTCGGAGCTCCCAACATCATTCATTCATTCATTCAAAATAGTGCGAGATAGAAAGAAGACAACACAAAAAAATGAGAGAAAGAGAAGGAGAGAGTCAAGCAAAAGGTCAGTTGAACTTTTAGCGCGAAAGAGAGAAGATGGTGGTTGGTTTTGAAAGAAGACGCGCCAATCTTGCGAACGATGAAAAATCACCATGCAAAGGAAAAGAAAAAAGACGACGGAAATATGAATGATGATGATCAAGACACATACTATAGTATATTTGATTTGGTCAAGATCATTAAACATGAGAAACTGTTTGATGATTCAATGTGATCAACTAAAAATCTGTGGATGGAGTGGAGTTACGATAACTTTAAAAAAACACGTAATTTTCAAAAAAATCGTTATTCATCTCAAAGTTGACAAAAATACTCGATCAAAAAATGATTTTGTAGCTGAAAACTTGAATTTTTGAATAAAATTCGAATGTGTTTGGCTCAAAATGCTATACATATTCGACTTTTATTGAAAAATTGAAGTTTTCAGCTATAAAATCATTTTTTGATCGATTATTTTCGTCAACTTTGAGATGAATAACGATTTTTTAAAAAGTACGTGCTTTTTTTAATCGAAAAGTTATGGTAAATAATTTTTGTTTATGAAGGAAAATTTGTTGTACCCAAAAATTGCTTATTTTTGGTATTCAAAAATTATTTACGATAACTTTTTTCGAAAAAAAAACCACGTAATTTTCAAAAAATCGATATTCATCTCAAAGTTGACGAAAATACTCGATCAAAAAATGATTTTCTAGCTAGAAACTTCAATTTTTCAATAAAATTCGAATGTGTTTGGCTCAAAATGCTATACATATTCGAATTTTATTGAAAAACTGAAGTTTTTAGCTACAAAATCATTTTTTGATCGAGTATTCTCGGCCAATTTTGAGATGAATAACGATTTTTTGAAAACTGCGTACGAAGAAAAATTTGGTGTACGAAAAAATTGCTAATTTTTTGGTACGCCTAGTAATAATTTACATCAAAATGACGATTTGCAAAACTTTTTGCACTTATTATTTCAAACACATTTGTCCTTTGGATGATTTGTTGTTGACAATAAATCAGGCAAAAGAAAAAAATCTTGAAAAAAATTTCAAAAGAAAAATGGAGCTGGAGAAGCAATGTTTATACTTTAAAAGTGCACAGATGTCAGATTTCTTTTTAGTAAACTTTGATGGATTTTAAGTAGAAAATTATTCGGGGAGCTAATGAATTTCAGCATGCAATTTTTTAATTACCAGAACTCATTTTGGGAATTGAATGATTTTTGATCGAAAAATGCAAAAAAACTGTTAAACATTTAAAAAAAAACATCATTTTTTAACACGGCGAAAAAAAAACACATAAAGAGAATGAGAGAGAGCGCAACACACTATAACAATTGCAGACTTTTTTTCGTCTGCTTCTCTGCACTCTCTCTTCACTCCATGGAACGGCGCCTTTGGGGCTAGAGACGCAGAGAAATAAAGAAGGATGGTGTGGTCATTGAGAAAGTCACTGATAAAAGTGCACTAATCCTAAGCTTTTTTATTGTTGAAAAAAAAATTCTGGATTCAAAAATAAAAAAATGAAACGAAAAAAAAATGATCAAGGAAAAAATGGGCAGCAAAAAAGTATTGGAAAAAAGTGCATGCGCAGTGCATTTCGGCAAAAAGTGCAACAATTTTTGTGTGTGCGGGGGGAGAAGGAAGGAAGAAAGAAGAAAAAAGGACGATGAAACCTCAAAATTATTATGGAATTCAATTTTTTCAGCGATTCCCTGGTGAATAATTAGTTAAGCCTATTATTTCAAGAATTTTTGACACTGTTTTAAAAATTTAAAAAAAAACCTACACTGAATCTAACCAACTTTTCGGAGGAATGATTGTTCGAATTGTTTCCTGCAAAATTCATCAATTTCCCCTCAAAATCCACAAATTCCAAACTTACCCTAGGGAAATTAAACGTGAAAATGACAAAAATTCAAACTAGAAACTGTGAAAACCGGCGATTTCGCCCGGAAACTCCGAAAAAACGGGGAAAACGAGAGAAATTTGAAAAATTTTGGTTAAAGGGACATGTATTTTCGCAAGCTGTGGGTCTTGTGTGGAAGAGGCAAACAATGCTTTTTTATTTTCTTTTTTTTTTTTTTTTTCCAAGTTTTCAGCGTTTTGTGTGGTAAACAGTGATTTTCATGTGTTTTTGATGTTTTATTTTTGTTCAGCGTGTCTTAATACCCTTTCTGAGTAATTGTGGCTGTTTTTAACCTTGTGAGAGGATGGAAAATGATGGTTTTAGTATTTTTTCGAAACTAACAAAAGTTTGTGAATTCACTAACGCCGAAATTGCATGAATCGTTTTTATATAGTTCCTTTTCCTGAACAGGGTTAAAAACAGCTTCAAAAATTGATCGTATTAATCGTTCCTTTGAAGAAATGAGCTTCCGTGGACGTGGTGGTGGTGGTGGCGGATTCCGAGGCGGACGTGGAGGAGATCGAGGCGGAGGCGGCTTCCGCGGTGGTCGCGGTGGAGATCGAGGCGGTCGCGGAGGACGCGGTGGTTTCGGAGGCGGTGGCCGAGGCGGATATGATCAGGGACCACCAGAAGAAGTTGTACCATTAGGAGTATTCATGCACGCTTGTCAAGATGATATTGTCTGTAATACTACATGTGGAAAAATCCCATATTTCAATGCACCAGTGTTTTTCGAAAACAAAGAACAAATTGGAAAAGTCGACGAGATTTTCGGATCTCCTGGAGAGAATGTTTGTTTTTTTTATAACTTCATGATTTTCAACAAAATTTATGTTTTTCCAGGGTTTCTCAGTCACATTATCCCAAGGAATCAAAGCATCATCGTTTAAAGCTGGCACAGAATTGTACATCGATCCAGGAAAGCTTTTACCAGTAGAAAGGTAAATTTTTTTATTGAAACTTCACATTTTCATGTTTTTTAAGCAAATGAGCTGAAATATTGGGTTTTAATTTTATTCATATGATAGAATGGTCCAAGACGAACAGAATGATATAAATTTTGATGACTTTACCTTATCCATAAGTGATTTAGCGACTTTTAGGCGATAAGGTCGCTAAATCACTTAAGGAAAACCTAAAGTCATCAAAATTTATATGATTCTGTTCGTCTTAGACCATTCTATCATATGAATAACATTAGAACACAATATTTCAACTCATTTGCTTAAAAACAATGAAAATGTCATTTACTCTATGTCCAATCAATATTTTTCCAGATTCCTACCAAATGCTGGCGGAAGTCGTGGCCGCGGTGGACGGGGACGCGGAGGAGATCGTGGAGGACGCGGAGGCGGCGGTGGATTCCGCGGGGGTGACCGAGGAGGACGTGGAGGCGGCTTCCGCGGAGGCGATCGAGGAGGTCGTGGCGGCGGTGGATTCCGTGGCGGAGACAGAGGCGGTTTCCGTGGCGGTGATCGAGGAGGTTTCCGCGGAGGCGATCGAGGCGGTTTTAGAGGAGGTGATAGAGGTGAGAACTTGTATTTTCGAACTTTTGAATAATCTCTCGATTATGCATCGTGTGAAGAAAAGTGAAGAAAAATATCACGAGATGAAAATTGTATGTGGCATTTACAAATTTTTATATTCTAAAAACCGAAAAAAACGTATTTGGTCTACGGTAATGCATCGTACGAATTGAAAAAATGCGAAAAATCAAAAATGTCGTGCAAACAGACGCATTATTTTTGCATTTTCTGGTGTTTTTCGAGCCAAAATTGACAGAAATTGAAAGAATTTGTCGGAAATTGTGTAAAATCAGTGGTGAATCAAGAAAAAAACACGATTTTTCCTCCATTATCAATAAAAACACAATTTCTGTCAATTTTGGCTCGAAAAACAGCAAAAATAATGCGCGAAAAAATGCACGATATTTTTTTGATTTTTCGCATTTTTTTTCACTTTGTACAATGCATTACCGTAAACCAAATACGTTTTTTTTCGGATTTTAAAATATAAAAATTTGTAAATGCCACATACAATTTTCATCTAGTGATAAAGCTAGCTCTGAAAACTTTGAGGGATTTTCAATTTAATTCATTTTTTTCCAGGAGGCGGTTTCAAACGATCTTTTGACGGCGGATCAAACAACCAAAATAAAAGAACAAAGTTCGATTAATTTATGTAAGCTTTTTCCTTTAAAATTCACCACTTCCCCCATTTTTATCTTTCTTCTTTGTTGATTGATGTTGATTTTTTTGTTGAACTTGTTATGAATACATTTATCGAATTAGGAGGGATTAATTAGCATTTAGTGAACAAATCATTGTAACCAGGACATCCGAAGCCTTGTACAGCTATTGCGTCATAAAATCCACCGAGAGAATCTTTTAAACCTTGAATGATGGCGCCAAAAGTATCAACTTCAAAGAGAGCTTCACACTGCAAGAAAAACTTCAAAATGAGGAATTATTTCATGGGAATTACCAGATCTTGATTTAAAAATCCACAGGCACTTAGGATTGCTTGTTTGACTTCTCCAAGCATTGGATTATCCAGAATATCTGAAATTAATTGTAGATTTCGTTCAAATTCTAGAGATAAACTAACTATAATTGATGTATTTCAAAGTGTCATAGACCAAAAAGCACATTGTGCAAGTGCTGCTCGAAACATCGCTTTGGAAAAGCGACAATTCCCCATTTCCTGAGCAGGTTTTCGAATGCTCTTCGAGTTTTTATGAAATTTGTGAAATGTGCTGGGAGCTCTGGTGATTTTTTGATTTCGCTGTGAAGAATTGCGACGATTTCACAGTCTTTTAGAATTTTGCAACTTGCATCGCATGGTTTGGCTGAAAATTGGAAATGGAAATTGTATTTTCATAAACATCTCAACTTGTAATATGAGTTATGACGTGGCAAAATTGGAGAATCGTGAATTCTGGATGATTTTCTGATAGAATAGCGTTGTACAGAAGGTTTTTCTGTTCGGATTTCAGCAAAACCTTTTGTACAACGCTATTCTATCAGAAAATCATACGGAATTCACGATTCTCCAATTTTGCCACGTCATAACTCATATTAGAAGTTGAGATTTGTGCGTGCGGCTGTGCGTCGCGGTCGGGAAGAAATAGGAAAATTATTTCCCGACCGCGACGCACAGCCGCACGCGTCTACAGGAAATCAATTGATAATATGAGTTATGACGTGGCAAAGTTGGAGAATCGTGAATTCAGAAGGTTATGACTAGATTTCAGATGATTTTCTGGTAGAATAGCGTTGGAGCGTCATAATTGCAGAAGGTTTTGCTGAAATTCGAAAGATTATCGAGAAAACTTCGTAATCCCTTGAACTTTTCTGGAAAATCTTTCAGATTTCAGCAAAACCTTCTGTAATTATGACCCTCCAACGCTATTCCATCAGAAAATCATCTGAATTCACGATTCTCCAATTTTGCCACGTCATAACTCATATTAGAAGTTGAGATTTGTAGTTTTTGATAACAGAAGCGTGATCAGAAGTTTTTCGACCTTCTGATCACGCTTCTTTTGTCAAAAACTACAAATCCCAACTTCTAAAATGAGTTATGACGTGGAAAACTTGGAGAATCGTGAATTCAGAAGGTTATGACTAGATTTCTGATAGAATAGTGCTGAAATTCAGAAAAACCTTCTTTCTGGTCGATTTTTGACCACATTTTGATCATAATTTGGCCAAAACAGTAAATTGATCAAACATTGATCAAAAAATGCCCGAATTTTGTTTTGGCCAAAAATGCACCAATTTTTGGTCAGGCTCCCATCACCTGTGGCGAAAAACCTTCTACTTATGACCCTCCAACGCTATTCTATCAAAAATCCAGCTACAACCTTCTGATTTTCCACATTTTGCCACGTCATAATTCAGAAGAAGTTCAAAACTTTGGCTGCGCGTGCGGCTGTGCGTCGCGGTCGGGAAGAAATTGGGAAATTTTGCTTTCCTAGCGCGACGCACAGCCGCACGCAACTTTGCCACGTCCGACCGCGACGCACAGCCGCACGCGTCTAACAATAAAAAACCCACCACTAAAATTTCCCGTCGCCAAAAACTGACAAACCGCGCATTGAACCTTGGGATCAAGTTCAAGTTTGGTGGCGGAAAACGGCAAACTTGCCACGATTCCGATTGAAATCACAAAAATTGCCGAAATTTTGAGCATTGATAAGTGAAACACAATATAAATTTCTTTATCATACACGTTTTGATCAAAAATTTCCCAAAATTTTTTATTTATATCAAAAAAAAAAGACCATTATCACAGTGTTATAAAAATTAGTAAAGCAATTAACCAAAACTCATTAAAAAATCGATAATTTCACCAAACCGCCGCAAAAAGCCACAAAAGTCCACTGGCATAATCAATAATCTCCTGTTTTCCCAACTTGGATTCGCCAAAAAATCGATCGACAAACGTGATTGGCACCTCGCCAATTCGAAATCCCGATTTTCGCGCGCGAAACATCATTTCCATTTGGAACACATATCCTTTGCTGATACTGTCGGCGATCAATTTGGCGAGAACCTCTTTTTTGTAGAGGCGGAAAGAGCCGGTGAGATCCGAGACTCCGGGGTTGAGAAGGAATTGCGCCAGGAAGTTGGCGCCTTTGCTGATGGTTTTGCGCTTGAGATCCCAGCCGCTGACACCGCCGCCGTTGGCGTAACGAGTTCCGGTAACTATGTCGAGCTGGAAACATTTTTTTTTGAATTTATTTTTGGCTGGAATTTCTAAAAAATCACTGGAAAAACACAGTATTTTGAAAACTTTCTATCCTGATTTTCATCCAGAAAAAAAATAATTTTGCACTTTGTCATAGTTATTTTTGTGAGAAAAGCATAGATTTTGACCAAAAATCAGTTTCTCTAAAAAAAACCCCGAAAATATAGGTTTCAAATTTATTTGAATTTTGTAGGGATTCTGAAATTTGTGATTTGCAAGACAACATTGATTTTTCGCACAAAAAACTAATTTTTTTGTTTTTTTTTTCGACGTTTTTCTGAACAGAAAAGAATAGAATTTGTCAAGTGCGCTCTATTGATAATCATGGAAATTTTCGAAAATTTCAAATTGATGAAAAAAATAAGAGCCTTCGTTTCTAAAAATTTAAAAATTCTCCCCATTTTTGCAAGTGCGCTCTATTGATAATTATGGGAATTTTAATTATTTTCAATTTTTTTTTGCCTATGTAGAGACAATGTGAAATTGAGAGAGTGCAGACAGTTTTTTTTGTATTTTTTGTACGAAAAATCAATTCATCTGGCTGCACTCTCTCAATTTCACATTGTCTCTCTCTACTCAAAAATAATATTCTGCATAGGGAAAAAATGTTTTTTATTACAAAATATTACCTGAAAATTTCCAGGCTTCCCAATATTTCTTTGTTTTTTTTTTCTATTTATTTTTAATGGTCAAATCATTAATCTCTCAAAATCCCAACAAAATTCAAATAAATTTGAAACCTATATTTTCGGGGTTTTGTGATTCACGAAATTAAAAAAAACGTTTTTTAACGTTAAAAAACCAAAAAAGTGATTCAGGAATGGTATTTTTATTCATTTTTTCACCATTTTCTCAACACATTGAATAAAGTAAAGCTAAAACGCAATTTTAGTGTACAGAAAATGGTATTTCAAGACCTTCTAATTAGAATAAAAGAGAAACCAAGCCAAATTGTTGATTTTTGGGAGATTTTGTCTTTTAGGCTGATTAGGAAGTCTTGAAATAGTATTTCTAAACTCTAAAATGCGTTTTAGCTTTCACTTTATTAAATTTATTGAGAAAATGGTGAAAAAATGAATAAAAATACCGTTCGTGAATCATTTTTTCTGGTTTTTTAACGTTAAAAAACGTTTTTTTGTGAATCACAGCATTAAAACCTTGGAAATGTAGGTTTATTTGAATTTTGTAGGTATTCTAAAATCAGTGATTTGGCCAGTATCAAAAATATTTAAAAAAAACCAAAAGGGCTGATTCACGAACGAAAAAAATGTTTTAAAATGTTTTTTTAACACTGAAAGATCAATTCACGAAAAGTCAAAAAATGTCGAAAAAACATTGTTTTTCTTTTAGTTTTTCGAGTTTTTCAGCCAAAAATGATGACAAATCGATATTTTTCAAACTTCTGGAGTAATTTCTGATTAAAATAAGCTTCGATAACCCTATTTTGCTTTATTTTATGAATTTTTTCGAAATTCATCAAAACCTTCTGGAAAGTGAATTCCAAGGTCAATTTTAATCAGAAATTACTCCAAAAGCTTAAAAAATATCGATTTGTCATCATTTTTGGCTGAAAACCCTTGAAAAACTAATGTTTTTTCGACATTTTTTGACTTTTCGTGAATTGAACTTTCGATGTTAAATCAGCCCTAAAGAAACCTTGGAAAGCTGATTTTTTGGTCAAAATTTCCCCTCAAAATCCTCCCCACCTTATACTTTTGCTGAAGTGCAATCATTTCCGGAATAAACTTTGGATGATGCGACAAATCGGCATCCATCAAAATCACAAATTCGCCTCTCGCATGCGCCAATCCATGAACATAGGCGGTGCCAAGCCCCAATTTCCCCGCGCGCGGTCTCAAAACAATCTTCTCCTCTCCATATTCGGCTTGCAATTTTTTGGCGACTTCAAGAGTTCCGTCCGGTGATCCGTCATCAATTACAATCACCTCGTAGTCAATTTCCTTATTCAAATATTTTTCCATTAACCAAATGCAAATCGGCAAATTCTCCTTCTCATTATAAGTTGGGAGGATAATACTGAACTTTGGCATGGTTCTGAAAATCTTTTTTGATTTCCAATTTTCAAGATGTAAAAATGATATTAATCGATAATTTTAAGGTTCAAAACCTTGTTTCAGAACAAAAAACAAAGAAAATCAATAGGAAAAATATTTATATTCTATGAATCCTAAAAAAAAACACTAAAAATTGTATTATTTCGACCAAAATTGCATGTATTGAGATTCATCGAAATTGTCATCAATAACTTCTTGTTTGATAGCTTTTGCTTTTGGTTTTCGAGCAGCCAGGCGTTGACGACGATCATCTTCGCTCAATTGTTTCAAATCAATCGCAGATTGGAAAATCTAAATTCAAAAATCCATTTATTTATTTCCTTCAATTATCCCACAATCCCACCTGTCTTGGTTCAGCAGCCGGCACAAGAATAGTCGAACCATCGGGTCGAACAAGCGTCACCTGATATCGATGCAAATATTGCGTCCGGCTGATTTTTCCCAAACTCGCTCGCCACGCATTTCCTCTCTCGGCAACTATCACATTTTTCACAACATTTTTCAGCATTTTCGTTGCCATTTCACCCTGGAAATTAGTGATTTTGGGGAGAAAACATCGTGTTGGCTTGGAAAAAAAGAAAAATGTGTGTGTGTGGCCTAGAAAATGTTCGGCCACGGTCATGGCATTTTTTTTTTGTTTTTCACGTTTTCATGTTTTTTGAGCTAGTTAGTGGAAATGTTGGGTTTTGAGCTTATTCATAGGATAGACAGGTCTAAGACGATTTGAATGATATAAATTTTTATGACTTTACGTAATCCATAAATGATTTAGCGACTTATAAGTGATTTAGCGCTAAATCACTTAAGGTTAACTTAAAGTCATCAAAATTCATATCATTCTGTTCGTCTTCGACCATTCTATCATATGAATAAAATTAAAACCCAATATTTCAACTCACTTGCTTAAAAAACATGAAAATGTCATTTAGCGTCCTTAAGGTTAAATTGAAGTCATAAAAATGTATTATCGAAAATCTCCACGCGCTCCACCGAAATAAACACGCAACGCACACCGCGTCGCGCCACAACACACAAAAAAGGGAACGATTCAAATTCCCTCCTTTTTTTGTGCGTTGTGGCGCGGCGCGGTCTGCGTTGCGTGTTTATTTCGGTGGAGCGCGTACCGATGAGATTTTCGATAATATACCATTCGAATTCTCTTAAACCTGTCTAACTTATGAATAAGCTCAAATTCCAAGCTAAAATACATGAAAGTCAAAAAGTTTCATTCAATAAAGAATTCCATCATTATTAAATTCATATTGTAACATAGTTAGTATGAAGAAAATAAAATAGGTGGCAAATAAAACGGCCCAAGAAACATATGATATTTCATGGGTATAACCTCGCTTGTCGCGGTGAAGATGTTCATGTTCGGATTTTTCTCTTTCAACCGCAATCTGAAAACAGATTTAAAAAAAGTTTTGCCAAAAAAATGATGAAAATCGAACCATTCTCATCATTGCTTCTGTATTTTCCGTATCTTGACTTGAGAAAAATGTGATCCATATGTGATGCTGTACAATCGCATGAAAACCAGTCGCAAAACAGCCATATTTTCGAATCGAGTCCAGTGTGTTACTATCGAAATACCTCTTGAAACATTTTATAGGTCTGCTAGCGGCTATTAGTTCTTTGAGTCGCTTCTCGTGTTTGCTGCCATCTGTTAGACACATTGCGTTTAGAATGAATTCAGATTCGGCAGTTTCGCGATGAAATGTGAGATGACAGAATTTACAATCGTTTCGCATTGTCAAATTGATGAATTCAGGCGATTGTTTGTATGTCGCATTTGTTAAAACCGGGCAAAGTTGATAATATGTCTTCTTTGTTTTCTGAAAATAGGTAGATTTTAAATAAAATTTATGTTTTCTAGTAGTTTTCAACCCGCTGATCACGATTCCGCTGTTTAAAATTGCAGAACTCAACTTCTAATATGAGTTATGACGTGGTGCGATTTTTGGAGATAGCATAGTGTTGTTCAATAGTCCATGAACCTCCTGAACAGTACAGTTGGACATCGACTAAATGACATTTTCATGTTTTTTAAGCAAATGAGTTGAAATATTGGGTTTTAATGTTATTCATATGATAGAATGGTCTAAGACGAACAGGATGATATAAATTTTGATGACTTTACGTTATCCATAAGTGATTTGGCGAGGTTTAGTCGATAAGGTCGTTAAATCACTTATGGATAACGTAAATTCATCAAAATTTATATCATTCTCTTCGTCTTAGACCATTCTATCATATGAATAACATTAAAACCCAATATTTCAACTCATTTGCTTAAAAACCCTGAAAATGTCATTTACTCGATGTCCAACTATACTGAACAAGGCAATAAATCATTTTTGAGCTCCTAGGATCTCGCCACGTCATAACTCATGTTAGAAGTTGAGCTCTTTATAGTGATCAACGGGTCGAAAACTACTAAAAAACATATTTTATTTTATTACCTTAGCACTTTTTGCAAGAGTTATTATTATAAGTAGAAAAACGATGATATTTTTAATAATTTTCATACTAGATCGGATCGAATTCAATAAATTTCTAAATATGAAAGGCGAAGCGGGACAAATTCACGTTTCGATTTCACGTAAAAATCATCGCGCAGCTAATTTTCAAAACCTTTATTTATCTTAATACATAATTCCATCATTATTAAAATTAAATTGTAACATAGTTAGAATGAAGAAAATGATATAGGTGGAAAATAGAAGAATCCAGGAAGTGTAGGATGAAATTTCGTCTCCATCGGCTCCGTGTTTTTCGTGAAATTCTTCATGCTTTTGGTAGTTTTGATTGATTTTGTCCTGAAAATAATGGTTTTTTCTAGAAATTTCAAAACCTTTAGGAAAATTTCAAGTTTTTCACGCTGGGAAATGTCCCGTGTTCAATTTTTCACTGCGCGACTCTCTGAAGAGCACAAAAATAGGCCAAATTTTCTGAAAATTCGCGGTTTTAAGAGCCAATAACTCATGTTAGAGAAGATTTTATCAAAAATTGAGTATAGGGCGATGTTCAGAAGGGTCGATTTGGTGAAATATTGATTTTCCAACCAAAAATTGTTTGTTCCAGACATTAGATTAACTAATTTTTGGTTGGAAAATCGATATTCTACCGAATCGACCCTTCTGGACATTGTCCTGTACTCAATTTTTGATAAATTTCTCTCTAACATGAGTTATCGGCTCTCAAAATCGAGATTTTCAGAAAATTCTTGAACTTTGGGTTATTTTCGTGCTCTTCAAAGAGTCGTACAGTGAAAAATTGTACAAAAAGTTATTGAAAGTGGCAGTGCTTCGCGGTTGTTCAGCCACCGCGACGCACAGCCGCACGCATCCCTCAAAACGAACCATTCTCAAAAGTGCTTCGGTAATTAGAGTAGGGCTACTCGAGAAAAATGTTTTCCACAAAAAATGATCAATCATCACAGCGAAACTGGTGACATTACATACGAATCCTCTTGTTGTTTTCACTTCGCTACCTGCTTTACGACTAACTTGTATCGCACAAACCGTTTCATGTGCTTTCACTTTCGATTTCAAGTCTTCACTTGCATTTCTGACGCAATTTGTGCTCAGCAAAAATGACGAATTTTTGAACACTCTCATCACAGAAATTCGACAAAAATCACAGTTTGGTAGCATTTCGTATTCTTCAGTTTGCTTTAATTTCCAGTTTTTGATACGTGGACAACTTGTTTTAGAAGAAGCTTTGGCTAGGAATTTGAAAAAACCGCCCTGAAATTAATGAATCGCGGCTGTGCGTCGCGGTCGCGGTTGTTTCCCGACCGCGACGCACAGCCGCACGCAGCTGACGAAGTTCGACAAACTCACATTTGCTTGAGTTATGATAAATAGCAATACGATGATATTTTTGATAATTTTCATACTAGTTTTTATTCGCAAAAATTTCAGAAATGGGAGAAAAATGAACGTTTTCACGTGGAAAATTATTTAGTTTTGAGAAAAAAATTTATTTTTGAAATTTTTTTTGGTTTGAAAATGTTAACCAATTTTTTCAATAATTTTGAATTTTCACCAAAATTTGAGCCTGTAATTATCCTGTCCAAAACACGCCAGCTTAAAGGAACATACCGTATAACCTGCGTATCTAACTGAACTTTTTTGTTCAATTTTTTCTTGAGTTAGATGTGCAGGTTCTACCATACAGAAGCCTATTTCAAGGTCTGATATTGGGCCTGTACTCAGGCTTATTTAGGCTCATTTTGAAGCCTGAAACAAAGCCTAAAAGCAGGCTTATTTAGGTTCCTTTTGCAGCCTGAAACTAAGCTTAACCCAGGCTTATTTAGGCTCATTTTAAAGCCTAAAATTGGGCCTGAACCCAGGCTCATTTAGGTTCATTTTGAAGCCTGAAGCTAAGCCTAACTCAGGCTTATTCAGGCTCATTTTGAAGCCTGAAACTAAGCCTAACCCAGGCTCATTTACGCTCATTTTGAAGCCTACACCTAAGCCTAACCCAGGCCTATTTAGGCTCATTTTGAAGCCTAAAATTGCGCCTAAGCCCAGGCTTATTTAGGCTCATTTTGAAGCCTGAAACTAAGCCTTCCCCCAGGCTTATTTAGGCTCATTTTGAAGCCAATAAACAAAGAAAAATCAATAAAACTCTTTATAGTAAGAATTGCAATAAAAACTTTCAGGGGACTTGATGTAAAAAAAATTTAATACAAAAAAATTGGTCACATATCACAAAATCTCTACCGAATCTGAAGAAGTGAACGTGGAAAATTCAGAATTTTTTGGGGGAGACACAAAAAGAAGAAGGACCCTGCCAGAACAACACTTATTTATATTCAAAATAGAATCAGGAAGGAGAAAAGATCATCGAATCGTTCAAAAATAGGGGGTGGATGTTAGGGTAGATTTTAACTGAGATTTTGGGTGTGTGGAAATCATATGGTTTTTAACAACAATGGGGAGAAAACATGATAGGATGCACTAGAAGAAATGAAATGATTGAATGATTTGAAAAATCCTAATTGAATGAAAAAATCCTATGGCGAAAAAACGGACACTTCTAGAAAGTTGAAACCGCGTTTGCTGATGCTGGACGTTTTGGTGGAGGTGGTTCGACTGCAAAAAATATGGATTGGAAGGTAGATGAAGCTTTTACACTCTTTGGTGAGCACACAAATGAGCCAAAACTTGAGAATTTACTGAGAATGGACCTGAAATTTTGTCCATAGACAGCCTTTGGGGTTAAAGGACCTCTCAAAAACTCAAAAATTGATTTTTGGGAGGGATAAAGTTTCAGATATCGATCAGCATAGTCTGTTTACTGAAAGTAGATCAATAAAAAACTTTTTTTCGAAAAAAAAATTTTAAATTTATTTTTTTGGATGAAAATTCATATAATTTTCTTCAAAAATCAAATTTTTTTCAGGAAATTAGATTTATTGATGCTTTTTAGGTAAATTTCTCACAAAAATCATCGTGAACTGAGTTATGATAACTTTTAAGAACCCACTACTTGACTCAGAGGGCTAAAAGCTGCCCATGGACAAAATTCCATCAAGATTTGAGGTTTAGGGTGAAAAAGGTTCTCTTATGAGCCTATAACTCATGTTAGAGAAGATTTTATCAAAAACTGAGTACAGGGTGATCTACAGGAGGGTCGATTTACCAAACTATACCAAATCGACCCTTCTGAACATCGCCCTGTATTCAGTTTTTGGATAAAATCTTCTCTAACATGAGTTATGAGCTCATTTTGTGCTCTTCGAAGAGTTGCGCAGCGAAAACTGTACAAAACGATCCTAGAGAGTATCCCCCAAGGCTGGGCACTTAAAAATTTCTGTTCCTCACCTTTAATATCAAGCATCGGTTCATCCTTGATTGGTTTCGGTGTGGCGACAGCACTGTTATGTTCACTGGCAGCGGTTGCGGCGGCCGACAGCAAACTGAGGGGATTTTGATGATCGGCGTTGGCTGGAAAATGTTGAGTTTCTGGTGGGAAATTGAGGATTTTTCGGTCCTGATCCGATTTAGGAAAGGTCCAAATTGGATTTCCTTCATTCAGAAACCTATAGTTGGACATCGACTAAATGAAATTTCCAGGTTTTTTAAGCAAGTGAGAATGTTATTCATATGATAGAATAGTCTAAGACGAACAGAATGATATAAATTTTGATGACTTTACGTTATTCATAAGTGATTTAGCGAGGTTTAGTCGATAAGTCGCTGAATCACTTATGGATAACGTAAACTCATCAAAATTTATATCATTCTATTCGTCTTAGACCATTCTATCATATGAATAACATTAGAATCCAATATTTCAACTCATTTTCTTAAAAAACCTGAAAATGTCATTTAGTCGATGTCCAACTATACAGAAACCTCCTTTAATTCAGAAGCTATTTGAAAATATCAAACAGGCCTGTGCCGGAAATTTTCCGGCACAGGCCCCATATCAAAAAGTCTTCCCCGAACTCACCTAACAACGATAGCACACTATCCAATCCAACTCCATTCAACGTGAAACCCGAATGATGTGAATGTTGTTGTTGATATTCGCCAGAAGCGCCGCTCATCGACGTCGGATCGAAGTTCTGCATTTCCAAAAATGAACTCAACGCACTCGACGAATCATACAAATTAAGCGATGCCTAAGAGAGATATAACTAGCTACTAATTCTATTTTCTATTAACATATCTACATGTAAAGCATGCCACAATCATATCTGAAACTTACATCTTCCGGAATCGGCGTCTGCGGTTGTGATCTTGTGGCTGATGATCGATTGGGTCGTCGTCGATAGAATTCCGAATCATCGACAGTCCACACAGCGCCTTTCACATTCTGCTCGACGCGTTGGAAACATTTGTGAAGTGATAGATTGTGACGCACCGCGTTCTTCCACGTCGCCGCATTTCTGCGGAAATAGGAAAATGTGTCGGTGAACCAGGTGTAGATTTCGTTGAGGGTTAATTGACATTCGGGCGATTCCATGATTGCTTGGCGGATTAAAGAGGCGTAGGTATAGGGTGGACGAACATCGTTGTTTCGATAATAGTCTCTAGAAAAATTTAGGATGTTTAGGGGCATTTAATTTTAAACGTTATAAACGTTATAAATTAACGTTTACACTAAACGTTCTAAACGTTATAAATTATAAACGTGAAAAATATTTTTTTTCTTGGAAAAAAAATATATACTGTAGTTCTTTCGTCGCGACGAGACCCTGTGTGTGTTTCGGCAGTTGGGCCTTTGAAAAACTACGGTTTTTCCGGATTTTCGAGGTTTTTGCATGAAAGAAACGTGGAAATCAGCGGGAATTAATAACATCGAAGAATGGAAATAGTCTAGCCCTGTTTGAAAAGGTTTTTTGAAAAAAATAGTTCCGATTTATTGAAATTTTTGAGTCTGGATAAGCCTAGGCCTGATTTTCAGAACAAATGTTGGACTCTGCGAGAAATTTGGAGCATTTTGAGCCCAAATATGCTCTTTTTTTTAACTCTATTCATTTTCAACTCAAAAATACGGTTTATGAACCCATTTTTCAGCCATTCTGGCTCGAAATGAGCACTTTTAAACCAAAAAAAAAACTTTTTTTGGTTGAACTCACGCCCGAATCAAAATTTTGATTTGGGCGGGAAAGAGAAAAAAAATTTTTACTGATTGTGAGAAAAACCGTTTTTTTCGGTTGAAAATTACGCCCGAAAATCTAGTTGATTCCTCCCATTTTCTCATGCAGAAACATCAAAAACCTCAAAAAAAAAACAAAAACAGTAGTTTTTTAAAGGCACAACAGCTGAAACACACACAGGGTCTCGTCGCGACGAAACAACTACGGTATATAAATTTTTTTTCAAAAAAATTTTTCACGTTTCCATTTTTTTACATTCATAATACCCACCTATTCTTCGCAATATCAGTTGCAATCGGTTGCACAGTCTTATCCGATATCCGACTCCTCCTTGGCACAAACGATTTTCCATCGGGATTCGGTGATGTTTCAGTTGACGCAGTTGACGCGGCGCGTGTCAGCGATGAGCAAGGTTGAGTTGAGAATGAGGGAACCGATGAGACTGACGGTACACATCCCATCATTGGCGGCGTGTTTCCAGCGGCGACTTGGGCGGCGGCAATGCTCAGCAAATTTGAGGCGGTATCCATTGCACTGGACACGGTGGCCTGCTGAAAATACAAAATCTTATTTTTGGTTTTGGGGCCGATCAGGCCTGTGGCGGACCTAAATTTTGGGTTATGGGGCGTCCAAAAATCAAAAAGTGAAATTTTCACACCTGTCCAATTTTAATTCTGATCATTATAATACGAATTTGAATTTAAAAATTTAGTTTGAACAGAAATTTTCATTTTTCGATTTTTGGACGCCCCATTAATGATAGAAAAAATTAAATTTTTAATTTTTTTTAAATTTTACGATTTTTTGAACGTAAAACGTCTCAAATAGAAGAATTATGGCTAAAAAATAAGTTTTAGTGCCAACTTAAGGCTGAAAATCGCGAATTTCAGAGCTTGAATTTGATTTTCCGGCACAGGCCGGCTATTTTCAAAAAAACAATTTTTTTTCGTGTTCCCTCTGTGCCCTTTCCCTTTGTATAAGTACAATATTTATATGATATATAATCCGGAAAATGATCTTTAGTAGTAATATTTCACAATATTACCTAAATTTTTGGAAATTTTCTCAGTTAATGATAGGAAAAATTAAATTTTTGGAATTTTTTTTAAATTTTTACGATTTTTTGAACGTAAAACGTCTCAAATAGTTACTAAATTACCTGTGAATAGAAGAATTATAGCTAAATTTAAGTTTTAGTTCCAACTTAAGGCTGAAAATCGCGAATTTCAGAGCTTGAAAGATTTTCTGAATTTTCCGGGTTTTGATTTTCCGGCACTGGGGACGGCTATATTCCAAAAAAATAATTTTTTTTTGGATTTTTTTCCTTTTTTCATGTTCCCCATGTGCCCTTTCCATTCGTATAAGTACAATATTTATGATATATTTTATTTTGGGGCAAGGGCCCCCAAAATAAAATAAACAAACAAATATGTACTATCGATTGGTGCGTGTAAACAAAAGCAAAAATTTATTTTGTAAGAGTGAGTGAGAGAGTCGAGTTACGCAACACAAAATTGCGCAAACAAAAAATAAAAAATTTTTTTTGGTTGGGGCTCTATTTGTTTGCGAGTAGAGCCCGGAAAAACAACAGGCGACGCAAAAAATAGTAACAAACCACACGGTGTGCACTTTGAAAACAAACAAAAGGTTAGGGCCCAGTGAGAGAAAAAAATTTTTTTTTTTTTTTTTTTTGGTGGACGGCCCCTAACTTGGGCGCCGGGCCCTAACTGCATCATGTTTGGGCTCAAAATGCTCAGAAGTTTGAGGGGATTCTACATAGAATTGAGATATTTTTTCATCCCTGTCCCTGATCTTCCCCGATTCTCTCACCTGAACAATTGGCGATGTTTGCTGTTGTGTCTGAATGTGAAAAAACTGCTGATGCTGCTGATGATTTGTCTCGATTTTCGGCGATCTCATCGGCGATTCATGTGTTCTCAGATGACTATTTCCACCATTTCCACCACCCAAAAATGGTGTTGTTGTGTCTGGAGAGGGTTTCATTCGCAAATGTTGCATCATTCCTTGCAGGCGATTTCGTTCCACGGTTAATTTGTGCTCGATCGATTCGACTTTTTCGATTTGTGTTCGCATTTCTTCGGTGGTTCTGAAAGATTAGAGGTTAGAGATGTAGAGGAGCTAGACAGCTAGAGACGCAGAGAAGCTAGACAGCTAGAGAGGGTACGAGAATGTTAGAGACGTAGAGGGAGATACACTCGCTCCGCTCGACACCGCTTACGCGGAATTTTCCGGGGCACTTCGCGCAAGATAGCTAGAGACGCAGAGGATTCGGGAAGGGTGCAGAGAAGTCAGACAGCTAGATAAAGCTAGAGACGCAGAGACGCTAGACATCTAGAGCATATGAGAAGGTTAGAGACGCAGAGGGAATTACACTCGCTCCGCTCGAACCGCTTTGGCGGAATTTTCCGGGGCGCTTCGCGCAAGATAGCATAGGATTTGGAGAAAGTGCAGAGAAGCTAGACAGCTAGATAAAGTTAGAGACGCAGAGAAAGCAGACAGCTAGAGGGTAAAAGAAGGTTAGAGACGTAGAGGAGCTAGATGGTTAGATAGTATAGGAAACCAGACGCAGAGACAACAGACGCACGACCGTTTACTCTAATAGGAAATTGCTCATCGGGTTAGACGAGAGACGACGAGAGTATTTTGCAAAAAAAAAAATAAACCGGAAAATAAATTTCGCTTCGAGATATTTTTTGAGAAAATGTGTGTGTCCCTTTGAAAAAAAATACCGTATTTTCGGGATTTCGAAAAATACTCTCGTCGTCTCGCTTCTGACTCAAAGGGTACCATGTATGGTCGTAAGACAGCTAGAGACTATGAGAAGGTTAGAGACGCAGAGGAGCTAGATGGTTAGAGACTAGAGAAATGAGCGCATTAAAGGCGCATACAGTAAATCCTCACCTTTCACACAATGGATGATCATTCTGTAAATGTAGTAGAAGTGCTTGCACAGTATCACAAGGTAGATCACAATTCGGCCACGCACACATATTATGCTGCCATAAAACATGATGCGATGCTGCTGTCGACGGCAAATTGATCGACGTGGCCAAATCGAGAGCCGCTGGTAGCTGCGGTATCAGCATTTGACCCAAAAACATTTGCTGAAGTAGCCGCGTCGCAGTGTCATTTGATTGTAGCGAAGTTGCGGCGGCAGAAGTGCCGGCGACTTGCGCGAGTTGAGAGAGTGAGGGAGTTGTGGCGGATGTGTGGAGTGTTGGTTGGTGCGGTCTCATCTGGAAAATTTTTTTTTTTTTAATTCTCAGGTTCTGGCTGAGCATTTTGAGCCCAAATTGCATCATGTTTAGTCTCAAAATGCTCTGAAATTTCGAGAAAATTTCAGATTTCCAGAATCTTCTTATAGAGCTCAAAACGCTGATCAAAATGCTCTAAAAATCAGCGTCTGAGCTTCTATGGGAGCCGAGAAAATGAGCATTGAAAATTGCACTAAGTGGTGTAGCTGGTAAGTTGCTAGATTGCTGGATTAGAGGTCAAGGGTTTGAGTCCGCATGGAGACTTTTTTTTTAATTTAAAAAAAAAATTTTTTTTAAGATTTTCAAGCTTGGAGCATTTTCACGCCCAAAACGCATCATTTTTGGGCTCAAAATTCTCAGACTTCAAAAATTTTTAAAATTTAAAAATTTTGGTTCCAAACTTCAACAAGAATCAAAAAAGTTCTTTTTTAGGCCCAAAAATCCACATTTTTCAATATTTTAACCTTAGAAATTCCTAAGAGTTCCAGAAACTTTTCAAAAAATTTTAAGAATTTAAAAATTTGGTTCTAAACTTCAACAGAATTCTGCAGAAATCAAAACATCCTTAAAAAAGTTCTAAAATTAATTTTAGGTCTAAAAATCCACAATTTTGAAAAAAATCTGAATTCAGAAAATTTTAAGAACATTTAGAATCACATAGAATTTTTGAGATAAAAAACATCGTTTCAAAAAATCCAAAATTACTTTTTAAAATTTAAAAAATTAATTTCAGGTCATAAAATCCACGTTTTTCAATATTCTAGCCTTAGAAGTTACTATAAGTCCTAAGAGTTCCAAAATTTTTTTCAAAAATTAATTTTAGGCCCAAAAAAATCCACTTTTAAACAAAAAAAAAGCAACAAACCATTAAAAAATATTTTTTTTTAATGTATAAATAAAAGTCTCAAGCAGCGAGAAAAAAAGAGCCAAACACAACACAAAAAGTGGTGATGCGGGAGAAAAAAGAGCTCAAAAGTGTATATCACTGGTGGCTCCGCCCACTTGTTGACACATATAACAAACATGGTGACAACAACAAACATTTTTGGGAAGTTTGGGTGTAAAAGGCCACAGACATGGTGTTAAAAAATGCCTTTCGGAAGCGTTTTTTGAATTTTTTTGGGTTGTGAGAAAAAACCTTATAGACAAGACTAATTGCTAGTTTTCAAGTTAATGTGTACTTTTTTCTGTCTGCTCTGATAAATTCTCACTGATCTTTGAGGGATCAAATTTTCAGATACATGATTTTGTTGTGACGTAATTAGAAAATGCATATTTTTGAGTCAGAACAGAGTATTTTGAACTTTTTTTAGGTTTATTTTTAGTCTAGAGAAAAAAATAAAAAATTTTGCTCGGGGTGTGGCTCGAACCCTTGACCCTGCGCCTGCAAAATCAGCGCGCTACCTCTACACTACGCGACCCCTTTTGAGAGCGTGGGTTTTTTGTCAAGAAGTGTTTGATGCCGAAACGTCTGAACTTGTTTAGGCTTAGCTATGTTTTTAGGCTTAGCTAGGGTTTAGGGCTTTTATACTTAGCACTAGGCTTAGGCTTAGCTAGACTTTTAGGCTTATAATCAGACATAGATAGCTAAAAAAAATAAAAAAAGTTTGCTCGGGGTGTGGCTCGAACCCTTGACCCCGCGCCTGCAAAACCAGCGCGCTACCACTACACTACGCGAGCCCACATGAGAGCGCGGGTTTTTTGCCAAGAAGTGTTTGATGCTCACCTGATTAGACAGCCTCTCCTGCAATGCCAGCAACAACAAATTTTCGGGAGCAGGATTCGAACTTCCAGCTCCTCCTTCAATATTCGTAGGCGGTGCGGCAGTGGGACGCGGATGCGATTCCGAAGAGAGCATCGATTGATGACTGCTGATGTTAGGAGGTGGAGGAGGAGGATAGGCAGCGGCGGCTGCGACGACGGATGCGAGCGACGTCGGAGTTGTGCCGTCTTCCTGGAAATATACAGGGTGATTTGGAGAAAAAATTACATTTGAGAGAGAGGTAAATGCGCTCTATTGAACAAATTGTATTTTCGATTATATTTCAAAAATAAGGGGGAGGGGGTAAATGCGCTCTATTGAACAAATGGTATTTTCAAGTATTTTTCAAAAAAAAAGGGTAAATGCGCTCTATTGAACAATTTTTTCAAAAAAAGGGGTAAATGCGCTCTATCGAACAATCGTAAAATTTTCACAAAATTTTTAAAAAAAAGGGGTAAACGCGCTCTATGGAACAATAGCAAATTTTGCAAAAATTTTCAAATTTTCAAAAAAAAGGGGTAAACGCGCTCTATCGAACAATAGCAAATTTTGCAAAAAAATAGTTCTAATTGGGGCAAGCGCGCTCTACTGAACAATAGAAAATTTAAGAAAATTTTCGAAAAATGGTAAAAATCTATGAGGGATAGTCTTGTTGTTCTGATTTCTCCTCTCGCCCCACAACCGAAAACGTTTTTATTATTTGTTTGTTTGTCAACACACCACCACGACCGTCTGCTTCTCTAACCTTCTCCCACTCTCTCTCTCTCTCTCTCTCTCTCTCTCTCCCTTTCACAATCTGCGTCTCTCCAATCTCTACACTCTCTCCTCGATTTGCACTTTTCTTCTTCTTCTTCTTCTTATAAATAAACAAATAGTTGTGGTGTCTCGTGTTTGTGTTGTTTTTGTTGCAACAAAAATTTTGCTGAGATTTTTATTATTTTTATTTAAAAGTATTTGGGAGAAGAGGAAAAATCATCAAATTTTGCTAAAAATTCAAAAATTTGTGAGCAAATTTGCTCTATCGCACACTTAAAATCTGTTGTACTTCTCTCGGAGAAAATCACGGGTTTTTGGTCAAAACTTCATGAAAATCTCACTAAGTGCAGAGAAGCTAGACAGCTAGAAAGTTAGAGACGCAGGGGGAGATGAGGAGAGTGTAGAGAAGCTAGAGAGATACCCAGGAAGGTTAGAGACGCAGAGGGAGATACACTAGACAAAATAGAATTTGAAGAGAGTGCAGAGAAGCTAGACAATTAGAGATGACGACGAGAAGGTTAGAGACGCAGAGGGATATACACTCGCTCCGTTCGACACCGCTTGCGCGGAATTTTCCGGGGCGCTTCGCGCAAGATAGCTAGAGACGCAGAGAGATTAGACAGCTAGACAGTTAGAGACGCAGAGAAACTAGATGGTTAGAGGAAACTAGATGGTTAGAGAGTATAGAAAAATAAGAGAGTGCAGAGAATTTCCCTGTTCAAGGCTTTCTAGATTAAAGGAACATACCGTATAGCAAACCTGCGTATCTAACTCGTGAACATTTTTTTCTTCTCGAGTTAGATGCGCAGGTTCTACCGTACTTTTTTTTTTTCTAGAAGGCTGTGAAAAAAAGAAAATATACAGTAAATCGAGAAAAATCCAAAAACACCTGCGCCACATTATTTCATTTTTTTCTGTCTAAACTAATGCGCACTTTCTCCTCAAAAAATGGGGCGGAGCCTGAAGTAAACTGATTGCTCATATTATAAAAGCTGGGGTCTAGACTAGAAGAAGAATTCTCAGAGCTCAGAGGAAAAGTGCAAATGAATATGCGTAGAAGAACACGAAAAAAATGCAGAAAAAAAGAAGAAGAAAAGGAAAAAGATGGAGAAAAAACAACCAAAACAACAACAAAAACACGAAATATTTAGCTGCAAAATGGAAAGAAGAAGAAAAAGAAGAAGAATAACAAAAATAATAATAATAATAATGAATATTATTATTATGTTTGTTTATTTGTTTTGGAATAAAATCATCTGTTTCAATAGAAATATACACAGAGAAAAAAAGAAAAAAAAGTTTGCCCGCGGTGTGGCTCGAACCCTTGACCTGGTGGCTGCAAAATCAGCGCGTTGCCACTGAGCTAGGCGGGTGTTTTGGGGAGCAGGGGGTTTTTGTAGAGAAGTGTTTGATGGTGGAACGCTTGGCTAGGGGATAGGCTTGGGCTTAGGCTTTTGGTTAGGCTTAGCAGGGGCTTTTTTAGGCTTAGGCTTAGGCTTAGATAGGGGTTTAGGCTTATTTTGATGAAAAAAGCTTAGAAAACGTTATTTTCAGTCTTTTTCTGGAATTTTTTGGGGAAAATTTTCAAAATTTGGAATTTTCGGCCCCAAAATTGATCTAAGCCTGAATCTAGGCTTAAGGCTTTTAGGCTAAAAAAAAAACGCCAAAAGGCTCAGACCAAAAATTTTTTTTAGAAAAAAAAATTTTTTTTTGGTTAGGCATAAAATTAGCTGGGGTTTAGGGCTTATAGTTTGCACTAATTTAATTTTAAAAAAATTAATTGAAAATTTTGTGTGCAAAATTTTTCTTATCAAAAAATTTCCCTCTAGTTTTTTCAGAATTCCTAAAAATTGATATTTTCACCCGGAAACAAAATTAAATTTCAAAAAAAATTTCTAAAAATTAATTTTCAAAATCAAAAAAATTCCCCGACCAACGTCACAAAGTACTCCCAAAACGGTCATAGTTTTTAGTCCAAAAAAAAAAAAAAAAATTTTTTTTTAGAAATTTAAAAAGTCCAACTGCACTTTTCGCTCCCACCTGGGAGGACACCTGTGTGCACTTTTTTGTCACAGTGTTTATTTTATTTTCTCATTTTGAGGAGATAAGAACTTTGGGGGGGTTGGTTTGCAGTCTGGAGAGAATTAGAGAGAGAGAGAAGGGGGGTACTGTAGTCGCTTCAAGACCAGGCCTAAAAGATCTTTGAGATCAATCTATGAAAGTTACACATAGAAAAAAATAAAACATTTTTCTTTTTCACGTGAAATTGCGGACTCATTGTCCTGACCGCGTGAAGACACACGACTCCGCCCTCTTTTATTTTCAAAATTTGCAATTTTGCGGCGCACTCTCTAAATTTCAATGGAAAAAAGAACGAAATTTCTTTGACACGTGGAAAAACGTGAAAACGAGACGGGCTTTTTTCGAGTCTGCAAACACCGCACAGCAGCAAAAATTGTTCTATTTTTTTCTATGTGAAGTTAGCCTAACTTTTTTTCAGACTTCAAAAAATTTTGTTGACAAAAAAGCATATTTGATAATAAACATTTTCGATATCATTTCATTTTTCGAATACAAAAATATTTTGTTTATATCATATCATATTTATCATCACCACACATAAATATAAAACAAACACAAAAATTATATCATTTTCGTACTTTTCTTTTTCTCATATCACATGAAAAACCACGTGTATCATTGATCATTTTGTCCAAAAACAAAAAAGTCTGAAACTTTTTGTTTTTGGACAAAAACATGATTCAAGGAACATACCGTATAGGGGTCCCCAGAATTATAGAGACGCAGACAGTTAGAGATGACAGAGGCAGTAAGAGACGTAGAGGGAGATATACTAGAGATAATAGGATTTGGACAGAGTCCACAGAAAGCAGACAGCTAGACAAAGTTAGAGACGCAGAGGGAGATACACTCGCTCCGCTCGACACCGCTCACGCGGAATTTTCCGGGCGCTTCGCGCAAGATAGCTAGAGAGGATAGGATTTGTAGAGAGTGTAGAGAGGGCAGACAGCTAAATAGAGTTAGAGACGCAGACAAGCTAGATAGCTAGAGCATATGAGTAAGGTTAGAGACGCAGAAGGAGATACACTCGCTGCGCTCGACACCGCTTACGCGGAATTTTCCGGGGCGCTTCGCGCAAGATAGCTAGAGAGTATAGGATTTGGGGAGAAGGCAGACAGCTAGAGAAGGCAAGAACCTAGACAGCTAGATAAACTTAGAGACTAAGAGGGATATACACTCGCTCCGCTCGACACCGCTTACGCGGAATATTCCGGGGCGCTTCGCGCAAGATAGCTAGAGAGTATAGGAATTGGGGAGAGTGTAGAGAAGCTAGACAGCTAGATAGAGTTAGAGATGCAGAGAAGCTAGAGTGCTAGAGCATATGAGTAAGGTTAGAGACGTAGAGACACTAGAGAAGGTAGAGAATTTGCCGGGATGTCCAGATTAAAGGAACATACCGTATCTAACTTCTACATTTTTGGACACTGATATAAATTTAAAAAAAATGGAAAATTTGAAAAAAAATTATATACCGTAGTTCTTACACACAGGGTCTCGTCGGGAAAAAAACTACGGTATATAATTTTTTTTTTTTTTTTTAAATTTTAAATTTTCTCGTTTTCCATTTTTCACGTTCAAAATAAATGAAGAAGAAAAAAAAATAGAAAAAACATGACTCGTAATAAAATGTTTTCGCTCTCAGAAAAGTGCAATGAGTCAAAAGGGATTATGATTATTATTCAATGAAATGTTGTTTGTAATAAATTATTGGATTAGTATGTGTTTAGTTGATAAGAAAATGATGATCATGTGAGATTTGAAAAAAAAAAAAAAAAAAACAAGGATGACGAAAAATGTCAGAGGGTGGATGAATTAGTGTTATTGTTTCGCTGGGATTAGTCAGAATCAGGGAAAATATTTAGGGATCATCGGGATTTTTCAGAAAAAAATTCTTGGCTCTATCGCAATATAAGGGTCCCAAAATAATATAAGGGTCCGTAAAAATATAGGGGTCCGTAATTTTGTTCAAGGGTCCATCAAACAATTTAAGGGTCCGTTATTTTTTTGAGCGTCCATCAAAAAAAATTTTGTTATAATTTCAATTGTTTATTTTTTCGTGATTTTTTCTTGAAAAGCACAGGGAGATTTTTCAAAAATTTTGTACATTTTTCAAAATTTTGTACATTTTTCAGAATTTTGTACATTTTTACATTTTTCCAGAAAAATTCGCATCGGGAAGCCTTGGGAAGCCTTGGGAAGCCTCGGGAAGCCTTGAGAAGCCTCAGGAAGCTTCGGGAAGCTTCGGGAAGCCTCGGAAGCCTTGGGAAGCCTTGGGAAGCCTTGGGAAGCCTTGGGAAGCCTTGGGAAGCCTTGGGAAGCCTTGGGAAGCCTTGGGAAGCCTCGGGAAGCCTTGAGAAGCCTCAGGGAAGCTTCGGGAAGCTTCGGGAGCCTCGGGAAGCCTTGGGAAGCCTTGGGAAGCCTTGGGAAGCCTTGGGAAGCCTTGGGAAGCCTTGGGAAGCCTCGGGAAGCCTTGAGAAGCCTCGGGAAGCTTCGGGAAGCTTCGGGGAGCCTCGGGAAGCCTTGGGAAGCCTTGGGAAGCCTTGGGAAGCCTTGGGAAGCCTTGGGAAGCCTTGGGAAGCCTTGGGAAGCCTTGAGAAGCCTCGGGAAGCTTCGGGAAGCTTCGGGAAGCCTCGGGAAGCCTTGGGAAGCCTTGGGAAGCCTTGGGAAGCCTTGGGAAGCCTTGGGAAGCCTTGGGAAGCCTTGGGAAGCCTTGGGAAGCCTCGGGAAGCCTTGAGAAGCCTCGGGAAGCTTCGGGAAGCTTCGGGAGCCTCGGGAAGCCTCAGGAAGCCTTGGGAAGCCTTGGGAAGCCTTTGGAAAGCCTTGGGAAGCCTCGGGAAGCCTTGAGAAGCCTCGGGAAGCTTCGGGAAGCTTCGGGAAGCCTCGGGAAGCCTTGGGAAGCCTTGGGAAGCCTCGGGAAGCCTCGGGAAACTATGGGAAGCCTTGGGAAGCCTTGGGTCAGGGATTGTTCAGGCAAAAAAACACTATCAGATTCAGGCTGATTCAGGCTGAAGTACGGTAGAGCTCAGCCACCTGCATATCTAACTCTATACGAGTTAGATACGCAGGTGTGTTATACAGTATGTTCCTTTAATCTACTAGAACATTTTCATGGCTTAAAAATAATGTAGTCTAGAAGATTTTAGGAAATAGAAAATTGTAAGAGACTTCAGACATTCAGAATCTCTGACTTCAGAATTTGAGCTTGAATAGGAACTCTGATTTTCAGAAATTTGAAATTCCCGAATCCAGACTTCAAGAGTTCAAAGTTCTCCAGAAATTCTTGGAACAGGTGAGTTTGTTTCGAAAAATAAAAATTCAGAGAACACTTCCAGAATTTTTTTTTGATGAAATTTTTTAAAATGAAACTTTGGACCCTACAGTACCCTAATTTCTACAGTAACCCAAATTATCAAGTTTTAATTAGTCCGAAAAAAAAAAACTGGATAAAAAATCATTTTTTTGAACAAAAAATTTCGTTTCAGAAAATGTACAAAAAGTATATTTTTACCTATTTTTGACATTTTTTGAATCGAAATTTTATTTCAAAAAAATTTTTTTTTTTTTTTTTTCGAAAAAAAAACACCGAAAAATTTGTGTCATCAAAGCAAAAAAACACAGTAAGTAAGTAAGTAAGTAAACAAAAAACATGAGATGATTCGTCAAAAAAAAAAAAAAAAAAAAAAAAAGAGACCCCCCATGTTTTTCCTCTCTCGGGCTTGAAAATCGCGGGGTCTCGGCCTGGCTGGGGAGGGTAAACACAAAAACAAAAAGTGCAACAAAACAAAACAAAAACAAGCAGACGAGAGAGAGAGAGAGAGAGAGAGTGAGAGACGCAGAGAAAACAAGAAAAATAAATTCAAACACGGAGCATTTTGAAAGGCCGTGAATATGGTACAGGGTGAATCCAGAGAGAGAGACGCAGAGAAATCAAGAAAAATTCAAAAAATACATTTTTCCCGCGCGCTAGGGTCTCGAAACGAGGAGCATTTCCCTATTTTTTTTTTGAAATGCCGTGAAGACAATATAAATAAAATAAATATTTTCGAAAAAAGAGACATGAAAGGTCATTTGGCTTGCTTGCAGTTTGCAAAAAACAACAAAACAACACAGATAGGCGAGAGAGAGTGCAGAGACGCAGAGAAGGCGCGCGGGAGCGCGCACTTTTTCGAAATTTTTGCATTTCTATCTGTTTTGGGGTGTGTGTGTACTTTTAGGAGGGGGTGACACTTGGTGCTGTTTCAAAAAAATGGACCTCGGGAGAAAAAAAACATGGGGTGAGGTTAGAGAAACGAGAGAGTGGTGAGAGACGCAGAGCTACCAGAAAAGCAGACACAGACAACTACTGAATATTGAATCAGAAGAAATACTAGAAAATGACAGAGACGCAGAAGAGGGGTTAGAGACGCAGAGTTGGTGGGCAGCCAGATAATCTCAAAGTATGAGACGCAGGTAAGAAGCAGACAGCGAGAGTAGACCTAGCAGACAACCAGAGAATCAGAGAGGTTAGAGACCGAGAGTCTGTAGAGAGCAGTAGATCAAAGAAGAGGGGTTAGAGACGCAGGTGATCAGACGACCAGAGTAAACTGAAAACACAGAAGCAGACAGCCAGAGATCAGGAGAGCGTTGTAGATCACAGAAGAAGAGTTAGAGACGCAGACAACCAGAGTTGACCAAATCAGAAGCAGACATCCAGACAATCAAGAGATTAGAGACCGAGAATCTGTAGAGAGCAGCAGACGTGCAGAGTTAAGAGGGGTTAGAGACGCAGAGACTAGCAGACAACCAGAGTAAACCAAAAACCCAGAAGCAGACAACCAGAAAATCAAAAAGGTTAGAGAATGAGAGTCTGTAGAGAGCAGTAGATCACAGAAGAGGGGTTAGAGACGCAGACACAAGCAGTCTTGGGACTTCTAGATCAAAATTCAGTGCTTCTGACTTGCAGAGTTCTCTAGAGGTTAGAAACGCAGAGTTAGCAGACAACCAGAGTAAACTAAAAAGGTTAGAGACGCAGACAACCATATCAGCTGGTTGGGTAAAAATGATATCATTTCCAAATCAAAAGATCTAGAGGTTAGAGACGCAGACGAGTAGAGTTGAGACTTCTAGAGCAAGAAAAGGGTTAGAGACGCAGTGGAGTTCAGAGAAGCAGAGTTCTTTCACAAACAAACCAAAAAATAAACGAGAAAATCGGCGAAAATGGATGGATGGAAACCAAAACAACAACAACGAAAAAACAACAACACAATATATCCTAACTTGTTTTTTCATTCATTTTTTGTCGCGGCGACAGACACAGGCACGATTTTAGGAGTGTGTCAGTGTCCTTGTTTCATCCCCAACCCAGCTGTCTTTTGACACAAACACAACACAGAGATAACAAAATGACGGGTGTCCCTTTAAAAAGTGCAACTGTCTGACTGTCTCTCGCACTCTCTCACTCTCTCTCTCTCTCGTTTTTTATAGGCCTAGGGGTGACAGGTGTTGAGACAGACACAAAAAAATGGCTGGCTGGCTGGGCAGCGAAATGAAAAATAAGAGATCGTGTACTGTAGTGGGTGGTCTTAGATCAGATGACCTAGCAGCTGACAAAAAATGATAAAAATCAATGTTTCTTGAAAAAAATTGAAAAATAAAAAATTTAGTTGCAAGCGGGATTGAACTCGGGTGGCGCGACACCAAAACTCAACGCGTTGCCACTGCGCCAGCGCGTCTCTATAGAGTCGCATGCGTTTTTTTCGCTCACTATTTCGGCGTTTTCCAAAAAATGAAAATTACCATTTCTTTCAGCATACATAGAATATGTTTAGCCAAGAAGAAGAAGAAGAAAAATAGAAAATATGAACAACACACACACAGAAAAATAAGGGGGGAGAAAAAACACAAAAACAAAATAACACACAAACACGTAAATAGACGAGAGAGCAAGAGACGCAGGCGGATAGATAACCCCTCTGGCAGTTTGCCATCAACAACAACAACATAACATCGAGAAGGGAGAAATGGTCACGTTTTTTTACGTTGCTCCGCCTTTACACCGGATTGGTCAAACGAAACTAATAGAAAAAAAAAAAAAAAAAAGTTGTGCGGCGGGTGGGGGTCGAACCCTTGTAGGGCGCATTCACACGCGCGTGTGCTAACCACTCGGCCACACGGCTACTTATTTCTCACACACAAAATGTCGCATATAAAATGCGAGCGAAATTTTTTTAGATCATCGGTCAAAAAAAAAAACAAAAAATCATGTGTTGTTATTCTTTTTGTTTTGTTTTGTTTTTGTTCAAAAAAAACATGAAAATATCGATTTTTGCGCAAAAGTTCAGAGTTCAACCAATCAACAAAAAGTGGGCGGAGTCGAAATGTTTCTTAGGAATCAGCTATTACGAATGTGAAAATATATTTATGAATAAATAATTATATATGTATTAAGTCACACGTTTTTATTTTTATGTCTGAAAATTTTCAGTCTGAAAATCAGAAAAAAAAATTTTTTTTCGAATTTCTCGTGTGTGCAAACACTTTTGTGTACAGTACTCTTTTGAAAACCGGTTAAAACGAAGAAGAAAAAGGTCAGATGCACTTTGATGGAAGTAAGTAGTTGGTTTTATCGATTGGGAAGAAAAAAGAGAAAAGATATTTACAAATTCAAGTGCGCTCTATTGATAATTATGGAAATTTTAATTATTTTTAAATTTCTTAATTCTTCCGAAAAGAAAAAAAAAGGAATGCGCTGGGTGGGGGTCGAACCTGGCCTAGAAAACCGAACACTGTATTTTGGTTTTCTCTTCCACGGCCCTTGTAATGCTGAATTTCCTAATTTTTGTCTAGAGCCCGCGAATTTCCAAAAAGAAAAAAAAAGTTTTGCACCGGGTGGGGGTCGAACCTGGGTTTCGCAAAAGCTAGGCAGCCGCGCAGACCACTCGGCCGTGCAGCGCTTTTTTTTCATGGGGTGATTCAGGTCGAAAAAAACATTTTTTGGCAAAAATTTCGATTTTTTCCACAGAAAAATGAAAAAAATGTCAAAAAAAAAAAAAATTTTTTTTTTCTACTTGAATCACCTCATAAAAATTCAAAAATCCTCTCCATTTTGCCAGGAATTCTACAAGTGCGCTCTATCGATAACTATAATAATTTAGATAATTTTTCGAATTCCGGATCCTGCCAAAAAAAAAATTATCAAAAAAAAAAAGTTGGGCGCCGGGTAGGGGTCGAACCTGGGTCTCGCAAATCGTCGGCAGCCGTGTAGACCACTCGGCCATCGCACATAAAATTCGGAATTAGAAAAAAAGTTCACCCGTTTATGTGCTCATTCAAATTCAAATTCAAGACTAGAATATAAAAATTCAAGAAAAAAGTCCAAAACTCCACCATACACTGTGACGCACAATTACACACAACGCTAACTACAGTACTCCAATAAAAAATTATTTTTATTCGGGAGGTTTTTGGTGGGAAAAATGCAACCCGTCCCAAACAATTATGTGCTCATTCTAATTCAAGATTCAAGAATTTCAAAAAGTCAATTCGAAAAAGTCCAAAACCCCCACCTCAATAAGCAACTTCGACAAACAACTCGGCATCGACGGCGACGCAGACATCAACGTATTCTGCAAGAAGCTCTGCACAGTCTGCATCGGATCGCGAATCACCGGAAATTGCGAGACGGGTCGAATTGGCCGCGGCGCTTTTCATCAAATTCGAATCCGAGTTCACTTTCGACATCCGCTCTAATAACATTGGCCTGAATGCGGGGCCATCCACAACAATCTCCTCTTCAGTCTCATCTTCTTCCTCTTCTTCTTCCTCTTCAGTATCCAGAATATTCCGAATTATCGGATTCACCATTGATGGTGTTAATGGTGGAGTTTGAATGTAGAATGGCATTATTCTAGACTTCTAGAGAGAGCGTAGTGAGTTTTTTTCCGACACACAAATGGGGCTAAAAGGACATCGGGGAGGCGGAGTTTAGTCAGCTGAGGGAGACGGCCGCTTGTTTTTTTGCTGGCAAAAGTGCAAGAGGGACACATAGACATAGAGAAAATAAAAATAAAATAATTTCTATATATATGTTTATTTGATAAATACATATTTTTGATTAAGTCTGCGAACTTTCAATTAGGATTTTGATCTTTTTGGATTTGAGATCAGAAAATCTAAATCTGATAGAAATCGATTTGTTAACAAGGCATTTTTTATGTGATTAAATCCGGAAGTTCGAAAAATTCGGAAAATTTTTTTTCAGCCTTAAGTTTGCATTAAAACTTATTTTTATATACAACTTGGGACATTTTACGTTCAAAAAATCGTAAAATTCTGAAAAATTTCAAAATTTTTTTTTTTTTTTTTTTTTTTTTTGCAAAATTGAAGACTATTAGAATCATTTTCCGGATTTTCTTAGTACATTTTCTGGAAATCCAAATTCTGAAAATTTCCGGCACAGGCCTGGCTTACAGGATTTAGACCTCTAGTTAACAGGAAAATCTAGAAAGTTAGGGGAACTTGTGAACTTTGAGCTCAATAACTAAATTTCGAGCTTCACTGCAAATTCAAAAAACTAGTTTAGTCATCATTTTCCCTAATTTCAGACATCATCACAGTGACTCAGCGCGCAAATCAAAAAAACGCCGCATGGCCGAGTGGTCTGCACGGCTGCCGACGATTTGCGCAACCCAGGTTCGATCCCCGCCCGCTGCACAAATTTTTTTGAAAAATTTATGGTTATCAATAGAGCGCACTTGGAAAATCCTGTGAAAATGGGGAGAATTTTTGAAATTTTCGAAAATTCTCATGATTATCAATAGAGCGCACTTGACAAATTCTAGCTTTTTTCCGAAAATTCTAGCTGTATATACAACATACAGTAGAGTTTTGATGTTTGCTGGCCTAGAAAGATGCATTTGGTTTTCTAGGCCATATTGGATTGCTTTCAAAGGTTGAAGCTTCAGAACTTCAGAATCTAGAACATCAGCTTCAGAATCCAGAACTTCAAAATCTAGATATAAACTTCAGAACTTCAGAATCTAGACGTCCAGCTTCACCTTCGAGCTTCAAAACTTCAGAATCTAGAGCTTCAGCTTCAGCTTCAAGCTTCAGATCTTCAAAATCCAGAACTTCAGCTTCAAAATCTAGATATAAACTTCAGAACTTCAGAATCTAGAACTTCACCTTCACCTCCAAGCTTCAGAACTCTCCAAACAACACTCCAAAATTCCGCTGCTCCCAAACACAACCTGTGTGCCCAAGATTTCTTCGCATTCCAAAATTTGTGTTGTCTGTCTCCCCCCCCTTACACAAACGACTCTTCTCCTCGGGGCAGGCAGGCCGAAAAAAAAACCGGGCGAATAGCGTTGAAAAATTGGAGACCGACTGGTCGAAAGTACAAAATAAGAACTACACACCACCATCGGGACAAATGTCTGTGTGTGTGTATTTTTTTTCGAAAAAAAAACATTTGCGAGAAAAAAAAGAAATGAGGGAGTTGAGTTGAGTTTGGTGAAGTGAGTACGGTAGATTTTTGAAGTTAGGGACGCAGAGGAACTAGAGAGTAGGGGAAACTAGAGAGCATAGGAGGCGAACAGCTAGAGAAGGTTAGAGACGCAGAGGAAGGTACACTCGCTCCGCTCGAACCGCTTACGCGGAATTTTCCGGGGCGCTTCGCGCAAGATAGCTAGAGAGCATAGGATTTGGAGAGAGTGCAGAGAAACTAGAAAATTGAAGATAACGAGAAAGTTAGAGACGTAGAGGAGCTAGACGGTTAGAGACGCATAGAAGGTACACTCGCTCCGCTCGAACCGCTTGCGCGGAATTTTCCAGTCCAAGATACACCAGCTAGAGAGCATAGGCTTTGGAGAGACCTGCAGAGAAACTAGACAATTGAAGTTTTCTGTCCAATTTCGAGAAAGTTAGAGAGCATTAATAAAACAGAGTACGCAGAGAAAGCAGTATTTGTTTTGGACAGAAAATTGATTCTGTCCAAAAACACAACAGGTTAAAGGACCATACCGTATACCATCTGCGTATCTAACTCTTGATTTTCTGTCCAATTTCGTCTCGAGTTAGATACGCAGGTACCTTTACAGTACTTCAGCGGATTTTTGTTTTGGACAGAAAATTGTTCACACTAGGAACATACCGTATACCATCTGCGTATCTAACTCGGGAGTTAGATGCGCAGGTTCTACCGTAATATTTTGACCAAATCCTAGATTTTCCAAAAATCCCTTAAAATTGGCGATTAAAGGAACATACAGTACAATTTTGACAACAACAAAAACACGTGGCCGAGTGGTCTACACAGCTGCCAACGGTTTGCAAGACCAGGGTTCGAACCCCACCCCGCGCGCCCTACTTTTTTTTTTTTATTTTTTTTAAAGGAACGACATTCGAGCGAAAATTGGACACTTGCATCAGAAGCCGAAAAAAAAAGAAAAAGAAGAGGGAGGCAGAAAAATAAACAACGAAACACGTAAACAAAAAATGCAGAAAGAGGAAATAGTGTGGTAGACGAAGAGACGCAGAGAAGAAATAGGCCACGCCCTCACAATGTACTTTTAGGGGGCTCCGGACGGAATTTTTTTTTTTTTTTTTTTTTTTTTTTTTTTCTGGGAGGGGGAATGCATCAGAGTGGAAAAGAAACACACAACAATTTTGTGACTAGATGTATTTTTTTTTTTATTTATTTATTTATTATGTGTATGTATGTAGATATATAATAAATTATGCGATGATGGCAAAAAAGAGGATTTTTTTTCTAAAAAAAAAATAAAAATGAAAGGAGAAGGATTATGTAGTCATTGAGTGGAAAAATTTGAGCAAAAAGTGTATTTTTGGGACTGGAAAATGTGGGATTTCGGGAAATTTGAATAATTTTGGCTTTGAACGGGACAAAATTTAAATTTTTCTCTAAACCTAGCTCAAAATCCAGGGTAAGCTTGAACATTTTAAACCGTGATCCTAAGAACATAAGCCAAGTTCTGAGCTCTCAAAAATTCTATAGTTTCAGATATTTTTTTTTCAAAAAAAAATTTCTGAAATTTTTTTTTCAAAAATTAAATTTTTTCATTCAAAATTTTTTTTCAAAAATCTAGTTTTTTTTTTCATAAAATTTTTATTCAAGAATTAAAATTGAAAAAAAAAATTTTTTTCAAAAAATTTTCCAAACATCAAAATTTTTTTCAAAAAAATTTTCCAAAAATCAAAATTTTCCAAAAATCAAAATTTTTTTCAAAAAAATTTTCCAAAAATCAAAATTTTTTTCAAAAAAATTTTCCAAAAATCAAAATGTTCTTTTCAAAAACTGAATTTTCAGAAAAAAAATTGATTTTGAAAAAAATGATTTTCAAAAATCAAAAAAAAATTTTTTTTTCAAATAAAACAATTTTTTCTGAAAATTCAGTGCTTTTTGGCTAAATTGAATCAGTTTTTCACAAAAATCATCAAGTTACGATAACTTTAAAAATCCAATTTTAACTTTTGAGAGCCCAGAACTTGGCTCAGCCTGTTTTAGGCTTAGGCTCCTGGGCTTAGGCTCCTAGGCTTAGGCTTCCAGGCTAAGGCTCCTAGCTTGAGGCTTCCAGACCAAGGCTTCTAGGCTTCTAAGCTTAGGCTCCTAGGCTTAGGCTCCTAGGCTTAGGCTCCTAGGCTTAGGCTCCTAGGCTTAGGCTCCTAGGCTTAGGTTCCTAGGCTTAGGCTCCTAGGCTTAGGCTCCTAGGCTAAGGCTCCTAGGCTTAGGCTCCTAGGCTTAGGCTTCTAGGCTCCTAGGCTCCTAGGCTCCTAGGCTTCCAGGCTTATTTTTTTTCCAAATTCCAGATTTTCACGATATTTTCCACTGAATTTTTGATCAGACAATTACAAAAATTACTGAGAAAATTTATGCAAATTCAAAAATTTTCAAAAAATAAAAGCAAAAACAATCTTTAGATATAATTAGATGTACTTTTACTTTGAAATAAATCGTTTTATTTTTAACTATAATTTTCAGATTTTTATTTTCAGCTTCAAAATATCGCTATAATTTTTTTCGGGAACATTTTTCAGAATTTCGAACTACAAAATATCATTGAGATCACAAAAAAAACTAGAATTCTAGGAAAATGACACAAAAGATCAATTTTTAATCTAATCCCAATCCCATCTAATTGTTCTTTTCATATGTGAAAGTCACACCGTGTGAATCATAGTCTAGTTCTTAAAAATGCGATTATATTGATGTCAGTACAGATGTTCAGGTGCTAAAATCAAAACACCAGCTTCAGATAAGGTACGGGTCCCATCTGATGCGGTAAGGGCCCCATCTGCTAAGGTAAGGGCCCCTTCTGATAAGGTAAGGGCCCCATCTGATAAGGTAAGGGCCCCATCTAATAAGGTAAGGGCCCCATCTGATGCGGTAAGGGCCCCATCTAATAAGGTAAGGGCCCCATTTGAAAAGGTAAGGGCCCCATCTAATAAGGTAAGGGCCCCATCTGATGCGGTAAGGGCCCCATCTGATAAGGTAAGGGCCCCATCTAATAAGGTAAGGGTCCCATCTGATGCGGTAAGGGCCCCATCTAATAAGGTAAGGGCTCTATCTAATAAGGTATGGGCCCCATCTCATAAGGTAAGGGCCCCATCTAATAAGGTAAGGGCCCCATCAGATAAGGTAAGGGTCCCATCTGATAAGGTAAGGGCTCCATCTGATAAGGTAAGGGCCCCATCTGATGAGGTAAGGGCCCCATCTAATAAGGTAAGGGCCCCAATAAGGTGAGGGCCCCATCTGATAAGGTAAGGCCCCCATCCGATGAGGTAAGGGCCCCAGTAAGGTAAGGGCCCCATCTAATAAGGTAAGGGCCCCATCTGATAAGGTAAGGGCCCCATCCGATAAGGTAAGGGCCCCATCTGATAAGGTAAGGGCCCCATCTGATAAGGTAAGGGCCCCATCTGATCCGGTAAGGGCCCCATCTGATCTTCCAGTTCAACTTCTAGACTTCTAGAATTCTAGACTAGATTTCCCAAGTGAACTTCCTGAAGTTCTAGACATCAAAATCGTATCGAATTTGTCCTTCTCCACCAAAGATCATCTCAAATAAACAGTGCATTTTCCTTCTTTCAGTCAAAAAGGCCACACGCACTTTCATTCTCTCTCTCAATATTTATGCACTTTTCAGGAAGAACACATAGGGGGGTCTAGAGTGAAAATGGGGAAAAAATAACATGGAGTGATGGCTGACTAGAAGAGTGCGCGAGCAAATATTTTATTTTTTTTTGCGACTAGAAAGTGCAACTGTGCTGGTGATGACTAACAAAAAGAGCTCTGGCTCTAGCTCTTGTGGAGGTTCTGAAAATAATTGCGGGGAATTTTTTTTTTGGAATCAAAAGTTCGGGGCTGGAAAAAAATTTAACAATTTCCGTTCAATTTTTGAAAATTTTTTGAACTTCTGAATCTAAAATTATAAAAAATCTCGAAAAAAATCTCGAAAAAGTTTCATTTCTGGACAATTTTTGAAATCTGAAATTTTTGGAATTTAACGTTCGGGAGGAAATATAAGTTTGAAATTTTTGGAAGATTTTTTTCCAAAGAAAGAATTTGTATCGTTAAAAAAAAATGTTTTTCGTCAAAAATTTATTTTTTTTCAAAAATTAAAAAAAAATTTCGTCAAAAAATTTTTTTAAATTTTTTTTTTCGACTTCAATTTTTCAGAAGGTTAACATTAGAATTGATTAAAAGAAAAAAAATTTAAATAATTTTTTTAAATTTATTTTAAAGATGGTTTTTTGAATTTTGTTTTCAGCGAAATTGAATTCGAAAAAAAATAAATTCAAAAAATTTGAAATTTTAAAATTAAAAACTGGCTGGAAAAAAGTTTCAATTTTTGAGAATTAAAAATTTTTTTTTTGGATTTCTGAATCTAGCTAGAATTATGAAAAATCTGGAAAACATCATACAGTTTCAGTTTAAAATCAAAATTCTGAACAATTCTGAAATTTCAGCACCGAAAATGCTTTTAAAAAAATTGTTAGATATCCTGGGACACAGTAGAAAAAAAGTTAGGCTAACTTGAAGAGCCAAAAATGGCGAGACAAACTGCAAAATTTATACATAGATTCTTCAGCTGGATATCTTGATCTTGAAGATCTCAGGGTTCAAGGAAGCCTTGGGAGCCTGGAAGCCCTGGAAGCTCTAGAAGCCTGGAAGCCTAGAAAATCCGAAAAATTTTCAGAACAGGCCTGTCTTGGATAAATGTGTCCAAAACAAATACTGTAGATTTTTTAGAAGCTTCTTCTCTTGATCTCAAAGATCTTAAGCCATGCCAAAACATCAGATCTTGAAATTTTATTGACAAAATTTTGAACAGATCAAAAATATTTCTCCTGATCTTAAAGATTTTCTGAACTCACAAACTTAGTTACTGAAATTTCAGATTAAAAAAAAAATACTGTAGATGTTTCAGCTAGTTTTCCTGATCCTAAAGATCTTGGGGTTCAGAAAATCCGGAAAATTTCAAGCCTGAAAGCCTTGGGAACCCAGAAAATCCACTGTAGATTTTTTCAAAGCTGATTCTCTTGATCTTAAAGATCATAAGCCATGCCAAAACATCAGATCTTGAAATTTCACTGACAAAATTCTTAAGTAGATTTTCAGCTCCTGATCTTAAAAATTTCAAGATCTGAACCCATAAACTCATTTCAGATTCAAAAAAAAATACTTTAGATTCTTTAGCTGATTCTCCTGATCTCAAAGATCTTAGGGTCCAAGGAAGCCTGGAAGCTCTAGAAGCCTGGAAGTTCTGGAAGCCCAAAAATAACAATTCAGATTTTCTAGCTGCTTCTCCTGATCTCAAAGATCTTAGTGTCTTGATTCACTGAAAATCCAGATTCCAAAACCCAAACCCAAGTCCAAGTCCAAAAATTCTCAGCCAAGTGCAACACAAATCCACTTCGAAAAACGCTCACGAACATCTCAAATATCCGTGACACCCCACAAATCCTCTTAACAAGTTTTTGTTTTGGTTTTTTGGGTTTTTTTCGTCGAGTTGAGTTGCTGTGCAAATATTACCGCTCAGCGCGCGGAGAGAGAAGAATTTGACCAATACGTGGACAAAATGTTGTTACCTTTCACAATATTTCTAACATATTCCATATTAGATTCTGTAACTTGCAAAACTTCCAACATAATTCCACTAACTTATGATCTACTCTTCAAATTACCGATTATTGATTTCAATGGATTTAGTGGATCCATGGTTTTGCATTTCAATTTGACTAGCCTGAGCCAGAATATTTCGTTGGATTCCGTGGATTTGCATAGCTTCAAGAATATTTCTCTAATAAATACAATTGATTTGAGTCATCCGAAAATTGATTCAATTCGCATTTTGAGGGAAAAAGTCGAGTTCACTTTTGAGAAATCGCTGTTTCCTGGACAATATTTATTGACTGTTGGTTAGTTGGAAATTCTGAATTTTGTCAAGGATTGGAGCCCAGAGAGCCCAGGTCTCAAGCTTCCGCGTCTAGAGAACCTAATCGTCTAGGAGCCGCGCCTAGAGAACCTGGTTTTCAAGCAGCCGTGTCTAGAGACACTGGTCTTCAAGCAGCCGTGCCTAGATCCAATTTTCAAGGATCAGAGCCTAGAAGACCTGAATCTCAAGCAGTCACGTCTAGAGAGCCCTGTTCTCAAGCAGCCACGCCTAGAAAATCTAACTGTCAAGGATTGAAGCCTAGAGAGCCTAGTTCTTAAGCAGCCGCGCCTAGAGAACCTAGTCTTCAAGTAACCGCGCCTAGAAAATCCAATTGTTAAGGATTTGAGCCTAGAAGTCCTAGTTCTCAAGCTTCCGCGCCTAGAGACCCTAGTTTTCAAGCAGCCGCGCCTAGAAAATCTAACCTGTCAAGGATTGGAGCCTAGAGAGCATAGATCTCAAGCAGCCGCGTCTAGAGAACCCTGTTCTCAAGTAGTCACGTCTATAGAGCCCTCTTCTCGAGCAGCCGCGTCTAGAAAGTGTGGTCTTCAAGCAGCCACGCCTAAAGAGCCTTATTTTCAAGCAGCCGCGCCGAGAGAGTCCAATGGTCAAGGATCAGAGCCTAGACAACCTAGTTCTCAAGCAGCCGCGTCTAGAGAACCTGGTTTTCAAGCAGCCGCGCCTAGAGAACCTTAGGCTTGACTTCAATCAAACTCCAGAGTTCCAACCTCTTCAGATCTGTAGCTCAGAACTTCAGAAAAATTCAAAACAGGCCTGTGGCGGAAAATTGAAACGCGGAAAATCCGGAAATTCGGAAAATTTCGATATTTTTTGAACCGGAAAATCCGGAAAAAATTTTGAAGATATTACTATTAAAAATCATTGTCCCGAAAAATGGAAAATTGATTTTCCGGATCCCAAAAAAATTTCCGGCACAGGTCTGATCCAAAACATTCACAGGTGAATACAACGGTCGAATTCGCGACGGTTCCGAAGGACTTTTCGAGCGAAAATCACCGCTTCTCTACACAACACATCTTCAACCCAACTTTGCTCGCCGCCTTTTTCCATGCATCGATTCGCCGGCTGTCAAAAGTATATTCCGGGTTTCAGTGGTCCATCCAACTGACACAGTGGCTCAATCAAATACAATAGCGATGGATGTTCATGTAAGTCAAGCATCCGCGCCTATAGAACTTTATTGTCAAGGAGCCGCGCCTTGAGAGCCTAGGATACATAGAGAAAAAGAAAAACACTTGAAAAATGCACGGAGAGTTGAAAGATTCAATGAGTTATCGTGTTACTTTTTGAGAAAAGTGTTTACTTTTCGGACAGTGAATTGGAATGAAATGAAAATGAAATTCCGATTTTTGAACCAGAATAAAAGTTGCCAAAAATATTTTATGGTTTCTATGTTAAGGGTCGGATCCTAGAGAGACTTGTTCTCAAGGATCCGTGTCTAGAGGGAGTCTATGTCAAGTAGCCATGCCTAGAAAATTCAAGTGCTAAGGATCGGTGCCTAGAGAGCCTGGTTTTCAAGGACCCGCGCCTATAGAACCTAATTGACAAGGAGCCGAGCCTAGAGATCTAAGATGACAAGGAGCCACGCCTAGAGACCCACCAAGGCAAGGAGCCACGCCTAGAGAATCTTGTTTTCAAGTAGCCACGCCTTGAGATGAATTTCTAGAATTGAGGTGTCAAGTAGCGACGCCTAGAAAATTCAAGTGCTGAGGATCAGTGCCTAGAGAGCCTGGTTTCCAAGGACCCTCGCCTTGAGAGCTTCTACGGCAAGGAGCCGCGCCTATAGGACCTGATTGTCTAGGAGACGTGCTTTGAGAGCCTTCTATGTCAAGGAGCCACACCTGTGAAACTATAGTTTTCAAGGAGCCACGCCTACAGAACCTTATTGTCTAGGAGACGCGCCTTGATATCCACCAAGGCAAGGCGCCACGCCTAGAGAACCTTGTTTTTAAGCAGTCACGCCGAGACAGTCTAGTTCCTAAGTAGCCGCGCTTAGAGAACCTTGTTTTCAAGTAGCCTCTGCTAGAAAAATCAGTTGACAAGGAGCCAACCCTAGCGATCCACCAAGACAAGTAGCCGCGCCTAGAGAGCTTCTACGGCAAGTAGCCACCCCTAGGAACTATTTTTCTCAAGTGGCCCTAGCGAACCTAATTTTCTAGGAGCTGTGCCTAGGCGTCCTAAAAATCAAAAAATCGGCCTTCAAAAGTCCAAAACCCATCAATTCTTGCAGATCGAAAGCAAAGAATGGCAACGAACAATTTTCTCAGCCACCCCACAAATTCCAGCCTATCTTCTCGCATTTTCAGTCATGCCCGACACAACGTTACAGGTAAAAAAGGGATGATTTTTGCACAAAAAAAACAGAAAAAAATGAACAACAAAAAGAAGAAGAAAATGGAAAATTACTACAGCTAGAAGAGACGGAAAAGAAAAAGACAAAATAAACAAACAAACAAGCTTGTTGTTGTTGTTTTTGTTGTTGTTTACGATCTTTTTTCTAGCTAGTTTTTGAGGGTTCCCAAAAAAAAAAAAAAAAAAAAAAAAAAAATTCTGCCCTCACCCGAACTCGAACCCTTCACCTTTTGACTCATAATATCGAAGTTATTTAGACCAGACTACAGAAAGTTCCGATTTCTGTTAGAATTCAAAAACTAAAAATTCTTGATTCATCCAGAAATTTATTTTTGAACCTTATGTGCCTATAATATTTTGTAATTTAAAAAAAACATGATTTTTTCCTATTATTTTTGAGTAGAGACAATGTAAAATTGAGAGAGTGCAGACAGAAAAATTGACTTTTCTGTCTGCACTCTCTCAATTTCACATTGTCTCTACTCAATGACATTTTTCTGTATAGGAAAAATCATGTTTAAAAATTTGGCCATGCACTGCCTCCCCAAATCTACGTGTGTGTGGAAAAACGAAAAATGTCTGGCACGCTCTCGCAAACACACACTCTCTCGCACACAACTTTTTACTTTTATTTCGCGAAAACAGTGCATATTAGGAGCTGATTTTTATGTGTTTTTCATCGGAACCACAATATGTGTTATACATAGTTCGAAAGAGAATTTCTTCGGCTACAAACACATATGAAATGTTATAAATGAAACCGAGATAAAAAATAAAAATTTCATGCAAACATGACATGGTTTTTTTGAATTGGGTGAAAAACGCATGTGTTTTTTGATGACCTGGCTTATTTTTTGAATATCGAATATATGTATAATCGAGTCGTAGTTTTGTTCAGAATCTCAAGGGCTTTCAGATGGTATAAATCAATATTTATGAAATTGTGAAATCATGGAGGAGTAGGGATTTTTCGTTTGTCAATTTTTAAAACGAAATTTTCATTTTCATTTGAAAAGAACTCGAATGAAGTTTACATACGTTTTGAAGAGAATTTCTCGGGCTTCAAAATCATATATATTTCTATACACAAAAATGGAAATTGAAAGCACCGCTTTCGGTTGAAAACTTGTTGGGTTTGCACCAAACAAACAAACCGCGTTCAGTAGCGTTGCGAAAAACAGCGGTGAGTTTTCAACCGAAAGCGGTGCTTTCAATTTCCATTTTTGTGTATAGAAATATATATGATTTTGAAGCCCGAGAAATTCTCTTCAAAACGTATGTAAACTTCATTCGAGTTCTTTTCAAATGAAAATGAAAATTTCGTTTTAAAAATTGACAAACGAAAAATCCCTACTCCTCCATGATTTCACAATTTCATAAATATTGATTTATACCATCTGAAAGCCCTTGAGATTTTGAACAAAACTACGACTCGATTATACATATATTCGATATTCAAAAATAAGCCAGGTCATCAAAAAACACATGCGTTTTTCACACAATTCAAAAAAACCATGTCATGTTTGCATGAAATTTTTATTTTTTTATCTCGGTTTCATTTATAACATTTCATATGTGCTTGTAGCCGAAGAAATTCTCTTTCGAACTATGTATAACACATATTGTGGTTCCGATGAAAAACACATAAAAATCAGCTCCTAATATGCACTGTTTTCGCGAAATAAAAGTAAAAAGTTGTGTGCGAGAGAGTGTGTGTTTGCGAGAGCGTGCCAGACATTTTTCGTTTTTCCACACACACGTAGATTTGGGGAGGCAGTGCCATGCCTCTGCGTCCCTAACAGCCCATTGAGCAGAGAAGCAAAGTCAAAGGCGGGTCTCGCAGCGACTATACTGGCAAACGACCGCAACGCACACGCATCGCGGCGGGTATAAATGACATTTTCAGGTTTTTTTAAGCAAATCAAGAATTTTTAGCATTTGAATTCTAACAGAAATCAAAAATTTTTAGAAGATTTGAAAATTTCGCCATTTTTTAAGTCATAAACACTTTCAAGTTTTTACTTTTGAAAAAAAAAGCGGCAGTTTCCTAAGAAATTTAAGTGAAACTTTCAGAAAAATGAAAAAAAATGCATTATACGCAAAATTACGACCCGAACCCTCTGATAAAACTTGAAAATACCAACCTTTTTCACCCGTTCCTCATAAGCATCCTCGCCATAATGCAATCACTCCGATTTCCCGAGGTCCATGAGCAATTTTGAGTCCTAAAACAAAAATATATGAAAGTACAATTTAGCAACAAGAACGTTCACCTCACCTTTTTCATCCATTGAAACATCAAAAAAACAGAGAAAAACTTTGAAAAACGAGAAAAAATGAAAAATAGAAGAGAACCCGCTAAACTAGGGGCAAGCGCAAAAAGCGGAGTGTTGTTTGCAAATACATTTCATATATTATCAAAGTAAAAAAATTTGGCAAAAAAAGAGAAGCCAGAAATTCAAATCCCAATTTCCCCAAGTACGGTATTCCTCTGCGTCACTAACACCGTTTCGAGACCACACCATTGGGCAGAGAAACAAAGTCAAAGACGCACATATGGGTCTCGCAGCGACTGGCAGAAACACCGTACTTGGGAAGAATGACATTTGAATTTCTGGGCTCCGTTTTTTTGCCAAATTTTTTTATTTTGATAATATGCAATTGCCCGCCGTTTTTGCAGTTATCTCGCCAAACCTCATTCGGAGTCACGGTACGAGTGCACGGCGCAAAACGAGCAACAACAATTCGAGTTTTGGATTGTGCTCTGGCGAGTTTTGAAATCCTTGCTGGCTTGGTGGATGTTCCACTTCCACTCAATAAAATCGATTTCATTCTCGTTCCACAATATGATGGAGGAATGGAGAATTGGGGGCATATTGCGATTTCGGAGGAGTTGGCGGTGAATGGCGATGATGCTCATATGATTTATTTGGTGAGTTTTTGGAGCCCCCACCTATATTCAGGGGTCCCTAACACTAGTTTGAAAGACCCACGCATGTCCCCACCAATAGTAGGTGGGGGTACATAGAGCATTGGGGACATACCACGCCCAGGGTGAGGGGTTTTCAAAGTGGTTCATAAAAAATTTACGAAAATTCACCTCGTCAATTTGAGATTTTCTTGAAAAACAGAATGATATAAATTTTGATGACTTTAGGTTATCCATAAGTGATTTAGCGAGGTTTAGTCGATAAGGTCGCTAAATCACTTATGGATAAGGTAAAGTCATCAAAATTTATATCATTCTGTTCGTCTTAGACCATTCTATCATATGAATAACATTAGAAACCAATATTTCACCTCGCCAAAAAATTAAAAACCTACACCGTCAATTTTCAAAGTTAGTCATCAGTTATAATGTGAGTGGGGGCTGATTCCACGTTTTGCAGGCAAACGTGTGTTTGAAGCCCCAATAATTCAATTAAGAGCCTAGAGCCTTTGATGGTCCCCTTGTCGTGATGCTATTCGCAACCCCACCAAGACCCCCCTGGTCAGCCTCCCCCTGGTGTAGATGAAGCCCCCACTTTCGTACTCGGGTATAAACAGTTATACCGGCGTAAATTTTTGTCCCCCACCCACAAATAAGAGACCCATTGATAAAAACCCACCTTTCATTCAGATTTTTTCAAAAAATCCTGGTTTTTGGATAGAATATAGACATTTAGATAGAACCACCGTTTTCTATTTCGATTGGAAAAATAAATGAGCGATATACTTACACAAAACATTTTTTGGCATTCTCGAACACGTTGTTCAGGGCACGTTCTTTTAAGAAGCACATTTTTTTATTTAATTTGAACAAAATGTCGGAAATGTTTTGTGAGCATTTTTGAATGAGGGGGGTTTGTAAAGCTTTATGGTGGGGTATCAAAACACGGTGGGGCATTTAACTCTGATGGTGAGAGGTTAAAATGCAATTTACCAAAATACCTTGCAGATTGCTCACGAAATCGCTCACCACTGGATAGGAAACCGTGTCACAGTCTCCTCGTGGCAATACATTTGCCTTCAAGAAGATCTCGCCGATTGGCTCGCTCTGAAAGCCGTCAAAGCTCTGCTCACCGACGAAATCAAACTGCAACGTTTCCAACTTTCGCAGTACGTCGAAATTCAATTAGTCGAAGATTTTCTGAGTCCAAATCATTCTTTATTGATGCCAGAGGAGGTGAATCAAGAATTGATCAATCGACATTGTTATTTGAAGGGTGTTGTATTATTGGACACGTTGGAAAGTGTTGTTGGTGAACAATTTATGATTTCTGTTATCAAAAGTTTGGTTGGAAGTCATTCGTCTTTTAATTTGACCACTTTTACCAGTTATTTTGATCAAATTCGGGTGGATCGAAATGCAACTGTTGGACAGGTAATTGATTTTTGAGATCTAGAGGATCTAGAGATCTAGATCTCCAGAATTTTAATAAAATCTCTATTTCCTAGAAGATTTTAACCCGCTAATCACGATTCCACTGTCTAAAATTGCACAACTCAACTCCTAACATGAGTTATGACGTGGCAAACACCGCGATTTTAGGAGCTAGCTGATTTTCATGAAAATCTGATAGCCCCAAAAACACATTTTTGAAATTTTTCCCACAAAAAAACCTCTCCAAAAAAAAAAAAAAATTTATATTCAAGTACTGTAGTTAGCGTTGTGTGTAATTGTGCGTCACAGTGTATGTGTGTGTGCTTTTCAATTTGAATTTATTTTTTTTCTGCGAGTTTTTCGAATTGAATTTTGGGAAAATCATGAAACTATTCAGGTCGACAAAAAAAGAACTTTTTTGACATTTTTTTGCACACAAAAATGAAAAAAATAGGGAAAAAATATTATTTTTTTGTCAAAAAATGTTTATTTTTTTCAACTTGAATCACCAGCTGGTTTAAATTGAATTTTAAAAATTCTATCAATTCCAGATCTATGAATATTGGTTTACCCAGGGTGGATATCCCTCAATTCTGGTTGAAAATAACGGACCATCTTCCCGCCTTCAACAATTATCCAAACCACTTTGGCCATTGAAAATGACATCGACGTTGTCGATTCCACAATTTGTATTTTCCGAATCGATAGTTTTCGCGTCAGAAACCGCGCCGCTTTTGGTTAATCTCAATTTCACCTCGTTTATGCGAGTCAATTATGATTCAATGACGTGGGCCGCTATTTTTAAGTAGGTTTTTTTTTAGATTTTCACAAAAATGTTGTCTGTGCTATATAGTTGGACATTGATTAAATGACATTATCAGGTTTTTTAAGCAAATGAGTTGAAATATTGGGTTGTAATGTTTTTGATATGATAGAATGGTCTAAGACGAACAGAATGATATAAATTTTGATGACTTTACGTTAACCTTAAGTGATTTAGCGACCTTATCGACTAAAAATCGCTAAATCACTTATGGATAACGTAAATTCATCATAATTTATATCATTTTGTTCGTCTTAGACCATTCTATCATATGAATAACATTAAAACCTAATATTTCAACTCATTTTCTTGAAAAACACATGAAAATGTCATTTAGTCGATGTCCAACTATGAATACTCTGCTATGAAAACCCGCCTCCCCAATCCTGTACTTCAGCGAAGTTATTTCCAGATACATGTACGAAGAGCCCGAACTCTTCTCCGCAGTTGGTCGTGCTCAACTCGTCTCCGATTTCTGCTATTTCTATGCCCACGACAACATCGAAAATGGTCATATCATCAAAGACGCGGTGATGGATATGATCTACACTCAACCGAAATATTTCGAATTATGCGATTGGAATTTGTATTGGTGCAATTCGAAATCCGACAAATCGTTGCTATCGCAAATTTTGCAAAGTCTCGCGTACCGTTTTTCGGCCTTCGATTCTTCGTCCGATTTTGGTTGCAAAAATGGTCAGGCTGCTTATAATTTGAATCAGATGTGTGACAAATTATTCGGCAGGAAATGCATTTGAATTTTTGGATTTTGTTTGTGAAACCTGTGTGAACTATTACGAGTCTTTAGTTTTCAATGAAACATTTTTATTTTTCTTCCAAATAATTTTATTGATTATTCGAAGAAATCAAAATTATCGATCAAATGTGTGATAAGACAAGTATGATAATTGGCAGCATGAATTGCATTTAATGTTGGGTGCAATGGTGTAAGATAGTTCTGAAAATATCGATTGATTTCTTGATGTGGCCGAACTATTTTGGGTGGCCGAGAAATGTCGGGAATTCGGCCATGACCCAAAAAAAATTGATTTTCGTGAAGTTAGAGCGATTTTGTTTCTTTGGCCGAATTCCCGACATTTCTCGGTCACCGCAAATAGTTCGGTGGTGAATTTCAGGAAAAACACGTGGCCGAACTATTTTGGGTGGCCGAGAAATGTCGGGAATTCGGCCACGAACCAAAAAATAATGATTTTCGTGACATTAGAGTGATTTTGTTGCTGTGGCCGAATTCCCGACATTTCCCGGCCACTTCGCAAATTTCAGAGAAAAACTATGTGGCCGAACAATTTCGGGTGGCCGAGAAATGTCGGGAATTCAGCCACAAACCAAAAAGTATGATTTTCGTGACATTAGAGCGATTTTGTTGAAAAAAAAATACAGAAAACAACGACACTCCGCTTGCCTTTTGTTTAATTTCACACAGACTGTTTGAACCTGCGGAGTGTCGTTGTTTTTTTTCGATTTTTGCTCAAAGAAAAGCTAAAATTTTCAGATTTTCAGATAAAATTCCAGCTTCTCCCTCAGTTTCAACAGAAAAACTCACATCAATCAATTCCGGCTCAACTTTATAACATTCATCAGGCAATTCAACAATATCACCATGAACTTCCAATAAATTCTCAGATTTGTATCGCGAAAAAACCACTGGTAAAACTGTAGTTGGTGCAATTTCGGGTGTCACGTTCTCATTGAATTTTGGCGCCTTCAAATCTTCAACAACTTCATTTCGATTTTTATTTCGACATCGACAAAGTTTGAATTTGCTTTTGCTTTTTTGCGAAGATCTGTATGTAGAAGTTCAGATGTTTTCAATTTGAAAAATGATAAAAGATCACCTCGAAGTTGATGATTTTTGAGAACTCTTCTTTGGACTTGCCAATGGATCATTAGATATCTCAAATTTCTCTCGGGGAACATTTGGACTTGCGCTTCCAGATGAAGATGGTTCAGTTAAAGCATGTTGAGAGGGTGATGGCTCATTTTGAGCTGGAGCTGGAGCAGGACTTGGCTCTGGTTGAGCTGCTGCTTCTGGTTGAGTTGGTGTAACTAGAGGGTCAGATGATGGAGCTTCAGATTTGATTTGTTCGAGTTGCGGTGGAGCTGGAAATTTCATGGAAATTGATGTGAGAAAAGCTATGACGTGGCAAAAATCTGCAATTTTTCAGCTACTCTAGCGATTTTTGCCCCAAAAACAGTAAAAAAATCTATCAATATCCAAAATTTTATAGAAAAAGTTTATTTACGATAATTTATCACGGTTTATTTTTTAAAATTCTTACCATTTTCTTTTCCAGGTTCTTCTGATTTTGGAGGATCTGCAAAAATCGTTTGTTCGTCAGTCGCGTGCGGCTATGCGTCGCGGTCGGGAAACAATCAATAATCCCGACCGCGACGCACAGCCGCGCGCGACTGAAATTCAATTCGAAAAAGCTCGCAGAAAAAAAATAAATTCAAAGGCACACACACATACACTGTGACGCACAATTACACACAACGCTAACTACAGTACTCCAATAAAAATTATTTTTATTTTTTTCCTACCATTTTCCTTCGATTTCTCGATACTTTTCGTTGTCGATCCCGAACTTCGTTCAAATTCCGAAGAATCCGAAGAATCCGGTTCAACAATTCGAAAAGTTTCCGCAATTTTCGGCGATGGATTCGACTCAGTTGAAGCTGAACTCAAAGTTGGTAGCGATTCAGGAGCTCGTGAAGATCCAGAAGATCCAGTGAACGACGATGAGATTGATGCGGCAGCGATATATTCACAATTGTCGAATGTGATGTTTTTCTGATCAATTTCTCGCATTTCACTGTCCGATAGAGTTCCGCAAAGTTTGTTGGCTTTTTTGTCCGATGGAATTTTTCCCAGCACATTCTGCAAAATTCGGGAAATTGAATTTCACTACGGTACGCAAAGTGCATTTGTGCGTCGCGGTGTTTACACAGCAATTTGCGGAATTTAAAAAAATGTGGCAGAGGAAAACAGCGACAGCTAGTCACTCGTAGATATTTCGAAAGTTAATGAATGTCTGTGTGTGCGTGCGGTCGCGATGCGGTCGAAATGAAATCGATATTGTCCATTTTTTCATCGAAAATGCTGTTTTTTCACAAAAATCGGTCATTTTTTAAGTTTCACTGTTGTTATTTATTAGTTTTTCAGAAAAATAGGCGAAAATATTCACATTTTTCAAACAAAATTGAATATTATAGGTTTTTCAAATTGAAAAATGCAAAAAATGACCGTTTTGTGTAAAAAAAAACAGCATTTTCGAGGAAAAAATGCAAAAAAAAATGGACAATATCGATTTTATTTCGACCGCATCGCGACCGCACGCACACACAGACATTCATTGATTTTCGAAATATTTACGAGGGACTAACATTTTTTTAAAATGGTCGTTTTCCCCGAAAAAACGAAAAAAAATAAAAAGAAAACAACAAGACTCCGCGTTGACGTTGCACGTGCGCGCGCGGTTTGAATTTTTTTTCAAAAAACCTACATCAAAAGGCGCTGGATGCAAAATATCCGAACTTGTCTCGCGAACACTCTTCTTTCGCATTCTACTCTCCGATTTCTTGACTTTTTCCTCTCTTTGCGTTTCATCCAACGTCTTAACATCCGAAATTCGCCTCTTGATTGGTGTTCGATGAATTTTGCGCGATGGTTTTCGCGATTTTTTTCGCTCGTATATTTTGTAGCAAACAACAATTGAAGCGCCGATAAATAAGGTGAGTGCAATTCTGAAACGAGAGAATTTATTGGATTCTTGGAGCTGAGAATTTTTTCCTTACTTGAAAAGAGGTCTCATATTGATTTGTAAACTGTGCTTTTCTAAACCTCAACACAACAAAAAATGAATCATTTTCTCGATGGCAAAACGTGTCACGTAAGAAATGTCACGTTAAAAAAAAATAAAATTTCAAATGATTATTGTTGGGGCGCGTTTGTTGCTCTCTATCTCTCATCCGTCTCTTCAGCAAATCGCACTCTCTCATCTTTTTTTTCGCTTCTGTTTTTTTGCTGAAAATTGCTGAAAATGGAATTTTTGTGACTAAATCGAATATGGAGAAGACAGAGAAAGAAAAATTGAAGCTATTCCAAGTTGTTTCATGAAAAATGGTTAAGAATGAATTGAGCAAGAGCTCTTCAAAAAATTGCTTGTTGAAAAACATCATTTTTGACCCAGGAAAGCTGGTAAAATCTCATATTTTTCACGATCGACTAAAATCAACAAATAATAATTTTTAAAGAGGTTAATGTTCAATTGTCTTTATCCAAGCGTGAATGAAGTGTCAAGAGAAGACTTTTACTTTCCATCTAAAATTAGGTCGGTGACATTTCTCTCCCTTCATTTATTTCAATCTTGTTCCAGACAAATCTATGTTGATTACACTCTACGTCTTTCTCTTCTTCGCGACCTATTCACATGCAGGTAAGTTTTTGTTTTTAGCTAAATAGGTTTCTACTAATTTTTTTCAGGCTCCAACAACACTACATCTTCTGCAAACCCGTCCTCTTCACAATTTGCCGTCGAGAATGAGTTGGCCAAAATATCTACCTCCTGTCTAACCTCCAGAGATTATGAAATGCTAGCAGGCAACTCTATAAAACACGGCACAGTACGAACGTATTCCAGCAATTTGCTTAGCAACAGCGCAATGAGCATAGGCTTGGCAGAGTTGCGTAGGACACTTCATTTCGCAACACTACGCCCATGGAAATCATACAACCATACGAAACCCAGTGAAGACGAACTGGCAGCATCTGTGGATGACAACATCGAGGCCTATTACGATTTGATTGAACCAATTTCCTCTTTACAAAGTCTTGATAACATATACTTTTTTGAGAAAAATATAGCTACCGCTATTGCATATTTGGATCAACGTTTACCATCATTTCGGTATATTTTTAGACGTAGGTTTGAAGAGATGCATCAAGGATTAATAGACAGAAAATCAATTGACCGAATGATAGACGAGTTGTTAGAAATTCATGACAGAATTGAAAAAGCGATTTCAGAAATGAGGAGAAATGACTATAAATGCTTTCAAATAGATCAGGATATTTTATAAACATTGTAATTTTATTTTTTATCGAAAATCTCATCGGTACTCCACGCGCTCCACCGAAATAAACACGCAACGCAGACCGCGTCGCGCCACAACACACACACACACAAATAAGGGAACGATTCAAATTCCCTCCCTATTTGTGTGTGTTGTGCGACGCGGTCTGCGTTGCGTGTTTATTTCGGTGGAGCGCGTGGTACCGATGAGATTTTCGATAATAATCTCTTATACCAAATAAAAACGTTTATTCTTGATATAAATTTTTAAATATTAGAATTGGAAGCTTTACAAAATGAAACTATAGTTTTAACATTGAATTTTGATGTATTTATTTAATGAAATAATTTTATAGATAAACTAACTCGAAACAAAAAATGAGTAACCCAAAAATAACGATAATATTATAAATACATTTCAAAACAATATAAATATTCATATTCACAGGAATTAAATTTCACTATTTTTTTCCAAATCCTCGCACAATGCTCGATTTTTCTTGCTCTTTGATGCTGAAAATTCGAAAATTTCTTCAAAAATCTTCCCTTTTAAAATTCAAAACTACTTACAACTTTTTCTGTGCATTTAGAAGACAAAGATTATTCGACATTCTATAATCTCTTCTTGTAATTATTCGTTTTGGATCAGCAAAATCATAACGATGTGCACGTTTTTTTGGTGATAATTCAGTGACTTTTGGATGCCATGGAACACGTTGTTTGAAAGTGAATTCTTCTTTCGGGGAAATCGATCGTTTAGCCAATTTTGCTGTTGATTTTGGTGTTTTTCCATCTTTTTCCTTTTCCATTGCTCTTGAAACATCTCTCATTTTCTCAAATCGCATTTTTGTTCGATTATCAGGCTCAAAAAAATCACTGATATTTCTCAAAAATTGTCGAATATTATAAGGAACATCAGCATCATTTTGATTTCGAATTATTTTCAAAATCATTGTTTCGATATAATTTGAAGCTTGTGCTCGATGATGTGCATGTAAAGCAAGTTTTTGAATTGTTGGTTTTTCTTGATTTATTTTGAAATCACAATTACAAACATCCAATTTATCGAGATAAATCTGCAAAAATTCCATAAATTTATAAATTCTCAAAAAAAACTTACATTGAAAAAGTTTTCGAAATTCTTAAAATTCTCCATATATTTCTTACGATAATATTTTGGTTTTTTCGGAATTTCGGAAAAAACAAATTCTTGATGAAATACTTCATGTGGCAATGATTTTTGTATTTTTTGGAAGAGATGGTATCGATTCCATAACAAGTTGTGCCAATTTTTTCGGTGCAGATATTTTGAAATTAGCAGAAATTTCCTGTTCAGAATCATAGCCGTCTTCTTTCATTATCATATTGTGGAATTTCGACATATTTTTATCAAATGTTTTTATCAACATTTTTTGAAACTTGTTTCGTTGCACCTGATTTTTGAAAGGTGAATGAAAATTCGGCGGACAACAACCATCACATTTCCAATCATCAGCAACAATAACTTTTTGATTATACGCCAATTCAGCATCATATTTCAACTTTTTTTGCTTTTTTTCAATGCCGGGATGATTTTGTCATAAGAAAAAACTGTTCTTGGGTCATTCTTCTTATATCCAAATTGATCAATTTTGAATCTTTCAACAGATCTTGCGCGAAAAAGTGGGCACTTGATATATTCCAATCTTGCCAAATGATTGAATCGCTCTGGACAGGAATTGCTTCGATTTCGAAATACTTGTGCATCACATTTTCGAACCATTGCTGAACGATGATGATGAGCAGAACTTTTGAACATTCGCATTGAAACACTGCAAAAAAACTTAATTTATTTGAAGTTTCTTAAAAGATGATTTACCTACTTTCTCACAACTTCACATGTTCCCTCCAAAGCAATTTGAATTGTTGTTTTGACTTTTTTTGTTTTCGAATTCTGAAAAAAAAATAATTTTGGGGAAAATGAATTAATTTCTGGACTCACTCGTTTTCCTCTTGCCATTTCGAAGTTTGCAGAAAACACGTCACAGCTCAAAAAAAACGAGAAAAATGAGGAAAACTTCGCGAAACAAAAAGAAATTTTCAAAAGATGGTCTCACACCGAAACAGCGAAGTACTGTAACACTTGTTTGGCATGTGCATTTCTTGTGGCGCCGCCTAGAATTTCGTTTTTCTCGCTCGCTCAAAATGGACGTTGAGGAATATTTCCCGGAAAGTATTTCGGAAATTCATTGTGACGAATCAAGAAAAGATGAGACAACTCTTTTGGGCAGTTTACATTGTCATATTTGCTATCAAGAATTGGGTGATTTGAATCCAGTCAAACATTTTAAACCGTGCAAGTGTTCAAGGTAATTTTCTGGTTTTCTTCAATTGAAATCTTGATTTTTAAGAATCTACGTTCATCGAAATTGCGCAAATCAAAAATCTGAAGAATCTTCTGCTTGCAGTATGTGTGGATCATCAAATACATTATCAAGAATAAAACCAAAAGGCAAAAATCAAGATGAAGTTTGCATAATTTGCAAGAAATCTTCGAAGGAAATTGTTCAATCACATATGATTCAACCATGTTTTTGCGGGTAATTGTGAAAGAATTCTTCCAAAAAAAACATGATGATGAATTTTCAGAGTTTCTGCCCATTACGATTGTTTGATCCCATTGCTCGACAACAAAAGTTCGTGTAACAATTGTGGTGTCTCATATCAAGTTTTCAAAAAAGCACCAGTTAGCAGTTTCTTGCGTCAACATATCTGCCACTTTATTTGTTTCATAGTATTTTTGATAGTTTTGGTTGGACTTTGTGGATTGGCTGTTTCGAATTCTTATTTGATCACAAAACGAACTGATTCGAGAAGTATATGTAAGTGATTTTATTTTACTAACAAGGGAAAGTTCTGAAATTTTGATGAAACATATCGAATTGTACCAAATCGACCATGCTGATCACGATTCCGAAGTCAAAAATTGCCAAAAATGCCTGTGAGCACTTTTCTGGAGCAGTAAAGTTGGAATTGGAATTGAGTTCTGGTTTTCGTCGATTTTCACCATTTCCCGGGTTAAAAATGAACGAAAACCTGTAAGCTTTTTAGTTTTTGAAAAATGTAATTTGCTATTTGATATTTTTCAAAAACTAAAAAGCTTACAGGTTTTCGTTGATTTTTAACCCGGGAAATGGTGAAAATCGACGAAAACCAGAACTCAATTCCAATTCCAACTTTAGAGCTCCAGAAAAATGCCCACAGGCATTTTTGGCAATTTTTGACTTCGGAATCGTGATCAGCATGGTCGATTTGGTACATTTCGATATGTTTCATCAAAATTCCTTCTAACAATTTAAAAAATCGGATTTTCCAGTGTTCACAGCCTGGTCATTATTACTTCTCATTTCAATGATTGGAATTGTCATCATGATAATTCGATACACAATAAATGTAGCATTTCCAAGATATCAAGTTGAATTTGGAAGTGTAACAGTGCATCCATCACAATCAAGAATTCTGCCAAAAGATTCGATAACTCATCGAAAATTTGCTGGAGCTGTTGTAATGTCAGATATTGTTCGTATCGAAACTGGTCTTTCTGTAATACCCGAAGAAGATGAGGAAAAATCAGATTCTGGACGTCTTGATCTAACCCTCGGCCAACATTTATTTGGTATCATTTCAGTGCCAAATGGACATACGTCATCAACACCAATTGAAGATTCTTGCGGTGAAGAAAAGTTCAAATTTTAAATTTTATTCATTTATTAGTACTTATATTACGCATGTCAAATAATTATAACTTATATAATTTTTCAAATTCAACCTTTTTTTTATGAATTTTTAACATTTTTCGAGATTGTTGAAATATCTTTTTATATGTATTTTCTAGAAGAAAATTTATTTCAGAAAAAAATGGACGCAGATGATTTAGAACTTCTAGAAGAAGAATGTAACAATCAACCAATTCGATATCTTCCAAAAGTTCTGAATGGAGGAATTTCGGGAATTATTGGAGTTTCTTGTGTATTTCCAATGGATCTTGTCAAAACTCGTCTCCAAAATCAAAAAGGAACAAATACTTACACAGGAATTATCGATTGTTTCAAGAAAACGTGGCAATCAGCGGGACCAAAACGAATAAATCAGGTCAAAGGATTGTATCAAGGTGCATCGATCAATATTTTTCTCATCACTCCTGAAAAAGCCATCAAATTAGTGGCCAACGATTTTTTTCGACACGCTTTGATGCGTGATCGAGTGGAGAGGTTATCGGTGCCACGTGGAATGTTGGCTGGTGGAGCTGCTGGATTTTGCCAAGTTATTATTACAACTCCAATGGAATTGTTGAAAATTCGAATGCAACAATCGGAAAAAAGAGAAAAAGTGACGAGAATTGTATGGGATTTGTTGACGAAAAATGGAGGTTTGTTGAAAAATCTGATTTTTATGAAATGTGGAAGAGGAAAAGCTAGTCACTCGCAAAATTTCGAATGCCTGTGTGCGCTCGCGGTCGCGATGCGGTCGAAATAAAATCGATATTGCCATTTTTTCATTTTTCCTCGAAAATGTTGTTTTTTTGTCAATTTTTGCCTAAATAGATTAAATTTATTCATTTTTAATGTTGTTTTTGTTGAAAAATTTGAATATTTTCATCATTTTTACTGAAATTAATGTTAGAACAACATTGAAAATGAATAAATTTAATTTATTTAGGCAAAAATGACCGTTTTTTTTTTGAAAAAACTATCGATTTTATTTCGACCGCATCGCGACCGCGCGCGCACACAGACATTTATTAATTTTCGAAATATTTGTATTTTACGCGCTCCACCGAAATAAACACGCAACGCAGACCGCGTCGCGCCACAACATACACAAAAAAGGGAGAGAATTTGAATCGTTTCCTGTTTTGGTGTCTGTTGTGGCGCGACGCGGTCTGCGTTGCGTGTTCATTTCGGTGGAGCGCGTGCTACCGATTAGATTTTCGATAATATTTTTGAAGTTGAATAGTCTGGCCGCGTGCGGTTGTGCGTCGCGGTCGGGAATCAGAATGAATTATTGATTGTTTCCCGACCGCGACGCACAGCCGCGACGCGACTGACGAACTAATGGTTTTTCAATTTTGCACATAATATTTTGTAATAAAAAAAAACATATTTTTCCAATGCAGAAAAACGTCGAAATATACAGTTTATTATTTTTTGAGTAGAGACAATGTGAAATTGAGAGAGTGCAGACAGTTTTTTGTATTTTTTGTGCGAAAAAATTGTCTGAACTCTCTCAATTTCACATTGTCTCTACTCAAAAATAATAGGAAAATCATGTTTTTTTATTACAAAATATTATTCTGCATAGGCCCAGAATCCTTTTTTTTTCTCTCCAGGAATCGCTGCACTTTATCGAGGACTTGGTCCAACAATGGCACGTGACATCACTTTCTCAGCTCTATATTTTCCACTTTTTGCATATCTTGATGGATTGGGTCCAAGAAAAAAGGATGATTCTGGTGATGCCGTATTTTGGGCGAGTTTTGTGTCGGGTTTGACGGCTGGAGCGATTGCATCATTTAGTGTCACACCTTTGGATGTTGTTAAAACACGGATACAAGCTGGAGAGGTTTGTTGCACTAGAACTTCATTGAAATGCAATTTTTGGGAGAAAAATGAATAAAACAACGACACTCCGCTCGTGGCAAGCGGAGTGTCGTTGTTTTTCCACGTTTTTGAGGATTTCAGAGTAAATCTGGGTGAATTATTTTCTAGAGAATTTCAAGAGCTTCAAAATGAAACTAGACTCTAGTTTCAGGGAAAACTTCAAAAATATGTGGCCGAATTATTTTGGTGGCCGAGAAATGTCGGGAATTCGGCCAGTCGCATCAAACTCGCTCTAATGTTTCGTAAATGGGCTCATTTTTTGCTCTGGCCGAATTCCCGACATTTCTAGGCCACTGAAACTAGAGTCTAGTTTCATTTTGTAAAGCTTCTAATTCTGAATTTTCAACAAAATGATGACTGTGGAAAAACCAAAAACTCTAGAAATTCTGAATTTTTACCAAAATCTGAATCCATTTTGAAGCTTTGAAAAACTGAAACTAGACACTAGTTTCAGGGCAAAAAATGGAAAACTACATGGCCGAACTTTTTTGGGTGGCCGAGAAATGTCGGGAATTCGGCCAATCGCATCAAACTCGCTCTAATGATTTTCAAAACATTAGTTGCGATCTGGCTGAATTCCCGACATTTCTAGGCCACCGAAACTAGAGTCTAGTTTCATTTTGTAAAGCTTCAATTTCTAATGAGCTATATAACACCAGGAAAACCCTAAAAATTTTGAATTTTCAACAAAATCTGAATCCATTTTGAAGCTTTAAAAAAAGTGAAACTAGACTCTAGTTTTGTTGCAGACAAAATATAAAGGAATCTGCGATGCGCTCTACCGTATTCTGAAAGATGAAGGTCCTTCCGCCCTCTTCAAAGGCGCAATTTGTCGAATGATGGTAATGGCTCCACTTTTTGCAATCGCTCAGACAGTTTATTACATCGGATTGGCTGAAAAATTGATTGGAATCGAAAAAGGTTCAAGAGTTTGATATAATTTTTAATTACATAGTTCTTTTGTTTTCTACATAGTAGTTATTAAATAAACAAATTCATCGTTAATATACGTGTCCTTGTTTCTTATCAGCAAAATCATATCATTTTGAAGGGGAAATTTTAGGACACATGAGGTTTTCTGCAATATTTTTGTGTCTGGTGATTGGTGCAGTTTTTGGTGAGTTTTTCTGGGTTTTTTCCCATGAAAATTGGCATTTTTCCGAAAAAAAGCAAAAAAAATGGAGAAAAGAAAACAACGAGACTCCGCGTTGACGTTGCCAGCGCGCGCGGTTTGAATTTATTTTTTTTCAATGGGCTTCCATATTTAGGCGAATTCTAATTGAAAATTGCATTTTTCCCGCAGAAAAAAAAGAAAAAATTGCAAAAAAATAAAAAGAAAACAACGAGACTCCGCGTTGACGTTGCCAGCGCGCGCGGTTTGAATTTTTTTATTTTTTCGCAGTTTTTTTCAATTTCGGCTGAATTTTTTCATCAAACTAGACTATAGTCTAAATTTAATTTTTTTGACAAAGATTTTCTAGTTTTTATTGCATATTTAGGTCAAAAACCTGAAAAAATACACAATTTCCATAGAAATTTTAGTTTTTCGGTGAAAATATTGAATTTTATTGTTTATATTTCTTTAAATTAGTTTTTTCATCCGCTGAAAATTGTTTTTTCCAAGGAAATTTCCATTTTTCCCAAAAAAAAAGAAAAAATTTGCAAAAAAATAAAAAGAAAACAACAAGACTCCGCGTTGACGTTGCGCGCGCGGTTTGAATTTATTTATTTTTTCGCAGTTTTTCATGAAATTCTATATTTCGGCGAATTCTAATTGAAATAAGCTGAATTTTTTCATCAAACTAGACTATAGTCTAAATTTAAGATTTTTGACAACGATTTTCTAGTTTTTATTGCATATTTGGGTCTAAAACCTGAAAAAATACACAATTTCTATAGAAATTTTAGTTTTTCTGTGAAAATATTGAATTTTATTGTTTATATTTCTTTAAATTAGTTTTTCATCCGCTGAAAGTTGGAAATTTTCATTTTTCCCGATAAAAAGAAAAAGAAAACAACGAGACTCCGCATTGACGTTGCATGCGCGCGCAGTTTAAATTTATTTTTTTTTCGAAAATTTTTTTTTTTTCAGCGGTTGTTCCGGATCTGGGAGCCATCAAAAAACGAGCTCGAAACGGAGAAATCAATTTGGATCAAATCAGAAGAAGTCAACCAGTAAATGATGAAGATATAGCAAGATTGCTCAAAGTTGATTATTCTTTTCGAACCGAAAGTTTGATTTATGATTTATTGGAGAATAAGGAGAATGCTGAATCGACGATTCTTGCTGGAAATTTCAGTTTCGAAACTTTGCATCATGATACGGAGGGAGGAATGTTGGCTAGATTTACGGTAAGCCGCGACGCATAGCCGCGACGCGACTGATTTTTGCAGCTCACCAAATGTACAACTGATAATTGCGGAAATCCACCTCCAGTTTATGTCGCATTTCGACAAGGTGGAAATAATATTCTGGATGTTCTTGTCAATTTTGATGAATCCGAAGAGAAAGTGGCGACGTGGAATTTTCTTTTTCGCAATTGTAAATACAATTTATACACCAGCTGAATATGGAGAAGGTGATACACAATATGTTGTAAGTTTTTTCCTCGTTTCATATATCAAACATCTTGCGGGCAAGGAAAAAAGAAGCGCGTGGCCGAGTGGTAAACACGCATGTCTCTCGAATTTTAGGTCGCGGGTTCGATCCCGCGCCGAGGCAAACTTTTTTTTTTTTGTTGCAGAACACGGTGTATGGACGTTGTCAATTGGATTTTGGACGACCTGAGGACAAGAGATTCCGAAGAATTATTGATAATTGTGAAGTTGGAAAAGGGTTGAATTTTAGTCGATTTGAGGGATTGGAAACTGTTAATTATCATCAAGATGCTTGGTATACGTAAGTTTTTTGAGATTTGAAGAAAAATTGTGCATTAGAGCGCATTTTCTCGGTTTAGGGGCGCCATCAAAAATAATTTTTAAAAAAAGAAGAAAAGAAAATGCGCTCTAATGCACAATGTGTTTTTTTTAATTTTTCATCACCCGATTAGTTTTTTTCAGAATAATAAAAATTCCAGAATCCTGATTTTCAGACAAATTTTCTATGAACTTGAACTTTGGATACATTTTTAATTAGAAATTTAAATTTGAACTATTTTTACAAATTCAAAAATTTTTCAGAATCCTGATTTTCAGACAAATTTTTTACGAGCTTGACTAGGCACATTTTCAGAATTTCTTAAATTTCAGAATCCTGAATTTCAGATTTTTCAAACTTCAAAACACACGTGCACAAATTTGCTCTATTGCACAAAAAAACGAAAATTTGCAATGGAGCGCATTTGAAATATTAAACAAATTTAAAAAATTCGATTTTTCAGAAAAAGTGCAATAGAGCGCGTTTTAATTTTTTAAAATTTTGACATTTAAAAAAAAATCTGCACACTTGTGTATTAGAGCGCATTTTTCTCGTCAAAAACACGGGCGCCTCAAAAAATAATTCAAAAAAAAAGAAGAAAATGCGCTCTAATGCACAATGTGTGTGCATTAGAGCGCATTTTCTCGTTTTAAGGCGCCCTCAAAAATAATTAAAAAAAAAAAAAAGAAAATGCGCTCTAATGCACAAAAATTTCCAGTCAAAACACCAAAGTTGATGCTGATATCGTGATGATTGATGCAATAGAATCTCTCACCTTCCGAAGCCCATTCCACGAAAAATACGGATTCCAACTCGAAAGTCGAACTCATGTCGAAATCACAAATCGAACTCGTGTCTTCATCAAACGAATCTGTTCACAAGAATTGGAATCGACAAAATGCGCCGAAAAAGAATATGGTGCACAAATAGTTGGACATCGAAAATATGAAAAGGTTCGAATTGGAAGTGGAAGTGAGAAAAACAATCGGTTGAGCGAGGAAATTAATAAATATCGAGAACATTTGGCTGATATGGGAGATTCACATATTTGTGAGAAACATTCGATGTTTTATGCGAATATTATGCAAGAAGCCAGGGGAGCGAAAAAAGAAGATTGGGTGGAAATTATGAAAAATCCGGAAAATGAACATGTTTTGTGAGTAAAAAATTGCAAAAAAAAAACTACGAGACTCCGCGTTGACGTTGCACACGCGCGTGGTTTTAATTTTTTAAAAAATTTTTAAAGGGGCTTTCATATTTCGGCGAATATTTATTGAAAACATCCATTTTTCCCAAAAAAAAAGAAAAAAAACAACGAGACTCCGCGTTGACGTTGCACGCGTGGTTTGAATTTTTCAAATTTTTTTGCAATTTTTTCAATATTTCGGCGAATACTTATTGAAAACATCCATTTTTCCCCGAAAAAAAGAAAAAAATTGCGAAAAAATAAAAAGAAAACAACGAGACTCCGCGTTGACGTTGCGCGCGTGGTTTGAATTTTCAAATTTTTTTTGCAGTTTTTTCAATGGGCTTTCATATTTCGGCGAATACTTGACAAAATGTTTTGAATTTTTGCATCAAACTAGACTATAGTTAAACCAAACTAGACTATAGTTTATACTGCATATTTGGGTCAAAAGCACAATTTCTATAGAAAAATCAGTTTTTCTTGGAAAAATATTGAATTTTAGTGATTATTCTTTTTCAATTTATTTTTTCATTCCAAAAAAAATGTTTTTTCAAAGAAAAAATCAATTTTTTCCAAAAAAAAAAAAAAAACACAAATTCAAACCACGCGCGCAAACCTGTCGTCAACGCGGAGTCTCGTTGTTTTCTATTTCTTTTTTTGCAATGTTTTTCTTTTTTTTTCTGGGGATGAAAAAGAGAAAGAAAACAACGAGACTCCGCGTTGACGACATGGTTTGCGATATTTCGACTGAATTTTCTCACCAAACTAGACTATAGTTAACCTAAGTTCATATAAAAAAAAAAAAATTTCAGAGCGATAATCGGAAATGTTCTCGGAGGAGTTGGAACCGTCGAATCTCTCGAAATCGCAAAAGAAATCTACCTAATCGAAGCCGCCGATCATCTAGATGATCTACTCTTCGGAATCGCACATTCAACATCAAACAACGAAAAATGGCACAAACAATTGATGTATTGGTGGGCAAGTTTGCCGCCAAAATCACAAGAATATTGGAAAGTTGCCAATACAATTGCAAGTGTTTTGAGAAAAAGATGCGAGCATTCAACAAGCAGTTTGAATTCGTGTAATAAGAAAAAGGAAAAAATTGTTGAAAAATTTATCAATGATTTGAAAACTGATGGAATGGATGTGAAAGTTTTTGAAGTTTTGGAAAATTTACCGATTTTTTCGAGTTTTGAACTTGCTAGAGATTTAATTTGCAGTAAAAATGGATTGGAAATTGTGGAAAAAGCTGCGCTTCGTGTGATTTTGCGGGCAGATCAGGGGTTTTATGATTCTCAACTTACGAAAAAGTTGATTGGATTGTTTAGAAATACATGCCCAATGGAAACATCTACAACAAATTCGCAAATCGCGATTGAGATTTTATTGAAATGTGTACCAGATCATCAAAATGTTGCGACACTAATCCTAAGAACTGAAAGCTTGCAAAATGAAAATAATGCGGAAAAATGGAATTATTTGTATAAAGCGATTGAGGCAAGTGGAAAGAAAGACGAATTAAAAGAAGCGTTTTGGACGAAAATGCGGCAATTCAAAATATTCCGGCCGAAATGGTTGAATCGAGCGATTTTTGCTGATTCGCATGTGCATTGGAGGAATATTGCCGAGGCGGCTGGATTTGAAATGTATGCGGAATCGACGACGGAATTTGAGGCGAAGATGTTTCAAAGATCTACTTTTGATTTGGTGTTGAAGAAATCTAAGAGGGAGAATAATTTGTTTTCGGTGGGTCTTCTGAAAATTTGCTGAAATTTTGATCTTGAAGTAGAAGTAGTACGGTTGAACCTGCACATCTAACTCTAAAAAAATTGAACACAGAAACAAGAAAAATGTTCAGTTAGATACGCAGGTATTACTGTATGTTCCTATAATCTAGCAATTCTCTGTTTTTGTACAATTTTCAAAAAATTAGACAAAAACAACAAAAATTTTCAGTTAGATACGCAGGTATTACTGTATGTTCCTTTAATTTCTAGCAAATTTTCTGTTTTTGGACAATTTTCAAGAAATTGGACAGAAACAACCACAAAAATTCTCAGTTAGATACGCAGGAGATACGGTATGTTCCTTTAATTCTGGCGGTAAAAAAACCTCTGGGCTTTTGTGACACGTGGCCAATTTTTGAATTCAAATTTTTCGCGCCAAAAATTGTCAGACATTTTTGACGCCGAAATAAGAATAACCCTGAATTTTTGGGATTTCTCGATGCCACGTGGATTTTTTTCTGTCCAAAAATCCCGCTGAAAAATTGGACAGAATCAACAAAAATTTTCAGTTAGATACGCAGGTGATACGGTAATTCTCGTGGTTTTTGGACAGGTAACTTTTTTTTAACCGATTTTCTTTGAAAATTTGAGAAAAAACTGAAATTTTCCTTCAAAAAATTCCACGTGGCATTATGTTAGGACCAATTTTTGAAGGTGAAAGTCGTGGGTTCGATTCCTGGCGCCTACGCAACTTTTTTCTTTCTTTTTGAAGAAAATTTCAACTTTTTGCACTGAAAATCGATTTTTTTTTATAAAAAATCACAAAAAAATACCGAATACCGTATATCACCTGCGTATCTAACTCGTCCAATTCCTTCTCAAGTTAGATGTGCAGGCTACCGTACTTCAGTGGGGTTTTTAGACGCCGGAAAATCATAAAATTCAAATTTTCAGCTCACAATCGATACAGCAAATCTCGATTCCTATGTTAAATCCAAGAAGGAAGATCAAGAAGATCAAGAAAAAGTGGCTGAAGCCAATATTCGACTCGGTTTATTCGGTCACAAACTTCCAACTTACAACATCTTCAAAGGAAACGGCGATCTGATTTCAGCTGTCTGGAATGCGGATGGAAGAACCATCAAAGCATTCGAAGGACATGTGCCTTTAAGAGACACCCGCTTCAGTTTCCCACTTCTCTCCGGTCTTTCCGTGGATGTTCGATCTTCTGGAGCGATTTCAACGAGGATCAATGTGGCGGCTGAAGTTTCGTTGTGGAATCAGAAATCGGAAACCGATGTTGATGCGTTGTAAGATCGATTTTTTTTTCAAAAAAAATTTAAAAAAAAAAAAAAAAAAAAAATTTTTGAAAATTTTTTTTTCCAGCGTCTCTGCCAGTCTTCAAACCCACGCGAATCTAGTTTTTGGAACGAGGCCAACAAATTTTGTGACGTCATCAATTTCTGCCTTATCCACTTTTTCGACTGATACAAATGTTGCTTTTTCATCGACACCTTATGAGTTCTGCTTGAAGTCTTCGCAGGATTCAATTAAAATCACGTGAGTAAAATTAAGAAAACAACGACACTCCGCTGGAAAACAACGACACTCCGCTAAACAACATGCAAGCGGAGTGTCGTTTTTGAGTGAATCTGGGTTGCTAAATAGCATTCTGTGCAAACTAGACTCTAGTTACATTGTCAGGAAAACATTTATGGGGTGATTCTAGTCGAAAAAAAATAATAAAAAAAATTTTTTTTTCCTATTTTTTGACATTTTTTTGCACGCCTAGAAAAAATCTGAAATTCAGCATTCTGAAATTCTGAAAATGTGCAATTTTTAGCTAAAACTAAATTTTTAACTCGTAAAAAATTAATCTGAAAATCAGGATTCTGAAAAATTTTTTTAATTGTAAAAATAGTTCATATTTAAATTTTTAAATCAAAAATGTATCGTTCATAGAAAATTTGTCTGAAAATCAGGATTCTGAGATTCAAGTCGAAAAAAAAATTTGAAAAATAAAAAAAATTTTTTTTAATTTTTTTTTTCGACCTGAATCACCCCAATATAAAAAAAACAACAACACTCCGCTTGCCTGTTGTTTAATTTTTTTCCAATTTTCCAGTCAAACAACTGAAAATTTAAATTTTTAATCAAAAATGTATCGTTCATAAAAAATTTGTCTGAAAATCAGGATTCTGAGATTTGAGTCAAAAAAAAAAAAAAAAAAAAAAAAAAAAAATTCAACTTGAATCACCACATTATGAAAAAAAAACAACGATACTCCGCTTGCCTGTTGTTTAATTTTCCCCTCATTTTCCAGTCAAACAACATTCAACGACAACAAAAAAGGAATCAATCGAAAACGAAATTTCGCGCCAAAAACTTATCGATTAGATGATATTGTTACAAATCAATGTAACAGACATGCACGGGAATTATAAATTTTCATTATTTATTTGACGATGTTGAAATTTAGTATTGTTTTCTGATTAAAATTTGAAATTTTTCAATTGATTTGTCGCAAGATGGATTTGGAAGTCTTGTGGAGTTTGTGCTTTCGAGGCATCTTGAAAACTAAAAAAAAAAAAAAAAAAAAATTTTTTTTTTTTTTTTAAATGGACTCACCGAATTTAGGCAGGTTTTCCCATTGTTGATATCGGTGAAAACGCAGAAATCATAGGTCATTGCGCAGACATTTAGAGTTACTGGAATTCGTCAGTCGCGTGCGGTTGTGCGTTGCGGTTGGGAAACCGCGACGCAAAGCCGCACGCGACTCACAAAGCTGCTGCTTTTAAACTCACAATACTGCGATTTACAAAACTGATAAATCTCAAAAAACTTGATTTGCAAATCCCGATTCATTTTCAATATATAGATCTTCGTTGATCCATTTCCACTTGCCTCATAAGCCGGACCACCCAAAATTCTCACAGCATTACACGATCCTTTGGCGAAAAATGTGCAGAGTGAGAAAATTTTGGAGCGTTTCGCAACATTCTGAACGCATGTGCAGAAGTTTGAATCACAATAATTTTGTCCGAGAAGTTGGTCGTAACAATCATCGTGAATTGCGCAGCAAAGATCGTAGCCGACTGCAAAATTTTTGGGGAAAAAAAAATTAAAAAATTCCGCGGTGGGCAAACCCGAACCCTTGACCTACTGATCGCTAGCGTATACGCTTAACCACTTGTACAAACTCACAGTATATCTCATCTCTGCATTTATGCAGTACATTTTCCGAAGCTTCATTCAAAAATTGTCCAGATCCACAAGCCCAATAATCTCGAGGAATTCGATAATCCGAACAGGAAATTAGAGAAAAAATCGATAAAAATATTATTTTATAACACATTTTTGTGTTTTTTTTGAAAAAAAACTTATTTTTCTTGTCAAAAAAAAATAAAATTTTTTTATTTTTTATTCGGCCACCAAACATGAGTATCCACACGTTTCTCAAAATGCCAACCATTTCTCTCATTCACTTTCACATTATCCAAATCCGACCATTTTACGACGAGCGGAGCAATTGTTGGAAGAGCAACTGGATTTCCGGGCTTTGCCGCTTTTGCTTGCGCTAAAAATGGATGTTGGACGAGAGCAACATCGGAGCCGAACCAATCTTTTGCGTAGTTGCTCTGGAAGTTTTGAAATTTGAAGTGGAACGTCAGGGGTTCGATTCCTGGTGCCTGCAGGCTACTTTTTTTGTGGATTTTTCGCGCCATTTTTGTAAAAATTCCACGTGGCATTAATATAGAGCTAAATTTCAAATTCAAATTTTTCGCGCCAATTAAAAAAAAAAAACAAAAAAAAATTAAATCTGAAAAGTTTTTGATGCCACGTGGATTTTTGATGGCAAAACTTTGCAAATTCCACGTAGTATTAATTTAAAGCTAATTTTTAAACTCAAATTTTTCGCGCCAATTTTTTTTCAAAAAAAAAAAAAAAACAATTAAATTTGAAAAATTTTTGATGCCACGTGGATTTTTAAGAACGTTTTGATGGTTTTTTGAAGTTGAACGTCAGGGGTTCGATTCCTGGCGCCTGCAGACATTTTTTCGTGGATTCTTATCGATTGAAAGTTTTGCCACGTGGATTTTTGATTTCCACGTGGAATTTCGCAAATTCCACGTGGCATTAATTTAGAGCTTATTTTTAAATTCAAACTTTTCGCGCCAATTTTTTTTTTTTTTTTTCAAAATGCCACGTGGATTTTTTATGCCGGAAATTTGGCAAATTCAAATGTTCCCGCCAAAAATTGAGATTTGAAAAATTCTGGATTTTTCGGCGCGAGAAATTTTGAAATTCAAGTTCTCGCGCCAAAATTTTTGAAAAAAATCGAAATTTGTCGATGCCACGTGGATTTTTGGCGCCAAAAATCTTCCCCAAACATCCTAGAATTTCTAGAGCTCAAGTTCGATCCCCGGTGCCAGCGCAACTTTTTTCCAACTCGAACATTTTCTTCTCGAGTTAGATGTGCAGGTTCTTTCTACCGTACTCACATTTTTGAATGGGATTTCAACGTGTTTAAAAACATAGGGCGAGAATTCGAAATCCGCCGTATTATCCTGCCCAAAAACATGTGAAAAAATAGCGAAAAATATGAAAATACACAGTTTCATCATCTTAGAAAAGAGATAAATGGGAAAATTATAACTGAAAATGAAAATACCGCAAAAATATGAAAGTTACACCGCAAAAACCTGTTCATTCTCAAGGTGAAACTATTTTTTTTGCATTATTTTTATACATTTTTGAATCTTCTCCAAAAAAAAAAAATAAAAAAAATACAAAAATTCAAACCACGCGCGCAACGTCAACGTGGAGTCTCGTTGTTTTTTCGCATTTTTTCTTTTTTTTTCAAGAAAAATGGAAAATTTTCATGGAAAAAACAATTTTCTGGGGATAAAAAATTCAGAAAAAAAATAAAATTCAAAAACCACGCGTGCAACGTCAACGCGGAGTCTCGTTGTTTTATTTTTTTCTTTTTTTTTTGGGGAAAATGGAAATTTTCAAGGAAAAAACAATTTTCTGAGGATAAAAAAAATTTAGAGAAAAAAGAAATAAAATTCAAACCGCGCGCGCAACGTCAACGCGGAGTCTCGTTGTTTTATTTTTTCGTTTTTTCTCTTTTTTTCAAAAAAAAAATGGACATTTGCATGGAAAAAACAATTTTCTGGGGATGAAAAATTGAAAAATAAAATAAAATTCAAACCACACGCGCAACGTCAACGCGGAGTCTCGTTGGTATATTTTTATTTTCTTGCAATTTTCGTCTTTTTTTTTGCGGGAAAGGGGAAATTTGCATGGAAAAAACAATTTTCTGGGGACGCGTGCAACGTCAACGCGGAGTCTAGTTGTTTTCTTTTTTTTAATTTTTTTTGAAAAAAAAAACAATTTTTGAAGAAGTATAAACACAAAAATCAAAAAATGGAAAATTGATCCCTGAAAAATATGATATTTACAATTCAAGCTGATTGTGTGTTTTTCTGGCCAATTTATAAATACAATACTTGTTTTCAAGAATTCTTCCTTTTCTATTTATTCATAAGAAAATAACACAAAAAAATCTCATTTATCATTGAAAAATGCCAACAAATTCATCATCTAACATGAGCAATCTTTTATCAGTTCCTCAAAGTACCTTCGAAGTTTATTGTATATTTCTCTACCTTTTCATACTCTACACTTTAATTCGAACAAAGATTGTGCACTTGAAAAAACCGTTTTTCAAAATTTTCATTTCCACTGGATTTATGGATATTTTATCATTGATTTCGAATATGTATATGAGATTGAGTCAACAATTTAGACTGGGACCTGAACAACGAAAAGAATATATGTGGGCGAATTATTTGTCGGGAGTTGCGCTAACTGGACATATTTTGGGGAATATTTTGTTGCAATGTAATCGATTTACTTCGGTGGTTTATCCCAGTAAACATCTTGATGTTAGTTTGGGAAAAATTGGCAAAAATTTTGAAAAAAATACTTTTTTTCGCAAAAAAAAAAAAAAATTGAAAAAATGAAAATTTTTGGAAAAATTTTTGCAAATTTTTTCTCAAAAAATCCTAATTTTAAAATAATATTTTTTTCTCAAAAAATGAAAATTTCATTTTGAAATTTTTTTTTGAAAATCCTAATTTTGAGAAAAAATAATGAAAATTTTTGAAAAAAAAATTTTGAAAAAAAATATTTTTCAAAAAATAAAAAATGAAATATTTTGAAAAATTAAAATTTTGGAAAAAATTTTTCGAAAAAATGAAAATTTTTGAAAAAACTTTGAAAACAATTTTTTACAAAAAGATTTTTGAAAATACAAATTTTTAGAAAAATTTTGAAAAAATAATATTTTTTTCCGAGAAAATGAAAATTTTGAAAAAAAAATTTTTGAAAAAATTTTTGGAAAAAAAAATTTTGGAAAATAAAATTTTGAAAAAAAATTTTCCCGAAAAAAATTTGTTTTAATATTCTTGGAAAAAATTTTGGCAAATTTTTTTTCTCAAAAAAAATTAGATCCTAATTTTGAAAAATATTTTTTTTTCCGAAAAAATGAAAAATTTGGAAAAAATTTTCCGAAAAAAAAAGAAAATTTGTGGAAAAAATCCTAATTTTGAAAAAAAAAATTAAAAATTTGCGAAAAATACTTTTTTTTTTTTTTCTCGAAAAAAAACACTTTTCCTCAAAAAAAATCCCAAATTTCCTAGAATGCAAAAAAAATCCTGCTAAATCTGAGGCGCGCATTTTATATCCAACATTTTCGCCTGCAAAAATACACACCCGCATGGCCGAGTGGTCTGCACGCCTGCCGAGCACCGCTTTTGCATCCCCCGGGTTCGACCCCCACCCGTCGCACAACTTTTTTTTATTTTTTATTTTCATTTTTTTCAGTACTGGTCCTCTCGCTCCCTATTCCTCGCCATTTTCCTCCAATATTTCATCGCAATAACAACCAAACTTTTCTACTTCAACTATCCAATTCCATATATTTGGATCGATAATCAATGGACTCTTGGAAGTCTGCCAACTGAAATTGATATCATTGCGAAATTAATCAATATAACAATCAGCACAATTTATGCGGTTATCGGAATTGTTTTTAATTTTTTTATTATTCGGAGGCTTTCGAAAATTACTCATGGTAATAATTTGAGTGTGAATACACATGAGAAGGTATTTTCAGGGCTTTAATTAATTAAAATTTTAATTAAATTAAAATTTAAAATCTTTAGGGTCTCGTGTTCTACTCAATAACCCTATTCATTGTTGCAATGCTAATGTCAACTCAACAAATTATTCGAATGTTTGTGCAAATTTTCGCGCCAAAAAACGACATTCTTCTCGGCAAAGTCGCCGCACAGTTTTTCTGGATTAATTATCTTCTCACCTGCCTTCCCCTTTTCTCGATATTGATTTTTTCGCAAGAAGTTCGATTCAATATTTTTCAGACTTGTGCTGGACGAAAATCCAGAGATACTGTGACAAGTCTACCGACTTCGGGGAAATAAATGAATTCATTATGTATGTGTTGAGAAAGTTAGAGAGCATAGGATGTGGAGAGAGTGCAGAGAAACCAGACAATAAGAGATGACGAGAAAGTTAGAGACGTGGAGGGCGATACACGCTAGAGAGCATAGGATTTGCAGAGAAGCTAGACGATTAGGAGAAGGTTAGAGACGCAGAGAAACTAGACGGCAGGGCAGTAGGAGAAAGTTAGAGACGTAGAGGGCGATACACGCTAGAGAGCATAGGATTTGGAGAGAGTGCAGAGAAACCAGACAACTAGAGATGACGAGAAAGTTAGAGACTCAGAGGGATTTACACTAGAGAGCATAGGATTTGGAGAGAAGCTAGACGATTAGGAGAAGGTTAGAGACGCAGAGAAACTAGACGGCTAGACAGTAGGAGAAGGTTAGAGACGTAGAGGGCGATAAGCTAGAGAGCATAGGATTTGGAGAGAGTGCAGAGAAACCAGACAACTAGAGATGACGAGAAAGTTAGAGACTCAGAGGGATTTACACTAGAGAGCATAGGATTTGGAGAGAAGCTAGACGATTAGGAGAAGGTTAGAGACGCAGAGAAACTAGACGGCTAGACAGTAGGAGAAGGTTAGAGACGTAGAGGGCGATAAGCTAGAGAGCATAGGATTTGGAGAGATTGGAGAGAAGCTAGAGAGTAGGAGAAGGTTAGAGACGCAGAGAAACTAGACGACTACACAGTAGAAGAAGGTTAGAGACGCATAGAAACACGAGAGAAGCTAGACAGCTAGATATTACAATAAAGTTAGAGACGCAGAGAAACTAGAGAGCATAGGGAAGTTAGAGAGCACAGAGAGCTGATTTATTTATTTTTGTTTTTTTTTCCACAAAAAAAATTATTTAAACGTGTTCCAAATGTGTTGTCATTTTTTTTTTTTTTTTCGAAAATCTCAAAAAATTTCCCGTCATTTCCTAGATTCCAATTTGGACTAAAATACATAATGGACAAATCGCCGAAGAAAAAGTCATCGATTTTTAGAAAGAGAATCATTCCGACGTTGCGCAAAAAGGCGAGCGTTAATAAGAGTTTTGATGAGACGTGAGTTTCCTGGGTAAAAATAATCAAATCGGGCTTCTAGGCCCACTTATATCCAGTTTTTTTGGGCTTTTGGGCCATCCAGACTCGTATAGCGGTTTAGGCCATCAGACGTTTTTGGTGAAATATGAGCAATCCTTAACCTTAAGATGAGCAACATGATATTAAACATCTAATCTATTTCATTAGCACAGTATTTCAGAGAATTCAGAACATTAACCTGAGCAATCATTCAGAAATTCTTACAGTAAGATTCCTAGGGTCTAATCTGAGCAATCTCTCAAAATTCATAGGGAGGTTTCTAGGCTCTAATATGAGCAATCCTTTACAAAGCCTCACAATAGGATTCCTAGGCTCTAATCTGAGCAATCTTTCAAAGTTCATAGTGAGACTCCTGGCCTTTAACCTGAGCAATCTTCTAAAAATTTCTACAGTAAGATTCCTAGACTCTAATCTGAGCAATCATGAATTGTTACAGTAAGATTCAGAGGCTCTAATCTGAGCAATTTTCTAAGCTATATTACAATTAGATTCCCGATCTATAACCTGAGCAATATTTCGAAATTTGTAGTGGGATATCTGGTCTTTAACCTGAGCAATCTTCTACAAATTTCTACAGTAAGATTCCTGGGCTCTAACATGAGCAATCCACAAAATTTTTGCAGTGATACAAATTCCAAAGAGCTCAACAAAAAGTCTCGAAACGCCACCAAAAAATCAAAAGAGCCACCAGCATTATCATCAGCTTCACCGCCGCCAATCGAAACAAAATCGAAATCGAATGTTCCAAAAGTTTTGAGCGCAAAAGGTGGTAGATCAAATGTTTCGCCGGAGAAAACGACGATGGTAAGCGGTTTTGGCGCGAAAAAAATCGGGTAGATCAAATAATTCCGATTATATGTTTGATCTGCAGGTCCTTGGGGTACTGTAGATCAAATAATTCCCATTTGATGTTTGATCTGCAGGTCCTTGGGGTACTGTAGATCAAAAAAAGTTTTTGTTTGATCTGCAGGTCCTTGGGGTACTGTAGATCAAAAAAGGTGTTGTTTGATCTGCAGGTTCTTGGGGTACTGTAGATCAAAAAAAGTTTTTGTTTGATCTGCAGGTCCTTGGGGTACTGTAGATCAAAAAATCATTTGATATTGATCTGCAGGTCCATGGGGTACTGTAGATAAAATCTCCAAATTCTGAATGTTTGATCTGCAGGTCCATTTTAGCGCGAAATACTGAGATTTTCAAAAATTTTTGACCCGAAAACTTGAATTTTTGAAATTTCGATTTTTGGCCCTCGGAAAAATTTGATTTGTAGATCAACCAATGCGCGAAATTATGAATTTTCAAAAAATTTTTGAAATTTCGATTTTTGGCGAAAAAATTTGAATTTTAAAAATGTTTGACCCGAAAACTTGAATTTTCAAAAATTCCGAATTTTTGGCGGAAAAATTTTGAATTTCAAAAATTTTAGCGCGAAATTATGAATTTTCAAAAATTTCGAATTTTGGCGAAAAAATTTGAATTTTAAAAAAATTTTAGCGCGAAATTATGAATTTTCAAAAATTTTTAAATTTCGAATTTTGGCGGAAAAATTTGAATTTTAAAAATTTTAGCGCCAAATTATGAATTTTCAAAAATTTCGAATTTTGGCGGAAAAATTTGAATTTCAAAAATTTCAGCGCGAAATTATGAATTTTCAAAAATTCAGATTTTTGACAGAAAAATTTGAATTTTAAAAATTTTAGCGCGAAATTATGAATTTTCAAAAATTTCGATTTTTGGCGAAAAAATTTGAATTTCACAAATTTTAGCGCGAAATTAAGAACTTTCAAAAATTTCGAATTTTAGCGGAAAAATTTGAATTTCAAAAATTTCAGACCGAAGTTTCAACAATCCGTGCAAATGTCGTTCCACCAATGTGTATTTTCGAAAAAGAAATCACGCAAGAATACGACCCAGTCGAAGATTTCGCCCAAAATCAAGCGAATTCCAAGAAAATCAAATGGGTTGGCGATGACGTGGCACGACAATTTGTCGAAAATCTACCAAATGAGCAGACAATTTCACAAGAATATTATTTTCTCGAATCATTTGAGATCAAAAAATCATGTGATGCATTTCAAAATAATATGGAAAGAAATCGCTCGAATAAGCATATTGTTTTGGATGAAAATCGTGTGATTCTAGATCGACCCGGCTCGGAAAATTTGAACTATATCAATGCGAGCAGGATAAATGTTCCCGGATTTTGCCAACAAATTATTTGTGGCGCAACTTCCGAAATTAGAAAACGAAAGTTTTGTGGAGGATTTCTGGTACATGGTGCATCAAGAACAAATAAATATTATATATTTACTATGTTCGGAAGAACTAACTGGCCCTCAAGTTCCCACAAAATTATTCAAAGATGGTGCGCAAGAATATCAATATGTTGGAAAAATGTTTATCCATACTCGAAAATCTGAAACCCTCCATGATCTGAAAATCAATACAATCGAAGTGTTGCCTGAAGGAATGTCGGATGCTGTGAGTGATTTGTCAAGTTCATCAATTACAATCGTGGAAACCTGGTAAAGAACCCAAGAAAATTCGTCTAGTCATCAAAATGATTCATGAATTCCTAAATGAGCGGGATGTTCACAATTCGACAGTTTGTGTTGTCAGCACTTTTGGTTCAGGAAGAGCTTGTTGCTTTTTGGCGGCGTTGATTGCGATTGCTCAGATTAATCGAGGAATTCTGCCGAAGATTGCGGAAATTTTCAAAAGTATCAAATTGCAAAGACCTGGGGCTACGGAGAATATTATGTCGTATTTGACGACTTATTTAATTGTGCTCGATTATATCAAGGTAATTTTGAAAAAGAGCACAAAAATGAAAAATTCATGGAAAATTTCAGCGTAAACTTGGTGACAAAGATATTAATTCGAAAATTGTGGATGGTATTAAGAGTATTCGGAATATTATGACGAAAATGCACGAAGGAGCACATCATCATCATTGAGAAAATTGGGATGAAAAATAAAAAAAATTAAAAGAAAAAAATTATATACCGTAGTTGTTTCGTCGCGACGAGACCCTGTGTGTGTTTCGGCTGTTGCGTCTTTCAAAAACTACGGTGTTTTTTTGTTTTTTTCCGGATTTTCGATGTTTTTGCATGAAAAATCGATAAATGGAGATAGCCTAACCCTGTTTGAAGCAAGAAACACTATGAAAAGTGTTTTAGTGAGGAAAAACCGATTTTTCGGTTGAAAATTACGAAAATCGAGCTATTCCTGATTCAAAACGAGGAATTCAACTTGAAAAAAGTGAATTAGAACTAATTTTGCTCGATTTTCGTAATTTTCAACCGAAAAATACGGTTTTTCCTCAAGAAAACACTTGAAAATCGATTTTTTATAGTGTTTTTTGCTTTCTATTATTCAATTTCTCATCAATCTAGTTGATTTCTTCCTTTTTTCCATGCAAAAACATCAAAAACCTCGAAAATCCGGAAAAAAACAAAAAAAAACCGTAGTTTTTGAAAGGCGCAACAAAAATTATATACCGTACTTCTCTCGTCGCGACGAGACCCTGTGTGTGTTTCGGCTGTTGCGCCTTTCGAAAACTACGGTTTTTTTTTGGTTTTTTTTCGGGTTTTTCGAGGTTTTTGCATGAAAAATCGATAAATGGAGTTAGCCTAACTCTGTTAAAAGCAAGAAACACTAGAAAAAAGTGTTTTATTGAGGAAAAACCTATTTTTCGGTTGAAAATTATGAAAATTGAGCTATTTTCGTGATTTTCAACCGAAAAATACGGTTTTTCCTCAAGAAAACACTGGAAAATCGGTTTTTAAAGTGTTTCTTGCTTGAAACATGGTTAAACCATCTTCATTTATCGATTTTTCATGCAGAAACCTCGAAAAACCCGAAAAAAACAAAAAAAAAACCGTAGTTTTTGAAAGGCGCAACAGCTGAAACACACACAGGGTCTCGTCGCGAAACAACTACGGTATACAATTTTTTTCAAAAAAATATTTTTCTCGCTTCTATTTTCTACAGAATTTTTTATCGATTTTTGTCATTTTCTTCGAAATCCCTCCCAAAAAACTCACAAATCGCTTCTATTTCTCAAAACATCGTCGAAAATTCGAAAAATCCGATTTTTTGCTTCAAATTTAACCAATAATCGTTTTCTTCACTTTCAAAATCATTTTTAACGCTGAAAACTCGAAAATTTCAATGTTTCTCTCGAAAAAACCCACATTTCTTCAATAATCCTCGGATTTCCCGTTGAAATCGATAATTCGAGCCTTGTAGAACATCTGAAAATTCAATTTTTCACCGAAATCCACTGATTTTCCCCCGAAAACCCGAAAACCCAGCGAAAAATGAAAATATTCTCGTGTTGCGCTAAACAGCGGACAAGCCGCGGAGTGTCGTTGTAAAAAACGCCAAACAATTCCTTTTTTTTTGTTTTTCTCGTGCAAAAAATCGATTTTTCTCTCGTAATTTGTGTTTTTTCAATATTTTTCAACATTTCAGCTGAAATTTTCGGAACTCGTCAAAATAAATCATCATTTGATCGCAATTTTTCTCTTTTTCTCCAGTTTCTCTCCAATAAGAAAAAAAGTACCTTCAGAATGCCGTGTGTTCCGCCTCCATTTTCATTTTTTGTCTGTTCTTCTCCCTCTTTTGTGCTCGCCCCCGAGATATATTATATCTTTCTTTCTTGCTTCTTTTTCTGCTCCCCGAGCCTGCCATTCTTTTGGCTCCCGCTCCTGTTTGTGAGCACCAGATTTCTCTACTTCTCTCTCTCTCTCTCTCTTCCGCGGTTTTCTCACTTTTCATCCCTTTGTGTGTGTGTAGTTTTTCGAGAGGATATATGATGATTGCTGTTTGAAAATTTTCGAAAAATAAAAAAATAAAAAGCGCGCGCACCCGGCATCGAACCCTTGACCCCGCGACGCAAAATCCAGCGCCCTACCACTGCGCCACACACATGTTTCTCAGAGACGCATTAAATTGCATATTTATTTACGTTGCAAAAAAAAACACTATTGATCGCGCCACCTAAAAATTATTACACCATTTTTTCACCCAAACAGACAGACACCCCATTTTTTCTTTTGTTTTTGCTCTTATAAATAAAATCGAGCGAAAATCTCATAAAAAGTGATAGTTTTCTTCTTCTTTTTCGTAAAGACATCTGGATTTTTTCTCATTTTCGTTTCGTTTTTTTTTCGCAAAAATTCCCGAGTTCAGTGAACATTTTTTTTCGACCCGACACCAAAAGAATCATAATACAAGCGGCGTGGCACCAACTTTTGGCATTGATCGAAAATGGTTGGCGCGCCACGCTTCACCCAGAAGCCGTCCATTCAACAAACGCCTACGGTAGGTCTCAAATTTTTCAGAATTTTTTTTCCAAAAAAATTGGGTAGTTCTCATTGATTTTCAGCCAAAAAACCTGAAATTTAAGAAAAATTTGGAAAAAAAAATGTTTTTTCTCGAAAAAAATTTAAACGCGCTCTATTGCACTTTTTCTGAAAAATCGAATTTTTCAAATTTTTTCTAGAAAATTAAATTTTTCAAATTTTTTCTAGAAAATTAAATTTTTCAAATTTTTGTTAAAATTCACAGAAATTCGAAATTTTCAAATGCGCCCCATTGCGAATTTTTCAAATAATGTTTTTTGATGTGTGTGTGTGGTGTAGTTTTTTTTTGTACAAAATCAACAGTGTTTATCTTGCAATTGAGCAAATTTGTGTGTTTTGAAGTTTGATTTTGTGATTTTCAAGATTTCGAAACTTTACGGGGGTTTGGAGAACTTAAAAATCTGAAATTCAAAATTTTCTGAAATTTAAGAAATTCTGAAAATGTGCAATTTTTAACTAAAAATATTTTCAAATTAAAATTTTCAATCAAAAATGTATGCAAATTTCAAGTTCTTGAAAAATTTGTCTGAAAATCAGAATTCTGAAATTATTAAGTTATTCTGAAAATGTTTCACTAACTAAATCCAACACAATTCATGTTAGCCTAACTCCCGAAAATTCAAAAAAAAAATTTTCAAAATCTGAAAATCAGAATTCTGAAAGTTTTTTAAAAAATTTGTGATTTGGACAAAAATTAGATTTTCAAATTTCTGTCCAAATCAAGATTCTGAAAAAATCTAAAATTTCTAATTAAAATCACCAAGAGTTAGCCTAACTCCTGAAAATTAGGATTTTCTAATTTTTGTCCAAATCAAGATTCTGAAAAAATCTATATTTTCAATTAAAACTATGTTAGCTTAACTCCCAAAATAATTGTTTTTTTCAAATTTTTGTCCAAATCAAGATTCTGAAAAAAATAAATTTTCTAACTAAAATCACCAAGAGTTAGCTTAACTCTCAAAATTAGGATTTTCTAATTTTTGTCCAAATCAAGATTCTGAAAAAAAAATTAAATTTTCTAATTAAAATCCCTATGTTAGCCTAACTCCCAAAATAATTATTTTTTTGCTAATTTTTGTCCAAAATCAATCCAGTTTGTGTCCAATTTTTTTTTGCTCAAACGTATTTCCTCCTTCCTGTCCTCCTGTCCTGTCCTCCTGTGTATAATAATATCCTGCCTAAGATGAGAGAGAGAGAGAGGGAATGTGTTTGTGTGGGCGACTTGAAACAACTGATCATATAGACTAAAATGTCTGGCCGCACTCTCCTCATCTCACACACTATTTCGCATTTTCGCGTTTTTGTTTTTGCATGTATTACGACAATGGCAGAACGCGAAGAAAAACGAAGAAAAGCGAAGAAAAAAGTGAAAATGAGGAGAGAAGAGATAGCGAATGTGTGTGTTTTGTAGGAGCAGATCGCAAAAAAATGCTGAAAATTTTGAACTCTTGAAGGATATACAGGGGGAACAAGGGGCTTTAAATATCACTCAAGGCTTCTGAGGGCTTCTGAAGGCTTCTGGAGGCTTCTGGGGGTTCTGAAGGCTTCTGGGGGCTTCTGAGGGCTTCTTGGGGCTTCTGAAGGCTTCTGGGGGCTTCTGGGGGCTTCTGAAGGCTTCTGGGGGCTTCTGAAGGCTTCTGAAGGCTTCTGAAGGCTTCTGGGGGCTTCTGAAGGCTTCTGAAGGCTTCTGGGGTCTTCTGGGGGCTTCTGAAGGCTTCTGAGGGCTTCTGAAGGCTTCTGGGGGCTTCTGAAGGCTTCTGGGGGCTTCTGAAGGCTTCTGAGGGCTTCTGAAGGCTTCTGGGGGCTTCTGAGAACTTCTGAATGCTTCTGGGGGCTTCTGGGGGCTTCTGGGGGCTTCTGAAGGCATCTAGAGGCTTCTGGGGGCTTCTGAAGGCGGCTGGGGGCTTCTGAAGGCTTCTAGATGCCTTCTGAAGGCTCCAGAAGGCTCCAGAAGTCTTCTGAAGGCTTCTGAAGTCTCCAGGGGGCTTCTGAATGGCCTCTAGAGAGCTTCTGAAGGCTTCTGAGGGCTTCTGGGGGCTTCTGAAAGTTTCTGGGGGCTTCTGAAGGCTTCTGGGGGCTTCTGAAGGCTTCTGGAGGCTTTTGAAGGTTTCTGGGGGCTTCTGAAGGCTCCAGAAGCCTCTAGATGCCTTCTGAAGTCTCCTGAAGGCTCTAGAGAGCTCCAGAAGTCTCCAGATGCCTTCTAGATGCTTTTAGAAGCCTATAGATGTCTTCTGAAGTCTCCAGAAGCGTCCAGAAGTCTTCTAGATTCATCAAAATCTTGATTTTCAGGGCGATTTGTTGATGGAATGTAATTTGGAAGCGGATCCACAGCCGACAATCGCCTGGCAACATTCGGGAAATTTATTAGAACCAAGTTCGAGAGTTGTTCAAACGCTCACACCACTTGGAAATAGTTTATTCAAAGCGACACTTGTTATTAAGGTAGAGTTTGCTGGATTAAAGGAACATACCGTATATCACCTGCGTATCTAACGGGGTGAAGGTTAGAGACGCAGAGGGAGATGAGAAACCAGACAGCTAGAGACGCAGAGGGAAATACACTCGCTCCGCTCGACGCCGCTTACGCGGAATTTTCCGGGGCGCTTCGCGCAAGATAGCTAGAAAATTAGAGACGCAGAGAAACCAGACGGCTAGAGAGTATGAGAAGGTTAGAGACGCAGAGAAACTAGAGAGAGGTAATTTTAAAAATTCATAATTTCGCCCGCAAAAATTCGAAATTTCAAAAATTTAAGTTTTCTGGTGAAAATTTTTGAAAATTTCTAACTTCGTGCTGAACTTGTTTTTTTAATTCAGATTTTAGCGCGAAAAATTTGAAATTTCAAAAATTTTTGAAAATTTCTAATTTCGCGCTTAAATTTTCAAATTCAAATTTTTCCGCCAAAAAATCGAAATTTCAAAAGTTGTTTGGATTAGAATTTGGAGAGAGTGCAGAGAAACTGGACATCTAGATAGCTAGAGTGAAATGTTAGAGACGCAGAGAAGCTAGACATACAGATTGCTAGAGTGAAATGATAGAGACGCAGAGAGATTAGAGAGCATAGAGAAGTGAGAGAAGCTAGACAGCTAGATACTACTATCAAGTTAGAGACGCAGAGAGATTAGAGAGCATAGGAACAGGAGAGAAGCTAGACAGCTAGATATTACAAAAAAAGTTAGAGACGCAGAGAGATTAGAGAGCATAGGAACAGGAGAGAAGCTAGACAGCTAGATATTACAAAAAAAGTTAGAGACGCAGAGAAACTAGAGAGCATAGGAACAGGAGAGAAGCTAGACAGCTAGATATTACAAAAAAAGTTAGAGACGCAGAGAAACTAGAGAGCATAGAGAAGTGAGAGAGTGCAGAGAGTTATCTGTACAAAACCTGCGTATCTAACTAAAAAATTTTCTGAAAAAAAATATTTTTTTTTTCAATTTTGAAGCTCTGAGCTCGAGCACAGAGCTAAGAGCCCTAAATTTTTCCCAAAATTCAAAATTTTCTTCCCAGGAACCAAACGCTGGCGATGGCGGTGCCTACAAATGCACAGCCAAAAATCAATTAGGCGAATCGAATGCGAATATAAATTTGAATTTTGCCGGTGCCGGAGGCGATGAGCAAAAAAGTAAAGGACCAACATTTGTTGGAAAACCCCGAATTATTCCAAAAGATGGTGGAGCATTGATTGTTATGGAATGTAAAGTGAAAAGTTCGTCGACACCCGTAGCGAAGTGAGTTGGGGGCATTTTTTTTTTGGTCTTGAGGTTCTAGGAGGTCCTAAAAAATTCGGCTTAATTTTTAAAAGATTCTTAAAGCCCCTAAGAGGCTTCTGAAGGTGTCTGAAACCATCTTAAAATTCCCAGAAGTTTCCAGAAGCCTCCAGAAGCCTCCAGAATCTTCTAGGGCGCTCAAAACGTCTCTGGAGGCTCCTGAAGCGTTCTGAAAGTCCTCCAGAAAGTCTTCAGAAGTCTCCAAAAGTCTCTGAAGTCTTCTGAAGCGTTGTGAAGGGTTCCAGAATCCTCCAGAGAGATTCCGAAGCTTCCAAAGGTCCCCAGAAACTTTCAGAGAGCACTCAAATGCCTTCTGAAGGTCTCCAGAAGTCTCCAGAATCCTATAGAATCTTCTAGAGCGCTCAAAACGTCACTGGAGGCTTCTGAAGCGTTCTGAAAGTCTTCAGAAGTCTTCAGAAGGCTCCAAAGGGCGCCAAAAGTGCCCGGAAGCTTCCGAAGGTCTCCAGAAACCTTCAGAAATTTCCAGAAGTCTCCAAAGGGTTTCAGAAGCTTTCAGAAGCTTTCAGAATGCTTCGGAAGTCTTCAGAAGCCTCCAGAGATCTTCAGAAGCCTTCAGAAGGCTCCAGAAGCCTCTAGAAGTCTCCAGACGTATCTGAAGGCTTCTGAATCCTCCAGAGGGCTCAAAACGTTCCTGAAGGCTTTTAAAGGCTTCAGAAGTCTTCCGAAATTTTCCAGAAGCACTCAAATGCCTTCTGAAAGTCCCCAGAAGCCTCCAGAATCCTCTAGAATCTTCTAGAGCGCTCAAAACGTCCCTGGAGGCTTCTGAAAGTTTTCTGAAGTCTCCAGAAGCCTTCAAAGGTCCCCGAAGACTTCTGAAGCGTTTTGAAAATCTTCAGAAATTTCCAGAAGTCTCCAAAGGGTTTCAGAAGCTTTCAGAAACTTTCAGAATGCTTCGGAAGTCTTCTGAAGCCTCTAGAATCCTCCAGAGGCCTCCAGAATCCTCCAGAATGTTCTAGAGTGCTCAAAACGTTCATGGAGGCTTCTGAATCCCCCAGAGAGCTTCAGAAGTCTCCAGACGTATCTGAAGGCTTCTGAAACCTTCAGAAACCCTTCAGAAGTCTTCAGAAATCTTCAAAAGCTCATCGGAGAGCTTCAGAAGCCTTCAGAAAGCTCTAATGGTCCCTGGAAGCTTCTGAAGCATTCTGAAAGCTCCGAAGGTCCCCGAAGGCTTCTGAAATTTTCTGAAAGTTTCCAGAAGTCTCCAGAAGTCTCCAGAAGTCTTCAGAAGCTCTCAAATGCCTTCTGAAGCCTCCAAAGGACTCAAAAAGTCCCCTGGAGGCTTCTGAAGCGTTCTGAAAGTCCCTAGAAACCTCCAGGAGCCTCCAGAAGTCTCTGAAAGCTTCTGAAGGTCCCCAAAGCTTCTAGAGATCTTCAGATTCGTCTAGAAGTCTCTGAAAGCTCCCCCTCTAAGCTTCTAGAGCTCCCCAGAGACCTCCAGAAGCCTCCGAAGATTCCCCCCCCCCCAAAAAATCAATATATTTTCAGATGGATGAAGGATGGTTCGCCTCTGACAATGGGCGGCCTCTACCACGCAATCTTCAGCGATCTCGGCGATCAAACATATTTATGTCAACTCGAAATTCGTGGTCCCTCATCTTCCGACGCCGGACAATATCGATGTAATATTCGAAATGATCAAGGTGAAACCAACGCGAATCTGGCATTGAATTTTGAAGAACCTGATCCCGTTGAACAACCACCGAAACCCGAAAGAAAACGATCGACAGCTTCACCGCGACCTTCTTCAAGAGGACCCGGTGATAGACCGTCGTCGCCGAAAAAAGCGATGAAATCGAGAGAGGGAACACCGAAGAGAAGTTTGAAGCCGAGAGAAGGTTCGCCTGGCAAAAAATTGAGGTTTGATTTGAATTTTGGGAGGTTTTTGCTGAACTTTTGAATCTGGATTTTGAGATTTTTGGCGCCGCGAACTTTTCAAAATTCAAAATTTTCATTTTTCGCGCCATGAAATTTACAGTAATCCTATTTCTTCTCTGACGCGCGAAAATTTCAAAATTCAAAATTTTCATTTTTGGCGCCATGAAATTTACAGTAATCCTATTTCTTCTCTGACGCGCGAACTTTTCAAAATTCAAATATTTCATTTTTGGCGCCATGAAATCTACAGTAATCCTATTTCTTCTCTGACGCGCGAACTTTTCAAAATTCAAACATTTCATTTTTGGCGCCATAAAATCTACAGTAATCCTAGAAGAACTCTGACGCGCGAACTTTTCAAAATTCAAATATTTTCGGTTTTGGCGCCATTAAATCTACAGTAATCCTATTTCTTCTCTGACGCGCGAACTTTTCAAAATTCAAATATTTCATTTTTGGCGCCATAAAATCTACAGTAATCCTATTTCTTCTCTGACGAACTTTTCAAAATTCAAATATTTCATTTTTGGCGCCATGAAATCTACAGTAATCCTATTTCTTCTCTGACGCGCGAACTTTTCAAAATTCAAATATTTCATTTTTGGCGCCATAAAATCTACAGTAATCCTATTTCTTCTCTGACGCGCGAACTTTTCAAAATTCAAATATTTCATTTTTGGCGCCATGAAATCTACAGTAATCCTATTTCTTCTCTGACGCGCGAACTTTTCAAAATTCAAATATTTCATTTTTCGCGCCATGAAATCTACAGTAATCCTAGAAGAACTCTGACGCGCGAACTTTTCAAAATTCAAAAATTTTCGATTTTCGCGCCATGAAATTTACTTACAGTAATCCTATTTCTTCTCTGACGCGCGAAAATTTCAAAATTCAAAATTTTCATTTTTCGCGCCATGAAATTTACAGTACTCCTATAAGAACTTGGCGCGAACTTTTCGAAAACTTTGAAAATTCAAATATTTCATTCTTGGCGCCATGAAATCTACAGTAATCCTATTTTTTTTTACTTTGAATCTGTGATTTTTGAATTTTTGAAATTTAAAATCTATAGAATATTTTCTGTAGATCATTTTTTTGATCTACAGTATCCCTGGGATTTACAGTAACCCAAGAAATTCCACGTTTTTTTTGGCGCCAGAAGAACTTGGCGCGAACTTTTGAAAATTCAAAAATGTTTGATTTTTGCCGCCAAGAAATTCACCTACAGTAATCCTATTTCTTCTTTGACGCGCGCGAAAATTTTAAAATTCAAATTTTTCATTTTTTTTTGGGGGTACTGTATTTTCTACATTCTTGTTCCGAAAAAAAGGGCTGGGTTACTGTAGAAGCAGTTCCAAAAATTTTGTAGATCACAAAAATGGTCCTGAATTCTACAGTACCCCCGGGAACTACAGTAACCCAAGAAATTCCACAATTTTTGAGACCAAACAAGCCTAGGTTACTGTAGAAAAGGCCCAGCCATGTTTGGTGTCAAAAAACGTGGAATTTTCCGCAGTCTACAGTAACCCCAGATCCAAATTCTTCTAGATCTCGCACCTCAACACCAGTCGCCGATGAAATCTCACAATCCGAATCACAATCTCGTCGCTCATCTCGCGCTGAAAACAAAATCGACACCACCGACACCACCACAACACGAATAACAAACGAAAACCCGACGGTCTTCCACCGCCGGGCGCCGACGAGAAGAAACTTCGAGCCGGAAGTCCCAGGAAGAGTGTGTCACCAACACCATCCAGAAAATCATCGGCAGCTGGAGCTGGATCTGGAGCTGCGCCAGGCTCCGAGAAATTCACACGACCTCCGATTGTTATGGAAGCCAGCCGGTCCCAGACTGGAAAGATCGGAAGTTCTGTGATTCTTGAAGTTCAGTGGCAATGTCATTCATCGACTGTTATTGAGTGGTATAAGTGAGTGGTTAAAGGGACATACCGTATACCACCTGCGTATCTAACTTGAGAGTTAGATGTGCAGGTTGCTACAGTACTATGGGGTTTCCGAAAAAAAAGATAATTTTTCTTAGATGTGCAGGTGGCTCTACCGTACTTTCTGCCTGTCCAAAAACACACTGGGTTACCGTACCACCTGCGTATCTAACTCCTTTTTCTTCTCGAGTTAGATGTGCAGGTGGTGGCTACCGTACTCCTTGCTAGGTTGTTTTTGCCTGTCCAAAAACACACCGGGCTACCGTACCACCTGCGTATCTAACTCTTTTTCTTCTCGAGTTAGATGTGCAGGTGGTGGCTACCGTACTCCTTGCTAGGTTGTTTTTGCCTGTCCAAAAACACACCGGGCTACCGTACCACCTGCGTATCTAACTCTTTTTCTCCTCGAGTTAGATGTGCAGGTGATTGCTACCGTACTCATTGCGGGGTTGTTTTTGGACAGCAAAATTTGACTACCGTACCACCTGCGTATCTAACTCGTTTTCTTCTCGAGTTAGATGTGCAGGTGGTTCTTCTGAATACTGTAGCTACTGGAGATTAAAGGAACATACAGTATACCACCTGCATATCTAACTCCTTTTCTCCTCGAGTTAGATGTGCAGGTGGTTGCTACCGTACTTAGAGGTTTCTGGAGGAGAAAAAAATGATTTTTTTTTCAGAGATGGAACTTTGGTGCGAAACTCATCCGAATACTCACAAACCTTCAACGGTTCAATCGCTCGATTATCTGTCAAAAATTTGAGCGAAGACAAAACCGGCCTCTACAAATGCCACGCGAAATGCGATTATGGAGAAGGCCAGAGTAGTGCCATGGTGAAATTAGAGCAAAGCGGTGAGTTGCCTCGCGTCGTCTAGCTTGTCTTAAACATTTTCCGCTGCTTTCCCTAGTGGCCGGATGGTCTAGAGGTATGATTCTCGCTTCGGGTGCGAGAGGTCCCGGGTTCGATTCCCGGTTCGGCCCAAACTTTTTTTTTTTTTTTTTTTTTTTTGAAATTTTAATTTTAATTTTTAAAAAATTTCCAGACGTCGAAGAAGAATTGAAACAACACCGCAAAGACATCGAAGAGGAATATAATCAAAAAGACGAGAGTTCTTCTTTGAAGGCGAAGAAGAAGGTGACGCGTCGCAGTAAGAGCAAGAGCAAAAGTCCGGCTCCGCCGCCAGCCGCCGAGCCAAAACGAAACGCACAAGATGCAGATGAGGTTAGTCGCATCGTTTTTTTCGAGTTAGCCTAAGTTAAGTGGGTGTTTGAAAAGTATCAATTTTCACAAAATGTGTGTGTTCGAAAAGTGTTGGAAAATCTGTTTGTAGCTTGATCTTTTGAAAAATCTGGGATAGACAAATAATGATGCAAACTAGAGTTTGGTCTACAGTAGTACTTCAGGGAAAAAAATTATCGATTTTTTTTTGAAAAAAAAAACATTTTGCCACGTGGATTTCTAGGCGGCAAAAGTTTGTAGTTTGAACTCTGACAGGAACTACAGTACTCCCAAAATACCGTAGTCCTTTGTGCTTATTGAATTACTGTATCAAATGTCTGTCAAAATCTACAGTACTCACTCAAATTACAGTAATTCTGTAATTTTAAAAATTGATTTTGTTCAGAATCCACAGTACTCCTAAATACAGTAATCATTTTTTTGGGTAGATCAAAAATATTTTTCTCCAAAAAATTTTTAGGATTTCTGGGATTTCTGGGAGTTAACATGAGCAATCATCAAAAATTGTTACAATAAGATTCCTGGAGTTTAACATGAGCAATCTTCTACAATTTTTGAGATTTTTCCAGAATCCACAGTACTCCTAGATACAGTAATCATTTGATTTTTGGGTAGATCAAAAATATTTTTCTCCAAAAATTTTTTTTAGGATTTCTAGGATTTAACATGAGCAATCTTTTGAAATTTATTACAGTAAGATTCATGGGGTCTAATCTGAGCAATCTTCTTTATACAGTAAGATTCCTGGGCTCTAACCTGAGCAACCTTCTAAAAATGTAGATCAAAAACTTTCGTCGAACTCCTGGGATTCCTGGGGCTCTAACCTGAGCAATGTTTTTCAAACTATTACAGTAAGATTCCTGGAGTTTAACCTGAGCAATCTTCTACAATTTTTGAAGTTTTTCCAGAATCCACAGTACTCCTAAATACAGTAATCATTTAATTTTTGGGTAGATCAAAAATAATTTTCTCTAATCTCATTCTAACCTGAGCAATCTTCTGAAGTTTGTTACAGTAAGATTTTTGGAGTTTAACCTGAGCAATACTTCAAAAATGTAGATCAAAAATTTCGTCGAACTCCTGGGATTCCTGGGCTCTAACCTGAGCAATGTTTTTTCAAATTTATCACAGTAAGATTCCTGGGCTCTAATCTGAGCAATCTTCTGAAAGTGTAGATCAAAAATTTCTGTCGAACTCCTGGGATTCCTGGGCTTTAACCTGAGCAATCTTCAAAAAAGGTAGATCAAAAATTTTGTCGAACTTCGATCATTGTAATGATGTGATCTATCCACATTTTTTCGTGTGCTTTCTATTTACATACCCTCCTCTTTTCTTTTCGTTTTTTTCCGAACAACTTGTAATATTTTTTTTGCCGAAAAGTGACAAACGATGTTGTATGTAGTACTCGAGAGGTTTCTGTGTATTTTCTTCTTGTCATCAACTAATTTGTTCTTCTTCACAAGGAAGGCGCTTTGAAGGGGGGCGGTTCAAGAGTTGGGCCAAGTCAAGAACATGGCTTTTTGCCCGCGACGATGAATTTTTTTCTGCGTTTTGTTGGCAACGATTTTGTCAGATGGTTTTTGCTTGCTTTTTTTTGGGTACAATTTTTTGATCTTTGAGTTTGGGATTTTTTTTGGGAAAAAAACTTCACGTCAAAAATTTCAAAAAACATTGACGTCAAATTTTTTTTTCAAAAAAACATTTCACGTGAAATTTTATTTTTTAAGAAAACTTTACTTAAAATTTGTTTTAAAAAATAGTTCACGCAAAATTTTTCAGAACGTGAAATTTAAAAAAGTTTATTTAAAAATTTGGAAAAAACATTTCACGTGAAAATTGAAATTTAAAAATCTGAAAAAAATGCACTTGAAAAATGTTAAAAATTTTTAGATTGTGAAAATTGAAAAGCGTGAAATTTTTTCAAAAAAAAAATCACGTTAAAATTTTTTTTCCAAAAACACGTGGAATATATTTTTAAAGAAAAGTTCACGTTTAATTTTTTCAAACCTGAAAAATTTAAAAATAAAAAAGTTCACGTGAAACTTTTTTTTCAAAAAACGTTGACGTGAAAATTTTTTCAGAAAAACATGAAATTTATTTTTTAAGAAAAGTTCACGTTTAAATTTCTGAAAATAAACATTGACGTGGAAATTTTGAAAATAAAAAAGTTCACGTAATTTTTTCAAAAAAAAACGTGAAATTTATTTTTAAGAAAAGTTCATGTGAAAAATTTTTCAAACGTGAAATTTTTTCAAAAATAAAATTCACGTCAAAAATTTTACAACAAAAAAAGTTTATTTAAAAATTTTTCAAACGTGAATTTTTTTCAAAAATAAAATTCACGTCAAAATTTTTTTCCAAAAACACGTGGAATATATTTTTAAAGAAAAGTTCACGTGAAATTAAAAAAAAAGTTAATTTAAAAATTTTTCAAAAAAACTTCACGTCAAAATTTCTGAAAATAAAAATTGACGTGGAAATTTTGAAATTTAAAAAGTTCAGTAAAAATATTTTTTCAAAAAAAATTTTCAAATGAAAATTGAAAAACGGGAAAATTTTGGGAATAAAAAAAGTTCACGTAAAGAAAAAGTCGCGTGAAAAATTATTCAAAAATAAAATTCACGTGAAACATTTTTTCAAACGTGAAAATTTTGAGAATAAAAAAATTAAAAAATTTTCACAACATTTTTTCAAAAAAAGTTAATTTAAAAATTTGGAAAAAAAATTTCACGTGAAACATTTTTCAAAAAATAAAGTTCACGTGTAATTTTTTCAAACGTGAAAACTTGGGAAAAAAGTTCACGTGGAATTTTTTTCCAAAAAAAAAGTTCACGTAAAAATTGAAAAACGTGAAAAATTTTTCAAAATTAAAATTCACTCGAACAATTTTTTCACGTGAACTTAAAAATAGAGATGTGAAGTTTTTTTTTCAAAAAAAAATTTTCAAATGAAAATTGAAAAACGTGAAATTTTTGGGAATAAAGAAAGTTCACGTAAATAAAAAGTCGCGTGAAAAATTTATCGAAAATAAAATTCGCGTGAAAATTTTTTGCACAATTTTCCCAAACTTATCCCAACTCAAAGATCCCCCCCCCAATTTTTCCCCGCCTTTTTCGCTTCTTCAAAATCTTCCGATCTTCTTCAGAAACCTCCTCATCAATATACATATATATAGGCAACATTTAATTTCATCCTGGGGCCATATAGAAATTCACCTGAATGAGAGTGAACCGCAAAATTTTTGATCACATTCAAAATGAGCACCTATCAACCCGGATCACATATACAAAATTTTCTTCGAAAATCCTCATCAATAGCTTCAAGTGAACCATCTTCTTCTTCAACTTTACCTCCACGAAATTCGAATGACAATTCACAATTTCCAAAACGAATGTTCGCACTTCGAAGTGTTTCGGATCGCGCTGGAGCTGGAGCTGGAGCTTCTGCTGGAAGCTCAAAAACACCCATAGAAAAAGGGACATCAGTTGATATGAGCAATATATCACAAATTCACGCGTATATCTTATCAAAAATGCCCGAAGGCGATGCGAAGGAGAAATTTTTGAAGAGTATTTTGGATTTTGGCGCGGGACCAACTTCGAGACGTGGATCGAAAGAGGATTCGGCACATTCTTTGAGAAATACCAATAGTAAATCGTCGATTAATAGTAGCAGTAATGTTAGTTTGGGAGGGAGTACTGTAGATTTAGGTTTTGAAATTCATCCATAAGTACTGTAGATCTTCAAGATTACTGTAGAGATAGTGTTGATTTTGCAGAAGAAAAATTAGATTTTTGTAACTTTATTTTTTTTGCCACGTGGATTTACATTAATTTTCAAGCTTTTTTTTCTGACACTAATTAGGAAACCTCAAAAAACCCGCGTTATTGCGTAGTGTCGTTGTAAAGTGCATTTTTGCGTAGCAGTGTTTTCCAACGACACTACGCAATGACGCCACGTGGATTTCACGCGGTGTTTTTTCAGTTTTAAAAAATTATTTTATGGAAAAAAAAATTTAAAAAAAAATTTTTTTGACAACAAATTTCGATTCAGAAAATGTCTGAATCGAAATTTTTTGTTTTTTTTTGAATTATTTTTTTTGCCACGTGGATTTACACAAATTTTGAAAAACCGCGTGAAATACACGTGTGGCGTTATTGCGTAGTGTCGTTGGGAAGTATTTGAATTGTGCCAACGACACTACGCAATGACGCCACGTGAATTTCACGCGGTGTTTTTTCAGTTTTTAAAGAAATTCTAGATTTTTTTTTCGAATTTCAGGAAATCTGGAAATTTGCCAAGATGCAAAAAAAAAATGAATTTTTCAAAAAACCCGCGTGAAATACACGTGGCGTCAATGCGTAGTGTCGTTGGCAAAATAACATTGTGAAATTTTTTGTGACTGCAACGACACTACGCAATGACGCCACGTGGATTTCACGCGGGTTTTTCGAAAATTGTTTTTTTTTTTCGTAAAAACCTCACGTTTCCGCAAAAATGCAGAATTTTTGAATTTTAAAAATTCAATTTTTTCCCAACAACACTACGCAATGACGCCACGTGTATTATTTCACGCGGTTTTTCTGAATTTTCGAAAACACGTGGCGCGTTATTGCGTAGTGTCGTTGTTAAATAACGTGAATTTTTGTGTGGCAGTAAATGCACTCAAATTATATTTTTCCAACGACACTACGCAATAACGCCACGTGAATTTCACGCGGGTTTTCTGAATTTTCGAGAAAAAAATCAATCCCCATTTTCTTTCTGAAAATTGCATTTTTTTTTCTTCTTCTCAAGTTACTCACAAACTTACTTTTTCTCCCAATACCGAGATTGTAGCGAAAAATCTCAAGAGTTTTCCACTTTTTTGTGCGCCGTTCGCGCACCTTGCGCAAAATAGCACGCAAATTCGAGAGATTTAGAATAGAGATATGGGGGAGGGATGGAACGGGGGTTTTTTTTGCTGTGCTGTGCACAGCATTTTCATTTTTCAAGTTTTTCGAAAAACGCGACTTATCATTTTAAATAGTTTGTGTGTGTGGTGGAAAAAGGATAGGAGCAAAATTATTCTAATTCATTTTTGAGCATCGAAAAATAATTCGGCACGGTTTGAAAAGTGAGTTTAATCCAAAATTCGCTGTCCAAAACAAAAACCCTGCTGAAGTACGGTAGAAAAACCTGCACATCTTACTTTTGGATTTTGCAGTTAGATACGCAGGTTATACTGTACTTTTTTGTACAGGAAAATTCTTTGTGCTCTAGTTTTCTATGCTTTGGTTTCTCTGCGTCTCTAACTTTATGATAGTATCTGGCTGTCTAGTTTCTCTGCGTCTCTAGCTATCTTGCGCGAAGCGCCCCGGAAAATTCCGCGTAAGCGGTGTCGAGCGGAGCGAGTGTATCTCCCTCTGCGTCTCTAACTTTCTCCTACTCTCTAGCTGTCTGCACTCTCTCCAAATCCTATGCTCTCTAGCTTTGGAAAATATATATCTCCCTCTACGTCTCTAACTTTCTCATACTCTCTAGCTGTCTAGTTTCTCTGCGTCTCTAACATTTCTCTCTAGCTATCTTGCGCGAAGCGCCCCGGAAAATTCCGCGTAAGCGGTGTCGAGCGGAGCGAGTGTATTTTCCTCTACGTCTCTAACTTTCCTGGCATCTCTAGCCGTCTAGTTTCTCTACGTCTCTAACTTTCTAGCTATCTTGCGCGAAGCGCCCCGGAAAATTCCGCGTAAGCGGTGTCGAGCGGAGCGAGTGTATATTCACTCTGCGTCTCTAACTTTCACATACTCTCTAGCTGTCTGCACTCTCTCCAAATCCTATGCTCTCTAGCTTTGGAAAATTCCGCGTAAGCGGTGTCGAGCGGAGCGAGTGTATATCCCTCTACGTCTCTAACTTTCCTATTATCTCTAGCCGTCTAGTTTCTCTGCGTCTCTAACTCTCATACTCTCTAGCTATCTTGCGCGAAGCGCCCCGGAAAATTCCGCGTAAGCGGTGTCGAGCGAAGCGAGTGTATCTCCCTCTGCGTCACTAGCTGTCTAGTTTCTCTGCACTCTCTACCTGTCTGCCTCCTCTCTCAAAATCCTATTCTCTCTAGTGTATCTCCCTCTGCGTCTCTAACTTTCCTGTCATCTCTAGCCGTCTAGTTTCTCTAGCTGCCTGCCTGCCTATAAAATGACATAATTCTATCTAGTTTCAATATGTTTCAATATTTTTTTCGGTTCTGCCAATCCCAATAATATCAAAAAGCTCTCATTGGGGGCCTATCATCACTTATTTATCTATCACATCTCTCAATTTCTTCTTCAAAAACATCCTTCTTTTTTTCATTATTATATTATTCTTGCTTTTCCCCCGCCGGACTTTTTTTCGAATTCCATTTATTTTTGGTATCTAGAGAATTTCATTTCGAAAAAAACCCGATTTTTGGTGGCTGGTTCATATAGATTCTAGACGAACAAAATGGGGGAAGGAGATTCGGATGAATCCGATTTGGTAAGGCGTCATTGCGTAGTGTCGTTTGATCTCGAGAAAATCAAGTGCCCAGAAAGTTCTAGAGGAGAAAAACCGCGTTATTGCGTAGTGTCGTTGGCAAATTTTGCATTTTCCCACTACAACACTACGCATTGACGCCACGTGGATTTCACGCGGGGTTTTTGAAAAATTCATTTTTTTCTCAATAAGATTTTTAGCAGGTTTTCAAATCTCTTAGCCTCGGAATCCACGTGGCAAAACAAAAATCGATTTTTTCCCCCGTCATGAAAAAATGACCTATGCACTTCTACCTTTTTTTGCTGGCCAGGTAGAAAAATAACATTTCGTGTATTGATCTTCTTATTTTTGCCCCCGGTCATGTAACTTTCTTCTTCAAATTTTTTCTAGCTGATTTTCTTATCTTCTCATTTTTTTTCATTGCTCTTCTCCTTGTTGTTGTTGTCTTTTCGACTTGGCCCAACTCAACATTGAGAAAAAAGTGTAAAAACTTTTTTTTTGAAGAGGAAGGAGGCGGTTGCCATTCACACTTTCATCTTTCCAATCATTCTCGCAAAAAAATCAATTTTTTTTTGAGGGGAAAAATCGATAGATTTAGAGAGTATGGGAAGGTTAGAGACGCAGAGAAACTAGAGCTTGGAACATTTTTTTTTGAAAAAAAATTTACGTGGAAATTTTGGAGAAAATATTTTCACGTAGAAATTTAGCGAAAAAAAAATTGCGTGAAAAATTTTTGAAAATAAAGTTAACTTAAAAATTTTGCGAAAAAACGAAATTTTCACGTGAAAAATTTTTCGAAAAAAAATTTACGTGGAAATTTTTGAATAAAGTTCACATGGAAATTTGAAAATAAAGTTCACGTGAAAATTTTTTCAAAACTTCACGTGAAACACGTGAAAAATTTTGAAATAAAAAGTTCACGTGACTTAAAAATTTAAAAAATAAAGTTCACGTGAAAAATTTTTTGCAAAAAAATAGATCACGTGAAAATTCAAAAATAAAGTTCACGTGAAAAATTTTTCGAAAAAAAGTTTACGTAACAATTTAAAAAAAAATTTCACGTAGAAATTTTTTGGAAAACATATTTTCACGTAGAAATTTAGCGAAAAATAAAGTTCACGTGAACAAATTTGAGAAGGTTAGAGACGCAGAGAAACTTAGAGACGCAGAGGAAGATACACTAGAGATCATAGGATTTGAGAGAGAGAGAGTCCAGAGAAACTAGACAATTAGAGAGGTTAGAGACGCAGAGAAGAGAACTGTTTTTTTTTCAATCTACGTGATTTCCAACATAGCTCAACTCAGAAAAAAAGAAGCACTTGAGAAACAGAACAACTTGAGAAATAACAGTTTTGGGGGAAACAATGGGAAAAAACGATCAATAAATAAATAAATTAATTATTTTTTTTATTTTTTACAGGAATCTCAATTGGACGAGATTCCAAGTTCGGGTCTGACGATCCCAGAGGAGCGCCGTCGAGAATTATTGGGTCAGATTGGAGGTGGAGAAAGTGACGACGAGGTGGGTGTGATTTTGTATTTCATTTTTTTTTTTGAAATTTTCAAAAATCTAAAAATTGGATCTTCAATTTTCACAAATGTTTACTGATTTTCCAAAAAAAAAAAATTCGGAAAATCTGAATTTTTTTCTGATTTTTTGAAAAGAAATTTATCCATTTCAGAACTTTTTTGCCAAATCAAGTGTAGATCCGTCCTGATTTCTTGGAAAAATTTCGAACTCTAAAATATCCATGTTAAAAATTTTTCTAACTAACTTCTCTGCGTCTCTTGAAAATCAGTTATCTCTAATTTTTCTGCTTCTCTGCGTCTCTAACCTTCTCGTTATTCCTAGATGTCTAGTTTCTCTGCGTCTCTAACCTTCTCGGTATACTCTCTAGCTGTCTAGTTTCTCAGCATCTCTAACCTTCTCATACTCTCTAGATATCTATCTTCTCTGCACTCTCTCCAAACCCCATTATCTCTATTGTATCTCCCTCTGCGTCTCTAACCTTCTCCTATTCTCTAGCTGTCTAGTTTCTCTACGTCTCTAACCTTCTCATACGCTCTAGCTGTCTAGTTTCTCTGCGTCTCTAACTTTCTAGCTATCTTGCGCGAAGCGCACCGGAAAATTCCGCGTAAGCGGTGTCGAGCGAAGCGAGTGTATCTCCCTCTGCGTCTCTAACCTTCTCATACTCTCTAGCTGTCTAGTTTCTCTGCGTCTCTAACCATCTCATACTCTCTAGCTATCTTGCGCGAAGCGCCCCGGAAAATCCCGCGTAAGCGGTTCGAGCGCAGCGAGTGTATCTCCCTCTGCGTCTCTAACCTTCTCATACTCTCTAGCTGTCTGCCTTCTCTTCTCCCCATTTTTTCGACGATTTTCAGAGCTTTGAGACCCCCCCCCATTTCCCCCAAGTGTTTGTTTACACAACAAGATGATCAAGAGTTGTGTCATGTTAGATCTATTAGATCCACAGAAAATCAATTTTTGATTTTGCAGGTATCCGAATCGATATCAGAACTTCCATCATTTGCCGGAGGAAAACCTCGCCGAAAGACTGATGTGAGTTTTCAGTTTTTCCCAGTTTTTTTTCAGCTAGTTAGCCTATCTATCCTATATACCAATACACACAATGAGATAATAATGTGTGCGTAGGTGGTTAAGATAAGCAAAGTTTTTTTGTTGCTTCTTGCGCAAACAAACTCCCCAAGATATCTTCGATTTTTTCTTCTGTTCTCCTCGTTTTTTTTTTTGAATTTTTGTATGGTTTTGTTTTGTTATTGTCTCCCTGTCTTTGTCTTGTCTCCGTCCAAAAATCGTCCTTTCCAGACTCCAGAAATGTTTTCACGTGACACATTGCTTCGTAAAACCACAACGTCTTCTTCGAGAAAAGAGACGTCTACAGAGGTATTTTTGTTTTTGTCCACAGGGTTGGAAAATTCGAGTTATGACGTGGCAAAGTTTCAAAACATCATCCCCTTTCTTTTCACCAACATTTACACCTGCGGGCGGAGAAGAGGCAGATGGCCGAGTGGCTAAGATTTTTGACTAGCGTGCGTGAGACCCGGGGTTCGAGCCCTACTGCCCGCCAACATATTTTTTTTCAAAAATTTCGACACGCTGAGCACTAATCCGATGTCTAAAATTTTTCTAACAATGAGTCATGACGTGGCATTTTGAAAAACGGGACTTTAGAGTTTGGGCTTTTCCGAATGCAAGGTATACGATAGCAATTTGGGGTCAAGATGTTTTCCTTAGGCTTAGGTTTAGTTTTAAGATAATAGTTAAACTTAGGCTTAGTTAGTCTTAGGCTTAGTTAGGCTTAGGCTTAGTTAGGCTTAGGCTTAGTTAGTCTTAGGCTTAGTTAGGCTTAGGCTTAGGCTTAGTTAGGCTTAAGCTTAGTTAGGCTTAGGCTTAGTTAAGCTTAGGCTTAGTTAGGCTTAGGCTTAGGCTTAGTTAGGCTTAGGCTTAAGCTTAGCTAGGCTTAGGCTTAGGCTTAGTTGAGCTTAGGCTTAGTAAAGCTTAGACTTAGCTAGGCTTAGGCTTAGTTAAGTTTAGGCTTAGTTAAGCTCAGGCTTAGTTAGGCTTAGGCTTAGTTAGGCTTAGGCTTAGTTAAGCTTAGGCTTAGTTAGGCTTAGGCTTAGTTAGGCTTAGGCTTAGTTAGGCTTAGGCTTAGGATTAGCTTAGTTAGGATTAGGCTTAGTTAAGCCTAGGCTTAGTTAAGCCTAGGCTTAGTTAAGCTTAGACTTCATTAGGCTTAGGCTTAGTTAGGCTCAGGCTTAGGTAAGCTTAGGCTTAGGATTAACCTTAGGCTTAGTTAAGCTTCCTAAAAACTCTAGATCAGGAAAATCCACGTCATAACTCATGTCATTTTTCCAACCTTGTAAAATTGTCCAATTTTGTCTTCTGTCCATTTTCACGTTCTCCCAATTTTCAAGGAAAAAACCCAACTTCGCAAAACCATCAAAAAAGCGGCGGATGGCGAACTGGATTTCAAAGCGATGGTGAAGCTCAAAAAAGTTGTGCAGCAGAAGGAGGACTCTGACAAATCCTTCTCTCTGGATCGCACCGATTCGCAATCATCGCTCTTCTCTTCCGAATCAAGATCTAGACGTGGAAGTACAGTTCTAGATGCTTCTCAACCAGCGCCAAGTCCTTTTGGTCAACTCAAAAAGATCAAAAAGATCGGAGGACTCGAAAAATCCGATTCCGCCGCAAGTTTGAAGAATGGCGGAGACGAGGGTGCTTTCAAGGTACAACTCAAAAAAGTTGTGAAGAAGGAGAGTGTGGAGACGAAAACTAGCACATTGAAGCAGAAGGCTGAGGTGGAATCGGGGGTGTCGACAGAGTTCAAGATGGAAAAACGGCAACGGACAAAGTTGGAGAAGTTTGAGAAAACTGATACGGATCGAGCAAAGGTTCGAGGGGTTTCTAAGGAAGAAAATGAAAAAAAATACTTGTTTGAAGCTCTTAGTTCAACTATAGTCTAGTTCGATGATTCAGGAAAAAACTGATTTTTCTATAGAAATTGTTTCAGTTTTTGACCCAAAAATGCGATTAGCTTAGTTCAACTATAGTCTAGTTCGATTTTAAAAAATCAGAAAATTTCAATTAGAAATCGCTGCCCCTGAAAAAACACAAAAAGCGCAACGTCAACGCGGAGTCTCGTTGTTTTCTTTTTATTTTTCCATTTTTTTCTTTTTTGCGCTGATTTTTCTCTCGAAAAAGTTCATAAAATGGGGGGAAAAATTGGATTTTATCAGAAAATACCCCGGAAATTTTATGAAATTTGATTTGTCATTATTTTTGACTGAAAAACTCAAAAAATCCACAATTTTCTTTGAAAAATCAATTTTTTCCTTGGAAATTTTCATTTTTGCCAAAAAAAAAATAAAACAACAAGACTCCGCGTTGACGTTGCACGTGTGGTTTGAATTTTATTTTTTTTGCGATTTTTTATCCCCAGAAAACAGTTTTTTTCATGAAAAATAACATTTTCCCAAAAAAAATTTGAAAATAGAAATAAAAATAAAACAACGAGACTCCGCGTTGACACCTGCGCGTTTTGTGTTTTTTTTTTGCGGGCTTCCATACTAATCGAAATTTTCTGAATTTTTTTCATCGAACTAGACTATAGTTGAGACAAGCAAAAATCTAATGGGGTGATTCAAGTCGAAAAAAAAAATTAAAAAAAAAAAAAAAAAATTTTTTTTAAATTTTTGTGTGGAAAAATGTAAAAAATATAGGAAAAAATATAGTTTTTCGACATTTTCTGAATCGAAAAAAATTTCAAAAAAAAAAAAATTGTTTTTTTTTACTTGAACCACCCCCCTGATCCTGTATGTCTCCATGTCTACTAACCTCCATGTCAACAAATCTAACCCTCTCCATGTGCTCCTCCTATTCCATGTGCTCCTCCCTAACCCTCTTCTTCCCCTCCTAATTTGCTCCCTGATCTTTAGGAAAACAAGCCGAAACGCGTCAGCATCGCCACCAATCAAGATCAAGATCCACCGACAACTCCAATTGTAAGAGATCTGATGAGAGAGATCAGGCATGGTTTGGTTTGATTTGAGGTGCGCTAACAATTCTATACTACTACTAAAAAAATTCAGCGAAAATTTTAAATCTCAAATTTTAAGAGTCATTTACCTAACCAAACTTTCTAGCTTCAACAAAACAAATCGGAAGAAAGTTCAAAATCCGAAGATGCTCCTCCAAAATCTCAACTCAAAGGCCGTCAAGTCGGCAACAAACGTCAAATCCCACCGCCAAAAGAGGAAGAAGTCCCGAATTTCTCCAAGATCCAACTGAAAAAGGTGGCGAAGAAGGAGAAGGAGGAGGTCAACGAGATGGAGGGCATCAAACTAAAGAAGGTCATGCCGAAACACGTCACTTTGGATGACAATGATAGTCAATCGGAGTCCGAATCGCGTCGCGGTTCGATTTTTGGCGAATTCCGAAGAGGAGGATCGGATTCGAGGAGAGAATCTATTGTGAGAATCTAGCTAGAACTCCCATTTTCAGATTTATTCTAACATTTTGTCTGAGTTTTCTAATAACACATCTAACTCCAGAAAGATCTAGAAAAAATCTATGAATTTTCAGAGACGCTCAAGTATCGATATGCGACGCGTATCGGTTCAAGAAATCATGGAAAAACAGTCGACACCGCTCGTCCCAAGCGGTGCATCTGGCAGTGCTCCAAAAATCGTCGAAGTCCCAGAGAATGTTACAGTTGTTGAAAGTGAGTTGGGGTGATTAGAGGGTTCAGGACAGGCCTAAGGCCGGAAAAGGTTCAAGACAGGCCTGGGCCTGAAAAGTTTCAAGACAGGCCTGGTCCGGAACAGGTTCAAGACAGGCCTAAGGCCGGAAAAGGTTCAAGACAGGCCTGTGCCGGAATTAAGACAGGCCTGTGCCAGGAAGACAGGCCTGTACAGGAAAGGCAGGCCTGTGCCAGAAAGACAGGCCTGTACAGGAAAGACAGGCCTGTACAGGAAAGACAGGCCTGTGTCGGAAACACAGGCCTGTGTCGGAATGACAGGCCTGTGCCGGAAATACAGGCCTGTACCAGACAGACAGGCCTATGTCGGAAAGACAGGCCTGTCACGACCATTTACTCCAATAGAAAATTGCCCGTCGGGTCAGACGAGAGACGACGGGAGTCTGATGACGTCATCAGAGTTAGAGAAAGACATCGCTTCGAGATATTTTTGAGAAAATATGTGTCCCTTTGAAAAAATACCGTATTTTGTTTCAAGGAACACATGTTTTATTGAAATAATATCTCGAAGCGAAATTCATTTTCGGGATTTTTTTTGTTGCAAAATACTCTCGTCGTCTCGCGTCTGACTCAACGGGAGCCCCTTGTATGGTCATGCTGTGTCGGAAAGGCAGACCTGTCCCGGAAAGAAATTTCCGGCACAGGCCTGGTTCGAGACATGTGCAGGAAGTTCTCAAAGTGAACCTTCTGATTCAAATTCTGAATTTCGGATCAATCAGTAACCACCCGAAGGTTCCCTAGATTCTAGATTTCCCCCAAAATCCAATTTTTTTGCAGACGAGACAGCAATATTGACATGCAAAGTGTCGGGTAGTCCCGCCCCCACTTTCAAATGGTACAAAGGAAATCGCGAAGTGTTGAACGGTGTTCGCTTCAAACATCTCACCGATGGCAAAGAGAGCACCGTCTCACTTGCCGTGCTCAAATGTCGATCACAGGATGACGGTCCCTACACCCTGACGATCGAAAATGCACACGGAACAGATAGCATTGATGTCAAACTTCTAGTCACTTCAGATAATGGAGTGGATTTCCGAACAATGCTCAAGCACAGGTAAGTACTTAAACTGATTAAAAAAAAAAAAAAAAAAATTTTTACTACCCTTTTAATTTTTTTCCTAACACTTTCTCCCAATTTAGCGCACAACTTCGACAGATTTCTCCAGGAAAAAGGTTTTTAGAAATATTTTTTGTTGAAAAAATGCATGGCATATTTTTAGTTCAGCTTTTGATTCATATGATTTTTGCGCGGTGTCCAAAAATCAGAAAAATTTGCCTGTTCGAAAAGACACCGTACCACCTGCGTATCTAACTCCAACAAAATCTCAATAGGCTAATTTGTATAGATTAAGTTTTCACGTGAAAATTTAAAAATAAAGTTCACGTGAAAAAATTTTCAAAAAAAAATTTACGTAAAAAATTTTGGAAAAACATTTTCACGTAGAAGTTTTGGAATAAAATTCACGTGAAAAATTTGAGAAGGTTAGAGACGTAGAGGAAGATATACTAGAGAGAATAGGATTTGGAGAGAGTGCAGAGAGCTAGAGAGTATGAGAAAGTTAGAGACGCAGACTAGACAATTAGAGAGTAGGAGAAGGTTAGAGAGCATAGGAAGACGGGAGAGAAGCTAGACAGCTAGAAACTATCATGAAGTTAGAGACGCAGAGCAACCAGGTGGTTAGAGAGCACAGAATGCAATCAGAGACACAGAGAAACTAGATTGTCAGAGAGCATAGGAACACGAGAGAAGCTAGAGAAGCTAGACAGCTAGACACTATCATGTAGTTAGAGATGCATAGAAACCAGGTGGTTAGAGAGTACCGAATGCAATCAGAGACGCAGAGAAATTAGATGGTCAGAGAGTATAGGGAACTAGAGAGCATAGAGAAATTAGACAGCTAGATTCTACTATAAAATGAGAGACGCAGAGAAATCATTCTAGTGTTAAATTTCTCGAGTTAGATGTGCAGGTTCTACCGTACTTCAGCACGGTTTTCGGACAGGGAAATTTTCTGTTTTTGGACACCGCATTCACAAACTTCTCCGATAATCCCAATAATTTTCCAGAGAATCTCAAGCCGGTTTCCAAAAAGATGAAGAAGGTGGCGCCGGCGGTCCAGGCGGCGCGAAACAAAAACCAATGACCGAAGCCGAACGCCGTCAATCGCTATTCCCCGGCAAAAAAGTCGAGAAATGGGAAGTGCCGCTACCCGAAAAGACTGTGCAACAACAAGTCGACAAGATCTGCGAATGGAAGTGCACCTATTCGCGTCCCAACGCCAAAATTCGTTGGTACAAAGATCGCAAAGAGATCTTCTCCGGTGGTCTCAAATACAAAATTGTTATCGAGAAAAACGTGTGCACGTTGATCATCAATAATCCCGAAGTTGATGATACCGGAAAATACACATGTGAGGCGAATGGTGTGCCAACACACGCTCAATTAACTGTCCTCGAACCACCCATGAAGTACAGCTTCTTGAATCCATTACCGAACACTCAGGAGATCTATCGAACGAAGCAGGCGGTGTTGACGTGTAAAGTGAACACGCCACGTGCACCCCTGGTTTGGTGGAGAGGAAATAAGGCGATCGCCGAGGATGACAAACGATTTATCATTGAGAAAGACGCCGTGGGTCGATGCACTTTGACAATTAAAGTTGTTGAGGAAGATGATCAAGCTGAATGGACAGCGAGAATTACACAGGATGTGTTCTCGAAGTGTCAGGTTTATGTGGAAGAACCGCGGCATACGTTTGTTGTGCCGATGAAATCGCAAAAAGTAAACGAAGGTGATGAAGCGGTGCTTGAGACTGATGTTAATGATAAGGATGCTGATGTTGTTTGGTGGCATGATGGAAAGCGGATTGATATTGATAACAACAAGTTAGTTAGACGGGGGATGGGGGGGGGTAGAGTCTAGGGTAGAGACGCAGAGAGGCTAGAGACGCAGAGAGACTTGCTAGATCAGATTTTGACTTCACCCTATGATCGTTTAAAAAATATCCTAGGCTTTAATCTGAGCAATCTTCTAAGAATGATCACAGTAAGATTCCAGGGATCTAACCTGAGCAATATTCTACAACTTATGAGTGAGGATTCCTGGGCTATAATCTGAGCAATATTCAAAAAATTATTTTGGGCTTTAACCTGAGTAATATTCTGAAAATTATCACATTAAGATTCGATTCCTGGGCTTTAATATGAGCAATCTTTTGAAAATTATCTTGGGCTCTAACCTGAGCAATCTTCTGAAAATTATCCTGGGCTTTAGCCTGAGCAATCTTCAAAAAACTATTACAGTAAGATTCCTGGGCTCTAACCTGAGCAATCTTGTGAATATGATTCTGGGCTCTAACCTGAGCAATCCTTTAAAAATTATCTTGAGCTTTAACCTGAGCAATCTTTTAAAAATATCCGGGATTTTAACCTGAGCAATCTTCTGAAAATTATTCTGGGCTTTAACATGAGCAATCTCTAAAATATTATTCTGGGCTCTAACCTGAGCAATCTTCTGGAAAGTATAACAGTAAGAAATCTGAGCTTTAACCTGAGCAATCTTCTGAAAATTATCCTTGGCTCTAATCTGAGCAATCTTTTAAAAATTATCCTGGGCTTTAACATGAGCAACATTCTAAAAATTATCCTGGGCTCTAATCTGAGCAATATTCTACAATTCATAGTGAGATTCCTGGGCTATAATATGAGCAATCTTTTACAATTTATAGGGAGATACCTGGGCTTTAACCTGAACAATCTTTTAAAAATTATCCTGGGCTTTAACCTGAGCAATATTCTGAAAATTATCCTGAACTATAATCTGAGCAATATTCTAAAAATTATTTTGGGCTTCAACCTGAGCAATATTCTGATAAACATGACATTAAGATTCGATTCCTGAGCTTTAACCTGAGCAATCTTTTGAAAATCATCCTGAGCTCTAAGCTGAGCAATGTTTAAAGTTCATCACAGTAAGATTCCTGAATTATAATCTGAGCAATCCTCTACAATTCATAGTGAGATATCTGGGCTCTAACCTGAGCAATTTTCTAAAAATTATCCTTGGCTTTAATCTGAGCAATCTTTTAAAATTCATCACAGTAAGATTTCTGAGCTATAACCTGAGCAATCTTCTGAAAATCATCCTGGGATCTAATCTGAGCAATCTTCAAAAAATTATTTTGGGCTTTAACCTGAGCAATATTTTAAAAATTATAGTGAGATCCCTGGGCTCCAATCTGAGAAATCTGTAAAAATTTGCCAGGGCTCTAACATGAGCAATCTTTTTAAACATATCCTGAGCTTTAATCTGAGCAATCTTCTACAACTTATAGTGAGATACCTGGGCTTAACAAAAAACTATTACAGTAAGATTTCTGAGCTATAACCTGAGCAATCCTCTACAATGCATAGTGAGATTCCTGGGCTCTAATCTGAGCAATCTTTTGAAAATTATTCTGGGCTTTAACCTGAGCAATCTTCGACAATTCATAGTAAGATCTAGAATTCTAAACAGAATTTTTGCAGATACAAAGTCGAATCGCACAACAGAAAACGTCGACTAATCATCGCGGCCGGAAAAATCGAAGATCACGGAGAATACAAATGCACCACCAAGGACGATCGAACAATGGCTCAATTGATCGTCGATCCAAAGAACAAATTCGTCGTCGCGTTGAAAGACACCGAAGTCGTCGAAAAAGAAGATGTGACATTGATGTGTCAGACAAAAGACACCAAAACACCCGGAATATGGTTCCGTAACGGAAAACAAATCTCGAGTATGCCTGGCGGAAAATTCGAGACACAATCACGTAACGGAACACACACGTTGAAGATCAGCAAGATCGAGATGAACGAGGCCGATGTTTATGAGATTGATCAAGCTGGGTTTGAAGGGTTCGTGTAATGTGGCAGTTCTAGAGGCCGAGAAGCGACCGATTCTGAATTGGAAGCCAAAGAAGATTGAGGCAAAAGCCGGCGAGCCATGCATTGTTAAGGTACCATTCCAAATCAAGGGTACAAGACGGGGAGATCCGAAGGCAAATATTTTACGAAACGGTAAACCCATCGATGAGGAGATGAAGAAACTCATCGAAGTTGTCATCAAAGACGATGTCGCTGAAATCATCTTCAAAGATCCACAACTCGCCGACACCGGAAAATGGGCTTTGGAGCTTGGAAACTCTGCCGGTACTGCTCTTGCACCATTCGAACTTTTTGTTAAGGACAAGCCCAAGCCACCCAAGGGCCCCCTGGAGACCAAAAACATTACCGCCGAGGGTTTGGATCTTGGTTTGGGGGACCCCTGATCCTGACGACGGTGCGCCTGTCAAAGCCTACATCATTGAGATGCAAGAAGGTCGCAGTGGTAATTGGGAAAAGGTCGGTGAGACCAAGGGAACAGACTTCAAGGTCAAAGATCTCAAAGAGCATGGAGAATACAAGTTCCGTGTCAAAGCAGTCAATGAATGTGGAGTATCCGATCCTCTCACCGGAGAAACCGTACTCGCCAAAAACCCCTATGGAGTCCCGGGCAAACCAAGAAACATGGATGCAATTGACATCGATAAAGATCATTGCACTTTGGCCTGGGAGCCACCAGAGGAAGATGGCGGAACTCCAATCACTGGATATATTATTGAGAGACGCGAGAAATCGGAAAAAGATTGGCATCAAGTCGGACAAACCAAACCGGATTGTTGTGAGTTAACCGACAAAAAAGTTGTGGAAGACAAAGAATATTATTATCGCATCAAAGCGGTGAACAAAGCTGGACCTGGAGATCCGTGTGATCATGGAAAACCAATCAAGATCAAGGCGAAGAAGGCTGCACCGGAATTCACTGCTGGTGGCATCAAGGATCTTCGTTTGAAGGTTGGCGAGACAATCAAATATGATGTTCCGATCTCTGGGGAACCACTTCCTGAAGTGACCTGGATTGTCAATGGAAAACCGCTGAAACCAGTTGGCCGTGTGAAAATGACGACAGAACGTGGGAAGCATAAGATGAAGATTGAGAATGCGGTGCGCGGCGATTCTGGAAGTTACTCGATCACTTTGAAAAACAATTCTGGAAGTGTCGAATCATCAGCAACTGTGACAGTTGTTGGAAGACCAACCCCACCCAAAAGGCCCTCTTGATATCACTGATGTTTGTGCAGATGGTGCAAAACTGGCGTGGAATCCTCCAGAAGATGATGGCGGAGATCCGCTAACTGGATACATCGTCGAGGCCCAGGACATGGATAACAAGGGAAAATATATTGAAGTTGGTCGGGTTGACCCGGGGACCACCGAGCTCAAAGTATCCGGTCTTCGCAACAAGGGCAACTACAAATTCCGCGTCAAAGCGGTCAACAATGAGGGAGAATCCGAACCATTGAGTGCCGATCAATATACACTCATCAAAGATCCGTGGGATGAACCAGGAAAGCCAGGGCGGCCCGAGATCACCGATTTCGATGCGGATCGAATTGATATCGCTTGGGATCCACCGCATAAAGATGGCGGGGCTCCGATTGAGGAATATATTGTTGAAGTCAGAGATCCGGATACCAAAGAATGGAAGGAGGTCAAAAGAGTTCCAGGTAGATTTGTTTTGGATCTTGTGGATCAAAAAAATTTTATTTCAGATGCGAAGGCTTCAATTGGCGGTTTGAAGGAGGGCAAGGAATATCAGTTCAGAGTGAAGGCTGTGAACAAAGCTGGACCTGGACAACCATCCGAACCTTCGGAGAAACAATTGGCCAAGCCGAAATTCAGTGAGTTTGAAAAAAAGAAAAAAATTTAGTCCGCAGGGGGGTTCGAACCTATGCTCTACAAATAATAGGCCACCACGCAAACCACTCGGCCATTTTGCTGTGTTTTTAATTTAGCAAAAAGCGCTCGAATTGTGAATTTTCGAGATTTTTTACGGTTATGGGACTATTCAAGTTGATTTTCTACAGCGCTGAGAAAAGCGAAAAAATTTAGTCCGGAGGCGGGGTCGAACCTATGCTTCACAAACAGTAGGCAGCCACGCAAACCACTTGACCATTTTGCTGTTTTTATTTTAAAACAGGCGCTCGAATAGTGAATTTTTGATTTTTTACAGTTAGAAATTCAACAAAAAAAAAGAAAAGAAAAAAATTTAGTCCGCAGGTGGGGTCGAACCTATGCTTTACAAACAGTAGGCAGCCACGCAAACCACTCGGCCACTTTGCTGTGTTTTTATTTAGCAAAAAGCGCTCAAAGTGCGAATTTCCGATTTTTGCCGTTCAAAGTACACAAGTTACAATTCGAAATTCTACAAAAAAAAAAAATTAGTCCGCAGGCGGGGTCGAACCTGTGCTTCACAAACACTAGGCAGCCACACAAACCACTCGGCCAAACTGCTTTTTTTTATTTTAAAAGAGGCGCTTGAATTGTGAATTTTCGATTTTTGCCGTTCACACAAGATTCAGTAAAAATATATTTTAAAAAAATTTACTCACGCAGGCGGGGTTCGAACCTGTGCTTCACAAACACTAGGCAGCCACACAAACCACTCGGCCATTTTGCTGTTTTTTATTTTGAAAAAAGCGCTCAAATTGCGAATTTCCGATGATTTTTTACGGTTACAATTCGAAATTCTAAAAAAAAAAAATATAAAAAATTCAGTCCGCAGGTGGGGTCGAACCCGCAACCCTCGAAACAAAGATGTAGACGCTACCCGCCTACACCGTTTCAGCTTTTTTGGCTCCACGTGGAGCTCAGAAGCTGATTTTTAGAGCATTTTGATCAGCTCGCCGAGTTCTACAAAACCTCTAACAAAATCCCTGGTTTTCAGTTCCCGCCTGGTTGAAACACGAGAATTTGAAGAGCATCACAGTGAAAGCCGGCGCAACAGTTCGTTGGGAAGTCAAAATCGGCGGCGAACCGATTCCCGAAGTCAAATGGTTCAAAGACGCCAAACAACTCGAGAACAATATTCAATTATCGATTGACACTCGCAAAAATGAGCATACAATTCTTTGTATTCCATCAGCTGTCAGATCGGATGTTGGAGAATATCGATTGACTGTCAAGAACTCACATGGCGCTGATGAGGAAAAGGCTAATCTAATTGTCCTAGACAAACCATCAAAACCAAATGGACCGCTGGAAGTCACCGATGTCTTCGAGGATAATTGCAATTTAGCCTGGAAGCCACCAGATGATGATGGCGGTGAGCCAATTGAATATTATGAAGTGGAGAAATTGGACACAGCAACTGGAAGATGGGTTCCCATGTGCTAAGGTTAAGGATACTAAGGCACATATCGATGGATTGAAGAAGGGTCAAACTTATCAATTTAGAGTTAAGGCTGTTAACAAGGAAGGTGCTTCGGATGCTTTGACAACTGAAAAGGAGACCAAGGCTAAGAACCCTTATGATGAGCCTGGGAAGACTGGAACTCCTGAAGTTGTTGACTGGGATGCTGATCGTGTATCCCTTGAATGGGAACCACCAAAATCCGATGGAGGAGCACCGATTACACAGTATGTTATCGAGAAGAAGGGCAAGCACGGAAGAGATTGGCAAGAATGCGGGAAGGTTTCGGGCGATCAGACGAAATGCCGAGATTCTTGGGCCTCAAGGAGGGTGAAGAGTATCAATTCAGAGTGAAGGCGGTGAACAAGGCCGGGCCGGGAGAGGCTTCGGATCCGAGTAGGAAGGTTGTGGCGAAGCCGAGAAACTTGAAACCGTGGATTGATCGAGAGGCGATGAAGACGGTTACGATCAAAGTGGGAAATGATGTGGAATTCGATGTTCCGGTTCGAGGAGAGCCGCCGCCGAAGAAGGAGTGGATTTTCAATGAGAAACCGGTTCAGGACGACAAGATCAGGGTGAGTTTTAGGGGGGTGGGGTGCAGAGAAGCTAGACAATTCGGGTTGACGGGCAGGTTAGAGACGTAGAGGAAGATACACTCGCTCCGCCTCGAACCGCTTACGCGGAATTTTCCGGGAGATAGCTAGAGAGAATAGGATTTGGAGAGAGTGCAGAGAAGCTAGACAGCTAGAGAGTATGAAAAATGAGAGACACAGAGAAATTAGACACTTTGAGATGACGAGAAGGTTAGAGACGCAGAGGGAGATACACTAGAGAGTATAGGATTTGGAGAGAGTGCAGGGAACTAGAAGAGCTAGAGAGTACAGAGAAACTAGACAGCTAGAGACGCAGAGGGAGATACACTCGCTCCGCTCGAACCGCTTACGCGGAATTTTCCGGAAGATGGCTAGAGAAAATAGGATTTGGAGAGAGTGCAGAGAAACTAGACAATTCAGGTTGACGAGAAAGTTAGAGACGCAGAGGGAGATACACTAGAGAGAAAATTTATGTAAAAAGTTTTGGACAATACATTCTCACGTAAAAATTAAAAATAAATTTCACGTGAAAAATTTTCCGAAAAAAAAAATTTCACGTGAAAATTTTGAGAAGGTTAGAGACGCAGAGAAACTAGAGAGGCGTAGAGGGATTTACATTAGAGAGAATGAGATTTGGAGAGAGTGCAGAGAAGCTAGACAATTAGAGATAACGAGAAGGTTAGAGACGTAGACACCATTTTCATCCCCCGATTTTTTGCAGATCGAATCCGAAGACTACAAAACCCGCTTCGTTCTTCGTGGCGCGTCCAGAAAACACGCCGGCCTTTACACATTGACCGCCACCAACGCCTCAGGAACCGACAAACATTCAGTCGAAGTTATTGTTCTCGGAAAACCAACCTCACCTCTCGGCCCATTAGAAGTCACCAACATTTATGAGGACAAATGCGACTTGGAGTGGAAAGTTCCAGAAGACGATGGCGGTGTGCCAATCGATCATTATGAAATCGAAAAGATGGATTTGGCCACAGGAAGATGGGTTCCATGTGGAAGAAGTGAAACAACCAAGTGTCAAGTTCCTAATCTCGTTCCAGGACATGAATACAAATTCCGAGTTCGTGCTGTGAACAAGGAAGGCGAATCCGATCCATTGACAACGAATACAGCGATCCTTGCCAAGAATCCATATGAGGTTCCGGGCAAAGTCGAAAAACCTGAGCTCATTGATTGGGATAAGGACCATGTTGATCTTCAATGGTCCCCACCAGCCGATGATGGCGGTGCGCCGATTGAAGGATATCTGATCGAGAAGAAGGATAAGAATGGGCGATGGGAGGAGGCAATGGTTGTCCCGGCTGATGCCACAACTGCCACTGTTTCGAATCTCAAAGCTGGGGAAGAATATCAATTCCGGATTTCAGCCAAGAATAAAGCTGGAACTGGAGAAGCATCTGATCCATCGGATCGTGTCATCACTAAACCAAGAAATCTCGCACCTCATATTCATCGAGAAGATCTTTCGGATACTGTGATCAAAGTTGGGCAATCTCTCAAGTTCACAATTCATATTGATGGTGAACCGGTGCCAGATGTCAGTTGGCAATTTAATGGAAAAGGTATTGGTGAAAGCAAGGCGCAGATTGAGAATGAGGATTATATTTCAAAGTTCAATTTGGTTAAGGCAACAAGGAAGCAGAGTGGAAGTTATACGATTACTGCCACAAATAAAAATGGAAGCGATTCGGTTACAATTCAAATCAAGGTAGGTTTTCAATGCGAAAATTTTTTTTTTTTTTTTTTTTTTTGACAAAAAAATTATATACCGTAGTTGTTTCGTCGCGACGAGACACACATCTTTCAAAAATCGATGCGCCTTTGATTCACAACGAGAAATTCAACTTGAGAAAAATCAATTAGAACTAATTTTGCTCGATTTTCGTAATTTTCAACGGAAAAAATCGGTTTTTTCTTTCCCGCACAAATCAAAATTTTGATTCGGGCGTGAATTTAAAATTTCCAAAAAAATTTTTTTTGTGCTCAAAATGCTCCAAATTTCTCGCAGTTTCCAATTTTTGTTCTGAAAATCAGGCCTAGGCTTATCCGGACTCTAAAAATCCCAAATTTCGACCTAGTCTCGGATGTTTGCTAGGCCCGGCCTTTTTCAGATTTTCCAAAAATCTGAAACTTTTTAAACATAGTTAGGCTATCTCCATTCTTCGATTTCTCCCTTTTTTTTCATGCAGAAACATCAAAAACCCGAAAAAAACAAAAAAAACCGTAGTTTTTGAAAGGCGCAACAGCAAAAACTCACACAGGGTCTCGTCGCGAAAGAACTACGGTATATAATTTTTTTTCGAAAAAAATAATATTAGGATAATTCTATATAATCTTTAATTTCAGGTCAAGAGCAAGCCAACCAAACCAAAAGGTCCGATTGAAGTAAGCGAAGTTTTCGAAGATCGCGCAACTCTGGATTGGAAACCACCAGAGGATGATGGCGGCGAGCCAATCGAGTTCTACGAAATCGAAAAAATGAACACCAAGGATGGATTGTGGGTTCCATGCGGTCGATCCGGTGACACACACTTCACAGTCGATTCGTTGAACAAGGGCGATCATTACAAGTTCAGAGTCAAAGCTGTGAACAGTGAAGGCGCCTCAGATCCCCTTGAGACGGAGACCGATATTTTGGCAAAGAATCCATTCGATCGACCGGATCGACCAGGTCGACCAGAGGCAACTGACTGGGATTCGGATCATGTGGATCTCAAGTGGGAACCGCCGTTGTCTGATGGTGGAGCGCCGATTGAGGAATATCAAATCGAGAAACGAACCAAATATGGAAGATGGGAACCGGCGATTAGTGTGGCGGGCGGGCAGACAACTGCCACAGTTCCGGATTTGACACCGAATGAGGAATATGAATTCCGAGTTGTTGCTGTCAACAAGGGAGGACCGTCAGATCCATCGGATGCGAGCAAAACTGTTATTGCGAAGCCAAGAAATTGTGAGTAGATCTTTATCCTGAACTTCAGAGTAACAAAATTATTTTTTTTTCAGTGAAACCACACATTGATCGCGACGCTCTTCACAATCTCACAATCAAGGCTGGCCAATCAATCACCTTCGATGTTCCAGTTTCCGGAGAACCCGCTCCAACTGTAACCTGGCATTATCCAGATGGCAGAGAGATCCGAAACGGTGGCCGTGTCAAATTAGACAACCCAGATTATCAATCGAAGTTGGTTATTCGACAAATGGAACGAGGCGACAGTGGAACATTCACAATCAAGGCTGTCAATCCGAACGGAGAAGATGAGGCGACTGTGAAGATCAACGTTATCGACAAACCAACTTCACCGAATGGTCCGCTTGATGTTATCGATGTTGCCGCCGATCATGTTACCCTCGATTGGCGCGCACCTGATGATGACGGTGGAATTCCAATCGAGAACTATGTCATCGAGAAATACGATACCGCAAATGGTCGATGGGTTCCAGCCGCAAAAGTTGCTGGCAATCAAACCCAAGCTGTCGTCGAAGGTCTCATTCCTGGACACGAATATAAATTCCGAGTCGCGGCTGTCAATGCAGAAGGCGAATCTGATCCATTGGAAACCTTCGGAACAACTTTGGCCAAAGATCCATTTGACAAACCAGGAAAGACTGGCGCTCCAGAAGTCACTGATTGGGACAAAGATCATGTGGATTTGGAATGGAAGCCGCCGGCAAACGATGGCGGAGCACCGATCGAGGAATATGTGGTTGAGATGAAAGACGAGTTCTCACCATTCTGGAATGAGGTTGCTCATGTTCCAGCTGGACAAACCAATGCGACAGTCGGAAATCTTAAGGAGGGATCGAAATATGAGTTCAGAATTCGTGCGAAGAACAAGGCTGGACTCGGAGATCCGTCGGATTCTGCTTCAGCTGTTGCCAAAGCCAGAAATGGTGAGATTTGAATTTGGGTGGGGCTGGATTGGGCTTTCAATCCTAAAAAGGCTAAGCCTATGGCTAAGCCTATAGCTATGGCTAAGCCTATGGCTATGGCTAAGCCTAAGCCTATGGCTATGGCTAAGCCTATGGCTAAGCCTATGGCTATGGCTAAGCCTATGGCTATGGCTAAGCCCATGACTATGGCTATGGCTAAGCCTATGGCTAGGCCTATGGCTAAGCCTATGGCTAAGCCTAAGCCTATGGCTAAGCCTATGGCTATGGCTAAGCCTATGGCTATGGCTAAGCCTATGGCTATGGCTAAGCCTAAGCCCATGGCTAACCAAACCTTACTAAGCTAGAGCCTTGACCTAAACCTAATAAGCCTAAGCCTTATAAGCCTAAGCCCAAGCCCAACCTAAGCCTTGAACCTTCCCGAACAATCCAACAACATTAATTTTTCAGTTCCACCAGTCATCGATCGCAATTCGATTCAAGAGATCAAGGTCAAGGCCGGTCAAGATTTCGCTCTCAACATTCCAGTTTCCGGAGAACCAACTCCCGAAATCACCTGGACATTCGAAGGAACTCCAATCGAATCCGACGATCGTATGAAACTTGTCAACGATGATGGAAGAGTGAGTTGTTTTCCCGAATTTTTTCCAGCCAAAATGTCCCGAATTTTCAGACAAAGTTCAATGTGAAACGCGCTCTTCGCTCCGACACCGGAACCTACGTCATCAAGGCACAAAATGTGAACGGAACCGATACAGCCGAAGTCAAAGTCATCGTTCTCGATCACCCATCAAATCCACGTGGACCTCTTGATATTGTCAACGTCACCAAGGATGGTTGCGATCTTGCGTGGAAGGAGCCTGAAGATGACGGTGGTGCTGAGATCAGTCACTATGTTATCGAAAAACAAGATGCCGCAACTGGCCGATGGACTGCTTGCGGTGAAAGCAAAGACACGAATTTCCATGTCGATGATTTGGCGCAAGGACATGAGTACAAGTTCAGAGTCAAGGCTGTCAATCGATATGGCGATTCAGATCCATTGGAGGCTCGTGAACCGATCATCGCAAAAGATCCATTCGACAGAGCTGACAAGCCCGGAACTCCAGAGATCACCGATTGGGACAAAGATCACGCAGATCTCAAATGGACTCCACCAGCCGATGACGGAGGTGCGCCAATCGAAGGATATCTTGTCGAAATGCGCACACCAAACGGGGACTGGGTTCCAGCCGTCAAAGTCGGACCAGATCAACTCACAGCCACTGTCGATGGCCTGAAACCCGGGCAGACCTATCAGTTCAGAGTGAAGGCTTTGAACAAGGCTGGAGAATCGACACCGTCGGATCCGAGTCGAACAATGGTGGCGAAGCCGAGACATTTGGCACCGAAAGATCAATCGAGATATGTTCATCGCTCAACGAATCCGCGCCGGGCAGACTCTTAACTTCGATGTGAATGTTGAAGGTGAACCTGCGCCGAAGATCGAATGGTTCTTGAATGGAACTCCACTTCCATCCGCCGGCAAAACTCACATCGACAACAACACCGATAACAATACCAAATTAACAACCAAGGATACAGCTCGCGCCGATTCCGGAAAGTACAAGATTGTCGCCACCAATGAATCAGGAAGGGATGAATACGAGGTGGATGTGAATATTTTGGACATCCCTGGCGCACCCGAAGGACCTCTCCGTGCTAAAGATATCACCAAGGAGAGTGCCGTGCTTCATTGGGACGAGCCTTTGGATGACGGCGGTTCACCAATCACAAATTATATCGTCGAGAAGCAAGAAGATGGTGGAAGATGGGTTCCATGTGGGGAAACATCTGACACATCGCTCAAAGTTGGCAAATTGCAAGAGGGACATGAGTACAAGTTCCGTGTCAAGGCCGTCAATCGGCAAGGACAATCCGCACCGCTCACTTCGGATCATCCGATCGTCGCCAAGAATCCATTCGATGAACCAGACGCGCCGACCGATGTTACACCAGTTGACTGGGATAAAGATCATGTGGATTTGGAATGGAAGCCGCCAGCAAATGATGGCGGAGCACCAATCGACGCATACATTGTTGAGAAGAAGGACAAATTCGGAAATTGGGTTGAGTGTGCAAAAGTTGACGGAAAGACTACTAAAGCTACAGCGGATAATTTGACACCCGGCGAGACCTATCAATTCCGTGTCAAGGCTGTGAACAAGGCTGGACCTGGAAAACCATCAGATCCCACGGGAGATGTGATCGCGAAGCCAAGAAGAATGGCACCGAAACTCAATTTGGCTGGACTTTTGGATTTGCGAATCAAGGCGGGAACACCAATCAAGATGGATATCACTTTCGAAGGGTGAACCTGCGCCAGTCGCAGTTTGGAAGGCTAACGATGCGACGATTTCGACAGGAGATCGAGCAGATGTTACAAACACCCCAACATCTTCATCGATTCATATCTTCTCCGCGGTTCGCGGAGATACCGGTGTCTACAAAATCATCGTTGAAAACGAGCATGGCAAAGATTCCGCGCAATGCAACGTCACAGTTCTCGATGTGCCTGGAACTCCAGAAGGACCATTGAAGATCAACGAGGTTCACAAGGAGGGTTGCACATTGAACTGGAAGCCACCAATCGATAATGGCGGCTCCGATGTTCTTCATTATATTGTTGAGAAGATGGACACGAGTCGTGGAACTTGGCAAGAATGCGGAACATTCCCCGACACAACTGCAAAGATCAACAAACTTGTGCCAGGAAAGGAATATGCATTCAGAGTTAAGGCTGTCAATCTTCAAGGCGAATCAAAACCATTGGAAGCGGAAGATCCGATCATCGCCAAGAATCAATTCGATGTTCCAGATCCAGTCGACAAACCAGAAGTGACAGATTGGGATAAAGATCGTGTTGATATCAAATGGGAGCCAACCAAGAATAATGGCGGTGCTCCAGTCACTGGATATATTGTTGAGAAGAAAGAAAAGGGCAGTTCACTATGGACCGAGGCTGGAAAAACATCGGGAACAACATTCAGCGCGAATAATTTGAAACCTGGCGTCGAATATGAGTTCAGAGTTGTGGCTGTGAATGCAGCCGGACCATCCGATCCTTCCGAACCAACAGATCCACAAATCACCAAGGCACGATATTTGAAACCAAAGATTTTGACGGCCAACAGAAAGATCAAGATCAAGGCTGGTTTTAGTCACAATTTGGAGGTTGAATTCGTCGGAGCACCTGATCCAACAGCAACTTGGACACTTGGCGATGCTGGAGCACCACTTGCACCAGAACTTATTGTTGACGCAAAGAGTTCGGTCACTTCAATCTTCTTCCCATCGGCAAAGAGATCGGACAGTGGAAACTACAAGCTCAAGGTTAGTAGCTCGGGGAATTAGGTTAACTTGGGTGCGGCTGGATTGGGAGTGAGCCTTAATTCTAATCCTAACAAGGCTAAGCCTATGGTTAAGCCTAAGCCTATGGCTAAGCCTAATAAGCCTAAGCCTAACTAAGTTTTAACAAAGCTTTAAACAAAAAAGCCTTAAACTAAGCCTAAGCCTATGACTAAGCCTAAGCCTATGGCTAAAACCCCAATAGCCTAATAAGCCTAAGCCTAACTAAACCTAAGCCTGAGCCCGAAACTAGCATTAACGAAGCCTAAGCATATTGTTAAGCCTAAAACTATGGCTAAGCCTAATAAGCCTAAGCCTATTGTTAAGCCTAAAACTATGGCTAAGCCTAATAAGCCTAAAACTATGGCTAAGCCTAATAAGCCTAAGCCTATAGTTAAGCCTAAGCCTATGGTTAAGCCTAAAACTATGGCTAAGCCCAATAAGCATAAGCCTATGGTTAAGCCTAAGCCTATGGTTAAGCCTAAAACTATGGCTGAGCCTAATGAGCCTTAGCCTACGTAAACCTACGCCTGATCCTTAAACTAGACTTAACGAAGCCTAAGCCTATTGTTAAGCCTAAGCCTAAAACCCCGGAGCAGGCGGTTAGCGCCCACGTCTCTGTTTTGAGGGTTTCAGGTTCGAGCCCGCCTCGCGACTATTTTTTTTCGATTTTTTTAAAAATATTCAAAAAAAATAGTCGCGAGGCGGGCTCGAACCCGAAACCTTCAAAACAAAGTTGTAGACGCTAACCGTCTGCGCCGTTTGGTCAAGACACTATTGCTCATTTTTAAGCTTTTCAAATTAAACCTGATAAATCTTACAGGTCAAAAACGAGCTCGGAGAAGATGAAGGTGTGTTCGAAGTTATTGTTCAAGATCGACCGAGTGCACCAACCGGACCACTTGAAGTATCAGATGTCACCAAAGACAGTTGTGTATTGGCGTGGAAACCACCAGCAGATGATGGCGGCGCAGAAATCAGCAACTATGTTGTCGAAAAACGCGACACCAAAACAAACACCTGGGTTCCAGTCTCAGCATTCGTCACCGGAACCTCAATCACTGTTCCAAAATTGCAAGAGGGACACGAATACGAATTCCGTGTTATGGCTGAGAATTCGTTCGGAAGATCGGATTCATTGAACACCGACGAGCCAGTTCTTGCCAAGGATCCATTCGGAACTCCAGGAAAACCAGGACGTCCAGAGATTGTGGATACTGATAACGATCATATTGATATCAAGTGGGATCCACCAAGAGATAATGGCGGGTCGCCTGTGGAACATTATGATGTTGAGAGGAAGGATGTTAAGACTGGAAGATGGATCAAGGTTAATACATCGCCAGTTCATGGAAATGCTTTCTCCGACACCCGAGTTCAAAAGGGTCATACCTATGAATATCGTGTGGTTGCTGTCAACAAAGCTGGACCTGGTGCACCTTCAGATCCATCAGCTTCAGCTACAGCGAAGCCAATGCATGAAGCTCCAAAGTTCGACTTGGATGTTGATGGAAAGGAGTTCAGAGTCAAGGCTGGAGAACCGTTGGTGATCGAGATTCCATTCACCGCTTCACCAAAACCAGACATTTCCTGGACTGACGCGGCTGGTAAACAGATTGCTGGCGTTGAAACAACTGACACTCAAACAAAATTGGTGATTCCCTCAACTAGAAGATCGGATAGCGGTCCAGTCAAGATCAAGGCTGTTAATCCATATGGAGAGGCTGAGGCCAACATCAAGATCACAGTTATCGACAAACCGGCAGCTCCGGAGAACATCACATATCCAGCTGTTACTCGTCACACTTGCACATTGAATTGGGACACACCGAAAGATGATGGAGGCGCAGAGATCAGTGGATATCGCATCGAATATCAAGAGATCGGCTCGCAAATCTGGGACAAAGTTCCTGGCTCGATTTCCGGAAACAGCTACACAGTTCGCGGTTTGGAACACGGCCAACAATATCGCTTCCGCATCCGCGCCGAGAACATCGTCGGACTCTCCGATTACTGTCAAGGACATCCGGTGGTCATCAAAGATCCGTTCGACCCTCCAGGTGCACCAAGCACGCCGGAAATCACTGGATACGACAGCAATATGGTTGCATTGTCGTGGAATCCACCAAGAGAAGATGGTGGCTCGCCGATCATTGGATATGTTGTGGAAAGATTTGAGAAGCGTGGCGGTGGCGATTGGGCACCAGTCAAGATGCCAATGATCCGGGGAACTGAATGTGTTGTGCCGGGGCTACACGAAAATGAAACTTATCAATTCCGTGTACGCGCTGTAAATGCCGCCGGTCAAGGTGAACCCAGTGGCGGAACCGAGCCAATCACCTGCCGCCCGTATGTCGAGAAACCAGGAGCACCAGATGCACCAAGAGTCGGAAAGATCACCAAGAACTCGGCTGAAGTTACCTGGAACAGACCACTAAGAGATGGCGGTGCTCCAATCGATGGATATTACGTTGAGAGGAAGAAATTGGGAGATAATGATTGGGTGCGATGCAATGATAAGCCAGTGAGAGAAACCGCGTTTGAAGTCAAGAATTTGGGCGAGCGTGAAGAATATGAGTTCAGGGTTATTGCTGTGAACTCTGCTGGCGAGGGAGATCCATCAAAACCATCGGATTTGGTGTTGATTGAAGAGCAACCTGGTAGACCGTGCTTCGATATTACTAGCTTGAAAGATATCACTGTTCGAGCTGGGGAAACTATCCAAATTCGAATCCCATATGCTGGCGGAAATCCAAAACCAATCATTGATTTGTTCAATGGAACTTCACCGATCTTCGAGAACGATCGAACTGTTGTTGATGTCAATCCGGGAGAATTGGTCATCACAACAACGCACTCGAAGAGATCCGATGCTGGACCATACAAGATTTGCGCGTCTAACAAATACGGAAAGGACACCTGCAAGCTCAACGTGTTCGTCCTCGACGCTCCGGGCAAACCAACCGGTCCGATTCGAGCGACCGACATCGAAGCCGATGCGATGACGCTCTCCTGGCGCCCGCCAAAAGACAACGGTGGCGATGAGATCACAAATTATGTTGTTGAGAAGAGAACACCTGGAGGTGAATGGGTTAAAGTTGGACATCCGGTTGGAACATCAATCCGTGTTCGAAACTTGGATCCAAACACTCCGTATGAGTTCCGTGTCCGCGCCGAAAATCAATATGGAATCGGAGAACCGTTGGAGACTGACGATGCGATTGTTGCCAAGAGTCCCTACGACACTCCAGGAGCTCCAGGTCAACCAGAAGCTATTGAAACATCGGAAGAAGCGATTACACTTCAATGGACAAGACCGACTTCTGATGGTGGCGCTCCGATTCAAGGATATGTTATCGAAAAACGTGAAGTTGGAACTGGAGAATGGACAAAAGCTGCGTTCGGCACAATTTTGGACACAAAACACCGTGTTACCGGTTTGACCCCAAAGAAAACCTACGAATTCCGTGTGGCTGCTTTCAACATCGCTGGACAGGGTGACTATAGTGAGAATTCGGTGCCAATCACCGCTGATAATGCTCCAACAAAACCACGAATCAATATGAGCATGTTGACCAGAGATGTTTTGGCGTATGCTGGAGAACGAGCCAAGATTTTGGTGCCATTTGCAGCTTCGCCAGCACCAAAGGTAGGGGGGAAACTGAAATTTTTCAGGTTTTGGGCATTTTTTGCGAGCTCGCATTTGCGGCTGCGTGGTCGAGTGGTCTGCACTTCTGCCGACCGTTTGCAAAACCAGGGTTCGACCCCCACTGGTTGCTCAACATTTTTAATTTTTTTATTTTCATGAATAAAAGAGCTGGCGAACCCTGGTTTTGCAAAAGGCCTAGGCCTAAGCCTAACTAAGCCCTAGCCTAACTAAGCCTAAGCCCTAGCCTAACTAAACCTACGCCTTAGCTTAACTAAGCCTAAGCCTAACTAAGCCTAAGCCTTAACTTAACTAAACCTAAGCCTAAGACTAACGAAGGATAAGCCCACTTAATCCTAAGCCTAACTAAGCCTAAGCCTAAGCCTAAACCCCAAATGGCGCAGTCTAGAGCTTCGCTCAGCCTGCGCCTGAAACCAATCAAGCCTTCTAAGCCTGTCTAACCAAGCCTAAGCCTTAGCCTGACCAAGACTAGTCCTTAGCCTAACAATACCTAAGCCTAAGACTAACTAAGCCTAAGGCCTTAGCCTAACCAAGCCTTAGCCTAACTAAACCTAAGCCTCAGCCTAACTAAACCTAAGCCTAAGCCTTAGCCTTAAACCTAAGCCCAACCAAGCCTAACAATACCTAAGCCTTAAGGTTTAGCCTAAATAAGCCTTAGCCTAAGTCCAATTAAGCCCCAGCCTAACCAAGCCTAAGCCTAACTAAGCCCAAACCTTAGCCTAAATAAGCCTAAGCCTTAGCCTAAATAAGCCTAAGCCTTAGCCTGATGAAGTCTAAGCCTAACGAAGGCTGAGCCCACTCAAGTCTAAGCCTAACAATACCTAAGCCTTAGCCTACCGAAGCCTAACCTTCTAAGGCTTAGCCTAACCAAGCCTAAGCCTAAGGTTTCGCCTAACTAAGCCTAAGCCTAAAAAGCCTAAAAGCCTACCTGAGGTCCCACTTTTTCACCTAAAATTTTTCCGTTTACCAGCACACCGCAAAAAAATGAAATAAATTGAAATTTCGAAAAAAAAAAATTTTTTTTTATTTTTATTTTTTTCCAGGTCACGTGGTCCAAAGGAGAAAACAAAATTAGCGAGAAAGATTCGCGCGTCAAAATTGAATACAACGATTATTTGGCAACGCTCACAATCGATAAGAGTGAATTGAACGACGGTGGATTGTATTTCATCGAACTCGAGAATAGTCAAGGAAGTGACAGTGCCAGTATTCGATTGAAGGTCGTCGACAAACCGGCTCCACCACAAGGATTGCGAGTTGAGGATATTTCACCCGATTGTTGCACCCTTCTTTGGTTGCCACCAACAGCTGATGGCGGTTCGCCGGTCACCAATTACATTGTTGAAAAACTTGATCTTCGTCACTCGGATGGAAAATGGGAGAAAGTCTCGTCATTTGTCAGAAATCTCAATTACACTGTCGGCGGTCTTGTCAAAGATAACAGATATCGATTCCGTGTTCGTGCTGAGAATCAATATGGAACATCGGAGCCTACTGAACTTGCCGATCCGGTCACTGCCAAATATCAATTCGAGGTTCCAAATCAACCGGAACCACCAACGGTTCGGGATATGGATTCGACGTGGGCTGAACTTGAATGGGATCCACCGAGAGATGGAGGCTCGAAGATTCTTGGATATCAAATTCAATATCGAGATACTTCATCGGGACGTTGGATCACAGCCAAGATGGACCTGGTTGAACAATGTCACGCTAAAGTCACCGGTCTTCGTGAAAACGGTGAATACGAATTCAGAATCATCGCCAAGAACGCGGCTGGTTTCTCAAAACCATCTGGACCATCAGACCGATGCAAACTTCGCTCAAGATTCGGACCACCAGGCCCACCAAGTCAAGTTGGCGCAAAATCTATTGGAAGAAACCACTGCACAATCACCTGGGTTCCACCGCTTGAAGATGGAGGCTCAAAGATCACTGGATACAACGTTGAAGTTCGCGAATATGGCAGCACTTTGTGGACAGTCACAAGTGACTACAATATTCGTGATCTTGAGTACACTGTTGACAGACTTCGCGAGTTCAATGATTATGAATTCCGAGTTGTTGCGATTAATGCGGCTGGAAGAGGAATTCCATCTCTGCCATCTGGACCAATCAAGATTCAAGAAGCTGGAGGATCTCGCCCTCAAATCGTTGTCAAACCCGAAGACACCGCTCAACCCTACAATCGTCGTGCTGTATTTGTTTGCGAAGCTGTCGGTCGACCTGAACCAACTGCAAGATGGATGAGAAATGGAAGAGAGCTCCCAGAGAGTAGTAGATATCGATTCGAGGCTAGTGATGGTGTCTACAAGTTCACTATCAAAGAAGTTTGGGATATTGATGCTGGAGAATATACTGTGGAAGTTGCAAATTCATTTGGAACTGATACCGCAACAGCTAAACTGATTGTTCAAGCTCCACCAGTCATCGAGAAAGATGTGCCAAACACAATTCTTCCGAATGGCGATCTAGTTCGTCTCAAGATCTATTTCTCCGGAACTGCACCATTCAGACACAGCTTAACGTTGAACAAAGAGGAAGTCGATCCAGATCATCCAACTATTCGAACTGTCGAATTCGACAATCACATCCTCATCACAATTCCAGCATTATCCGTCAGAGAATCAGGAAGATACGAATACACCGTTTCTAACGATTCCGGTGACGCTACAACCGGATTCTGGCTCAATGTCACTGGATTACCCGAACCACCACAAGGCCCACTTCATATTAGCAACATCGGCCCATCGACTGCCACATTAGCCTGGCGACCACCAGTTACAGATGGTGGATCAAAGATCACAAATTATGTTGTGGAGAAGAGAGATTTGAGCAAGGATGATTGGACGATTGTTGCATCGAATGTTAAGGATATGAATTATATTGTGACTGGACTTTTCGAAAATCACGAATATGAATTCCGCGTTTCGGCTCAAAATGAGAATGGTCAAGGCGCCCCATTAGTTGGAGAACATCCAATCGTTGCTCGTCTACCATTCGATCCACCAACCTCCCCGTTGAACTTGGAGATCACCCAAGTTGGCGGCGATTACGTCACCCTCACTTGGCAACGTCCAGCGTCTGACGGTGGCGGTCGACTTCGAGGATATATCATTGAGAAGCAAGAGGAGGGACATGATGAATGGTTCAGATGCAATCAGAATCCATCGCCACCAAACTCCTACAATGTGCCAAATCTCATCGATGGTCGAAAATATCGTTATCGTGTGTTCGCTGCGAATGATGCTGGACTATCGGATCCCGCTGAAATTGATCTCACTCAATTCCACTCATCTGGCTCGGGAGATGCTCCAAAGATTATCTCCGGGTTGAGCGATTTGTCAGCGGAAACTGGAAGATCTGTGACTTTCGAGTGCGAGATCAGTGGATCACCAAGACCAACTTATAAATGGTTCAAGGGATGCAAAGAGCTTGTCGATACCAGCAAATACACTTTGATCAACAAGGGAGATAAACAAGTTTTGATTATTAATGATCTGACTTCGGAAGATGCTGATGAATATACATGCCGTGCTACAAACACATCTGGAACTAGAAGTACTCGAGCGAATTTGAGAATCAAGACGAAGCCTAGAGTCTTTATCCCACCAAAATATCATGGTGGATATGAAGCACAAAAGGGTGAAACCATCGAAGTCAAGATTCCATACAAAGCTTTCCCACAAGGAGAAGCCAGATGGAGCAAGGATGGGGAAAAGATCGAGAATAATTCGAAGTACAGTATCACTACCGATGAGAAATTCGCAACTCTTCGAATCTCAAACGCGAGTCGCGAAGATTTTGGAGAATATCGAGTTGTTGTTGAGAATTCTGTTGGATCTGATTCAGGAGTTGTTCAACTAACCGTCGCCGATGTTCCAGAATCGCCAAGATTCCCAATCATCGAAAACATTCTCGATGAAGCTGTCATTCTATCGTGGAAACCACCAGCATTGGATGGCGGATCTTTAGTCACCTCATACACCATCGAAAAACGCGAAGTCAACGGTGGATCATGGGAAGCCTGCGCAAAGAGCAGATATTCATACACAACCATCGAAGGACTTCGAGCTGGACGTCAATATGAATTCAGAATTATCGCCGAGAACAAGCATGGAGCATCGAAACCGTGTGAACCAACGGCTCCAGTTTTGATTGCGGGAGATGCCAGAAAACGGCGACGCGCTTATGATGTTGATGAACAGGGAAAGATTGTTCGAGGTAAAGGACCGGTCTCGTCGAATTATGACAATTATGTGTTCGATATTTGGAAGCAATATTATCCGCAACCAGTTGAGATTAAACATGATCATGTGCTTGATTTGTATGATGTTCATGAAGAAATTGGAACTGGAGCTTTTGGAGTTGTTCACAGGTTTGTGGAATAATTTTTTTCCCGTTGGGGTGGGGAACCCTGGCAAGCGGCCTAAGCCTTAACATAATTAAGCCTAGGCCTAAGCCTGATTAATCCTTAGCCTAATTAATCCTAAGCCTAAACCTTATCCAAAATAAGCCTAAGCCTTATCCCAAATAAGGCTAAGCCTAATCTAGGCTAGACCTTAGCTTAACTAAACCTAAACCTAATTAAGCCTAGGCCTAAGCTTTATCCAGAAAAAGCCGAAGCCTTAGCCTCAACCCAACTAAACCTAAACCTAACTAAGCCTAAGCCTCACTAATTCTAATCCTGACTAAGCCTAGGTCTTAGCCTAAATCAGCTTTAGACTAACTAAGCCTTAACCTAATTAAATCTAAGCCTTAGCCTAACTAATCCTAAGCCTGATTAAGCATAAGCCTAATTGAGCCTAAGCCTTAGCTTAACTAAACCTTTTTTAGATTAAGCCCAAGCCCTACCCTAACTAAGCCTGAACTTAATGAAGCCTAAGCCTTAACCTAATTAGGCCTAAGCCTAAGCCTGATTTATCATAAGCCTAATTAGACCTTAGCCTAATTAATCCTCTTCTTATCCAAAACAAGCCTAAGCTTTAGCCCAAATAAGGCTTAGCCTAATCAAGGCTAGGCCTTATGTTAGCTTAACTAAACCTGAACCTAATTACGCCTAGGCCTAAACCTTACCCAGAATAAGCCTAAGCCTTAACCTACCTAAGCCTAAGCCTAATCTTTCTTCCATAAATCTTTCTTCCATAAAAAAAGATAAGAAAAACATGTTGGGAGCTCAAGGATCTACTATTTGTTCGTTGAATGGGTCTCGTCGCGATGTGATGCGCTGTGTGTTTGCGTTTTTCATTTTTTACTTTTTTTTTTTCATTTTTCCTTTTGTTTCTCCCCGTTTTTTTGTTTTGCGTGAAAATTGCGATTATATAGTTGAACTGCTATCTCAAGTTTTACATTCAGTCAGAGTTTTCTCTCTCGCAACCTGGTTTTAGGCGCCGCGGTGCTTTTCAATCAATATGATTCGAAAAAGGCACAAAATGAGTGTTTTAATTTAGCAAATTACAATTTATTGTTTGTTCATATCTTTTGCGTCTAGCAGCTTCAAATAAAAGGTAGGAAAATGAGCTGTTTCGAGTATTTTCTTGAAATTTTTCCTCTGAAATCGCAGATCCTAGAAGGAAACCTATTTTTGCAGCTTTTTTTGCAGATGAACTGAAATAATGTCTTAGTCATTCAACTACTTATAGGAAGTTTTTATTCAATCCGATTTGAATCGCATTTTCGTTAGTTTTAGATAGGAAACGCTGTAGGATGTTACCAAACATCGAAAAAACTCAGAATTAGAGACAATTACAACTTTTTGAAGCTTTTCCATAGAAAACTAAGCAGATAGTGCTCATTTATAAGAACAACGTCGCCCTCAGCAGCTTTCAATAAGTATTATCACTTCACAGAAAGCTGCGTTTTTCACGATAACGTTTCTATTCTGCGCATTTTACTTTGATTACCGTCATAGAACAACAGCAATTAATTTTTCTTTTTGTGAACTCGTGAGATCGTAAAATTTTATTTCTTATAAAGCCATACTTCAAACTTGATGACAAACATTATTTCAGCGCAGAAACCACTCGTGGCGCTGGAAACTCGACACGTGGAAAACCAATGTAAGTTTTTTTTCTAAAATAATTCTTCAATTCTTCAATAATCAAAATTTCTTCTATTGATTTGAAAATCAAAAAGTTATTTCTAGATTAATTTGTCAATAATCGCATTTTCTGCCATCATGATAGAAAAATTGACGATAAAAGCGAAATCTTTTAAATTGAATAAACTAACAAGCAATGTGACTCCCTGAAAAAGTTCGGTTTTATGTTCAAATAGTCTTATGGGGAGTTATGAAAAACCCAAAGGGTATTTTGTAAGTGAAAATTCCTTTAATGAGAATCCAGAAGTTGAAATTCTGTTTTCAACAATTTTCAAAAGAAAAGATAAAACGTTCTATTAATGAAAATCCGTAATTCAGTTCAAACTCAACGAAAACACTCGATCAAAACCGCATTTTGAAGCTTGGGTGGGTGGATCTTTTGAATTGTTTTTTTGAGCGCTATTATCTATAAACCTTTGAATTTGATACATGAAAAAAATTCTAATTATTTTTCGAAAAAAAAGCGCTCCACAACAATTGAAAAGGGGGCAATTCAAGCTTCAAAACGCGTTTTTGATCGAAATGTTTTGTTGCGTTCGAGCTGAATTACGAACCTTGAAAAATATAATGTTTTTTGACTTCTTGAAAATTGTTCAGAATTCCAACTTCCTGATTCTCATGAAATACATTTTTACTTACAAAATCCCTATTGGGTTCGTCATAACTTCCCGTAAGACACTATTCAAACATACAACCGAACTTTTTCAGGGGGTCACATTGGGATCTATTCCTTGTAAAAATGAACTGGAGAACCATTATCCAAAATCAGAAAACTAAAAATAAATCGTACGAAAGTTTTTTAGCATGTAATTTTCCCTGTTGGTGATCCATCTCATTTCAAGATCAATGTCGGAAAACCTTGCATTTTTCGAAAAAAAAATTCCGTCATAGTGAGAATTTTTCCATATCATTTCACTTTTAAAAATTTCAATAATTTTCATGAAACAAAATCAAAAGTTCCTCGATCTTCTAAAATCATTTCTTTCGCTCACATTGCTTGAAAACCTGTTCCGAATTTCATGTTTAGATTCATTTAGAAAGTTAAGTTCTATTCTTTATCGAATGCTTCAGAAGCAATAATTTATGAAATCAGAAAATCGCTGAAAATCGCCCCGCCCCATTAAAGTTATATTTTGTTTAAAAAGAAATTTCCGAAAACAAAAATTATTATTATTCAAGAGAATTACCCAATCGAAAATTTTGAAAATACTGATTTTTCGTTTTTTTTCAAACTGCTTTTTGGACGACATTTTTATTTGACAGAGTTTGGAATTCGGTATGAATATACAATTCATAATCATAATTAAAGCAATAAAAATCAGAAAAAAACAATGCTTCCGCCAGTTTTTACATTCGAACAGTGATAATTTTTTAAGGCGATGTTGCAGATGAGTTTCTCCTCCGAGGAGAAATGAGGAGAAATGGGGCGAAATTCGAAAAATACATTGTTTCGCCTCCACCTGCAACACGTTTCTCCTCTTTCTCCTCAAATAGCTCGGGGGAGAAACTAATCTGCATCATCGCCTAACCAACAAACAACTATTATTAACATCTACGTCAAACATTTTTAATTAAATTCCAATTTTCACTTTTGAAACTGGATTCAAAATTTTGTTCAAAAATCGACATGATTGACTCAAAAAATTTTATACTTTCAACTGTTGATCTCATTGCTAAATTCAAAATAAATATCACCACGAAACAGGAATTTTTTAAACAAAAATCCTAGGTCTCTGAAAAAAACTTCTGAAACCCATAATTTGGAAATATGTGAAAGTTTTTCACTCGAAATGATGAATCTCCGATAAAAAGTTCAAATTTCAAACTTTAGAATATTTTTCTATCAATTTCATTGTAAAACATCGTTCAATTTCAAAACCAACAAACTTTGATCCAATTTCTAGAGCCTAAAATAAGCATTCAACTCCAAATATAAAAAAAGATCAAACTAAAAAAATCAAAATTGTAAAATTTTTAAAATAATTTTCAATTGTAAATCAAAATTCAATTTCCAAACCAACAAACATTGATCCAATTTCTAGAGCCTAAAATAAGCATTCAACTCCAAATATAAAAAAAGATCAAACTAAAAAAAATCAAAATTGTAAAATTTTTAAAATAATTTTCAAACTAATCTAGCAAGGTAAGAAAAATACATATAATCTTCTTTCGTTCTCATATGAATAGGAAAAACCTTCCTAAATAAATGACTAGAAATGTGATTATGCCTATAAGTTGAAAACCTCCCGAAATCCGTTTAAAGATTTCCATAAACTTGTTTCAGGTTTATAATAATTCTATTTTTAACACCAAAAACGAAAGATTTAAATAGCGAACCCTAAAATTTTTTCATGTGATTGATTTTCTGAAAATATAAAATTGAATGAGCTTGATTTCGAAAATCAGGGTTCATGAAATGATCTATATCAAAGTAAAAAAATGCCAAAAATGAGGGGGCAAAATTTTTTCATTCCAAAAACTCTCCGACACAGTTTCAATTTTTACCTAACAATAAATTCCAAATTATCGACTATATAAAATTTCAATGAAATCATTATTTTTTCATATGTATTATCTATCAATAATTTTCAGGTCTCGCCCTCAACAACTACATGCACACGCAACACTGGGATATTCAACATAGTGGTAATTTTTAATTTTTGCTTTATTTTCAATAAATTTTATGAAATCACTATTTTTGATAAATTTTTATTGTCAATCCGAAAAATAAGCACCTTGGAATAGAACCAAAAATGGTCTAGAAATCCAAAGCTACAGTAGACTTCGCAAAATTTTAGAGTTTATTTGAAAAATAAAATCCGAAATTTACACTGGCAAACCAGTTTGATAAGTAATTTTTATTCTACTGTACGTGAAAGACAATTCAAACAGGGGATATTTTTTTCGGTTTGACAATACTTGGAATGTATTAGTTTCTACGTTTCACTCGCTCACGTGAACTGTGAGGAATTTGAATTCATGCCTGGAATGAGTACACCGTGAAGTCGTGATTTTCGAGCCTTTTAAAAACCACAAATATCGTAAAAACTTCTCGGCACTAAACGGCAAACTAACTTTGAAGAGGTTTTCAGAGAAGGGGTTTTCAAAATATGTAATTTTGAAGGCTTGAAGTAATAATCAAAGTTGTTTTCAGAAGTAGCTAGGGTTCAGAATGTCAAGCGTAATCTGAATCGTACTATTAAGTTTTATGTAAAGTGAAAATATTCAACACCTGGGAGCATAACATTTTAACTTGGCTAACTTTCTACAAAGCATTCCCAGATTTCAGCAAAAATGTGGGGAAAAGGGTTAACTTTGATAATTTTTCAATGAGCGAGCCTATCCGAGAAAGTTAGCTTGAATAAACTATCTTATGTTCGAATATGTAACAAATTATTCCATGGAGCAAGGCTTAGTATTAGTATGGGCCGAAGGCCCAGACTCAGATTAGGCTTAGGCTTAGTAAGGGCTGAAGGCCCCGACTCCGACCAGGCTTAGGCTTAGGCTTAGTAAGGGCCGAGGCCCATACTCAGATTAGGCTTAGGCTTAGGCTTAGTAAAGGGCCGAAGGCCCAGACTCAGATTAGGCTTAGGCTTAGGCTTAGTAAGGGCTGAAGGCCCCGACTCCGACCAGGCTTAGGCTTAGGCTTAGTAAGGGCCGAAGGCCAGACTCAGATTAGGCTTAGGCTTAGGCTTAGTAAGGGCCGAAGGCCCAGACTCAGATTAGGCTTAGGCTTAGGCTTAGTATGGGAGCCGAAGGCCCACCCTCAGATTAGGCTTAGGCTTAGTAAGGGCCGAAGGCCCAGACTCAGATTAGGCTTAGGCTTAGTAAGGGCCGAAGGCCCCGACTCCGACCAGGCTTAGGCTTAGGCTTAGTAAGGGCCGAAGGCCCAGACTCAGATTAGGCTTAGGCTTAGGCTTAGTAAGGGCCGAAGGCCCAGACTCAGATTAGGCTTAGGCTTAGTAAGGGCTGAAGGCCCCGACTCCGACCAGGCTTAGGCTTAGGCTTAGTAAGGGCCGAAGGCCCAGACTCAGATTAGGCTTAGGCTTAGGAAACCCAGTAAGGGCCGAAGGCCCAGACTCAGATTAGGCTTAGGCTTAGGCTTAGTAAGAGCCGAAGGCCCAGACTCAGATTAGGCTTAGGCTTAGGCTTAGTAAGGGCCGAAGGCCCAGACTCAGATTAGGCTTAGGCTTAGGCTTAGTAAGGGCCGAAGGCCCAGACTCAGATTAGGCTTAGGCTTAGGCTTAGTAAGGGCCGAAGGCCCAGACTCAGATTAGGCTTAGGCTTAGGCTTAGTAAGGGCCGAAGGCCCAGACTCAGATTAGGCTTAGGCTTAGGCTTAGTAAGGGCCGAAGGCCCAGACTCAGATTAGGCTTAGGCTTAGGCTTAGTAAGGGCCGAAGGCCCAGACTCAGATTAGGCTTTGGCTTAGTAAGGGCTGAAGGCCCCGACTCCGACCAGGCTTAGGCTTAGGCTTAGTAAGGGCCGAAGGCCCATGCTATGTATACTCAGTATGAATATGGTGTGAATGAAACTTTTTTTTACTAATTTCGCGTCAAATAAACAGATTGTTATGGCAGGGTGGTGACTGATCAAGTTTGAACAGAACGCACAAGGTCCACTAGTTAATCCTAAGCCTAACCAATTTTCAACAATTCCAGAGTCACTGAACGTGCAACCGGCAACAATTTCGCCGCCAAATTCGTCATGACTCCCCACGACGCTGACAAGGAAACCGTCCGCAAGGAAATCCAAACAATGTCAGCCCTTCGCCACCCAAAACTCGTCAATCTCCACGACGCTTTCGAAGATGAAAATGAGATGGTTATGATCTACGAATTCATGAGCGGTGGTGAACTCTTCGAAAAAGTCGCCGATGAACATAATAGAATGACTGAAGATGAAGCAATTGGATATATGCAACAAGTTTGTAAGGCTCTCTGTCATATGCATGAACAGAATTATGTTCATTTGGATTTGAAACCAGAAAATATCATGTTCACCACAAAAAGATCGGATGAATTGAAATTGATTGATTTCGGATTGGCCGCCCATCTCGACCCCAAACAATCAGTCAAAGTCACAACTGGAACAGCAGAGTTCGCCGCGCCAGAAATCGCCGAAGGCAAACCAGTCGGATACTACACAGATATGTGGAGTGTCGGAGTTCTCTCCTACATCCTTCTCTCTGGATTATCACCGTTCGGTGGAGCCAACGATGAGGAAACGTTGAAAAATGTGAAACGCTGTGATTGGAATATGGATGATTCGGCGTTTTCGAGTATTTCGGATGATGGAAAAGATTTCATTCGCAGACTTTTGCTCGCCGATCCATCAACCAGAATGACAATTCATCAAGCTTTGGAACATCCATGGTTGTCATCTCGAAATGTTGCTGGAAGAGACGAGCAGATTCCAAGCAGCCGGTACACAAGGATCCGCGAATCAATTCGTCAGAAATACGATGCTTGGCCAGAACCACTTCCACCACTCGGAAGAATTTCGAATTATTCTTCTTTGTGCAAACATCGCCCGCAAGAATATTCGATCCGCGACGCGTTCTTCGATCGATCCGAAGCGCAACCAAGATTCATTATCAAACCATATGGAACTGAAGTTGCTGAGGGACAATCTGCCAATTTCTACTGTCGAGTTATCGCATCTTCACCACCAGTTGTAACATGGCATAAGGATGAGAGAGAATTAAAGCAGAGTGTGAAATATATGAAGAGATATAATGGAAATGATTATGGTTTAACGATTAATCGTGTGAAAGGAGATGATAAGGGTGAATATGTGGTTCGGGCGAAGAATTCCTATGGAACTAAGGAAGAGATTGTGTTCCTGAATGTGACTCGAACTTCAGAACCCCTCAAATTCGAGCCGCTTGAACCTATGAAACGAGCACCAAGTTTGCCAAAGGTTGAAGAATTCAAAGAGAAAAGATCCGCACCGAAGTTCACATTCCATTTGAGACATCGATTGATTCAGAAGAATCATCAATGTAAATTGACATGTTCATTGCAAGGAAATCCAACACCAAAGATCGAATGGTCAAAAGATGGATATCCAGTGGATGAAGATCGAGTTCAAGTATCATTCCGAAGTGGAGTTTGTTCATTGGAGATTTTCAACGCAAGAATCGACGACGCTGGAACTTATACTGTCACAGCTACAAATGAACTTGGAACTGATGTATCGGAATGTGTGATAACTGTGCAAACCAAGGGAGGAGAACCGATTCCAAGAGTTTCGTCGTTTAGACCAAGAAGAGCTTATGATACTTTGTCGACTGGAGATGTTGAAAGATCACATTCCTATGCTGACATGAGAAGAAAATCATTGATTCGAGATGTGTCACCAGATGTCAGATCAGCTGCTGATGATTTGAAAACCAAGGTATTCTTATATTTATTTTTAAATTTACAAATTTACAATTATTATATAAGCAAAAAAAATAAGTGACCGTACCCTTCGTTTTTGTCGCGACGAGACACAAACCTTCAAAAAATCGATGCGCCTTTAATTTTCATCGAAAAAAGGCCGGCTATTACCGGTCAAAAGGGATTTAGAACAAATCTAAAGATGAATTTACTTCATTTTCGCAATTTTGAAGAGGAAAACGGGTTTTCTTCTATAAAGTAAATACTTAAAAATCTCCTTTCATAGTATTTTCTGCTTTAAACAGAGTCATTTTTCATTTTTGTTATCAATTTGGTTGATTTCTGCCTTTTTTTCATGCGGAAACATCGAAAACCTCGAAGATCCGAAAAAAAAAACAAAAAACACCGTAGTTTTTGAAAGACGCAGCACCCGAAACACACACAGGGTCTCGTCGCGAACGAGAGGGGGAAGAACTACGGTAGATATTTTTTCGAAATAATTATTTTTTTTTGCACACACAAATAATAACATTATTGATTTCAGGTGACAAATGAACTTCCATCATTCACACTTCAACTCAGCGATGCTCTTGCTGATGTTGGAGGATCGGCTGAATTTTCAGCCGAAGTATCAGGACAACCAGAACCACTTATTGAATGGCTTCACAATGGAGAACGGATAGGAAGTGATTCGCGATTTAAAACATTGTTCAGTTCTGGAAGAGCAACACTAAGGATATCTGACATCACAACATCGGATGAAGGACAATATCTATGTAGAGCATCAAATTCAGCTGGACAAGAGCAAACCAGAGCAAATTTGAGTGTTCGCAACACTGAAACACCGCTGACCAATGGGCACGCTGAAAGTGAATTGAAGATTGGAAAACATCTCGGTGGCCAGGTGGCCAATGTTGGTGAATCGGTGACTTTTGAAGCGCGTGTCGAAGGAAATGCCGAGGATATTTTATGGATGAGAAATGGACAAGAATTAGTAGATGGAGACAAGACAAGTATCACACAAAATGGTGAATCATACAAATTGGTAATTAATTCGGCTGAAGCCTCGGATGCTGGACATTATCAACTTGAAGTTCGATCAAAGGGAACCAATTTATTATCAGTCGCCTCGTTAGTAATTATTGAAGAAGATGGAAGTGTAGCTGATCCGCCAGTCACTCGACTTCCAACTTCAGTTTCGGCTAGTATTGGAGGACAAACATCGTTTAGTGTGGAATTTGAAAATGTTGATGGATTGACTGTTCAATGGTTCCGTGGATCGGAAAAAATTGAGAAGAACGAACGGGTCAAATCGGTCAAATCTGGAAACACTTTCAAACTAGATTTCAAAGTGAGTTTGCGGATTTGGGCGCCAAAATTATGATGAAATTTGAAATTTTTGCCAAAAATTTCAGATTTTCTTGATTTTTTGCTGAAAATCCAGTTTTTCCTCGACCCAAAAGCAAGAATTTGCTAGATTTCAAGCTTTCGGGTTGAAGAAAGGCTGAAAACCCCAGATTTTCTTGATTTTTTGCTGAAAATCCAGTTTTTCCTCGACCCAAAAGCAAGAATTTACCAGATTTCAAGGTTTCCGGTTGAAGAAAGGCTGAAAATTCCAGATTTTATTGATTTTTGGCTGAAAATCCAGTTTTTCCTCGACCCAAAAGCAAGAATTTCCAGATTTCAAGCTTTTGGGTTGAAGAAAGGCTGAAAATCTCAGATTTTCGCTGAAAATCCAGTTTTTCCTCGACCCAAAGGCAAGAAATTCCAGGTTACAAGCTTTCGGGTTGAAAAAAAGCTGAAAATTTCAGATTTTCTTAATTTTGGCTGAAAATCCAGTTTTTCCTCGACTCAAAAACAAGAATTTCCAGATTTCAAGCTTTTGGGTACAGGAAAAGCTCAAAAATTTCAAATTTTACAAAAAAAAGTCATTTTCTTTAAAAAAAACAAAAAAACAAAAACCCTTGCATCGAGTAGGAGTCGAACCTGGGTGCGTTGCGTGGGGATCTATCGTCTTGCCTGCTGCGCTACGCCACACATTTTGGAAACAGGCTAAAATTTCAAAGACTATAAAACTGATGCGCGCGCTGAAATTACAGGTGTCAAAAAAAAATTTAGTCAAATTTTAACAATTTTCGACCGGAAACCTTCGCAAGCTCTCTTTCAACCCTAATTTCATCCTAATTTCAGTCAATCGAACAAGACGACGACGGAATTTACGTGGCAAAAGTGGTGAAGGAAAAGAAAGCCATCGCCAAATACGCCGCCGCCCTATTACTCGTCTAAAACCACCACCATCAATTTTTCAGTTATATCATTTTTCTCTTCTTCATTTTGTTTTTCATTATACCCTTCCCCCACAAAACCTATTTGTATTTGTATCTATTAGTTCTCGTAGTCCTGTGTTTCCTTGTGTCGCCAAGCTTCTTTCGCCAAAAAAACAAATCTACTACTCATTATTTTTAATTCTCCGCAATTTTTCTGCTAATTTCGAAAAACTTTGAGCCCCCCCCCCTTTAAAATGTACTGTAGGATTTGAGGAATTGGGACGCCTCATTTCTGAAAGTATATTTTTTATATTAGGTAACAATTTTCTATTATATTTAATTATTTTTTCTATGATTCCAATGTTTCGGGACAAAACATTGTGTTTCAAAATTATAGCTTTCTAGATTTTTCCTTTTTTTTTGTTTTCAAAAACCCCCGGTTCAACTTTTTCTTAACAAGTGATCAATTCTGAGTATTAAAAATCAATGATTATCCTATTTTAATAATAATTTGTAAAAACTCCAAAGTTCTAGTCGGTAAAATCTCAACTTCTCTCATTTTTTATTTGTTTTCCCCTTTTTTTTTGCTCTGATAAATAAACATTTTCAAAATTATCTTAGTTAAACTATAGTCTAGTTTGTTGAAAAAAATTCAGAACATTTCGATACGAATTCGCCAAAATATGAAAGCCCGTGAAAAAACAATGTCAACACGGAGTCTCGTTGTGTTCTTTTCATTTTTTTGCACTTTTTTATTTTTTTTGCGGGGGAAATGGAAATTCTCATGGAAAAAACTATTTTCTGCGAATGAAAACAACATTTTTAAAAGAAAATCGATTTTTCTATGGAAATTGTGTTTTTCGAGCTTTTGACCCAATTTTGAAATGAAAATTTGTGATTTTCCAGGTTCTGGAGCAAAAAATTTGGGATTTTTTTCGATTCTGGAGAGAAAAACTATAATTTTCTAGGTTCTGGATCGAAATTGGGGATTTTTCGGGTTTTGAAGCGGAAAATTGTGATTTTCTAGGTTCTGGAGCAAAAATTCAGAATTTTCTAGTTTCTGAGGCGAAAAATTGAGATTTTCTAGGTCCTGGGGCAACATTTTGAGATTTTTTCGGTTCTGGAGCGAAAATTTGGTATTTTCTAGGTCCTGGAGCGAAAATTCGGGATTTTCAAGGTCCTGGAGCGAAAAACTGTGATTTTCTAAGTCCCGGAGCGAAAATTTGGGATTTTCTAGCTTCTGGACCTCAACAATCGTCCAAATTCAGTTCAGAACCTCAGAAACCGTGAAAATTCACTTCAGAACTTCAAAAATCGTCCAAATAAGCTATAGTCTAGTTTGATGGAAAAAATTCAGAACATTTCGATAAGAATTCGCCGAAATATGAAATCCCGTGAAAAAAACACAAATTCAAACCACGCGCGCTTGCAACGTCAACGCGGAGTCTCGTTGTTTTCTTTTCAATTTTTTTGCGAGAAAATGACAATTTGCATGGAAAAAACCGGGTTTTTTTTTCAAAAATAAAATAAAAAAATGTTTTTCAAACTTCATTGATTAAAGCAGAGCAAAAAATAACAGTTTGTACAATAAACATACATAATTTTAGAAAAAAACCAGTCATTTGATGAGAAAAACGTGCAAAGAAAGAAGAAAATAACATCAAAACTACCCCGCGACCAACAAAAAAAGAAGTAAAAAAAGTTAGGCGTTACAAATAATCACATTATTCTTCTTCTCCTCATCAAGTCCTTTGAGTTCATTAATAATTGTGTGAATTTCACGGCCACTTGTCTCCGGCAAAAGAATCAGCAGATAAATCAATGCAATCGATGATGGAATCGCAAACAACAACACAAACGAAAATGCTCCAATGCTCATGAAAAGCGGGATCGTTGAGAAATTCGTGATAACCACCAAGCAACTATGAATCGAATACACCAAACAGAACATCATTGATCGATTTTGTAGTGGTGAAAGTTCTGGTGGAATCGACCAAATCACCGGGCCAACACCGATTCCATATGACATTACAAATCCAAAACATGCTGCGATTGCGACAATTTGATTTTGAAGTTGTTCAGCGACAGCGAAAATACACATAAAGACAACAGTTCCAAATCCACAGGTGAGCAAAAGGATTCGACGTGGAATTCGATCGATAACCATTGTTGAGCAAATTGATGAACATGTTAGAACAACCATCATAAGACTTGAGGACATTTGAGAAGATTCGCTGGAAAAATTGATGGAATATTTTCATTTTTCAGGGAGAGTTCATTGATAAAATTCAAGTTTTCTAGTAGTTTTCGACGCGCTGATCACGATTCCGATATCAAAAATCGCAGAAATCAACTTCTAACATGAGTTATGACGTGGCAAAGTTCGAAAATTCGGATTTTAGGGGCTGAAAACTGGTTTCAAAGATAATTTTCTGTGATTCATATTTTAACCTCCTGAAATCCCGATTTTTGCCACGTCATAACTCAGAAGTTCTGCAATTTTTGGGATCGTTTTCAGCGGGCCGGAAATTACTAGAAAGTTGAAAAAGTTTCCTTTTCTAGAAATTTGAAAAAAACAATTTTCTGAATTTTTCAAAATCTTTTAAATTTCCAAGTTTTACAGCGTGAATATCAAAATTTTCAGAGACAATTAGAGACAATGTAAAATTGAGAGAGAGCAGACAGACAAACTAGTTTTTTTGTATTTTTGTCTAGACTCTCTCAATTTTACCTTGTCTCTAATAAACATGTATTTTTTTTTGTTAAATTTCCAAGACTGAAATTCAAAATTTTCAGAAAATTAGAGACAATGTAAAATTGAGAGAGAGCAGACACAAAAATTAGTTTTTTTGTATTTTTTGTCTAGACTCTCTCAATTTTACCTTGTCTCTAATAAAAATGTATATTTTGTTCGTTCTCTTATCGAAAATCTCACGCGCTCCACCGAAATAAACACGCAACGCAGACCGCGTCGCGCCACAACACAAGGGAACGATTCAAATTCCCTCCCTTTTTTGTGTGTGTTGTGGCGCGGCGCGGTCTGCGTTGCGTGTTTATTTCGGTGGAGCGCGAGATTTTCGATGAAAATTTTCCAAGTTTTACAGCATGAAATTCAAATTTTCCTCCCCAAAAAAAACTCACATTGAAATTCCCATATCAGTAAAGAAAAATGTGCTGCTTTGAAGAATCGGATAAAACGGAAGAGTCAAAATCGCAGCCGACACCGAAAGCAACATTGCCTTTCGTAAATGTGGAGTCCTGATAATATGCATCACCGAACTCTCATTCTTCGATTCTTCATTTTCCTGAACCTGATTCTCTTTTCCATGCTGTTCCATCGAATCAATCAACAAAGTTTGATCGGGCAAATATCCTTGGAAGAATCGCAGCGAATTCAACGCGGCTGATCGATCTTTTTTGACGAGCAGCAAGAATTTCGGCGTGTCCGGCATCCAACAAATGAAAATTGTTGACAAAATTCCGGGGATGATTGGGAAGAAGAGGAGGAGGGAAAGGGAATGTCCCAAAAGTCCTTCATGTCCTAAAATCATTCCGAGAAGGCACATTGTTGAATATCCTGTTGAATATAATGATGACATTGTACCACGAAGTGAAGCTGGCGAGATTTCCTGGAAAATTTTTTTCTAGATTTTTAATAAAAAATAAATTTTCTAGTAGTTTTCGACCTTCTGATCATGATTCCGATGTCTAAAATTGCAAAGCTCAACTTCTAATACGAGTTATGACGTGGCAAACTTCAAAAATCGGGACTTTAGCAGCTGAAAATTAGTTTCAGAAATGATTTTCATGAATATCTGCCCCGTTTGCTATAAAATCATTTTTGAAGCTTCTTTTCACCTCCTAAAGTCCCGATTTTCAAAATTTGCCACGTCATAACTCATATTAGAATTTGAGCTTTGCAGTTTTAGACCCCGTGATCGTGATCAGAAGGTCGAAAACGACTAGAAAATATTTATTTTATTGAAAATTTAATTTCTAGATTTTCAAAGTATATAGTTTTTAATCCGCCATGAAAATGATCCTAAAAATTGAAGAACTGAGTTATGACGTGGCAGACTTCGGGATTCTAGATTAAAATATGATTTTCATGCAAATCTGATAGCATAGGGTTGTTCGATTCGCCTCCCGATCAACCCTATGCTATCAGATTTGTATGAAAATCATATTTGAATCTAGAATCCCAAAATTTGCCACGTCATAACTCAGTTCTGCAATTTTTGGCATCATTCAAAAATCTACCTGAAGATACAAAATCAATGCAGCATCACTCAAAGGCGAAAAAACCGCCGCAATCAATCTTCCACCAATCATAACCTCCGAATAATGTGTAAAACTAGCCACCAATTGAATCGCCCCCGCCACCGTCATCATAGCAATCGATATAGCAAACGCGACTTTTCGCCCATACCTATCACACAAATACGGGCTACTCATTGCTCCAGCGACTTGCGCTAAGTACCACGCCGAATTGATTCCCGACTTCAAAAGTGAGACTTCCTCGTGATCCAATGGTCGATATCGTTCGGTAAATGAATTATTGAGATATTCGTTGAGTTTATGAACTGCCGTGTTGACAGAAGTGTGTGAGAATCCGGAAGGGAAGTTTGTCATTGCTGTGAGAAGTGAGCAAATGACAAAGAGACGAATGCCATTCAATGAGAACAATGAAGGATCAGAGCTCATTTTTGCTCTTGTTGAATATTTGGTCGCGGGGTAGTAGATCGGCAAATTAGATTTATTGTGTTAATTTTGAGATATGGGGCAGATTCCACGTTTGGGCACGATGCCACAAACACTGCCTTTCTTTGTTGCGCGCCTCTTCTGCCGTTGAGTTTCGGTTCTTTCCGGAGAGTTCCGCACGAAAGGACGCTGGTGTTAGCGGGGAAAGCTCTGCAAAAACAAATTGAATAATAATGCTAGACAAAAAAAAATAGTAAGAACTATTTACTAATAATGAAAACAAAAAAATAATGAAAACGGAAACAATGACACATCCACAAGAAGCTCCGCCCATTTTTTGGTGTTTTTGGGTGCGAATGTACGGAAAAAGTACCTTGACAGATACATCAGATATGCAAAGAATGCGATAATTATCGTGTTATTTGTTATAAATAATGAACTTGAACTTTTGGGATCAATTTTTGGAAAGGATCGAAATTTCAGTCAAAAAATGTCGGTCAAAATTAGTTTTTCGAGTTTTTCAGCCAAAAATGATGACAACTCGAGATTTTAGAAGCTTCTGAAGTGATATCTGATGAAAATAAGCTTCGACAACCCTACTTCACCTCATTTTGTTGATTTTTTCGAAATTCAGTAAAATTTGAAATTTTTTTATTTTACGAAAAACCTTGGAAACCTTGGAATTCACTTTTCAGAAGTTTAAAATGTTGATGAATTTCGAAAAAATTAACAAAATGAGGTGAAGTAGGGTTTTCGAAGCTCATTTTCATCAGATATCACTTCAGAAGCTTCAGAAATCTCGATTTGTCATCATTTTTGACTGAAAAACTCGAAAAACTAATTTTTTCTGATCTTTCGATATTGAAAAAAACATTCTTGTGAATCAATTTTTTTGAAATGAAAAACGTGCCCCAAATAAGTCCCACTTCACGTGGGAATTTTTGCGACAGGCATTTCTGAATTTAAAAAATGTTGGAAACAATGCTGTTTGGGTAAGGTTTTTATAATTGTAGTATCGAGATTTTGGTTGCGCATCGACTAAATGAAATTTTCATGTTTTTTTGAGCGAGTGAGTTGAAATCTTGGGTTTTAATCGAAATTCATAGGATAGGCAGGTCTAATATAGAAATTTTTATAACATTACCTTATCCATAAGTGATTTAGGGGCTTTTAGTTGATATTTTGTCGATAAACCGCTAAATCACTTACGGATAAGGTAATGTCATAAAAAATTTCTATATTAGACCTGTCTACTCTATGAATTTCAATTAAAACCCAAGATTTCAATTCACTTGCTCAAAAAACATGAAAATTTCATTTAGCCGATGTCCAACCAAAGTCTCGACACTACAATTATAAATTGCGCCACCTTTTGTGGTGTCAAACTGACCAAACAGACACAATTAGTGTTTATCCTATGTTTTTTGAACAAAAAAACACAGCGTGGTGCCAAATGTAAATAGAGACAATTTTCAAAGATTCTCCGGCCGGGTCACGTAATTTGCTAGTGCGAGACAAAGAGAATTATTGTTTGAATAGTGTTTGGGGGAAACCCTCGCAATTATGATCGCAAGGTGGTTTGATTCGAAAATGATGTATTATCAAAAAGGAGATACTCATCTCATCTATTTATTTATCTTCGCGAGAGAAAGGAATTTGCATATCATCATGAAACAAGGGGGTTTCCCCACATGATTGAGAACTGGAATTTTCGAGAAAATGCAATTTGAAGGTTTAATCTGTGATTTTTGTAACGTTTCATTACAATTCGTCGCATGGGGAAAAGCCCTTTAACTACAAAACTGTCGAAAATAATCCCAAGGATGATTTCATTCGAAAAACAAGTCAAAAATAGAAAAAAATGAAAAAAACAAATCGAAAAACAAAAGTAAATTTTCGAAAAAACGCGCTCGCGCCACATGTTCGCTTCAAGACACAAACAAAAACAGACGTGTTCCTTGAAAGTGTTTACAGTAACCGTTTCGTAATTTATTTTTTCATTTTTTGTTTTTTTGCTCTTTCCTCTCACGAATATTTGGGCGTTTCTGATTTTCAGACACAAATTATAACCTGATGATTATTCTCTAGAGAAAGTAGATATGTAATTATCTAAAAGCGAACCAAATTTTTTCTATTCTTCTACAAGTTCAAATGATTTACATAAGTCTGATTCACACTTGGTTTCCAAGAATTCTCTGTCTATTTTCAATATTTTCCAACTCATCATTCTGTCTTCTAGTATTCACAAAATCCTCAAAATCTCTCGGCGGATACAAAAATCTTCTAATAAGTTTTTCATTTCTAAATATGTTTACAACTATTCTCGAAGCTTTTGTTTCCACAGCCACTGAAGGATTTAAAAATAGCTTCATAGTTTTCATACCCCATGGATATTTATTCGAATTCAAAGAACTTGGCCAATTCTTTCTTTCACTTCGATGTTCAATGTGTGCATATACTTATGGAGTTCTTGTTGTTCATTTCTATTATAGATATCTATCAATTTGTCAACCATATTTCATTATTCATTTTTTCGAGCTTAAATACATATCAGTAACGATTCTTCTAGTATTTTTATATGGTTCAAGTTGGATGCTTATAATCTTCCTTTCCATGCTTCCAAATGATGAAGTTCATGAGATGTTGAATGAAGATTTTCAGCGAACTTACGGTTGTAGCAGTTTCGAAATTCCTCTAATAGTTGCACATTATAAGGTGAATTCAAATTCTAAGTGATTCACTAAATAAAAAAAAAACGTTTTTTTAACGTTTAAAAATCAAAAAATTGATTCACGATTGGTATTTTTATTCATTTTTCACCATTTTCTCAACACAAGTGAAGGTAAAACCCAATTTTAGTGTCCAGAAATGTTATTTCGAGAGCTTCCAATCAGCCTAAAAGACAAATTAAGCATCACATATCCCAAAAATGAAATTGAGGATTTTCGAAAATTTTCGAAAAATCACCAATTTCATTTTTGGGAGATTTTGTCTTTCAGGATGATTAGAAGCTCTTGAAATATCATTTCTAGACACTAAAATGCGTTTTAGTTTCACTTTATTCAATGTGTTGAGAAAATGGTGAAAAAATGAATAAAAATACCGTTTGTGAATCACTTTTTTTGGTTTTTTAACGTTAAAAAAACGTTTTTTTATTTCCTGAATCACTGCATTACAATTAGTCCTAATGAATATATTTTTCTAGTTTCCCATCGATGATTTTTTGCATAGCGGAGTTGTTGGAATGATTTCCGCAACTATTATAACTCTTCTAGCCGTATTTATAGATATATTATTTGCCCTTAAGATTCACAAAACTCTGCAAATCAAATCAATGAGTGGAATTGTGAAACGTCTCCACAAAAACGTATTAGTCGCACTAGTTGCTCAAACAACAATTCCATTTTGCACAACTTGTATTCCATGCATTCTTGTCTGGTTTTACCCATTTCTCCAGTTAAATATTGGAATAGAAGTGAACTCTTATATAGTTCCATTTCTCAGTGCATATCCTGCAATCGATCCAATTGTCATAACTTTGATAGTCACGGATTATCGCAAAAGTTTATTTTCGATTTTTAAGCGGAAAATTGAAATTGAGCAGAGTCGAACAAGTTGGGTTAGAGGAAGAATAATTGGTTTTTCTTGAATTTTTTTATTTTTTGCTTTGAACAAATGAACATTATGGGTTTGAATTATAGTTGGACATCGGCTAAATGACATTTTCATGTTTTTTAAGCAAATGAGTTGAAACATTGGGTTCTAATGTTATCCATAGGATAAAATGGTCTAAGACGAACAAAATGATATAAATTTTGATGATTTTACCTTATCCATAAGTGATTTAGCGACGTTTAGTTGATAAGGTTGCTAAATCACTTATGGATAAGGTAAAGTCATCAAAATTTATATCATTTTGTTCGTCTTAGACCATTCTATCCTATGAATAACATTAGAAACCAATATTTCAACTAATTTACTTAAAAAACATGAAAATGTAATTTAGTTGAAAAAAAACATCGTGTGCAAATATTCGTCAGCGTGTTTCGCGTGAAATCTGCAAACACGCACTCACAAAATCTGTGCGTTAGAGCGCATTTTCTTGTTTTATTTCGTGAGGTATCTCATGTTTTACCCCAAAAAACCAGATACCTCACGAAATAAAACAAGAAAATACACTCTAACGCACAAATTCTGCGTGTTTCCGCAACACTCTGACGAATATTTGCACAAATCTATCTTCGATCGTTTTAGACATGGTCAAAAACACTAAACAGAAGAAGCGGGCGAGAAAATCCTCTAGTAATAAGCAAAAAGACCAAGTTGCTCATAAGAAACCACGAAAAAAAGTGGAAGAAAATAATAATGTTGTTGATACCGAATTATACGAAGTCGAAGATATAATCGATTGTAAATTCAATGGAAAAGAAGTTGTTTATAAAGTTCGATGGGTTGGATATGCACCGAAATACGATTCATTTGAACCGGAATTCCGATTGATGTGCCCGGATAAAATCAAAGATTTTGCCATCAAGAAGTTTAGTTGCAATTATTCGAATACTGATATTGATATGATTATGGAGGGATTTGAAAAATATTGCGATGAACTTTTTATTGGTGGGAATTTTCCTGGTTTCGAAAATAATTTTTTATAATAAAAATTTTGGCAGAATCTGCAAATTATCTGGCAATTATTGGAAAACGATTTTTTGAGCGTGGATCTGTTAGTTATATTGAGCACAACACAATCACGGCGAACAAACGGTTTTTGAAAGTGAGTAGAGAAATTGCAGATGAGTTATTATCGAAAATCTCCACGCGCTCCACCGAAATAAACACGCAACGCAGACCGCGCCGCGCCACAACACAAGGGAACGATTCAAATTCCCTCTCTTTTTGTGTGTGTTGTGACGCGGCGCGGTCTGCGTTGCGTGTTTATTTCGGTGGAGCGCGTGGAGTACCGATGAGATTTTCGATAATATGACGTGGCAAACATCGAATTTTTCAATGAAAGTTACTTTTTTGAAGAAAAATTTGAGATTAAGGCCCAATATTTGTGAAATTTGAATTTAGAGCGGAAAAAAATGCAGAATTTGAATTTAGAATTCCGGCGCCAAAAATCGCATGCTCAAAAAATTTCAGAGGAAAATTGGAATTTCAAAATTTCCCCCGAATATTCAAAAGTTGCTGATTCAAATTTTGGCGGGAAATATGAATTTTAAATTTGGTGACGAAAATGCCACGAAACCAGGAACATTTGAATATTCGGGGGAAATTTTGAAATTCCAATTTTCCTCTAAAATTTGAGCGTGCGATTTTTAGCGTGCAAATTCTAAATTCAAATTTTTTTCTGCCGCTCTAAATTCAAATTTACAAATATTGGGTCTTAAACTCAAATTTTTCTTCAAAAAATTGATTTTCTTCAAAATCTTTTTCTAGTTCTCAAAATGAAATTTGAATTTTTCTTTCCCAATTCAATGAAAAAATTAGCTCCTGAACTTTGTTTGCCACGTCATAACTCACGAGTTCTGAAATTTTTCAGTCGATAAAAAACTTCAAAAATGACTGGTGTTTCTATACGCTCAATAAAAACGACGTGACGTCATCAGCAAATGATATGAAACAATATATGAGAGATGTTGAAAGACGCATCCAAACATCTATTGATTATCCTCTAGTTAGAGTAAGTTGGGAATTTTTCATAATTCAAAATGCGCTCCACCGAAATAAACACGCAACGCAGACCGCGCCGCGCCGCGCCACAACACAAGGGAACGATTCAAATTCCCTCCCTTTTTTGTGTGTGTTGTGGCGCGGCGCGGTCTGCGTTGCGTGTTTATTTCGGTGGAGCGCGTAAGATAATACATATTATAGGTGTTCTTCGTATCTTCAAAAGATCAAACAACTGCACCGCCGCCAATCAAAAATCTAACATTTGATTTGTTGCTTCCACCAGATGATAGAAAACGAATTTTGAAACGAGAAAATCGAAAAGAACATCCATTCACTTCTAAAGAACCTGAAAATGAATCAAAACTGAATTCAAGATGGGATTTTCTGAATGATCCGATGAAGAAGAAGATAAAATGTGCGAATCAATTCAAAGTGAATTTGTCGTTGCGGTATCGCGAAGAAGTTGGTTGGAAATTGTGCGCCGATCATTTTGTGGCAAAAGATTCGGCGATTTTGCAAATGGCTGGAGAGGCTAGTGAAAAAATCAGGGAAAAAATCGAGATTTTTCTGAAATATATGTTTTCTAGTAGTTTTCAACCTGCTGAACATGATCCCGGTGTCAAAAACTGCAAATCTCAACTTCTAATATGAGTTATGACGTGGCAAAGTTTGAAATCGGGACTTTAGGAGCTGAAAATCAGTTTCAGAAATGATTGGGGCAGATTTTCATGAAAATCATTTCTGAAACTAATTTTCAGCTCCTAAAGTCCCGATTTTCGAAATTTCCGAGCTTTGCCACGTCATAACTCATGAGTTCTGCAATTTTATTGAAAACTACTTTGAAAATCTAAAAATTATGATAAGAATCTCATAGAAATCTTCTGAAATTACAATTTTTCCAGAGATTTTTGATAAAATAAATATTTTCTAGTAGTTTTTGACCTTCTGATCACGATCACCGTGTTTAAAACTGCACATCTCAACTTCTAATATGAGTTATGACGTGACAAAGTTGGAAAATTTCAAAAATCGGGACTTTAGGAGCTGAAAAGTAGATTCAAAATTGATTTTCTAGCAAATGGGGCATTTTTTCATGAAAATCATTTTTGAAACTAATTTTCAGATCCTAAAGTCCCGTTTTTTCGAAATTTTCGAACTTTGCCACGTCATAACTCATATTAGAATTTGAGCTTTGCAGTTTTAAACGTCGTGATTGTGATCAGCGGGTCGAAAACTACTAGAAAATATTTATTTTATCAAAAATCTCTGGAAAAATTGTGATTTCAGAAGATTTCTATGAGATTCTTATCATAATTTCTCTGCAAAATTCCAGATTTGCGACGAATCTGAGGCTCACAATTCCATGATCAATGACGGATTTCCAATCGCAATTTCATCAATTTTCAAGCTCGGAAAAACTGGAAAAGTGTTGGATCAAAGGAATCGTTTTGATTTTTCGAGATTCCTCTCGCATTCGGTAGGAAAATCCTTAGAAGCTTCTTCTAGAAGTATTTTTCAGTGCGATCCGAACTGCAAAATCAATTTGAACAACTCGCATCAATTCGAAATTGATGGGAAAATTGTGCCAGGATTGATTGTGACTAATTGCGAAGTTTTGGATGTGGGAAAGAAAAAAAACTGAAAAAAAATTTAATAAAACTTTTTGTTTACAGGAACATGGAGAAGTTTTGACAGTGGATTTTTTCAAAAATTTCAAATCTGAAGTTGACAAATTCTTCGCTCCAATTCGCGATCCACTTATTGAAGAGGAAAATGGTCGAATGGCATATTTGATTGAGAATAAAATTGATTTTGTGCATTGTAATTGTGGAGCTGATAATTGCCGTCAAGTTAGTGCAAGTTCTCAATCTGCTGAAAACAATTTTGCAGAGTTATGACGTGGCAAAGTTTTGGAATAGCATTTTTCATCGGATTGGGAAGGTTTTTATGAAAAATATGAAATTTGATTTTGAAATTTTGAGTTTTTAATGAAAATTACTTTTCTGAACAAAAATCCGAGTTTCAAATTTAATTTCGCGGCAAAAATGCAAACTCACTCTCAAATTTTAGAAGAAAATGGAAATTTTAAAATCGAATTTGTGGCGGGAAATATGAATTTCGAATTTGGTATGAAAAAACACGTGTTTTTTTCAAATTCGAAATTCATATTTCCCGCCAAAATTTGAACCAGGAAATTTTAAAATTTTCATTTTCTTCTAAAATTTGAGAGTGAGTTTGCATTTTTTCCGCGAAATTAAATTTGAAACTCGGATTTTTGTTCAGAAAAGTAATTTTGATTGAAAACTCAAAATTACAAAATCAAATTTGAATTTTTCATGAAAATTTTCCCAATACGATAAAAATGCTATTCCAAACTTTGCCACGTCATAACTCTGCAAAATCGTTTTCAGCGGGTCGAAAACTACTAGAAAAATTTTTTTTTATTTAAAAAAATTTCAGATTCTCTTCATTGATACTCAAATGATCGGAAAACCTGAAAACGATCGAAAAACTGTTTACAATAATGTGAGTTTTCCCTGAATTTAATTAATTAATTAAAAATATATTTTTTGTAGATTCCTCACAATACTCGATTCAAAGGAACAATTCTTTTTTAATAAATTTTCTTGTTGTTTTAAAAAGTTCTTCACCCAGTTTTATTGTGTTTTCAAAACACTATTCAATATTTTTTTCCATGTGCTTTTCACATGCTCTTGCAAAAGCTCAAAACTCTGTTCGTCTCGCCGCAAAATCGAAATTTCACTTTTTTTTTCATTTTATTTTTTTGTTTGTTTGCCCCCACGTTTTTGTTAATCTTTTTTTTTTCGAAAAATTTTGATTCAGTTAGTTTTTCATTCAAGTTTTACACAGTCTTTCACCTCTTCTAATAAAAGCCTTGAAAAATAAAAAGCTACAAATTATGCGCCAGTCTTCGGCACCTTGGCGCATTTCGCGTTTTGCACGTAAAAACACGCCTGTTTTGCCTTAACAAATTTCGTCGGTACAGTAATATGACGCCAAAAAATAGGTCTCCATTTGGCGGCGCCGCGTTTTATGTCTTGGGGGCCCCAGAAAAATTTCAAAACTTTCATACATACGTAATTTCATCTCTTCTCTTCGAATAAGTATAGTAGAAGCTTTAAAAATGGCGTTTTCACGTAGAAAAACGTGAAAAACTGGAATCGCTGCGAGACCTCACTCTTTCGAAAGATGTGTGCGCCTTTGATTTGCTCTGAATTTGATTTTCAGCCTATAACTTTTTTGAGAATGCGTTTTAGAAACAAGTAAATAGTTTTCCTGGCTCATCTCGACGAGACGAATCAAATGGTATATTCAGCGTTTTCTGAAAATGCCTCTAACATGCTGAAAATGCTCTGAAATCACTATCTAGTGTGTAAACACCGCGACGCACAAATGCACAAATTGCGTACCGTAGTGAAATTTTTCACCGTCGCAAAAAAACAGGCGTGAAAAACACACTTTGGTGCAAATGCATCATTTTTTACACCCAAAAATCGATTTTTATTTATTTATCACATTTTTTGTCACGTGGTCAACAAGTTTTTTTTGATTTCGAAATTTCAGAAATGCCAACTGTAAATCGAAGAATTTCATTGGGTTCGCCCAAGGATTTGAGAGAAGTCAAGTTTTTCGACGAGGAACCGATTCCTGATGTTCCACCAAAGGGTGCGAGAGTTAAGGTAACTTCAAAATTTTGAGAGAAACGATAAATATTATACTTCCACGCGCTCCACCGAAATAAACACGCAACGCAGACCGCGCCGCGCCACAACACAAGGGAACGATTCAAATTCCCTCCCTTTTTTGTGTGTGTTGTGGCGCGGGGCGGTCTGCGTTGCGTGTTTATTTCGGTGGAGCGCGTGGTACCGATGAGATTTTCGATAAATACATCTTAAATACAAGAATAATCTAGGTTTGCTACGCTGGAGTTTGTTTGACTGATCGTGAAGTTTCCAACACCAAACAAGCTCGAATCACAAATGGAATCAAAGACACAAGTTTGTTCCCAGGATACGAAGTTTCAGGAGTTGTCGAATCTTTCGGCTCCGAATGCACACCAAATGATTACGATCTTAAAATCGGCGATAAAGTGATCGTTTGGCCGACTGATGAGATGTGCAGTCATGGTTACGCGGATTATGTTGCGGTGCCAACTCTTCATTTCCTTGTCAAGATTCCTGATTCGCTTTCGATGCATGTCGCTTCGATTTTGCCGGCTGGCGCCACTTGGGCACTTTCGGCGGTTTTGCAAGCGAGACCGATTGTTGAGGCATTCTCGCAATCGAAGGGGTTTTGTAATATTTTGATTGTTGGAGCTGGGGGACTTGGATTATGGTTGTTGAAGTTGGCAAAACACTTTTTGGCTGCCAATAATGATAAGTATGTTGGAAATTTTTTCCAAAAATTGGAGAATTTATGAGTTATGACGTGGCAAACATCGAAAACTAGCTTCAAAATTGATTTTCTTTTCTAGAAAATCATTTTTGAAGCTAGTTTTCACGTCCCCGAACTTTGCCACGTCATAACTCATATTAGAAGTTGAGCTTTGCAGTTTTAGACAGCGGGATCGTGGTCGAAAATGACTAGAAAATATTTATTTTATCAAAAATCTCTGGAAAAATTGTGATTTCAGAAGATTTCTATGAGATTCTTATCATAATTTCTAGATTTTCAAAGTAGTTTTCAAGCCACGCTGAAAACGGCCCCAAAAAATAGCAGAACTCATGAGTTATGACGTGGCAAAGTTCGGAAATAGCATTTTTCATCGAATTGCGAAGATTTTTATCAGCAAAAATCCGATTGGAGCTGAAAATATTGAGCCCAAAAATCGGATTTTTGTTCAAAAAAGTCACTTTTGTTTGAATTTTTCATCAAAAATCTTCCCAATTCGATGAAAAATGCTATTCGCGAAGTTTGCCACGTCATAACTCATGAGTTCAGCAATTTTCGGGTTGAAAACTACATTGAAAATCTAGAAGTTATGATAAGAAACTCATAGAAATCTTCTGAAATTACAATTTTTCCAGAGATTTTTGATAAAATAAATATTTTCCAGTAGTTTTTGACATTCTGATCACGATCCCGTTGTCTAAAACTGCAAAGCTCAACTTCTAATATGAGTTATGACGTGGCAAAGTTTGGATATCGGGACTTTAGTAGCTTCAAAATTGATTTTCTAGCAAATTTTCTAGCAAATCATTTTTGAAGCTACTAAAGTTCCGATTTTTGAACTTTGCCACGTCATAACTCATATTAGAATTTGAGCTTTGCAGTTTTAGACACCGTGATCGTGATCAGGTCGAAAACGACTAGAAAATATTTATTTTATCAAAAATCTCTGGAAAAATTGTAATTTCTGAAGGTTTCTATGAGATTCTTATCATAATTTCTAGATTTTAGGCACCTTGGGGAACTAGAAAATCTATAATTTCCAGAAAAATCCGTTTAATGGTGGCTGACGCAAAAGAAGAACGTCTTTCATTGGCCGAAAGAAATGGAGCGGATTTCGTTGTTCATTGGGATGATTCAGAATTCGAAGAATATTTGATAATGCGAACAAAAGATGTCGCAAGAACCGGTGTGAATGTTGTCTTCGATTTCGTCACCTCACCAAGAACCGTCACTCGCTCATTAAAATGTTTGGCTGAAGGTGGTGTTCTCTTCGTGGGTGGTCTTTCGGGACTCGATGTTCAATTACCAATCAAACATGTGGCTAAGAATCGACTTGCGATTATGGGAGTTACACGTGGAAGTATTGAGCAGTTGAAGAATTTGGTGAATTTGATTGCTGGCGGACAAATTGATGCGCCTGATTATCGAGTTTATCCCGTTGATCAAGCTTCGTCGGTGAGATTTTTTAAAATGACGTGGAAAATTGGTCCTGGGGCGAAAAACCATGATTTCTTGAGGACTGAAGCTAATTATCACGATTTTTTTGGTCCTGGAGCGAAAATTTGAGGTTTTCTAGGTCATGAAGCGAAAAACTATGATTTCCTTAGTCCTGAAGCGAAAATTTGGACGATTTTTTAGGTCCTGAAGCGAAATCTTAAGATTTTCATGGTCCTGGACTGAATTTGAACGATTTTTGAAGTCCTGGAGCGAAAAACCATGATTTTCTATGTCCTGAAGTAAATTTGATTAATTTTCGAGGTCCTGAACTTAGAAAATCCCAAATTTTTGCTCCAAGACCTAGAAAAATCATAGTTTTTCGCCCCAGAGCCTAAAAATCCAAAATTCTTGCTCCAGGACCTAGAAAATACCATGGTTTTTCCGCTTCGGGACCTAGAAAACCTGGTTTTTTCGCTCCAGAGCCTAAAAAATCCCAAAATTTCGCTCCAAGACCTAGAAAATTCCAAATTTTTTCGCTCCAGGACCTAGAAATTCATAGTTTTTCGCTCCAGAGACCTAGAAAACTTGGGTTTTTTCACTCCAGAACCAAAAATATCTAAAATTCTTGCTCCAGAACTTAGAAATATCACAGTTTTTCGCTCCAGGACCTAGAAAATACCAAAATGGTTCACTCCGGGAGCTAGGAAATCCCAAAATTTCACTCCGGGACCTAGAAAAATCCCAAGATAATTTGAAAATTTCAAAAACCCCCTCAATTTCTCGCAGGTTCTCAAACAATTATCAATGTCCGAAGTGGAAGGCCGTGCAATTCTCGAAGTTTGCGATCCAAATTCAGCTCTCGAAAATGCCGAAGGCGGAATTCCAATTCCACAAAAAGAACACGATTAGCCAATTTTCTCGAACGATGTAAATATAATATTCGCGTTTTGTTTTTTTTTTCATTTTGCCATCTCCCAAAAATAGTCGTATATTCTTTTTTCCCGCCCGAGTTACCGAAACTTAGATGTATTTTCTACATAAATAATGAATTTTTGAAGTATTTATCGATTTTCTTTAGATCTATGGGTTTCTGTCGCCATATAATTTTTGCTTTTTGTGATTTTGAAGTCGCGTGCGGTTGTGCGTCGCGGTCGGGAGAAAAAACGCGACGCACAGCCGCACGCAACTGACGAAGTGTTGGTTTTTTTTTACATTACTAATTTCAAATAGGAAATGAGCCCGAATTCGGAGGCGCCACAGAATTTGCCAAAGTGTCAAGCTGAGATGAGATTCGATGTGTTGGCGAAGGCTGGATTGGCGAGACGCGGACAATTGTTTTTGCCGCATTCCGTGGTTGAGACGCCCGTTTTTATGCCGGTTGGAACTCAGGGAACTATGAAGGTGACTTTTTGCGGGAGGAAAATCGCTGCAGGACCTGAAAATTTCAATTTTCAAGGTCCCGAACCTGAAAAAATCACTCCAGAACTCGAATTTTCATGAAAATTTCAATTTTCAAGGTCCTGGACCTGAAAAATTGCTGTAGAACTCAAATTCTCATGAAAATTTCAATTTTCAAGGTCCGGAACCTGAAAATTCGCTCCAGAACCCGAATTTTCACGAAAATTTCAATTTTCAAGGTCCTGAACCTGAAAAATCACTCCGAAACTCGAATTTTCATGAAAATCCTAATTTTCAAAGACCCGAACCTAAAAATTCGCTTCAGAGACCGGATTTTCATGAAAATTTCAATTTTCAAGGTCCCGAACCTGAAAAATTGCTGAAGAACCCGGATTTTTGTGGAATTTCCAATTTTGAAGGTCCCGAACCTCAAAAAATCGCTCCAACACTCGAAAATTTCAATTTTCAAGGTCCCGAACCTAAAAAATCACCACAGGACTTGAATTTTCATGAAAATTTCAATTTTCAAGGTCCTGAACCTGAAAAATCGCTGCAAAACTCGAATTTTCATGAAAATCCCAATTTTCAAGGTCCGGAACCTCAAAAATTTGCTGCAGAACTCGAATTTTCAAGGTCCAGAACCTAAAAAATCACTCCAAAACTCGAATTTTCTTGAAAATTTCAATTTTCAAGGTCCTGAATCTAAAAATTCGCTTCAGAGACTGGTTTTTCATGAAAATTTCAATTTTCAAGGTCCGGAACCTGAAAAATCGCTTCAGTACCGAAATTTTCCGGAAAATTTCGATTTTCAAGGTCCGGAACCTAAAAAATCACCCCAGGACTTAATTTTTCATGAAAATTCTAATTTTCAAAAAACCAGAACCTAGAAAATCACTCCAGAACTCGAATTTTCATGAAAATTTCAATTTTCAAGGTCCCGAACCTAAAAAATCACCCCAGGACTTAATTTTTCTTGAAAATTTCAATTTTCAAGGTCCCGAGCCTGAAAATTTGCTCCAAAATCCCACAAAAAACTCCTAAACTCTAAAATTTCCAGGGAATCCTACCAGAACAACTAATCGATATGGATTGTCGAATTCTCCTCTGCAACACCTATCATCTCGGTCATCGTCCAGGCCACAAAAAAGTCCAAAAAGCCGGAGGCCTTCATAAAATGATGAATTGGCCTCGATCGATTTTGACAGATTCCGGCGGTTTTCAAATGGTTTCGCTCAGCAAATTAATGACAATCGATGAAACTGGTGTGAATTTCGAAAGTCCGCACACTGGAGAAATGATGGAACTTCCGCCAGAAAAATCAATAGAGATTCAGCAGGCTTTAGGCGCGGATATTATGATGCAACTTGATCATGTGATTCATGTTTTAACCACGGGGGATGTTGTTCAAGAAGCGATGCATCGAAGTATTCGATGGTTGGATCGATGTAATATTGCTCATACTAGAGATGATCAAGCGTTGTTTCCCATTCTCCAGGGAGGTCTGAATTTGGAGCTTCGCGCGGAATGCGCTGCTGAGATGGCGAAACGAGCGCGAGTTGGAATTGCGATTGGTGGATTGTCGGGTGGAGAGGAAAAGTCGCAGTTTTGGAGGGTTGTTGCGGCGTGTTGTGCGGCACTTCCGCCGCATTTACCCAGATATGTTATGGGGGTTGGATTTGCGGTGAGTTGGATTTTTTGTTTGAGAAAAATTGATGTAATTTCGAGTCCTGGAGCGATTTTTTCAGCTCCAAAACTTCAAAAATAGGAATTTTCATGAAAATTTAGGTCCTGAACCTCAAAAATTGAAATTTTCATCAAAATTTGAGTCCTGAAGCAATTTTTCAAAGTCCAGGACCTCAAAAATTGAAATTTTCATGAAAATTCAGGTCCTGAAGCGATTTTTTATGTCCAGGACCTCAAAATTGTAGGATGATCCCTCCGATCTCCTCTTCACCAGGCCTATCCCCTGGTGAAGTGAAATAAGAAAAAGAAGGAATATTAAATATAACTATTTATTCATAGAGCAACTATAAGCAAAGTAAGCGACCGACCCAGAATGACTCTGAGGCCGGGCTTAAATACGGTTGGAACTGGGCGGAGCATGAGTGGGCCGTTGTGTGTGATAGCGGTGATTGGGGGCGCTGAGGAGATATGTTGTAATCGTAATCCGTGGGTTCAAGAGAATCCGTGGGTTCGAGAGAATCCGTGGGTTGTTATAAGATACTGCTTGATTAATTATCCTCACATCCTCGCTTCCCAAAAGATGGCGTCCCGACATCTCCGAATTAAAGCATTGAGCGGTAGCAAAATATTGTTTTACAAGCAGTCTAAAGTAGAACTATGCGACGAAATGGTGGTACTTACGTAGATCAATCGGATTTTTGATCGTTGGATTTGCTGGCATTGATGGTTCGAGTCAATTTTCGCAGCTCGTGATCCTGGGTACTGGTGCGAGTGGTTTTCCATAATTGTAACTCAGAATCCGATATCTCTCCCCTTTGTATGCGGCGGTTTATAATTCTGCTACTTTCACTGTCCAGCTTTCGGTAGCGTTTGATGAACCGACGTCGCCTTTGTATTTCCGCGCGGCAAATCCGTGCAGCAGGTCCAACAGGTAACTGGCGCACCAATTTCGAAATTTCTTTCAATGGGGCATTCATCAGCTTGACTGCCAGTTCTTCCATTGTCCCCACAAGTAGCTCGACGTTTTGAGTCATTTCTGAAGTAAGAGTTAGATAAATTGGATTATCACCCTCTGTTATTTTCCACCCACTCCCCCTTTTTTTTTTTTTTTTTTTTTTTTTTTTTTTTTTTTTGAAAAATTGTTGGGTTGAGTTTGGAAAATAAATTAAATTGACGTGACGTGCACGTGGGAGTTGGATTTCTGCATTTCTGGTTTGACTCATTCTCCTTTTGTCTTGCCTTCTCAATTGGTTTTGTTTGAGTGGCGGAATGCTTGGACGACGTTTTCCTTCCAAATACTGCGCACCTCGTTGTTCTTTGGGTGAATATTGTGTGCGGATGAGTGAAGGAGAACCATTGAGATGTTTTTCTCCAATTGAACCAGAAACTTTGAATTGGGTGCCATATGTTGGTGAGTTTTTCTTTTGGTCTTTGGCTTCCGAAGGTGTGATTTCAGTTGTAGCAGTCGTCCTGTGTCTCTTGGGGATTGGTATCTTTGCTGTGCGCAAGCGTCTTCCTGATGTTTGGATGTCGATCTGCGGCAAATGTGGTCCAAGGCGAGAAAGTGGCGAAGCTGTTTTGCTGGTTGAGAATGGCGCCTTGATTGACTGATTAATAAATAAATTCGGATATTTTTGGTTTGATTTCGTTGATCAGAATATTATGATAAGCATTTCCATTTCGTTTGTAGACTATACTATTTATGCCATTTGCTATGCGATTTCTATAAGCTTCCTTTATAACTACGAGGTCTGACTTTCATTAGTTGGAGTCAGGCACAAACTTCTTGCATCGGTCTTTATGCACGGTCCATGTCTTGGCTTCTTTATTTCTGGTGTTATGTGTCCGGGGTAGATTGACGGTCACATTTTCCTTCGTGGTTGCAACCACGGTCATTGGTTCTGAGAACAGAGATGATATCTTATTTGTTCTGGCCGTTCGTACCAACACTTGATCGCCGATTGCGATGATTGTGCCGGTTGGAGGATTGTGCCTGGTATAGTTCTGTTTTTGAGATTCTCGCGCTTTTTGGATGTTTTCGAGTGTCGCTCGGTGTGTGAACTGCAAGTTCGCTTTGATTCTTTCGACATAGTCGTCTTCGTCGCAATATCTGCGCACTGGTTGTTGTAATGCAATTGAACAAGGTGATGGAAGAGATCTTCCATAAATGAGTTCGTTCGGCGTGAATTTGGTTGAAGCTTGAACTGTAGAATTATACGCAAAGATAGCCAGCTGTAATTCTTCTCGGTGGAACCTCCATGTAGGATGATCCCTCCGATCTCCTCTTCACCAGGCCTATCCCCTGGTGAAGTGAAATAAGAAAAAGAAGGAATATTAAATATAACTATTTATTCATAGAGCAACTATAAGCAAAGTAAGCGACCGACCCAGAATGACTCTGAGGCCGGGCTTAAATACGGTTGGAACTGGGCGGAGCATGAGTGGGCCGTTGTGTGTGATAGCGGTGATTGGGGGCGCTGAGGAGATATGTTGTAATCGTAATCCGTGGGTTCAAGAGAATCCGTGGGTTCGAGAGAATCCGTGGGTTGTTATAAGATACTGCTTGATTAATTATCCTCAAAATTTTTAAAAAAACAAAATTTTTAAAAAAATTTTTCAATTCACAATGAATTTTCAAGGTCCTAAACTTCAAAAATTGAAATTTTCATGAAAATTTGGGTTCTGAAGCGATTTTTCAGCTCCAAAACCTGAAAAATTGAAATTTTCACGAAAATTCGAGTTTTGGAGCAAATTTTCATGTCCAAGACCTCAAAAATTGAACATTTTCATGAAAATTCAGGTCCAGGACTTTGAAGATTGAAATTTTATGTAAATTCGGTTCCTGCAGCGATTTTTGAGGTTCGGGACCATGAAAATTGAAATTTTCATGAAAATTTCGGCCCTGGAGCGATTTTTAAGTCCAGGACCTTGAAAATTCCAAAAATTCGTGGGACCTTTGGAATTCCACGCTTCAAAATTCAAATTTTCATGAAAATTTTTCCTGGAGCGATTTTCGAAGTCCTCAAAAAATCTGAAAATGAATCGAAATTTCAAAAAAAAAACTTTTTTTTCAAATTCACGTGAAATTTTCAATTTTCAAAGTCCCGAACTTCAAAAATCGCTCCAGAACCCGAATTTTCATGAAAATTTCAATTTTCAAGGTCCCAAACCTTAAAAATTGCGCCAGGACCTAAATTTTCATGAAAGTTTCAATTTTCAAGGTCCTGAACCTAAAAAATTGCTCCAGAACCCGAATTTTCATGACAATTTCAATTTTCAAGGTCCCGGAACCTGAAAAATCACCCCAGGACCTGAATTTTCATAAAAATTCAATTTTCAAGGTTCTGACCCTCAAAAATCGCTGCAAGACCTAAATTTTCATAAAAAATTTCATTTTTCAAGGTCTCGAACCTCAAAAATTGCTCCAGGACCTGAATTTTCATAAAAATTCAATTTTCAAGGTTCTGACCCTCAAAAAATCGCTGCAAGACCTAAATTTTCATAAAAAATTTCATTTTTCAAGGTCTCGAACCTCAAAAATTGCTCCAGAACCCGAATTTTCGCGAAAATTTCAAATTTCAAGGTCCTGAACCTCAAAAATCACTTCAAAACACAAATTTTCATGAAAAATTTAATTTTCAAGGTTCTGAACCTCAAAAATCACTTCAAAACACAAATTTTCATGAAAAATTCAATTTTCAAGGTTCTGAACCTCAAAAATCACTTCAAAACACAAATTTTCATGAAAAATTCAATTTTCAAGGTTCTGAACCTCAAAAATCGCTCCAAATCCCCCATTTTCCAGGTTGATCTCGTAATTTGCTCTCTCCTTGGTGCTGATATGTTCGATTGTGTTTTTCCCACGAGAACAGCTCGATTCGGAACTGCTTTGGTTCGAAAAGGCGGACAATTGTCGTTGAATCAAAAACGATTCGAAGACGATTTTCGACCGATTGATGAAAAATGCGAATGTGATACTTGCAAGAATTATACACGGGCTTTTATTCATTCGGTTATTAATAAGGTTGGTTTTTGGGGGATTTTGGAGGATAATTTGAATATTTCACGTGGATTTTTGTTGGCGCCAAATTCAAAATTCGAAAATTTCAACGCCAAAAATCCACGTGGAAATTTTTAAAATTCAAAAGTTCAGGCGCCAATAATCCACGTTAAATATTTCGAATTTCCACGTGGATTTTGGGCGCCAAAAATTTTGAATTTAGAAATTTCCCAAAATCTGATATGATTTTTTTTGATATTTTGATTTTTTGAACTTCAAAGCCAATTTTTACCCCTAAAAACGAAATTCCGAATTTTGAGTTCAAAAATGACTTTCTAGGAGCGGCTCCTTGATAACTAGGCTCTAAAGGCGCCGCTCCTTGTCATGCTGGATTTCTCGACGCCGCTCCTAGACGATTAGGTTCTCAAGGCGCGGCTGCTTGAAAACTAGGCTCTATAGGCGCTGATCCTTGACAATTGAACCATCTCGACGCCGATCCTAGACAACTAGGCTTTGAAGGCGCTGATCCTTGTCTGAGTAGATTTCTCGACGCCGCTCCTAGACAATTGAAGCCTCTCGGCGTGGCTCCTTGAAAACTAAGCTCTATAGGCGCTGATCCTTGACAATTGAACCCTCTAGGCTCAGCTCCTTAAAATCTAGGCTCTCAAGGCGCGGCTCCTAGACAGAGTGGATCTCTAGGAGCCTATCCTTGAGGAATGATTTCTCGGCTCCGATCCTTGAATTAGGTGACCCTGAATAATTTTTCAATCAATTTTCAACCAATTTTGAAGAAAAATCCTCTTGTATTATAAGAAATTCATATTTTTCTTCTTTTTTTTCAAAAATAATTTTTCTGGATTCCTTCCCCATTTTGATTCTGATTTGAATTCCCCTTGATTTTTTGTTGCAAAATTTCGGTGTTATCAAAAAAAAACCATCTTTTCATATTCTGATGTAACCTGATCGACCCGAAAAATCATTACAAAAAAGAAAATTCAATAACAAATGCCTGCTATTATAAATAACACTTTTAAAACCTTGAAAATTTTCACTGTTTCGTCGACAAATGATTTTTTTATTGTTCATTCAATTGTCTCAGAAAACTATCTGTTAGCAAAAAAGAGGCAACACCACAAAAAAATTGCATTTTTTTTTGTTTGATTTGAGAATTCGCACGTGGAGGGAAGCCATCAGTTCAAACCATTAGTGATAAAAATGAGAGATATGGGCTCTTTTTTTGCTCTTACACTCGGGTAAACAAAACTTGAGAAAGAAAAAGAGAAGGATTGGGTTTCACTAGAAAATTTTGAAAAAAATGTGAAGATTTACAATTTTCAAGGTCCGGAACCTAAAAAAATCGTCGCAGGTCCCAAATTTTCATTAAAATTTCATTTTTAAGGTCCTGAACTTGAAAAAATCGCCGCAGGACCTAAATTTTCATAAAAATTTCGATTTTCAAGGTCCTGAACCTAAAAAATCGCCCCAGGACCCGAATTTTCATAAAAATTTCAATTTTCAAGGTCCTGAACCCAAAAAAATCGCTCCAGGACCTGAATTTTCATTAAAATTTCAATTTTCAAAGTCCTGAACCCAAAAAAATCGCTCCAGGACCCAAATTTTCATTAAAATTTCAATTTTCAAGGTCCTGAACCTAAAAAAAATCGCTCCAAAACGCAAATTTTCATAAAAATTTCGATTTTCAAGGTCCTGAACCTAAAAAATCGCCCCAGGACCTAAATTTTCATGAAAATCTCGATTTTCAAGGTCCCGAACCTCAAAAATCGCTCCAGGTCCCGAATTTCATTAAGAAGAAGAAGATGATCGTTGTTTCGTTAATCATTTTCACTTTTTTCTCGAATTCAGCCAACAAACCCTATTTTTCATCATAATTATTAAGAAGAAAACGTGTTTTATTTTTTCTGATCAAAATCACAAACCTTTCCCTTTCCCCTCTATCTATTTATTGATCATTTGCTCTTTTTCGTCATGGTCTCCCATTTTCTTTTTTCTCTCGTTTTCTCTGCGTCTCTCGCCCACGTGTATCTCTCGTCGTCCTATAGAAAAAGAAAAGAGAAGAAAAAGAAGATCAAACCGTCAAAATGATGTAAAAAGTTTATTTGTTTCTTAGACAAGGTGGTTTTTTATTGATATTTTTTCGAGAAAAAGAAGAAGATGATTCGGGAAAGTTCAAGAACCAAATAGGAAAGTAGATCAAAATTTGGAGGATTTAGAAGAGATTCTGAATTGTTAGCTAGAATTTTTTATGAAAATTCAGGTCCTGGAGCGATTTTTGAGGTTCGGCACCTTGAAAATTGAAATGTTCATGAAAATTTAGGTCCTAAAGCGATTTTTGAGGTCCTAGACCTTGAAAATTGCGATTTTCATGAAAATTTAGGTCCTGAAGTGATTTTTTAGGTTCTGGACATTGAGAAGTGAAATTTTCATGAAAAATTAGGTCCTGGAGCGATTTTCAGTCTCCAAAACTTCAAAAATTAAAATTTACATGAAAATTCGGGCTCTGGAGCGATTTGTGAGGTTCGGGACCTTGAAAATTGAAAATTTAGATTCTGGAGCGATTTTTTAGATTCAGGACCTTGACAATTGAAATTTTAATGAAAATTTAGATTCTGGAGCGATTTTTTAGGTTCAGAACCTTGAAAATTGAAATTTTCATGAAAATTTAGGTCCTGAAGCGATTTTTTAGGTTCCAGACCTTGAAAATTGAAATTTTCATGAAAATTTGGGTCCTGGAGCGATTTTTGAGATTCCAAGATCCAAAAAATTGAAATTTTTATGAAAATTCGAATTTTGGAGTTATTTTTTAGGTTCCGGACCTTGAAAATTGGAATTCTCATGAAAATATGGGTTCTGAAGCGATTTTTCAGGTTCCGGACTTTGAAAATTGAAATTTTTATGAAAATTCGGGTTCTGGAGCGATTTTCGAGGTTCTTGACTTTGAAAATTGAAATTTTCAAAATTTTTCATGAAAAATGAGCTAAATTTCTCAATTTTTCAAAATTCGAGCTCTAAAAATGTATAATTTTTCAAAAATTTGAAAATTTCATGCACAAAATTTAAATTTACAGCAACTTTTGTGAAAGTGAAATTTTTTTCGAAATTTAGAGTTCCCGTGTAAAAATGTGCTCATTATTTCAACAAAATTAGAAAATTTCAAGTGAAATTTCAAAAATTTTGCGATTTTTCATTTCGAAAATTCAGAAAATCCCGTGTGAATTTGAACAAAACCCCGAATTTTTAAAAAATTCGAAATTTCAAAAATTTTTTGCTTCCCCCAATTTCAAAAAAAAATCAAAAAACGTACTTGATATTTGGGGAAACCCCTTTTCTTATCAATTTTCTCTCCACTTTTTTAATCACCCCACTTCCTGCAAAATTTGATGTTTGACTTGAGAATTTCGAAGAAAAATTCAAAATTATTTCAGGAAACTATCGGATGTCATTTGATAACTGTTCACAACATCAAACACCAGCTCGATTTAATGGCAGATGTTAGAAAATCGATCGAATTGGATCAAGTTGAGATATTTCTAAACAATTTCTTGTCAGATGTTTATGGTCCGATTGATGACGAAGGTTCTAAGGGAAAAGAAATCCCTCAATGGGTCCGTGATGCGGTTAACCATATGGGTTATAAGCTTAGTTGTTGAAAATTGTTTTGAAAAATTTTTATTGTTGATTTGATTTGTGTTACAAAAAAAACCGTTATTAATTTTTTGTTGTTGAGGTGCAATTACTAAATCTGTGGGGGAACAAAGGGAAAAATTTTAAATAATTATGTGAAAGTGAATCCGGCGGTTCTATAAGTGTTGTAGACTTTTTCGATGGAATTGGCGTAGGCGGCGGTACGAATGTCGAGTCCAAGATTGTATTTGTGGGCGGTGCGGATGATGGCTTCACCGGATCGTTGCATGGTGTATTCGAGTCCGGAGTGGACAATGTCTTTTTCGGAGGCTCCGGCGATTTTGGCGGCGAAAGCGGCGTTTGGTTTGACGTCGGCTTCTTTTCCGAGAGCTTTTGAGAGCGATTCTTGGACGGAGGCTGGAAGAAATCATTGATTTTTTGATATACTGTATTATTTTTAGTTAGAGACAAGGTAAAATTGAGAGAGAGCAGACAGAATTTTTTTTTTACAGAAAACTACATGTCTGCGCTCTCTCAATTTCATGTTATCTCTACTCTTCAAGTCGAAACATGTCCAAAAAAAAGGTCAAAATTAGTTTTTCGAGTTTTTCAGCCAAAAATGATGACAAATCAATATTTTTCAAGCTTCTGGAGTAATTTCTGATGAAAACGAGCTTCGAGAACCCTATTTTGCTTTATTTTACGAAAAATCAGCAAAACCTTCTGGAAAGTGAATTCCAAGGTCAATTTTCATCAGAAATTATTCCAGAAGCTTAAAAAATATCGATTTGTCATAATTTTTGGCTGAAAAACCTTGAAAAACTAGTTTTTTGACACTTTCCAATATTGTTTTGTCAAAAAAAAATTTTTTTTTTTAATTTTTTTCTATATTCATTTTTGTATCACAAAAAATTTCTGATCTTTTGATCTCTCAAATACTGTATGATTCAATTCATTAGACATTCCCACAAGCCATAAATATAATGTTGTTTTTTCTGCACAGAGTTCAAACAACCAAAAATTTTCTTCTTTTTCGCCACGTGCAACACATAAATGTGTATTTTTTGAGGGCAGATGCACTCGAAGCTTTTTTTTCTCTACGAAAAAAAAAGATAGATGCGTTTTGTGTGACAGGAGAGAGAAATTGATTTTGCAAAATGTTATCTGGTAGTAAAAATTGTATTTTTAACTATTTTTTGATAATAAATTGATGATATTTGATAAAAAGAACCAGTAAACAAAGAGATTTTTAATCGTTTCAAAATTTCGATAAAAAACCCACCCAAGAGCAAATTGTTAGCTTCTTCATCATATTTGAAGGTAAGACGACCGTATGAAACATGATTCAAGTTCTTCAACCATTCGAAATATGAAACAGTAACACCACCAGAGTTGACATACATATCTGGAATAATCAAGCAATCTCCGCGAGCCAACAAGATCTTATCAGCGGCTGGAGTTGTTGGACCATTAGCGGCTTCGGCGATGATCTTGGCTTGGATCTTGTGAGCATTGGCTTTGTGGATTGATTTTTCACAGGCGGCTGGCACCAAGATGTCGCATTTCTCGTACATCAAATCGGTGAATGGTGAGAAATCCTTGGCGCCTGGGAATCCTTTGATGGTGCCATTGGCGTCTTTCCAGTCTTCCAATTCTTTTGGATGAATTCCGTCTGGGTTGTAGATGGCGCAATTGTATTCTTGCACTCCGATGACCTTCGATCCAGCGCTGAAATGATTTTTGATTTTTTTTTCAACTTTTCAATCTCGAAAATTTCCGGGATTTTTGGAGCTGAAAACTAGCATATCGCTGCTCAGTTTCTTGAAAATCAGCTAGTTTTCAGCTCCTAAAACTCGATTTTTGGAAATTTTCTAACTTTGCCACTCATCTTGAGCTCTATCGTTATCGTCGGGTCGAAAACTACTAGCAAACATATATTTGGTTAAAAATCTGAAGTTGAACATCGGCCAAATGGCATTTTCATGTTTTTTTAGCAAATTGAGTTGAAATATTGGATTTTAATCGTATTCATATGATAGAAAGCTCTAAGACAAACCGAATGATATAAATTTTATGACTTTAGGTTAACCTTAAGTGATTTAGCGAGGTTTAGTCTATATTTAGTCGATAAGCCGATAAATCACTTAAGGTTAACATAAACTCATAAAAATTTGTATCATTCGGTTTGTCTTAGACCATTCTATCCTCTAAATACGATTAAAATCCAATATTTCAACTAATTTGCTAGAAAAACATGAAAATGCCATTTAGCCGAAGTCCAGCTTCAGATTTTTAACCAAATATATGTTTGCCAGTAGTTTTGGACCCGATAATAACGATAGAGCTCAAGATGAGTGGCAAAATTCGAAAATTCCCGGGATTTTAGGAGCTGTAGACAAAACTAACCGATGAAGATATCTGTGTGTGTGCAAACCGACATTACCAAAACCTTGAATAATGACAGTTTTTCCAGCCAATCCGGTGGTCAAACCGCATTGTTTCATATAATCCGCATCATTGGTGAACACTTCCAATCCCTTCCAGACTCCTCTTCCGGTCGCTGAAACTCTTCCGTGAATTCCTCCACTAACGATTGGTTTTCCAGTGATACAGGCCGATGCGTCTCTATCCAAATGTCCGATGGTTTGAGCGTAGGTATCAGCGATCCAACCCATTTCTCTTTCTCCGGTTCCCATGTCTGGGGCTGGAACATCAACTCCGGGTCCGAGGAATCCTTTCTTCGCGAATTCGATAGCGATTCTTCTGGTGATCTTTTCGATTTCGTAGTCGGTGTATTGTTTTGGATCGATTTTAACTCCTCCTTTAGCTCCACCAAATGGAACATCAACAACCGCGCATTTGTAGGTCATCAAAGCCGACAAAGCCTTAACTTCATCTTCACAAACATCCAAAGAATAACGGATTCCTCCCTTGGTTGGAGTTCTGTGCTCAGAATGTTGAGCTCTCCACGCCTCAATAACTTCAAATTCCCCATTATCTCTACGAATTGGGAAAGTGATGTAGAGCACCTTGTTGACTGGCTTGATAGCTCCCAATATTCCAGAAACAAGATTCTTCTTATCGGTCTTGCTCAACGAGTTCGATTTGAGCTCTTCGGCGAGTTTTGGAGCAATAACGGTGGCTCCCTTGTTGAAATAGTAGTCAACCATTTTGTAGAACGATGGATTCACTTGTTCTTCCATTGGTTTTTGCTCGTCGAGAACTTGAGCGCTGGCGTCAAGGGTTGCTGACGAATAGTTGCGAACCGCGGCCATACGGCATCCTCGGGAGAGAGTGCTCAACATTACCTGAAAAAAAAATTTTTAATCGTGGATTTTTGATCAGAAAACTGGAGATGTTTGTGAGAAGATATTACAATTGATAAAACAACCGATTTTCAAAGGTTTCGCGAGATAAACAAAATTTTGGGCCGCCCGGAAAAAAACAAAAATAAAAAATGAGGTGGCCTAGGAAACCGCGCAAATCCTAGTCCCCCTCCCCCGGATTTTCAAAATCAATTTTTTTTTGCAATTCAAAAAAAAAGTTTTTTTTCACTACAACCACGAGGAAACGGGCGGAGGAAAGCAGCAAGAATATTATTTGGCTAGCTGTCATGAAAATAGAAAACTAGAGAGAGGCGACAGACGCGTTGACAAAAAATGGCTCCGCCCATCTTTTTTTCCAATGGGCGTATTATTTCTAGGCTCACCTTTTGTTGAAGAGAGAGAGTTGAGAATAGTGAAGATTTTCGCGGAAAAAAATACGTGGCCCAGAGAATATGACGTGGCACGTGAAAAAAAAATTGGGGCAAAAATTGGGGCAAAATTTTGGTTATTTTTAGTTACAATAAAATTCGGAACTATCTTTTCACTAACTGAATATTTATCTCAAATTACAATCAAAAAAAGAAAGGGAATTACTAGAATGTCACAAGTTGAGCATGTTTTCAAGATAAACTCGGAACGTGTCAAAAATTTGAATCGTCTTCATCGAGCTGCTGCTTTTTCACTTTTTCGAGATTTGCAATTGCAGGATATGAAATGGAATAAGAAGGTGGTTAGATCGGATTATAAAGTTTATGATTTGAATAATCGAGTGGTAAATAAATTAAATACAGCGGATCTAAAGCTGTTTCTCTTCAGATCTTCTATGTGAGCAGCACAACAGCAGTTCGAATAACCAAAGACGCTCCATTTTGCCTCAAAGTCATGAACAAAGATCAGAAAGATGTTGCAAAATTCATCAGATCTGAGCCAAGAAATAATGCGCGAAGAAATGGATTGGTTTCGATGTTTGGGTGTTGTGCGGCTGCCAGGGATGTTATGGATATTTTGGATGATGAGAGCAATTTGGTAGGTTGACGTGGCAAGGCTGAATTTCAGCAAAAATCTGAAAAAAATGATATATGGCCGAACTATTTTGGTGGCCGAGAATTGTCGGGAGCTCGGCCAAAGCAACATTTTTTTCAAAAATTGTTTTTAAAAAGCGCTTTTTCAGCGTTTCCGAGCCATATAACCAAGAAAATGTATTTCCAGATAGCTCGCGCAATAGTGCACACCGATCAACTTCGCGGAACTCACATCACAATTCGCGATCCCGATGATCAAATAATAATTCTTGTTCGAAAAGTGAAAGATCAAAATGATATATTCTATGTTTTGGATGGCACAGACCGATTTTTGGGAGAAATTCGACAGAAAATCATATCATCTGGTAATGCGACAGATAATTATAAAGGTGTATCATCGTGGTTTTCACCGGATCTTCCAATTGATATCAAATTATTGTTCTTGGCTGCGGTGTTTTTGGTGGAGATTGATTATTTTAGCGATAGAGATTCGTGGCAAATACCGTTTCATACTACGGAACAAGATTGTGAGTTTTGGCTGAAAATCGAGCTATTCCACGTGGAAAATGAGCAAATTTGAGGCGGGAAGGTTGAAAATTTGAAAATTCCAAGTTTCTCGTCGGAAAAATGCGTGAAAACATGTTGAAAATTTCGCATTTCCCACCGAAATCTGTGTAGTTCTCGAGGACAATACAAATTTTTAAAATTTCAAATTTCGCGCCGAAAAAATGCGTGTAGTTCTCGAGGACAATACAAATTTCTAAAATTTCGAATTTCCCACCGAAATCTGTGTAGTTCTCGAGGACAATACAAATTTTATACAAAAAACGATCAAAAATTCAAAATTTCAAGTTTCGCGCCAAAAAAATGCGTGTAGTTCTCGAGGACAATACAAATTTTTTTAAATTTCAAGTTTCGCGCCGGAAAAATGCGTGTAGTTCTCTTGGAAAACCCGGTAAATTTTGAATTTTTGAAACAAAAATTCAAAAATTGCTTTTGAGCAAAATTCCCTAGGCTCCGCCCCCTTTTTGCAAGTCTGGCACACTATTTCTAAAAATTTGGATGAAAATGAGCAAATTTGAGGCGGGAAAGTTGAAAATTTAAAAATTTGAGGCGGGAAAGTTGAAAATTTGAAAATTTCAAGTTTCGCGCTAGAAAAATGCGTGTAGTTCTCTTGGAAAACATGTTGAATTTTTCAAATTTCCCACCAAAATCTGTGTAGTTCTCGTGGACAATACCAAATTTTCCCTAGATCTCAATCCAATAATCCGAACACCTCCATATCATCAAAAATTCCGACAAGTTCCACAGCCAAAAAATAAAAAGAAGAAAAAGAATCCAGAGGAACCTGTAAACGCTTCAAGATCAGAGAAGTTCAAATCATCGTGTAAGTTGAGCTCCACCGAAAAAACACGCAACGCAGACCGCGCCGCGCCACAACAAAAGGGAGGGAATTTGAATCTGTGTTGTGGCGCGACGCGGTCTGCGTTGCGTGTTTATTTCGGTGGAGCGCGTGGAGTACCGATGCGATTTTCGATAATAATTTCTGACCAATTTTTGACCAAAAATGCACCAATTCGTTGTTTTGGTCAAAAATTGACCAAAATTCGGTCGAATCGTGAATTTTGGTCAGTTTTTGGCCAAATTCTGACCAATTTTTTGACCATTTTTTGACCAAAATCTGGCCAAAACAGTGATTTGATCAAAAATTGGTCGAAAATTGGCCAAAAAATGCACCAATTTTTTCCAACTTTCTCCCACCACGTCTGTTTCTTGCAGTAATAATGCCCGAAATCCATCACATCAAAAATTTCGCGCCAATCAACGCAGAGCCCGAAAAACCCGAGGAAAAGCCCGAAGAAACTGCAAAAACACCGGAAGCTGCGAAAGAAGAGCTTCTAGATATGAAGGGAATGAAATCGAATAACTTCAGGAATTCTGGAATCAAGGTGCTGGATTATCTTGTAAAACAGGATGAAGCGCTGAAAACATCGAGGTGTACACCTTCTGTGAAACCGGGATATCTGAAGTCGCTGATCCCTGGAAAAGCTCCACAAAAACCGGAAGACATTGATGAGATTCTAGAGGATTATCACAAATTAATAGTGCCTGGATTGTCTCACTCAAATCACCCGAATTTCCACTCATTCTACCCGGCTGGCAACTCTTTTCACTGCATGTTGGCTGATTTGCTAGGCGGACATATCGGTGATTCGGGATTCTCGTGGTCCGCAAATCCCGCGCTGACAGAGCTCGAGATTTTGATGATGGATTGGTTGGGTGATATGATGGGTCTGCCCAAGGAGTTGCTTTTGTACCCGGATGGAAGTCGAGGCGGCGGGTGTATGCAGAAGTCTGCCTCAGACATGGTTTACCTGGTGATGGCGGCGGCCAGGAATGATATTCTGAAACAGATGAAGGTGACGCATCCCAATGAGAATCGCAATGATTTGCTGCCCAGATTGGTGGCCTACACATCTACTGAAGCGCATTCGTCGATTCGAAAAGCGGCGGCGATGGCGATGGTGAGGGTGAAGGTTTTGCCGACTGATGATAAGTATAGTTTGCGTGGAGCTACGTTGTATAATGCGATTGCGGTGGGTTTTTTGGGGTGGCCTAGAAAACCAAACCGATATGGCCTAGAAAACCGAAGAAAATTCCGTGTGTACTTCTCTTGGAAAACGTGGAAAATTTGAATTTTTCAAATTTCCCGCCCAAATCTGTGTTGTTCTCTTGGAAAACATTGAAAATTTGAATTTTTGAGGAGAAAATTTGAAATTTTCAAAATTCCCGCCTAAATTTGTGTAGTTCTCGTGGAAAATTTGAATTTTTCGAACAAAATTTGAATTTTTGAATTTCCCGCCTAAATTTGTGTAGTTCTCTTGGAAAACGTGGAAATCTTGAATTTTTCAACAAAAAATTTGAATTTTTCAAATTTCCCGCCCAAATCTGTGTAGTTCTCTTGGAAAATGTGGGAAATTTGAATTTTTCAAGAAAAAATTTGAATATTTCGAATTTCCCGCCTAAATATGTGTAGTTCTCTTGGAAAACGTGGAAATCTTGAATTTTTCGAGAAAATTAAATTTTGTTGACAGATTTTTTGATCTGAAAATAAGGAATTTCTTTTATATGACCTAGAAACCCAAATCCAGAATCAATATGGCCTAGAAAACCAAATACTGAATCTATATGGCCTAGAAAACCAAATTTAAAACCGATATGGCCTAGAAAATCAACAATAACAGCGATATGGCCTAGAAAATCAAAAATAGCAGCGATATGGCCTAGAAAACCAAATATAGCATCGATATGGCCTAGAAAACCAAATACTGAATATATATGGCCTAGAAAATCGAAAATAGCAGCGATATGGCCTAGAAAACCAGAAATTGTGTAGTTCTCTTGGAAAACATTGAAAATTTGAATTTTTGAGGAGAAAATTTGAACATTTCGAATTCCCCGCCTAAATCTGTGTAGTTCTCTTGGAAAACGTGGAAAATTTGAATTTTTCGAAAAATTAAATTTTGTTGACAGATTTTTGATCTGAAAATGAAGAATTTCTTTTATATGGCCTAGAAAACCAAATAACAGAATCAATATGGCCTAGTTTTCAGAACGATAGAAACCGCGGCCTCATCCCATTTTTCGTCGCCGCCACTTTTGGCACAACCGGTCCCTGCTCCTTCGACAACATTCACGAAATCGGCCCGATTTGTCGAGACAAAGGGAATTTGGCTACACGTCGATGCCGCCTACGCCGGTTCCGCCCTGATTGTTCCAGAAGTTCGTGTCCTGATGCGAGGAATCGAGTGGGTTGATTCGTTTTCAACGCAACCGAGCAAACTCGCCATCTCAGTCTGCGATGTTTGTTGTCTTTGGGTTCGAGATCGTTTTCGACTTCAAGCCGCGTCGGTGGAAAATCAGATTGAGTTCTCCTATAAAAGTCTGCCAACAAGTCGGAAATTTGGCGCGCTTAAAATGTGGCTTTTCCTTCGCACAATCGGTGTCGAAAATTTGCAAAAACAAATTCGAGAACATATTCGATTGGGACAATATATGGAAGAGAAATTGAAGAAGGATATACGTTTCGATGTGCAGAATAAGGTGATGCTGGGCCTTATTTGTTTCCGTGTCAAGGCGGATGATAATTTCAACAAGGTGCTGCTCTATAAACTCAATGAGACGGGGAAAATTAGCCTGGCTTCGTGTACTTTGGGAGATCGATTTGTGTTGAGATTGTGTATTAATACACCGAAGAGTACTGAAGCTGATTTGGATGCGGCATTTGATTTGATTTGTTTTGAGACTGATGCGTTGAGACGTGAGTTTGGGGGGAGGTCTTGGCTCAAGGCGCTGCTGCTTGTCATAGAAGTGTAATGGTTGATGACCTCCCAGTCATCTCCATTATGTATTTCAATCATAGATATAACAACCTTTACATGTATAATATTTATTACAAGTAAAATATGTTATCGGCCGATGTATGTGGCAACATAGTAAAGAATGAGCTTCTTAGAGAGGCGGGGAGACACTTGGGTGCACATGGTGACTCTCAAGGCGCAGATCTTGTACAATGAGGTTCTCAAGGCACTGCTGCTTGTCATAGAAGATCTCAAGGCGCGGCTGCTAGACGATAGGGTTGTCAAGGCTCGGCTGCTTGCTAGGGTGACTCTCAAAGCGCGGGTCCTATACATTCAGGGTCTCTAGGAGCGGCTTCTTGTCATAGAAGATCTCAAGACGCGGGTGCTAGACGATGAGGTTCTCAAGGCCCAGATGCTTGCTAGAGTGGTTCTCCCGATGCGGGTCCTAGACGATGATGTTGTCTAGGCGCGGCTACTTGAGAACTAGGCTTTCTAAGCGCTTATCCTTGATAATTGAGCTCTCCAAAGTTGGCTACTAGACAACTGGAATGTCTAGGTGCAGCTACTTGGCATAGAAGCTCTCAAGGCGCCGCTCCTTGCCAGAGTGTATTTCTCGGCGCTGTTCCTAGACGTTACGGTTCTTCAGGCGCCGCTGCTTGGAATAGAAATTCGGATTTAGAGAAAAAATAATTTTGATCTACCGAAAAATTTTCCAAAAATCCTGTTCCAGCATTCCAAGATCGTGTCGAAGTGATGAATGAAGAAGAACTCGAAGAATTCATTCATCTCCCAATGAAAACTCAAATGATCTACGCAAACGCCTCAAATACTCAACTCCCCCAACTCACTTCATTTGTATCCGATGCCGCATTAATGAGCCCGACTAAAGGAGCACATTCACAGGAGAATAATCAGCATACCAAAAAAGATTGAATGAATTTTGAGTTTTAAATGCGTTTATTTTATACAAGGTTACAGTAATGCTTAACAGAATTGCACGGTGTACGAAGCGGTTGCTTGACATGTGAAAGTTGATGAACCATCATCGTAAGCATAAGAATAAGCGGTTGGACAAGCATCTTTGAACATTTGAGCGGTTGCACTTCGATGACATTTGTCTGGAGTTCCATAAGCACCACGGCAACATTCTTGATCAGTGTTGTATCCGAGACATCCCGATTTGCAGGCAACTGTGTTTCCACTGTGTCCTTTGACAGACAAAGCGGCTGGGCATTCAGAGTTGATGTCTTTGTTGCAACCTCCCGATCTTTTGCAGCCTGAAATATAAGATTTTCGTTATGAAAGGTGGATAGCGGGGAAGGTTTCAACGCGAAACCATGAATTTTTTTGAATTTTCAGAGAAAAACGCTGAAAATTGTTGAATAAGAAAGAGAAAGTAAAGAAATTTTTTCCGCTGAAAAACAATTCAAACGTGTTCGCTAGAGCGCGTTTGCCTGTGTACTCCGAGAGAAGTACACACAAATGTGTGCGATAGAGCGAATTTGCTCGCCTAGTTTAGAGGTTTTAGCATGATCACGTATTTTTTTGCTGAACAAAAAATCCTCGGTTCGCTGTTTAAAGGGACATGCTTTAATTTTCCACCAAAATCTCAAGAACGGCTACACCAAATGAAAATCTGAGTACACCATCTTTATCGCCGTGAAAAACTGCATGGAAATAAGCTTTGGGGTTCGTGGCGAGACCAATTTCGAAAAATAGCGCGCAAATTGGAGAGACGCGAGAGATTTTTGTGCATTTGTGCGTCACCGTGTTTGCACAAGTCAATACAGTATACCAACCGCGAACCGAGGGCCAAAAAAATACGTGGAATAATCGATAAATGTTTGGGTGTGTACTCCGAGAGAAGTACACACAATTTAAGAACGTGTGCGATAGAGCGAACTTTCTCTTCTACTTAATTTTTTGTTTTTTACAAAAATATTTAAATATTCCTCACCATTTCCACCATGTGGATCAATTAAAACTGGAAGATTGTATCCATCAACCAACGAAACATCATAAAAATCTTGTCCTCCCCAAGCTTTCAAAGTGAATTCAGCCAACGATGCTGGTGGAACACCTCCAGCTCCATTACATTGTTCACTATTTCTACAGAAACCAGTCTCGCAATTGAAATTCGAATCGCATCCAGTTCTAGCCCAAACTCTTCCAGCAGTCCATGCATCATCAACATCGATATTTCTCGATTGACCGGAATCCAATCGGAAACCACCGCCTGATGGATTTCCGGGGCCAAGGATTCCTGGCCAAATTGTCATTGGACATTTGTTATAGATTGTGATTGTTCGGGATTGAACACCGTAAATCAAGGCGACCAAAAGGAGAGCTAGTTTAAGAGTGGCCATCTGAAAATTATAGGATTTAGTATTTGAGAGAAAAAGAAAATGAATACATAAGTATGCTTCTGCCATTTTCACCTCCCTTTAAATACAGTTTTGTTATCAGCCAAAAATGTCAAATGTACAATAGTACACTGAAAAAAATGCTCTCAATGAAACCAGAAAAAAATTGTTGATTTGATTTTTTTGATAACTCAAATAGTATTATATGGTGTAATAATTTATTTCCGACGGAAATTTGCATTCGAAAATGATAAGAAAAAAAGCAGATTTATAAACAACATTTCTTCCTGTTTCAAAAATAAATTTCCAGGGTTCCTTCTGTAAATTTTCCTGTAAATTTTTATCTGAAATTTCAAATTGTAAGGTTCCATTTTTTATCGAAATTCAGAGAAAATTTCCATGCACAAAATAATCTCTAATCATCACAAGTCTTCTTTGTTCTTTCTGACCGAAAAATTTTTGCACAAAACAAAAAATTTTCGATTTCAATTTCAACGATTCCTCTCTCGATGTTTGTTATCAGCAGTGGTGTTCCTCGTGATCATCAAATCTGCTGCTTACTGTTTTGTTGATAAGCTTAACCAAAAAAAGTTCAACGCGATCACATTGGAACAAATATAAATACGCCTGATTCCGGGATCATTTGAAAAGAAAATTGTCAGCGAAAATTGTTGGATTTTTTGATTTGAAAAAACCGGAAAAATTGTAGAAAAACATGTGCATTTTTTCTGGTGTTTTTTCAGAATCGCATTTTTTCTAGGCGAGTACGAAAGAACATGTGCTGATAATGATAAACAAAGTCGATAAGTAAAAGAGTTATAATTTTTGATGGAGGGTAAATTTTTGCTGGATTTATTTACAGGTTTAATAGAAAAGGTCGGAATTGTACATTTTAAAAAATTGTACAATTTTCATAGAAAAATAATAGAGAAATAAAATTTAAAAAATGAAAAATTTTACTAAAGTCGATACCAAAAAATTATGAAGGATTTTCTGAATTTTTGTAAAGACCCTCGTAACAAAATGTATGAAATTTTAACAAATTTTGAAAATTCATTCAGAAAATTGTTTCTACTATTTTTTGGACACAGGTGGTGGGGGAAGTTGAAAAATTGGTGCATTGTTGGCCGAAAAACTTTTTAGTCAAATTTTGGGCAATTTTTGATCAAATCACTGTTTTGGCCAGATTTTGGTCAAAAAATGGTCAGAATTTGGCCAAAAATTGACCAAAATTCACGATTCGACCGAATTTTGGTCAATTTTTGACCAAAAAACGAATTTGAACTGCCTCTGAAAATTTACAGTACCCAAAAAAAATGTATTCTAGAAGTTTTCAGTGAAATCTAAATTTCAAAATGTTTGTGAATTTTCAAAGATCGAAAGGTTACAGAGTGCACATTTTGAAAAAGCAGAGTAGATTTTCCCTGAAAAATAAATTGTTTTGTTGTCCATAAAATATTATTGTTAGAGCTTTGAAAAAAAAACAAATTTCCGGAATAGAAATGAAATATTTCCGGAAAGCGGGATCAAAATATACAATTTTGAAAATTTCAGCCAACAGAACTTCTCAAAGAATTTTCTACAGAATTCTGAGATTATGATGATTTCCAAAAAGTCTAACTTCAGAAAACTCACGTTTTGATTCGCCAGAAAATTGACAAAATCCTAAAAACTTCGAGCAATCAAGAACACATTTCTCCTCACCCTGTGATTATCACTATTTCAAAATCTGATGTTGATCATTTATCAACAACAAAAATTCTTTGTTGATGTTCCAAAAAAAATAACTGTACATAGTTTGAACAACCACAAATTCCACGTGGCAATGAGATCAGGCTCAGCATTCTGTGGAATTTTGTAAACCGCAAAATTTTCCGGGTCATTGTGAACTTTTTCTTCCAGAAATTTTGCAAATCATGAGGGTTCACAAAACAATTTTGATCAAAAATTAGACATTCGGGTGGAGAAAAGCGAGAAAATAGATAATGAAGAGGGAAAAGGACTATAAAAGAGCGGTGAATTCACTCAGATTCCTCACTGAATTCCTATTTCCTAGTGAAAAATGGCTTCATTCAAAGTTGCTCTCCTTTTGGTCGCCTTGATTTACGGTGTTCAATCCCGAACCATCACAATCTATAACAAATGTCCAATGACAATTTGGCCAGGAATCCTTGGCCCCGGAAATCCATCAGGCGGTGGTTTCCGATTGGATTCCGGACAATCGAGAAACATCGATGTTGATGATGCATGGACTGCTGGAAGAGTTTGGGCTAGAACCGGATGCGATTCGAATTTCAATTGTGAGACTGGTTTCTGTAGAAATAGTGAACAATGTAATGGAGCTGGAGGTGTTCCACCAGCATCGCTGGCTGAATTCACTTTGAAAGCTTGGGGAGGACAAGATTTTTATGATGTTTCGTTGGTTGATGGATACAATCTTCCAGTTTTAATTGATCCACATGGTGGAAATGGTAGGAATATTTTTGTAAAAAAACATCACAAAAAACAAATTAGGCGAGAAAGTTCGCTCTATCGCACAAATTTTTCATTTGTGTGTACTTCTCTCGGAGTACACACCCAAACATTTATCGATTTCAGGTTGCTCTCGCTCCGGTGGTTGCAACAAAGACATCAACTCTGAATGCCCAGCTGCTCTTTCAGTCAAAGGAGCTTCAGGAAACACAGTTGCCTGCAAATCGGGATGCCTCGGATACAACACTGATCAAGAATGTTGCCGTGGTGCTTATGGAACTCCAGACAAATGCCATCGAAGTGCAACCGCTCAAATGTTCAAAGATGCTTGTCCAACCGCTTATTCTTATGCTTACGATGATGGTTCATCAACGTTCACATGTCAAGCAACCGCTTCGTACACCGTGCAATTCTGTTAAGCTATTTTGGTAATAAATCTTGATAATTCAATTGAACAGATCATGAGAAATGATAAGAAATTTGAAGATAAGAGCATTGTTCAATAAAACAATGGTAGTTTGATGGAAAATTTCAAAAATTTGGGGGAAAAACTAGCTTGGGCTCAATTTTCCTCAAACTATAAAACCGTGGGAAACCATGAGAACTCTCCATTAATCTTTAGATTCCTGATTGTGAGGAAAAATATGAATTTCTCGAGAAGTACACACAAAAAACTGTGGCTCTCGTAACCCAGTGAAGAGTTGAATGACTTTCGTCAGTCGCGTGCGGCTCTGCGTCGCGGTCGGGAAGCAAAAGCCGCTTTTTGAAAAACAAAACTCACAAATTTATTTTCACTTAATCTTTAAAAAAAAATTCATGACTTAGTTCCAAACATTTCAGTGGTCGCCGCAATAAAGCAAAAAACAATCGGGAATGACAAAAACATCAAAACTCGATCCCAAAATTCGACAACCGGGTTGCTAATCATCGTATTTCCACACGGCATTCCTTGACCACCAATAACTAATGGTTCTGATGTCGTGGTGGTGGGGGTTTCCGATTTCTCCTCCGAACCTCTGCTGAACAATCCACCCGGTCCGAATAATCCCAACGGTGGTTCTTCTGTTGTTGTCGGAGCCGATGGTTGAGCGGTGTTCAGGGAATTTGGGGGCATTTCTGTTTTCTGAGTCGGCGCAGATGTGACTTTTTCAATCATCGCATCGGGATCAACGAAATAATAATCTTCTTCTTCTTCATCCACGCTTTTCTCATCCAGCTTCAATGCTTCTGGCTCTCCTTCATCTTCCTCATCATGTTTATCCTTTTTCTTATCTTTTTCATCAGAATCATCAGCCAAAACACAACAAAAAACAATAGAAAATAGAAATAGAAGAAAAATGAATCGCATTAGGCTGAAGTATACTGAGAATGCTACTGAAAACCAACCAAATTTCCGTTTTTCCCATAACTTTTTCTCTTTTTCTAGCTTCATCACCATGGAGAGGTGAGATCATTTATACATACAACATTCGCTAACTGATTATAATCAGCCAGCGCAGGTTGTAAGATAGGTTGGGGGAAAATGTCAGGGGTCTGCGAAAATGCGCTCTATTGCACAGTTTTTTAAATGAGCGTGTTTGCAGATTTGACGCGCAAAACTGTGACGAATATTTGCAGACTAAACAATAAATTTATTATTTTTTCGTTTTCTTTTTTGTTTTCTTCTTGTCATCTTTTTTGGTTTCCTTCGTCGCTTTTTTCGCACCCGTTCCTTTCTTTTTCGTACCTTTTTCTGAAAATTTGAAAGTTTTCAGAATCCAGAGCTTTTTGGGTCTAAATTTGCTAGGAAGCTGAAATTTTCAGAAAATATTTGGCTGGAAAAAGAAATGAGTTCAAATTTGCTAGGAAGCTGAAATTTAGGTGACAATTTTAAATTTTCAGACTCTAGAGACAATTTTGGAGCTGAAAATGGCTTCAAATTGAAATTTTCAGGATTTTCCGATCAAAATGAGTCCAAAGGTCAGACTTCCAAAAAAAATCCCCAACGTTGAAAAATGTGACTGTGCAAAATTTATTTCGTCAGTCGCGTGCGGCTGTGCGTTGCGGTCGGGAAACAAAGGAAAACATGAATTATTGATTATTTCCCGACCGCGACGCACAACCGCACGCGTCTGAAAATCCTTACTTTTTCCTCCCTCTTTTTTCTTCCCTTTCTTCGTAGTTTTCTTCTTTTTCGTATCTTTTTTCTTATTTTTATCCTTCTTTTTCTTTTCCTTCTTCATCCCATCATTTGACCCTTTCTCATTTCCACTTGAAGCTGTTCCTCCATCATTCGAAGCTGTCGAACTTCCCAAAATTCTCCCAAATAATCCAACTTTTTCCTCTTCCTCCTCTTCTTTCTCGCTTTCTTCCTCTTCTTCTTCCTCTTCATTTTTCCTTGTTTCAGAATTCTTCTTCTCATTCGATGCAGAAGAAGTTTTCGCTGTTCCTGTTCCACCACCAAATGCAGGTTTTTTGAGCGATTTTTTCGAGTCATGAATAAATTTGGGATTTTGGAGCAACATCATGATTGTGGTTCGATTGTCGGCTCCGCGATTTTCAATCAACTGGCGCTCATCGAGAACTCCGTTTTTTGCGATCACATCTTTTATGTGTTTCTGAATGAGAATTTGTTACTAGAAATTTGAAAAATGTGGCTGTAGAATTGAATGAAGAAAACAACTACATTTCGTCAGTCGCGTGCGGCTTTGCGTCGCGGTCAGGAAGCAATCAATAATTGATTTCTAGCTTTTTCAAGCGCGTGCGGCTATGCGTCGCGGTCGGGAAACAATCAATAATTGATTTCTGGCTTTTTCAGTCGCGTGCGGCTATGCGTCGCGGTCGGGAACATGAATTATTGATTGATTGTTTCCTGACCGCGACGCACAGCCGCACGCGACTAACTGCACTGGTTTTAGACACATTTTTCAACTTCGACAATGAAGACTTTTGTTTTTTTACTCGCATAATTAGATATTAGGAAAGTTTTAAAGGGTTGGAAAACTGAAATCTAGAAAATATATGTTTTCTAGTAATTTTCGACGCGCTGAACACGCTTCAAAAAATTGCAGAATTCGAGATGAATTATGACGTGGCAAATTTGAAAAATCGGGATTTCAGGAGCTAGATGATTTTCAAGTAAATCTGATATTGGATTGTTCAGAAGGGTTGATAACATAAAAATTGGATTTTTTGAATGAACCTTCTGAACAACCCAATCTCATCGATACTTCCACGCGCTCCACCGAAATAAACACGCAACGCAGACCGCGCCGCGCCACAACACACACACAAATAAGGAAACGATTCAAATGCCCTCCTTTTTTGTGTGTGTTGTGGCGCGACGCGGTCTGCGTTGCGTGTTTATTTCGGTGGAGCGCGTGGAGTACCGATGAGATTTTCGATAATATCTCCCGAAATCCCGAATTTGCCACGTCATAACTCATCTTGAATTCTGCAATTTTTGAAGCGTTTTCAGCCTTCTAGAAAACATAAATTCAAAACGTTCCTAATGTATGATCTAATTAGGTATTCCAGGCTTGCGAAATCACATCAAATTAATTTTTCCCTGCGATTTCTTTATTGATCAATAATCATCAAACCTGTTATCCCCTCAATAAAATTTACCTTCGCCATCTCATCAGTTTTAAAAACATGTTCCGACAGAAATTCTTCCATCTTATCAACCTCCGTAACCGCCTCCTCTCTTATATTATTCTTCACAAACCACCCAATAACCAAAGTAACACAACCAAAAACAAGCGAAACATAAAGATAATTAAGAAACCCGTAGAAAATCGCACGAGCCATTGAATTCACTTGAAGTGTTGTTGATGCTCTCAACTTCCCATCAATCCAACATTCAAAGTGTCCAGTATCTCCTGAATCAATTGGCCATAATCCAAAATCACCGTATTCTGATAATGAGATTCGCCAATCAAACCACGATGATTTGACGAGTTTACCATTTACATACCATTCTATAACTTCGCCATTATATTTTTGTTTCTTCCGATTTTTAAAATCACATTTCAGGGTGACCATACTCCCTTGGATTATATCGATTGCATCATCAACTTGTGGATTTACATCAATATCAATCATTTTATTATCTCCAACAATGGTTCGAAGAATTGCTTCTTTGCTTTTGTGGCTGAAAAGTCCTGATTCTTTTTCTTTAACTTGCTCTCTTCTTTTCTTCAAGAATTTCTTTTCAGCTTTCTTAGACAATTTTCTTTCTTTTTTCACTTTTTTCTCCTTCTGCTCATTGATATCGGGAGGACATTTTCCATTAGCGATTTTAATCTGCAAATCATATTCCCTCAAATACAAACAATCTGTATCATATTTCAACCATTGACGAAATTTGGCCAATTTTAGAGTCGCATTGTCCTGTCGACTCTGGAAAGAAGATCTTATTTTATTATTTTTTCAAAAAATAATCTGAAACTCACCAAAGCCCTTATCGCAACAATCAATCCTGCCAGAACGAATAAAATTCTCATTTTTTCACCTTTTAAAATTAGAACACAATTTAGAAATGACTATTTATCCATTTTTAAAATCCCACGTGAAAAATTAACCCATAAACGCTTAAAACATCACATATATTTACATTTTCAATCAATAATCTTTCTTTTTTTCAAATCCTCTCGAGCTTCTTTGATTTCTTGCACAAGTTCTTGTTTTGCATCATTGCAATCATTGAAAGTCGAAACTCCGTGAATTACAGAGAAAATTGCGTAAAACTAAACAAATTTGATCAAAATTCATGAAATAACAGCAGAAAACTCACTCCTAATAGAAGAACTGTGTATATAGGTGCCTGAAAATATAGTGAGTATAACATTTTTAAAATTGAAAACCAAAAGGAAAAAACTCACAAATAAAACAAAATGATGTGTGAAATCGGGAAGATAGGAAAATGTGGGAATAACTTCGAAAACTGAAAGAATCCAGAGAGTGGCGAATGGAATTACATGGGCAAGGTATAGGAAAAGTTGTGAGGCCATATCTGTAAATGAAAAATCAGTTTAACATTGAGAAAAACGAGTTTGACGTGGTTTTAAAAGCAAAAGAACAAAAAATAAAATTAAGTTGGCTATTTGCCAACACTTAGTTTGATACGCATGTGTTGGTATACGGTAACATTTGTTCGAGTGTGTCCTCGTTTTTATTTTTTCTAAAACGAATTTTTGGGACTCTCCTAAATTTTTTTCTTTTCTTTGCACGTTTTCAGGCGTTTTCGCTGTATAACTTCAGAGTTATTTTTTCAAAAAATATTTGTACCGTTAGAAAAATAACCAAATAGGTCTTCTTCGCTTTTTTTAACCTCTCGATTGAGCAAAAACCATTGAAAATTATTTTATTTTGAATTTTTCAGAACATGGGAAAGCCGAAGGGACTCTGTACGGCCCGTAAGCTTAAAACACATCGCCAAGAGCAACGATGGAACGATAAGAGATACAAGAAGGCTCATATTGGAACTCGCTGGAAGTCCAACCCATTCGGAGGAGCTTCCCACGCCAAGGGAATCGTTCTCGAAAAGATGTGAGTTTGAAATTCTTCTTCATTCACATGTTTTATCTTGAATTTCCTTCAGCGGAGTCGAAGCCAAACAGCCAAATTCTGCTATCCGCAAATGCGTTCGTGTCCAACTCATCAAGAACGGAAAGAAGATCACCGCTTTCGTGCCAAATGACGGTTGCTTGAACTTTGTTGAAGTGAGTTATTTTTTTCTATTTTTTTTTTACCTTTTACTTACATCTCGTCTATTTTACTGAAATAGCAAGTTTACTTTTCTCCGAATAAAAAATCACTAATTTTTCTGAACTAACTGTTATCGTAGTTGTTTCATGCGAGGTCCAGAGTCACCTTACCGGATACGTGCGGGTTGGGTGCTAGGATTGCTCGAAAATAAAATTGGGACATTATGCAAATAGAACTCGCGTTCTGCTCTTCTATTTCACCTCCGTTCCAGACAATAAACTAGACGAGAATAAATCACCATTAGTTCCACTCTGATTCCCTAACTATTACATTTTCCAGGAAAACGATGAAGTACTTGTATCTGGATTCGGTCGTTCCGGTCACGCCGTCGGAGATATTCCCGGAGTTCGTTTCAAGATCGTCAAGGTCGCCAACACCTCCCTCATTGCCTTGTTCAAGGGAAAGAAGGAAAGACCACGTTCGTAATTGTTTGTTGTTCTTGTTATACCGATAACATAAAGTTGTTGGGAAATCCCAAGATATTTATTTTCGTTTTTTTTCGAAAATGCATATAGCTACCATCTTATCAATAAGTGAAAACGGAGTGTCAGTTCAATAACGTGATGGTATTTGTATGTGGTCGCGCGCTCTCCACATATGAAACAGAACGAGTTTATTCGTTCGCTTTTCAATCGTTGAAACATTTCTTCCTTCTCAAATCACCCGTATTCATCCAATTTTTGTTCGCTTATTTATCTAGCGGTCTACACTTACCAAGTGTGAAATAATATCCAGTTTTCTCTTAAGTTTACGATACAAATCTTCTCTTCTGATCGATTACTCAGAAACTATTCAAAAATGAAATTCCTTTGCCCCCTAATCTTTATCATTAGCCAAAATTAGCAAAAGTACTCCGGCAAATGAAAAACAATCAGAACCAGTAGAAAACTTGTTTTATCTCCATCCATCCCAAAATAATTCTGATTTTTGTGAAGAATGAGAGAGAAACAACAGTATTATCATCATATTATCACTTCCACCTTTCATTTTCTGTTCGTTTAGGCGAAATCCGGTATTTTTTATGATAGATTTTTGATATTGAATATGCATTTTTGTTTGTAAAATGTTTTCTCTCATCTCAAGGTGAGAGAAAACTTTGCCGATGAATTATTGAATACAAAAACTGTGTGTGACTAGACTTTCCAAGCTAAATATAAAAAATGGAAAGTTTGTGGGAAAATCGCTGATTTTTCTGAAAATTGATGTTTTTACTGACGATGCTCCACGTTTACACCTCCTCAATTCCAGCGCGAAAAGCCAAAAATTCAAAATTTTCAAAAAACAACGACACTCCACACTTCCACCTCGCATTCTCAGATTCTCTTGGCGCGAAACCCCCAAAAATTCAAAATTTCTGTCTGAACCAGGCATGTTCATTTCGCCGGCGAACGCCGGGCGTCGCCTTTTTTATTGAGGCGAAGGCGAGGCGTGCCTCTTTTTATTTTTCAACGCACAAGGCGAGGCGAGGCGTCGCCCGGCGATTCGCCGGGCGAGTTGCATTTTGCAAGTGAGAATAGATTAAATTTTCTTCGATTTTTTCATAAATTCGGTTGTCGGCGGGGTTTCAGCTACCTATTAGCAACATTTTCAATCAAGATTTTGCTTTAGTTTTCACTAAAAAGTATATTTGGAAAAGAAACAGCTATTTTTAGATGGAAAACATATCGTTCAAATGTTCTCATGTAACTGTAAGGCGATATATTTTTATTTCTAAGCTTACAAAAACATTTTGCTGAAATTGAATGTTTATAAATACAGTTTTTTCACAAATTGGGTAAAAAAACTAGGTTTTCAGTGAAAATGACTCTTTTCTTCACTTCTTTGACCTTAATAATGTGTTTCAGAAGAAATCTTAGCACATAACGTTAAAATATGAGTGAAATTATCACAATTAATCGTTTTTCATGCAAATAAATTACGTTTCTTTATGAAACAGACAACACACACGCGTTTTCTCGCCGCGGCGAAGGCAGGCGAAGGCGAGGCGTGCTTTTTATTTTTTTTCGAAAAACAGGCGAGGCGTGCCTCGCCTGCACAAAACGTCGCCGGGCGAAAAGCAGGCAGGCAAAATGAACACGCCTGGTCTGAACAACGACACTCCACGTTTACACCCTCATTTTTAACGTTTCTTTGTTCTCTAAATATTCGCGCGCAATTTGAAAGGAACTACAAAGCTCCGCGTTTACGCCCTAATTTTTCACCGCGCGAATTTCAAAATTCATTTTTCCAGCCCACCAATGTAGAAAAATTGCTTGCTAGCAAGCAAGCTTGTCTATAAAAAAAAAATGTATATATATATATTTATTATTTGATACAGATCTGCTGTCTTCTTCTTCTTCGGATAAAACACATTCGGTTCTTTGCGTCGAAAAAAATCCTGTTTTTTTTTAGTTTTTCCGCCCCGCGCATGAAGCTTTTCCTCTGTTTCTCTGATCCTCGAAATTCTCTTCAGCCACAGCCTTTCGGAAAACACGTTTTAGTTTTGAGAGAAATCGAGAGGAGCGAGGGGTCTAAGCACGAAAACGAAAAGACCTCGTTGACCTACTATTTTGAATGCATATTAAATTGTTTTTGGTCGATTTCGAATTCGAATTCGATTTGAAACTATTTATTTACTAAATTCAAACTGTTCTTTTCTCTTTTCACTAATTTCGCCGAGAATTTTCCCTTTTTTCGGGAATTTCTGAATTGTTTCTGTACTAATTGTTGTGTTTTGTTGAACTTTTTCATATTATTGTTTTATTTTGTTGTTGAACTTTCAAGATTTTTTTCGTCTTTTTTGTATTCAGTTTGTGAATTTCGGAAGAATTTCCGCGTTTTATTTGAAATTTCGCAGAATTTTTTTGAAAATTCAAATTTTAGCGCCCAAAAATCCACGTGGCAATCTATTGTGGAAAATTCGAAAATTCAAATCTTGGCGCTCAAAACTCCACGTGGCAATCAATTTTTGAAATTTCGAAATTTGGCGCTCAAAATCCACGTGGCAAAAAGTTTTTGAAGTTTCGAAAATTCAAATTTTAGCGCTCAAAAATCCACGTGGCAAACAATTTTTGAAATTTCGAAAATTCAAATTTTAGCGCTCAAAAATCCACGTGGCAAACAATTTTTGAAATTTCGAAAATTCAAATTTTGGCGCTCAAAAATCCACATGGCAAACAATTTTTGAAATTTCGAAAATTCAAATTTTAGCGCTCAAAAATCCACGTGGCAAACAATTTTTGAAATTTCGAAAATTCAAATTTTTTGCGCTCAAAAATCCACAATTTTTGAAATTTCGAAAATTCAAATTTTAGCGCCCAAAAATCCACGTGGCAAAATAATTTTTGAAATTTCGCAATTTTTGAATTTGGCGCCCAAATAATCCACGTGGCAAAATATTTTGGAAATTTCTAAAATTCAAATTTTTGCGCCCAAAAATCCACGTGGCAATCAATTTTTGGAATTTTGAAAATTCAAATTTTAGCTCTTTAGAATCCACGTGGCAAAATATTCTTCAAATTTTTTGAAAATTCAAATTTTAGCGCTCAAAAATCCATAAAACAATTTTTGAAATTTCGAAAATTCAAATTTTAGCGCCCAAAAATCCACGTGGCAAACAATTCGATTAAAAATTCTTATAATCAAAAAATGTGGGAAAAATGCAGATTTCAGAACCAAATCCCCAATTTTCAGAAAATTCCGAATATTGATTTTTGGGAAAAAATGAGATTTTCAAGATAAATCTATAAATTCTTTCAAATGTTTCCAAATTTCATTAGGAATTTTTTAAAAAGCTTATGAAATTTTCATTAAAGCTTTTGAGCAAAAAATTCCAGCTCCAAAAAATTCAAAAACAAAAAAAATTTCAACGTGGCCTATTTTTTTCCCGCGTCTCTTTCCCATTTTGCAAAAACCTGTCATTTCGATTTAATTTTAATCCTGATCTCGAAAATCGGCGGCGCATTCCTGAAAAATATTCAAATGTGAGTGATTCTCCAAAATACAATCTCATTACTATTCCATTCATAACCCAATTTTTCTTGCTTCACAAGTATTTTCCCTCATTTCTTCTTCTTCAACCACTTTTGCTGTCATTCAAAATCAGATCAAGTTTATCCGCGCGTCGCGTTCAGCGCGGAAAAGTGTTACATTTTTTTGCGTTTCGCGCAGTGTGTAATAAAATAATAATATTATTTTTTCAAGCGCGCGCATTTTATATCCAACATTTTTCCCATTGAAAAATATGAGCTGCATGGCCAAGTGGTATACACTTCTGCCTAAGGCGCCAGCAGGTTTTGCAGCACCCGGGTTCGACCCCCACCCGACGCATAATTTTTTTTTTTTAGAAATCGAGGTGTGGATTTTTCGAACACAAAAAATTTGAATTTTCTCGTTGCCTTTTGAAAAATGAGTGATGTGGTGGCGAGCACAAGCAGTTGGCGACATCAAGCACCGCTGGCCACCGATGTTTTGCAAAAACCAGCCAGGTTAGTTTTGGGAGGAAATTTTTGAATAAAATTTTCAGTCATAACTGAAATTATCTGGTTTTATAAAATTTCAAGCCATAAGTTATTTCAAAAAAATTTTTTAGCTGAAAAATTTGGATTTTGAATTCAAAATTTTCGAACCTGTTCACAAATTTTTTAATTCATAGTAATCCTTGAAAAACCCTTGCAAAATGCAAAATTTTGCCAATTTTCGGCTTTCCACCGGCAAAAATCCGGTTTTTACCTTTTCTTCTTTCATTCCCTCAATAATTTCACTTTTTCGATGATGTCATCGATTGATTTTTCGTTTTCTTTTCATTTTCTAAACTATTTTTATTCATTCCTTTTTCCTATTTCAATTCAAAATGAAAATGAAAGGTTTGTAGTTTCCCAAATTTTCAAAAAAAAAACAAAAAAAAAGAAATTTTCAGATTATTACCAAAAATGAAGTTAGAAGAACTAGTGACAGTGATGTTGGTGACTGGAGCTTTGCTATTTCAAAATTTGCCAATCGGATTTTTCTTGGCTGCCGTTTTGGCGATTTATATCGCTGTGGTTCATGGCGATTTTATTTATCGATCTTATTTGACGCTGAATCGAGATTTGACGTGAGTTTTTTATGCAAAAAAAATCCATCAGAAGCTTAGTTTAACTATAGTCTAGTTTGATGCAAAAAATTCAGCAAATTTCGATGAAAACTCGCTGAAATATGAAAGCCCGTTGAAAAAAAAACACAAATTCAAACCGCGCGCGCATGCAACGTCAACGCGGAGTCTCGTTGTTTTCTTTTTATTTTTTCGCAAAAAAATTTTTCCTTTTTTTTCCCAGCGGACTTGCTCTCATTCTCGACGTCAAATTCGATCTTTGGCGACGACTTCGACAAAACAAAGGGATTCATGAGATCTTCCTGGAAATTGTTAAAAAGTTCGTCTAACTCGTGTGGAGAGAACCTTTGATTTTCTATGTTTTCTATTTAGAAATGCCACCAAAACCGCCATGATTGATATTGAAACTGAGAAAACGCAAAATTTCGCGGAATTTAATGGACATTGTAATCGATATGCGAATCATTTTCAGGTTTGCGGGGTTTTTTGAGAGAAATTTGTGGAGAAGCACAAAAATTAGGCAAAAATTGAGCAATTTTTGAAAATTGCGGGGTTAGGGAAGATTTTTATCAAAAATTGAATACAGGGTGATGTACAGGAGGGTTGATTTGGTAAAATATCGATTTTTCAACCAAAAATTGTTTGTTCAGGACCGTTTTTGTTGAAAAATCGATATTTTACCACCCTGTATTCAATTTTTGATGAAAATCTTCTCTAACATGAGTTATAAGCTCGAAACCCCACAAATTTTAAAAAATTGCTCAATTTTTGGCTCATTTTTGTGCTCTCCAGAGAATTTCTAATTTCTAGAATCTTGGCTATCGATCGGGCGACGTTGTCGCATTATACATGGAAAATTCGGTAGAATTTGTGGCCGCCTGGATGGGACTGGCGAAAATTGGAGTGGTGACAGCTTGGATCAATTCGAATTTGAAGCGAGAGCAACTTGTACATTGCATCACGGCGAGCAAGACGAAGGCGATTGTGACTAGTGTGACACTTCAGAATGGTGAGCATTTTCAGTCTAGTTATGACGTGGCAAAGTTCGTAGACTTTATCACGTAAAAACTATGTGGTTATGACGTGGCAAAGTTGCCACGTCATAACTATTATCGAAAATCTCCACGCGCTCCACCGAAATAAACACGCAACGCAGACCGCGCCGCGCCACAACACACAAAAAAGGGAACGATTCAAATCCCCTCTCTTTTTTGTGTGTGTTGTGGCGCGACGCGGTCTGCGTTGCGTGTTTATTTCGGTGGAGCGCGTCCGAGATCTACCAACTTTGCCACGTCATAACTAATTTTGAGTTCCCAACCCAAACCAACTAATTTTCAGTTCTCGCTGATGCCATCGATGAAAAGCTCTTGGAAGTTGATGGAATTCAGATCTACACAATCGGAAAACCAAACCGCCCTGATTTCGAAGATCTAAAGACCAAACTAGATTCGACGAAAACCGCAGAACCCAAAAAATTGGATAAAATCGATTTCAAAAGCATTCTTTGCTTCATTTACACCAGCGGAACAACTGGAATGCCAAAAGCAGCCGTAATGAAACATTTTCGATATTATTCGATTGCTGTTGGAGCCGCAAAATCGTTCGGAATTCGATCTTGCGATCGAATGTATGTATCGATGCCGATTTATCACACTGCCGCTGGGATTTTGGGAGTTGGACAAGCGTTGTTGGGTGGAAGTTCGTGTGTGATTCGGAAGAAGTTTTCGGCGAGCAATTTTTGGAAGGATTGCGTCAAATATGATTGCACGGTGAGTTTTGATAGAACACCGTGTGAAATATACTAAATCGACCATTCTGATCACGATATCGATGTCAAAAATTGCCAGAAACTCCTGTGAGCAATTTTCTGGAGCTCCAAAGTTTGAATTAGCCCATTTTCACCATGTTTCAGTGTGAAAAATCAACTTTTATAACATGAATAAGGTTGTTCACCACATTCGAAAACCTATCTGTTTTTTAGTTTGTCAAAAAATATGAAAAAAGCCAGCTGGAAACTGTAATTTTTCAGGTTTCAGCTGGTTTTTTCATATTTTTTGAAAAACTAATAAAAACTGCTAGGTTTGCGAATGTGGTGAACAACATCATTCATGTTATAAAAGTTGATTTTCCACCCTGAAACATGGTGAAAATGGGCTAATTCAAACTTTGGAGCTCCAGAAAAGTGCTCACAGAGGTTTTTGGCAATTTTTGACACCGGGATCGTGATCAGAGTGGTCGATTTGGTATATTTTCCCTTGTTAGATGAAACATCGTGAAATATACCAAATCGACCATTCTGATGACGATCCCGATGTCAAAAATTGCCAGAAACCTCTGTGAGCACTTTTCTGGAGCTCCAAATCAATCTGGAAATGAATTTGTCTTATTTTCACCAAGTTCTTGGGTCAACACTCAAAAACTTGGTGAAAATAAGACAAATTCATTTCCAGATTGATTTGAAGCTCCAGAAAAGTGCTCACAGGGGTTTTTGGCAATTTTTGACATCGGGATCGTGATCAGAGTGGTCGATTTGGTATATTTCACGATGTTTTATCGAAGGTTTAGGTGATGAAACTTATGAACTTTATTAGGAGCTTCTAAGGAACCTTGGGACGGAGAAATTCATGCAAATTTCCAGGTTTCTCAATACATCGGAGAGATTTGTCGATATTTGTTAGCTCAACCAGTTGTTGAAGACGAATCGAAGCATCGAATGCGTCTTCTGGTTGGAAATGGTCTTCGCGCTGAAATCTGGCAACCATTTGTCGACAGATTCCGTGTGAGAATTGGTGAACTCTACGGATCAACAGAGGGAACATCGAGTTTGGTTAACATCGATGGACACGTTGGTGCATGTGGATTTTTGCCAATTTCACCATTGACTAAAAAAATGCATCCAGTTCGATTGATTAAAGTGGATGATGTGACTGGTGAAGCGATTCGAACTGTTGATGGATTATGTATTGCTTGTAATCCGGGAGAATCGGGAGCAATGGTTTCGACGATTCGGAAAAATAACCCGCTTTTGCAGTTTGAGGGATATTTGAATAAGAAGGAGACGAATAAAAAGATTATTCGAGATGTTTTTGCGAGGGGAGATAGTTGCTTTTTGACAGGTTTGTTCAAGGTTTTCTTATTATCGAAAATCTCACGCGCTCCACCGAAATAAACACGCAACGCAGACCGCGTCGCGTCACAACACAAGGGAACGATTCAAATTCCCTCCCTTTTTTGTGGCGCGACGCGGTCTGCGTTGCGTGTTTATTTCGGTGGAGCGCGTGGTACCGATGAGATTTTCGATAATACAAGGCATAAGGTCCCGGAATGAATTTTTGATGAAACACATCGAAATGTACCAAATCGACCATGCTAATAACGATTCCAGAGTCAGAAATTGCCACAAACCCCTCTGAACAATTTTCTGGAGCTCGAAATCAATCTGGAAATGAATTTGTTTTATTTTCACCGAGTTTTTGAGTGTTGACCCATGAACTTGGTGAAAATAAAACAAATTCATTTCCAGATTGATTTGGAGCTCCAGAAAAGTGCTCAGAGAGGTTTGTGGCAATTTTTGACTCTGAAATCGTTATTAGCATGGTCGATTTGGTATATTTCGATATTGTTCAACAAGCATAAGGTACCCGGATTAAACTTTTGATGAACCATATCGAAATGTACCAAATCGACCAACGATTCCAAAGTCAAAAATTGCCACAAACCCCCGTGAGCAATTTTCTGGGGCTCTAAAATTCGAATTGAGTTTTGGTCCCGCTCACATGATAAAAATGGGCGAAAACCTCAACTCAATTCTGATTTTAGAGCTTCAGAAAATTGATCACAGGGGTTTGTGGCAATTTTTGACTTTGGAATCGTTGGTCGATTTGGTACATTTCGATATGGTTCATCAAAAGTTTATTCCGGGTACCTTATGCTTGTTAAAACATATCGTAATCAATCAATTTCTAGGTGATCTTCTTCATTGGGATCGTCTCGGTTATGTTTACTTCAAAGATCGTACTGGTGACACTTTCCGCTGGAAAGGCGAGAATGTGTCAACAACTGAAGTTGAGGCAATCTTGCACCCAATTTCTGGAGTTTCAGACGCCACTGTTTATGGCGTTGAAGTTCCGAATGTTGAAGGCCGCGCTGGTATGGCGTCGGTTGTTCGACAAACTTGTGAGAAAGAGGATGAAGAAGAGTTTGTGAAAAGAATTGGGGCTCGATTGGCGGCAAGTTTGACGAGTTATGCCATTCCGCAATTTATTAGGATATGCGAGGATGTTGAAAAAACTGGTTTGTGACGAAATAAACATTCTTATCTCACTTTTCCACTTCTTTCAGGTACATTCAAATTGGTCAAAACGAATCTACAACGCTTGGGAATAAATAATACAACAAATTCACATTCTATCTACATATTTGATTCTCGTTCTAGAAATTATACACATTTTGATACGCTCATCAGAAACCAGGTTTCAATGGGTGAATATCCGTTCTAAATAACTGGTTTTTATTTCAAATGTTCTTTTTTGCCATGTCATACTGGTCTTGCCATTCATTTTTTCTTGTTTTTTTCGTTCTTTCAAATTTCTAAACATTTTCTGCTCAGATTATTTAGCGTTGTTGCTTTATCCACTTATCACATTTTCTCTAAATTATTTTCCTTGTTTTTTTCTTTTTGTCGCTAGTCTCATGAATAAACATTGATGAGTTTTATGTTTACAAAAATCAACAACACTTATTCAACAATAACATCAGCTTCCTTGGTGGCTCTGGTGTAAACAACTTGCCCGTGGTGACGAACAACGCATTTGACGAGTCCCTTGGCTTCCAATTCTTTGAGTCCAGCGTTGGCGAGCGAAGCACGGACCTTCAGTCTTTCGGAGATAACTGATGGGGTGATCAATTTGTAGGTGATGACCTAGAAACAGAAAGAAATTGATTGATGATATCAAAGTTCACCAAAATCTTACCTCTTTGTAAAGTTTGTCATAAGTGGCTTGATCGAAAAGGACCATGTTGTTCAACTTATCACGAACTTTTCCCTTTGACCACTTCTTCTTCTTGGCCTTTCCTCCTCCGGATCCCTCCTTCTTCTTGGATGGAGCGGCTTTGCCTCCCTTTGGGTCTGCCTTCTTTGGTGGCATACCTGGAAAAAAAACTGTTGGTGAAAATCGGGAGATGGAAACATAAAATTGAGATTGAAAAGGTAAAGAACGAATCTTTCTTTTACGAATTACACAGGAAAAATTTATGAATCAAGAGAATACGTGAACGTGACCAAGTTTTTTTCAACAGGATTTTCTGAACGACAAAAAGTGGGAGACGGCATTTAATCAAGAATGAATTCAATCGAAAGTTCCCATAATTCCAACAGTCCGGAATTTTATGAAGGTAAGTTATAGTTGTACATCGACTAGATGACATTTTCAGGTTTTTTAAGCAAATGAGTTGAAATATTGGGTTTTAATTTTATTCATATGATAGAATGGTCTAAGACGAACAGAATGATATAAATTTTGATGACTTTACGTTATCCATAAGTGATTTAGCGAGGTTTAGTCGATAAGGTCGTTAAATCGCTTATGGATAACCTAAAATCATCAAAATTTATATCATTCTGTTCGTCTTAGACCATTCTATCATATGAATAGAATTAGAACTCAATATTTCAACTCACTTGCTTAAAAAACCTGAAAATGTCATTTAGTCGATGTCCAACTATACACTACATTTCGAAGTGGTGAAATTAACACACTTGGAATAGGATGCGGCATATAATCAAGAATGAATTGAATCGAAAGTACCCATAGTTTCAAAAGTCCGGAATTTTATGAAGGTAAGTGGAAATTTTGTATAAAAATCGAAAGAAACTGTTTTGAAAAACTTTGAGCGTGTCTGGATTTAAGTGATATGCAAAGCAAAAGAATTTAAAAAATCGTATGAGAAAGTTCAAAGTTTCAATAACTTTGATAAATCGTCAAAAAAATACCTAAAAATGATAACTATTAAAAATCGATTTTTAGGTATTTTCCGGAGAAATTGAGGTCGGAAACTTTCTGCAGGTATGCTAGAGACCCTTTTCGAATTTTAGAAAGTGGTCCCACAAAAAACCGTCAGCAACAACCCCGCAAAAACCACGAAAAACGTGAAAACAGCGAAAAAAGAAGAGAAACCCTACATTTCGCCGGAGCGCACTTTCACTTCTTCCCCTCCAATCGCGACGAGACCCAGACGCTTAAATCGGTGCGCCTTGATTTTTTATTTTTGTTTTTTTTTCTGTTTGCTTCGCTTCGCTCACTTTTCATCATAAAAGTGACTCATTTTAGAATCGAATCAATATGGCTTTCAAAATGGAAGCCAGCCAACTCAAAATCGCTGAAAAACTGGTGATTTTGAATGATAGAGCAGCTGGAATGCTAACAAGAATATACAACATCAAAAAATCCAGTGGTGATTCCAAAGTCAAACCGCAATTTTTAAACGACAAAAAGATGGAGGGAGCTATTAAACATATTGTTCGAAAATTTCCAGTCGTAGATTGCAGATCAAATACAGTAAGTTATTATTTTTTGCGGTTTTTCGGCCGGAAAAAAATAAAAAAAATCATTTTTAATCTTCCAGTCAACATTCGAACATGTTGCAACAATGCAAAGCGATATTATCAAATCACTATCTCTTTATTATTATACATTCGCAGATTTATTAGATCTCAAAGATCATATAATGCATCTTCTAACAACTATGGAAACTTGCCAATGTCAATTGGATATTGTAAGATTTTTATTTTAAAAAACATGATTATTTTCATTAAAAAAATATTTTAGTCACTAAACTACGATCTAACAACGGGATATTTGAATCTGGTCGTAAATCTCATCACAATGATGATCTTACTATCCCGAATCGAAGATCGAAAAGCAGTTCTAGGACTGTTCAACGCCGCCTACGATTTTCAACACGGACAAAGTGAAGCGTCATTTCCTCGACTTGGGCAAATGATTCTAGACTACGAACATCCGCTCAAGAAACTTCATGAAGATCTTGTTCCGCTGAATCGGATGATTTTCTCAGCGTTGACGAGTTTATCCAATGTTTATGTGCGACGAAATATGACGGCTGATAAATGGCGAAAATCTCAGGTATTCTCATTGACGGCTTCACCTCAACAAATTCTATATGCCGCTCAAACGGACACGATTGCTTGTGAATATTTGTCATTGGATGTTATGGATCGATGGATTGTTTGTGAGTTAGCACAACTTTTAGAAGGAAAACAAATAGATGTTTGATGAAATATAGTAGTTTTCTACCCGATGATCACTATTCCGATGGCTGAAATTGCAGTTGGCAAAATTCTATGAGACTCTAGAAGCTGAAACCTGGCTTCAAAGATGATTTTTTTGCAAATTTGATAGCATAGAATTGTTCAGGAGGCGAGATAACATAAATAAAATTCATGTTTTCATTATTTGGTTGATTTTGAAAAATTTATTTTTGGTCGGAACTTGGACCATCTGAACTTATGTTTTAGATACTTAAGGTTTATTGAAAATCCAGAAGATCCAGAAGATTCCAGAAAATTTTCAATAAACCTTATCTAAAACATAAATTTTTAAGTTCTTCACCAAAAAATAATTTTTCAAAATCAATCAAATAATGAAAACATGAATTTTACTTATGTTATCTTGCCTCCTGAACAATTCTATGCTATCAAATTTGCAAAAAGTCATCTTTGAAGCTAGTTTTCAGCTCCTAGAGTCTCATAGAATTTTGCCAAGTTGAGCTCTGAAGGGAAAAAATCTAAAGGGAACGTTAAAACACTTCCCTTGTGAGCCTATGAAAGTTACAGAGCTCCAAAGTTCGGAAAATCTTCAGATTTGAGGCCAAATCTGGAAATTTTCCGAACTTTGGAGCCCTGTAACTTAGCTTGTAAAAATAAAAATCCGTGCGTCGCAATCGGGAAAAAATCAATAATCTCGACCGCGACGCGCAGCCGCGACGCGACTCACGAAATATAATTCTCTATTTCAGTCTGCGGAACAGTGTGCTATAATTCATTGCTAAATGACATGAATATTTTTCGAATGTGGCAACTTGCACTTCAAATGGGAATTTGTTTGCGATTATTCCGGGATGAAGTATTTGTGACACATACTGAGATTCAACAATTTTTGGAGTCCACAAAAGGAAATAATAAAAAGATTCAGGAGGTTAAAGATTGTTATTCAGTGGCTCTACAGCAAGCGTAAGTTATTTATTTTCTTTAGGTCCAAAACGAGCATTTTTCTGTGAGCATTTTTCTGGTTGAAATCGAGTTTTTTGAGATGGATAATGTTGTTCAGCACATTCGAAAACCTTGAAAAACTTTCAGAAAAGATGAAACGGAAGCTAAAAATCGTACCACGCAGCGCAGACCGCGTCACAACACAGATTCAAATTCCCTCCCTTTTTTGTGTGTGTTGTAACGCGGCGCGGTTTGCGTTGCGTGTTTATTTCGGTGGAGCGCGTGGTACGATTTTTAGCTAAAGTTTTTCAAGGTTTTCGAATGTGCTGAACAACATTATCCATCTCAAAAAAGTTGATTTTTCACCCAGGAACTCGATTTCAACTAGAAAAATGATCACAGGGCAATTTTTGACTTTGGAATCGTGATCAGCAAGGTCGATTTGGTATATAATTTGGTATATAGAAAATAGCCCCTCATTTGTCAGACGAGAGACGACGAGAGTCTAATGACGTCATCTGAGTTAGAGAAAGATATATTTTTATGAAAATATGTGTGTCCCTTTGAAAAAATACCGTATTTTGTTTCAAGGAACACATGTTTTATTGAAAATATCTCGAAGCGAAATTCATTTTCGGGATATTTTTGTAAATTACTCTCGTCGTCTCGCGTCTGACTCAACGGGTCGTGTCATAAAAATAGACTTTTTTTGCAGCATTCCAATCCACGCTGACCGTCGTAGATTCCTCCGTGGTTCCCTCCGCGAACTAACCCTCCTCATCCGCGATCAACCCGGCCTCCTGGGCCCAAAAGTGCTTTTCGTTTGGATGGCCCTTTGCGCGGCCCGCGACGAGGTTCTTTGGCTTCTTCGACATCAGGCCGAATGGCCGGTTTCGACGAAGAAAGGGAATAAAATGGTGGATGAATTGGTGGATCGACAATTGCCTGAATTAATACATTATATGTTGGAGTTGAGAGATTTGGTGAATAAACATCAAAGTGTTATTCAGAGATATTATTTGCAGGTGAGCAGATTTTTCATGCTCAAAATTCGGAGCTGAAGACTAGAAAAATTTTTTCTAGTCCTGAAAATTTCGAAAATTTGAATTTTAAAATGGCTTTTTTTGCTGAAAATCATGAAAATACTGAAATTTGAAGCCTAAAACCTTAATTGTTTGAAATTTCAGGATTTTTAGCTGAAAATTTGCGAAAATTTGAATTTCAGAATGGTTTTTGTGCTGAAAATCATGAAAACACTGAATTTCTGTGATTTTATCAGTTTTAGCACAAAAATCAGTATAAAACTCAAGTTTTCGAAATTTTCCAGTTAAAAATACTGAAATTTCAAGTGCAAAAAGCTTTTGGGCTGAAAATTCGTGCTAAAATTGAAGTTTTCCAAAAATCTAGATTTTAGACAAATTCAGCGCAAAATTTTTGAATTTTTTCAAAAATCTAGCTTTCAGAGCAAAATAATTTTTATTTTTTTTCATCAAAATTACAATTTCAGCCCAAAATTTTTGAATTTTTTTCAAAAATTATAATTTTAGACAATTTCAGCTCAAAATTTTTGAAATTTTTCAGGCCTAGACCTATCCTGGCTCAAAAATGTTGATTTTTCGAGCCTAGGCTTAAAAATCCCAATTTTTGCAATTCCAGGCTCAAAAACCTCCAAATTTTTATCATTTTGAGCTCAAAATGCTCCAAATTTTGAATCAAAATTTTTCGGAGTTCTTCCAAAAATTACAATTTCAGCCCAAAATTTCTAGATTTTTTTAAAAACCCCGTTTTTTCAGTATGTCTCAAGTTACGATTCAATTGTTGCCACAGAAATGGTCACCAATGTAAACGGCCTTCAAGAAGAAGAAGCCGTTTTGCTCTCAGATTTCGCGCATTCCATCGGAAACATCAATTCAGACACAGATCTACGAGCTTTACGATTAGATTGGTTCCGTTTTCAAGCATGGACTTCTGTAGCGAAAAGCACATTTTCACTCAGACAACACACACAATTTGCGGTTATGATGAATACAGCAGTTTTTCATTTGAAAATGATTGATTTGCAAGATGAGATGTTAAGAGAGACTAGTGATTTATCGATTTATTGTTTCTATCAAAAACTTGCGGAAAAACATTGGATTGGATGTTTGCAATTACCTGCGCAATGTCGATTTGCACTATGTTTTGCTAGAATTTCTGCGCATTACCCGAGTGCTCTTCATGATATGTGTCCAGAGGAGAAGACTTTTATCACGGATAAAGCACTGGCTCAATGTAATTCGGTGATTGAGGAGACTTGCCGGCAGACTTGTAATATTGTTCAAGGCCTCGCGGAATATGAATTGAGATTGGCGGAACAAATGACACCGAGTGCCACGGCGGTCAGAGTTGTTGCGCAGGTTTTGGAGAAGGCGAATAGGAAGGTGGCGGCGGCGGCGACCGCGGCGGCAAAGAATTCGATTGTTGCCGGGGGAGGAGAGTCATCGGGTTGATAGGCAGGCGTTGACTTATCCGGATAAACTTCAGACTACGTTTTGTGAGTTTTTTTTTTGGGGGGAGGGGGGTTTTGGGAGCGGGAAGATGTGAAAACTGAAAATTTCCCGGCCAAAAAACAACACGAAAAAGGTTTTTTTTTTCAATTTTCGAATTTTAGAGTCATTGCGTGGCTCCAAAATCGGGATTCTAAAATTTTTGCGCCAAAAATATTAAATTTGAATTTTTTTTTCGAAAAATTTTGACGTTTGAGCTCAAAATGCTTCAAATTTTCAAGCCTAGGCCTACTTTTTGTGAGTTTTTTTGGGCGAAAAACTGAAAATTTCCTTCCCGAAGCCCTTTTTCTGACGAAATTTTAAAGGAACATACCGTATACTACCTGCTTTTTTTTTGGGAAATTTCAGAGGTTTTCTAGAATTTGAAATCTGAAAAAAAACAGGAAATTTTCAAATTTTAATCAAAATTGGCTGCTATGCACTTAGAAAATCAGTTTTTCACCTTCTTTTTTGCATAACCTGAATTTTGAGGCTTCAAAAATGCAGAAAATTAGGATTGCCAGATTAAAGGAACATACCGTATACCATCTGCGTATCTAACATTTTTTTGTCCAATTTCTTCTCGAGTTAGATACGCAGCTGGTATACGGTATGTTCCTTTAATCTGGCATTCGCTGTTTTTTTTCCCGAATTTTAGAGAACCTCTAATGGATTTTCCAAAAATTTAGTAGAATTTAAAAATTCTATTTTTTTCATCTGGAAAATCATGAAAAAGGTTATTTCTATTTTAAACGCAAAAAATTTCAAAAATTTCAGCAAATCTCTCTAAAGTTTCCCAAAAAATTGAGAAAAACTTGGAACTTTGATTTATCTCTCAAGTTGCGGCTTCGAAAGGTCTAGGATCAGCTACGAGAGAGCATGATTGTCTAGGGGCCGCGCCTAGAGATTCGCTTTGGAAAGGAGCGGCGCCTAGAAGTCCTAGTTCTCAAGTAGCCGCTCCTAAAGAACCTACTTGTCTAGGAGCCGAGACTAGAGAGCCTAGTTCTCAAGTAGCCGCTCCTAGAGAACCTACTTGTCTAGGAGCCGCTCCTACAGAACCTGCTTGTCTAGGAGCCGAGCCCTAAGAGCCTCTATGTCAAGGCTCAGCGCCTAGAGAGCCTAGTCTCCAGGATACCTCAACAATTTCATCAATATTTCAGTGGAACTTTGCGCGGGTCTCGGAATGCATCGTCAAATCCACGTGGCAGATCACACGTTTGCACCCCGTGCCTATTTGACACAATCACTCGAAGCCAAATTCGTCGAACTCCTCCACACAATGATGTGGGAAGATCAGCCGAATGTCAGTAATCCGAGAAGACCAAGTGATATGTTATTAGCTCTCCAGGCTTATATGACGGTTTATCAGAATTTGGATACTGCAAGTGAGGATTTAGGGGATTTTTTGGGGAAAAAATCGATGAAAAATTCAAAAAAGTATATTTTTTCCTGTTTTTTTGACACAAAAATGATTAGAAAAAAGTTAGAAACTGAATTTGCGGCTCAAAATTAAAAAATTTCCTGGAAACGCGCGATTTTTTGAGCTTAAAAATCATCAAAAAATGATGGATTTTGAGCGAAAATTGACTAGAAATGGCAAATGCGCTCTATTGAACTATCCCCGTTTTTATGAAAAATTCAAATTTTTATTTTTTTTCTCCTATTAATTTTGAGCCGCAAGTTCAGTTTCTAACGGAAAATTGCAGAATATTGTTAGAAAATCGTTAATTTTCAGCTTTTCCGATGAAATTACGCTGAAAATATGATTTTTGCTTTGAAATTCGCGATTTTTCAAGCTAAAAAGCATAAAAAATGATGGATTTTGAGCCGAAAATGGCAAATGCGCTCTATTGAACTATCCCCGTTTTTATGAAAAATTCAAAAAAAAAATTTTTTTTTGCTGATGGATTTTGAGCCGCAAATTCAGTTTCTAACTGAAAATTGCAGAATTTTGTTAGAAAATCGATCAAAATAGTGAATTTTCAGCTTTTCCGATGAAATTAGGCTGAAAATATGATGTTTCAAGCTAAAAATCATCGAAAATGATGGATTTTGAGCCAAAAATGGCAAATGCGCTCTACTGAACTATCCCCGTTTTTATGAAAAATTTAAATTTTCTTTTTTTTTCCTGATGAATTTTGAGCCGCAAATTCAGTTTCTAACGGAAAATTGCAGAATTTTGTTAGAAAATCGTTAATTTTCAGCTTTTCCGGTGAAATTAGGCTGAAAATGTGATTTTTTATTTGAAATCGAGATTTTTTGAGCTAAAAATCATCAAAAATGATGGATTTTGAGCCGAAAATGGCAAATGCGCTCTATTGAACTATCCCCGTTTTTTATGAAAAATTTAAATTTTCTTTTTTTTTCCTGATTAATTTTTAGCCGCAAATTCAGTTTCTTATTGAAAATTGCAGAATTTTGTTGGGAAATCCATAAAAAATATTGTTTTTTGACATCTGAATTAAAAAAAAAATTTTTTTGACTTGAATGATTGTTTATTCAAAAAAAAAATGTAAAAAAATTTTTTTGACAAAAAAAATATTTTTTTTCCTAATTTTTTGACATCTGAATTGAAATTTTATGATTCTTTAATAAAAAAAAAAAAAAAACATTTTTTGACAAAAAAAATCAAAAATCAAAAAAAATTCCAGTAACTTTGGATATTTCCCAAATAATGCAAAGTGTTTTGCTCCAACAAACACAATCGGTCGACTCGCGGAACAAAGATACGATAACTTCGCTTTATACAAAATGGTACTTGGAAGTGTTGCTCAGAAGAGCCTCTTCTGGACACATGGTTTGGAGTGAGCATTTGAGGACGATGTTAACAGCCGGACACGACAATCTACCATTTTTACCCGAACATTATAGTGATCCGCTGGAACTTCGTGCACTTGTTCAAATAATTGGGCCGTATGGCATCAAATTCATGTCGGAGCGGTTGATTTGGCACGTGGCCAGCCAGATAAATGAGATGACGAAGATTGTGGCGAGCTATAAGGAGGTTCTACATGTTGCCAGGTCGAATTTTGATAATGCTGAGAAAAATGCGGGAAGTTTTGAATTTGCTGAGCGCGGAGCCGAAGAAAGGGAGCATCAACATCGACGACTTGCGCCGCTGATGCGATTCTGCAGCGGACAATTATTGTGGGGCAGATTTGCGCGTTCCGCGACGCGCTTCACACTGCGTTGCGGCAAGTTGTGGAGGCGAGATTGCCGTTTTTGCGCAACTCGTTTGATTTGTTGTATGAGCATTTGGATGAGATGGGAAAAGTTGTGGGTTTTTTTGGGGCTTGAAATTTGGGAAAATTTGGAAATTTAGACCGATTTTTTAAAAATTTTAATGTAATTTTTAGGGTTGGAAAAAAATACACGAATACACGCGCTCGATACACGGTACACGAATACACGCAGTACACGAATACACGGATACACGAATACACGGATACACGAATACATGAATACACGAATACACGCTTTTTTCTGAATTGCTTGAGAAGAGAAGAAAACCGTGTATTCGTGTACAGTGTATTCGTGTATTGCGTGTATTCGTGTATCCGTGTATTCGTGTATCGCGTGTATTCGTGTACCGTGTATTCGTGTATTTGGCTGCGCGTGTATCCGTGTACGCAAATACACTGTTTTTCCAACCCTAGTAATTTTCAATAAATTTGGCCCCGGAAAGCTCAAAATTTGAAATTTGGTCCCAAAAATCCGAAGTTTTTAAATTCAAATAAAATTTTTTTTTCCAAAAAATCCGAAATTTTTAAATTTTTAAATTTTGCGCCAAAAAACCACGTGGCAGAATTTAAATTGAAAAAAAGTTTCCGAATTTTTTTTAGAATTTCAAAAATATTCCGAAAAATGTTTTCTGGTTTAAAATTTCCGGAAATTTCCCCAAAAATGTTTGAAGATAATTTTTCACAAAAAATTATCGATTTTTTATCCGGAAAAATTTTATTGAATTTTGGATCTTGAAAAAGCCACCTGGCAAAAATTTGACTTGAAATTCGTGAAAATCTGAAAATTTAGAGCCTAGGACCGATTTTTTTAAAATTTTATGTAATTTTCAGAAAATTTGGCCCAGGAAAGCTCAAAAATTTTGAAATTGTGAAAAAAAAACCGAATTTTTTAAAAGAATTTCTATAATATTCTGAATTTTTGAAGATTTTCCTAAAAATGCTTGAAATCTTGAGATTTTAGCCTTGAATTTTCAAAAATAATTATCGATTTTTTTTTAGAAAAAAGCCACGTGGCGTTTTTTGGCTTGAAATTCATGAAAATCTGAAAATTTAGAGCCTAGGACTGATTTTTTAAAATTTTAATACAATTTTCAGAAAATTTGGCTCCGGAAAGCCCAAAATTTGAAATTTGGTGCCAAAAATCCGAAATTTTTAAATTTCGCGCCAAAAAAAACCACGTGGCAGAATTAGAATTGGAAAAAAAACTTTCCGAATTTTTTTTTTAGAATTTCTAAAATTTTCTGAACATTTTTAGGGCTGAAATTTGAATATTTTAGGATTTCTAAAAATTTTCGGTGTTTTTTTAGAAAATCCGAAAAAATCTTGAAATTTCTAGATTTTGAGGATTTTCTGAGCATATTTTCCAAAAATTCTGAAAATTTTTAAATTTCAAAAATATTCCAAAGAAATGTTTTCTGGCTCAAAAAATCGGGAATTTTCGCAATTTTCCATTGAAATTTCTTCAATATTTCAATTTTTTCAGAAAATCGGCGAACTTTCTGCTGCAATGGGTGTTCAAGGACCAGTTGATATGGCTCTTGTCAACGCTGTCCGAGCTCAAAATCCAAAAATTCACCCCGAAGATCATTATGTATCGAGTTGTTTGTTGTTGGTGGCGATTGGTGAGTACGGTAGAACCTGCACATCTAACTCTTGGACGAGTTAGATATGCAGGTGATACGGTATGTTCCTTTAATACAATTTTTCTTTCAGCGATTTGTGTTCCTCGAATTGGAATGTCTGATTTATCGTCGTATAAACCGAGTATTCAAGGTGAGGATTTTTTTTTGTTCAAGCTACAGTAATCCTGGGTTACTGTAGAATTTTTGGGGACAAAAAAATGAAGGTTACTGTAGTTTTTTTGGAGGGGCAAAAATAAATCAAAATACACTGATTTCCTCCTGGAAAATCAGATTTTTACACAATTTTTTCGAAAAAAAATTTAAAGGAACATACCGTAACTTTTAAGGGATCAGTTTATTCGAAATTTATGATATTTCTAATGCAGCGTCCAAAAATGCAGAAAATTAGGATTGCTAGATTAAAGGAACATACCGTATACCACATGCGTATCTAACTGAACATTTTTGATAAGCTGAATAATGAGGGGAAGGTTAGAGACGCAGACAATTAGAGATGACGAGAAGCTCGATACCATCAAAAAGTTAGAGACGCAGAGAAACTAGATGGTTAGAGAGCATGAGCAATTCCTATAAACTAAAAATTGAATTTTCTAAAAAAAAATTCAAAAACTATATTTTTTTTTTTACTATTTTTTCCGACTTGATCCGATTTTTTGAGCTAAAAATCATCAAAAAATGATGGATTTCGAGCGAAAATTGACTAAAAAATGGCAAATGCGCTCTATTGAACTATCCCCGTTTTTATGAAAAATTCAAATTTTCTTTTTTTTTTTCCTTATGAATTTTGAGCCGGAAAATTGCAGAATTTTGTTAGAAAATCTATAAAAAAATATAGTTTTTTGACATCTTAATCGATTTTTCAAAACTTTTGGAGCGAAAATTAAAAATTCAAATTTTTTTGCAGCCAGTTTGAATAATTGTCATTGTGTTCCGCTGGCAATTAACACAATTGCAAGCTCGCTTTTCCATTTGCATGAAAGAAATGATATTCAGATGAGAATGAAGGAGTTTTTGGCGGTGAGTTGAAGATTTTTTGAAAAATTTAAAAATTAAAATTCACATTTTTTCAGCTGGCGTCGTCTGGAATTTTGAGAACAATTCATGAAAGAGATGGTGGACGAATTGCACCGGAAGATGCGCTGAAATCCCACACAACACTGTATATTATTTTGGAACAGGTAGACGATTTTTGGGGGTAGACAAGCCTGGGAGGCTTCTGAAGGCTTCTCGGGGCTTCTTAGGGTTTCTAAAGGCTTCTGAGAGATTCTGAGAGATTCTGAAGGCTTCTGAAGGCTTCTAGAGGCTTTTAAAGGCTTCTGAAAGATTCTGAAGGCTTCTGGGGGATTCTGAGGGCTTCTAGAATTTAAATTTCAGAGAAAATTCGAAGATTTTCCTGACTTTGAAGATTTTGAAGATATTAATATTAAAAATGATTTTTAGAATCTTAAGGAATATTTTTTTGCCTAGAAACTCTTCAAAAAGTACTGTAGAAAATGGTGCAAAAATTTTGGATCAATCAGATTTTTGTGAAAATATTGTTTTTAGACTGAAATTTTGTGCTGAAAATCGTGGAAATGCTTAAATTTGCTGAATTTCAAGTTTTTCATGATTTTCAGCACAAAATTTCAGCCTAGAAACTCTTCAAAAGTAGAAAATTATGCCAAAATTTTGAATCAACCAGATTTCTGTGAAATTATTGTTTCTAGACTGAAATTTTGTGCTAAAAATCGTGGAAATCTAGAGAAAAGTCAATAATTTTTGCAGATGGTCCGAAAAAATCGTTGGCTCTCAATGGATGTTCTCGAAGCCTGTTTCCCATACAATCTTGTTCGAACAGCATATCAACAAACCTACGAAGCAGATGCTCAACCATAAATTTTTTTTAAATTTAAAGTTTTTTTGTACATTTAGCCTACTTTTTTACTTACTAATTTTCAGTTTTATTCATTTCCTTGCTGCTTTTTCCCGGGTATTTTTCGAATTTTTTTTTGAATTTTGCATTTTTTTGTGTATTATAATGCTTTAATTAATTAATTTATTTAAAAATTTTCTGAAATTCAAAAAAAACGTGACCCAGAAACCTTAAAACGTCATCAATTCAAGAAAATCTCAAAAATCGTCATTTTTTTCTCGAATTTCTAATAAAAATGGTCCTGGAATTGTCAAATTTACCATTTCCAATTCGATATTTCGTCTGTTGGATTATAATGATTTATATGCTTATTTCAACAATTGTTGTTTATCCAACGGCAGTTTGTTTGGTGTATTTTGCTGGGTTTTTGGTGCAGCCGTTTTTGAGGTAAATTTAAAGATTTCCACGATTTTCAGCACAAAATTTCAGCTTAGAAACAATATTTTCACAAAAAATCTGGTTGATTTAAAATTTTGGCACAATTTTCTACTTTTGAAGAGTTTCTAGCCTCAAATTTTAAGCTGAAAATCATGAAAGACTTGATTTTCAGTAAATTTAAGCATTTTCATGATTTTTAGCACAAAATTTCAGTCTAGAAATAATTTTTTCACAAAAATCTGGTTGATCTAAAATTTTTCCACAATTTTCTATTTTTGAAGATTTTCTAGGCTGAAATTTTGTGCTGAAAATCATTAAAGCCTTGAATTTCAGCAAATTTAAACATTTCCACGGTTTTCAGCGCAAAATTTCAGTCTAGAAACAATGTTTTCACAGAAATCTGGCTATAGTACTTTTTGAAGAGTTTCTAGGCTGAAATTTTGTGCTGAAAATCAGGAAAGGCTTGAATTTCAGCGAATTTAAGCATTTCCACAATTTTTAGCACAAAATTTCAGTCTAGAAACAATGTTTTCACAGAAATCTGGCTATAGTACTTTTTGAAGAGTTTCTAGGCTGAAATTTTGTGCTGAAAATCAGGAAAGGCTTGAATTTCAGCAAATTTAAGCATTTCCACAATTTTTAGCACAAAATTTCAGTCTAGAAACAATGTTTTCACAGAAATCTGGCTATAGTACTTTTTGAAGAGTGTCTAGGCTCAAATTTTGTGCTGAAAATCATGAAAAGCTTGAATTTCAGCGAATTTAAACATTTCCACAATTTTTAGCACAAAATTTCAGCCTAGAAACAATTTTTTCACAGAAATCTGGCTATAGTACTTTTTGAAGAGTTTCTAGGCTGAAATTTTGTGCTGAAAATCAGGAAAGGCTTGAATTTCAGCAAATTTAAGCATTTCCACAATTTTTAGCACAAAATTTCAGTCTAGAAACAATGTTTTCACAAAAATCTGGCTATAGTACTTTTTGAAGAGTGTCTAGGCTCAAATTTTGTGCTGAAAATCATGAAAAGCTTGAATTTCAGCGAATTTAAACATTTCCACGATTTTCAGCGCAAAATTTCAGCCTAGAAACAATTTTTTCACAGAAATCTGGCTATAGTACTTTTTGAAGAGTTTCTAGGCTGAAATTTTGTGTTGAAAAATCAGGAAAGGCTTGAATTTCAGCAAATTTAAGCATTTCCACAATTTTTAGCACAAAATTTCAGTCTAGAAACAATGTTTTCACAGAAATCTGGCTATAGTACTTTTTGAAGAGTTTTCTAGGCTGAAATTTTGTGTTGAAAATCAGGAAAGGCTTGAATTTCAGCAAATTTAAGCATTTCCACAATTTTTAGCACAAAATTTCAGTCTAGAAACAATGTTTTCACAGAAATCTGGCTATAGTACTTTTTGAAGAGTGTCTAGGCTCAAATTTTGTGCTGAAAATCATGAAAAGCTTGAATTTCAGCGAATTTAAACATTTCCACGATTTTCAGCGCAAAATTTCAGCCTAGAAACAATTTTTTCACAGAAATCTGGCTATAGTACTTTTTGAAGAGTTTCTAGGCTGAAATTTTGTGCTGAAAATCATGAAAGGCTTGAATTTCAGCGAATTTAAACATTTCCACGATTTTCAGCGCAAAATTTCAGCCTAGAAACAATTTTTTCACAGAAATCTGGCTATAGTACTTTTTTGAAGAGTTTCTAGGCTGAAATTTTGTGCTGAAAATCAGGAAAGGCTTGAATTTCAGCAAATTTAAGCATTTCCACAATTTTTAGCACAAAATTTCAGTCTAGAAACAATGTTTTCACAAAAATCTGGCTATAGTACTTTTTGAAGAGTGTCTAGGCTCAAATTTTGTGCTGAAAATCATGAAAAGCTTGAATTTCAGCGAATTTAAACATTTCCACGATTTTCAGCGCAAAATTTCAGCCTAGAAACAATTTTTTCACAGAAATCTGGCTATAGTACTTTTTGAAGAGTTTCTAGGCTGAAATTTTGTGCTGAAAATCATGAAAGGCTTGAATTTCAGCGAATTTAAACATTTCCACAATTTTTAGCACAAAATTTCAGCCTAGAAACTTTTGTTTTCACAAAAATCTGGTTGATTCAAAATTTTGGCATAATTTTCTACTTTTGAAGAGTTTCTAGGCTGAAATTTTGTGCTGAAAATCATGAAAGCCTTGAATTTCAGCGAATTCAAACATTTTCACGATTTTCAGCACAAAATTTCAGTCTAGAAACAATATTTTCTTTTTTTGAAGAGTTTCTAGGCTGAAATTTGGTTAAATTAAAGGCACACACATTTTTCAAAGGTTGAGGTCTCGCAGCGATTTCAATTTTTCATTTCCAATTTTTTTTCAGCCGCAAAACCTTTCTGCATTTTCGCTCTTTTTTGGCTCGCTGCCTAAATCTTCATTTCGTCACGCTTTCCTATTTTTGTGGAGTTAATGGTGAGTTAGCCTAACTATACTATACTATAGTTAGGTCCAGGAAGAAAAAAAAAATAAATAATTGTTTTGCAGTAAGTGAATATGGCGAAGATATGTCAAAATACACGGATGAAAGATGCTTTTTGATGCCGAATCATTTGGGACTTATTGATCATTTCATTGTGATGAGATCTTGTGATCAGTATGGTTGTGATGTTGTTGGAAGAGTGAGTTTTTGCGCTGAAATTCAAGCTTTTCATGATTTTCAGCACAAAATTTGAGCCTAGAAACTCTTCAAAAATAGAAAATAGTCCCAAAATTTTGGATCAACCAGATTTTTGTGAAAATATTGTTTCTAGACTGAAATTTTGTGCTGAAAATCATGGAAATGCTTAAATTTGCTGAAATTCCAGCCTTTCATGATTTTCAGCACAAAATTTGAGCCTAGAAACTCTTCAAAAATAGAAAATTCTGCCAAAATTTTGAATCAACCAGGTTTTTGTGAAAATATTGTTTCTAGACTGAAATTTTGTGCTGAAAATCGTGGAAATGCTTAAATTTGCTGAAATTCAAGGGTTTTATGATTTTCAGCACAAAATTTGAGCCTAGAAACTGTTCAAAAGTAGAAAATAGTCCCAAAATTTTGGATCAACCAGATTTTTGTGAAAATATTGTTTCTAGACTGAAATTTCCTGCTGAAAATCATGGAAATACTTAAATTTGTTGAAATTCAAGCTTTTCATGATTTTTAGCTCAAAATTTGAGCCTAGAAACTGTTCAAAAGTAGAAAATTCTGCCAAAATTTTGAATCAACCAGGTTTTTGTGAAAATATTGTTTCTAGACTGAAATTTTGTGCTGAAAATCGTGGAAATGCTTAAATTTGCTGAAATTCCAGCCTTTCATGATTTTCAGCACAAAATTTGAGCCTAGAAACTGTTCAAAAGTAGAAAATTGTGCCAAAATTTTGGATCAACCAGATTTTTGTGGAAATATTGTTTCTAGACTGAAATTTTGTGCTGAAAATCGTGGAAATGCTTAAATTTGCTGAAATTCAAGCCTTTCATGATTTTCAGCACAAAATTTGAGCCTAGAAACTTTTCAAAAGTTAAAAATTATGCCAAACCCAGATTTTTGTGGAATTACTGTTTCTAGCCTGAAATTTTGGGCTGAAAATCGTGGAAGTGTTTAAATTTGCTGAAATTCAAGCATTTCATGATTTTCAGCACAAAATTTGAGCCTAGAAACTCTTCAAAAAGTCGATTTTTGAGCCTAGAAGTCCATGAAACCCCATTTTTTTGCAGTGGATGTTTGTCATCTACAACATCTGGATATATATGCCCCTCGGTTTTCTCTGGTGGATTCATGGCAATTATTTCATCAACACCGTCTCTCCTTCACAACGTGCTCAACAACTCAAACATTTCCGCGATCATTTGGACGAAACTTATCATAACTATGATTATCGATGGGTTTTCATGTATCCCGAAGGTTCGAGATTGTTTTTGATCAAAGGTTCGAAGTTTTGAAGTTGAAAAATGTGGCTGTAAAAATTCTAAGTTCGTCAGTTGCGTGCGGCTATGCGTCGCGGTCGGGAAAAAATCAATAATTCTTCCCGACCGCAACGCACAGCCGCACGCGACTCACGACCATACAAGGGGCGCCCGTTGAGTCAGACGCGAGACGACGAGAGTATTTTGCAAAAATATCTCGAAAATGAATTTCGCTTCGAGATATTTTCAATAAAACATGTGTTCCTTGAAACAAAGTACGGTATTTTTTCAAAGGGACACATATTTTCTCAAAAATATCTCGAAACGATGTCTTTCTCTGTCTCAGATGACGTCATCAGACTCCCGTCGTCTCTCGTCTGACCCGACGGGCAATTGTTCTATTGGAGGAAAAAATCAATTATTGATTTTTTCCCGACCGCGACGCATAGCCGCACGCGACTGACGAACTTGTGATATTCCAGAGAGGAATCGGCAATTCGAGAAGAAGAACAATCTGGAAAATTTGAAACATTGTGCTTATCCTCGAGTAGGAGCTGCGTTATGTGTTACAAAACAATTGGGACCATCGAAAAATGGGGAACTCGCAAACAATCAACTCGGAAAGCCTATAAAATACTTGATTGATGTGACATTGGGATATCCGAATGCCGAAATTCTGGATGTTCAGGAGAGTTTGATGAAGACATTGTTGGACGGCGATCGGAGAATGTATGCGATTCATTATGAGATGTTTGAGATGAAAGAGGAGTGGAATGATGAGGAGATGTTGAAGGAGTTTCTTTTTGAGAGATATCGGAAGAAGGTTGGTGGTTTTGCGGGGAATTTTGGGGGGTTCGGGAGGATTCTAGAGGTTTCTGGGAGACTTTGAGGGCTTCAGAAGCCCTTAGAATCGTCCTGAAGCCTTCTGAAGGTTTCAGGAAGGTTCTGAAAGCTTCTAAAAGCTTCTGAAGCCTCTAGGATTCTATTGAAGCCTTTTAAAGGCTTCAGGAAGATTCTGAAGGCTCTAGAAAATATTTGAAGGCTTCAGAAGGTGCCGATAAGCTTCTGAAGGCTTCTGATGGCTTCAGGAAGATTCTGAGAGCTCTAAATGAATTCTTGAGGCTTATGAAGGCTTCTGGAGGTTCTGGAAGACATTTGAAGCCTCCAAAAGCCCCAGGAAGCTCTCCGAAGCCTTCAGAAGCTTCTAGGATTCTCCTGAAGCCCTTAGAAGCTTCTAGAAGCCTCCAGAAACCCCTGGAAGCTTTCAGCATTTTTATGAAGCCCTTAGAAGCCTCTAGAAGCTCCCGGAAGCTTTTAGAAGCCTTCAGAAGTCTTCTCAAGCCTCCAAAAGCCCCTGGAAGCTCTCCGAAGCCCTTAGAAGCCTTCAGAAGCCTCTAGAATTCTCTAGAAGCCCCTGGAAGCTTTTGGAAGCCTGCAGAAGCGTTTTGAGTCTTTCAGAAGGCTTGAGAAGCCTCTGGAAGCTTTCAGAATCCTCTAGAAGCCTCCAGAAGCCCCCTGAAGCCTCCTCAAGCCCTTAGAGGCCTCAAGAAGCCTCTAGGATTCTCTAGGATTCCCCTGAAGCCCCTGGAAACCTCTAGAAGCCCTTTTTCTCCAGGACCAACTACTCGATGAATACTACAAAACTGGAAAATTCCCGGGACCCGCGAAAATCGTCGAATACCCCGCCGCCCACTTGATGATTCTCAACGAAATTCTCGGATGTGCCATTTTCTGGATGTTCATCAAAACGATTTTATTCACAATATTTTCAATTTTTTGTAAATAATATTGCGTGAGAGTACCCTTAACTAGACAATTTAAAATTTTTCAAGAAAAAAAAATGCTTTTTTTACATGCTTGTTTCTTTGTATGGTCGATGATCGGAATTTGTTGAAGCGGCTGAGGAAGAAGCTTCGGAGCCAGCCTCGGAATCTCCTCGTTTTTCATCATCGATTCGTTTCCACTCGCCAGCAAGTCGTCTTCTGCAAGTTTAAACGTAAAAAAAGAAAAAAAAATTTTTCGAAAAAAAAATTATATACCGTAGTTCTCTCGTCGCGACGAGACCCTGTGTGTGTTTCTGGTGCTGCGCCTTTCAAAGACTACGGTTTTTTTTGTTTTTTTTTCGGGTTTTTGATGTTTCTGCATGAAAAATCGAAAAATGGAGATAGCCTGACTCGGTTTAAACGATTTTCAAGTGTTTTATCGAGGAAAAACCGATTTTTCGTTTGAAAATCACGAAAATCGAGCAAAATTATTAAAGGCGCATCGATTTTTTGAAAGATGTGTGTCTCGTGGCGACGAAACTACGGTATTTTTTTTCAAACACAATCACAACACTCTTCAAACATACTCTGGATCATCATACCAAAAACACTCAAATTGTTCAATGAAGTTAAGAATTTTGGACCTGTTAGTGTAAGGTTAAGGTTATTTTAGGGTTCTCCCAAAGAAGTTACCTTAAATCCTCATTATACATTGTTTTGGACAATTCTCCTTTAATAATATGCGCCTCGTCTCTCATCAATTGTTTTTCGCGCTTGATTTCGGCCAACAATGTTTTGATTGTTTCCATATTTTCTTCATCGTTGTCTTGTCGCATTATATCCTGGAAAATTTGTGGATTTTTGAGCATTTTTGAGAGCTCTAGCGCAATTTTGTGAAGAGATTGGCCTAGAAAACACAAATTTGGTTTTCTAGGTCAGCATGCGTTTTTTTTTAGGAAATTTTGAAGTTTTAAATTTTAGCGCGGAAACTGAAATTTCAGAAATTTTGAAGGAAAAATTTGAATTGCGAAAATTTTAGAGCAAAATTATGAATTTTCGAAAATTCGATTTTTGGCGCGAAAATTTGAATTTTAAAAATTTTGTAGCGAAATTATGAATTTTTGAAATTTTTTCTGAATTTTCGAAGATTTTGGAGCGAAATTATGAATTTCTAAATTTTTCGACGAAAATTTTCAGAAAATTTGAATTTTTTAAATTTCCAAATATTCAGAATTTTTTAAATTTCGGCTTTTCGCGGGAAAATTTGAATTTTTAAATTTTTGGTGGAAACTTTTGAATTTTAAAAATTTTGGCGGGAAAAAATTCAGAATTTTTAAATTTTCAATGAATTTTCGAAAATTTTGGAGCGAAATTATGAATTTTCGAAATTTTTAAATTTTCAGAAAATTTGAATTTTTAAATTTAAAAAAATTTCAAAAATTTTGAATTAAAGAAAATTTTTAAATTAAAGAAAATTTCAAAATTTTCAAATTATAGAAAATATTTGAATTTTCGAATAAAAGAACATTTCAAAATTTTTTAATTAAAGAAAATTTCAAAAATTTTTGGATTTAAAGAAAATTTTTAAATTTTCAAATTTTCCGCGCAACACCGTGACGCAAATTCACAGACCCACCTCCAATTCATTCACTTTTTTCCTCAGCGTATGCGTCATTTTTCGCAAATGATCATATCGTTTATCCAAATAAGTTAGACGTTCTTGAAACTGCAAAAAAACGAGAAAAATTATGGGTCTAACCTGAGCAATCTTTTATCCTAATCTGAGCAATCTATGAAAATACCTGCATTGTATCAACCCGAATATTTGCCTTACAAAACGAGGGTTTGCCACGTATCAGCGCGTGGATTTCACGCTCTTCAGTCGGAGCATATTGAACAACTTCGTGTGTATATGACATAACAAAAAAAGCCCGCCAAAAAATGCGCGGGAAAACACAAACAAGAAGTTCTTTTCTTGTCAAATTCGAATTCAAATTCAAAAAAAAAGACGAAAAAGTTCGGGCGGAAAAGAAGAACAATTGAACAAATCAGATTTTTCAACAAAAATTTCTCAAAAATCTCCTCTTTTCTCCATTTTTTTCAGCGAAAAATGGCAAAAACACGGGATTTTTTTGTTTGCAAACAATTAGGTGTTGGAAAAAAATAGCCCAAAATTCTGTTTTGGGAAGAAATTCGAGACGAAAAGAATAACAACAACACATATTTTCTCTTCACAAAAATCCCTGGGGGTTTTGGAAATTCGAAAAAAAAAATTCCAAAAAAAGGTAGGTTCCACCGAGATTCGAACTCGGGTCGCAGGATTCAGAGTCCTGAGTGCTAACCACTACACCATGGAACCGGCCAGTGGCGCAGGCGTTTCATTTTGTTGATATTCTTGTCAGCTCGAAATTTTTTGGTTTTTTTTCAACTAGAGTCTAGTATGACTTGAAAATTGAATATTTGGCGCGAAAACTTGAATTTTTGAAATTTCGATTTTTGGCGGAAGATTTGAATTTTTGAAATTCAAATTTTTCGCGCTAAAAATCCAGAATTTTTCAAATTTCGATTTCTGAATTGTTTTTTTTCGAAATATTTGAATTTCAAAAATTTTGCTGCGAAAATAAAAAAAAAGAAGGTTCCACCGAGATTTGAACTCGGGTCGCAGGATTCAAAGTCCTGAGTGCTAACCGCTACACCATGGAACCGCTTGTGTTCGCAACAGCAAAATTTCAACACTATTTCGCTCACCTCAGGCATTATTGATAATTTCGGGCGTTTTTCTGCAAAAAATCTCGTATTTATTTAGGCGAAGGAAGAAAAAGGAAGTAATAATAATAAAAAGAAAAAAACGGGGTATTATTATTATTTTTTCGGTGTCTGAAAGAAGAAAAAAACGAGGCACAAAAACCAATAAATAATTTAACTATGCAAAAAGAAAACAAAAGAGCCAAGAAAGATGTCAGTTCGAATTAATGTCAAGGAAGGAAACCAGAAAAAAAACAATAGGCCAATCGCTCTTCACAGATGTGAAGGAGAATAATGAGCTAGGAGCTGGCAAAAAACTACCGTCAGCTGTTGTCACAATTTGTTTATTTTATTCTCTCGTTTATCCCATGAAAAAAAGGAAAAAAAGAAAAAAAAAAGAAAAAAAAGTTTCGACCACGGCAGGATTCGAACCTACAATCTTCTGCTCCGTAGGCAGACGCGTTATCCATTGCGCCACGCGGCCACTCGAAACAGCCAGCGGCAAATTGCCATTTTATTCTCGCCTCCTCCTCGTTTTTTTCTCTTTTCTCGTGTGGGAGAGATTTTTTCGCATAGTAAAAAATAATTTTTTGTGTAAAAGACATCTGGGGAATTTTAATATTACAACAAGGGTTGAAAAAAGTGTGGAAAAATTTCCGAAAAATGTAAAACTATCAAATTTCACATCAAAAAACGACACATTTAAGAGGAAAATTGGGAAAAAGGAAAAAAATCGTGGTTTACGAGGGAAAAAATTGAATTTCCGATGTTTTGACTTTCGCGCGCGCGCGTGCAATAATTCAGTTAGATCCTCTTTTTTTTCTGACAGATTTAGCCTAACTCAACTTTTTTCTAGCGGCCAAAAAGAATATGCAAAGCGGACAAAATAAATAAATAAAAAATAGATGTATGGGAAAATGTCGTCCTTATAATTTGGCGTAGCGACAACAGAAAAACGAGAAAAAGCAAAGCAAAAGCATCCACACAAAAGGGAACGGAAAAATCAAATTTTGTTAGTCAGCCGGTGTGTTGTTCTCCAAAAAAACATGGATTTTTCCCAAAAAAAGTAAATTTTTGGTTTTCTAGGCCATCTAAAGCACATTTTTGGTTTTCTAGGCCATTTAGGACATTTCTAGGCCATCTAAAGCATATTTTTGGTTTTCTAGGCCATCTAAAGCATATTTTTGGTTTTCTAGGCCATCAAAAGCAATTTTTTGGTTTTCTAGGCCATCTAAAGCATATTTTTGGTTTTCTAGGCCATTTAAATCTTATTTTTGGTTTTCTAGGCCATCAAAAGCATATTTTTGGTTTTCTAGGTCATCCTGAACATTTCTAGGCCATCTAAAGTAAATTTTTGGTTTTCTAGGCCATCCAAAGTATATTTTCGGTTTTCTAGGCCATCTAAAGCATATTTTTGGTGTTCTAGGCCATCTAAGGTACATTTTTGGTTTTCTAGGCCATCAAAAGCATATTTTTGGTTTTCTAGGCCATCTAAACCATATTTTTGGTTTTCTAGGCAAGCTAGAACATTTCTAGACCAATTTTTTCAATTTTTCCAACGTCAATAAAAAAAAAAAGACCATAAAAAGCCATGAAATTGACTCGGATTTATAGCTTCCTAAGCTGAGCAATCATTTTTTTCTACAGAATTCAATTTCCAATCGGTAAAACGCGCTCCATCGAAATGAACACGCAACGCGCGAAAAAAATGAAAAAAAAAACACAAATTCAAACCGCGCGCGCAGGTGTCAATGCGGAGTCTCGTTGTTTTCTTTTTATTTTTTTGCAATTTTTTTATTTTTTTCTTTTTTTTTTGGGAAAAAACAGTTTTCTGTGTGCAGTAGAGCGCGTTTTATCGATTGAATTTTGAATACATTATTGAATTGCATAATCAAATAATAGTTTTTTCTTCTTTTTTTCGTAAAATGCTGGGCGATACTATCAAATGTTTATTGATTTTTTGTGTGCTGGTGGATGGTGCAAATGTGATATTTTTGAACATGTTAGGATCGAAAAGTCATGTTTTATCAATGCTTCCATTAGCAGAGAGGTGAGAGATGCAGAGAAAGCTTTAAAAGCCTTTAGAAGCCTTTAGAAGCCTTAAAAAGCCTTAAAAAGCCTTTAGAAGCCTTAAAAAGCCTTAAAAAGCCTTTAGAAACCTTTAGAAACCTTTAGAAGTCTTTAGAAGCCTTTAGAAGCCTTTAGAAGCTTTTAGAAACCTTTAAAAGCCTTCAGAAGCCTTTAGAAGCCTTTAGAAGCTTTTTAAAGCCTTAAGAAGCCTTCAGAAGCCTTTAGAAGCTTTTAAAAGCCTTTAGAAGCCTTTAGAAGCCTTTAGAAATCTTTAGAAGCCTTTAGAAGCTTTTAGAAGCCTTTAGAAGCCTTTAGAAGCCTTAAGACTTCCAAAATTTCGAAAAAATAAACAAAAAAGCCGGAAAAATACTTAGTCAGAATAAAACCAGAGACGAAATAAAAAATTGGGGAAATGAACCGTAGGGAATTCGAAAAATGTGCTGTTTTTGCATGGAAAGATGACAAAAACAGATATATCAAGATTTTTTCTGTTTTTCCAGGAACTTTTTTTCTTTTTGCTTGGTGTTCCCAACCAAAAACCATTATTTTTTCTTCTTGAAAACTTAAGAGGTGCTTGAAAATCTGAAAATGAGATTTTCGATTTTTTCACACAGGCATAAATTCTTGACTTTTTTAATTCCGAAATGCCTGTCGCAGAAAAAAAAAAATTCTCGCGTGATTCGGGAGGCGGGATTTATTTGGCAAGGTGCGGCACGTTTTTTTCAAGCAATAATTATTTCTGATTTTTTGCATTTCGAATTTTAGTGAAGAAAAAAAGATGAAATCGAAAAAATTATCTAAAAAACGTGAAACGTGTAATCGTGGCAGGTGGCGGAGCCAGCAGAAAAAAAAGTCAGCAATTTATGCCTGTGTTTCAGAAAAGAACAACAAAGCACATAGGAAATAAAATAAAATAAAAAAATTTGAAATTTTTCGGAGCGCAAATTTCAATCGAGCGTGAAATACGATAAAGTTGAAAGGGAAACAGAAAAAATGTGTTTTTTTTGGTGAGACATTTGAAATGGATGAGAAAATGTTGAGGAAGCTCACTTTTTTGACACGTCATATCTCAGGGGATGCAAATACATATATGTGTCTTGTGATTTTTTTGAAAAGAACTTCTTCTCTTGTCTTGACAAAAAAAATTAAAAAAAAAAAAAAGAAATGGCGCCGGGTGGGGATCGAACCCGGCAAAACCTGCGCGATCGCGAGGCACACGTGCATACCACTCGGCCACCCAGCTCTTTTTTCTGCAGGTGAAAATATCGCATATAAAATGGGAGCAGCGCGTTTTTTTCACGTCAGTAAATAAACATCGAGAAAAAGTAAAGATGGCAAATAAGGAACCCTCGTCTTCGCCGAGCGAGAAAAAAGTTTGATTGGTGTCATCTCTTGGGACCACTGAAATCCGATTTTTGACACGTTTCGCTTTTTTTCAGACTTGCTCGTGGTAAACATAATGTGACAATATTTACAATAACAATCCGATCTTTGAATGTGAAATCATCGGAGGAAAATGTCAGGATTCTAGAGAGCAGGATTGAACGTATGAAATAAAAAAATCTGAAAATAAAAAAAAATCTGAAAATTTCAGCCGATGAAAACACATTAACCGATGAGCAAGTCAGTAAATTCTTTTTGGTTTATGGAATTCAATGCGTGGAGAACTGCAGACACTTATCAATATGGCTATGATTATTTGCGGCAATCTTTGGGAGATTCAGTTTTGAGGGGAGTTCTCGCAACTCCTTTTGATATTGCTTTAGTTGATGAGACTTATACATCACTTCAAGGAGCGATTGCTTTGAAACTTCGGGAGAAGTTTGGGACGAAGATTATTGCATTTTCCACGACAGGTAGGTTAGAGACATAGAGGAAGCTAGACAGTTAGAGATACCTAGACGGTTAGAGACGCAGAGGGAGACACACTCGCTCCGCTCGAGCCGCTTACGCGGGATTTTCTGGGGCGCTTCGCGCAAGATAGCTAGAGAGCATAGGAACACAAGAGAGTGCAGAGAAACTATACAACTAGAGAGAGTTAGAGACGCAGAGGGAGATACACTCGCGATTTTCCAGAAGATTGCTAGAGAACATATAATTGGAGAGAGTGAAGAGAAGCTAGACGATTAGAGATACCTAGAAAGTTAGAGACGCAGAGGGAGATACACTCGCTCCGCTCGAACCGCTTACGCGGAATTTTCCGGGGCGCTTCGCGCAAGATAGCTAGAGAACATAGGATTTGGAGAGAGTGCAGAGAAGACCTAGCAGGCTATTATGCGTCTCTAACTTTCTAGGTATCTCTAATTGTCTAGCTTCCTCTGCGTCTCTAACTTTCTAGGTACTTAGCTTTCAAACCCCAATACTCATGTTTCCCTTGAAAAAAAGAAAAAAATGCGAAAAAATAAAAAGAAAACAACGATACTCCGCGTTGACGGCAACGCGGTTTGTGTTTTTTTCATATTTTTTTCGAAATTTTCTGAATTTTTTCATCGAACTAGACTATAGTTAAACAAAGATCTAGCTTTTTCAAGAAAAAAAAATAATAAAAAATTTTATTTGGGAAAAAAAAATTAAATCCTCTTTCTATATCCCCCAGTTTGAGTTTGTGTCTCAACCGCTCCAGTTCTCGGTGGACACGAGCAATAAGCCGCGTCAGCTCCCGGTTGTCCAACTCCTCCTTCGCTTCCAGGTTGTCCCGGTGGTCCAGCGACTCCCGGTTTCCCATCAGCTCCCGCCGGTCCAGCTGGTCCCGGTTGTCCCGGCGCAGCAACATCTCCCGGTCTTCCTGGTTGTCCCGCAACTCCAGGTGGTCCTGGAGGTCCTGGTGGCCCAGCCAAACCAACTCCGCGTGTCCCATTGTTTCCTGGTGCTCCTGGCGCTCCTGGTGATCCTGGTTGACCTGGTTGCCCAGCATCTCCAGCGGGTCCCGGTGCCCCTGGGAGCCCTGGCTTCCCAGCAGAGCCTGGTTGCCCGGGTTGACCAGCTGGCCCACTTGGCCCTTGTGGCCCGTCAGGCCCGGATGGTCCTGGTTCACCAGCCGGGCAGGAAATACAACCAGTCTTTCCGTTGTCTTGAGTGATAAGTGCGATTCCATTATTTCCGTTGTTTCCAGGTTCGCCAGGAGTGCCATCTTCTCCTGGCTCTCCAGGTTGTCCTGGTGGACCAGCTGGACCTGGCGGGCAATTATTTGGTTGGGCTCCACAATTGCATTGAGCGTTAGCATTACGCTTCTCGCGGCCGAACAATTTTCCGATTGAAATTGAGGTCAGAGTTGGATTTGTGATTGGAAGCATCTCATTCCATGCACCATCGGCAAAGTTCTAGAAAAATCTTGGTTTATTTTTTTTCATGAAAAAAATTAGATTTAATAGATAGATACTACGATGCTCCACAATTACACAGTGTGAAAAATGCGGGTTTTCTTGAAAATTTGAAAAAAAAATTGAAAATCTTGAAAATTTGAAATTTGTTCTTTTTTTGCTCGAAAAAAGATCAAAAACTACGACACTCCGCGATAACTCTCCCTACCGTATTCGATATCAAAACATTTTTTTTATTAAAAAAAATTCAATTTTTTAAAATAAAATTTTTCATGAAAAAAAAGTATTTTGTTTTTTCATTTAAAAAAATTTCAATTTTTTTAAAACTATTTTTCTCATGAAAAAATTTTTTAAATTTTTTTAAAAATATTTTTTCATGAAAAAAAGTTTTAATTTTTCTCAAATTATTTTTTTTTCATAAAAAAAATTTCAATTTTTTTAAAATATTTTTTTCATCAAAAATTTTTTAAAACTTTTTTTTTTCAAGAAAAAATTAGAATTAAAATTAAAAATAAATTTTTTTATGAAAAACATTTTAAATTTTTTTTAAATGAAAAAATATTTTTTTTCAAGAAAAAATTTTTAATTTTTTTTAATATTTTTTTAAAATTTTAATTAAAAAAAATGTTTTTTTCATGAAAAAATTAAAATAAAAATTTTCTTTTCATGAAAAAAATTTTTTTTTTAATTTTTTAATTGTTTTTTAATTAGTAAATTTTTTTTCATGAAAAAAATGTTAATTTTTCTAAAAAATTTTTTTTCATCAAAAACTTTTTCATTAAAAAATTAAAGTAGATTTTTTAAAAGAAAAAATCAAAGTTAAAATTTTTTACATTTTTTTTCATGAAAAAATTAACATTAAAATTAAATTTTTTCATGAAAAAACTATTTTAATTTTTTAAACAATATTTTTTTCATGAAAAAAATTTTAATTTAAAACTTTTTAAACTTCAAACAAACCTTAAAATCCACCATATCATCCATAAATCTATCCTGAAACTCATTGATATCCTGGAAAATCGCGCCAACCGCAAAAAGACATGCGAAAATCGCAACAGCACTTCCAAAAGACGCAACAGTCACCAAAAACTTCGCAGACATTCTGGAGAATTCTGAAAATCTCCCCAGCGCCTATCTTTTTATACTGAAATCCTTAGTTCCTTAGCAAGTTTCCTTCTCTCTAATAGGCGTTGCGCAACTTTTTTTTTGCAGAAATGATGCCAGTCGCTTCATCTCTCCGATCTTTCAATCGAAATCCAATCATCATGCCAAACTCATTTTTATCCTGTCAGGATTTGTATTCGAGACACGACAAGTTTTTGGACAGACTTCGAACAATTAAGGATTATCTGGTAGATCAGATAACCAGTGGAGTTATCGCAAGTCGAATCAATGAGAAGACTGGGAAATTCTTCGATCTTCGAAATTCTTCAAAATCCGAGCTCTTCCAGAAATCCCTAATAACTCTTATTGATCTACCAGATCAATTTAGTGTAACTTCTCCAAAAGGTCACGATATTTTCTCAATCGGAACACATTGCCCTTCTTCAAAACTATCAAAGCTTCCCCAAGAATTTCTAGATTTTATAGAAGATCCCAAATCCAGGGGAACAATCTACGTAGCATTCGGAAGTTACGTTAACTTGGACAGTGGACCTCCGGGAGTTGTAGAAAAATTCAAAGATGCTCTAAATCAATTCCAAAGATTATCGAGTGATTTGGAGTTATAAAGGGAATAATACGGAAAATATACTTGAGCATGTGAAAATTATGAAATGGGCTCCTCAACAGGATATTCTTGCGCACCCCAAGACTCTGGCATTTTTTACACATGGTGGATTGAAGAGCATCAAAGAATCGATTTGCGGGAATAATGTTCCGATGTTGATTTTGCCATTTTTCGCGGATCAAACTAGAAACGCGAATTCATTTGTGCTACGTGGAATTGCTGAATCGATTCATAAATTAAGGATTACAAGTGAAGAAATAGTTGAGAAACTTCGAAAGTTATTGGATCACCCTGGTTACAGGAACTGCGCTAGAAAATTAAATGAGAAATATCAGGATAATCTGGTGGATGCTTTAGATCATGGGGTTTTTCAAGTTGAAAAAGTTGGAAGATTAAGTGAGAAGCATTTTATGAAATTCAGAAGAGCTGGGATTTTTTTGGATCGCGCAACGTTTTTTCATATTGATTTTATGTTTGTTATTGTTGGTTGTGTATATTTGACTTCTTATTGATTTTGGAAAAAATTCTTTTTTCTTTTTTTTTCGATAATTGTGGACCTTTTATTTTTATTGGGCACAAACAAAAATGATAAGATAAAGAATAACAATATTTACCCACAAAGTTCATTTTTCTATTTTTTTTCTAGTTAAAAATGAAAAGTTTATTGATAACTAGTTTATTTTTATTAGTGCTGGCAGAAAGTGCAAATGTGATATTTTTTGAATTTTTTGGATCCAAAAGTCATGCGTTGACGATGCTTCCATTAGCCGAGAGGTGATTTTGATTTTGAATTTTTTTTTTTTGAAATTCAATTTTTCCCTCAGACTTGCGAAGGATCATAACGTGACGTTGTTCACAATAACCATCAGATCTTTGGACATCAAATCGGAAAGAGTGACGATTTTAGAGACTTTTATTGAGCGTAAGGGGAACTCGGAGATTCTTTTCTGAAAATCAATTTTTTTCAGCAGACGCCCGAACTTTGACAGATGAAATGATTGGAAGAGTATTCTGGTTTTCGGAAATGAGACCATGGAGAACTTCGTATCTTTATGAAGTTGGATTGAATTTCCTGGAAAAATCTTTAGAAGATGCAGTTTTGAAGGGAGTTCTTGCAACTCCTTTTGATATTGCGATTGTTGATGAGAGTTATACGTCACTTCAGGGAACGATAGCTTTGAAACTTCGGGAGAGGTTTGGGACGAAGATTGTTGCGTTTGCGACGACAGGTAGGTTAGAGATGCAGAGAAACTAGACAATTAGAGATATCTAGAAAGTTAGAGACGCAGGGGAGATACACTCGCTTCGCTCGAACCGCTTACGCGGAATTTTCCGGGGCGCTTCGCGCAAGATAGCTAGAGAGCATAGGATTTGAAGAGAGTGCAGAGAAGACAGAGAGCTAGAGAGTATGAGAAAGATAGAGGAAGCTAGAAAACTAGAGATGGCGAGAAGGTTAGAGACGCAGAGAAACTAGACAGCTAAAGATACCTAGAAGGTTAGAGACGTAGAGGGAGATACACTCGCTCCGCTCGAGCCGCTTACGCGGAATTTTCCGGAGCGCTTCGCGCAAGATACCTAGAGAGAACAGGATTTGGAGAGAGTGCAGAGAAGACAGACAAACTAGAGAGTATGAGCAGGTTAGAGACGCACAGAAGCTAGACAGCTAGAGATGAAGAGAAGGTTAGAGACGCAGAGAAACTAGACAGTTAGTGATACCTAGAAGGTTAGAGACGTAGAGAAACTAGACATTTAGATTACCTAGAAGGTTAGAGACGTAGAGGAAGCTAGACAACTAGAGATACCTAGAAGGTTGGAGACGTGGAGAAGCTAGATGACGAGAAGGTTAGAGACGTAGAGGGAGATACACTCGCTCCGCTCGAGCCGCTTACGCGGAATTTTCCGGGGCGCTTCGCGCAAGATAGCTAGAGAGCATAGGATTTGGAGAGAGTGCAGAGAAGACAGACAGCTAGAGGGTATGAGAAAGATTAGAGACGTAGAGGGAGATACACTCGCGATTTTTCAGAAGATTGCTAGAGAACATAGGATTCGGAGAGAGTGCAGAGAAACTAGACAATTAACATAAAGTTAGAGACGTAGACAAGCTAGGCACTATTATGAAAAAAATTCTTTTTGAGTTAGATGTGCAGGTTCTACCGTACTAACGGCTATTTGGGTATTTTTTTCCATAAAACTGTCTAGAAAATTCTGGAAAACTGGAACGCGATATTTTTTTTTTGCCAACAAAAAAAAGTTCTTAGCAAGTTTATCCACGCAACAATTTTCTGGAGAAAAAAATCAACAGATAGAGAATCCGAAACAGAAAATATGAAGTACGGTAGAGAACCTGCACATCTAACTCGACATTCGACAGAAAACCAAGAGTTAGATACGCAGGTCTGTTTCTCAAAATTTCGAAAATGCAAAAACGCAGCGCATGACCGCAACGCGTCCAACAACATTTGTCTTGTTGCAGAAATGATGCCAGTCGCCTCATCTCTCCGATCTTTCAATCGAAATCCAATCATAATGCCCAACACATTTTTATCCTGTAGCGAAGTCTACTCAAAACACGAAACCTTTCCGGAAAGAATCAAAACATTCATCGATTATTCAGTGGATATTCTATTCAGTGAAGTTATCGCAAGTCGAATCAGCAAGCGAGCTGGGAACCTTTTAGGTCTCCCGGATTCCTCAAAAATCCAATTCTTCCAGAAAACCTTGATTACTTTGAATGATTATCCGGAACAATTTAGCGTAACTTCTCCAAAAGCTCACGATATGTTTCAAATTGGATCGCATTGCTCTTCAAAAACATCGCAAAATCTTCCTCAAGAATTTCAAGATTTCATAGAAGATCCCAAATCCAGGGGAACTATTTATGTCGCATTTGGGAGTTATGCTAACTTAGACAGCGGACCTTCTGGAACTATCGAAAAATTCAAAGATGCTCTAAATCAATTCAGAAATTATCGAGTTATTTGGAGTTATAAAGGGAATAATACGGAAAATATACTTGAGCATGTGAAAATTATGAAATGGGCTCCTCAACAGGATATTCTTGCGCACCCCAAGACTTTGGCATTTTTTACCCATGGTGGATTAAAGAGCATGAAAGAGGGAATCTGTGGAAAAGTTCCGATGTTATTTTTACCATTTTATGGAGATCAAACTAGAAACGCGAATGCTTTTGTGCTACGTGGAATTGCTGAATCAATTCATAAATTAAGGATTACAAGTGAAGAAATAGTTGAGAAACTTCGGAAATTATTGGATCACCCTGGTTACAGGAACAGCGCTAGACGATTAAATGAGAAATATCTGGATAATCCAATGAACCCGTTGGATTTTGGAGCTTTCCAAGTTGAAAAAGTTGGAAGGCTTAGTGAAAAACATTTCATGAAATTCAGGAGAGCCGGAATTTTTCAAAATCGAATCTCATTTTTGCACATAGATATGATTTTATTGTTAATTTTTGTGGTTTTTCTAGTTTCTTTCTGATTGAAAATAAATTTTGAATATTTATTCATTTTCTTCGTTGTGCGTTAGAGCGCATTTTGTTGTTTTAACTTGGCCAAAATGCGCTGACCACCCACGAAGCTTTTGAAATCTACGCAAAAGTGCGTCGCAGTGTTTGCACATCCTTGGAGGCATATTTTCAAAAAAAAAAATTTATATTCAAAATTTTCTTTTTGCAAAAAAAATCAATACCAACTTTGCTTCGCCTTATCGATTACTAACTATGCAAATAAATAAATATGAAAAAAAAATAATCGTGTTATATTTTTCTTATTTTTTTTTTCGTATTCATAGAGAATTTGTAGTCTTCCCTATTTACCCAACCGAAACATGTCGTTTTGCAATATTTACCTTTGCGCAACAGCCAAAAAAAAAGACTTTTTTGTAGTCAAAAATAGTTAGTTCAAGTCACAATGCCAGATGATATTCCAAAAATTCCGAGACATCGAGGAAAGAAGAATGAGCCGAAAAGTGAGTTGGAATTTGTTTTTCAAAAAAAAAAGTATATAAATTTTTTAGACACACCTTGGAAACAGCAAAACTTGCCGGCTCTTCGACCACATTATAGTATAACTTCTGCAATTCCGGTTACCGGGTTTTTTGGATTAGCCACTTTGATAATGGGAATTGCGTTGTATTTTGGACATCAGAGGTGTAAGTTTCAATTTTCTGATGTAAAACATGAAAATTTCAAAAAAAAAAAAAAGTTGCGCGTCGGGTAGAGGTCGAACCCGGGTGCTGCAAAACCAGCGCGCTCGGGAGGCACGCGTGCATACCACTCGACCACACAGCTCTTTTTTTCTGCAGTCGAAAATGTCGCATATAAAATGCGTGTTTTCAGCCCTTGAGCAAGAAGTAATTTACACAAATTGTGCACAAATCAATGCCACCGCTTCCGATCAAAACACAATTTGTAGTTATACAATAACTCTCGATGAAAAATACGAGGGAGATGTGAAATTCTATTACGGTTTGACGAATTTCTATCAAAACAATCGGTTATATTTCAACTCTCGAAATGATCAACAATTACGTGGTGATGTGAGAGAAACCGATGGTTGTGATCCTTTGGAATATGTGCTGGTTAATGAGACGAAAGTTCCGATTGCACCGTGTGGAATGGTGGCTGATTCGATGTTTAATGGTGAGACATTTTTTTTTATAATTGCAGATCCTGATTTTAGTTATGACGTGGCAAACATGGATTAAATGACGTTTTCAGGTTTTTTAAGCAAGTGAGTTGAAATATTGGGTTTTAATGTTATTCATATGATAAAATGGTCTAAGACGAACAGAATGATATAAATTTTGATGACTTTACCTTATCCATAAGTGATTTAGCGGAGCTTAGTTGATAAGGTCGCTAAATCACTTATGGATCACTTATGGATGATGATTAAGCGACTTATCGACTAAATATCGTCTAAACCTCGCTAAATCACTTATGGATAACGTAAAGTCATCAAAATTTATATCATTCTGTTCGTCTTAGATCATTCTATCATATGAATAACATTAGAACCCAATATTTCAACTCACTTGCTTAAAAACATGAAAATGTCATGTAGTCGATGTCAAACTATACCAAGAGCTGAAAACTAGCTTCAAAAGTGATTTTCATGCAAATCTGATAGCATAGGGTTGTTCAGGAGGCGAGATAACATGAACTTATGTTATCTAGCCTCCTTAACCACCCTATACCATCAGATTTGCATGAAAATCACTTTTGAAGCTAGTTTTCGGCTGCTAAATCCCTTTTTTAGATACTTTCAACTTATTTTATATAACTGACAATAAAACAATCACAAAAGTTGCTTGGACAACACGCGGTGTTCTTGGTGCAACAGAAATGAAACGAAAATTTCGAAACCCACCGCGAACTGGCAATCAAACACTGTGCGATGTCTTCAATGTAGGTTCAGATCTCTTTGCGAACAAAAATCCATCGCATATTCGCAGAATACAATGCCACCTCCATCTTGGCGAGTTCCAATTTGTCAATTAGGTTTGAATAGTTCGGATGCGGATGTTGGATTGGGTTTTGAGAATATCGATTTTATGGTTTGGATGAAGATTGCAGCTTTGCCAAGATTCCGTAAATTATATCGAGTTTTGAATCGGCAGGTTGATATGTTTAGTGATGGATTGCCAGCGGGGAATTATAATCTTGTTATTAATTATCGTAAGTTCTCTGAAAACATTAGTTCGTTGGTCGCGTGCGGCTATGCGTCGCGGTCGGGAAGAAATCAATTATTGATTGCTTCCCGACCGCGACGCATAGCCGCACACGACTGAAAAAAGAAGAAATCGATTATTGACCGCGACGCAAAGCCGCACGCGTCTGAAAAAGGAAGAAATCAATTACTGACCGCAACGCAAAGCCGCACGCGACTGAAAAAGGAAGAAATCAATCATTGATTGGTTCCTGACCGCGACGCAAAGCCGCACGCGAATATCAAGGGAAGAAATCAATTACTGACCGCGACGCAAAGCAGCACGCGACTGAAAAAGCAAGAAATCAATTATTGACCGCGACGCAAAGCCGCACGCGACTGAAAAAGGAAGAAATCAATTACTGACCGCGACGCAAAGCCGCACGCGTCTGAAAAAGGAAGAAATCAATTACTGACCGCGACGCAAAGCCGCACGCGAATAGCAAAGGAAAACATCAATTATTGATTGCTTCCCGACCGCGACGCATAGCCGCACGCGACTGACGAACAATCATTCTTTCCAGATTATCCTGTCGACAGTTTCAATGGCGACAAATCATTTGTGATTGCTCGCGAAAACTGGGTGGGACCTCGAAATCTGTTCCTTCCAGTTATTTATTTAGTCGTCGGCACATTTCTACTTCTTGTCACAATTTTGTTCATTTTGATATGGTTAAAACAAAAGCTCTCGAGAGTTCATCCAAATTAATTTCAGTTTTTGACGAAAAAAAAATTTTGTACGGGTCATGAAGATTTTATTCAAACATTGACACCGTTTCCGGCTACAATGAAATACAAATCGGTGGCTTCTTCTGATCCGATCAAATCGTGGAATCTTAAATTGGTTTCGAGAATTGAAATTGGGTTGAGATCATCATGCGTTTCAGGTTTCTTCAAAGAATAGTAGACGCGCGAGTTTTCAAAGACATCTCTGAAATGAATTTTGTTTTGAAGAGCTCAAATTGCATTTAAAAATACTCACTGATAAGTGTGAAGAGTTCGCATAAGTGAAGAAACACGACTTTGCGAAGAAAATTCGTATTCAAAGTGGCTTACTTTACTTTACTTTGATACTTTGATAGTCCATTATTCGAGCATGTAGCTGTGGACTAGATGTTTCCAGGAACTTCGAGATCTTGCCATTCGTGACCAGGGCATTTTGCTGGCTATAATCCCGATCCTTCTTCTTCCGCCTCCCCCGAGGCCTTGTATATTGATGTTGTGTTGGTGCACTTTGACTTCTTGTTGGATGTCATCAGCCCATCTTTTTCTCGGTCTTCCTTTTCTCCTCTTCACTCCGCTTGGATATTCCCAAACCGTCAATTTTCTGCAGATTCTTTCTGGAGGAAGTCTAATTATATGACCAGCCCACCGCATTTTCATCTTCATTATGACTGCTTCAACATTTGGCGGTTTTCCAGCTTCAGCTTTTTCCCAGATATATGAGATAGTTCTTTGAATTCTCCTGACATCAGCAACTTTTGTATTCCAGGTTTCGGACCCATATGTTATTGCGGCCATAACGCTAGAGTTGAGAAAATGGTTCTTATTTTTCTCATCGATATTTTCGATTGCTGAAGCGATGCCATGATATGCTGCCCATCCTGCTCTTATTCGATTACTTATTTCCGCATCCAACAGTCCATCTTTTCGAAATATTCTTCCAAGATATTTGATCTGATCCACGTCTTCCAATGGTATTCCATTCACCCGTACACTTGCGGGGTTCGCACAATCATTTCGGAGAACTTTAGATTTTGCTGTATTGAAATGAAGACCAGCTTTTTCGCAAATCTTGGCAATTTTTGAAGCTCTGATTGATGCGTCTTTCGGGTTTTTGTCAATAAGAACTACATCATCTGCGAATAGCAATCTTGATATATATTGTCCATTCACTCGGATTCCGAAATTATTTTCCTCGTCATTTTCGGGTAACGGGTCAGCTTCGTTTAGCAATTTGTGGAGAGCGATTGCGAATAGAGCTGGTGATGAAGAGTCACCTTGACGTACTCCTCTTTCCATTTTTATCTCCAATTTCTTGCCAAATATTTCAACTTCACCAGTTCCGATCTCATTACAACTTTTCACCGCTTCCATATATTGGGGCTCAAAACCCGATTCCAGAACACCGTCCTCTACCGAATTCCAAAATATTGAATCAAATGCTGCCCGATAATCAATAAACGTGAGCACCAGTGGAATTTCATACTCGTGGCATTTCTCCCATAAACATGTGATGGATTGAAGATTTTCGGAGCAAGATCTTCCTGGGCGGAAGCCATTTTGACTTTCATCGAGGTATTCTTCTGATTTTTTCATCATCCTCTTTGTGAGAACTTTTGTGTAGATTTTACCCGGTATTGACAATATTGAAATTGGTCGCACATCTTTTAGACATTCTGGGTTTTTCTTCTTCTCCAATAATTTCAACCGAATCTTGTTCCAATCTCCAGGTGTTGCGCCATTTTCAATCGTTTCATTAAAACATCTGGCCAAATTTCGAAACAAGTGTTCGCCACCAAATTTCAACATTTCTCCACTTATTTGATCCACGCCCATTGCTGATTTTGTTTTCAACCGGTTTATTGCCAAAGCCACCTCTTCAGACAAGATGGGAAGGGGATTTCTTGGTGTGTGGACTTGTTTTTGTGTTGCTTGTCCCGGATTCTTGAATTGTTCGGAGAAATGCTTTTGAACTTCTTCACGAATTTTTGAGCGATTTGTTGTCGTGGTGCCATTTGCCAATTTCAATTTTCCAAACAGCTCTGATTTTTCATCTGTTCTTCGATATGCTTTCTTGATGCTTCTTCTTTTCTCAACCGCTCTTTGTATAATTTCACATTTCCACTTTTCAGCATCTCTTTTCATCGACGATCTCGCTTCACTCGATATCTTTTTTCTTTCAGCTATGGAGCTATTGTTCGAGTTCAAGATCCGATTTCGATCGGCGAGCAATTTCATGGTTTCATCACTGATTTTTGACTGTTTCGGCACTGGATCCGAGGAATTTTTGGCGCATAACTTCAGCAGATTCACCAATGTTTCATAATTGCAATGATTCATCTCATCACAGTTTGCCAAGGCAGTCGCATATCGAGATTTGTCAAGTTTCAATGCCGTTTTTGTGGGAGTTCTGGGTTTTCTTGTGGATTTGTTGATATTTGCGTTGGAAGTATAAATTTCTGCGCGGACGATTCTGTGATCCGACAAATCAAATTTCGAATCAAAAGTGTCGATATTCTTGACCAGAAATCTTCGAGACCATTTAACCAGGAAAAAGTCGATCATGGAGGTGATTTTTCCATTTTCATTTCTCCACGTCCAATAATCTCTTCGGTTTTTCTTAAAGTGCGTGTTCATGATCGAAAGTCTCAACAAATTGGCAAAATTCAACAGAGCATCTCCATTATCATTTCTGTCAATGTTCTTCATTCCATATCTTCCCGTAACTGGATGTTCTTCTGATGTGGTTTTCCCGATGGCGGCATTGAAGTCTCCACAAACAATTTTCGTCCACGATTCGGGTATACTTTTATAAATTTTGAGAAGAAGTTTATAGAATTGATCGGTGTCTTTTTCGGCTGCTTTTGTAGTTGGAGCATAAGCGTTTATGATGGCAATTTTTGTTGGTCCAACACTCAGCTTCATAACGGCAATTCTATCGCCATATTCTTCCACATTTTCCACCAACTGACGTGCTTCTTTTTTAATCCAAAACCCAACACCAGCAACTCTTTTTTGAGACATGGAGCAGAATATGAATTCGTTACCATCGTCTGTGATTGTGGATTGTTGCTTGGATATCCGAGTTTCTTGGAGTGCCACAACTAGACATCTAGAGTGTGTCGCCGCGATGTTTTCACTGTCTCTTCTCGATACATCAACCAAGGATCGTACATTGTGAGTTCCGATCATCATAGATGCTTTCGATTTGACTGCGGCTGTGAGTTTACCAGCGGCATTCCATCGGCAACCGGTGACTCCTAAGGGCGAATGCCTTGGCCCATTCGAAGTTTTATCACCGGCGTTAAGTCCATCGGTTCCTTTATTTTTATAACATCTTTTGGAAATTTGGTTCCCATGCCAAACGCGGGTTTCCAGCCCGAACATGGTTGTCCATATCTTCATTCGTCATTTGGATTATGAACTGGGGTTTGATATTCTCTTCGCCACATATTTGTTGTTGTTGATTGTTTTTTGACGATAGAAACACGTGCCAAATATGCGTTACCAAGCCGCACCACGAGGAGGTGAATATCATAACGGCTCCTACTGACCGCGACGCAAAGCCGCACGCGAATAGCAAAGGAAAACATCAATTATTGATTGCTTCCCGACCGCGACGCATAGCCGCACGCGACTGACGAACAATCATTCTTTCCAGATTATCCTGTCGACAGTTTCAATGGCGACAAATCATTTGTGATTGCTCGCGAAAACTGGGTGGGACCTCGAAATCTGTTCCTTCCAGTTATTTATTTAGTCGTCGGCACATTTCTACTTCTTGTCACAATTTTGTTCATTTTGATATGGTTAAAACAAAAGCTCTCGAGAGTTCATCCAAATTAATTTCAGTTTTTGACGAAAAAAAAAATTTTGTACGGGTCATGAAGATTTTATTCAAACATTGACACCGTTTCCGGCTACAATGAAATACAAATCGGTGGCTTCTTCTGATCCGATCAAATCGTGGAATCTTAAATTGGTTTCGAGAATTGAAATTGGGTTGAGATCATCATGCGTTTCAGGTTTCTTCAAAGAATAGTAGACGCGCGAGTTTTCAAAGACATCTCTGAAATGAATTTTGTTTTGAAGAGCTCAAATTGCATTTAAAAATACTCACTGATAAGTGTGAAGAGTTCGCATAAGTGAAGAAACACGACTTTGCGAAGAAAATTCGTATTCAAAGTGGCTTCGAACAACATTGCTATAAACCTTCTTCAAAACGCTCACATGAATCAGAATCGTTTCCCATGGTCCGTTCATCGAAACTCTCGAATATCCGCTTCTTGTCAATGCGCTTCTCAATTTCTCGCCGTTGATTTTTGCGATTTGCACACATCCTTCATTACAACAACCGGGTGCGCCATCGAAAAGTGGCGCAGAGGTTTGCGATTTTCGACAACCATCACAGATCACATGATCGCAACCATATTGAACGACGCTTGAGAGGGGAACTTGGTTTTTGCAAGGTCCATCGCAGAAGACAACTGAAATTTTTTCGAAAAATGAAAAAAAATGACATGGAAAATACATTTTTGAAAAAACCGCCCTTTGTTTTATCAATAGAGCGCACTTGCTAAACGCGGCAATTTTTATTTTCAAAAAAAAAAACATTTTTTTTATTTTTGTTTTTCTTCGTTTTTCCCACTTGTTTCCCACTTACTGCTTGAATGTTTGCGTGTAGTTGATATTTGAGAGCCTAGAGCAAATTTTTGCTCCCAAGCCCGTTGAGTTTTCGCTGTCGGCTCACTCCAATGAATCGCATATTCATAAACCGGTCCATTTGTAGTTTGAGTCGTCGAAACGGTGACATTTTTCACCAAAACATCGCCCGAATCCGTGATAACCGGTGGTAGGAAGAATTTAAGTTTGTCAATTTTTTCACCCTCGCTTCCCGAGCCAAATAGATCAAATACATTTTTTTGCAATGTTACGGAACTGGTTTGCTCGCTTTCTTCTTGAACATATTCAACATCCATTTGCTTTTTCTTTTTTCGACCAATTCGGTCGATCCTTATAACAGAAATGGTGACATTTTCTGAGTGATTTTGTTTTTTGTTGCGTTTCTTGAGAAAAAATTAGGTCACGTTTATTCTAACCAAAATTCTAATTTTTGAAAAAAAAACCAAAGAAATCCCGTTTGTAAATGGAATAAATAATGTTTTCAAAAAGGCCCGCAACGTCTAAACAGAGAATACAACATTTTCGCTGACAAACAATAAAAATCTAAAAATTAGAGCTATAATCAAAAATAGGTACACATCGATGGGAAGATTAAGGTTTCTGATAGGTTCCACAGCTTTTTTCTCATCACAAATGCAATTTCGTCGATAAACGCAATTCCTTCTTCGAATTTTTGGGTGAAGAGTTCTGTAAATATTCATTTTTTCTCTACAAATTTCGGTTTATAAAACCAACCCTCTAAGATTTCTGCATTTTCGACAAATAGAAGAGGTTATTCTGAACAATTTCACTTTCATCCGAACATCATTTCGATCTATTCCATTTTCCGAATTTCGACAAATCCTCATATATTTTTCACATTTTTTCGAAGGCTTCTCAATAGGCGGCGACATTGATTTCTTCATGACTAAACTTTTCGTCATCGCTTCAAAACCATTCACAATTCCTTGATGTCTAATCCATTGTGGACGTTTATTCAAAAACCTTGAATGTGTTTGAATAACTGAAGAATGTGACATTTCATACATCGATTGAATTATACTTGAATTATTATTGATAGCGAATAAACACCTTGGATCAAAACTGCTCGCTCGAATTTGTCGTTTTTGCTGAGATCTTGTTATAAGTCGAGAAGCTTCTCTATGACTATCTCGATAACTTGAATCGCACAAATCCTCTCCCGATCCAAGAGTTGTTGAAAGTTGTTTTGGTTTCCTTGTGGAAGCTGACAAACTTCGACTCATCAATGCTGGAATCTTCGATGCTTTTCTTGGGGTTATCATCGAATTCGACATAATTGAAGACGATGTCATTGATCCTCTACTTGACAGGGAAATTGTGTGGAATCTAGGAGTTCGCGGTTCGAAGTTCGATAGTGTCATCATATCAGCGCAAATACCTTCGGATGAATCAGTTGATGTGTTAAGCTCTTCTTTTGTGTACTCATTTTGATTCTGAAAAATGAGTTAGAGATTGTTTTAATTATTAATTAAGCCTTGTTGGCCGAAGTTGAAAAATGTGGCTATTGGATGGATGAAATAACTTCAATCCGTCAGTCGCGTGCGGCTGCGCGTCGCGGTCGGGATTATTGATATTTTCCTGACCGCGACGCACAGCCGAACGCAACTGACGAACTAATGTTTTTTCATTCATTTAATTTTGCACTGGTTTTTATTTTTTACGGCTGGCACATTTTTCAACTTCGACATTATTAAGAAATATCAATCTGTATGAGAAAATCTCGGTTCAAAGTCGATCCCGCCCTCCAAACTCACATTTCTTCTCTCTTGTAAAATAGTCGGCGAAAATGGTTGAAAAGTCAATGGCAATTTGCAAATTATTTCAGACTTGCAATACTTCCTCTGCCGTTGTGAACATAGTCGTTGCGGGCGAACCCGTTTTTTGATTGTCTGAAATTGGAAAGGGTTGAAAATGCCAAGAAACGTGAGTTTTTTTTAAAATTAAATTTTGAAAAATATAAATAAGAGAGACAGCGTGAAATTGAGAGAGTGCAGACTAATTTTCTGCCTGCGCTCTCTCAATTTCACATTGTCTCTAACCTAAAATCCGCATAGCCCCAAGTTTCACTCACTTTAAACCCAATGTTTTCTGATTCATAATAGGTGTCAGAATTTTCGACGCATCAATTGTTAAGCTTTCCGATGAAGTGGGTCGAATCTAGAAAAAATGTAAGAAAATTCTGGGAATTCAATAGGCTCGAATTACATTTGAGCAAATATTGAAAGGGGAAAAAAAGATTATTCAGGGAGATTAGCAGAGTTTTTTGATTGACGGGCAAAAATATAAGGAAAAACATGAAAATATCGACCAAACATTGAAAAAAACAGAAAAAAAAAGAAAGAAAGCCAATTACGAGTCATTCTTTCTTTTTTTCCATAGTTAGTGATAGAAAAAGGAGAAAAAATAATAACTCACCGTGTTAGAAATGTTACTCGCTGAGTCACCCTCTGTCACGTCCGGTAAAAATCGCTCCAACGCGCTGAACACCACAATGTTTTCACCGCAAAACCGAATCGTTTCTTCGGGAATTATTGGCTCGACAAATGTTCCAGAACCTGGAAAGTGGGGGGTTTTGCTAGAAAAACATGAGAAATTCTGTTTTTTTCTCAAGAAAAAGGGATTTTTTTCAGCCATAAAAATGAAAAATGTGCAAAAATATGACTACCTAGATACAATGAGGGGCTGTGTGAGAAAAACACATGTTTTTTTCAAAAAAAAACATCTAGGGATTCTGGAAATTGGCTGAAAATAAATTTTTTTCTGAAAATTTGTCTTATGACGTCATAGTTTTCCCTATACAGAAAAACGTGGAAAAACAAAATATACAGAATTTTCTTTTTGGTTAGAGACAACGTGAAATTGAGAGAGCGCAGACAGAAAATTAGTCTGCACTCTCTCAATTTCACGTTGTCTCTAACCAAAAATATTGGAAGAGTTTTCATGAAAATTATCCAAAAATTTGTGCTATGACGTCATCTAACCTAACCTTTTCACCCAAAAAAAAAAAAAGAAGAAAAAACTCCATTTTCTCACAAACAATTGAAACATTAAACATGAATGAATGAGCCCGCCAACTGACGCGGCAAAAGATAAATAAATGAGTGCACGAAAAAAAAACGGAGAGCGTACTACGTACTAAATAGCCGCAATTTCATGTGTTGTTTCGAAAAAGCGAGCAAAAATTACCTGAGATTGGTGGTCTTCTTTGTGAACCTAATTGTTGTCGGGCTTGTTCAACCAATGTTCTTTCACATAATGACATCGGACGGCGAACTCCCAATGTCGAAACCTGAATAAACAGAAAATTCTATGAAGAAAGCAAATATAATAGTTTATATTGAAATCTCCGGAAGCACTGCACTTTAAAATGAATAAGAATAAAAGTTGAAGGACTTACCAATCTACGGTCGAGAAATTGTGTTGAAGTGGATGGTGAATTGGCACCAACTGAAACACCGCTGTCACCACCAGAAGATCGGATGAGAACACCGTCTTCGGCTTCGCCCACTGAAGAATTTTCATTTTTTTTAAATTGAATCAGTTCTTGTTCACGTGGAAAACGGTAATGACTACTTTTTTGAGATTTTAATTTTGATTTTCTTCACGTTTTCCGAAAATTGTTTTCACCAGAGGGCCAGGGGCCGAATTCATACCAAAAATTGCAGAACAATTTTTGGTATACCAAATTTAAAATTTGAATTCGGCCCCAGCTCCATTTTCATCGTATTTCTAACTCACGTATCAAAGGACTTGATGAAGTTGACGAACTTGTTGATCCACGTTGATACGAATTCACATTCCAACATTGATCTTCCTCATTCCATTCTGATCTTTCCTTGATTCGATCACTAACATCACGCGGTATGAAATTTTCGACGATTAGCAATCTAAATTCACGTTTTTTTCAAAAATTCAAAAGTTAGTTCAACTCACTTCAATTTCAGTTCTTTGTTGATATCTGCAATCGATTGATCTAAATCTTGTCTCTCATCTGAAAATGAGGCCAAAGTGTCGCGAATCTCATTCTTGGCTTGTTTTAGCTTAATTATATGCTTCTTTAATTTCCTCGTTTTTGCCTCGACTTCAGCGCGCAACGAAGAAAATGTTTGCTTGAGATCTACAGTATCTTCTTCCTGTCTCTCTAATAATTCAGCCATTTCACGTTCTCGCTTCTTTTGTTCCGAAAGTTCTCTCCTTTTTCGCTCCAATTCTTTTTGTTGTTCCTTTGTTCTAGTCTCCAATTGTCCATTATCATTTCCATCTCCAACAATCAATCTACTTTGAATATTCGCAATCTGTTCAGCTACTCTCGCTTGTTCCATCCGTTCTTTCTCCAAAAGCTTCGACCGATCTTCTAAATCTCTGATCAATCGCTCTTTTTCCTGTCGAATCATATTCTGATCATTCATAATCTTCTCATATTCTCCCTCAATATTCCGTCGTTCTTCATCATATTGTGAAACATGTATACTTCCTCCACCACTTCTCAATTTTCTTCTTTCCAATTGTTCTCGAAGTCGTTGAATTTCTTCCTGGAATTCTCTTAACAACGCATCCTTCGGATCTTCATTAATCTTTGGTTTTATTCTTAATATTCTTTGCTCGATTCGCATATCTCAAAGTTCCCAGAGTTTCTTCATAGTTATAAGAAGCTGGTCCAATACAAGCAACCATAACTGTTTTTGAGTTCCCTCCTAATGAATCTTGCAGTAACCTTGTTAGTTTACTATCTCGATATGGAACATGGGACGATTTCGAATCTACTAAAGCTGAGATAACATTTCCAAGAGCCGATAATGATAGATTGATTTTCGTCGCCTCTTTGAACCTTTCCCCAGTAGCTCCAGTTTTAGCTTGTCTTTCTGAACCAGCCAAATCAACCAAATTCAATCGTCCAACCGTGATATGATTTTCGCCATCAATTCCGATTTGCGAGCATTCAACTGTGATGATAAAAATAGCGTGAGACCGAGAAGAATGTTCATTCATATTAGTACGCCTGAAAGAGCAGAGTTATACGAACTTAATTATGTGTGAGAACTTACCCGACTGATCTTTGCGCGTTTCCAGTTGCCATAACTCGTTGAATAGCTTCTGCAAGAATTTGTGACGAAAGCAGACAAATCTTTGACATAAACTCCACCATCTGGTTTCTCTTTTATATCGAGTTTCTTCGATGATGATTCTTTGCTCAATAAATCTCGCAACTCTTCTTGATAAATTTCTAAATAACTAGCTCGAACTAAATATTGCTGATTTCTCGAGTTGGCAATATGTTCAAATATGTGATCGATACATTTATAAATGACACCTCGCTGTTCGGGAATCGACGATTTTCCTTCCATTGTATGCGTTTTACCAGTACCCGTTTGACCATAGGCGAAAATTGTTGCATTGTAACCGTTGAGAACTGAATCGACTAGATCTCGAAATGTTTCCTCGTAGAGATTGGATTGTGTGGAACTGTAAAAACTCCAGATTAAAGGAACACACCGTATCCACCACTAACTCGTCCATCTTGAACATTGGATTTTAAATTTAAAAAGTTATTTTTGAGTTAGATGTGCAGGTTCTACCGTACTTCAGCGCGGTGTTTGGACAGCGTATGAAAGCTAACTCACTTTTCATCATAAATCGCATCAAATGTGAAATCCTTTGAAGGCTCATCCAATTCTTTGAGATTCTTAAGTTCAATCTGCCCTCGATCTGTTCGCATATGTACAATTCTACAAAATTTTCAGTTTAGTTCCCTCCAGCTTATAGAAAATACTCACTTTTCATGGCCCTGTTCGATTTCTTGATTAGATAGCGGCCTACATCGAACAATAACTTTAACAGTTTCCTGTTTCGACGATTTCTTCACTTCTACCATATTTTCAGTTTTTTCGTTGCTGCCAACATGAGCGAATCTAGAAAAAATAAAATAAAATTAGCATTTTTTCGTTGTTGTCAGGGAGAAAAGATGAGGGAAATTAGAAAATGTGTCGAGGGAAGCGAGAACAGCATGAGATTTTTTGTCGTCAATAAAAAAGGAATACGGTATTCTATTTTAGTTGGAGAAAAAATCCTTCCTTATGCATGGAATCATTCAAGCGTTGTAGAAATGAAACTTGGAATTTTTTGGAACGTTTCCTTTTTCAAGAATATTACGAAAATCCTCTCTCGGACCCGATTTTGAATATTTTCAAAATTGGACCAGTTTTGAGAGAAATTCTGAGTCCCGGGGCGAATTCTTGAAAGTGGTATACCAAAAATTAATGAAGAAAAATTTGGGCGTACCAAAAATTGCCGAAGTTTTTTTTAGTACGTCCAAATTTTTATTAATTAATTTTTTAAAATGTTAATACCGCTTTTATGAATTCGGCCCCTTCTCCTATGCAATATAGAAAAAAAAGTACAAATATTTTCAAAAAATAGAAAATTTTGAAAAAGGCAGAATCATTTCCGGAAATGGAACTTTTTAGTTACCTAAAAACTTCCGGCCAAAGAAAAATTATTTGACGAAAACAAAAACAAGATAAACATCAAAACAGCCGTTTTTCGTTATATGTATATAAAGTACGTTGAACAAACTATAAAAAATAAAAAAAGAAACATACTGCTGCCAGAGTTTCCTTCTTATTCTCGAAAAAGAGCCTTTCTCTCGTCTCTCTCTCTCTCTCTCTATTGTTGTGCATATAGAAAGAATAGAATACATATCGATTTGAGGAGAAAAAGGAGAGAGCAGAAATGTGGTGGAAACGAGGGTGTATGGATGGGTGGAAGAGACGCAGAATGCGCGAGAAATGAACATTTTTATGTAGTAATATATGTAATACTACTACTGATGAAGAAGAAGACTTACTTTGGAACGGATGAAGAGAGAAATGAATATGTATTTATAATAAACGAGTAGAAGAAGAAGAAAAAAAGTAATATACAAATAATTATATGTGATAGATATATTTTTGAAAAAAGGTCGAAGTGGTGTTTATAACGCAAACCGTTAATTTGATAAAAAACGACAGATGGTTGAATTTTCAATATTTTTCTATTGAAAAACACAGCCACCTGCTGCTATTCACAAAAATATACTTATGGTATCCGAAAAATTTGAAACTCAGGGTAACGGGTTCGATTCCCGGTGCCCGCTTCTCCTCGATTCATCCAGTCGATACGAAAGGTAAATCGTTCCCCCACTGCACAGGGCGACTTAAAAAATGGCCTATACGCCGTACACCCACAGTGTCCTAACCTCTTAGGCGCTTGAAGATGGATTTACCTATAGTTTTTTTCATCAGTTGTTCAAGGAACACTATTCCAGGGGCCGAATGAAGAAAAAATGCTGTACAATTTTTTGGTACGCCCATTTTTTCTGAATTTCGTCAGACGATTACTTCTCTGTCTGCCAGAAAAAGATTAAACTTAATCTCTTGCAAAAAACACGAGGATCGCGTGCTCCTTTTCTTCGAGCAATCTTTGAGCTTTTCTTGAATAATTCGATTAGCTATTCAGTGTCATATATGCATTCCAAATTGAAATGCGTACCTTGTTTTTCACCTGCCACTCCATTTTTAAAAAACCGGATTAATTTCGTAATAAGAATACAACATACTAAATACAATCGCTCACAAAAATTTCATTTAATTTCGAAAAATTGGTGGAAAAATGCGATTCATTGTTTGCTTTTTGGCGATTTCAAATTCTTGAATTCGGATTCTTCGATCTCAAATGGAATAGATTTCGTGGTCGAAGCTGTTCCCAAATTCCAGTATTCAGAAACTGGTGTTGTTTTGATGGTTGAAGTGACGCTAGTTTTCAATTCAGCTTTTCCCTCATTTCTGTAAATTTTCGCCAAAATTTCGTGAGCTGGAAGAGCACAATCATTTCGAACAAGTTTCGCTTTGAATTGTGGAAGATAATTATCCAATCGTAATTTGACAAGATTTTTCCGGACTAGAACTTGACCATCGGATCCGATTCGAACACTTAGGTAATTGGCAGCAATCTCGTTATCATTTTCCACGTTGGCTTTGGTCAATTTGTCCTGGAATATTTTCACTTTTGTTGAGTTTTTCCTGAAAATCTCACGTCATAAATGATGGAAGTTGTGTTCTGTGCTCTAACCTTCGTGAAATCTTCTGAAATTGTTTTTTTCTTCAAAATCCAACCTACTACGACCTACTGTACACCAAATTTTCATGACAAGTATGAACATTGACATCTTCTGCCAAACCATTCAAAAACGCATTTTCCTTCCGATTATTGATCGAATCTTTCACAACATCCAAATATTTTCGTGCGATTTGAGATTCCAAAGAAGCTCCTTTTGATTCTGCTAGGAAAATTTGGGTGACGAGGAAGAAAAATGGAAATATAATCATTTTTTGTTGAATCGCTTCTGATATTATTCGGTTTTTATATAAAACATATATGATTTGATACGATTATGATGCTTGTTATAAAAATCGAATCAAATCATCAGTTTTGTAGAAAAAATGAAATTTCTTCTTCTATTGTTTTGCACGACCGTAATCGGTATCAAACTCCCAACAAAAAGTCTTCTTGCAAAAATTGCTGATGTTAAACTGCAGAAAAGTATTGTACCAATCATCAACTTCATCGCGAAGAATTCAACAACCGGTCTTGAAGAATATGCCGTGAACGATAATCAACACGTGATTTTCTCGAAAAGTTATGAAATCGAGACGGTCGAATTGAGTGAGACAACTTTTAATTTGAAGTTTTTCAATATCATCGGAACTAGTGAGAGACATGTTTTGACGAATCAGGGAAATGTTGTTCTTGAGTTCAATCCGGATGTTTTGGGCTATCAAATTGTGTCGATTGATGAGACTAATCGAGAGCAGCTTTTGGATAAAATTCATAGTCATGGATTGTTGTAACTGTATGCTTGATAATGAATTTGTTTCATAAGTTGTTAGAAGTTCACGTTTTCCAGAAGCCTCGAGACCTTAAAAAAGGTGTGCGCTTTTAATTTTCCTCCTCTAATTTTTTTGAACATGCGTTTCTTAAACATTCATCTCGACGAGGCGAATAAGACGGTATAATTAGATTTTTCTGAAATCGCCTCTAACATGCTGAAAATGCGCTGAAAACCAAAAATAATCATCTAGTGTGTAAACACCGCGACGCACAAATGCACACATTCGAAATTTCTATTTTTTGTGATAGTTCAGGTTTTCGAGCTCAAAATGATCGTTTGGAGCTGAAAATTAGGGTTTTTGTGAGGTTTAAGTCTTCAAATTCATTTCAAGTTCAAAAAATCATGATTTTCAGCTTTATTTGGCTCAAAATTACCGTTTTTGTGATTTTTCATGAAATTTAAGCTTTCATTGACATTTTAAAGCTGAAAATCATGTTGCAGACTGAAATTTTGTGATTTTTTTGAGCTTTAAGTCTTCAAATTCATTTCAAGTTCAGAAAATCACGATTTTCAGCTTTTTCGGCTCAAAGATCTCAATTCAAGCTCAAATTCCACCAAAAAGCTGAAAATCATGATTTTTTGAAATTGAAATGAATTTGAAGGTTTAATCTTCACAAAAATCCTAATTTTCAGCTCCAGACGATCATTTTAAGCTCAAATATCCCTTTTTCATGAAATTTGAGCTTGAATTGACATTTGAAAGCTGAAAATCATGTTCTAGTCTGAAATGTTGTGATTTTTTGTTGAAAATTTTCAAATTTTGCAGGAAATGATCAGAAATCCTCGAAGAACCATCGATTTTCGCAACAACAGACGTAGTCGAGATGAACCAACTGTTAGTGGTAGTGAGTTAGCCTAACTATTTTTGAAAATTAAAAAACTTGTTGGAAAAATGCCATTTTCAGTGTGTCGAAATTGCCACGGTTGTCACGACAAACAAAAATGTCCAAAGACCTACAAAACCATCGAAATCTGCTCGAATTGCAACAAAGGTCGACACGAAATTCAGCATTGTAGTAGGCCGTTGAGATATGTGTCGAAAGCTGGAAAAGACTATTTCAAACCGTTTGTTTATGGAAATGATGAGATGTATGAAGAGCATGATGAGAAAAATGTGAGTTTTTTGGATTTCGCGCCAAAAAATTGAGAAATTCAAATTTTTTGGCGCGAAAGTTTTGAATTTCAAATTTTCCCGCCAAAAATTTGATTAAAAAACATCGAAAATTCCCATTCTACACCAAAATCTACGCAAAAATGCACATATTCATGAAAAATGTGCGTTTTTGCGTTTTTTTTGGATTTCACGGAAAATTGCAGAATTTCTGAATCTGTTTGAAAAGATTTTCAAATTTTCGCGCCAAAAATCCGAAATTCTCGATTTTTGGCGGGAAAAAATTGAATTTCAAAAATTTGGATAAAAATTCTATTTTTTGAATTTCAAATTTTCCCGCCAAAAATTTGATAAAAAACATCGAAAATATCCATTCTACACCAAAATCTACGCAAAAATGCACAGATTCATGAAAAATCTGTGCATTTCGACTTTTTTAATCAAATTTTTGGCGGGAAAATATGAAATTCAAAAATTTGGTTTAGAAAATTTAATTTTTTGAAATTCAAATTTTCCCGCCAAAAATTTGATTAAAAAACATTGAAAATTCCCATTCTACACCAAAATCTACGCAAAAATGCACAGATTAATAAAAAAAATTTGCATTTTTGCGTTATGACGTGGCAAACTTCAAAAATTTTTGAAAAGTCGGGATTTCGGGAGCCGAAAAAACTCAATTTAGACTGAAAGTTGAGGTTTTCGAGCTCAAAATGATCGTTTGGAGCTGAAAAATCGGATTTTTGTGAGGTTTAGACGTTCAAAATCATTTTTAGCCCAAATTTTCATGATTTTTCAGAATTTTTGCGCTCAAATCTACCCTTTTTGTGAAATTTGAGCTGAAATTTACATTTTAAAGCTGAAAATAATGTTGCAGACTGAAATTTTGTGATTTTTGTGAACGTTAAACCTTCAAAATCATTTCAAGTTCAAAAAATCATGATTTTCAGCTTTTTTGGGCTCAAAAAGCTGAAAATCATCATGTTCCAGATTATTGAATGAACCTTCTGAACTCAAGATCTTCCCGAAATCCCGATTTTTCCAATATTTCCCAACTCTGCCACGTCATAACTCTTTCCAGGTTGTTCCAGTTCAAAATGTTCAATTCGACAAACCTGCAGCCAACAAAAAACAAATCATTGTTCTGGAACATTTTCAACGATTCGATAGTTTTGGAAAAGTTATCACAAGTTATCAGAAATTCGAAAAAGTCGAGATTCCGCGAGAATCGAATGAGGTGATTTTTGTTGAATGCGATGATTGAATTCGAATTTTCTGTATATGTGGAACTTGTCAAATTAAATAATAAACCTGTTGAAATTATTATACTAAATAGGTTGAAAACGTGACGTGTTCGCCTGATGTTTCCCTGAATTTTTGGCTCATTTTTAGGTGTTTCAGACGAATGAAATAATGTTTTCAGAATTTATGATCAAGCTCAGAGCTCATGAAATGTATCCAGTGAGTTTTTTGGGGCTGAAAATTTGAATTTTTCAAAATTTTGGTGCCAAATTTTTGAAATTCCTGAAAAATCTGACCTTGAAATTCCACGTGGCAAAGTTTGGTCTCAAAAAAAAACTGAAGAATTTCCAATTTCAAAATTTTGGCTCCAAATGAAAAGTTTGAAAAAAATCCACGTGGAAAAGCTAAAAATCAAAAATGTTGATATTTTCCGGTGCACAACATCTTTTTCGATCTGAAAAAAAATTTTCAGATCGAAAATTTTTGAATTTGAAAATTTTTACGCAAACTTTTGAAATCCACGTGGCAGAAAATTTTGTGAAAATTCAAAAAATTCTGATATTTTCCAATTCAAAACGTCTTTTTCGATGTGATTCAAAATTTTGGCGCGAAAATTTTTTGAATTCAAAAATTTTTCTTTCAAAAATTTTGTAAAAATTCTAATTTCCAACACCTCAGGTAAATATAGATGTTGTCGAAGCGATCAAAACATCAAATCACGAAGATCTAATGGGATCCTTCATCCGCGGTCAATCATTTTCCTATAAAGATCCTGCAGGAGGAAATAATCTGCTTCATATCGCAGCTGAGAACAATAATCAATTAGCAACAAGAGCCATTTGCGTGTTCGGAGCAACGTTGGAATTGTGGAAACAAAAAAATCACGCGGGAAAATTGCCAGTTGAATTGACAGAAGATTCGAATATCAAAGCTGATTTGATGTCGATTTCGACATCTCGAAGTGTCACAAATCATCATACACATCAGAATAAGCTTTTAATTGAGAAGCGACTCAAGGAGCCAAGTTCGTCGCATAAAGTTGTGCTAAGTCTCGACGGCGGTGGTTTGCGGATTGTGTTGCAGAGTGCGATTCTGATTGAGATTGAGAGGCAGCTCGGCGAGCCGCTCAGACAACATGTTCATTGGATTGGTGGCACGAGTTGTGGGGGATTGATGGCTGGAACAATGGCGGTGGGAATTGATTTGTGTGATGCGAGGAAGGCGTTTATTTTGACACGCAAGCGGATCTTTTGCGGCAATTCGAATATGGTGCCGAAACATCGGGCGACTGGGATTGAGAGTGTTTTGCAAGAGGTTATGGGGCAGAAGACGTTGTTGGCGGATTTAAAGGCGCATAAGTGAGGTTTTCTGGATTTTTGGCGGGAAAATTTGCATTTTTGGCGGCGAAAAAAGAAAAAAAGCGGAAATTACAACACTCCGTTGACGCTGCGCGTGATTTAGTGATTTCGAAAATATTTCATTTGAAAAGGGGTTTTTGATTTTATAATTCAAGTTTTCGCTTCAAAAAATGCAAAATTTGCTCAAATTTCACTTCAAAATATGTAAAATAATCCAAAAATTCGCATTTCACATCAAACCCTACGCAAAAATGCACAGATTAACGAAAATTCTGTGCATTTTTGCGGCAAGTTCAGTGCTTCTACTGGATTTCACGAAAAAATGAAAAAAAAAGCGGAAATTACAACACTCCGTTGACGCTGCGCGTGGTTTAGTGGCGTCTTTTTTGAATTTGGAGAATATTTGATTTGAAAAGGGGTTTTGATTTTAGATATAATTTAAGTTTTCGCTTCAAAAACTTCGAAATTCAAGTTTTCCCGCCTAAAATTTGATGAAAACAATCAAAAATTCGCATTCAATACCAAAATCTACGCAAAAATGCACAGATTCATGAAAAATCTGCATTTTCCCGACGATTTTGGTGTTTCCCTGAGGATTTAACGAAAAAAAGCGAAAATTACAACACTCCGTTGACGCTGCGCGTGATTTAGTGGAGTCTTTTTTGAATTTGGAAAAGTTTTTGAAATGTTCTATTTCGCGCCGAAAATTGCAAGATTTTAAAATTGAAAATTCGCCCCAGAAATTTGAATTTTTGAAATTCTGGATTTTTGGAGCGAATATTCGAAATTTTAAAATTTAAGTTTTCGCTCCAAAAATCGCATTTTACACCAAAACCTACGCAAAAATGCACAGATTTTCCGAAAATCTATATTTTTGCGGCGAAAAAACAACACTCCGTTGACGTTGCGCGTTGTTTAGCGACCAAAAATATGTTTTTTTTTGCAGAATCGTGATAACAACATCAAAATGCGATTATGCACCAATTCAACTTGTGCTCCTCCGATCCTATGCTCCACGACTTCAACCAAAAGAGTTTGAGCAACTCGGATTCTTGAATCCGGCCAAAGTTTTGCTCTGGAAAGCTATGAGATCTACATCGTGGGTTATTCGTCTGATTTTTCCCGCCAAAACTGAAATTATCGATTTTTCTAGAGCAGCTCCCGTGTATTTCCCATCATTTCATGGTTTGGTTGATGGCGCTTTGTTTTGCAACAATCCATGTATTCAACTGCTCACCGAGTTCCAGAAACTCAAAAAAATTGAGAATTATCGAGGTGTCAAAAACACGGATGAGATTGGATGTGTGATTTCGGTTGGCACTGGAATTGAGCCAAGTGTTGCTCTCAAAGGTGAAAAAATCAATAATTGATTGTTTTCTTTTGTCAGACGCGTGCGGCTGTGCGTCGCGGTCGGGAAAACAAATGAAATTATTGTTTCCCGACCGCGACGCACAGCCGCACGCGTCTGACAAAGAAAAAACAATGATTGCATTTGTTTCCCGACCGCGACGCATAGCCGCACGCGACCAACGAACTAATGATGTTTTTTTCAAATATTTTTTACAGCAGCCTTGCTAAAACCTTGAAACACCGTGTAAAATGGCTTGAGAAAATGCAAATTTTCTAATTTTTTATTCAATAGCCATTTTTGTCGCGTGCGGCTGTGCGTCGCGGTCGGCAAACAATGAATTCATGCCGACCGCAACGCACAGCCGCACGCGACGAAAAAAGTGATTTTTTTCAATTGATAATGGGTATTTTCTCAAGCCATTTTACACGGTGTTTCACTGTTTTAACAAACTTTGTGGCTGTTGTAAAAAATATTTTTGAAAAACATTATTTCGTCAGTTGCGTGCGGCTGTGCGTCGCGGTCGGTAAACAATCAATAATCCATGTTTTTCCCCGACCGCGACGCACAGCTGCACGCGACTTACTTCGCCAGTCGCGTGCGGCTGTGCGTCGCGGTCGGGAACCAAATGCAATTATTGATTTTTTTCCCCGACCGCGACGCACAGTCGCACGCGCAACCAACGAACTAATGTTTTTCTCCAAATTTTTAAAGGAATCGAACTGAACGTGGCGAATGCGTTGGATATTGGCGGAAATTTTCGCGAAATCATTGCGACCGGCAAGAATTTCTTCAATTTATTCATGTATCAATGCACAACTTCGCACAATGTTCACGTTGGAGAATCGCAAGAATGGGCACATTCAATGAATGCACCGTTTTTTCGATTTTCGCCCAAATTATCGTCGAGTTTTGAGTTGGATAATTGCTCGGTGGAGAATTTGATTAATTCGATGTTTGAGAATGAGGTTGGCGGGTTTTTGGGCGGGAAAATTGTATAAAAAATTTGAAAAATCGGATTTCCCGCGAAAAATATTCAAAAAATTCAAAAATTTTACACCGAAATCCACGCAAAAATGCACAAATTGTGCATTTTTGCGGCAAGAAAAAAACTAGATTAAAGGAACATACCGTATCGGTTGAGATGAGCCACAAAAACTACGATGCTCCGCGTTTACGCCATCAATTTGATCAGAATTGCAGGTGTAAACGCGAAGCTTTGTAGTTTTTTTTTGTTGAAAATTGTTAAGAATTTTCAAAAAATTGGTAGATAGTGCTGCTGACGCGGAAGCTTGCGGTTTACACTCGAAAAACTACGATGCTCCGCGTTTACGCCATCGAAAATGATGGATTTTCATCAGAATTGCAGGTGTAAACGCAGAGTATCGTAGTTTTTTTTGAAAATTGTGAAGAAATTTCAAAAAATTGGTAGACAGTGCCGCTGACGCGGAAGCTTGCGGTTTACACTCGAAAAACTACGATGCTCCGCGTTTACACCATCGAAAATGATGGATTTTCATCAGAATTGCAGGTGTAAACGCGGAGTATCGTAGTTTTTTCTTGAAAATTTGATTCAATCTACGCAAAAATGCACATATTTACAAAATTTGTGCAAAAAAAAATCATTTTTTTCTGAATTCATATTAAAGGAACATACCGTATAACCTGCGCATCTAACTCTCGAGTTAGATACGCAGGTGGTATACGGTATGTTCCTTTCATCTGCCATTCCTAGGTTTATATTCGTACTCAAATTCAATCGGAAATCGCTGAAGTTGTGAAACTTTTGAAATCGATGCCCAAAAACCAGGTGCCATGTGAATATAAATCAATTGTGAAATTCAAATAAAAAAATTTCATCTTCACCCCTGTATACAACAAATTTTGATGAAAAATAAAAGGCCAAAAGCGCTGAAAATGAATCCAGCGAAAAATTCGAATTTGAAGCTGAAACTATCTGAAATTGATGAAATCTTGGGTGAAAAAATGTGGCAATTTCGAAGGGGTACTGTAGGTAGACGATCTACTAACACATAAATTTCTTATATCATTTCATAAAACTTATAAAAGTCTACAGCAATAAAAAATTAATTGCTTGTTCATCCATCTTGTACCACCCAAAAAACTCAATTTTTCATATTTGATCCCTCCTATTTTTGTCTGGCTCATTTATTTCATTCTCCCATCGGATATGCCCAAAAACCTATTCTTTCTGATATTTATTTCTCAAACTATTTTAGTCTGTTCTCAACAAAATGTCTTTAAACTAATCGATATTCCACCAAAAAATATGTTTTCGACACAAGATCGTTTAATCAAAGATATTTTTCTGAACTACGATAAAGAGTTTCACCGATTCTGAATTCGAATCAATATCGGCAAATTTACATGGATCCAGATTACAATCATACGTACGATGGATGGACATTTTGGATTGTGGTTTATCAAATTAAAGTTATCGATTTGGATGAACCTCAAGAATTATTCACAACATCAATAACCTTTTTATTGGAATGGCGTGATTTTCGAATTGCGTGGAATAACAACGACTATGACGGAATTCAAAGTATATTTGTTCGACAAGACATGATGTGGTCCCCACCACTGGCTATTTTCTCTGCGTTAGTTTATGTTATTTTGAGTACATCAAAATTTTGAAATTTGCAACATGAACAGAAACATTGACCAAAAAAGAGAGGCCATTAACTTTTTTACAATTTGTCGGAAATCGTAAAAAAAATATCATCAATTTGAAAAAGAGCTGTTTTTAGAAGTGACGTGAAAGATCATCGTGATCTCGATTTTCGAATTCTTGAAGTCGAATATTTTGGGAGAATAGTGGAATATGTAACAATGCGGTTAACAACAAATTGTGGATTGAATATGGTTCATTTTCCATTTGATATTCAAACTTGTGAAATTCATCTAGGCTTGTCTGGCATTGATTACAAAACTTTATAACCTTTCAATACATTTGCCAGATATCGATGAAGAAATGCTTTGTGATATGGTAAGATTTTAAAAAAATTGCGGGAAAAAGATACTGCTTTTTTCAATAGACACTTTAAAAAGCATATTATCTAGATGTTTTATTCATTTCATCTTTAGTGCGACTCGGCATGGACTATTGTAAATGTGTCAATTGGAAGTCTACAATTCAAGCCATACCGTACACTTGACTCTAGGCTCGGTGTAGTTCGTGTAGTGCTAAAAAGGAATCCAATATTCTACATGTACATGATAATATTACCAACATTTACAATAAATATGATTGCAATTGGTGGAGTGTTTTTGAAAAAATCAACTCAAATTGAAAAATTAACAATCGGATTTACACATATTATGACAATGACGTTTATATTAGGATTAGTATCTGAAAAAATACCGAAAACAAGTGAGATTCCATTATTGGGAAAATATATCGTGTTTGGGTTATGTTTGATGATTTTCTCATTGGTTATTTCGTCAGGATTCAATCGATGTATTATGATAAAAAATAATAACAGGTACGAACAATGCAAAATTGTTTCTTTAAAACTTATATCTTATCAGACTCTTCACTTATCGCAAATTTGTGAAAATATTTTTCATAACAACCCTTCAACTCCTCAATATTCTGGCATTTTTCTACATGATTTATCGATTTTTGAAATTCGAAAGTGAATATGGAGAATTACGAGATTGCGATTTACAGGATCATGAAAAAAGCGTTTCAAATATTCAAATTTCTCTCAAAAAACATATCACACGTTCCTCTCTTCGTCTGGGTTTTGAAAGTAATCTTCACATCAAAACCACTGCCTTTCCCTCTAATTTTATGTATTTCAGACAGATAAAAATGTCATTTTCATGATCCTTGAATACAACAAATTTTGATGAAAAATAAAAGTCCAAATGCGCTGAAAATGAAACCAGCGAAAAATTCGAATTTGAAGCTGGAAACTATCTGAAATTGATGAAATCTTGGGTGAAAAAAAATGTGGCAATTTCGAAGGGGTACTGTAGGTAGACGATCTACTAGAACAAAATGAATAGGAATGTCAGTTTCGAAAGTTGTGTGGGGAAGTTGGCGAGTGATTATGAATAATTGATTGATTGTGTAGGTGAGGATTTGAAAGTGGTGTTGAATTTTGAGAATACATTGGGGACATTGGTGGCAGATTGTGATGTAGGATGAGGGTTCGATTTGGAGAGAGTGGAGTTTGGGATAGGTTTCGGTGTTTGTGCAAATCTGGAAGAATTGGGGCGTCTGTAGGTGTGATCCTTGAGAAGTAGGATCACTAGGCGCTGCTGCTTGTCACAGTGAAGATCTAGATGCGGCTCCTAGACAATGAGGTTCTCTAGCCTCGGCTACTTGAGAACTAGGCTCACAAGGCGCGGCTGCTTGTCACAGCGACGATCTAGATGCGGCTCCTATACAATGAGGTTCTCTAGGCGCGCCTGCTTGAGAACTAGGACTTAAAGGTGTGGTTCCTTGACAACTAGGATCACTGGGCGCAGCTACTTTAGAACTAGGCACTCTAGGCGCGGCTACTTGATAAGTAGATTCTCTAGGCGTGGCTGCTTGACACCTAGGCTCTATAGGCGCGGTTGCTTGAGAACTAGGCTCTCTAGCCTCGGCTACTTGAGAACTATGTTCTCTAGATGCGGCTTCTTAGACCCTACAGTACCTCATCCCCCGACACAAATCGAAAATCCAACAAATGTGATGTTTTGTCAAAAATTGGTGGTGATACAGTAACCGCAGTTGAATAATTCCGACATTCCAATCTTGGAAGCTGAAAATCGTTTTTTAAATTTTTTTTTGAAAATCTGAAAAGCCTACCAAGGAAGTTTGGATAACTTGAAATAGTAGGAAAAATATGTAACACATTTTTTTCTTCGAAAAAAAAAATCGGAGAGAAAAGGAGAAGCAAAAGATTCTCAGATATTCGACACTTATTAATTTTTTCGTGCAAATCTAAAAATCTCTAGCTTCTCTGCACTCTCTCACTCTCCTATGCTCTCTAACCATCTAGTTTCTCTGGCTTCTCTGCACTCTCTCCAAATCCTATTCTCTCTAATGAATCTTCCTCTGCGTCTCTAACCTTCACGGTTGTTTTTTGGACAAAAACAAATATTATGATTTCATTTTTTTTGTTATCGCGAGACTTTTTGACTCCATCAGCTCTTTTTATTAGTTTTCAATTGATTATTTCGTTATTTGCCTACAAAATGCCAAAATTCTAACACAAAAATGTACAAAATTATATTTCTGATATTTTTCGAAGTTGCTCGAAGTCAAGAAATTTGCCAAAAATCGAATTGAGATCTCAAAAAACTGCCGAAATTGTGAGAAAAATTATTGAGAAAGCGGCGATTGTGAGAAGAGAGGAGAATTTCGAGAATTTTTTGATTTTTGGGAATTCGGTTGAGGTGAGCCAAGAAAAACTACGATGCTCCGCGTTTACACCATCGAAAATGATAGATTTTTATCAGAATTGCAGATGTAAATGCGGAGCATCGTAGTATTTTGTGAAAATTGTTAAGAAATTTCAAAAAAATGGTAGACAGTGACTCGCTACGCTCGAAAAACTACGATGCTCCGCGTTTACGCCTTCTTCTCTGCACTCTCTCGTGTTCCTATGCTCTCTAGCTATCTTGCGCGAAGCGCCCCGGAAGATTCCGCGCAAGCGGTTCGAGCGGAGCGAGTGTACCTCCCTCTGCGTCTCTAACCTTCTCATACTCTCTAGCTGTCTAGCTTTTTCATATTGACGCGGAAGCTTGCGGTTTACACCCGCTACACTCGATAAACTACGACGATCCGCGTTTACACCATCAATTTGATCTGAATTGCAGGTGTAAACGCGGAGCTTGGTTGTTTTTCCCCAACCTTCAAAATTTTCCAGCTCGATGGCGTTGAATATCATCTGAACACCAACAAACATTCACCAGATCTCACATTCTACTTCGAACTTCCCCGATTCACCTCGAAGCTTGTCTATATTCTCCCTGATCTTCGAAAATCCCAAGAATGGTCTCCGAAGTTTCCGGACAACACAAAACTTCTGGCGAAAATCTCGAGAAATTGTGAAAGTGGTAGAAAGTTGTGTGGATTGGAGTGTTGTCCTGGAAATGTGAAACTCATCACTGATCTTTTGTACAATTCGGAGAGAATTGTTCGATTCAAAAATGTGACGTATTCTCGAAGATCTGAACTGTTAGCTGCTGAAGGTTCGGAAAAGATTTGCGAGTTTCAAAATGATCGACAACCCAAGATCTATTTTGGATGTTTGAAGAATCAGGAGTGTTGTAGTTTGACGTGTCAAGATCTACCGGTAGCCTTGGCGGTTTCGGAACATCGGGAAAAACTTTTGGATTTTTGGGAAAGGTTCAAATTTCCATTGTTGACGTGTTCACTTTTCATTCTTTTTTTGCTGATAACTGTTATCAATTCGAAAATGTGAGTTTTTTTTTAGAAATGTAAAATTCGAATAGAGAAATTTTTGAAGATTTTTGCTAGCAAAAAAATCCAACTAAAATCTGAGAAAATTTCCAAAAATCTTAACGCTTAAAGCTTCATCTGAAAATTATGAGTCAAAATTTTCGAAAAAAAAATTCAAAACGCGATTTTGCAAGATTTTCAGGATCAATTTTCACAATAAACTAATTCTGAAAAATTTTGAAAATCAATTTTTGAAAATTTCGAAATGTGCCTACTAAAGCAATCGAATTTTTAGAAAAAACTTTTTGAATTTAAAAAATCTCGAAATTTCAGCCACAATCGATCGCGCTCTTCTTCGTTCTCCCCAAAACTGCGAAACCCCGGCAGAATCCTTCTCTCATCGGATTCCGAAAAATCGCAACTCACAGTGTCCACGCAGATGAGCAACAACAATGAGCAACTTGTATAATAATTGATACCTTTGTCCTGTCCTCCTGTATATACATTTATACAAAAATATGTGAATAAACTATAACTGGTAATTAATTAATTAATTAATGTATGTAAATTTAAAAAAAAACACCTGCTGTGGGTCAAAAAACGAGTTTATTATCTATCTATTATAATTATTTTCTCATACAGTAGGAATTTGATTTCAGACGCAGAAATAAAAAAATGCTCGCGTCGCGGTCGCGCGTTGCGTGCTTTATTTTCAAGAGAACCTGCACATCTAACTCTGGATGAAATTGAACAGAAAGCAACAGTTATACGCAGGTATACGGTAGGTTCCTTTAAAAAACTTCGATTTTGAACAGGAAAATCTTTGTGCTCTATGCTCTCTAGTTTCTCTGCGTCATGCTTTCTAACTGCCTAATTTCTCTCTGCGTCTCTAACTTTCTCTAGATGTCTAGTTTCTCTACACTCTCTTCAAATCCTATGCTCTCTAGCTATTTTGCGCGAAGCGCCCCGGAAAATTCCGCGCAAGCGGTTCGAGTGGAGCGAGTGTATCTCCCTCTGCGTCTCTAACTTTCTCTAGCTTTCTAACCTCTCTGCGTCTCTTACAGGCTCGAGCGAAGCGAGTGTACCTCCCTCTGCGTCTCTAACTTTCTCTAGCTGTCTGAAACAAGTTTATTACTATGTCTTCATAGTTTTATACAGTAGGAATTTGATATCTCCAACGGCAAAAAATGAAATCGAATCATTCACCGCATTTCCATCCAATTTCTTCAATTCCCTTGTAATTGTCAAATTCCACTGCCAATTTTGCTCATTTTTCTCCAAACTATTCAAATCGAATAAATATTGCATTCGAATACTATCAATAAAATCCGCATCATCTTTCAACTCTCGAAAATACACACTTTCAATCACCAATTTCGCCATTCCGATGAATTTTCGATTTTCTTGAATCGAATAATCTGTGTAGAAGATTCTTGCGACCAATTGTCTTCGCAAACGCTCTTTGTCCTGATTGTTGGTTGAGGAATCGGTTGATGAACTTGTTTTTGATCCAGAGCCAGGCGATCCTTTTTCACTTATTGTTAGATTCGTTGTTTTGGACATTTTCTGAATTTAAAAATGGTTTTGGAAATCCTTTTTTATCTTTCTTTGTTGGGTCACGTAAAATATTTGAATTAAAAAAAAAAAGAATGGGCCGAACCGGGGATTGAACCCGGGACCTCTCGCACCCAAAGCGAGAATCATACCACTAGACCATTCGGCCACACATTTTCCCCGGCGCAAATTTCGCAATAAATATACGCCACAAGTTTTTCGCTTTTCTCTCGGATCAAATTGCAAAATGTCTCAAATATGTTGTTGCTTTTTTGATGTTTCCGGCTTTTTGTCGGTCCGTTCTTTTATGGTCAACAAGCAAATTTCGAAACAGATGCGCAAAGAATCCGCGCGGGACCGATTAGAAAACCACTAATCTTATATTATTATTATTTAATAATAAAAAGAATAGGACCAAAAAGCATAAGAAGAATAAGAATAATGTGAAGTGCACGCCTTCTTTTGTTCTGAACAGATTAGTTGAAGAAAGTCATGTTATTGTTAGAAATGAGCATTCTGTTTAATTATTAATTAATTAGTTAATTAATTAATTAATTAACCAATTACAATAATAATTATGTTTTTCTTTATTGTCAAAAAATTCTTCAAAAAATAAGAAAAAAATTTTGAAAATGAAGCACGCACCGCGTGACCGCAACGCACGTGACATTTGTTTTTGAAAAATGTTTTTTTTTATTGTCTCCAAAATACAAATATTGTTGTGCGCGTCGCGGTCGTGCGTTGCGTGCTTCATTTTCAGTATCTATTCTCTCTGCGTCTCTAACTCTCTAGTTGTCTAACTTCTCTGCACTCTCTCGTTTTCCTATGCTCTCTAGCTATCCTCCGGAAGACTCCGCGTAAGCGGTTCGAGCGGAGCGAGTGTATTTCCCTCTGCGTCTCCAACCTTCTAGGTATCTCTAATGGTCTAGTGTCTCTGCACTCTATCGTTTTCTTATGCTCTCTAGCTTCTCTGCACTCTCTCGTGTTCCTATGCTCTCTAGTATATCTCCCTCTGCGTCTCTAACCTTCTAGGTATCTCTAGCCTCTCTTCACTCTCTCTCTCTCTAGCCTAATTCTCTGCGTCTCTAACCTTCACCTCAATTTTTCTGTATTTTTGGACGCAGCGCGTGACCGCAACGCGCCCAACAACATTCGTATTCCCTCATTTTCCCAACAATTTTTTTGGCGCCAAAAAAGTGTCAATCACTCTAATAACTTTATTTTTTTTTTGGTTGGGGCATATGAAAAGTGATTCCCTTTAGAATTCCATATATTTTTTGTGTCTTGTTGTTTTTGGCCAGTTTTTGATGTTTTTGGCCGCATTTTTCAGTGTCAAAAGTGTTTTTTTTGCTTTGTTTTTAATTCTAATTAGAATTAATGAAATAAATAAATAAATAGTTTTGGACTTAGGGAAAGTCGCAGGAGTACTGTAGTTTTATGTGACATGTCTTCTCGCTAGATCAAACGGCGGGGGGTCTTTCTGTTTTAGAAAAAAAAAGAGAAAAACGAGGAGGAGATATTGGTTTTATGTTATTTGTGGTCAGATGGTGGAGAATATTTTCCGGTTATTTTTATTTTTTTTGGGGGGGGGGGGGATTTTTAAGCTTATAATAGATTTTTCAAAAGTTTTAGGCTAATTTAAAAAATTTAAAAATTAGTTTGAGATTTTTTTTTTATCTTAAAAGTTTCAGGTGGAATTTTCAAAAAATCAAGAAAAAAAAGTTTGAAAATTAAATTTTGAAAAAATAAAATTTTTTTTGTGAAAAATACGTTTCAAAAATAAAATGAGAAATTTTCATCCAAAAATTTTCCCAAAAAAAAAGAAAAATTTTGCCAAAAAAAAAAAAAATAAAACAACGAGACTCCGCGATGACGCCAACGCGCGTTGTTTCAAAATTATATTTTTTTCATTTTTTTCGCGGGCTTGAATTTTTTCATCGAACTAGACTATAGTTTAACTAAGCTAAATCTAAAATATGGGGCGTTTTTGAAAAAAAATCATGTAAATTAATTTTTTGAAAATAATATTTTTTTTTTGAAATCTCTAATTTTTTTCCAAAAAAGCTCTAGACATATTTCCAGATGTCACACACTTCTCCTCTAAGTACTACTAATCGTTCTTTTGCGCAACTCTTGCATATGTCATTCATTTTTGACACATCTGTCCCCAAATCCTAACACCTTTTTATTATTTTTCTCATTTTTCTTTTTCTTCCACCTCACATAAAAATAATATTCTTCTTCTTCTTTCTTATAATCACATATACCTTCTGAATTAATTTGGCATTTTCTAATAACATACATACATAGCTAGAAAATCCTTCTCCATAAATATTCATCATCTAGATTATACGATGATCCATGTTGTTATTATTTTTCTCTTTTTACCCACATACACATACGGTAGAAAAAGTGGGGCGGAGAGGGAAATATGCTAATTTTATGAGTTACTTATTTTGCAGGTGTTAGATGGAAAATGTGTCTCATTAGTTCCTTTTTTTCAAAAAAAAAAGAAAAAAAAAGTTGTGCGCCAGGTGGGGGTCGAACCCGGGTGCTGCAAAAGCGGCCTGTGCGCTAGGCACGCGCGCTAACCACTTGGCCACCGGGATGTTTTCTCTCGCTGTCTAAAATGTCGCATATAAAATGCGTGCCTGCCGCAAATTTTTAAATCCAAAATCTTCAGAGTCTCTAATAATTTCGTGTACTTCTTTTGATCTTCCAATTTTTTCGAATCCTCTATATTTTCCAGAAAATGAACGATGGTCCGGTCGCTAAAAAATGTCGAATTTGGAATCCGGCAATCTCGGATAGCACTGAAGAAGAAGAAGTGGAGAAACAGCAAAAGCCATTGGATTTTTCGGCCGCCAAGAATATGCAGATTTTTCAGGTGGGAAATTTAGAAAAATACCTAAAAATGTGAAAAAAAAACTTTTTTTAATATTTCAAATTGCCTCCACAAAAACTACAATGCTCCGCTTTTACGAGATCTTCAAATTTGCAGGTGTAAATGCGTAGCTTCGTAGTTTCTTGACAGTGCAGAGTGTCTGCGTCTGTAGCTAATCACTCTGCGTCTCTAACTCTCTAGTTGTCTAGCTTCTCTGCCCTCTCTCGTTTTCCTATGCTCTCTAGCTATCTTGCGCGAAGCGCCCCGGAAGACTTCCGCGTAAGCGGTTCGAGCGGAGCGAGTGTATCTCCCTCTGCGTCTCTAACCGCCTAGGTATTTCTAATTGTCTAGTGTCTCTGCGTCTCTAACCTTCTCCTACTCTCTAGCTTCTCTCCAAATCCTATACTCTTCCAGAATTATCTTCAACTTGCACCTCTCATGATGCGATTTCAACAACATCAACAAGAATTGGCTCGCCGCCAATTTCTTCTCACCAACTTCCCACCAATCCAAATTGCTCCACCACCACCACAACTTCAACCATCTCCACCCTCACCAGCCACCACAACATCCACCTCACCGCTCACAAATCCCATCGTGGCCAGCACTTTGGGCACGCCGTTGGTCAACGAGAATTGTTGCGCGGTTTGTGGCGCCAATTTTCGACTGACCGGCGATTTAGTGCAACATATGAGGAATAATCATAGGAAGAGCAAATTCAAGAGAAAATCGGAGAAATAATTGAGGTTTTTGGATTTTAATTTGATTTCCCCCAGTGATTTTTTTTCGTATTTGAAATTGGCTTGGCGAGAATTTTTTCTCTCTGATTTATCTGCGTCTCTAACCCTGTAAAGCTGTCTAGCTTCTCTGCGTCTCTAACCTTGTATCTAGCTATCTAGCTTCTTTGCATTCTCTCGCTTCCCTATGCTCTCTAACTACATATTTTCTATGCGCCTCTAACTTTCTCACTCTCTAGCTGTATGCCTTCTCTGAATCTTCAAGATTTTTGTTGTCTCTACTTGTCTAGTTTCTCTGCGTCTCTAACCTTCTAGCCTTCTCCTACTCTCTAGCTGTTCTGCACTCTCTCGTATTTCTATGCTCTCTTCTCTCTAATTTCTATGCGTCTCTAACTCCGTAGCTAGCTCTATAGCTTCTCTGCACTCTCTCGTGTTCCTATGCTCTCTAGCTATGGAAAATTCCGCGTAAGCGGTTCGAGCGGAGCGAGTGTATTTCCCTCTTCGTCTCTAACCTGCTCATACTCTCTAGCTGTCTCGTCTTCTCTAGCCGTCTAGTTTCTCTGCGTCTCTAACCTTCGGGAAAATTTCTGTTTCTGAAAATTGTCCAGTTCAGAAGCCCAAAAAACCAGAGTTCAAAATATTCCCAGAAAATTTCGCCGCCAAGTCAATTTTTTCTCGATAATGTTTCTAATTGATAATTTGTATACCCAACTAATATTAATAAATTCATTTTCTCTGATAAGCCTACACAACATGAAGCTTCTCCTATTTTTGCTCTTCTCCACATTTTCCCGCACAATTTCTCAACAATGCTCCGCGGGACAAATCGCCTACTCTTCCTTGTGTCTTCAATTCATCCGAACCCCCCTCGACTTCCATTCAGCCGAATCGATTTGTTCCGGCTTCTCCGGTCATCTCGTCTCCATTCACAATTCAATCGATAATCGAAACGTGGCTAGCCAGGCACAACAATTTACGGACGGTGCATTTTGGGTTGGCGCAAAAGCCATCGCACAAGATGTCACAAATCCACTGAACTGGTATTGGACCGATGGAACTACTTTTGATTATCAGAATTACCAGGCAGGCCAGCCAACTTCCCAGGGATCCACGTCTTGTATGCAAGTTCTACCCGGCACTGGTAAATGGCTGACAGCGAATTGTAGTTCCGCAAGTTTGCCGTTTGCCTGCGAATTCCCCGCACAAACCCCGCCAACCTGCCCCTACTCCAACTATTCCAAGTCACTGTCCATCTGGTTACACGTGGTTTTCAGAAACCGATTTTTGCTACAAGGTGAGTTGCTTGATAGGGCCCTTAACTGTGGAGGTAGGGTCCTTAACTTTGGAGGGAGGGCCCTTAACTGTGGAGGTAGGGCCCTTAACTGTGGAGGTAGGGCCCTTAACTCTGGAGGTGGGGCCCTTAACTGTGGAAGTAGGGCCCTTAACTGTGGAAGTAGGGCCCTTAACTGTGGAAGTAGGGCCCTTAACTGTGAAGGTAGGGCCCTTAACTGTGGAGGTAGGGCCCTTAACTGTGAAGGTAGGGCCCTTAACTGTGAAGGTAGGGCCCTTAACTGTGAAGGGAGGGCCCTTAACTGTGGAGGTAGGGCCCTTAACTGTGGAGGTAGGGCCCTTAGCTGTGAAGGTAGGGCCCTTAACTGTGAAGGTAGGGCCCTTAACTGTGGAGGTAGGGCCCTTAACTGTAAAGGTAGGGTCCTTAACTGTAGAGGTAGGGCCCTTAACTGTGGAGGTAGGGCCCTTAACTGTGGAGGTAGGGCCCTTAACTGTGAAGGTACGCCCTTAGCTGTGAAGGTACGCCCTTAGCTGTGAAGGTAGGGCCCTTAACTGTGAAGGTAGGGCCCTTAACTGTGGGGGTAGGGCCCTTAACAGTGAAGGTAGGGCCCTTAACTGTGGAGGTAGGGCCCTTAACTGTGAAGGTAGGGCCCTTAACAGTGAAGGTAGGACCCTTAACTGTGGAGGTAGGGCCCTTAACTGTGAAGGTAGGGCCCTTAACCGTGAAGGGAGGGCCCTTAACTCTTGAAAATTTTGGAGTATGGCCAAAAACCCACAGAAAGTTGGTTAGGGTGGTTAACTTTTTTAAATTTTTTCCTGGAAGGGGGGTTAACTCAAGGGTGCCCGGAGCGACTAGTTCATGTATGATGATAAGACTAGACTCTAGTTATATTCAGAACTTTGTTCGATCCACAAACTTCAATGATGCACGAAGTTCTTGTCAAGCTGACGGCGGCGAACTTGCCTCAATTCATTCACAAGTTGAGAATGATTTTCTAGTCCGTAAGTATTGTTTTTCTAATATAGGTATATTTACCTTTCAAAATTTTTTTTCAAATTAAGAATTCACAAAAACCGGGCTCACTGTGAAGGACAACAATTGGAACGATCAAGTTTGGATCGGATATGTTTATCAAAATCAGAAGTGGCAGTGGACAGATGGAACGAATTCGACGTTTGTTAATTGGGGAGATGGCGAGCCGAATGATATGCAAAAAGAGTGGTGGACTGTGGTGAGGGATTTAAAAAAAAAGTTGCGCGCCGGGTGGGGGTCGAACCCTGCAAAACGTGCACGATCGCTCGGCACGCGTGCTAACCACTCGGCCATCCGGCTGTTTTTTTATTTCGTCTAAAATGTTGCATATAAAATGCGTTTGATTTTCAGTTGGTCGCCGATCCTCACGAGAGCAAGAACAGCGAAGCGACAAAATGGAACAATGTTGGACAAATTGATGAAAGAGCTTTTGTTTGTAAACGCGCGGTTCTTCATTGATTTTTATTTAAAGTGAAATAAATTTTCAGAAAATCACCTGCCTCAAGATCAAACAATCAAATTCATAAAAAAAAACGTTTTAAAATCCTAAAGTGCCTCTGTTACCAGAACAGTACTTATAGTTCTCGACGCAACTTTGGTTTTAATCCTAAACAAATGATCGCGATATGGTTTGTGGCAGAAAATAAGTGAAAAATTCGAGAATATCCCATGCGTTGCGTATAATATCATCGTAAAATTATTGATTTTTTGGCTAATAATCCCGGTTAAAAATGTTATGATCATAATGGAAGTTGGAAGAACTAAAGCAATAAATGGAATTGTGATTTGAATAATTAACATTGATAAAAATTGCAATTGTAGTTTACGAGTCTTTTCGGAGACACTTGAAGAATTGGTGAAAACTAGGTGATAACCTGTTGATATTGAAAAATAGAAGGCGTTTAGGCAAATATATAAGATCAAAGATACTAAACATATTTCGACGAGTTCGAGGTTGGTTGTGAGAACACCAGCATTTTTGGAAAAATATTCGATTGGCGGGCATTTATAGGTCTCCAAATATTTCAATTTATTCTCATCGGTCATTGTATCTTCCCAAAAATAAAGGCTTAACACGATAGCGCCGCTCAAATAACCGAAGGCATAGTAAATGCAAAGATAGATTTTGGATTCGAAGCGGAAGCGGATTGATGCGATTGCACTGTGTCGATTTTGGAATAATGCGATTACAGACATCCCAATCACTGTAAAAAAAATTCACTTATGCAAAAAAAATTTTAAAAAATTTTTTTATCATGGTGTTGCAAGCTCGCTCTATCGCACACATATTTTATCGTGAACTCAACTGTGAAGGTAGGACCCTTAACTGTGAAGGTAGGGTCATTAACTGTGAAGGTAGGGCCCTTAACTGTGGAGGTAGGGCCCTTAACTGTGAAGGTAGGGCCCTTAACTGTGAAGGTAGGGTCATTAACTGTGAAGGTAGGGCCCTTAACTGTGGAAGTAGGGCCTTTAACTGTGGAGATAGGGCCTTTAACTGTGGAGATAGGGCCTTTAACTGTGAAGGTAGGGCCCTTAACTGTGAAGGTAGGGTCCTTAACTGTGAAGGTAGGGCCCTTAACTACTCACAATAAACACAATATTGTCCAAAGAATGCTGTGAATTTAATAGAAACTCCTAACCATCCAAAAATCCCGTGTATTGAAACAACTGGAGCTGGCAAATATAAAACCGGTGAGCCCAAACTATTAATCATGATATCCAGCAAAAAACTTCTGGAATTTTAAGAAATATTTTTTTCTTGAACTGAAAATTGCTTAAATCCTTCTTCTTACGCTAATTGAATATGTAGTAATACAGTTTTGACATTTCTCATTTTATTCGGTGTGATTCGCATAATTAAATAGATACAATAAATCGTTGAGGGAACTGTGAGCAACGAGGAAATGTGAAGAGATGTCACCAAAAACTCCTTGGTTTCTAGAAATGTGAATTTTTCACAAGTCGTGTAATTGGTAGCTAAATACAAATCCATATGTGAAAATTGGACACAAGTATTTTTCACCTGCAAGTGACACGCTTCTATTCACAAGGAAACGTTTTTTCAAAAAAAAAACCTTGGTTTGTCAGACGCGTGCGGTTGTGCGTCGCGGTTGGCGCGACGCACAACCGCACGCGACCGACGAAGTAATGTTTTTTTCAATTCATTCAAAAACATTTTTCAACAACAATCTTCCATCTCCTCAATTTTCGATTCCAAATCTCGTTCAATCAAATTCCTCTCCCCCATCTTCGAAATCACATAGAAAATCAAAAATCCAAAAATCATGATAACAATCGAGCCAAAAACAAGCCCCAATTTCGGCTGCGACGCATAAAATCCAATCAACGAAACAATTTCAATGATATAAATCAGCGCTGCGATAATTTGTCGATGTAAATGTGAGCCGAGAAATGAGCCAATTGGAGCTGTTAATGAGGCGACAGGTGCACTACAAATGAAATATTTCCAGGAGAGTGGGGAGATGTCGGCTTGAAGAACTGCTCGATAATAGAATCCGAACACTGACATTATTCCTGAAATTTGGAGGAATTTTAAAAAATATGTGGCCGAAGTATTTGGGTGGCCGAGAAATGTCGGAAACTCGGCCAATGCAAAAAACTCGCTCTAATGTTTCGAAAATCATTGTTTCTTGGTTTGTGGCCGAACTCCCGACAATCCTCGGCCACCCAAATTATTCGGCAATATATTTTTTTTCGAAATTTTCGTGGCTGAACAATTTCGGGTGGCCGAGAAATGTCGGGAACTCGGCCAGCGCAACAAACACGCTCTAATGTTTCGAAAATCAAGACGAGGCCGAATTCCCGACAATCCTCGGCCACCCAAATTATTCGGCCATATATTTTTTTTTCGAAATTTTCGTGGCTGAACAATTTCGGATGGCCGAGAAATGTCGGAAACTCGGCCAATGCAAAAAACTCGCTCTAATGTTTCGAAAATCATTGTTTTTTGGTTTGTGGCCGAATTCCCGACAATCCTCGGCCACCCAAATTATTCGGCCACATATATATTTTTTTCGAAATTTTCGTGGCCGAACAATTTCGGGTGGCCGAAAAAAAGTTATAAATTCGGCCAGTGCAACACAAAAACCGTACCTTTTAGAATAGTCGTAGTTGGAGTTGAAATCTTCTCATTCACCCTAAAATACAGTGTCGCCACCGAAAACACACAAATATCAATTCCACTTCCAGCAAACGAATTGAAAATCCCGCCAATAAAACCGGTAAAAACCAGGATTACAGCCTTGCCCGTTGAAAAATCCTGAATTTCCGTGAAAGTTGAGCGCTTCTTTTGTGAATTTACGAGGGCGAGAGCGAATGCGAAGGCTGACCAAATCGAGACAAACATCATCTTTTTTTCGGAACCCGTGAAAAATGGGTCGAACTGGGAGGAAAAATCTTCTGGATTTGCTAAAGATCTAGTGAAAACTTACAAAATGAATCCCAAAAATGAATCCTGGAATCGCTCCGAGACACGAAAAAATCATAGTTCGAGATTCCAGCTTAACCTTCATGAATACAATGCAAACTAGAGCAGATGTCATACCTAGAAAAGGCGCTCATTATAAATATGAAAATTTCGACAGCAGAAAAAAGCAGCCGAGTGGCCGAGTGGTTAGCGCGCGTGCCGAGCGCACAAGCCGCTTTTGCAGCACCAGGGTTCGACCCCCACCCGGCGCACAACTTTTTTTTCTTTTTTTTACCTCTGAACTCACCAACACTCTGAATCATAATCGCAAAATCCCTCGCAATCTTCGGCGACAAATGCAACATCAAAGTCATCACTGGAAACGACACCGCAGACGCACCTTCAGCCGTCATTCCAGCGATCAGCGATCCCAAAATCATCGTCACCGGCATATGCCAATAATCCGCAAACATTGGGAAAATATTGTAGCGAAAAGCGCACGACCACCATATTGCCTGAACTTTTTTGAATCTGAAATTCCAACAAAAAATGTCCAACCTGAACCAAGAAAAATGGAATAAGAACAGCTACAAATTTTCGATATTTTATCAGCAAATAATCGGAGATTGTGGGTGTTTCCGGAAAATTCAGAAGTTTTTCCGAATATTTTTCATCGAGTTTTTGACCGTCTAGAAAATATTTACGAAACCAAGATGACTTCAAGGACATTTGCAAGTGTCTTGGTAAAAAAAATATCATGATGAACAAGTTTTCTTTGCTTTATCATTCGGGAAATGAAGAACAAGTTGATCAATGTGAGGGTTCAAAAAACTTCGAAGGCTATTCTGGATCTCTCAGAACTGTGTATGCATACTTAAACTATCTGAATAAATATATAAACTAACTTCGAATCGAATCCACAAAATCAGTTGCACTTTCTTTCAAAATTTTTCTGATTTTCAAGAAATCACCAAAAATTCAGATCACATTCTCCAGTTACACGTCGATTCATTAAAAATTTATTCATACCTAATTTTTACCTCTCTCACATTTGTTCAAAACGTGGCGACTCAACTGTTGTTTTCGAAACTTCTGTCGACATTGAATTCGCCATTTCCGCAATCAAAGACGTTTCCAATTCATTGATTTTCGTGACAGTTTCCGCGTAAAGTTTCAAATTTCCAATTCGAACTTTGATAAAAACCAAGATCACATGAATCGCAGACAGAAATTGTACACGTTGCGTCATTGTGGAGCTTCGTTGGTTGCGCAATTCTTGAATGATGGTTTCAATCTGGAAAATGAAACATGGAAGTTTGGAAGAAAATTGAAGAAAAATGGGGCGAAATTTACATTCGGGTTATTATTTTCTGCGAGATGTTGAAGAATTGCGTCGACAAAAATCACCACCGCTGATTGATTTACACCAGTTTCACATTGAATAACGATTGGAGCATTGGTTTTCTGAAAAAGAAAAAAAAAATTTTTTGAATAATTTTTGTGTGCAATTGTGCGTCGCGGTGTATGTGTGTGTTGTCCGCGTTTTTTGAATTTTTTTTATTTTTCTCTTGCGAATTGATTAGCTCACCGCAATCTTCAAAATCGATTTAATCAGCGACACAACAACTTTAGGACTCGACGGAACCAAATACTTGCCCCAACACGAATACTCAAACAATGATACAAAATTACTCTGTGAGCAGCCATTTGGCAAAACTTCCAATTTATATTCGGTTGGCGCATATTTGAATTTAGGTGGCTTTACATTTTTACAAGATACAAAATTTTGACCACAATTCATGAAAGATTCTTTTTCTTTTGGGTAATAAATTGGAAATTCATCTGGATTTCCAGTCGAATTTGTCAAATTAATAACCACTTCAACTTCCTGATTATAAACCATATTCCAAAAATCATCAATAGTTGTTGAAAGTGGATGTTGTGTTGCGATATAACCACGTTTCAATGTCTCAAATCTGATATGATTCGCATGAATATAATCACGATCTGTTTCCGATGTTTTCAACTTCACACGACTATTATCAACGCAGAAAATATCGGGGTTACGATTTCGCGCGCGATTCGCTGGACTCGCTTGATAATAATTCGAACCTTTTGCCGAAATCTTCATGATATTCTGTTGGAAATATTTGCTGAGCCCCTGATTCTTCTCAATCAACAAAATATTTTCGGCTAAAACTCTGAACACATCCGAATTCTCCATTTCCTTTTCTTCCGGCATTGGCGATGTTGTTCCAGATGTTGTGTTACTTGGGATAAGTGTCAATGCTGGAAGAGTTAATGGTTGAGTCATTGGATCAGCCTCCTTTATTTTCTCATTGCTCTTTTCGTGCTCTTTTTTGTCTTTTGGAGCTGGCGAGCGAGCAGTCATCATATCCGGCGTCAATTTTGTATGCGATTTTGATTTCTTTTCATTGCTCGCTTTTCCGAAGAAGAGTTCTTGAAAGAATCCAGCCTTTTTCTTCTTTTTCTTCGTATCTTTCTCTTTTTTCTCCTTCTTTTTGATCGGAGTTGTTGCAGTTGGATCGTGACACGCCATTTCATCGCTGGAAAATATTTAGTTTAGTTTAACTATAGTCTAGTTCGATGAAAAACCCGAAAAACCCGAAGCCCGCTGAAAAAAAAAACACAAATTCAAACCGCGCGCAGGTGTCAACGCGGAGTCTCGTTGTTTTCTTTTCTTTTTTTTTTCGATGAAAATGAAAATTTGCATGAAAAAAACTAATTTTTGAGGATGAAAAAATAAAATTGAGAAAGTATTAACCGATATTTCCAACAGAAAACTAAAATTTCTATGGAAATTGTTCTTTTTTGAGTTTTTGACCGGAATTGCAATAAAAAACTAGGAATTCCTTGTCAAAATTCCTAGATTTAGCCTAGTTTAACTATAGTCTAGTTCGATGAAAAAATTCAGCTCTTTTCGATAAGAATTCGCCAAAATATGAAAGCCCGCTGAAAAAAAAACACAAATTCAAACCGCGCGCGCAGGCAACGTCAACGCGGAGTCTCGTTGTTTTCTTTTTATTTTTTTTCGGGGAAACCTACCGATTTCCAACCTCCACTTTCGATTTCTTCTTCCCCTTCGTATTCTTCTTCTTCCCACTTCCCTCATCATTCGGATTTGACAATTCAAGAGCTTCCGGACCTTCAGTCCCAGGTGTTTTCGATCGCCTCTTCCCAAGTCCTTTCGAAGCTTTAGTTTTGGTCTTCGGTTCACCGCCTTCAGTTTGACCATCATGATTCTCTCTGAAATAATGAATAAGTAAGTATTTTCAAAGTTCGTCTAACTCACTTTGCTTTAGTTTCGTTTTCCATTGTTTTATGCTTTCAGGGTTTGGATCATAAAACAATAACAGTTAGGAATGGATTGATTTTCGGGGAAAAAAATCGTTGCGAAAAAATTCCACGTCACACGGGGGAAATTTGAGATTTTCTACTCAAAAAAAAAATAATTTTTCGAATAAATACGTGACATATAAAAAAAGATGAGTTTAAAAATCGAAAAGTCGGCCAAAAAAAATCAGTATTCACTAAAAACTAGAATGAAAGCGGCAATTTTTTGGGCAATTCTAATTGTTTGCCCGAATCTTGTGCATCCTTCAGTGCTCTCCTCATGTCCACTATCCCATATCGAACCGGATGAACAACCTGTATGTACAGGTTCAGAATCTGCATGCAAAACTGATTTCGAAGACGGACAATGTCTGCAAACAGGAGTATGTTTCTGGAGGGTTTTCGATCGAGTGATCTAAGATTGCACTTACCTTAATAAAAACCCCGTTCATCACCCTAATCAACATATTTGCAGGCTGCAGGTTTTCGTTGTTGTCCCGAAGAAGGCCGAGCCTCTGATTTCAAATCGAATCAGAAATGTAATAGCTCAGTACCACTTCTTTGGGATGGATTATATTGTAAAAAGGGATACGTGTACCACGTTGGCATCAAACACTTGAAAGCCAACAAGGATAGTTCCAAAGATTGCAAACTCAATTCGGATTGTGGTGAAGGAAGTTATTGTGTAGGTCATGAGGTAGTTGATGGTGAACTAGTAAGAAAATGTTATCTAATTGATGTAACCGAAGGACAAGTCATTTTATTTATCATAATTGGTGTTGTAGTACTTGTGGTCATTATTGCGATTATTGCAATTATCATTACTTGCTGTTGCTGTAAAAGAAAGAAAAATGGAAACTGAATAGTATAAATGCATTTATTGCCAAAATTGTTGTTGTTGTTGTTTTTCTAATTTCTTCGGAATCTGTTGCAAGAGACGCAGACAGCGAGAGCGACCGCAACGCACACGCATCGCGGCTTCATTTCCCTTTTTCGTCTCGCGTATCTTCTTCGCTCACACGCTAGTTTTCACTCTCTCGTTTTCTCTAATCTAATTTTATCAGATTTTGAAAATTTCCGAACTTTGCCACGTCATAGCTCAAATAATTTCATTCTTCGATTTTTAAAGTTAGTATTTCTTTAGAAGCAAAAAGAAAATTACAATTTTCGGAAAAATAATTAATTACACGTTAATTATTAAGGAACCGGTAAGGTGCATAAGGGACATAGGGAACTCAAAGAATGATATTTTCGTATGACTTTGCGCATGATGGGCAAGTTGGGCAAAATTGGAACCATTGCATGAGGCACTGCAGAAAAAATTGATTTTTTTTCTCTAAGAATATTCTAGATCTTACTTACAGTGACATGAAAAATGTTGGAACAGACTTGGCAGATTGAGGGATCTCTTCCAACTTCAGGATTTCCACCATAGCAAATCGAGCAAAAATATGGGATTTGACGAATGTCAAAAACCCGAAAAGAATAGAGCATTCCAACATTATGATGAACTTCGAAATCAGTCAGAACTCTCTTGAGATCAATGCAAATTTCATCCAAATTTCTGAATCTTCTATTTCCAACAAGTTTCGGGCCTCTTCTCTTCAGAATATTTGTCAAAGTTGCCCCAAATTTTCCAACGATGCTTGAAATGTTGGCGATTGGAGCGTGAATTGCTTTCAGAACGGCGTTTTCGCGGCGGATTTGATCACACTCCAATTCTCTTTTTCTCTCATTCTCTCCACATTTCGCCAAACGTTCCAAATAATTGATGTAGTGGCCGAGGATTTCAAAAGTATCAGCATCCAAGCTGCAAATATTAGATTTTGGTGTTTTTTTCCTAGATCTTAGTTTAACTATAGTCTAGTTCGATGAAAAACCGAAATATGAAAAAAAAACACAAATTCAAACCACGCGCGCAACGTCAACGCGGAGTCTCGTTGTTTTATTTTTTTTTTGGGGAAAATGAAAATTTGCATGAAAAAAACTATTTTTTGAGGATGAAAAAATAAAATTAATTAGTTTAAACAGTAAAATCCAATATTTTGAATGGAAAACTAAACTTTTTATGGAAATTGTGTTTTTTTTTTGAATTTCTGACCCAAATATGCAATTTAACACTGAAAAATCGTTGTCAAGGATCTTAGATTTAGCTTAGTTTAACTATAGTCTAGTTCGTTGAAAAATTCAGAATATTTCGATAATTATTCGCCAAAATATGGAAGGCCATTGAAAACAAATAAATTTCAAACCACACGCGCAACGTCAACGCGGAGTCTCGTTGTTTTATTTTTATTTTTTGTGGGGAAAAAATGAAAATTTGCATCAAAAAAACTATTTTTTGGGGATGAAAAAATAAAATTAATTAGTTTAAACAGTAAAATCCAATATTTTCAGAAAAAACTGAATTTTCTAGGGAAATTGTGTTTTTTTTAGTTTTTGACTGAAAAATGCAATTTAAAACTGAAAAATCGTTGTCAAGGATCTTAGATTTAGCTTAGTTTAACTATAGTCTAGTTCAGTGCAAAAATTCAGAATATTTCGATAATTATTCGCCGAAATATGGAAGGCCATTGAAAAAAAAAACACAAAGCGCGGAACGTCAACGCGGAGTCTCGTTGTTTTATTTTTAATTTTTTGCAATTTTTGGGACCTAGGAATATTCCACTTACAGTCTAACCTGCTCTTCGAGCTCTCGAACTCTTTTTCTTCAAAAAATCGTTTTCGATTTGCAAAAGTCTAGCATCCAATGTATCGTTGTTCATGTCGAAAGATCTAAAATTCTAAAATTTTAAGAAAAATCGGAGAAATAAAATGAATCATTTCATAGTTTTCACATAAATGATACAGATTGGCACCAAGTTTTCAGAAAATTTCTCTGGCTCTCTGCGTCTCTTCTCATCCCATAATATTTCTTATCTTTCCTTCTCTCTGTCATTATGAAATCTGTCAACATTACAGTAACTCGCGATATGAATCATCATATTGTTTTTATTAATAATAATAATGATAATCAGAGCACGAACTTAGTGCTATTATATATTCACAAATAAGTCAACATATGTAATTAATTAATTAACTAATTAATTAATTAATTAGCGCAATTGTGGAAATTCGATTGGATTTGGCATTGAAGTACGGCAAATTGGGCATGTTGAATTGGTTTTGATCCATTCTAGGATACACTGAAAACATTTGAATTTTTGAAACTAGAAATTTCCAACAAACCTCTTGATGATATGCTTTCCGACATTCTGAACATTTCAATTGATCTTTGCCAACTTCGTGTAACTCGCTATAACATATAACGCATTCATTTTCCGGTTCATCTACAACAATTCTCTGCGGCTGTTGGGGTTTAGATGGTTTTTCCTCCACTTTTTCTTTTTCTACACCTTCTTCTGATATTCCTTCCATTTCTCTCGGATCTCTTTTCACAAGCAATTCATAAGCTCGCATAAATTCTGCAGAAAGTGGCATTGGAGCTGGTGGTAGACTCGTCAATCTCTTATTTTTCTGCAGTGATTTCTGATATTCTGATTCAACGTATTGTAAATACATTTGAAATTGCTCTCTGAATCGATCCATCTCAACAATGCTTGTTGAATTATGCAAGCCTTTCCAAACATCAGCCAGATCCATCGTTAGAATTTCCTCAAATCCTTTGGTGAGATCTTCAGATGCCTCATCTTCAGTGTCATCGTCCTCTTCTTCCATTTGTACATCACGAATCATTTCCAAACCTTCATTCATAAAACCTTTGTACATTTCAAGTTGCAATTCAAGTCTTCTAATCTGTTCCGAATCAGATTCCAAACTTGTACTTGGTTTTCTGACTTCTTCTCTTAATTTTAGATTTTCTTCCTCTAATTTTTTCATATCTTCAGCCATTCTTTTGGTTTTTTCGATGTTAGCTTGATAAATTTCTAACCGCCGTTTTTCCAAATCCTCGAATCTGAAACAGAAACATTTCGAAATAAAAATACGCGGGAAAAAAACTTACAATCGAACTTGTTCTTGCAATTCTTCATTTTCTCTTTTCATTTTTTCAAATCCATCCCTTAATTCTTGATTTTCCCTCTGTAAATCTGCCAATTCGCTCTGCGATCTAAAATTAACACTTTGTTGTTCTTATTATCCCGATTCCCTCCACTTACGTCATAATACTAATCTTTTTGTAAGACTGGCAAAGAGCACGCAAATATATCTGAAAAAAAAAACTGATTTTCGACCAGGAACATGTGTCAATAAAAAAGAGGAAGCTTACTGAATAGAAAAAGGATTTTTTAGGAAAATGCTGACAAAAAGAAATGAAATAAATTAGTCCGAGAGAAGTACACATGATTAAATGCGAGCAAGTGTGCTCCAGCGAAATTGAGCGAATTTATTTTTTTTCGAACGCCAGCTTCCTCTTTTTTTTTTTCTTTTTTTCACCGCCTTCTCATATTCCTTCACTCTCTCGCCAAGAAATCTTTGATTCTTTGAATATTCAGCAAAGTGCCCTTTGTTTTATCTTATCATGATTCTGTTTCTGTTTCTGATAACAAAAAAAAACGTTTTTATTTCATTGCTCCATAAACAATGTATTTTAGACGTTCGTTTAGCAGAAAATCCTACGATGCAATTATTATTGGAGGTGGTCATAATGGTCTAACAGCTGTAAGTTTTTACTAATGTAAGATTTTTTCCAAGATTTTTTCGAAAAAAACCTATTTTCAGGCCGCCTATTTGGCAAAAGCTGGCAAGAAAGTTTGCGTTTTGGAAAAACGGCATGTGTTAGGCGGAGCTGCGGTAACCGAAGAAATCGTTCCAGGATTCAGATTCTCAAGAGCTTCATATTTGCTGAGTCTTCTGAGACCTGTAGTTTTACAAGAGCTGAATCTCAAAAAATTCGGATTGCGATATCATATCAGAAATCCGAGTTCTTTTACGCCGTTGAGAAATTCTGAGAAGAGTTTGTTGCTGGGAATGGATATGAGGGAAAATCAGCGAGAAATTGCGCAATTTTCACAGAAAGATGCAGAGGTTAGTTAAATATTTTCGAATTGAAATTTCAAGAAACAATAATTTTTGTTTCAGAATTTCCCAAAATACGAACACTTCATCTCAGAAGTTGTTCATGCATTTGAACCACTCATGGATTATGAGCCAATCGATTTACATCAAAAATTCCACAAAATCCTACCTCAACTCTACCTGCTCTACAAAACTGTGCAACCCCTCGGCTTGCGAAATGCTGTCGATTTCTACGAACTTATGACTGCTCCAATCTCAAAAATCATGAACAAATGGTTCGAATCCGATGTTCTAAAAGCAACGCTTGGAACTGATGGAGTTATCGGACTTGCCGCAAGTCCAATGGATCCTGGAACCGGTTATGTTCTTCTACATCATGTGATTGGCGGGTTAGATGAGCATAAAGGCGCATGGGGTTATGTTTTTGGTGGAATGGGTGCGGTTTCGGATTCAATTGCAAAATGCGCGCTAAGTTATGGTGCAGAAATCCACACAGAAAAGGATGTCAAAGAAATATTGATTGATGAAAATCAAGCGAAAGGTGTGAAACTTGTCGATGGAACTGAAATATATTCAAAAATCGTGTTATCCAATGCAACACCTCATGTAACATTCAATAATTTGGTCAATCGCACTCATCTTCCCAATGATTTTCATACAAGTATCAATCAAATCGATTACACTTCACCTGTCACTAAAATCAATGTGGCTGTCAAGGAACTTCCGAATTTCCTGGCGAGACCGAATCAAGGAAAAACACCGCTGCCACATCATCAAACAACGATTCATATGAATTGTGAAAGTATGCAAATTGTTGATGATGGAGTGAAAGATTATCGAAATGGGGAATACAGTAAACGGTGAGCGAATTATTTATTCGCCATTTTGCGCGCTCCAAATAAAACGACATATAGCTCAGTGGCAAGATTCTTGCTTTTGAATCGCAGGGTGGCGAGTTCGATCCCGCGTGCGAACTATTTTTTCTTTTCCTGAAAAAAATGTTTTTTCCAGACCTGTGATCGAAATGACAATTCCATCATCCGTTGATCGAACAATTGTAGATGGTGATGGACATGTTGTTCTACTTTTCACCCAATATACTCCCTTCACACTCTCCGATGGTCCTTGGACTGAAGAGAAAAAATTAGAATATGCCAAGCATGTTTTCGCTGAAATCGACGCCTATGCTCCAAACTTCTCGAGTTCTGTAATAGGCTATGATATTCTGACGCCGCCAGACATTCAAAATACATTCGGAATAACTGGCGGAAATATATTTCATGGCTCGATGGGACTAGATCAATTGTATATAACTCGACCCGTTCCGAAATATAGCAATTATTCGACACCCGTCAAGTCGCTGTATTTGTGTGGAAGTGGAGCACATCCAGGAGGTGGTGTGACTGGAGCACCCGGGAGATTGGGAGCATTACGGGCGCTTAAAAATGAGTTTTAAAATTTGATTGTGATTTTCATATAAATTATTTATATATTTCAAGACTTATTTAGTACGGAAAGTTCAAGTTGAACGAAAATTTCATAAAAAATATGTGGCCGAAAAATTCGGGTGGCCGAGAAATGTCGGGAATTCGGCCAACGCAACAAACTCGCTCTAATCTTTCGAAAATCATTATTTTATAGGGCGAGGCCGAATTCCCGACATTTCTCGGCCACCGCAAATAGCCGAATTCCCGACATTTCTCGGCCACCGCAAAAAAAAAAAATTCGGGTGGCCGAGAAATGTCGGGAATTCGGCCAACGCAACAAACTCGCTCTAATCTTTCGAAAATCATTATTTTTTTAGGGCGAGGCCGAATTCCCGACATTTCTCGGCCACCGCAAATAGTTCGGTGGTGAATTTCAGAAAAAAATATGTGGCCGAACAATTTCAGGTGGCCGAAAAAAGTCGGGAATTCGGCCTCGCCCTGATTTTCGAAACATTAGAGCGAGTTTGTTGCGTTCGAAAATCAGTGCGAGGCCGAATTCCCGACATTTCTAGGCCACCTGAAATTGTTCGGCCACATATTTTTTATGCGCAATTTTTTCCTGGCGCCGTGCCAAATTAACATATGTTTGTGAGCGCCCAAAAAATGTCGTCTGTGTGTCAAAAAAGAAATGGGCGGAGCCAGAAAATATTTTATTTTATCTTGTGTGTGTGATTTTCTCATTTTTGCTCTGCCTCCTCAATTTTTCAGCCGTTTTTTTTTTCTAAAAAGCAAATGTTCGTTCCAATTGCTCTTCTTCTGCCCGCGAAACAATTTCATGTTTTTTCTAGCCTTTATCTCTGCGTCTCTTCACAGAAAATGTGTTATTTTTGCAGGTTCTTAGAAAGGTAGAAAGTAGTAATGATAGCTGCTTTTTTCTTCACAATTTACACCTTTTTTGTCGAGTTTTTTACTCAGAAAAAATTGAGAAATGCTCTGAAAGAGCAAGAGAAGAAAAATGAGCATTTGGAAAGGTTTGTTGTTTTTTGTTTGCTCAAATTTTTCTTCAAACAAAAAGTGGTTTCAGAGAGCTGGAGGAGAGAGATTTGGAGATTATACGAGTTCAAATGTTGAATGATCGGCTTCATATGCAAACCAGAGAGTGAGTTTTTTCCTTTTTAAAGCAGAATTAAAAAAAATTAAAAGACAACAACGAGACTCCGCGTTGACGTTGCGCGCGTGGTTTGAATTTCTGTTTTTCTTCCACCAGAAACTTGATTTTTCCATGCAAATTCTCATTTTTCTTCCAAAAAAAGCGAAAAAACGGGAAAAAAAATAAAAAGAAAACAACGAGACTCCGCGTTGACGTTGCACGGGCGTCTCCCAGTGTGGATTTACGGGATGCATTTTTTTTTAGTTTTTTTTTTGCGCAGAGCTGTTTTTAGTGGAAAATTGAATAAAACCAAGTCATTTTCGGCTCATTTTTCGAGATTTGAGTAAAAATTGCCACGTCATAGGTAATTTTTGCAAAAAATCGTGGCGTAACCAAAATTTTGCGCTGAATCTCATGAAATTATCAATTTTCAGTGAGTTTCAGCTTTTTCAGCGCAAAATTTCGGTTTAGAAAATATGGGCTTTCATATTTTTGTGAATACTCATCGAAATGAGCTGAAATTTTTCAGCGAACTAGACTATAGTAATTTTTTTCAGAGTTGAAGATATTGATGATCGCCGAGCCCAGATTTATTTCGAAACTTTGGACAAATTGAAAAGGTTGGGATTTTTTAATTAATTAAAAATGTTTTTTGCTGAAAATGAGCAGGACATTGCTCAAAAAAAAGTCATTGTCATTTTTTGATGATTAAAAATTTATGAATCATTTGCAGATATCGAAAACATGTGGATAACATGGCATACGAAATCAGCAAATTGCGAAACGAGAAAAGTGAGCTTCAACGTTATATCGAAACTTTGAAAACCGAAATCTTTAATCTGAACTACGAGAGAAACGAGGAAATGGTTCAACAACGTCACAGATGGGCATATAAAAACAATGTTTTGGATAATCAAATCACATTCTCCCGAAATTTCATCGATCATTTACAAACAAAAGCTAGATTTGAAACCAGACAACGGGAGATTGATTATTTACAAAAAGTCGACGATTTGTATCAAGGACGGCGAAATTTGTTTAATTATTCTCCTCATCCTGAACTCGAAATTCCATCAACTCCAAGTTCTCAATCAGAATTATTAACTTCGGATTTTGAACATCTCGAAAACTTTCAACTTCTGCTTATTGACACTGCTTCGGTCGCAAGTACTAATAATGATCTCAAATCTACTGATATTGCACCGCCTCCTGGACTTTCATTACCTCAACCTCAATCTTCTTCTTCTGTTTCATATTTTTATACACCAGGAAGACAATCACCGCCCAAATTTGATATTAACAACCTCGAAGATTTTCCAGAATTGTAAAAATTTGTATTTTTCTTGTATTTAATGTTTGTACTATATGTTCTTGTGTTTTTTATTTGGTTGTGATTTTTTGTTGTTTATTTTTCGGACTGCAAATTTACTCTAATTTTTCCTAACACTCTTTATTGTTTTGATAAAGCTTCAAAAAATCCTGATCCATGGTCTGCAAATTATTTATTCGACATTTTGTGCACTGCAAGAAAAAAGACAAATAGCTCAGTGGCAAGATCTTTGCTTTTGAATCTGAAGGTGGCGAGTTCGATCCCGCATGCGAACTTTTTACTTTTTTTCTCCTTTTTTTAAAAAAAAGTACTAGGAAACTGCCAGTCATAGAAATTTATTAGAAAAGTTTCAAATCAACATATTTTACAACGCCGTAATCAATCAAAGCTGATAATGTTGGAAATGGTTGATAATTAATAATCATTTGACTTTCATAACTTATCCGATATTCTCGAGTCACCGAAAAATAGATGGTTGCAATCGAATCTTTTCTCTCATTCACATAAACTTCGAGATAAAAAGAATATTTTTCCCTCAGATTCCCAAGCTTGATTGATTTTTATTTGATTTTTTGAAACGGGTTTAGTGATAGATGTTGAAGTTAACGCATTAATATATTCAGTTCGATTAAATTTGGACACAGTGTAGAGGAAACATTCGTAATCATTTGCAAGAACATCTTGAATTAGGCTGTGATTTTTTAAAGCATCCAAATATCTCGAAATCGTATAACTTGCAATCATTTGTGGATCATTGATCAAAGATGTTGTAATTGGTTGTTGTTCACAATTTCGTTGTGTTTCGGAAATAATTTTCTGTCCGCCAATTTCAAAAAAACTCATCGCAACTCCACTAATATTCAACATATAAAGAATACTGTTTCCATAATCTGTTTTTTCCAAAACTGTATAATTATTGAAGAACAGATTCTCTCCGGGTATATTTTTATATCTCTCAACCAAATCCTCTTTTCTCAAAACCTCTTCAGAATCGCATCTGATAATTTTGAAATTGTCATCTAGCGTTGCATAGATTTCCTCACGATTTCCAGTTTTTATTGCATTTGTGAATTTGGTCAGCACTTCAAGTGATTGCTCAGAATATCTTGAGACAAGGAATAGAATGAAAAGAGAGGAAAACATCAATTTTAAAAAATCTGATGTGATGTGAAGGAATTATTTTTGAAATGTTGTTTTATAGTGTCCAGACTTGTGAGAAGAAAATTTTGAAAACTAAAAAAAAATAAATTCAAACCGCGCGCGCAACGTCAACGCGGAGTATCGTTGTTTTCTTTTTATTTTTTTGCAATTCTTCTTATTTTTTTCTGGGAAAATGGTAATTTGCATGAAAAAAACTGATTTCCGGTAATATAAAGACTAGAATTCGACATTTTCAGTATAAAACTGATTTTGCGATGTAAGTTTCACACAAAATTAGTGCATTAGAGCGCATTTTCATCATTTTCGATTTCAGGATTTGCTTCGAACTCGGAAAATTGAGTTTTTAGGTGAAAAACAATGAAAAATCGAGTTTTCTGGCTCAAAATTCACCAATTTTGAGCATATTCAGCTTTCTGAATCAAAATTTCATGGAAAATTGATGAAAAACATGATTTTCTTGCAATTTTTTCTTTTTTTGGGGAGAAAATGACAATTTGCACGGAAAAACTGTTTTCTAGGGGAAAAAATTAGTGTAAAAAGAAAATGTTGAAAACTAAAAATAAAAATAAGCTCTACACGTTTCCCGTGTTGACCTAAATTCCAAGACCCTATAAAAAGCGCGCCGCCCAAAAATTCAGCCATTTTTGCAGTGTTTGGAATTGGATTGTTACAAAAAAAAATGAGTTCGTGGACAGTTTTGGATAAAACTGATAACACGTTGACGATTGTGCTCAGAAGGGGCGAAAAGAAGAAATCGAAGAAAACTAGCGAAGATAGCTCAACTCGAACCAAAAAATCATCGAAGAAACGAAAACATCGAAGACCAAGAATTGATAGTGAGTTAGGATAAGAATCACATGAAATCAGCTTTTTCGTATTTTTTTCAGATGATAAATTGGATGAAAATACTGAAAAAGCATTGCGAAGTATTCGTGAGATCAATAAATATCTCAAACATAAATATCAAATAAGATCCGATCCGAGTTCAAGATCAAAAACTGTCTCAACATCAATCTCATCAACCGCAACTCAAACTCCAAAATCGACTAGCAGCGAAGATGTTGCTGATAAAATGTATCGAGAAGTTGCGAGAATTCCAAAAATCGCTGAAGCTGTTGATCACAAAGGTTATCCATTATCACATCCATTGGCAACTACACCATTTCCTGGTGCAACAACAGCAGCACAAAGAGAAAAAGCGAGACAAATGTTGAGAAATTTGGGAAGACAACAGGAGGAATCGAAGAAATCCAGCAAGAAGAGCTCAACAAAAACCGATTTGTGCAAACGTTGTCATACTTGCTCCGGAATGTACTCGAAAATGTATGGCGAAACATATGGTGACTGAAGAGGAGCGCATCAAATTCCGTCGTGGAATATCGAAACTTCGCAAAGATATTCAACGTCCGGAGAAGAGAAGACAAACAAATAACAAATCGCCGTATGATCAAACACAATCTGGATCCGAAACTTCGGTTTCTTTGTCTTCGAAATGAATTTTGAATTGGAATAAAGTTTTAGAGGAATATTTGTTGGTTTTTTGCTGAAAATTATCATTTCCCCCGCAAAAATTTGAAAAATTGCGGAATTTTTGCTGAAAATATTGAAGTTTTTAATTTAATACTTCTTAAATTTATTTTTTCATCCCCAGAAAATAGTTTTTTTTTCCATGCAAATTATCATTTTCCCCGCAAAAACGAAAAATAAATGCAAAAAATAAAAAGAAAACAACGACACTCCGACTTGCCCGCTGTTTAGCGCAACACGAGAAAATTTTCAATTTTCGTTTTTTTAGCTGGGTTTTCAGGTTTCGGGGGAAAATCAGTGGATTTCAGACAAAAATTGAATTTTTAGATATTCTTCAAGGCTCGAATTATCGATTCCAATGGAAAATTCGAGCATTATTTAAGAAAAGTGAGTTTTTTCTAGAGAAACACGGTTTCGATTGAAATATTTGAGAAAAATATCTGAAAAATTGTTGTGAGACCCAGAAAGACCTCAGAAATCTATAGAAACAGAAATTGAGTCAGCTGAACTCAATGGTACATGCAAAAATTCAAATTTTCTGAATTTCAGCTTGAAATATTGATGGACCATTCGATTAAAATGTCATTAATGTGGAAAACTTGGAGGATTTCGAATTTTCGTTAATTTTTGTGTGATAGAAGCGATTGGTGAGTTTTTTGAGGAGGGATTTGGAAAAATTGAAAAAATCGATAAAAATTCTGTAAAATTTGAAAAATATGAAAAAAATCTTTAAAAATTAAAAACAACGGGACTCCGCGTTGACGTTGCGCGCTTTGTGTTTTTTCAATGGGCTTTCATATTTCGAATTTTCTGATCAAACTAGACTATAGTTGAACTAAGCTAAATCTAAGATCCGAGAACAATTTGTCTGTTTTCAAGGGTGTTAAACCAAGAATTCAAGGTTTCCAGCGAGGCAAAAGCTGTAATTTCAGCCAAAAATGCTGAAAAACAGAGGTTACACAATTTTGTAGAGCTTGAATAATTCATTGCGATTTTTCTTCAAAACCGGCAACTTTTCAAATTTAAACCATCTCATATTTTAAAATCCCCGCTGCTATACGTTTCAAAATTTTTATTTTAAAAAATTTTTTTAGCAATTTTCGATGAACTCTGCTAAAATTGTCAATAACTCCAATTGTTTCCGAATAAAGTCATTATGATTATGAACTTCGTATGGAACAAAAACTAACCTTGTGAATTTCACATGTTTTCGAATCATCAAGTGTAGGAGTAGGAGTTCTGAAAATCGAGTTTCAAAATGGATTCTCTGAACACTTTTGGGCCCCACCTTTGCCTAATTAACTTACTTAGTTGATGACACAGAGTCATCAGCATTCAAACTATCATCTTCATCCGGAAATAGCCAAGTCCGATCGGATAATACCGAATCCTGAAAAACTCAAATTAATTTCGAAAATTAACACAAATTATGGTTTCTCTCACATTCGGATTGGAAACAATGCTGCGCACATCAAGAGTGTGCAATTGATTTGGTTCCTTTTTATCTGTTTTATCAATTGGTGATTTTGCCTGAAGCCAAAAGACATTTTTTATGAGAATGTTACACAAAATTTTGAAGGAACAGAAATTTGCGCACAAATATCTGTTCTAGATAGGAAAAAAAAAATTAAACATACTTCAATTTCCACCAAAAACTTTCTCCGAATCGCACCACGTTCTACTAAAATCGCCAATTCGTCATCTTTAGTACTTTCATTTATGTAGAAAACTACAACAACGTTGAATTGTTGAAGAACTTCCATCATTACTGGCACTTGTTTCTTAGTTTTGGCTGAAAAAATGGGATACTATTAACATTCACCAGAGATTTTCTACTTACTTCAGTATATCTCCACTTTGAAATCCAATGAGATATTTTTTGATTCTATATAGAACCATGTTGGTTCGTTTTGCTTTAGTTTTTCATTGGTTCCAGGGCCTCCAACAAAAAATTCAATATCGGTTCGAGTAGAATATAGAAGTTCGAAAAAACTTTTGGACATATCTGTAAAATAACTGATTAGTTGTCTTTAAATCAACTTTCATAATCATTTTTTTATTCACTTCTAAAATGTTTTTTTTTGACGTGTCCTAATTTGATTTTTAGGATGCTTCTCGTTTCAAAATCTGTTGTTTTGTTGGAAAATTCTTCTTCACTTACTGAAATCAAATTAGATTTGGCGAGAATTGACTTCCTGTGATATTGGAAAAATCCAAAAATGACCAAATTTATTTCACTTTGATTATTTGGCACACGCAGATAAGAAACGTGACCTAGCCTTTAAAAAAATGAAGAACGTGATCATTTTTTAAAGGGTTGGTGCTCCGCCAGGAAATCTTGTTTGGTTTAGATAGGAATAAGGTGCTCCTGGAAGGTTCCACTTTTAGAAAAAATTCTAGTATCAATTCAGCCCATGTTTTTCCTCAAAAACACAAGCGAGTTAAAACCTACGAAATAAAGCAAGTAAATGCGCTCTAGCGCACAACTCGTTTTTTGAATTTTCGTGTGTGTTTGCACACAACTTTGAAAACAACACGGTGACGCCTTTTTGCAGACGATTTTTTCATCAGAAGAACACCAACCCTTTAACAATTAAATTTTTTTCACAAAATTGAACTTGATTTTAAAATCAGGAATTTTTAGTGACTTCGAAACCGCGATTCAAAAATCGATAGAAAATGGGTTTGGGTAAGATTTTTTTTGTAAACCTCTGAAAAATAGCTGAAAAATTGTTGTGAGACGCAGAGAAAGCCCTCAGAAATCTATAGAAACAGAAATGGAGTTAGCTGAACTCAATGGTACATGCAAAAATTCAAAATTTTCTGATTTTCAGCTCGAAATATTGATGGACAATTCGATTAAAATATCAATAACCTGGAAAACTTGGAGGATTTCGGATTTATCAAGAATTTTGATTGGGATTTGCGAAATTGTTGATGATTTTTGTGTGATAGAAGCGATTGGTGAGTTTTTTGGGGAGGGATTTCGGAAAAATGATAAAAAATTCTGTAAAATTTGAAAAATATATGAAAAAAATCTTTAAAAATTAAAAACAACGAGACTCCGCGTTGACGTTGCGCGCGAATACTCATCGAAATATTCTGAATTTTTGCATCAAACTAGACTATAGTTGAACTAAGCTAAATCTAAGATCCAAGAACATTCGGTCTGTTTTCAAAGGTGTTAAACCAAGAATTCAAGGTTTCCAGCGAGGCAAAAGCTGTAATTTCAGCCAAAAATGCTGAAAAACAGAAGTTACACAATTTTGTAGAGCTTGAATAATTCATTGCGATTTTTCTTCAAAACCGGCAACTTTTCAAATTTAACCCATTTTATATTTTAAAATCTCTGCTTCTATACGTTTCAAAATTTTTATTTACTTCTTCTCTTTTTTGCGCTTCATTGTCAATTTAATATAATCGGCTTTTACATGGAAGATTTCAGCAATTTTATCGATAATTCATTTGAGTTTGATCCAATTTTTAGTCCATTCATCCAATGAATTGTATAAGCGAGTTGGAATATATGAGTTCGGTGGTTCATTTTCACCCATCTCAAAAATTTTAGCATTTTCGATGATTTCGAACTCTGCTAAAATTGTCAATAACTCCAATTGTTTCTGAATAAAGTCATTATGATTATGAACTTCGTATGGAAAAAAACTAACCTTGTGAATTTCACATGTTTTCGAATCATCAAGTGTAGGAGTAGGAGTTCTGAAAATCGAGTTTCAAAATGGATTCTCTGAACACTTTTGGGCCCCACCTTTGCCTAATTAACTTACTTAGTTGATGACACAGAGTCATCAGCATTCAAACTATCATCTTCATCGAAAAACAGCCAAGTCCGATCGGATAACACCGAATTCTGAAAAACTCAAATTCATTTCGAAAATTAACACAAATTATTATTTTTCTCACATTCTGAATGCTTGCCACATCAAGAGTTTGCAATTGATTTGGTTCATTTTTATCTGTTTTATCAATTGATGATTGTGCCTGAAACCAAAAGACATTTATTATGAGAATGTTACACAAAATTTTGAAGGAACAAAAAAAAATAATTAAACATACTTCAATTTGAATCAAAAACTTTCTGCGAATCGCACCACGTTCTACAAAAATCGCCAATTCGTCATCTTTCGTACTTTCATTTATGTAGAAAACTACAACAACGTTGAATTGTTGAAGAGCTTCCATCATTACTGGCACTTGTTTCTTTGTTTTGGCTGAAAAAATGGGATACTATTAACATTCACCAGAGATTTTCTACTTACTTGAGAATATCTCCACTTTGAAATCCAATGAGATCTTTTTTGATTCTATATAGAACCATGTTGGTTCCTTTTCCTTCAGTTTTTCATTGACTCCAGGGCCTCCCACATAAAATTCAATATCGGCCTTTGTAGACATATCTGTCAAATAGTTTTCATTGAATTGATGAAATAACACAAGTTTCTAACTTACTTAAAATATAACAAATTTCAAGTCGATTTCAAAAAAATCAATAATCCAATAATGAACAAAAATTGCAAAAAAATAGAACAACCAGAAGATACGTGACCTAGGCCAATGCAAAAATAAAAAACGTGATCATTCTTTTAGGATGAATGAATATTTGTTCGAAAATTCCAAGCTTGCAATTTTCAGAAATTCTTACAGAACACCAAAACTCATAATTTAAGATTTATTTCAGAATATTCGCTCCTGAAATTAGATTTTAAAAAAAATCAGGAATTTGTTTTTTTTTTGTAGAGCTTGAATAATTCATTGCGATTTTTCTTCAAAACCGGTAACTTTTTAAATTTGACCCATCTTATATTTTAAAATCCCCGCTGCTATACGTTTCAAAACCTTGTGAATTTCGGTTCTCAAATTGTATAAAATATTACAGGTACTTGTTTATTTGTTTTGGCTGAAAAAATGTGATACTATTAATATTTACCAGAGATTTTCTATTTACTTGAGTATATTTCAACTTTAAAATCTATTGAGATATTTTTTGATTCTATGTAGAACCAAGTTGGTGCGTTTTCCTGGAGCTTTTCATTTGAAAATGAATTTGGGTAAGATTTTGCTGTAAATCTCTGAAAAATAGCTGAAAAATTGTTGTGAAACCCAGAAATCTATAGAAACAGAAATGGAGTCAGCTGAACTCAATGGTACATGCAAAAATTCAAGAATTTTCTGATTTTCAGCTCGAAATATTGATGGACAATTCGATTAAAATGTCAATAATGGGGAAAACTTGGATAATTTCGAATTTTCGATGATTTTGATTGGGATTTAAGAAATTGAAGCGATTGGTGAGTTTTTTGGGGAGGGATTTCGGAAAAATTGAAAAATATATGAAAAAATTCTGTAAAATTTGGAAAAAGTTAGGTTAACTCATCTAGTTTTCCCCGAAAAAAGAAAACAACGAGACTCTGCGTTGACGTTGCGCGCGAATACTCATCGAAATATTCTGAATTGTTTCTTCAAACTAGACTATAGTTTAACTAAGCTAAATCTGAGATCCGAGAACGATTGGTCTGTTTTCAAAGGTGTTAAACCAAGAATTCAAGGTTTCCAGCGAGGCAAAAGCTGTAATTTCAGCCAAAAATGCTGAAAAACAGAAGTTACACAATTTTGTAGAGCTTGAATAATTCATTGCGATTTTTCTTCAAACCCGGCAACTTTTCAAATTTAAACCATCTTATATTTTAAAATCCCCGCAGCTATACGTTTCAAAATTTTTATTTACTTCTTCTCTTTTTTGCGCTTCATTGTCAATTTTATGTTCTCGGCTTTTAGATGGTAGATTTCAGCAATTTTGTTGATAACCGTGTTAATTTGATGTTCATCCAATTTTTGAGTCCATTCATCCAAATAAGTGTATAATCGATTTGGCATGATTGAGTGTGGTGGTTCATTCTCACTGAATTCGAATATTTTAGCAGTTTCGATGATTTCGAACTCTGCTAGAATTGTCAATAACTCCAATTGTTTCTGAATAAAGTCATTATGATTATGAACTTCGTATGGAAAAAAAACTAACCTTGTATGTTTCACATTTTTTTGAATCATGGACTGTTGGAGTAGGAGTTCTGAAAATTAAGTTTCAAAAGTTACAGAATAGGTTTATTCGGTGAGTCCCTTGTGAGTTCCCAATTGGACCAGTAATAAATTTATGATATTTCTTCTGAAATTCCATTTGAACCTGTCAGGAATATCGCTGGCAAAGTACATATGTCAATCCTGTGGGATTGATGTGAATTTTGGTTCTCAACATATGTTATCCCAATGGATTCCCTGGCTTATTTCTGAATGGGCAACACTTTTGGGCCCCACCTTTGCCTAATTAACTTACTTAGTTGATGAAACAGAGTCATCAGCATCCAAACTATCATCTCGATCCGGAAACAGCCAAGTCCGATCGGATAACACCGAATCCTGAAAAACTCAAATTCATTTCGAAAATTAACACAAATTATGGTTTCTCTCACATTCTGAATGCTTGCCACATCGAGATTTTGAATTTGATTTGATTCCTTTTTATCTGTTGCATCAATTGGTGATTGTGCCTGAAACCAAAAGACATTTATTATGAGAATGTTACACAAAATTTTGAAGAAACAAAAAAAATAATTAAACATACTTCAATTTCTACCAAAAACTTTCTCCGAATTGCACCACGTTCTACAAAAATTATGTAAAAAACTACAACTACGTTGTATTGTGGAAGAACTTCCATCATTACTGGTACTTGTTTCTTAGTTTTGGCTGAAAAAATGGGATACTATTAACATTCACCAGAGATTTTCTACTTACTTGAGAATATCTCCACTTTGAAATCCAATGAGATATTTTTTGATTCTATATAGAACCATGTTGGTTCCTTTTCCTTCAGTTTTTCATTGACTCCAGGGCCTCCCACATAAAATTCAATGTCGGCCTTTGTAGACATATCTGTCAAATAGTTTTCATTGAATTGATGAAATAACACAAGTTTCTAACTTACTTAAAATATAACAAATTTCAAGTCGATTTCAAAAAAATCAATAATCCAATAATGAACAAAAATTGCAAAAAAAATAGAACAACCAGAAGATACGTGACCTAGGCCAATGCAAAAATAAAAAACGTGATCATTCTTTTAGGATGAATGAATATTTGTTCGAAAATTCCAAGCTTGCAATTTTCAGAAATTCTTCCAGAACACCAAAACTCATAATTTAAGATTTATTTTAAAATCTTCGCTCCTGAAACTAGATTTTTAAAAAAAAATCAGAAATCAGTTGTGACTTCGAAACCGCGATTCAAAAATCGATAGAAAATGAATTTGGGTAAGATTTTGCTGTAAACCTCTGAAAAATATCTGAAAAATTGTTGTGAGACCCAGAAATCTATAGAAACAGAAATGGAGTTAGCTGAACTCAATGGTACATGCAAAAATTCAAGAATTTTCTGATTTTCAGCTTGAAATATTGATGGACATTTCGATTAAACTGTCAATAATGTGGAAAACTTTGAGGATTTCGAATTTATCAAGGATTTTGATTGGGATTTGCGAATTTTCGTTGATTTTTGTGTGATAGAAGCGATTGGTGAGTTTTTTGGGGAGGGATTTCGAAAAAATTGAAAAAATCGATAAAAAATTCTGTAAAATTTGAAAAATATATGAAAAAAATCTTTAAAAATTGATAAAAGTTAGGCTTACTCATCTAGTTTTCCCCGAAAAAAGAAAACAACGAGACTCCGCGTTGACGTTGCGCGCGAATACTCATCGAAATATTCTGAATTTTTCATCAAACTAGACTATAGTTTAACTAAGCTAAATCTAAGATCCGAGAACAATTGGTCTGTTTTCAAGGGTGTTAAACCAAGAATTCAAGGTTTCCAGCAAGGCAAAAGCTGTAATTTCAGCCAAAAATGCTGAAAAACTGAAAGTTACATGCTATACACAATTTTGTAGAGCTTGAATAATTCATTGCGATTTTTCTTCAAAACCGGCAACTTTTTAAATTTGACCCATCTTATATTTTAAAATCCCCGCTGCTATACGTTTCAAAACCTTGTGAATTTCGGTTCTCAAATTGTATAAAATATTACAGGTACTTGTTTCTTAGTTTTGGCTGAAAAATGTGATACTATTAATATTTACCAGATATTTTCTACTCACTTGAGTATATTTCAACTTTAAAATCCATTGAGATATTTTTTGATTCTATGTAGAACCAAGTTGGTGCGTTTTCCTGGATCTTTTCATTTGAAAATGGGTTTGGGTAAGATTTTGCTGTAAATCTCTGAAAAATAGCTGAAAAATTGTTGTGAGACCCAGAAATCTATAGAAACAGAAATGGAGTCAGCTGAACTCAATGGTACATGCAAAAATTCAAGAATTTTCTGATTTTCAGCTCGAAATATTGATGGACAATTCGATTTCAATATCAATAATGTGGAAAACTTGGAGGATTTCGAATTTTCGATGATTTTTGTGTGATAGAAGCGATTGGTGAGTTTTTTGGAGAGGGATTTCGGAAAATTTGAAAAATATATGAAAAAATCTTTAAAAATTGATAAAAGTTAGGCTAACTCATCTAGTTTTCCCCGAAAAAGAAAACAACGAGACTCCGCGTTGACGTTGCGCGCGAATACTCATCGAAATATTCTGAATTGTCTCATCAAACTAGACTATAGTTAAACTAAGCTAAATCTAAGATCCAAGAACAATTGGTCTGTTTTCAAGGATGTTAAACCAAGAATTCAAGCGAGGCAAAAGCTGGAATTTCAGCCAAAAATGCTGAAAAACAGAGGTTACACAATTTTGTAGAGCAGGTACTTGTTTCTTAGTTTTGGCTGAAAAATGTGATACTATTAATATTTACCAGAGATTTTCTACTTACTTGAGTATATTTCAACTTTAAAATCCATTGAGATATTTTTTGATTCTATGTAGAACCAAGTTGGTGCGTTTTCCTGGAGCTTTTCATTTGAAAATGGGTTTGGGTAAGATTTTGCTGTAAATCTCTGAAAAAAAAGCTGAAAAATTGTTGTGAGACCCAGAAATCTATAGAAACAGAAATGGAGTTAGCAGAACTCAATGGTACATGCAAAAATTCTAATTTTCTGATTTTCAGCTTGAAATATTGATGGACAATTCGATTAAAATGTCAATAATGTGGAAAACTTGGAGGATTTCGAATTTATCAAGGATTTTGATTGGGATTTGCGAAATTGTTGATGATTTTTGTGTGATAGAAGCGATGGGTGAGTTTTTTGGGGAGGGATTTCGGAAAAATTGAAAAAATCGATAAAAAATTCTGTAAAATTCTGTAAAATTTGAAAAATATATGAAAAAAATCTTTAAAAATTGATAAAAAGTTAGGCTAACTCATCTAGGTTTCCCCGAAAAAGAAAACAACGAGACTCCGCGTTGACGTTGCGCGCGAATACTCATCGAAATATTCTGAATTTTTCATCAAACTAGACTATAGTTTAACTAAGCTAAATCTAAGATCCAAGAACATTCGGTCTGTTTTCAAGGGTGTTAAATCAAGAATTCAAGCGAGGCAAAAGCTGTAATTTCAGCCAAAAATGCTGAAAAACAGAAGTTACACAATTTTGTAGAGCTTGAATAATTCATTGCGATTTTTCTTCAAAACCGGCAACTTTTCAAATTTAACCCATCTTCTATTTTAAAATCCCCGCAGCTATACGTTTCAAAATTTTTATTTACTTCTTCTCCCTTTTCCGTTTCATTGTCAATTTAATATTATCGGCTTTTAGATGGTAGATTTGAGCAATTTTGTTGATAATCGTGTTGATTTTATTTTCATCCAATTTTTATGTCCATTCATCCAAATAAGTGTATAATCGATTTGGAATAATATAGTTTGGTGGTTCATTTTCACAGAGTTCGAATATTTTAGCAGTTTCGATTATTTGGAACTCTGCTAAAATTCTTAACAACTCGAATTTTTTCTCAATAAAGTCATTCTTTTTGGATAAATGAATATTTGTTCGAAAAAAAAGCTGCTGTAAACCTCTGAAAAATAGCTGAAAAATTGTTATGAGACCCAGAGAAAGCCCTCAGAAATCTATAGAAACAGAAATGGAGTTAGCAGAACTCAATGGTACATGCAAAAATTCAAGAATTTTCTGATTTTCAGCTTGAAATATTGATGGACAATTGGATTTTAATGTCAATAATGTGGATAACTTCGAGGATTTCGAATTTATCAAGGATTTTGATTGGGATTTGCGAAATTGTTGATGATTTTTGTGAGATAGAAGCGATTAGTGAGTTTTTTGGGAGGGATTTCGGAAAAATTGAAAAAATCGATAAAAAATTCTGTAAAATTTGAAAAATATATGAAAAAAATCTTTAAAAATTGATAAAAGTTAGGGCTAACTCATCTAGGTTTCCCCGAAAAAAGAAAACAACGAGACTCCGCGTTGACGTTGCGCGCGAATACTCATCGAAATATTCTGAATTTTTTCTTCAAACTAGACTATAGTTTAACTAAGCTAAATCTAAGATCCGAGAACAATTGGTCTGTTTTCAAGGGTGTTAAACCAAGAATTCAAGGTTTCCAGCAAGGCAAAAGCTGTAATTTCAGCCAAAAATGCTGAAAAACTGAAAGTTACATGCTATACACAATTTTGTAGAGCTTGAATAATTCATTGCGATTTTTCTTCAAAACCGGCAACTTTTTAAATTTGACCCATCTTATATTTTAAAATCCCCGCTGCTATACGTTTCAAAACCTTGTGAATTTCGGTTCTCAAATTGTATAAAATATTACAGGTACTTGTTTCTTAGTTTTGGCTGAAAAATGTGATACTATTAATATTTACCAGATATTTTCTACTCACTTGAGTATATTTCAACTTTAAAATCCATTGAGATATTTTTTGATTCTATGTAGAACCAAGTTGGTGCGTTTTCCTGGATCTTTTCATTTGAAAATGGGTTTGGGTAAGATTTTGCTGTAAATCTCTGAAAAATAGCTGAAAAAATTGTTGTGAGACCCAGAAATCTATAGAAACAGAAATGGAGTCAGCTGAACTCAATGGTACATGCAAAAATTCAAGAATTTTCTGATTTTCAGCTCGAAATATTGATGGACAATTCGATTTCAATATCAATAATGTGGAAAACTTGGAGGATTTCGAATTTTCGATGATTTTTGTGTGATAGAAGCGATTGGTGAGTTTTTTTGGAGAGGGATTTCGGAAAATTTGAAAAATATATGAAAAAAATCTTTAAAAATTGATAAAAGTTAGGCTAACTCATCTAGTTTTCCCCGAAAAAAGAAAACAACGAGACTCCGCGTTGACGTTGCGCGCGAATACTCATCGAAATATTCTGAATTGTCTCATCAAACTAGACTATAGTTAAACTAAGCTAAATCTAAGATCCAAGAACAATTGGTCTGTTTTCAAGGATGTTAAACCAAGAATTCAAGCGAGGCAAAAGCTGGAATTTCAGCCAAAAAATGCTGAAAAACAGAGGTTACACAATTTTTTGTAGAGCAGGTACTTGTTTCTTAGTTTTGGCTGAAAAATGTGATACTATTAATATTTACCAGAGATTTTCTACTTACTTGAGTATATTTCAACTTTAAAATCCATTGAGATATTTTTTGATTCTATGTAGAACCAAGTTGGTGCGTTTTCCTGGAGCTTTTCATTTGAAAATGGGTTTGGGTAAGATTTTGCTGTAAATCTCTGAAAAAAAGCTGAAAAATTGTTGTGAGACCCAGAAATCTATAGAAACAGAAATGGAGTTAGCAGAACTCAATGGTACATGCAAAAATTCTAATTTTCTGATTTTCAGCTTGAAATATTGATGGACAATTCGATTAAAATGTCAATAATGTGGAAAACTTGGAGGATTTCGAATTTATCAAGGATTTTAATTGGGATTTGCGAAATTTCGATGATTTTTGTGTGATAGAAGCGATTGGTGAGTTTTTTTGGGGAGGGATTTCGGAAAAATTGAAAAAATCGATGAAAAATTTTGTAAAATTTGAAAAAAGTTAGGCTAACCCATCTAGTTTTCCCCGAAAAAAAGAAAACAACGAGACTCCGCGTTGACGTTGCGCGCGAATACTCATCGAAATATTCTGAATTTTTTCATCAAACTAGACTATAGTTTAACTAAGCTAAATCTAAGATCCGAGAACAATTTGTCTGTTTTCAAGGGTGTTAAAGACACATAGAAAACTAGAAATGTGTGTTGGAAATCGTAAAAATTTGAACGCGCGTCTTTTTTCAAAGTTGTGTGTTGTTCGTTTGAAAAAAGAAAAAACGAATAAAAAGTTGTGGTACGGTATGCTAAGAATGCACACATGCGCGGCAAATCACGAACATTTGTGCAAACACCAAATTTTGCGTCGGCTGAGCGATTTCAAAAAAGGCAATTTCTTTTTTTGACTTTCGCTAAACTCAATATTTTTCAATTTTGTTTATGTACTTCCACTATTTGAAGGATGATAAAAAACATGCAAATAATGATTTTTGAACGATTTCTAGTTTTCTACGTGTCTTTAAACCAAGAATTCAAGCGAGGCAAAAGCTGGAATTTCAGCCAAAAATGCTGAAAAACAGAAGTTACACAATTTTGTAGAGCTTGAATAATTCATTGCGATTTTTCTTCAAAACCGGCAACTTTTCAAATTTAATCCATCTTATATTTTAAAATCTCTGCAGCTATACGTTTCAAAATTTTTATTTTCATTCTATTTATCTCCTCAATCAATCCATTCATCCAATGAATTGTATAATCGAGTTGGAATAATAGAGTTTGGTGGTTCATTTTCACCAGAGCTCGAATATTTTAGCAGTTTCGATTATTTCGAACTCTTCCAGAAAACGCCACGGCGAACCGAACGAAGCCTACGAAATCGACGAACCGCCGTGTTCCCCAATTTCCCACAAATTCTCGACGCATTTAACGAAAGTCGACGAGAAGGACGAGGAGGAAAAGGTTTGTAGACCCTAGAATTATGTATATTTAGGGAAATAATTGTGGTGAAACCCTCTAATTTTCTCGATTTTCACCCGGATTTTTATAATTCATTTCAGACAACCACACCCGATGCCATTTCACGTGTTTAAATTCGTGTAACTTTCAAGTACATCATCATAATACATATGTACTAATAATAAAATGAGGTGAAACACATGTTGAAGGATGCGCGGGAATAAAAAAGACGAAGAGGAGTCATGATTGATTAGTTGGTGACAAGTTAATTGACATCAAAACAGGTTCGCCGCCTAGTTATTATGTGCATTTCTAATATAGGACGATTGTGTGAATTGATTAAAAAATATAGATGTACAAGGTCGAGAGCTGACCACTGACATGTGGCAGGCTGAGCTTGTGGCCTTGAGCCTAGATTCAAGAAAATCTAGTTTTCAGACTTCTGAAGGATCTGTTAATGTTAGAATTCTGGAAAAATTAAATTTCTGATGGGGTATTCAAGTTGAAAAAAAATTTAAAAAGAAAGTTTTTTGACAAAAAAGGTTTTTTTCAGTATCACCCCCAGAAATCTACAAAAAAATTTAAATTTTAAGAAAAAAAATTCAATCTCAGTTTTCCAGAATTTGAGAAAAACTAATCAGAAGATCCCACAAACTCAAAAAATTCCTAAAATTTCAAAATCGCCTATTTCGAGACCACCCACGAAGCCGATAGCTCTGAAATTCGAAGTGGCTCTTAAAATATGATTGCTCATTTTAATCCAGAAGTTTGAGCTGGATTCAACCTTTTCCCACCCATAAAATCCAATTTTTCTTAACACAGTATTCTCGCGCATATGCTCATTTGTTTTGTTTTGTTGTTGATACTCTGCTCCACCACTAATATTTTTTCTTATAATAAACAAAAGAATGTTATGATTTACGACCCGTTCTCATCATTTTTCAGTCATTCTTGCCCATATGCTCAAGATATACTTAGCATAAATGAGTGACAAGCAAAGATTTGACCACCTGGAGGAATTTTGACAGGCCCACCAATGCTTGTCACAATTTTTATTTTCAAAAATAATTTGAAACATTTTCATTTGACCTCGAAATGATTGATTTACAGACTACATAATTTGTTTTTCCTTCCTTTTGACCCCGATTTGAGAAAAAATGAAAATGCGAAAAAAATTTTTTGAAAAAAAATAAAAAAATTTTTCGTCGCGACGAGACCCTGTGTGTTTCAGGTGTTGCGCCTTTGAAAAACTACGGTGTTTGTTGTTTTTTTTCCCGATTTTCGATGTTTCTTCGTGAAAAAACGAGGAAATCAGCGAGAAATCAAAACATGAAGATGGTCTAACTCTGTTTAAAGCGGAAAACACTTGAAAATAAGAGGAAAATCATATTTTTCTATTTAAAATCGCGAAAATTTGTTTTTTTTTTTCATTTTTCTAATGTTTTTCCAGCTTGAATTGCCCTGTAGTAGCCACCAAAACACAATTTCCGATGGAATTTAAAGGCGCATCGATTTTTGAAATACATTTTCTATCTTATAATAACAATTTTTTTTAGGTTAACATATCATTCGCAAGTTTTCTCGCGCTGCGCGTGATTTATTATTGTAATTGTTTACACAACACAGTCTATTATTCATTCATTTATTTGTGTTATCACTAAATATACACCGGAATCAGAAAAAGGAAAGAGGAAATATAATATCTTTCACCCGAAAATAGATACAAGGAACCCGTTAGATTTTTTGGACTGAGAAAGAATGGAAGTTATAGTAAATAGAAAATAATTGCAATGAAAATGGGGGCAAATAAAATATGTCTGCGGGTAGAACTATATAAGAAATCGGGATCTCCGATCTCATGGATCTGAAATTCAATAATCTCGTTGCCCTCCTGTAGCTGAATCTGTTCATATTCATCTTTCTTATTGCCAGCGTAGAGATTCAGGCGTTCTCCGCGAACTGGAGTTGGAATCTCCGACGACCAGGTTTCTTCGATCGGCCCGATTTTCTCGACAAAATTATCCCATAGCTTCTCTGTGTCTAGATTCTTGGGCTCTCTCTCTTCTCTCGATGTGACCGTAGAAGTTGTCACTTTTTCAGTTGAAGTTGGTAGCTTTTTCAAATGATGATGTCGATGATGATGATGAATATCGCCATTTCTATCGGTGATGTGGATGACCATTTTTAGGCTGTGACTTGCGCAAAGTCCACCCAATTCATTGTTCAGACCATCTGAGCTTCCAGTAGAAGTTGCTGGAAAAATTATGGATTTAGATGTTTTGAAAAAAATATTTTAAAAAAATCCACGTGCCAAATTTTTAAATTTTTCAAATCTTTAAAGTTTGGGCCAAAAATCCACGTGGCATTTTTTATTAAGTTTTTTGAAATCTTTAAAATTTGGGCTAAAAAATTCCACGTGGCAAGATTTTTCAGAAATAAATCCACGTGGCAAATTTTTACCGAAATCTTGACCAAAATCAAGCTTGATTTTGGCGAAATAAATCCACGTGGAAAATTTTTCAAATCTTTAAAATTTTGGCCAAAATTTTGCAGAAATGAATCCACGTGGCAAATTTTTTCTAAAATTTTTCGATATCAGCGAAATAATTCCACGTGGCAATTTTGCACAGTTTTCAAAATTTGGCCCCAAAAAATCCACGTGGCAATTTTTTCCTAAATCATTTGATTTCGGCGAAATAAATTCACGTGGATTTTTTTCCGAAATAAATCCACGTGGCAAATTTTTAAATTTTTCAAATCTTTAAAAGTTGGGCCCAAAATCCACGTGGCAAAATTTTTCAGAAATAAATCCACGTGCGAATTTTTTCCAAAATCTTTTGATATCAGCGGAAAAAATTCACGTGGCAAATTTTAAACTTTTAAAAATTTGAGCCAAATAAATCCACGTGGCTAATTTTTTCCGAAATCTTCAAAATTTTCCGAAATCTTTTTGAGCCAAATAAATTCACGTAGCAAACTTTCAAATCTTTAAAATTTCAAAAATAAAAAATTTATTTGCAAAATTCAACAATTATCTTGAAAATTATTATACTCTCCAGTCATTTCAACCCAAAAAAAAAAACTCACAAATAAAATAATAAGTATTTCCCGGTCGATAATCCAATCCACTCGGATTCGGACTAATCAATCGAAACGCCACCTTCAACTTCTCATGCTCATAAGGCTGTGTGCATCTACCGAGCTCTTTCGCCGTCGATTTCCGCTCACAATTCTCATATTCCTCTTCACTGACTCGATAAATAATTGATTGCTCATTGTGTTTTTCGGAAATTTCAAAATATGGACAAATTATGTCCAATGTATCACCAATTGCCGCATATCGTTCAACTCTGCAAAAATGAATCGCATAAATATGTAATGGGTCTTGAAACGACTATTGTTTCAAAATCGAAATTGACCCAAAAAGTTGTTCCTTTAAAATGACCCAACACGACCCCTGATCAAACTGATTTTCTATTACATAACAGTCAGCTGTTTGTTTGGTGGGTTCAGATCATTTACTCAGTGAGGTGGAAAATATTTGGTAATTGATGGGTATCACAGTGTATTTCTTCCTTATATAGTAATTATATTTTTCTCGCCTCGCCTATCTTTCTTATTACGTTTTTCCCTGTCAATAGAATAATACAAAAAAGAGAAATAGTTGGGATAAGTCAGGAAAGACAGATTATATTGCATAATTCGACGTAGTGCAGCTGCAGCAGGTGTACAAGAGTCGATTTTCAAAGCGGGCCTACCGCCCGCCACTTGAAACAAATTGACTAGATCTGGGAGATTTTTAAGCGCGGTGTCGTGAATATTTTACTCATTGAAAACATTTGTTAAGATTTATTTAAAAATTCTGTGTAAAATTAATTAACGATGTGGATTTCACGGTAAAAAGCCCCAGAAACGGTAAAACGTTAAAATTTGTGTTAAAGTTTTGGGCCCGTAAACCCCTTAAAATGAATTTTACGGTAGAAAGCCTAAAAGCCGTTAAACGTTAAATGAGTATTAAGGTTCAAAAAACATAAACCCTTGAACTTACGGTAACGGTAAAACGTTAAAAATCCCCTTAACCCTTCCTTCTCAAGGTTGTATCATATGCAAAAAAATCTACATAAATCCCAATTGACCCATGTTCACCTAGCTGGCCGGATTACTTTTTGGTCCCGCAACGATCAAAGGACTACCTCCCGCCATTTGTATGTTAATTGACTATTTGAAAGAGAAGAGGGTTTTGTGATTAGTTATGTACATACATACATACATTTGTGAATAAGGTGCGGAACGAACGGAAGTATCTTGGGGCGAGGTCGATTAGATTACAAAATTATAATAACAATGGGTTCGAGTCGTATCGGATTAGTCTAGGTATGTAGATATGAATCGATTGAAGGACATTTCCGGGCGGAAGCCTAATCAGCCTTGAGCTTCTACAGAATCAGAAATTCAGAAATTTTTAATATTTAAACGTCGAGTTCCCATGCTGCTTAAAGAGGGTTTTAGCCACAAGACATTTATGAATTTTTAAATTTTTCAAAATTTTCATTTTCAAAACCCGATATTCCATTTCATGTGATGTAACAAAATATCAAATATCCCCGTCCGTTCCTAAATGTTGTGGACATATGTAAATCGGAAGTTGTGTGTGCTCTCTCTCGAAAAATTTAATTTGTCCAAGCAATTGTCTGCACAAATGTCACTTAATAAACCAAACCAAAACGAGTTAATTATGGAAATTCTCTTCCCCCACTTGTTCAAAACACTTGATTAGCCTAGGTCTAGTCCTTCGTGATTGTAAAAAACAGAAGAGACAAAACAAATATAGTGAAATGTGACACGAAGGGGATAAATATTGATGTTCTTAGATAGATATTTGTATACTTACAGTGGTTACATTCAAGTGCTTACTAATTATTAGGGGGGCACTTTTACGCACTTGGAAGTTACTCTTTTTGGACAAATATTATAAATGAAATTCGAACTTTTTATGTTATTTTATATACATTATTGTTTATTTTTGCGAAACAAAATGAGAGTATTCGAATTTCAAAACACCAATATTTCTCGGGACACCTGTGGTCCTCTCTCATAAATCAGTCGAGTAGTACACGACCACATATTACAACATATAACATGTCATGATGACAAGATTCGCCTTTCTCTCTTTTATCTCACAAGATCATTTGTTATAACATATGAAAAATATTGTGAGCCCAAATTTTTAATAAGGAGCTTCTCTCGGGGTCCGAGGTCATCACATATGGTCAGATTAAATCAGGGGGGATCGTGAACATCTGCAGCATCCCACAAAAAATACACTTGTTTATCGGATAAACAAATAATGACAGCCGGGAGAGATTCCTAATGCAGTGATTAAAAAAAAAGTTTTAACGTTTTTAACTCAGGGTTTGACCCCACAAATCAGAGTTCGATCCCACAAGTCAGGGTTCGACCCCACAAGTCAGGGTTCGACCCAACACGCCGCCCAACATTTTTATTTTTTTAATAGATATTGTATGTACCCTACGCTTTTACAACTTCCTATAATAAAACTATCAAAACTTGCTAAATATACAACTGTGTATAAAGATAATCCGCTTTCTTTCTTTCAGAAAATAGAAGAAGACCTTGAAAATATGCTTTCTTTCCCAAGGCGGATTATGAAAAATATAATATATCAAAGAAGAAGCACTATATCGGTTTAAGCTTATTTGTTCAAGGGACCAGGACCACCTAGTAAATTATACAGACACATGTATTTATTGGAACATGTGTATTTATTTTTGTGTCGGGAACCTCTTTTGAGTCAATCAATATTTGAAAGCGGCTGATTTGAGGACTTACAAAGGATTTGTGGAATTCCAGTAGATTTGTGGGAGACGTTTGAAGTCGGCGATGATTGGAAGAGTTAGAAGGATTAGGAGAAACATTTTTGATTCTGAAAATAAAAAAAAGTTTTTGTGGGGTAAAAATATAGTCGAGAGGAGATTATTGAGCAAATTTGAGTTGGGAAAATGTAAAATTTAATTTTTTGACCTATGAAAATTTGGATTTATTTTAAAAATTGAAACTTTAGAAAAATCTTTTTTAAAATTATTGAAAAACACTTCGGGTTCAAGTAACTTCAAAGAAGTTTGAGAAAAAAAAAGAATTTTTTTAGAATTGGGGATTTTAATTACTTCAAAGTGTTTTTTTTTTGCAAAAGTTCAAAATCAAAAAAAATTATAAAATACCCTAAAGAAGATATTTTGAGTTCAAACAAAATTCAATTTTCCTTAGGAAATGTTGAAAATTTTTGCTGAAAATCCAAAAAATCCCTTCAAGTCTTCATAAACAACTTAAATTCTCAAAAATTACAAATAAATAAATAAAAAATATCACAACACAATATAAAAACCCTTTAACAAGTGTGTTCTTCTATTCTTCTTCTCCCTTTCTCCCCCCTAAGCTCCGCCCATTTTTTTCTCGTTTGCCCCTCCTCCCCCAGCCAGATTTAGATAGAAAAATATAATAAGAGCAGGCTAATTAATGACAGGTACGCGTACAAAATGAATATGCACTAATTATAGAGCAAAAAATTAATTATGAAAAGCTCAGGTGCGCAAAAAAAAATTGCCCGGGCATGAGGAATCGAACCCGGGTGTCACGACGCGCAGCGCAGCGCGCTGCCACTGAGCTACACGTGTGTTTCTGGCGCTGCAGCAAATGTTGGTGAAAAAGTAGCTTTCCCATGATTTTTTTTAAAGGACCTAGGTGTTATTTCGATTTTCCCACCAAATTCACCCGTGTTTATTGTCAAAACACCAAAGTGTTTGAATTTTTTTTTGAGAAATGTGTGATAATCAACACATTTTGCTCACAAAAAAAGAAGAAAAATTGGGAAAAAATGAGAGAAAAATCGAGCTCTAAATTATATTTTATTTGATTTGAAAAATATGGAACTGACACACACACACGATTTTTTATTGGCTTCATCTTTTTTCTTTCTTTTTTTGTTGCTCACTAATTTTCGAGTGCATTAATCAATTAGGTTGAAAACAACGGGAAAAATGCAATTTTGGTTGGAAAAGGAGAAGAAAATCTGCTTGAAGTGTGCATAAATTAATAAAAATATAAGAATTTTTGACTTTTTTTTCTGGAGAGCCCCCACTTGAGTTGAATATATTGGAATATATTTTGAGAGGGCGTACTGTAATCCCTGGCACCTGAATTTAAATTAATTTGGATTTGAGGAGGAAAAAACATGGGTCAAGGGGCCGCGCCTAGAAATTAGGGTTCTCAAGTAGCAGGTCCTAGAGAACCTAATTGTCTAGGAGCCACGCCTTGAGAGATTCTATGCCAAGCAACGGAGCCTTGAGATCATAAGGCTCAAGCAGCCGCGCCTTGAGAACCTAACTGTCTAGGAGCCACGCCTTCAGAGATGCTATGCCAAGCAGTCGCGCCTTGAAATCGGGGTTCTCAAGTCACTGTGTCTAGAGGACCTAATTGTCTAGGAGCCACGCCTTGAGATCGGGGTTCTCAAGTCACTGTGTCTAGAGACCCTAATTGTCTAGGAGCCACGCCTTGAGAGCTTCTATGCCAAGCAACGGAGCCTTGAGATCATAAGGCTCAAGCAGCCGCGCCTTGAGAACCTAACTGTCTAGGAGCCGCGCCTTGAGATCGGGGTTCTCAAGTCACTGTGTCTAGAGACCCTAATTGTCTAGGAGCCACGCCTTGAGAGCATCTATGCCAAGTGACCGCTCCTTGAGATCATAAGGCTCAAGTAGCAGCTCCTAGAGAACCTAATTGTCTAGGAGCCACGCCTTGAGAGCTCCTATGGCAAGCAGCCGCGTCTAGAGATCAGAGTTAGCCTAGAAAATTCGAAATTTCCCCCCCCCCCCGAGACACTCTTTTCCTTCCAGAAAACCTTGAAATTAACTCAATTTCACATAAATACACATATTTAACTTAAGAGAGATGACCTACTTGACATATAAAGTACACAGTATTTCAAAAACTTCAAGTGTTCTTATTCTTATATAATTGGCTTACTATTTATTAGTTACCCTAACTATTGTTTTGTCAAAATTCCAGAATATCCCGCGGAGATCAAAAATACCGAAACTAAATTATGTACAAGTGCTAAAACCTTCTGGTACTAATCTCCTCTTTTTTGATGTTGCAAAAATAGCCCAATTCTTCTGCAAATCTTGGATTTAACTTAGTTAAACTATAGTCTAGTTTGACGAAAAAATTCAGGAAATTTCGATAAAAATTCGCCGAAATATGAAGAAGAGCGTTGCCGTCAACGCGGAGTCTCGTTGTTTTCTTTTTATTTTTTCGGAAAAACTGTTTTTTCTGGAGATTTCAAACCTTCTGCTACTAATCTCCTCTTTTTTGACGTTGAAAAAAAGTTTTTTTTTTCAAAAATGCATCATAATAAAAATTGTGTAAAGAAAGCCAGCTGGTTTATTGAATTAGAAGAAAAAAGTATAATAAAAAAGGATGCAAAAAAAGTTTTTTGAAATTCTACACTTTGTATGTAATCTAGCACTCTTTTTAATTAGTTAGGCATTTTTGGGAAAACAAGACGGAAAACTAAAAATAAATAAATCGCGACGGGTGGTCTTTGGGATTACAATCTAACATCAGAAGCCAATAGATTTTAGCACCCAATTTTTATTTTCATGCAAAACAAAACAAAACAAATTGGGGGAGAAGAACTTGGAGCAGCCAGAAAATAATATCAAATATGTACATATAGGATTAGTGGGGGGACGACAAAGGAGCTTGTTATCATCATGAATGATTTTGTTATGAGGTATGCAAAAATAATCAGCACTTGATTATTTACCGCATTTTTTTAGAGTTTTGGCTGGGAAAAAATGGGAAAATGGCTTTGCAGAACTTTATGAATCTTAAAAATCTGGAAAATTTCAAACCTAAGCTCACTGGGGGCCCAGAATAGTCCCCTAAGCTTTTGGGATATCAAAAAAGCCCCCCGGTTTTCCAGAATCCCAAATCTGAACTTGTTTAGGTTCCGAATGACTTCTAGAACATCTAGATTTCAAAAAAATTCAGATTTGAAGCTCAAAAAAGATCCAGAATTTTTCCCGAAGCTTGTGGGGTATCAAAATGCTCTCCAAAACTTCTAGAATTCAAAATCTAGATTCAAAATGCTCCCCAGAATCTCTAGAATCTGAAAAATCTTTAAATCGGGAATTTAGGATTTTCCTAGGCTTTATCGGACTGGAAATGCTCCCCAGGACTTCTAGAACTCAAAATCTGATTTCTAGATTCAAAATGCTCTCCAGAACCTGTAGAATCCCAAAAACCCTAAAATCTGGACTTCAGGATCTTCCCAGGCTTCATTAGATTCAAAATTCTCCCAAGAATTTCTAGAATTCAAAATGTAGACAAATGTAGGCTCTAAATGCTCCCCAGAATTTCTAGAACTCAAAATCTAGCCACCAAATGATTCCCAGAACCGGTAGAATCCAAAATTCAAAAAAAAGTGTGAAACTATACAAAAAAAACCAAAACTTTCCCAAAATAAAACACAAAAAAAATGTACAATTTTATTTTTATCAACACAAAAATGTTTATAAGCCAACGCTCAGCCTATCAATTAAAATGACTCATCATTTTCCACTTTATTTTTTTTTCGAAAATGGCTCGGAGCACAAAAAAAAGAGCATCGAATTAAATTAATTATGAGTTTCGACACACACGAATTTCGTATTCTATTCGAAACTTTTTAGCCATTTTTCAGCACATTTTTTTGTGGAAAAAAATGAAAAAAAATGAGAAAAAAAGAGTGTACGAAAACTTGTACGAAAAGCTCTCCGAAAAAAAAAACAAAAGCTCATAATAAAATATTTTTTAGGGGGGGTTGGTCTCACAAATTAGCACAATATTTCACACCTTTCCCTTTTGCTATATAATTTTGAATAAACACAGATGTGTTGGGAAATAAGTGATTTATCATTTTTTGTTGGACCACAAAACCCAACAATTAAGTATAACCACATTTTTTGTAATTTTGGCCAACAAAATTCAGAATTTTGGCAATAGAGGCAGGTGAAACAGAGAAAAAAGTGTAAAATCCGGAAATTAAATATAGGCTAGCTTAGTTTTGGACATTGAGATAAGGAAGAGAGAGAGAGAGAGCAGGTGATAGAGAGACGCAGAGAAATCGGGAAACATCTGCGCTTTTACAGGATGGATTTACGGTGTGCTAAATGACAAAAAAAACCTATAATTTTGGACGGATTGGGAAAATACAGATTTTGGGAAAAACAATTCTGAAAATTCCAGGAATCCTAGGCGGTCCTACTTTGAACAGTGGTTCTCTAGGAGCAGCTCCTAGCCAGGGTGATTCTCTAGGCGCCGTGCCTAGCCAAATGTGTTCTCTAGGCGCCACACCTTGTCAAAGTGGTTTTCTAGGCGTTGTACCTAGCCAGGGTGATTCTCTAGGCGCATCTCCTTGACAAGGTTGCTCTCTAGGAGCAGCACCTCACCAGATTGGGTTTCTAGGCACCGCACTTTGTCATGGGTGTTCTCTAGGAGCATCTCCTTGTCAGAGTGGCCTTCAAGGCTTGTCTACTTGTCAACGGGATTTTCTAGAGAGAGGCCTTGTCAAGGTCTCTATCTAGGCGCCACACCTTGAAATAGCTGCTCTCTAGGCGCTTCTCCTTGCCATAATTAATCTCTAGGAGCAGCGCCTTGCGCCAAGGTTACTCTCTAGGAGCCACACCTTGAAATAGCTGCTCTCTAGGCGCTACTCCTTGCCATAACTATTCTCTAGACGCTGTGCCTAGCCAGAAAAAAGTTATGACGTGGCAAATTTTTCCGATTCACAATAAACAATTTATCCCAACTCGTATTTATTCTTGTAAAAATAATTGGTTGGGCCTTGTTATTTTTATTACTTATGTATGTATATCAACAGGTGCAGGTGTCTTCTTTCTCTCATTCTTTATGGTAAAATGAGACGGGCCCCAAGAAAAACCCTATTTGAATACTAAATAATATGGTTGTGGTTGTTAAAGAGAAGACAGAGCCCCAATTAAAACCTATTTATGTAAATTTTGTGTGAAAAAAAATACATATTGTCCAATTTTTTTTTCGGGTGATGAAAAATGTGTGCCGACTTGGCTCTCAAGGCCAAAGGGGGACCTAATAAAAATGTCATAACACAGCAAAAATGTTGTTGTTGTAATAAATCGGTTGATCTCCTTTTAAGTGAACATCTACACACGTTTATGATGAGCCCGCCAAAAAAAAATGTTGCGAAAAAATCGTAAAAATCGGATAAAGAAGAGGATTTCGTTGTTATGACAACGTATTTATGTATTATCAGTGTGAAAAAACAAAAACAAGATTTTTTTTTGTTGAAAAAAAAATCGGAAAGCCCTCCCCCCCCCATTTCTATATGAAGGGGGGGGGGATATTTTTTTTTTTTGAAAAGGCTGGGTTCCCAGGCAGGCGCAACAACACAAAACTTTTGTTTTATGTATATGCATTGTGAATAGGGAAACGTGTGAAACAAAAGAAACGACCGGAACAAGTACAAAAGTTTTTGAATTGTGATATATGTATATTCTGTGCTGCAGAATCAGGGACTTCTAGACGTGGCAGAGTTTGGAGAATCTGGGATTTCAAAAAATGATTTGCTATCAGAATCATTTTTGAACCTAGATTTGAACTGCTGAAATTCCGATTTTTCAAAAATTTTCACACTTTGCCACGGAATAACTCAGTTCAGGAAAAATATTTCAACAAAATCTAAGGGGAATGATTTTCAGAAAAAATTTTCGGATTTTTTTTTGAAATTTAATTTTTTGTTCAATTTTTGGGAGCAAATGACGTGGCAAAAACTAGATCTAAGTATCAGGAAAATTTTTTTTGAACAGATTTTTTGAAAAAAAATCCTGAAAATTCAGGAGCCTGAAAAATTCTGAAATTATTTTGGAGTATAACTTTTAAAAAGTCTCAAAAAATTTGCGCCCAGAATTAATTCTGAAATCTGATTTTACAGAATTAGAATTATGATTCAAATCTCGAAAATATTTTCAAGATTCCAAAGTTCAAAAACCAGGTATTTCTCCAGATTTTTAATGAAATAGATGTTTTCTATCAAATTGCAGAACTATTGAGTTATGACGTGGCAAAATTCGGAGAATCTGGGATTTCATGAAAATCTAATAGGATAGGGTTTTCAGGAAGTTCCGAGAGATTTTTTTAGAAAAGCTTCACATCCATGAATTTCGAATTTTTTCTAAAAAAATCTAAAAATTCAGAATCTTGAAAAATTCCGAACTTATTTTGGACTATGAACTTCAGATGATTCAGCATGGGAATTTTAATTTGAGAAAGTTCAGATCTAGAAAATCGTGTTTTAAAAAATTCAAATGAATTTAGAAAACAAAATTATATTTTAAAATTAGTTCCAAGTTCCGAATTTTAAAAAAAAAAATGTTTCCCTCTGAAAAATTCCCGGAAATCCGTTCCCAAACCGGATGGAACCACAAAAAAGGAATCATATACATTATTCATCCAAAAAACTATCACCTTCAAACAATAACCAACTTTTTGTGTGTAATTCAAAAAAAAAGAGAGGAACGACAATAAAAATAATATTATACAAAACACATAAACATTTCTGAATCACCACACCAAAAAAACACCCCTTTTCTTATTTCGTCTGCCAACAAAAACCTTGTTCGAAATGGGCCATGACCGACCGACACGGGCGGTCTTTTGGATAGGCATTTTCTTAAATGTGGTGGAACTTTTTTGCAGGTGGAAATAGGGAAAAAGGAAAAAAAGAAGAATGAAAGTCAATTAGAAAAAGAGGAAAAGCGCGAAAAATCATTGGAGAATATCAAATTTCGCGCGCGGGAAAAAAGAGAAGAAGAAAAAACTGTCATTGAAAATTTGTGTGGGAAATTGGAGAGTTTGAAAAATTGATCTACAAAATTTGGAAACTTGAAAATTGTGGCTCAAAAATTCAAATGAGCTTTGAAATGATTTTCGACTCATTTTATTTATTAAATAGAATTTCATACAATTAAATTTTGAGCTCTAATATGAGCAATTAAAGATTCCAGATCTATTAAAATTTCTCAAAAACCAGCTAAAAATATCCAGATTACAAAAATCTCTTCTCAAATCCTAGTTAGCCAAATTCCAGTCACTCTTCTTCTCATCTCATAAATGTTCTCTCACACTTGAGTTCCGCAAAGTGAATCACCATAATTATATGAAATTATGAGAAAAAAAAGTATTTTTCACACACAAAACCCAATTAAGGAAGCGCATTTATATATTTCACAACAACATTTTTTGTGTCTTTTTTCCAAGGGATCTAAAATTGTTTATTTACATAAATAGTAGTTATTATAACTTTTTAGTCAAACAAACATTTTTTTGGCCAATTATTTTGGTCACACATTCTCGGATTACACGCCAAGTCAGCCGCAATAAATGTATCAGATTTCTATTGCTCAACAACAAAAACTATCTCATTAGGAGCCTGCAAAAAAGCACCAAGAAAAAAAACTATGTGCGGCGGGTGGGGGTCGAACCCGGGTGCTGCAAAACCAGCGCGCGCGCTGGGCACACGTGTTAACCACTCGGCCATCCGGATGTTTTTTGTTCCAGAAGAAAATTTCGCATATAAAATACGCGCTTGATTTTCTGATGAATAACAATAAGAAAAAGGCCAAAAAAAGTAGTAAAGCTGTTTTTTTCTGAGGAAAAGGAGAGAGGAGGGAGAAAAAACAATTTTCAATTAATTTTCGGATGATTTACGAACTTACCTGCGGCGAGAAAAAAGCTTTTACTTTTTTTTTTTCTTCAGAAGATGGAAAAGAAAACCGCGGCGCGCGAGAATAAACAGAAGAGTCGTAAAACGCAGCAATTTTTATGACACCTTTTTCGATTGAAAAATAAAACTTGGTTCGGTTTACGAGGGATTTTCGCCTCAAAAATGAAAAAAAAAGTTGGGCAGCAGGTGGGGTCGAACCTGGGTGCTGCAAAACGTCGGCAGACGTGCAGACCACTCGGCCACAAAATAAATAAATTTTGAAAAAAAAACACGTGAAACTGCCACGTAACCACAGAATCAACGTGTCTTCAAAAATCAATAAATCAGTCATTTCTGCCATTTTAGCTTCTTCCAAAATGGGATCTTCTGAACTTGACACAACAACAACAACAACAAGAACTCCTTCAATAATGGCAGATGAGGACGATTCACCGGCCGCATTTTCGGTAGTTATTGGAACTAGTAGCGAATCTACGGAGAAACAGAATGGTCTCATTTCGATTTTGGTAAGATAGATCTTCCTCCGATGTTTAATTTTTTTCTATAGATCAGAGATGTGGATGGTTACTGTACAGATCGTACTTTGCTTCGTCAATCGCATTCGCATTTCACACCATTTATGAGAGGACATGTTAGTTTATCTAGTTTTATGTACACTTCAAAAAATATATAAATCTACCTTTTTAATAAAATCCCAATCGGGATTTTATTAAAAATGTAGATTTTCAGTCAGATCTTTTCGTAATTGCAAATCAGCCAAGTTTGGGGCCTCTCGAAAGTGCTGAAATCTACTATAATCCTAGTGACGAGCGTAAGTTTTAATTTCCTTCAAAATCCAGCCGTAAAAGATTTTTGCAGTGTCTGAAACACCGTGGCGTCTGCGATCATTGCAAATATTGCATCACGAATCGGGGAAAATCTACAATTTTCAACTGGATTCAAAATTATCCACACAACATGTGATGACAATGGTTTGTAAAGAAGATGCGGTTCAAATTATTCCGATGAGTCTTCCAAATCCGTTCAAATGATGAATTTTTTTTTGAATAAAGTCTGAGGTTTTTAAACACAGCTCAATTGTTCTCGGATCTTAGATTTTGCTTAGTTTAACTACAGTCTAGTTTGATGAAAAAATTCAGAACATTTCGATGAGTATAAGCCCATTGAAAAAACACAAATCGCGCAACGTCAACGCGGAGTCTCGTTGTTTTCTTTCTTCAGGGAAAACTAGATGAGTTAGCCTAACTTTTTTCAATTTTTCCGAAATCCCTCCCCAAAAAACTCACCAATCGCTTCTATCACACAAAAATCATCAAAAATTTCGCAAATCCCAATCAAAATCCTTGATAAATCCGGAATCCTCCAAGTTTTCCACATTATTGACATTTTAATCTAATTGTCCATCAATATTTCGAGCTGAAAATCAGAAAATTTGAATTTTTGCATGTACCATTGAGTTCGGCTAACTCCATTTCTGTTTCTATAGATTTCTGAGAGCTTTCTCTGGGTCTCACAACTATTTTCCAGCTATTTTTCAGAGTTTTTCCGATTTTTAAATCGCGGTTTCGAAGTCACTACAAATTCCTGATTTTTTTCAAATCTATGTAGTTTCAAGAGCGAAGATTTAAAAAAAAATAAATCCCAAATTATGAGGTTTTGGTGTTCTGGAAAAATTGCTGAAAATTGCAAGCTTGGAATTTTCGAACAAATTCATTTATCCAAAAAGAATAATCACGTTTTTTATTTTTGCATCGGCCTAGATCACGTTTCTTATCTGCATGTGGCAAATAATCAAAATTTGGTCATTTTTGGATTTTTCCAATATCACAGGAAGTCAATTCTCGCCAAACCTCATTTAATTTCAGTAAGTGAAGAATACGTTAAAAACTTGGGATCAAATTGATTAATTCGGGAGAACACTGATTAATTCAATACCGTGAATCAGATCACAATCTGGGGTGCTCAAATCGGTGAGGATGAACCAAAGTTTTTGGGCCATCAATATCCCACATGAACCAAACTTTTCGCGGAAAATATTTTCGAAATCCCACATCTCATTTAGGGTTATTTGTCACTTCTAATCTTTAGCGACGAAATGAGCAGAACTAGGTCACGTCCTAATTTTTCCTAAAATATATTTTTTGAAGTTACAAAGGAAAATTTATGAATCCAGTATCAACAAAATCTTAGAATTTCAGAAAAAAAAACAGATTTTGAAACGAGAAGTATCCCAAAAATCAAATTAGGACACGTCAGTAAACATTTTAGAAGTGAATAAAAAAATGATTATGAAAGTTGATTTAAAGACAACTAATCAGTTATTTTACAGATATGTTCAAAAGTTTTTTCGAACTTCTATATTCTACTCGAACCGATATTGAATTTTTTGTTGGAGGCCCTGGAACCAATGAAAAACTGAAGCAAAAGGAACCAACATGGTTCTACATAAATTCAAAAAATTTATCATTGGATTTCAAAGTTGAGATATTCTCAAGTAAGTAGAAAATCTCTGGTGAATGTTAATAGTATCCCATTTTTTCAGCAAAAACTAAGAAACAAGTGCCAGTAATGATGGAAGTTCTTCCACAATATAATGTGGTCGTCGTATTTTACACAAATGAAAGTACGAAAAGTGATGAGCTAGCAATTTCAGTGGAACGTGGTGCGATTCGCAGAAAGTTTTTGGTAGAAATTGAAGTATGTTTAATTAATTTCCTAGATATTCGTGTGCAAATTTCTGTTCCTTGTGTAACATTCTCATAATAAATGTCTTTTGGTTTCAGGCAAAGGCACCAATTGATAAAACAGATAAGCAAGAACCAAATCAATTGCAAACTCTCGATGTGGCAAGCATTCAGAATGTGAGAGAAATAATAATTTGTGTTAATTTTCGAAATGAATTTGAGTTTTTCAGAATTCAGTATTATCCGATCGGACTTGGCTGTTTCCGGATGAAGATGATATTTTGGATGCTGATGACTCTATGTCATCAACTAAGTAAGTTAATTAGGCAAAGGTGGGGCCCAAAAGTGTTGCCCATTCAGAAATAAGCCAGGGAATTCATTGGGATCACATATATTGAGAACTGAAGTTCACTCTTCCTATCAATCCCACAGGATTGACATATGTACTTTGCCAGCGATATTCCTGACAGGTTCAAATGGAATTTCAGAAGAAAGATCATAAATTTATTACTGGTCCAACTGGGAACTCACAAGGGACTCACCGAATAAACCTTTTCTGTAACTTTTGAAACTTGATTTTCAGAACTCCTACTCCTACACTTGATGATTCGAAAACATGCGAAATTCACAAGGTTAGTTTTTTTCCATACGAAGTTCATAATCATAATGACTTTATTCAGAAACAATTGGAGTTATTGACAATTTTAGCAGAGTTCGAAATCATCGAAAATGCTAAAATTTTCGAACTCTGTGAAAATGAACCACCGAACTCATATATTCCAACTCGATTATACACTTATTTGGATGAATGGACTCAAAAATTGGATGAACATCAAATTAACACGGTTATCAACAAAATTGCTGAAATCTACCATCTAAAAGCCGATAATATAAAATTGACAATGAAGCGCAAAAAAGAGAATGATTGAAGAGAAAGAAAGAATGAAAATAAAAATTTTGAAACGTATAGCAGCAGAGATTTTTTTTATTCAAACTCTTGATGTGGCTAGCATTGTTTCCAATCCGAATGTGAGAGAAATAATAATTTGTGTTAATTTTCGAAATGAATTTGAGTTTTTCAGAATTCGGTGTTATCCGATCGGACTTGGCTATTTCCGGATCGAGATGATACTTGATTTGAAGAAGAAAATAAACATTTTGAAACGTATAGCAGCGGGGATTTTAAAATATAGGATGGGTTAAATTTGAAAATTGGCGGTTTTGAAGAAAAATTGCAATGAATTATTCAAGCTCTACAAAATTGTGTAACTTCTGTTTTTCAGCATTTTTGGCTGAAATTACAGCTTTTGCCTCGCCTTGAATTCTTGGTTTAACACCCTTGAAAACAGCCCGAATGTTCTCGGATCTTAGATTTAGCTTAGTTTAACTATAGTCTAGTTTGATGAAAATATTCAGAATATTTCGATGAGTATTCGCGCTCAACGTCAACGCGGAGTCTCGTTGTTTTCTTTTTTCGGGGAAAACTAGATGAGTTAGCTCAACTTTTATCAATTTTTAAAGATTTTTTTCAATTTTTCCGAAATCCCTCCCCAAAAAACTCACCAATCGCTTCTATCACACAAAAATCATCGAAAATTCGAAATCCTCCAAGTTTTCCACATTATTGACATTTTAATCGAATTGTCCATCAATGTTTCGAGCTGAAAATCAGAAAATTTGAATTTTTGCATGTACCATTGAGTTCTGCTAACTCCATTTCTGTTTCTATAGATTTCTGAGGGCTTTCTCTGGGTCTCACAACAATTTTTCAGCTATTTTTTCTCAAAAATTTCAATCAAAACAGTATTTCTCTCGAAAATACCCACCTTTCTTCAATAATCCTCGGATTTTCCGTTGGAATCGATAATTCGGGCCTTGTAGAACATCTGAAAATTCAATTTTTATCTGAAATCCACTGATTCTCCCCCGAAACCTGAAAACCCAGCGATAAAAAACGAAAAATGAAAATATTCTCGTGTTGCGCCAAACAGCGGGCAAGCCGGAGTGTCGTTGTTTTCTTTTTTATTATGATAAATCAATAAAGTAATTTTTTGATATGTTTAAAAAAAGTTTCATTCCAAATTTTATTTTTTAATTCACGAACTATACCCCTCCAGCCGCTCGCTTAGCCGCTCAAACCGAGGCGCTCGCTCGAGCTTCTGAGCGCCTAAGCCGCTCGAGCCAACGAGCGGCTTGAATGGCTTGAGCCGCTGAGCGGCTAGAGCCATTTGAGCCGCTCGCTCGCTAAGCCGCTCGAGCATGGAGCCGCTCGAGCGCCTCAGCGGCTTAGGCGCTCGAGCCACCAAGCCGCTCAAGCCGCTGAGGCGCTCGAGCGGGCGAGCCGCTCGAGCAGCTCGAGCGGCTCGCTCCATTTTCAAAAAAAAAAATTTTCTATACGAAAATTGTGAAACAGTGGTTTTTTTCATAATTTTTGGGTACTTCGAAAATGAAATATTTGTATTGGGACATGGTCCTTGGGTCATGAAAAAATTTTTTTAATTTGAAAAAAAGTGGGCGGGGCTTATTTTTCAGTTTAGAGCTGAAAACACTAAAAAATTCAAAATTTACCAAAAACTTTCTGGTTTTTTTCTAGATGATTTTTTAATGCTTTTGATGATGAAAAACACTTCAAATTTTCAGATAGCTGACAATTTTCAGCTTTTTTCCGGCTTGAAATATCAAAAAAATAATCACATAATTGCAGATTTTCGATAAAAAATAGCTGAAAGTCGTCAGTTATCTGAGAATTTTGTGTGTTTTTTATCGTCAAAAACATTCAAAAATAAACTAGAAGTCATCTGAAAAAAACCAGAAAGTTTTTAGTAAATTTTGAATTTTTTGATTTTTTAGTGTTTTCAGCTCTAAACTGAAAAATAAGCCCCGCCCACTTTTTTTTCAAATTAAAAAATTTTTTTCATGACCCAAGGACCATGTCCCAATACAAATATTTCATTTTCGAAGTACCCAAAAATTATGAAAAAAACCACTGTTTCACAATTTTCGTATAGAAAAATTTTTTTTTTTGAAAATGGAGCGAGCCGCTCGAGCTGCTCGAGCGGCTCGCTCGCTCGAGCGCCTCAGCGGCTTGAGCGGCTTGGTGGCTCGAGCGCCTAAGCCGCTGAGGCGCTCGAGCGGCTCCATGCTCGAGCGGCTTAGCGAGCGAGCGGCTCAAATGGCTCTAGCCGCTCAGCGGCTCAAGCCATTCAAGCCGCTCGTTGGCTCGAGCGGCTTAGGCGCTCGAGCGAGCGGCTCGCTCGGCTCGTGAGCCGCTTCAAGCCGCTCAATGACGAGCGGCTGGAGGGGTATATCACGAACAAATATCTAAATTCATTCATGTATCCCGCGAAACAAAAAAAAAAACTTAAACTTGTTCACTTGAAATAATATTTTAATGTACATTTGTCCTTGTACAAATACATACATGTGTGAAGAAATAAACTTCCGTCTTCTTTTTTTTTTTGATTTTCAACTGGTCCCTGATTGGATTATTTTTTGTTTCTTCTCCCATTCAAAACAAAAAATGTTTTATTTAAGAAGGAATGTTCACGTCATATGTAAACTGTCATTTTTTGCTTCCCCTTTGAAAAAAATAAATAATTGAAATGAAACTTCCCCACGTTTTCCCAGACCATCATCATAATTTTATGATAATAATAATTTCCATAAAATAAACAGAAGCACCCAATTTTTTTGCTTCTCTAATGTTTTTTACAATATTTTCTAGCGTCACAAAAAAAATTTCTTTTCGAAAATGTTTTTTTGTGTTCAATAATCGACACATTTTTTGCTGTCTTTTGATTTTTCCACGAAGAAGAAAAAGCGAACGGTGTTTTAAAATCTTTAAGTGTTTTTCTGTCTCGCGAATTTTCATTTTATATCAATTTTATTGTACAGTGCGCCCAATAAATATAGGACACCCCCAGTTTTCATAATAATTCAGTGAATGGTGACTGATAAGAAAAATCTGTTAAGTGGAGTCAACTCAGGACCCAAAATAACCCCCGGAAACCAACTTTGGTCGAATATAAGATCTTTCGTGATACTGAACCATGAAATCTGTGATTTTCGAGCGCCCAATAAATATAGGACACCCCCATCAAAAATCGGTTTTGTGACTCGATATTGCTATAATTTGATTCAGAGCATATTTATAACATGTTGTCAATGTATTTCCTATCACTTCCTCTCAAAAGAAATTTCCACGTGGCGTTTTTCTACCAGATCAACGCTCTTGACAGTAAAATCTCATCATGACAGAAATTTTCGATTTTTTCGAATGAAATGTGGTTTTTAATGATTTTCTTGAGTTTAAAAATGATAAATCAACTAATTCCAACAATACCCACTCATTTCTGATCATTAGATCTCCAGTTATGACATTGCTGATTTTCCGATCTTACGATCTTTCCATCTAGAACTTCGATTTACATGATTTTTTTTCGACAAAAAATTGTCCCGGAGTAACTTTCTCATGTTTTAAATACATTCTGACGATTTATTCTTGACTTAACATCATTTAGCTGATTTTAAAGTGAATTTTCAGAAAAACAAGGATTTTCAGTGAGTTTTCCATTGAAAACTGTGAAATTTCAGTAAATCCGGATTAATCATTGAAATACGGCTGCTAGGGTTGTTATGATATTTGGAAATTATTGTATTATTAATGAGTAACAGTTCTCTGAAGGTTTTGAAGAAAAAATTTAAGAATATTCGAAGTTCTAGATGGAAAGATCGTAAGATCGGAAAATCAGCAATGTCATAACTGGAGATCTAATGATCAGAAATGAGTGGGTATTGTTGGAATTAGTTGATTTATCATTTTTAAACTCAAGAAAATCATTAAAAACCACATTTCATTCGAAAAAATCGAAAATTTCTGTCATGATGAGATTTTACTGTCAAGAGCGTTGATCTGGTAGAAAAACGCCACGTGGAAATTTCTTTTGAGAGGAAGTGATAGGAAATACATTGACAACATGTTATAAATATGCTCTGAATCAAATTATAGCAATATCGAGTCACAAAACCGATTTTTGATGGGGGTGTCCTATATTTATTGGGCGCTCGAAAATCACAGATTTCATGGTTCAGTATCACGAAAGATCTTATATTCGACCAAAGTTGGTTTCCGGGGGTTATTTTGGGTCCTGAGTTGACTCCACTTAACAGATTTTTCTTATCAGTCACCATTCACTGAATTATTATGAAAACTGGGGGTGTCCTATATTTATTGGGCGCACTGTAGGAAAATGACTGTTTCGTATAATTTCGATGTTTCTTCGAATTCTTCGGCCAATTTTTTGCGATTGTTACTGCGATGGAAAGGTGAGTGAACATTTTTTCTGTTGAGATGACTCATGTGCGGGAGAAAAAAATAGTTCGCATGGGGGATCGAACTCGCCACCCTTGAATTCAAAAGCAAGGCTCCTGCCACTGAGCCACTTGCCCCTTTACCTCCCTCCGCAAAATTGCCAATAAATAATTGCAGGTTCAATTTGGAAAAGTGTACTTTCGGAGCTCTTGATCTGGTGTGGTGCATATTTAATCATCGGATTTTTATACCATTGCTTTTTGAGACCTCACAAACAGACAGATATTTTCAATACAATCGCTATACAATTCGATGATGCTGGTAGCTATATTCCAATCACTTTTATGTTAGCGTTTTTCGTTTCAATTATTGTGACAAGATGGAAAACGACTTTTGCTAATATGGGATGGATTGAGAGGTTTGTCGAAATTTTTTTAAGATAAAAAATTTTTTTTCCATATCTTTTAGCTGCGCTCTATCAATAAACTCCCAAATAATTTCAAAAATGTGAAGAAGCCCGACTAATCCGCCGAAACATCATCAGATATCTCGTCTTGGCACAAATCCTAACCTTTCGCGACATCTCAATCCGAGTTCGACGTCGATTTCCGAACATCGATTCGATCTCCAAGGCTGGATTTATAACTGATGAGGAAGAAGAGAAATTGGAGATGATAGATCTGGACAAATCATATAATAAATATTGGGTGCCAATTCATTGGGCGATTACTTTAATAATTCGAGCGGATGAGAAGAAATATTGTCTAAGTGCGCCAGGAACTGTAAGCCTGATAAATGAGATCAAAATATTTCGGAATAATCTAGCAACAATTTGTAATTTTGATTGGGTTCCAGTGCCAATCGCATATCCGCAAGTGATATTTTTCGCTGTTCGAATGTTTTTTATCATTTGTTTAATATCAAGACAACATATCGTTGGGAAGATTACCAGAGAAGACAAAACATATGAAATTGTTTTCAATATTACAGTTCTTGTGTGCAAACCATTGTTAACAATCATTCAATTCATATGTTTTGTTGGTTGGTTGAAAGTTGCGGAAGCACTTTTGAATCCATTGGGCGAAGATGATGATGATTTTGAGAGCAATTTTTTGATTGATAAGAATATATTTGTGAGTTTTTTGGGGGAAAATAAAAAAGAAAACAACGAGACTCCGCGTTGACGTTGCACGCGCGCGCGGTTTGAATTTCTGTTTTTTTTTTCAAATTTTACATAATTTTTATCGATTTTTTCAATTTTTCCGAAATCCCTCCGCAAAAAACTCACCAATCGCTTCTATTTCTCAAATGCCAATCAAAAATCCTCGAAAATTCGAAATCCTCCAGGTTTTCCACGTTTTTGACATTGAAATCCAATATTTCAAGCTGAAAACAGAAAATTTTTGAATTTTTCATGTACCATTGAGTTCTGCTAACTCTATAGATTTCTGAGGGCTTTCTCTGGGTCTCACAACAATTTTTCAGCTATTTTTCAGAGGTTTACAGCAAAATCTTACCCAAAACCATTTTCCATCGATTTTTGAGTGAAAATTCCAGTAGTTTTCATGAAATCCGATGTTTTTCAATATTTTTGTCGCTGAAAGCTCAAAAATTTCAATCAAAACAGTGTTTCTCTCGAAAAAACCCACCTTTCTTCAATAATCCTCGGATTTTCCATTGGAATCGATAATTCGAGCCTTGTAGAACATCTGAAAATTCAATTTTTGTCTGAAATCCAATGATTTTCCCCGGAAACCTGAAAACCCGGCGAAAAAAAACGAAAAATGAAAATATTTTCGTGTTGCGCTAAACAGCGGGCAAGCCGGAGTGTCGTTGTAAAATTTTTTATTTTTTTTATTTCTAAAACGAAACATATGTTTTCTAGTGTTTTTTGACTCGCTGATCACTATTCTGTTGTCAAAAACGACTCTGAATAGAGTTATGACGTGGCAAAATTGGAAAAATTTGTGATTTTTTTGCAGACTGGAATCAAAATCTGCGACGAATTCGACAATTGTCCCAGCCTTTTCTTCGACAATTTCTCCGATCCAAACGCGGCTCCAATTTATTCGGTTGATAGTCAACACTATACAAATGGCGCACTCATTGGCTCGGTTTCAAATATCACGTTGGCACAAAATGATGACAATGTCACCATGATTCCTTTGGGTCCACGGGCTTCGATTGGTGATAGTTTATCGATGGGATTGGATAGGACACCAACGAGAAGGCGGTCGAGGCCGAATAGTTTTCAGAAATCGCAGAAATCGTGGGTTTTTTGAACTTGAAGTTTTAAACTTGAAGTCCTAGTTGTCAAGTAGCGGAGCCTAGAAATCCTAGTTGTCAAGTAGCGGAGCCTATAGACCTTTATTGTCTAGGAGCCGCGCCTATAGATCCGCATTGTCTAGAAGTCGCATCGAGAAATCCTAGTTGTCAAGTAGCCGAGCCGAGCGAACCTGGTTGTCAAGTAGCCGCGCCTATAGATCCGCATTGTCTAGGAGGCGCATCGAGAGAAATACAATAGAAAGGATTCGCGCCTTGAGAGCTTCTATGTCAAGTAGCCGCGCCTAGAGAACCTAGTCGTCTAGGAGCTGCGCCTACAAAGCTCAAAGCGCCTAGAAAGCCACTTTTAACCTCTAACACTTCAAAGCCACATATATTTTTGCTTCCAGAAAACGCCACATCAGCGAAGGCGAACCGAACGAAGCCTACGAAATCGACGAACCGCCGTGTTCCCCAACTTCCCACAAATTCTCGACGCATTTAACGAAAGTCGAAGAGAAGGACGAGGAGGAAAAGGTTTGATTTTTTTTTTAATTTTTAATTTTTTTATAATTCATTTCAGACAACCACACCCGATGCCATTTCACGTGTTTAATTAACATTTCTCATTTTTTTTCATAATAATACTAATAATAATAATAATAATAAAATGAGGTGATAATTTCTGAAATTCAAATCTGAATTTTTAAAATTCATTTTTTGCCAAATTTTCTTGAATGTCTGCAAATAAAATTTGCAGAAAAGAGTTTTTTTTCTGAAATTTCGAGAATTTCTTAACACAGCTAAACCTCTCTTTAACATGAGCAATATTTTTCTAAAAAAATCGGGCCGAGATTTTTGAAAAAAATCGGGCCGAGATTTTTGAAAAAAAATCGGGCCGAGATTTTTGAAAAAAAAATCGGGCCGAGATTTTTGGAAAAAAACTCATCGACTCCATTTTTACATTTTTGGATTAATCCAAATCTGTAACTTTTTACTTAGGTCTCAAAAAAATCGGGCCGAGATTTTTGAAAAAAAAATCGGGCCGAGATTTTTGAAAAAAAAATCGGGCCGAGATTTTTGAAAAAAAAATCGGGCCGAGATTTTTGAAAAAAACTCATCGACTCCATTTTTACATTTTTGGATTAATCCAAATCTGTAACTTTTTACTTAGGTCTCAAAAAAATCGGGCCGAGATTTTTGAAAAAAAAATCGGGCCGAGATTTTTGAAAAAAAAATCGGGCCGAGATTTTTGAAAAAAAAATCGGGCCGAGATTTTTGGAAAAAAACTCATCGACTCCATTTTTACATTTTTTGGATTAATCCAAATCTGTAACTTTTTACTTAGGTCTCAAAAAAAATCGGGCCGAGATTTTTAGAAAAAAATCGGGCCGAGATTTTTGAAAAAAAAATCGGGCCGAGATTTTTGAAAAAAAAATCGGGCCGAGATTTTTGAAAAAAAATCGGGCCGAGATTTTTGAAAAAAACTCATCGACTCCATTTTTACATTTTTGGATTAATCCAAATCTGTAACTTTTTACTTAGGTCTCAAAAAAATCGGGCCGAGATTTTTAGAAAAAAAATCGGGCCGAGATTTTTGAAAAAAAAAATCGGGCCGAGATTTTTGAAAAAACTCATCGACTCCATTTTTACATTTTTGGATTAATCCAAATCTGTAACTTTTTACTTAGGTCTCAAAAAAATCGGGCCGAGATTTTTGAAAAAAACTCATCGACTCCATTTTTACATTTTTGGATTAATCCAAATCTGTAACTTCTTACTTAGGTCTCAAAAAAATCGGGCCGAGATTTTTGAAAAAAAAATCGGCCCGAGTTTTTTCAAAATCATTTTTCGATCAAAAAACTTGAAATTTTTGATGAAATCAATTGTAAGTTCCACAGAAAAAAGTGAAACTGAAATAAATGAGAAGACTGTTACGCCTTTAATTCAGTTAATTCAAAAAAATAATTAAAAAAGTATTTTTTCGAAAAATTTATCGATGACTTTATCCATGGCAAAATTAGGAAGCCCTCCAGATTTTGCCACGAGTCATTTTTTTATCAAAAAATTTGAAATTTTCTATAAAATTGATTGTAAGTCGATGTTCTGTGGACAATAATCACAGAAAAAGTGAAACTTAAATAAATGAGAACAGACCTGTCGTTTTTGGGCGGCCGGGCCGGGCCAGCCCTTGAAAATTCAAAAAAAGCGGGCTTTTTCGGCCCTCCGGCCCTTCTTTTTTATGAAAGGCTGTTTCAGCCCTTTTTTCGGCCCTTCATAATTTTTTGATGACAATTCGGGATTTTTATAAATGGATGATTTTGCTCAAATTCTCTGCATTTGGGCGACTTTCGTAAATCAGAATAACGTATATTGGTGTTAGTGCACCAACATTTCTTCGAAGAACTGTTTTGGTGCAGGATCGTAATGGTGAAACACATGAATTTCAATAAATATTACTTTTATTATCAATCCATCATTAGAAACACGAAATTCGCCAATTTTCTTCCGCCAAAATGCAAAAATTCGAAAGAAACACCATTGAAAAAAAGTGCATTTACACAATAAAATTTGTTGGAAAGGCCGGGCTGAGCCAGCCCATTTTCCATATTTGGGCTGGCTAGCCCGGCCCTTCACATGGCTGGCCCGGGGGCCGCAAATAGCCGCAAAACGACAGGTCTGAATGAGAAGACTGTTTTGCCTGGGGGCTAACAGCCCCTAGTAATAATAATAAAATGAGGTGATAATTTCTGAAATTCAAATCTGAATTTTTAAAATTCATTTTTTGCCAAATTTTCTTGAATGTCTGCAAATAAAATTTGCAGAAAAGAGTTTTTTTCTGAAATTTCGAGAATTTCTTAACACAGCTAAACCTCTCTTTAACATGAGCAATATTTTTCTAAATTTTGCAATTTTTCAAAGTCAACAATTTGATGAAATAGAGTTTTCGCTCGAAAAATTGGAAATTTTGTGGAAAAACAACAATTTTTATGCTTTAAATTACAAAATTAAAAATTAATACAACAATTTGAATGCATTTGTATTTAATACAGTAAAAAAATTTGGGAAAAAATTTACCAAGGCTTCTAGAATCCCATCACCTCTAATTCTCCAAATTTCCAGCAAATTTCAACCTCTCCAATTCCACAATAATATCTTTCCTCTTATAAAAATGCTCTTTAAAATTCAAAATTTTAAAATCCAAAAATACACCAAGTCTCTCTTCCAATTTCGCCAATCCTTTGCAACTTTTCATAATTTCCTCAAATCCATCAATATATTCTTTATCCATTTTCTTTCTAATTAATTCTCCCAATTTTCCAATTTTTCGAAATTCTCCTTCTTCTTTGATAAATGGCAAAACATTTTCGGTGAATTTTTCAACAATTTTATCCAACACTTCTTCAGTTGTTTTCTTATCCTTATCTTCAATCAATTTCTTCATCAATGCTTCTTTTCGTGGATTTGAAGCAATGAAACTCGCACCTTTTTCATGAATACGAACAAGATCTGCAAAAAAAAATTTGTGAAAAGATTTGACAAAAAAATGAAAATCCAAAAAATTACCAGTCCATTTGAAATTCTTATTAGTTTTCTGACAAATTTTCATATTTTCAACACATTGATTCATTCTCGAATATTCAACACAACAATTTTCACCCTCCAAAATCGAAACTTTCCACATTTTTAAAGTTTTTGCGTTTGGAAGTTTGACAAATGGCAAAGAAACAGTGAAGGCGAACAAAATATTGCAGCGAGTCTGCGAAAAAAATTGAGGATATTTTATATTTTTGGAATTTAGCCAAAAGCAATATGGCTGATTCACGAACGAAAAAATGTTAAAAATCGAGAAGCTTCTGGAGTGATTTCTGATGAAAATGAGCTTTGAAAACCCTATTTTACCTCATTTTTGTGATTTTTTCGAAATTTGAAATTTTGAAAAAAGAAAAATCAGCAAAAATTTCTGAAAAGTGAATTCCAAGGTCAATTTTCCTCAGAAATCACTCCAGAAGATTCAAAAATCCTCGATTTTCATCATTTTTGGCTGAAAAACTAATTTTGACCTACAATGTTTTTATGACAAAGTTGGAAATTTTGGAAAAATCAGGATTTTAGGTGGTGAAAACTAGCTTCAAAAATGATTTGCATGAAAATAATTCCAGAAGCAAGTTTTCAGTTATTCAGGGGTCACTGGAAATGCGTTTTTAGTCAAAAATCATGAAAAATCGAAATTTTTGAAGCTTCTGGAGTGATTTCCGATGAAAATGAGCTTTGAGAACCCTATTTTACCTCATTTTTTCGAAATTCATCAAAATTTGAAATTTTTTATTTTACGAAAAATCAGCAAAGTGAATTCCAAGGTCAAAAAAAAGTATTTGCTGATTTTTCGTGAAATAAAGAATTTCAAATTTCGATGAATTTCAAAATAAGGTCATTTTCATCAGAAATCACCTCCAGAAGCTTCAAAAATATTGATTTTTCATCATTTTTTTGACTGAAAAACTAATTTTGATAATTAGCAAATTTCAGAGCTACAAAAAATGCGTCAGCCTCTAAATTTCAGGTCTGAAGCTTTTCAGGGTACCGAAATGCGTCCCAGGCTCCCAGAATTGTGTCAGCAAACTTCTAGACTACAAAAAATGCGTCAGCAACATTCTGAGCTAGAAAAAATGCGCCAGCAACATTTTGAGATAACGAAAAATGCGTCAGGCTATATAATTCAGGTCTGAAGCTTTTCAGGCTCCCAGAATTGTGTCAGCAAACTTCTAGGTTACAAAAAATGCGTCAGCAACATTCTGAGCTAACGAAAAAGCTTCAGCTAAATTCAGAGCTACAAAAAATGCGTCAGGCTATAAAATTCAGGTCTGAAGCTTTTCAGGCTCCCAGAATTGTGTCAGCAAACTTCTAGGTTACAAAAAAGCGGGTTAGAAATCAATTTTCAAGATTTGCCACGTCATAACTCATGGAAAACATAAATTCCATTAAAAAACCAACATCTTTCTCTTTGTCGCCAAAGAAATTCGAAATCCAATAATTCATCAAAACATATCTCGCTTTCCAACTCTCAATCTCCTTCAAATCTCCCTCAATTTTCAACCAATTCAAAAACATCCTCGCCAAAAATTCAAATTCTCCACCTCCACCCGGTTCCTCCAAAAAATACTCTTCTGTAATAATTTGCAACAAATCCATGAAAAATGTTCGAGGAATCATTTCATCGAATTTATTGTTATGAATAATAGTCAACGGAGTTTCCAAATTCACTTTTCTCAAATAAATCGATTTTTCAGTTTTGAAATTTTTGATGATTATCTCAAGTTCTTCCAATGAAATATAATAACCCGATTCCATATTTTTCAAAATTTCCATCACTTGTTTTCTGATCTTTTTATGCTTCGAACAATTCACATCAGCCACCAAATGTTGAAACAAAAGATATTGTGCTTGCATCCAATGACAAACCATTATTCCATCAGGTCCAACAATTTCCATACAATTATAGCTCATTTTTAATGGAATTTCATTAAATTGTCGAATTACCTGTGCATCTGGCACTAATACAAATTTCGATTTATCAATTTGAAGAATTTCGAGAATTTTTTTCAAATTGTTCCACATCAATTGTTGTATAAGTTTGTGAATTGAACCATTCCATCTCCCAATTTTCGATTTTTTTCTGGGAAAAAAAAGTTTTTTTGATGAGTTACGGTAACTTTTCAGGCTTTCTAGGTTTTCACCTAATTTTTTCAAAAAAAACAATCGATATTCATCTCAAAATTGTCGAAAATCTTCGATCAAAAAATGATTTTATAGCTGAAAACTTCTATTTTTCAACAAAATTCGAATGTTTTTAGCTCAAAAAAACATTTTGAAACGGAAAAATCACGAAAAAACACGAGATTTAGTGTTTTTCCGTTATAAAATATTTATCGAGCTGAATCCATTCGAATTTTTTTGAAAAATTGAAGTTTTCAGTTAGAAAATCATTTTTTGATCGAAGATTTCGTCAATTTTGAGATGAATATTGATGTTTCGAAAATTATGTGTTTTTTTTTTGAAAAAGTTTTTTCCCGGGAAAGTTGAAACTTTGTAAATACCTCTAACAAGATGCAATCGTTTCTCAGCTCTCAAAACACATTTCAAAGCCTCCAAAACTTCTTCACTAAACAAATGCCAAGTTTTCTGATCATCAACTCGAATCGCAGTCAAAATTCTCAATTGAATAGTTCTATGCGGATTCCAACATTGAAAATCAGTCAAACTCTTCAAAGTATTCCAAATTCTTCCGAAATTCATTTGTGCTTGTCTTAAAATATCCATAATTGCTGAAACATAATTTCCACGAATTCCTCCTTTGGCACATTTTCGATTTCTCAAATTCTCCTTGATTTTTTCAAACAATTCTTCGTATTTCGTTTGTTCTGGGAAAAAATCTCGAAGACTTTTATGAATTTCTTCCCATCGAATAACTGTTGTTTGATGAAGATCATCTTTTTGATTTTCTAATCGATCATTCGAGAACTTAATTCCAGTCACAAATCGATGCGCAAATTGACCAACTAATCCATCCATTTCGAATTCACTCAAATAGAAAAATCGTTTAGCTTCCGATGCAAGTTTGATATTTTGCGCTTCATAAATCAAACTAATCAATTCTCGATTCTCGCCTCGAACCGAATCCAAAGAAACATCCAGCGATTTTTGCAAGCAGGTTTCATTGTCATAGAATTTCTTTGCAGAATTTGTGAAAATCTGATATCTCAAGGTGTTGTTATATTTGATATGGATTGCTTGAACATGACTTGCTGTTAGATTTTCTAAGCTTCTGATTGATTTTGGTGCTTTGTTGGCCTTCGAAAAACAATGACATTGAAATCTTGGATAAACTTGACATGCTCTTTGATTATGCATAAATTCCGCGAACTGAAAATATCAAAGTTGAAAAGAATATTAGTTCGTCAGTCGCGTGCGGCTCTGCGTCGCGGTCGGGAAACATTCAATCAATTGGTACCACGCGCTCCACCGAAATAAACACGCAACGCAGACCGCGCCGCGCCACAACACACAAAAAGGGGAGGGAATTTGACTCGTTCCCTTATTTGTGTGTGTTGTGGCGCGGCGCGGTCTGCGTTGCGTGTTTATTTCGGTGGAGCGCGTGGAGATTTTCGATAATAATTCATGTTTTCCCGACCGCGACGCACAGCCGCACGCGACTGACGACTATGAGAACTTTTAAAAATGTTCACGTTGATGAATGAAACTCAAAATGCACATACTTCACAAAAATAAAACTAGACTCTAGTTTCAGGAAAAAAATAAAAGATATATATGGCCGAAGTATTTTGGTGGCCGAGAAATGTCGGGAATTCTGCCAACGCAACAAACTCGCTCTAATGTTGCAAAAATTCTCATTTTTGGAGCGATATCTTTTATTTTTTCAGTTTTTTTTATTTTTTCTGCAATTTATGTTCAATTTTTTATGAAGTAAGTGTATTTTGAGTTTCATTCATCAACATTTGAACATTTTTAGTCGCGTGCGGCTCTGCGTCGCGGTCCAACCGCGACGCAGAGCCGCACGCAACTAATGTTTTTCCATTAACCTTTGGATTCAATAAGAAGAATTGCAATCTCAAGCAATGCTCAAAAACTTCAAAAACATCTCGAATACTCAAATTTCGACATCCTCCAACTTGTTTCCTTCGATAAAACAAAACAAATTTCAAATTCTCCTGATTCAACGGCAAATTCGGTGACAATTTATTGATTTCCTCCCTCGCCTCATCTTCAGTGAACAATAATTTATCCTTGGGAAGCTCATAAATCGGCTCAGTAACATATTGTGCGAGTTGTTGATAGGCCAAGTCAACAGATTCCCCAATTTTTGCTGTTGTAACCATATATTTGTCTTGATGATTTGAGATGATAAATGGAAGTTTTTCGAAAAACTCGAAGACTTTTGGAAGATTTTCTTCACTGACAGCTTGGAAAACTTTCATTCCAGTTGAAATGTGATCAAAGACTTCGAAAAATGCATCGGTTGCTGTTTTACAATGTGAACCATAGGGGGAAATTAGCGGAACTCCGATTTGTCGACTTGTTTTTTTGTAGTCATTTTCGATTACCTGAAATTTCTATTGGAAATGATTGATTTGAAAAAAAAACGTGACGTTCTATTATCGAAAATCTCCACGCGCTCCACCGAAATAAACACGCAACGCTGACCGCGTCGCGCCACCACACACACAAAAAAGGGAGGGAATTTAAATCGTTCCCTTATTTGTGTGTATTGTGGCACGACGCGGTCTGCGTTGCGTGTTTATTTCGGTGGAGCGCGTGGTACCGATAAGATTTTCGATAATAGTTGGATTTTATCTCACCGAAACATCTCTATTTGTAATTTTAAATTTGCCAAGCAATTTTTCAAATTCATCCATTGAAACCGTATAAATAATTCCCTTATTCATTCTCTCCTCATTAGTTTCCACAACAATATTAGTATCATCCCTAGGCATTTTTCGACCCTCATATTTATCAATGAAACCCGCTTTGACAGCTTCTTGGAGCTCTTTTGCGAAGAAAAATGTGTCATCGCCATCTTTTAACATTCTAGTTGTGGCTACATTGTAGTCTCCGAAGCACTGGAAATATAGGATAAGTTCTAGTAGATTTTGAGCGGCTGAAAATGATCCCGAAAATTGCAGAATTCAAAATGAGTTATGACGTGGCAAAAATCGGGATTTTATAATATCGAAAATTAGCTTCAAAAATGATTTTCATCCAAAATCTGATAGAAATTTGAATGAAAATCATTTTTGAAAAGCTACTTTTCAGCTAATTATCGAAAATCTCATCGGTACTCCACGCGCTCCACCGAAATAAACACGCAACGCAGACCGCGCCGCGTCACAACACAAACAACTTAGGGAACGATTCGAATTCCCTCCCTTTTTTGAGTGTGTTGTGGCGCGACGCGGTCTGCGTTGCGTGTTTATTTCGGTGGAGCGCGTGGTACCGATAAGGTTTTCGATAATATAAAATCGCGATTTTTGCCACGTCATAACTCATCTTGAGTTCTGCAATTCTCGGGATCACATTCAGCCGGTCAAAATCTACTAAACTGCTTCAACTTGCGATTTCTAGTAGTTTTTGAGCGGCTGAAAGCGATCCCAGAAATTGCAGAACTCAAGATGAGTTATGACGTGGCGAATTTCGAAAATCGGGATTTTAAAAGCTGAAAATCAGCTTCAAAAATGATTTTCATGAAAATCTGATAGCATGGCGTTCTTCAGGAGGCGAGATACCATAAGTTCCAAGAGGTTCATGTCTACTTATGTTATCTCGCCTCCTGAACAACCCTATGCTATCAGATTTGCTTGAGAATCATTTTCAAGGCTAGTTTTCAGCTTATAAAATCCCGATTTTCGAAATTCGCCACGTCATAACTCATCTTGAATTCTGCAATTTCCAGGATCATATTCAGCCGCTCAAAAACCACTAGAAATATATTTTCACGATTTCCTACCGGAACATTAGGCGTAAAAATTGTTGGGAACTGTTTCAGCAGATGTTTCGTCGATTCTTCATACAAAACCAATTTGATATAGACTCTCTGATAGAATTTTTGATTGACTTTTATAGGGACTCGCTGAAAAATCTATAGATTTCGAAATTTCAGCCAAATTTTATTTCAGGCTGAAATTTTCAGCCAAACCTTGCTATAAGCAGTTAGTTGTTGTTTGAGTTGCTTGAGAAGATGAGCATCGGTTGATTCGTCGAAATGTTTTGAAAATCTCGCATAAAGTTCATCCACATTATATTTCGAGAAGCGGAATTTGCGGCAAAGTTTTCCATTGGCAATCTAGAATGAAAAAAAAGGATTTTGTTTTCTTCGAAAACTGTGTATAAACCTCATTCGCATGATTTTTATAAAAATCTGAACATGATGAGATGACAGCATCCACAAGACAACCCGGAATGATTTCGAAACTTGTCTTCAATTTCTTGCCAATTTGATTTCCCCATTTCATCAAAATAAGATTAGCAATCTCATTTCCATCATCATAAGCATTCGTAAAATTTCGATAAATCACCATAAAAACATCCATTTTTGACATGAATTCTCCTCCAGATTTATCAACTAAATATCTTGGATAACCAAAATAATTATATTCATCTGTCAATCCAAGAAACTTTGCGTTATTTGGGAAATATTGAATTGTAACTAGATCTTCCATGAGTTTCTCAGCTGGACCGTAGACACTCAGCCCGCTGTCTTTTTCGTAGAGTTTTTTGATAATTTTCAAAGCTTGTTTTGAATTAAACACTTCTTTGCTTTGCAAATCACCAAAGTGCTCTCCATCGGAAAATCGCGAGAAGTTCTGAAAATATTGCTATTTAAATTTTTTGTCAAATATTGATTTACCGGTCGAACAACATAGTTTTCTACAACATTCAAGAGCATCGAATTCGTCCATTGGACATCTAACTGGTTGCTTCCCATCTGTCTGGAGAAAATGAGGATTTTCAGCGCAAAACGCGTGTGTTTTTTTGAAATAAAACAAAAAACAACTCAGAGATTCGCTGGCCAGCTCGCCACCAGATCGCTTCGGCCACCTGGAAACCGCATGGCCGCCAGGTCGCCTCGAGTTTTCCGGCGACGTGGCCTGTGTGTTCGAAATCCTGGAAAGCTGGCAAGATAGTGGTTTGTACTCAAAACACTGCATTTTCTACTGTTTTTTCACTTCCTTAGGTTTCAAGTGCTGCGAAAAAACAGAAAATGAGCCAAATTTTTCGAAAATTCCTCAATTCACAAGTTTTTCATACATTTTCATGAAAATTCATTTTGACGAGGCGAAGTGGCCACCACGTGGTAGCCATGTGGCCGTGACCTAGCCAGAGCCTGGCCACTTTGCCAGCGAAAAAAACCGGGCGACATGGTTTCCATGTGGTTCCCAGGTCAGCCAGCCTCCCCACCTGGTGGCGAGCTGGCCAGCGAATCTCTGAGAATTATTTGAAAATGTTTGAATTTATTTTGTGCGCCATTGCAATCGTTGCGAGACACACAAACATTTTCAATGTGTGTGCCTTCGTTACCGTAGTCTTTTCTTCTTTTTCTTTGTTTATGATTAATTTTCGTTGAACTTCAAATTTTATTTAATTACACGGTTAAAACACAACATTTTCTTTTCTTCAGCTCAACCCTTTTTTTCAAAAAAAAAAGATTGACGTTAATCTGAAGTTTCAGCTGTTTAAAACTTGCCAGTCCGAAAATAAACTCCCCGATTTCCAATTCTTTTCATATATGTATGATAAAAAATAAAATTACTTATTTATATCCAAAGAAAAACCCCATAATTTTCCCAGAATTGCTACATTTTCGGATAATTTTTCTCCCACAGATTGGAAGACGTGTTTCGATTATTTATTTGACATTTTCCGGTGTGCACAGAAACAGGCAAATAGCTCAGTGGTACTCAGAAATTTTTTTGTACGCGTTCAGCACACTTTTCGTACCAGTTCAATCCCTTTTCAGTGCGAGATCGCGAGCACAGTCAATTCCAGCACTCAACTGGAGATGAACCGGAACATAAAAAGAACTGAACTAGTACAGAGCGCTTTTTGAGGAACTGACCCGGTACGCGCTTGCTTGCGTCGCTCACTTGAATGTCCTGAACCCGTACACTTTTTTCTATTGAAAAAGGCGCTGTGCGAGCAGAATTTGTACTGAACACGTACACTTTTATGAAACAAAAAATTTATTGATTAATTAATGTCAATTATTTTACAATCTGTAGATTGTTGGTGGGTTAACATGATGGAGCGGCTGTGTAGATTTTTGCCAAGTCGGATTGAGAAGTCGGCTGTAGGTGTTGTTGTAGTTGACTGACTGAAAGAAAATTTTGTTCAAAAATTCAGATTTAAAATGAGATTTATCAACCATAACTATCATACTTCATAAATTATAAGGATTTTTGTAAAGTGTCTTGGAAGTACAGAGGTTTTTTTTCTTGGCTCAAATGTTAGTAAAAAACTTATTTTTTGATCTGCAGTTAAAATATTAAACGCAGTGATGTGACATTTACAAAATTCGGATTAAAAAAACGATTCCTAGGATTTCCTGGGGTTCGTCAAAGAATTATCCCTACTATTTACTGTTTCTCTAAAATCTAATTCTCACAATCCGAAACTTATTCACACTTGGAAAAGTTCTTGAAAATAACTTTTTTTTTTTGAAAAATGAACATGTTCGAATGTTGGATTATTTATTTACTAGGAAGAAAAATTTTCCCAACTTTTGTACAGAAAAGCACAAAAAATATTTCAAATGATAATTTTTTAAAGTGCATACCTTTTCTAATTATCCTTATTTCCAGCCGCGCTTCGAAATTGTCTGCTTTTTGATAGTTGTAGTTGAGGCATCAATCATGCTTGCTCTGAAAGTTTGTTAAATTACAATTAAACGTCGAAATAACCCAAAAAACACAAGAAGAATATTTCGAAAAACAAAAATTGTGAATAAAAAGACGGATTTATATCAGAATGAGATGAATTCAACAAAAAACGATAATAATTATTTTTCTTGAATTAATTTTAAAAAATCACTTCGAAACGACGTTCAATTCCCCAAAAAAACAATGAAAAACAAAAAAAGGCCCAAAATTTTCGAAAACAAAAAATGAGAAATTCTCCTGGAGTTTGGCTGAACCTTTAATTCGCGTCGAGACCACTGTGCTCGTCAAAAAGTACTGAACCAGCACAGCACAAAAATGTGTCGCGTGCAATAACGGACTGTACCGGTACGAAATTATTTCATGTGTGTACGGGTTCAGAACATCTATCCAAACATGACATTTACAAGCCAAGCAGCTAAAAAGACTGAACGTGAACTCGCATAAGTTTGAACGCGTACTCGATAGGAACTGAGCGCGTACAAATGCAAAAAACGTGCTGATCGGGTACAAAAAAATTCCTGAGTAAGAGCGTTGCTTTTGAATCTGAAGGTGGCGAGTTCGATGCCGCATGCGGGCCTTTTGTTTTTATTTTTTTTATTTTAAAGATTTTTTTCCTGTGCCTAAAAATAAAAATAGTTCCTCGTTCTGAATCCCCACAATCACCACGACAATCAAACAAATGTTGATTTCGAGTCGAGGCGCCGCCGAAAATATATAGAAATGCATACTCACACACACACAAAAAATTAGTTTTGGTTGCTAGGCGCACCGCCCACCACAAGAAGAAGCTCGACTCGAATTCTAGCTGTTGCTATATTTCGTGGTTTTTTTCCCGTCTCCCCCTTTTTTTTCCTTTTGTTGTTGTTATACTACATTTTTTGTTCTTTTTTTGCGATGCGATAAAATTTATACTCCACGGCAAAAAAATCGTAGTTTTTTTTTCAGGGATGGCTGAAAGTGTTCGGGTTTGTGTGAGATGTCGGCCGTTCAATCAGAGAGAGAAGGATCTGAATACACAGGTGACGAGCTGCTCCTTGAAGGCCTAGTTCTCAAGTAGCCGAGCCTAGAAAGTTCAATTGTCAAGGGTCAGCGTCTAGAGAGCCTTTATTTGAAGTAACCGCGCCTTGAGGGTTTCTATGTCAAGTAGCCAAGCCTAGAAATCCTAGTTGTCAAGGATCAGCGCTTTGATGTAGATCCTTAATTCTTCTAAGGGCTTTCAAGGGCGTTTAAAGGCTTCTAAGGGCTTTTTAAGGCTTTAGAAAGCTTCTGGAGGCTTCTAGGGCTTTGTGAGGCTTTAGATAGATCCTTAAGGCTTCAAGGGACTTTTTAAGGCTTTAGGAGGCTTCTAAGGGCTTTCTAAGGTTTCTGGAGGCTTCTGGAGGCTTCTAGGGGTTTTTTAAGGCTTTAGATAGATCCTTAAGGTTTCAAGGGACTTTTTAATGCTTTAGGAACCTTCTGGAGGCTTCTGAAGGCTTCTACGGGCTTGTAAGGGCTTTTTAGTGCTTCTGAAGGCTTCTGGAATTTTTTCAAACAAATTTTTCTGAGTTTTGCTTCTCTACCCACGCTTTTCCTCTATTTTATATTTTACCCAAAAAAAAGTATAAAAAGTATCAAAAATAATAATTCTCCATGACCGGAAATGAGTCGGAAATGAACTTTTTTTGTTCGGTAACACGTGTCTATGAAACCGGGGAAAAATGATTTCAGCAATGTGTCGAAATGAATCCGGCAGTCGGACAGGTTACGGTATCAGCTCCAGACGGCGTGAATAAGGATTTCACATTTGATGGCGCTTATTTTATCGATTCGACTGGAGAGCAAATTTATAATGATATCGTGTTTCCACTTGTTGAGGTAAAATGTTCACCGAGAGTTAGGCTAACTCAAAAACAAAATGAAATAAAATTCCAGAATGTAATTGAAGGATATAATGGTACTGTATTTGCCTACGGTCAAACGGGTTCTGGAAAAACGTTTTCGATGCAGGGAATCGAATCGCTGGCCACTCAGCGAGGAGTTATTCCGCGAGCTTTTGATCATATTTTTACGGCAACTTCGACGACGGAAAATATGAAGTTTTTGGTGCATTGTAGTTATTTGGAGATTTATAATGAGGAAGTGAGGGATTTGTTGGGTGCGGATAGTAAACAGAAGTTGGAAATTAAGGTGGGATTTTTTTTAAATATTGCTCAGGTTAGAGTCTAGTTACTGTAATAATTCTTAGAAGATTGCTCAGGTTAAATCCCTAATGTTTGTAGAAAACATTGCTCAGGTTATAGTTTAGGAATCATATTGGTAGAATTTTTAGAAGATTACTCAGATTAGAGCCCAGGAATCTTACTGTACAATTTTCATATGATTGCTCATATTAGAGCCCAGGAATCTTACTGTAATAACTTTCAGAAACCATTGCTCATCTTATTTTCAATTAAATGATTTTTAGAAGATTGCTCAGGTTAAAATCCAGGAATCTTACTGTTATAGTTTGTAAAAGATTGCTCAGATTAGAATGATCTTACTGTATTAATTTTGTTAAACATTGCTCAGGTTAGAGCCCAGAAATCTCAATTCAATAATTTGGAAATCATTGCTCAGGTTAGAGTTCAGTTACTGTAACAATTTGTAGAAGATTGGTCAGGTTAGAGCCCAGGAATCTCAATTTGATAATTTTTTTTTAACATTGCTCAGATTAAACCTCACTTTTTTGCTGACATTGAGCATCTTAAAATTTAGGATTGCTCATGTTATAGCTTTCAAAAAACGTATTTTCCCAGGAGCACGCTGATCGCGGAGTTTATGTCGCCGGTCTTTCAATGCACGTCTGTCACGATGTTCCATCTTGCAAAGAACTAATGACAAGAGGCTTCAATAATCGACATGTTGGAGCAACATTAATGAATAAAGACTCCTCAAGATCTCACTCGATTTTCACAGTCTACGTGGAAGGTATGACCGAAAGTGGGTCAATTCGAATGGGTAAATTGAATTTGGTTGATTTGGCTGGATCGGAAAGACAAAGTAAAACCGGTGCGACTGGAGATCGATTAAAGGAGGCTACGAAAATTAATCTATCATTATCAGCATTGGGAAATGTGATAAGCGCGTTAGTTGATGGAAAATCGAAACATATTCCATATCGAGATAGTAAACTAACAAGGTTATTGCAAGATTCTTTGGGTGGAAATACAAAGACAATTATGATTGCTTGTGTTAGTCCAAGTAGTGATAATTATGATGAGACATTGAGCACTTTGAGGTATGCAAATCGGGCGAAGAATATTAAGAATAAACCCAAGATTAATGAAGATCCGAAGGATGCGTTGTTAAGAGAATATCAGGAGGAAATTGAACGGTTGAAGGCTATGGTTCAACCGGGAGGTGAGACATTTTTGAAAAAAAACATTTTGCATAATCGAAAACGCCAGCCTTTTAAATATTATGCGGTGTTCAAAGCAGAAAAAAACGTCGAACTGTCTGCTTCTCTCGTTTACACACACTATTTCTCTGTTCGTTGCGAGACCCGTTTAGAAAAATGAAAAAAAAACGCGAGCTTTGTACGTTTTTTCTGCTTTGGACGTGAAAAAAAATATTAAAAAAAAAAAAATTATATACCGTAGTTCTTTTTTCGCGACGAGACCATGTGTGTGTTTCAACTGTTGCGCCTTTCAAACACTACGGTATTTTTTGTTTTTCCGGTTTTGCGAGGTTTTTGCATGAAAAATCGAAGAATTAACCCCGTTTAAAGCAAGAAACACCTTAAAAAACGATTTTCAAGTGTTTTATTGAGGAAAAACCTATTTTTCGGTAGAAAATTACGAAAATCGATCTAAATTAGTTCTAATTCACTTTTCTCAGTTGAATTCCTCAGGAATAGCCACCAAAACCGCCATTTTTGTTGTGAATCAAAGGCGCATCGATTTTTGAAAGATGTGTGTCTCGTAGCGACGAAACAAAGACCAAATTTAAAAAATTTTTTCAGCAATGACCCATCAACAACAAGCGCAGTTTAACATCGATGAGGAGCGCAGAAAATTGCGGGAAGAATTCGAAGAAGCGATGAATGACTTGCGAAGTGATTATGAGAAAGAGCAATCGAGCAAGGCAGAGTTGCAGAAGGATTTGGAAGCGTTGAAAATGGAATATGAGCGAGCAAACGCGAATCTCGATAATCTGAATCCGGAAGATGCGGCAAAAAAGATCCAACAATTACAAGATCAATTTATTGGGGGAGAACAAGCTGGAAATACACAATTGAAGCAAAAAAGGATGAAACAATTAATGGAGGCTGAGACGAAAACTCAAAAATTGGCAGCCGCTTTGAATGTGCACAAAGATGATCCACTTTTGCAGGTTTATAGTACGACACAGGAGAAATTGGATGCAGTTACGAGTCAATTGGAAAAAGAGGCGAAGAAATCGAAGGGTTTGGAGAGAGAGATTGAGGATTTGCATGGCGAGTTTGAATTGGATCGGTTGGATTATTTGGATACAATTAGGTTTGTACTTATTTTGAGTTCAAAAAAAAATTCACAAAATATTGTTTTCCTGGCTAATTTTAGACATTCCCAGAGGTTTTTCCATGAAAATTCTCTTTTTTTTCCCGAAAAAAAGAAAACAATTGCAAAAAAATAAAAAGAAAACAACGAGACTCCGCGTTGACGTTGCATGCGCGCGCGGTTTGAATTTATGTTTTTTCAATAGGCTTTCATATTTTGGCGAAAACTTTTCAAAATTTGCTGAATTTTTGCATCGAACTAGACTATAGTTGAACTAAGCTAAATCTAAAATGTTTGACAATGATTTGTTATTTAAAAGTGGGGTGTCCGGTCAATAACTCAAAAAAATAAAAAGAAAACAACGAGACTCCGCGTTGACACATGCGCGTGCGGTTTGAATTTTGAATTTTTTATTTCATATTTATTTAACGAAATGAGCTAAATTTTTCATCAAACTAGACTATAGTTAAACGAAGATCGTATTTTTGCAGAAAACAAGATCAACAACTCAAACTCTACATGCAAATAATGGATAAAATCACGCCAATCATCAAAAAAGACACCAACTACAGCAACATTGATCGAATAAAAAAAGACGCGGTGTGGAATGAGGATGAAAGTCGCTGGATATTACCGGAACTTGCCGTAAGTCGAACCGTCCTTCCAAGTGCCACAAATGGACAAATGAGCGGCGTGGGAATTGTGAAGAAGGAGTCGACGTTGTTGCGAGCGTCGTATGATGATAAATTGAGGGAGCGGTTGGCGAAAAGTGATTCGGAAAATTTGGCGAATAGTTATTTCAAACCGGTGAAACAGTTTAATGTGCTCAATAAGTATAAAGGAGATCAGAATAATCGATTGAGTGAGTTTTTGCTTGACTAAGCCTAAGCCTAGGCCTAGAATATTTATTAAGCCTAAGATCTTGGCTAAGCCTAAGCCTAACATAAGTCAAAAAAAATCCTAAATACTTCACTAAGCCTAAGCCTATCGAAAAAAATCGGCCCGAGGTTTTTTCAATAAAAAATTCTTTCCCGCCCAAATAAAAATTTTGATTTGGGCGTGAATTCAAAATTTCCAAAAAAAAAAATTTTTATCAAAAATCAAAATTTCGAATTTTTAACACCGATTTTTCCGCCTTTACTGTTACTTCTAGGTGATTTACTAAGCCAAATTAACAAATTAGCTAAGCCTAAGCCTGACAAATGAGCTAAGCCTTAGTTAATTAGCTAAGCCTAAGTTAATCAGCTAAACCCAACAAATGAGCTAAGCCTAAGCTCTTGTCTAAGCCTAAAAGCCTAAATGGTCTAAGCCTATATTTCCAGACACCCGATCCTATTTCCCCAATAAATCTTCGACATTCGACGGACTTGTAAATGGTGTTGTATATACGGATGAGATTTTCGATCGTGCACAATCTGCAAAACGTCCAGCTCGCCTGGCAGCTATTCAGAAATAACATTTGTGATTTGATTTGTCATCATTTTGGTATACGGGTTTTTTTATTCATTAACAACATATCATTTTTAAAAGTACATATTTATTTACTCATTTTTTGGTTTAACAGAAAAAATCTGTGCAAAAATCCACCTAACAAAAATCAACAAACTAATCACAAACATACAAGTTAGGATAACTCCATAAACAACTAAATCAATATTGAAATATTTCGACAGGGTGAACGATTTCGACGCGGAAGTCCATCGTTTTTGCGGTCCGAATTTACCGGCGAAATTGATGACGTCACGAATTTTCTCCTGCGGCGAGACTCTTTCGGTGGCAAGGATTTCGGCGAGTAGCACCGCTGATTGTTTGTAGCTGGGGTTTTCCAAGGCTTCGCGAATTGTTGCGATTAGTTTTGGCGTTTTTGCGAGGTCCATTTTATCGTAGATCACGGCTGGAAATATAGAAAAATCAGATTTCTTCTTAAAAATGAGTTTTTTTCCATTAAAAAAATCTTACCTGCTCCATGCCTTTTCGCAATTTCCGCATTTCTCATTTGATCTCCGAAAATTGGAACTATAACCAAAGGAACACCTTTCTGTGCACTCTCCATCAAACTTCCCATTCCACCATGTGTCCAGAATAATGATAAACGTGGATCAGCTGAAAAAAAAAGAAAAAAAGTTATGCGCCGGGTGTGGGTCGAACCCTGCAAAACCGGCGCGCACGCTCGGCACATGTGCTATCCACTCGGCCATGCGGCTCGTTTTTCATGCAGCCAAAAATGTCGCCTATAAAAATGCGCTGCTCACCTAACAAATCATTTTGTGGCATCCACTTGGCAGTCACCACATTCTCAATACCAATCGGATTTTGCGAATCATCAAACTTCAACACAAACGTAACATCTGGAAAAGCGCGGAACGTGTCGAAAATCGAGCTCTTGACATTTTCGGGCATTGTATTCGGCGATGCAATTGAGCCGAATGAGACAAGCACCGTCTTTTGTCTTCTGTTCATGACAGAATTCCAATAATCGTCGAGTGGTTTCGTTTTTGACACAGAAATTCCGGCGATTTCAACAATGTTGTGAGGAATTGGTTTGGGAAAGTCGAAGATTGGATCGGAATTCACGAAGAACCATGTGATGTCGGACACGAGGTCCTGAAGAGATACAGGTTTTTGAGGAGCCTAAGGTACCGACTAAGCCTAAGCTTAGCATCTTCGTTAAGCCTAAGGTATTGGCTAAGCCTAAGTCTAAGATCTTGCCTAAGCCTAGGCCTCAGATCTTATTAAAGCCTAAGGTACTAGCTAAGCCTAAGCCTAAGATTTTAGCTAAGCCTAAGCATTAGATCTTAAATATATTTAAGTCTAAGCCTAACACGGCCTAATTAAGCCTAAGATCTTGGCTAAGCCTAAGCCTAAGCCTAGAAGAATCTTGATTAAGCCTAAGGTATTGGCTAAGCCTAAGCCTAAGATCTTGCCTAAGCCTAAGCCTAGAATCTTCATTAAGCCTAAGGTATTGGCTAAGCCTAAGCCTAAGGTATTGGCTACGCCTAAGCCTAAAAGAAATCTTATATTGAGCCTAAAGCAAGCTTCTAGCTTGCAAACATGAGCAACGCCCAAAAACCATTGCTCAGATTAGAATTTTTCGTATTTCGAATAATATGAATTTACAGTGTTTCAAAATTCCAGCATTGCTCATATCAAAAATTTGTTGAAAATATTCCAAATTCGCCACGTCATAGCTCATATGCATTACTCATATTAAAAGTTGTCACGTCATAACTCACCCATAGATTTGGCGCCAGTTTCTTCCCAAAATGCTCATCCACCGCCTTCTGAACATAACCCAACAATTTATCCTGAAATTTGTAAGACCAATATGTCATATAGATATTGTACACCCTGGATAAAATCGATCCGGAGTCATCGGTAAAAGTTTGCGATCCGGGAACAAATGAGGGAAGAATCGGAGCACCAGTGGCGAGAAGAGTTCCCTCAAATACACTAGTTGTATGCACACCAATCACATTCTTCAAATCGATCGCGTGAAAAAACGCGACACCACTGAAATCAAACAATTCCGTTAGGCCAATATCAAACTTCTCATTTTTCATCGAATCAATCAATTTTGCATCATTCAACATTAGTTTTGTATTCAAATACGATGTGATTCCAATAAAATCAGTTGACCACATAATTCCTTGTTTTGAATTTGCAGAATGTGTCCATAATTGAGCAACAACTCCACTCTTAGCTGCTTCTTTGTTGAATGCAACAACTTCTTCATTCGGTGGAACTAACACGACTTTCGCTAACTTTGTGCCATTACCAGCTGCCTCGTTGGCAATTGGCATTAGGAAGGTCTATAATGGGGTGATTCAAGTTGAAAAAAAAATTAAAAAAAAACTTTTTTTGTTTTTTTTTATATTTAAAATTTTTTTTTAATTTGTAAAATTGTTTTTTTTAATTCAAAATTTTTTTTGTAAAAAAACGTTTTTTATTATTTTTTTTCGACTTGAATTAATTAAAAAAAAAGAAAAAAATGTGAAATTTTCAAGCAATCCCAAAAATGTACAAAATGTACGAAATTGAAATTTTTTTTTAATGAATAAAAAATTTTTGTTCGAATTTTTTGTACATTTTTAATGCTCGATGACAATTGTACAAAAATTAGACTATATTTTCAAAAAATTTTTATATTTTATAGTCTATAGTCAGGTACAAAAAATTGTCATCGTTGCAAATTTGATGGAAGGTCATTTGGATTATTTTTGAAAACTAATTAGAGAATTTGATGAACCGAAACAACATGTGATTGGAAAGTTTTTGGACAAAAAACTATGAAAAATGTCAAGTAGCCGCGCCTAGAGAGCCTAGTTGTCTAGAGCTAGAATCTGAATATCATCACTGTGAAGGAGCCGCGCCTAGAAATCCCTGTTGTCAAGTAGCCGAGCCTAGAGAGCCTAATTGTCTAGGGCAGGCATCTACAGATCCACTATGTCAAGGCTGCGCACCTTGAGAATGTATAAGAGTTCGAGCCGAGATAGCCTAGTTCTCAAGTATCCGCGTCTAGAGAACCGGTATCTCAAATAGCCGCGCCTTTAGAGTGTCTACACCAAGGGTCCAAGCCTAGAGATTCACTCTGACAAGGAGCCGCGTCTTGAGAATGTGTATGTCAAGGTTCCAACCCTAGAAATCGCAGTTGCCAACTCACCACCTCATGCCCCTGCTCTACCAAAATATCGGCTAATCGACCCATCGTCTGAACATGACTATAACCAAACATCGGAATACACACAAGAATCTTAAAGGCACAACAACAACTCGAAAATAGTGCTAATATGAGCAATGACAGCCGCATTTTTTCTGAAAAAAATTTTTTCAACAAAAAATAAAGTAGACCTTGAAAAGTAAAATGCTAGAATTAAAATTGGTCAGGTGAAAAATGCGTGGCAAAAAATTGGGGGGTTGTTATTTTAGTTAACTAAGTCGGTGAGAGAGTTAGAGACGCAGAGAACACAACTAATTGAAAGGTGTTGTTTTGCTGATAACGCAAATTTATAGATAAGGTGTGAGAATTTTCAAAGGACACAGAAATTATTGCAAAGTTAGCCGAAGTCAAAATAACAAAGTGCGCGGGGAAAAAATTGTGAAAAACTATGTCAATAATGATTTGTACCAGACAAAAAACTTTTTTCAAATATTTGTTTTCAATGGATGTTTGACACCATGTTTTGGAGATGACTTTTGTTCGATGGGAAAAAAAAATGCGGTTCAAAATTCAATCTGAGGCACTCGGGTTCGATCCCGCTTGCGAAAAATTTTTTTTTTTTTTTGTTTTTTCTCAAAAAAAAATATTTTTCGACGTGACCTAGGAAAAACCAAAAAAAAAAATCCCTATAAAAGCATAGTTTTTGAAATGTTCGCTCACTTTTTCTTTGATTTATCGAAATAAAAAAATGACATCGACATACCAAAATCAAAAAGAACTTATCAATGCTCAAAATGGAACATATGAGGTGATAAAAGCGATTGCGACTGGTAATTTTGGATCGGTTTATAAAGCGAAACGTGAGCAAGATGGCAAAGAATTTGTCATCAAATGTGAATCATTGAAAATGAAGAGTTCGGTAAGATACTGTAGAAATACTACAGTATCTATATCGAACAAATGATTTTTCAGCTTCTTCGTCAAGCTTCAATGGTTTTGGCATCATTGAATTATCCATCACCATATTTTATGTCAATCGAAGAACGTGGCACGGTTCCATTTCGATTTCTATTCGTTGTTATGCCATTATATGGTGAAAATTTGATTGAAGTTATGAACAATCAATGTTCGAATAAGAAGTTTAGTCTTGCTTCGGCTTTGCATTTGGCTGAACAATCATTGTCGGCGATTCGAGATTTGCATAGAGTTAGTTTTGTTGGAAAATTTCTGGAAAATTCAGGAATTTTTGGTTTTTTTAGAGAAAGTGTTTGGTAGAAGTAATAAAAACCACGATTCGATAAAAAATATACAAAATTTTTGAAACCTATTTTTTCGGGCTCAAAAAATTCGCGCGTTTTTTCATGAAAATGTGATTTTTGGGGACTTAGCTCAGTGGTAAGATCATTGTTTTTAAATCTGAAGGTGACGAGTTCGATTCCGCTCGCGAACATTCAATTTTTATTTTTGGTTTCAAAAAGAAAAAAAAAAGTTGAAAGGTCGCATGCGGCATCGAACTCGCCACCCTCAGATTCAAAACCCAGCGCTTTACCACTGAGCTATTTGTCTTTTTCTTGGCAGACCGCAAAATATCCAATAAATAAACGCAGACCCCAAAAATCACATTTCCATAACAAAAGCGGGAATTTTTGGGTTTCAAAAAAATCAATTCTTTCGAATTTTCAGAACGGTTTCATTCACCGTGACATCAAACCAACACATTTTTGCATTGGCCTCGAAGAAAACCAAACAAATCATCAAATATTCCTGATCGATTTCGGTCTCTGCCGCCGTCCACGATATGCGAAAGGCGATGAAAACGAAGAAATGATTCGCAAAAATTCGATTTTGTATCGCGGAGTCGTCAGATATGCCAGCCTAAACGCTCACGCAAATAAAGATCTTGGCTATCGCGATGACATGGAATCGTGGTGGTTTATGTGTCTCGAATTGTTCATCGGCAATCTTCCATGGGGTCTATTGAATAAACAATCGGAAAAAGATGTGATTAATCTGAAGACGAGTCTGAATGATCCGAATGTTTTGAAACCGGTTTGGAAAGTTCCGCCCGCCGCCATTACTGTATTTTTCGACATGTTGCGAACAATTCGAGCAACTCCTGATATTGCAGATTTTGTTGAGTATGATCGAGTTGCCGAAGGGCTTCGTGCCATTTTCGAAATCACTAAAACAAATCCACTTGAGCCACCAGATTGGGATGGAATGTCTGATTATAAAGGACCAGCTTATCAATCAATCGCAAGTTTGTTCTTAATTAATTAATTAATTAATAACTTAGTAATCAAGTGTTTTTAGTGATTCCACCAGCTGAAGTTGGAATGAAAGAGCAAGATTTTGCACAAGGCGAAGGGAATCTGAACAATAAGGAAAATCAGAATCAGGACAACAAAAAGGCGACGAAAAATAATAAGAAAAAGACAAAAAAATCGAAAAAGAATAAAGGAGACAGAACTCGAACTGAAGATAATGATGAAAATGAGGGAAATGAAACAAAGGATAAGAAAAAAGGAAAGAAGAAACATGGAAAAAAGAATAAGACTATTGAGGAAAATTAGGAATTTATGAAGATTTTTGTGTTTGAGTTGAGAAATTTCCCAAAAAAAATTCATATTCACAAGTTTAAAGCATAAAATTACTCGTCTTTCAAATCTCCGATAAATGTGCATCTCGGATATTTAGCTTTTAAACCAGGCCATTGCACCAAAACATCATCAATCAGGCCCGAATAATACAAAATTGCTGCGGACATTGAAAGTTTGTTGACTCGACAAATCGATTCTTCATAAATGATTGTTGTGTCGGAAACGCGAATCAAATCGAAAAATGCGGCGGCGAATGCGATTGGAATACAAGTTCCTGGACCATTGAGAACAACAAGATCTGGTCTGCAAAATTCTTTAATTTCAGTAAAATTTTTCAAAAACTCACCGATTTCTGTAGACAACTTCAAATGCGAAATATGTTGCATAAATTGTTGAGAAAATTGAGGAAATGTATGATTGCCCAACTTCTCGACTTCTTGGAATTCTCTCGAAATTCAACAATTCTCCATCCAAACTTCGAGCCTTATCTTCGCTCATTTTATCCGTTTCCGCAATTATATACACACGATTTTTATATTGTGGGCCTAACTCTTTGATCCAGTTCCAGCATTTCTGTTGTATGCCCTCCAGATCCAAGGACTGCCAAAGTTTTTAACTGAAAAAATTGATTTTTTTTTGTTGAAACCCGAAAAACGCGTTTACCTCATGTTTTTTCTCTTTGTGCTTGTTGGAATGATTCGAATGTCGTACAAGAAATGTCAAATAAGCAGTTGCAATAAGAACACCAAATAGAATAATCGCGGTTACCAGAAAAAAGATGAAAAACATTCGCAAAAAATAAAAAAAAAGTAAAACAACGATACTCCGCCAATGACGCTGCCTTTTTTCTTTATTTGAAAATTATTTTTTTCGCGGAATTTTGAATTTTCCACATTTTCTAGTCTTTCCGGATGAATACAATTGCTCGACGATATTTGGCAAGGATTGTGAAATCGAGAGAGATGAAAACACCACCAAAATATCCGATTTTCCGAAGAAAACCTTCGAAATCAGCAATGGAAATTCGACAAAACCTGGGCCAATTCATCCAGTGCAGGTATTTAAGTTTATTTTTTGAAAAGAAATGAAAATATTTCCTGGGGATGAGAAAAAAACATGAAAAATGAATTTTGTAATCGTTTCGAGACCAAAAAAAAGCGCGGGAAAAGTGTTTTTCAAAAAATTCCACGTTTTCTCTGCGTCTCTCTCTCTCTAGAATTCCCCGATGATTTCCACATAATTTTATATTACTAATACTAATAATAATCATGATCATACGATTTGCGCTCGCAAAATCATGAGCTTTTGATATTTTTCGTTCTCTCTACGTCGTGCCTGATAATCAGAGGCTAGAATTATGTATTCCAACTTGTTATTAAATTTATTTATCGCTCGCACGTTTTTTTTTCCGATTAGTTTTTGATATTTTTGAGGAGAAAATGTGCTTTGACACAAAATTATTCAGATTTTTGCACAAATTTTTGCATTTTTTGTCATGAATATCATTTTGAAAACGTAATTTCTCAATTTCAGAACTCATGTTTGATCCAAATACATCGCATATTGATGAAGTGAACAATTCAATTTCGGGAATTTTATCGATCTTTGGAAATCTATCATTGATCTATGCCACTTCGAAAGTCAAGATTTATTCAAATTCAGTGAGAAGATCACAACTCTTCACAGCTATTATTCGAATATTATTCTCAATTACAGTATGGCTAGGCTCCCCAACTATGGCGTATATTGTAGAAGCCCGTGCTGTTTATATTGTAGAAGGTGGATTTGATTCAATGTTTTTTTAATATAGGTGAGATTTTCTGTCGAAAATTCTAACCAAAAAAAAATAAAAAAAAATTGCCGTCCGCAGGGTTCGAACCTGCGCCCTCCTGAGAGGACTGCGACCTGAACGCAGCGCCTTAGACCACTCGGCCAGAACGGCTATGAATTCACACACACAAACTTTTACAGGCAGTGCTGTGCTTATCGCTTTTTTGACTTTTGTCATTTTTTCGTGTTGTGGACCGCCTGTGCAATTTTTACAAGCGACACATATCATTTTTCAGTGAGTGGGACAGGTTTGAAAATGATTTTTGGAAAAAAACAGCATGTGCGCTCTATCGCACACATTTTTTCATCCCCAGAAAAATATTTTTTCCTGAAAATATTTAATCTCTCGAGAAAAAACGGAAAAAATTGCAAAAAAATAAAAAGAAAACAACGAGACTCCGCGTTGACGACACGTTTGCGCGCGTGGTTTGAATTTTTGTATTTTTTTCACTTTTTTACGGGATTTCATGTTTCAGTGAAAACTTATCTGAATTTTTTCATCAAACTAGACTATAGTTGAACCAAGCTAAATCTAAAATTTGAAAACAACAAAAAATAATTTTTAAAGCATTTATTGGTCAAAAACTCGAAAAAGCATAATTTCCATCAGTTTTCTTCTAAAAATATTGAAAAGTTGTCTCAGAAATAGCTTTTCCATAGAAATTGTAATTTTCCCCTAAAAAATTTTAAAAAAACATTTTTTTTCAAAAAATTAAAAGAAAACAACGAGACTCCGCGTTGACGACAGGGTTTCGCGCGCGGTTTTTTTTTAATTCAAAATTTTTTGCTCCAAATTTCTAGATTAAAACACGCTTCCCTTGCTCAATCAATTTACTACACCATACCTTTCATACTCACCATACTTGTAACAATCTTATCCTATTTCGCATACTGGCCAGATTATTATGACGTCATTCTTTCCAAAAACTATGTCTATAATATAAATGGTGTTGGCCATTCTGAATATCTTATAGCCTCGCTACAAGCCTTCAACTATAATACATATACATTTTCACTTGATATCATTTCAATAATCTGTACAGTTTATATTATTTCAATTTTCTTCTCTTCTACGATCATCGTTATTATCTGTTTTTCTGCTGATCGAGAAAAAGATTCGGAAAAGAAATCCAAAGCAAAACATCAATGAAATCTCAACAACAATTAAATATCGTGTTATTAGTCCAATTCACCCTGCCATTTCTAACAATTCACATCCCATTTTATCTAACTTTTATAATGCCTCTTCTAAATATTTCATCAACTGAATTCTCAGTTTATCTTCCATTTTTATATTCCTGGTGTCCGGCATTGAATCCGATTATTGTATTGATTATGGTCAAAACTATTCGGGATAAGATCTTGCATCCGGGAAGATCTTCGCAAGTTCAATCGATCATTCACATCAAACAACATACTTGAATTTCGTCAGTCGCGTGCGGTTATGCGTTGCGGTTGGGAAGCGACGCACAGCCGCACGCGTTATTGTTTACGGTGGTCACATTTTTATAATATTCATTTATCATTCACATATGAGTCAACAACCAACCCGCAAAATGATTGAATTAAATTAAATCAGTAATAAATTGAATTATGAAGGTTGTTCAGAAGACAATCGATAAATCGTATATTCATTTTTCGCTTTTTGTTTCGTCCAACTCGCTGGCAAAGCTTTTGCCAAAAATGTGAAAGCGATTGTTGTTGCAACAACACTTACAGCCAGGAAATAGAACACTCGTGACCATTCATCTCGCGAATTTGTTGGAACTACTGCTTGAACTCCTAATGGGATTAAGATTTGAGCAATTCCGGCGACGACCATCAGAACGTTTAGAGCGAAATGAGCGTGTTGAACTGCTCGCTGGAAAAAGTGAGAAGAGAAAAATTGTTTTTAGGTAGAAAAATAAATCAAAGTGCTTACAATTTGAATAGCTCTGCTGCAAATAACCGGCACAAAAAAGTGCAACGATGCAAACAACATCATAAAAAACAACGCCAGCACTCGATTATCCAAAAATCCCGTGAAAAACAATGACAAAGCACTGAACGCCTCCAACACAATCAGCGGAACTGTCAGCTTGACCTTATCGCTACACCCGAAATTATGATCTAATAATTTTCCCCCAACAATCTTGATGAAAATCGCGATTAACTGAGGAATCGCTGAAAAATATCCAGTCTGTCGAATTGTGAAGTGTAGAACTTGTTTGATGAAGATCGGAGAATAGGATTGATAGACTATCATTGCTAGGTAGTATCCGGTGAACATTATCAAACTTATCCAAACTGTCAAGTCGCTTAGGAGTGATTTATAAGGAACATTTTCTTTCTTATGGGTGTCATGTTTGCCAGCAAGAATGTATTTTTTCTCGTCTTCTTCGAGAAATCTACAAAACATCTATTGTTTGACCGTGGAAGAGAAAACCAAAGGCTTTTTCTCTTCCACAATTTTTCTTGAACTTACTTATTATTCTGCACAGAATCGCTATACAAATAGGCGAACAATGAGCTGAACACAAATGTCAGAAATCCCAATACATAATACGTGGATTGCCAGCCGAAAAATGAGGACGAACACATTTCACCGCCAAGAATCATTGTGAAAAGTGGGCCGAATTGTGAAGTAGCAAGCATTATTGAGAAGAAGAAGGCGGATTCGGCGTGCGGAGTCCAGCGGAGAACAAAATCGTTGGTGAAATGGAGTTGACTGGCTTGTGCGAAACCCTGGAAACACGGGTTTTGGAATGTTGAACTTTTTTTACTCAACACTTCAAATCTTAATGAAATTTTGTCCATAGACAGCTTCCGGAGTCATAAGAACACCCTAAAATTTTTTAAAAGGACTTCTGAGCCAATTTCTGGACTCTAAAAAGTTAGCATAACTCTACCTCCGATGATTTTTTTTGTGAAAAACTGAGTATCAGATAATGATCAGCGTGGTCGATTTACCCAAAAATCATTTTTTTTTTCATCAAAAAAAAAAAAATTTTTTTTCGAAAAACTATTTTTTATTAGTGTACTTTTAGTAAATCGACTATGCTGATCAAAATCTGAAACATTATTTCTCCCAAAAATTATTTTTAGATGGAGCTATGATGACTTCTTGGTTAACTAGCGAAATCAGGAAAATTTTTTTTTAAATTATTTAAAAATTAATGAATTTTAGGGCTCAATTTCCTGTAAATTTCGAAAAAAATCATTTTTTTCCTCACAAGATTGTCAGAAAAAATTGTTTAAAGTTTATAATAAACTATAACTTCAAATGATTAAATTCGAAAAAAAAAATTTAAAAAAATTTTTTTTACAAAAAATTTTTTTTCGACTTGAATCTTATTGATCAATTTTAGGTCTAAATTTCCTGTGAATTTTGAAAAAATCACCTTTTTTCCCAAATAAAAAAAATTGTTTAAAGTTAATTTAACCTTTTTCTTTTGACAAAAATACATCTCGGTGTTTTTGAAAGTTCTAGAAAACCTTCAAGGAGCACTGAAAAAAAATTCCTGAAATTCCCAGAATTTTCCGAATCCGAATCTACCCAAGATCCATTCCTGTTCCAAACTCACAGCAAAAAATCGGCAAACCAAAGCCGGCCAAAATCCCAAACTATCAGCTAATGGATATAGTAACGAACTAAGTGCCGACATCAAACCATACGCAAAAATCAGCACTCGATTGCTCAAAAAGTGTGAAAGATAAAAAGGCAACGGCCCCACACACATTCCAATCGCCGTCGCTGTAAACATCCATGCCAAATTCAACGTGTCCATCAGATAGTACTCGGGATCAACTTCAATGAATGCACCGGTATCATTTCCGCCTTGCTGACAAATTACGGTAAACCCAAAGACGACTCGATTACTGTAGACGAAGGTCATGGAAAGAGTGGCGATGGCGAGAAGGTAGAATCGAAAGTTGCGCATTTTTTCGGGAGAGAACAAAAAAATTGTGAAGTGTGTGTTTTTTTGGTTGTCAGCAGGCAATGCTGGCTATTTTGCATAATCCAGGAGAACTTTGAAGTAGATCAATTTTTTTTTTGGAAAAAAAATGATGAAAAATGATTCTTTACACTTTTTGTGTGATATTTGATGCTGTTTGTTTCTTTGAAATTGAAAAAAATCAACAAAATTGTTTCAAGATGAAAAATGGCTCATTTTCGATGGCGTAAACGCGGAGCATCGTAATTTTCCAGCTTTATTCATTAACAAAAAACACTTATAACATCATAAATTCATATGAACAAGGATATTGTCTCCCTTTAATTATTTCCATAATCTCCTCATTGACTTCGAGTTGAACATCAAGTCCTCCAAGTTTCCCCGAAAATTGCCAAAAATAAATTCTGATTTTCGAATCATAAAACAGTTTTTTAATAGAATATAATGGTGGATCTATGATTCTTTGGAATCTCACACCATCGTGAATTTCCATGATTGTTAAGTTGAACTTGGATAGAAATTGAGATTTGTCTATGAATCCACCATCACAAGTTTGAAATCGCATAGTATTTGCGATCTTATCTTCGTAGCGAGTGTTATTATAATGAACAAAATTGATTGCTAATAGTGCTGCGGAAGTTTTCAGAATCGCATTGTCTGGATGACAATTGTGTTCGATAGATGATTGAAGTTCCCAATTTTTTTGATCGCCCGAAGTTGTCCTAAAATCAACACGATGTTTATTCGTATATTCCACCATAAACCAATAATACACTTTTCCTCCATTCTGATCATCATCATTTTCAAATCCAGCATCAATCAATTTCGATTCATTCAAAGATCTCAACATCTGATCTTTCCTTTCCTTCGTAAATCTTAGAGAATCACCTTCACAATCTTGATATTTAAAATTCTTCGCAAAAACATCTTGGCCATCGACGATTTTTTGAATGAATTTAACCGTAATATTATAGGGAAAAAAGTTGCGATAAGTCAATTCTTGAAAATCGAAATTTGCCTGAAATTGCGGCACAAAAATAGAAATCGAGAAAAATATAAGAAGAAGGGTGTTCATTATGCAGCGAAAAAACATACATAAATGAGAAAAAAAGTTTCACATGTCAAATTACAAATTGGGGCATGGGAATCGTTTATTGCATTAAAAAAAACATCAAAACCAATTTTTGAACTTTTGAGAGACCAGAACTTGGCAAATCTCCAAATAAATTGCCACAAAAATAGAAAATTTTCATTTTTACAACGACACTCCGGAGTTCCGGCTTGCCCGCTGTTTAGCGAAACACGAGAATATTTTCATTTTTCACCGGGTTTCCGGGGAAAATCAGTGGATTTCAGTCAAAAATTGAATTTTGCAGATGTGGACAATTGGATTTCAATGTCAAAAATTGGAGGATTCCGATGATTTTTGTGGAGATTTGAGAAATAGAAGCGATTGGTGAGTTTTTTGGGGAGGGATTTCGGGAAAATTGAAAAACATCTGTACCTCATGTGCTGAAAATGCTTAAACTTTCAGTTTCAACCAGTTTTTGTGAAAAATTACCCTGTATTATCGGAAATCTCAACGCTACCACGCGCTCCACCGAAATAAACACGCAACGCAGACCGCGTCGCGCCACAGCACAAGGGAACGATTAAAATTCCCTCCTTTTTTGTGTGTGTGTGTTGTGGCGCGGCGCGGTCTGCGTTGCGTGTTTATCTCGGTGGAGCGCGTTCGATAATATATGATTAATTAAAAATAATTTTTTCTAATCAACTTGAACATCCAAGCATTCTTCTCCTCTATCATGCATCTTTCTGATTGCGCTATTTACTTTTCTCCGAACTTTGACAAACTTGTCAATAAAGTGATCGACAAGTATTCTATCCGGTAATCCTGGCTGACGTATAGCTTCAAATGAACGTTTAAACATCGTTCGTATCGTCGGAAATCTCGCATCCAAAAAGGCGATCCCAGACATCATATTGTTCTCCAGCAAGTAAAAGCTATCAAGACTTCTTTCCAACGAGCGAGGTTCTCTCAACTCGTAGTATGCTTCGATGGTCGGTGTGGCCGAAAGCTCGTCTTCACTCGGTTTGGTATCGTTAAAGTGTTGCCACGGTGGCGGTGGGGCAAACCCGAGTGCCGCACGCAATTCACCGAGACCTATTGTGGCCACGCTTTCTCTCATCAAATACACGCCGAATGATGATCGCGCTACGCCGTGCCTCACAATGTTGCCCGCTAGCTGTTCGTAGTTTTGAGAGGTTAGACAGGTAGCGGCTATCTTCGCCAGTTCGACGTCGACGTCGAATAGTGATGATCTGTTTTCTTCTAGAGCAGCCATGCTTCCTGAAAGCCATTATTTTTTAGTTAAAAAAGTTTTTTCCCATGGGTCCGCAATATATGGGTCCCATGGGTCCGTAAAAACATATAAGGGTCCCTCAGAAATATAAGAGTCCGTGAATTTTTTTGAGGGTCCATAAAAAAAGTATTTTTTCTAATTTCAATTATTTATTTTTGGTGATTTTTTTGTAATTTTTTCAAATTTTTTAAGCCAGTCAGTATGTTTCTAGGGAGTTTACTAAGCCTAAGCCTAAAAATGATAGAGAAATTTTGAATCCTCTGGTAACTCTATTTTCGGCTTTTCAGCTTCATAATTAGGCTTAGGCTTAATAAACCCCCGAAAATACAAAGAATCGTCAAAAAAATCAAGAAAAATACAACAAAACAATTGAAAATTGAAAAAAACCACACATTTTTTCCTCCAAAAATCAAAAAAATCAGACCTATGAAAAAAATCACGGACCCTTTTATTTTTTGGGACCCATAAAAAAAATTCATGGACCCTTATATTTCTGAGGGACCTTTATATGTTTTTACGGACCCCTATATTTCCATGGGACCCATATATTGCGATAGAGCCAGTTTTTTTTCGGATCGTTTTGAGCAGCCTTTCGAGAAAAAATACCCCAATACTACCTCCCCCCTACTTTTAGTCGGTCATACTTACGGTAAGTAAGTAACTTACCTGCATGTAGTACATTGGTCCGAAAACAGAGATATACGATGAGTGTAATCAACATTCCTTTGTTATATTTTAATGCTTTTACGTAATAGAAATACGAATCAAGATTCAATTTAAAATAAATGAAGGGAAAGAAATGTCAACATTCGATCCGACCCAATTCTAGACGAAAAGTGAAAGTCTGGAGAGACGACAAAACTATCCATGAAAATAACCATTTTTCCCCAAAACAAAAGAAAACAACGAGACTCCGAGTTGACGACAGGTTTGCGCGCGCGGTTTGAATTTTTCAAATTTTTTTTTTAGTTTTTAACGGGCTTCCATTTTTCGGCGGGACTATTCCGAAGTTGAAAATGGAAAATGGAAAATTGAAAAATAGCAAAACGAAAATCATAGTCTAGACTAGTCAACATTGTTTTTTTTTTATTCTGGGAATTCTACCCGACACGAAACTTTCTGTAAAAATAAAATAAAAATGAAATGATTAAACTCAAAAAAATACATCTTTCGACTAGAATTACATAAATGATAGGAAGGAAAAAGGGTCCCGTTTGAAGTCACAGAAGAAAAAAGGAATTGCACTAACATTCTAAATATACAAGCAATAGGGAAAATTGAAAATCTAGAGGACAGTGTTGCTTCTTCTTTTTCGCTCGGTCGGATCGGATAAGAGTTTGTGGAGCATTTGGCCGAGTTGATCGGTTTCGTTTAGGTTTTCGATCTGGAAAGAGAGAAAGAAGGTTTAATGGATCTCTTGAATTTTCTAGGCGCGACTACTTGGTGTATAGGCTTTCAAGGCGCGGCTACTTGAGAACAAGCTCTTCTAGGCGCCGATCCTTGACAATGAAACTTTCTAGGCGCGGCTACTTGCCAATTGGATTCCTAGGCGCGGCTACTTGATCCCGAGGTTCTATAGGCGTGGCTCCTAGAGAACAACGATCTCAAACCTCGGCTACTTGACCCCAACGTTCCATAGGCGCGGCTACTTGAGAACAACGATCTCTAGGCGTCGCTACTTGACTCCAAGGTTCTATAGGCGTGGCTACTTCAAAACTATAATCTCTAGGCGTGGCTCCTAGAGAACAACGATCTCAAACCTCGGCTACTTGACCCCAACGTTCCATAGGCGCGGCTACTTGAGAACAACGGTCTCTAGGCGCGGCTACTTGCCAGAGTGGATCTCCAGATTTGAGTCCTAGACAAATAGGTTCTATGTATAGGCGTGGCTACTTCAAAACTAGAATCTCTAGGCTCGGTTACTTGCCACCTATGATTTCTAGGCGTCGCTATTTGACCCCAAGGTTTTCTAGGCTCTGCTACTTGTCAGAATGGATCTCCAGATATGAGTCCTAGACAACTGGGTTCTGTAGACGCGGCTACTTGAGAACAACGATCTCTAGGCGCGGCTACTTGAAAACTAGAATCTCTAGCCGCTGCTACTTGACCCCAAGGTTCTATAGGCACGGCCTCTTGGTATATAGGTTCTCAAGGCGCGGCTACTTGTCAGAGTGGATCTCTAGATGTGGGTCCTAGACAACTGGGTTCTTTAGGCGCGGCTACTTGAGAACAACGATCTCTAGGCGTGGCTACTTGGCATGAAAGCTCTTCAAGCCTATGAACTCACCAAATACACCAAACTCGTCCAAATCATATCCATCAACTTGGCATCATCAATCTGATCAATTCTCACATTAATACCCTTCGGACTCAGTCGATTAAATGGAATATTATGAGCATGACATCTATCTTGAGCCATCTCAACAGCTGTCAAATCTTGACCAACAACTTGTTCCAAAATCAACGTTGACAAGTGTCCGATGTTTTTCGCTTTTGCTTTGATGCTTTTGCCGGTTTTATATTTTCGCTCGACGAGCGCTGGTTCACCAGTTCCGATGCTTAGAACACCGGCGAGATGGATTGGATGACTGTGTTTGACGAATAGATCATATTCCTGTAAGGAATTACAGGGTGGTAAAGGGGCAAAGCCAGGGTTCCCCACTCACCTTAAAAAGCACATTCAACGGATAATTGGCCACAAAAGATCCATCAACCAAAACCTTCGAGCCATACTCAAAGGGTTCGAAATACGTTGGAGCTGCACTGCTGGCTCGAGCAGCTTCGCGGAACAAAACATCTTGTTCCTCATCGACAGCCGCGCCGAATGAATGGTCGAATGAATAATTTCTGACAAAGTTTGATTTGTGTTTTTATCGGTGATTATAAGCGCTAGGCTTATTTTTTTGTTGTTGGTTGGAAAAATTTTGATAAGAATATTTGTTGATCAAAGTTTTTGTTGTTGTGAATTTCAATGAAACTAGAGGCACAGAGAAGCCAGACAGCTATATATAGTTAGAGACGCAGAGAAATCAGGCAGCTAGACATGAAAAACGTTTGATTTTGACCGAAAATCGACAAAAAATGGAAAATGCGCTCCATTGAACTCTACGTGTTTTCAAGAAAAATTTAAATTTTCATTTTTTTTCTCAGAGCTGAAATTATTGATTTTAGGCCAGAAATTTAAAATTGACACGTCATAGTTCGAGAAAATTTCAAAAAAAACATTTCCTCAAAAATCGACTCGGAAGTTTCACTCGATTAGAGAGCTTATAGAATTGGGAGACGCAGAGAAACCAGACAGCTTATAGACAGTTAGAGACGCAGAGTAAGGGAAGCTTAGCTTGATTAGAGATGATATAGAATTACGAGACAGTGAGAAACCAGACAGCTTATAGACCGTTAGAGACGCAGAGAGAAACCAGACAGCTAGAAAGTTAGAGACAAAGAAAAAGCAGGCAGCTAGAGACAAAGAGTACTCAGACAGCTAGAGAGTAACTGGCCACAAGCTCCCGCCCAAAACTCACCTAAACACATGCAACCTCCCCGGAACTGTGCTAATATCCAACGCCGGAATCGTCAACCTCTTCGAACATCCCTGCAATGTCTCCGTGGGAAAAGCCTCCTCCAAAATCTTATCAATATTCTTCGTCTGAATCGCCACCTGATCGCCCAGCAGTCGATTGAAAGTGGAGCCTTTCAAAAAAATCTTGGTCTTCATATCCCAATATTGAAAAAAGCACTGCGATATGCTTAGACCATTGGCCAATGAGAGGGCTAACATTGAACCGGTTGATGTTCCGATCAACCAATCGAAATATTGTGGAAGTGATTCATCGCCAAGGAGACGTCGAGAGGCAAAAAGTAAACATACAACAGAGACTAATCCCCTCATTCCACCACCATCTAAACAAAGTGGCAAAACACCTTCGGGTCTTTTTGATCTATCAATATTTATTGGTGTTTGTTCACACATTTCTTCATAAATATGTCCAGCTAATTCTAAAAATGCTTTCCATTTTGGTTCACATTCCTCACAAACACTTCCATTGTCTAAACGATCTCTCAGCGTTTTCTCGCCATAATCATCTAAATACAGCGATGTTGGATCGGCACCCAGAGTTAGGAGAAGTCGCATTTCGGTGATTGAACTTTGTGGCACAGCCCAGAGATCGTGTAACTTGGTTGACAGCTGGAAAAGATATTTTTTGTATCATTTCTCTCTTTTTTTTGGTCAGGTGTTGAGTGCAATTAATCAAAACAAGGTTTTTTTTGGGGAGAATCGATATTTTTATAGAGAAGTTAAGTATGACGTGGCAAAATTGTTGCTTGGTTTTTTGAACTCTGAAGAATTCCCCAGTGACATATGGGGAAAATTGAATTACGTTCGAAAATCTTCAATGCAAAAAAAAAGAAAAAAAAGTTGTGCGCCGGGTGGGGGTCGAACCCGGGTTGCGCAATAGCTCGGCACGAATGCTAACCACTCGGCCACCCGCCTCATTTTTTCTCTAGTCGAAAATTTCGCATATAAAATGGGCGCTTGGGAACACGCAGTTTTGTTTATCGCTAGAGCGCATTTGCCTATTTTGGGTGAAAATTTGTGCATTTTTCGGCTTTGGAGCCCTGTAACTTGAGAATTTGATGGATTTTCGAACAAAAAAGGAGGGGAATCTTGAATTTTCATGAAACTTACCTGTTGCTGTTGTGCAGTCTTCATAAACGTGATCAATGTCTCCACCCGCTCAGTCTTCTTATTCGAACTCAATCGATGAGCACATCTTGTGGCCGGCATAACCCCTTCTGAAAACATGGCAAAATTGTGTTCAAGAAAACCCAGGGAATGAATGATAACGCGAAAAAAAGACAAAAAAAAAATCTACAATTTTATCGATAAAGTTATCAAGTTATTATTTTTGCTTGATTTTTTTCAAAAGAAGACAAAGTTTTCTTTTTATCAAAAAAAAAAAAAAAAAAAAAATATTGAACCGAAAATAAACGAGACATTCGGAGAGGTTAGAGAGAAATTTGCTCTTCTCAAGGAGCAGCAAAAAAAGATGAGTGTTCTTTTTGTGAGATATCAGATTTGGCTCATTTTTTGCTGAGCCATATAATTTTTGCCCCCAAAAAAATTGATAATAACTATAATAATAACTCTACTTAGCTGATAAAAAATAATAAATCAAGCGAAAAAAGTTTGACCCTTTGATAATAATATTTGTTTTGATCAATACAATATTTGAGAAATCGTCATGTTCTAAAAAAAGTGAAAAAAACCAGAAATAGGACAAAGTGTGAAAAAACCAAATATTAGTCATTTTTATTTGAATTTTATCATTTTTTGTTTGCTTTGCGAACATATTCGTGAAGGGGTTGATAAGTTTCGACAAAAAATGGAAAAAAATTTGAACTTATAGGCAAATGCGCTCTATTGATAAAGGTGTTTGCAAGCGTCAATTTTATATCCAAGATTTTCGACAGGTTTAAAAAACAGCACCTTGGCCGAGTGGTTAGCATTCGTGCCGAGCTTTTGCGAGACCAGGGTTCGACCCCCACCCGGCGCGCAACTTTTTTTTCTTTTTTATTTTTTTTTGAGCAATTTTTTCGTCTCTCTGGGAAACGTTTCAAAAATGCTCCAAATTTTTTTGCTGGCTCCAAATAAATGCTCGTAAAGTAACAATTTTTGTTATTGACAAACAACTTTTTTGTGTTTTCAATTTGATAAAAAAGAGAAGAAGCCAATTTAATTTTGTGCTCTGCTCTGCTCATTTTTTGCTCCGAAGATAACAGGAAAACTAACTTTTGAGTTTTTTGAGTAGAATTCAAAAAACGATCGATTTCTTCAAGAAAAAATGAAAATGAGGAAAAATTGAGGGAAAAAGAGATGGAAAAATTTGGAAATTAATCACCAGGACATGACATTTTTTTGGGAGGAGAAAAAAGTCGAAAATGAAAATGACGGGAGAAAAATTGGAGTCACTTATGGGGGAGGAAAAATTGAAAAATGATGAAAATATGCTAATTTTTTGGAAAAAAAAACCACATGAAATATTTTCAGAAAAATATAAAAATATTTGTGAAAGAGTTAGGATAACTCGGATTTTTTCTAGCAAAACCACTTTTTAGGCTAATTTGGCTCAAGATTCCCAAAGCTTTTTCAGATCTTAAAAAATCTGATTCTGATCTTGAGAAGTTGTAGATCAAAAGGTCTATAAAACTTCAATCAATTTTTTATGGGATGCTCTTTTTTTCTGAAATTTCAGAAATCCTGAACTACTGTAAGCTTGTCCAGATCTACAAAAAATTCCTAAAAATTTTCAAAATCTACCAGAAGTACTGTAGACTTTGAGTACTGTAATTTTGAAACTGAATCTAAACTCAGCGAGTTTTTTTTTATTCAAAAAGCTTAGATCTTTCTGGTTAGAATTCATCTTCAGAAACATCTAGAGCTTCTGGAGTTCAAGGAGTTCAGGAAAAGGTTCCAGAATTTCAGCTCTATAATTTTTCCAGGCTCTTTTTTCAGCTCCTAAAAATTCTAGCCTATTTCAGAAAAGCTTTAAAAAGTTTCTCAATTTTTTTTAGAGTCCAAAGATTCTAGAAACTTAGCCTTACTACAACTACAAAATTTGAATTCAGGAGAACCTAAAGTTTTTCTATAAAATCATCAGGTTCTACCTCTCCAAATTCATCCCAACTTAGCCTAACTACAAAACTTCCCCACCCCCACAGAAAGTGAAAAAAACTCGCCAGACCTGAACTCTTCTCCAAAGAAAATTAGCAGCAAATTTCTCAAGGACCACAAAAAACGAGACCGCGAAATCCAATAAAAAAGTACAACAACCGAGTAGTTTTGCTCTCTATATAAGGCTCTTGGTTTTTTCTTTTTTTTTTTTGCTCTTCTTGTCTAACACATCGAGACAACAAGGCTGCGAAAAAAATTGGCGAAAAAAAAAAACGGAGCAAGAAAAATCGATAAGGCTCCACGGAGCCAGCGAAAAAAAATACTAGTATGTGTGTGTGTGTTTTTTTTTTGAAAAAAAAACAGCAAAACTGGGAGAATGTTAATTGTTGTATGTGGATGGGAGGAAAAGGGAAGCGAGGAAATGAGGTTTTCAGAAGGAAAAAAAACGAAATTGGAAAAATCTGGAAAATTGGATTTTTTCTTGGGTTTATTCAAGAAAATGCTTGATTTTTTCATTTTTCCCGAAAAAAACAAAAAGAAAACAACGAGACTCCGCGTTGACGACAATGCGCGCGTGGTTTGAATTTTTAAATTTTTTTCAGTTTTTAATGGGCCTCCATATTTCAGTGAATACTTTTCAGAATTTTTTGCCCAAACTAGACTATAGTTAAACTAAGCAAAATCTAATTTCTGAGAACAAAACAATGATTTTTTAAAGCTAAATTTGGTCAAAGATTTTTACAATTTGATTCTTTCATGTCCACAAAATCGTTTTTTCCCAAAAAAAAAATTAAAAAAAACAACGAGACTCCGCGTTGACGACAGGTTTACGCACGCGTGGTTTGAATTTTTAAATTTTTAAAAGTTTTTTTTTTCCAATTCCAGTTTTGATTTAAAGCTCATCCGAGCTGAAACTCTGGAAATCAGAGAAATTTTTCAAAAAAAATATGAATCTCAATGTTTTCGCAAAAAAATAATCAGAAATTTGGTTTTTGTGATTGCAAAGGACCAAAATCTATGAATAAAAAATAAATTTTGTTTTTCCTCAAATTCGATTTTCAAAAAAAACATCAAAAAAGTTCAAAATTCGAATGAAACGTGTTAAAAGATTAAAAATAGTTTTCAATTTTCATTTTTTTTTTAATTTTTGTTCAAAATTGTGATTGCCACAAACTTCACTGTTTGCTCATAAAAACATCAAAATCATTTTCACCCGTTATCTTATCTCCAAATTTTTTTTCGCTAAATAATTATTGTTCAAGCATGTATGTATGTAAAAAGCATCTGACCCCCAAATTTTTAAGTAATTAATAAATGAGATTTTTACTGGTTATTATTTTCGTGATTTTTTCAAATGTTCAGAATTTGCCGTTGGTGAGGAATGGTGTAGTTTGGCCGAATTGTGAGTTTTGAATTTTTTGTTATGACGTGGCAAATTCTGACATTGTTCAGAAGGATTTGAGAAGGATTTCCGAATTTTCAAAAAAATTATTTCGAATTCTGAAAAGTGTTATGACGTGGCAAACTTCCAGAGCCTTTAATCCGAATTCTGATTTGACAACATTGTTCAGAAGGTTCGGAATAGTAATTTCCAAATTTTCAAAAAAAATTAGTTCAACTTCTGAACAATGTTATGACGTGGCAAACATCCAGAACCTTCAATTTGATTTTTGATTTCAAAACATTGTTCAGAAGGTTCGGAATAGTAATTTCAGATTTTGAAAATTTTAACACTCGACTTCTGAACATTGTTATGACGTGGCAAAGTTCCTGAACCTTGAATTGAAATTCTGATTTTATAACATTGTGCAGAAGGTTCGGAATAGTAACTTCCATTCAATTTCTAAACCTGAAAATGAAAAACTCCTGAAGATGCCACGTCACAACTTTATTTCGCTACAAAAATCTAAATTTTCCAGTTGATGTGTTATACTGTAGCAATCCGGACATCCGATCAGTCGTAGTTGATCTTCTCTCAAATAGCACTGATCCGAATTCAGTTGCAGTGGATGAACTTCAATCAGATATTGAGGTAACTTAGATAGGTTAAAGTCAGAGGCTTCGTGGGTGGTCTTCGTCAACCGGGAATAGCTGTCTGACCGCCTTTAAACCAAATATTTCCAGAAAAAAATCAGCAAGTCAATGTTTTTTCAGACAGCTCTTCGACCCGTCTTCCAAGCCTCCGGTGGAACTTGGCTAGTTAGCGTAAATTCGTATCACCGGGTGAATGGTTATGTCGATGATCGTGCTGGCAATATGAAAACCTTCTGTGCAATTAATGATCTTCAATTATATATTTATGTGGTTGTGACCAAAGTGCAATGAAAAAATAATTTATTTTATGTTTTTTATTGATCAAAATAGATCTACCAGAAAGAGATTTCAAAAATCACACTTTTGAAATCAAAAATTAAAAAAAAAAAAAAACAAAGAAACATCCTAATCAATTTTGGACGGGTGTACATAAACCGTTCACAGCATTTTGGCCGGTTGGACATGATTTGACACATTTGAAGGCTGGTTTTCCATTTGCTGGGTTCGGTTGAGCAAGTTTGACCATGTAGGAGGGGCAGATGACTTCGGCTTCAGCTTCCAGCGGTTCGCCTCGACTTGGGCCAACTGAGCAGCATTGGTATTTCTGGAGAAAAATTGGATTTTTGGGATTTTTTGTGGATCAGGTTTTCAGATGTTCAAAGTTCCGAAATATTTTGGAAAGATCTAGATTTCAAAAAAAAAATTTTTGAGGCTCGGATTTAGGTCTAAGTCCCCTCGGAAGCTTACAAGGGGACCTTTTTTACTCAACACTTCGAATCATGATGAAATTTGGTCCATGGACAGCTTTTGGGGCCATAAGAACACCCTAAAAATTGCAGTCTCCCAATCGACCTCTGAGCCAAGTTCAGGGCTCTCAAAAACTCAAAAAAGGCCTAAAAATGGTCATGAAAGGCATCATAGCTCCATTTCAAAAATTTTTTTCGGGGAAATGAAGTTTCAGATATTGATCAGCATAGTCGATTACCTAAAAGTACATCAATAAAAAACTTTATTTCGAAAAATTTTGAAGTTTTTTATTTTTGGGCTGAAAATTCATGAAAATTCATATGTGCCCTGCTCATTCTTTTTTCCAAAATCAAAATTTTTTCTGAAAATTTGATTTATTCATGTTTTTCGGGTAAATCGACCACGCTGATCATCATCTGCTACTCAGTTTTTCATATAATTGATCGAGAATTGAGTTATGACGTGTTTTATGAGCCAATTTTGGCAATTTTTGAACTTTTGAGAGCCCAGAACTTGGCTCAGAGGTCCATTGGGAGATTAAAATTTTTAGGGTGTTCTTATGACTCCAAAAGCTGTCCATGGACCAAATTTCATCAAGATTTGAAGTGTTGAGTAAAAAAGGTTTCCTTGTTAGAAATCTCGAGTTCTAGCTAGATTCTATCTGGGCTTAAAAATCGGCCCGATTTTATTTTGTGAGGCCTAAAGATGAACCTAGAAAATCTGAGAGTCAGCCAGAAGCCTAGCCGAAGCCTAGACTGAGCCTAGCTCAAGCCTAGATCAAGCCTGGATCGAGTCTTGTTTTCTATAGTAGGCTTGAGTTAACCTTGAGCTAGATTTCGGCTAGGCTTAGAGTTCTAGGCTTGTCCACCAAAGCCAAAGCTTCTAGGCTTCCAGGCTTCCAGGCTTCCAGGCTTCTAGATTTCTAGGCCTGGCTTCAAGCTCAGTCTTAGGCTTCTAGGATTAGGCTTCTTGGGCTCTAGACTTGAACTAGGCTTGATCTAGGATTTTTGTTGTGGATTCATCTAGATCCAGATTTTCTAGGCTTCTAGAATTCTAGGCTCAAAAATCTAAAACTCAAAATTCCTAGATTTTAATTGGACCTAAAGATGAACCTAGAATTCTAGAAAATCTGAGAGTCTAAAAAAAGCCTAGCCAAAGTCTAGAAGCCTTAGTCTAGAAAAGCCCAGCCTAGAAACCTAGATACCTAAGCTCCTGAATCAGGCCTGTGCCGGAAATTTTCCGACTTTCCGTTTTCCGGGTTCTGATTTTCCGGCACAGGCCTGTCCTTAAGTTAGAAGCTCAGAAGCCTGGAAGCCAAGCCCAAGCCTAGCCCAAGCCTAGCCCAAGCCTAGCCCAAGCCTAGCCCAAGCCTAGCCCAAGCCTAGCCCAAGCCTAGCCCAAGCCTAGCCCAAGCCTAGCCCGAGCCTAGCCCAAGCCTAGCCCAAGCCTAGCCCAAGCCTAGCCCAAGCCTCGCCCAAGCCTAGCCCAAGCCGAGCCCAAGCCTAGCCCAAGCCTAGCCCAAGCCGAGCCCAAGCCTAGCCCAAGCCGAGCCCAAGCCGAGCCCAAGCCGAGCCCAAGCCTAGCCCAAGCCTAGCCCAAGCCTAGCCCAAGCCTAGCCCAAGCCTAGCCCAAGCCTAGCCCAAGCCTAGCCCAAGCCGAGCCCAAGCCGAGCCCAAGCCGAGCCCAAGCCTAGCCCAAGCCTAGCCCAAGCCTAGCCCAAGCCTAGCCCAAGCCTAGCCCAAGCCTAGCCCAAGCCTAGCCCAAGCCGAGCCCAAGCCTAGCCCAAGCCTAGCCCAGGCCTAGCCCAAGCCTAGCCCAAGCCTAGCCCAGGCCTAGCCCAAGCCTAGCCCAAGCCTAGCCCAAGCCCATCAACCCCCCCCCCTCCCCCTCTCCTCACCTTGGTCACAGTATGCGGCAAACACAAATACCCCGTCGGACACCCTCTCGCCAACGGATCACACTGCACAGCCTCCTGTGTACTCGGATACAACAACGCGATTCCCCGCTCACATCCCCCTCCATTTATCCGATTCGAATTACTCTTCCGATTCTGTCTCGAACAACAAAAATAGTCTTTCAGCACACTCGAGAACTTGCACGAATATCCATAGGGACAACTTGTTGTTGCGCAGGACTTGGCCCGTCCGTTTACTAGGTATGGACTCATTTGTCCTGGACAATGCTGGGGGATCTTAGGTTTCTTTGATGATGCTGGGGTGGCTGGTGTTGCAATAATACTTCCTGTGGTCGTTGTAGTTGGCTCGGGAGTTGTGGTAACTCTTCGCTTCTCCTCTCCAACTCCACAACAAACATTCTGCCCAGCAACTTCACTGTATTGGCATTTGAAGCCGAACGGGCAGTCATCATTGGTCAGAACACACGTGGCGAGTTTCTTATCCGAATCATAGAATGGCTTGTCCGAAATGATCACACAAATCGGTTTATCTTCAATCATCGGTCGAGATTTCACGGCCCCTTTTTCCTTCTCTTTCTCGGAGTCCTCCTTGACACAGGAGTTCCCCTCTGCGATTTCTCCCTTCGCACATCCACAAGCACCACTAATACATCTCGAATTCGACACACATTGCAGCGATGATTTGCAAGCTTCACCCATTGCTGCGCGGTTTTCACATTTTCCATCGATTCGAATTTGATCTGCACCGCACACTTTATCCACACAATCCCCTTTGTGCTCTTCTTCCTTATCGCCACATGTGCATTTGTTGTTGACGCATTTTGTGTTGCCGGCGCATTCGTGGTCGGTATGACAGGCTCCGCCCATTTTGACGCGGACCACGCAGATGTTGTCGATGAGAACTTCGTTGTCGGCGCAACCTGCAATAGGTTCTTGGTGAGGGCGTTTAGCGTTTGGGGTTTGGGCTTAGGCTTAGAGTTAGGGACCTTAGGTTTAGGAGCCTTAGGTTTAGTCTCAATGAGCCTTAGGTTTAGGCTTAAGGAGCTTTAGGATTAGGCTTAATAAACCTTCGGCTTAGGCTTTAAAATTTTTAAGTTCAGGCTTAAAGAGTTTTCCGCTTAGGCTTAAGGAATCTTAGGGTTAGGTTTAGGATTAAGGAGCCTTAGGTTTAGGCTTAAGGAACCTTCGGCTCAAGGAATTTTAGGTTTAGGCTTATTTAACCTTTGGCTTAAAAAACCTTTGGCTTAAGGAACCTTTGGTTTGGGCTTAGGCTTAAGGAGCCTTAGGTTTAGGAGCCTTAGGTTTAGTCTTAATGAGCCTTAGGCTTGGGCTTTAAAAGTTTTAAGTTTAGGCTTAAGGAGTTTTCCGCTTAGGCTTAAGAAGCCTTAGGTTTAGGAGCCTTAGGTTTAGGCTAAAGAAGGGTTAGGTTTAGGCTTAATGAACCTTACTTACGCTTAGGCTTAAGCAATCTTAGGCTTAGGCTTAGGAGCCTTAGGCTTAGGCTTGAGGAGTTTTCCGCTTAGGCTTAATGAGCCTTAGGTTCAGGCTTAAGGAGCCTTAGGCTTACGTAATCTTAGGCTTAGGCTTGAGAAACCTTTGACTTAATGAGCCTTAGGCTAAGCCTAAATGAGTTTCAGGCTTAGGCTTATAGGCTTGCGCTAAAAATTTTCAAGTTTAGGCTTAAGGAGCCTTAGGTTTAGGCTTGAGCAATCTTAGGCTCAAAGAATTTTAGGCTTAGACTTTAGGAGCCTTAGGTTTAATGCACCTTAGGTTTAGTCTTAAGGAACCTTAGGTTTAGGAGAGCCGAATTTTCCCCAAAACCCACCTCCTTCTTCGCGACTACAACAAATATTCTTATTGCGATGTGTAATACTCTTCACACACTCATAACCATCTGAGCACATATCTGGACCAGGCAGGCATTCTTGAGCATTTCCATCGATTGCAATAAAAGCGGCACGTCCGATCGGACAACCGCCCGACTGGCCGCAACATTGAAATTGGCCTTTTTTGGCTGAAAATTGGCAGAAGAAGCCGATTGGACACGATTTCGCTTCGCCGGCTGTGCATGCGCGAGTCTGATTTGTTCGTTTATCGATTAGAGCGAATTGTTTCGCCGGGCAACCGTCATCTGCAAAAAATTTCTCTTCTCTTTTTTCCTACACACACGAATTGGTAATTTGAGTGTGCCTCGCCGTCTGCTTCCGTAGCGCAGTAGGCAGCGCGTCAGTCTCATAATCTGAAGGTCGTGAGTTCGAGCCTCACCGGGAGCATTTTTTTTGTTTTTTTACACTCATGGTGAGTGACTCACCCAAAATCGTCGGTTTGATTGCTCGTGTCGGACGCATTCCACAACATTGATATTTTTGATTATTCAGCGACCATTGGCAAGTAAATTCCACCGGACAAATCGCATCTTCGGGAACAAAAGGATCACAAGATTTGACGATTCCACCCTCTTGAACATAGGCATACTGGCCAGGCGGGCATCCATCATTGATTCCGTGCTTCTCCTCGCCTTGACAACAATAGAAATTGAGAGAATCGGGTTGTTGTTGGCATGTGTAACCATTCGGGCAGAATGAGAATCCCTCATTTGTACATGTTGTTGGTAAAAGGGTTTTCTCGTCTTGATGAAAAGCAACTTCCCCTGGACAAATTGGATTTTGACTGCAACAATAACCCTGGAAAGCGCCGGAAACATCGGAAAGACATGAGAAACCGTTGGGACACGATGATTGGAGGGGTGAAATATGACATTGGACTGGGAGTTGTGTGGAAGAATATCGATATAATGATCGACCGGAGGGACAAAACGCGCCTTGAATATTTCCGCAGCAATAATATTTATGATTTGTTTGGGAGAATCGGCAAAGATAACCTCCCGGACACTTTCCATCAGCTGCCATTGCACATTGTCTTGGCGTATTTGTTCGAGGGTCCATGAAAGCCTTCTCGCCCGTCGGACAAACTCCCATTCCATCGGATCCGCAGCAAGTGTGTTCTTGAGTTAGCGCATTTAATGTGCATTCATAGTTCATTGGACAATTGTTTTGTAATGCGGTGTTGCAGACGTATGGTTTATTTGTGTTAGGATCTTTGTATACCGTGTCACCTAGGGAACATCCAGCACTCATACAGAAATCTTCACATTCACTGACTGATGCGAATGAGTTCAATGAGGTGTCGCAACCGTTTGAAGTGTAGGAGGAGCAGGTTTGAAGAGCCATGTTGAAATAATATCTGGAAATTTTTTAATTTACTCAAGTTATCCGAACTTAGGATTCAAAAAATTTTCAGCCTTTGAAAAAAATCGAAAATGGGCTCAGCCTATATCCAAATGTTCTCAAGCACGGTTTTCCTCAGACGGGTAAACGGCAATTAGGAAATCATCATAGCCTTGTCCCTCTTCTCTCTATCTCTCCCTTTTCATTTAAACGCGCGCCCGACAGTTGACGCGTTTCGCCGTCTGCCATGTTTTGTGTGCGGCGAAGCCCCGCCCCTCCCTCCTCACCTGATTTGTCCACTGCCACTGCTGCATTTTGGAAGCATTCCCATTTGTGGCGGTTTTGAGCAAATTGAGACTAGAAAAAAAAATATTACACGGTATTTTATAGGGTACATTGAGAGAGAGAGAGAGAGACGCAGAGAAAACGAGAAAAATCTTCGAAAACATGAAAAATTCGGTCTCGAAGCAAATTTTTTGTATTTTTTAAAATTAAAAATCATAGAAAACACGGAGTTTTACATGGTAAATTTAGAGAGACGCAGAGAAAACGAGAAAAATCTTGAAAAAAATGGTCTCGAAGCGAATTTTCTGTAAATTTTTTTTCAAAAATCATATAATTTTTGTGTGTTTTTATCAAAAAAACATTAAAAATCACGGTATTTTACACGGTAAATTGAGAAAAATGAAAAAAAAAACATTTTTGAATGTTTTTTTGGTCTCGAAACGAAATGTTATGCTATTTTTATCAAAAATCCTAGAAAACACGGTATTTTACACGGTAAATTGTGAGAGACGCAGAGAAAACGAGAAAAATCTTTGAAAACATGAAAAATTCGGTCTTGAAACGAATTTTTTGTATGTTTTTATCAAAAATCGTAGAAAACACGGTGTTTTACACGGTAAATTGAAAGAGACGCAGAGAAAACGAGAAAAATCTAGAAAAAACACATTTTTTATTGTTTTTTTGGTCTCGAAACGAAAAAAATCATAGAAAACACGGTAAATTGAGAGAGACGCAGAGAAAACGAGAAAATTTTAAAAAACACATTTTTCGAGGATTTTTCTTGTTTTCTCTGCGTCTCTCTCTCTCTCTCCCGTAAAACACCGTGTATTCTAAATATCAAAAAACACTACCTTTTGACGGGCAACATCTCCTTTGCATCACACCATTTGCCTCAACAATACTACAATCATATCCAGAGGGACAAGGCTCGCTATTAGAGCAACTTCTCACTTTCGAATTCGATCGAAGTGGGCTTCCGCCATTCGGACAAATCGCAATCTCACAATAATTCTGACATTTTTCAATAGACGGGAAATTATTCGAATTGCCGTCACAACCCAAAAACAAATACGATTGACATTCTTTCGCCTGATTATTGTAGAAATATCGATAAGAAGATCCGGATCCACAAGCGATTCCTTTGTTGACTTGAAGTGAGCAGGTATAAGCCTTACTTGGGCAGCAACCGTAAACCAATCCATCAAAAGTGCATTCGTAATTTGCGGGGCAAGCAGTTCCGCCCAAACCTTCGCCGCATTGCATGAATTTGCCAGCGAAGTCGACGTAGGCGCGACCTTGCGGGCATTTTGGTTCGGCTGAAAAACGGCATTTGCGCTCTAATGCACACGTGTGAGAGCGCGCCTTTTAAATATGACAATTTCGACAGAGAAATACACAGTGTTTTTGCCTAGGGGTACTATAGCACCCCTATAGGGGCACTACAAAGTTTTTGACTTGTGTGTGTAATAGGTACACCTATAGGGGCCCTATGCAAACTTTTTTTAGTACCCCTATAGGGGTGTCATAGTGGTTTTGTAGTGGTGCAGTAGGGGTAAATCAGAATAAGACTCAAGTTTGACAATTTATTTTCAAAAAAACGAACAGAGAAAAAATATTTACAAATAGTGTCGAATTGTTGATTTACTTGAGCTTCGAGTTCGAACATAGATTTCTGAAGGCGATTCATCAGTCCGGCAAAGTAGTTGCTTTCAATGCATTTTGAGCTGATTTGATGTCGAATTAATGAAGCCGAGTGTTGGTATGAGTTCTGGAAATAAATAAAATTAGACAAAATTATGTGCAATTTTTAATTTTTGTTGTCAAGTCAACTTGAGTCTTTTTTTATCTTTTATCGACTCGACTTCTATGGTCGATTATCTCGTGGTGGATGTGAGTTTTCAGAGATTTCTATGTTGTTGGTTGAGATGGTGAATACTCGATAGCGAACATTGGCGCTAATCCAACTATACTGGTGACTTGTTGAAATGATGAGATTAGTAGTTGGTGAAATTGGTCTGTTTCAACCAATAACACCATTTCACCAATCATCCCATCCAAAATTCAACATCTAAACCAACGCGATAACCGAGTTTGAAAACTCCATCCATCAAGAAAAGTTCTTGATTGATTGATTGACTCAAATTCAACTCGCTTTCCAAATACGGCGCATCTACGTGGTTTTTTTTTTTAAAAAAACCACCTACCATGCGTTGACCAGCACCGCGAAGACACTTCTAACTGGAAATTGCTTCTCTAGTTGCTCACAAGTACAGTCGACTTTTGAGCGATGGTTCCTCCGTTGATTCGGATTTCGACCGAATGCGCCTTCTTTTGACAGTTGACGACCTTCATCTGAAAATGAAGAACCATTCTAATTCAACCTTTCATATTCAAGTCAACAAACCTGTGTGTGTGACACGAATCGATGTCAAGTTGGCTTCGATGAGTTTCTTTCCATCTTCATCTTGCCATTCATTGACGAACTTGGCGGAAGCCTTCTTTTCGGAGCAAGCCCTAAAAAATCGTATAACGAGTTTAACGTATGAGAAACACGAGAATGAAGAAATTAGACATAAGGCATTTCAATTTCTAACTCTAAGAAGGATTTTTCCATTGAAACTGATTAAAATGTTGAATTACACATATGAAACTGAGAATAGCCTTGTTTCATATGAAAAATTGAAAAACTCCACATTTTTCAGTTTTCGGCCTAAAATCATGCTCAATGTGTGAATTTTGGAGTTCTGCTGGAATTTCTTGCTTGTTCCTAGGCGGGGAACACGTTTTATAAACTTTTCGCAGCTCAGAACACTCAATTTCTCCATGAAACGTGAAACAAACAAAACAAACGAAAAAAAACGAAAAAAAAAATTTTGACGCCACTCGTCCGTGAGAAGTACACACAAGCAAACACGCTGCGAGACCAATGTGTTAAATTCCATGCGCCTTTACTTTTCATTTCCGCGCATTAAAATATCATTTTTTGGAGGAAATGACATACACCATTGAATTCAAAATGTCAAGACGAACGAAATGGTTATAAATTTAATATATATTATCTCACTTTTAGTGGACTTCTCTTGGAGTGGAAAAATGATAATTTTTGACCAGCATTCATTGTTAGGAGCCAATAAATGCTCTCAGAAGCATTGTGTGTGTTGTATATAGCAAGAAATGTGCATTTTCACTGTTTTAGAGATGCAAAAATGTTCCCAGAGTCGGGACCACTACTCAACCCCTACACGACCCCTACAATCGAAAATTAAACGTTGATAACTTTTTCAAATTGACGTTTTTCTAAATGAAATTTTTCAGACAACAATTTCAGAACCTTTAGATTAGTTTGTTCTTTTTTAGTTTTCTCAAATGAACACCACTAAATAACCCCTTTTGAATCCCTGCCAATTAGTGGTGCAATAGGGGTGCAATAGGGGTAAAAATCACCCCTATTGCACCCCCTAAATCACGGTAGGGGTACTATAGTACCCACAAGGCAAAAACACTGTGATAAATAGGCGCATGGCTGGGTGGTTAGCATTCGTGCCGAGCTTTTGCGCAACCATGGTTCGACCCCCACCCGGCGCATAACTTTTTGTTTTTTTTTTTGAAAAGTTGATTCAGCCCAATTGGTTCCCCTGACTAACCATTAATATTTTTGCAATAGCTCTGACACTCGTTCAACGAATTGAATCGATTATTATTGCCCTGACATCCGGTGTACAAAAATGATTCGCAAGTTTTCGTCTCGGCGTTGTACCAAAATTGACGAACACTTTGTTTGCAGTCACCAACGCGAAGAGGTTCTGTGCAAAGAGTTTGAGGTGTTGGACAACAGACTTGATGTTCCATGGCGCATTGATGGGTGGATGGACAATCGGTGTCGCGGGCACATCGTTGCGGGGAGCCATTGCCATTTGTGAGTGGGGAGCCGTGGGGGCATTGTACTGGAAGAATTTTTTTTTTTTTGAAATTTATTTATTTAAAAAAATGTACGTTTCAAAAATTTGCTAATTTCGTTTTGATTTTGCGATTTTTTGATATCTTCATTCAATTTATATTGATTAAAAAATGCCAATTTAACTCCAAGCTTCTTCTTCGATCAAAGATGAGTTAGGCCATCTCAGGACCTCAGCCAGAGAGCCCAGAGAAACTCACATTTTTGCGACGTTTGTTTTTTTGAAAAATAAAAATAAATATGGAAAATTTTAATTTAAAAATAGTAAAATTCGGTCACGTGACGCAACAAAAAACCCCAAAAACCTATTATCGAAAAAAAATAATGAAAAAACAATTTTTGACAAAAATGTTTTTAAAAATTATTTTTAGCGACTTGAATCACCCTGATTTTGAAAGAGGAAATATTTGTTTTTAACTCACATCTCGCGCAAAAAAGTTGACAATCCGCTTGATTTTGAAAATTATTAAAATTCCCAATAAACCCATTAAAAGTAAAAGGATGACATTGTCCATCAGTCGGATTATAATAATATCTCGTACTAATTCCCACTGCATAATTCGCCGCTTCTCCAGTCAATTGATCAAATCGATGTCCAGCATCATAGGGTGAATTCCTGGCTACATCCTTCAATCTTCCACCAGATTCACTGCAGATTGCTTTCCGACTGGCACAACACATTGATTGACTGGCGACTTCGGTGCAAACGAAAGGATCTGTACAGGGGCTGGCTGTGGAGCAACCGGTTTGTGGGATTCGAGACGCGGAGGATGCTCCCTTAGTGTTCAGATAGGCTGGATTTCCACGGGGACAGGCTGAAATTCAAAAAAAATTTTTTTTTTTTTTTTTTTTTTTTGTAAAAAATATATGCTGAACTCACTATCCTTGCAGAAACTTTCACAATGATCCAAAGTTTCAAAATTATTCGGTGAAACTTCTGTACCGGTCGGATCGAAGAGGAATTGTTGACACGAGCCCATGACACTATTAAAATACCATCTTGGCACGGAGCCAAGCGCATCGGATTCGCCTTTCTTTGGTTGCATACAGGTGAATGCTCGATTCATGCAACAGACACCGATTGGATGTTGACTTGTGTCGAGGCCTTGTTCTTTCCAGAATTTTGAGTTGTCGATGCAGTCGTAGAGATCGGAGACATCGTGAGGTTCGGGTTCTTCGCCGTGCTGGAATTTTTTGAATTATTTTGAACCTGGCGGAGAATAAATTTCAAAAAAATAAAATTTTGGGACAGGAAATAGGGTTGGATCGAACAAGTATTTTATTAAATTTTCCTGATTTTGCAAAATTTTTTTTTGAAAAAAAGAACGAGAATGGAATCATCAAAATTCCAAAAGAAATTTTAATTATAAAAATTTTGAAACGTAAATATTTTAGTTTTTTTTTAAATGAAATGTTGAATTCTAATTTTCCAGAAATATATAGAATTCCATTAAAAACTGACAAACGAGAAAAAAATTCAAAAAAAAATATTGTGAGAAAATCAATGAACCACGCGCGCAGGCGTCAACGCGGAGTCTCGTTGTTTTCTTTTTTATTTTTTGCATTTTTTCTTTTTTTCGGGGAAAATGGGAATTTTCATGGAAAACCCCTAATTTTTGGAGATAAAAAACAAGGGAAAAATGTATAAACATTAAGATTCAATATTTTCAAAAGAAAACCTATTTTTCTATAAAAAATTGTGTTTTTGGCCGAAATCTGCTTTAAAAAATCATTGTTTTCTTCTCAGATCTCAGATTTAGCTTAATTTAACTATAGTCTAGTTGGGCAAAAAAAAAAATCAGATAAGTATTCGCAGAATTATGGGAAAAAACTGGAAAAAAAAAAATAAATTCAAACCACGCGCGATGCACTAAACAACGGGCAAAAGCGGAATGTCGTTGTTTTCTTTTTATTTTTTCGCAAATTTTCCATTTTTTCCATACAAATTGTCATTTTCCGAGAAAAAACGGAAAAAATTGCAAAAAAAATAAATTCAAACCACGCGCGATGCGCTAAACAACGGGCAAAAGCGGAATGTCGTTGTTTTCTTTTTATTTTTTGTTTTTTTCAGGGAAAATGGGAATTTCCTAAATTTTAGAGGTATAAACACTAAAATTCAATATTTTCAGAAGAAAACTCACAATTCCTCTAACAGCACATTTATAATCATGTTGTTTATTCAATAAATCCTCTTCCCTTTTCGGAATATCACTACTATGTGGATTACACGGTGCAATCGTCACCGATGTTTTCCCAGCAGCCGCCGGCAAAACAACAAGAGAAGATGGAGAATCTGGAGGTGGAAGTGATGGAAGTGGACACGCTGGTTCACTTGTTGTACTCCAAACACACATCGTTCCATCTTTCGTCTTCACCGCAATCATATCTTCCGACGGACATTCGCAAGCCCCATTTTTACAATATGAATCGGGCCAGACTGATGAGCATTGAATATCATAAAAACATCCGGAATCCGATGGTGAGATCTTCTCATAACAATACGCATCAACTGCGACATATGTTGAAAGACATCTGCATTGTCCAATCGCACAATACATTCCACCAAGACAATCAGTGTTAAACGAGCAAACATCGCCAACTCTTCCGGATCCTGAAGTTCCTTGTGAATGGAAGAATTGACGGGCGGGATCGATGCATTGACGGGTGGTTTGACTGAAATGAACTCGCCCATCTTCGGAGCAAATCTCCTGTTTCCACGTGGAATTTGTGCATGATAGGTAGGAGCTGTGCTCGATGTCGATTTTTTTGGTGCGAGGATTGCAGAAGAGGAATGGCTCGTGGGTACGGGATTCTTCGCAGGCCGTGTTTAATTCCGCGTCGAGTTCACATTCCAGGCAGACATCTCCCAGTTGACACTTTGAAAGCGCTGAAATTATTTTTTTCAAGCGCATTTTATATGCAACATTTTCGTCAGCAGAAAAAAAGAGCCCGGTGGCCGAGTGGCTAGCATCCCTGCCTAGCTTTTGCGCATCCTGGGTTCGACCCCCACCCGGCGCACACTTTTTTTTCTTTTTTCTTTTTTTTTTTTTTGAATCTGAAAGAAACTCACCATCAACTGATAAAAATAATAGCAGAAGCCAAATCTTCTTGTGCATTTGGAATAGTATATTTTGAGGCGAGGCGTGAAATGCGCTTTTTGAGTAGCCGATGATACTTGAGATTTTTGTTTGACCGCAAAGAGAGGAAGATCTGAGCCGAGAAATTGTAAGATGATACGATTGGGTACTGTGCTTATATGAAAACGACGGGAAAAAGTTGAAATGGATATGTTTAGGCGGAAGAAGAGTTTTGAACTTTTTTTGTGGGAATGAAAATTGAATTTTTGAAAATAGAAAATCATATTTTTGAAACGTACATTTTCCAACAAGGAATATTTTTATCAAAGTTTCTACTATAAAATTTTTCAGAAAAAAACTACTGTAGAATTTTTGTTTGAAAATTGATCTACATTTTCAAAATAATGATGAAAAGTCAAAAAACTACGCAATGAGAATTTCTAGATTCTAAAAAAATCCCAAAAAAATTTGAAAAATCTACAGTAACCCAGAAACTATAGTACTGTAGATTATTCAAAAAATCTAGAATTTAAGAACTCCACTTTTACGTAGAAAATCTACAGTAACCCAGAAATGTTATTACTGTAGGTGATTCAAAAAATTACAATCTACAGTAACCAAAAATATTTGTGAATTCTGAAAAAATTTGAACTTCAGATGAACACGAGAAAATCTACAGTAACCCAGAAACTGTAGATTTTCCAAAGATCAAAAAAAAATACCAGATAATCTACAGTAACCAATATATGAGATTTGAAAAAATCCAGAAAATCTAACCAAGAAAACCTACAGTAACCCAGAAACTGTAGACCACAAGCCCCAATTCATTTCAAAAACAAAATAAACTCTGACCCGAAAATGAGCAGCTCCCGGCTCTTTTTTTTTTTGGTGCTCCCAGAGCAAAGAAGATGAGCCGCGCCCTCTTCAAATCTCTTCATTTCTCACATTATATCTATCGTATTATTATTATTATTAACGTGATCAAACAAACAAATCAAATCAAATCAGAACGAAAAATGACCGTTCGAGAGTCTTTGTCTCGAAAGATGATATGAGATGACACATTTATTTTGAGAGGAGCAAAAAGAGCATCAAATCATGTTGCATAGGGACATTTTTTGGTATAAGTTGGATATGGAATTGTGGAGAGACAATCAATAAAGAGTTTGTCGCAGTTGCAAACTGAACTCATGCATTTGTTGTCGGCTGAAATGAAATTGGTATTTTTTTACAGGGTAGAAAACCATTGCTCATGTTAGAAGAAACTTACAGGAACAATTGATTTCTTTGTTGATACATTGCCAGCTATAATAACAATAAAATGGTGCATTTGGATTTTGGCAGAGACCTGTGGAGAGAATTGAAGTGTAGCATTGATTGTGGACTTCGCAACATCTGGATAAAAAAAATTTTTTGGGCTCAAGAAATCCTAATTTTCAGGGCTAATTTCGGCTCAAAAGGGCTAGAAAATTCAAGTTTTTAGGCTCAAAAATCCTATTTTTTCAGCTCAAATTTGGTCCAGACTGAATTCAAGCTAAAAATCCTGAATTCCTAATTTTCAGCCTGAATTTAGTTTCCAAAATCCAAAATTTTCAGAGTTCTAAAAATTTCAAATTACCAGGCTAAATTCAGGTCAAAAATCCAAAATTTTCTGGCTAAATTACTTACTTACTTACTTAGTCGTAAGTAAGTAATTTAGCCAGAAAATTTTGGATTTTTGACCTGAATTCTCAAATTTTCACACTAAATTTAGGCTAAAAATCCCGATTTTCAGGCTAAATTAGGTCTGAAAATCCAAAATTTTCTAGCTTAATTTAGGCTCAAAGATCCTAATTTTCAGCCCAAATTTGGTCTAGAAATTCCTAATTTCCAGACTGAATTCAGGTCAAAAATCCAAAACTTTCTAGCTAAATTTAGGCTCAAAAAATTCCAAGTTTCCAGACTAAATTTAGGTAAAAAATTCTGATATTCTGAGCAAATCTTGGCTCGAAAACATTGCATTTCTAGTTTCTAAAAATCTCAAATTTCCAGGCTAAATTTCGGCTAAAAATCTCAAATTTTCAGACTAAATTTCGGCTAGAAATCCCTATTTTCAGACTAAATTCAGGTCAAAAATTAAAAATTTTTAGCCTGAATTTAGGCTCAAAAATCCTGATTTTCAGGGCTAATTAGAACTTAAAAAATCCTAGTTCAGGCTCAAACTTCAGACGGAATTAAGTTTTCAAAAATTCCAGCCCAAAAGTCTTCAAACTCAATTTTTTTTCAGAAAATGATGTAATCACTATTTCTCAGAGATAAGTTGTCTGGGTCAATAATTCGAAAATCAAACAAACAATCAGAAGTAAAACACCGTGTCTTTTTTTGAGCTCACAATCAAAATTCAAACTTGTGACCTAAAAATATGTAAAAATTATACCCGGAACCTTACTTATCAATACTATCCAATGGTTTATTTGGTGCATAACCCGAACAAACACATCCATAACTTCTATAAACATCATAAGTCCTTCCAATTTTACATTGTGTCATATCATCCAATTGATATAAAGCATAACAAGAAGCGCATTCGATTTTTTTGGTGGGAAAAAACACGAAAAGAAGCAAAATTGAAAGAAACATGCTCTTTCTGATAGAATTGATAAAAAATTGAGGGGAAATCATAAAAGTTTTATAGTTTTGCACGCTTTTGATGTTTATTTTATGAATGAATGACCGAATTTATCGCATGATTCAGAACAGAAATTGTTTGATTGACAGAAGAACTCAAGAGGAACATTTTTTAGAACTTACCAGAAAATTTAAATTCAACTATCGTAATTCGTTTCTCTTCCAAAATCGTTCAAAAAAAAATCCCAAACTTCAAAAAAAAAATTCGAAAAATGAAAAATATGGCCTAGAAACCGACTCGTCCCCACGTCTATTGATTTTTTCGTGGAAAAAAATCATTTCGAAAAGCAAAAAATGAACGGAAATCGTCGAGAAGTGGTGGTCTGGATAGAATTTTATGGAAATAATGAATTTGTTGAGGGTTTTTATTCACAAGAAAAACTAGGCAATCCCTTTTTTGAGGAAATTCAGGTTGTTTTGTGAATTTTATCAAAAACTGTTGTTTTCTCGGAGTTCACACCCAAACATTTATTCATTATTTCAGGTATACCCAATCAAATATAAATTTCTCAACAAAAGAATTAACAGTTAACTTTCAAATGTCTTCAATATATATTCCAAATCTCATTTTATCATCCAATCGCAATCGAGCTTTTTTGAGTTTTGTTGTAGTTTGAAATGTATGTTTCTTCACGAAAACTGAAAAAATTTATTTGTGGATTGAGTTTAGTGAAAATCTTACGGTTTTAGGCATTTTTCCAATTCTAGCCCTTCTAAATCGACTTCAACATCTTTTCTCTTCTTATTTTTCTCACTAAATCCTCCGTGTATCGAAACACTTTTCAAATTCGCGCTCAATTTTCCATCTCGCCAATATTTAATATATTGATTAATATCTTTTGGCGTCAAATCCATCACATAAATATGAATACGTTCAGCTTTCAACTGAATCAATTGGTCAAAACTCAAAACAGTTGCTGGTAATTTTAGTTCCGATTTGACGTGTTTGATTTGATCGAAATCCACGAATTTGTATTTCAACATGCAGACTTGACGTGGAGTTTGAGAAACACTAAGTTTTTCTATCTTTTTCATATTCCGAAGTTGAATCTTGCGAATAAGGTGTGATTTAGCTTTGCAACCCTGAACATTCATTTTACTGAGTTCGATTTTGAAAAAAAAAAAGTTTACCAAGTACAATTCAAACTTCTTCAAATTCCTCCCGAATTTCAGAATATATTCGTTCGCATATTTGGCAATTACATCGAATAATTGTCCATCTTCCTTAACTTGCCAATTCGTTTCATCACATAGCGTCATAACGTTTCTGTATGAAAATTTGTCTTTCTTAACTGTTCAACAGTTCAATCAACTCACTTTAAAGATTTAACAATTGTTCCTCCTCGAAAGTCATCCCTAAACTGAAACAACCACATAATCCAACTTTTGGCAAATTGTATCTCGTATGAATTCAAACCTCCATCTCTTCTCTCAACAATTCTCATAGTATCACAATAATTTTTCGATGAAATCGCTTCTTCATAGCATAATTTCGAACATTGCGCAAATTTGTATATTGTTGTATCAGGCATAATCTCGATGATGATAATTCTGAGCTCGAAGGGAAGATCGAACCAGCCAGTTGTTTCGATCTGATTTTCCTCCTCTGCCTTTCGTTTTCTTCCATTTTTTCGTATTTTCTTTCGTTTTGCAGGCGGTTCCATGTTTCTAGAGGTTTCTAAAATATTATTTTGGTATTCTTAATGAAAAATCACAGTGTGGTTACGTAAATAACCAACGAAACAAACATAAACAAAAAAAACGTGGAAAAAAATTCGAAAATGAAAAATATGGCCTAGAAACCGACTCGTCCCCACGGCTATTGATTTTTTCGTGGAAAAATCATTTCGAGGAGCGAAAACAAACGAATTGGATGGAGAAAATGAATTGTGGTAAGTTTTTTGGGGAGGGTTTTGATAAAAAAAACAAGCTGAAATCATAAATTTCCCCCTTTTTGGGGAAATTTCTTCTAATTCCACCAAGATTTTTTTCCAAATCTTCTAACACCTCAAAGTTCACTATTTGTTCACACTTTCAATATCTGTCATATAATCTAGTAGTTTTCAAAAAAAAAATTTTCAAACAAAAAATTTTCCACCAACGACACTCCGCCTGCCCGCACTTTATTTTTATTTTCATTTTCACTTTTATTTTTTCGTTTTTTTTTGTTTTTCGTCTGCAAATCCCGAAATTTTTTAATCAAAGGTGAGTTTTTACGGAAGGTTTTCTTGAAAGACTACTAAGCCCAGGTTAATTTTTGACAAAACCCTTTAAAATATTTCGAAACCTATTTTTCCCGGATATTTTCCCAGTCATTTTTCTCCCCCAAGAAAAAAAGATGCGCGATAACACACATAGATAATTTGGGTCAGCAAAATTGAAGGTCGAACGGCTTCGCTTCACAAGAGAAAAGTTGAAAATTTATTGGGTTACTTATCAGATCTTCTTGTTTTTTCTTCTTCTCCCAAACCAGTATTTTTTTGCAGATGCTTCTCAAACTTCTATATCTCTTCTATATATTATTTCTGTGCTCAATTTCTGGTGCTCAAAAAAATGAGGGAAGTTCAGAAGTTGAGGGAGATCGAAGCAGTGTTCCGGACAAATTTGATCAGCCGAGTTATGGATTCATGTTGCCGGAGGGTTTTAATGAGGTAAGAGAAAAAATTTAAATTTTGAAAAAAAAAAAAAAATTTCAGAACTCAACCCTTCTCGCCGTCGTCGATTTCATAACTCAAAAAAACCACGCAACCCCAAAAATCGCCGTCAATTTCGACGAACTCAACTGGTTCGACATTGGTGGAGTGCAAAAAACCAAGGCTGATAACGCTGATGTTTATAGTGCCACTGTGATTTTGAAAGCTGGAAGTGATGTTAAAGTGGATCGGACTGATCAGGGGATCTATAAGTTTGTGGTGGAGGCTCAGTTGGGGGATAATGTTTTGGCGACGACGAATGTTGTGGTGGAAGTTTTGGCGTTGGCGCCGACGACGAAGCGAGTGAGGACTACTGAAGATCCGATTGAGATTTCGAATGTTGAATTGTCTCCAGCGGAAAATGATGATGATTTGGTGCTTGGGGTTGGTACTGAAGTTTCAACAACAACTTCTGAAGCCTCAGAACAATCAACCGATGCTTCAACTACAACATCGGAACCTACTGTAGCTGTGGAAGTTACTAAAACTTCAGAAACCACTAGTGAATCTACACCTGAACAATCAGATATCACTGAATCCGAAGAATTAACAGAAACATCTTCTGAACCTACTGTATCCGTAGAAGTTACTACAACTTCGGAAGCCTCTAGTGAATCCACATCAGAACCAACAGAAACATCCGATGAATCTACAACATCGGAAATTTCTAGTGAATCTACAATTGATTCAGCATCTACAATTGAACCTACTGTAGCTGTGGAAGTTGCTACAACTTCTGATGAATCTACAACATCAGAAGTCTCCATGGCTGCAGAAGTTATCACAACTCCAACTCCCCTTGAAAATGACCCAGAACTTCTCACGAATATCCCCGATGAAGCTTCTGGAACTCAAGAATCCCCTACACCAGCTTCAGATGATTCGCTCGAAGCCTCTGCGACTCAACCATCTGAGATCGAATCATCCGGTGAACTTCTGACCGATGAATCTCCCATTGAATCGCCCATCACGATTCTTCCACTTCTAAATCATATCGAATCGGTTGATCTGGAAATTGAGGTTCAGGGAAATCCGAAAGTTTTGGATTCTAGAGCTGGAAGTCAGATTAGAGGGCTTACCATTGTTCCGAAGTCTGGGGCTAGAAGTACAGTAACATTTTCTATTGAACCTGAAGGATTGGAAATTCGTCCGAAGGTTCTAAGAACTGGTGAAGTTTCTGGGATCTTTATCAATGAAAACTTCAACGCAACTCGGAAATCATACGAAATTGTTGGGAAACTTGGAAATGGCGCAGTGGTTAGACAACCTCTGAATTTAGAAGTTGAAAAATCTCAAAGTTCTGACAAGATCTATGAACTCAAAGAATATGAATTCGCTGTGCTGGAATCGGCTGAAAATGGAAGAACGATCGGAAGAATTGATGAAAATGATATGAAAATCATCGGAGATTCTGCAAAAAGATTTTCACTTGTTGGAAATTCGATTATCCTAACTTGCAGTGAATTTGAGAATGAGAAATGTTTGGAGAATTCTGGACCAAGGAAGGTTTATTCTTTGATGCTTCTCCCAAATAATGGAACTTTGGCACCGATTCAAGTCACAATCAAAGTTCAACAGAAGCCTGGGCATTTGAGAACTTCGGATGATGTTTTGAGAATTTCGGATAATCGGATAATTATTCCTTTTGTGATTTTGACTGATGTTGAGCCAAGGATTAGTGGAACAGCATCGAGGTTTTTGGGACTTCGGAAGACTTTGGATATGTATCAAGTGCAGGTGATGAATTCAGCTGCAAGTGGGAAATATGAATTGGAAATTCACACCGAAAACGATAATGCTTCAAAGAAAATCGTCCCAGTGTTCGTTGAAAATTCGCAATCGCACGCTCATTTCAGAAAACCAAAATATTCCGCAAAAATCGATTCATCCAAAATAACCGAAGGCAAACGAATCACTCAAGTCGAATTAGAGGGAGTTCCGATCGATGAAGCCAAGATAATCATACTTAGCGGAAATCCCGGTTGGGTTACTGTAGAGGGTTATGGTGGGCGAGTTAAGGTGAATAGTTTTGATGGCGAGGTTTATCAGGGAAAATATACTTTGAGAATTGGAGCAATTGATAAGAAGACGCTGATGATTTTGACTGAAACTGAGCTGGAAATTGAAGTTGTTAATGGGAAAATGAAAAAGGAAGTTGAGGAAGAAGTTACTGCAAAACTTCTGGAAACCACTTTTGATCGAGAAACTTTTGTGGAAAATTTTAAAATCCCCCTGGAAAGTCCTGATTTTGTACTGTTATCTGAGGATTCCTTTGCAATTAATGAAATTGGCAAGCGAGAAATCTATGAGCCAATGAATATCAAGATCAATAAAAACACCGTGGAGATCAGGAAAATAAAAGGATTACGAATTATCAGCTTCAACTTGATCAACAAAAATACCAAACCAATAGTTTTGATTCGACTTATATCAACTCCAGCATATCTGGAAAAACAGGAAAAACTTCGGGCTAAACCGATTTATCCGAAGGAGTTGATGGAAGTTGATATGCCTGAGGAAATTGGGGAGGGAAGGATTGTAGGAGTGTTCCCGGCTGTGATTCCAACAACGAATCAGCGAACAAGATCGAGGATTGAGGGAGCAATGAGGGAAGCTTTTAACTTCAATGAGGAAACTGGGGAATTAAGGATCAAGAAAGTTATAGATTATGAAAGTTTGCCAGTTCAGCAAAGAAGTTTTGATCTGAAATTGATATCAGGTGAAAAAGGTTATGAATCGGAAGGGATTCTTCGAATTCATGTGGTGGACATTGATGATAATACACCCTTGATCACCCGAGAACAAATCAATACTGTTAGTTTGCCCGAAGATCTACCGGGTGGCGCGAAAATTGCGGAGTTTGATGTGACAGATCCAGATGGCTCACGGAGTTTTGAAGTGCATTTGGAAGGTCGGGGAAGTGAGCAGTATTTTGCGAATATTGTGAGTTCTGGAAGGTTTCATTTAAAAAATATATAATAAAAATTTTGTAGACAAATGCTGGGCTCCTGTCGATATTCCTGGCGCAAAACGGAAAATTAGACCGTGAAGCTCGGGATTCGAACGCATTGATTGTTCGAGTTGAAGATATGAGTGGAAATTCGGATCGGGTTATAATCCCAATTCAAATTCTTGATGTCAATGATAATGCGCCGCGGTTTTCAAGGAAAATGTATGAGGTTGAGGCGGTGGAGAATTGGCCAAAGGGGGTTGTTTTGGAGAAGTGAGTTTGAAAATTAAAAATTGGAAATTTTGAATTTATTTTAAATTAATTTTGACGTGAACTTTCACGTGGATTTTTGGAATTTCATTTTTCATTTTCTGTGGATCGGAAAATGCCAGGACTCTCGAAATTCTAGGTATATTTTTTAGGCTTCTCTTAGGCTTCTCTTAGGCTTGTCAACATTCCAGGCCTTATTTAAGGCCTATTGCCTTGATTCAGATATTCAGAATTAGGTTTTATATTTCTAGGATTGATTTCAGGTCCGTCCAAATTTCGGGCTTCATTAAGGCTTTGTCAAAATTTTAGGGCCTAATTCAGGCATTTCAAATTAGGTCTGTCTAAAGGCTTCATTTTAGGCCTGTCAGGAATTTCAGGCCTCATTAAGGCTTATCAAAATTTTAGGGATTGATTCAGGCATTTCAAATTAGGTCTGTCTAACGGCTTCATTTTAGGCCTGTCAGGAATTTCAGGCCTCATTTAGGCTTGTCAAAATTTTAAGGCTTGATTCAGGCATTTCAAATTAGGTCTGTCTAAAAGCTTGATTTCAGGTCCGTCCAAATTTCAGGCCTTATTTAGGATTGTCAGAATTTTCCGACCTCATTTAGGCTTATCAAAATTTCTAGGCTCAACCCAAGGTGCCTAAAATTAGCCCAGGCTTGTCTGGATTCCAAGGCTCATTTTAGGCCTGTCTAGAATTTCAGGCCTCATTTAGGCTTGCCAAAATTTCAGGGCTCAACCTGAGGTGCCTAAAATTAGCCTTCTATTTTCAATTTAGGCTTATCTGGATTTCAAGGCTCATTTAGGCTTGTCAAAACGCAACCTAATTTTTTCCAGAATCCAAGCCACAGATCCGGATCTCGGCCCATCTGGAAACATCCACTTCTCCCTCGAAGGATCACCTCCGAATCTCCTATCCATCAATGAAACTTCGGGACTTCTGACAATTTCCGGCGATTTGATGGGACTTTCACGCGCCGAACCATATGCTATTCGAATCATTGCACAGGATTCTGGAAGTCCGGCGTTGAATTCGAGCGCGGTTTTGAATTTGAGAGTGAGAAGCAAGGATGAGTTGATGAGTCAGCCGATTGTTGAATTTGTGAATTTGGAAAATCGATTTGAAGTTGAGGAGGTGAGCTTTTTTAAAGCTCTGGAAGGCTTCTGGAAGCTCTGGAAGTCTTCTGGAAGCTCTGGGAGGCTTCTGGAAGCTCTGGAAGCTCTGGAATGCTTCTGGAAGCTCTGGAAAGCTTCTGAAAGTTCCCACCGCAATTTAATTTTCCAGAACATCCCTGACTCCCAAAAAATCGCCAAAATCGAAGCTCGTGTCAAAGGTTCACGCGAAGATGGAATTTCTCTCGAATACACCTTGAAAGATCTGATATCAGCGCAGGAATCGTTCCAAATCGATAAAACATCTGGCGAGATTTTCGCAACACGGCCTATCGATTATGAAGCGACGCAGGATTACACGGTGAGTTGGGAAAGGGTTTTGATTTCGAAATCGACTTATGACCTGGCTGATAAGAGGAACAATGTTATTTGTTTTTTATTTATTTTTGATCGAACATTTTCGAGTCTTTTTTTGCTTTGGTTTGCTTTTCTATTTATTTTTCGGATTTTATTCAATTGACTTTGCATTTTGCATTTTCGAACAAGTTTATTTCTTTGCGGAGGTGGACAACGATCAAAAGGTAAGGATTTGTTACACTTCACAGAGTTTTATGTGTGATTTAAATGTGACCCTAAACCATGTTTAATCCTATTTGAAATATTTCTTGGGCCAAAAATTTTCTGGTAGATCAAAAATTTTTTTTCTCTAAATTTTTCGTTGAATTTTTTCAAAATTGATTTTTAAGTTGCTAAAAATTTTTCAGATTTAGAATTTCGCTAAAAAGCCTTTTTTAGGCCATAAAACAAACATATATCTACAGTAATCTCTACTGAATCTGATTTATTCGGGACCCCAAGATCAAATTTGCTAACAGTTCTATTAGTCCTGGAATCTATCAAGGAACCCTATATCTACAGTAACCCTAGATCTATTTCTACAGGAATCCCATAATCTATTAGGGAGCCTTAGATCTACAGTAACCCAAGATTTACAGTAACCCTAGATCTATCAAAGATCACTAGCTCTACAGTAACCCTAGATCTATTTCTACAGTAACCCTAGATCCTGACCCAATTCCTTCAGCTCTCTTCCAAAAAAAATTTCTCAAATTTTTGAAGTTTGCTTTTCTTATCAATTAGTGTCAATCGAAACTTCTTTTTTTTTTTCTTTTTTTTTCAAAAAAAAAAAAACAAAAGTTTCTATTCAATTTTATCATCACATTTTTATAACTCTTCTTTTCTCATTTTCAAAAATAGAAAAAGTTCCGTTTGGTCAGAAAAACATAAAATCGATGAGTCAAAGCAATATTTATTTGCATATTTCATTTCATTTCGAAACTATATTTTATTTTTTTTATTTATTTCAAACTTTTTTCAAATATTTACACTTAAGAGACACATTTTTTGGCTGTAACTGTAAACAAAAATTCACTGTTCGAATTTTTTGAGGACCGATTAACTAATTCAACTTGTCACACACGCCTTTAGTTAATGTGACTGTTTTTTTGGAGGGAAAAGGAACGGGTGTTCCAGTTTTATGATTTTTTTATAGGATTTTCAGCAAGAATTTTTAGAGCAGAATTATTTTGGCTGAAAATTTGGAGCATAAACTTCTGAAAATTTCAAACTATATTTCAAGGCTTAAGGTTATGATTAAGGTTTAAAGTTTTATCCGAAGTCACCAGGATACTTGAACTTGAAATCTGAAAATCTTTTTGAATTTTTCAACAACTTTTTTTTTACATTTGATTGATGTATATTGACTGTAAAAGTTTTCTGATCGAATTATAGTTGTTGTTTTTTTTTCTCACGAAAATTATAAGTTTTCTATTTTTCAAGGTAAAAAAAAAGAAAAAAAATTGTGCGGCGGGTGGGGGTCGAACCCCGGCTCCTCGAACAAAATGCACGCATGTAGACCACTCGGCCATCTAGCTGTTTCTTTCCGCTGTCGAAATTTTTATATTCAAATGGCTCGCTTGAATTTCTCGATTTTTCCCATGAAAATTAAAAATTATAAATTTTCAAGGTCAATTTTCACCACTTTCCTTCTCACTAAATGAATAAGTAAATAAATAGATGATCATCAAAAAATGTGTACAGTTATTTAGAAAGAAAAAAAAATTGATGATCATGCTCCAAATCTCAAGTGCTCTCTGCTCTCTCTCTCGCGAGCTCCCAAACACAACTTTTTTGTGCTCTTTTCCTCATTATTTTCTGCGCATGCCCAGAATTACTGTCCAAATATGTGTCGCGCCTCATTTTTTCCACACTTTTCGCGCCATTGAGCAAATCGTGTTGTGTTGTGTTGTAAAAGACTGTGAGACGAGAGGGAAAATGAAAAAAAAGGGTACATAACTGGTATTTTTTGACGGGGTGTTGCGCAATTTTTCCCCTGAAATTTCGTATTGTTCACTTGTTGTCTTGGTTCAAAGATTTTCGACAAAAGCGCTAGGAGGCGGTGTTCGGGGGCGTTTTTTGTCAAAATGTCAATATGCAAATGAAGATTTCTGAACTGTATAATTTCGATTTAGCATACGTTTTTCCAGTGAAAATTAGGTTTCAATATTTTTCGAATAATAAAATTTTGTCTGTGATTTTCTGAGATGAAAATTTTCTGGAAACATTTTTCTCTGAATTTTTTCTTTTCTCAGGGAAAATATGAAATCTGTGAGAAAATAATTTTCTAAAATTCGAAAAATTCAGATTCCAATTTTGCCACGTCATAGCTTAAATTAGAAGTTCAAAGGCAGATGAAAATTTCTAGAATACATAAATTTTATTAAAAATCTTGATTCCAAGTTGAAACAATTTTCTTGTTATGGGGTGATTCAAGTCTAGAAAAAAAAATTTGAAAAACAATTTTTTTTGACCAAAAATTTCGATTCAAGAAATGTCAAAAAAAAACTATTTTTCCTATTTTTGGACATTTTTTCCACTTAAAAATGAAAAAAAATGTCAAAAAATAGGAAAAAAAGTTTATTTTTTGACATTTTTTGAATCGAAATTTTTTCAATAAATGTTTTTTTGTAAATTATTTTTTTTTCAACTTGAATCACCCCATTCTGGTCATATTTTTGAGTAAAAATCAGAACAATATTACGTGACTTCCTATTTTCCGTTTCATTTTTTTTAATCAAAACTTCACAACTTCCATCAATCATTTTTCCAACCATTACAGTTTTTTTTCCACTTCACTTCAAATTTTATCATCAAGAAATCCCGCAAACATTGTTAGATAATCGAAACTTTTCTTTTTTTTTTCTTTTTTTCCTACATTAAAATGTTGTTTGCGTTCCTTCGTTCCTTCAATTCCACTTGAAATTTTTTTACAATTTTATTTTATTTTATTCTAGTAATAAATCCAAGACTCTCTCTAGAGTCGCCTGAAAACGAAAAGGTAAGAATCACAAAAATTTCACTTTTTGGTTTCGGCACATATGTAATTAGAATAAAAACTAGTGGTTTTCCGTTTTCTCACAAATTGTACGAAATTCATTCAACGATAATCGTTTACATTTGTTGTGTTTATCTATCTTTTTGTCCACTTCTAAAGTATTTATCTAACAAGAATTTCTTGATTTTTGTGTTGAATAGTAAAAAAAAAACATGGATCGTAAGTTCAAGGAAAAAAAATTCTGTGACTGAAATGCACCTTTGAGCCAAGTTACAAGGCTCTAAACAGGCCTGTGCCGGAAATTTTCCGGATTTTCCGATTTTTTCAAGGAAAAATCAATTTTCCGGAAAATGATCTTTAGTAGTAATATTTTCAAAATTGCCTAAATTTTGGGAACTTTTCTCAGTTTATGATAGAAAAAATGAAATTTTGGATTTTTTTTTCAATTTTTCAAATTTTACTATTTTTTGAACGTAAGACGTCTCAAATAGTTACTAAATTACCTGTGAATAGAAGAATTGTAGATAAAAATAAGTTTTTGTGCCAACTTAAGGCTGAAAATCGCGAATTTCAGACTTTGAATAATTTTCCGACTTTCCGGGTTTTGATTTTCCGGCACAGGCCAGGCTCTAGAGTTCTATAGATGTTGCTGAAGAAGATTCGATGAAAATCTTGAGGTTCAGATCAATTTTCAGAACTCTGGAGCCTCGTAAAATGGCTATGTTTTGGGACTGAATCTGTAGATTTTCCGAACTTTGCGGATCCGTAATTTGGCACTTCTAACCATATTTATCTCCGCAAACCGCTCAAAAAAACCAATTTCAGAAATGGGAAAACTTGAAAAAATTGGTCGAAGTATCCTCAAAAAAATCAATAATACAACTCGCCGGCGGGCTCTCACTCCTCAACAGAATCCACATCAAACATCATCAGACGAGGAAACTGAGAATCAAAAAAACCAGCGAAAAAAGACGAGTTCAATGCCAGATGTGTCATATGTTCATAATTTCACAGTGAATACCGAACCGCCAGTTCCAATCATCAGAATTCCACCTCCACAACAATCCTCGCCGAGATCTAATACAACAACTTCTGATGGAGGATATACCACTGATGATACATTGAATGTTGAGATAAAATCGGATTCACAAGGATATTATTCGGCTAGTTCACTTAGTCCAACGTTAGAAGTTCCCAAGAGATATGAGAAATATCCGAGGATAAATGTCTCTTCGAAATCCCATTCAGATCTTCTACGAGCCATCGAAGTTCCCATAATTCTACCAGATCCTAGTAAATCTGTGAGCAACTTGGCGAGCTTGGAACCTTCAGATCCAATCGAAAGATTTTTGAAGAGATCAATTTATAAAACCAAGATGATTACAACGGTTTTTGAGGCGAAAAATGGGGGATTCGAGGAGATTTATGAGGATGTTTGTGATGAAATTGATCGATGGTTTGAGACGAAAAATATGATGGCGGTGGCGTGTGAAATGCATTGGTCAGTACCCAAGGAAAAGAGATCGAGGCAATTGGAATGCAAGTGAGTCTTCTGAATCGGAGCGGAAGTATTTTTTCAAAAAAAAAATCGATATTCATCTCAAAGTTGACGAAAATACTCGATTTCAATCTATCGAAAAATTTTTTGAACGAAAAAAAAACACAACATAGACTATTATCGAAAATCTCATCGGTACTAGTACGCGCTCCACCGAAATAAACACGCAACGCAGACCGCGCCGCGTCACAACACACACAAAAAGGGAGGGAATTTGAATCGTTCCCTTATTTGTGTGTGTTGTGGCGCGACGCGGTCTGCGTTGCGTGTTTATTTCGGTGGAGCGCGTGGAGTACCGATGAGATTTTCGATAATAACTCTCGTTTCAAATTTTTTTCGAGCTAAATAAGTTCATTCGAATTTTATTTATTAGAAAAACATTTTTGGACAAAAAGTTTTGATTCAGCAAATGTCAAAAAAACTTTTTTCCTATTTTTTTGACATTTTTTTTCATTGAAATATTTGCTAAAGCGAAATTTTTTGTAAAAAAACGTTTTTTTTATTATTTTTTTTTTTCACCCCATAAAATTCGCTTTTCCAGACTAAAAGAGAAACTTCTAAGCGCTCTGCGTGAAAACAACAAAAGACTTTTGTACATGCGAGGAATGGGTCGTGGAAAAACACCGATCAAATTAGCCGAATCCAAAACCGTTGAGAATATTACCAGAGACAAACCAACTGATTCAGTCAGAGGTAGGCTCACAATAAGAATCCCAGGGATATTTATCCATCCCGATGTTTATTTTTTTGCAGGAATTTATCAACGAAGTTACACCCGTCTTCTACCGTACCTTCACAAAGAAACGCCTGAATGGCATTCACAATATTGGACACTGAAAGATATGCAACACCTTGAAGAGGAACAAAACAATAACAATAATTTGCAACAACCCGAACCGCAACATTTTCTTTTCGATGAACGGGATCCGGATGTGTTGGAAAATACATCGTTGATTTCGTTGAATATTATTGGATTGAGTATTTTGGGAAATTCGAGAGGTTCCAATTATTTCGATCAGATTTGAGGAGAAGAAAATAAATATTGAATTACGGGTTGATTTTTTGTTTTTTTTTGTGTGTATAAATAAATATTCAAATTTCTCTTTTTATGTTTTTTTTTCTAGGATCCGCGTCTAGAGATTGACTTTGGCAAGGAGGCGCGCCTTGAGATCCACACTAGCAAGGAGTCGCGCCTAGAGGTCCTTCTCCTCAAGCAGCCGAGCCTAGAGACTTTAATTGTCAAGCAGCCGCGTCTAGAAAGTTCATTTGTCAAGGATTAGCTCCTAGAAAGCCTAGTCTCAAGAAGCCACGCCTAGAGCGTATAATTTTCTCGGACCCGCGTCTAGAGATTGACTTTGGCAAGTAGGCGCGCCTTGAGAACCTAGATCTCAAGTAGCCGCGTCTAAAGAATGACTTTTGCAAGGAATCGCGCCTTGAGAACCTATATCTCAAGCAGCCGAGCCTTGAGATCCTCTTCCTCAAGAATCCGCGCCCTGAGATCCACTCTAGCAAGGAGTCGCGCCTGGAGATCCCTCTCCTCAATCAAGTCCGTGGAAATTTTTTCTCCGTGGAAATTTTTTCTCAGTGCGAGTGATTCCTGAATTTTTTGAAAAACATCAAATCCTACTCGGATGATTTCCTAGATGTAATTATTAGAAATGCTTGCGATTGATCTGACATTGGTGTACACATTACAAATCAAACTAAAACTTACGGTTATGTCTATGAGTTTCATTTATAATTATGTTTAATACATAAAAACCATAAAAACTATAAATTTCGTGCTATCTCCACTGATTCTGGTCTCCTCACCTCCGATTAGTCATTTTAATTTAGCTTGTGTCATCCTCCCCCCCCCAAAATAATTTAATTCAATTCGATTTTGTTCTATTTTTTTTTATTTTACTTTGTGTTCGATTTCATTATATATTGTGTTTTATCTTACTTACTGCGTGATTTTTTCTCTAACGGTGTATTTTCCGCTCATCGTAAATAAATAAATAAATAAATAAATAAATCAGCCGAGCCTAGAAATTCTAGTTGTCAAGGATTAGCTCCTACAGAGCTTTGCTCTCAAGCATCGGCGCCTTGAGATCCTCTTTCTCAAGCAGCCGCGCCTAGAGATGCTCTTTCTCAAGTAGGCGCGCCTAGAGATCCCCCTCCTCAAGCAGCCGCGCCTTGAGATCCTCTTCCTCAAGAATCCGCGCCTTGAGATCCTCTTTCTCAAGCAGCCAAGCCTAGAAATTCTAGTTGACAAGGATCAGCGCCTACTGAAGCCCCCTCAAATCTCATCTAACAGATTTTCAGCTCCTCGTCACTGCCACAAATCCTGCTGATCCCACACAAACCGCTTCAACAATTATCCATCTAGATATTCTGAATCTGGAAGACAATTCTCCCGAATTCCCCAAAAGCGCCACAAGAGTTTTCAAAGTTCCAAGCAACACTTCAAAATCGACAGCAATCGGAAGAATCGTGGCCTATGACGCTGACAAAAAACCAATCTTCTATTATATTATTCCAAGTTGTGGATCGGAAATGGCCGCGAATTTTACAATTGATCACGAGTTTGGAGAAATTGTGTATCATCCTCAGAAACCTACCACAGAAGTTTCTGGGAGAGTTGAGATTTGTATTTTGGCGGATTCTAGAGAAAATGTTGATTTGGTGGATGTTTTCTATGATTCGACAGCGAAAAATATGCAAAAAATCACGGTTGAAGTTCATAGTGATGAAAATAAAGTGGATGTGGAGAAGGAAATTGTGGTAGAAGCTCAGAAAATTGCGCAAGTTGGAGATAGTCTACAAAATATTGAGATTCCTATTGATTTTAATAGTCAAGCGCAAGATTTTGAACTGGAAACTATTAATTTTGTACCGTAAGTTTATTTTTGAATTGGATCCGATAATAATCGGTTTTTTTGTTTTCAGAGCAAATTATGAGCTTGGCCGCGATATGATTTCGCCCGAAGGATCTGTCGAACTCAACAAAAATACCGGGGAACTTGCAGCAACTCCACGAATCCTAGATGCTCCCCAAGGTATCTACATTGCGCAGCTCAAAAACGAGAGAGGAATTCGAGAACTTCATCATATTCGAGATGATCGCAAGTTGAAGTATGTGTTGGCGATGGAAAGAAATGAGTTTGGAGCGAATATGGAGAAATTGAAGAGACAACTGCGGGAAGCGTTGAAATCAATGGATGTTTATTTTTCGGAGCCATTAAGGGATTCAAAGAATTCTTCATATACTTCGGTGTGTTTTTATATCACCAAAGATAATGCGATTTTGGAGGATAAACAAATGAGTGCACTTTTATCGAATACAAATCAATATATCGATAAAATTCATCATATTTTCAAAGTTGTTAATGTTGATCAATGTACGCAGGCAAAACCATTGCAAATTTCAAATGATATTCCACTAAATACTTTGATTCTTATAAGTATTGTTGCTGTTTTGATTTTGATTCTTGTTGCATTAGTTGGCTATATTTGCTGTGTTGCTAGATATCGAAGAAGTCTTGAAGAGAAGTTGAAAACTCCTTATTACAAATCCCCTGGTTCTCAATCGTATGCTCCAACTAGTACATCTTCTCATACAATTGGTTATTATTAAAGTTTGATTTGTTTAAAGAAAATAAAATATTTCTTTATTTATAAATATGCTATTTTCATTGAATTTCTAGAAAACTATTGAAAAAATCAACAATTCTCATTTGCTAGAAACAGAAAACCTTTCAAATTCAAGCCTGAACTTCAAAAAATACGTCGAAACGAAAAAAAAATGAAAAATAAAAAAATAAAACGAGAAAGCGTTGTGTTTAGGAGGGCGCAGAGAAAACGAGATTAAAGGCGCACCCATTTTTTCGTTTGTTTCTCGCAGCGAACGGCGACAGTATGCCTTGCCCAGTGCTGAATTTCGTTTTTTCTTTTCTTTTCGACTCTCCTAAAATTTTTACAGTAATTCACGTGTAATTTATGAATTTTTTTGATTTTAACTTATTTTTCTGTCAAAAATAGATTTGAATGTTGTTTCCGATTGTTGATTACGCTCTTTGTTTATTTTTTACGTGAAAATACGACTTTCAAACTCAAAATTTCAAATTTTCAGGTAAAATGCCGCCAAAGAAGGCAGACCCAAAGGGTGGCAAGGCCGCCCCATCCAAGAAAAAAGGAAGGATCCGGAGGTGGAAAGGCTAAGAAGAAGAAGTGGTCAAAGGGAAAGGTCCGGGACAAGCTTAACAACATGGTTCTCTTCGACCAAGCTACCTATGACAAGCTCTACAAAGAAGTGAGTTTTTTGTTGAACAAAATGCATTCAAAAAGTTTAAAATACGAGATTGTATAACATAGGTTCACTCAAACGATCCGAGTTTTGTTAATTTTTTTAAAGCCGACTGATTTTAACTTCTAAAAAGTTTTAAAAATTATCGATCATGCTTAGTATAAGAAATCTGTAACACGAATATCGTTCAGGTTTTCTTGCATTCCCAGATATAGAGATTTAGAATTTTTCATTGTTTGGAACACTTATTTTTATTTCTTTCAAAATTAAACAGAAAGTTGTTATTCAGTAATCTCAATTTTCTGATTAAAAATGACAATTAATTGACCTAAAACTTCCTAATTGATTGTGGAACGCGTTCTTCTAGTGAAATTCGTTTCAGTATAATGTTTTCCTTCACTTTTCTAAATCAATAAATACGCAAACATCTGGCAAATCTGTTTGTTTCCCCACACAACATTATTGATTTTTTGAGAGAAAACATTTTATTATACATGAATTTTCGGGCGTTTTCTTTATTTATTGGGCGTGTTTACAAGTGGCTTTAGATTTTTATAACTATACAAATAATAAATTTCCATTCCTCAAGCTAACATGTTTCATACGAATCTTATTTTATTATTTTCCAGGTCATCACCTACAAGCTTATCACTCCATCCGTCATCTCCGAAAGACTGAAGGTCAGAGCCTCTTTGGCCAACGCCGGACTCAAGGAATTGGAAGCTAAGGGACTCGTCAAATGCATCGTTCGTCATCACGGACAAGTCGTTTACACCAGAGCCACCCGGGAAGCCGACGTCATCGTTGAATAATTTCTTGTTGATTTATTGATGTTTCATAAACATCAAAATTTAATTGTTCTTCTTGTTTACAAAGTACAGACAAACTAACCGCAACCAACGGCATACCAGTATCTATTTTTGAGAATAACTCGTATATTAGAAGATAGCTAATCTAACAATTGAAGATGTTTGTGTTCCGTGTCCTAAACACGGTCCCCTATACAAATCGCGCTGGCGCGAAAGACCTAGTCGCAAGCATCCACTCATTCTTCACCTCAAACATCCTCGTCGGCCTAGCTGTTCTAATATCATGGAAACAATTCGGTGGAACACCAATCGAATGTATGGTTCCACTAGATTTCACCAATGCATGGGTTCAATATTCGAATAATTATTGCTGGGCTCAACCAACATATTTCATCCCATTCACAGCTCCATTAGTCGAAGAAATAACACCAGCTGATGTTGTTGTCGATGGAATGGCAAGAGGAAATGGTGAACCGAGAATTGTGAAGAAAGGCGGAGAAAAAGTTTCGTATTATCAATGGATGTCATTCTTCTTGCTTTTTGAAGCTGCTTGTTTTCGACTTCCATGTTTTATTTGGAAATATTTTGCGAGTCAAAGTGGAATGCAAGTTGGAGAAATTCTCCGAGTTTCGAGCGATGAAAATAATGCAGTTCCACTTGTCAAAAAAGCCAATATCTCTGCTTTATGTATTCATTTGAAAGGTGTTCTTCGATTTCAAAAACGATTGAAGCTTGTGAGTAATTATTTAATCACAATGTATTAATTATCTCCAAAAAAATTCCAGAAAAACATAGTTCCTCACAAATTCCTGCGATTTTTGAACATCAAATATTCCGCCTATTACGTCACTTTCATTTATTTTGTGGCGAAACTCGCATTTTTGGGAAACGTCATTTTGCAATCCAAACTTCTCACTCACTATATGTTGCCAACTGAAAAACAGTCGAGATTCGGGTTTGATATGTGGAAGAATATATTTTGGGGAAATGGGGGAAATGAGACGTGGCGGGAGAATGGCGTTTTTCCCAGAGTTACTTTGTGCGATTTTTCAGGTGAGTTTTGGAAATGAAGTGAAAAATTTTGGAAAAAACGTGAAAAATTTTTATTTTTGGGAAAAAAATGAAAAAAATCATTTTAAAAATTGAGAAATTTTGAAATGCAGCTGGAATGTTTCTGAAAATTTTAAAAAACGTTCTTGAAGCTAAATAGTTTTCATATTTTGCTTCAAAAGGGGATTTCCTAGAATTTTGAGGTTTTTTCAAAAAAGTTCGGATTTCGACTTTGCCACGTCATAAATCATGTTAGCAGTTGAGAAAAAACTCATTTTGAAAATCAAGAAATTTTGAAATGGCAGCCAGAAAAGAATATTGTTATGACGTGGAAATTTTTTTTCTGAAAATTTTTTTGAAGATAAATAGTTTTTCATATTTTGCTTCAAGAAGGGATTTCCTAGAATTTTGAGTTTTTTTTCAAAAAAATTCGGATTTCAACTTTGCCACGTCATAACTCAAGTTGAGTTGCGTTTTTCACGCGATTTTTTTAAAGAAAATTCAATGAAAATGTCGAAAAAAGGTGACGTGAACTTTACACAAATACGTGGAAAATTATTTCTGTTTTTGAGAAGGGAAAAAAATTATTTTAGAAATAAAACAGTAACGAAATGACTGGCTCGTGAGTTCCAAATATGTTATATAGTAGTTTTAGAGCTGCCTGAAAAATAGTTTTCATATTCAACTTCGCCACGTCATAACTCATGTTGTGTTCTGCAATTTTCAGAGATCAGCAGGTCAAAAATCACTAAAAATAGCATTCAAAATTAAAAATTTCCTCAAAAAATCAATCAATATTTTTTTCCAGACGCGAGACATGGGAAACATCCAAACACACACCGTGCAATGTGTTCTCCTCCTCAATTTATTCACCGAAAAAATCTTCGTAATTCTCTGGGCCTGGTATATTATCCTAACAACTTTCACCATCGCCAATCTCTTCAGTTGGATTTTTGCGGTTTTCAATGAAACCTATAATGAGCATTTTATTTTGAATCGATTGGAAATGTGTGAAATGCCTTTTGATAAGGAGGATATTAGTAAGGTTTTTTATATTAAAAATTAATTTTTGGGAATTCAAAAAAAAAACAAAAAAGTTCTAGAAAATCGTGAACACGTCCAACGATTCATTCAAAAATATCTGGGAACCGATGGGCTGTTCTTGCTACAACTTATTGATCAACACGCTGATGTTGTTTTCACTACAGAGCTCATCGGAGCTCTTTATAAAAGTCATTATGAAATTGAAGAGCAGAGGAAGTGAGTTATTTAACAATAACAACAACAATTTATGCAGATCAAACTAGAAACAGAAAAAAATTAACAAAAAATTAATCGATGGTTGTGGAGACTTCTTCAATTGCAGCGTATGGCGGTGGAGTCTGGAAAAATTTTAAAAAAATCTTGACTGACAATTTTCACACTTCAAACCTCGATGAAATTTTGTCCATAGACAACTTTTGGGTCATAAGAACACCCCAAAAATGTTAGGACCTCTGAGCCAAGTTCTGGGCTCTCAAAAGTTCAAAAATTGGCTCATAACTCCATTCTCGGTGATTTTTATGCAGCGTGATCAATAAATCAAATTTTTAGAAAAATTTTTGATTTCGGAAAAAAATTATGAGCAGGAGGGCAATGAATTTTCAGCCGAAAAATAAAAAATTTTAAAATTAAAAAAAAAATGTTTTTTATTGATGTACTTTCAGTAAATCGACTACTTTTTTTGAAATTTTTCAGATTTTTTTCAAAAATTTTCAGATATTGATCAGCATAGTCGATTTACTTAAAGTACATCAATAAAAAACAATTTTTCCAAAAAAAATTTTGAAATTTTTTATTTTTCGGCTGAAAATTCATAAAATTGTCTGCTCTGGCTCAAAATTTTTTTTCCAAAATCAAAAATTTTTGTGAAATTTTGATTTATTGATCACGCTTCATAAAAATCACCGAGAGTTGAGTTATGATGTGTTTTATGAGCCAACTTTGAAAATTTTTGAGAGCCCAGAACTTGGCTCAGAGGTCCTAAAATTTTCAGGGTGTTCTTATGACCTCAAAAAGCTGTTTATGGACAAAATTTCATCAAAATTTGAAGTGTTGGGTGAAAAAAGTTTCCCTTACAGAGCTCAAGATGAGCTATGACGTGGCAAAGATGAGCTATGACGAAAAAATCAGAATTTTAGGATCTGAAAACTAGCTTTAAAAATGATTTTCATGCAGATCTGATAGCAAAGGGTTGTTCAGAAAGGTCAAAAATATGGAAATGGTTTCTGAAATACAAAAAACCTGAATCTTTTCACTGAAAAAGAATAAGTTTACAAAATTGAATGAATCTTCAAATTTTAAATTTTTTTTTTTCAGTGAAAATATTCAGGTTTTCAGATTTCAGACAATTCTGAACAACCCTTTGCTATCAGATTTTGCATGAAAATCATTTTTGAAGCCAGTTTTCAGCTGCGATTTTTCGAAATTTTCCACGTCATAAGTGTTTTGCAGAATTCAAGATGAGTTATGACGTGGCAAAGCTTGAAAATCCCAGATTTTAGGAGCTGAAACTGTTCAGAATTGTTAAAAATATAGAAAAGGTTTCCGAAAACCTGAAATTTTCACTGAAGAAAAATAATTTTCCAAATTTCAAATGAATTTTCAATAATTATTATTTTCGGTGAAAATATTGGAAACTTCATTTGAAATTGAAAAAAATTATGAATTTTTCAATTTTCAGTGAAAAATTTATAATTAATTTTCAGTGAAAATATTGAAAATGATCATTTTGGAAAAGTCATTTGAAATTGAAAAAATTATGAATTTTTCAATTTTCAGTGAAAAATTCAGAAATATTTTCTATATTTTTGTTATCAGATTTGCATGAAAATCATTTTCAAAGCGATTTTTCGAAATTTTCCACGTCATAACTCATCTTGAGTTCGAAACTTACCTCAACATCCTCCCTCTTCACTTGAAAATCCGCCAAACTCATTTTCCCATCACTCGGTGTATAATTTCTCTCCAATTTCGCATAGATATTCCGAACCTCATACGTCTGAATATAATGTCGACGATCACCAGCCACACTATTATCCTTCATCAATTCAACAATCTCATTTTCATCCAAACCTTCGAGAAGATAAACAGCAATCTCTTCGCGAATCTCTTTCGACAGGGGGGTTTTGTCGATTTGCCCGATCTCGTGGCCAACGTGTTCGAGACATCCGCGAATTGTGATTTTTCTGGAAAATTTTTTTTTTTGATTCTACATAGAAATCTGGCTAGATCTCACCCATTTTTTGTCTGTTTCATGTGAAAATATGCGCTGCAACTTGTGCCAATTTTCTTGCTCGATCGAGATCTTTGAATGGGTTTTCCAGTTTTTTCGGCGGCTGGAATGTTGCCAGAACGATGGCAGAAATAGTATCTGCAAAAATTCAGGGTCCTATATGAGTTATGACGTGGCAAAATTTGAAAATTACAGATTTTAAGAGCTGAAACTGGCTTCAAAAATGATTCTGAAAGGAGGGTCAAAAATATAGAAAATATTTTTGATGTGAAATCTGAAATTTTCACTGAAAATTCATTATTTTTTTCAATTTCAAATGAATTTTCCAATCTTTTCACTGAAACTAATAATTATTGAAAATGCATTTGAAATTTGCAAAATTATTTTTCTTCAGTGAAAATATTCAGGTTTTCGGAAACCTTTTCTATACTTTTGACAATTCTGAACAGTTTCAGCTTCTAAAATCTGGAATTTTCAAGCTTTGCCACGTCATAGCTCATCTTGAATCCTGCAATTTTCCGTCGAGAAAAACACGTGGCAAATTTCGAAAAATCGGAGCTGAAAACTAGCTTCAAAGATGATTTTCATGCAAATCTGATAGCAAAGGGTTGTTCAGAAGGGTCAAAAATATAGAAAAAATCTGAAAACCTGAATATTTTGACTGAAGAAGAATAATTTTGAAAAATTAAATGAATCTTCCAATTTTTGAATTTAATTTTGCAAAATTATTCTTTTTCGGTGAAAATATTCAGATTTCAGAAAAAATTTTCTATATTTTTGACCCTTCTGAACAACCCTATTCTATCAGATTTTCTTGAAAATCATTTTTGAGGCCAGTTTCAGCTCCTAAAATCTGGAATTTTCTGCAATTTATCTCCAAAAAAAAACACTCACGCCGAGACACAAGACGCCAAATTCTTCACCCATTTTCTAAAAAAAATCGAGCAAGTTCTCGCCTCCAAATCATCCTTCCACTCCTTGAATTGCTGCGGATTCTCAAAATTCATCGTGCTGAACTCCAATTGCAGTTGTTCGTGTTGAACTCGAAGATGTTCGATGAGCGTCGGCTGACTATCGCAGATGATTTGACATTCGCCGATGCAACATTGAATTTGAACGCGAGGCTTGGATTGGATTCCTTGAGCATGCATGTTTTGATGATTGAGATAAGCTGTCCTCGAGCGAAAGCAGATTCGACAATCCTCGCAAATCACCTTCAAAAATTGAAGTTTTTACTAAACTAGACTCTAGTTACTACTCACCGCATCTGCCAAACTCGTTGAATATTGAGTTTTTGGTTCGCGGAGCACTGGAATAATTGATTTGTCATCTTCAATGCCACTGGAAACTTCAATTTCTCTGTCAAAATTCGGACAATCATCGATAAACATCGCCGCATCGAAAGTCAAATCCGGAAAAGTGTTCAGAAGAATTGTGTTTGTACCAAGAATCAATGGAACTTGAGTTGTTGGAAGTTTTCGAAAAACTGGAAGTTTGCGCATTTCCGGGTATAATAAGAGTCGTTGCTTTGGCGATACTCCAAGATGTTCATGTTTATCCGGAAGATGCTCTTCCACAATTAACATGTGCTCTTCAAAAAACGCTGGATCTAGCATGACAGTTTCTTCGATGTATTCTTCTTCATACGCATATTCTTCTTCCATTTCTTTCTGCTTGTGAGAAAATGGGATGAAACTTTGTTTGAAAAAAGAAAAAATAGGCGATGCTGTGTCATTGCGGAGTGTCGTAGCGGAGTGTTGTTTTTTTATTTTTTAAACTTTTTTCAGAACTCTTCAACAAATGAATCGTGTTCTCCCACTTCTGCGTCCTGACGATGTTCAAGTGGAAAGTGCAATTCCATCTTCAAATCGCCCAAAACGCCGAACAACTGCCGCCGCAATCGATCAAACAGTGAATTCTACGCAAAATAACACACCGGCTAAAGTTAGGGTAAGTATTATCGAAAAGCTCCACGGAAATAAACACGCAACGCAGACCGCGTCGCGTCACAACACAAGGTCTCTCCCTTTTTGTGTGTGTTGTGACGCGGCGCGGTCTGCGTTGCGTGTTTATTTCGGTGGAGCGCACAGAGTGTAATTTACTACCCGAAAAATTTCGCGCATTTTTGAGACCTGACACGATTTTAGGGGTGGGACTAAAATCGACGAAATTCAGCGCAAAAACGAGAGATTTAGAGAAAAATGATTTTTGATCTACCCAAAAATTAATGAAAAATTTGAGGTCTAGCGATTTAAGGTAGTAAATTACACCCTGTGCAGCGCGTGAACAAGAAGTTCATCATTTTTTTTCCAGCAAGGAAGTCTATCTACAAATCTCCGACGCTATGGAAGTATGGAAGAACCAGACCTGCCCACAAAGAAATTCGATGATAGCAGCAGTGAAGACGAATCCAAGAAATCCAGCAAGAAAACGAGTCCGAAGAAGAGTTCTTCTCGAAAACCATCGCTTGCTCGAGCATTGTCGCCAGCTTTTATCGATATTCAAGAATCCGATGAGCAGCAATTGCCGAAAATGACAAATCCAACAACTAGAAAATGGTGAAAATTGACAAATTTTAATTTGTAAAAAAATGTATTTAATAATAATTCGAAGAATAATAATACAATAAATAAAGATCTCTAAAGTAAGTACAGGGAAAAATAAAAAAATTGAGCAAGTTATTAAAAAAAAATCAATCTCTTGGTGAATCGCATAATGGTAATTGTGCACTTGTATTTGACCATTTTCCATTTTCAATATCATACGAATAAATCGTCGAATCACAATGATAAGCACGCGGTGTTAATTTGACCAACGAATGTAGTGGAATATCAATATATGGAAGTTCTGGAAGTGGTCGATCATAAAAATACGCAAGAATACATCGAAGAACCGCTTGATGCGAGACAACAAGAACATTCGCCTGCCTTTCGAGTTCCATGATAACCGGTTCTAATCGCGAAACAACATCTTCATAGGATTCACCGCTTGGATAACGATAATGATATTTGTCATGAGCACGATCTTCGGATTGTTTTGGATATCTTTGCTGAATATCATCATACGTTAATCCTTCACATATTCCCGCATCAATTTCATCCAACGCCTTCCAATATTCGGTATGAAAATCGGGTTTGAGGTGTTGAGATGTTTGGGCGGCGCGGACTTTTTGAGAGCACCAAACGCGGAGGCCGGGAACTTCTTCCTCTTCGAAAAATTCGGCGAGAGCTAGCGCGTATTTTCGACCGTCTGAGGTTAGTGGAGAATCACCGCCAAGGCGACCCATTGAATTGTATTCACTTTGACCGTGCTGGAAAAATCAGGAGTTATGGTAACTTTTCGATTTAAAAACACGTCATTTACAAAAAATCGATATTCATCTCAAAGTTGACAAAAATCATCGAGCAAAAAATGATTTTGTAGCTGAAATCTTCAATTTTTCAATAAAATTCGAAATTACCTATTGAAAAATTGAAATTTTCAGCTACAAAATCATTTTTTTAATCAAAAATTTTGAGATGAATTCCGATTTTTTTGAAAAAAATTTCCCCTCACCCTTGTCAAATAAATACTCCTCGGCAACAAATGAATATTCATCAAAAAATAAACAACTCGACTCTGAACATGTCCCCGAACTTGATGAACTTTGAAACTTCTTCCAGCGTTGATAACCTTGATGAAGCTTAAAAGATCCCCTTCGGATTCATCAAGCGGCTCATATTGTTGTTTATAATTCTCGATTCTTCGCATAAAATCTTCTTTGGCTTGCTCAGCAGTCATCAGGCCTTTGTAATCCGGGGAATTTACCTTAACATCGGTGACATTGCTATCAATAATATCTGGATCATCACAAACAGATTCAATAAAAAAGCAGCGAATTCTGCAAAAAACTTTTTGTTTATGTCAGAGTTTGATAAAAATGTACCTTTTCTGTGTGCAAAAATCAATAATTGTTTTTCGTCGACTTTTTGTTGTGTTTGTCGCGTCGAAAATTGCCACACTTCCAGCGCCACTGTTCAAATAATCCGCCATGTCTTCCATGGCTCGCCGAGCAGATTCACTGAAAAAAAATATATTTGTTTTTTCCCCTTTTCTCAATTTGAATTGTCCCATAATCCATCAAATTTCGCTTGCATTTTTTTTTTTGGTTTTTTCGCAAAAATTTTTGATTTATGAGCCGAGCCACATGACTTACGCTCTGACTTTCAACGCATCCGCATTATTCGGCGAGAAAAATGAGGCATTTGCTCCATGCACGGCGTCCGCCGCATTCGCATCAGTTCTCCGATATTCTCCCACATTGAAAACTTTGGTTTTGAACCCGGTCCACTTCAAATACCGGCAGAGTTTCTTGGAGATATAGGTTTTTCCGCGCGCCGGCAAACCGACCATCACAATTACATTGGGAACTCGAACCTGGTCTGAGAAGCCGTGCTCATCTGAGTGTGCAACTTTTCGTTTTGTCGTCTCGGCGCCATGTTTTGGTGGCAATTCTTCCATCTGCAAAAGAAAAAAAGGGGTTTTATTATTATAATGAAGAAAAACAACTAGCTAAAATGTCGATAAACCAGGATTGATAAAAAAGACGGGAAAAAACAATGTTTGTTCGTTTTCTCTTCTTTCTAGTGAACGATTAGAGATCTTTGGCTGCAGAGAAACAGAAAAACAAAACAAAAAACTTCCTCCGGGAGAATTACGTAGGTTAGAAAACCTAGGCCATGATTTCTAGTCCCTCTCATTTTCTTTTTTTTTTTTCTTCTTTTTGTTTTCCCCTTCCATTTTCCCAAAACATCTGCTTTTATATCGAATTAGAAATTAGATAATTGGCTGAAAAACTAACTAGATATTTCTGTTTTGTTAGAAAGTAATATGTCAGTTGTTCTCTTCTCTTTTTCTTCTTTTTTTCCCTTCTTCCATGAGCCGCCTTAAAAAAGATGGAATTTTTCTTTTCTCTTCGTTTTTCTGCTTCCCCAGTTCGTTTTGCCTCGAAAATGAATTTTAAATTGGTTTTTTTGGGGCCGAATGCACTTGCTAAACGTTCATTTTTTATCGAATGTGTTCTCAGTTGCGCTAACTAACTACAAATCCAATTTTCTGCCTCTAGATATAAGCAGCCACCAGTTTGTTTTCGTTCGCCTCGTACACACATACATATTTTTTATTTTTTTCACATAAATATTGCATAATCCCATTATTTTTTGTGCCAGAGCACTTATTTTATTTTTTGCTGCCCCAAATTTACTAAAAAACCCCGCCCAGCAAAAAAAACCGGTTTTGTGTTGGGGGAAATTTATAATTATTATCATTTGCGTACTTTTTCAGTTTTCCCCCCAAAAACATTTTCCGTTTTTGACAGATATGAAGAATGGCGGTGGTGTAAGACAATTCGCAAAAATGTCTCTTGGGACAACATTGGAATAGGAGAATATTGGTGAGCTCTTCTCATAAATTTTTGAAAGCTTCTCTATAAATAACTAAGAGCCCATAAATTTTATTTAAAAAAAACTTTTTTTGTCGTTTTTCCATTCCGGGAAAAGTGCGTTTAATTAATTAAGCACTCAACTTTTTTTTCTTTTTTTTCCAAAAAAAAATTGAGTGGAATAGAATTTTAATTACGTTATTTAGTTGATCAACAAAAAAAACCACTCAATATAGAAAAAAAATCGAAGGTCAAACTAATCTGTCAAGAATAAATCTCGAATTTTTTTATGATGTCATTTTGGAATTGTTTCGCAGAGAGATCAAAGACCTTGAGAATCTTAATTTTGATTTGGTGCGAAAAAAAAGTGTTCAGTGATTAGATAGAAAAATGTGACCAGTATTATTTTTTGCAGTGAGAAAATATTGATTTATGAAAAAAAGAATTTAGCCAGGTGGATTTTCAGCTCGAAATTTGACCATCTGAAAATGTTTCTCCTGAAAAATCTACGTGGCGAAATTTTTAGTAGAAAATTTTCCATCGATTTTCAGCTGAAAATAGCCTGGATTTTCAGCTTGAATTTCGGCCACGTGGATTTTTTCAATCTGAAAATCCATATTGCGTTATTTGAGCTCAAAATCCATGTGTCACATTCTGCACCTAAAAATCCACGTGGCAAAATTCAGAGCTGAAATTCACGTGGCCCAATTTTTAGCTGAATATTCATGTGAAGAAATTTAGAGCTGAAAATCCACGTGGCACAAATTTTGAGCTGAATTTCCACGTGTCACAATCTCAACCTGAAAATTAACGTGGCAAAATTTTTATCTGGAAATCCACGTGGCGAAATTTTATTGCTGGAAATCTACGTGGGAAAAATCTACCTGAAATTCCACATGGCGAAATTTTGGAGCTGAAAATCCACGTGGCAAAGTTTTGAACTGAAAATCTACGTGTCACAATCTTCAGCAGAGAATCCACGTACCGAAATTTTGATCTGAAAATCCACGTAGCGAAAATTTTGAGCTGAGAATCCACGTGGCGAAATTTTGGAGCTAAAAATCCACGTGGCATAAATTTTGGAGCTGAAAATCCACTTGGCAGAAATTTAGAGCTGAAATTCCAGCTTTCATTTTTTTTGAGCTAGAAATCCACGTAGCACAAATTTTGAGCTGAAACTCCACGTAGCGAAATTTTATTTGCTGGAAATCCACGTGGCGAATTTTTGAGCTGAAAATCCAGATTTAATTTTTTTTTGAGCTGAAAATCCACGTAGCGAAAATTTTGAGCTGAAAATCCACGTAGCGAAAATTTTGAGCTGAAAATCCACGTGGCAAAATTTTATTGCTTGAAATCCACGTGGAAAAATCTTCAGCAGAAAATCCACGAGGCGAAATTTTGAGCTGAATTTCCACGTGGCACAAATTTTTATCTGAAAATCCACGTGTCACAATCTGCACTTAAAAATCCACGTGTCACAAATTTTGAGCTGAAAATCCACGTGGCGAAATTCTGGAGCTGAAAATCCACATTTTTAGCTGAAAAAAAATCCACGTCGAAAACTTTTGAGCTCAAAAAAGCCAGAGACTCCCTGGCTCCCGAAAAATCCACCAAGATTTTTTTTTCTATTTCCAGTATGTCTCAACCGCCGCTTCTTCCTCATCTCCACCTTCTCCTCCACCATCTTCCGATGTTTCCCTAAACATCCGCTTCGAATACGGACTTCCACTTCTAGATGTCCCATTACCATCAAGAAATGAGCCTTGTCAATTCACAATGCGACCATTGAGTGATAATGTCGGAAATCTGTGCGAATTTTTGCGGCAAGAAGATCGTGGAATCGATTATGTGGCTGTTTATGGGAATAGTGAGTTGGAGAATTTTGATTTTTGATTTTTCAAGAGCTCAAAAAAATTCAGATGGCACAAAATTGGCGACTTCCACTTCAATCGAACATCTTTTGCAATTCGGAACTTTCAGATTGCGATTGAATGACAAATATTTTACGGTTAATGTTCCAGAGACGGCTGGAACTAGATTTGATAGTGATAAGTTAGTTTTTTCGGTTGGCCGAGTGAGATGCCACGTCATAACTTGCAGACTTCGACAATTAGATGATTTGCGAGCCACAGTTGCCTCATTACACGCTGCACTTTGTGTCGATGAATATAAGCTAGCCAGGGAGCGAAATCTGCTGCAAAAACTCGAGAATGCTGAAAGTTTGCTGAAACCGCTGGAAATCGAAAAAGTGCGCATCGAAAAAGAGTGCGAAGAGCACACGGATCGTGTAATGTGGGCGGGTTTTGCGGCGTGTGGAGTGCAGACGGGATTATTCGCCCGGTTGACGTGGTGGGAATATTCTTGGGATATTATGGAACCTGTCACTTATTTTGCAACTTATTCGACGGTTATTGCCACTTTTGGGTATTATTTGTATACTAAACAGGTTGGTCCGGATTTTCTGTTATTTTTTGCTCAGCGACTCTTTGAAGAGCACAAAATTGAGCCAAATCGAGAATTTTTTGAAAATTCGTGGTTTTTTTGTAAATTGTCAGTTATTGAAAAACCGTGTATATGAATTGAGAACAATTTTAAAACGTTTTTTTTTTGTTTTTCAAAAATCAGTCAAAATTTGACTAAAATTGCTGAAAATGAGAATTTGGGCTGAAAAAATTATCGATTTTCTGAGCCATTTTCAGTTTTTGATAAAATCTTCTCTAACATGAATTATAGGCTCTCAGAAGAAGCGATTTTCCGAAAATTCTTAATTTTTGGCTCATTTTTGTGCTCTTCACAGAGTCGCGTAGCAAAAACTGAACACGACCTCTTTTTAAGCCCAAATTCTCATTTTCAGCAATTTGAGTCGCATTTTGACCTCAGAAATTTTTTTGTACGCGTTCAGCACACTTTTCGTACCAGTTCAATCCCTTCTCCGTGCGAGATCGCGAGCACAATCAATTCCAGCACTCAACTGGAGATGAACCGGAACATAAAAAGAACTGAACTAGTACAGAGCGCTTTTTGGGGAACTGAACCAGTACGCGCTTGCTTGCGTCGCTCACTTGAATGTCCTGAACCCGTACACTTTTTTCTATTGAAAAAGGCATTTCGCGAGCAAAATTTGTACTGAACACGTACACTTTGTAGAAACAAAATAATTTATTGATATGACAAAAAAAGTAAATTATTTTAAAGTCTGTAGATTCCTGATGGGTCGACTTCGTGGATCGGCTGTGTCGATTCTTGAAGAGTCGGCTTGATGGGTCGGCATTTGTTGACTTAGTGACATTGTGGCTGATTAGTTGACCCATGAAGATCCCATGAAGTTGTAGATGAAGTTGTAGTCGGCGCACTGAAAGAAAACTTCGTTTAAAAATTCAAATTCGAAATTGGATTTATCAATCATAATTACATAATTATCATCACAAAACATAGGATGCTTTTTATAAAATGTCCCAGAAAGTTCAGATAATATTTTGGTAGGTTCAAATTTTGAAAAAAAGAAAGTTATGTTCAAATCTGCAGTTAAAATATGAAACAGTGGTGGGAAATTTATGAATTCGGGATTCAAAATATTCTTATCAACTTTGTTCCAAATTGTTTCTCAAGATTTTAGTTAAAAAGTCCCAAATGTTTTTCTCTCAAATCTAGTTTGCACAATCAGAAACCTGGACTGTAGATAAGTTATTGAAATGTACAACTTTTTTGAAAAACGATCATTTTCAAATTTGGGATTATTTACTTGGAAAAAAATTTCCCAACATTTGCACAGAAAACAAAAAAAAATTTTAGCAATAAATTTTGAAAATGAGCTTACCTTTCCTAATTTTCCTCATTTCCAACCGTGCTTCGAAAGTGAGTTTGTAGTCGTTGTAGTTGAGAGAATCATCCTTGCTCTGAAATTTCGTAAAATTGAACTTAAAATTTGAAAGATCCCAAAGAAACGTAAGAATAACATCTCTAAAAAACGAATTTTGTGAGTATCAAGGCTGATATATATCAAAATAAGATGAATTTAACATGAAGCAATAAGCATAACTTTTCTTGAATTACTTTTGAAAAAATCATATTGAAACGTCGCTGAATTCTTGGGAAAAATCAATGAAAAACAAAAACGGCCCAAAATTTTCGAAAACAAAAAATGAGAAATTCTCCTGGGCTTCGACTGAACCTTTAATTCGTGTCGAGACCACAACCCATCTCATGCTCGTCAAAAAGTACTGAACCAGAACAGCATAAACATGTGCCGCGTGCTATAACCGACTGAACTGGTACGAAATTATTTCATGTGTGTACGGGTTCAGAACATCTACTCAATCATGCCATTTTTCGAGCCATGCAGCCCAAAAGACTGAACGTGGACTCGCATCAGTTTGAACGCGTACTCGATAGGAACTGAACGCGTACAAATGCACAAAACGTGCTGATCGGGTACAAAAAAATTCCTGAGACTGATTTTTTCAAAAACAAAAAAAATACGTTTCAAAATTTTGATATAATTTATTATCAAATATTTTTTTCAATTCGGATTTTCCAATAACTGACAATTTACAAAGCTGAATTTTCAAAATTTCTCGATTTTTGGATCATTTTGGTGCTCTTTAGACAGTCGTGCAGCAAAAATTGAAAGAAAAAATCTTTCTAAGTTTTTTGAAAAATGATTTTTATACGAAATTTTCTAATCAAAAATTATAGTTTTCTCCCCTCAAACTACAAAAATTTGTAGTTCGATTACTGTACCACATTCTAAAAATTGCAGAACTTTGACTATCCGATTGCTCGCGAACGCGTCTACACCAAACAATTCTACCGTCGCGCTCTCAAATCCGGCTTCGACATCGAAAAATACAACAACTTGGTTCAAGAAGTCGACGAACTTCGAAATCAACTAAAACGATTAAGAGATCCTCTATTTCAGCATTTACCAGTCAGCTATTTATCGCATTTAGAACAAAAATGAGTGCTTTTTGAAAGAAACTTGATCGTATGTGTATATTTTTTGCTCTGTCTCTTTATCTTTAGGAGTAATTAATTAATTAATGAAAAATTCATTTCCGATATTTTTCTCTACTTAAAATAGTTCGAATCGCTGAATAGAAATCATTTTCCACATATGTTGGTTGATATAATCGCTTTCTTTCACCGGGGCTCAAATCACAAATTATACTCGAAATCGGCTGAACAACACCATTCATATTTCCATGACTTTGATAAACTCCAGTTTCGACCAGAATTGAGATGCATCTTTCGACGACGTTTTTAGTTCGAACTTTCGGGTATTCTCCGTCGTTTTCTTCAAAAGTGTCGAGATTGAGATGATCGAATCGACCACAACCGCCATGTTTCAAATATCGATCGAATAAATTGGCACCAAGGATGTCGGACATTGGATTGTCTCTGGAAAGAATATCGATTTTTGTGCTTTAATTTTCCACCAAAATCTCAAGAACGGCTGAAAATCTGAGTACACCATCTTCATCGCCGTGAAAAACTGCTTTGGAGTTCGTGGCGAGCCCAATTTCGAAAAATAGCGCGCAAAATTGAGAGACGCGAGACATTTTTGTGCATTTGTGCGTCGCCGTGTTTGCACAAGTCAATACAGTATACCAACCGTGAACCGATGGCCAAAAAAATACGTGCGAAAATGAACATTTTTCAAAATACCTTTATAAATAGCTTAACAAAACGAGAAAATGCGCTCCAAGGCACACATTTCGTGTTTGCAGATTTTACGCGCAACACCGTGACGCACATTTGCAGACAACCTTTTCTTTTCAAAAAACGCCAACCCTTTATGGGCCTATGCAGAAAAACGTCGAAAAAACAAAATATACATTTTTTTACTATTTTTGAGTAGAGACAGTGTGAAATTGAGAGAGTGCAGACAGTTTTTTGTATTTTTTGTGCGAAAAATCAATTTTTCTGTCTGCACTCTCTCAATTTCACATTGTCTCTACTCAAAAATGTTTTTTCGACGTTTTTTGCATAGGCCCATTAATCTGAGCAATCCTACAGTATTAAAGTATTGGTGTTTTTCTGGGAATTCTGCAAATTGTCGTCACGGTGTTGCGCTGCAAACACTCAGACAAGTTGCACCTCCCGGTTCTCCTTTGCTTGATATTGCAAGGAGGTTGACGTCAAAGATGGCAGTGGATTTAAACCACTAGCAAGGAAAAATAACAAAACACGGATTTTAGGCCAAACTTTATGTTTTTGACCAAAATAAACAATGAAAATACAAATACAACTTCACGAGGAAGTGTATCAATAATAACAAAAGATGAGTTAATTACTTAACACAGAGAATTCCGAGAATTCCTGTGAAAACAACGAAAAACCTAGAAAAACACAAAAACGAAACTAAATATTTTGAAATGCACGTGGAGAGCGCACACACACACAAAATACGTCAATCTTTTACAAGATGGCGCATTTGCGGTGCACATCCTCTTGAGGATGACTTCCCCCCCTCAAGAGGTGCCGCCACGGTACCTATGACAAAATAACAATTAAAAACCTTGATCGATTGGATGTTGTTTGGAAGAAGCATATATGCCCAATTTGTTTCGCTTCAACATTTGAATATGCTCAATATACTTTGGCGATATGCAACCCTCATAATCTACACTTTTGACATACACCATATTGCAATTCTTCTTCATCTTTCTTTGTCCCTTTCCAATTTTGGCTTCTTCCAACTCGATCATCTTCTTCTCCATCTCAATTCTTCGAATTTCAGCGAAATTTCTACGAAGTATCATTCCAACACTAATTTCTTCTTTTCCCAATTTTCGATCTTCATCACCATTTTGAACTTTTGTCATTCCATTTTCATTCACTTTTCGATCTTCAACTTCCTTCTTCTCCGTCTCAACTTTGAACAAAGTGTCACAAAGGACATTTCCCATCCAAACTTCATCTTTTTCCAATTTTCCATTTCGATCATCATCTTCAACTCTTGCCAATTCACTTTCTTCAACTTTTCCATCTTTTCTCTCTTCATTTTCAGATTTTCCGACTCGATCTTCTTCAATGTTCGACGAACCATTTCTGGAAAAATAATCTGATTTCACATAATTTCCCAATTTTCCCTTTTCTTTCAAATCTTTCGCTGCGCCTGTTTCACACTTTTTATCCAAATTTTCCAATTTTTCAACATTTTTCTCATTTTCTCCCATTTTCTTTTCACTATCAAATTTCAAATAAATTCCAAATGTTCCAAAACTTTCCAATCCAAGAATCAACATATCTTCCCAACTTTGAATAACATGAAATTTCACAACTTTCTTCATATTTCTGATCTCGATTTCAATACTCCAAATTCCAATAACATTCAATCTTTTTCCACTGCAATCATATATTGAACTTTTCGCATTTTCTTCTTTCAAAATGAATCTCTTCCAATTTCCAACATTTCTCTTCAATTTTTCCAACTTTCCCGTTGAAATAACATTAACCATTGCTCCACTATCAATCAAAATTGTCGCATATTTTCCAAAAATCTTCACATTTTCCTTCATATCTTCCCATTTTCTTCGTCTTATGGTGTTAACCTTCTTGGTTCCCGAACATTTTACAGCAATATGTCCCTCTTCACCACATATGAAGCATTTTCTCAAATCTCTTCCATTTTCTGATGCTGATTTTCCATCTTTTTTCTCTTCCGATTTCTTCTTTTCATCCTTATACTTATTTCTCTCCAAATCAAATTCAAATTGTAAAGCCGCAGCTTTCAACTTTTCATACTGGAATCCGTCCTTCTCATCGTTCTTCTTCACCGCCAAAAGTCCCAATAAAGTCGGATTTCGCTTCGCAGCTTGCAACAACTTCGCCGTTTTGAAAATATCGACTTCCTCTTTCGACGAAGCGAATGCTTCTTTCGCAAGCGAATCAACAACGATAAGATAACCTTGGAGCGACTGATCTTGACGAATTCTCAAATCTTGCCATTTCTCGACTGCTCTTCCTCTTTGACTTGTTCTCGATGCATTCATCGCTTTCTTGAACTTCTCAACAATTTCTTTCCATGTCATTTCTTCTTTCAATTCAATCGTCTCGAATAACTTCTTAGCTTCTCCACGCAAAAACTTTGCTTTCATAACAGCTGCCATTTCCATTGAACTTTCCATATTTTGCTTATATTTCATTTCGAACAAACTTAAAAAATCATCCAAATTTTCCTGCGGTTTTCCATAATAAATTTCAGGATCTGGCATCGTCGAGATCTTCATAAATCTTGCCACATTCATAAGTTCCTCTCGAACACTTTGTCTTGAACCTGAACTGCTCGATTTTCCCGATTTTTTGCCCCGACTACCCGCTTTTTCAACAATTTCCACTTTTTCATCTCTCAAATTCTCAATATTTCCCGCTTTCTGCTCTTTCACCCATTTTTCAACTCTTTTCTCTTTGACTTTTTCAGTATTATCGCTGCGCGAACTTCCCAACCTTTCCGACTTACATATTTCCATACTCTTCGTTTCTCTCACAGTTTCCATCTTCAACAAATCTTCCACTTTTCTCAATGTCTCGTCCATTTCATTTCCATCTCCATCAATATCCAACTTTGCCATTCGCACACTCGGCATTGGTGACAATTCTCTTTTTCTCTTTTCCTCATTCTCTATTTTCAGTTTCCTCATCAATTCATCTTTTTGTTCCATCAATACCATCATCTCTTCGAATTTCTGCTCATATCTCTTCAATTTTTCGTTTTTCTTCCAAATCTCTTCCTCATTATTCTTCAACTTTCCATTCAATTCTTCAACCTGCAAAATAAACTTTTGTCTTTCTTCTTTGACATTTTTCTCAATATTTTCAAGTTTCTCACCATTTTCTCTTTCCCAAATAACCAATTCTGTTCCTTTCTCCATCAATTGTGCCAATTTCTTCACATTGGTCTTATTTCCTCTTCTCAAATATCGCAAACATCTCCACTCATCCCGATTCGGCATTTGCGCCCACTTTTCCTTGACCATCCCGCGCAAATCCTCTACTCGTTGTTCGACTTTCTTCATCAACGGATTCAATACGACATCCGCTTGTCTTTCACTCAATTTCCATTTCTTCGCATCTTCTCGAGCTTCTTGTGCAATCATAATCCAATCCGCTGCTTTCTCATCAAAAATCATACCAATATCTTCCTCATGCCCCGTTGAATCCTCCAATCCACTGCTCACTGATCCAATGTGTTGCATAGTTTCGCTTGCCGTAGCCATTTTCGATGTCGAATTCTCCACTAGTCCAAAATATCCAATATCCTTTTAATAATCGAACAATTCCTTAACACCAGTCCTGAAACTAGGAAAGGATCACTAGGAACGTGTTCAAAAATCAAAAAAAATCGACGAATACACGAAGTTGAATGAATTTGGGGTTGTGGTTGGTTCGGCCCCCAAGTTGCACCTCCCGGTTCTCCTTTGCTTGATATTGCAAGGAGGTTGACGTCAAAGATGGCAGTGGATTTAAACCACTAGCAAGGAAAAATAACAAAACACGGATTTTAGGCCAAACTTTATGTTTTTGACCAAAATAAACAATGAAAATACAAATACAACTTCACGAGGAAGTGTATCAATAATAACAAAAGATGAGTTAATTACTTAACACAGAGAATTCCGAGAATTCCCTGTGAAAACAACGAAAAACCTAGAAAAACACAAAAACGAAACTAAATATTTTGAAATGCACGTGGAGAGCGCACACACACACAAAATACGTCAATCTTTTACAAGATGGCGCATTTGCGGTGCACATCCTCTTGAGGATGACTGACACAAAATTTGTGCATTAGAGCGCATTTTCTTCTTTTTTGTGTTTTAAAGCGCCTCCAAGTCAATTTTCCTTCCCCAAAAAACCCCATCAAAAACTCACCCAATAACATACATATTTTTAACATCTTTCATTCCCATTCCCTTCGCAATTCTCTGAATTTTATGCGCTGCCTGAAGATAACTAATCTCTGTCGGTTTTCCCAAAACCGCTGTATATTGCAAATGTTTCCCCGTCATTTTCTCATAAATCGTCTCCAGACTATGAATGAATACACCGTGTCCAATGCGTGGAATTCGAGATTCAACATCGGCCATCCAAACCAAATCAACATTACATGCGATTATGGGGACTTGAGTTTTGGAAATTGTGCAAAGTGAATCCATTTTTCCATGAGTGTAGAGGCAATCGAAGATTAATTGGAGCGAGGATTCCCATTTTAAAGGCTCGCCAAGAAGAAGAATTGCTGAAAATAAAAAAAAATGGAAAATATTTACTACGGTACGCAAAAAATTGTGCGTTTGTGCGTCGCGGTGTTTACACACTGGAATTCTCCCGTGGAAATCATTTTCAGCGTTTTCAGCATGTTAGCGGCATTTTCAGTGAAAACTGAATATACCATCTGATTCGTCTCGTTGAGATGAATCAGAAGAGATATGAATATTTTTCTGAAACGCAATTTCAGAAGAGTTAGAGGCTGAAAACCCAAAATTGAATAAATTAAAGGCGCACACGTTTTTCAAAAGTTTGAGGTCTCGCACCGATTTCAGTTTTTTTTGCATTTCAGCGCGTTTTCAGCATGTTAGAGACATTTTCAGCGAAATCTGAGTGCACCATCTGATTCGTCTCGTCGAGATGAATCAGATGAGCTATGAAACATTTTCTGAAACACATTTTCAGAATAGTTAAAGGCTGAAAATCAAAAAAGCACAGGTTTTTCAAAAAATTGAGGTCTCGCAGCGATTCCAGTTTTTCAAACTCACCCTCAATGGGCTTGAAATTAGCTCTCGCTCTCGCATTTTCTTTCGAATCATCAATTTTTCTCGAAAAATCCGTGCAATCCAAATGCGAAAACCATTTTGTCAATTGCTCTATTTTCGTCACTTTTCGAAATCCCACACTATTCGCAATTTTCTTCGCATTCTTCTGGCCCACTGCCAAAACCTGTTTATCGTGTAAACTTTGAAACATTCGAAGTGGACTTTGTGCCATCAACATATTTTCGGGTGGAATTCGAAAACCGAGTTGTTCGCCGAGTTTTTCGGCCTTTTCTTTTTGTGTGCTATTAGTTCCATTCGTCAAAAACACCGTGGGAATTTTGAAATTCCCCTTTTCATCCAAAATTAGTTTGAAAGCTTCTCTAACACGTGGCAATAGATTTCGACCACGAACAAGTACACCATCTATATCCAAAACAATACCGAATGGGTTCTAAAAAATTTGAATTTCCTCTAAAAATCCGATTTTCGCGCCAAAATCCTAACTCACAGTATCTCTTCCTTGTAACAATCCTCTTTTTTGACCGGCAAAAAACTGAGATTTCAAAATTTTGCCGCTCATTCGAAACAAATCGAATTTATAAAATGAACAAAATTCACGTGAAAAGCAAAAAATTAAATATTTAGAAAAACCGTATTTAAAATTTTTGGGGGGATGATCAAAAATGAAATATTTAAAGGTGCATAAGATTTTAATTAATTAAATACACGTCACATCGATAGTTCCATTTTGATCAAGGAATTCTTTCCAATTCACAGATAGGTTTCCGAGTTTGATGAGAGTTAGGAGAATGAAAGCTTCACCGCTGGCTGGTTCGAGAACCTAGAAAATATTGATTTTTGAATTGTAAATGAGTTATTGTTTACTGAAAAGATGAGTAATTTCGGTGAATTTCGCAATTTTTTGGAGAAATTTCCAAAAATTGGACCTGTTCCAATTTTCAATCTGAAATTTCTATTGTTTTCGAGTAGTTTTGACCCGCTGATCATGATTCTGTTGTCTGAAATTGCAGAACTCAACTTCTAATATGAGTTATGACGTGGCAAAGTTCGAAAAATCGAGATTTTAGGGGCTGAAAATTAACTTCAACAATGATAAGCATTTTTGAAGCTAGCTTTCAGCCCCTAAAATCTCGATTTTTCGAAATTTGCCACGTCATAACTCATATTAGAAGTTGAGTTCTGCAATTTCAGACAACAGAATCATGATCAGCGTGTCAAAACTATTCGAAAACAATAGAAATTTCATTTTACGTTAAAGGGTTGGTGTTTTCCTGGTAAAAAAATCGTCCGCAAAAAGGCGTCACCGTGTTATTTTCAAAATTGTGTGCAAACACACACACGAAAATTCAAAAACAAGTTGTGCGCTAGGGCGCATTTACATGCTTTATTTCGTAGGTTTTAACTCGCTTGTGTTTTTGAGGAAAAACATGGGCTGAATTGATACTAGAATTTTTCTAAAACTGGAACCTTCCAGGTGCACCTTATTCCTATCTAAACCAAGCAAGATTCTCTGGCGGAGCACCAACCCTTTAAAGTGAAAATTGGAACAGGTCCAATTTTTGGAAATTTTCAGCCGTTTGCAAAAAAATGATTTGAAGTTCTCCGATTTTCTGAAAGCCTCTTTGTATCCGAAAAACAATTTCATAAATTTTTCCCTGATTTTCAAAAATCCCATACCTCAAACTCTGCACTATCCGGATTAACTTCGGTCGGAAATCGTTTAACTTCACAAACAAATGTATCAACACGATTACCATTTCCTGCAAAAATTTTTCCGTTTTCAATTTGTGTTTTTTTTCGGGCGAACCTTTCTTCTTTTTCTTATCAGTTACAACATCCAATGAGAATCTAAGCGAGTTTTCTTTCAACGTGAATTCGGTGAATTTTCCATTTGATAATAGACGAGACGGTTGATTTGGCTGGAAAAATTGGTTGATTTTTTGTTACTGCTTAGATTGTCCAGTGCAAACCTTCTTGAACACCGTGACAAATGAATTAAGAAGTCCCTTCTTCTTTTTCAATCCATGTGCCTTTAAAACAATCTCAACTTTTGAGCCGGTATCTCGAAGAACTGAAACTGTAACCGCTCGAGTTCCGATATTTTCCTCTGATGAGGTTGAAGAACCGCGAGATGGTGATTTTCTGGCTGAAGATGGCATTGCTGCAAAAAAATTGGTTTTTTCTCTAGATGACTCTAATATGAGCAATGCTAAAAAAAGAAAAAAAATTGATTGAGTTCCCGCAAAAAATTTATGAGTCAATGGTTGTTTGATGAATGAATGAATGAATGAAGAGAAAACACGTCATCAAAGTCGGAATTTTTTTTTGGGGAACCCGGAGATTTTTGGTAATTATGAGTTCCGGTAACTTCAAAAACATGAATTTTTCAAAAGATTATTGAAGTTTTTCATAAAAATTATATTTTTAATTTTAAAATTTCAAATTTTTATTTCTTGAGTTTCAGAAAATCGATATTTATCTCAAACAATATTTATCTCAAAAATGACGAAAATTCTCGATTAAAAAATTATTTTGTAGATAGCTGAAAACTTGAATTTTTCAATAAATTTCGAATTTCTTTAGGTCGACAAAAATTTGCGTTTCAAAATTTTTTTCGAGCTATTTACATTCGAATTTCATTGAAAAATTCAAATTTTCAGCCAGAAAATAATTTTTTGATCGAGGATTTTGGTCAACTTTGAGATGAATATCGATTTTTGAAAATTACGTGTTTTTCTCATGAAATTACACCAAAATTCGATATTTTTTTGTCAAAAACTCACAATTTCCCGGCTGTTTACTTGGCGAACTCAACGGTGAAGGCAATGGCTGCGCGAATCTCTGATTTTCCGCCGGAACTCGTTTCGGCGAAACTTTTTCGTTGTAATCGATCTCAACGATTCCCTGATCTCTTGCGAGGATTTTTTCTGCAAACAAAAAAAATCAATTTTTTCTCGTAAAAAATCATTTTTTGGTGCATGTGAACATAGAATAAACATAAAAAAGGACCGAATTGGGGGAAAAAGGAAAAGAAAACGAGGAAAGAATTATTCATGGTTTTTTATTGATTCAACCAAAAATTGTAGCATTTTTTGTTAGTAGAAGCGAAAAATTAGTGAGAAAAATCGATTACCTTGTAGAATTTCGTCTTCTTGTCGATAATAATGGTCGTGCGAATGAGTTTCCATACTAAAAAAAGCGAAAAATCACACTTGGAGTTAGAAGAAGTCACTGCATTCAAAAAAATAAAAGAAGGCGAGAGAAAATCAATTTGAATTTGAGGGGAAAAAGTGGTAATTACAGGTTGGCTGAAAAAAATTGGGCGGGAGAAAATCGATAATTTTTAGAGTGTCTGAAGTGGACCAAGATGACCATATATTTCAAGCATTGCTCATGTTAATATTTAATTTTATCCACGTGGATTGTTAATTATAAATGCTTAAAATGAGCAATCAATTTTTTATAGAGAAAATTATCGATTGCTCATGTTAGAAAAAATCCCAGAATTTTTATGAACTCTGAAATTCATCTGAACTTGGACTTTAAAATTTTTACATTCAAAATAAATTCTCAAATTCAAAAAATCAATTTTATAATAATAATTTTTTGAATTTTGAGCCAAAATAGCAAATGCGCTCCATTGAACTCTCCCCGTTTTTTATGGAAAATTCAAATTCTCATTTTTTTTGGGATAACACACATTTTAGAGATGTTCAAGAAAAATTACGCTGAAAATTTGAGAAAAACGAGAAATTTCAAAATTTCAAGCTAAAATTTACTGAAAATCTCATTTTTCTTTTTTGAATTTGAGAAAAAAAAATGAAAATTTAATGGGGCTATTCAAGTATTTTCTCAACGCTGAGAAAAGCGAAGAAAACCTATTCAGGTAGGCTGAGAAAATACGAAAAAAGTGAAAAAAATGCATTTTCTCCGCATTTCTCCTGTTTTCTCAGCGTGTTGAGAAAATACTTGAATAGCCCCATAAAAAAATTAATTTAAAAAAAACTAGAAAATCTCAATTATTTTTGAAAAACTTTGCCACGTCACAGCAATTTTCTAGACTTTTCTAAAAAAAAACCTGAATTTTGAGAAGCCTATAATTTTCTTCGGTATAAATTTTAAATTGCAATTTTTCTTCGAAATGAAAAAAAAAAAACCCAGGGCAACCAGATGTTTTTTCTCTCCAACAGATGAAAATTTAGGAGAATCTCAGATGACTCACACTTGTTTTTTTAAATACAAATTTATAAGAACTCTGAGTACACATTCTCAATATTTATATACAGTATCCCAATGAATTTCGCAACTTTTTTCTAAAAAAAAAAAGAAGAAAAAGGGTTCCCAGCCGCCCAAAAAATTGAATGAATAGATTTTTTTTTGTTTTGTTACCACACAGGTGTTGTATGTATGTTTAGATAGATGCGCGCGAGAAGAGGAAAAAACGAAATATAATCGCCAGCACAAACACAAATACTATTTCGCAAATGGCGAGATGAGCAATTCTTGGAGCTCGATATTTCACAAAAAAAATCAATTTTTACTTCATAAAAAAAGTTTTCCCACAGAATATTCGAAGAAAAGTTTTTTCACCTGGATACTAATCCTAGGTTACAACAACAACAGAAAAAAAATGTAGCTTTCGAGGGAAAATCAATTTTGGCTCAGTGAAGAATACAATTTCCGGCCGGGCAGCTCTCTGTTTTCTCAAATTTAATTATACATTTTGTTTTTCATTGCATTTTAAACGCATTTGGGGAGGACCAGGGGGAGAATTTTGACTAGAAGCCGTGCCTAGAGATCCTAGTGGTCAAGTAACCGCACCTAGAAAGTCCAGTTGTCAAGGATCGGCGCCTAGAGAGCCTTATTGTCTAGGAGTCACATCTAGAAAGTTCAATTGTCAAGGACCGGCGCCTAGAGAGCCTTTTTGTCTAGGAGCCACACCTAGAGAGCATAGTTGTCAAGCAGCCGCGTCTAGAAAGCATAGTTTTCAAGTGGCCGCGCCTAGAGAACCGTATTGTCTAGGAGCCACATCTAGAGATTCATTCGGACAAGGATCCGCGCCTAGAGAACCTAGTCGTCAAGTAGTCGCGTCTAGAAAGTTCAATTGTGAAGGATCAGCGCCTAGAGAACCGTATTGTCTAGGAGCCACATCTAGAGATTCATTCGGACAAGGATCCGCGCCTAGAGAACCTAGTCGTCAAGTAGTCGCGTCTAGAAAGTTCAATTGTGAAGGATCAGCGCCTAGAGAACCGTATTGTCTAGGAGCCACATCTAGACGCCTCGGACAAGTAGCCGCGCCTAGAAAATCGACTTGTCAAGGATCAGCGCCTAGAGAGGTCAATTGTGAAGGATCGGCACCTAGAGAACCCTACTGTCAAGTAGCCACATCTAGAGATTCACTATGATAAGTAGCCGAGCCTAGAAAATGGACTTGTCAAGGATCGGCGGCTAGAAAGTTCAATTGTCAAGGACTGGCGCCTAGAGAACAGTATTGTCTAGGAGCCAGATCTAGAGATTAACTCTGATAAGCAGTCAAGCCTAGGAATTCTAGTTCTCAAGTAGCCGTGCCTAGACAAAACAAAATAGAAAAAATGTTTATAAAAATGACATCTGGCAACTTTAGCCATTGATTTTTTTGTTGTGGAAAAACAAGGGTCAAATAAATAAACTTCCAGAAGACCTTTTCCCGCTTTTAAAACACAGCAAAATGACTAACAAAAAAAAATAAAACCGGTCGAGTGATAATCGGATAAAAAGGAATAGACGGAAAAATGATCAGAGAGAGAGAAAGAGAGAAACACATTAGTACTGTATTAGTAATACATACTCTATGTATGTCTTTTTATGGAAAAGAAAGAAGGTCGTTGTAGTTGAAAATGATGAAGAGACCGTATGGTATGAAGGACACTACTTACTTACTTACTTCTTTTGCAAATTACTTCTTGGACACGAGAATAATAGTTCGAGAGAGGGTGTCAATAACAATTGACATAAGGGAAAAATATTGGAAATGACGTAAAATATTTGGAGAAGGGAGAAAATAACACGTGAATTCATTTACGTGAACTTGGAAAATTTAGAATTCATTTCGGTCATTTCAGATTTTTTGGAGTTTTCTGTGTGAACTAGATTTTTAGGAAAATCGATCCGCTGATCACTTTTCCATTGTCTAAAACTGTAGAACTCAACTTCTAATATGAGTTATGACGTGGCGGGATTTTAGGAGCTGGAAACTAGCTTCAAAAATGATTTTCGTGGAAATCTGATAGCATAGGGTTATTAAAGACACAAAAACACTGGAAAAACAGATTTCCCACACTTATTTTCAAACGACAAAATCAGCATGTGTGTCGCTCTAGCGACACACTGTGTGCAAACACTTTCGAAATTTCCGTCGGCTGAGCGATTTCAAAAACAATTATTTTATTTTTTCACTTTTGCTAGACTCAAAATTTTCTCTTGATTTTCATGAATTTCGATTACTTGAAAGGTGTTATGAATGAATAACAAACTCATTTTCTCAAAATTTTGAGTCTAGCAAAAGTGAAAAAATAAAATAATTGTTTTTGAAATCGCTCAGCCGACGGAAATTTCGAAAGTGTTTGCACACAGTGTGTCGCTAGAGCGCACATGCTGATTTTGTCGTTGGAAAATAAATGTGGGAAATCTGTTTTCCAGTGTTTTTGTGTCTTTAATAACCCTATGCTATCAGATTTCCCCGAAAATCATATTTGAAGCTTGTTTCCAGCTCCTAAAATCCCGCCACGTCATAACTCAGATTAGGAATTGAGTTCTGCAATTTTAGACAACGGAAACGTGATCAGCGGGTCGATTTTACTAGAAATCTTCAAACAGAATCGATATTTGGCAAAAATTTAATTTCGTAACGCCAATATGACATAACATAACATAGAAAAAAGCAAAAAAAAAGAAGAAAAGGCGCGGACATCTGAGAATATATTAGGGCGTGGCTCTCCGGCTCTCTCCCAAGAGCTCTCGCCCCAATTTATATTTATATTCGACATGTCACGCTCACTCGAGCCTTTTTCTTCTTCTTCCTTTTTCTGGATGAATTCATCAGCAAAAAAAATCTTGTCGATGAAAAAAAGTGACAAATTGATTAATGACTCATATGATAGTTTACGAAATTGAGAGAAGATAGATTGATTTTCGAAATTGGGTGAAAGGTGATTTATTTTGGGTGGATGTCATTGAGATCTCGCGCTTATTTTTCACATGGTTTTTGTGAGGGAAATCAGACAAAAAACGAGTTTAATGGTACGAATTAACATAAATTCACATGTTTTGTGGTAAACCTCGCCGCGCTCGATCAATCAACTCAACCATGAAAAAACAAGAGACAAAGAACCGCCTCGCAACGCCTCAAAGAAATATCGGCGGCGAATTCATTTAAAAATAAGAGGAGACAGATCTGTTACATTTTTGGGCCACTTGTGGCAAAGTGGAAAATAAATAAAACATTGAATCATCAATTTATTTCAACTCTGTTTCGAAAATGAATATATCAATTGGTGAGAAGAAATAAGTATGCCATCAACTATCGAGATAAAGATCTTTACGAAGATTGGTTCGAGAGATTATTGTGGTTTATTTTTGACAAGGTCATTTCGTGTTAAAAGCTCACCTTTCTCGAGAAAACGCGTTGAAAACGAAAAAAAAAACAAAAAAAAAATGTTTTTATTCCGAGAGAAATACACAGCGCGACGAGACCAAACAATGAAAACGTGTGTTCCTTGAAAGTACAGTACCAAAAAATATTTATTTTTTTTATTTTCAAATCAAATCATTTCAAATTCATCATGATAAATGGTGTATTCACCAGCATCAAATCTCCAGATTTGTAAAAAATTCCCGCGCAAAACTCCCGCCTTCTCAGTCACAAACGCGAAAGCAGTCTGGAAATTGATAAAATCTCCAGCCGGTGTTCCTTCGAATTTCGAATTGGTGAGCTCGATTGTAGTCTTCCCGCACTCAGTTATCATTTGCTCCAAGCTTTTGACAATTTCTGAGAGATAGAAATCAATAAAATGTTTCAACTAAAAAAATTCACCTGCTTTTCCAAAACAACAACTTTTATCCTTTTCAACCATAACTGAATTTGGATGATAGAAATCCTTCAATTTTTCCAAATTTCCAGCATTTATCGCCTCAACATAGCCATCGATAAATGGTTGAAGACGCTCTATTAAAAAATTTGATCAAATCAAAAATCATTTTCAAAAAAAAAACACACCTTGTGCTGTCAAAGACGACGACATGATTGAATGAGTTTTGGTTATCAGGGAAAAAATGTGGAGATAAAAAAGTCTGGAGTTTGATTTTTAATCTTTATCAAAAATAAATAAAACTATTCACAATTGCATTAAAAGTTGATCAATTTCTCTCGTTGTTTTTCTATCAAATCGTTCCATTTCCTCATAAACTCTTCGCGATTTCATCAATTCCTTAAACTTCGAAACAATTTCAATATAACAATCAATCTTCTCAGGCGATGTCAGATTCTTCTCCTCGATTTTCAGATTTTTTAACTCATCCAACAATTTGTTGGGGATATCTATACTGTTTTCCGATAAATAATCGCGTTTCATTTGGAGTTTTTTGATTTTTATTCGGATTTCGTGAAGATTTTCTTTCTTTTTGTGATGTTCTGGGGTTGAAGAAGAACAGCTTTCCGAATATTGTGGTTGAGAAGTTTTCGGCGATTCTTCTACATAAAATCGAGATGTTTCAGTGGAAGAACTTGGTAGATCTTCTTCTTCAAACGAAGATCCTGATCCAAATCGAATAGATCCAGATGGGGTCCAATGTTCTTGTTTATCCGATAGAATAAATCCGCCACGATCACAGAAAACCCAAGCATCATCGGAAAATGTGAATAAACGATTGCAAGATTCTGGAAATTTGAAAATATTTTTTGATAGGAATATAATAAAAATCAGAACTCACTCAAAACATTTAATTCATCAATGATAATTCCACATTCTCCACTTTCTAATTCAACATTTCTATTCCCATTCCATTCTCGACAATCAAAATAAACCGAAACTCGAATTTCCCATCGCCTTTTACTCGACAAAAACCTCGTGGGAAAATAATCATTGATTTTTTGAAAACTAGTATTTCGATCGATCCTATAATTCACATCGACACTGAATTCAAGCCAAGTTCCATGGAAAAAGTTGATTGGATAATTATCGCGGAAGCCGAGGGGAATCAGAATTTTCCTTGATCTTCCAGGCACCCAAATATACATTTCTCTCAAATCATCCAGAAAATCCAAGACAATTCCTTTCAAAGTGATTCGTTCTTTTTTGATGGCCGGTTGAATCATCTTCTAAAAATGTAAGAAATGAAAGAAAATTTTTACACGCGGAAATTAAACAAAAAAAAACCCACGTTTTCATTATTCCCGAATAAAATTGGTTTCAAATTCACGGCACACCAGATAAATTTCTTCTGATCATTTAGAACTCGAGTGGCGACTACTTTCATCTTTGACAATTCATAATCCGACACTGATTTGCTTGATTGTTGCTCACCGATTTCATAAACTTCCTATATGATTTTTTTTTCAAAACTGAATTTTTTTTCAGAAAAATACAATACCTCTAGAAAATTGGTTTGAAAACATCTGACAATTCGATTCGAATACGGAATTCTTTTCATTGTAACACCAACAATCTCCGAAATTATCGCAATATTATTTGTTCGATGTTTATTCTCCCATTCAACGAATTTCTCGCATCTTTCACACGATATTATTCGTCTATGACAATTATCCAATTCATTTCGTGGCACAAAAGATCGGGCTGAAAATTTCAAACAATCTCCGAGTTGATATAATTGGTATTCATATACATCAGGTCGCATTAGTACCACCTAAAGAAAATAAAATAATAAATGTTTTATGAAAAAAAATCACACTCACATCTGTTTTCGTGGCGACAAATTTACAGTCTGCGGCCAAACCAACCACAATTCCTCTCTCTGTGTTCATTCTAACCAAAACATACACGTCTATTACACCAAAAGCATATAAAACATTCGACTTTTTGTGAGTTTTTCTTGCAAATAAAAAAATTATTTTTTTTTTCAAAATCGATATCTACAGTACTTTTTAAAGGGGCAATCAAAATGTGTGAATGGTCTCGAGACGAAGAATACGGTAACAGGCGGCTCTGTTCGCCAAATTCAAAATTCAAACATTTTTTTTCGTTTTTTTATTTTTTCCTAGAGTTTTCAAATTTCTCGTAAAAATAACATCATTTAGCTTGATCATGGATACTCCAGTAAAACAAGTAGAAGAAGACACGACATCTTCAACACAGGATTTGTCGGAATCGACTGCAGAAAATGAAAAGAAATCGTCTGATGAAGAAATCAAAAAAGCCTTGACAAAAACAACAAGGAAGGTGAAATATATTCTTCAACCACGACTTCGAAAAGTCACAACTGTTTCAAGTTCTTTGGGTTTAGTTGTTCAAACAACAGCTGAATTTTTGACAATTTGGATATTGAATACTTCAAAGTTTATGGATATTGGACATTCTGATGTGACTTCGAAATTTGAATTGGGAAGTTGGATAAAAATCGGATTATTTCCCACAGGAGAATTGGCGTCTTTGTATCCACAACCATTTATAGTTTCACCACATCCCACAAGAATTGTTGAAGGAAAAGTTGAAGTAATTTATTTTTTTTTTTTGAAAAATAAAAAAAATAATTGGCGCGAAAACGTTTTTGCGCAAGCTTCTTCAATTTAAAACAAACTCGCTGCGAGACCAGACAACTCATTAATTATATGTTTCTTTTAGGTTTTCTCAACGGTCGGGGAGAGTTATTCAATTCGTGAAAAAGGCTGTCAATTTGGTAAAGTTGGTTTTCGCGCATCGCTTTCTCATTTGCTCACAAAAAAGTCGAAAGAAACGATTGGAGTTTGGATAAGATGGTTGACTGAAAAAGAAGCGAAAGAGACAACTGATAAATGTCAGTGGGAAATTGTGGAATTGGATCAGAATCAGACATCGGATTTGGAAGATTTTGGTGATCATGAATATCGAAAATTCAGCGAGTTTATCAGAAATCGAATTGAAAGACCTGTATGTTTTAATTAAAATTATCTTTCTATTTATTTTCTTTAAAACAGAGAAACTACGAATCTCGCCTTTCTGAATGCCCTTTGAAATCAACCATCCGCCATTTCGGCCTGGTCACCGATACTTACGAAAATAAAAGTCATTTTTCCGTTTGGTCTCCAGGAGTTTCGTCAGAACATGATCATTTGGCGAAAGTTCCACTAGACAAGGAATCTGGATTATTATTTTCTGAATATCCACCAGCTCCTGGACAATGGTTGCAATATGATTTATCGCCAAAAGATGCGGAGAAATATGCGATGCCAAAAGGCGGAGGAAATCGCTTCTTTATTATTGAATATATGCCGATTAATTCGCCAAAAGGAATCACAGTCTTTCAAATTGGACGGTATTATAGAGTTAGTTCAATTTCTGAGAAGATTTTTAATCAAATTTATGTTTTCTGGTAGTTTTCGGCGCGCTAATCAATATTGTGCTGTCTAAAACTGCAAAGCTCAACTTCTAACATGAGTTATGCCGTGGCAAAGTTAAAAATTGCGACTTCGTGAGGCCAAAACTCGCCTTGAAAATGATTTTCATGAAAATTTGATAGCAAAGCGTTTTTCAGAAGGCTCGATTACATAAGTAGAGAAGGCTTCACTAAAATCCGAAATATTTTTCAAAACTTTTTTCACTGAACAAAAAAATAATTTTTGATCACACAATGGAAACATTACTTATGTAATCGAGCTTCCTGAACAACGCTTTGCTATCAGATTTTCATGAAAATCGCAAGTTTCGGCCGAACAAAGTCGCAATTTTTCGAAATTTTCCAAATTTCCCACGTCATAACTCATGTTAGAAGTTGAGATCAGCTAGTCGAAAACTACTAGAAAACATATATTCTATTAGAAATTTTCAATTTCCAGATAATTCTAACCTGCGTCCTTGTGAAAAGCACCGAAGATCCACTCGTCTATGAATTGCCAGATTTCGGATATGTTTTGGATCGAAAATCGAATCTTCGATCGGGAGCATTTATGCAATTGGTTTTGGAAAGATTGCCGCATCGAACCAGAAAAATGTACAATTTGAACTGGAAAATTGTTGGTTCCAAATTTATTGAAGTTGCTAAAATTGATGAGATTGAGGCGACACAATCATTGATTACACAACTTGTACCACATTATGAGGCGTATGAATGTTGTACACAAATGTCGAATGATAGAATTACTTGTGAGATTTTTTTGGGGGAATTTTGTTGGAATTTTTTTTAATACAGATTACCCGGTTTATCGATCACCTTTGGGTTCAAATAACAGTCAACATCGATTTCCTCGAAATAATTTTGATGGACCTGCTTTCATGTACGAAAATTCGAAGAAGAAGTTTAATAACTCAACTGTGGTAATTTTTCTTTCAAAAAATTCAAAAATATCATAATTTGAAAAAATATGAGGATTTTTCAAAGGAATGCACAGCTCTTGTTGAAAAAATTGATCAAATTGCGAAAACTGCGATTCTTTGGTCATTTGATGCTGCTGCAAATTGTGAGTTTTTTTTTGAAATCTTAGGAAAACATGTTTTTATTCAGATCACATTGTTTACAATGATTCTCTGGATCTTGATAAAGGTGATATGATTTATGTGACACTTCAACAGAAAGCTGATCAGAAATCGGTGCGAGGATTCCGTTGGTCGATTCAGAAATATGAGAAACGCGAGCCGACTTATAAATGTAGTATTTTGGGGAATCGAGTTGCGGTAAGTTTTTTTTTGATAGGAAAATTGAGATTATTGCAAAATTTAGCGTTTTTATGGGCCTGTTCAGAATAATATTTTGTAATAAAAAAACATATTTTTCCTATGCAGAAAAACGTCGAAAAACAAAATATACAGTTTATTATTTTTGAGTAGAGACAATGTGAAATTGAGAGAGCGCAGACAGTTTTTTGTATTTTTTTGTGCGAAAAATCAATTTTTTCTGTCTGCACTCTCTCAATTTCACATTGTCTCTACTCAAAAATAATAAACTGTTAATTTTGTTTTTCGACGTTTTTCTGCATGGGAAAAATAATTTTTTTTGATACAAAATATTATTCTGAATTCAAAATTTTGAAAAATGGAGTTGTGAGCAAAAAATAAGTTGTGCTCATTTGAAAGAGCATTTTCTAATTAGTAGAAGGTTCTTTAACTTTAGTTTTAAAATTTCAAAGTTCGAAAAAACAGTGGAACACCGTGTTTGGAGCTGTGTTTCTCTGCCAATTCCGATTTTTATGAAAATTTGGAAATTTTAACCAGGAGGCGAATTTTTGAATTAAAACTGATCGATTTTTATTTTTTTGAAACTGATCGAAATTTTGATCATCGGATTTTTCATCAAAATTATAAAAATCGAATCAGTTTCAATTAAAAAATTCGTCTCCGGGTTGAAATTTCATGAAAAGCAGAAAAACAAAGCTCCAAATACGATGTTTCACCGTTTTTTCGAACTTTGAAATATTTTCAGAAAAAACCCTTCGAGGATTCTACTAATTAGAACATGCTCTTTCAAATGAGCACAAATTATTTTTTGCTCACAGGCTCCACCTTTAATTGTATTTTCCACAGATCTACGAAGAGATGACATTTTTTCGGAATATTTGATTCTTTGGGTCGCCCGATTTTGAAAGGAAAACATTTCCCGATGATTGTTGACGAGCAACAAATTTTGCACTCAAAAATCTTCCACGCATTTCCAGCGCAAAAATGCGCGTCTCTTATAATCAACGGTTTGGTGACTCGCCGCAAAATTCCCAACGCAAACTATGATCCAAATAAGATTAACAATAGTGCTGATATTTTCCATTGGGTACTTATTGATTCAAATGGTCCGCCACTTGTTTGGCAAGTTTATCCCACTTATGTTTTGCCACCACAAATGCCACCAAATATGATTGTTCAACCGCCGCCAAGTGGTGAGGTTTTTGTAATTTTTTTGAATTTGAAAATTTTTTATTGCAGAAATTGCGACGACTGATGAAAATAGTAAAAGTGGACAAAATTCGAATTGATTCAACTATTTTTCGGAATATTTGTACACTTATTCATGTAATATTATTATGGGTTATTTTACAGGTTTGATTATTATAAATTTTTGTTTTTAATTGAATCAGATGATTTTTTTCTCACATTTCGTTGAACGTCGTTCAAATATTTTTATTTCGCAATATTTCTCAGAAATTTTTTGAAAAGTTCTGGAAAATGCTTTTCGAAAATCCTATGGGGTCGGAAAAAAATATAAAAATCAAAAATTTTTGTTTAAAAAAGTTTTTTCGACCTGATTCACCCCATAAAGAACATTTTTTTACAATTAGAGACAATGTGAAAATGAGAGAATCTAGACATTTGTCTGCCTGCACTCTCTCATTTTCACGTTGTCTCTAATAAGAAAAAAAATCATGTTTTTAAATATTACAAAAAATCAGGATAGCCCCATTTTTTCTAGGATTTTCGCAAAAATTTTTTCCGAAACTCTGAAACTCCAAGACCAAAAACTACTTTTTCCTCTGTAAACAACATTTGTGCTTTCTTCTTTTCTTTCTTTTTTTTCGTTTTTTGTTCCTCTTTTTTTCTGTGAGTTCGCACATGTTTTATTGCTTTTTGTTGAACCCGCCGTAAACCTACCCATTTATTATTTTGCGCGTCAATTACAATGTTCTCTGTGCAATACGTCTCTCTTCTCCCTTATGATATAAATATGAGCAATTCTTATTGTCTAGCTGTCTGCTTCTAGCTTTTCTATGATACTTCAATCATTTCATTTTTTTTGGGTTTTTAGATAGTTGTTATTGATTTTTGGTCACACATATGAGGAGAGAATGGAGGAAGAGGTAAGAAAGTTAGGGTAAATTAAGATTTAAAAAAAATAAGTTAGGGTTTTAGAGCGATTGGGAAAATGGTTTCGTTTCGGCGTCAACGGATAATTTGTGGTTTGTTATGATAATCAAACATGGTGTCTCAGCTGTCGTTCCCCGATCAAATAGTTCAATTCAATTTGGAGATTTTTGCAGAGTCAAGTATAAGTTAGTTTTGTTTGATTCTAATATGAAAATAGAACTTGTTATTCCAGAAGAAATCCGATTTTTCACCCAAAGAATCGAGCGCAATTTCAAGTGGTTAGCTATGAAAAAATCGAACCATTGGCTGAATATCGTGTTGTCACAGATGATGGACCTACGAAAGTTTTGGTTAGTTTACACTGTAAAGTTTGCAGCTCGGAAACTACTTAAAAGCACTGAAATTCCAGATCACAACTATTGCTACTTTCGAAAAATATGTTGATTTTCATGGTAAACCAATAGCAATGCTCTCAAATGATGTATTTGGTGAGATTTTGTAACTTTATGAATTTCATGGGCTCATAAAATCCGATTTTCAAGCAATGTTCACGTTCCTATGGTTAAAATGCAATTTTTAGATCATTTTTGAAGCTCCTACTGTCAAAAATATGACTTTTAGGCCATTTTTAAGCTGCTAACCTCAAAAACACGGTCTTTAGGTCATTTTTAATTAAGCTGCTATGCTCAAAAATCCGATTTTAAGGCTATTTTTAAGATATTAACCTTAAAATGTGAAATCTTCAAACTAATTCCTTTTTATTACAGGATCCTTCATAGATCTCGACGGGAGAATTCGACCAAACACAACCAGGGTGAAATTTGAGTTCAAGGTTTGACATTTTTTTCCCCGAAAATTAAAGACGTGAAGTATTTTAGAGCAAAAGTTCACCGATCGATCAATATTTGACAATTTTCGTGCCTGTTCGCGTTTTAGAATACATTGATACAGTACGTCGAGCCAAGAATGATTAGAATTATTTCACAATTTTCAGCCAGAACCTCCGAAACCTCGAAGTCGATCTATTGGAGCGCCGAAATTGGTTGAGGGATTTGTAGGTTATGAAAATGAGGACTTTTTCTGGGTTTGGTGCAAAGAATTTGATCACGATGTGCGTTTGCATAAGGATTATTGGTGAGTAAATTTTTCTCAAAAAATTCTTATCTGGAAAAAAAAATGTTTCTAGCCCCCGAAACAAAAATGATAGGAAGATGGATTGAAATGTCAGTATTACAAGAAAGAAAAAACAAATACAAAGTTTGCCAAAAAGTACATTTTATTGATGACGTCATCAAATGCCGTGTAATCAATGGTGTTCCGGAACTCAATGTACAATTGACGAATTTTGGAGAATTTGATGGAGAACATCCAGCTTTTCATAATAATATAATTGGATCGATTGTTGATGTTGATAAAATGAGTGGAGATGTTCAAATTGGCGAAGTTTATTGCGCGTGGATTGCGAGACATAAATGGGAAACAACGAAAAGTCGATGGAAAATATCACCAAAACAGAATGTTATTGGAAATCCGCCAAGTGTGAGTGTGAAAAAATCGAATGGATACTATGCGCCAAGGAATCGAGATTCATCGGATGAGGAAAGTGGAAGTGTTGTATCTGGAAGGTATTCGGATGAGGATGATGAGGCTTTTAAGGGGAGAAAGAGATCGGAGATGCGAAGGAAGCAAGAAGAGAATGATCAGAGACAATTGTATGTGGATTTGAATAATTTGACGATTGGAGCGGGTGGGAAACGAAGTTTGGAAGATGAGGTTTGTTTAGGCGCGGGATATTGTCATTCCGAAAAAGAACCTTGGAAGAGAACCGAAATGGCCTAGAAAACCAAGGCTACAGTAGACTTTCGCGAAAAATAAAATGCGAAATTTACACGCTGGCTATTTGCCAACCAGTTTGATGTGCATGTGTCACGTCATTTTTAGTCTACTGTACGTGAGCGCCAATTTAAACAGAGGTTCTTTTATTTTTGGATTGACAATAGTTTTTTTTTTTGAAATTTTTGTTTGGGTCAACACTTTTCCAGTTCGATCTTTTTTAGAAGATGCTTATGAAAGAATTTTGTTATCAATGATAACAGTGAGATTTTCAAAGTTTTTTTTTGTAAAAATTGCAGATTTTAGCCAAGTTTTCGGAAATATTTTTATTGATTTTTTAATGTTATACACACCTCGGCCAAGCCGTGGCTGGCCAGAGTACAATTTTTTTGAAAAATCGGAATTTCAGTTTTTCAAAAACTGAAAAATCACAATTTTTAGAGGACAAAAAACTTAAAAATTCACAATTTTTGTACTGTAAAAAGTTAGCGTACAATTTTTATTGTGGAAACCACGATTTTGGCCGAGGTGTGATGTTATAACTTATAAGTCCAAAAACGAAAAAAACAGAAAATTCAAGGCGCATGTTGAAATACGGTAGAACCCTGCATATCTAACTCGATTTCTGATTGGACAGAAAAGTTAGATATGCAGGTTGTACGGTATGTTCCTTTAATCGAGATCAAAATGACCGAAAATTCAAGGCGCATGCTGAAGTACGGTAGAACCTGCGTATCTAACTCGATTTTTGACAAGAAATTGGACAAATTTGTTCAGTTAGATACGCAGGTGGTACGGTGTATTCGAGATCAAAACGAATTTTATGAATTTTTGGACAAAATCATTTTCCAGAGTCTCTCTGGATCTACACCAATCGATAATTCAAGTGATCGAACAAGAAGAGCTCACAAAACGACAAATGTCGATGATCTCAGACTTCGAACAATTATGAATGATTTTTTGAAGTGTAAAGAGGTTCGAACAGCGATGAAACTTGAGAATTCGGAAGCTTATGAAGAACTTTCCAAGATTCTGAATTTCAGAATCTGAAACTTTTTAATGTAATTTATAGAGAGTTTAGAGATTTTTATACGAATAGTTTTTTTTTTTTGAAAGCAGCTTATGGCATTTTTCTTTATATTTTTTTGATACGAGTTCGATTGGTTTTGATATTGTTGATGTTCTTTTTTTTGTGTAAATTTTCTTGTTTTTTTTTTCTTTTCATACCAAAATTCCGCCCCGAAAATCGTTCAATCAGCGATTTCATATCTTTTTTTCATTTTTTTTCTATATCAGCTTCTCAGGTTTTCCTATATGAAAAAATTTCCAGATGAAACCGACGTTTTCAAAACTTCCACTGATTATTGGAGTTGCCGGCGGAACATCGTGTGGAAAAACGGAAATTGTTCGGACGATCATCGATAAATTGAATATGAACACGAATACCAATAAGAAATCGGATAGGGTAGGGTTTTGAGCCGGAAAACCACGTGGAAAATTTAAAGATTCGAAAATTTTGGAAGCTAAAAACCACGTGGAAAATTTGAACATTCGGAAATTTTGGAGCCAAAAAACCACGTGGAAAATTTAAATTTTGAAAATTTTTGTGCCAACAAACCACGTGGGAATTTGAAAATTCAAAAATTTTGGAGCTAAAATTCACGTGGAAAATTTAAATTTTGAAAATTTTGGTTCTAAGAATCCAGGCGGCAAATTTAGAGATTCGAAAAAATTGGAACCAAAGATCCACGTGGAAAATTTAAATTTTGAAAATTTTGGAACTAAAGATTCACGTGGAATTTTTAAATTAAAGACACGTAGAAAACTAGAAATCGTTTGAAAATCATTATTTGCATGTTTTTTATCATCCTTCAAATAGTGGAAGTACATAAACAAAATTGAAAAATATTGATGTGAGTTTAGCGAAAGTCAAAAAAAGAAATTTCCTTTTTTGAAATCGCTCAGCCGACGCGAAATTTGGTGTTTGCACAAATGTCCGTGATTTGCCGCACATGTGTGCATTCTTAGCATACCGTACCACCACTTTTTATTTATTTTTTTCATTTTTCAAACGAACAACACACAACTTTGAAAAAAGGCGCGCATTCAAATTTTGAAGATTACAAACAAACATTTCTAGTTTTCTATGTGTCTTTTAAAAAAAATTAGAGCAAAAATCCACGTGAAAATTTTGACTTTTGAAAATTTTGAAACCAAAAATCCAATTGGAAATTTTAAATTTCAACAATTTTAGAACCGGAAAACCACGTGGAAATTTTAAATTTTGAAAATTTTTGTGCCAACAAACCACTAGGAAATTTGAAAATTCAAAAATTTTGGAACCAAAGAACCACCAGGGATTTTTAAATTTTGAAAATTTTTGAAACCGAAAATCCACGTGAAAATTTGAAAATTCAACAATTTTGGAAGCTAAAATCCACGTGGAAATTTTGAATTTTGAAATTTTTGGAATTGTAGATCCACGTGGAAAACTTAAATTTTGAAAATTCTGGAACACGTGGAAATTTGACTATAACTCTGGTTTTTTCTAGCTAAAACGCTTCAAACTCAAAATTTTGAAGTTACAGAACTTTCTGCTTCTGAAAAATCCGCCGCTGAAAACGATTTTCAGCATGACGCAGAAAGTATCTGAAAATTCTGGGCTCAATCTGAATTTTTACAGCAATCCCGAATCGTCCACCTCCAAATGCACTCATTCTACAAAGAGCTCAACGAGGAGCAGAAAAAATTGGCGGCCGACGGAAAATACAATTTCGATCATCCCGACGCGACTGATTTCGAGAAATGCGCAAAAACCCTAGAAAATATGATGGAGGGAAATACTGTGGAGATTGCCAAATATGATATGACTACGAGCTCGATGTGAGGAGTTTAGGGGACTTTTTCTGATTTTTTTTAACTTAAAATAAAAAAAAATCTTTTCTAGTGTTGGCCACGATACAATCGAACCAGCCGATGTTGTGATCATCGAAGGAATATTGTTATTGTACGATGAGAAGGTTCGAAATTGCCTTTCGGCCAAATTATTTGTGGAAAACAGCGCCGAAGTGAGATTGAATGCGAGATGTGAGTATTTTTTTGTTTTAAAATCACTAATATTCAAAAAATCAATATTTTCTAGTACAAAAATATGTGAAAGAATACAATCGCTCACCAATTTCGGCCATCGAACAATACACCGAATACGTGAAGCCGGCATTCGAGGAATTTTGTCGACCGACGAAAAAGTATGCGGATGTGATTATTCCGAGAGGAGCGAATAATAGTGTGGCGATTGCGATGATTGCGGTTAATTTGCAGGTGAGAGAGAGAGGCACTTTTATTGATTTTTTTTGATGAAGGGGCAAAATTGTGCTCTGAATTTTGAATTCTTGAGAGCTTCTCTGTAAGTAGCTGAGTATAGAAGTTTAAGTTGTCAAGGACCAGCGCCTAGAAAATCTAGTTCTCAAGCAGCAGCGCCTTAAAAACCTAGTTGTCAAGTAGCCGCGTCTAGAGAACCCAATCGTCTAGGCCCCGCGCCTTGAGATCCAATTTGGCAAGGAACAGCGTCTTGAGAGCCTCTGTACCAAGAAGCCCAGTCTAGAAATCCTAGTTGTCAAGCATCAGCGCCTAGAAAGCATATTTCTCAAGTAGCCGCGCCTTGAAAGTTCAATTTTCAAGGATCAGCAACTAGAGAATCTAGAGAAGCTAGTTCTCAAGTAGCCGCGTCTAAAGAACCTAATTTTCTAGGAATCGTTTCTAGCGAACCACTCTGACAAGAGGCCGTGCCTAGGAATTCCAGGTTTCAAGTAGCCGCGTCTAGAAAAATCAAATTTTCCTGTTCCTATTTTTAAACAAGTTCTGAAACCACTTCTAATTCAAAAACTTCCAGGAAATGTTCCGGAAACTTGTTGTCTCATCAATGTCGAATGGAGAATCTTCGATACTTGCCGAAAATTCGGAAAATATCGAAAATCAAGAGCAACGACCGAGAAATGGAAGTTTCCGACGACCAGCATCTCGACCACATTAAAAACATCGAATTTTCTTATGTTAGCCCGTTTTTCTTGTTGTCAAATAGTTCAATTTCTTTTCCAGACCAAATTTTTGCGAGCTTATTATTAGATTTTCCCAAGTTCTACTCGCTAGAATTATTCTTTTATTCTTCTTGTTTCGAATTCACTTTTTTCCAATTATTTTGATTATTTACAGGACCTTTTTTGGCTTTAGCATTTTCCCCCCAAGTATTTTTCGATTTTTCATTTTGTCGACATAATAAAATAAAAGTTTTGTGTTTTTGGCCTCTTGCCAATTAATCCCCCCGGTTATTGACCAAATTTTTTGTATTTAACAATTCTAATTTTTGCAGTGAAAAACTAAAGTTTCAGAAATGTCTTGGGAGAAAGGTGTGATTGTTGGTATTTCATATGAATATTATTTTATTGCATCTAGTTCTGAGGTGAGTTTGATTTTAATTAATTAATTAATTAATTGCAAATATCAAGCCTCCTTCAGGAAGTTTTGCTTAATCGAAATTTGACACGTGAAATATTCCAAATTGGAGATTGTATACGATTTACCGCATCAAAAAGTAGCTGGAAAGAGAGTGGATTCAAAATTCGGAGAGAAGTTTTGCAATATGAAAGATGTGAGAAGTTTATTGAGTGGGAAATGCAACACAAGAAAAATGCGGCACTTTTGATTTTGGATATTGTTGATGTGAATGTGGAATATCATGAGAAAACAAATCGAGATGTTCGATGCCTTCGAACCACGTTTTTAGAGGTAATTAGAATTCTTACGGGGTTTTTAAAACAAATCAATAAATGTCAAATTTCAGAAAGTCTACGATAGTGGGCACGTCTCCAAAACAGAAAAGTTTACTGGTCGAGAACTTTTGGGCAAAAAAGTTGTGGCGGTTCGTATCACAAATGATTGGAATGACTCTTATTGGGCTGTTCTTAATGTTATATCTGATAGAAATCCGAATGGGAGAATCGAAATGGAAGGAATTGTGATGATGATACCAAGTAAAGAAACAACTGATAATTTATATGTTCGAGTGCCGTTTAGAGATCGTGATGTGATTTTTCCATTGAGTGCTCGGTTGGTTAACACGGTTCAAATTATCGTCCAAATGACATTTTCAGGTTTTTTAAGCAAATGAGATGAAATATTGGGTTCTAATGTTATTCATATGATAGAATGGTCTAAGACGAACAAAATGATATAAATTTTGATGATTTAACGTTATCCATAAGTGATTTAGGGAGGTTTAGTCGATAAGGTTGCTAAATCACTTAAGGATAACGTAAACTCATCAAAATTTTTATCATTTTGTTCGTCTTAGACCATTCTATCATATGAATAACATTAGAACACAATATTTCAAAGCACTCACTTAAAAAACCTGAAAATGTCATTTAGTCGATGTCCAACTATACCTTATTCACATTATTTTCGAAAAATGTATTTTTTTCAGCGGTAACCAACCGGACAGTAAATATTATGGTCGTTGGATTTCATTCAAACTTCCACAAGCTTCATTCATATTGGACAGTAACAGTGATGTTCGATTAATTGATGATGTTTATCCTACTCGTTCATATCGTGGTCGAATTGAAATACGAGTGCAAGTAAAATTTAATAGAAACAATTGGAATGGTAGATCAGACATTGAGCTTGGAAGCGAAGGATTTGGAACGATATTGGACAAAGAATACGTTTTGGGTATGATTGTTTAAAAACAATTACCCAGTTAGAAATGAGTTCCGAAGTTCAATTCGAAAAACTAGCAGATAAAAATAAAAAAAAATGATCTTCGAGTTTTTCGAATTGAACTTCGGGAAATACAGGAAATGAAAGCTAAGATCAAGAACTAAACTCATTTCCAACTGGGTAACTCTTTAAATAAAGAGTATTTATTTTTGGATTTTTTTCCAGAAAAATATCAGAGGCTTTCAACATTTTCCGATCAGGCTTGGATCTATCAGTTTCACTACGATGTTCAAAGAAATATTCGTTTTATTTTGTCTGATAAACAAGAAGAATGGGATTTTTCATTTGAAAATGGGCAACGTTTGCAAAATGATTATTGCCGAGATTCGAAACAAGAAAAATATCGATTTGAAGATTTTGGAAAAGAGCAGAATTTCAGGCGTCAAAGATCAGCAAGTGAAAGAAGTTCAGATGTGGAGTGAGTTTCTCATTTTCTTGAAAAGAGAATTTAAAAATAAATTTAAAAAAAAACTTTTAGTTCTTGGGATCAAGTAGATTCGCGAAAACCAGATAGAGAAAAATGGAGAAAAAGGGATGATACAAACAGTATTCCATCAACATCAAGAAGTTTCGAAGAATCTCAATCAATTCGAAACAATTTGATGAAATTGAAGAAGAAATATGATTATTTGACTGAAAATGATATGGAAATACCGGAAAAATTGATAGAAGAATTGAAAAAGGCTAGAATTGAAAGAGCAAAATTCAGCGAAAATTAAGAATTTTAATTATGATGATTTTGATGAGAATCATTCAAGAATTTCCGAAATTCGAAAACAAAGAGAATTAGCGAAAATTGAAATTGATGGGGAAGAATTGAGAAAATATAAAAAAGGTTGATTTATTTTGGGAAGATTTATAAATTAAAAAAAATTTCAGCTTGTCACTTTGTTTCGTGATATGATGTCGTCTGAGAAAGTTTGCGATGAAATGCGAAAATTTGATGAACGTTCTATGAAAAATATCAATCGACTTATTTTGGAATTGTGAACAACTTTTGAAATATTGTTAGCTTTATTCGGGTCTGTATATTTATACAATACATATTTATTTATTTTTTTTGGAATTAGATTTTTTTAAAGTCGTTTGAATCGGCAGACTTATCGAATCGTGTTCAGATGTAAATTTGAAAAATTTCATTTTCTATAGAATCAGAAATGAATGAAAGGTGGGAGAAAGGAATTGTTGTTGGTATTTCGAATGAATGTTATTATGTTGCGTCAAGAAATGAGGTAAAACATAAAATTTTCCAATTTTTTTCATAAAATTTTGAAAAAACCGCGAAATTTCAGGAATATTTTCTACGCAAAAATTCGACTGAACACTCCTTCAAAATCGGCGATTGTATGGATTTCACATTTGGTATTGTCGATACATCGAATGGTCAAACACATCGAGGAATCGTGTTGAAACATGAGCGATGTGCACAATTTGTCGAATGGAAATTGTTGAGAACGAAAAATGCGGCGATTCTGAAGTCGGATATTATTGAGGTGACTGTTGAGAATCATCCGTATTCGAAGCGACCGGTTCGATGTGTGCGGACCAAGTTTCTTGAGGTAGTTTTGAGATTTTAGGGGGCTTCTAAAGGCTTCCTAAGGCTTCTAAAGGCTTCTAAGGGCTTCTAAAGGCTTCTAAAGGTTTCCTAAGGCTTTCAAAAGCTTCTAAAAGCTTCTAAGGGCTTCTAAAGGCTTCCTAAGGCTTCTAAAGGCTTCTAAAAGCTTCTAAAGGCTTCCTAAGGCTTCTAAGGGCTTCCTAAGGCTTCTAAAGGCTTCTAAGGGCTTCTAAAGGCTTCTAAAAGCTTCTAAAGGCTTCTAAAGGCTTCCTAAGGATTCTAAAGGCTTCCTAAGGCTTCTAAGAGCTTCTAAAGGCTTCCGAAGGCTTCTGAAGGCTTCTAAAGGCTTCTAAAGGCTTCTGAAGGCTTCTAAAGGCTTCTAAGGGCTTCTAAAGGCTTCTGAGAGCTTCTAAAGGCTTCCTAAGGCTTGTAAAGGCTTCTAAAGGCTTCTAAAAGCTTCTGAAGGCTTCTAAGAGATTCTGAAGGCTTCCTAAAACTTCTTAAGGCTTCTAAAGGCTTCTAAAGGCTTGTAAAGGCTTCTGAGGGCTTCCTAAGGCTTCTAAAGGAAACATTTCAGAAAGTTTATGATAGTGATGTTGATGTTGATCGAAAAACACACGGTCTAACCGATTCGGATTTATTGAATATGAAAGCTGTTGCTATTCGAGTCACCAACGCAGAAAAGAAATATTTTTGGGCGATTCTTGGCTGCGAAAGAAAATTAAATGAATCCCTGCAAAATTTCACGAGTGATAGGAACATGTTAGAAGGAATTGTGCTAAAATTGCCAACAAAACCCGGTTATGATACAATCTATGTTTGGGTTCCCGGAAGACGACGAAGTCTTGTACTTTCTCCGAGTGCCAGGTATTTTTTTTGTGTTCTGAATTTCTAAAAAAAAAAAGAATTTAATGTGTTTTCAGAGGAAATCAACCACGCGAAAAGTTTTTGGGAAATTGGATCTCGTTTTCTGTTTCTCCTGGTGTTTGTGAAATCGATGCGAACAGCAATATTCAAATTATTGATGATATTCTTCCTACAAGATTTCATTCAAATTCATTTGAAGTTAGAGTCGATGTTTCATTTGAATATAATTGTGACCGAAGAATTCGAGTTCCTGAATTGAAAAGTAGAGATTGTGGAATTGTGGTGGATACATCGGGAACTTTAGGTAAATTAATTTTTAAAAAAATTATTTTAATTTTGAAAAAATAAAAAATAAATTCAGAACGATACAATCGATTGAGAAATTTTGCTGATCGGGCTTGGGTTTATACTTTTCCTTATGATTTGTCAAGAGATATTCGATTTGTTCTTTCGGAGAAGCAAAATGAATGGGATCGGTGAGACTTATTGGAACTTGAGCTTGAATTTCATGAAGGATTTTTAGATTTGATGAACGAGATTATGAATATTCTGGATTTGGAACATCTCGAGAGCCAAGAAATCAATTTTATGATGAAAATTTGAACGAACAAAGAAGAGCTACACCGAATTCTGATGTTGAGTGAGTTGAATATTTTTTTCTGGAAAAAAAAAATCAATTTTCATTCAGCTCTTGGGATCGAGAAGATGATTTGGAATCGAGAAAAGAGAAAACTGGTTTTTTCAATCGAGAAAAATCGAGATATGATAACTCAGATTTGAGAAAAAGGGATGACTCCAACAGTATTCCATCAACATCTCGAAGTTTCGAGGAATCTCAATCAATTCGAAACAATTTGACAAAATTAAAGAAGAAATATGATTATTTGACTGAAAATGATATGGAAATACCGGAAAAATTGATAGAAGAATTGAAAAAGGCTAGAATTGAAGAGCAAAATTCAGCGAAAATCAAGAATTTCAATTATGATGATTTTGATGAGAATCATTCGAGAATTTCCGAAATTCGAAAACAAAGAGAATTAGCGAAGATTGAAATTGATGGGGAAGAATTGAGAAAATATAAAAAGGTTGATTTATTTTTTGGGAAGATTTATAAATTTAAAAAAATTTTTGCAGCTTGTCACTTTGTTTCGTGATATGATGTCGTCTGAAAAAGTTTGCGATGAAATGCGAAAATTTGATGAACGTTCTATGAAAAATATTAATCGACTCATTTTTGAACTATAATAATTAATAAATATTAATTATTGTCTGAAAGGTTTGCTTTAATTTTTGCATAGTATTTTGATATTGCATAAACTGTTTTGGTGAAGAATTTTTTATTAGAAACGTTTTTCGTCAGATTTCGAAAAAAAATATTTTGATTTTTTTTTGATTTTAGTTAGATTGACTACTTTTTTCTGCAGAATGTCGGATGCAAATCCGGAGAGAGGCATAATATTCAGCACTTCGGCGGAAACTTTTTTCGTCGCCACATCGAATGATGTAAGTGAATAATTAGTTAAATAGAAAAATTCGAATTTTTCAGGAAGTTCTAATGCGAAAAAATGAGTGGAATCGTGATTTTAAAATGGGAGATTGTATCAATATTTTATCAACAAACATGACTTTGTGGAAAAGTGGGAGTGAACGACATATGAAAAGGAATATAACGAATTGCGTGAAAATCGAGGATTTTTTGGATTGGAAACCACAAAATAATAGGAATGGTGTTCTGATAACCACTGGAATTGTTGATTTGCAAATGAGGAATCATCCGATTTCAAATATATTAGTTCGATGTTTTCAAACGCCATTTCTTGAGGTTTGTTTTGTTTAAAAACATCGTTAAATTACTCGATTCAGGAAGTTTATGATAGCGAGATATCAAAGACTATTATGTATTCCGAGCGAGAAATGATGAAGATGAGAATTGTCGCGGTTCATATAGGAAGCAATAAAAATAGCGGTTATTGGGCTGTTTTGGATATAGTGAATTCCATTGAGATGAATCGAGTCAAGCGAAATTCGTATGATGGTCGAAATCTTAAAAAGGGTATTTGTTTGGAAGCTACAGAATATCGATCGAAAAATGGCAGAAATGACATTTATTTGTGGATTCCGAATCGTCGTGAACGCATCACATTTCCAGAAGAATTAAGAGGACCAGCTGATAAAATGAAGTTTTTCGGAAATTGGGTCAAGTTCACTGTGAATAGTAATAATAGAATGGATGAATATAGTGATGTTCAAATTATTGAAGATGTTCTTCCAACGAGATTTTTCAAAAATCGATATGAAATCAAAGTTTTGGTTGATTTCGATGTGGAATCTTGGAATGGGAAGGGGTATCCAGAAATTTCGAGTACTCATTGTGGATTGATTGCTGATGTGACTGATACTTTACGTGAGTGTTTTTTCATTTTTTTTGGCGCCCAAATTTTAAATTTCAATTCCAAAAAAAAATACGTTTCAAAATTTTCATATAAAAATAAAATTTGAAAATTTTTTTGATTCGCTAGTTGATCACGTTTCAAAAAATAGAGATTTTCAGGATTCTATAAAAAGCTGAATTCATTTTCCGGAGAAGCTTGGGTTCATTATTTTCCGCATGAACCAACGAGAGGAATTCGATTTGTGTTATCAGAAAAACAAGAACATTGGGATGAGGAATCTGGAATTCAAGATGGTTACGGTAGACGAGAAAGATCAAGACCTCCTACTAGGAATAATGGAAGTTATGGTAATTCGACAGATTTCAATAGAAGAGAAAGATCGAGGCAACGAAAAGAAGAAGAATTTGAGCATAGTGATTTGAGAAGACCAAGATCAGTGAGCAGAAAACCAAGTCATCCACCAGAACAAGAAAATGATTCCGATGATTCATGGGATCAGGAAGCGAATCGAAGATCGAGAATGAGAGAATATTCAAGACCACCAATGAGATCACCTGAAAGATCAAATTATCGAGACAATTTTGATCGTAGAAGAGAAAGATCAAGAACCCGTGAAGATTTTGATATTGTTGATCAAAGAAATCGAGAATATGAAAGAAGATCGAGAGAAACTTCGAGACCACCTTCAAGAAAAAAAGATGATACAAATAGTATTCCATCAACATCTCGAAGTTATAATGATGATCTATCAAAAGTTCAGACGAATTTGAAAAAATTGAAGACAAGATATGAATATTTGACTGCAAATAATATGCCGATTCCTGAAAAATTGAGAGAAGATTTAGGAAATGCGATTGCAGAAGAAATTCGATTGAAGAAAAACAATCAGGATCAGGATGATAGAAAATCGGGATCATCAAGAGTTGAAGTGGATGAAGAAGATTTGCAAAAATATAAAGAGGTGAGCCAATTTTGAAATAAAATTTGAAATTTCAATATTATTTTTTTTAGCTCGTCGTAATGTTCCGTGAAATGTTGTCTTCTCAAGAAGTTTGTGAAGAAATGCGAAGATTTGATGAAATTGCAATGGATAATATTAATCAACTACTTTTTGATTTGTAAATAGGTAATTCTACACTTTTCATGTACTCACTTGTTAACAGTTTGTTATGTTTTTATTTATTTATTTTCACCTCACAATCAGTTCAATACATGTTATTTTATCTAATTTTCTGAATTTCAAATTTCTCCGTGAAAAACTTCGGAATTTTCTTATTTTCATGAAATATTAAATCAAATTTACAATTAGGTTTTCATGTAAAAAATATTTGAACTACTTTTTTCTGCAGAATGGTGGATCAGAATCCGGAGAGAGGCATTATAGTGGGGTCCGCATCAGAAACTATCTTCATCATCACATCAAATGAGGCGAGTGGTTTTTTTTATTTTAAAATGAATATTCCTCAAAATTTTGCTATTTTTCAGGAGGTTATAATGCGTCAAAATGATCGAACCCGTAATTTGGAAATGGGTGATTGTCTGCATATTTTATCAACAAGCACAACGAATTGGAGAAATCCGGCTGGATTTCAAGAAGTCAGACGAGTTGTCGAAAATTTCGAGAAGGTTCCCGCTTTTGTTGAATGGAAATATCAAAGTAATCGGAAAGGTATTATAATTATGGCGAATATTATTGATGTTAGAATGTTACGACATCCAGAAACAAATCAATTTGTGCGATGTTTTCGAACGGATTTCATGGAGGCAAGAGGTTTTCTTGAAATTTTCACATAAAATCAAAATTCGATTTTCAGGAAGTCTATGATAGTGATCTTTCGAGAACTGAAAATTACACGGAGCGAGAACTTATGAAGATGAAAATTGTTACTATGCGAACTGTCACAAAATTACGGCAGGCGTATTGGGCATTGATTGATGTTCAGCGAAATGATCCTGATAACGTTGGTTCTACAGAACAATTTCGAAACCGAACTTTATGTAATGGAATAGCGCTCAAAATGAGTGAACAGCATTCAAGAAATGGCCGAAATGATATTTATTTTTGGATCCCATATCGTAGAGATCAAGTTGTGTTCAAGGAACATCTAAGGTTGGATTTTAAAAAAAAATATATATTTTCTAATTTAATTTCACAATTTTTAGAGGTAATATTCCAAAAAATAAATTTATCGGAACTTGGGTGACATTCACATTAAATAGTTCTTATCAAATGGATGAATTCAGTGATGTTAAATTTGTCAATGATATTTTTCCAACAAGATTCTTTGCAAATCGATGTGAAGTCAAAGTGTCTGTTAATTTCGATAAAAATACATGGAAACAAGGTTGTTATCCTGAGATGATGAGTCAACAATGTTCTGGAATTGTGGTTGATTTAACAGGCACTTTGGGTAAGATTATTATTATGAGCTTTAAAAATATAGTATAATATTTTCAGAAAAATATGGGATGCTGAAATCGTTTAACGGTCAAGCTTGGGTTCATTATTTTCCGCATGAACCAACGAGAGGAATTAAATTTGTGTTATCAGAAAAACAAGAACATTGGGATGAGGAACCTGGAAATGATGGATTCAGAAGTCAAGGAAGATCAAGATCACCTAGGAATAATGGAAGTTATGGTAATTCGACGGATTTCAATAGAAGAGAAAGATCGAGGGCACGAAGAGAAAAGGAATTTGAGCAAAGGTAAGTTTTTGAATATTTAGAAAAAATATTGTATTAGTGATTTGAGAAGATCAAGATCAGTGAGCAGAAAACCAAGTCATCAACCAGCAGAAGAAAATGATTCCGATGATTCATGGGATCAGGAAGTGAATCGAAAATCGAGAATGAGAGAATATTCAAGACCACCAATGAGATCACCTGAAAGATCAAATTATCGAGAAAATTTTGATCGTAGAAGAGAAAGATCAAGACCTCGAGAAGATTTTGATATTGTTGATCAAAGAAATCGAGAATATGAAAGAAGATCGAGAGAAACATCGAGAGCACCTTCGAGAAAAAGAGATGATACAAGTAGTATTCCATCAACATCTCGAAGTTATAATGATGATCTATCAAAAGCTCAGGCAAATTTGAAAAAATTGAAGACAAGATATGAATATTTGACTGCAAATAATATGCCGATTCCTGAAAAATTGAGAGAAGATCTTGGAAATGCGATTGCAGAAGAAATTCGATTGAAGAAAAACATTCAGGATCAGGATGATAGAAAATCAGGATCATCAAGAGTTGAAGTGGATGAAGAAGATCTACAAAAAAAAAAAAAATTTTTTCGATTGATTGCAGAAGAATATTTACCTCGAGAAAGATTTTGATATTGTTGATCAGAGAAATCGAGAATATGAACGAAGATCGAGAGAAACTTCAAGACCTCCAATGAAACATGAAAATGAAAGGGAAAAATCAAGACCCCGTGAAGATTTCGATATTGTCGATCAAAGAAATCGTGAATATGAAAAGAAGATCGAGAGAAACTTCAAGAGCACCTTCGAGAATTGATAGATCACCTTCAAGAAAAAGAGATGATACAAATAGTATTCCATCAACATCTCGAAGTTATAATGATGATCTATCAAAAGCTCAGACAAATTTGAAAAAATTGAAGACAAGATATGAATATTTGACTGCAAATAATAAAAAAATCTGAAATTTCAATTTTTTTTTAGCTCGTCGTAATGTTCCGTGAAATGTTATCTTCTCAAGAAGTTTGTGAAGAAATGCGAAGATTTGATGAAATTGCAATGGATAATATTAATCAACTACTTTTTGATTTGTAAATAGGTAATTCTACACTTTTCATGTACTCACTTGTTAACAATTTGTTGTGTTGTGTTTTGATTTTTAATATATTTTATTCTATCTAATTTTCTGAACTTCTAATTTCTCCGTGAAAAAACTTCGGAATTTTATTATTTCCATTTTATCACAGAATTGTTCTTCACATTTTTCTAAATTTAGATTAGAATCACTTACTTCACATATCAAATATGAATTGGGAACGGGCTATTATTATTGGAGACACACGGGAGACATTCTTCGTTTCATCTTCACGGGATGTAAGTTACTCTAACTCTGAAGAAATATACATAGATTCATGTTTTGAAAAACATTCAGGAAATGATAATGCGAAAAAATGAATCGAATCGATTTTTGTCAATGGGTGATTGTCTCGAAGTCATTTCTAATAGTTCAAAATGTTGGAATATGATAAGTGGGAATCCGGTGGAGCGAAGAATTATTGATAAATTCGAGAAGGTAGATCAATTTGTTCAATGGAGGCTACACAAACAGAATCGTGGAATTATTATTATGGCAACAATTATTGATTGTGAAATTGTGAATCATCCGAGCTCAAATCAACCGGTACGATGTTTTCGAACAAGTTTTTTGGAGGTTGGTTGGAATTATAACGCCTTGCTCACGTCGACCCAACTGCTGCAATGGGTGTACGGTTTTTCGGAGTTTCCGCGCAGTGCTACGAGAAAAAACATCGACTAGAATTCATGAAACTCCTTATTTCCATAGATTTGAACACGCTGATCATGAATATGTAATCAGTTTTCAAAATGGTTCAGTAGTTTTCTTGCATTTTGATGCATTCAGTCTCACACCCATTGCAGCAGTTTGTTCTTTAGTGGGTCGACGTGTGCTCAGATTAGGATCTTCATAATTTTTTTCTGATCTACCATGAGCAATGTCTCTGGCCTAACTAAATATTGAAAATTTCAAATCAAAAAATTATCACAACCTTTGAACACACCAAAAATATGTTCATACAAACTTCGCTAGCCTAATTTTTTTCCAGAAAGTTTATGATTGTGAAAATTCGAGAACAAGTGTATTCAGTCAAAGTGAATTGATTGGGATGAATGTTCTCACATGCCATGTGAGTAATCGTGAAAAATTTGGATTTTGGACAACTGTAAATGTTAATGTGAGCGTTTGGATTTTATCATAATTTATTTTAAAAAAAATATATTTTTCAGAATGACCCTCACGATAAATTTTCAACTAAAGATCGTCATTATAGAACAGGAATTGCTTTGAATTTTAGAATGGAAAATACGAAAAATGGAAAACATGATTTAATGTTTTGGATTCCACATGTTCGAGAGCGCGCTTTGTACACAGAAGAATTACGAGGAAATATACCGAAACAGAGATTTTTCGGAAATTGGGTTTCGTTCAGTCTCAACAGAAATTATCAAGTGGATGAACAGAGCGATGTGAAAATAATCGAAGATATTCTTCCCACTCGAATTCATCAAAATCGATGTGAAGTTAGGGTATCTGTTAGATTCGAAATTGAAAGATGGGATAAGAGAGGATATCCTGAATTGAAATGTTCACAGTGTGGCGGACTTGTTGCTGATATCACACGAACTCTTGGTAGGGTAATTTTTAGGAAAATGCACAAAATCATTTTTCAGAGAAATATGGTATGCTGAAATCGTTTTCTGGTGAAGCTTGGGTTCAATATTTTCAACATGAACCTTCGAGAGGAATTTGGTTTATTCTTTCGGAGAAACAAGATGAATGGATTGATGATGATCGAATTGACAGGTTAGATTTTATGTTAGAGAAAAAACTAGAGTTCTTACTTGTGATTTATTTTCAGAACTATAGAAAATCCCATCGAAAATAGTTCTAGAAAAAGATCGAGATCACCTGAAAGATCAAATTATCGAGATTTGAGAAACTCTGGAAGAGAAGATGATTATGGTAGAAGAGAAATATCTGAAAATCCCAAAGAAAGTATGAACATCGGAAATAGTTCTAGAAGAAGATCGAGATCACCAGAAGCATCAAACTATCGAGACAATTTTGATCGTAGAAGAGAAAGATCTAGACCTCGAGAAGATTTTGATATTGTTGATCAGAGAAATCGAGAATATGAACGAAGATCGAGAGAAACTTCAAGACCTCCAAAAATCGTGAATATGAAAGAAGATCGAGAGAAACTTCAAGAGCACCTTCGAGAATTGATAGATCACCTTCAAGAAAAAGAGATGATACAAGTAGTATTCCATCAACATCTCGAAGTTATAATGATGATCTATCAAAAGCTCAGACAAATTTGAAAAAATTGAAGACAAGATATGAATATTTGACTGCAAATAATATGCCGATTCCTGAAAAATTGAGAGAAGATCTTGGAAATGCGATTCTAGAAGAAATTCGATTGAAGAAAAACATTCAGGATCAGGATGATAGAAAATCAGGATCATCAAGAGTTGAAGTGGATGAAGAAGATCTACAAAAATATAAAGAGGTAAGACTTCAAATTGAAATCTGAAATTTCAATTTTTTTTAGCTCGTCGTTATGTTCCGTGAAATGTTGTCTTCACAGGAAGTTTGTGAAGAAATGCGAAGATTTGATGAAATTGCAATGGATAATATTAATCAACTACTTTTTGATTTGTAAATAGGTAATTTTACACTTTTCATGTACTCACTTGTTAACAGTTTGTTGTGTTGTGTTTTGATTTTTAATACATTTTTTTCTATATAATTTTCTGAACTTCTAATTTCTCCGTGAAAAAACTTCGGACTTCTTATTTTCAACTAACAAAACTTCACCTCTATTTTTCTAGCATAAATCTAGACCTTGTAAATATCAAATATGAATTGGGAAAGAGCAATTATTATTGGAAATACTCGGGAAACTTATTTTGCCACATCGTCTTATGATGTAAGTTTCCAAAAAATAAATCCAAAATAATTCAGAAAACTCTATTCAGGAATTGCTTCTCCGAAAAAACAATTCGAATACATTTCTAAATATAGGTGATTGCATCAAATGCACTTCTAGAAGTACAACTGGTTGGCAAATGGGAGATGGAAAAATCGAAATGCGAAGAGTTGTGGATAAATTCGAGAAAATTGATAGATTTGTCGATTTGAAACTGCAAAATCAGAATCGTGGAGTTTATATAATGGGAAATATTCTGGGAGTTGATCTTCGAGAACATCCTCGTACAAGGGAACTTGTTCGATGTTTTCGCACTGATTTTTTGGAGGTTGGAGGATTATTTTTCATAATTTTTTTAGAATCAAATTAATTTTCATTCAGGAAGTTTATGATGATGTTCAATCCAAGACAAGAATTTATAAAAATGAAGAATTGATTGGAATGAAAGTTATCGCAAGTCACATCGTCACTCCTCTGAAATATGGTTATTGGGCAGTTATTAATGTTAATGTAATTGGAATTTTTTAATTTTCAGAGCAAGATAATTTGTTTTCAGAACGATCCAAATGATACATTTGATAGAAATGGACGGCATTTTCGAAGAGGAATTGCTTTGAATTTTAGAATGGAAAACACGAAAAATGGAAAACATGATTTAATGTTTTGGATTCCACATGTTCGAGAGCGCGCTCTTTATACAGAAGAATTACGAGGAAATATTCCGAAACAGAGATTTTTCGGAAATTGGGTTTCGTTCAGTCTCAATAGAAATTATCAAGTGGATGAACAGAGTGATGTGAAAATAATCGAAGATGTTCTTCCCACTCGAATCCATCAAAATCGATGTGAAGTTAGGGTATCTGTTAGATTCGAAATTGAAAGATGGGATAAGAGAGGATATCCTGAATTGAAATGTTCACAGTGTGGCGGACTTGTTGCTGATATTACACGAACTCTTGGTGGGTTTTCTAGATTTTTGGGAAATACACAGAATCATGTTTCAGAGCAATATGGAATGCTGAAATCGTTGTCTGGTGAAGCTTGGGTTCAATATTTTCAGCATGAACCTTCGAGAGGAATTTGGTTTATTCTTTCGGAGAAACAAGATGAATGGATTGATGATAATCGAATTGACAGGTTAGATTTTATGCAAGAGAAAAAACTAGAGAGTGATTTATTTTCAGAACTAGAGAAAATCCCAACGAAAATAGTTCTAGAAGAAGATCGAGATCACCAGAAAGATCAAATTATCGAGACAATTTTGATTCGAGAAACTCTGGAAGAGAAGATGATTATGGTAGAAGAGAAAGATCTAGACCCCGTGAAGAAGATCGACGTGAAAATCCCAACGAAAATAGTTCTAGAAGAAGATCAAGATCATCAGAAAGATCAGATTATCGAGAAAATTATGAAAGATCTAGACCCCGTGAAGATTTCGATATTGTTGATCAAAGAAATCGAGAATATGAACGAAGATTGAGAGAAACATCAAGAGCACCTTCGAGAATTGATAGATCACCTTCAAGAAAAAGAGATGATACAAGTAGTATTCCATCAACATCTCGAAGTTATAATGATGATCTATCAAAAGCTCAGGCAAATTTGAAAAAATTGAAGACAAGATATGAATATTTGACTGCAAATAATATGCCGATTCCAGAAAAATTGAGAGAAGATTTAGGAAATGCGATTCTAGAAGAACAAATTTCGAGATATGATTTTGATGACAGAAAATCGGGGAAAATTGAAGTTGATGCAGGGGAATTCAATAAATATAAAGAGGTACGTGTCCACATCTAAAATTTTGGGTTCAAGTTATTTTTCCAGCTCGCCACATTATTCCGAGGAATGTTGTCTTCTTCAAAAGTCTGCGATGAAATGCGTAAATATGATGCGAATCTTTTGAATAATATTAATCGACTGATGTTCGATTCATAATAGATTCTTACAGGTTTGGCTAATAATTTTTGTTATGTAACTTTTTTTTTTGCACCTTGGTTTGAATAGATTTTTTCACTTCTTGCTTTTTTTTGCATGATCACAACCGTAAAATTTTCCGGTGAATTTTATTTTTTTTTTGATTTTTTTTCCTCACCAAATAAGTAGTTTCAGATGTGGGAAAAAGGTGTTGTGGTTGGAATACCTCCGACTGGAAATGTTAAATTTGTATGCACCCCGCATGATGTATGTCAAATCTTCTTGATCCCAAAAAAATCCCAAAAATATTTTTTTGCAGACAGTAATACTTCAAAGTGATGTACCAGCTGGAAAAGATTTGGATATCGGAAAATGTCTGGAATTTCGAGCCGTCGAGCTGCCTTTTTATACAAATCCGTTTTGTAGCCGAAGAATTGTGGAGATTCGAGAATGTGAACAGTTTTTGCGATGGGAAAGACAAAAACGGCGAAATGCTGCGCTCTTAGTTTGCAATATTCAAGAAGTTTCGCTCAAATTTCATCCAGCGGCTGGGAAAACTGTCAGATGTCTACACACTGATTTTCTAGAGGAAGTCTACGACACTGATATTGATTATCCCCGAACTTTCAAATACACTGATGAACAACTTCGGAAGATGAGTGTTGTTGCGATTCGAATTGTTGAAAATGAGAAGAAGAGTGATATGTGGAAGGTTTATGATATTGTACCGAAAATGGGTTTGATTCGTGACGTCATTGAACATCGGATGAGTGGAGTTATTTTGACACATGGAACTTTGAAACATGGCAAAGATGAGTTGTATGTTTGGGTTCCTGGAAGACCGAGAGATGTTATGTTGCCTGTTAGTTTGAGGTGAGTTTTTGAACTTTGAAAATAATTATGAGGAGATTTCGGACTCTCTGAAGAGCACAAAAATGAGCCAAAATTTGAGAAATTTGTGAAAATCGCGTTTTTGAGAAGATTTTATCCAAAAACTGAGTAGAGGAGGGTCGATTTAGTGAATTTAAAAGATTTTTCTGAAAATTTTCAAATGTGCAATACATCTGTTAAGAGCTCAAAGCCTATTTTTGAGCCACATATTTTTTTTTTGGAAAATTTTGAATTTTCTAACCAAAAGTTGTCCGGAAAACGGAAAGTCGAAAGATTTCCGGATTTTTTGAACCGGAAAATTCGGAAAGCAACTAATTGCCACGTTTTATATTCAAAAAATCGTAAGATTCTGAAAAAAAAAATGAAAAAATGTTATTTTTTATCACAAACTGGGGAAATTTCTCAAAATTTAGGAAAAAAATCATTTTTCGGATTTTCCGAGCACATTTTCAGGAAAATCCGGAAATTCAGAAAATTTCTGGCACAGACTTGCTTCAAAACAATTTTCGGGTTTAAAAATCCGGAAAAAAATCGTAAATTTCTGAAAAATTAAAAAAAAAATTTCGAAAATTCTATTTTTTATAAAAAAACTGGGGAATTTTCTCAAAATTTAGGCAATATTGAAGATATTACTATTTTTTCCGGAAAATCGGAAAAACTGGGAAATTTACGGCACAAAAAATTTTCGGAAAATTTTCTTCCCAAAATTCATCACTAATTACTATGTGTTATTTATTGATTCTATTGTAACGCGGTCATTTTTTCTCTCTCTGTCTGTCTGTGTCTCCATCTTCTCCACACTCTCTCTCTCTCTCATTCATAAAATCCATCTGTTCTTCCTACTCTTGTTTATTTTTTGGCACTCAACAACGCATATTTTTTTGCAGAAAAAACATCAGTCGCCAAGAGTTTTATGGGAAATGGGTGTCATTTTCAATGAATCATCCGGTTTTCATGGACGAAAAAAGTGATGTTCAAATCATCGACGATGTTTTGCCAACAAGATATTATTCGGGAAGATGGGAAGTTCGAGTTCCAGTTGAATTCAATGAGAATAGTTATGATGAAGGTCGGAGAAATTTGGAATTGGATAGTGAAGTTTGTGGAACAATTGTGGATTGCGAAGATGTTCTTCGGAAATTCGGAAGGTTGGGGAGTTTTGAAGATCAGGCGTGGGTTCATAATTTCTTCTATGATCCGGCTAGAAATATTCGATTTTTGTTGTCAGATCGGCAAGAGGAATGGGAAAGGTAGTGTAAATTTTGGGAATTGCTCATAATATTTCTTTATTTCAGAGCTCGCAGACAATATTTCGATGATGAAAATCGAGACGATCAAAAAATGGATGAGTTGGAAAAAGTGCGAAACAAAGTGAAGAGTTTGAAGCTAGAATACAATTATTTCTTGGAAAAGAATGATTCGGTTCCCAAAGATTTGATGGAGGAATTGAAGGATACTGTAGCTCAGGAGAATCGATTGATAGGAGTTTTGAAATATGATGCTCCAGATGATAATGATATAGATAAAGAGAGAGATAGAGATAGAAGGGAGATATCAAGAAGAGAAATGGCGACAAGTGAAGTTAAGCGAGAGGAGTTGGAAAATTGTAGAAAGGTTAGTCAAGTTTTTGGGAAATGAAATACTGTGGCTAACATGAGCAATGGGTCATTTTTCATGAATTTAGGGTGATTCTAGGGCAAAATTCATGGTTTTTGGGCTCATTTTCACCCAAAAATCCTAAATTTAGGCTCATTTTCCCCATTTTCAACTCAGAATACCCTACCATTCTCATTACACTATTCAAACATGACCTGCGGTTAAAAAAAAAAGAATTTTTGACTCAAAACTCACAGTTCGCATCAGTTTTCTTATTCAAATAATAGGGTTGATTCACGAACGAAAAAAATGTTTAAAAAATTTTTTTTTAACATTGAAAGATCAATTCACGAAGTCGAAAAAACATTGTAGGTCAAAATTAGTTTTTCGAGTTTTTCAGCCAAAAATGATGACAAATCGATTATTTTTCAAGCTTCTGGAGTAATTTCTGATGAAAATAAGCTTCGAGAACCCTATTTTGCTTTTTCAAAATTCAAATAAAATTCAAAATGTTTTATTTTACGAAAAATCAGCAAAACCTTCTGGAAAGTGAATTCCAAGGTTAATTTTCATCAGAAATTATTTCAGAAGTTTGAAAAATTTCGATTTTTCATCATTTTTGGCTGAAAAACGCGAAAAACTAATTTGGACCTACAATATTTTTTCGACATTTTTTGACTTTTCGTGAATTGATCTTTCGATGTTAAAAAAATTTTAAAACATTTTTTTTCGTTCGTGAATCAGCCCTAATAATTCCCTCAAATTTCTCAATTATTCCACCTGTCTGCATTTTTTTCTAAAATTTTCATTAGTTATTTTCCAATTTGACTCACTTATTTTCCAATTCAGTTCTCCAAACTGTTTTGAAATTTTTCAAAAATCAGAAATGAGCATTTTTCTTTTTTTTAATAATTTACAAAAAACGTGACCTAGATTATTTTTGAATTTTTTTCAAAAGTTTTTTTTCCCAGAAAAAATCTTCTGAATTTTTTTAATAAAGTTCCTCTTTTGTCTAACATGAGCAATGTTTCTCTGCGTCTCTCACTTTCTCTAGCTTCTGTGAGAGACGCAGAGAAACATTGCTCATCTTAACCGGAAAACTCGATTTTTTTTAATTTATGAAAATAAATTCAAAATTTATTTTTTAAAAAAAATTTTAAGTTTATTTTAAAAAAATTCAAAACCTTGAAATTTTATCAACCTGAACCCCAAATTTATCATTATTCTGCATTTTCTGCGGGCGTAGTTGTGCTCAAAATCACATTATGATTCCCAACAAGAACTCCATCTTGAACACAACCCCCTTCAGAATTACAAATCAATTTTTGATTATTCTTGGTTGTCGCCGGTGTTGTTGTTGTACTAAAAGAAAGCCCGCCATACTTTCCAATACCCACACCATTTTGAATGCACCCTCCTTGAGAATTACAAATTGTGCCAACCGCTGCTCGCTTTTTCAAATTCCTATCACCACTAACATCAAAAAATGTCTGATTTCTTCTAGTGATTTTAGTTTGCTCATCTCGAATTGTTAAAAGTTCACCATTCGCAAGATTTGTCTCTTCTTTGGTGGAAGTTGTGGTTTTTTCACTGATTTCGGTTTTGCTAGTCTTCCCATATCTATCTTGCCGTGTAATTGTTCTTTTCTTATTCGTTATTGTTTCTTCACTTTTTTTCGAAACCGGCTCAAAATTCTGATTTTCTTCACATTCATAATAAACTCCAATTGTGGATTGTATCAGTTGTTCCATCGAAAGGTTCGAATTCCATCAGTGCATTCAACATATTCAGTTGGGAGTTGAGATGTTGAAATTTCAGTTTCAGTTGAATTTTGGACACTTCTGAAATGCCACTTGTCATGGTAAATCAAAAATATTTATCTCTAAATCTCTCGTTTTCACGTTGACTTTAGGTTCACTTCTCAAATCGTGTCAGGTCTCAAAAAATTCGCGCTATTTTTGAGGTAGTGAATTCTATTTTTTCTTAAATTTAAGCTTCTAAGAATTTTCTTAAGTTTAAGCTTCTAAGAATTTCCTTAAGTTTAAGCTTCTAAGAATTTCCTTAAGTTTAAGCTTCTAAGAATTTCCTTAAGTTTAAGCTTCTAAGAATTTTCTTAAGTTTAGGCTTCTAAGAATTTTCTTAAGTTTAAGCTTCTAATAATTTTCTTAAGTTTAAGCTTCTAAGAATTTTCTTAAGTTTAAGCTTCTAATAATTTTCTTAAATTTAAGCTTCTAAGAATTTACTACGTGAAAAACCCAATTTTCACAATTGTGAAATATTTTTCTGAATTTTCTTCTTCTTTAAAACCTACCCATATGAAGCGGTGATAAATGCTAGAAATAGAAAAAATATCATTTTTTTTGTCTGTATTTTATCTAGACAGCGTCTAGCTTTTAAACATAATTTCAAAATTCACATGAATAATGTGTCTATTTTTGTGTTATGAGAGAAACGATAAGTCTAGAGAAAATTATTGAATTTGGTGGGCTTGAGGCCTCGAAATTTTCGGGAATAGATCAACAATATTTTTCTCGAATGTGTCAGAAAATTCGTTAAGCTCAGGAATTTTTTTGTACGAGTTCAGCACGTTTTGTGCATTTGTACGCGTTCAGTCCTATTAAGTACGCTTTCAAACTTATGCGTGTACACGATCAGTCTTTTTTAGCTGTCTTATATCAGGAACTGAACGCGTACAAATGCAAAAAAGTGCTGAACGGGTACAAAAAAGGTGCAGAACTCGAACAAAAAAATTCCTGAGAGTCATAAACAATTTTCAGAAAATTCTGAACTCTTTTTTTTTCAGCTTGTCAACTTGTTCCGAGATATGCTAGCCGCCCCACGAGTTTATCAAGAAATGGACAGGTATGACTACAAATTATTGGGAAATATTAAAAAACGCCTTGCGGAGTTATAAATTCCTTTGTTTTATTTTCTAAATCTTTGTTTTATTTTCTAATGAATGATTTTTGTTTTTTTTTTATAATTCTAACCTGGAAAAAAATTGTTGCTAATCATCAATTTTTCATATCTAATCATATGTCTTATCAGCGAAAACCTGCACATTTTATAGAGAAAATGCGGTGGGAAAGAGGAATTGTAAGCCTAATTTCTCATAATTCGACATACGTGGCAACTCCTTATGATGTGGGTTTTTTTTTTGAAAATTTGATTTTAGAAAAATCATGATGATTTTCAGCAAGTCACAATGTATATGGGAAATAGTTTTGAGCTTGGTGATTGTATCGAATTTATTGCCGATGATAGAAGACGGATAATTGAAGCGAGAAGATGTGAGAGATTTGTGGATTATGATTTGAAATTTAGTGGAATCTCGATTGTTTTGATTTGTGAAGTTTTGGATGTTCGGATGGAATTTGTGACATTTTGGAATCGAAGAGCTCGATGCTTTCGAACTAATTTTATTGAGGTGAAGATTTTTGAAGGGCGTGCGATTTGCGTGGCGATTTTTTTGTGCCGGAAAATTTGGAAAGTTTTTGAAGGTCTGAAATTTCGAATTTCAGCACTGAGTTGGCTCCTTAAAAATAGTAAAATTCTGAAAAATTGAAAAAAAAATTCCAAAATTTTCATTTTTTCTATCATAAACTGTGGAAATTTCTCAGAATTTAGGCTACATTGTTAAAAATTTACTATTAAAAATTATTTTCCGTGAAAAAACCAGAAAATCCGGAAATTCGGAAATTTTCCGGCACAGGCCTGTTTTACGTTCAAAAAAATCGTGAAATTCTAAAAAAAATTCAAAAAATTTCATTTTTTCTATCATAAACTGTGGAAATTTCTCAAAATCTAGTCAAAATTGTAAATAAATCGGGAAAATACTAAAGATCATTTTCCGGAAAATCGGAAAATTGATTTTTCCGTGAAAATCCGGAAAATCCGGAAATTCGGAAAAAAACTGTTTTACGTTCAAAAAAATCGTGAAATTCTGAAAAATTGAAAACAAAAAATTCAAAAATTTCATTATAAACTGGGGAAATTTCTCAAAATTTGGGCATTTTTTAAGAGTTTTACTATTATAAAAATTATTTTCCGGAAAACCGGAAAAAATTTTCCGAATTTCACAAATCCGAGGTTTTCCAGAAAGTCTACGACATTCCAATGAATCCAAAAACCGATTTCTACACCGAAGATCAATTAATCGGCTCGAAAATCGTGATCTGCCGAGTTCCAACATCTGACAAAGCATATTCCTTCTGGAAAGTCTCGAATGTTTCCGATATTCATTGGATCAAACCACTTCAACAACAAACTATACAAGTATCTGATTTGATAAGACCGATTGAAAATTCAAAAAGAACATTTTATACTGGCTGGATTTGCACGTATGGTTCAAGAAAACCTGGAAAAGATGAATTGTGGGTTTGGATTCCGTTCAGAAAACATGTTGATATTATGTTCCCGGCGAATTTTAGGTTGGTTTTTTTTTGTTTTTTTTAGATTTTTTTTCCTAATTAAAAAAAACTTTTTTTAATAGAAATAATATTCACCGCGACCAATTTTACGGACGTTGGGTTCAATTTTCAATGAGCCATCCTTTTACGCCTGATGAAGAAAGTAAAATTGAATTAATCGATGACGTATTTCCAACACGAAAATTCGAAGGGAAGTGGGAGATTAAAGTGCCGTGTAAATATGATTCGCAAGACAAACGAGGGTTGATTGATAGTGATGTTGTTGGGAAGATTGACCACTTTCAGGATATACTTGGTAGGTATTCAGGGGAATTTTCCGGTTTTTCCGGTTTTTTCACAGAAAATTCCACTTTCTGGTTTTCCCGAAAGTGATTTTTAATAGCAATGTCTGGCCCAATTTTAGGGCTGATTCACGAACGAAAAAATGTTTTTTAACATTGAAAGATCAATTCACGAAGTCGAAAAAACATTGTAGGTCAAAATTAGTTTTTCAAGGTTTTTCAGCCAAACATGATGACAACTCGATATTTTTTAAGCTTCTGGAGTAATTTCTGATGAAAATTAACCTTGGAATTCACTTTCCAGAAGGTTTTGCTGATTTTTCGTAAAATAAAATTTTTTATAAATTTCGAAAAGGCAAAATAGAGTTCTCGAAGCTTATTTTCATCAGAAATTACTCCAGAAGCTTGAAAAATATCGATTTTTTCATCAATTTTGACTGAAAAACTCGAAAAACTAATTTTGACCTACAATGTTTTTTCGACTTCTCGTAAATTGATCTTTCAATGTTAAAAAAAACATTTTAAAACATTTTTTTTCGTTCGTGAATCAGCCCTTTTCAAAAAAATTTCAATATTTTCTGATTTTCCGAACTGAAAACGTCTCAAGCTGTTTCTAAATCATCTGTAAATGGAAAAATTTCAGACAAAATCAAGTTTTATAACCAATTTAGTGCTGAAATTTTAAACTTGAAGACTTCAAAAAATTTTCCGGCTTTTCCTGTTTTCCCTGTTTCAAAAAAGTTGAATTTTTTTCCAGAAAAATACAATCGCTTCGATAGTTTTTCGGAAAATCTTTGGGTCACCTGTAATGGCCGAGATAAGCGAAAAGGTTGTCGATTCTTGTTGTCTACGCTTCAAAATGATTGGGAACACGGAAAGACTCTTGAAGAAATCGAGGATTTGAAGCTGGATTTTTTGCGGTTGGAAAAGGTGAGTTACCCGAACTCTTCTGGGAAATGAATCTCACATCAAAAGTGTTTTTTTTTTCTAGAAACATCAGTATCTTCTGGAAAATTCCTTACCGATTCCCGAAAAACTTGTAAATGATTTGGAGCAAATGGAAGAAGTTCTGTATTCCTCCAGGAAAGCTAATGAAATTGAGATGGAAAAATATAAACAAGTTAGTTTTTATTTAAATTTACATTTAATTCGGTGAAAAAAAAATTTTGAAAAAAAAGTTTGCCACGGAGCGGGACCGAACCCGAGACCAAAAGATTCAAAAGATGAGTGCGCTAACCACTCGGCCATCCGCTGTTATTTTTCTTGTCCTCAAATGTTTGACATATGAATCTATATGTGTACCAAGTCTCATTATTCCGGGACCTTACACACTTTCCTTTAAGAAAAAAAAAACGGTTTTTTCAGCTGGTTATCCATTTTCGAGATATGTTAGCTTCCGAAAAAGTTTGTGAAGAAATGCAAAAATTTGATCCGGAAAAATTGGAACAAATCAATGCATTATTATTTGATATGTAATATCAGGCCCATTATAAATATTTTTTTAGATCTCATTTTTTTTCTAGTTATGTTATCTCACTTATTCTCCAGTGCTTTTTTGAATTTTTTTGTCTGCAGTATTTTTTTGTTGAATAAATTATGATTAATGTTGTTCTCTCGTTCAGTTCCGAAAATTGTTCACTGCCAATTTTTATATATATTTTTATAGATATTGTTATAATTTTTTTAAATTCAATTTTTTCAGATCTCAAAATGTGGCAACGAGGTGTTATTATGAATATTACAAATAATGGGATTTTTATATCCACCCATGATGATGTGAGTCACAAATTTATTTATTAAAAAATATTTTTTTTTGTTTTATTTTTAGACAGCGATTATGCCACATCGACTGAATCAGAACTATCAAATCGGGGATTGTATAGAATTTGAAGGAAAAGATCGAAATATTTTGTCCTCGAGAAAATGCGAAAGATTTGTTGATTTTCAAATGAAAAGAAATGGTAAATCGATTTGCCTGATTTGCGATGTTATCGATATCACATGGAAAAATGTGGCAAGATGGGGGAAGAATGTGAGAGTTATCAAAACAAATTTCATCGAGGTTCGCAATTTTTTACATACATATTGTCCGTTTGGAAATGAGAGTCACCCCGCGAAAAAATAAATTTGAATTTGCTGCTGGAGACGCAGACAGCGAGAGAGCGCGCTGGCAAACAGCCAACGGGGGTTTTGTATGGGAAAGCGACCGCAACGCACACGCATCGCGGGGGTAGGGGGAAATTGGAGATTTTCCCAAATTCAAATTTATTTTTTCGCGGGGTGACACTCATTTCCAAACGGACAATATTATCCTCAAAATTTTTAAATTTTTAATATTCAGGAAGTTTACGAAGCGCCAAATAATTCAGCAACCGGTCCCCTTTCAAATGATGCTTTACTAAATTCAAAGGTTTCAATTGCGAGAGCTTGCGGAGATGATAAACAATATTATTGGCATGTTGTTGGTGTATTTCAAAATGCGAAAAAGAAAGAAGTTACCGAAAATTCCGAGCGAATTCAATATAAAGGACTAATTTGCACGTTTGGTGTGCTAACTGATGTCAAAGATGAATTGTATATTTGGATACCTTTTAGAAATGGGAGAGATGTTATGCTTCCAGTTAATTTAAGGAAAAATATAGGAAGAGATGAATATATTGGAAAATGGGTCACGTTTTCAATGAAACATCACCTTTTTCTTGATGAAGATAGTGATGTTCGAATAATTGAAGATGTTTTTCCAACTAGGAAACGAGCTGACAATTATGAGGTATTCAGAATAGCTGACGTTTATTTAGAATCCATAGATTTACAGATCAAGGTGCCGTGCATATTTGATTTGAAATGTCAGACGAGCAAAGTTTCTGAACTGTTCAGTGATGTTTGTGGAACGATTATTGATCCGGCGAAAATCTTGGGTAATATGTATTTACGAGATTTTTTTCTCACATAGAAAAAAAGTTTTAGATAAGTTCAAACGGTTGTACAATTTTCGAGAAGAATTATGGGTCGCTTATCAATTTATCGATAAATCTAGGAACATCAGATTCTTCTTGTCGGATGAGCAAGATTCTTGGAGAGAAAGATCGCCGGAAAGATCGAGAAATTCACAATATGATCTTGGAAACCTCAAAATCACTAGATATTTCAATGATGTTCCAGAGGCTCCTGGATCTTCAGCTTCATCGTCTTCAAAATTGCAAAAAGAAGAGGAGGAGGAATACAACGAAGATTTGGAGAATGTAAGGAGGAATTTGAAAAGAGTTAAGACGAGAATCGAATATCTGACGGAAAATGGAATGGAAATTCCAGAAAAACTTGTGCTTGAAATGGCGAATTTGGTGAGCGAAGAGAGGAAATTAGCAAAAGAAACATCTTCGAATTCCTCGAGAATCGATTTGAAAAATTATCAAAGATTAGCCACATTACTTCGAGATATGCTAAGATCTCAAAGGGTTCGAGAAGAAATGGAATCATGGAATCGAGAAGGAATGAATGAAATAGCTAAACTTATGTCTGATATGTGATCTTATTTGTTTATCAGACAAATCACTTAAGTTATACAAAACATGTAAATATAATAATGGTAAATAATAATAATTAATAACTTATGTAATTAATAAAAATTAATCAATCATTATCTCATCACCAGCTCTCATTGGAGATTCCTTGAGATCAATCCGTTGTTTCAAAGCGAATTGGAATTGACAAGATCCTTTCGAGACCAATCGAACAGTTCGATTTTGATCGATACTTACAACTTGTTTAATTTCTTTTCTACAATGTGGATTGTCCAGTTGATTTCGGAAAACTTCGGCAACTCCACAACGAACCGGCAAAACCAACACATTGTCTTTTCGTCTGCAGAAAAAATGTATTTATTTGTTAGAATAAGACCAATGGATTAAAAAGAGACTTTTTGAAAGTGAGAATAATGGAAAGTAAACATAACATAACATGACTTACCTGCGAATCGACACAACAACATCGCCTGACAATTTTGAAACGACCGAATAGGTTCCGCGATAGTTCATTTCCTCAATAATAATCGAGGCTTCAGTGAGATAATGTGGAGGAACCTAGATATAAGGAAAACATTTATTTAGTGCATACCACACCCAGCTTCGTGCAAATTCACTTTGAAAATTGGCGGTGTGGGTTTTGAATTTGTTTGGCGAGGTGAAAACAACCTTTTCGACTGAAAAATACGACTTTTTTACGGAAAAACAAGCACAAATTTGCTGTTTTTCAAGAAAATCTGAAATTGGCGAGGTGAATTTCCGTAATTTTTTATTGGCGCCGTGCAAATGCCTCACCCTGGGCGTGGTATGACGGCGCCAATAAAAATTCACGGAAATTCACCTCGCCAATTCGAGATTTTCTTGAAAAACAGCAAATTTTTGCTTGTTTTTCCGTTAAACGCGGTATTTTTCAGTCAAAAAGGTTGTTTTCAAAGTTAATTTGCACGAAGCTGGGCGTGGTATGATTTAGTTCTTTGTTTCCCTCCCAAGCCCATTAAAAACACCTGCTTGGGAAAATTTTCCCCCAAAAACTCACCGAAACATTACTGTCTACACCCCATGTTAGAACTTCTGTTTGACAATTTTCGTTCAAGTTGTTGAAGTGCATCTCGTGCTTGAAGCCAGCTTTAAGTTCCGCGATTTCGCCTGCAAAACTTAGTTTTTTATAAAAGTCCCCCCACAACTTCCTGGCGCCAAGTCTCTCCTTTGTCTTGTTAACCTTGAGTAACTGCCTTTCTCTAACTATGAGTAAACAACACATGTACTTACACGGTGTTTTGAGTGTTAACTCGGCTTCTGTTCCAATCATATAACCTTGTTCTCTTGCCACTGAGCAAAGTGATTCGGTTGTTCGTTCGGTTTTGAATGAATATTCTTGTGGGCGATTTGTGCTATTTGTGTAGATTGATTTGAAAAGTGTGTAGGGTTTTGAACCGGCTGGTTGGAAATGAGAATATTGCGGTTCTTCATTGACAACTACTAGACGACGTCGATTCTGAAAATTCGATATTTTCAAAAGAAAACTGATTTTTCTATGGAAATTTTGTGTTTTTGACCGGAATATGCTTCAAAAAATCATTCTCAGTAATTAGATTTAGCTTATTTCAACTATAGTCTAGTTTGATGAAAAAATTCAGAACATTTCGATAAGTATTGGCTGTAAGCTTTTCGAAAAAAAAAATACATGGGGCGAACGGGCGGTGTCGTCAACGCGGAGTCTCGTTGTTTTCTTTTCATTTTTTCGCAATTTTTTTTATTTTTTGGGGGAAAATGACAATTTTCCGATATTTTCAGAAGAAAACTGACTGGTTTTTCTATGAAAAGTTTCCAGATAATTTTTGCAGGTCCCTTCAGCTATTTTCCTCTCCCCTCATTTTCAAAATGTGTTTGTTGTCTATATACTAATCGAGTTGACGCGCTCCTCTTCTTTCTCTCTTGTTTTTCTAGAGCAGCGAGCAAAATTCCCACGAGACGAGCCATTTTGCGATGCGCGATGCTCATCATCGACTCACACTCTTTTACGAAATTGGAACAAGATTGGAGGGGAATTTTGAAAAAATCGTTTTTTGTGTCATTTTGCATCCCTCTGCGAAACAAAAACGAAGCCAAAAAACGAAAAAAAGAATAAGAAGAGGCCCCTTTCTAATCCTCTTTTTCCTCTTTCATTTTCTCGTAATCGCCCCGAGGTGCCTATTTATATGCTAATTGTACTTCTTACATACATATTTTGTTTACACAGCGAGCGATTTTACGATTTTTTTGAAATCCCTAAATATTTTCTCAAATTTTCCCGAAAAAAGTCAACCTGTCAAAACTATTTTGACATAATCGCGTGAATTAGTCACCACTCGCTCTTCTACCAATCCACTTGAGATATCAAATAAATCAGTTGGCAAATAAACGATTGTTGTTTACATCGATTTGCCTCACAACTTGATGTTTGAGGGTCACTACTTCTAAAAACTTTCCAAATTTCGATATTCTTTTGAGATATGATGACGAGAAAGAGATCTGGGTCATTGCCAAAACGAGGAAAAAAATAAAATTTTCCGGTAATTTGATATTCTTTTCTCCCTTTTTGAAAAAAAAACGCACAAAAAAGAAAAATTTATGAAAAGAAAAGGGAATTTTTTTCTTTTTTTTTGAAAAGAGCTAATGAGCACTAAACTTTTTTCTTTTTTTTTGGCTAAAATGTAAAATGTAAAACGCTGTGTAAACATAGTATCTCAGAAGTACAATTAACATATAAAATAAAATATTTTTCCCTATTTCATTAATTTCAAAATGAGTTAAGATAAAAGTCGGCGCCGTTTTTGTTCAATTCAAAACAAAAGAAACATTTATATTGTTTCTGACCTTCAAAGTCAAGAGTTTTTCTTTTTTTTTGTTTTTCGATGGAACAAAAATATATTTTGATTAAACCAATTGTGTATACTAGTATATGAAAATATATATAATAACCTGTAATTAAATCTAGGCGACGCGAAAAAAATTGGATTTGGATTTGATTTGGAAGTCAAGGTCGTAAATATGTATATTTATCCATGGATAAATTTTGTTTTTGATGTGAATTTCAAAAAAAAAACAAAAAATTCTAAACTCACGATAATGAATTCGCAATCATCCCGCTCCAAATTTCTGAATTCATCCAATCTCGTTTTTCTCAGCGATTGTAGATCTTTGAATTGTGTCCAAGCGTAGTCTTCGAGGATTTGATCAACATCAACGTGATTCATTTTTTTTTCTAAAAAAAAATAAATAAATTTTAACAATAAGAACGACATTGATATTTTCATTTTTGCACGATGAATCATCTAATGCATTTTTTTCTACCGGATTCAAAAAAACGAACAAAAATATGACGAGACAACACAAAATCAATAATAATAAGTGTAACAGAGAGCAGCAAATCAAAATTACACAGATTATCATGTTAGAGATGATGACGATGATGATAAGAAGGGCGGAAAAACAATTTTTTATGATTATTTGGTTTTGTGATGAAAGACATTGAGCCGATGGGAATTTTTTTGTTTTTTGAGGGCAAATGGGGTCAGAATTTTTTTTTTTTTTTTTGATATTTGTGGAAAGGAAAATTGGATCCAGATTATTTTTGATCTGGGATTTTTTGAAATTTTCTGGGAAAAGACTTCTACTTGGTACATATATGCTTATAAGCTCTCAAGGCGTGGCTCCTTGCCAGAGTGGATCTCTAGGCGCTGCTACTTGAGATCTAGTATCTCTAGGCTCGGCTCCTTGACAACTGAATTTTCTAGGCGCGGCTGCTTGAGCTTTCAAGGTATCTGATGATCTTTAATGTTCAGAATTGAAAATGATTTCGAAATTTTGAAAAAAATGTGTGAAGCTTGGGATTTTCATATCAAAAAGCAAGGGGTTTTGAAATTAAAATGAAAATTTTCAACAAATTCTTAAACTTCTTGAAGTCCTAAAAATAATTTTTCAAAAAAAATTTTTTTTTTTCAAACCAAAAAAATGTCGCTCACAACACAACAGACAAGAAAAAACGAATCAATATGAGTCAGGAATTCTCGGTTGGCCGCAAAAAAAAAGTGGGCGGAGCTTGTGGAAAAATGAGCGGAGAGTTGAGGAGGAAAATATGAGGGAAAACACACACCGCGGGAGATTTTGATTTTCGATAAAATTTGACGAAAATAACATGAGTCATCGATTGACTCTTGTGAAATAAAAATACTAGAGAGTTAAGTATGGTAGGTATTTTGGCTCCCACGCTTCTTTATGGAGAAATATGAAAAAAATGCGCCTTTAAATATGACAATTTTGACAACAGAAAATAAAGCCCGCATGGCCGAGTGGTATACACACCTGCCTACCTTTTGCAAAGCCAGGGTTCGACCCCCACCCGCTGCCAAACTTTTTTTTTACAATTAAATTTTTGATGATGCACGCAGATTTATACAGAAATGTAATAAAATACCCGTAAAGTGTGGGAAATTTTTCTCCCTGATGAAAATAAAATACGAGTCAAAATAGCCATTTTCGTGAGCATAACTCTTTTTTTTTATGGGGCTCCGCGAGCCGGAAAACGATTATTATGAGCAATTTTAGATGAAAAATGTGAAAATATATAAATAAATAAATAATTTTTGAAAAAAAAGAAAAAATACTTTTGGAGAATGAAATGAAATGGGAGAATAATCCAATTAGATGATGATTGAACACAAAATTTCACCTTGGTTACCAAAAAAAAATTAAAAATAACAGAGAGAACTGGAAAAAACTTTAGATTTAGCTTAGCTTAACTATAGTCTAGTTCGATGAAAAATTTCAGAACATTTCGATAAGTATGGGCTGAGTTATGGAAGCCCATTGAAAAAAAATAAATTCAAACCGCGCGCGCAAACCTGTCGTCAACGCGGAGTCTCGTTGTTTTCTTTTTTATTTTTTTTTGCAGTTTTTTTTCCATTTTAGGGGGAAAATGGTAATTTGCATGAAAAAAGGAAAAGCATGCAAAAAAAAACAAAGAAAACAACGAGACTCCGCGTTGACGTCACGTTTGCGCGCGTGGTTTGAATTTATTTATTTTTTTGCAATTTTTTCATTTTTTCGGGGGGAAATAGTAATTTTTATGAAAAAATAACAAATTTCTGAGGATGAAACAAGTAAAAACTGATTTTTCAATGAAAATTGCGTTTTTTTGAGTTTTTGAAAAAAAAAATGAGATTTTGAAGTTGTGAATTGCACACTGTGCTCTCCTATTAATTTTATATCACTTATTTTTCCCACGGGTTACTGTAGGGAATTTGGAAAATAAAAATGATAATAACAGGGAAGCGTGGGAAAAATATATCAAAAATGCCGTGAGAAAATTGAAATCAACTAACTCAATTTCAAGGTTTTAAAAAAATTCTTTCAGAAAAAAAACTTTTTTTTGCTATTTTCAAAATTCAAGAGTGTTTCAGAAAATTTTAAAAAGGCTTTTCATGAATTTTGTTCATCTCAAATAAATTTTCAAAATTGTTTTTCTCGAATTTTTCTCACGGGTTACTGTAGGAAATTGAGAAAATAAATAACAATGATAATAATAGGGAAGCGTGGGAAAATATATCAAAATGCCGTGAGAAAATTCAAATTCCAAACATATTTAAAAATATTAACTTTATTGATTGATTAAAAATAAATAATTCAAAAAAACAAGAAGAACATCAAATTTGCAAATTGCGACCTTCCAATGAAACAGTTACTGATCGACTTGCTTTCGATTTTTTGGTTCGTTCTTGGAAATCTCGAAGCGCTTGATCGTAGCGACGAGTTCCGGTTGCTTTGCGATCCTGGAAACAAATTGGGGTTTGGAAAACTCTGAATTTCTGGGGGAGCAATTCTAGTCGGAAGATCTATTTAGCCTTCTAAATGTTGAATTTTTGAAAAAAAAAAGTTATGACGTGGAAAATTTCCAATTTTTTTCACTAAAAAACTAAATAAAAGTTTTTTAACAAAAGTGTTCATTTCAGAAAATGTAAAAAAAATAGGGAAAAAATATAGTTTTTCGACATTTTCTGAATCGAAAATTTTTTGTCAAAAATTTTTTTTTATTTTTTTCGACTTGAATATATGTAATCTTAAAAATGTCGAATTTTTGAAAAAAAAAGTTATGACGTGGAAAAATTCTAATTTTCTAGAACTTCGAGTGGTTCGTGAAAAATGTAGGTGAAACTTGAATTTTTAAATTAGCATTGATCAAATCAATTCACGAAAAGTAAAAAAAAAACATTATACAGGGTGACCCAAAAAAACTGAAACAAACTTGGCTCAATAGAACCTATTCCGCAATTTTTAAACTGAACATTCTGATCATGAATTATAGATTCCAATACCATTAGCTAAATAACTGTTAAATTTGTTTTTGAAATTCACGTGTTTCACGTGATCCGCACTAGGGAGAAGAGTAAAATTGAAAACGTTGTTTGGACGCAACTCTTCAGAAATTGCAAACTTTGAGTTTCAGTGTCTCTAACTTTCTTCGGAGCTTTTAGATCTCTTATATGTTTCATGAATGAAATAGAGCAACTCTAGAGGAACATTTTTCACTATACTTTTCTTAACTTTCGTTTCGAATTACATATTTTACGAGTGGTTTTGTGCAACCGGTCGAATTTTTCCGTTTTCATGAAAGTTTGATCTCTGACTGGCACCAAAATCAAAACTTCGACTATTCATCTTCCATCTTTGATTTATTAGAGGCCTATCATTGTTTTAATGTAGAGATATGCGATGCCAAAACTTTTCAGCGGGAAAAATTTCGAAAAAACTGAAAATGTGCTTTTTGGAAATTGATTTTCCAATTTTCAGTGGTCTTTTAAATCAAAAGTTGTGAACTTCGTTTAAGTTCAATGGAAGATATGTTTTGTATAAAATTGAGTACTAGGGTTGTACTGAATCCCCCAATGGCATTCAATGAACAATTTTCAAAAATAAGTCTGAACTGGACCCGACTTTGCATTTATGACATGCGTCTTTTTGGCCGTTTTTTTATCCTAGATTTTCACGTCCTGCTCACTTCAAAAATAATATATAACAAAATCATCTTGGATTTAGCTTTCAGGAGGTCTTAGATAACCCATGAGTAAGTCATATTATATCTTTCAATCCTGCTCTAACAAGGGAACCTCTTCAGCTCGCGGTCGAGTTTTGAGCTGAAAACTGTTTTGGGGTACTTTAAGATGTTCTAATGGCCATATAAAAAATTCAGCTGCTGAACTCCACTCTGAGCACAAGAAAGTGAGCTCCGAAGTTTGAGCATTTTCAAGGGCGCACGCGCCAGTTTTATTCTCTTCGAAATTTCAACTGCATAAAAAACAACTAGCAAAGCGCAGCAGGTTAGCGGATAGCCTCTTGAGGCAATGCTGTGGGGTTCGACTCCTGCTCCCTTCAACATTTTTTAATTTTTTTCTTTTTCAAGAAAATGACTTTGGAGTACTGTAACTTGTTTAAAAATCGATTTTTTGAAAATCTGATCATACGGGGTTGTTCTAGAGGGGCAATTATATGAAAAAATAAGTTCATATAATTATGTTGCCATTCTCTAGAATTTCGTCCTTTTCATCCAATTTCTCAAAAAGTTAATGAGAACAAACCCTATTGGAAACTTTACATGTTAAATTATACCAACAGCTCTCAAAACTTATGATAAATTTGAATTCATATTCCCAAATTATAAGGTCTTCACTTGTCGGGCAATTGCAATTGAAATAGTGGGAGAAAAGATAATGATTTACCAACATTTCTAATTTAAAAAATCATTTTTCTATTGAAACTTTAAAATTTTCAATTTACAACATTCCAAACCAGCCAAATTCCAGAAAAACTCCCGATTATCCTATCTTCGTTCTGGAGAAAAAAACTTCGCAAGCGATAACTTTCGTAGAAACGGTTTTTATGGAAATCGGATTTCACAGAGTTGTTCAGGAAGATCAATTTCATAAAAACTGAACTTATTTCAAAAAAATTTTTTTCGAAAATTTTCATCCATCCGATGACCATGAATTTTGAAGAAAAATGAATTTTCTCGAAAAATTATATGAACTTATTTTTTCATATAATTGACCCTCTAGAACAACCCCGTATGATCTGATTTTCAAAAAATCGATTTTTAAACAAGTTACAGTACTCCAAAGTCATTTTCTTGAAAAAGAAAAAAATTAAAAAATGTTGAAGGGAGCAGGAGTCGAACCCCACAGCATTGCCTCAAGAGGCTATCCGCTAACCTGCTGCGCTTTGCTAGTTGTTTTTTCTGCAGTTGAAATTTCGAAGAGAATAAAACTGGCGCGTGCGCCCTTGAAAATGCTCAAACTTCGGAGCTCACTTTCTTGTGCTCAGAGTGGAGTTCAGCAGCTGAATTTTTTATATGGCCATTAGAACATCTTAAAGTACCCCCAAAACAATTTTCAGCTCAAAACTCGACCGCGAGCTGAAGAGGTTCCCTTGTAAGAGAGAATTCAAAAAAACTTTGTTTCATTTTTTTTGGGTCACCCTGTGTACAAAAATTAGTTTTTCGAGTTTTTCAGCCAAAAATGATGACAAATCAATATTTTTAAGCTTCTGGAGTAATTTCTGATGAAAATTGACCTTTGAATTCACTTTCAAGAAGTTTTGCTGATTTTTTGTAAAATAAAAAAATTTTAAATTTTGATTCTCAAAGCTTATTTTAATCAGAAATTACTCCAGAATCTTGAAAAATATTGATTTGTCATCATTTTTGGCTGAAAAACCTTGAAAAACTAATTTTGACTTACAATGTTTTTTCGACATTTTTTGACTTTTCGTGAATTGATCTTTCAATGTTAAAAAAACATTTTTAAACATTTTTTTCGTTCGTGAATCAGCTCTATTGAAAGTTTATGATTTTTGAAAAAAAAAAACTCACTTTACATTCTCCTTCAACATTCCACTTCGGTCTAACCACATAATCCCTAGTCGATGGTTTCGGAACTCTTGCTCTCGGAATATATCCATCATCACCCGGCTTCAATAAACCCGAAGATGTTGGTCCCAAACCTCCAGTTTCCTTGATTTTCGGACGTCTTCTGTCACTTTCATCATCCGAATCCTCTTCTTCTTCGCGAGCTTTATTGATGCTGAAAAAATCAAATCTGGATTCCAGGAATTCTGCAATTCCCAACTCACTTCATCTTCTTCTTTTTCACTTCTGGCATTCTTTGGTAATCTCTCACAACTCGCTCTTCTTTTGTCATTGAACTGTAATCGGTATCAAGTTGGAAAATCGGGCGAGCCCATTCTCCGATCAATTTATTCGCAATCAATTTGTTCTCTTTCGTCTCGTTTGGATGTTTATAAAGGAGCATCACAGCTTTTCCAAGGCCCGATTGTTTCAATGTGCTCTGAAATTAAGTTTCTTTATTATTTATTTTTTTAATGGCGTGCCCTAGATTTAAGCTTAAAAATAAATATTTTGACGTGAATTATTTTGCTCGTTTCTGATTTTTTCAAAACGTTCGCATTTATATTCTTCACTATTTTTTGAAATGTAGCAAAGCCTGTGAGTTAATTTCATCATTTTTTCTGGAAGCTCTTCCAGTTTTACAAATCCATCATTTTCGAGCCAAATTTCAAGATTTTAGGCTTAAATTTATTGCAATTCATTTGGTGGACATTTAATGAAAACTGCAATCAATTTAAGCCAAAAATCTTGAAATTTGGCTCAAAATGATGCATTTGTAAAACTGGAAGCTCTTCCCATGCATAAAATGGGTCCCCAGAATTGGGTTGAGGGGCTTAACTTTTTTCAAAAAAATCTGAATGGAAGGGTGCCTAACTTGGCCAATGTTCTGCTGATAATTTACCGAAATTCCCAGATTTGTCTAAAATTCGCTCAAATATGTAAGGAAAGGGGTTTAACTTTGGAAATTTTTCAAAGCGGGACCCTAACTGAAAAAAACTGGTTCGGGTAACCTATGTTATGTATGGCTCTTCCGAATCTACAAAATTTTGACCCAAAAAACAGCATTTTCTTTGGACAGTACTCAATAAATGCTCACTAAATAAATTTCAATCGATTAAAGCCTAAAATCTTGAAAAAAAAAATCAAAAATGACCAGGTGTAAAATACAAATCAATTTGAATCTTGCACTGGATGAGATCATCACCCAATTTTTCGAAATAATCTATAGATTCTCTAGTTTTTTTGTGACAATTATACTCGAACTATGTTAATTACAAGATATATAATCAATTTGATAAAAAAATCGCTTAGAAAATGACCCGGTGTAAAAAGCGTAGCATTATTTTTATTGTAGTTGGACATTGACTAAATCGACTAAATGACATTTTCAGGTTTTTTAGGCAAAGTGAGTTGAAATATTTGGTTGTAATGTTATTCATATGATAGAATGGTCTAAGACGAACAGAATGATTCAAATTTTGATGATTTTACGTTATCCATAAGTGATTTACCGGCTTATCGACTAAATATCGACTAAACGTCGCTAAATCACTTATGGATAATGTAAAGTCACCAAAATTTATATCATTCTGTTTGTCTTAGACCATTCTATCATATGAATAACATTAGAACCCAATATTTCAACTCATTTGCTTAAAAAACATGAAAATGTCATTTAGTCGATGTCCATCTATACTTGTTATTATTATAATCCAAAAGATCAAATAAACTCACTCGATCAAGTTTCCAAAATCTCGGATTATGCAACAATTTCAAAACAGTAATCCGAATATCCATCGCAGGCAAACATTTATCCGGCAAAGGTGCAAGCCATTCAGAAATCGCACTCATAAACCCGTTCTCAATCAATGCTTCAACAATACCCGCTCGATTCATCATCGCTTTCACATCCGGCAACAATTTAATCTTTTGAAATGCCGGCTTTCTTTCTAGATTTGCATTTCGATCAGCTTTCGCCGCAGCTTTCATACGTTCAACAAGATGTGTAATCATTCCATCGTCATCATTTATAATATCAATTCCACTGTCTTTTCCTCGTTTTGTCTTTCTTTTTCGTTCTGCTTTCTTTTCACGCAACATAACATCGAAATCCCATTCAAAACCACGTCTTCCTCCCCCGCCACCTCTATCAACAATATCATCGTCATCATCACTTTCAACAGCAACTGCTGCTTTTGGTGCTTCTCCTTCCTCTTCTTCCATTTGTTCTTCTCTTTCATCACCTGAATTCTCTTCTCTTCTTCTTGGTTCTTCATCTTCATCACTATCATCCACAAAAATCGCACTTTTCTGTTGTTTTTCCGGTTCTTCCTCATCATCCGAAGCATCCGAGCCAATCAACCTTTTCTTCGGCAAACTTTTCTCCTGATCACTATCCTCATCAGATTCTATCAAAGCGCGTTTTTTGCTGCTCGATGCTCCAGCTTCTTCTTCTTCATCATCAGAATCAATTATTGCTTTTTTGCGCGGTGTTTCTTCAATTTCAGGCGAACGTACAAGTTCTGGTGATTTTTGACCATTCGAAGATGGACTTTGGGGAGCATAGAGATCTCTTAATTCACCGGTTGGGCTTTCTGGAGCGTTGGCAACCTGCAAAAACCAATTATTTTTTAAACAAAGAAAAACCATTTACCTCTTCTGCATCTGGTGAAGCTGGAACATCAGGAGATTGCGGTGCATCTGGAGATTGCGGAGCTTCTGGAGATTGTGGAGAAGCTTGTGCCGACATTTTTGACAGCAAACAACAGAAAACAGCAAATCAAATCAATTTTTGTCGGAAAAAAAGTGGCGCTAAACAATGGGCACGCCGGAGTGTCGTTGGGAAAAAATTTGAATTTTATTTTTTTTTTTGGGAAAAAAACTTTTTTCAAAAAGAACCGCGTACAATTTCACGAAGAAAAAACCTCGAAAATCAAAAAAATTAATATTCAACACAATTAGTTTTCTCATGATTGGAAAACAAGAAAAAACATGCATTTTCTTGATTTCTGACCAAACTGAATTAACTCTGAAATTTTTTTTGAACGAATTATCATTGTCTGCGTATGTCCGAGTCAATTTTCAAATCAAAAAAACAATTTTTGTTTGAACTAAAAAATGTTTTAAATTGATTTCAAATCGCCACGTCACCAAAATATCGATTTTTGCCAACGTGTATTTTGAATACTATCGTGAGAACATAGACATTTGCAAATGAGACGCGTATTCGCAGGCGTGTGATCCATGTGATCAACCCCTAAGAATCGTATCTTCTGGGAATTCGCAGTCATTTGCACTTACTCTTAAACGTAGATATTCTCGAATTTTTTAACCTCAATCACTAAGAAAAAATGACGAATTCAACTCTAAACTCCGAATTTGATCAAAATATCACTGCTGGTGTTATCATTTTTATTGTGAGTTTTTTTTAAAATTACATTTTCCAAGTCTCACAAGGGAACTCTCAAAAAAATAAGCAGTCCCAAATTTTTTTGGGGTCTGCAAATCATTTATTTGACATTTTGCGGTCTGCAAGAAGAATACAATTAGCTCAGTGGTAAAGTGATTGTTTTTGGATCTGAGGGTGGCGAGTTCGATTCCGCTCGCGAGCAAACATTTTTTCCAGATTTTCAAAATATATTTTCCATAGTTTTCTCTTCAGATCTCATTTTCCGGCGCAATATTCAATATTCTCGCAATGATAGTTGTCCTAAAATCACCAATTCTTCGAAACGCATTCGGTGCAATGTGTTTCAGCCACACAATCGCAAATTTCGGTGTTCTTTTCGTTTTCGTCTTCTACGTCACACCATCCACCATTTTCCAATATCAATACAGCGAACTTCGATTCGGTAAAATCCTGGGACAAATCAATATTCTATTCTGGAACGCCTGTTGTTATTCGCATTTAGCAATTTCTCTCAACAGATTTATCAGTATTTCAATGCCAACAAAAGTTTCACAATTGTACAATTTTCGAAACACAATTCTGATTATTTTACTTGTCTGGTGTTTAGCATTTTGTCATATTTCCCCTTATTTTTGGGCTGAGCAATGTTATGTTGCTTATAATGTTGAAGAATGGGTTTGGGAGTTTCCCGATACTGAATGTGGCTATTTTATTTCGACGTATACGGATTACTATAGTAGTGTTCTTATTTTTATTGTTATGAGTTGTTTGGATTTTGGGACATTTGTGAGTTATAAGAAATCCCTCAGAGAAAAAAGTCTAGGAAAAAAGTCTAGTTTTGTTTTTCCCATGCTCTAATTCATTTCCTTCTGAGAAATTAATTCCAATCAGATTTTTGCATGCATTGCTCATGCTATACTAGATTTTCGAAAAAAAAACATGACCTTATCCTTTGAATTGCTCATATTAAACTCGAATTTCTGTTATATTTCCAGGCTTTACTTGTTGCATACAACAAAAAAACAAAAATCTCATCAAACGACGAGGCAAAACGTCGTGCACGAACTGAAATTCGATTTTTCACACAGTCCTGTCTTCAAGGAGTACTATTTTTCTACGAAGTTTTCATGTTTTACTATGTCTGCACTTTGAATACCGACAAATGGTATGTGTTTTTCACAACAACTTTTGCTTGGGAACTTTGTCATTGTCTGGATGGGTGAGTTCGAAGCAAAGAAAAGAGAAATATTTAAAAATATTTTTTAGATTAGTTGTGGTTATATTTCATTTTCGTCGAAGTTTCTTTGGCTCAAATTCTCGACAAAATACGAAAGCGTTTTCCAAAGATGGAAGATCAATTTCTGTGAAGCCGAAATAACATTTTTTATGAAACTTGTTCAAATTAGAAAATTCTTTTCTATTCAAAATCATCAAAATACAATTTATCATACAAATAAATATTACAAAAATTACACTTATCTAAAACTTCTCATTTAATTCGATGCTTTCGTCCCTCGGATAATCAATTGTATACTGAATCAATAAATTTTGCGAACTGTTCGCTGCAACTTTCACAGTCCATTCCAAATTGTTCAACGAATTCAATTTTGCGCCCTCTGCTGGCAAAGCAACTTGACTCGATTCTCCAGTCTCTTGAAATGGTGTAGCTGTTGGTGAAATCAAATTGACTTTGATTCTTCCGTCAGCACTTCTTGGAATCGGATGTTTTACAATGATCAAAATAGGTGTATTCACTCGCGTATTTTTGATAACAATGGTTTGCTCGGTGACACTTGTTGATTGATTCATATAAAATCCACCCTGTTGATGAAATCCACCGTGTTGTTGATATTTCATCGCCGGTTTATATTCGATTCGAATTCCAGTGTCAACACCAAGTGAACAATCGAATTTTTCTCCAGGTGACACATCTTTCAGCGATGTGTTCGCAATAAACGCATTATCCCGGAAGATTGAGGTTTGACCAGCGAGGAATGCAAGATCTGATGTGTTGATTGCAGACGCTGTTAGGAATGCAGCTGCATTTTTTGATGGAACTGTTTGATGAACAAATTGCGCATTCAAATCCACAATTCCAATCGTTACTTTATGCTCATTAGTGGAACTTGGAATCGTTGCTTCTCGTTGTATCTTGAACTCTGTGCTCAAAGCAGATTGAGTAACTTCCGTAGTAACATCTACACATCTTCTATCTTCATTGTATGTCAAATCGGTGGAACTTGATGGAGCTGCTCCAAAAAGTCCTGACACTTGTCTTCTTTCTCCCGTGAATCCAAATCCGTTTTGTGGAATTACTCCAAAACCTCCTCCAAAACCTCCTGGCATATGTCTCTCCCTATCCATCCGACGTCTCTTCACTTGCACATCAAGCGCTCCCAACTCAGGAATTCTACCGCCAAGTGATGGTTTCGCGGTGGATAAAACGAGTGGAGCATCACGCCAATCTTCGCCAGTGCTTTGTGTGATTTTGCCGAAATAACTCACATTCATCATTGAGCTCTCCGTATCCACTCGAATACTATATGATGGAGTCCAACTGGCATTACGAACTTGGTAGATGACATCAAGTTCGATCGATGTCTCTTCTTCTGCTTCAAGTGTCACATAAACATTGTTGACATATCGGTTATGCATCGACACACCGTGTTCTTGTTTCATCCACTCAGTTCTCGCTTTTTGCACGATTTCTTCAGCTTTTTTGATTTCAGTCTCAATATTTCTCACATCAGTTGCAAGCGCTTCCGCTTTCGGACCATAAAATTCAAAAAACTTTTCGATATTTGAAAAATTTGTGTCTTCAAACCCTTTGGGCTTTTTCGAATTCCCAATTTGTGAAACCATCAAATTCAAACCATCTTGCTGCTTCACCAAAATACTCTTACGATCCTTGAGTTCCTTCAAAACCGCTTCCTTTTCCATCACAACATTTTTGAGTTCCGCGTTTCTCACCGAATCGATTTCTTCTGGCTCATGTTTAACAACCACATCATGCATTTTCGCATTTCCCCTTCCTTCAACTCTCAATGAATCAGGAATTAATAATCGTGCCACATTCTTCAAGACCACTTCATTGAATCCTGGTTTCAAGGTGGATTTGACGATTCGATTCACTTCAGCACGATCATTGTAAACGATAACTTTGACGATTTTCTGCTCCGGAACATTGAAATGCGGTGATGTTGATGATGGGGAACGCATTTATATACCTTCTGCAAAAGCAGTTTTAGATTTTAAATTCAAGTTTGAAATTTTTAAAAAGAAAAAAATGACTTTTTTGAAAAAAGTTTTGGACAAAACAGTCACGCGTCCTTTTTTTAGGACGCACTTGCTCAAAAAATTTGTGCTCAAAAAGTTTAGAGACGCAGAGATAAAAGTTGACACAAAATATGGCTATGGTGTTGGATATTGGGAAGGTGACACCTTTTTTGTGAAGAGATGGCCTAGAAAACCAAATATTTCCTCTTCCACGGCTCTTATATTTTCGAATTTGAATCGAAAAGACGAATTTTTTCGAAAAAAAAAACGATTTACTGTCCGTCCACGAAAATGATGACCTTCGTGTGTTTGCACATTTTGAAAACTACCGTATACAAACGTGCGGCAATTTAAAATATAGTTTTTTTTCTTTTCTTTTTTTTCGAAAAATTTGTTTGTGTGGAGTTATTGACTCCGAATGCCAATTTCATCAGGGTGTCTTGTGCTCATCTGAAAGCCCATCCAAAACTGGTCATATCGATGTGAATACATAGTCATGAAAATGAGAAACCGACGATGCACAAGTGCTGAAAGAGAAAATGCACACAACTCGGCAAACACACATATTCAATTTGAGACTTGGCGTTTGTTAGGTCGATCATTTTCAGCTCATTGTCAACCGATTTGAGTCATTCATATATCAATCGAATCAGAATTTTACGGAGAACAATATCATCTTTATGGATTTCAACATTTCGACTGCTTTCAACCATATTTTGGGCTGAAATTTGAGTTTTTTTGATTTTTGAGGGTTTTGGGAGATTTTTTCCAGATTTTTCGAAGATTTCTGTCAATTCAGTGCTGGGTGTTGCTCAAAAATGTATCTTCACGAAATTCGACCATCCAATTTGATTTTACAACACGATTTTGGCTGAAATTTGAGTTTTTGGAGGGTTTTAGGGAGATTTCTTCGAAGATTTCTATCAAATCAGTGCTGGAAGTTGCTCAACAATATAAATAAATATAATTTCTTGAAATTTGTACAACCAATTCGATTTTCAACTCTGGAGCACCTAATTTCTGGCTGAAATTTGAGTTTTCTGGTTTTCGGAGGGCTTTGTGAAATGTTTCTCAAATTTTTTCGAGGTTTTGTATTAATTCAGTGCTGGACTTCTTTGATCGTCTAATTTTCACGAAAATCGACCACCCCATTTGAATTTCAACTCTGGAGCACCTAATTTTTTGCTGAAATTTAAATTTTCTGGATTTTTCTTGAATTTTTATTTAGTGCAGCCAATTTCCTGCAATCTCACAAGTGAACTGATTTACTGACTTATTGATAAATTCAACCCTCTTACAATTATAAAATTGATTTGCTTTTGTGACTCAAGTATTTTAAAAACCCCTAAAACTCCAGAAAACTCGCATTTCAGCCAAAATTGGGTGCTGCAGAATTGGAAATCGAATTGGTTGAACAAATTTTAAGAAATTATATTGTTGAGCAACTTCTAGCACTGGATTGATAGAAGATTTCCAAGAAATCACCCAAAAACCCTCCGAAAACTCAAATTTCAGCCAAAATCGTGTTCTCCAGGTTGTAATATCAAATTGGATGGTCGCACTTTGTGAAGATAGATTTTTGAGAAACTTCTAGCACTGGATTGATAGAAGATTTCCAAGAAATCACCCAAAAACCCTCCGAAAACTCAAATTTCAGCCAAAATCGTGTTCTCCAGGTTGTAAAATCAAATTGGATGGTCGAATTTCGTGAAGATACATTTTTGAGCAACACCCAGCACTGAATTGACAGAAATCTTCGAAAAATCTGGAAAAAATCTCCCAAAACCCTCAAAAATCAAAAAAACTCAAATTTCAGCCCAAAATATGGTTGAAAGCAGTCGAAATGTTGAAATCCATAAAGATGATATTGTTCTCCGTAAAATTCTGATTCGATTGATATATGAATGACTCAAATCGGTTGACAATGAGCTGAAAATGATCGACCTAACAAACGCCAAGTCTCAAATTGAATATGTGTGTTTGCCGAGTTGTGTGCATTTTCTCTTTCAGCACTTGTGCATCGTCGGTTTCTCATTTTCATGACTATGTATTCACATCGATATGACCAGTTTTGGATGGGCTTTCAGATGAGCACAAGACACCCTGATGAAATTGGCATTCGGAGTCAATAACTCCACACAAACAAATTTTTCGAAAAAAGAAAAGAAAAAAAACTATATTTTAAATTGCCGCACGTTTGTATACGGTAGTTTTCAAAATGTGCAAACACACGAAGGTCATCATTTTCGTGGACGGACAGTATTTAGAATTTATTAAAATTTTCATGAAATATCAACTCTTGACATTCTATGAGGATGCGAGAATTCATGAACATGGTTGAATAATTTTGAATTTGGAGATTCATGTGATTCTCCAAATAGATATATTTTTCTTGAAATTGAAAATTAGAATGAGCAATGCATCGAAGCATATTTGAATTATCCAAGCAAATGTGGTGAATAGGAAAATATAGAAGTTTTCTTGGTAGAATTTCATAGCTGTGTTGAATGAAACCACAAGTAATGTGAATAGAATATCCCGTGAAAACACTTCGATATTAATTCGACCATCTCTACTAACCACGAAGATCTGGAAAAACATATTTTGAATTTTCAAGCTGCTGAGTTATGACGTGGCAATTCAAAAATGATTGCGTGGTCTGCAATATATTTATTTGATATTTTTGCGGTCTGCTAGCAATGATACAACTAGCTCAGTGGTAAGATGATTGTTTTTGAATCGGAAGGTGGCGAGTTCGATTTCGCTCGCGAGCAAAAAGTTTTTTTTTGTGAATTAAAAAAAAAAGTTACCAAAAGAATCATATCCAAAACAGCGATAAAAATAAATGCAACAAACATAATTCTATAAATAACAATTGTCACTAAAGTGTCTCCACAAGAAGTCGTAGCAAAATCGAACAAAAAAGTAGTTGGATTGTAGAACATGTAACAATCATTATAAAGAAACATTGGAATATTCTGGAAGACTGAAATAAGCCAGACAAAAATACACAATGGAACCGGGATTTGTTGAGATAGCAGTTTTAAGCGCTGAAAATTCTAGATTTTTTTGTTGAAAATATTTGAGGAGGCTCACAAAGTTTGGATAAATCATAGAGCAAAAATGATTGATTGTTTCTAGAACTTGAAAATATATAAAGGCACACCAATTGATAACTAAAACCTGCCCGATGAATTTTCCAAATATTCCTCCACCTGTCTCATTTTGTTGACTGTAAATTTTTTGTTTTTTGAAATTTTTTCTCCAGCTTACATATAGGTTATTGGTGAAATCCAGACGAAAAAAATAATTGTGACAAATAATTTTGAGATTGTTTGATTGAACAGGAAACCAAAATCGTTTCGAAGTTTTTCGGATCTCCAACAAGTTATTAGACATAAAATCGTTAATATGAAGCCGAAAAATCCAGTCTGCAATATTTAAAAAAAAATCAACATAGTTTCAGAGCAAAAAAACTTACTATAAAGCTGAAAATGGCTACCAACAAAATTTGAAGGAGAGCAGGGAGCATTTTGAGAGCACGAGCACGAAAATGAAATTTGAAGATAAGATAAGATAAGGCTCAATGAGCACGAGAGATGATGCTTCGACTAATTTCAGTTTTGGTAGCCCATTTCTGAAAATCTTCTTTCTTCTCAATGGATTCGCGATTTTTCGACAATCATTTTGGAACCAGAAGATCGGTGCTAACAAATACAAAATTTCGAAAAAAAAAATTTGAATTTGCGAGACCCGCGATGCGTGTGCGTCGCGGTCTGCGAGCAAATTCAAATTTTCTTTTTTTACCTTGCTTTCTCTCGCAAAAATACTGATCTTGAAGTGAAAAAGCACAACAACAAAACCATCCAAACAATGGCAAATCTCCCAAGCAAAAGTGGTGGTAAAAAATATATACCAGGGGGATGTGCCAAGTGTTGAAACGTAATAAAAATTGAAAATCTCGTAGAAAAATAGGGCGCCTTGAAGACTGGATTGGGTGAAAAATCGAATCTCAACTTTTCGCCGTTTAATCGCATCGTCATTTGATGAGAATACCGTGTTTTTTTCGGTGCAGAACTAATAGTGTCTGAAATTAATTTTAGCTTAAACCCAAAATTTGGTTTTTTTTAAGTACCAATGTTGCAAAATCAACACTTGACATGAGAATGAAAATCGCAACACTTGTATAATAATCTGTATAGGTGGAGATCACAAAACCACATTCAGTTGATGCGAAATTCCAAGTCCAGCTAAAGGGATCATAGTAGATATAACACGTGTCATCTGAAATTCGGGCGCATTTTATATTCGATATTTTTGACAATGAAACAAAACGGCCCTGTGGCCGAGTGGTATGCACGCGTGCCTTGCTAGCAAGCGCTTTTGCAAAGCCAGGGTTCGACCCCCACCCGGCGCAGAACTTTTTTTAGCGAAAATCCTCAACTTACACCAAAAATAGGGAAAAATATGACAACACGCGATAAACCAAACCAGCCCAATAATAATAAAAGTATTCTCTTTGGAAAATATGAAATTAACCCTTGATGGAAATGCGATTGAAGTCAAACGATTACACGAAATCGCAAGATGCGAATAAACACAAGCATCCCAAAATAATATATTGATTTGTCCTAATATTTTATTCAATAATCCCATCGTATCCTCGGCTTGTCTGAAACATCGTGACGTCGTGAAAAAAAGAATCTATTTTTTGATTTTCTCATTGTTTGATTTTAGATCGAACGTGAGATTTTTCATTAAACACTTCTTCTCAAAAATGTCTAGTTTTCACATGAATAAATGCACTGAAATGTGCTGTGACTAAGAAAAAAGAGCAAAAACTGAACTTTTTTTTTTTAATTTTGGAAATTGCAACCACATTTTTCGAGACGTTTGATGTTAAGATTTGTTCATCAAGTTCAATTCAAGGCTCAAATTATAAAGTGCAACTTGCTCAAATTTTATGACACTGAAGTTCACTTTTGAAAATCAGATGACACGAAAAATAGACCAAATTGGACTTCAGAACTTCAGCTTAAACTTCTAATTGTTTTCAAAATAACTCACATATAAGTAGCCGGTGCGACATAAACAAAAAACACAAACAAAACTCCAGAATTCGCCACCGAATGACTCAAACACATTGTCCCAAACGAATTGCGCAAAACCGGATTTTTCAAAACCACAACAATCCCCAGAATGTTGAAAATGAGCCCGAAAAATGCGACGAAAAAAATGACGGCCGATGAAATGAGAACATCGCCTCGAGAAGAGATATCCAAACTTGTTGTAGAATTTTCCATTTTTTGCAGAATCGAGCAGCAAAAAAAATAATCAGTGTAGCAAAATGGGGGAATGTGAATAGATTATTTACAACTCACTGATTTTTGTGCGCATTTGTTAATCATGTGAAAAAGAATTGTGAGACAAGGGAATTCGTGAAATTGTTTAGGGAACTTGGAATTCTGTGTAAATTATTATTTTTGAAACATGTAATTTGAAAAAATTCGTGAAATTTCATAAGTTGAGATTTCAAATTTTCACAGAAATATCTGAAACTCGACAAAAATTCTGATTTTAGTTTTATTGCGTATGAAAATCTCGAGATGGGTAAAAATTTTCTGAAACTTTTTTTTCAAAAACTTTTCAACTTCTACATTTTGAAGTTACAGTAGTCGGCTCTATCTCAATATAAGGGTCCCAAAAAAATAAGGGTCCGTTATTTGTTTTAATGGTCCTAAAAAATATAAGGGTCCGTGATTTTTTCATATGTCTGATTTTTTTGATTTTTTGGATTTTTTGGATCACCTAAAATAAATAATTGAAATTAGAAAAAAGACTTTTTTAATGGACCCTCAAAAAAAAATAACGGACCCTTTTATTTTTTTGGGACCCTTGAACAAAATTACGGACCTCTATGTTTTTACGGACCGTTATATTGCGATAGAGCCCAGTAGTCCTCCAAAAATCGCATCTCTCCTTCTATCCAAAATTCAAAGTTTTCCCAAATTATTTCATAATTAAACTAGTCGGAGGAAATATGATGCTCGAAAATTGTTACAAAGTAAAATCCTCCTCCCCCATCTTATTTTTCGACACCCAAAAACACCAACTGCTCTCTCTGCGCACATTTTGTGCAAAACAAAACTATTTACAAATAAATATTTGGGAAATGTCGACAAATCAGCCGAGTTATTCGGTTAAGGATATTATTTTAAGGTAAGTCAAGTTGTTAAAATGACCAATCAGGATACTAAGAACCTAAAATTTAAGTTAAGGGCCCCAACCTAAAATTTAAGTTGAGGGCCCTAACCTAAAATTTAAGTTAAGGGCCCTAACCTAAAATTTAAGTTAAGGGCCCCAACCTAAAATTTAAGTTAAGGGCCCCAACCTAAAATTTAAGTTAAGGGCCCCAACCTAAAATTTAAGTTAAGGGCCCCAACCTAAAATTTAACTTAAGGGCCCCAACCTAAAATTTAAGTTGAGGGCCCCAACCTAAAATTTAAGTTAAGGGCCCCAACCTAAAATTTAAGTTAAGGGCCCCAACCTAAAATTTAAGTTAAGGGCCCCAACCTAAAATTTAAGTTGAGGGCCCCAACCTAAAATTTAAGTTAAGGGCCCCAACCTAAAATTTAAGTTGAGGGCCCCAACCTAAAATTTAAGTTAAGGGCCCCAACCTAAAATTTAAGTTGAGGGCCCCAACCTAAAATTTAAGTTAAGGGCCCCAACCTAAAATTTAAGTTGAGGGCCCCAACCTAAATTTTTTGTTGAAGATATGAATCGGAAGAAGAGGAATTTGTGCGCGAGTTGGAAAGTATGATGACACATGAAAATGTGGAAGAACAAGAAGCTGAAAATGATTTGGATGGTGGACCGCCGATTCTTTGTAAGCTTAAACTATTATCAAAAAATTCCAGAAACATTTTCAGCTGTGCTTTGTAGTTTGGTCGATGAGATCGGATCGCTTCCGAACTGAAAACCGTCGCCTGAAGACTCGCCTAATCCCACAATCCCCAAGAACATCGAAAAACGTTGTGCAAAGAATGTCAGCGATGTTTGAGCATAGAGGATCCTCAATTTTCCCCAGATTGCGAAGAGTGAATAGGTCGAATGAATCGATTGAAGTTCGAAATGGAGCAAGGGAAAGGTTATCGACGCCACCTAAGGAGAATTCAATGACATCTACGGATGCTTCAGCGGCGGGAATTCCACCGATTGTTAGGCCTGAGTTGAGTGACAGTGAGATTGATGAGCAAATATTTAATGAAGATGAGGATGATGATGATCATAGAAGTCGGGATACGACTAGAAGATGTGATTCGGTGAGGCATTCAACATCAGCGTGCACTTCACCGTCTTCAGCTTCATCCTCGAGAGATCCATCGGAAATTATGAGTAAGTATATTTTTTTTTTAAATTCAAAATCTTAAATAATTTTTCCAGCCACAAGTCGTTCATCATTTCTGGACCTCTTTGGTTTCCGTCGCCGATCAACTCATATTCCACAACCAACAAGTTCTTACGCAAAAACCGTCTCCACCAAACAAGTCGTCAAAAAACGTCGCAAAAAAGTGTCGGAACCGCAAAGTGGAATGTATTTGGATGATGATGATCGACTTCCGAATAAACCACCAAGACCTGCGTCGTATTATCGGAGAGATGATAGTGAGGATTCGGATTATTTGAGACAGAGGAAATCGACATCGTTTTTGAATGTTAATCATGGAGGAGGTTATGGTGGGTTTCGCGCTTTTTTTCAAAAAAAAAACCACGTGGAATTGCGGAGTGTTGTAGTTTTTTTTTGAAAAAAAAAACACTTGAATTTTTAGAGGAAAAATAAGCAGTCCCACAAATTAAGCAGTCCCAAAAAATAAGCAGTCCCAAAAAATAAGCAGTCCCAAAAAATAAGCAGTCCCATAAAATAAGCAGTCCCAATTTTTTTTGGGTCTCCAATTTATTTATTTGATATTCTGCGGACTGCAACTACAAATGCGAATAGCTCAGTGGTAGGATTTTGGGTTTTGAATCTGAGGGTGGCGAGTTCGATTACGCTCGGAAACTTTTGTTTTTTTAAATTTTTATCTAGTTCTGACAACTTTTCTGTATTTAGGAGGATATCGCGAAAATCAAATTCAACATGAAAAAGATAATCTTGAAGCTGAAGTTGAAGAATTGAAATTGAGAAATCAAAGACTTGTGGAACAACTTCGAGAAAAAAGCCAACAACAAAGTAAACTTCAATGTCAACTTCATAAAGTTGAGATGCAAATGAACACGTTGAGTCGAAGATGTGCGATGTCAGAAGCTGTTGATCGATTAACACTTGATGAAAGAATTGAGAGATCTGCAACGCAAAGTATAAAGAAAATTGAGGAAAGACTAAGAATTTTTGAGAATCAGATGCAAAATGCGAAATTGGAGACAGCAAATGCCCATCAAATGGCGATGAATTCGACGTGTAATGAAAGAATTGCGCATCAAAATTGTCTCGAAAAATTGGAAAGTGTTCAGAGAGAACATATGAGAGTTATACATTCGAGTTTGATGGAAATGGGAATAGATGAAATGAGTTTGAAAAGAAGATTGGAGAATTTCCCAACTTACGAAGCACTTTATGCATTTACTCATTCAATTGTGAGAAGATTGAATGAAGCAAAATGGACAATTATTGAAAAAACATATGAGGCAAGTAGAGCACAAATGGATTTGATATCAACACAAACATCACTTCTTGTAACTCATGCGCAAATGGAAAGATTGAGAATATCAAAAGGGCAGAAACGGGTGAAAAGACCGGCTTCATTTCATGGAAATGAGTATCAAGATCGAATTGTTCAGCAGAATCTCAGTTTTTATTTGCCGTTTAAATTGCAAGGTTCGAGAGTGGAGAATATGAGGAGATTGGCGAGGAAGAAATCGCCGCCGAATGATCGGAATATTGAGGAAGAGTTTTTGAAGTTGTTCAGTTATTCGAAAGGTGAGATTTTTTGGGAGGCGTCGGATTTTGGGAGATTCCACTGTATTTTTTTTTGCAATTCGAGGGAGACGCAGACTTTAACGTGTGCAGACAAATCTCTCGCCGAAAAAGGGGGAGAAATAGTGTGTGGCAGACACACTGCGTGTCGAGACCAGCGAGTGTCTGCGTCTCCTCGAAATTGCATTTTTCTATTAGGAAAAAACACAGTGATTCATAGGGCTTCAGAAGGCCTTAGAAGATTTTAGGACGCTTCAGAAGAATATTCCAGGTTTCAGAAGGCTTCAGAAAATTGCTGGAGGCTTCAGAAGGCTTCGGAAGGCTTCAGACGAACTTTTGAGGCTTCAGAAGAACATTTCAGGCTTCAGAAGGCTTTAGAAAACTTATGAAAGCTTCAGAAGACTTTAGAAAACTTTTGGAGGCTTCAGAAGGCCTTAGAAGATTCTAGAAGGCTTTTGAAGCTTCAGAAGGCTTCAGAAAAGATTAGTAGGCTTCAGAAGGCTTTAGAAGGTGTTTGGAGGATTCAGAAGGCTCCAGAAAACTTTTGGAGATTTCAGAAGGCTTCAGAAGGCTTTAGAAGAATTTAAAAAGCTTTTGAAGGCTTTAGAAGGCTTCTGAAAATTTTTGGTGACTTCAGAAGGCTTCAGTAGGCTTCAGTAGGCTTTAGAAGGTATTTGGAGGATTCAGAAGAAATTCCAGACTTCAGAAAGCTTCAGAAGGCTTCAGAAAATTTCAGAAAGCTTCAGAAAATTGCTGGAGGCTTCAGAAGACTTTAAAAGATTTCGAGAGGCTTCAGAAGGCTTCAGAAGGCTTTAGAAAATTTTAAAAGGCTTCAGAAGGCTTAATAAAATTTCAGAAAGCTTCAGAAAACTTTTGGAGGCTTCAGAAGGCTTTAGAAGGTTCTATGAGGTTTCAGAAGACTTTTGGAAAGCTTTAGAATTCTTTAGAAGAACTTTCGAGGCTTCAGAAGACTTCAAAAAAAAAACAGAACAAATTCCAGATTTCTCCACCGATCCTTCGCCACCCGAAATCCATCGCCGAGCTTCGAATCGCATCGAAAATATGATGCGAGAAATGAATCGTGGACCAATTCGAAGACAACCATCAGTCCCAGTTAAAGGAAATGTGAGAAGACCGATTAGTCTTGTAGAAACCGAAGAAAAACGATATCGAAGAAATGAGGAAACACGCAGAAGTATCAAATTTATCAAAACGAACAGTATTGATCAACACAGAGATGGCTTATCCACTCAAGACATTCCAAGTGGCTTAAACAGCCCTGCAAATACTCCAATATTCAGTCGACGAATTATAATTCCAACAAAAGGAAATAATTATGATCATGTGGCAGAAGGAGTTCCACAACGAGTTAGAAAATTGGAAAGAGCATTTTCCACAGAGAGCAGGAATACTGTGGAATCGAATAATATGAATAATGAGCCAAGGAGAAATGTCAAATTGCAAAGATCACAACCAGTTAGTCGAATTAAGCAACCAACTGTGCAGCTCAATCGATTTGTAGGTTTTTCTATGATCAATATCACTCTTATTCTCGATTTTCAGAGAACTCTTGATGGTTCCAATCCAGCTCCTGTTCCTCCCACAACTTCACATTTACATCAACCATCTTCGATTCAATATCGACCACGAACTCTTGAATCTTCAACACCTCGACATCCAAATTCTCCACCTCCGGAAAATGGATTGTCTCGAATTCCTCAAGTTACTCGACAAAGATCGTGGTTTGAGAAATTGAAAGGAATTGCGAAATAGAAAAACGAAAATACAATAGCTTTAATTAAGTACAGAAATTTGTAATAAATTATGTAATTTTTGTTATTTAACAATATTTCAGCCTAAAATAAACTTGATTTATTTTTTGGCTGCTTTTTGAAATAAAAAAATGCTTTAAATCAGAATTTTTAATTTTTTCATGTTCTCGAAGCTGGGCGTGGTTGTAAAAAGCAAATATGTTCATCCCTAATTCTCCCTCAAAACTACTCACAATTTTTTTTTTGCCAAATTCCGCAAATTTTTTGATATCTCCAATTTTGCACCACACGATTTTGATTTCGGTTCCTGTAAAATAGCAAAATTCTTTTTTCTACAAAAAAATGAAAGAAAAACTCACCAATCAATTGTCTCCGAGAGGAAAATAATAAGAAATAAGCTCTTCAAATTCACGTTGCGTTGAGATATTTAATTTTCTCAAAAGATCTCTACCTTTTGTTCCCTACAAATCAAAAAGAAACCAGGAATGCATGATACTTTTGATCATATAAGGTTTATACGCCATAATAAAGGTGGAAACAAGTAATTGTATAATATCATGGTCAAGAGCAAAAAACAACAACATACCACCCTTCCCATTATTCCATTGAAAATGCTCAAGAAAACTAGGTTTTATCTCAAAAAAGAAGTGAAGGAGGTAACAAAAAAAAAGATAAGGTATAATTTAAATTGGATAAATGGGGGAGGGTAACAAAATTGGAGAATGAAATAATCAACAGAAGAAAACCGGATGAAGAGATACACCAAAAATAGAAGGAAACGACCATTGCCCGGTCTAAAATACTTCAAATAGTTGAAATACCCCGAAAAATCAGATACCGGACATTTGGCATTCAGAACACCGAATTAAAGATGTGGGGGGGAGTGCTAAGGGAAATGAATTTAGGCCTTTTTGGCTGGAGCTGGAGCAGCAGCGGCTGGGGCATCTTTCTTGGCAGCATCCTTCTTCTTCTTTGGCTTCAAGGCGGATTTGAAGATGGTAACCAATTCAGGATCCTTGAGGGTGGCTTCAGATTCGTAGACTTCGGTTTCAAGTGGAAGTCCGGTGATTTTCAAGAGTCCGTTTGGCATGACTAAAACTGTTGCTTTGAATTGAGCAACGAATTCGCCTTCCTTCTCGTATAAGACCTAAAAATATAGGGTTTTTTTTATTTTCACTTTTTTTTCGATGAAAACAACTTACTGGATATCCGGAAAGGAGGCCGTATTTCTCACATTCAACAACTCCCATTTTGGCTTTAACTTCCTCTTCAAATCCTCTCAATGAGAATGGCATTGGTCCATGCTGAAAATTTCGAAAATTCATGATTCAGACTCTCGAATTCCCTAACATACCACTTTGTTGAGTTCAGTGTAGAAGACACGCGAAGCTTTCATTTTGAGTTGATATTGAACAGATTCGTTCTTCTTGAAGACTGTGGTACGGGTATCCAAATCTTTTGATTTTCCTGGACCAGTTGAGAAAAAGAATGTCGATGGCATAAGCTTCGTGCTTCTCGATTTTAACCTGCGAAATTTCAAATGTTTTTCAGAGAAAGAGAAAAATTGGAATTTTCCTACCTTTTCAACTTCTGATCGTTGTTTCTCTCCTGGATTTTGGATGATTTGCTTTTCTCCATCAATTTCATTTCGTTCTAATTGGTGTGAGACCATATTCTCGATTGGAGTGACACCATATTCCGCAGCAACTCTATCGATGTTCTTAGTGATATCCATATTTTGAGTGTCTGGGCGCAATGATCGAACAGCAACTTCAAGAGCATCGTATGTTCCACGGATCAAATCAGCAATTTTTCCAGTAACTTTATTGGTTTTCGAGGCTCCAACAACAACTGTGTGTGCAGCGGTAGCGATGAGTCCATCAATATGGGTTCCTAAATCAATCTTGACAACTTGTCCGTTCTTCAAAACAACTGGAGCTTCGGATCGAAGTGGCGAGAAATGGCAGATGCAATTATCGACAGAAATACAGGTTGGCATAGCGATACCCTTGGTCAAACCCTTCTCTTTTTTGTACAATTTTGAGGTTCTTTCGAGAATGAATTTGTCTCCCAAATCGCACAATTCTCCTACAACTGCTCCTTCTTTGACAGCAGCGATGACTGCCTAAAAATCAAAAAAATTGGCTTTTATATCTTAGATTATTTGAGAATTAAAATATACCTTCAAGGCAGCATTTGTAATTTCAGCAGCAACTCCGTATTTTGTGACGATGGCGTCGTTGGCCAAAGTGTAGTCCTCTGCTTGATGACTATCATCGCTCGAGCAGCTGCTTTCACTGTCCTTTCTGACCATTTTGAGACCTTTCTGAAAAACGAAAATTTTGAGAAATTATGAAATAATCAAAAAAACAAAACAACTAAGCGTTCAAAGTTTTTCAAAAAACTTGTCCTAAATTTAAATTTTCCAAGACTAAAACCAAAAAACCTGCGACGAATAACTGTTCCCCAACTAAAAATCATGCTTTTCCTTTCTTTATCCTCAAAAAACCATTAAAAACTAGAACGGCAACCCGGAAAAAGAAGTAAAAGTTTTGTTTACTGAAAAATTCAAAAAAATTTCTGTTTAAAGGCACACGAATTTATCGCCAACTCCGCCGCGAGACCCTGTGCGCTGGGGCGAACATTCCCAATTGAAGAGACGCAGGCGGTTAGACGAAACATATTATTTTTGTTGCCGTCGAAACTATTTTCAAAAAAAATGCGAGTGAATGAAACTTAGACTTTAAAAAGTTTTGTGTAATCGATTTGCTACCAGTTGGAATCAATTTATTACAATCTTTGTTCATTCAAAAAATAAGCAATAATAGACAAACAACGTATTTTTTCTTCATTTTATTTTACGAAGAAAAAACATGAACAAATAAACAAACAAAGTGTAAAAATCAACCGAACAAACATTTTTGAATGTTTTTATTATGATGAAAAAAAGCCTGGGAAAAAAAGCCTGAAAATTGTACAAGGAATTCATAATTTGTGAAAAAAAAAATTGTTTATGAATTTCACATTTCACATTTTCCAGTCGAGAACCCAAATTCCTAATTGTTTTTTTTTTGTAAATATAGTACCACGCGCTCCACCGAAATAAACACGCAACGCAGACCGCGCCGCGCCACAACACACACAAAAAGGGAGGGAATTTGAATCGTCCCCTTGTGCTGTGGCGCGGCGCGGTCTGCGTTGCGTGTTTATTTCGGTGGAGCGCGTGGTGAGATTTTCGATAGAATATTCCTCAAAAATCTGTCTCATATCCAAAATACCCCCAAATCCCGTCTTATCCATCCTGACTAACACATTTTTCCACAGCCCATATATATTTTCAATTATCTAGATTGAAAAAAGATTACAGAATACTTAAAATCGAGAAAAAATAATATAAAGATAATCCAACTTAAAAATCTTACTGTAGATTTGTCAGATTATCCGATGGGAGGCACTCTGACTGATTGCTCAAAATATTTCTCCTCATTCTCGCGGAAAATCTAGCTAGCTAGCTATGCGCTGGTTTTCAAGAGTTCTTTTAGGATGTCTCCTACTGTATTCTGTCAATGGTGTGAAGGTTAAAGTTGGTCATATTGGAGCGATTGGTGCGATGAAAAATGGGGAAAAGATTCTGGAACTTTCTCGAAAACAACTTTTGGCCGAAGGTGTGATTGGAGATGATTTTGAGATTGAGTAAGATAATTTATTGATAAAACACAATCCTAATTATAGTTGGACATCGACTAAATGACATTTTCAGGTTTTTTAAGCCAAATGAGTTGATATATTGTGTTTTAATGTTATTCATATGATAGAATGGTCTAAGACGAACAAAATGATATAAATTTTGATGAGTTTACGTTATCCATAAGTGATTTAGCGAGGTTTAGTCGATAAGGTCGCTAAATCACTTATGGATAACGTAAAATCATCAAAATTTATATAATTCTGTTCGTCTTAGACCATTCTATCATATGAATAATATTAGAACCCAATTTTTCAAAGCTCTCGCTTAAAAAAAACCTGAAAATGTCATTTAGTCGATGTCCAACTACAATCCTAATATAATTTTTTCAAGAATTCTAAATCAAATGGGTTGCGGTGATGCATACGAAGGTGTTGCCGTTGGTGCCGACATGTATCATGTTCAAGGAGTTCGCGCTTTCATCGGCCCATATTGTAATGCTGAATTAGACGCGGTCGCAAAAATGGCAACCTTCTGGAATATCCCGATCGTCGGCTACATGGCCTCATCCAACACTTTTGCTGACAAAAACATCTACAAAACATTGGCCAGAGTTTCGTTGCGAACTACGAATTCATTGGCCGAAGCTGCTGCTGCACTTATCAAACATTATGGTTGGAATAAGGTTGCGATTGCGACGAATACGGGAGCCCTAGCTTTTGAGCGTGTCAATTCGTTTGAGGAGGTTTTTCATCTTCGTGGAATTACGATTGTTAAGAAAATTATGTTGGATGAGTATACGAATGCGAAATCTATCATGTCTAGCGGACTTCTACAAGATCTTTCGAATAGCGCAAGAAGTGAGTTGGTGGAAAGTGAAAAAAATAAAATTATTTCGTGCGGCTATGCGTCGCGATTGTCTCCCGAACGCGACGCATAGCCGCACGCGACTGACGAAACTGATTTGCCACATTTTTCAACTTCGACGATAGACAGCTATTTTTGATTGAGACCACCCACGAAGCCCCTGACCAAAACTTGAACTAAGCAAAAAATAGATTCAAATCTTCCGGTACGCAAAAGTGCGTCACAGTGTTTGCACACCAATCCTATCCTGATTTCCAGTCGTCGTCTGCGCCTTCCTCATCAACTCGTGAAATGACCAAAGAATTCATGCAAGCTGTCACCTTATCCGGAATGAACAATGCCGAATATGCCTGGATTCTTCCGTGGCTTCAAACTGAAACCAAAGATACGGCTCCGTGGCTCGGCGATGATGGAGAATATCAGCAGAATGTTAAAGATCATTTCGCAAATGCTTTTATCGTAAGTGACTAGATTCAAGAAGCGAACTATATCTTTTTAATATCAGATCGATGATGTAAATGGTTTTGACAACACTTTGGTCACACCGTTTCGCGAAAAATTGGAATCTAATGGATATACAACTGATGATTTGGAATTGGTAAGAAAAGCATCGTGAATTCTAGATGTTCTATGTATATTTTCACAGAAAAACATCTATGGTTATGTTCATCTTTACGATGCTCTTCGCCTTTATGCGTTAGCAGTTCGAGCAACAATGAATGAGACTGGAAATGAGAACGCGTATCTAGATGGAAAAGCGGTTTGGAACAACATGCGACGCATCACATTCCCAGGATTGGTCTCAAATGCTGGCGTCACTTCTGGAACTGTCATGATGGATGATATCGCTGAAAGAGCACCGGTTTATGCCGCATTTTATGTGCCACCCAACAGTGATACGGTGAGAAAAGTCAGTGAACTCGAGCCACGATTGTTGGATAATTGTGATGGCACAAAGACAAAGACTGGCTGTTATGAACTGCTAATTTCTGATCAATCAACTGGTTTTTGGCCGTCATTGGATGGAAGTTTGCCGAAAGATGAGCCGGCATGCGGTTATCGAAATGAGAGATGTGATTATACAGCTATTATAATTGGAGGATCTTTGATTATTCTTGTGATAATTGCAATAATCAGTGCATTCTTCATTTCAAGATTCTGCGAAAATCGAGCATTGGCCAAAACTTCTTGGCGTATTTATCGTGACGATTTTCGTGTTATTAATGAGGATGAGATGAAATCAATGGTAACTGTTACAAATTCAAAAAAAAAACAAATCTTAAAGGCGGTCAGACAGCTATTCCGGTTGACGGAGACCACCCACGAAGCCTCTGACTTTAACCGGGCTAAACTTGAATTGTGAAAATATGAAACTTCAAATCTTCCTGTGCAAAAGTGCGTCGCAGTGTTTGCACACACACAAATCCGCTGGACGTGGGGGGGGGGGCAATTTGAAATTTTGAAAACACAAGATTTTCTCAGCTCGTATTAACTTTCATGATTTCGGAATTTTTTCACTGGTCCGTTTCATAATAAACTATTTTTGACACTAAGCTTTGAGGAAAACCGGAATAATTGTCTAACCGCCTTTAACATTTATTTTTTAGCTGTCAATTGGCTCTAGCAAAACAAAAATGTCAAATATGAGCTCATTCGTCAAACATCACGCTGTTGTTGGAACAAACACTCACGCATCTTTCCATTTGTATCCACAAAGAAGACCGATTGTTTTTGGACGACAAGATCTTCAACTTCTCAGTCAAATGAAACAAGCTGTTCACGACAATCTCAATCCTTTCCTCGGAATGTCGTTCAATGAAAAAGAGGAGATGACTGTTCTTTGGAAGTTTTGTTCTCGCGGAACAGTTCAGGATATTATTTATAATAATGAAGTTGTTTTGGATTCGAAATTTCACGGTGCTTTTATTCGAGATATCACTTTGGGTCTCGAATATCTGCATTCCTCAATTATCGGTTATCACGGTTCACTCACCCCTTGGGCTTGTTTAATCGATCGAAATTGGATGGTTAAACTGACTGATTATGGAATTGCGAATCCGCTCGAAAGATGGGAGAAAATGGGATTGATCTCAACAGAAACACTCAAAGAGAATGATGATAAAAGTGGATCCGCGCAGAAGACAAGTATACTTTATCAACCACCGGAGATGTTGAAGAATCGAGAATCGAACAAGAATCGAAGAATGGATCAGTCCTGGGTGAAACAATCGCAAGCAAGAAGGCAAATGGGAGATATTTATGCGTTTGGAATGGTTATGCATGAAATTTTGTTTAGAGCTTTACCCTTCCCTAACGGAACAAATATGACAGGTTAGAACTTATTATCGAAAATCTCATCCACGCGCTCCACCGAAATAAACACGCAACGCAGACCGCGTCGCGTCACAACACACACAAATAGGGGAACGATTCAAATTCCCTCCCTTTTTTGTGTGTGTTGTGGCGCGACGCGGTATGCGTTGCGTGTTTATTTCGGTGGAGCGCGTGGTGAGATTTTCGATAATATAATTGAGATTCTGAAGGAAGATCTTTTTACAGAAGTGTTGGATTACATTCGTGATGGTTCGAAGACATTCCGCCCAACGATTCATGATCGAACACAAATTCATCCTGATCTTGTCGCTTTACTTCTCGATTGCTGGAATGAAAATCCAGAAGTCAGACCATCGATCAGACGTGTTCGCCTCAACACCGAAAACTATTTGAAAGTGTATGTCAAGTTTTCAGGTAGAAAAAAACCAACAAAAAAATTTTTTTTTATAGAAAAGGCTCACTTGTCGATCAAATGATGCGAATGATGGAACAATACGCAAATAATCTCGAAAAATTGGTCGCCGAGAGAACTGGAATGTTAGAAGAGGCTAATGTTCGAGCGGATAAACTGTTGAGTCAACTACTGCCTGCCTACGTGGCAAATGAGTTGAAGATGGGACGAAGTGTTCCGCCGAAAACCTTCACAATGGCTACGGTGATGTTCAGTGATATTGTGGGTTTCACGACGATTTGCTCATCTTCGACACCGTTGGAAGTTGTGAATATGTTGAACAATATTTATAGTAAATTTGATGATGCGATCAACAAGAACAAAGCTTATAAGGTTTGTGGAAATCTGGTAGACTCAATCGCGCGTTAATTTTGAATTAGGTGAAAAAAACGCTGAAAATTGCTTCAAAATTCAAGAGGTAGAAAATCTTCTAATTTTTAAAATTGGCCACCGTATTTATCTGGATTTTTAAGTTTAACATGAAAACCCCGAGAAAACCCCACAAAAAACAAAAAAAAAAGAAAAATTTTCGAAACGTGTCCTCCGGGAGAACTACACGCTCTTGTTCGCTGGAGCGACATTGCATTTTTACTTTCGTTTTTTTCGCAGTAGGATTGAAAATCTCAAATTTTGAGGAGAGAATGTCGAAGAAAAGAAAAAAAGGAAAAAAAAGCCAACAAAGCGCTAAACAAAGGGGCAAGTCATCATTTGCGGAGTATTGTTGCGCAGAATTTTTTAATTTTTTGTGAAAAACTAGTATTTTCCGTGGGGAAAGTGAAGTTTGTGAGATTTTCAGGGGTTCCCTCCAGATTTTTTCTTTTTTGGATATAACGTTAATGTTTACAGGTTGAAACAATTGGTGATGCTTACATGATTGTGTCGGGAATTCCCGAAGAAAATGGAAACGAGCACATCGCCAACATCTGCAACACCGCCCTAGATCTAATGGTCCTCCTCCAAAACCTACGAAATCCCCCATCGCCGCTCAGTCCGTCTTCGCATTCGCCTCGGAATCCACACCGGAACCGTCGCAGCCGGCGTCGTCGGCTTAACCGCACCCCGCTATTGTCTATTCGGCGACACTGTCAATGTCGCATCACGTATGGAATCGACAAGTGAACCCGAGAAAATCCAAATGTCCCAAGAGGCTCGCGATTTCTGCATTCGCTTCTATCCCGAATACAATATCACACTTCGCGGTGTCGTTGAGGCGAAAGGCAAAGGTCCCGTCACCACTTATTGGCTTCTTGGGAAACGCGAGCAAGGCGAGGTGGAAGCTCAAAACTTCTCGCAACTTGGAATTTAAAATTGTCACTTTGGTGTGAATGTCTTTATGAATAAAAATCATTAGTTACCGTATAATTTACACTGGACAGGGGGGCAGATGTGTTTCATGCATATCTAATTAACACCTCGCTGATCAATTAGCACCTTTAATTTCTATGCTTCAGGGAAGTGTTATTTGCCTATACTTAAGTGCGTGCTTATTAATACCTTTGGACCACCCATCGTGTTTTTTGTTTCAAAATTAATGTTACTTATCTTATCATAACACTCTCGCTTGCTGTCATAAAAATTCGTTTTTCTTCTTGCCGACCCACTTGCGCAAGCTTTTGCTCGCGCACCTGTTACTACAATTTTACGACCTCGAAAAGTGTTATTGTTTTCGTTTTGAATATTAATTACTTGATTAATTAATTAGAAATCTCACGTTAACCCTGAAAAGTTCTTTCCAAAACGGACAAAGACATGATTAATGTTGGCGCCCGTCAGATTTATATGTATTGTGACCCCTTTTTTAGGGAAACGATTTCAAATGTATGAGAATACACGGGTTTTCCTCTACTAATTGTTCTGTTTCTGTTATTGTCTCTCACTAATTGCCCAACAATTTGCCGCCTTTTTTGAAAGTGGACCGTTTTGTCACGTCCTTGAAAATTGAGTGGTTAGGGGATATATCAACAAAGCAAAGCAAGAATATAGTAGGCGGCGTCATTTTGTAGTAGAATTGGAAGAATATTTGAGAAATGAGGAGAAGTGAGAATTAATATTTAGAAAAAAAAAGAATTGGGTCACGTTTTGGAAATTGGGAATTTTTGAAATTTGTGAGCTAGAGAAGAGTTAACTGTAATGGGGTGTTTCAGGTCAAGAAAAAAAGGTTTTTTTAACAGAAATTTTCGATTCAGCAAATTTCAAAACCCTATTTCATACAAAAATGAGAAATATCTCGCAGCGCAAATTTTTCAATGAAAAAATGTTTAAAAAAATAGGAAAAAATATAGTTTTTTGACATTTCCTGAATTTTAAATTTTTGTTAATAAACATTTTTGTTAATAAAAATTTTTGTTAATAAAAATTTTTGTTAAGAAAATTTTTGTTAAAATATCTCGCAGCGAATGTGTTTCTATGAAAAAATTTTCAAAAAAAAATTGGAAAAATATAGTTTTTTGATATTTTTCTGAATCGAAAATTTTTGTTAATAAAAATTTTTGTTAAAAAAATGTTTGTTAAAAAATGTTTGTTAAAATATCTCGTAGCGAAAATTTTTCAATGAAATTTTTTTTTAATAGGAAAAAAAAATAGTTTTTTGACATTTCCTGAATTTTAAATTTTTGTTAAGAAACGTTTTTTTTTAAATTTGTTTTTGACTTGAATCTTTCAAACCTAGTTTTAACTGGAAAAATTGAAAAATTTTCAAGTCACGGGGCTCTTAAAAATATTTTCATTAAATTTAAATTTAATTTTTTTTAAATCATAAGTTTATTTTGAATATATGCCTTCGGAATATTTAAGAATTGTTTTAATCAATTTTTTCCTTTGTTAACCCCATTGCTCATTTTAAACCCAACTAGGTAACTTTCAAGTTCTTCTAATAATGGGCCTATAGGCCTTATAAGGCCCTAAGATGCGTTGTAGGCCTAACAATCTTGATTTACGTCATGTTTTCAGGAATTTTGCAATTAAAATGATTTCCCTGAAGTTCCGTGATAGAGATTTTACCCCAAACCAAACTTTTTTTTCAAAAAAACCTCTATCCCTGTTTCGTCCTTCACCCCATCAAACGGAAACATCCAATCAAGCCAAAGTTGAGTTTGTTTTTTTCAATCCTTACGCAATATTTGACAAGTTACATTGATGAATTACGTAACAAATCAGTCACTTACTTACTGTATATTCCTTCTACTTTTGGGGGCTCTCATAAACAAATAAAATGTGCTTTCAATTATCTATCTAGCTATCAAATTTCAGCCGCGACCTTAAAAAATGAAGAGGTATTAATAACATCAATAAACAAAAACATTATCCTATTAATAATATTTTTTAAAGAGAAATCCCCTCTTTCCTGTGTTATTTTAAACATCAAAGAATTGTGGCCGAAAGTTTACACAGGTGGTAATAAAAGGTGTGTTATGTGATGTGTTTTACGTTAATCCTTCCTCTCCACCCAAAACTTTTTTTTATCCACCAAATCACCACCACCACCTGTTTTTTTATCCGGATACACATCATTTTCATACTTTTTTTTTGCACCTGCTTCTTGATCGACGTTAAGTGCTTTTTGATCCGCTTAATTTTGTCATGGTTTTTTTGGATTCGAGTTAATTAGTTTATTTGAATTTTTGGGAGGCTCCAGAATCTTGTAAATATCGATTTTTTGAGAAAGAAGATTCTGAATCGGACCAGTTTTTGGTTGGAAAATGGGTTCAGCTAAAAAATTGAAAAGTCCCAGGCTTTATTATCGAAAATCTCATCGGTACCACGCGCTCCACCGAAATAAACACGCAACGCAGACCGCGTCGCGCCACAACACATGCAAAAAAGGGAGGGAATTTGAATCGTTCCCTTGTGTTGAAGCGCGACGCGGTCTGCGTTGCGTGTTTATTTCGGTGGAGCGCATAGATACCGATGAGATTTTCGATAATAATAATGCAAATATAGTTTTTTATATTGGACTACTGTGAAAATGTTTGTTGTGTGTAATTGTGCGTCGCGGTGTCTGTGTGTACGGTTCCCCGCGCTTTTCAAACCGTTTGAATTTATTTATTTATTTTTTGCGAGTTTTTCTGGGAAATGAAAGTTATGAGGTGGTTCAAGTTGAAAAAAATAATAAAAAAAACTTTTTTTTGACCAAAAATTATATATTTTCCTATTTTGTTCCCCACAAAAATGTCAAAAAAATAGAAAAAATATAGTTTTTTTAATAAAATTTTTTAAATTTAATTTTTTTTCGACTTGCATTTCTCAATTTATTTTTGAAAGTACGAAATACCTTGGCTATTTTACCACCTAATCGGGATTTTATAAAAAAAGGTAGACAAACTTGTACCCCCCCCACAAAATTTTTGGACAAAAACACCCCCCCCCTGCAGCCTTCACCCTTCACCCAACCCATTTTTCAAACCAAAACTGATGCCAACACATTCTTTTTCCGACTATATATGATTCATCACCAAAGTCATCACCTTCTTGTCTTTCCTTTGAAACCAAGTCGGCGGCGGGTAATATATATATATAAGAGTATTTGCCAATTCGTCACTCACTTACATGTAATAATTATTATCAGAAGCCGCCAGGTTTTCGTGTCGTGAGAAAATATTTGAATTGCTTGGTTGCTGTTTTTTATAACACTTTCCTTTCCTTTCTATAGAGCAGCAGCAAAAAAGAAGTTACTTAACACCGCTTTTTGATTCCTATTCATCAGAAGCAATGACCGCGAAAAAAACGAGGGGCTCTCTCTCGCTAATTAGTGTGCATTTCGGATTATGTATACTTTTATATAGTGTTTTGTCTGGGGCAGGATATTCGATAGCTCACACAGGTGGCTTGCATATGCCAATATAAGAGAGATCAGTGACAAAATCGGGGAATTTCACTCAAACATTGAAAAAGCGCCTCGTTTCATATATCAAACATTTGCCCTGGGGGAAAAAGAAGAGCGGATAGCCGAGTGGTTAGCGCGCGCGCCTTTGAATCTGAGGTATTTTGGTTCGATCCCCCTCGCTGGCGAACTTTTTTTTTCTTTTTTTTTCCTTTTTTTTATGTCCAAGGCTCGAAAATGAGCCGCTCAAAGACACTTCCGACAAGATAATCTAAAATTATATGTTGATTTTTATCATCCTAACAATTAACTAAGAAATGCACCTGACTTTCTCAAACACTTCCTTTTACATCTGTCAAATTATTAGATAACAATCAATATTTTCTTTCCCCTACTGTATATATATTATCGGCAAAAAGCTTTGGATATAAATTAATGAATGAATTAATTAGTTTGGAGGGCGAAATATATGTCACAAATCCAATCCGATTCTTGCTTGTTTGTTTATGTCGAAATTGTGGTGACAGGTGTTTTGAAGAGAGAAGTTTGGTGGCTTTTTTGAAATTGGGGGAGGAAGATTGATGGGGATTTACGTATAAAAAAGGTGGACAAGGTGTTTTTGAGGCTGAAAATTCTGAAATTTGGAATTTTTTTGAGTTTTGAATGATTGAGAGCACAGAAAATTGTGAGTTTTTAGGATTTCAACTCGAAAAATTCCCAGTCTGAAAATTTGAAACTTTTTTAAAAATTTTTGACCAAAGACAAATTTTGGAAATCTTTTTAGATTTTTAAACCGAATCTGGAACTTTTTGCAGAAAAATCAAATTTCAGATCGTAACTTCTATAAACTGAAAAAATTCCATTCTGAGAATTTGAAACTTTTTTTTTTTTTTTGAAAAATTCAAGTCAGAAATTTATTCTATTTATTTCTAGGATGAAAAAAATTAAAAATCCTTTTTGATTTTTCAACCAAACCTAGAACCTTTTGAAGAAAAATCAGATTGAGATTAGCTATCTTGAATTGTAGTTTTTCCAGAGTTTTTCAGAAAAATTTCTGGAAAATTCGAACTGAAAAAAGCTGTTTTTATAGAAAACCAAATTTGAGATTAGCTAACTTAAAGTGCTTTTAGAGTTTATCAGGAATAGTTCTTGTATTTCTGGAAAATTCGATCTTTCCTATTCTTTTTGTAAAAAGTTAAAATTTCAGATCGAAAAATCCTCTAAAAATTTTTAGTTTAGCTAACTTGAATTACAGATTTTCAGAAAAATTTCTGGCATCTCAAAAATTTCTGAACCTTTTCAAAACCACATTTCAAATGTTTCCCGACCTCCCCCATTTTCGAAAATGTGTCAAATCAAAACCAGCAGATAACAATCTCCAGATCCCCCAACACCGACTATTTTATTTATGTTAATTTATTATTTCTCACTCGCTCCTCTAAATTTTCATTTTCATTTTCCCCAAACAAATTAGGCCAACTGATCTCATTCAAATTCATGCCAAAAGCACAAGGCTCCAAAGATCAACCCAAAAAAAAACTTTCCCAAAATTTTATAGTACCTTCACACCTTGGCTGTTCTATCCATGCGCTGTCCATCCATAGCTCCGCCCCTTTTCTCACAAGCTCCGCCCACTTTTTTTTGACTACTCGGTGACATCTGTTTATTTTATTTTTATGTATGGCTTTTCTCTTGTCTGGGTGATTTTTCAAAAAAAAAATTTTGCATAACTTTTTCAATTTTTCTTAACCGTTCAATATTCAAATATTATTTTTTAATAAAAAAATTTTTATTTAAATTTTCATACTTTTTTTTTCAGCTCGAAAAATGTCCGACTCAAAATGTTCCAGTCGCCAATCACACTCGGACTACTGTAGTGTCGCCTCATATTCCTCAGATGAAGAATCTACCTCAGGTTCAGGCCTGAGCTCACCAAATCGTACCGTACTTTCCAGCCGGTGTCTGCCCAAATTGTCATCGGATTTATGAGCAGGTTAGTTTGGGTGTTAATTAATTATATATTACAGTACTTCTTGGGACTAATTGAATTGAAATACAATAAAAAGTGGTTGTTGGGAATATATTGTGCAATATTTTTTGTTGCGTAAAAAAATGTTTTGGGAGCAAATTAATTAATTAATTGCATTTATATTTAGAAATAGGCTTGCATGAAAAAAATTTTAAAAAAAAGTTGAGCGCCGGGTGGGGGTCGAACCCTGGCCGCGCGATTGTCAGGCACGCGTGCAGACCACTCGGCCACGCGGCCCTTTTTCGCTACGGTTGAAAATTTCATATTTAAAAAGGGCGCGGGGCGAATTTTTTCAAATGTTAGAAGCTAGACCTGTTTTTCTCTAATTCTCTTCTCTCTCGCTGATAGCTTCAAAACTTCACTCTAGTTTTCAAACCTAATCCAGATTTTTATCAATTTTTTTTCAAATTCTACTAAAAGTGGCTCATTTCCCCCTCTCTATTGTTCTATGGGAGTTCAAGTGGAAAAGCAAAATTAATCCGTATTCATTCATTCATAAAACCATAAGTACTTATTGTTATTAGCCAGGGTGGAAAACTGGTTTTTGGTGCCCCCCTAATAAAAAACCCCTTTTTCCAGCCAGTATCTCTCCAATGTGGCCACTCACTTTGTCTAACTTGCTGTCAAAAAACTTCTCAACGATCAATGCAAATCCTCTAGAAATCTTCTTCAAAGATCCACGCCCAGAATGGGAATCAGCTCGATTTCTCGTGTCAATTCATGCCAGGGGGCCCGGTAATCTATCGGACCCCAAAGTGTTTGGTGTGTGGAGCAGCGGCCAATCAGGCGGCTCCAATTCCAAATTTGGAATTGGACAATTTTTTGAGAAATATTAAAAGTTTCCGGTGGAATGGTTTGGATCAAACGATTTCAACAACAAAACGACGATGGGAAGATGAAGGATTCTCGATTCACGAGTGTAAAATCGCAGTGATCGGAGCAAAGGGAGTGGGAAAAACCTGTTTCGCTCGTGTCCAATATAGTAATGAGATAATGTTTCCCGATATGCTTAATGAAATGGATGATTCGGATAGTTATGTGATTGATATTGTTGATAATATGGAGATGAAGAAGAGTTTTTCGGCTGCGCATGGGATTATTATTATGTATTCAATTGCTGATCGACAAAGTTTTTATGAAGCTGCTGAGGTTTATAAACAATTGGAGCAAGGCAGAGAGCATAATGTGAGTTAAAAAAAAAAAAAAAAGTTCGCCACGGAGCGGGGCCTCGAACCCAAGAGCTAAAATTGAAAGGCGAGCGCGCGAACCACTCGGCCAAATGTTTGACACATTTTCAATGGTGAAAAACCCAATTAAAATTTTTTTTTTTTAATTTTCGATTCAGAAAATGTCAAAAACAGGAAAAAAATAAAGTTTTTTGACATTTGTTGAATCGAAATTAAAAAAAAAAAAAAATTTTTTTTTTAAATTTTTAATTCAGAAAATAGGAAAAAAATGTAGTTTTTTGACATTTGCTCAATCGAAATTTTTCCAAAAAAATTTAAAAAAATGTTTTTTTTTAAATTTTCAATTCAAAAAATAGCAAAAAATATAGTTTTTTGACATTTGCTGGATCGAAATTTAAAAAAAAATTAAAAAAAGTCGAAAATTTAAAAAAAAAATTTTCGATTCAGAAAATGTCAAAAAATAGGAAAAAATATAGTTTTTTTAACATTTGCTGGATTGAAATTTTTTCAAAAAAAAAAATTTTTTTTATCGACCTGAGTCAATAATTGTATTATCGAAAATCTCATCGGTACCACGCGCTCCACCGAAATAAACACGCAACGCAGACCGCGTCGCGCCACAACACAAGGGAACGATTCGAATTCCCCACTTTTGTGTGTGTGTTGTGGCGCGGCGCGGTCTGCCGTTGCGTGTTTAATTTCGGTGGAGCGTTTAATTCACAGCTCAAAAATCAATCGATAAATATTTTTCAGCAACCAATCGTTCTCGTTGGCTCAAAAAAGGATAAAAACCGTCGTCGTCAAGTGACACCATTCGAAGGCCAACAACTTGCACGAACTCTCGGCTGCCCATTTTTCGAAGTCTCCTCAAAAAAACAACGATTGTGTACACGAGACATTTGCCGAACTCGTTTCACTCATTCAACGACAACAATCTTCATTCAAATTAGCTGTGCAAGAATCGTTACATTAATTAATTTTAATTAATTAAAATTGCTCTATTTATAGTTTTTCTTTAGTCGAATAAAAAGATGTCAGCAATTTTTGAAAGTGTTCCAGGTGCACGGGTTTGGTGAGAAATTTTTTGCGAATAATTCGTTGGCAGGCGGCAGGTATCAAAAAGTGATTGTCATCTGAGTCGATTGCAATCAAAAGATGACCGATGCGATTTATTATGTAATACCAGCGGATTGGTAGAATTTGGGGATTTGTATGGCCATAGCATTCGGCACAGTAATCTTGAAAATACACAAAAAGTGAGCTATTTTTTGGATAACAAAACTCAGAGCTCACCAAACGGTAAATTCCGATAATTCCTCCTGATTCCCATCGGAAGCAGCGCATGTTCATCAGCCAACAATCTCCTCAAATCAATTTCATTCAACCCATTTTGCTGAATCGTTAAAAAACACAAAACCGCAATCAGGAGATGTCCTCGACTATCACTTTCCATAAGGCAAACATCCGCTTCAACAACACTGGAAAAATGAGATCTTTTAATTAAGGAAAAGCTTTTTCACGTGAGAGAGAACGAGAGAGTAAAAATTAGCATGTGTGTGCAGAAGAGACACCAGACGAAAAAGGGATATGGACCAGACCCGGGTAATTTTGACGTGGCACCGATATTTTACGCTTCTGAAAGCCGTAAACGTAAATTCCCAGGTCTGGTTGGTAACTTATCGTAACTCCAACATAATTTTGACCAAAATTTTATTCATGCAGTGATTCACGAAATAAAAAAAAACGTTTTTTTCACGTGAGAGAAAATGAGAGAGTGAAAATTAGCGTGTGTGTGCAGAAGAGACGCGAGACGAAAAAGGGATATGGGACAGACCTGGGTAATTTTGACGTGGAACCGATATTTTACGTTTCTGAAAGTCGTAAACGTAAATTCCCAGGTCTGGTTGGTAACTTATCGTAACTCCAAAAATAATTTTAACCATATTATTCTTCATATCCATAAAAAAATGAGGATTTAATCGAAATTTTATCCATGCAGTGATTCACGAAATAAAAAAAAACGTTTTTAACGTTAAATAACGTTTAAAAAATACGTGAATCACTGTATTATTTTTAAAAAATTCTGTCAAAATTCACTAAATTTTGGGATTTTTTTCAAATTATTTTTTTAAGTCGTAAAACCGTAAAATAAATTTCACGGTAAAAACTCCCAAATCTGTTTATAACCAAGTTTAATCATTGATCACAAAATCGAACAAAATCGCCAAACAAACAAATAGTTTTTCCCCTGATTGATATCGTCACTTGATCTTGTTTGACCTTCTCCCACACCCAAAAATATGTCGTCACAACATGAGAAAAAATGATATATAAATGGGAATCCCCCCACAATCACAATCAGAATTGAAATCAAAATGTCATCTTCTTCTTCAATCAAATTCTTCGCTCTTCTGGCTATTTTTGGTGTTGTGGCCGCTCAATTCGGTATGAATACTGGACTTGGTTTGGGTGCCGGTCCGATAAATGCCGGTGTTCAAGGTGGGGCCTATGGTGGACGATATGGGCAACAAGGATACGGTGGACAAAGATACGGTGGACAGGGCTACGGGCAACAAGGTTACGGTCAACAACAAGCCTACGGTGGTGCACAGTACGGTGGACAAGGATACGGTGGTGGTCGAGGTGTTTATGGAAACGGAAATGTTGGCCTAGGAGTTCGCCCAGGTGGTTTAGTCGGAGGAATTCTTGGATAACTGTTTTTACCCTATCTCAAAATCATGTATATATTACCTTAAAGTCTTATAATAAATCAATTGTCCACATTTTTGTTCCGAACTCCCGAACTTCCCCATAGTTCCAATGATCCTTATCTTCAGATCATTCCAATTTGGTTCATTCGAACCCTCTTCGATACTTCCCAAACTTTTTCGTCGGCGCTCTCTTGCGAATCGCAGAATATTTGTTGCCTTCGATTCGGAACTTGTGAACTTCGAGAGCAATTCTTGAATATTTTCGGGTTCTTGAGAGGGGATTTCGATGAATTGCGGATTTGACAAGCTGATTTTCTTTTTTCGACTTGTTCCAATTATCGTCAAATGGGTATAACTTGAAAGATCAGTGGAAAGCTGGAAATTTTGAATTTATTTATTTTTTTTTGAAAAAAAAACGTGAAACCTTACATTATGAATATCATCAATGAGAATTAGGTGTCGAATTTTGGGCTCATCAATTTCCTGTATAAACTGAACAAATTCATTGTTTTGATTTCGCTAGAGCGCGTTTGCAGCTCTGTTTGTGTACTTCTCTCGGACGATTTTTAATTTTCTGTGTGTTTTTAATAAAGAAAATGAGAAAAACACAGAAAAAAAAAACAAAAAACCGTCGAGAGAAGTACACAAACAGCGCTGCAAACGCGCTCTAGCGAAATGACGAGAAAAGTTTTTCACTCATTTCGCTAGAGCTACGTTTGCAGCGCTGTTTGTGTACTTCTCTCGGACGATTTTTAATTTTTTTGTGTGTTTTTAATCAAGAAAGTGAGAAAAACACAGAAAAATAAATAATCGTCCGAGAGAAGTACAAAAACAGCGCTGCAAACGCGCTCTAGCGAAATGGCGAGAAAAGTTTTTCACTCATTTCGCTAGAGCACGTTTGCAGCTCTGTTTGTGTACTTCTCTCGGACGATTTTTAATTTTTTGTGTGTTTTTAATCAAGAAAGTGAGAAAAACACAGAAAACAAATAATCACCCGAGAGAAGTACACAAACAGCGATGCAAACGCGCTCTAGCGAAATCAGTGAAAAACTTTTCTCGCCATTTCGCTAGAGCGCGTTTGCAGCGCTGTTTGTGTACTTCTCTCGGACAATTTTTCTGTGTTTTTTGTATAAAGAAAGTGAAAAACACACAGAAACAAAAATAAAAAATCGTCCGAGAGAAGTACACAAACAGCGCTGCAAACGCGCTCTAGCGAAATGAGTTTTTCCCCCGACACAGGCTGTTAACTAACCATTCCCAATTTCCTCTCAAGTTCCTGTCGAATATTCATCCCTTCTTCAGCTTTTATAAAAACCGCGGAGCCATGTTCCTTTAAAATTTTGTAGAGAATTGTGGTTTTTCCAGTTGAATAATCGCCAAAAATCACAGTATTTCGATGATTTTTAATATTCGAATTTATTTTTTGAAGAATATTTGAGATGCGTTTCGAAGATGAATTTTGATAAAAATCGCGAATTTTCTGATTCACTGTCAGAGTTTTGATATCTTCCGAATATGGAAATTTTTTCGATGAATGAATCAATCAAAGATCTCAAAGGATCTGTGGCTTTCGATAAATCATCAAATAAAATTTGCTTGAAATGTGTGTTATTGATTCCAGAAGTCTTGACAGAATATTCCAATAAGCTTGCGGGCTTCTGAATTTATTTTTTTTAATAAAAAATACAAATTTTTGATAAAAAATCCTCCACATACCACATGTTTTTTGACAGATTGTGCAAAATGCTGTGCACGTTCTCTTCCTTTTTGCGGATCGACAAAATTCGTGACATTGAATGGAAGTTCGTAGAGGAAATCAGGATTTCGATGTAGAAATAATGCTGGAAAAATGCAGATGTACACATGTGGTGTAGCTGGGTAAAGCTTTGCTTAGTGAGTCAGAGACCAGGGTTCGAACCCGGCTGGGTCAGAATTTTTTGCTGAGCAAGATCCTGCTCTCAAAAAAATCCCCAACTCACAATTATTGGAATCAACAGCATTTAATTGTAAAAATGTTTCGGAAAAAGTTTGGCCATATTTAATTTCATTTTGCTGAAGAAAACTTTCATCGGAAAACGTTGAATCGATGACGAAACCAGCGCATTCTCTGGAAAAAATTTTTTTCAAAAAAAAAAAAAAAATTTTTTTTGTTTTTTGCTAGAACAAAGAAAAGGTTACCAAACTAAACGTAAAGAAAACCGGTTCAATTTAAAAAAAAGGTGGACGACGACAAAAAACCGGAAAAAACCACAAACCCTAGGAAATGGCAATAGATTGCGATTTTATTGTCATCACAGCAGCATTTTGCTATCAGGTAGATGTTGGCTATTTCGTCTATATAGTTTTTCGAACCCTGAAATAATTTTTGGTTTGTTGGGATTTGGGTGCGATTGAGTTAGGATAGGTTTGTTTAGGTCAGACCTGGGAAATTTTAGGTCAGACCTGGGAAATTTTAGGTCAGATCTGGGAAATTTTAGGTCAGACCTGGGAAATTTTATGTCACACTTGGGAAATTTTAGGTCAGACCTGGGAAAATTTCATGTGGGGCCTTAAAATGGGGCCTTAAAGTGGTCTAGGAAACCGTAAAAATCGTAAGATTCGTAAAATTTTGTTAAGTACTCAACTTTTTCACTGAAAACATTAAAAAAAAAATTTTTTTTAATTAAAAAGTTGGTAACTTACCGTAACTCCAACATAATTTTAACAATATTATTCCATAAAAAAATTAATTAATAGGATTTAATCAATATATTTGTTTAAAAATTGTTGTGTTTTTAAAAAAATGTACTATTTTTAACGAATTATTTTACGATTTTTTGAGCCGTAAAACCGTAAAAAGTAAAAATTTCTTTAAAAATTAAAAATTTTAACAATATTATTTTCCATAAAAAATTAATTAACAGGATTCAATCAATATATTTGTTTAAAAAAAATGTGTTTTTTGTTGAGTTTAAATTTGATTCTGTCAAAATTCACTAAATTTAGTGGTTTTTACGATTTTTTGAGCCTTAAAACAGTAAAAAGTGAAAATTCCCAGGTCTGGTAGTTTTTTCTTAAAATTCTGAGCTAAATTTTGACTTCGGATTTTTAGTCCCAAAAATTTTCACAAAAATATATCAATTTCGAAATTTTGAATCACTTTTTCACCAAATTTTCCAAACTCACATAAGCCAAATCTTCAACTTGTAAAAAAATCAATTTTTCCGCAGCCACCGGTTGAATTTGCCTCTCAATCATCGACAAAACCGCACTTCTCTCATTTTTTAAAATCTTTATAAGTGGAAACCACCAAAATTCGAACAATTTTCCAACCTTTTCTGAAATTTTCGCAATTTTCTTTTTGATTCTGACAGCTTCCTTCTTACCTTTGTGAATTATTCTGTCTCACCACCTGATTCCGATGTTTCCGCTGATTCCAAAATTCCTCATAATTGGGTGGTGTCTCAAAATTGCCATCAGAAGAAATCTGACATCCCATAAGTTTTCAAGAGTTTCTAAAATATAAACATTATATTTTGTTTATTTTTCCCATTTGATCAAGAAGAAGAAGTCTTCAAGTTCCCAGCGACACAAAAACGGGAAATAAAATGATAATAGCTTATCATCTGATCGAGTTTTTCTCGTTTTTTGGTTGCGCAAAAGGCGGGCTAACTAGCCACTCGCCCGTTTTCATTTCAAGCTTCTTCTTCTTCTTTTCGTTTTCCCGCCCGACAAGTGTTTCATTTATTATTAGCCCTTTGACCATATGAAAATAACAATAAAACAAGAAATAAATCTTTGAAATCTATATATCTCATGTAGAAATAGAAAAAATTCCGGTTCAAAAAACGAAGAAACGAAAAAAAATGGAAAACGCTTGTCTCCTAGCCTTTTCCCCTTAGCTACTTTTGTTAGTCTCATTAATTTTTAACTTGCCGTGTTCTTTTCAAAAACCAAACTCTTCTTTTCAGAGGATGCTGCGGCTTCTCCTATTTACAACAACCTCACTGGTGGTTACAGGTGGGCGGGGGTTTTTTCGCTGAAAATTTTGAGAATTTTTTGGGGAAAAACTGAAATTTTCTGAAAAAATTAAAAAAAAATTTAAAAAAAAAAAAATTAAAAAATTTTTTTTGCGTGGCCGAACTTTTGAAATTTCTAGGCCACAATCACGAAACACTGATTTTTGAATCAAAAACGTACACGACCATTTTTACTCCAATAGAAAATTGTCCCTCGTGTCAGACGAGAGACGACGAGAGTCTAATGACGTCATCAAAGACATCGCTTCAAGATATTTTTGAAAAAAGTGTGTGTGCCTTTGAAAAATACTCTCGCCGTCTGGCGTCTGACTCAAAGGGCCGTGCCTATACTCACAATAATCATCTACCAATCGTTTTTCAGCCTACGCTGGTTGCGAAGACGCGGATCCAAAATGCAGTGAATGGGCAACAGCCGGCGAATGTTCCTCAAACGCAGTTTGGATGATGGCAAACTGCCGTAAATCCTGCCATTCATGCCAGGGCGGCGATACCGCCTGGAAACTGCGAACCCACATTCAATCCACGTACAAAAATGTGACGGACAATATCACTCGTCAAGTTCGCGTTGAAAGTGTTCCGAATCAACAATGTTGAGATCGATGAGCGCCGGCAAAATGTAAAAGTTTTCGGGAGATTCGTTTTGAGTTGGAACGACACAATGGTTTCGTGGGATAAAGGACAATGGGGTTTGAGTTGGCTGAATTTTTATTGGATTCAAATTTGGACACCAAATATTGTCCAAATCAATGGGGGATCCACTTCAAATCCAGGACAAGTTACAAGCAAAGTCTTGGCGGCTAATTACACCGGTCAAATCTATCTATGGTCAGATTTCTCTTTCACAACACCATTCAGATTCCAATACGAAGACTATCCAAATGATGTTCAACGAGTTTGTTATAAATTTGATGACAAACGTCTTTTGGCAGTACATTTTACGGTTGCTGATGGAGTTAAGAATAAGGAAAGAGAAGCAACCACAGATCCTTTCGTTTCTGGATGGAAAATTGATGATGTTGATGTTATTGTAAGTAGTTTTCCCTGAATTTTGAAAAAAATTTCAAAATCCAGGCGATTAGTCATAAAGATCAAAAGGAGAAAAATGGAGTGGCAAGTTTCCCAAAGCTTTTTTAGCGTAGCAACTAATTTAGCTTACTTAGCTTGGCTTTAATTTTAATTATAGATAATCACCCAAAAAATAAACTTTCCAGGAATCCCCATACACCGTCGAACAACTCTCCGATCCTCGCCGTAATCCATTCGATGTTCAAGCCGACAATTGTGAACTCTGCATTTCGCTTCGTCGGAACGCCGTGTATTTCACATCGGAGATGTTGCTTCCTGCGCTGATCACGTCACTTTTCACATTGGCTGCTGTGTTCTTCCAACTTTCGAAAACCCAGCCGATTCTTTTGGGATTCTCGGTTGTTGCGCAGATTTTGTCATTGATTTTGGTATCGCAGCGATTGCCATCGTTCACAGCGCACACTCCAACTATTCGTGAGTTTTTTTTTTGGGGGGGGGGGGTTTGAAGCGTCTGCCGAACTGCCAGGGTTCGGCCGGCAGGTAACTTTGGCTGGCCTGACCTGGGCGTGTACCCGGCATTTTTAAAAATCAAAAAAAATCCTACGACGGCCAGGTCGCGTGTACATGCCTAGGCCATGCCAGCCAAAACTGCCCGCCGCAAGCATGCCTGATTTTCTCTGTGTGAGGTCGAACCCTGGCTTTGCAAAAATGCAGGCAGGCCTGTAGTGGAGCGGTTAACTAACTTTAGGTGCATTTTTTAAGGTAGGGGTTTAACTTTTAAAAATATTGAGGTTTTTCAGGCTTTTATGGGTAAAAAATCAGCAAAACTTAAGTTAGGTTAGGGGGGGGTTGCTTTTCGAAAATTTTACCTGGAAGGGGGTTAACTCAGGGGTCCTCGGAGCCCCAACCAAATTTCATTTTCCAGTCAAATTCGCCGGTTTCAACATGACATGGACGGCAATTTTATTCGTCGTATCCCTCGTTCTCGAACGTATGGCCACTTCAAGTGTCGATATTCCACCGCCACACGCAGTTTCGCAATTTGCCGGTGTCGTCAATGCGGTTCTTCCTATTCCAAAGGTATACTAATGATTGAAATGGGCATAGGGGGCCACCAGGGCCTGACATAAGGCCCACCAGGGGTGGGAAACCTGGCCTCGTGTTGGCTTTGGTGGTGACTAACCTGGCTAACTGTCATGACATTTTCCCCACCCATAAGGCCCATAATCCGGGCCCCATATCTCAATATTGTATTTCTTACAGAACTCCAAACACGAGGACAACAGTCTGCAATATGCCGCTTTTGCACACGCACTTAATCATGTCATTTTCGCATTATCAGCGATTCTATACTTCATTGTTATTTTGTTCTCATTTGTCTTTTAGATTTGTTTAGTTTTTTATTCATAATAATTTTTGTACATTGATAAATTTTTTCACTCTCTCTTATCAGCATTTTTTTTACATAAAAAAATTTGTTGCGATATGGGTGAGTCAATTTCTCCAAATGATTTAATTTTTGGTGGAGACTATTGTGAAAGTGACAAGGATAAAGAATGCCTTGAGAAAGTTATCGCAACTATTAGCGCCAATGAGGAAAAGGTGAGTTATTAGATAAATCTAAACTGTATTTATCACAATAAAATAAATATTTTTCCTAGTTCAAAGTATTCCACAAAAGCGATTATGAAATTTACGAGATTATTTGTTTCAATATGTCACAAGTGTACAATGATAGTATTCTGGAGTTATATCGAAAAGATCCATTCGCATTTGCTCTGCTGATTTCAACATTTTTCGGACAGCAAACATGTTTGGGAACAGATCAGTGAGTGTGAGATCAGAAAATATTCTAGATGATTGTGAAAAAATTTTCAGAATGGCTTTCACATACGTCAAATTTCCACTGCATACCTCACTTCTTCTATGTTATGCGGCTCGAGAAATGGAAAAACGGTTTTTGGAAAAGATGAAGCTAGGAAGGAAAGATATGATCGACTAGGAGAGTGAGTTAGAAAAATTTTTTAAAAATTTTCAAGCTGAAAATTTTTTCTTTTGGAAAGATTCCATACGGAAGTTAACCTAAATTTCAAGCACAGTGTGTAAATCTCAAATCGCTAGGCTTCAAACTTTTTCTCAGGTATTGTCGAAGTTGAAAAGTAAAAAATAAACATTAGACGCGTGCGGCTGTGCGTCGCGTTCGAGAAACCGTTTCACGACCGCGACGCATAGCCGCACGTGACTAACTAAGTGAAGTTTTGTCTTTTAGTCATTGGGAAAGAACAGCACTTCGAATATTGGACGAACTCTACGAATACAATCCAGAATACGCGACAATCGCCCTAAAAATCGATTATCGCGAAAAACTTCGAGAAAACAATCACAAAATGAGTGTGACCAGTGAAGTGATATCTCAAAAACGTATCAGATGGTATCAAAATTGTGTCAGATGGTATTCCGATTATCTGGATTGTAAATACAATCAAAGTCGCGAGCTGATGTCAATCGCATATTTCGCAAATGCCTCGCAATTTTTATCGCATTACACATGCCGTGATATTGTCAATAATCGCGCGAATTCTAGGAAATTGTGGTTGAAATGGCTGTTCAACTTGATATTCCGACTATTGTATGTAGTATTATTCGCAATTATTTTAATCTTTGGGAACCCGTGGCATGATACAAAATCTGAATCTGAATCAAAAATCTCTAAAAACACATTGATGGGTTTTTGGGTTTATATCATGCTATTTCTATTGGCTCAAACTTTGGTATCATTTTTGAAACTTGTGGATAAGGTAATTGTAAGGTAAAACCACAAATATCCTAAATTATTTTTTAGATTAATGTGTATCAATTGAATTACAATAGTAAAACAACATTCGAAAAATTTCTACCCAAAAAAAGACATTTAAAATTTGTAAGTTGAAAATCTTCCGATCTTAAAAATTGTTTTTGATTTTTTTAGGCGAGACGATATTTAGAGCAGAACACATTGTCAATGTTCCGAATGATGCTATTTGCTATATTATTCATTTTTGAAGCTATTCGTTTAATGTTAAAAGTTATTCCAAGAAAAAGTGAAGGATATGAGTGAGTTAAATTATTTCCAAAGATAAATGTACCATAAAAACTACCAGCGGAGAAATCGGATCCTTCGGAATATCAGACATATTTCTTCCACTTGTATCCGATTTTCTATATTGCATTATTTTCGCGATTTCCGCCGTAACAACACTCCGATATTTTCAAACAACATCAATCGGATTATTCATACGTGTTTTAAAAAAGATGGTAATTTAAGAGAGGCACAACAAATTCCAACAATATATTTTCAGTTGAAAACCGTTGGAATGTTTGCGATTATATTTCTATTTTTCTGGCTGATCTTGGCTATTATAGTTACAAGATTGACGAATAAAATGAGCAATTCAACAAATTCGTGGTTTTATGATTTACAATCAACTGGCAAATTTGAAATTTTTTGGGGAAATTGATGATGAAGAGAAAACAGGTGAGTAGAAATAAAGGTACCAGACCAGGCCTGTGCCGGAAACTTTCCGAATTTTCCGGTTTTTTCCCGGAAAAATCAATTTTCCGATTTTCCCACGGAAAATGTGCTCGGAATATCCGGAAAATGATCTTTAGTAGTAATATTTACACATTTTCCTAAATATTGAGAAATTTTTTCAGTTTATGATAGAAAAAATGAAATTTTTGGAATTTTTTTTTCAATTTTTCAAATTTTACTATTTTTTGAACGTTAAACGTCTCAAATAGTTACTAAATTACCTGTGAATAGAAGAATTGTAGATAAAAATTGTTGTAGTGCCAACTTAAGGCTGAAAGTCGAAATTTCAGACTTTGAAAAATTTTCCGAATTTTCCGGTTCAAAAAATCCGGAAATTTTCCGATTTTCCGTTTTCCGGGTTTTGATTTTCCGGCACAGGCCTGTACCAGACGAAAACCAGACGTGGGGAAATTGTCCTGGCCAAAAAAGCTGTCCGGTCCTTGTAACCTGGCCTAAACCTGCCCTGACTCAAACATGGCCAAAAGCCATAAAAACCTGTCCGGGTCCTAGCGTGAACAAAATTTAACAGTGAAATGTTTATTTCTGCATTTTTTACGGTGTCTGCGCCTTACTAAAAAGTCTTAACTAAGCCTAAGCCTAAAATTCTTACTAAGCCTAAGCCTAACACCGTAACTAAGCCTAAGCCTAACACCGTAACTAAGCCTAAGCCTAAAACCCTAACTATTCTTAACTCTAACGAAGCCCTAAGCCTATGCCTAACTCCAGTGCTGAGTATACGTCCTAGTTTAAGCCTACCTGTGGCCCCATTCTGAAAAATTTCAATGGGGTCCCATTCGTACTAATACAAAAATTCAACTGGGTCCCATTTTTTGCGGGGTCCCATTCATCACGACGATTTTTAAACACCGGGGTCCCATTCAGTCATTCGGTGTCCCATTTGGGAGTCCGATTCATTATTTACCGGCCAAGACAGGTAGCCAGGTTAGGCACGCGAACCTGTCTAGACTTATGTCGTACCACCCAAAACCATGGTCCCCACCCCTGACCAAAACACATCCTAATTCAGGTATTTCAAAAGACTGTGAAGGCTATAAAAACTACACAACATTCGATAAAATGGATTATCAACAAGCCAGTTGTTTCCTAAGAGCAATATTTATCCCATATCTATTCTTCTTCTACATGTTTTTCTCTGGAATACTTCTAATTAATCTCCTAACCGCTCAATTAACAAAAGAATATGATGAGATTTGCGAAAACAGTAAATATTACATGGATTATGTGAGATACGAATACACATCGAAACTCGAATCCAAAAAATTTCCTTCCACCGCCACTTTCACTGGTTTACATCGTTATCAAAACGATTTTCTGTATTCCGTGTGTATCATTTCGATTGTCCGAATTTTTCGAGGGCACCGAATTTGGAGCGTATCGTTGTGAGAATCTCGTGGAGGATGACGTGGAAGATGTGTGCAATAAAGCGAAGAATATAGTTCGGAATGATATGTGTCTATTTTGGAAGGATCTCAATAAAACGGTGAAGAATGCTGCCGAAAAATATGATATAACTTTGGAGAATTTGGAGAAAATTCAGGATGAGTTGGAGAATGTTATCAAAATGTATAGTGACAAATTGCGACCGCAGACAAGAATTGGACATAGACAAACTCTAGATTATCAAGGTGATCAATCACCAATGCCTATTGTGGATTCAATAGAAAGGTAGACATCGAGCTTGATTCTGATTCTGAGTTTTGGGTTTTTTCAGACTTTCGAGCTCAAATGTAATGGAAGCTCCCAGGTTTGTGGCTGGATCAACAATTGAGGATAATAACTTTCGTCGCCCATCTGTTATGAATTTTGAATCACAGAATAAACCAAAATTTTCGGTTGGATCAACTGTTGAAAATGATGACTCTCGCAGTCCATCTGTTCAAATTCCAGTGGAATCAGAGACTTCCGAATCGCACGGTCTGCTCCAAAACGATGAATCAAATGTGCAAACATGGTTTTCCGGATGCACAATTTCATAAATGTATTGTCTCATTGTTTTTGATGAATGTTGCTCATAATAAAGCCCTAATAAATTTCTGTACATGAGACACAAGATGGGAAGTGAGTGGTAGTGGTTGGCCGATGGCGAGTTGAGGGTCACGGGTTCGATCCCCGGTACCCGCTCCTCCTCGATTCACCCAGTCGTAAGTGGGTAGTAGTTGGTAAATCGGTCACACTCCCTAGCCCGGACTTGACTTGAATTAGGCTCAAGCAGGAGACAGGCGCAGAAATGGTCTAGAAAATCCATGAACCGCAATTCCTCGGGATTTGAAGAACGGTTCGCCCCTTTACCTTTACCTAGTATCAATTCAGCCCATTTTTTTGTCCTCAAAAACACAGGCTATCAAATAAAATGAGAAAATGCGCTCTATCGCACATTTTTTGAATTTTCGTGTTTGCACACAACACCGTGACGCCTTTTTGCAGACAATTTTTCACCAGGAGGACACCAACCCTTTGAATCTGACATCACGTCGTGCCACCATAAATCCGAGGAGACTCAGAGAAAAAAAGACACCGTACTCTCCCCGGTGGCTCAGATGAATCGCTGCGAGACCAAGCGTCAAACCGTACTCCCCCCGGTCGCTCAGATGAATCGCTGCGAGACCACACAAAATGTCTGCGTCTCCACGAAATTATCTTTTCCCATTTTTCTGGCACGACGTGACATGACAGGAATTCGAGCCGGGTTGGATTATATGTCTGCGACTCTTCACGTTGCACACTCTCTTGTCACTTTTTTGCCTATTTCATTTTTAATCAGGGTTTAAACACTGTGAATTAACCTCATTAAACCTCAAATATTTATCAACTTATAATACAGACATGAATACTTATGGGGTAATTCAAGTTGAAAAAAAAAACTTTTTAAAATTTTTCGTAAAAATTTTTTTTATTATTTTTTTTTTCGACTCGAAATACCCCATTACTCTACTCAAAATAAACATTTCACCTAATCAGTTTCGGTTTTCTTGGATTCTCCGTTCGGTTTCGCGAGTCGTTTATGTCGGAAAATCGAGCCACAGCATGAGAAATCTAGAAAAAAACCATCAGAACTCCAGCTATCTATGAAAAAAATTCTTACTATTATTCGAGCAACACGACGATGATCCAAAAATCGGTGGAGGTAGACACGAATTTCCAAAGCACGGCGAGTTGTTGCATTAGTAAGTAATGAGCGATTGGCGCATTATTCACACAATTCGAGGCCAAAACATGGTGCACAAGAAGGCCCAAAGCACGGCCCATTGTTATTCGAAGTAGTTATAATGATGGGACCATTATTGTTATTGCAGTTGGAACCAAGGCATGGCCCACAGTTAGCTTCCCAAAACCACGGAGGTGGTGGTCCGAAAACCGGGCCGCCACATGCAGTTTCCAAAACAAGAGCCCCCGCATAAGATATGGTCCGAAACATGGTTGAGCATCGGAAAATGAGACAATTGAAGCAAGAAGAAGAAGAATCGGAAACATTGTTAAATTTTTTTCAAAAAGACTTGCCTTATATACCTGAAGCTTATCAGGATGTCACTTGAAACAAGTTCCAAAGGTGGAGCAAAGAGAAAACAACACAAAAACGTAAAAAGCAAATAGAAAAGTTGGCTTATGCCAATTTTGTAGCCGGCTGTGATGATTGGTAAAGATGTCTTTTTGAAGAAGAAGGATGACTCATATTAAATGCTCTTTATTGTTCATTTGCAAATAAATAAACGTGAATTGTGTTTGATTGAGAAAAAATGACCTCTAGAGAAAATTCTGGATTTTTCGGAGTCCGGTAGAAATCCATGAAATTTTTTTGTGGTTTGTGACGGAGCGTTTTGCAAGTTGGAAACTATAGTCTAGTTTCCTTTTGCTATGCTTTATTGCTAATTCTAATCAGGAAATATGTGAAATTGCCATTAACAAAACCAAAAACCTTGAATTTTCAGCTAGTTCTTAAAAATTGTCTAGAAAATCATTTAGCAACCCGGATTTACTCCAAAAACCACCAAAAAACGGTAAAAAACAACGACACTCCGCTTGACAGTAGTTTTTTAATCTTACAGTCTGTTTTTGCGCGTAGGATTTGGTGTTTAGGAGTTACAAGGATATTACCCGCTTTCAAAAAATTCCCCGTCTATCTTGTAAATACACAATTTTTACCACCCAAAAATCCCCGATTCCCCCAAAAAACTCACCAATATTTCGCTCTCATCCTCAATTCCATCCAAGATTTTGCGCCAGAACTCGTGAAATTTCCCGATTGTTTTGAAGAATCTGCAAAAAAAAACTAGATTTTTCATAATTTCAGAAGTTTTTTGTTGAAATTTCGAATCCCAAACCGAAAAAAAGAAAAAAATCCGGGAAAAAACAAAAACATGTGCCAACACCGCCTGCCCGCAAACACCAAATCCTACGCGCCACAAAAGCGGAGTGTCGTTGTTTTTTTGTGGGTTTTGGGTGCTAATTTTATAGTAAATCTTCTGGTTTTCTAGAAAATTTCAAGATTAATCATTTTTTGCTGGAAAATTCAGGAAAAAAACCAAATTTCCAGATTTTTTTAAAAAATAGAAAAACCAAATTTTCCAGATTTTTTAGAGAAACGTGGAGAATGTGCCGCTCTAATGATAATAGGTAATTTTTTGGATTCAAAAAATCCCAGCCCAAAAAAATCACTCACCTGATTTAATCTCACAATTTCTCAAAATGCCATTTAATTTTCATTTTTTCCCACGTTCCACACGCATTTTTCTTTTTTTTCCTGTTCAAAAAAAAATTTTCAAAAAAAAAATCAATAAAATCGGTGAAAAGCTCTTCCGAATTCCAAAAAAATCCTTCAAAATCTAATTGTAAAATTAATTCATTTATTAAAGGAAAAAAAATATATACCAACAAAAAAAAAATAAAATATCACAGTTTCACTGATCAAAAAAATACGGGTTAATATTGGGTTATGAATTTTGAGCGAGAAAAGAGAAAAAAAAGAAGTTACCGTAAGTAAGAAAATATCAGGGTGGGGAAGAAGGCAACAAATCAGTTATGGCTATGAGAAAAAAAAATTTTTTTTTAAATAAAAAAAATGAAAAAAAATATTTGAAAACCGGATTAATATTATGGGGTAATTCAGGTCGAAAAAAAAAATTAAAAAAACCATTTTTTCCACACAAAAATAGGGAAAAATATAGTTTTTTGGACATTTTTTCCACCTAAATCACCCCAAAAAAGAAAAATTCTATCGATCCGTGTTATCCCGAGTAATAGTGATTTGTACTGGTCACTTGAACCGATTTCAATTTCTCCAAAATTGTATCGACGGCGTCAATCCATCAACCGGTTCACACGTCCAACGAAACAAGTCGATCTCCAACGTGAAGTGTACCTTCGGACGCCGCCGCCGAACCTTCAGCGATATTTCGAATAAAAGTAAAACCGTCGCTCTATAGTTCGCTTGGCCTAACGATAATCCCAACGTTCCCATTGGTTTCTTTTTTGCAGCATAACTGAGACTAATGAAGATGACGTGGATGACGTGGATGTTTTGTTATTGATCTCATTATTGTATGCTGGTGGAGGTGGACGTTGAACACCGAGAGTTACAACATCTCCACCACCTCGAAGCATCGCAACCACTTCTTGATGAGCTTTTCCTTCACGACAGCGATTCCGTTGACCTGGAAATTTGACAAAATGGGAAAATTTTGGATGAAAATCCACTTTTTTTCAAAAATTTTGCACAATATTTGTATTTTTTTGATCTACTAGCTTCAAAATGTCGAATCAAATCAATAATTGTTTTCAGAACAAAAATTATATAAAAATTTTAAAACGTATTTTTTTTCTGGAGTCAGAGAATTTGAGTCAAAATTTGGGTTATTCAGAAATTTTCGTGATTATTTTTTTTTAAATCGATTTTCCAAAGAAAATTAGCAATCAAAAATAGTTGAAAATCTCATTTTTCATGATTTTTCGCAAATTCTGAAGCCAAAATCCAATAATCTCAACATTCTGAGAATCTAAAAAATCCTGAATTTACGAAAAAAAATTTGATTTCTAGACTCACTAGCCTCGGATCGATCATTGAATTTTTTCGAGAAAAAAAAATTGTATAAAAATTTTGAAACGTATTTTTTTCTGGAAAAAATTTTGAGTCAAAAAATAGCGTAAAATCTCATTTTTTTTCGGAATTTGTGGAGCCAAAATTCAATAATCTCAAAATTCTGAGAATCTTAAAAAATCCTGATTTTACGAAAAAATTTAATTTCTAGACTCACTAACCTCGGATCGATCATTAATTTTATTT